CCCTCCCACCCCCTCACCCTCGTCCTCGTCCTCGTCCTCTTCCTCTTCCTCTTCCTCTTCCTCTTACACATCTATATTAAAATCTCTAGTATATCCAGGAGAAAAGAGGAGAGAAGAAAGGAGAGGAGTCATGTTACAAGAGACTCACGGTGAAGAATATGAATGACCTCTCTCTCCCTCTCTATATTCTATATCTATGTTCTAGTGGTGATTCTCTCTTTATCTCTATCCTATTTTTTCTGACTCTACAGAGTACTTTCATGGGCAGAGGAAGAGGACGAGCGAAAACGTGAGCCAGTGCTGTGTGGTCCTGATACCGATACCGAAACTAGCTTTTCCGACGTGCATACATGCATACATGGTATATATTCCTTCGGCTGTACAGGGTCAGGAGAGGCCTCAAGTGGCATACACTGCCAGATGTTTTAGACCATGGGCCCCGTTTAACTACATACACATATCTTCACCGAAAAAATTCATAGGTAGACTCAACAACATCCTTTTGGGTGTATCACTGGATGACAGGCGCGTCAACGCCAAACCAGTTCCATCCTTGGTCCAGGTCCACTCCGCTCTGTCCGAACGGAAAACTACCGAATGGAAACCCAGGAGTCACCATCCCGCCCAGCCCGCCTGCAGCGACCGAAGCATTCAGATCATTCTGTGGCGTGGCGCTCGAGTTGAACGGACTCTGACTTTGCAGAGATTGAGGTGGTTGTGGAGTGAAGCCCGAGCCGCCTGAGGATATACTGACGCCACCGGCCGAGGGGAAGTCTGTAGGGGGCTGAGGTGGAAAGGCCATGAACGAGTCAAATGTAACGAACGGATCATCAGCTGTCTCAGGCCAGGTTTGATCAAGCCCCGGAGCGATGTAGTTCGTTGATTCGTAAACGGGCATCCGGCGGGCTGGAGGGTACTGCGAGTGCTGGTGGTCGATCGTCGTCGTCAAGGGTGACGGCTGAGTGCTATTTGAAGCCGCTGATGGCGGAGTTGGCAATCCGGTGTTGGTGGGCGCACCGCCCGCCGAAACTGTCGTGTTTAGGACCGCATCCTGTGTGCGTGGCACGTATGTCCCTGGTTTAATGGGGACGAAATGCTTGCCTGTCCCAATGGAAATGGTGCCAAAGTAGGGGATCGATACCTGACAGGTCTCCCCCCTGCATTCTTTACCGCCTTCCTCATCGCAGCCCTGCCGGACACGAGCAAGCATTTCTAGTGCTTGAGCGCTTTGAGCTGCAACAACGCCACCAGGTTCTTTCGCCGCGTCTTTCAGTAATGCTATTGTTTCGTCGATGAGTTCCGAGTCCTCCTGGTCTTGCTCGAGATCCGTCTGCTGCGCGTTGTTGCCACGGTGTTGTTGTGAATAGCCGCACAGGTTCAGCAGCAGCAGCATGGCACCAGTAAAAGATTGAAAATCGACCAATTTGCAAATGAACGGACCCACGGACTTGTTGGTTCGGAGGGCCTTGTAGACTCGAATCATGTCTCGTGCACCGTCCAAAGCTGCCGCATGAGAGTATTGGTATCTCTTGTCGGTAGACGATCGTAACATGAACGGCATATGCAGCATGACTTTGGCTTGATAATGGAAGAATTGAGCTTGAAGTCGATCGAAATGATCCTCAACGGAACTACCAGGAATGAGCTCCGGTGACCACCACCTGGGATCTTGGGTACTGTGCAGCTCCTCCAGTTCTTGATCAAGCCTTAACGTCGCAGAGTATCCCATCGGCACCACACTCTGGTTTCGATCGATCATTTTGGTGATTATAGGGAGCATCCTCCCGGTGTAAAACTCGCCATCGTTGACCGACGCGGGTGGAGGTCCGGATGTGGGGATATAAGGGGTCACAAAGCTTTCGCTGACAGAATACGGTAGACCGAGAAGTAGAGACAGATATCTGTCGCCCAGGACAAGATGACACCAAATGTTGACTGAACGTTGATAATCCAGCGAGCTTTTGTCTGTCTGGGCGGCTAGCCTGTGGATGCCCAATAGTTGCGCAAAAGCGAGCGCTCGATGGAATAGCAGCCACGCGCGTCGCGGCCGGCCCATGTTAACATGATACTTGGCCTCAAGCATCATGCACTCGATACCATCAAGGGTGGCTGCAATCTCGTCATCAGAGGTGATCAACTTGTCGACGGTAGCAATATATCGTTCCATCAGCTCAGCAGGCTCCTCTTTTATTTGGAGTCGTGACCAGTTGAAATTTCCCGGTAGTTGGTGGATGCTGATGGCGATACATAACATGATCTTGGCCAACTCCGCTGGTTTCTCTGACCGTAACGAGTGGGAGACCGATTCTTTGATGGTCTCACATCGACTGTCAGTAATTTCGGGGAACATCTTCTTCCATATTGTCCACCATTCGTGAGATTGTTCCAGGATAACATCCAGGTCACTCGCGGTCGGAAGCAACTTGTTCAAGGCCGCTAGAAGCGTTTTAGTTTTATTGTACTGTGCTCTTGACACCACGGGCTTGTTCTCTTTTCGCTCGAGGACGGCATTATCGAACAGGGTCAAGGCCGGGGCGTCATCTCGAAGACCGCCGGGCAGAACGATGGATTCTTCGGTGCTGGAGTTTTCCTGTCGCAATGAGCTCTTCAGGCTTTTCAACACTTCAGCCGCCTGGGCATCAAGCTGGCTTTTGTCAGATTCTCTGGCGGACGCGTCACCATGGGCACTCGCATCCTTTTCCGGTAACCGGTTGAGCACCTGTTTGACTAGATCTTCGAGTTGGGATACTCTTTCCCTCAAACTGTACGACGACTGCTCCGCACTGGTCTGGGTGTATGTGTTGATGTCCCCATGCTCTTGATCAATGCAGGTCGAGCCTCTGGCATAGCACTCGTTGCATATTGCAGGCCTCCCAGGTTCGAAGGTGCACTTGATCTTCCTCCGCCGACACTCCAAACAACTCTTTGTTCCTTTGCGCATCTTCTTCCTCGGAGGGCCTTGACTATGGTCGAATCCGAGCCCGCCGGCATCGGTATTGTACGGTGAAGTGGACATACTTCCGGCTCGAGACATGGTCGTCAATACAAAGGAAGTCTGCTCGAAGCCCTAACAAGCCCAAAGACGACGAGTGATAGGGCAGGCAGCAGCGGAAAGCGACAGCAACACGAGATTGCGCACTTGAATCCAAGAATACCGTTCTGCGGAGTTCCCCGGGTCTAGACGTGGTCTGCTGGCAAACCAGTAGATCGGGGTGTGAATGAATGATCTGGTAGAGTACTCAAACTATGAGCCATGCTTCTAGAAACGTCATGGCACCCCGTTGAATCCTTCGGATCATCAGTGCGCAGGAAAAGTGGCCTGCGGGCAACATGAATTGTCAGCAAGTGGTCACCGAAGGCTGCGTTGGGCGTATGATGACCCGCCCACTTGAAATGCATTTTGTCTGACAAAAGCAGGTCTCCGCGAAGTCTACATATGAATTGCCTTCAGCGCCGCCGGTCTGACAGAGACTTTGTCTTTGAATTCCTGAACGAGTTTAGACCTGTCACGTGAGGCTTTCTTCCACTTCGATTTTCATTGTTTGAGCTTTTGCGTGTTTCATTACTGCACGTAGCTTACCAATCTCAACCACATTCATGACTCCCAGGTGAGCCAACCTCTTTGTTTTCTGTGTTGAGGTCGAGAGGGCAGCCGATTTCGTCCGACCGACGTTTCGTCCGGCCGTCCACAGTGGTATTTCACCGGGAGGCCTTACTAAGGGGATCCGGACCCTTCTCGCCAATCGACGGACCAGAGAGCTCCGTCCCACCTTAATCTCCTGCAAGGCATTCCGACAGAATCTTCAGAATCCAATTCTAGAAACAACAGAGTGGCAATAAGGCATATCTCCGGTCTGGGTTAGGTAGAGGCATCCCGACAATGGCCTCTATCGAAAGAACATTACGACATGCTGCCCGGATCTTCGAGCGGTATCAGTGGTGTCTTCCGGCAACTTCGATGCTCCGTCATGGAAAGTCCACGCTATACCAGCCTCGTGTAGCGCGTGGTACCATCCCGAGCTCATTTTGCCGGTGAAGGCGTATTGTTCGCTCGCGTCAAAAGGCTGAAAAATTTGCGACTTTCCTCTTTGAGCACATTCGAGAATGCTGAATGCGGATTTCCCCTGTGACTTTGGCCTACCTGGCTGCTGCCTGATCACCGAGAACTCTGTCAAACAGGGTCACGTCGGATCACGGATCCAAGCCTTACCGGGCTCAATGGTGACCTCTCAGAGGCTCTCGTGGCCCTACAGCCTCGTCCCCCCTGGAACTTAGCGCCAACATACTGGGAACTTCGTATCTCCATCCAATTTTATCCTTGATACGACGCAAGCTGGCAACTGTGATTCATCCCCCTCTTTTTAGTGAGTCCACATTTTTTGGTTCTGGTTTCCATGTGCTGTGTTCTTTGTTCATGCCAGAGGTTGAAACACGGACGAACTTACTTGCTTTCTTCCATCGTTGTTTGTCTCAATGCTCTGGCTATCGTCATCCGTCCACATGCCTCTGCAGCGTGGGTACTGGTAGTCCATAACCAGGACGGGTGTCATTGGGATACATATATCATTGGGAGGTCTCGGCCCCCTTTGCTATCTGAATACAAACATCGTTCCTGACCTTCCTTCCTCTTGCTCTGTGACTCCTTTGTTTCTTGCGCTGCTGAGCTATATTTCAATCACAATGGCAACCGCTCCAACCTCTCAAAGCTCGGCCTCGACGTCCACAAGCGATCTCCACAAACCCCCGTTGCCGGTCATTGAGGATGAGAAGCGATACGAAGAGAAAGATATCCCCGTCCGACAGAACTCCAGCCCCCCTCAATCCATTGCAGTTGAAAAAGCTGTTCTCGAGAAAAATGTCGAGGACGAGGAGCTGGGGCGTGAAATCTCTCGGATCGACACGTCCGACTACCCCTCTGCCTTCCCTCTGGCCATGATCGTTGTGGCACTTGCTTGCAGTATCTTCCTCGTGGCACTGGACATGACCATTGTGGCCACGGCCATCCCTCGAATCACTGATCAATTCCATTCCCTAGATCAAGTCGGCTGGTATGGCAGTGGTTTCTTCTTGACCATTGGCTCCTTCCAGGCGACATGGGGCAAGTTGTACAAGTACTTCCCTCTCAAGATCTCGTATCTGGCAAGCATCTTCATCTTCGAATTGGGGTCCCTCATCTGTGGTGTCGCCAACAGTTCCACCACTTTGATCGTGGGAAGAGCTATCGCAGGCATGGGCGGAGCAGGTATCGCATCAGGCTCATACACCATCATTGCCTTCTCCGCTCCACCCAAGCAACGCCCTGCTTTCACCGGTGTCATGGGTGCCACCTTCGGCGTTGCATCTGTCATCGGCCCCCTTCTGGGTGGTGTCTTCACGGACAACCTTACCTGGAGATGGTGCTTCTATATCAACCTGCCCATCGGCGGCGTCGCTGCGGCCATTATCCTTGCGTTTTTCCGCACTCCCAAAGCTGCCCGCCCTCAAGCCGCTCCTTTGAAAGAGAAACTGCTACAAATGGATTTCCCTGGGACATTCACTCTCATGGCCGCGATCGTCTGCTACCTGCTCGCCATGCAGTGGGGTGGAGCGACGAAGCCGTGGTCATCTGGCTCTGTCATCGCCGTTCTGGTTCTCTTCGGCGTCCTCCTCATTGTCTTTGTGGCCATCGAGTACTACTCCGGCGACCGTGCCTTGCTTCAGCCCCGCCTGCTCAAAGACCGAACCATTGGCGCCATGTCCGCCTACATCTTTACCGTGGCAGGATCCTTCTTCGTCCTCTTGTACTACCTGCCCATCTACTTCCAAGCCACACGCGGCATCTCCGCCGCCAAGTCTGGCATCGACAATCTCCCGCTGGTGCTTGGTGCCTCACTCCTGACAGTCTTCTCTGGCGGCCTTCTCACGGTATGGGGCCAATATATCCCTCTCATGGCACTCGGATCAATCCTCGCCTCGGTCGGTTCAGGCATGATCTACACTCTGGAAATCCACTCTGGATCCAGCAAATGGATCGGATACCAAGCCCTCGTTGGCATCGGACTGGGACTGATTTTCCAGATCCCCGTGATCGTGGGTCAGGCGATCGTCAAGCCCTCGGACCTCAGCTCCGTGTCCGCCATCATCCTGTTCTTCCAGACCATCGGCGGCGCCGTGTTCATCTCGGCCGCGCAGGCCGGCTTCACCAACAAGATGCTCCACGAACTGCCCATCAAGGCGCCGCGCGTGGATGCAGCCCTGGTGCTGGCGACCGGTGCCACCGACCTGAGAAAGGTGTTTGACGCGAGTGACATCCCCGGGATCCTCGCCGCGTACATGGATGGCTTACGCGTGCCGTTTGCGATCTGTATCGCGTGTGCGTGTCTTACCTTCTTCCTGAGCTTTGCGCCCAAATGGGAGAGCATCAAGGGCAAGGTGCGACTGGACGGGGGTGCAGCGTGAGAGCGAGCAGAGGGGAAAACAGGCGAGATTGATACGGATGCGGTCAAACTATTATCTTCAACAGAATTGGGTTCTTATGTTCAGGGCTACTTTACAGCGTCCTTCTCCCTTCTCAATCACAACCAGGTCTGGCCACGTATAGTCGTGGTCAGGGGCGTTTTCTGCATTTTCTGGAGCGTGGAGGTACACAAATGATTTGCACGGATGGGTTTCTGCTGCTGGCACCATTTTACTGCCGATATAGATTACGATGATAGCTAGTATTCTGAGAATATGCTCTCAGCCACTGTAACACGGGTGTCACGATGTCTACCTGTCCATGTATCTCTGCCTTCAAATGACAATAGAATGTAGAAATATATGAAAGTATGAAAACCATGGACTGGACAACTACACTGGACAAGAATCAAAAACATAATTTGTATTAAGTAGGTAGCCAGACAATGATTGAGCATCCATCTGTCCTCGCCGTATCATGACATTCCCATTCCCTCGCGCCATTAATGAAATCACACCATTCCGTTACCCTTCATTTCTTGCTTCCCTCATCCACCGCTACTTGAATCCGGCTCGTTTGAGGAGGGAGCGAGTCCGGAATGCGAACCATTGCCCCTCTCCCCCCTCTTCCCGGTCAGAGGAAAGCAGTATATCAAGAACAAACGATACCAACCCCAAGCCAATGCAACCTGGGAGAAGCTGTGCGTACGTAAGTACGTACGGAAGGTAGCTGAACCGTGGAATATGGCCGGCTGCCTCAACGGCTCTTTTCTTTCAGTGCATGTTAGCTAGCCCGTGGGCCATCGATCTAGCCATCTGGCCAGTTAGCCACTATCCAGTCCGAAGCATGGAAAAAGAAGGAAGCGAGAAAGCGAGAAAGCGAGAAAGTCAAAGAGAAAAGGAAGCAACAAACTCGTCAGCGGCCTCCCTGCCACCATGGCCTTCGAGAGGGAGCCACCAATTAGTCGGTAGGTCATGCATCCCTCTCCAATCCCTGAACGAACACCAAATTTCGTCCGTCGCATTCCTTCCCTTCCCCTTTTCTTTCTTGCTTTCTTTCTTCCCGGGGATCCGTGAAAGCTTGTCTTGTGCATTCCTCCGATTTCTAAGCTACCGTCCGTATACGCCCTGCGCACTGGCCGTCACCTATCCACAATCGATGCCCGTCGGCGCCTGGGCCATGTCCAGATCCGTGTCCGTAACTTTTATCCGGTGGAAAGCTCGCGAACGATCGATGGTTAGTTAGTCAGTTAGTTAGTCAGTTACTTTCTCCTTCTTTCCCGTATCCTTCGTCCAAAATGCACGTGCATGCTCGAACGAGATGTTATGCTCAAGGCGCCGGCTGGAGCCCGGGAAGGCATGGAGAAATGCTTCCCGTCTCATGTATGTCGAGAAGCTGTCCCAGCAGGGGAAGGAAGGGGTGGACTGGGTCATGTTTCGGATGCTTTTGATACAGATAAAACCCAGAGGCAGCAGTCGCTGTTGGGGGATTTCCTCTCTCCTTCTCTCTCTCACACACACGCTCATATAGGATATGGGACTCTCTCCCTCGATCTTGCTCTTGTGCATACCTCGTGTGAACGGATTCCGGGAAGCAAGAAAAAGGGAGAAGGTTTACCTACCTGATCCAGATCCAGAGCATTTCGATTCGATCCAACGATCCTTTTTCTTCTCCGGATGAAAAACAATTCGCAATTCTCGTGATCGGCGAGGAAGCCAAAAGAGGTGGTGGTTCAGGTTTTTGGTATTAGGGTCTCCGTCCCCGGACTCTCTACGTATAGGGCGTGTCAACCAGATTCAAACAGACAAAACAGAGAGACCGCCCATCCGGCCCCAACATCATCTTCATGCATGTAGATCCAACACGTCCTCCTTGTCCGTGATACAGCCGTGGCTGGCGTCACTGACCAGTTTGGCATATTTGGCCAAAACGCCTCTCCGGTACCGGGGCTCTGGCTTGTTAGCATTCCATTCCTCTCTTCTCTTTTCCAGCGTCGCTTCGTCCACCACCAGATCAAGCGTTCGAGTCTCTGCGTCAATCACGATCTGGTCTCCGTCCCTCACCAGGCCGATCGGACCGCCTTCCATCGCCTCGGGAACGATGTGGCCGATCAAAAACCCGTGTGATCCACCGCTGAATCGACCATCCGTGATCAGGGCGACATCTTTGCCCAAGCCGGCGCCCATGATGGCGGAGCTGGGCTTCAGCATTTCTGGCATGCCCGGTCCTCCCTTGGGTCCTTCGTACCGGATGACCACCACGGTTTTCTCGCCCTTCTTGATCTCGCCCCGTTCGAGAGCTTGGATGAAGAGGTCTTCCGCATCGTAGACCTTTGCTTTGCCCTCGAAGCGTAGCCCTTCCTTGCCGGTGATTTTACCCACCGAGCCGCCCGGCGCGAGACTGCCTCGTAGAATCTGGATGTGCCCAGTCTTCTTGATCGGCTGGGAAAATGGCTTGATGATGACTTGATCCGTGGGAAAATCAGCGGCCGATTCGACGTTCTTGGCCAGCGTTTGGCCTGTCACAGTCGTATGTGTGCCCTTGACGACGCCCTCTTTGATCAGGAATTTCAATAGGGTTGGAATGCCTCCGACGGCGTGTAGGTCATTGAAGACGTATTTCCCGCTCGGCTTGAGATCCGCGAGGAACGGGGTCCTGTCACTGACCGCCTGAAAGTCATCGATAGTGAGCTTGATGCCCACCGCATCGGCCATGGCGATGAGATGCAGCACTGCGTTGGTAGAACCACCGGTGATCATCACCACAACCATGGCATCTTCAAAAGCCTCGCGAGTCATGATGTCACGCGGCTTCAGGTCGAGTTTGAGCAGGTTCTTAATGGCACCTCCAGCCGCCAGACACTCCAATTGTTTCTCCTGAGAGACAGCTGGATTGGATGCACTCCCAGGCAATGTCATGCCCAGGGTCTCGATAGCCGAGGCCATGGTGTTGGCCGTGTACATACCACCGCAGGCCCCGCAAGCTGGGATGGCATTGCGGATGATATCGAAGCGCTGCTCCTCATTGATTTCACCCGTGAGGAACTGACCGTAGGCCTGGAATGCGGAGACAACGTCAATGTCGGCGTTATTCTGCAACCGCGCACACCCAGGGGCTATGGAGCCACCGTACACCATGATCGACGGGCGATTGACTCTGCCCATGGCCATGACCACACCAGGCATGTTCTTGTCGCACCCAGGAATGGAGATGTTCGCATCGTACCACTGACCCTGCATGACCGTCTCGATTGAATCGGCGATGATCTCTCTTGACTGTAGGCTGTAGCGCATGCCTGTCGTCCCCATCGAGATTCCATCTGACACGCCGATCGTGTTGAACTGCATGGGCTGGAGTCCTGCGTCCGCGACACCCTTTTTCACCACATTGGACAGATCCAGTAAATGCATGTTGCAAGGATTCCCGCTGTACCAGACCGACGAAATTCCCACCTCTGCCTTGTTCATATCTGCTTCGGTCATGCCGGTCGCGTAGAGCATTGCCTGTGATGCACCCTGAGATTTGGGCTGCGTGATATTGCGTGATACTTTATTGAGGCCTTCGGTGTCGGAAGAGCTGGAGGGGTCTGCATGGCGAAGAGGGGACGACGCGAATGTACGACTGCATGAATGTTAGCTGTGAGGGGTCAGGGCGCATGGCAATGAACATACAGAGAGGGTTTGCAGAGTGTAAGCCTTGCCTGCCTGAGGCGCAGGCTTCTGAAGGCTGCTGAAGCTTTCATCGTGAGCTACCTGTACCTTGACCAGCGGAGGGAAGACTCTGGAGCAAGTCGCATTGAGTATTTGATGAGGCCAGCGAGGATCAGATGGAGGTGAGAGACAATGCCGTCTTTCTGCTCCGTCGACCAATGTTCCAGCTTCAACGACCCTTTGTGCTCATCCAGACCCCTGCAGCACAAAGTGCAGTTTTTCCCCAGGAAAATTGTCCAGCCCGGTAAGCGGAGGCTTGAAGTGTACAGTGCAGGAACCGGAGCCAATCGGAGTGCCGAGATTTCAAGCAGCACCGGGGAGTCCAATTGACCTCCGAGACTGCGCTAGTCTTCTTTCGGTTGTAAGTGGTCCTGTCTGACAGAATAATTACCAACCAATTAGGATAGCTTCAAACGGCGCCCTGAGAGTTCCTCTATCCTGTCCATGACCAGCTCTACGAATGTAGCAACACTGTACAGCTCATCCTGTTGCACTTGACACCCAGCAGAAGCCTCCCAGCTGTCATTCTACTCCGAGTCGTTCCATCAGGCAAGGAGCAATGCCATTGTCTCTCTCGTCTGTGACCCCGGTGTAAGCTTTGGACAGTTTTGTGGTGAACTTGAGGCTCACCAGGCTGACAGTCTCCTACAAAGGTTCAAAACATCCCCATTTGGCTCTCTCTCTACGCAATTTGGTGGCCCAGCAATACCTCCCTCAATTTCCGGCGAATCACACGTGAGAAGGATTCTACAGAACGGCCTCGATCCCTGGGCCTGGACTTACCGAGGCCATACCGAGGACGGCCACAAATACGCCGCTTGTTGCCCCTCATTGTGCGCACGCTCAGACGAGGTGTCGACTCCAAATCGTCACTTGGGCTGCCAGGGGGGCACGGGGGGTATGAAAACACACTTTCCGAAGGCCACGGCTCCCACCACCTGCCCAGAGCAAAGGCAATCGTCATCAAATCCTTACCCGCGGGAATTCCCATATGAGACGTGAAAGGAATGCCGGGCGGCCTCATGACATACACCTCTCATCATCCTCTGCGGGGCAAGAGAGCTCCTCACCAGCCAGTCCTCCGTTTTAATACCTGTCGGCTATCCCCTCAAAATGGAATTGAGACAACTAGGTATCTCATGTTCTCGACCGAATATACCTCGGAAATTCGAACCTGCTTCCACGGCGGCAATCAAAGAAAAGTTTAGATCGAGCTCGTGTCTGCCTGGTCGAAGCACCCCTTCCCTTCCATTTCCACAGCTCCAAGAAGAAACATTTGTGGTGGAGCGGTGGTGCTGCCAGTAGCCGTTGACCGGGTCTTTCCTGGTTTTTTGTAGAAGTATAAAAGGATCGCAGTCCCAATTCTGCCCCCCTCAGACTCCCGGAGAACACGATGACGGACGCATTCTCCCAAGCAAGCAGGCGATTGAGTCAGATCAAGGATTCCATCATGGGCAAAACCGCCACCACCATCCCCTTCGACCCGGACTCGACCTCGTTCCCGACCCGCAAGAATCTCCCCAAGATCGTCGGCGCCCCCGACGAGGCGGCCTGGGTCTGGGGTAAAGATGACTACATCGGCCGACTGAACCTGTTGACGCCCGCGCGCGTCAAGGCTGCCGCCGCCAGCGAGATCCGCACGGGGGAAATGGCACGACTGGACCTGCCGTTAGACGTGCCCCTGCAGCCGGCCTTTGGGCGGCAGAAGTTCGAGCACAAGATCCTGCCTCTCGCCGAGGGCATCGCGTACGACGACGTCTACCACATGAACACGCAGTCCGGCACGCAGTGGGACGGGTTCCGGCACTTCGCGCACGTGGCGACCCAGACCTTCTACAACAACACGCACGGCAGCGACATCCTGGGCCCCACGGCCAACGACAAGTGCAGCATCCACCACTGGTCCGAACACGGCTTCTCGGGCCGCGGCATCCTGCTCGACTACCGCTCGTACGCCGACAGCGTGGGCATCAAGTACGACACGGCGACGTCGCACGCCATCAGCTACGACGACCTCGTGGCCTGCGGTAAGCACCAGGGCATCGACATCCGCCCCCAGGCACAGGGCGGCGACATCAAGATCGGCGACATCCTGCTGATCCGCTCCGGCTGGGTCGAGGACTACTACAAGCGCGCGCCTGAGGACCGCGAGCGGCTCGCGCTGCGCCACGGGCCGGAAGCGTGCTGGGCCGGCATCAAGCAGGAGGAGGCCATGAAGGATTGGCTGCACGACAGCTACTTCGCGGCCGTGGGCGGCGACGCTCCATCGTTCGAGCGCTGGCCCACCCCAGAGAGCTACTACCTGCACGAGTTCATCATCGCCCTGTGGGGCATGCCGCTCGGCGAGATGGTCGACCTCGAGAAGCTGAGCCAGCTGTGCAAGAAGAACAAGCGCTGGACCTTCTTCTTCAGCAGCGCTCCCTTCAACTGCCGCGGCGGCGTGAGCAGCTACCTGAACGCCACGGCTATCTTCTAGTCGCCAGATGGAGGGAGCTGCTGGAAGGTGGGGAGGGTCCTTCCTTTGCGAGTTAGTTAGACGACACCGGTTGGAGCAGACTGCCAGAGATACTTCTATCATGCGGCCGATCTTGGGGTTATTGGGGGACTTTCAGGCAGGGAGATCCTATGACGGATGGCTGTTGGGAGCAGCTGAAAAGAGGATGTCAAATGAGGGTAGTTGTGAATGCCTGTTTGTTATCTCGGTCAATGCGATGGCCGGGCACGACGATTTATAGACAAACGACGAGGTATGAAACATCGAAATATACGCTACCTGCATTGCGAAGAATCTTGGCTGTTCGAACGAGCCCCAATGGCACTTGTCAATACCCTGTTCTATCCTGGTCAAGTTGTATATCCCATTCCACGGGGCCATCCATGCATGCACAATCATCCACGGGGCGAAATCTCGTAACTGCTGAGGCGACTGCGTCGCCTCACATATACTATCCTACCTATAGTCCTATGTCATAGTATCTTCCTGCTTCTCGGTAGATTCGGCCTTCTTCTCTCCGTTCTGCTGCGCGGACGCCGGCTTCTGCTCCCCGTCTTCTGCTGTCGCCGGGATTTCAGATGGGCCGGTTGATTGGGGTGTCGGCGGCGGCGGCGGTGAGGACGCTGCTGCAGTGCTGACCACTGGCTTGTTCTCGACGACTTTCACGATATGCTCTCCCAGATCTCCCGATCCGTCGATCTTACTGATTCGCAGATTGAAAAACGACGCATCCGCCAGTAGCCTGGGGAAACAGAGTCAGTATATATCATGCATAGTGCCCAGTTCTGCAATCATGAGGCTCACCTTTCTTTTGCCTTGAGGGACTTGATGGTAACGTCTCTGTACGCGTTCGTCCACTGCTCTCGGTAACTTGCAAACACCGGCATCATGATCCCCGCGACCACAGGTTCCGGTAGATGCTTCGCCAGGACTTTCTGCAGCGTGGCCGTTTCTTTGGTCAATGTCTCCATATAGGGTGACACGTGCACGGCAGTGTTTTTGGCCGCTTCTTCCCAATCAATGTTCTTCATTGCCTTGACGTGCATCGAGGCCCGCCCAGACATGATGTCGACAAGCTTCTCGTGGATACCGTGCTGATGTTCCTGGAAGAGACGCTTGACCTTGTCGAACTCGTTCATCACTTGCGAAGATGTCGAGGAAGGGAGATGCCGGCGGAAGAATTCTCTCACATATGGTATGAGTGCGACGATGAAGCTCAACCCTTGGGACGATAATGCCAGGTGTTTTGTCGTGATATTCTTCAGTCCTGCACTCCTAGTGGCACCGGCCCCCAAGATCAGCTGGGAGCTTCGTGAATTAAACAACTTGAGACTTTCCAGTAACGAAGTCGCCACCTCGGTGCTCATACTTGGGATGCCAGCTGCGAGGTGTTGGAAGGTTTCCATGGATCGTAGCATGGCAATGGCAGATTCTGGTAGTATGTACTTCTGTTCATCGACCACAGCACTGCGCACCTTTGTACCAGCAGCAGCCGTGCCGTTAGTTGCGGCACCGTTGCTGGCCTCGGCGCCATTGGTGGACACCTGCCAGATCATTGTGCTTTCGATCCAGCGAAGAGCATCGTTGGTACTGCCTTCCATGACCCGAGTGAGGATCTCGTTCTCGCGCTCACCAAAATCTCTAGCGTCCCATTTATCAGCGTCCATCACCTTGATTACTTCATGCTTCTGGGAGTCCGCAAATCGCGCTACAAAATCCTTGATCTGGGTATCAAGAACACTTTTGAGGCCCGTGCCGCTGCGGCCAGATATCGCTTCGCATTCATCGGCGAATAGTCGGTTGAGCGTGAAGTATCGCAAGAAGTCAGGCAACGGCAACTCTGAATTCTGCTGTGACCGGACTCTGACTACCTTTGTGATCTGTGCCTGTGCAAGATCTACACCTTCCCCTAACAGACTGGAGAGATCCAGAACCTGCTGCATTTCTGCTTGCACGGAACTGGTTGCTCGAGCTCGGCCTGTCGGAGGGCTCATCACTCTATCGATACTTGCCGGATCAGGAGTTCTCGGAGGCGATTTGATCATGTGCTCTGGCAAATTGCTCGTGATATCCAGCAAAATCTTGACTTGCACGCTGAGTCGGCGCAGACCTTCGCTGATGTTTGTGTAGATGGTGGCGAGCATCTGATACCAATCTTGCGCGTCCAAAGCTCGCAGATTTCTGGCCAGAATTGACGACTTCTCCTGCTGGCTCATGTTTCTTCCACCCATTGTTGAAGCGGAGACTGTAGAAACATTGTCATCGTCGTTGGAGCTCGGCAGCTGTTTCCGAATCATGCTCTTCATCTCTCGCAAGACAATTGCTCGGAAACTAGTAGCTGCCGGAGTGGTATACCTGGCCCTCGACAGGCCCCTCATCTCAGCTTCGAGTTCATCCCTCAGCTCGGATCCAATATTCATGTAGCCCGGGAATGCAGAAGGTGCCCTCCTTTGGCCCGGTTTAGGCCTTGTATAGGCGACACCCCATCTTTGAAGGGTCATGCTAGTCTCCGTTTGCTGAACGTGCCGTCTGATATCACTGAGCAGGCTGTTGTGAAACCGGGCTTCATATCCCCGCCCAGCCCGCTGACGCAACTGACTGAGGTCATCGAAGGCGCCCTCCAGGGCTTTGATTCTTCGCAGGTCACGTCTCTGATACCGGGATTGTTGGTCCGTGTTGGGGGACCTGCTCTCCTTGCCGGCCATCAAGGCTTCCACATCATCCAATCGATCCAAAGCCTCATCGATCTCGCCTTGTTCAACCATGTCGTCACATGTTTGCACAGATTTGACAATGTCTTCCAATTGCATGATTGCCTGTGCCAACTGACGGACGTTGTCACGACGCTGCTTCAGATTGACGACTTTCAGTCCATCAATAGCCATTTCCTTGTCAAGTCTTGCGAGCTCTTTCCGCAGTCGCTGAATACGGTCGACCGAATCGGCAGCCTCATTGTGCAGCTCTCTGAGAGATCCGAGCGCAGAGAAAAACGACTTTGATGCCGTTGATATCGAGTTGATCAGGTGGACCTCGACCGTATCCATGTACCACGACAGCTTCTCTTGCAGGATCGCATTTGTCGCCAGAGACTTCCGTCCAGAAGGAGTTCCGCTTGGGTCACGGACAATCTCCGCGTTCTCAGAGACAATATCAAACGTCCTGGGGTTCTCGAGGTGGAAATCTTCTTCCGAGTAGACAGCTGGGATTGTCGACAGCGGCGTCACCGCCTGCCAGCGTTGGCCACTCTGTCTCCTCTTCGGCTGAGACGGCTCGACCTGGATTGATGTCGTCGAGCTCATCGAGCTCGTCCGTGAATGCCCAGGCCGCTGCAAGCGCTTGCTAAGAATGGCCTCCCACTCTTCATTCTTGGTATCCTTCTTGTCTCGGTGGAACAATGATGTTTCGCCTTCACCCTCATTTTTGGCCCTTTGGAACGCTTCATACAAAGAACCGACCTGCGACAGGTAAGGATGGAAGGCCTTGGCTTCGATGTGGGGGATATTCGTGAGGGCGACGGGAGGGATATCGCGGGGTGTAGGAGCCTTGTACCCTGAGTTGGAAGGAACAGTCCCGGTTCTCAGGCCGGTGTGGATTATCGGGTGTTGCAGCAGTGTTGAGATAGCATTTTGGCTCGTCTCTGTTATTGTAGCATTATTGAGGGAAGCCGTTTCGAGAGTGCTGGCAATTGAGCTTGACGTCGACCCACGGCGCAAGGCACCTCTTGGGCCTCCATGTTGCCTTTGGGGGACGCTAGGGAAAGGGTATTCGGTGGTAGGTGAGGTGGCTGTCGGTGAGGCATAGGTTCCCTGGGATCCAGGCCGAATTGGAGAGGCCATCTCATCTTCTTCTCTGGCCTGCGCAGGGTTCTGAGGGCATCAAATGTGACATGCCGCGTCATAGGGAAGTCAAATGCACAGAGGCACTAAATAGGGACATTGTAAATGTTCACGACTATCCGGCATCTTGCTGGCAATTGATGATGCCCGAAAGCGACTTTGGAAGACACGAATGGCACAATCGCTGGTGAGATTGGAGAAGTGGCCAAGATGGGTAGGTAAAACGTGGTCACGGTTCAACCCCCCAGATTGGGGGCCAAATTACCTTGGTCCACAGTTTGACTGCATATATTATACTCGAGTACGAGGTACATAGATGTAACTCAGGGTACGCAGTGCCTCAAACACTTCGCCATCGTCGGGCAGTAGATGCCTCCATCATCATGGAATTGCTGCCCAAGAGCAGCTTCACCAAGTGGATTCGGTTTGAACGTTGACAACGTTGACACTACTGGAGAAGACAATCTCAAACAGGTCGGTCATGGTGCCAACTTTATCACCTGCCCACCTGCTCAAGACCTTCTCGAACATCATATTGAAAAGGAAGCGAAACCGGTACTTGCAGCTCGTCGTCACGCAGTTTGACATTCGCCTGCGATGCCATGGCAGCTTGGAGTATGCAGCACTGTCTTTTTCATGGACACATTTGCAGCTCCATTAAATATCTTCCCAGCTAGTATGGTCTATCCAGCACCAAGCTCTCTGAACGCCTTGTCCATGGGGCCGCGAGATCCCGAAGACAAGAGTGTCCCGACTCCCGACACATGTTGCTACAATTTTTCATCACTTGCCCCCTTTTTGGCAGTCCAGTTCGTCATTCGCTTCGTCCCTTCTCTTGTGGAGACCTTGTCGGTTTGCCTTTCTCTTGCCCCTCTAGCTTCTGGAGGAATGCTCCACTAGGAGCGGACGACGAGGTCAAGGTAAGGCAGAGTAAGGCTGTAAGAAGTCGGATGGCGGACTTTGGTGGAGATGTAACGGACAAAAGCGTTCTCGTCAATAATGACGCCAACTCATCGGGATGAAGGGCTGCCTGCTCACCAAAGAGAGAATAGGGGTCACTGGCGTCTTATCTTCAACTGTGTGGTCTTCTTCTCTAGGACGGAGGCGCCGGATTCAGCTCAGCCACGTGTTTGCTCAACGGTTCTGGCCCAGCGCCACATCAGCTGCGCCAAGCTGCGCTTTCCACTTCCAGCCAAAATACTTCGTCTTCCTATTTCCACCACAACCGACTCTAGCGATTTTCAAGCCGCACAGGCTCCGCTTCCAACTCAATATGATCGAGACTGTCACAAGGGCGCTTCGCCTCCCATCAAAGGGGATCGATGTGGGGATACACTGCTATACCACAACCTCTCCCGAGGTGGTGGCTTCAGAGGGGACGGCGCAGGCAGGAGGTAGGAGGTAGGAGGTAGGAGGCCTGGCGAGGCCGTTAATGAAAAGCAGGCTATTCTCCTCACGTTCACCTTCTGTCCTTTTTGAACCATGGCCAACATGTACTGACTCTGAATTTTGTATACCGACCTTCGTCACTCTTTTGTTCACCAAATAGCTGCGATGGGCTTGCTACGTCTGACAGTAGCCCTAGCCCTCGCGGCGTCCGCTCATTCATTCGGCGTTCTGCCTAACCATGATGTTACCACCACAGAGACCCTCACTAGATTTGTCTTTACTTGCCCTTGCGATTCGACCACCTCCGTCAGTGTCGGCACTTCATATCCTACCTCACCCACGGGGGCGGCTCACGATGGACAAGACTGGCAGGATTGGAATGGTTCCGGGCCTCACTCATCCGGGGCTCTCACCCTGAAGTCAAGCTCGGTATCGGTGTCTCACTCAACTACCTGGCCACAGGTTTCGACATCTCACACGACTTTGCTGCATACGACTTCACCTTCTGCGTCTGGGTCATCCCCAACTACTGCTCTTGGGACTTCGACCTCTGTTCCTCGGCCCGGAAGTTCAACCAGCAGTTCCCGATCGGAATCAACCTCACCATCGAGCCCCGTTACACTTCAGTCTACTTCCACACCCACGCCTGGTAGTTCTTCACCAGTGACGACGACCACCGCAGCAAGCTCTTCGCCTATCGTTACACTGAGCACGGCGAGCACAACCACATCCTCCCCTGTGGCTATCTCCACAACGACACCAGGGACGACTGCTGCCCTCTCTACAGTGACTACGAGCACAACTTCTGCTCTCACTCCGGTCACCACGAGCACGACCACACCCTCTACTGTGGACATCCCAACGACGACACAAGGGACGAGCTCCACACTCACTCCAGAGATCACGAGCACGACCACACCCTCCACTGTGGACATCCCCACGACGACACAAGGGACGAGCTCTACACTCACTCCAGAGATCACGAGCACGGCGTCCACTACCACTTCATCGCCAGAATGCTCATTCGAGACTATCACGACTACTCTGAAGAAGAGGGATGTTCTAGAAGTGCGGACTGTGACAGTACCTGCTGCAGGCTGCTCAGTGACGAGCTCCACGACCTCTGACCCGGACAGCTTTTCCAGCACAACTCCATCTACAGTAGGAATATCGACCACCACTCCGGGTTCAAGTTCCTCAGGATCTACAACTTCAGCTTCAGGACCGTCTGTCGAAACAAGCACAACTGTTCCACCTGATCCTGCCACTTCAACAAGCGTTACAACTTCGACCCCTGCAGGAGGTGACGGTCTGCCCAGTACCACGAGTCTGACTACCGTCGCTGTGACTGTGACCACCTCGGGGACTTCCTCGACTACTCTGACTGCAGATACCTCAGCCCCCACGGCGGGTCAGCCCTTCTCCCTGATAGTGAACAACGGTGGAACAGGCAAGCACAAGCGAGACATCTTGGTGGTCGGTTACGTCAACGGAGCACTTGTGCTTGTTAGCTCCCCAGACGATGCTGTGGCTTTCATTCTGACATCTGACGGCGTGCTGATGATTTTCGGCACTTCTTTGGTGGTTGGCTTCGGCGGTGGCTCCGGAACTTCAGCTCTGACCATCTATTCATCGGTCTCGGCCATGCCAACAACAATTGTATGGTCAGTCTCTGGCGGCGCTCTGATCTTGCCGGGAGCTGGCTTTTGCGTTGGTGCCAACAATGTCATGTCGGTGACAGTCGGCTCTGCAACGGACAGCAGCTGTACTCCTGTCACTCCTGTGCCTGATACCGACCCAGATTCCTACAATACTGAAGTCGCTAGCACTGTAACGCCATCGCCACAAACCACAACTTCGAACACACCGGGGTTGAGCTCGACAACGGTTGACGCTACGACCACTACCGATTCATTGCCATTGGCCACCACAACTGGTGTTACCAGCCCTACTTCTAGCCCTGAAAGCCCAACCTCGAGTCCTGTCAACCCTACTTCCAGCCCTGACAGTCCAACATCGACCCCTGACAGTCCAACCTCGAGCCCTGTCAACCCTACTTCGACTCCTGATATCCCAACCTCGAGTTTTACCTCCGCGGTTTATGTTTCGACTAGCAGCCCAACCTCAAGTCCTAGCAGTCCTGTGTCGAGTTCTACCACGGCGGTCTACGTTTCGACTAGCAGCTCAGTCGTTTTGGATAGTACCACCTCTGATAGTAGCCCATCCACCACTACTACAACGACCACATCCAAGAGCGAGGAGACGAGCGGACCGAATTGCTCCATTCTACCATTGTCAGATCAAACAGCACCGGATGGCACCCAATACACGCAATTCTTCTACAGCTGCAATGCTGCCATTCCTACGACTCTGGGAGACAGTTACTCTTCGGCCACTTCAGGTGTCGAAGACTTTAGTACTGATCCAACTGCCTTCTTGAGTCAGTGTGTGGCAACTGCTGAGCAACTGGGCGCTAGTGTATGGACTTATTATCAGTCGTCGTCGGACTTCAATTGGCATTGTGGCTTTTGGAACGGTCTGGTGGCAGACGACGACATTTTCGTGGACGACCCGACAGTGTTCACCATGAATGCTATGACGGTGCTTGGAGCCGATGGCAGTCCGAGCAGCACAACGACGTCCTCTAGCTCCACGACAACATCCACGATCTTCTTTACTGCGTCTTCCACCACGTCTGCGTCGCCAACGACGTCTACGAGTTTGACTTCATCTACGTCTTCGAGCTTGTCTCCCACTACCGACTCGTCTACATCCTCGAGCTTGTCTACAACTGCCGACGAGCCTACATCTTCGAGCCTGTTTGTGCCTTCGGATGCGTCTACATCTTCTAGCCTATCCTCGACTTCGAGCCTAGCTACGACTTCAAGCACTGCAACACCCACCTCGTTCGCATCGCCAACTACGTCTAGCGTGACAAGCACAACATCATCTGCAAATTGCGTGGCAACATCAGCGTCAGTTGGTGATGTTTTGAATACGCCGAATGGAAATTCCTGGATTGACTTCTTCTCCTCCGGATGTGGATTGTCCTTGGACTGGCAAACCTTGAACTTTAATAATCTTTATGTTTATCAGCGCTCTGATTATACTTTTGACGAGGCATTGTTGGATTGCGCGGAGGTCGCTGACAACGATGGCTCCGCTGTCTTCGAGTTCGAGACTGATACACGCAACAACGACCGATGGGTGTGCTGGACTCTCAACGACATTACCAATGATCCGTCACAATTCCAACCTTATCCTGGCATTGCTGACGCGTACGGTTGGTATTTGCCTAGCAGGCTGGTTTCGGTGACTACCACAACATCAGCATCAGCATCAACCACGACCTCTGCTCCTATATCCACACTATCGACTCTGATTTTGACTTCTGCCTCCACTGCTACCACTACGGATTCCGCTGTCGCACCCCCAACTACATCATCAATTTTGACTACGACGTCCGACTCTGCTGGTACCACTACAACATTTGGTTTGCCTCTTCCAACTACAGCGTCAACTCTGACCACAACATCGGCTTCCACCGCTACTACAACTGCATCATCTACTTTAACGTCTTCCAGCTCTACTACTTCTGCAACCACGACTGGCGCACCGTCAATTGATAGCACGACGAGCACACCATCGGTTGACAGCACGACGAGCACATCTTCACTTGATAGCACAACCAGCACACCATCGATCGATAGCACGACGAGTACACCTTTATTTGACAGCACGACGAGCACACCATCGGTCGACAGCACGACGAGCATCGCCACAACTTCTACGCCGGAATCATTCGTCGCAACTAGTACAACATCGTTCGAAAGTACGACTAGCACATCGTCACTTGATAGCACCACCAGCACGTCATCGTTTGATAGCAGCACAACGAGCACATCGTCACTTGACAGCACTACCAGCACATCGTCACTTGATAGCACCACCAGTACACTGTCGATCGATAGTACGACGAGCATAGTCAGAACTTCCACGTCAGCACCGGTCACGACGAGCACCTCATCGTTCGATGGCAGCACCAGCACACCGTTATTCGATAGCAGCACGACGAGCACGTTCTCAATTGATAGCACCACTAGTACACCGCCAATCGATAGTACCACGAGCATAGTCACAACTTCTACGTTAGTACCGGTCACGACGAGCACCTCATCGTTCGATGGCAGCACCAGCACACCGTCAGTCGATAGCACGACGAGCATAGTCACAACTTCTACATCAGTATCCGCCACAACGAGCATCTTATCGTTCGATAGCACCACCAGCACGTCATCGCTTGATAGCCGTACGACGAGCACATCGTCACTTGATAGCACCACCAGCACACTATCATTCGATAGCACCACCAGCACGTCGTCATTTGAGAGCAGGACAACGAGCATAACCACAACCTCTACGTCAGCTTTGGTCACGACGACGAGCATCACAACATTGGACGACACCACGACTTCTACGTCGGTCACCTCGACGGGCACAACAACAACTGACGGCACCACAACTTCTACGTCAGTATTGATAAGCACGACTGGCATAACGACAACCACTGTTCCCATAACCTCTACGTCAGCATCGGTCACCACGACGGAGACAACGACATCAACCTCAACATTCTACCTCGCCGCTGAGACGGTAGTGACGACTCGCAAGGTCAAGCGAGATACAGAATATCTTGCACTGAATCCACAGACAGGATTGAGCAGTCTCGTCGACTCTGAAGCCGAAGCAAGCACCTTCACTATTGCCGATGACGATTCGTTGATGGTGGTTGTGGATGGCACGCCGGTCTGGGTTGGTCTGACAATCGTTACGCCGACTCAACTCGTGATGGAGACTGTGGCACCAAACCCTCCTGTCACTGCATCAATTGATAGCAACGGTGTCTTGACGATTTCATCAGTAGCGGCTGAGTGTATCTTGAATGGCGGCCTGGTTGTTTCCAAGGATGGCTCAATTCCTGATGGATGCGTCCCAGTCACATTGGTGGCAGTTTCTGGAAACGTGGCTATCCCAGTCGGTTCAAGCACCACAGGCACGACTACATCTTCCTCGCCAGTCCTTACTACTTCTAGCGCGACAGCGACGACGACATCCAGCACTACTACTTCAAGCGCGACCACAACCTCAGCCACGTCAACAACTACAACGCCTGCGTGCACGCCTTCTCCGATTGGAGATGTCACCGCCTATTATAATACAACCCAGATTTTCCGCGACGTGTTTACAGGTTGTGGCGAATCGTTGGAAGGAGCCACGGCAGGCGGTCTGGAGTATCTTCCCAAGCAGTTCGCAGTCAGTTGGCAGGCGTCAGAAAATTGGGAAGGCTGGACATTCGATAACGCCGTCAGCCGATGTGTTCAGTACGCTGTCGACGAGGGTTCCACAGCAGTCGAATTCTATATCGACGTAGATCAGAACTGGTTCTGCGTTGGTGTCAACAATGTGGCTTTCAACGAGTCGTCCTTCTACCCTGATTCAACTGTGGTGAATGTCTGGGGCTTCGTGTGGGAAAATTCATGCCAGAACACTCCGCTTGACGACATCGTCGCTTCAGATGGAACTGTCTTCTCTGAATTTTACACCGGCTGCAGCGCGTCTTTCCAGGGCAACACACCTGGTGGTTTACAGTACCTTAACCGAGTCGTGTCCGTGGACTGGCTTGCCCCAGACTACTCCGGCTACACCTTCGATGCTGCCGTCCAAAGTTGTGCTGACGACACCACTTCGCAAGGTGGCACCATGTTCGAGTTCTACGTTGGTTCAGATGATTCGTGGAACTGTATCGCGGTGAACGATTTACCTGCCAAGTCTGATAGTTTCTATCCTGATGCGACAGTTGGCCAGGTTTGGGGCTTCGCCATCACAGAATCAACGGCAGTCTGCGAACCTTCACAACTCGCCGGGTCAATTCAGTTGGCCAACGGGACTACCTACGATGAGTTCTATGATGGGTGCCATGTGTCACTGGAGGGTGACGCGAATGGTGGACCTGGCACAATGATAAATGTGTTTGGCTTCAACAATCCTCCTGGTGACGATGGAAATCATGGAGGATGGACCCTGGAGACTTCTCTACAGCAATGTATTACGGATTCAGCGGCTGCTGGGGCAACACTGGTCGAATTCTACGAGAATTCCGACGAGGAACCTACGTGGTACTGCTTTGGCGTCGTCGACGTCCCGGCACAGGAGGATTCGTTCTACGGGGATGGCACTGTCAATCGTTTGTGGGCTTTCAAGCTTGACGAGTCTACCTTGCCAACAACCAACTAGACGTCAAGTGTGGTTGGAGAGGAGGAGGGGGATGTACCCTTTTCAATAGTTGCTCTAGCTGCGCCAAGCGCACGCATTACCATGCCATTTATGTCAGGATAGATATTATTCCTTATGTAACTTTTGGAAAATAATTTGGGAGTTCTACGCACCGAGGGGATCTCCGACAGAATTAAGCGTCGTGCAGATGTGGGCGGCTTTGTAGGAGCAGAGAGCCCCAGTCTTCAAAGATTGCGCATCACTATGTAATTATTCATTTATACTTCAGACACGCTTTTCATATATTCATCGACGCTATCTTCGCTTCGTTCTTCAGACAACCAAGTCAGTATCCAGCGGCGTTCTCACCAATGACATACACCGAAAAGGTATGTATTCTTGCTGACTCGCTCGCTTGCAGGGTATTCAATACAACACAATATGACATGATATAATTAATAAACACGACTCGAGGGAGGGAGATAGGTAGGAATGGATCATCCAATACACCAGCGCTGGTCCTCAGGGAGCCCGACGGCCTCGACCGGATTGGGCTGTTCGTCACTAATGCCCAGCAGAATCCTGAGGGAGAGCGGGTCTTTGGCACCCCATCGGTCCACGGACGCTCTGGCCACGAGGCGCGAGAAGAGCACGCCGCCTTCTTCGTCCCGCGAGACGGAGACCAGGACGCCGTAGTACAAGGACCGGTCGGGACCCGGGCGCCGGGGGAGGACGAGGGCGAGGTCGGGGATGTCGAGGACGTCGTCGACGTCCCGGAAGGGCGTGGCCACTGTGTTCCGCCCCATCACGCGGAACGTGTACCACACCGCATCGGATGCGTCCTGGAACAAGACCCGGTCGTCGCCGATGCGCGAGCAGGAGGAGTCCAGCTTGAACCTGAAGCCCGGGAATTGCACGTGTAGGCCGGCTTCGTCCGCCTGTGCGAGCGACGTCTGCAGCTCGAAGCGACTGCCGCCCCGATCCGGATACTGTTGGTAGGCGGGCAAAAGGCCCGCGCGGCTGAAGACGAACGTCCGCGGTGCCCAGCGAAAACCGTCGACGTCCATCTTGGCGCCGGAGAAGAACAGCGCGATGGCCGGAAAGGATCGTTGGAGGAGGATGAAGCGCCGCAACCGGTCGTCGTCCGGCGTGGCGAGGATGCCTTGCACGTTCAGCCCCAGGATCGCCGCCAGGCAGACGGCCTCGTCGGACTTCCAGCTCGTCGAGCGCCAGTTGACGGCCTGGAGGATGTACGCGGCTCGGGCGTCGGTGGTAGAGGACTTGAACGCGTACAGCTCGCGGAGGTACGCCAATCCTTCATGGGCGATCTGGGCTGCGGCACTCCACTGGCCTGTCTCTGAAAGCCTGTCGCGAGCACGGTCGCTGCGTTCCACCAGCTCTTTCCCGTCCAGAGCGCGGTCTTGGAATTGGAAATGCAGTTCCCGGGCAAACACCGCCTCTTGGAGCGTCCACAGACGTGACCACCAGACACTGTAGGAGATCCTCATGGCAATTTCTTCCATGGATGCGCCGGCGGTCGGCGACTTCAGAAGCTCCACGTCGACGACGAGCACTTTGGCTGCTTCGGCGTAGATTTGCCCCATGGCAACTATAGCGCGCCTCCTGGTCGCGGTGTGCTCTGGCTGCACGGGTACACAGAGCGTATCTATCCAGAATGGGATGTTAGCGTCAGCACGACCACGATTGTAGAGGTCGTTAACGCGGTGCTGCAACCGGGCCAGTTGACAGAGAGGCATCGAATTTGCATGAAGATTGCCAAACCCGTTGGCCCAGACGTGCGAAATGCAGACATATTCGGCGTCCGTGATCACAGCTACCCGAGGTTGATGCACCCCAGAAGCCGAATCACAGAGTCTCAGAAGCGGAGTTTTGCCACAGTTGATGAGAGAACACACTTGGGTGATATCGACTTCGAGGTGTGCGCAGTCACAGTTGGGGCCGGTGTGCTGACTTTTGTAGGTTGCATGGTCGACTTGTAGCGCCAGGCATTCCGTGATCAGGCAGCCTGAATGGTCTCGCGGGACGAGTCGAGGACCGAGCGAGATGGCGAAATACATCCCCAGACACGACTGACCTTGGTGATGTCTGGCAACATCTCTTCTGCACCACCCTTGTTCATAGAGCTGGTTGTCGATGACTTCGCGTGAATCTTGGAAGTAGGTCAGATGGGGCTCAAAGTCAGTTTGCGTCAGTATTGCCCGTTTGGCGCACATGAGCGTCTTGTGGAGGATGTTGATCGAGAGTATGACCGTGTCTGATAGCGGAGTCTTCCATCCGAGATACAGGCTGAGCGCCTCTGTCACTGCTTTGACGGAGCTGTCGGTGGCAGCTCTGCGCACTAAATTTTCTTTCGCGGGCCATTGTTGAACTGCCTTCTCCCATTGAGAGATGATGCGGCTGAGATTTCTTGAACTCACCACGAGGCCTCCTCGGTCAGTTGCACGAACGAAATCATAGGTTTCCACTGGTATCCCCGTCACAGAGTGTATCATACCAAAATACAACCAGGCCTGCAAGAATGAAGCTGCCTGCGCCGTAGTATTGCGCCCCCGATTCGTGAAGTCTCCATCTAAGAATGTATCGAGATCCCAACCTGTTCGAACAGGATACTCGGTCCAACTTTCGTTATCGTAGATGAAAGGGCAATCTTTGTCCAGCAGAAACGGAACTTCTACATGGGCAGATTCGGATGATGCAGTTGGCAAGTGGTCCATCGGTCGCGTGATGGAGGTGGAAAGTTCGGTTGTAGAGAGGGGCAAACGCCGTTCGAGATGGTCAAGTCGCCAAGGTCCATCCCCTTTGGCCCCCAAGTATTGTGGCTGGTGGTGATACGCAGCCTTGTTGTCAAAAAGAAACGCCAGATTCGTTGATATGCTGCTCGCTCATTGCGCCAAATGAGATCCAACATTTTGTCGTCAGTATCATGTGCTTGTTTCATACTTTGTCTTTGCCCTTAACAACTCCCCATGCCGCCAAAACATCCAAGGCATCGGCGCCATAATCAGCGTGCAAAATGCCAGGATTGAAGTCGCCCATCCGACGCCGAGTGCCTTGTAGAATTTTAGAGCAAAGAGGGGAAACGCAGCCGACAGGCCATATCTCGACAGCATCGCAGCACCAGCAGCCGACGCGCCGTAAAGCGGGCCATAGGCATCGACCATGAACAAGTTCATAGAGGCATACACCATTACTGTGGCGGTAAACGCCATGCCCTGGAATATGATGGGCACAATCCAGTGGACCTGAGCGTGTGCTGTCCACGCAAAGATCAACAGGCAGCCAGGAAGAATAAAGGATGCGATCATGCTCGGATAAAGGCGATGTTCTGGGGGAAATCGCTCATCTCCCCCCGAATCTTCAGCGCGAAACTGCTTCAGACGCGGCTGGTAAATGTACGTGTCGACTAAAATGAGCGGACAGGGCGAAAGAGCTGTACCAGCCATCAGACCGAGAAATGACAAGGACTGGCCTGTCACCGAAAAGTCATAGTAGCGCTGGAAAACCCAGGGTGAGGCGACGACGAAGGTGTACATCAAGCCGAAGAGGAAGCCATTATATAGGCATACAATGGTGACGATCGGCTCGGTGACCAGCATGTGGATGGGGCGGAGAAAAAGGGTTGTCAAGAAGTATCTGATAGAGGCAGGAATCGACCGGCCCTGTTGAGGAGGGCCCTGGATGTTGAGCCTCTTCGCTCGCCGTTGGAGGATGGTCTTCTTGTAGGTTTCTTTGGTGAATATAATCGGGATATAGAATGTGACAATGAAGAAGAGTGTGACCCATTGTGTCCAACGCCACCCTTTAGTCTCGACAACGAAACCTCCGAGGAGAGGCCTATATGGAGGAGGTCAGTGTCCAAACTTCCACCAAGCAACGATGGGCATACCCGAATACTGCTCCAAAGAATGGTATAGAATAGTAGAACGCTAACGAAACAGCTCTATAACGTCCGGCGGTATAGTCGACGATTGTGGCGGAGGCGTTGCTGATAGCTGGCGAGGCAAATACCCCAGCAAAGAATCTACAAACAATCAGAGATGCAGGCCCTTGGGAAAAGCCGGCCCCTAGAGTGAAGAGAGCGAATATAGGGGTGGTGGTCAAAAAGACTGCCTTGCGGCCGAACGTCTCGCTCAGAGGAGCCCCGATGGGAGGTCCGAAAGCCAGACCGAAATTATAGACGGATAGTGGAAGGATAGCGACCTCATCCGAGACGCCAAATCGCCTCGAGACGTCTTCATGCGCCGGGCTGTAAAGCGAAGCTGCCAGAGTGCTCACAAAGGCGAGAAAAGTGACTGCCAGTGTCGAGGATGTGCGGCGGAGCAGAGGGAAATTTCGAGGGTTGTCGGGGTCAGTAGGTCCATCCCAGTCTGTCGCCGTACGAGTGCGCTGTAGGACGCCTCTGTCGTCGACTTCAAGCTGTTCCTGCTTCGCCATATTTCCATCAAAATTGGCCAGAAAATTGCTGCTCCATCTCATGAATGGGTGATAAAATCAAAAGAACGATCTCCAAAAAGTGCGATATCGGTGAAGAAGCCGAGCCCTCCTCCATGCAGCGATACCAGCGAGCCAGATGACCTTTTCCCCGCATAGCAGGCGGATAAATCGGCTTCAAACCTACCTATGACGAGCAACCGGAGGCACTCCGACAAGTACCTGGTCTTTTCCTTGTATGAGTTACAGGATGTGCTTTAAAGAGAAATAGACGACAGGGGGTTCATTGGACGGTGCATGATCTGAGATGGTAGGAGCCGAAACAAGATGAGAGGATACAAGTTAGGGCGGCGTAGCCCCCGGCATCTCTTCGGGCGTGGACGCGATCAAAAATCAATTAAACGCGTCGAGGACGCGTCGACGCGCTCAACCGCAATTCCGCAGTTGACACTGCCTGCCCCCTCCCCCTTGCGCCCTGTATCGAGTAGAGAGAGTCAATGCGCTTCATCTTTTTTCTAACCTCATCATCACCACCCACGATAGCCTCGTCGACAACTTCCTCCAACGATGGCTCTCGACTCCCGCTCTGCCTACTCCCTCTCCGTCCTTCCTGCGCACAATGACCAACTGGGCGAACCGCGCACCGAACTCCAACAAAAGCTCAGGGATTTCATCCTCGCATTCCAACTCGACGGCGTTTACATCTACCGGGACCAGCTTCGGCAAAACGCACTCGTCAAGCAGTATTACTGTGATGTCGACCTTGCCCACTTGATTTCGTACAATGAAGAGCTCGCACACCGGCTCACGACCGAGCCTGCGGATGTCATACCACTATTCGAGGCAGCGTTGAAACAATGTACACAACGAATCGTGTTCCCGCACGACCGTGAGGTCCAGCTCCCGCAACATCAGCTCCTGATCCACTCGAGTGTCGCGCACATCTCGATCCGTGATCTGACGGCCGCAAACGTCTCGCACCTCGTCCGCATCCCGGGCATCATCATTGGCGCGTCCACGCTATCGTCAAAGGCCACGCTGGTGACGATCCAATGCCGCGGCTGCGAACACACGCAGCAACTCCATGTCGAGGGCGGCTTCTCGGGCATTACACTTCCCCGCCAGTGCCAACGGACAAAGGTCCCCGGCCAGGAGTCTGGAGACCCGTGCCCCCTGGACCCCTATTTTGTGGTCCATGAATCCTCGCAGTTTATCGACCAGCAGATCATAAAATTGCAGGAAGCGCCGGACCAAGTGCCCGTGGGTGAGTTACCACGTCACATCGCCGTCTCCGCGGACCGATACCTGACGAATCGAGTCGTTCCGGGGTCGAGATGCACAGTGATGGGCGTATTCTCAATCTATCAACAAAATAAAGGAACAAAGAAGGATAGTGCGGTTGCGTTAAGACAGCCGTACTTGCGCGCAGTGGGCATCCAAACGGACGCCGACCACACGGCTACTGGGGCATCCTTTTCCGACGAGGAAGTCCAGGAGTTCGAAGAAATGTCGAGGTCACCGGATCTCTACGAGCGATTTGCGCGGTGTATTGCTCCGTCGATCTATGGAAACATGGATATCAAGAAAGCCATTGCTTGTCTCTTGATGGGCGGCTCGAAAAAGATCCTCCCAGACGGCATGAAATTGAGAGGCGACATCAATGTCCTCCTTCTTGGTGACCCGGGTACGGCCAAGTCTCAACTCCTGAAATTTGTGGAAAAAGTGTCACCCATCGCGATCTACACGTCTGGGAAGGGTTCGTCGGCAGCTGGTCTGACCGCCTCAGTTCAACGCGACACACAAACACGAGAATTTTACCTGGAAGGCGGAGCCATGGTCCTTGCGGACGGCGGCGTGGTCTGTATCGACGAGTTTGACAAGATGCGTGACGAAGATCGAGTCGCCATCCACGAGGCAATGGAACAGCAAACAATCTCCATCGCGAAAGCTGGCATCACCACCATCCTCAACGCCCGTACATCGGTCCTGGCGGCCGCTAATCCTATCTTCGGGCGCTACGACGACCTCAAATCCCCGGGGGAGAATATTGACTTTCAGACCACCATTTTATCACGTTTTGACATGATCTTCATCGTGAGAGATGACCACGATAGAGTTCGGGATGAAAAAATAGCAAAGCACGTCATGGGCATCCACATGGGCAACCAGGGCGTCGAAGAGCAGGCCGAAGTCGAAATCTCCGTGGAGAAAATGAAGCGGTATATCAGCTTCTGCAAGTCGTAAGTGACATTTGTTATGCCATGTGTCTATGTGAACAACCCACTAATATGTTTTTCCAGTCGCTGTGCCCCGAGATTGTCGCCCTCCGCAGCAGAAAAGCTGTCGTCGCATTTCGTCTCGATTCGAAATCGAGTCGCTCGAGCTGAGGCCAACAGCAATGTCCGATCTTCCATCCCGATCACGGTTCGTCAACTTGAGGCCATCATTCGCATCACGGAGTCACTGGCGAAGCTCACCTTGTCCGCCGTAGCCGAGGAACACCACGTCGATGAAGCCATCCGTCTCTTCCTCGCCAGCACTATGGACGCCGTGTCTCAGGGAGAAGGTGCCGGCGGAATGAGCGGAAACAGAGAGTTGATGGAGGAAGTGAGCAAGGTGGAAGACGAGCTTAGACGGCGGCTGCCGATCGGTTGGAGCACGAGTCTGGCCACCCTAAAGCGGGAATTCGTTCAGGGGCGAGGATACAGCGAAGCAGCGTTAGCCCGCGCGCTGCATGTTCTGCAGAGAAGAGAGACAGTGCGGCTGAGAAATGGCGGCAGTCAGGTGTATCGAAGTGGAGTCTGATTGAGACACCTGGAGTCAGTGTTTACGAAGTGTCACGAGTACGTCTAATGCAGCCAACTTTTGTGGCTTTGTAAAGATCTGTCGTCCTATTTGCTGGAATGATTGGACTTTGGAGATATAACGCAGTAACCAGTTTGCGTATCAAGTCATGCATAGAGTGGCGTTTTAAGCGACGGACCAGTTGAACCAGAAGCCGAAAAGCAATATGGTGATTCAGAAATTTCCAGTTCACGCATTCCCTTTCTCTGTCGTTCGGGATGGATCGATCGCCTCCCAACCTCCGGTAGAAGGCGAGCCGATCGGCCCAGTGACTTTGATTCCTCTTGTGATCTCTCCCTCCACACCGACGACATCATGATTGGGGATGACACGGCAGCAAAGCCCAAGGAAGGAAGGAGGCCCGTGCCCAGAAGCGAGGGTGTGGAGCAGACCCCAGGAGATCGGATCTATGGTCGTAGAAAGCAAGCATCATGAATCTAGGGCAGTGGGCCTGGCGTTGTCACGGGGCCGTCACAGGATTAGTGCGCAAGTTGCTCCATACGGGCAATGTTGAATGCCCTATCTCAGGATTGTCTGATGGCTAAAGCAGGCGAGCCGTGCTTCCTGCCTCCTCAGAGCGCCTAAGGACAGACCAGGCCGCCCAGGAGAATATGTTACCACTGAGATAAACCACCTGCTCGTCGTCGATCTCAGGCTATAGTGTGTTGCTGAGCAGCCATACTCCCGTGCATAAACGCAATAATACCATAAGGAGAGTCAAGATGGCAAGTGCATCAGCCAGACGCGGAGCAAGTCTGTGCATCCCAAGACCCAGATGTGCGGCACCAGGGTGAGACAGCAACACACTTTAGCGATGGCGAGCGATCCTGTCGTGACAATTGGCCGGAGAGGGCATGAAGGCTGCAGAGCTATCATCTTGGGACTCGGCATTCTGTCGGCATCGACAAGTCACTAACAGTCTGCTGGGAGCAAGGGCTATGGCAGTGGCAGGATCCGTGGCGCACCAAATGACATTTCGGATCATTAGCCTGAAGGAAAGGAAGCTCGAGGTTGGACTCTGACGACGAACCCCTAAGACGGGAGAAGCTAGGAATGCGATTTCTTCCAGGGCCAAATAACGGTGCAAACGAGGTTCGCCCTTGTCCGCGAAGTATGCCAGGCATCTATGCACGCGTAGAGGCGAGTGGTGTCGATGGTACCTATTCCGACGGTTGAGCGGATGCGAGGTTGCTGAGGACTCATCCACCGTGGGGAGTGCCGCAACTGCAGGGGATGGTCGAAGATTTGAAATGCCAGCAAATTCATTGGACTCGATTGATCGATTTTTAAAGAGTCAAAAGAAGCGAGTGGGCGTGCGGATCCCGATCTCCGTATTCCCTGAAACAAGGGTCTAGCGCCCAAGGCTGCGACTCCTGAGCTGACCTCCTCTTGCATGACATGACACCGGCCGATTAGGGGGGAGGAAAGTCCTTGCGGCGCTCGGAAGTGAACAGGAGGCAAACATTCCAGGGCCACGGGCGGTTATACGAGACAGCCAGGAATTATGGTGGGACCAGGAGGAGTGTCAAACGAGGTGGTTGATCGGCGGGTGATGTATTGTAAAGTCTGATCGAACAGCCTGATGGTGCAGGCGATAGTCGATCTATCGAGGCAGAATGCCGAACATCGGAGGAAAAGAGGGCCATCTAACAACACAGAATTCCAAGATTGACATGAATGAAGGCGTCGATGACAGACGAGGGCAGACGAGATGGGAGGGTTTGCAGGGTGCTCGCCAAGCACAGGTAGAAGACGTCATGATTGGATGGTAGACGGCGAGTCTGGGGAGGCGGGCGTGAGCGGTCAAACCCGGGCTACTGGGCTAAGGGCCACTTGGGGCCACTAGGCCCGTCAGGGCCGCCTAACCAGCCAAACTCTAAGCCCGGAAGCCCTAAGGCGTGATACGCGTAGCATGACCATTCCCAGTATGGGCCTTGCTTCGCTAGCTAAAACTGCTGCATTGGCGCTGCAGCGGTTCACGTTCCCGACGCCCGATTCATGAACCTATTGAATCATTTTTTCTCGGATTCACTTCAACTGTCTCATATCCTCACTCCAAAATGCCTCCAACAACAGATCATCCTCTCCCGTCTCTCAGCAGCCAGCATCTTGCAATGTGTCCCACCATTCGCTGTGGCTTCGGCTAATCCCAGTTGACCTTGAATGAGAAGTCGATGCATCTACTGCTCGCAGGACGGCCGTGATACAGATTGACCGACCTTTCCTCTTTACTCGACGAGCTTTCACATCGGGAGTTGCCTCGTTTCTGCGAGGGTTGCGCGGTCCCGCTAAAGCGTTGCTACCCTGGTCTCCTCCATCCCCCTCTTCCGTCTTAGCTGCGATTCAGATTCGCGGGATGCTGGGGTTGCGCATATCTCTTCGCAAAGAATGACCACCGACGCCCTGCAGGAAATACGACGTTGTTGACTATTGCAAAACATGCAACACAGCCCCCTTCAAGTCCACCTCTCTGCATTCTATTTCGATTCGCCCTGGCGTCCCGTCTCCAGCGCCTCTCTGCCTAATCACCGGACAACCATGATCCCATCATTCCAGCTGGCAGCACAATGATGACGGCCTCATGGCAGGTTACACCAGATCTCTGCCCCCCCGGCACATTCCGTGTAGCAGACCAACCCGTCGCGATTCCTGAATGCGAGTCGATCAGGTCCCAGAGCCCCAGGCGTGGCTGCATGTCAGTGTGAATCGGCTTGAAAGCCCAAAATGGAGAAAACGGATGAAGCCCCGCAACAACAGGGACCGGCCATAACCACAGCCCGTCTTCAAATCATAGTGGCAGAGCATTGCTGAAATGTCGTGGAGTGTTGGTACAGGTCTAGGACAAAGGCGTAATCCTTGCTGCCGAAGGCACAGTAAGGACCCCCAACCGAAAGGGAATCTTCCGTACAGTCCCCTTTTCGCCCACGTAACTCCCAGATCAGCATCCGCTCTATCGGTGCTGCCACCAGACTTCAGGACAAAACTCGGTATTGCACTGACGACGTTGACATCATTCTTCGCTGTCTCAACACAATTTCGATCTGACGACTAGCCGATTGCAGCTCCAACACACCAGAATCTATCAGTAGTCAATATTCCTTCAGCCGATCGAGGACCAAGAGGAAATGTGGCGCCCGCCCTTTTCTCCTGTCTTGTTCATCCCATTCGCTCCATCTTTCTGCACTTGCCCTCGCCGAAAGCTGGTGGTCAGTGGAACGACAAGAAATTTTTGCTGGTCGAGCGACTTCGCGATCCTCCGGTGTCGATGTTCCAGTCCGAGCAGCCCTGCGTTTTGCCCATGCCCCTCCCTCCTTAACGGAGCAAGATCCCTGTTGGCCAGTAGAGATTGATAGGTCGAATTCCAATGGCCGGGCATAGACATCCAACCGCGGCCCCGTGTTCTGGCCCGCGGTCTTGTGCCCTCCATTCCACCCTCGAACACATTGGGACGGATGGCAATAGCTGAATTTGATGGATGTATTGCTCCATCGGGCTCCTAGTGGGTTGCCCGTGGAGGTCGTATCGAGGTCCTGACTGCAACTATCTCTTTTTTGGAGCACACCACGAACGGTACCATCCTCCTGGCGTCGAAGCATTCTATTCACATGCGTCGTGCCTGGAGCCTTATCCTAGAGCATACAAAAGGTCACCAATGTCTCTCGTGAAGTTTTCAGCTCCTTCTGCTGGGTCTATCCTGCATACCCTGGAGCCTGGTCTTATTTTCCCTGTAACAATAGTGATTGAAACTCTCGCTTTGCAAGGCTTCCCTGCTAGTAAGAGCCTTGCATCGTTGCCACTGCCGTCAACCCAATACACCGCCAGAAACTCTCAACCTATTTCAGAGCACAAATAACAGACATTGGGACAGCTCGGTCACAAAAGGTTCATTGGATATCTCGATTGTCTTTTGATGAATCGTCGTTCCCGCAGCTACCCCTGGACATGACGATGGAGCTCGCCGTCGCACCGCCGTCGCGAGTCGCAGCAGGTGTCACACTCAGGACCCCTCTCGTGGTTACATTCTCGGGATTACCACCCAAGGCAGACGACAAGTGTGAAGATGGAGAAGTCTTCGCACTGCCTGATCTAAGCGGAATATGGGTTTTTCTATCGCTTACAACTCCCGACATGCAAGAAAGCCTAGCGCCTCCGCGGGAAGATCTCTTGTGTGGGAGCAGAGCGGACTCCGTGCATGCAATCTGCGAGGAACAGGAGGTCGAACGGCCAACGATCGCGTACGCCACGTTTCCAGGGCTCAAGATCACCCAACCTGGCAGTTACCGCATCAAAGTCAACATTATTGATATGAATGCGTAAGATGTGACCGCAAGGAATGGGATCATGGGTTACTAATGACCATTTCAGGGCATTCAGGGCGGGCAGTGGCTTCGAAGGGGCAGCTGTGGTTCTGCCGTGTCTTCATTCCCCGGTTTTCGAGGTAGTCAAAGCCAGTGAGCACAGTGGCTCCGGTATTGTCTTTGGGATTCTTCACAAAAGACCGTGCTAACACAGCCAGAACCACAACTCGCGGAGACCATCAAGCGTTTGAGGTCAATTGGTGTTCGTCTGGGAGGCGAAGAAGAGCGACCGAGCCATTGAGGCTGACGACAGGCGTGGGAGGGATAATCGTCATTTGACATGGCAATGGACGGCCAACAGTATCTGGATAGGTCTGTTCTCAGCATGTCCTTGACGCTTGGGAATTCGGAGATGGGATGATTGGGTGGTCAGGAAAAGTGACGAAAGGGAGCCTGGCTTGCGAGTATTCTTGATGTTCCGTTTTGCTTGAGTATATCTGGTCCATGTATTGTCCCTCCTTTCAAGTCGTACTGCAAATCAATACCTGCTTGGGCACCTCGACCATCTTTAGTTCGTCTCTGCGCGTGAAGTACCAGGCACAGCGAGCCCTAGCACAACATGTACTCGTATTGGGTAGGTCTCGCGCTATTATTACTTCCTTTGGGACTTCGGCAGGTGGCCCGAATGTTGTTGACTCGTATTTGACAGCAACGCCGTGCGATCAGGTGGTGATAGAATACGGTTTAGCGTGACGGCCGGGTTCACGTGAGCAGCCCGCGGCTCTGATTGGTGCTACAGCTGCTCGTCAGAGTTGCCTGTCTCGGATGGTGTCTCGCTCTGGCTTTGTCCCGCCCCCCGACGCGATGCGAAAGTTGTTTCAACCCTGGCACGGCTCGACCTTTTCGCCCGCCCTTCCTGCGACGGATTGCCTGTATGCAGGGACTCGCCGCCCACTCCTTCAAACTTTGCTCTTTGTCTATTATTGCCCCGACGGGGACTGTTACTGCTGACAACTAGCGGCCAAGTCCTGTCCCCCCATTCCGGGAAAGACTATGCTGACCTCGCGAGGCCTTCCTCCCCCATATACACACGTCCACAGTCACAGACTCCGAACCTGATATCATGAGCCTGACCAGCTTCACCCGAAGAAGCAGCCTTCCCCTCCTTCCCAACCTCTTATGATCTTGCTAGTGAGGCGACTGCCCGCCCTTGGGTAAAGACTCAGGAATACAAAACCATGGCGGACCCTCAGCCTGCGCCCTCGACCTCCTCTCGTCCCCTTCCCCCCCACCTCCATCTACAAGAAACGCGCGAGAATGGATCGGCTGAGAGACAGTCTTCCTCTTCCGACGTCCATACCTGGGCCGACGACCGGATCTTGTTGACACCCCCCCTCCCAACCTCAGGAATCAATCCATTGGACCAGGCACTCTATCAAGCCAGCAATGGACGGAGCTTTCAGGCCAATGCCAATCAGCAAGCCGTGTCTCACAATGCACAACTCAACGTCTCGCCGCCCGATTCGTTGCGCATTCACCACGATGCAGCGCATCTCTTGAGCGGCCTTCATATCCGGACGGATGTTGGGGGTCCCAAACGTAGCAGCTCGACCCAGTCGATAGACTCGGAGTCCAGGTTGCGATCCAGTGCCTCTGCCGCAAGTCTACCACGTCGAGTTCCTAGTATCCGAGCCCACCTCCACTCTTCAGCCGGTTCGGTCTCTCCCGGTACAGTTATCTCCTCACCCCAGATCGCCGCAATGCTGGACATTACTCCTTTGCCTTCGCCGACCATGGCGGCCTTTGAGTCATGGAAGGCTCTTTCGCTGGCAAGGACCAGGTCCCGTGGCTCCTCCGTCTCTTCCGCTAAAGCTGAAGCATTGCCCCCTCCCGTTCTGCCATCACCCACCACTCCTCGCCGAAACAAAGGCTATCCAGGTTTGAGATCTTCTCCTCCCTCACGTCCAGGTACCTCCGATGGGCAGGCCCTTGCTGCCGACCACAGCCGCACTAGAAGTGTCAGTGATTATGTACCCGATCCTGTGGCCGTGCCGAAACCCCGGAACATTGCCGTGTCCGGCACTGGGGCGCCCCTTGAGATCACCGAGTCGCCGACGTCGATGCATCGGGAAGAATACCTCGGTCCACAAAGGAGACTGAGCAAGTCCATTGCCCGACCTCTCACGCCGCCCCGGCCGACCATCAAGACAGAGCGGAGCCATGAAGACGAGCCCGCCGCCAAACGGCCAAAACTCGAAATCTTCAATGCACGAAGCATCTCCACCGGAGAGCCGCGATCTTACGAAGCGATCCGGATCCTCGGCCAGGGGACTTTCAGCAAGGTCTACTTGGCCGTGCGGCAAGTCGACAACGATCGAAAGGACAACGTCGACTACCGGCAAGACAGTATCAATATGGCCGGCGTGCGGGCTCGATCGAGACGACTGGTGGCCGTCAAAGTCGTCGAGCATGGGCCCGCGGGCGGGGCCGATGCGGAGAGAATCGAAGTCGGCCTAAAACGCGAGGTGGACTTGCTCAAAGCCATCCAACATCCATCGCTCGTTCACCTGAAAGCCTTCGGGAACGATGACAATGTCCGTGCGCTGCTGGTCATGAATTACTGTCCGGGAGGAGACTTGTTTGATGTGGCGTCTACGCACCGCGAGGTCCTGATCCCGTCCCTGGTCCGAAGGATATTCTCCGAGCTGGTCTCGGCAGTGCGATACCTTCATCAAAAGTACATTGTCCATCGGGACATTAAGCTGGAAAGTGAGTCGACGGGAAACCCGTCTGTCCTTCTTTTCGGCGCTAACGATGGGTAGATGTGCTCCTGAACATTCCGGTGCGCGTTCACCCGGATGTGTCCAACTGGCAAACCCTCGATCGTGCGGTTGTCACCCTGACCGATCTGGGGCTCTCACGCCGCATTCCAGAACCGCCGGAGAGTCCCCTTCTCACCACACGGTGCGGCAGCGAAGATTACGCCGCGCCGGAGATATTGATGGGGCAACCCTACGACGGACGACAAACTGATGCGTGGGCACTGGGAGTTTTGCTCTACGCGCTGATGGAGGGTCGATTGCCCTTTGATCCTCTCCCCGGGGCACGCGGCGACCCGGCCGTTTTGCGTGCGCGGACCCCACATAGGATAGCACGGTGCGAATGGGCATGGTTCAAGTATGGCGATGAGGACGGAGATTGGGATCCAGTCAAAGGTGCCGAATTCGAAGGTGCACATGAATGTGTGGATGGCTTACTGAAGAGGAATACAAGGCGGCGACCGTTGGCCGAGATCCGGGAATTGCCGTGGGTCAAGGATGGGATCCAGGTTGACGGCGGTCTTCGATGGGTCGAAGAGGAACTGTAACAACACCCGGTTCACCTTTTTTCTGTTTTATGCTTCCTCTGGGACTCTTTTTTGCTCGGGGTGAGATGGAGGCACTTGATGCCGTTTGAATGAACACGGAAGCAGGAATGCAAGAAAAGAAACATAGACTTTCTGAATAGTAGTTGGCTAACGAGCCCTGTCTCTCCGGTGCGGATGGGAATGTGTATATCAAGATTCATAGACGTTGACGAGACGGACGTGGCGTGTGTTAAGCACCCGCTTCATTTTATTGCTTCACAGCAGGTCCATCTAGGATTCCAACCTGATTCCAGTCCATTTTCAAGGGAGATAATACCGGCGAGAAGATTCCTGTCTTCTTTTTTGTCGATGCCCGGAAAAAGAGGAGCCACCAGCGCTATTGGAGGTTATTATTATTATTATGTACATGCATATTATTCCACCGGAAAAGAGACATTTGGAGTGGATTTTTCTCCGCACACGCCCTTCATATAATACATATAAGTACATAATGTGAACCTCAGTGGGGGGAGCTCAGAAGAGAGTATTCTCCCGCCCGTCCTGGTGATCCACCGAAGAAGAAAAAAAAAACCAAAAGAGAAAAGAGGAGTTGAAGATATAGATAGACATATATCTTGAGAAGAGGGAGAGAAGAACACTCTAATTACAGGGCCGGAGGAAAGGGAAAATCCTTACATTGTAGGTCCATGGCAAGGTTGCAGTGATAGCATACAGAGGACAGAACGGGACGAACGACGAAGAAGTGAAAAGCCAGGGTCGCAACCATGGACTCCAGCTCAACGGCTCCCTCTGTGGACCTGGCAAACGGAGCAAACGGACATGCTGGCCCCAAAGGCGTCAATGGATCATCGTCTTCCTCACCATCTCATACCCGAGTGCCGAAGAGGCTGTACTCGCTCTCCACACCGCCGTCCCTATCTGACTTTAAGACACTGTGCTCGCAATCGACCAGCCGGGAGATGTACCCGCTCGCGTCGGCCGTGGTGTCCAACATCCCGATCTACGACCTGCCGGACGAGGATGGGGTCGACGACGCCGTCCTCGACGCGCTGCAGGACGAGTGGCACCACATCCTCCTCTCGGGGCCCGGGGTGATGGTGCTGCGCAACTTCATGCCCGACCGGGCGCTGCTGGAGCGGGTCAACGACGTGTTTGCAGCCATCATCGCGGACGAGGCGGCCGCCGCAGCGGGAGAAGGAAGAAGCAAGGGCGACCACTTCGCGGCCAGCGGCACCAACGCGCGCATCTGGAACTCGTTCCAAAAGCACGCGACCCGCGACCCGGCGTCCTTCGTGCGCTACTACGCCAACCGCTACCTGGCCGCCGTGTGCGCCGCCTGGCTGGGCCCGGCGTACCAGGTCACGGCGCAGGTGAACATCGTGCGGCCGGGGGGACGCCCGCAGGTCCCGCACCGCGACTACCACCTGGGCTTCCAGACGGGGGAGGCGTGCGCGCGGTACCCGGCGGCGACGCAGACGGCGACGCAGTTCCTGACGCTGCAGGGCGCCGTGGCGCACACGGACATGCCGCTGGCGAGCGGGCCGACGCGGTTCCTGCCCTTCTCGCAGCAGTTCGCGGCCGGGTTCCTGGCGTACCGCCGCCCGGAGTTCCAGGCGCTGTTTGAGGCTCGCTGGGTCTCCTGCCCGCTGCACATGGGCGACGCCGTCTTCTTCAACCCGGCCCTGGTCCACGCCGCCGGCGAAAACCAAACCCGCGACGTCCACCGCTCCGCCAACCTCCTCCAGGTCAGCAGCGCGTTTGGCAAGACCATGGAGTCCGTCGACACCCTGGCGATGATTTCTCGGTGCTGGGACGAGGTGAGGAGGATGTACGACGAGGACACACGAGGCGGAGAAAGAAAAGGAGCAGGAGCAGGAGCAGACCTGTTGACCGGCACAAGAGTCGAGGCCGTCTTGAACGCCATGGGCAACGGCTACCCGTTCCCGACCAACCTCGATCGCCGCCCGCCGGCACCGGGCGGGATGGCACCCGAGAGTGAAACTGATGTCCTCCGGCGAGGGCTGCTGGAGGGGTGGAACAGGGATCAGGTCGTGTCCGCCATCACTGCCATACGGACGGATTCGATGCCATAAGTACATTAGACAGTCCGGGGGGGGGATAACAGGTTATTATATAGATATAGATATAAAACCATCATTCCCATCTTATGCCACGGACGATGCCGATTCCGACAGTCTCTTTTCTTCTTCTTTATTATATATATATATTCATCCTCCACCGACCGACCCACACACGTTCTACCAGACGAGAACAGGCTTGATCACGCTCCCGTCCTCCATGCCGTGCAGGGCCTGCAGCGCGTCCTTCGCGGGGAACTGCTTGACGATCTTCTCGATGGGGAACTTGCCCTCGCGCCACCACCGGATCATCACGGGGATCCACGCCTGGCCCGTGGTGTTACCCAGGTAGTGGCACTCGAACGACTTGTTGGCGCTGAAGAATTCGTTCAGCGGGATGGTGACCTGTGTGCCTGGCCGCGGGGCGCCCAGCTGGATCAGCCGCCCGTGCCGCCCCAGCGCCCGGATGCACTCCTGGATGACCGGCACGGCGGCCGTGGTTTCGATCACTATCGAGATGCGCTGCCCCTCGACCAGCTTCTGGATGTGCTCGGCCACGGTGCCGCTGCCCTCGGCGATCGTCGACGTGTCCAGCACCCGGGTGGCGCCCAGCTCTTTGGCGGTTTCGAGCCGGTGGGCCACCCGGTCGACGGCGATGATCTCCTTGCAGCCCGCGATCTTGGCTGCCATCACCGCCCCCAGCCCGACGGCGCCGATGCCCGTGACCAGCACGATGTCGTGCGGTTTGGCGGACACTCCGTTCATGATGGCCCCGGACCCGGTCATCAGGCCGCACCCCAGGGGCGCCAGCAGCTTCAAGTCGTCGTGGCTCTGGATCAGGTCTTTGAGGTTGACCACGCTGGCCTCGCCGACGATGCTGGTCCCCGCGAAGCTCGACTGGCCAAAGAACTTGGCGGGCACGTCTTCTCCACCGGTCGTCTCGAAGATGCCCGGTTCGCCGAAGATGTTGAGGAGCTGCCACGACGAACAGTACGGCTGCTGGTGGCTGTTGCAAAGCTCACAGTCGTTGCAGTAGCTGTACGACAGCAGCACCGGGTCGCCGACTTTGGCCGCCGTCACGCCCGGTCCGACCTCCTCGACGATGCCGGCGCCTTCGTGGCCCAGCACCTTGGGGAACTTGAGGCCGATCAGGTTTCCGGGGAGCGAGCCGACCACGATGTCTGAGTGGCATATCCCCGTCGCGACCATCCGGATCTTGAGCTCATGTTCTTTGGGTCCCCGCGAGACTTTGATGTTCTCGAACCGCCAGTCGGGAGCAAGAGTGGTGGGCTCGGCCGGGTAAGAGACGAGGGCAGGGACCTCCGTTGCCATGGCTTGCTTGCTTGCTTGCTTCTTCTGCTTGTTCGTGTATGTATTCGGTAGAGGTGATGGATGACTGGATGTATTTGGGGGGGAGGGATCACCAGCAACCTTGGGCTTGGGATACTGTTGGTTTAAGACGTTTTCCACGGACCGAGTCATGTCTGCTTACTCGGCGCTTTTGACAGGTAATACTCCAGGGTGGCCAGCCGGTCCCCAGATCTCTTGTTTGTGCTGACGGGTTGCAGGGGGCCGCATTGTCTCGCGTCAACAATCGAACCTCGGGTAGATACATACTGCACTTCCGCTGACGGCGTGGCACAACACCTACACCTGAGTTGTGTATCCCAGTGAGGAACCACTGCAAATGCTGCGAGTATTGTTGCGTTTCTTTGTGTGTCAGATCCGAGCGAGCCCTGGGGGCCAACTGCGACAGCCGTATCAGGAACCAGTGCCATTGGGTCGCCCAAAAGTACTCGGAGCAAGCTGCTGCTTTTTTCACTTTTTCTGGGGAATCTCGGCCCCTCCACCGCATTGAACCCCGTAAACCCTTTCGAAATCTCATCATTTGCGGCAGCATGCTGCCCGACCTCCTCATGTGCGAGCATGTACATATCCAGACTCTCTCCCAGGTCCCATTGCATTGCCACTTGTAGAGCCTCACCTTTTTCAGCCCAGAGGCCCTCGAATCTGCGTATTGTCCACAAGTTTGCCCATGATGTTTTTGGTGCAGGGGGGGTCCACGCTCAGCTAAAACAGCACGACGTCAATCGAAGCAAAGCTCTCGAGTAAGCACTGATGGACCGTGGCTGATTCCCGATTAGCCAGCCTGGGTAGGACCTTGCCGATTCGGATGAATACTTTCAGACAGGCCAGCGGCCCTCACATTCTGGCAGCGCCAACGAGGGATGATGCGCTGCACCGATGCGCCGGCTGTCACATTTGGATTTTCAGCCCCCAACTTCTGCATCTGACAGCCCTTGTCAGCATCTGACCTGTCTTCTTTTTTTTTCACTCGTACGCTTGGCTGATTCTGAGAGTCCCTCCTGATTTTGTGCTTGGCCTTGCATCCGGTCCCCGATGGTTGCTTATCATCTTGCCCGACGAGGATAGAGGCGCTGGATAGGATTGGAAGATGTTGTCGTATTGATCTACCCGCGATGGTGCCATGCAAGGGGTCATTTGGGCGCAATCAAGGTCGGGGAGGTTTCGAAGCTGTCGCGGCATGCGGTGATGATCTCCGTTGAAAACGAAAATTCCAAGGCATACTGGTCCTCTTCGTATTCCACTCGCTCTTGGGGTGTATCTACTGACAAACCTGGAGCCGCCGACTGGGGAATGTAGACCGACTTACTCATTCTGCGTGTCGACTGGTGAAGGACGGGCTCAGATGGAGGTACGAGGGTGGGAAAGCACTCGAAGGTCAGTGTTGTATTACCTGGAACTTTCGTCAGCCTGCACCATGGAGGACGGAAGAGAGCTCAACAGTGTCACAATTCTTGACAAATGAGTGTGGTGACACGTCTGTTCCTGATTGCTCGTTATGTGAAGAACCCGACCACGCCGAGGCGACTTGAAGGTGAAAGAGAGAAAACATGGACCGCCTATCTCTCTCATGACGCAGGAAGACAGACACCTCTCAATTCCACAACCACGCCCACACGTACCGCTCTTCTCCAAAGCTTTGCACAAGGCAAAAGAGCAATGATGAAAAGAATAGACCGACAGAGGACAAAAATTGCGCTCGCGGAAGTCCCCGAAGGTGCTTCCAGCTCAGTCACCGACTCCGATGTGCCATGGAATCGACATCTGTGCAACAACCTCGAATGCATGTGCTCAAGGTGTTCGAACAAGGTAAGTATGAAGAGAAGAAGAAAGAAGAACAGGACGAAAATTGGGAGGGAGAAGGAGATATTTATACCCTGTGGGAGGGAAAGAAAGTGGTGGCAGGTTGATCTGGGCCTTGGCGGGCCAGTTGTGATCTGTGTGAGTAAATCTGTGTGATCTGTCACTTGGCGGAGTGAAGTGAGTGAGTGAGTGAGTGAATGGGTGAATGAGTGACTTGATCCTGATCTCAATCTCGGGTCGCCAAGCGATGAGGCAGTGAGTGATCTAGAAAGAGGCTGATCAAGATGTGATCGAGCAGTTAGACTGAGGACAAGTTGAGTCGAGTCTGCTTGCTGGCCAGCAGGAGAGAGCCACACCACACACGATGGCCCAGGGAGGACAACGAGTTCTGTTTCGCACCAGCGGCTGAATCCACGGTTGCATTAGTTATCACTTATTATTTGCACTGTCTCAATCACTGCTATCGACGCCAATAGTGTGTTCGCCACAATCTGGGAATCTTGGGACCTTTCACGGTGTACAAATAGACATATCCTATGCCGTGCCAATCAATGGGGACATCCAACGCGATGCTGCCGCCGTCGAGCAGTCGTAGTAAACCCCTTCAAAGTGTTCTCGCTCTCTCTCTCCCTTTCTCTCTGTGCCCTCACAAGGTTTCGTCGTACTCTTCATTGAAACTGTCCAACATGTCCTTAATGTCGTCGATGTGCGCAAAGTTCTCTGCCGACAGAACCTCGTCCACCATGCCCAGGTGCGAGAGCACCGTCGGCGTCGTGACCCCGTACATCAAGATATCGCCACACCGAAGAATATCCTCACACTGGCGTTGCTGGTCGCGGAGAAAGCAAAAGGCCTCTTCAAACATCTTCCTCAACGCCCGGAGGCCCGCGGCGCGGTTGCGGCCCAGGTAGTCGATCCTCTCCACCTCCAGTCGGCGCTCGGCGAAGTCGCGGTCCATCACGGTGGTGATGCGCACGTACTTGCCGGTGACCCTGCGTTGCTTGCGTGCCGTACCGCCGCGGAGGCCACGCTTGCGGATGTCGGGGTTGTCACTCCAGAGCCTGGTCAGTTCGTGCTGGACTCGGGCGTCGTGTTGGTCGATGGTCGTGTGCGCCGCGCGGACGAGGTCGGTGAGGACGCGAACGTGATCGAGGTGCTCTTGGATGCCGGCGAAGTCGACGAACAAGTCCGGGTCCAGTTGGAAGGATACGGAAAGGAACGTGGTTTGTGCCAGCAACGCCGATGACGGTGGTTCGTATTCCTCGTGCCCGTAGAGAAGATCTGGACTTTGTCAATAACTGTCGATGGTCTGACGATGGACAATCCTACCGTAGTCTCTCTCTTCGATCTTCGAGATCGCCATGTCACACTCCATTGAAGCCATGTAGTCAATGGGACGGGTGCATTGGAGGACAAACTTCGATGGGGTGTCAAGTGAAGAGAGTCGACAGTGACAGAGGGTGTGCGGCAGAATTCATCTTGCACTGTGCAGCCGGATCAGGACATTCACTGTCTGCGCTAAGGCCTGTTAAACGACGATATCTCCTCCCAGGGTGCGGTAGAATATAGGATCTGTGCCTTTCTCCTGTCAGATTTCTGTCGAAAGGCACGATTTTCACCTATCACCACTTGCAAACATCGTCCCCATCTTCATACACGCCCGCTCTGGAACGAGCGAGGCTTTCCTCACCTGGACGATAACCCCGGCCACGGCCACGCCTGGTGTCAAGAGCAGATTGCGTGTGGACCGCGTTACCAACTTTGCAGCACGCCGCAGCGATGCGTTTAAAGGGAACTGACCAAACCTGAGGCTTGAGAGGGAGATCCATTCGATATCCTCGCGGCTATGATCGGTGGCATACTTGGTATCTGGATCCGTGAGTTTGGGCTTGGAGGACGGTACGGCGCAGGGCAGGTCCTGTTGCTGATATGGCATCTGGATGGAATACGAAGACATGGACCACCTCCGAGCGGCATCGACCCGTTGCAGGAATATGAGAAGTTGAGACAGCCTCAGGCTGAAGACACTCAGCTGTCCTATGAGCTGTAGAGCGTCGGGGCATCCGGATCTTGAGGACAGTTGGCGCAGGCTGGTGCCTAGTGATGCCTCCGCTTTCAATTCGGCTCAAGAATGGTGTCTGTGCCTATCTCATGGAGGAAGTTGCTGGCCCCGACGACATGGAGTTCGAATCAAGCGAAGAATAGGACATTTGGGGGCCTACTGGGAGCCTTTACCAACGATGAAATAAGGAGCAGGGGATATTGGCGAGCTCATATCAAAGATCAGTGGCTTTGTCTGGCCAGAAAAAGGGGTTGGTCTCAACTCATCCTGATGGACGGCATTAGCCATATCTGCTGCTTTGTCACGCTCCACTGACAGAGAGGACAAGTGGCTGAGATAATAAGAATAGTAATACTAATAATAATAATAATAATAATACCGAGTACAGTCCATGTGATGGTTCAATGGATGTTGGAGAATGGAGAATGGATGATGGAGAATATGCTGGATAATAGTGGATTTTCTTTGCACTTTTGACCTCACGCCACCTCAATTCAATCCCCACCTTTCAATTGTCTACATGTGTATATATACAGGCAGTCAACCCCTCTTCTACGGATCTCAATCAATCAATTTTTTTCTCATTCAACCTCGCTGATTCCTGTGCTGTCTCCTCATCGATTAACCCCCACAAAGAAACTCGTGGAAGAAAGACATCCCAGCAACAATGCTCATCGAAGAATCATACAAGGATGTGCCGACCAAGGCCGCGGGCGAGGGTTCAATGCGTACGGCATCTTCCCCCCTCTCCGCCAACGTGAAAAGGTCGGAAGTGTGAATACAGGCTGAGCAATCAAATCTCCAATAAAAAGGAATCTTTATCTTCCATCCAATCATCCATGGCTACCCAGCCGCCAAGTTTCCCGGGGTGGTGGTGTTTTCGGAAATCTACCAAGGTAATAAATAATACCTCCGTCTCCAATGGATGCAGACCGGGATCCATGAAAAGAGAAAACCCCGGCAAACTGAAAAACTCTCCTTGACTCGCAGTAACCGGCCCCGTCGCCCGCTTTGCCCGCCAGATCGCCGGCCAAGGCTACATCGTCGCCGCCCCCTCGTCCTACCACGAATTCACCGGTCCCGAGCCGCTGGCCTACGACGGGCCCGGCACCGACGCGGGGAACGAGTGGAAAATCACCAAGAAGGTGGCCGCGTACGACGAGGACGCGCAGCTGGCTGTGTCGCTGTTGCTGGGGCTCAAGACGTGCAACGGCAAGGTCGGCGCCACGGGCATGTGTCTCGGCGGACACCTGGCGTACCGCTGTGCCTTGGACCCGCGGGTCAAGGCCGCGCTGTGTTTCTTCGCCACCGACATCCACAGCCACAGCCTCGGGGAAGGGAAGAACGACGACTCCCTGAAGCGGGCGGGCGACATCAAGGGCGAACTGGTCATGATCTTTGGCAAGAGCGACAACCACGTCCCGCCCGAGGGCCGGGACTTGATCCGCAAGACCCTCCACGAGAAAGGCGTCGAGTTCTCCTTCTACGAGGTGTGTGGCGCACAGCACGCCTTTGTGCGCGACGAGTTGAGCAAAGGCCGTTACGACCCGGCTATCACGAAAGTCTGCTTTGAGATGCTGCTCGAGCTGTTTGGCCGAAAGCTCAAGATCGACCTGGGCGAGCCGAGCGGCGAGAAGCTGGTCATTGAAGACGTGTGCTGATACACACACACACACACATAGAGAGAGAGAGAGAGAGAGAGAGAGAGAGAGAAAGAGAAAGAGAGAGCATCAAAGCACGACAATATAGAGAGGCAAGAGCTTAGATGGGGTTCACCAAAAAAGAATGACAATTGCATCCCTTTCCCTATATACCAGCACGGTTGAAGCCAGCCAATTCACAGTTTTGCCTCGGGTTTCTTGTCCTCCGTCCCCGTTGTCTTGTAGCCAAACAGATACGCGGCGACCTTGCGGATCTGCACCTCCTCGCTGCCCTCGGTGATCCGGTATCTCCGGAAGTGTCGCCAGATGTGCTCAAAGGGGTAATGTCGCGAGTAGCCCACGCCGCCGTGGATCTGGATCGCCCGGTCGGCGGACTCGCAGCACAGCCGGTTGGCGTAGTAGTTGCACATGCCGATCTTGTGGCCGAGCTGCTTCTCGATGGCGATCCACGGCGCGCTGCCGTTGGCCTTGCACGCCGCCGTGACCTGGTCCATCTCCACCGCGGTGCGGAGGATCAGGAGTCGCAGCATCTCCGCCTGGGTCGAGAGCTCCACGAGCGGCCACTGGATGGCTTGGTTGCCCGAGAGCGGCTTCCCAAACACGGTCCGCTTCTTCGCGTACTCGACGCTGCGGTCGATGCAGTACCGGGCCGCACCGCAGCTGGAGGCCGCCTGACGAATGCGATTTTCGTGGGTAAATGTCTGGGCGATGGCCAGCCCGTTGTCCACCGGTCCCAGGATGGCCGTGGCGGGGACCTGGACTTTGTCGAAGAGCACGGTGGCGTGGTCGGTCGGCATGTTGAGCGTCCACTCGTACGAGGCCACCTTCACGCCGGGCGTCTCTCGGGGGACGATGAAGGCGGTGATGCCCTTGGGGGATCCGTTCTGGCCCGAGGTCCGTGCAAAGACCAGGCAGTGCGTGGCGGCGTGCATGCCAGTCTGCCACTTCTTGTTGCCGTTGATCTCGTAGCCGGGCTCGCCGTTGGGCAGCGTGATGGACTTGGCCGTGGTGTCCATGTGGGTAGCGTCGGAGCCGTGATAGATCTCGGTCAGGCCAAATGTGGACCTGAACTCGCCCTTGATGCTGGCCGGAATATACTTGTTCTGCTGCTCCTTGGTGCCGTAGTGGTGCATCATGATGATGAACGGGTTATTGCCGACGACACTGTGCTCGTTCTGCAGGTCGTTGGCCAGGCTCACGCCGCCGCCATAGACCGGGTGGGACGCCAGATGATACCGGATGGCACACATGTACAGGTTCTGGTGCTCACTGCCGGCGCCGCCAAATTCCTTGGGAAACCCGAATCGGTAGAAACCCGCCTCATCGGACAGTTTGCGTGCTTGCTTCAGCAGGGCCTCCCACTCATGAGTGGGCAGGCCCAGGTTGTCCCATTGCGTTCGCGACGATTCACGACGGTGGTCAAAGAAGCGGTTGTTGTCGTCCTTGTGCTGGAGTGGGAGGATCTTGTCCTCGATGAATGCATCGACACGCGCGATGTAGTTTTGAAGGTCGGCGGGGAGCTCGAAATTCATCGTGTCTGCTGGCTGGGTTGGGAGACGGGTGGGTAAAGGGCTGGGAGAAAGCTGGGGGGATTGGACCTTGTCAAGGAGATCCTACCTTCAGACCATTTTTATTTTAATGTTTCAAAGCTTCGTCTTCACGCGTGGCGTGTTGTCGGCTTGTCGATGCGGAGTAAGGCGAGGCTGATGCTAGAGACCTCGTTATCCTCGGATACTGCATCCTCGGTTCACATCACATGGAATCTCTTGGTGGCCGGATGGCGCCAAGACTTCAGCAGAAGGCGCTGAAGTTCACCGTAGCCGTTGTGATATGAAGCATAGAGGCCAAAAGAGTAGTTTGCTTCCGCGGTCACGGCATGCACCGAGGTAGCTACTACTATCACTTGTAGGGAGGATACTGGTGACACCCCTGGTCTAGGCCATTTCCAACGGTCAGCCATCTCGGTTGCTTGCTGCTGATCTTTGGATGCCGCTCGATCCATCTCGACCTTACCCGCCGCTGGAGATGTTGTTCTATCTTTAGGGGGTGTCGATTTCCGTATCCCAGTCGGTTCGAAATGTCTTGAGCCCGGTCGGAATACTCACTCCCATCGCGCTATCGGGTACAAAGCTGAGCCAAAGGAGAAGAGCCTCAGCATGCCCTTTCACGGGACAACGACTCGCTGCTAATGGTCGTCGAGCAAGGAAGCCGGATATAAGTCAATCCAGGTGCCAGCAGGTGAAGAGCCTCCACTCTGAGCTGAGAGTGTCTTGTGGCTGTACTGCGGGTTTGAATTCCCGTATCTTGTACGAGGTACCCTGTGTACTCGGTACATCGACTCTCACACAGGAGCCCTGGTTTCTTCAATTTCGGCGGCATGCTCGCTCCAGAGATAACGCGCCGACGATGCGAAGACCATCGACGTGGGAGACACAGGAGGAAGGAGCCGGATCTCCGGCTGTCTGAGCAGATGCAGTAGCGAGATGCGGCGTGCAACTGCATGTTCGATCCCACACAATGCACGTTGCCATTCCGTAGAGGCTGAGTGGCTTCGCGACGCGATCGGTTCTCCATCGTGTTTGTTTGCATATATTAACCCAGATCAAGAAGTTGAGGACGCGCCATGACTTATGCCAATGTCAACCTCAGCCCCTGCTGGAAAAGCCCATAGCACTCTTTCTATCATGGCAAGCTGTCTCGGATCCTGCTACCCATGCTGCCAAGCACTTGAAAGGTGCAAATACCCCAATCTCGTTTACATACTAGACTCAGCAATACGAGAATGTCCGGTTGAAAGGCCATGGCATCACCTCCCACGTCAAGAAGGGTGTCATGCTGTTTTATGTGGCACGGACCTATGTATGGAGCAGGCGCAGCAAGTCCTCCTGCGTAGTCACCACCTACCTCTCTGGCTGTTTCTCCGTAGAAGACTTCAATTCCAACTGACCAAAATCAAAATTCTTCTCGAATCGCCCAAGCAGATCGCCGAACAGCTTTTGTGGCTGGCGCAGCTGATCTCGAATACGGCGCAGCCCAACTTCCAAGAACTCTCAGCATCGAAACTGGGCGGAAAGCTATGCCGAAGTGAGTCAGGAGGCTGAGAAGACTATGGAGAACACCATATGGCAGACGGCAAACGGCAACGTCGAGGTTCCAGGAACACGAGGCGACAATCTCGGGATGCAAGCCACGGGAGCGCCAAGCTTTGAATAGTTGCGCCACACTAAACCAGTTTCGGCATATCCCTTCTCCTTTTTTCAACATCCTCCCACTCCTGTGACACCAAACATGGAACAAGACAAAGCTGATTTTGTGGCTTGATCACGAAATTTCTGCTAAGAGACCCCATAGCCATGGCGCGACTGTTGCAGCGGTCTCAGAACTCTACCTCCCTTTGGGAACGGTGGCCGGGGTTCTCCAAAGTGTGTCCTCCTTGAGCTGCCAAACACAGCATGGCGGCTATACCCAATGTCAGCAGTCATCGATGTCACTGGCGTGTAGAGGCCCCACTAAAAACAGCCTCGTGCGTCTTCCAGCCATGTGGCGCTGATCCTCAACAGGGTAGACCAGGGTAGACACCTGGTGGGCCTTGAGATGATTCGACCATGACCCTGACCCAGGATTTGCAGAGCTTCCCAGGACGGTGTAGTCCAAGATGCGCTGCGTTCGAGCGCTGGTCTAGCCTGCGAAGCCTGCGGAGGTACGCCCAACGCTCTGGGGGCCATCTACTCCTCAGCCTGCACCTCTCTCCTCTTGCTTCCTTGTTCTTTTTGGTAAACCATCGTTGCGTTGTCGATTGGCACGCGTCCATTCATTCACACCCGTCGCTCTTTTTTTGAGCTGTTGCTCAATGCAACATGCTGCCATTCTTTTCTTTTCTTTTGTTTTCTAATGTGGCTTTGGGTTCATTGGGAAAATGGGAGGGTTTCATGCCATGGAGGAAGAATCTGTTGGAACGCGATGTCGAACCGACCTGCTCTTGTACCGATCCAATCGCCGTTGAGTGGGCAACCAACAAATTCTTTGCGGATGCTGCGACGTCTGCTGCAACCCCGGCCGGTTATTATCAAGCTTTCAACAATGGACAAGCATGGGTTTCAGGAGATGGGTTTATTGGACATACGACAATTGATGAGTACGACAGCGACATATGCGCGGCGATCTGCGATAGCATTGACGAATGTTCCTCGTTCGAAATCTACTTTGAGAAGGAAGTTGGCGGTCCGGCCCCAGCAATCAAGTGTTCTTTCTGGGCGGGAGCGATTACTGCCAGTGGTTTAAGTAGCGCGAATGCCGTAATCGCTGGTTGCAATGGCTACACTAACAGCACTCTCACAACCCCCAAAGGATTCGATGCTCCGGTGTTCATGGCAGGCGCGGCAATTCATCCACCACCAGCTCCTGGAGTGTTCATCGGCTCAAAGATCTTCTACGGACCATTCGACACTTCGAATTGCGCCGAGGAGTGCAGCGCGGTCGGTTGCAAATTCTTCAACACCTACGTTCTCTCGAAGAACGGGGTGAGCCAGGGCCAATATTGCGACCTGTACACTCAGCCCTTTGGACCAGAATGGGCAACGGAAACCGGAAGTTCAGATGGGAACACAAACTTTACCATCTCTCACAGCTTCACCTGCGGTTCGGCCGGAGAAAAACGTGGTGAGGGGCAATCCAACGGCGCATCCAGCGCCTCCCCAACCGCGACAGCTGTCAGCGGCAGTGGCACAGCAGGGTCTTGGGAGGACAACCATCCTTGGCATGGAAGTAGCCCGAATGCAGGCGGCAGTGGGAATAGTGCCAGCAGCTCCTCAACCAGTTCCAAGGGCGCATCTTCTGCAGGACCTTCCCAGACTTCGGTAAAAGCGGCAGGTAGTGGCCCCGGACAAACTGGACGCTCACAGTCTCATTCGACACCGGGCGCTCCAACTGGTAAGCACTCGCAGCCTGGAGATGGCACAGGGACCACGGATTCTTCCCACACAACACCATTGCAGCCTGGTTCCGGCAAACCCACGGGCAAGCCTGGCCACAATTCAGGAAAACCAGGCTCGGTTGATGCAACCACAGTCGGACCTTCGACCTCTCCAGCCGGCCCGAGTGGTTCTGGGACTACTGTTTCCGACGGTGACCTAGGACATTCAGACCCTGTTGATGCGACCAGCACCAAGCTGACTAATTCCGGACCTGGGCGGCCCACGGGAAACACATCGAACGGCGCCCCCCGGGGTGGTCGTCCGAGCACCTCGGCCGCGAGTCCCGTTAAAGATCATCCTGGAAGCACCGACAACGGGTCCGGAGTTCCAGCTGTTTCTACTTCGAACGCCGTGCCGAATCCAGGCTCATCCGAATGGGGCAACTGGGATACCTGGAGTACTACCAGTAACTCAGCTGGCACAGCTTCCTTACCCGTAGATGCTACCTCTCAAGGAACCGGTAGCAGCTCGACGCCTGGCGCAGTTGGTGTTGACCCTACCAGAACCTCCACTCCCACGTCTGCAAGCACCTCACATTTCCTTCCGCCCAGGTCAACTGCTGCCTCTCATCAGGAGTGGCATGACTGGACAAGTTCAAAGAGCCCTATCCTAAGCATTTCTGAGTCCACTGGCACCCCTACTCTACAGACCGTCGCCGGGTCGACAAGTGCAAAACCGACGAACACACAATCCGTCCAGACACGCCCTTCAGTTGATCCAACGAGACCTGGAAGAGGACCTCCACACCCGACGCCCAAAACTTCGTCAGAAAACACAGTTGCTCCAGCAAGCACTGAGTCGTATTCTGAAAGTCAGTGGCTCGACTGGGATGCTACTCAAACATCAACAACCCAGGAGAGATCACCTACCACGACGAACGAGCCTGCTGCTGCGGCCACCACCAAGACTAGTTCTGTTCCTGATGGCCGACCGGGACAGCCAGGACGGCCAGGACGGCCAGGTCAGCCAACCCGACCTCCAGTGGGCCGTCCACAGACCACCTGGAGCGCGACAACTGAGGAAGAGACACCCACTTCTACCACAAAATCAACCACTCCTGCTGCACCTGCTGCGACTACCAAGACAAGTTCTGTTCCTGGTGGCAGGCCAGGGCGTCCGGGTCAACCAACTCGCCCCCCAGTCGGACGGCCACAGACATCACCCGATAGAGGGAGCGATGGATCTGGTGATTGGGCCGATTGGGGATCGCCCGTGGGAGAGAGTTCTCCGGTCGTCTCGACAACCACGACCACCACGACCACCTCATCGAAGCCGCTCGCGGCTGCAACGACGAAAACTACATCTGCCTCCCCTGGGGGCCCTGGTAGACCGCCTATTTCTCGACCGACGCGCCCTGGAGGGAGGCCGCCGCCAACACGTCCGGGTTCTCCTCCTACATCTAGCTCTCTGCTGGTTGATGCTTTTACCACAACTTCGACGGCGGAGCAACCGAGCTTCTCACATCCCACTTGGCCTTCACATAGCGGAACGGAGGAAATATGGCTAGATTGGACCACTTCATCGTCTACTACGAGCTCTCTCATCGTTGACGGGGTTACTACAACCTCTTCTCTTTTAACTACATCCACAACGTCAAGACCGAGCAGCTTCGCCTGGCCTTCGGAGAACGGGACAGAGAAGATCTGGCTAGATTGGACTACATCGTCGTCGACTTCAAGCTCTTTGTTCGTTGATGCTGCGACGACCACCTCGATCCCTCTCACGACCACTTCCACAGGCTACCCGAAGCCGAGCAGCTTTACCTGGCCATCGGAGAACGGGACAGATAAGATCTGGTTAGATTGGACTACATCATCGTCGACTTCAAGTTCTCTGTTCGTTGATGCTGCGACAACCACCTCGATCCCTCCCACAACCACTTCCACAGGCTACCAGAAACCAAGTAGCTTTACTTGGCCCTCGGAGAATGGAACAGAGAAAATCTGGTTAGACTGGACTACGACTTCGACGTCTAGCTCTCTGCCCGTTGATGCTGTGACAACAACCTCGAGCCTTCCAACGACGACTTCCGCATTCTCGCGGCCGAGCAGCTTTGCATGGCCCCCGGAGAACGGGACAGATAAGATCTGGCTAGACTGGACCACATCAACTTCCAGTTCACTGTCTGTTGATGCTGTAACAACCACTTCCGCCCTGCCGACAACCACCTCCGCGTTTTCGAGGCCGAACAGCTTCGCTTGGCCGTCGGAGAACGGAACGGAAAAGATCTGGTTAGATTGGACTACATCTTCAACTTCGAGCTCCTTGTTTGTTGACGCTGCAACAACAACCTCGACCCTCCCAACGACGACGCCCGCGTTCTCGCGGCCAAGCAGCTTTGCTTGGCCCTCAGAGAATGGAACAGGACAGATCTGGTTAGACTGGACTACATCGTCGTCCACTTCCAGTTCTTTGCATGTCGCTGCAGTGACGACGACATCCACGATCTCTACTACCTCTTCAAGGGAGGGCAGGCCTTCTGGCGCTACCTGGCCTGCGGAGAACGGCAGTGCGTGGGAAGATTGGAGTCGGACAACTTCGTACACATCGACTGCAACGTCGTCCACATCCACTCTCCTGCCTATTGCCGACGCCACAACCTCTTCTCACACAAGCTCAAGAGCGTTTTACTCCAGCTGGCCGGCTGAGAATGGCAGTGCCTGGGAAGATTGGACCAAGACGTCTACGTCTACATCTACGTCGACCATCCTTCCTGTTGCCGACGCTACAACTTCAACGCTTCCCACGACGAGCTCCAGGCCAATATACTCTAGTTGGCCAGCTGAGAATGGTAGTATATGGGAAGACTGGACGAAGACATCAACTACGTCGACTGCCCTCTCTGTTGCCGATGCTACAACTTCAACGCTTTCTACAACGAGCTCCAGGCCAATATACTCTAGTTGGCCAGCTGAGAATGGTAGTATATGGGAAGACTGGACGAAGACATCAACTACGTCGACTGCGCTCTCTATTGCTGATGCCACAACTTCGTCACTCCCCACAACAAGCTCGACGGTAGCGTATTCCACTTGGCCGTTTGAAAATGGCAGCATGTGGGAAGACTGGACAAAAACACTTTCGTCCACGTCCACTCTTCTTTCCGTTGCGGATGCTACAACTTCATCACTGTCTACAACCAGCTCTAAGGTAATGTACTCCAGCTGGCTGGCTGAAAATGGAAGCATGTGGGAAGATTGGACCAAGACAACTTCGTCTAGTTCGACCGTTCTTTCTGTTGCCGATGCTACAACCTCTTCCCCTATATTTACAACAACGTCTCAAGCGAGCTCAAGAGCAAGCTACTCGGCATGGCCTTCCGAGAACGGTAGTGCCTGGGAAGATTGGACCAGAACTTCATCGTTGACATCGAGCGTTCTTCCTGTTGCTGGCATCACTACAACCTCATCTGTTAGCACAACAAGTTCCAGACCTGGTTATTCTACTTGGCCAAGTGAGAACGGGAGTGCCTGGGAAGATTGGACCAGGACATCGACGTCGACCTCCAGTGCTCTCACTGTTGCCGATGCCACAACTACCTTCCTAAGCACAGCTACCTCCACAACTACTTTCCCAGCAGGATATTCCGCTTGGCCGTCCGAAAACGGCAGTGCCTGGGAAGACTGGACCAGAACAACTTCGACGTCGTCAACAGCTAGCGTCTCTACCACGACGTCAGCATTTGCCTATCCATCGAGTCCTTACAACGGGACGTACAATGGGAATGGAACGTGGGAAGACTGGGCCGAGTGGTTGAATCTGACTTCAGCAACGTCAACATCAACCAAATTGCCAGTTGACGCATTGACTACCACTTATTCAACCACGACAACCTCTATATTGACAACAAGCTCTGCTCCCTCGTATCCAGGCTATCCTTCCCATACCGGAACCGTTGTGTGGGAGGATTGGAGTCCAACAACGACATCCGTCAAGCCGACAAGCTCTTCCCTTCTCCCAGTTGATGCTCTAACTACCACAAGTTCCATATCTTCAACCACCTCCGTTGGTGCATATTCAGGCTATCCATCCTACAATGGATCCATGAATGGTACCTGGGAAGATTGGAATATAACCTCAAAAGCTACATCGACGAGCGCAACTACAACGAGCTCCTCTTTCGGATACCCAGGCTACAATGACTCGAATTCTATTTGGTTAGACTGGAATCTGACGTCAACGACTTCTGCAGTAACGAGCACTTCTGCGTTACCTGTGGGAGCAGTATCTACAGCCACAACAACGACCAGCTCTGTCTTCGGATACCCGGGCTACCCAGGCTACAACGACTCGAACTCTGTTTGGCTGGACTGGACTTCGACGACTTCCGTAACAACGAGCACTTCTGCGTTACCTGTGGGAGCAGTATCTACAGCCACAACAACGACCAGCTCTGTCTTCGGATACCCGGGCTACCCAGGCTACAACGACTCGAACTCTGTTTGGCTGGACTGGACCTCGACGAGTTCCGCAACAACGAGCAGTTCGGCATTACCTGTGGGAGCTGCCACGACTTCGACCTCGTCTTTGTCTCCTACTACTACCAGCTCTGTCTTTGGCAACCCAGGCTATAATGATTCAAACTCTATCTGGCTGGATTGGAATCTCACCGCGTTGACCTCTACTACCACGAGTAGTTCTGCGTTGCCGGTTGGAGCTGCTTCTACTGCCACGACTAACTCTGCGTTCGGCTACCCTGGCTATCCGGGTTACAATGACTCCAACTCCATCTGGTTAGATTGGACATCGACGACTTCTGCAACAACGAGCAGTTCGGCGTTGCCTGTTGATGCGCTAACTACAAGCCTGGCCTCCTCTTTAACTACAACCACAACAAGCTCCGTGTTCGCATATCCCACAGCCGGCAATTGGACAGGTTATAACGAGAGCGCGTGGCTGGACTGGAACTTGACAGTCACGAGAACAAGTACACTGTACGTTGACGGTCTAACTACGTCGTCTTCTATCTCGACCACTACGAGCTCCATCAGAGCGTATCCAACTGGTTCATACAACGGCACAGGAAACTGGACAGAGTCAGCTTGGCTTGATTGGAACCTGACATCAACAACGTCAACTTCCGTGGTAACCACCACGAGCTCGGCCAGGGCTTATCCCACCGTATCATATAATGGCACAGGAAATTGGACAGAGTCAGAGTGGCTCGATTGGAATCTCACGTCGACTTCATTTGGCTATGCTGGCACGACGACGTCTTCTCCCATCACCATGACTACGACAGTTTCAGAACTCCCGGTTGATGCGGCTACCAGATCTACTTCATCCACTACCACTTTCTCGACGTCTGGCTATCCCAGCATACCGTCGCACAACGTATCTGGTAACTGGTCGAATTACAACGACTCGAACTCGGTGTGGCTGGATTGGACAACATCGACAAGCGCTGGAGCTGTATCCACGACATCTAGCTCGCAAGCAGGCTATCCGACAATTCCTGCCTATAATGGAACCGGCAACTGGTCAGATTGGCTGTCCAACATAACATACAGCTCGTCCTCGCGATATGTCGATCCACAAACGACTACTTCTTCACTGAGCACGTCCTCCGTGTTGTCTGTTGCCGCCACCGCCCTGACACCCACTTCGACTTCCACCACCAGCTCGGCGATAGGTTACCCAACTATCCCGGCGTATAACGGGTCATATCCCTCGACCAACTGGACAGATTGGAACGGTACAATTCCATGGAATATCACAGTCCCCGTGACAACTACGTCGTCTGCAACCACATCGGCAGCCGGATATCCGACCATGCCAGCGTACAACGGTTCGTATCCTTCAACCAATTGGACAGACTGGAACGGCACGATTCCGTGGAACCTCACAACTTCCGTGTCAACTACGACTTCATTGAGCACGTCCTCCGTTCTTTCAGTCGCCGCTACGGCGCTGACACCGACTACGTCATCGACTACTTCGTCCACCACTACTTCCATTGCGGGATATCCAACCATACCAGCCTATAACGGCTCATATCCTTCGCAAAATTGGACGGACTGGAACGGAACAATCCCTTGGAACGTGACGTATGTAACTTCGTCCACTTCCACCACCAGTTCGGTTGCTGCCTACCCGACCGCCGCATACAATGGATCGTATCCTGCGACGAACTGGACTGATTGGAATGGCACCATCCCGTGGAATATCACTTCGTCCTTGAGCACGACTTCAACACTCTCTGTTCTGTCTGTCGCTGCTGCCGTGACCAGTACCACTTCCTCATCGTTAACGACAAGCTCGCAAGCCAGCTATCCAACGATTCCAGCCTTCAACGGATCTTACCCATCTACAAATTGGACAGACTGGAACGGAACGATCCCTTGGAATTTCAGTTCGGCCGTCACCACGTCCTCGTCCACCACAACCTCTGTTGCAGGCATCCCAACAATCCCAGCCTACAATGGATCGTATGCGGGCACAAACTGGACCGATTGGAATGGCACTATTCCTTGGAACGTGACTGATGGAAGAAGTTTGACCACGTCGTCGAGCGTATATCTCTCGACTATGACAACGTCAATCCTCTATGTGTCGCCGACGGCTACCAGCTACACATCGACGACGACCGTATCCTCTGCGGCGTGGCCGACAATGACTGCTCCCGCTTACAACGAGACACAGTGGCTTGACTGGCTCAATGGCACGAACAGCACTGGAAACTGGACTCTGCCAGTCAATGGTAGCTGGCCCCTGAACTTGACCGATCCTTTGTCGACCACCAGTTCTATGACAAGCACCGCTGCCTGGGCTTCACCAACATTGGCGTACAACGGAACCGGCAACTGGACGGACTGGTACAATTCTACAGGGGCCAATGAGACGTGGCCATTTAGCCTTCCCGCTACGACCAGCACCTCCCTGGTGCTGACGACAACATCAACGCCAGTGGCCGTAACAACAACTTCGTCCTCGGTGTTACCTATGACGACCTCGGCCTGGGCTTACAACGGGACTGGTAACTGGACGGACTGGGCCAGCAACGGAACTGCTCCATTGAACTACACAATACCTCAGTCGAACTCAACCAATTCGAACACATGGGGTAGCAACTCGACTTATCCCACCAACAGTTCATCCACATGTGGAGCCACTCCGCCTTCGCAACTTCTGGAAAACCCGTCGTTTGAATGTTCCAGTACAGGCTGGTCATTGGATGAAGTGGACATTGTCTGGGGAGGTGTCACCGAATCGTCGACCCCTGCCAAGCGCAGACGCGATATTCTGTCCCCTGATACGGCATATGATGGTAAAGGATTCGCTCGGTTTGAGCCCACTTTCGAAGATGTGACTGCTACACTGTCACAGACACTTGCCTCTCCAGCGACAAATGGATCCTACTGGTATTCTTTCGCCTACCGAGTTCCGTCCTCTGGAGTCACTCCAGACGGATGTACTTTGACAGTTTCGAACGATGAGGGAACTCTGGCGACGCTGAGTTCACTCTCAGCCGCCAGCACCTGGACTATGACCGGAAAAGAGTTCCAGGTAACATCGTCAGCGAGCACGTTCTCTCTGGTCTTTAGCTGCGAAGGCGTCCAAACGGCTTCGCCAATTCTGGACGTTGACAACATCAGGATGGGAATCGGTGGTGGTAACTGGACAGCCGTGAATGGAACATATGGGGGAAGTAGCAATAGCACCGGGCTTCCAACTTGGAGTGGTCAACCTCCAACCAACGTCACATATGGACAACCTCCAGCCAACCTGACTAGGCCGGACTACGCCAGCAACTCAACCGACTACAGTGGAGGAGCTTATGACGTGGAAACGGAAGACGCCCCAACCACTGATCCTATCACCACCTCTGTGCCCTCTCCGACGTCGACAATTCCTGACATCCAAATGCCAACACCTACACCGTCGTCGTCGTCCTCATCAACGGCACCAACGACGTCGTCTCCAACGGTGGTGGCGGCAGCGGATCCAACAGTAACGCCCGACGCCAGTGATCCCACCACGACGCCGAGTCCTGTAGCGACATCGACCACGTCTCCTACGGCTGCTGCTGACGAAGAGTCGACCCCGTCATCGACGTCAGCAACGTCCCCGTCCAGCACGGTGTTTTCTTCAAGGAACCGGATTAAGAGGCACCGATATCATCGGAACTCGTAGGGCAGTGAAGTGAAGCATCTGGATGCTGGCACTAAGCATTTATGGGGAAAGGGGGAAAATGACGCAGGGACCAAGCAACAGATACCCCCACTAGTTTTCCTTTAGGTAGTTTCTTTCATGACTGGTTTTTCCTTCTCAGCCCAAGATTTCGATTTCCCTAAAGGCATCTTCTACAATATCTCGCGGAATGAGATTACTGACACCACTGACACCACCGGTCGTCGCCCATGACCTTCTTGGGGCCCTCTCGATCATCGATTGCCTGTAACGAAGGGCACAGACAGTAAAGGGCAATGGGAAGGACGATGGGGCGAAAGCGGGCGCGTCTCTTCCTCCGCCAGAAGGGAATTTGGAGGCTTTCAAATATCGGGGCGTGTGGACGGGCTTTTTATTTTTCGCATTATTGGATTGAGAGTTTTGTCGGCGCGGACATTAAACCGTGAGACTACTACGAAGCGCATGTGGCGTGCTTTCCGGCTTCCGCCATTAAGCCTTTGGGCCAGAACTTCTCGCTTGTGTTTTGTCCCTCCTGCCCTGTCCTGCCCTACGTTGGCCATTCAATTCTAGACCCTTTTTTTTCGCTGGCCGTATTGTCCAAGTATTTCCCTGATGCCTCTTTCGTTTCAAACAATCCGGGGCTGGCTGGCCTGTTCCCCCTTCTACGCCGTAAGAGACAGGATCAATCCTCAGTAATTTCCCGGATGCCGACGTCGACGATGAGGCTGGATGGGATATTTGCTCCGTCCCAATGTTCAGACTCCTCCTCATATTGCATGCATGATGTTTTATTGCCCGAAGGACGCGCGTTCAAAACTCTCTCTCTCTTTGTCTGTGTGTTCAGAACGCGAAGACAGGATGGACATACTCCGTACATAATACAGAAATGCGTCGGCTCAATTCGCGTCTGAGTTTTCTGGAAACTTTTCCAACCCGGCGCGCTCGGAAGTCAACAGTAATCTGTTGTGTCCCCGATCGCTCCCCATCCATCCATCAATCCTCCGAATAATGAATGGAGATATTCTGACGAGCGTTTATAAGGTTCTTTCGGCGCCCAGTGTGATTTCCACCGCAGCGGACGTCAGCCTCGTCGCGCCCTGCGGCGTTCTGTGTGGTGAGTTGACGTGAAAACCCACCAATCAGGACCCACGTGCCGGGGATCCACTTACCAGAAACAATCAGGGGTAACGTCCCAATGGGGAAATGGCGCACCTCGATCATACGCAGTAAAAGGGGGAACGCTCCAGGAAGAGGCAGTTTTCACCTACCTGCTTGGAAATTCGCCCATGAAGGTGTCCAGTACCTCGTATTGACATAATCCTCCAGGGAAATGGAAGAAGGGCCCAGGGAGGCCCGCAAAAGCTTACGCAAACCCTATCGCCTCGTTTGGACACCCTCTTTTTCTGCTTCAGCCCAGAGTGCCATGGTCCTTCCTTTGAGGGGATCTACAACATGCATGATCATACGAGGAAAAGGTAGCACGGCGTGTGGGCGTTTCAATACTCCTGGGTCCTCTTCGATCCACCCTTGTTCTTTCCTCTGCTTCCTTCCCTCCCCCCCAGTGAGAAACGTTTTCACCGCTGCACATCACTCTCAAACCCTTGTTACGCGTCCGCGATGAGGCCGTCATCACCCAGCATGGGTTTGATGACATTCCGTACTCAGCCAAAAACCGGGTCCCGATCATCATCCAGCGATTCCCCAAGGGGATCCAAAATTCCTCTCCGACGTAAGTCAAATAGCAGGAGCCGCAGGAACTGCACCTGCGTAATAACAGCGGCGGTCGACCGGGCATTTGAATTGAACCCTGAGTTCAAATTTCCAAATGCCACTGACAATCGGCATCTCCACGAGGATGGATTTCATTTCCACCACGGCGTCACGGACTCACGGCGAGGGCATAATGGCTGACCCGAGGGACAATGGGCTTCTTCCCCCTTTCGGTGCACACGTGCATATTTCCAATAGTGGTGAGTGGCTGGCCGTGGCTTTTTTTTGGTGGTTTCGTCTCGATTTGTCTGGGCTGGTGGTAAGTGACCGAGAGAAGACTGGCGGACGCCGTAACATGCACCCAACCTGGTCTCCTCTTCATCCGTTCATATATTAAGCCAGCCCTGGTCCCTCTGACAACATCTTTCCTTGGCCAGTCTTTCTCTTCAGGTTCGATTCACCAATTCGCAATTGCATTCGTTCTTTTTTTTCTGTTAGTCTCATCCGACCACAGTCACTCATTAAGTCAAGTCGACAACACCGCTACCACTACCATCACACAGCAACAGCAACAATTCATACATAATGAAGTTCTTCAGCACCGTCATCGCCTTCTCGGCCCTCGCCGGCGTCGCCCTCGCCAGCCCTCAACGTGGAGGACCAGGAGGTGGCTACGGCCGTCCTCCCCCACCGCCGCCCCCCCCGGCGCATACCGCCCCTTCCAAGCCCAGCGAGCCGGCCTCTTCGCCCTCTAGCTCGAGCGCGGGTCACGACGACGGTCATGGGGCGTCGACCACCGCCGGAGGTCCGCCTGTGGCCACAACCACCACCGCAGCAGCAGTGCTCGGCGAACACGGACCGTCCACCACCACCACCGTCGGCCACGGCGCCTCGACCACCACCGCCGCGACCACCACGACCAGCGTGGTCAAGGGCACCGTGACGTGCCTGAGCAGCGCGGCGGCGACCAGTGTGGTGAACGGATTTGCATCCTTGCTGACGGCGTACACGAACGCGACGGCCGAGGCCCTGCTGGCCGACGACTTCACCGACACGTCAGACTCGATCAACTTCCTGGCCGGCAACCCACTGGGCAGCGTGACGTTCCCGAGCAAGCTGGCGTTCGAGCTGGGCCAGGGCACGCAGCCCGCCATCGGCTTCGAGCTGCTCAACATCGACGCCATCACCTGCACTGTCATCGCCTTCCGCTGGGAAGCCATCCTCGGCACTGCCAGCCCCGTCAAGGGCATCAACATCCTCTACACCGAGAACCCCACCCAGACCGAGAACGGCTGGCAGATCCAGAGCGTCTTCTCCGAGTTCAACTCCGGCCTCTGGACCACCGAGATCGGCGGCACCTGTGTGCCCCCGTCCCAAGCCCGTCGCTTGCACTAAGTTATCAGTGGACCGGCCACAACATACACACACATACACGACAACTCGCCCCTGGGCAACCTTGTTATTGGCTTGAGAGGGCTTTGGGTTAATCAATGGGGCTTGGCCGTGCGATCGGGATCACGATGGATGGAGCGGGCAAAAGAAGATCAGAGTCCGACAGACACCGTTGGGACAAATGGACGGCGGCACATATGTATATCCTCTTTCCCTGATCGATCCAGGGGAACTAGGCCACCTGGAAAAATGAAAGCCGGTATCAGCCCAGCCTACCGAAAACTCAGGGCGAGACGAAGTGAAGGACCTTCTTTTGTGCGGGTTGCGTGTTTTTTGAATTTATATATATCTGTCTACACATAGATCCTTTACGTGTGGTTAATAACAGCCGCGGATTGTCCATTATGATTTTGCTGTACTCTTCCCAACTCTCCTGTTTGCCCTCTCACACAGCTGCCAACTTGTCTGCAATCGTTCAAATCAGATATTGTTCTCAACAATCCTTGTTCCAATGTAATTGTGCCATTCGAGGCAATGTGTCAAAACTCGAAAAAGTTCCATCCGCACTGACCCAATCAGTGGTGTTGCCACTCAGGTACTTCGCTGCTGCGGCCGAGAAGAAACTCGTTACATATACATCTACCAACGTCGTGTCCGACGTGTTGGTTCCGACACTGACATTGGCTTGCACGTAGTGGGGGGTGGAGGCAACGCCCTGGTTGATGTGGATGATATTGTCCCCGTCGGTGCCGAGATCGTCCTTGGTCACATATCCTGTTGTTTTGACCAAGGTCGTAGCGTTGACGGGAACGGGGTCGCGTTTGTAGACTTTGTCGGTCTGCATGTTCGAGAGCAAGTTCTTCGCTGAGGACCAGGGGGCCGTCATGTATAGCCAATAGTTGGTGTACGGATTCGTCTGATATGCATTGTCGATCGTAAAGGGCCCCTTCAGTAGATCATAGCGGAAGCCACCAGTGTTGGTCAGGATTATGCGTGGCATGTTGGTTCGGTTAGGAGCGACCACGACGGCAGGAAACACGACATTCGTAAGGTAGTTGAACAAACTCTGGTTGGAGCTGAGGGGGAACCGGTCCAGATAGTAGTTGTTCGGGCAGCAGCCGAGCTTGTTGGTCAATGCTGGGAGACTGTCCACTTCGGCGGTGATGTTCCTGCTGATCGTCACACCCAAGCTGGAATTGAACGTCTGCTCATTAGTGCCGGTGTGAAATTCAAAACTGTACCGGTTGAAGTCCAGATATTGTCTCGAGTAGGATAAGGTGGAATCTGGGTTGGGCTTGACCCCAGGGAAGTTGGCGGGTTTCTGGGTGATCCGGGTAGCATTTCCCATAGGCGATTTGGCTTTGGTGACACGGCTGGGCAAGCCATTGACAGACACCCACCCCACCGTCTCGCAATATCTTCCCGAAGCAATGCCCACCGCCGACGCATCAAAGACCACGGCGTCACGCACATGTCGATGACCACCAAAGATCTGAATCGGGGTGGTAGGATGGTGTTGGCGGATAGCCGCGTAGATCAGACCCCATTCCGTGGAGTCGCGAAGAGTGATGTGTCCTGCGACCAGAAACATGTCAACATCAGCCCTCTGGACCTGTTGCTGGAACCAAGATTGTTTGACCGCGTCACCGACCGGAGTCACAATCGTTGCATTACTGTTACCGGTGAAATTGAAAATAAATGCAAAGGCCATCATGCGGATGCCCATCTTTGTCTCCCAATAGGCATAGCGGTTGGAAAAGGGGGTGGGAGTCCCAGTGAGATTGAACTCGACGTTGGAGGTGATGTAGCGGCCGCCCCAGTTCGGAGCAAAGTTGTGGAATGTGTCATTGGCAATCGGGGTCGTATAAAGCTCATGGTTGCCAATCGACAACAAATCGTACGGGAGTCTCTTGAAAACGGGCAGCGTGAGCTCTCCATTGGGTGTTGTGGCGTCTCCAAAGCCGGTGCCGTCGTGCAAATCCCCCGAGTCGATGAGGAGGAGGTCGACACCCAGCACATCCGCTTTGGCCTTCATCTTCTGCACAAAGTCGGCAAAGTCGCCATAGTCGGCGCTGTAATTGTCATCCAGCAAATGGCCCGCGAGCCAGCCATGGGTGTCTGTCGTGTGAAGGAAATTGATCTGGCCCCAATGCAAGTCCTTGATCTGTTGTGGCGGGGTGGGAAGAGCAGCTGGCTGGATGCGTTTAGCGAGGTCATGTCTTCTCATCAAGCCATGGTCGACGTAGCCTCCCAGGACCGGGGATGTCCAATCGTGGTCGACACACGAGGAAGAAGGCTCTAGGAATGTGGCGAGGACAAGTAATGGAGTGAGCAACATGGCAGCTTCGGATCACTTCCCAAGAACGAGCAATGATAGCTACACGAGGATAGGAAGAAATCATCTTGAAAGCAAAGGACGGTAGCTGGGGTCTTATCACACGGTGGTACCAGATGTGCAGGAGCCGCAGAGCGGTGCCAGCTTCTTCCTCGTAGCACCTCAGGGTTCATGGTAACAGGTACGTGAGCCCATCGAGGTGCTACTGCAGGTTGCCGTAGCATGGGCCTGCCCGATGCGGGAGAAGATAGACGGAGGGGCCATGTCAGCACGGTAGGCTCACAGCTGGCCAGGCTGAGAGATGGCGATCTTCAGAAACCGGCACGGGTCAATAGCCATTTTGAGTGAGGGTGACCTATTCCTGAAGAAGGCCTGGGCCCAACAAGTGACCTGCTTCAGAGCTTGACTTCGGGACAAACCTCGAGCAGGACGCAAGATGTTGTTCTAGCTCCTTGGATAGCGGCTGGGCACACGACACAACACGCAAGGTGGAAGGCCGGACATGAGCACGAGGGGGAAGCAGTTGGAGAGGATGAGGACGGAGAAATACGAGGAGCCCGGGAGTCTCTTGTCTAACCTGACCTTGATACATTCATTGCACATGGCTAGCTCTCTACGCCAAATCCTGAGGTAGCTACCACCTGTAGATTTCCGTCATGCACAGCCTTGCTTATTCCAGCATCGTCTCATTTCGTCTCATCTCATGTCCATCAATACAATCAACACATAATCGGGTTCACAGCAAATGACCCCTGTCAGAGATTCGTTAGTGGCTCCTCCCGAGAACAAGACAACATTGACTGCGAACTCACCTGGTTTTGAATCGCCAGCTGGGCAAACCTCTCCTGTGCATCGTCGTCCTCTTCCAGGAGCTTGTCGATCACCTTCACGTCGTCAATGGTCCAGAAGTGTCGGAAAGCGGCCACGATGTTTTCCGTGTGCTTCTGGACGACATCCTCATCCACCGCGGCAAAGCAGAGTCTGAAATATTGCCACCCTTTCTCTTTCATGATCTCGGGCGTGGGGCAGAACATGGTTCCCGGAGAAAGTAAGACGAGGTACGGGTCGGTAGTAAACAAAATCCAAAGCGCCTGAGAAAGTCGTGCATGGTCGACCTCATTGAAGAGAGGGTGGGTCTCGAACCGTGCATGCAGCCAGAGGAACATGCCAGCCATTGGGTAGTCAAAGTCGTACATCTGCGTCTTGTGCACCACCTCGTATTCCATGTCGTCGGGTGCAAAGACGTTGGATTTTGGCTTCGAATCTTGAATCAAGTATTTTCCCTCCTCGAGCGTCGACGCCATGACCTGCATCCGTCGTTCATAGTTGCCCCGTAACCCCTCGAGCCATCGAACCCAGCCGTCCGCCTTCCATCCACTGCCGTCTTTGCTGCCTCCCTTGCCGGGATCACCGTCTGCCGAGGGTCCAATGATGAGTTCCGCGATCATGCTCTGAACAAATCCGCTAGGTTGCTGAGTGCTCGTCTCGGTGATACGCAGGATCCTGTCCACCACGTCCGGCTGAGCTGTGATCCAGCCTAACCGGCAGCCCGGAGCAACCGTCTTGCTGAAAGTGTCCAGTCGCACGACTCTCCCATCGACGTCGACGGAGAGGTATGAAGGGACAAGGCTATCCAAGAACGGAAACCCGCCGGATTTGCCCCCGGAGGCCGTGTTGTAATTGTAAGAGCTGTCCGACGGGAAGTTCTCCGACACAGGTTTACCCCGAGTCTTCATGGACATCTCGTTTGCGGAGGGATATTGCAAGTACCAGTACGGGTCATCTTCGATAATGATGATGTCGTATTTTTGACACAGGGCATAAATTTCCTTGCGCCTTTTCAACGACAGTAGTCCAGAGGTTGGATTCTGGCCCATCCTGCTCTTGTTAGTGCCCTTCTTTCACGGTGATCAGGAGGTCACTCACGTTACAGTATACATCAAATGTGGTCTCTTACCCTTGTTCTTGTCCCAGCTCACAAGGACGTCTTCCAGCCCGCCTTTTCCATAAGCCGTCATCCCTTCGTCGTCGATGGTCACCGGGACCACATTGAGCCCACGGGGTTTGGCAGCTTGGATGGCATTCATATATGCAAACTCTTCGCAAAGTATACCCTCCCGTTCTCGGATCCAATCTCTTTCCTCGTCCCAGATGTTGCTGAAGCATTCAATCGCTTTCGAAAAGCCATCGGTCGAGCCACACGTCAAAATCACCTCCGGTCCGTCCTTATAAGGCACATTGGGATGAAGATGCCTCTGCGTAAAGGCTCGTATAAAACTGTAGAGGGGAGGATATCCTTGGGCGGTACCATATTGCAGGGCAGTGGTCAAATCGATCTTGCGCAGGAGGTTCGGTTCAGCTGAATCGTGAGGCACAAGGACCCGCGAGGCCGTCGGAGCTTCTGATAGAGATGGCTTTGCAGCTGCGGAGGCTGGGGGATCGACAGGCTTGTTGGGCGTGGGCTTGAATCGGTCGGGAAGCGCCGTTGATGCTTCCAACGTGTCATACGGAAAGTATCCTGGGTTTGGAAGGCCTGGCGACCGTTAGCCAGCGACAACCCCTGGGTCAAAGCGCAACAACATGCCTCCAGCAAGGTTTCCGATCCCCGGAATCGCAAAGTATTTATAGAAAGCTTTCATCTTGCTGGCAACCCGCTGTTTGGTCACCCGCGAGTACAGATGGGACAGATCCTTGGGTGCAGGCTTGTCGGTAATGGTCGCCATGGCTGTGGTACTGTTGGGGTTGTGGAGTTGACAGAACGATTGAAATCTAAGCAACGTAAGTCACTGGAGAATATCCTGAATGTCCAAGAGTAACAAGAAACTTCAGGAAGCAGAGGCATGTAATCAGGAATGTCCATTTTGCATTGATCGATGACTATTTCACAATGGCATGGCTCGACCGACTGCCGACTCCGATGATAATAGCGATAAGGAAGTACGTCCCTAGACCACCGGAAGGCGCGTTCCGCCAGTGCCTGCTGCTGTCACCCAACTGTGAGGCTAGTGCTCTTATTAGTCAGCTCTCACTCGGAGCTTCAAGCTTCCGACGCCCTGTTGCAACTTTTGGTGATCTAGATGATGTCGTGGCCAGCACCGTGAGAAACACGCAGGAAGGTCTCAACCTCTCAGGAGGAGGTCTGTTGGGGTCCTGCTACCGTTCTGGGGAGACCGCTAGTGAGTATGTGCACGTTGATTCCATCAACTCCCAATTTTCCATCATTAGCATAACCCTGTGTCATTATGTTCTGGATGTCATGTCCATTGGGGCGGGTGCAGTGGCTTGGGGGATGCAAGCTCAAATTGGTGGTTCTCTCTTGGTCACCCTCATCCACATGTCGCTCACAATGAAGACACCTGCACTAAAGGATTTCCACGGGTGCTGTGGGTCGACAATGGTGAACTCGAACTTTCGAAGCAGCTGTGGCAGAGAAATAGGTTAGAATTTTGGGGGCTGAAAAGCAACGGTGCCACCCAACTTACCTGTGCGAACACCTTGTTGAGCTCGATGAACGCAATGCTCTTCCCGAGACACGACGATCTCCCATAGCCAAACACCATGTCGACGTTGGCCTCCTTGCGCTTGATCTCCTCGGGCGTGCCTTCCAGGAATCGCTCGGGCCGGAATACCTTAGCATCAGGCCCCCACAACCCTTCGTCGAGGAACAGTCCGAATGCACAGGATCCGATCTTCGTTCCTCCTGGGACATAATATCCATGGAGGGTGTCCCCCCCCGGCGGCACGCATTTCGACTGGAGCCCTGTAACGGGCGGGTGAATGCGTAAGCCTTCTTTGATCACGGCTTGGAGGTACGGCAACTTGCGGGCTTCGGCGTCCTGGATGGGATCGGATATGTGGGAAGACGAGAGCTCAGCCAACAGTTTTGCCAGAACCGGTGGATTCGTGAGAATATGAAGCATCGTCGCACGTATCGCTGACGCTGTGGTGTCGCTGCCGGCGAGGATCTGGACCATGGTCTCAGTTTCGGCGTCTTCGCGTGAGAGGCCATGTCGAAGAAAAGACCCCAACATGTCCATACGTGGTTTTGATTCGGGTTGGAATCTTTCGGCGACCACTCCCTTTGCCACTCCCATGATCTTGCCCAGACCATATGCATCCGTGTCCTTCGGCATCAAGAACTTCATGAGGGGCGACTGGAAGACCTTGGACAAGCCTGGAAACGCGGCACACAGGATCATGGCCGGAATGGTGCTTTCGGTGGTCTGGATATAGTGGAACACATCCTCGTCCTTGTCGAGAAATCCGAATGCTCCTCCAAAGGCAATGGCAGACAGAATGTCCAGTGTCAAATATTGCGCCTTGCGCGCGAAGTCCATGGGTCTAAATTCTTCCGGGGTGGAGATATAGTTGCGTTCGATAAGGTCGACAAGTTTTGCGATACAATCGTCGATTGACTGCTCGAGGGTAGGGTTTTCCTTACCAGCATACTAGCGACAGCGTCAGCATCCCACGCGCAGACATTGGAACACAGTGTCTGCTCAAATACCCCAGGGGCCATTTTGGCACGAAGCATGGCATGTCTCTCCTCATTTCGCTCGGAGAGGATGTTATCGCGATCGACTCGCAGGGCATCATACCAGTCAGACCTACGGTACGGAGATCTCGCCGCACCCATTGTCTTGAGGATCTCGGGATCAGATGTGATGAGGTCGTTCGGTCCGATGCGAACCAGAGGACCTAGAAAGCTGCGTGTCAGCTCGGGAAATGAGGTTGGCGGTACACCTCGGAGCAGGGGGTGGTACCGTATTTGAAGCATTGTTGCGCAGACTCGATGTACATGGAACCATCCCAGGTGTGTTTGAGGAGCCATCCTTTGGAGAAACCGGCAGAGAAGGGACCCGGAATGTGTCGCAGACGGTACCAGTCGTAGAAGGTCTTTGCAAGGGAGTAGACCACGTAGACCCCAATCCCAACACCAAGGTAGGCGAGGGCGAGCATGTTTGCTTCCCTTTTGGGGGAGGACAAGGAGATAAATGTGATGTCCGACTTTGTGTTCACCGGGCGGGCGGGGGGTGGGTGAGTTTCAGATCAGATCTCGCATGGTACGTATTTGCCCTTTTTTGCGGGAGAGCTCTGTGATGGGCAACGGTGCCGGTGTGCCTCGGGTGGATCCCAATGTGAGAGAAAGGCACGAGATAAGGAAGGACTGACAGCCACGTCTGGGGGAAGATGTTGTACAGCAGATGTCAACCGGGGGGGGGTTACCAAACGGGCGTGTTGCACTAGTGTGGTCGGTAGCAGACGTTGAAGTGACGGTGAGGGCGCAGTCGTATTGGTGTTATTGGTTCCTGCGGGTGCAACAGCCCTTGACTACAACACGGGCACCAACCGGGGAGGGAGCGGGCCTCGGGACAGGGGCTACTAGGCAGAGCTTAGTGAATCTCGATTTGACGGGGTCTGGCCCTTTTTGTTTCCCTGACCTGCACCTCCGTTGTTCCCCTGGCCACTGCAAGACTGATCTGGCCGACAGCGACTCACTATTATGGAGTATTCCTACGTCCAAAGCCACAGCTAGCCCGCCCGTTCCCCAACTCGCTTACAGCCGTCGCATCTGCCGGTCTACAACCCGCTATCCAGGCTTTGTCCCACTGATGGTATATCTGAGGTTTCACCCGTCAGCTACGCCCATGACACAGATCCGCAATTGGGATGGGTTGCTCACATGGGCCAGAACGCATGATACCTCGTGTTCCTCATGTCTTTTCGGACGTCGATCAAAAATGCCTCCAGCTCCTCGGTCGTCCAGCCTAAACCTCGTGTAAAAAGGGCCAGACTGATGCCTGACAGAGATGCCGTGAAATTGTGATAAGTCCAGACTCCTAGCGTATTCCGGTTGGTGAGCATGTTCCATTCCGGCCCAGATCGATGCAAGCTTACCGATCGTCTTCAACGTGGGATCTTTCTTCTTCCAGGGGCTCATTGGCCACATGTAAGGCGTTTCCACAACGTCGACGAAGCCCGTCTCGATCATGATTTCCCTCACGGACTCGACACTATCAAGCGGACACCCCAGCTGCCTACTGGCTTCAAGCATATAAGCTGCCCATTTGGCCAGTGCAGAATCCGGCGGAAGGGTTCCATCGTCACACCCCAGGTGGAACGATATATCTTGGACCTCGAGCATTGCGCCTGGAGCAAGGTTTCTATGCAACACATCAGCACGAACCACCGTCGTCAATCGCATGGGGTGACATGAGCCCCTTACTCGTAGCTTTGCTGGATGAACTGCCGCCAGTCTGCAATAGCCCCCGTCATGAACCGGCTGAAGATGAAATCGAATTGATAGCTGAAAACCCATTGCTGTCCGACATCCATGACTTCAAACCTAACGTTAGGGGGAACACTACTTACCAAATGAGCAAAGGGATGATGGGAGTCTGATTAGACTCACTATATGGGTTGCACAGGGCTGACATCCACTCCGAGCACCTTTGTTCTGTCAACTGTCATCCGCGTGGAAGCCATGGCGGCAGCGACAACTCACGATTGCTTCCGGATGAAGATCACCTTCGACAGCCACGTCAGTCACCCATCACTTCAGACTCGGAAGATGCCTTTCCCCTCTTACCGAATTCAACCGACCAGATGCCCGTTCCAGTACCGATGTCTAGCACATGGTGCAATTCCCTTCTCTTCTCCACGCCACAGGTCGACAAGCGGTCGTTAAAGGTCATCTTTAAAAGATGATGTTGCAGGTCTGGCCAAAGCTACGGTCAGTGGATCAGGGAAAATAAGGGAGCGGGAACCAGATACTCTACCTAGTCGATCTAGCTCCATCTGTCAGGGCAACGACATCAGTAAACTCGTCTTCCACTTGCGGGAGGGATAATGGGTCCAACATCGATACCTCATCATTGGGCAAGACATAGGCTGTAGAGAATTAGTCCCAGATTCGGGAATGCTGCAACGACGTAATACTTCGCTCGCCGTAGGCGTTATAAGTTCTCCCGTGTTCCTGAATGTAATCGAAGACGCTTGATGTCAGAGATGACGTGGACAGCAGGTCATCGTCCTGCGTAAAATATCAGCTTGTAGGCGTGCTTTCGAGACGACGAAAAGCTCACATCTCCAAGAGCCGAGTCGACGTCTTCCGCAGCGTCTTGGGTTTCATCCTGGGTTAGCAGTATCAGCCATCGACCCGAGCTACGTAGAAAGGCACAGGCCGTGATCAATCCTACTGGCTCAAAATCCGGGTTTGGGGCAGGATCATGTTCTTCTGGTAGTGACATGAGGCAGGGCAGGTCGTAGAGGATGCCAATTGAGCAGAGACGAGGGAGGCTTCCCTGGGAAGACGTGTCTGTCGGCTCAATTTGAAGAGACTCGCATTGTTTGCTTCGAGATATACTCTGAGACTCTTTGCAAATCACAGATCCGAGTCTGTCCCAGTCGTGTAATCCATTGTGGACCCTTGTCTGCTTGTTCCCTTTTCTCTCCAGAAGACCCTGGTGCAACGTGGGATGAAGGAGGATTTGCTGGCCGACTGTGTCGTCGTATTCCCCCGCCTGTCACAGCATGGTACAACACCGACCATTCTGATTTGATATCGTGCCATGTGGCCTAGTTGGTGACACAAGATACATTGGCGATGGGATCAAGGTCCCCCCTGACCTAAACATTCTCCCAGGGCCGTCGATCGATAAGCATGTTATTCTGATTGAGTTTGGACTGTCTCATGCATTTTCTACTTAGGTGTTTTTCTGTGTTGCATCGGACATGATATGCAAGGTCTTTTGCCCTCTTGCTGACAATGCGGTGCAGTTTGCGGCAAGTTACTGGAGAAGATCCTTTCAGGGTTGCAAATGCATGCGACGACTCGTCTCTGCACGACGCCCCTTTCGGATGTGATTCGGGCTGTGTCACAAAACCACGTCAATATCAACATCTGCCGACGACGTATTGAAGGCCGCAGGTGGGATATTACGTAGGAGAAGAGCGTCCTCGTGGCATGGCCAAGGCGATATCTGCAAGTTGCTTGCAGTCGGACGGCGTTCTAGGCCCATTGTGGCCGATCAGCGGGGGCTGCAGACGGATTTGAATCGTGGCTTGAAGTGTGCGAACACGACCGTTGTTGCTGCAGGCCATTCGATAAAGCGAGAGGTTCAAGGTGGATTCACGGTGGGATGTGCCGTGCTCTTGAATGGTGGGACGCGCCTTTCTCGACCACATGCACCTTGGCGGCGAGCCAACCCCGGAAATACATATCTATATAAGCGAGCTTGTCTGACGAGAAGAGGGTGGAGGGGATTCACCATCAATTACCGGGGTATTGTTGTGTCAGACGGTGCCATTTATTTCTCTAAGGCGAGCGTGGGGGGTTTCGCGTCTCGCCTAAATGCACGAGCAGACGGAAATATGACTTCTTCTTCTGCTTTTGCTTCTTCTGCTACTTCCCTCATCGACACACCTCGTTCTCACTCTGAAATGAGAAGCATGCAAGACTGGCGGAATTCCATGTTGCCCGCCCAATAAGACTCACACCTACGATGAGGCCCAGCTGCGGCCCTCCACGTGTCGTTGTCTGTCTTGACCATCGCCGCTTCTCTCCCTCACCCATATATCCTCTGCTGGTAATTCTCGTGGCTCTTCTCTGAGGCTGTGTCTTCCGTCCCTGCATCGCCCTCTGGACGTCCCTTACCCTTTTCTGATAACGAGTGGACGACGACATAGGTCGTGAACAGTGGGATCCCTGTCATCATCGCGAGACAGGCAGAACTCCAGCTAAGCGTTCCATTGAAAATGCGGCCTCAGATCCGTCACAGCCGCCTGCTGCACAAGAGGAGAGATCAGAAAGGAGGCTCGGCAAGCCGCAGACAACGAAATCACGAGGATAGTCGCTTGCTTCCCGAGTGACCTGTTTATTTCGTGTGGCCCGAATTACTACGCCTGGGAACTGCGAGCTAGTCAGCTCCCAAAATAGGTTGTTGCTGCGATGACGGGGCCATTCTTTCAATGGACGCAGAGCGGGGTGCCTTGGTATTGAATGGCAATGGAAGAGATTTCACCCAGACCTGCTTCGTGATTCTGGACTGGCTGCTGAGCCAGCGCGGCGAAGCGAAGCATTGCTGATCGACCCAGCCGGCATTCAATTCTCATGAAAGAAATCCCTCAGATGCTCTACCAGTCGGGAGCCTGAAGCCATCGCCCACCGGACGTGGATCGGTTGACACCTGAATCAAGCACAACAAGACGAGTTGAAGGCCAAATCCACACCGAAAGGTTCACTGAGTCGATCCTAGTTGGCAAGTCACGTATAGAGGCAAAGAGAATATATTAGGAGCCAGGTCGTTGGTGCCGTGCCGGTAATCCTGGTATATAAATGTGCCAATGATCTCCGAGAGGCGAGAAGGCAGGGATGCCAACAAGTCTCACCGATCCTCAAGGAGAATATTCAACCACAGAGGCATCGGATAGCTCGGTCCCAAGGTGCCCATGGCAGCCGCAGCTTCCGGTCATGCTCTGGCCCGCCAGCCTCGTCAGCTCCCACAGTGAAGAGCAGGCGAAAGTCTGTCGAAACTGCACTAGAGTGACGACGGAGGCCCAATGGTAATTGACAATGAGGTACGAGGCAAGCTTGAGCTCAACAAAGAATTACAACCTGTGTGGTCTCAAGTAGCGTGGCAGCTTGGTATAATTATATTGATGTGTTGTAATAAGACCAACGATGTTGGCGGTGTGTTTTTCTGCCGGTCTCTGTGTCAGCATCAGCAACAGCAACAGTCGCGCATCCAACTCACTCCATTCGCTCCTCGTCCTCGAGTCACACGTTTCACTTATTATTCTTAGCATTGGTTTGTTTGCGTGTCTGCTGATTTGCTTTCTGGTGCACTGCTTCTGCCCTTCTCCCTCGATGTTTTCTTTTGGATAGTTGCTGCGGTATCGGTTTCCTGTTTCTTCTCCTCCACCCCCTCCCAGACCCTGTCCTCCCCCCTCTCGTCCGATATGGTTCAATATCGCGACCACGACGACGATCCTGCCTCTGAGACCCTTCCCCTGACGGACGAAGAGACGGCAACCGGTGCCCAGAGTCCAGAGTTGCACATCCAATCGACCCCCGATTCTCCGACCACGACCGCGCTCCCGCTCCCGGTGTGGCTACGGGAATCCGCCAGTTCCTTCAAGTTCAAATGGGTGCCGTTGCCTCTCCGCAAAGCAGGCAGGACCGTCGCAACATGGGTCAAGGGTCCAGTTCCGCCCCGTGTCCTCAAGATAGAGCCAATATACCCCAAGATTCAGCAAGCACCGATTAGGCTGCTGGATAAATATGCGCCGAAGAAAAAGCAGCGAGTCATCCTTCTCGTGGGGCTATACGTGTGCTGGTTTTTAACCTGGTCGCTCATGCTCAAAAGTCACTCAACCTCTGGATTCATCAAGGGATACGGCAAGCCCAGCAACCTGTGGTGCGGCGCGAGCTTTTGGAACGAAGGCAACGGATGCGGATTGAACGGGAACATGTGTCGGCCTTTCTCTTCGGCGCATTTGACCTTCCGCTGTCCCGCGAACTGCATGGGCACTCATCTGCTCGAAGAACATATGGTCGGGAATCAATCGTTGCGATATCAAGGGTTGGTCGTCGGTGGCCCCAAACCGGGCGAACCCGACTCCATGCCAGTCTACCGAGCCGACAGTTTCATCTGCCAGGCGGCCATCCATGCTGGCATCGTGACGGAGGGCAAAGGCGGTTGCGGAGTAGCCACACTCATCGGGTCTCACACCAACTTCCCATCCACCAAGGCTAATGGGATTGAAAGTACGAGCTTCGTAGGGACGTTTCCCCGAGCCTTCACCTTCCAACACCTCTCGCCCACCCAGGCCACCTGTCCGACAGATTCGCGATGGCCTCTTTTTGTGGTGACGGCCGTCGCACTGGTTGTCCTCTCTGTCTTCACCACATCCCCCGCCGTCTTCTTCTTCAGCACCTTTGTGATCATGTTTTTGCACGTCGGTCTGGTCTCAGATCCACCCAATACCGCCAACTTCTATGAGGCCATCAGCAAACTCGTGGAACGTCTTCTTCCCGCGGCGTTTATCGTCGTCATCCTCTATCGCGTCGCCGCTCTGCCGCTGCTACGCGGCTTGACTGCTCAGGTCGAGAAAACAGTGCTCTACCTGGGATTCTGTTTCATCGGCGCGTTGAACAACTATACATTCGCCCCGCTCATTCCCATAGAACGACTGACGCCACGCGACCTGGCACAACCCGGCGCACCCTTCGCCCTCGCGCTCATTGTCACCATCATCCTGGCCATTGTCATTTCGCAAATTCACTTTATCCGCATTTCGGGCAACATGCCCAAATACCTCGCCATCTACGGTGCCATGGCTCTGGCGCTGATCATCTTCCTCGTGCTCCCCAACCTCCGACTGAGGATCCATCACTACATCTTGGCGATGCTGTTCATGCCCGGAACGTTCACGCAGACCCGGGCCTGTCTGGCCTACCAGGGGCTTTTACTGGGACTGTTTGTGAACGGGATCGCCCGCTGGGGTTTCGCATCTATCATCCAAACACCCGCGGCGTTGGGCGAAGCGAACTCGGGTGGCGGCAGCGGCTCGCCGGGGTCATGGTGGGGGGCGAAATCGCCCAACGTGACGGCCGTCGTGGCGCCAGACATCTCCAACATCACATTCAACTGGGGACCCTTACCTAAAGACAGCGGGGTGGATGGGGTGAGCATCTTGATCAACGACGTCGAGCGCTGGCGCGGATACACGGACGAGGAGCTCTTCTGGGACCCAGAAAGCGTTACATTGCCACGACGGCACGAACGGGGCGACACGGACGACGCCCTGGAACCCGAGTTCTTCCGGTTCGCCTGGATGAGCGGGTCGCAGACGGGGCTGTACTCGCGCGTCGGACTGTGGGACGAGCACGGCCAGTGGCACGGGCCGGATGCCGGCACGACGAAGAACATGGTTGTCGGGGACGATGACGCCGAGGTGAGGAATTATGGGGGCAAGTTCGATGTTGTTGACGAGGCGGGCGCTGCAGAGAAACAAGACGCAGAGGAGTTATAGCCCAGCTACGAAAGAGACCCCTGCAGGGGTGAATGGATCCGGAGCCATGCTCGTGCTTACACATATACCACGGAGTCTCTGAGTGGGTGACCAAGAGACTCAGTGAGTCTCCACGACACGACGGTTCGAATTGGATAGATATATAGATATACCCGCGAACACACACGCCGACCTGCACGAAATCACACCGAGGGAAGACGAGAACGGGGACGATGGAGACGAGACGAGACGAGACGAGACAAGAGGATGGAATGGGACGGGGACGAAACGAAGACACGCCTCGTCGTCGCCCTGGGTCGACGGATGGATGGGATGTACGAGGTAGATCTGACTCTGACTGAGATATCTATATATCTATATAGCATTGGTGCCGTGCTCTGCAAGATTAACGTATCAATGTGGAAATGATTTATGATGAAGACGAGACGAGACGAGACAAGTCAGACGCGACATGCGTGCTGTGCTGTGCTGTGCTGTGCTGTGCTATCTGAGAGGGGATGATGAATCAACCACTCCTCCAAGGGTAAACACATACAAGCATACACATGTATACATATATATATGTGTGCGTGTGTGTGTGTGCGTGTGTGTGTGTGCTGTATGTATACGAGTGAGTACACATCTAACGCAGGAAACTTGTTCAGAGACACTGCTAAGAGACAAGTCAAAGGGATATGGATATCGATATAGTTATATATTTGTCTATTATCTCAAAACACGCTCTGCGCTCAGGGACAGATCGCATATCGAATACCGCCAGCCGACATACAGTAGCAGGAGGCTACATATACCTATACCCATCACCAATACCTACTTGTACATAGGACACATGGCGCAATGGCGGGTGTGGATATGGTATTCATCATCCCACCGTCTAGATAATTTTACAACTTGGCCTTGGGCGTTCTCTCGGCGTCCTCCTTGTACAAGTCGTCCAACAGGGCCCGGAACCGCTTGACGGCGACGGGCCTCTTCAGCTTAAGCGTCGGGGTCAGCAGCTCGTTCTCGATCGTAAAGGGTTCGAGCATGAGCTTGAAGCTCTTGACCCGCTCGTAGCCTGCAAATTTCTTCCGGCGGCCGCACTTGTCCAGGTCCTTGAGCACGGCCTCTTTGACCTTGGGCTCCTCGCATGCTCGGAGGAGCGCGGGGTAATCGGTGGGTGAGATCTCACGAGAGAGGATCTTGGACGCGAACGGGGCAAACACGTCTGGTTGGATACCGAAGATCGCGACAAGGGACGTCTGTGACGAGTCGCCGTGCACGAATGCCTGAGCCAGGTACGTGCAGGAGGACAAGTACACACCTTCAATGCGCTCCGGCGAAATGTACTCGCCTTGCGCGAGCTTCAGGACGTTCTTGCGGCGATCGATGATGCTGAATCTGCCCCTCTCATCCACACTAGCGATGTCACCAGTCTTGAACCAGCCGTCCTCGGTAAAAGCTTTGGCTGTTTCTTCGGGGTTCTTGTAGTATCCTGTGAATACAGAGGCACCTCGCAGCAAGAGCTCACCACGTGGATACGGCTTGTCTTCAACACTGTATTCCATGTCGGGCACCGAGATCAGACACGCTTCGGCACAAGCAACAACACCGCCACAGTTGCCGACTGTGAAGTCGTCAGCTGGCTGGGTTAACGCGATGGCGTACGTCTCTGTCAAACCATATCCCTGATAGACCCTGGACGATAGCGCAACGCGAAGGAACTGTTGCAACGAAGGGTCGAGGGGTGCGGAGCCTGAGACGATAGTGACTGCACGGTCAAGACCCAGGGCCGAAGCGACCTTGCGACCCCAGATGCGGTCGTAGATGGCGTGGTGGTAGGTTGGGTTTGGCGGCGTGGCTCCGGCAGATTTGGGGGCCGGATTCGCGTTGGCCAGTTTCGTCCGGACAATATGGCGGCTCAATGCGCCCTTGACGCCGGGTTGCTCGACGGTGTTGGCCTTGATGGCTCCACCAAATCGATTCAGCAGTCTCGGGACCGAGGCGAAGTTGGTGGGACGGAGGAGTTTGATGTCGTCCACGAGTTCGAGAATGTTGCCGTGGAAGTAGCCGATCCGAGACCCACCCCAGAACGCAGTGTGTTCCAGCAGGCGGCCGTAAATGTGCGCAAGGGGCAAATAACTCAAGGCGACGCTGTTTTCCTTGACTGAAATGGAGATGAGGGAGGAAGACGTGGCTGCTACGCACATGGCGTGGGTGAGGAGGACACCTTTCGGTGGTCCGGTGGTCCCGGAGGTGTAGTTAATGGTGATGGGATCTGAAGGTTTGGGCGGGTTGTTGGGCTTCCCCAGAGATGCTCCCAGCTTCTCTACCGCATCAAGGGAAAAGATGTGGAGTCCGACATCTGCTGCCATGGCGTTGAGGAGCTGTTGCTTGGACAGTTCCGGCTTTTCGTTGGGACCCGGTTCCAGAGGGTCCAGCACGACCAGGAATTTGAGGTGAGGAAGACGCGGCTTCAGCTTGATGAGCGTCGGGACGTGTGGGAGAGAGCAAACCACCGAGGCCAGTTCGGCGTGCTGCATGATGTATTCGGACGCGTCGGGACCGAGTGTATCGTATAGAGAGACCGAGTACAGCGACTGGGACATGCAGGCCAGATCGGTGAGTTGCCATTCCGGCCTGTTCTGGCACCACAGTCCGACGCCGTAGTTGGCGCCCTGGATCCCTTCTCTTGCGTGCAACTCGACCAGTCCCGCGCCAAAATCCGACCTCCTCTTGCGGACTGTCTCATAGTCGAGCCATTCGTACGGGCCGTATGCCTGTTTTGACGAGTCGTAGGGACGGTAGCCTAGACACGGGGCGTGAGGAAACCTCTGCGCGGCATACTCAAACATTTCATGGGCCGTAGTGATGGAGGGGTCGAGGGTCTCGAGGATCCCATCGCGACATTTGTGATGGCGATAGACCGGGGTGCGGTTGGGCTTCTCAGAGCCGGGGATGGTGATGGAGTATGGCTGGCCCTTGGGAGGCGGTTGGTAGTACTCGTCGGCCTTTTGCGCGTAGGGCGGCCTGGACGAGAGAAGAGGCATGGCGAAGGGTAGAGGGACGGACGATGAAAGCAAGGACGAGGGCGAGGGAGGTAGGGATAGGTGCCAAAGGGTCAATCAATCAACCACGACGTCTCGAAGAAAGAGAGGGAAAAACTGAAGCATGGGAAGAAAAAGTCTCGCCGGTCTTTTAATGAACAACTTACACAAGAAAAAAGGTGGAAGCCGGTTCACTATTACGACCACGACTTGGACTTGACGGAGGAAGGATCTTGACCTGCGCGTGCCTGGCGAACCGACGTTGGGAATTAATGAAACGGCACAAGTCTGTCTGACGGCAAGTTGCCTACTGTAGGTAAGGGTTAATAAATAAGTAATATTTACTCCACCACCACAAAGTCCACATTTAGCTGCTATTAGAGATGGGCCAATATCTATGTAGTTAGAGATTTCGCCATGTTTAAGAGTCGAGATAGAATACCCTTCTGATGCGTTCAGACAGAATCACTTCTACGGGATCTCGTACTCACCCTCGTACCCTTTTCTTGTCAGACCGACGGACAGAATGGAAAACAGAATGCTCGGAAATCAGCAATTGGAATGCCATCACCCATGCCATGTCATCTGCTACCCTTCTCGGGCCCTGGTCGCGAACTGATCATCATGTGGCACGCCACCAACGCGACTGAGTTGCCAAACCAAGCCTCGGCATCCCCGAGTTATTAGCCAGACAATTGCCAGGGGAGGGCTAGGGGCCCCCAGTGGGTGCTAGGAGCAGTGGTAGCCTCCGGAGCAGGTGGACCAAACCACGGACATGTAACCCAGATGAGTATACCTTGTTGGATATTTATACAGTAGCTACTGGATGCAGGCCTTGGTGACACGAGGAGCCTCGGTGAAGCCACTGGAAAGATACTGGGCGACGCATGTATGTACATACGCCATACATTACGAGTGATGGGGTAGGCAAAAAGACTGGCCACTTGAATTGCCGAATAATACGAAGTACGAGGTACACAATGCACAAAAGCATGTGAAAATTCCTGAGATCGAGTTGGAAATCCATCTTCCACCGATTGGCTGCCACCACTGCGCCCCGAATTCCCCTTCCTAGCTCTTGGTCCGCAGCCTCACACACCGTGGCTGTTCAGCCCTCTACCTCTCCAGCTCTCCAGCTCTCTCCTACCCCCATGTATCGTGCCCGTCGTATCCTATATCCGCTTTCTTCTCGGTCAAATCAACATCGATCTAGAGATTCGGCCCTGTATCCAATGCGTCATCAGGATCCCTCTTGCTGTATCGCAACATTCCATTGAAAACGAAACAAGATCAAAGGTGTCAGTCAGGAAGATCAGGTAGCCCCACTGAGTGTCGCATCACCGCTCGGCTTCACCCCAGCCGCTGCATTGTCCTTGTGGCCCTCCGCATCCGGTCGGGCAGCCTCGCTGGCAGCAAAGCTTTGCTCAAAGTCATGGATAATGTCGTCGATGTGCTCGATCCCGACACTGATTCTAATCATGTCTTCTGTGACGCCCGAGTCGATGCGCTCCTGCTCGGTTAGTTGTTCGTGGGTGGTCGACCACGGATGAATGGCGAGCGTCTTCGCATCTCCGACACTATCCGCCGCGTCAGCGGTCCAGTCTGTGGACCAACTCTCCAGGGACTTCACTTACTTGGCCAGGTTAGAAATGATCTTGAATCCGTCCACCACCTGCGAACCTGCGGCGGAGCCACCCTTGACCCCGACCGACATGACGCCGCCGAACCCGCGCGGAAGATATTTCGTGGCGAGTTGATGGTAGGGATGGCTCTCCAACCCCGGATACGACACCCACGCCACATTCGGATGCTTCTCAAGCCACTTGGCCAGCTTCAACGCGTTCTCCGCAATCCGCTCGCATCGCAGGCTCAGCGTCTCCACCCCCAGGATGAACTGCTGGGCGTTGAAGGGCGACATGCAGGATCCGAGATCACGCAGGATCTCCACACGCACTCGAATGAGGAAGGCCAACGGCCCAAAGGTATCGACAAATTTCAAGCCGTGGTAGCCGGGCGCCGGATCGTTGAATTGAGGGAATCTTTTCGCGTTGGCGGCCCAATCAAACTTGCCGGAATCGACAATGATGCCGCCAATGGAGGTGCCATGGCCGCCAATCCACTTGGTCGTACTGTGCACAACAATATGTGCACCATGTTTGATCGGCTGGCAGAAGTACCCACCGGCGCCAAAGGTGTTGTCCACAACCAGAGGCACCCCCTTGGCAGTGCAGATCTTGGCAATCGCCTCAAAATCCGGGACGTTGTACCGAGGATTGCCAATGGTCTCGACATACACCGCTTTGGTCTTGTCGTCGATGGCGGCCTCGAAGTCTTCGGGTTTTTCCGAGGTCAAGAACTTGGTCTGGATGCCCAGGCGGGGGAACATGACCTTGAACTGATTGTACGTGCCGCCGTACAGGTTGGAGGTCGAGACGATGTTGTCCCCCGCGTGCGCCAGCGCCGCAATGGTCATGAACTGCGCGGCTTGGCCGGACGAGGCAGCCACGGCGGCAATGCCCCCTTCGAGGGCCGCAATTCTTTTCTCCAAGACATCCACGGTAGGGTTCATGATCCGGCTGTAGATATTCCCAAACTCTTTCAGGCCAAAGAGCCTGGCGCCGTGAGCACTGTCATTGAAGGTGAACGAGGTGGACTGGTAGATGGGCACCGCGCGGGAATTGGTGGCAGGGTCTGGCGAGTGGCCAGCGTGGACCTGAAGGGTCTCGAATTTTTGAACCCAGTCGTCCGAAGGCATCTTGAAGGAGAGGAAGCTTCCGACAGCGTCGTCCGGGAGGAGAGAGAATGCGATGGAGGGAGGACTGGTTGTAGCTAGCCAGTCACCAGGCAGTGAGGGGTCAGGCGCCGCAGAAGGGGCTGAATTGCTAGGACAAGGTTATATGTACTTGGGTCAAGGGGTGGTAGAGAGAAAGAGAGTGGAAAACAGGGTGGGCACAAGGAGCAGTCAAGTACCTCTCTATATTGAGTCTCGGGTCAAGGGCCAGGGCCAGGGCTAGGAGAGCTCTCCACTCGTCCAGAGGCACAGGGAAACAAAGCACGGGGTATGTAATCCTGGGAGCGAAAAGCTTTCTGAAGATCGTGCGTGCAAAGGGAAGAAAAAGTCTTGGAGGGGGCCCGTCCCTCGCAAGTTCTCACTCACTGTGCTCACTTGGACCAGCTTTTTGGGTGCGTCGAGGACCTTTTCCCCGCATTCCGAATGCTAAAGAGAATTGCGTGATCGGTCCATCAACCCACGTCAGTTTCCCACTTCAGTCCAAGTTCGTGCCAGAGAACATGGTGTAGCCTGTCGTATCTCGTCTCCCAATCTTGTGCGTATCGTCAGTTGTTGTGACTGCTGATGGGGCTGTCCCAAATAATAATGTACCATGGCAATCAACGAACCGCCTTTGTCCCAACTCGGCATAGGCGACCATCCGGTGAGCTGACAAGGTCTGTTACCTGGCATGCAAGGTGGAAAATCATCGAGTACCTGGCTCACTGGGCAGGCGTGCAGCAGACGTGGCGCAAATGCAATTTGCTACTCGAGCTCCTCCAAGCAGAGCTCATGTCCGCGGATGGTGCTGAAGACCCTCACGCCCAACGTTGTCGGATCCGGGGCGGAGAAGGACGTCGACTTATCTAAGCGAACAAACCACAAGCCACATGCGAATAGAAAAACGAAATCCCTACCTCGTAGATCCATGACAATGTGCTTCACCGACCTCGTGGGCCCTGTAGCTAATTTGGCCCCCAGCTTGTCGTTCAATCCTTGTACCAGGAGAGAAGCAGTCAGGGCGACCACCGTCACACCACATGGCTCTGCGGCTGAAGAGCATCCTCCATGACTTGGTCAATCCCATATTTCCCCAGTACGGAAGCAGGCCAGCCTTTCTCGAATTCCGTTCATCCAAGGTCTTTATTGTGTTCGCCGTGTGCTGGTCTGTCTTCACGGTAGGTCCCTCCGGGTCTGGCCAATCATGGCGGTTCAGCTGCTCACCCACGGTCCAGGATGTCTTCCTCTACGGTGTCGTCGTTCCCGTCATTCCCTTCGCGCTCCAGAGTCGAGTCCATGTGGCCCATGCCGACACGCAGCACTGGGTTTCCGTGCTGCTCTCCGTATATGCAGCTGCATTACTCTTCTTCGCCCCGGTCTTTGGCATCATGGCCGACCAGACAAGCTCTCGTCGAGGACCGTTTCTTGCAGGACTCGTCCTCCTGACCGGTTCAACTTTGATGCTCTGTCTGGGCAAGACCATCCCGGTGCTGGTGGTGGGCAGGTTGTTGCAAGGGGTGTCGGCGGCTGTGGTCTGGGTGGTCGCCTTGGCCCTCCTGGCCGATACGGTGAGTGAGCAGGAATCAGGTCAAGCCATTGGCTATGTCAGCCTCGCGACCTCACTGGGGGTCTTGGTGGCGCCGCTGATTGGCGGTGTGGTCTACGAGCGGTCGGGATACTACGCCGTGTTCGGGGTGACCTTTGCTGTCATCGGATTCGACATCCTCTTGCGCCTGGCCTTGATTGAGAAGAAGATCGCTGCGCGGTGGCTGGAACCAGACGTTGCGACAGGTCAGCCAACATCCACCACTCCCGCTCCGCCGGACATCGAACTCGAGGACCGGAATGAACCAACCGCTGTGGCCGAGAAAAATGCGAATTCGGCGGTGGTCGAGCCGTGCACCACGCGCCCTCGCCGAAAACTACCGTCCATGTTGATCCTGCTGAAGTCGCGACGGATTATGGTGGCATTTTGGGGAAACCTCGTGGGGGCCATGACATTTACTGCCCTCGATACGACTCTGCCCTTGTATGTCAACCAAATCTTTGGCTGGAACTCCCTGGGGGCCGGGTTGGCTTTTCTGGCGTTGATTGTGCCGGGATTTGCAGGTCCATGGATCGGCCATCTAACAGACAAGTACGGCCCCCGCTGGATTGCCGCGTCTGGGTTGGTGCTGTCCGTGCCTTTTTGGGTGTTACTCCGGCTGGTTGACCATGACACCACCAGCCAGGCCGTGTTGCTGTGTGCTCTGCTGGTGCTCTTGGGAGCTGCCACCGCGCTTCTCTTGACCTCCCTGATGGCCGAATTCAGTAAGGTGTGTGATGCAAAGGTGCGGCAGGAGCCTGATGTGTTTGCTGGGAAATCTGCGTATGCCCAGAGTTATGGGATCTTCAACGTGTCGTGGGCTGGAGGGAGTCTGCTCGGACCATTGGTATCCGCAGCCGTCAAGAGTGCTGCAGGGTGGAAGACGATGACGTGGACCATGGGACTTTGGTGCGCCGTCGGGATTCTGCCCACCATTCTGTACTCGGGAGGTATGATCTCGAGGGGGAAACGACGCGGGAACAGTGGCGAAGGAGTAACGGGCGATGAAAGTGCCTAGACGCGCGTAGAGTGGACAATGACAAGTCTTCGTGGGCGAAAGAGTAGACAGGAAGGAAGGATCGAGTGTTCGCTGGCGTCTCTTTGGCGAGAATTGCTGGAATTGCTGGTGGTGTTGAATGAAAGTGTCGTGGTGTCAAATCAGTTGCTGCGACGCGGGTGCATCTGAAACGCGGCCTCACTGGCCCCTGCAGCTCATACAGACATATTACTAAGTTAATAATATTAGCGAATGGACTAGGGTGACTGCCACCGCCAACTTCCTCGTCCGTCTCTTCGTCTGTTTCATCGTCTCATCGTCTTTTGTTCATCTCTGACTCCCCATCAGAATGTCAAACACCATCTTCTTGCTCCCGGTCGTGGCCGTCCAAAGGCCGTCCATGCAAGTCATGCTCTTTGATGGCATCTCAAACAATTCAATCTTGCCATCCACCCAAAGCGGTTCCGATGCGCGTTGTGGGACAAACAGCTGAAGATGCTCGTGATGCTGTCCAGAAATTGCCGATTGCTTTATCAACACCTTGTCTCGCCTTTTCGTTTTCCATTACTCTATCATTGCAGAGGCTAAGATACAGATCGTCTTCTTTTATTACCAACACCCGCGCCGGTTGTGAGTGTGTTTGTTGTTGTATTAGTACTGGCAGTGAGCAATCTTCTCGGCGGGTCACTAAGTTCACCTTCTCGGCGTCGTCGATGTTTTGATCAATTTCACTTTTTATTGCCCTTCTTTGCAGAGCCTCTGGTGGAAAGGTTCATAGTCACCACCACCGTCCTCCTCCAGCCACATCTGCATCTCTCAGACTCATCATCCACCAGACCCTGCCTACATCACCACCAAGACCAGCAACAAGCGATCCATCCAACATGTTTCTCAGCCCAGTCCTCATCCTCCGCATCGTCCAGGGAGTGCTGGCTTTCATTGCCATGGCTCTCGGAGCGACAGGTGTGTCTTTCGCCTCGGGGTCGAAGGTGGTGCGGAGCTGAGCTGACACGATGATTCAGTGGCCAACGTCTTGAACACCCACCATCCTGCCCTGGACGTCCCAGCAGGTGTGATCTTCTTCATCTTCATTGCCGTCTTCACCTTGCTAGTCACGGTTCCATACACAATCTTGACGCCTCGCTACTTCCCGGTCCTGGCTCATCCGTTTGCCATGCTTGCGGCCGAAGCCACCACGTCCATCTTCTGGCTGGCTGGTTTCGCTGCTGTTGCCGATCGCTTGCGCAGATCAGATATATGCCACGTCGGCGCGTGTTCATCCGCCACGGGCAGCGTTGTGGTGGGGGTCTTCGAGTTGTAGGTGCCGGGCGACTCGTACTTCCAGGCTTCTCTGACCGACTCAACAGCATCCTCTTTGGCATCACAGCCTTCTTCGCCTTTTCTCATATCTTCCTGGGTGGTAGATTCAGTGGGAACAAACCCCAAAACAAGCAGGGGCAAGTGCATCGCACGTGGACCGGGTCTGAGCTTGTGTAAGGCTGAAAATGAGGGCTACACAACACGTAGATAGCATGGTAAATCGTTGCATACCGGCAAGAGACGAGAAATGATACTGTGACCTTGATCACATTTTTGCTGTGAACACCTGCCTCACATCCATTCCCTTGTGGGATCCAGTTGGTGAGGACGGTGGACCACCCTTTGACTTGTTGCATTCCACTTCCTCAGGGTGGCGTGTTTTCTCTTTCGTCAAGATCCTCAATCTCCCAATGGCCATCAGAGTGCCCGGCGGTCTCGACTGGATGCATGCCCTTTTGTCTTCAGACTACTCCCGAGCGACCTTTTGAGGTCTTGAGGATGCACAAAACTCATTTCCGACGGCTTAGACTGACTCCCAGAAGTGGTCGTCAGACGACGAACCTTCCGAATGCTGCATACCCTCGATCAACATGTACGGTGCCAACGGCAGCTGTGAGGCTCCTCTCCTTTGCCGACGCTTTCTGAACGATGCCGCACGCCAACAAATCTCCCATTCATCCGCGAGCCGATCGTGCCAGAGGAACCGCCTCATCAGTTCTTCGGTGTCGTCCCACGACGTCGCCTCGGGCAACTTGTCCACCAAGCTGTCGAGAACTAGGTGTTGTTCGGGAGAGGCATCAATCTGAGTGTCCCAAGCACTCGCCGTGACGATGGCGCACCAATAAAGGCACCGATGGAGCCAAGGATCTCGAGCGTTGCCCGTATACGCGTTAAACGTTTCCAGGAGGGGTCGAAGAGGTCGTGCGAGTGGGATGTGGAAGGACATGTCGTTGTAGAGATGCAAACAGAACGCCAGCAATGCTCGGGAGATCTGCACCTCGATGGGCGTCAATGACAGGGCCGAGAGACACTGGAGATCATAGATGGCCCGCTGCATGGTCATGTCCGGCTTCGGTTGGGCCTCCCTCTCGTGCTGAGAGGACGCAAGCCAGTTGACGAGTTCCGTCAGCTTCACCACAAAGCTAATCACTTCAATGGCGATGCTACGACTCAGTGCAACTTCTGCAAATCCCTCCGGCAACTTGGCAACGACTGCGCAGAGATCGGGAAGAAAGGGGTGGCCCGGATACGTCAAGGTACTGATCCTGTGGCCTTTCTCGTTGATTCGGTTTGCGTAACTCGGCTGGTTAGCTTGCAAGAAGGAGGCAAGCACTCCAAACCTATTTTCCAGCTTGAGCCTGAGAGACATGCTTTGGGGGGGGGGCAATGCTGCTTACGCCAGGGTTCTGCCTCGCACGAAGCTTTTTATCCCGGTATCGTCTCTGGGCTCGCTAGACGCTAACACGTTCTCCAAGGCACGGAGATGAATTTCAAAGGATTCCAGGTCGTTGATCATATACTAGACGGTCATCAGACTGAAATCAACTCGGTGTTTGACCCATCAAGCCTTACGTTCAATGTTACAAGCGTGGACATTGTCAGCAAGACGAGGTCGGGATCCAGCCGCTCAGGAGCCATGAGACTGTCTCTTAACTCTCTGAGTGCGACTCCTCGGTGTCGGAGCAGCATCTTGTCGGCGAATGGTTCTGATCCCCTCCTCAAGACCCACGCGGCTCTTGTCATCGCAATCGTCGCCTCGAACAGCATCGGGTTCTGGAAGGCCAATGGTAGCACGAGCGCAAGCAGCGCATTCCGTCCACTTTGGACACTGAAGGCCAGCGCTTGTTGAGGCGCCCATACTTGGACATCTGGGAATCATGTGTGAGCGCCATCTCAATTGTTGTGCGGACGCGGCGCTCACAGTAATCTGCCATGAGTCGTACGCCTGTGGAAGCCCGCGCGACCGGGTAGCGCACAAAAGGATCGACCCGATATCCACTGTCGACAGTAATCAAGGGAGAGGGACAACGGCTATTCTCCGAGTCATCGTCGGTGTCAGGAGTTCGACTAGAGTGGCTGCGCGAGAAGGGGGAGCGCCGACGACCCGAGGTCGGCGCTCCTCGCTGGTTATCCATGACTCTGAGAAGAGACGGAAAGACTGAGGCGCATCTTCTTCAGGGCATCGGCAAGCTGCATGTGAAGCACCAGAAGAAGGTCAAGGGCCTGTGCTGAAGATATATTGATGGCGGCCAACTCGAAGATCGAGCAGCTCGTGGGAGTAGACTCGCCATGGATCTCGACACGGGCTGCTCTGAAGCCCGTAGCGTGTCGCCTGTGCGGGCGCCATAGGCGCATTTGATAACCTAGCGACCACATGGCTTCCACCGATTCGGATCTCGTAACGGGGTCGAAGTCAATACCCGTGAGCATGTATCCCCGAGACCAAGCTTTGGATCACAGAATCGTCCCGTCATTCAGGCTCTGTCAGCTCGGTGCCGAGCGTCTTCATTGGTAAGATGTTTGGCGAGAGGGGTCCCCGTCGACGAATAGAGTTGGTGGTGGTTTAGGAATCTCGCTTTTCTCAGAAGCGAGTCGAGTCGCTCTTAGCCGTGTTACCGACGCCTCCGAGGTCAACTTGACACCACTGTCCGTTCGTTAGAGTGCATTGATCTGCCGGTCTGCCTGCTAATAACAGGCCTGAGGCACAGGGGTGTGTGTCCGTTTTCCCCATCTGGCAGAAAGGGCACACAGCAAAAGACCACAATGTTGAGTGAGCAACAGTATACATACGGTACCGTTGGGTGACCGTAGTCGCCGTGCTTTGCTCCATGGTAGTTCATGCATGGTCCCCGACTGTCGATCATCAAAGCATTTGGGCAGAGATCCTTCCTTCTCTTGCAACCGCCCATTGGCGTGGACGTGACGGAGATGGCCCGCCCTGCTCCTGTGGACATACTTTACCTCGAAGGGGAGTTCTTCCTTCCACTCTGTGCTACCTCGTCTTGCAGCGTCACGCCACAAAAGGTGGTAGACCAGGTGGGGAGACAGGCAGGTGGATAGGAGCTGAGCAAAGGTATTCCAGCCACAGGCATCAGCAGCAACACGACCTGGGGAGGGACCCTTTTATTCCTCGCAACATGTGAGTGTTGGTCAGGGGCTTATTCAGCCCTAGATACCCGGTCTCTACCTGAGTAACAACCTAGGGAAGAACCCCTTCTTATGTCGGGAGAGAGGGAGGTAATAATACGAACCACTTGGCCAGAGGTAGGCGTGAGATAGGCGCGAAGGATCGAAACGAGGTCAAGGGAACCTCTGTGATGACGAGTATGGACTCACTCGGTAACGCATTATTACGTCTGGCATACCCAAGAGTACGAGCAAGGTAGACCTCATATACCTATAGGAAGCCCAATATGGTCCTCGACCCCGAGACAACTTAGGTGTGATAGGACTTTGTTGAATTTCCCGGCCTTTTGTGCGTTTGTTTTTGGGTTTCAATTATGATCTGCATACGAATCACATTTTCCAGTGCTATTTTCTCTCTCTCTCTCTCTCTCACTCGCTCTGTCTCCGGTGCGCTTGCATAGCAACTATATCTCGTGGGATGTGTGGGGGATGATTGGATTAAGCAAGAAATTCTTTCGCTTCAAAATCTTCCGCAAAGCAAAAAAAGGGGTCACAAAAAAGACGATATAAAGGGAGAGATAGAGAGGGATAAGGGTAAACAAAGAACCGGGGCCCGCAAGGTGGCGAGCCCATCGCGCTGTAGTCGTGGCTGTACAGTTTTCTTGCTTTTTTTCACTCCTATTTTCGTTCGCCCGCTCATAGCAGAGCCTGCCTGCCTGCCTGGTTACCCTCTCACTTGTATATTGCGTACAGTAGAGGTGGGGTTGGAAGGAAGACAGGGAGGCGAGAGGATAGAGAACAATTCGACCTCTCCAGATCCCGCACTCGCCCTCAATGTCGCGCATCTAGGGCTATGCAGGTAATAGACTCGGAATCAAGAGCGGAAGGTCAGGAAATCCGCAGCCTGCATTGTTCAAATCAAAAATGGTTAGCACGGGGTCCGAGACGATCGCTCAATGGCACGAATGGCAAAACCTCGTGCAGCAGAGCATTGAGTTGATGGAAGCCGAATTGTGCAAAACTCACCTTGTCAATATTATAGTCGAATTTCTCCAGCGCTGCAAGGCTTTCCTCCCGTGACCATCCCATCGCAGTCAGTCTCTTGAGGATCGGGTCGTCGTGTTCCGTACCCGTACTCAGCGCCCGACCGATCTGAGGCCGTTCCGCCTTTGACCGGGGCGGGGATGACGCCGGTGGTGGTGCAACGATTGCCGGGGTGGGGGAAGAAACACCCGATGGCCCTTGCGGTGGTGAAGGTGTGGAAACTTCCGGGGCCTGCGCCTGACTTTGTGGGAGACTAGCGGCTGATGGTGATGGCGCGCTGTCACTTGCGTTGGCGTTCAATGGCGCGAAGAGAGCATCCCAGTCGTGTGAGACAGGGGAAGTTGCCGGTTGTGCTTGCTGGGGAGGTGCAGATGTCGTGACAGCGGAATAGAAATCCTCATTTCCAACCTTGGGCGCCCCGTTTGTCACTGGGCCCGAAGGAAATTGCGCACGCGACGGTTGCGGAGGCGAATCGAATGTCGGGTCAAACTCTGGTGCAGCACTCTTCGGAGGACTGAAGACAGCGTCCTCGTCATCCTCGTCGTCATCATCATCTTCCACCGGGGCAGCTCCCACGCCTGAAAAGGCAGAGTCAAAGTCAAACGGTGCCCCTGCCGTGGGTGGTGGCGCCGTAGCTTTGCTATCAGAGGGACTTCTTGATTGGACCTCAGGACCATATGCGGGCGGAACTCCACTAGGAGGAGGAGCAGGATGACTAGAGCCACCAGCCGTTGGAGGGGGTGAAGTAGGGTCCTCACGCTCTGGGAGCAAGCCCTTGTACTCGCGGGGAAACTGGTTTGGGTTGTCCTCGGGTACAGCATCGCCATAACTAGGCGGGGACTGTTGGGATTCTACCCCCGGCAGGGAGCTCGCATTCGACAAGGAGCCGGCCATGGCAGGGCGTGGTGCTGCTAGTGTGTTATTGTTCGGCTCTGGTGCGGCTTCCGGTTGCTTGCCAGCTCTCACATCAGTCGGGGTCTCTCGAGGCGGAGACCTTGTGTTGAAGTCGTCGTCGAACTTCATGGGCGTCTCGTCGTCACTGTATTCGCTACTATCGTCATCATCGCCGCCAAGTTCCTGAATAGCTGGGAATTCATCGTTCGCTCCGCTTTTCGGCTTGTCCATCTCGGCAAAAGCAGCGTCAAAATCAGCAGCCTTCTGAGATGCTGAACGCTGATGGGCCAGCCCTCCAAAGAAGTCGTCGAAATTCTGCTCAGCGGCTTTCGAGGGCGCCGAGGGCTGCGGACTGGTCGGTTTCTCACCGTTGGTTGTGGCAACGGCGGCAGCGGCGCCTGCACCAGCGGCGACCGCTGCAGCACCAGCTCCTGCAGCAATCACTGTGGGGTCGACGCCCGGAGTGTCAGAGCGTGATCCTGGAAACGCCCCAGGAATGTCTTTCGCTTGGTCGGCGGAAGCCTTGCCGAAGGTTTCGTCCACCGTTGTTTCTCCAGTGGAGGGCTCAGGTAGTGTTCTACGGACTGATTCCTGTTCTTCATCAGGTGCTGCGGCTGTGAAGGGATCTTCGGTTGAATTCTTGTGGTCGGACGGGCTGGTAGTGGATGCAGGAGTCAGTGCTTGAGGGGTCTCATTGGGACTCAGCCTGCTGGCTGGTTCCGCGACCTTGACGGAGGAACTGATGGAATCCTCTCTCTCGAGGGGACGGCGGAAGGGAAGTGCTGCCGAGGTGATCTGTCGGGACTGGGGCGGAGCAGGAGGCTCAGCAGCGTCTCTGGGCGTGGATGAAGAAGCTGGGGAGTCAAGCTGTGGGAGATTTTGTTGCCCGGCTGGAGTCGATGGCTGGCCCGAGAAAGAGGTTGCGGGAGCAGGAGCCGCGGGCGCAAATGAAGGCCCGAATATGCTGTCGAAAGCACTCTGACTGTCTCTTGGTTCACCCCCGCTGGCTGCAGGCGGGAAGGCTGTGTCCGTTGTCCGCCTGAAGAATGGATTGGAGCTTGTAGATGGCGCAGGGCTTACAACAGGAGGGCTTTTGACCGTGGGCATGGGAATATTCCGTGCTTCTTCCAACTCCTTCTTGGAGGCTTCCACTTGTCGAGCCGACTCCTCGGCCTCTCGTTGAGCGTCCTCGACTTCCTTCTGAGCAGCAGCAATCTCGGCCTTTATTCTATCTCGCTCGGCCTCGTTAGTAGCCAACTGCTTCTTGTTGATTGCGACCAAACCTTTCTGCTGCCGCGCATCGGACTTGACCTTTTCGAGTTGCGGTTTCAGCTGTTCAATCTCCTGATTCAACTGTCGAATTCGTTCCTTTAGCGAAGTGTTCTCACGTTGATCGGCGTCGAGGGCAGCGCGGAGTTGCTGGTGTTGGGTTGCAAGATCTTGATGGGTACCGTCGATCATGGCCATTTCCTGTTGCAGCCGCTTCGTGTCGTTCTTGGAAGCCGTCAGCTGTTCTTTGAGAACCTTAACCTCTTGGACCTCCTTTTCGTAAAGAGACCTGAGCTGAGCTAGTCTGCCTTCGAAGGCCTTCTTCTGTGCAGATGCACCAGATAGTTCTTGCTCTGTTTGCCGTTTGTCCGTTTGAAGGTCCGTCATTTGCTTGGACAAGCTGCTGACTTGATTGGACAAATTACCTAGTTCGCTGGTCTCGTTTGTAAGTTTCGAACTGATCTCTGGATCTGCATCCCCCAGAAGGTCATCTGGTTGCGCTTTCGGTTGCGGTGCGGGCGACCCGGTCGATTGAGGGATGATACTTTGACCAAACGAACTAGTCGGCACAAACGGTTTGAATTGTGAGGCCGTCATCTGCGGTGTCAGAACACCTGGGGGATTTGCGAACGGCCCAGCATCCGTTCCGCCCGTTGACTGAGATACTTGAGCAGGCGCGACTGCAGCAACTGGGGGGGGAGGACCGAACGCGTCGAGTCCAAACAAGTCGTCTGCAGCAGATCGTGGTTTTGTTGGCGCGGCATTCTCGAATGCCGGAGCAGTCGGCTGAGGTGGAGCAATCTGGAGCTTGCGCATGCTGGGAGGAACGAGAGCTGGGGGGAGAGAGGCAGGCAGAATGCCTCGTCCATCCTTCGTTCCTCGCTGTTGTCGGATCAAGTACATGGCCACTGCAAACTCGTCTCTGTTCAACTGACCTTCAGAGTTGATGTCCGCCAGATCCCAAATTTGAGCCAAGATCTCTTCCGGCAGCCTAGCATTCCCGAAGAACTCGACTGCTTGGTCTCCAGTAATAAAGCCCCTTCCTTGGCGATCGACCGTCGCGAAAATACTGTCGAATCGAGCTTTGTCCGCTGGAGTGATGAGCCAGGGCTCACCCGTCGATTGCGCCGACAATGTGAGCGGCGTGCTTACTTGCGGCTGCCGCGTGATCGGGCTTTGTGGGCGAGCACCGTAGGTCACACCAGGGATCGTACTGGAGCCCGGCCGTGATCCACTAGTGACCCGTGCAGCCGGTCGGCGGGTTGCAGCCTCATAAAGACCCGGAGGAAGTGTGCTGGGAACGCCGCGCATCTGGCCTGACCTGTAGGAAGCTAGAAGATGCATGGCGATCACAAACTCTGTGACATCCAAGGCGCCCCGACCTTGCGTGTCAGAGAGACCCCATATCCGCCCGAGTACCTCGTTGGGCAACCTCGCTTTTTCAAATATTTGTTTAGCTAGCAAACCGGAGAGCAAACCGTTCTCCGCGCCTGATTTTTCAAACATGGTCGAATACTCTGCGACCTTCTCTGCTGTCAGGGCTGGCACCCGGATCGGAGGAGGACCTGCTGGAGTTGGGCTGGCAGGAGGTCCTGTGGACTGCTGGACGACAGGTTGGGCGGGCTGGGGGGGTGGAAGGGGTTGAGCCGGGTTTTCGGACTGGGGCGTGTCGAATCGAGGGAGAGGTCCAGCTGCGATTGTTAGCTGAGTGATCTCCAGACGTTCTCAACGAAGCATACTCTGAGTCGCCAGTTGGGCCGAAGGTGAACGCCCATTTTGCGCATGGCCAATGAGTCGGAGCACGACTCCAAAGCCTGCTGGTGTGAGAAAGCCTCGATTTTCAGTATCGGCAATCTGCCAGATCTAGTAAATTATCAACAAGAGCGCACAGAATGTCCCCCATTTCTTCTGACCTGTCCTAAGACGTCCGGCGGTAGCTTTGTCCGCTCAAAGAATTTGACGGCCACATCTCCAGAGACAGCTCCGAACCCATCGGGGTCCGCTTCTTTCAGGAGCTGGCCGTAGACTCGCCTCTCCTCCGCGGTTAAGTTGAGGTTCGGATGCCCTGGATTTGAGCGTGTCAGCGGCCTAGCTGAACAAACACCGTCGTGAGCAGGATTGGCGCACCTGAAGCAGCTGATCCAATCGTCTCCGCCATGACCGGGCGTGATAGGCTTGTTGTGCGATCGGGATACTTCTAAATGTCGCGCATGGATGGCATGAAGAGGTTATGGTGACGTGCAGGTAGGAAAGAAGATGACGCGCAAGTGAATCTGAACCGAGCTCAATGCAAAAGAGACAACTTTTATCTCGCGGGAACACAGGAATAGGTGACAATGGTGTCTAAGGAAATGGCTGGAAGTGATACGGGATGGAGAGAGAAATGGAGATGAGTGATGGGGTGGATCGCGATGACGAACGAGGAGCCCTGCGGCTGCCAAGCCTGGAGCTCCAAGCTAGAGGCACCAGTAAAAGTATGGACTGGGGTCACAACGTGCCCGGATGTTTACCTAGGTACGACGAGATTAAGCATCAACGCATACCCCGTAGGTGCCCCGTAATTAGGGGTGATTCCAGTCTGATCAAGTCACGACCGGTGGTGCTGGCGATGAATGGCTTGTGACAATTATGCACCGTTGATGCAGCCTATGTCATGTTCTGTCTCGCAGAGACTATCTTCAACCGCACAATTCAACTTCCAATTCTTGGTCGGTGGAATCCCAGGCTTGACTCTGAAATATCCCTTGCTCCTGCACTCCTTGCAAATAGACTCTCACAAGCTCTCGAGAAGACCAAACGTGGCAAGACACAAACACTAGTGCTCAATCTCTCCCTCATCACCCTCTTCGATCGAATCGCTGGCCACTTCCTCGTAGTCTCTCTCCAATGCTGCCAGATCCTCACGAGCCTCGGAGAATTCACCTTCTTCCATACCCTCACCAACGTACCAGTGGACGAACGCACGCTTCGAGTACATCAAATCGAACTTGTGGGACAGGGCAGACCATGCTTCGGCAATGGCAGTGGTGTTCGAGAGCATGCAACTATGATTGTATTAGATAGGGATACAAGGTGCGTGGAAAGGTGACTTACACTGCGCGATTAACCTTGGCAAGATCACCGTTGGGCACCATCTGCGGAGGCTGGTAACAGATACCAATCTTGAAGCCAGTCGGGCACCAGTCCACGAATTGAATTGTACGCTTCGTCTTCAGAGTAGCGACGGCCTGGTGCACGTCGTTGGGAACCACGTCTCCGCGGTAGAGCAAGCAAGTGGCCATATATTTGCCGTTGCGGGGATCGCATTTGACCATCTGGTTGTTTGGTTCGAAGCAGGACATGGAGATTTCTTGGACTGAGTGGGCTTCATGCTGCGCCTTGGCTGCTGACACGACAGGTGCGTAGGCCACGAGAGGGAAATGGATGCGTGGGTATGGCACCAGGTTGGTCTGAAACTCAGCAAGATCGACGTTCAGGGATCCATCGAATCGGAGGGAAGCAGTGATGGAGGACACAACTATTCCTTATGTCAGCTAGCTCGTGTCATTGGGAGGAGTGATGTCCACCTTGAGCGATGAGTCTGTTCAGGTTTTCGTAGTTGGGCCGCTCGATGCCTAGATTGCGCCTGCAGATGTCGTAAATGGCTTCATTGTCTACCATGAAACTGCAGTCAGAATGCTCCAGAGTGGTGTGCGTTGTGAGAATCGAGTTGTATGGCTCGACCACGGAGGTGGCGACTTGAGGAGCTGGGTAGACGCAGAATTCCAGTTTGCACTTCTTGCCATAATCAACCGAGAGACGTTCCATCAACAAGGCACCAAATCCGGAGCCAGTACCACCACCGAATGAATGGAAAACAAGGAAGCCCTGAAGACCACTGCAGTTATCGGCCACACGGCGAACTTTGTCGAGCACTTGATCAATCAGCTCCTTGCCGACCGTGTAGTGTCCTCGAGCATAGTTGTTTGAAGCATCCTCTTTGCCAGTGATCATCTGTTCAGGGTGGAAAAGACTGCGGTAGGTGCCGGTCCGGACCTCATCGACGACATTGGGCTCGAGATCACAGTAGATGGTTCGGGGGACGTATTTGCCGTTGCCTGTGCACAACGCAATCAGCAACGAAGAGTCAAGGGAAAAGAGTTTGGATGTCATACCCGTCTCGGAGAAGAAGGTGCTGAAGCCTTGGTCTGGATCAGCGGCTTTGCGTTCTTCGGTAAGGTATCCATCGGGCTGGTACAAGTCAATCGGTGGTCGGAGGCAACGATAACGGTCGAACCACTCACCTGGATTCCGTGCTCCAAGCAGTACAGCTACGAGAATCAGTAATTGCCCAAGGAAGAGATGACCGTTGATAAGGAAGATTGTTTACCTCCCAGCATGAGTTGGCAATTTGACAGCCAGCCTGGCCAACTACAGGTGCAGATGCAGGTCAGCTTGGTTATCACAAATTCTCTTTACAGGGGCTCCGAAGGGTCGGTCAGGGACGCGTGCAGGGATGGGTCACGTACCGTTCAAGCTGATGACTTCTCTCATGGTGAAGCGGTTCAGGAAAGGGATGAGGAGGGGATGAAGGACTAGATGTGAGATGGAGGGATGCTAAACAAGTCAAGACAAGACAAAGAACAGGGAAAGAATCAATTGTTGATGGGGAGGGATGCGGTGGTGGTTGTAATTGTGGGGTGGCTGCGAAAGGAGCCTCGATTTGTTGACAGCGCGCTCTTTCTTTCACCGCCTGTCCCTGCCCCATGCAGCCAATCACAACGGCGTGAACGGTTTGCTCCACAGGTTCGCGTCACGGCCAATTAAATCGCCGGCGCCGAAGTTTGGTCACAACGGTCCTTCACCACCTTGTGCGCACACGACCGACATCGTCCTTTCAGGTGTTTGTCAGATAGTTCCATTTCTTCGTGTCAATGGCATATCAACTACTCCTCCTCCTCTGGGTCCTATGGTCATTCTGTGCCTTCGCCAACGTGGAGAAGGTCATTTTTCTCGCTCCTCCCGCTGAAGAACTGCCCCAAGATGCGAGTATCGACAATCTGTTTCTGACACGCCTGTCGGAACAATACTCAAGTGTCAGAACTCAAATCAATGCAAGCTTCCCCAGCGCAGACTCCCCTAAGGGAACTGAGAGCTGGTTCTTGCTTGAAGGTCTTCGCCCCGGGGCACGGTATGAGCTTCGAATATGTTGGCTGGCAACTGTAGGGCGTCCCTTCTCCTGGTGACTGTGGCTGACTCTTCCCAGCAACCTACATCCTTCTGGCTCTATACGCACACTCTGGACCATACCTTCGCGACTCCCGACCTTCTGAGTTCACTGAGTGCCTACGCTTATGCCCGCCATGCACAGCTTGATTCTGAGGATAGTCAGAGACTCCTGCTCCGGAAGGTCAAGGTTCCTACAAGCGACATCGGGTCAACTTTCCTCTTTCTCCAGGTGGTCGCTGCGGCGGACTACTTTAGCTTGAACCAGACTCTGATGGAGATCGTGCCCCCAGTGGCTGTGGACGTAATTTTAGACCCATATGTTTTCAACGTCTTCCCAAGGTCACTTGCTCCGACGGGACTATATCTCCTCGTGATCGCAGCGGGAGCGTGGTCCCTCTCCGGCTGGATTTCAAGGCTCTTGGCCAGCCCTGCGGTACAGCAGGTTCAATTGCGAGTAAAGAAAAATACTTGATGCTGCTCATGACCTGACCATCGAGAAAGGATCCTGCAGCTGATCGAACTCTGTCATCAGCGAGAAGAGCGGAAACTCTTCGGTATACGAGGGAAGACTCGGAATTCCGGATCCGTCCGGTGAGAAGTAGTCAGCTTCTTGCATCTGACCGAAATCGGCTCGCGGGAACGGCGGGATCGGATCTGCGGCGTCCTCGTCATTGTACGCCAATGTTCCAGAGGTGGTCAGTACAGGACCGCGGCTCTCGGGCGGCATGTCGAACCGCAGCTGCCATGGCGGCGCAGGGTCACCCGACTCCTCTGTGGCATCGAACAGGGCCGTCGTGCCATTGTTGTTTGGAGCGGCGGCTTCTGTGACCGAAACTTGACTGGGAGTGTGATTGCCGGTGGTTTCTTTGCTTGAGTCTGTACCGTTTGTCTTGTTGATAGGATCGCCGAAGATGTTGTGGATGTCCTGCCTTCGTTTCTGCATCTGCATCTGGTCTCGTCGTCGAATATGCTCGATCGCGGCAAGTCGCAGATAGCTGGTGATCTCATAGTGTCGGCGAGCCGACATGTCATCCTTGGCCATGATTGCCAAGATAGCCTCCGCTTGGGAAATGCTGCTGAGCAAGGGAAACGACTTGTCGAAGTCGCCAAAAATGGCAAACCCGATCACCATGGCCGAGATGAATGCGCTGTTGGTGATCATGAACAGTCGTTTGGGTACTCCCGGGGTATGAACAATATCAGTTGCGATCTCAACACTCCTCAGCGCAGCGTCAATACAGGCTTCGCTGAGAGTCATGGTTACCGAGTTCCCAGCGCTGTCCTCGTCGTCAGAACGGCCTTTGATCTTCGAGGATACCTTGAAGATCAGAAATGGTCTTGTCAGAAGAATGATCGACCAATAATAAGAACCCTTTAGATGGGCGATGCCGATGGTTTGTGTCAGTGTCGGAGCAGTAGAGCCGCCCTTCTGGTCCAGACTGTCAGCTTGCAGGCCTGCTGGCAGTTGCATGGTCCAGTCTCGGTATTGTCGGGAGATGCTCTCCACAAGCTGAACCGAGACTTCTCGACGACAATAGACCTCGTTCAAGATCCGCTCAAAGATGAAACATATCCTGAGTGTCGCCGAGGTATTGCGTCCATTCATCTGGATATCTTCGTAGTCTCTGGTCGATCGATTCCAAGACACGCTTCCCCCATCGACTTCTGATGTTGCTGGTGGTCGGCCAAGTGAGCCGCTCATGTACAGGTCGAGGACACGCAAGCTCTTCCACACTCGTTCTCGCGCCAGCCTTTCTCTCGGCTCGAACAGGTTTGATATATCGCTCCTGTGCAATCCTAGAGCATATGCAGCTCGCACGGCGATGCCCAGCAGCATAAATGCGCCATTTCGTCTCACAGCGGACAACATGTAGAACGTGATCAGGGCGTACGCTTGAACAGTCAGGACGCTGGGGTCTTCCAAGAAACTCGAGACTCCAATTTCTCGACCACGTGAGAAGTAAAACTCGGCCTGATCCAGGTCGGTCGCGTCGCGAGTCAAGGCTCCGATGGCCATGACCAGATAATATATGGAACTGTTAAAATCCGTTTCAGCGGCCGGATCGCACGTCCATGCACACAGATGCTGGGTGATGTCGTCAGGGTCGAACAGATCAATCACACCACTCGACGCCAGTAGATAATGTTTGATCAGATCCTGAGCCTCGGCCAAGCTGGGTTTGGGATGTTGCGACTGAGCAGGCGTTGGCGCCTTAGGAGGTGGAATTACTTCGCACATAGCATGCCGCAGGGGGTCGGAGGTCAATTGACACTCCCCTATCTCTGCCTTTACTAAGCGGCGGATGTTCTGGACAAACGCCAGGTTGCTCGAGTCACCTACAAAGATGAACTTGCCGCGACCATCCCGGAGCAGTCTGGCCAGCTTCGGCACCGGCGCTCTCGACACGAGGGCGTCCGGATCCTTTTCATACTGGGGAGACTTTGGAGCGCTTCTCGAACCCGACAGCGTCAGGAGCGATTCAATGGCGATCTCGGCATCGTTGTTCTCGTTCAAGGCATCCTTGAGGGTGATGGGATGAGACGACGCCGTGCTGCTCTGGCGCTGTGAGCTTCGCTTGGAGTAGGCTTCGGTGAAGATGCATTCAGCCTCGCGACACCGTCGCTTGCAGAGCAAGCAAGGTTGTTGGCCATCGCATTTTTCCTTCCTCCGCTTGCAGGTGTCACAGGCCCGCGCCACTCGTTTCCGGTCTTCGTCCTTGACGCGTGGACGAGGCATGGGGCCACTCGGAGGCTGCAATCATCAGCCTCGTAGCCTTGCGATGCCGATAACGATGACTCACGGGTCGCTTTCCGGGGATTTTGATGGGTGCAGGTGGGTGAGAGAACTCGGATATGGCACCTTCGTGGAGTTTGGGAAATGGAGGTTCGGTGATCAACTTGGGAAGCGTCGGAAGCGGGCATGAGAAAACTTGGGGGGGGTGAGTGATGGAGGGCGGCCTAGTAGCCCCCGTGACCGCCTAAAATTGGCGCCCCCTCGGTGCCCCGAAGTCTTGGCCACGTCGCGGGGAAAAGGCCCAATCGCGTGCCGCGTATAGGTAAAGCGGATAGTTTAGGGGGCCCCGGTGGTCCAGGTGGGTGAGGGGCTTCGGGATTCGGTTCAACTGGCAAGCTCAGTGGCTGGGGGACGCCCATATCCCGAAAAAGAATACGCCGTCCTTGCATTTTGAGACTGGAATCGAGGCTCCTCATGTATATTCCGTACAAAGAATGCGCATCATACATACATCAAACATCAATATCAACATGACCAGCAGCTCCAGTGCGGTCTTCAGAAGCCGCGACCCATACCTTCGGTCACCAGCGCTTCACCGGATTCTCCTTTGGCGGACAGCGGGGCCATTCCGATGTCATATCTCAGTTCCTTTTTGGCCTTCTCGTCACCTTGCCGGGGGACGAATTCGACAATCAAAGAATCCTTGACCGCAAAGACCGAGTCGTCATCGAGGTACTTGCTATCCTTGTCGAATATCTGGGTCGTTATGGGTTTGAAACCCTCAGCCAACACCTGTACAACGATCAGCAGCCGGTCTTGGGGAGGGGAAAGGACATCAATACGCACGATGAAATGAATGTGGGCGGGTCGATATGGGTGTCTGTCGAGCAATTGCAGCAGTTTGCCAGCTGGTCCGTCGTATGGAATAGGGTAAGGAGTCGGTCTCAGACAGTAGAAACCGTACTCTCCGTTCTCGTCCGTGTAGAACTTGCCGCATAGGTTCGACTTGGGCTGGTTCTCGTCCTGTTGTTCGTACAATCCTGCACCCATCTTTGTCAGCGCTCACTTCCCGACCACCAGGGAATTATCCACACGGACCATTTGTGGATGCTTGCCACACATCAACTGACGCATTCGCCAACGGTTTCTTGGTCGTGACATCCACAACTTGACCATATAGATACACAACTTCGGCATCGTCCGGCGTGTTGTCCGCGATGCTGTCGCCTTTCTTTCGGATGGTATGGTCAGTCTGAAAGAAGGGACCCAGGATGGCACTCTGAGTGGCCAGATCGGCAGCTTCGGCAGCCTTCTTGTATGTGATCTCGTCCACGAGCCTGCACAGTCAGCCAATTCATTCGATCCTATAGTAGTTGGTAACCTACGTCTCCAAGCCGACAACGTCGCACACTAGTTGACCCTCATTTCGTCTGTCGTTGCTCATCTGGCCAGCCCAGTTGAGCAGCTGAACACCCTCGGCCCATTCGTCCACGGTCAACTCAACTTCTCGAGCAAAGTCGTGGAGGTGTCTGGTCAAGCTGGTCATGACTTCCCGCATCCGGGGGGATGTCTTGGGGCCCATGGCATTGATGACATTTTGGGTGAAGTTGGGATCATAGCGCGGGGCGCTGGTTTTGGTTTCACCAGACATACTGGACGAGAGTTATGGATGTGACTTCGCGACAGACGACGAGAGCAAGGGGGGAAGTGTCAGGCTTTTGTAGGAGGATTGATTTTGGTGTCAGGGGCGGAAGAGAATGGAAGATGACTGTGGACGTTGGACGCAGATGGGAGGATCCCCGTGCTTCAAATAGGATTGGGAATCGCGATGAATTGTTTCGTGGAGCGACATCATCGGCATCAGAACGTGGAGTTCGCAGCACTGGTCACGACCCCAGACGGAAAAACAGTCAGCAACAGAAGATGGCCAGGAACCATACGGAAGTGTGTACGAAGTTCGCGTCGCCGGCTTCAACCCACACAATACGCACATCCCACAGTACCCCGCCCCGAACACTCCCTGCATCGGATCCCGTGCTGCTTGTTGCTGCTACTTTTAACCGCCTTGAAACTGGTCCCTAACTGGTCCCCAGAGCCGAGTCAGGTTAGTTAAGTCACGCTAATAGAGTGAGCCATACCATAGGAAGCTAGCCCTCCCACGCTGCTTGAAACTCGGAAGCAAATTGGCATCACGTCGCCTATTTCACTCCGAATCGGCTCCAGCTTCGGACCACGCACTTCCGTCTCCCTCCACCATACCATACGAGGTACACCACAATGTGATATTGTCTCCCTGCACACTCGCTGTCGACTATCCTCTTCTCTGTGGCGTGACGATCTTGTACGTGCTTCTGACGTACCCGATAGCCCGATACGCCATTATTAAACAAGACGGAACCCTCCGCTATCCGACCTATCGAGTGGCCTGACCCATCTTCTCCCCAGCAACTACTGTGTGGACTCTGGAGTAGCAGATCGCATTGAATCCACCTCCATCGTTGTATTTCCCCGGTGCCTCACCGTCCATAGTGGCGCAGTGTGGCTAGGATACAGAAGTCGGCATTGCACATCCGCCTAGCGCAGCTTCATCGAAGAGACTGAATTGGGAAGTAGACGCAACCGACGAGATGCACGGTATCTGCCACAGGATTCAGGATGTCGGCTCGAACAAGGCTATCCTCGCCGAGCTGGTGACATGTGCTGCAAGGAAAAACAAATCAAAATGATCTAAATTGGTCATGGGGGCCGAACGGCCCTCTACGCAAGACAGTCGTCGCTCCTCTGCAACCACCCAGGTCGAGATCAAGCTACGGAACCAAGACGAATTGAACACACCCATGAGCAAAGCGGGAGAAGGAAAAGAAGCTCTTCCACAACTGCTGCCACCCCGTTCTTCAACCCGCCAACTGCCAGTCGAGATCGAAGCCGGCCATGCCGCTGGCCGTTGACTTCGTGGCACCAATCTGAAGCCAGGAATGGTTTGATGCTGTGTTACCGACTGATTGCTCTTGGTTGTGTGGCTGTCTCGTCCTTGGACCACAACACCTGTTGCACATTCTTCGCTTGCTGTTGTTCTGTGGTCCCTATCCATCCTACCAAGATCGGGACCAGACTTCCTCCGTCCACCCCTTCTTCACCTGCACTGATTTCTTTCTTTCAAGATGTTTCTAATGAGCAGGAAGAGTCCAGCTATGCAACGGGGCCCAAACAAGTGCCCAGCGTTTGTTCCTCGTGTCTCGTCAAAATGTCGCCTAGAGCCTCGTCTATAGCGACGACCTCATCAACAGCACAGCCTTCTCCGAAACCAAGTTCCAGGTCTAAATACCAAATCTCGCCAAAACGGCCTTTGGCATCATCATTCTTTCATGCCTCCCTTCTTCCCTCACCTCAGTCTCCGCTCACGCGCTCCCCTCCTCCACGACCCCCAAGACCAAAGACTTCCCTTCCAAACCTCCGGCCAACAATTATCCTCTCGCCGCTCTCGATTCCACCACCTTGCGCCTATCGTCTGCCAACGCCCAGCCATTGCTCGCGGTCAGGCAGGTTTTCGGACGACGTCTTTGGGTCGCTCCCAGAATATTTGCGGGCTTCACTGATATCACCAGACGGAGGGGAGGAGCACAGTTCGCCTTGCAGTGTGGTGTCACTACCCAGTCGAAATCATTGCTCGTCGCCTCTCTCACTCAGCGCCGCCACGAAAGACCGCTACGATTCCTGCGACATTCCCCGTAGGTCTCTTGTGCGTCTCAACAGTCAGCACCGGACCCGCCCAGCCACTGACTCCTCCACTTCGAGTGTCACAAAATGTGGCGGTCCAATGCCAAACAAAGTCAGGGCCATGGACAGCTTTGAGTGTGCGATCCATCAGTGTCGGTCCCTCGGATCTCAAATATCGGCTGAACCAGGCCAGACCCATTCGCCTATCGCAAACACATCGGGTTTGCGCGATAGCCCATCTTCATTCTTGCCCCGCTCGAAACAGGGATCCAACACCGTCGACCCGGAACAGCCACACCTCGAAATATGTCATCTGTCCCAGCACGGCGCACATCTCGATTGGGACGACCAGCTCGCCTTGAAGTCTTGGCACGTCTTCATCTTCCGCCACAGACGTCTCCTGCGCATGGTGTTCACCGTGTTGTTTGTGATCGTGGCGTCAACGGCTATCGCGGGCGGTGTGATTTGGAAGTTGACAACGCGTGAGTGCAGGCCCCCCTTTTTTCCTTTGCGTTCTCTCTTTCCGTTCAGCAGCGTGTCGTCGCCTTTAGTGGCTGGGCAATGGACGGTGGGGTGTAAGCTTCTGGCTTTGTATCCCTGTGTTTCATTTGAAACGACCTTCCCTGGTACCAGTCATCTATCTACCTGTATACTTCAGACTGAGAGTGGGCTGTGCTAACTTCAGTGGATCAAGTGGACGAAGTGCAGTAATCAGCGAGCGACTGTGTAGCTCTATCTTACGACCCTCACCCCCAGCCACAACCCTACCACGATATATTAGAGTCCATCTGGCATGGACATCTTGGAATGAAGATTTATTGAGAAACAAATACACAATCAGACAGAATCAGGAAGTGATAAATTCAAGCGTTCCCTCTTAGTTTGAGGTATCTTATTCCCCAAGGGGATTGCCTCTTGAGACGGGGTTGTATTTTCACTACTTCTACTACTACTACTTCTTCGTATTCGTCTTCTTGGTCTCCTTTTTTGACTTCTTGCCCTTGTGTTTGGGCTCGACGCCATTCTGCTTTGGCTGCTTCTGCTCGTCCTGACCCTGCTTCTTGCGATCCGCCACTCTGGGATCCAGTCCTCTGGCCTTCAGCCACTTTTTCTCCGCCCTCTCGATGAATCCCTGGTCTTCCTCGTCGTTGAAGCCGCCGAAGTCGTCGCCCGCCGCGGCCGCCACGTCCGCCTCGTCCGCCGCGTCGCCACTGTCGGTGTATGACCCGTGGTCTCTGCCCGTGACGGCGCGCCGTGACTCCGGGTGCTCGACTCCGTTCGCGTGCTCCCCGTTCTTCTTCGGCGTCGGCCCCGTCTTCTTCAACTTGCACACGAAAAACCCATCCACGTTCTCCCGGTGAGGAAAGTACCGTCTCGTCAGCGTCATCCGGTCGTCGAACTTCTTGTTCATGTAGCTCTTGAATCCCTCGGATCCGAAGTTCCCCAATCCCGTATCGACGATCTTGACGTTGGGTCGTTTCCGCAGGATGTATTGAACCACGCCCTCGTTCTCTTCGACGGTCACCGAGCAGGTGGAATACACGATGTACCCGCCGGTCTTGCTGGCGTGGTCGGTCGAATCGATGGCGGCGAGGAGAAGTTGTTTCTGTAGATGCGGCAAGGCCAGGAAATCACGTTCGTTCTTGGACGTTTTCACGCTGGGGTCTTTGCCGATGACGCCCGTGCCAGAGCAGGGTGCGTCCAGTAGGACCCGATCGAAGCCGCCGAGGATTTTCGGGAAAGCCTTTTGCGCGTCGTAGTTACAGACAATGGTGTTCTTGCACCCGAGTCGGTGGATGTTACCAATGAGACCTTTGGCTCGCTGGCGGTTGGCGTCGTTGGCAAATACAACGCCAGTGTTGCGCATCAAAGCCGAAATATAGGTGGTTTTGCCGCCGGGGGCGGCGGCCATATCCAAGATCCGTTCATTTGGTTGAGGTGCGAGGGCCATGACGGGGAGGAAGGAGGAGGCAGCTTGCAGAATGTAGTGTCCGGCAAGATACTCTGGTGTGGCACCCAGCGGTACGGGTGCCTCAAAAACTTGAAGGCCGACCTTGGACCATTTTCCAACAGGCTCCAAGACAACTCCTCGATTGATTAATGCTTGGGCCAGCGTGCGCCGATTGGTCCGGAGGGTGTTTGTCCGGAGGACGACCGGCCGGGGTGTCTCATTGGCCTCGAAGAAGGCGAATGCTTCGGCCGGGGTAAAGAGCGAGAAAAGCTTCTCGGCTAGGAATGGTGTATAACCGTAGTATGTACAGACGTCCGCCAGCAGCTGTTCGGTGTAATCAGCCCTCGATTTACTTTTGTCTGCGAGTTCTGAGAAGTTGCCCAGGATGCGTATGGTCTCGGTCATTCTTGTGCGAATAATGGATAGGTCGGGAGCAAGGCCCTGTGCGTTGACTGTGTCCAGCACACCTTCATCTTTAGCAATATTTGTTTGTAGGGCTGCATCTTCCAACTCTTGCTTGGCCTCCGCATCCTCCTGTGCCTGTTGTAGGTCAAGCTTTCGCGAAAGACCTTCGATGTTGGCAGCGGTGAGTTTCGCCTCGGCATCGGATTCGTCCTCGTCATCGGAAAACATGCGCCGCGGGCGTTCGTCTTGGTCTGAATCGAAGACGGAGTCGTCGGAGAGGTCTCCGTCGAGATCTGCCTGTACCAGTTCATCGTCGTCATCTTCATCCCCCTCGCTTTCCAGGTCTGACAGAGAGACCGTGTTTAATGCCACTTCGGTGGCGTCAAGATCGCTCTCTTCGCCTTCATCCTCCTCGTCCCCATCGATCCCTTCAGACGCGGTGGTGGGTATGGGAGGTGGGACGGTTATCTGGGCGTCGCTGTTGACCAGTTTGACTTTTGCTTTTGTAGCTGTCTTAGCCGGCAGTGTGGTAGTGCCATTCCGAAACGCCCGATCGAGGTTGACGAGTTTCTTTGAGGCATCCGTGGTCGTCTGCGGCAGTTTCTCATCCCACTTCCTGCGTTTTCGGGCAGGCTTCTCAGGCTCTGCGTGGGCGGACTTGCGCTTCAGATTGATCCCCAGCTCCTCCAGGGTGGCCGGAGGACCTTGTTTTCTCATACGACGTCCCACGCCCATGGTTTGAGGACCTTCTGGCTGGGCGGGTGCGGTGAGGATGAACTTTGGAGAGAAATTTTGGACGGTAAAAAAAACCAGTTGAGGTCCGTCCAAGAGGGCTAGCGGCCGTGGCTCGTATTAAAATGCACCGAGGGTGGTCTAGTGCGTCGATGCCGAGGCCAAAAGGCCAAGAGGAGCGGCCCATTGGCTACGGCCTCGACACTAGCAAAGTTAGATCATCTTAAGCGATGGCAAGGGGCGGCCATCCCCGCTCCGCGAAAAGAGCCCGACCCCTCCACAATATATCCACACCTGGCCGCCCTATCTGCCAGCCTGTCCCAGCTGAACGGTAGGCAAATCAAAATTTACACATCCACTCAGGCTGGAACGTCCCTCCTTCGGGACGCTGAGGCCAGTGGACCTGGAGCGGACAGGGATGGACTGCGTCTCTTGCGGAATGGGTACGGGCCAAACCTTGATCTGTGTGTGACGGGCCTTGTATTTCCAATTCCTCGAGAGGTGGTGGTGCCACGTCCCTTTTCGGTTCAGGTCCGTGTTGAGTTCTTCTATCTCAGGACCTCCTTCTCACTTTCACCCCCCCTTCCCATCAAAAAACCCCCGGCCTTCGCGTCTGGCCAAACGCCCTCAACATCCGTTCTCATTATGTTCCAGAGAACCGGCCTGTCCCCGTCCAACGTCTCCGAAGCATCGACGTCGTCGCAGCCCTCGGCCGCCCAGTTTTCGGGCACCAGTGACGCTGCGTCACCCGAGGCGAGAAAATATGTCACTCAGGCTTGCCAGCCCTGTCGTGCCAAACGCTCCAAGGTTTGACCCAATCCCCTTGACCAGAAAGGAAGGGAAAAAAGAAAGGACTGTTGACCGCTTCAAGTGTGACAATGCCCATCCCACCTGTTCAGCATGTGTGGCGCGAGGGACCCTCTGTGTCTACTCCGATGTCGACCGCCGGAGAGGTAAATTGAGGGCGAACGAGACCGATGCCCTACAGGAGAGAGTCCGGCGATCCGAAGGCATCATAAATGTTCTGACGCACGGGTCCGAGGACGAAGCTTACGACCTGTTGAGGAGGATGAGGCTTAACCCGGCTCAATCTCCAGGTCCCGAGGGGTTGCCAGACTGGACGCACTCTCGGGAGAGAGAGACCGATTTTAATACCACGGTAAGCGGAATTCTGCCTCCTTCAAAGGACCTGTAGGACCATGTGGCCCCGACCTACCTTTTTCGTACGAAAGCCCAGGTTGCGTGCGAGGACCGTCGTTGAGGCTGGCGGGCGGACACATTGACCCGGGTCTGGCGTGCTAATCTCTGGGCAGGTTGCACGGGTCTACACGGTGAACGACCTGCCACCCGAAAATTTGGTACTGGAAGGTATAAGAGCATACTTTAATTGCACCTATACGCTGTTGTATATCTACGAAAAGCAAGAGATGGACGACATCTTGAACCGGGTGTACCGAACCCACGACCCTGTCGACAATGCGACCCTGTGCGAACTCTGCGCCGTAGCCGCTGTCGGAGGCCACTATGATGGGGATAAGTTTGACGGGCCGGTCATGGAAGCCTTCTATCAGACCGCCACGATTTATATGAGTGACTGTATCGAGTCACAATGGCTGCGAGGCATGAGAGTTGTCCTGTCTCTCGGCATTATTTCGTCTATGACCAAGCGCACGAGTGCTCGATTATCGATCGGTACGCCGATCCTAGAAAATTTTTCGAGATCCGGAAACAGCTGATGTTGGTTGATAGCGTCTGGATTGAGACTGGCTCGGTGGGCGCGTCAGCGGCAGCAAGATAACTTGCCCTGGGTGACCTACCGCAAAGTCTACCGGTCGCTTATTTTTATGGAATGGTGAGTAGAATTCCAGCGACTTTGCCTCGCCGACTTTTGACATCTCGACAGCTGGCTTGCCTCCAGTCTCGGATATCAGCCTGATCTCAATAGCGAAGAGGCCGAGGTGAGTCCAGTTACCGGTGAGAGAAGAAGATTCACAGGGTTAAATGAAATGTCCAGTTTACCAGACAAGACATTATCGAAGTTCAGCCGGCAACCGAGAACCGCATCCAAGCCGAAATTTGCACTGTTGGTCTTATGATGGCAGGTATTCTGCAGGACGTCCACAAGTCGAGTTCGGCCGTGTTCTCCATTGTCGAGAAGCATTCGAGGATATTAGGTGAGTGGCAGGAAAAACTACCTGACTCGATGAAACTGGATGCGCTCGCGAAAGGCTCCGGGAATGTGTTTCCGGAGCCGCAACGACGAGCCCTTATTCTCGTACATGTTTTATTTCTGGGAGCAAAAATGATGCTCCAGAGACGACTATTGGTGGAAATGGCAAACTGTCGAATGAAGAGGCGATGGACGCTGGATGGAACCCTGATGCAAGGTGAGAGCGTCCAGAGGGAGTGTATCGAGGCCGCCGAATTGTGTGTCCATCTGCTCGATATACTGGGGTATACCAGACAAAAAATGCGCAATTGTTGGCTCTGTGTGTAAGTCTCAGCCCCCGACGTCGAAAGCCGACTCTCTGCGGGAGCCAATCAAGCGCTGATACTTTTTTTTCTTCTCATCCCGCCAGTGGGCACGCGTTTAGCGCCTGCAGTGTCCTCCTTTTCGCGACGGCTCAGCGACTCCTATACGACCAGAGAGACAGGGTTCAGGTCTACCTCTCCAAATCACAGGAATGCATCAATATGCTCGCCAGCTGCAGCGTTGTCGACCGTGTGGCAAACTCCTTGCTTCAGATCGTCCGGCCGCTGCACCAAGATCTTCTGCGACTAGCTACCATCGAATCCAGCAGTCGTCCGAAGAGCGGAATCTACGATCTACTCGAAAACCCACATGCGGACGCTGCCACCGGTACATCCACGGCTGCGAGAATGCGAGGGTGGTCCCCGGGGGCTCAGCCATATCCGGGCTCTACCGGCGAACCCAGTACGACGCCACCAATCCGCACCGCCGCTATACCGGCCATGCAGAATGCGATTGAAGTTCTGGGAAATCCGTTCGGCCTTCCAAGAAGGCTAAATACCGAATCGTTCGCCACAGGGGACCCTAACGTTCCGAGTTGGTGGAATTGACGATATTGCGTGCCGCTATGGCTCTTGGCATGGTCCGTTGATCAGAACCGCGCCCAGATAAAGTGCTAAAAAATATGGTTAGATAGAGGGGCTTCGCTTGTTGCCGAATTAAAGTTTGGTGGCTTGAATCGAGGTACTTGGGGTGTTGTATAGACGCAGTTAGAGACAGAGCGCTTGAAACATTACTTGATTGAGCATGGTATGGTGTGATTCGTCCGTGGATGGAATAGAATGATTTGATTATGGACCATTTGGATGGATGGTGGATGTTGTGCCGGCTGGACTGATGTCCCGCTCGCTCGATACATGGAAAAAGGGGATAGAAGAATCAGAGATGGACCAATGAATAGAAGGACGGATGATCGCAGAACGGATTGATGAATTGATGGGAGGATGATCAGCTGATGGATGGATGAGCTGAGGGATGGACGAGTCGTGGTTGGCTGGATAACTGTATGCGTGGACTGAAAGTATGGATGGACGCAGGTATTCAGTATTGCCCGCTTTTCGTTCTCCAGCCCAGTGATGTGGTTGGTCGATTGGCTCAGGCTTCGCAGTGCTGTGAGAGGCTACGATATGTTACGGAAATGGAGTGGTTGATAGAGTGATTCGATGAGTCGATGAGGGGTTGATATGGGATTGGTGATGATCGATGAGAGATTGCAAAAGAAAAAAAAACTGATGGGTGATGCCTTGAGGCAGGATGCACGGATAGATGGAATGATGGGATGATTTGGCGGATGGACGGACAGAAGTATGGACGCTGGGATGCAGAGTGGACGTCTTGCGGGATTGATGGATTGATGGTGAATGCATGACAACATTGATGACCTGTTGTATGATGCGTGTGAAGATCGATGACGTTTTGGATGGAATGGATGAATGGATGGATTGGCTGCTATGAGGAAGATGGAGGATGCCAGTGCTGGATGAGAGTGGTAGAGAGGCAGGCAATAGCCGCATATGATGGCAATAGACGGTCATCACTCCTTTTGACCGACAATCTCATGAACGCTTTCCGCAGAATATGCAAATGTTCCCGGTCTCAAATTATCGACGACTTCACCATCAACTAGGCCCGGTGCCAAAGGATGATGCCCTCCTTCTTCAGCTTTGTTCTGAAATCTTGTTCTCTCCGTGATCAGATTGGGTATCCAACCCTTCTCCTGTCTGCCGTGCCCTCGGGTGAGCTGGCTACTGACCGTTTACGGGGCCCACGAGTGGTGCCGGAGAGTTAGGGCCGGAGCCCTTCTTCATCTTCAGCGTGAGTGGGAATGGGTAGTCATCGGGTTCCTCTTCCTCACTGTGGGAAAGGTCAGCAAGTGTTCAAAGCGAACCAAACCACGCGCGGAACCTACGGTAATCTCCATGCAATGTAGTCTTCTGTGCTAAGGCCCTCCTTGCCCTCTTGCAACGAAGCAAAATCGCCCGGTGTCATCATACCAGTTCGGTCTCGAGGCGATCCTGGTACAGAGAGCGGCCTGGAAATCTTCTGTTCGGTGCCACCAATGATATCGTCGAACTCATCGGCATCCGTGAACGAAGCAGGGTACGCGCGGCGCAAGGCAAGTTGTCGGGCCTTGACATATTCCATGCCCATCCGTTTCCAGTCTAGAAGGTCGCTGAGGCGCTCAGTGCGGTTTCGCTGGTTGATCCGTTGCCTCCGGGATTTGTTGGCGAATTCATACATGTAGTCGGTCAATTGATTGACTGATTCATCCACACCCTTAGTACGACGATCCACAATGTAGATACCGTAGTCAGAGGAGTTCTCGATGAGCTCCTAAATCGGGTAATCAGCCACTATCCCGATGAACAAAGAGAGATCTTCTCGACTACTTACCTCCATATAGCAACCGAAGCCGGAGAGGTTGGTGGTAATTGACGGCACACCCATGACAGTACATTCCGCCTATTGGACAATTAGCATCGGTCCCCCGGCTGTTTGGGTAATACATACAGGCGTATATCCCCAGGGCTCGTAATAGGAGGCAAACACGCCAAGGTGAGTACCTCGGACAAAGTCATCGTAATCCAGAGACAGAACCGGGTTCGCAGAGTTCAAGAACTCGGGGTGGAAGATGACTTTGACACGATCGTGCGTGTTGTTGAAGAGTTGGACGCGACGCAGTTGATTGAGGACCGGATCCTCGGAATCATTGACCATATTGTGGGTGACAATGGGCGGGAGCCCGTGGCGTTTCATGGCAAAGAGTCGCCGTCTAAGCATAACACGGTCGGCTGGAGTAATGAGCTCCTTGTCGTCCGGCATTGGATCTCCTTCCTTCCAGTGGACTGCCCTTTCGAACAACCTCCGACCAATACCATGCTGGATGTTGGAAACAGTGTCGGCCAGAGACTTCGTCACAGCTTGACCCTTGAGTGAATCGACCGAGAGAGATGTCGTCTGCGCTGGCATGATTAAGAATGCGACAATTGTTGTCTTGCTGCCTGCGTTCTGCATACGATAGTTCAGTCTCGCAAGCGACTCAATGAACATATCCACACCCTTGTTTCGATATTCATATCGACCTGCAGTGAAGTAGTAGAGCGTGTTGTCCAGGTCGAAATCCAAACGGCCATAGAAGTGGCCCCGAACAAATTCATGGATCTTTTCCTTCTGTACCGAGTGAAGATTTTGGAATTCATGTACGGCAGAGAACTTCTTAACGTTCAGGCCATTGGGTAGGACACCGTCAGGTTTCCGCTTCAGCAGGTGCTCACTTTCGAAGGCGGTGATATGGGAAACAGTCGTGAAGACGTCGGCTGAGTGCGCTGAGGCTCGTTCAATGCAGTAACGGTGGTAAATTCCACGTTTTCCTGCCTCTGCATCCACGTCGAAGAACTGCAGATTGTTGTAAAAGTCGACTGAGCCGGCGCAGAGGTATCGACCGAGGAGGGTTGCATGCGTAGTGAAGATGGTCGTCAAGTCCATCTGTCGCTTCTTAGTCAATGGCAGGGCGACTCCAGAGAGCCATTCGTGGAAGTGGGCGATGACTGCGCGATCGGTCTCGCGAGCGATAAACTAGATACCCGTCAGCGCTGATGTTTAATTGGTGTCCGTGCCAGCACTTACTTCGCCCAGGAACCACGCCACCAAATATCCAAATACGATGGCCTCGTTTGTTTCATGATCCCCGGCAGGAGAAGGGATCCCAGCTGCAGCCCACAGATCACCCTTCCATTCATCCAACCATCGGTAACCGGTTCCGGTATTAATGAGGAGGACTCTCGGGGCGCCTTCAATCAGCCAGCGGCCATACATGAGCTCAATACCACGTTCTTGCATAGACGAAATAGTATCTCGAAGAGGGCCCGGTGGCGGATCGAGAGTTTCGACCTCAACTGCGGCCTGCGAATGTTAGTCGATGCTTGCAATTGAGGAGCATATCTCACTTACCGAGTTCTTGTTGAGAGGGCCGATGAGCGTATACCTGTCGCCATATTCTGCTGTTGTCACGGGAGCTTTGGACTTGAGCACTGAGTAGATGCCACCCACTGGTCCAGATTAGCACATGCTGAAATGCAACCGATCGATTGGTGAGTACCTCGATTTGCAACCTCCGTTGCAACCTCAAAGAGCAGATGGTTCTTTATGTCCCTCTTCTTTTCCGTTTCACCGTTCATCTTGCCGGTCTGGTCTCGTGTGCCTTCGTTTGCGAAGCAAGGTACGCGGCGTTTGTCAAGTGGGCAAAATCTGCAGACAACAGCTTACCCCACAGCCAACGGAAGCTCGCAGGTAGGATGAACAGCTCAACAACAGGGTGGTGTGAGGTCGAGAGTCGAAGGTGAGGGGTCGCGGAGCTCTAATAGAAAGCTCGACGCAACAGTTTCCGCTAGCAAGGAGAGAGTAGAGGATGGGAATCCGTGAACGGTGTTACGAGGGCAACTGTTGAAAAGAAATTGAGGCAGGCTGGGGCGATGGCACCACGCAGCAAGCGATCTCTGTCTGGGGTGGAGGTCGAGGCGTAGACAAGGGTGGAAGCTCCACTGCGAGGCAAGGGAAGTAAAAGATCAAGCTCGTGGGTTATTGAACTGAAATTTCACCAGCAGCAGGGGTTTCTGCAAACTCAATGATAGGTAACAACAGGGATAGAAATCGAGTATGACAGCAAAGGGGTGATGGAAGTTATGCTCGTTGTTGTGTCAAGAGATGGAATAATCATAGGAAAATGACGGCATGCAGGTAAATCATACGACTGTGACTTTGGGCGGTGGGTTTGAAGCTCTCTGGCACAGCGACCGCACACCTGGTGAAATGCACAATGACGGTTGGCACGTCATTTAGGGTTACGGCCTCCCGATTTGGGCATAGGCCGCCCAGTCTTAGGCGGAGAGCTGCCCCCGGGCATAACCAGTCACGTCCCTGGCCACACCTGGGGGCACCCACTGCATGCTCCCCAAGCCCACTCTCCAGCCTGAACGCCGTCTCTGATTGAACCAAGTTGCTCCCCCCAACCGTCTGCAGGAGCTTTTGCCCCCGCATTCTGTCTCGCTCCTCGCCTTCGAGGCCCATTCTTCTTCAAAAGTTGGGAAAAATGTGAAATGGTCCTGTTGCCATGCTGACCTATCGATCTATGGCTCCAATCAGACTGCTCCGCCTCTCGGCTGCATCTCCGCATGAGGCCTTCGGTTCTGAAGCTTACAAGGACATCTCGGAGGATTGAAGCGATCGCTCGATTGGGGTCAAGACGTTGCGTCGCTCCTTGCAAGCAACCCTCTTTCTCGCAAGCTACCGGCATCATGGCAGCAGGAAAAGGTCTACGATTGACACTGGCCTGGTGCTTTGTATTGGGGCTGTGGTTCTTGAAGCTCACCAATGGCTTCGAGCAGAGACCCATCGGGCAGTCTGCCAAAAAGCCGAACATCATCTTCATCTTGACTGATGACCAGGACCTCCATATGGACTCGCTCTCGTACATGCCCTTCCTAAGGCAGCATGTGAGCGATCATGGGACTTCCTTCCGGAGACATTACTGCACGGTAGCATTGTGTTGTCCATCCCGAGTAAGCATGTGGACAGGCAAGGCTGCGCATAATACCAATGTCACCGATTTACATCCTCCTTGGGGTCAATATTGTCCTTTCTGATTTCTTTTCGTTGCCCATGAGACTCACCGGACACAGGTGGATATCCGAAGTTTGTCAGCCAGGGTTTCAACGATGCATATTTGCCTATTTGGCTCCAAGAAGCTGGATACGATACTTACTACGTGGGCAAATTGTTCAATGCCCAGAGCACGTCCAATTACGACAAGCCTCATGCAGCGGGATGGACTGGTTCTGACTTCCTCCTTGACCCATACACGTACGAGTATTACAATGCCACCTTTCAACGGAACAAGGACCACCCTGTTAGCTATCAAGGTGAATACTCGACGGATGTAATAGCGAAGAAAGCGTTTGGGTTTCTCAGTGATGCATTGAGGGCGGACAGGCCCTTCTTTCTCACTATTGCACCGACAGCTCCCCACAGCAATGTCCATTTCAATAAAGACACGGCAGAGCAATCAATGGCTCGGCCTGCCCAACGCCACAGTTACCTCTTCCCAGACGCTAGGGTCCCGCGGACTCCCAATTTCAATCCTGATGTGTCGAGTGGTGCTTCCTGGATCCTCACCTTAGCCAGGCAGAACCAGTCAAACCTCGACTACAATGACGAGTGGTACCGCAACCGCCTCCGGGCTCTACAAGCTGTTGATGAAATGATTGATGGCGTTGTGCGCCGCTTGAAACAAGCTAGCATGCTGGAGAATACCTATATTTTATTCTCGACTGACAATGGCTATAGCATCGGACAGCATCGAAGACAGCCTGGAAAGCAGTGCGCGTTCGAAGAAGACATCAATATTCCTCTCATCGTGCGAGGACCCGGTGTGCCAAAAGGCCATCGCACGGAAATCGTCACGTCGCACATCGACCTGGCACCTACATTTCTGAACCTCGCAGGTGTTGGTGGAAATGAATTGGCAAAGTACGAATTGGACGGCAGTACAATACCGCTCCACTCATTGGCCTTGGTGCACTCGGAACAACCATGGCCACAAGAGCACGTCAACGTGGAAATGTGGGGGATCATTATGTCCGAAGGGAGATACGGGTATATCCTCTACCCCAATCATACCTACAAGGCCCTTCGGGTCATCGGTGATGGTTATGATCTGCTGTATACTATTTGGTGCAGCAACGAGCACGAATTGTACGACATGAACCAGGATCCGTGGCAGATGGACAACATCTATGGTGCAGAGACGAGACCTTTCAACATTCCCATACCTGCTGAAAGATTAGGCGACTGCTCGTCTTACACTTCGCCGCTCAGAAGCACGGAACCAATCCCTTTGAGAGTAAACGTCACTACCACAGTATCGCACCTCACATCGCGCCTCGATGCTCTTCTCCTGGTGCTCAAAACCTGCAAAATGGACGACTGCCGTTTTCCCTGGTCGGCCCTTCACCCAGCGGGCGGTGTTCACAGCCTCCGAGACGCGTTGGATTCGCGATTCGACGATTTTTATCGCACACGGCCAAAAGTGCAATATGAGCGGTGCGAAAGAGGGTACTTTCCTGCTAGTGAAGGTGCGATGTGGAATGGAGGCATGTCTTTCAGAGCAATGCAGCATGAAGTGTGGACAGGTCCCTGATGTAGCGAGACAATTTGAATATCCCTTCGCTGAAAGCGTCCCCTCCTCGAAAACTCTATTCTGTTGTTGAAGGCTCTTGACCGAACATCTCGCACAGAAATCACTTGCTCCTCTTGTAGATCTTTGCCAGATATGCGTCGAACACACCTTTCTTCAAGCCCTCGCTTTCGTCCACGGCCGCGATCATGCCCCGCAGCTCTCCGACACGCTTCTCCTCGTAGTCCTGATACCTCTTCTCAAGTTGTAGCTCGTCGTACAATTGCTTCACCTTTGCCTCCTTGGCATCATCCTTTTGTCCGTAGTTCTCGTCCAGCAGCTTTCTTTGCTCGGGCGTGCAGATCAGCAGTGCTTGATTGATTAACCACCCACACTTGTTATCTTTGATGTCCGTCCCAATCTTGCCGATCACCGATGGGTCGCCAAACGCGTCGAGGTAGTCGTCTTGGATCTGGAAGTACTCGCCCAGCGGGATGAGGATGTCGTGGGCTTGTTTGAGGTTCTTGGGTGTGGCGAGCCCAAGGTAGTGCAAGGCCAAAGCCACAGGGAGGTAGAAGGAGTAATACGCGGTCTTGTAGATGACGATGAAGGTATACTTGGACATGGAGAAGTTGTCCAAGTCGACGTGGTCTTCTGGTGCAGTGATCAGATCGCACAACTGCCCTAGCTCCGTCTGCCAGGTGACTTCGTGAAAGAGTTCAACCAAGTCAATGTAGGCGGCGTGGCTGCGGAAGTGTTTCTTGAGAATGAGGTAGATGGAGGATTCGAGCATGAAGGCGTCATTGATGGCAATCATCCCCACTCCCGGGTGGCGGTACCAGCACGGTTCTCCTCGACGGGTTATGCTTGAATCCATGATATCGTCGCTCACAAGGAAGAATGCCTGTAGCAACTCGGTGAGCCATCCCAAGGTTGCGAGGTCTTTGAACTCTTGGGGGGACAAGGGCCGGCCGAGCAGCTGAGACGCAGTATCTGGTACTGACATGCCCCTGTTCAGCTTCCCAGTGGGCGTGTTCGCATTGAGTGACTGGTAACGGAATTAGCCTGGGGCAAGCCAATGCGGGAACTCGGTGTCTGTACCTTTTCGAACCATTGCATAGCATTTTCTGGGAGATTGAACTTGCGGCATTCTCCCAGCAAGTCCTCAACCAGTGAGGGAAAGATCTCCTTGAACTCTGCTCGTGTGATCTTCGTCGCCATGCTTGAGAGATCGAGTTGGGTTTTTTGTTGACAGACAGGCGGTGGGAGGAGGGGAACAAAAGAACTTTTTGGAGAACGGTTCCTGGCGAGAACGGAGGCTACTTGACCGAGTGGCGCCGCTCGCCAGGAACAGGCAACGCACGCCTCCCCCCCCCGCAAGTTGAGTCGAGATCATTTTCTTCTCTGCCAACGCCCACCATCTGTTCTTGCTTCCTGCAATCTGGTGCTCGCTTCTCGTCCTTTTCGCAGTCATGGTTTCGCGGCCCTCAACTCCACCGCCTCAGGCCGCGGCCGAGGTCAAGTCCCCACTGACACCAGAACAAGTGAGGCGGCTCGAGATCAATCGTCTTAAAGCCAAGGCGTTGCGTGAACAACGAGAGGCAGAGGTTGCGGCCACAGCGAGCCTCAAGGGTTCAGAAACCGCCGTCTCAGGCCAGAAGCGCTCTTTTGCCACCTTCTCCCAGACTTCCGTACCCTCTACAAGTCGCGATGCCAGAAACGATGTCAACAACCGTCCCCTCGAGGCCATCCAGCCTGCGCGCAACTTTGCGAAGTACGTCGATTACGACTTCAGTAAGATGGCAGATACAAAGGGTGGGTTCTTGACTGCAGAAGATGATCCCTATAATAAGGCAATGCACGCCGATGAGAAAGATCCAAAACCCTCAGATATGACCCAGAAGGAATGGGAGAGACAACAGCTGCTCAAATCGTTACGCAATCGACAAGCCGGACCTTTCGAACCAGGAATCAGCGCTATCCCTGACCAAACTACGAGGTCATGTCGAGAATGTGGAACTCTGGAGGTGGACTGGAAATGGCTTGATGTCTTTGACGTCGCAGTATGCAACGCCTGCAAGGACAAGTTCCCCGAAAAATACAGCCTGCTCACAAAAACGGAGGCGAAAGAGGATTATCTTCTTACAGATCCAGAGTTGAAAGACGAAACCCTTCTCCCGCATCTCGAAAGGCCTAACCCACACAAATCTACATGGCACAATATGTTCCTGTACCTGCGCTGTCAAGTGGAGGAATACGCATTTTCGGACAAGAGATGGGGTTCTGCAGAAGCCCTGGATGCGGAGTTCGAGAAAAGAGAGACAGAGAAGAAGAAAAGGAAAGAGAACAAGTTCAAGTCGAAGCTGGCAGACTTGAAGAAGAGGACAAGAGTCGAGGCGTATCAGAGAAGCAAGAAAGGTGGCGGTGGAGGAAACTTTGGGGATGACATGAGCGGTGGCAAGCATATCCACGAATTCGGTCGGCCGATTGACAATCCAGAGACTGGGTTCCCTGTCAAGACGTGTACGATTTGTGGACTGGAAGTTGAAGAACTGGAGTTGTAAGATAGCAGCCAAGATGATACCCCCCTTAGACTGAACGAAAGAGTCACTGAGAAATGTGCAACGCTTTGATCTACGTGCCGTTCACGCCCAAAATTCCATACAACGGCCCTCTGGAACAACATCTCCTCTTCAGGAGAGTCTATTCCTGGAAAACCAAGCAAAGGGAGTCGCTAGATCAAACGGTAAGCCCAGTGAGCCGTGGTATTTGGGAGGAGTAGTGAGCAAGCAATGATAGGTGGAAAGATCTTTTAGTCGCAGTCAACCGCCGCGTTGGCGCTAGAACCGGCTGGTCGCAAGCCGCTCTCAAACTCCAAACCCGGGGAGGGAAGTTGCTGCAACTTGCTGCTCGCGCTTCTAACCACCAGGAGACAACCTGAATCATCCAGTTCGACTGTGTTCTGCACCCTGCCAGCTGTCCACTCCTTTCTCCCCCTGCCGATTCCATCCTCGTCCTCGTGCCTTAGCGGCTGCTTTAAAGATTTCTCGTCCCCTTTACCACCACGAGTTCTCCGCATCGACTGAATCATCTCGTCCGAAGACCGCGTGACCCTTTCTGAATCTCACAGTCAACCGACATGGCTAGATGAGAGAGGCACAAGCGTCCGAGCGCCAGAAAGCGCATAATGGCGTGGCAGCCCGGGGCTGGAGGGGGCGGCGTAGGAAGCATGGCCGGCGGAGAAGCGAACGGAGTGCAAGCATACACCCTGCAAGGTGCGAAACATGCCATCTACGGACCTGGTTCCAGTACTGACAGCTGCGCCCAGGTGTGATGCGATTCTTGCAGACCGAATGGCATCGACATGAACGAGACAGAAATGCCTGGGAAATCGAACGCGAAGAAATGAAGAACCGAATAGCCATCCTGGAAGGAGAGACGAGAACGAGCAAAGGCATGCGGGTTTCCCTGGAACGACATGTCAAATTACTGGAATCAGCTCTCAAGAAGGAGCGGGAGAAGGCCAGAAATGCCAGCAAAGGCGAAATATCTGACAGTCACAAGGAGGCCAAAGAACTGGCCAGAGAAGAGTTAAAAGCTATCGGCAAGGGTATGTTGTCCCGCGTATACGTGGGATACCGTCGTTGACACAACGCAGATTCGCACGTCAAAGGGATCAGCCAGTTCGATGCAGAGATCGATCCCGAGAACCACCTGGCCCAAGGGATTCGACAAGAGAAAGAACGCGACAAATCCAAGAGCTTTCTCTCTAAATGTTCTTCGGAAATCACCTACCACGTCCTCCCTACGGCCCATGTACCACCTGAGGCTAACGACCTTGCGGCCTCAACCAACGGAAATCATGGTTTCCAGGGGCGGCAACCAACGCAACAAGAGCTGCAAGAAGCATATCTACAGTTGCAACAAGTGAAACAGCAGCATCGAAACGTGGCCATGGTTCGAGAAAATGCTGCTCAACAACCGACGCAGTTCGCCGAACCTACACCTCTGAGTCGGACGAGCACGCAGATCAATACTTCAGAAATACAGGCCGGTGCAGTTGACAGGAGATTGCCTGAACATATCGCCCAATCTGTCCCCGTAGTGGATCCTAGGAAGAATTTCTACAATGAGCAGATCCCGGTGGTTGAGGATGAAGTGGAATCGATAACTCACAGCTTCGACGCTTATGGACAAGAGATTCCTCTTAAAGACCAGACTGAGATACGACCGATGGATGAACCCAAGCAAGAAATTGCGGACGGATGGGATTTTGATGATGGACCAGCCGCTTCCGAAAAGCTGTCTGAAGGAGCTTCACCGCACAGGCCGGACACTGAAGTCTTCCCAAGCGCCAACATGATTCCTTCCAAGTCTCCGCCTCGAGCCCCCGGGTCCTATCGGCGAAAGAGCACGGGAGCAAGACGGCGCAGTGAGGGTAGCAATGATGTGCGGGAATTAGCAGTCAAGCCCGATGCCTCACAGTTCAAAGTTAGGTTTGCTATGAGAGGCCATCTGGATGTCGTCCGCTCAGTCATTTTCACGGGCGGCGGCAGCCCATCCGAGCCTGAATTTTGCACAGCTAGCGATGATGGTGGAGTAAAGAGATGGCACATTCCGGCGTCTTATGGCCACACTGTTTCTCTTGGGGACGATTTGGACAGGATCGCTCATTTCACTCACCGAGGTCATATCGGCGCTGTCTGTTCGTTAGCAGCATGTCCGGCGTCCAATTTCTCCAGCGGCGGCCGGGCTGTGGGAGATGGCTGGATCTTTTCTGGTGGTGAGGATGCCACCGTCAAGGTCTGGGAACGTGGCCGGGTTGACGCAAAGGCCACCTTGGAGGGCCACAAAGACGCAGTCTGGGCGTTGTGTTGTCTACCAGGAACAACAGGCGCCATTCTCGGAGATCGCTCTTCACAATTTGGCGGACCAGACCGTGTCCTCCTCGTGGCTGGCGGTGCCGATGGCACCATCCTGATCTGGGCTGTGAGCACGCCACCGCAACTGAGCTCGCCGCAAGCTGGCAGTCGGTCAGCAAGGGGCAGTCGAAGAGCGAACTCGATATCTGCAGGCTCGAATTTCCCGAGCTCGCCTCAACCGAGCATTGCCAGTACGACTCCTTTCAACTACAGTTTAGTGCATCGCATAGAACGGGCAGACAAACCGGCGCCGACATCGATTTCTCCGTTGGGCGCACATGGGGAGAATTTTGTTGTAGGATATACGGACGCGAGTGTCCTCGTGTTTGACACGCGGACAGGTGAAGAAATTGTCGGAATGGCCAGCCAGGAGACTTACGATGGTACTCCAAACACGGGTATCAATGCAGTTGTCGCCAGCAACACGGGCTTCGACACAAGAGATTCGGTTGCACCTGGCCGACGAGGATCGATGGGTGAAGAAGACGTTGTACACGGAGCGACGGGATCAGAAGGCGGTGTTGAAGGGGTCGTGATTGCTGGGTATGAAGATCGGTACATTCGTTTCTTTGATGCAAACAGCGGTACGTTGTCTTTCACTTTTGTCTAACCCTCTGCAAGGCTGACTTCTCTCACCCCAGGACAATGCACATACACCATGCTCGCACATCCATCGGCGATTTCTTCCTTGTCATTAAGTCCGGACGGCAAAGAGTTGGTATCAGGAGGTCACGATGCAAGTTTACGGTTTTGGTCACTCGAGAAACGCAGTTGTACACAGGAGATATCGAGTCATCGCATCATGAGAGGCGAGGGAGTATGTGGTGTTGTCTGGAGTCCTGATGGGCGATGGGTCATCAGCTGTGGCGGAGACGGAGCTGTCAAGGTGTTTTCAAGAAGCTGATGTTGGTATGATGACGGCGATCATGGAGATCCGTGATCTGTATCCATTTTGAAGATAACGAAACCTGACACAACTCCTCTCAAGGGTCCTGGCCTGCATTCACGCATGTGGTGACAGCTCGATGGTCATCTGGAAGTAGTTTCTTCGGGCTTTTTCTGTTTCTTTCCTTTCCCCCGGCAACGAGTGCGCTTTCAATGATTTTCCCAGCTTCGGTGTTTCCCTCTTGCCGATGGAGTTTGATGCTGGACAGCTCGATGGGTTGATCAGCTCCCTCGCCTGCGCCTGGGGCGTTGGAACCAAGCGAACAAGAGCGCCCTTTGGCTGCCTCGGCGGCCGTAGGTAATTTGCCCCCAGATCCACGCATACCAGTTGGTTCCCAGCCCTGTCGTGTCCACTTTGCATCGGCGTCTGTTTGGTTTCTTTCCCTTCTGCTATGTTCTCGTGTTGAGATCTGGGGAAGAGAGGATGCAATCTACCGTCTGACCCTCTTCTTCGTAACGGCCGGCCTTGGGAGCACAGAGGGCAGTAGCACGGAAGTCGGACAGCTCTTTCCGCTGGACTGAGAGCTACGCAGTTCGTAGGAACATGCGCTCCCTGGAGAAGAAATGCACGAAATTTCTCATTCCACTTGGGCCGTCGAACGCTCCACGCAAGTATACCTCCCGCAGCTCGGGATTCTCGATTCCCAACGTCTGCAGCAACCAGATGTAATTCCAGCGTTCTTCGACAACATCCCACCCTTTCGGCTCCCTGACCATAATCAGAAATCCGAACAGACGGCCCGCGGTGAGGAGGAAAAAGGCGGCCTGTGATAACTGAGCCTTGCCATTTTGCGGCAGAAGATCCTGAATGATTCGGAGCGAATGAGCTCCCATAGGGCCTTCCGCAGACCTCGATGGAGCCTTTGCTGTACTCATAGGCCGTGGCGAAGAAGGAAACCGGGAACATCCGATATACTCGTAGGATCGTGACCCAGATGCCGATTATCGACTTCTCTTCGCGAACAGGGATTCTGCGCACCAGTGTTCGGACAAAGCGCTGGCAGTTGTTGAATTGGATGTCGTAGTTCGCCGGTTTCATGCGTACCTTCACCATCAATGCTGTGTGAGCTATGAGTATGCCTCTATCTCACGAAGAAGGAGACTGACCACTCTCCCAGATCTGCTGGTCTGTGCCGACAGTCTTCCTACCTTTACGCTCTTGATTCAGCTCTTTTCACGCGATGGCGTCTCTTTCCATTCTCCTATGGGGTACTTGAGGTAGATTGGGCGCTCCCCTCGACACATACTGGCCTCCTTGAACGGCAGCGGCTTTCGGCGCGACGTGTAGGTCCAGCTGGCATCATTCGAGGCAGGAAAACCCTTGGGCGAGTCGATACCTAGAATGCACGGGTGAGTAACTCCTCCTCCTTCCTGTGAGACACATCATTCGGGGAGGAGTTCACACAACAACTTGTGCATTTTTTGCTGAAATAGGAGGGAGGTAGTTGGCGGCGCCTGCGTCCATATGGCTCTCACAGTCAAATTCGTCTTCCCAGTCCTACTGCTCAAAGGGCAGGTTCTTGTCCATGGCTCGGAGGAATGCACTGGCAAAAAGCCCTTCTAGCTTCACACTCATTTTGGAAGATGGAAAGGTAGATGTCTCCCCTCGGACCTGTCTGTAGCTAGTGTATTTCCATGCAGAAGCCAGTCGAGTCTGGCTGGAGTACTATTCGGATCGGGAGGTGATGGGATCTGAATAGGTATGGTTCCGCTCTGGGACGAGCCGACACGTCGGTCCGCAGACGACTTAGCAAAGGGTTAGTAGCATAGGGTATGTAATGTTGGTTCGGAGGCAGAGAATGTCGTGAAGACCAGAACTTCAACTCGGCCATCTTTGGGAGGAAACAACCTGCGGATAGTTCCCCAGACTGCGCTAGGTTCATTAGTGGTCGCTCCAACTATATTAAGCGAAAAGTAACTGCGCCCTGTCAGCCAACTGCGGCGCACATCTAGTTCCCACCCAGTTTAGTCTCTATCGATCGATCAATCAAATTCGTTTGTTGCACAACCTTGAATGCAGCGGAGAGTCAGTCGAGACACAACGAGGCTGAAGGTCGTTGTACAGCCACGAATGCAGCCTGCAGCGGAATGCAGTACAAAAAGAGCGCCAGCTGCCGTCTCAACTCTGTAAGTTGACCTTCGCGATGCATTACGACCCGCCCTTTCCCGTCTCAGATGCGATCGACCATAATATGTTGCATACAAGTCTTTACACCACACCTTCGTCAGGTGCGGCCCTAGAATACGTCCCCGACCAGCCGAATATCCCGTTGGCCCAGAAGGACGTCGCGAAATTCCTCCAAGATGAACTGGCTACGGAAATCCTGGATCGAATGTATCCATGGCTGTGGCTCTGCACCGTCATGGACAGCGCGCACATTGATCCACTGCACAAACACGTCGTCAAGCGCAGAAACATCATTGCCTCTGAAGATCCTGCCTTGCACTTGGTGTGGTACAAAAGCGATGTGTTTGTGAAACCGATCCCACCGGCCTTGTTCAACCACGGGTTTTGGGCCCAGTTCCTGAACGGACAGCCTGAGCAGTTCGATCGTCAGGTTGTGCTTGGATTTCTGAGATCGTACGGCTACATGATTCGACATCGTTCAGATCTCAAGCTTGCAACACAGAAAGGACTTGTCCCGGAGAGTGTCGACTGGTTACAATGGGAGCGGTTCATTGCCCATTTTCGCCCGTTGGAAGACGACGAGGTTGGATGTCGATACCATATGGGCCAGTTGCGCTTGAGCAGGCTCAACTGCCTCATTCTCATACTACGACCTCGAAGGAAGGAAGAAGCGGGCAGCAATCGACATTATCATCCGACAGAATGGGACACCGCTTCATACATGCGGCAATTTGCAACGCCCCTACTGTTCATCTTCGCTTCGGTGTCGTTACTGCTGTCGGCTATGCAAGTCGTGCTGACCTTGCCCAGTGAGCCTGCGTGGCATACATGGGTTGTGAATTCCGCCAGCATTGCAGACGCTTTTTGGGGGTTCTGTGTAACCGTGCTTGGGGCCTGACCTTCAGCTGGCTCCTTTTGATAGGTTGCCCAATCTTCTATTTGATGGCACAACAGGTGTTTGGATATGGCCAGAAGCGCAAGTTTCGTGGACGACTCGCAGCCATGCCATCTTGAGAAACCAAAGCTGTGTGGGAGGAGGTCTAATAGAACCATCTTTCAAGTTAGGATTGAATACTAGTCTTGAAGCCATCGGGGACCAGTGGAAGTCGTGATTCTCGAAATCTGGGAATTTCAGCTATTCCGACGAGGGTTTCTTGGGGGCACAATAGAAAAGTGTGGAAATCACGGTACACGAACCATAGGTCGCTTGTTTCAGCAACAAAATAACATTCAGCGATCCAGGAGAAAAGGAGAATTATCAGTCAGAGAGAGTAGTACTGCTAAGTGCTTTCCGTTGTCAGTACTACTTTCTCTTGCCTGTACCACAATAGTACTAATCTCTGGTCGTCATTCCACGCGAAACGTTCTGGCACTCAACAGCCACCGACCCAGCTAAGCCATATTCGGAAGCTTTCGTGAGGCTTTTACATCGACCCCAAACTCATAAATCCTGGTATATCCACAAAATCTTGCTCCTCACTTTATCAGCACCACTTTGTACCCTGACAGCGATCCCAAACTAGCTTCAGACCGCCTTCAGGCCTGTTAGAATCTGGACTCCGTCTGCTATGATGTAGCCTCCTCTTAAGGAGCGACCTGTATATCGTGATCGAAGCAGCTGAGCGGCCTTTAGTCAGCCTTAGCTCGGGCTTTGGCTCTGTGTGGAAACTGGTCCCACACGCACGGATCATGGAGCTTTTCGACGACCACATTGGGTATCACTTCATTCCAGTTTCAAGTTTTGAATCAGTTAGTATTTCTTATTCAGTCCACGATAGTATGAATGATTGGTCCCGTTTATACTATCGATGATATCATATACAATCGAGTGCTCTCTGCACGCGCGCCTGAAAATGGTGGTCTGGCCGTGATCTTTTACGACCACTTCCACTCGAGACCACCATCCAGTCCTGGCCCTTATATCTTATGTATAGTAGTAATCGATATACTTTTCGCATTCTTTTAGGTCTAATTAATGTATTAGCAGTATTGTGCATTTAATACGCTTTCGACCTGCTTTTGACAATACTATGTTGACACAAAATACCGATGGGCATATAAATACTACCTACAATATATATATCCGTTTCCGACTTACGACTGAGCTGAGCAGGGTTGGTAAAATATATTCTCACACGTAAGACTGAACGTATTAGTACCCGAAATTTTGTTAATGTGACGAACGTCCGCGGCCCCCAACGCGCTAAAACTATGCGCTAAAATACCAGCGTCTAGCAGTTTATATACGAAACATAATTAGTCGTGGGAGCTAAAAGAACCCTTATTTCTCTCATACAACGCGAGTTTACCACGCTATACGAATATAACTACGACGCGTAAACTCGACCATATCTAAAACCTTCACAACTAGAGTATCTACTATAAAGGCCGACTCAGTTGCATCAACTAGCAGCTTATGAGCGCTTAGGGCGCTCAAGGCGCTCACAGCACTCAGGGCACTTGGCGCTAGACACTAATGTAGACATTAACGCTAACGCTAGAAAACTAGTCGCTTGGCGCCCTCAGGAAGAATCGAATCGTTCAGGAAGATTACCGTCTTTTACGGGTCCGGAATGTTTCAGGAATTCTTCGAAACTTTCAAGTCACTCAGCTCAAAGTGAGGCTCCTTCAAGTTGGCAGGCGAAGCGGAAATCGCCGCCTTAAGCGTCTCCGAATGGATACAATCAACCGAGGTTCTTGAATCAACCACCTGGCGTTAGATTTCTGAGAGTCTATTAGTACCTATGCTTGCCCGACTCGCCGCATCCCTTCTGCCTAGAAGGCATGGTAGAATGCCGCTAAGTCAATCTACTTTATATGACAGAGCTACTAGAGATTCAAGAGCGAACGGGTCAACAATGGGACCAACTTACGCGGATTTTCTCCAATATATCAAGTCGACTCCTGTCCCTCGAGACGAGATCGAGCACTTCCAAGCGACATGGGCCAGGAAATACGTGGACGATCCAGCCTACAAGCCCATCGTGAGTTTCTCTCGGGTATCCAAATCCGAAGGCGTCGATACGTTCTTTGCGAAGACCATCAGATCTCCCAGCACCATCCCCAACGCACTCACCTTGATCCGCAAAGATTATGTCACTCCCCCCGAAGAACCGGCGCCATCGCAACCAACAGGCAAAGGGCGACCAGATGATGACAACAAGCAGAAGAACTCCAATGACAACGGCCCGCCGCCGCCGGCGGATTTTATCTGGCTGCTCGATCTGCGCTCCGACCTGAACGGCTTCAAAGACACCACGCACGGGGGCGTGCTCTGCTCGTTGATGGATGAGGCTTTGAGCATCTGCGTCGAAATCCACCGCCAACAGATGATGGGGATGCGCTCCAACTTGTACACCGCCTACCTCACCACCATCTACCGTGCGCCGGTGATCACCCCCTGCACCGTGGCGGTGAAGGCGAGGCTCGAGAGGAGGGAAGGTCGGAAGTGGTTCCTGACCGGGGCTCTCGAGGACGAGCAGGGAAAAATCTTGACTGAAGCGAACGGCCTTTGGATTGCGGCGAGGGAGAAGTTGTGACGCATGATCTCGTTAAGTGCTTGTGCCTCCGAGAATACGATCAGCACCTTTGTTTTGTACATACCACTGCTGGTGGAAGAGTCATGGCGGGAGTCAGTCTTCGTCAATACTGGTACTAGATAGATTTGAAAGACTGGTACGATGTTACGCGTCTCTTTTCGCTCCGCTCAAGTGTCTGGCATCACTTCCACCTGACCATCTTTCCTCTCGCCCTCGACTTGCTGCGCCTGACGTACTTTACCTTCGAGGTGATGATCTTTGACGGCATGGGTTGTGGGGTCGATCTCGAGCTCGTATTGATAGACCGCAACCTCGTCTTCGTCACCAAAGATTGCAGCAACTTCTTCCAGGGGCATGTTCCTTGTGTCGGGCCAGTACAGCAGGATTAAGATACCCCCTATGAATCCACCGATAATGAAGACCAGGAAATATTTCCAACCAATGTTCCTAAATTCTTCCAGTGAGCAGGACTAGTAATTTTCTCGTGGTAGAAAAGTTAGACTTACGCTAATGCTGTTGGGGCAGACTGAAGCCAGATGATATTCATCAGTGCGATCACGGCACTACCAAGGCAGACGCCTTTCGCGCGAAGATGCGTTGGGAAAATCTCGCCGAGGAAAGTAAATTGAGTGCCTAGCAGAGTCAGTGAATTCTCAGAGGGCGTGCAGAGACGAGGTGTGTTGTTGGGACAGTACCATCGAGGCCCACAACATAGAATGGCTGATATAGATAGAAGCACGCAACAGTCGCCTTGAGAGCAGCGGTGTTGTTTGAAGGGACGAAGTTGGCAATCAGAGCAGAGATGATGCTCAACATGACAGAGCAACCGATGATGCCACCGCCCAGCAGGATGTTTCTGGGGAATAGATCGATCAGGCCGGGCGCAACCAGGAAGAGGCAGAATCCGACGGTTAGCCAGATGACTGGGAACAGGAGCTGCTTTTCGGGTCCGTAGCCCAGAAGCTTGTAGATGACCGGGCCGTAGTCTAATGTCACTGTCAGCAGAATAGAAAACCGGGTTGAAGATACAACAGACTGTTAATGACCAACACGCCGGCAAACTGGACAATGGCCGTAGTTCCGATTGCCAGAAGAGCCCTTTTTCTGTACGAGGGTTTGCGGAACAGTTGTCTCCAAGTGCAGTTCAACTCTCGATCGATGGCGACCTGTCTCTGGATCTGATACAACTCTGCATGGGCTTTATCATGTCCATCGTCAGAGTGCGAGTGCACCTTCTCGAGCACACGCTTGGCCTCTTCGTCTCGATTTTGCATAACAAGCCATCTGAGGTTGATTGTTAGTCCGATGGCGACTCGATAGAAGACTTTGGATGGTGGTGTTTCACCTTGGGCTTTCTGGGCAAAAGGGAAGGCCGCATAGTAACAGCAGTGGGGAAACACACTGGACAGCCACCGGTAGGCGCCAGTTGTTTCCATTGTTGTGCCAGAAAAAGGTGCCAAATCCGATCCAGCCAGACGACATGTAGCCAATCTGGAAGAAGATCCCGTGGATCTCCACGAGTCCACCTCGCAGATTGACGGGGACGAGTTCGCTCATCAAAAGCTACATCGTGTCAGACGTTAATCGAACCTGGGAGGTGGAATTTTGCCTCTTACCGGGGCAGCAGCGATCGACATCCACGAGCCAGCACCGCTGAAGAATCGAAATACTATAAATTCCCCGACGTTGGTGCTCCCAGCCATCACGGCTCCGGATACGAAAACAAGGACGGCAGGCTGGGTTATATTTGGTAAGCAAACAGTTCTAGAATTGTAGACGAAGATTCTGCACACTCACAACGGCAAGTGCCCAACGCCTACCCCATTTGTCGGCTACCCAGGGCAAAATGAGAGTCCCTATAAATCCTCCTGTTTGAAAAATACCGTTCATGGTGGATATAAGGTCTGTTCCATTATGGCGTGTGTCCAGTTCAAAATATTCCACTGTCGAATTATGTCAGCCGGTCAACAGGTCGAACATTGCTCGGGAAGGCTGTACAAAATGACGGTTGACCTGATTGATTTACGCTGTTAGTACGTTGATCATTCTTCAGTCTCTTGAGGCTCTTGCGGGCCACTCACCAAGTAAAGTCCCTATGACCGCAGCAGGGTAACCAAAAGTCAAAGATCCGAGCCCAATAAAAGCGAGCAAGCCGATAGTGTACAAGTTCAACTTGTCTTTCGACTTGACCTCCCTGGTCTGCATGATTGCGAAACTTAGGGTGCAATATCAACGTGCTCAACAATTCTTGTTCTCATTAAGCTATCTGAGACGACAGCACTTCGTCCAGAACACGACTGCCCAGACCAAATGGCGTTGCTTGTCTCTCCAAAGAAGGGTAAAACAAACTTGGCTCATCTCGTGTTCATCGCCGTGCGAAAAGCTTCCCCCATAAAAACAATAAACTGACCGTCACTGACTCATTGAACACCAGTGTCAACGTCCGACAACCGAAAACACCCTCGGGAAAATGCTATAGCACCCCGCATCGCAGACAGCAAGGAAAAGCAGACAGACCATTCACCTTGGTGGAAAAGAAATAAAGTGCGCAAGGCATTCCACAGTTGGGGGGGCGCGGAGGAATAGATGAGGAAAACTCAAAAATCCCCTTTCCCCAAACTATGCTTCCATCTCGGAACCGCAGCGGATGAGCTAACCACGACATAATTCGAGGACCCCCTAAGTCAATGCAGCCTAGGTCCCGTGCAAAGCCTCGCCAAGGATCGTATCTCGAGTTCTCGAAACTTAGGTACCTGCCTGGGCAGACTTTGATTGCCCTGGCTGTTGGGGAGGTGCTTCTGTCCTTTTGCGGTGAGTGGACGGCCTTGAAGGTTTTAATCCCGATCCCCAAGACGTGGCAAGCAATTCTGTGGGTACTTGACAGACTATATATATACCCAATAGAACACAAAAAAAGGAAACAGAGGTAAGATGTAACGGGACTTCCCCCGACGTTGCCGATAAGGGCCTTCTTTTGTGCTGCTTCACACCCGACGACCTTTGGCTCCGCACAAGTCCACAGCACAAATGGACGTGGGCGAAGTCTCCGCGTGGGGCCCCCAGCCGCCATGTGGAGAGAGACGTGGGAATAGTGGAGCCGTTATAGCCACGAAAGGTTAGACTCGGAGCGCTCTGTGCCGAGGCTGGATTCCGAGAGCACGCAGCCATGCTTCGTCGCTCGCTGTTAGTCACAGGCCACTGACAGTGGCTTCTCGCACAGACTGCGTGGTCTCCTGGGATCAATCTCGTCGGGTGAAATTACCCTTTCTTTTATCTCCCGTCAAATTAATTCTTTTTAGGGTTTTATCGCCAAGTCTGCGCCTTATCAAGATCAATGTACCGAAAGTCTGCTCGGGATGTCCCAGAGAGAGAAGACTCTTATGCATGCAGAAAGCAATGCTGAGGCTTTTGGAGGCTGGGGAGGGTGGTATACCAAGCCAACTGGAGCCCTCATTATGGGCTTATCCAACAATCGTGCGTTCAACCCACGGGAGCGGCTACATAGATGCTTGGCTCTGTTAAAGAGACCTGGAAATCAGCGGCATAAGGAGTTATGAACGGCCTTGAGAGCAGAGTCTGGTATTTAACGAACGTTCCGAACCTCCACTACGTCTCCACAGTCACCTGACATGGCACTTCCTGCAAACTCGCAGGCTCGATATAGTCCTCGTGGCCGTTCACCTTCAACCGTAACTTGCGAGACTCGGCATACACGGTCCGTCTCACACGGTTGGTGCTGCCCAGCGGCCGATGGACTTTGAGACCATGCCAGCTGTTGACGGTGATCCTGTCGTCCCACCAGACCCGAAACTTGGGGATCCAGCTATCTTGTGGCGAGAACTCGACGGTGGCGATCTGCTCAAACGGATACTTCTTCTCGTCCCACTCGATGCCAACGTCCTCCACCGGTTGTTCGTCCAGATTCTGAAGAAGCTGCGCGCAGAACGAGTACGTCACCTTGTTGTCCAGGTGAAACTTACGAAGCTCTTGCGAGATAATGTTCTTGGGATCCGTGTCCTTGATGTAGGTATTTTCCAGCTTCTTCTGCTCTTCGCCCGACGGGAACAAGCCGAACTTAGCCACATATTCACCAAATCGGTATGCCGATTGCGAATATTCTGGCATTGCTACCACTGCAGACTGTTGTCAGGCGAGTCAACCTATTCAAGCATCTAACTTACTGTGCTGCGGGGGTATGGTGGCTGGCCGACATGCAACTTCGGCGTCCGGGCGCTGCTTCAGCTCATTCTCAAACCCTGGCATATTGTCCCAGTTTCTCTCAAGCGAGTCTGCGATTTCATACGTGGTTTGCGCGTCGCGAAGTTCGAGGATGGGATAGTTGTTGAAGGTCCAGTCCTGGGTTTTCTTGTCTTCGCCCCAGATCTTCTCGCCCTCGACTCCGAAAATCTTCATGCCAATCCCGCGGGGTGCAGGCACGTTGTCAGGGACAAGTTTGGGCGTGAGGGAAGAATACCGCATGATGACGTCGTATGTGCCAGGCTTTGAAAACATCCCCTGGGCGAGGTACGGCGGGAGGTTGTCGTGCACGATGAATTTACCAGCAACGCACTGTCGAAGTTTGTCAACAAGGTCGGAGAGTCAGGTGTGACCGACATACCCCATGAGTTTTTAGGTGAGTACCCCGGAGGGCGTGGTGATGTTCGTCGAAATTCATCATCTGGAATCTGCAGAACTGCTCTGCCACCTGCTTGATCCTTTCCTGTTCGCCAGGCTGTTCGACCTCCACACCGGGAGCGTCCCAATGAATGTAGCCAGGCATGATGGATGAGCTCAATGACAATGCAGCGTGCAGCAGAACAGAATCTCCAGGCCCGGTGAGGAGCTGTCATTTATTTGACAGGATTGGGGGCCTCAGGACCAGCCAGATACGGGCACTTTGCCCCGTATTTGCCTACTGGTATTTCTCCTCGGAGGGCGTCGATCGGCAGTCTTCGATAGATGCTTGACTTCCATATCGTCGGAATGTAACCTGGATCACGATGCCCATACGCTTGATCTCTCGTGGCTGACATGACGCATTGTTGCGGGGAGGGCTATGGTCTCGACTGTCTAGTCAGGAACAAGTCAGGTCCTGTCCAATCACATACACCCTTCTGCTCAGCTGCGAGATGAGCGGGCCGCACTCCATGACAAATAACTCATACGCAGTTCGTCAAGGGTTCGAGCAGGTCGTCTAAGCTCTTCGTCGCAGCGCCTGGAACTCAGACCCTTAGGGCTTCGACACAGCATTCAAGCTTGTCAGATTCGCGAAGAGGAGTGCAGGAATACCTTGATTTCAAGTAAATCTCGGAGAATACACTTGCATAATTGGACTTGTGCTTTCACTAATTGCAAAGAATTACCACTGAGGCTTCCAGGAAGTTCTTGTCGCTTTTCAACCCTTTAAAGCGGCAGGGAATGACTACCAGCGCACCGATTCCCGGATTCGGTAGTAAGCAGCGAGGGAACCTAACATTCTCCCTAAGGCGGAAATTGTCTGCATCAGTTGCTTCGAAGGTAGACACAACGAGTCAGTGAGCGAGACTCGGCAAAGGGCGATACTTGGGGATGTGACATTGACTGGATGAGTAGCAGAGATTACGGCATCGGCAAGAGAGAAGAGGAAGACATCGCCTCGGCGAGCTGGTCAAGCTGCGTGACTTGAAAACGAGCGAGGTCGGTGCAGCTCTGATGTGCGAGGTCGAGGCAAGGCTCCGGTTAGCAGACTAAACGCTAGACTGATGGAGAGTCGTTCGGTCAAGCAAGGTCATCTGGTGAATGCGACAATTACGCAGCTTCAATGGCGCAGAGGGTATGGAGGCAGCCTTCCACTAATCTCCTGGAGCCTTGATGGGCTTTTCACATCGGAGTACCCGCACTCCACAAATAATGAAGCAACTCCTGGTACGTGGGCTCTTGAGCAGGGCGATCATGAGTGTCCTCTCCTGGTCGAAATTGGCAGTCAGGAAATTGGACTGCGACGCCTGATTCACCGTTCTTGGGTTTAGGAGAGCGTGAAGCAATAACACACAGTAAGCAGAAGCTAGGTACACTGTCGCACCAAGTACCTCGTAATAAGGGTCAGATTCAGGAGTCCCGCTACTGTGGCTGGAGATGTGCATTGCGCCATCCGAGAGCAAGTTTACGCCAGCCTTGCGAGAATACCCGAAGCCCTAAGTAGTTAATAGCGGGAACATCTGTAAAGCAGCAAGACAAACACGTCGCTTGTGAGTGGAGGACAAGCTAGGTGAGGCTGAAGTACCCACAAGGCGGCGTCAAGCTGCTGCTGAAAAGAGGAGCTGCGCATCAAGACAAATTCTTGCGTAATTGTCGCGTCTCACAGCTGCCCCTCCGCCGTGGCTGCGGTTGGCCGTGCAATGGCCATTCAGTTTGGCGTGGTCCGACGTTTTTGGCTCCATAGCTTGGCTGTCGTTGGGCTGTGCTGCTTCCTTGTCTTCTTGTATCGCGATTTTACTCGCAGCGCTGGCATTGAACGCGATCCCCTGACTGCACCCCTTGATGTGCCCACTTCTTCCTCGCCGCAGCCACCAGCCAATGCGGGGCGACGACCGTGCGTGGGTCCCAGGGGAAGGCCCGTGCAGGAGAATCTCGACGACAGAGTATGGGCGAGCCCGATAAACTTGCGTACGTAGTCCCAGGTTCCTCGTTGACATGTGGTGTGCATGCTGACAGGATCGTAGCCTTCCCAGACCCCGTGGGCGGCTCTTTTGCGGCATTGGGCCTGCCACTTACCTTCAACACCCCAGACTCGAGATACGGTGCCTACGGCTATAATGAAGACTCGGACGGTTACGAGCGAACGCGCGTACTGTGGAGCTCAGTAAAATGGGCGGAGTTGCAGAATGACTGTCTCGCTACAAACCTAGACCGTTTCCGCAGCCCCGACAACATTTCCACGGCGAGAAGGTTTCGCTTGCCTACGAAGACTGGCTTTCAGGAATTAAAAGCAAGGACATATTCCACAGGTCGGTCGGCGATTGTACTTCGTAGTTGGGAGGGTTACAACTACACCTCGTTAGACTTGTACCATGTGCGGTCACTGATCGTCGAGGCTGGGCTGGAGTCGAACGCGGACAATGCTGTCTTTCTCTTGGTGGATGTCAAGGACGAAAATGGGACCAGACAGATATTCCATGATTCACAGAGCTATGACGCGGCCTTACAAGATTTGGTGCCGGAGGAATTTCGAAGCATCGCCGTTCTATTCGACCTCAACTTGCTCGAGTCATGGTATCCTCGAATCCCCGAACATTCGGCCTTCTTCCAAGTCTACCAGCCTCTCCAACTGTTTGCACAGCTCTTCCCTGGCTTTGACCACTACTGGCAGCTTGAGATGGACATGAAGTTCACGGGCAATTCCGGGCAGTGGTTGGACGCAATGGCAAGGTTTGCGAGGAAAGAGCCACGCAAACAATCAGTCGAACGGTCTTCATATTACTATATGCCGCACATCCATGGATCTTACGAAGAGTTCAGGGCAGTCATCAACGAAAGCTTGGGCGGTCGTGGTGTTTGGGGACCCGTTCAGATCCCTGATGTCAAACATCCCGTCGGGCCTCAACCGCCCGTTGCCGATCCTCGTGAGGACAATTTCGACTGGGGTGTTGGAGATGATGCCGATTTAATTCTCACGAACGCTCTAGCGGATGTGAGGACGACCAAGTATTGGCCATTCAAGGGTTGGATCCATGGGTTCCAGGAGGGAGAAGACACCCCCCGCTTCTATAGCCCCGTGGCCATGGGGAGATACTCGTGGAACCTGCTCAACGCGATGCATCACGCTCAGGTCCATCAAGGTTTGTCTTTGTCGTCAGAGGCGACTGCTGTGTCATTTGCGCTGTACCACGGTCTCAAAGTCGTCTTCCCACCTCATCCTTGGTACCACCATCCTCAGGCACGACGGGAAGTGAGTATTCAGGAATTGGAACAGCTGTTCAATGGCGGTTCGCCCGCCGAGAACGCTCGGGAGAACAACGGCCTTGCATTTGGAAAAGCAATGTACGATCCTAACGGCGTATACGAGTTGTTTAATGGTGGGACGTGGTGGTGGGTGCCCGGCTACCCGGGAAGAACATTCAAACAGTGGATGAATCATGATGCGACGAATATACCCTCGATGCTGCGCGAAGATGGAGGCAAGATTTGGGCACCTATGATGGCTCTGCACCCTGTGAAGTCGGGAGCCAACGCATAGTGGCGAGGTAGCCCGCTGGGAGACTGTATATGTGTGTATGTGTGTGTGTTTTTTGTGTGTGCCGGAATGTATATGAGAGCTGCATGGCGCAAAGGGTCACGGATTGCTCGAGATTTCAGGGTCCTGCATAGGTGTGGCCGAGTGATATGGTCTAGAATCTATTTCAAGGCATGTTCTGCCAACTGCTCGTCGGCTTATTTGACTCGTATCCACGGCACCTTGAACTATCTGGCGCTACCGGGTGAGTGGAGGGAGTCAATTATCGAGCTAATACTCGAGGCAGGAGATACGAATTACAAGTTTACACTGGTTAGCAAGCCACGCAAACTTCACAGCCGAGCACGACGGTAGTAGCGCCGGGTGGATCAGGGCCGGACAGAATACGCGAAACTTGAATATTCGACTAACGGAACGCCAAACGTTGAAAATAAAACCATGTCCCTTCTCAAGCTGCACACCGAGCCTCAACATACGGTGGATTCCCTGTTGGCTACTGGACTTCTGCAATGTCCGCAGAAGCCACTCCTGGTGGGTAGCTGGAACAACGGACAAGTCGCTGAAGTTCCCCATAGGCTGCCTTACACCGGTGCCTACCGATCACAATGACTATGCCCCTTCAATTGGCTCGGGCTGTATCCTGGAAAAGGTGGCCAGAGCCCGTGTTCTAGCCGTCGAATCCATCAGGAGAGTTGAAAATTCCAGTCACCAGTACATCCAGCCAATGCCGGACCTTGCACTCAACCCACAGCCTGCATAATGAGGGTCTTACTGAGGGTCTTTATTGGACCTGAAGAGGCACACCGGTTGTGACTCCTGCTATTTCTTGGGGCGCCCTGCTCGTATGCACCTGGTCTGGCTGGCAGAACTGTCGGCTAGGGAAGATATCGACGTGTCGCTCCTCAGTTCGTCAACCTGGTCCCAGGGTCTACGCACGCTGAGGGGCAATCGGCAGTCTAGAAACCACTTCTTCCGACGCATCCATCAATGATTGCGATTTATATCGATGAATAGTCTATCGAGAGGTTCAAGACCTCATGCCTAGTCACCTCTCACACGTGGCAGGGAGTATTGAAAGCATATTTCACTCTTTTCCCGAGATTTGAGGCCACTCCACGGGGCTGGAGGGCCAACAATGGCAGGCAAAGACGATAACCCTTTCAACGACAGTGACGACCCCTCGGCGCCTCTGATACAGCTCCAATCGAAGCCCCATGAAGAGATGCTCAATGGCATTGACCAAGTACGGTCGGAAGGCATCGGCAGATATGTCAGCCTTCCACAGCTCATCGTGTGCGGTGACCAGTCGTCCGGCAAAAGTTCCGTGTTGGAGGCCATCTCAGGCTTATCTTTCCCGGCCAAGGATAACATCTGCACTCGTTTCGCTACCGAGCTCATTCTGAGGCGTTCGCCAAACGTGGGCGTCAGAGCCTCCATCCATGCTGATGAAGAGCGGCCCGCAGCCGAGCAAGACCGCATCCGAGGGTTCAAGGCATCGACCGTCGAGCTTGGACAATTTGCGAGTATCGTGAGGCAGGCGGAAAAACACATCGGAGTCGGTCAGGATGACCATCTCTTTTCCAAAGACGTCCTGCGCGTGGAGGTTTCAGGGCCAAAACAGCCTCATTTGACCTTAGTTGACCTTCCAGGTCTTTACCATGCGCCGGACGAGTCTCAGACCGCGAAGAGAGTTCACTTCGTAGAGTCGTTAGTCTTGTCCTATATACAGAAAGAACGCAGTGTCATCCTAGCAGTCATCTCGGCGAAAAGTGAGATTCCGTTACAAAAGGTCACAGCATTCACACGCGAAGTCGACCCGCTCGGAAATCGAACCATGGGCATCATCACAAAGCCAGACACTCTGCCCGAAGATTCTGATATGGAGAGATCTTTCTATGATCTGGCGATGAACACTCGGCTCAGGTTCCGGCTCGGATGGCACGTCCTCAAAAATAGGGAGCATAAAGAGCAACATTTTTCTCTCCAACAACGCGACGAGTCCGAGGCCAAATTTCTATCCAAGGGAATATGGGCCAAAATGCCACGGTCGCGGGTTGGTATCGATTCCTTGAGACCGAGGCTGAGCAGTGTCCTGATGGACCACATTATATCACAGCTACCGGGGCTCATTGCTGAAGTTCAACAATCGTACAAAGATGCAGAGTCCGGGTTACAAAAGTTGGGGAAAGCACGACAGACATTGACCGAGCAACGCCGATATCTCCTGGAAAGCAGTGACCGGTTCACTAACCTCGTTGATCATGCCATAAATGGAATCTACTCCAGCTCGTTCTTCGGAGACCCTATGGACGATGAAGGCTATGAGAAGAGACTGCGTGCTGTTGTCCAGAACCGTCTATCCGATTTTGCAGAGACGATTTCCAAGACGGGAATGCAAAGAGATATTATTGATGACGAGGGGGATATCGACGGCGAAGGAAACCAGATTTACCGCTCTGACTTTGTCGATGAAGTCCAACAACGAATGCGTCGAAGTCGAGGAAGAGAGTTGCCGGGAACCTACAACCCTCTTATCATAGGTGATCTATTCTATCTCCAGAGTAAGCCATGGGAATCGATCGTGACCGGGTGCATCGATGACCTTCTTGGCGACATCCGGAAGGCGATAACGCCAATGCTGCAGGAGGTTCTGGACGAAAAGAGCCTGAGAGGTCTTCTGGAACACCTGATCAATCCTCGTCTTGAAAAGATCGAAGAAGAGGTACGCGTCAAGACGGCGGAGCTCCTGAAGCCTCAGCAATCGGGGCATCCGATAACTTATAATCACTACTTCACAGAAAGCGTCCAACAAGCGCGTGAAGAACACCTCCGCAGATACATCAGGGAAAGGCTGATGGAATTCTTTGGAAAAGAGTACCCCACTGGGACCGAATCGTTGCCAATGAAATTCATCTTTAAAATGAACGCGTTGATCGCCGCGCTTGGAACTCAGACAGAAGCAAATATGGAACTCTTCGCAGCCTCCGAGGCAATCGACTGCATGCTGGCTTACTACAAGGCGAGTACTGGCGATTTATTATCCGTTTTGCTACCCCGATACACTCACTGACGAGCTGGTACAAAGGTTGCGCGAAAGAAATTCGTGGACGATTTCAGCGTCCTCGGTGTCGAAAAATGTCTGTTAGAGACCCTAGCGGTCATTTTCTGCCCGCGAGTTGTGTCACTACTGTCTGATGAGACTGTAAAGGCAATTGCCGAGGAAGATGAAGGGTCCCGGGTCGAGCGTGAACGGTTAGAGCAGAGGGTGAGAACGCTCAGCAGCGGTCTCAGTCAACTTCGTCGCTTCGATCGACACAATATTTCAGGTGAGGCCATGTACATGAGACACCACGCGGGATGCTGAGTACCATAGTGCAGAAGGCTCCGGATGAAGACAGCGACAAGAATAACCAGAACCGAACAGAGGCTACTGTGGAAGACCAGCAAAATGTCGAAACCAGCGAGAATGAGGTTGTCGCGAAGGGCGAAAGTACTCCTACACAAAGTCCTACTCACACAAAGGGATTCATTTTCACGGGGGACAGTCCCACCACACCACTCGCACACCAGGAAAGCAGCAAGGGTGTCCTGGATCCTTGGGAGGAAAGGCCACTTGACTTCACGCCACCACGCAAGGTAAAGAAGGTCAAGAAACATTCGCAGGCAAATCTCTTCGAGTAGGAGACGTTGGTTGATAGGTATTCCGGAGGCACAAATTTCGCCGAAGTGCGGCTGTGGCCACAGCTGAAGTACTGTTCACGCGTGGTGGTAGGCACGTAGTGATAACCCAACCCCAGCCTTGAGGTGGTCTGTGATGACCCGTGTCTGTCGAAACAAAATGAGGGTCGATTGCGAACATAAGCCTTGTAAGCGGTTCTCATCCTTGCTTTACCGGACCACCCGCCACCTTTTCCAGCCAGTGAAGGACCGAGACATCTTGTTTCGGTTGTTGGCTTCGTCGGTTTGCAAACACACGAGGTGGAGTTTCGAGATCCCCTTGGAGTGACGGTGCTAGTATACTGCAGGCCGAGCAGCGGAGGGTATTGAATGGACGTCGGCCACTACGTGTATCACATTCGACCGGCTTGCACTCGATATGAGCCACTGCCGAGTATTTGTGACATATCTCATTGATTATTGTAGAATCACACGATGAATTTGAGCGCCACAAAGGTAAGGTGCGAGGTAGTTGAACGACTGACTCCATGTTAAGGAGCCACACCTGTGGTGGCGAGGCTGAGGTTTTCTGACAGTCACCCGCATATGGTCTAGCGTGGGATGAGAGCCTCGACGTCATTTGAAAGGCTTGGCAGTTGCGCCAAACTTCAACGACTTGCCGTCAACTTCTCGTACACTTCTTTCGTTCGTAATCGACAACAACAACAAGGCATGCACCATTTTTCGTTCGAGCAAAAGCTAGTCGGTGCCTAGGTAGACGGAGGCGAGTCTACACAGCCACCAGGTAAGGATGGAAATGAAAGGACGCTGTGGTGGGAGGCATTTTCCTTTCCTTTAATCCATCATTTTTCCTCCCAATCACGCAATCGCTCGCTGGATCCCCTCTGCCTTGTCTTCCTGCGCAGATGTCCCTTGAGGTGGCTCACAGTGGGTCGCTACCCTTGGAAAGAGCCGATCCTATCCGCTCGGAATATTCTCAGCCTTGACATCTCATGTTTCTCTTACTCAATAACCGCAACCTTGAATCGTAATTTCTCTCTTCCACGCGAAACGAATTTCCACCAAGAATGGCGCGATCGCATTTCCTGGCCACCGAAGCTGCCTCCCACACCCGCGGTGTAGCTAATTGCGGATCATTGGGGCAGTCATTGGCTCCTTCGCAAGACACATAACACCACCTACATGTGTGGAAGGTTAATGGAGACCACCGCGTTTCCTCTCAACCCCAAGTCTAGCATCAAAATTTTCTTGTCAATGCGACGTCAAAGATGACGAGACCCGTCGGGTTGAATCTACGCTCAGACATTGTGAGCATGTTGAATCAAAGGCGACCTCCGATGGGATTGATAAATATACTCAAGCATCGAGCAGATGCTGAACACCCGCCTGATTCCTACTATTCTCAAATCTAGGGTCCTCAGAACAAATTGATAGTGACATCAGAAATTCATACCTCAGCGATGTTGAGCAGGCTTCATTCCTACTTGCCCAAGCGCACAGTTGCGGCTCCCGGTTCTCAAACTGCAAAGGAAAAAACGTCGGTAGACGTCGAAGCAGAGAGCAGAAATGGTAGATAGCCACGCCGTAAATGCCATGGTGGCACGACCTTGTACTGACGGACCTCTAGATTCCTCTGACCTTGTTCACACCCTGACGGAGACAAAGCGTCAGATCGGTGTCATCAGCGCCTTTTTCCTCATCTTCAACCGTATGGTCGGAACCGGCATCTTCGCAACCCCGAGCACGATATTCTCGCTGTCCGGCAGCGTCGGCCTTAGCCTCTTCATCTGGGTTGCTGGCATGATCATCGCTATGTGCGGTATGGCAGTCTACCTGGAGTTTGGCACTGCCATCCCAAAGAATGGAGGCGAGAAGAATTACTTGGAGTTTGTCTATCGACATCCCAAATACCTCGCAACAGGATTCTACACGGGATATGTCGTCCTCCTTGGATGGGCCGGGTCCAACTCGGTCATTTTCGGGGAGTACATTCTCCATGCTGCTGAGGTGGAAGTCACCAGGTGGAACCAGCGAGGAGTTGGGCTGGCCTGCATCACTGCCGCATTTCTCATTCATGGATGTGCGCTCAAGTGGGGATTGAGGCTGCAGAACCTCCTTGGCATCATCAAGCTGATCATTGTGTTGCTCATCGTCGTGTCTGGATGGGTAAGTTGAAGTCGGTGAGAGTAGCTCTCGCAATTGGAAGCTGACATTGTCGTTCAGGCTGCTCTTGGTGGTGCTCTCAAGATACCGAAGCCCCACAACTTTGACAATGCATTCGAAGGAACTACAGGCAGCGCGTAGGTGTTACATCCATCATCAACGGAAGTCATCTGCTGACTTTTTATACTAGGTATGGCGTCGTCACCGCCTTGTACAATGTCATCTGGTCTTATATCGGATATTCGAATGCGAATTACGCCCTCAGTGAAACGAAGAATCCAGTTCGCACCCTCAAGATCGCGGCACCAGCGGCAATCATATTTGTGTCGATCATTTACATGCTCGTCAACGTACGGTGACGACCCTGACACATGTCTTTGCGAGGCGTCTGGCTAACACTGGATACTAATGTACAGATTGCTTACTTTGCTGCCGTTCCCAAAGAAGAGATCATATCTTCCGGCCGCATTCTTGCGGCATCCTTCTTTCGTAATGTCTTTGGAAAACGAGCAGAACGGGCACTTTCCGTGTTTGTTGCACTATCCGCCTTTGGGAATGTCCTCAGCGTCATTTTCTCTCAAGGTCGCTGTACGTGGCCCTCTCCCTCTCTACCGGCATCTTTGCAAATAAAAGCTAACAGCCTGGTAAAATAGTGGTCCAAGAACTCGGGCGTGAGGGAATCCTCCCGTTCTCCCGGTTGTGGGCAAGCAACAAGCCGTTCAACGCACCTCTGGCTGGTCTCTTCGAGCACTGGTGTGTCTCGGTGATCATCATGCTTGCACCTCCTCCTGGAGATGCATACAACTTCATCCTGAAGTATGTCCTGTCTTCCCCTACTAACTACTCAATTAAAGCTGATTATATCTACAGCGTTATTTCGTATCCCCTGTCTATTGTTAATGCCTTTGTCGCCGCGGGACTTTTGTATCTCTACGTCAACCCCCATCGCTGGGAATGGTCGCCGCCCCTCCGCGCAACATGGCCTGTGACCCTGGTTTTCTTTCTCAGCAACCTTTACCTCGTCGCAGCTCCATTCGTGCCACCTAGCGAAGGACAAAACGTGTACAAGGATCTTCCATACTACCTGCACTGTGTAGTCGGCATGGGGATCATTGCTGCTGGAGGAGTCTATTGGCTCATCTGGGCTGTCCTGTTTCCGCGCATCGGCAAGTACGAGCTTGTCAGAGAAGTCGAAGTCAGTCCATTGGACGGATGGGAGAGGAATGTGTTTTCAAGACGCAAGCCAACGGAAGACCGGAAGTCTAGACGCAGTGAGAGCTTGACTGCATTCTAATATGTACTATAGCTGGTGTAAGATGAGTCCGAAATCTACTCCTACTACTAGTAGGAGTACTGGCTGGTGATTAGCAATTCCTATCGAGCTTCGTCTGTTTCAAAACTTCCGGTAAATAAATCACGTGATTACTTACCCAACTGGGATCAAAGGGCTAGGCAAATGGCAATTATCAGGCTCGGGAATTGAGAGACTAGCCATATTCGGAAAATTTCGTGATGCGTTTCAAGGTAGACAATCAAGGGCCACATAGTAAACAAAGCCGCACTCGAATACCATAACGATTCCATTGAGACGACGGCAGTACTTCCCATCTTCTTAGATTATCAGGGCCAGCTCTTTGTCAAGGCTGCCATACGCATTGTCAGGTAAAGGTCCTCGTCCTGATCTGATCAGCCTAAGATCAGCCTTCGAAGAAGTCGTTACACGGGCAGAAAGCTTGGAACCATACATTTACCAATGTAAAGTTTCCCGAAAACTCAAGAGGCTCCTTGTGGTTTGTGGCTGTACGAACGGAATGAGGATGACGAAGTGGCTACTTCATCTCTCGTTCGCCCTTTGAATGTCTTTGCCGGTGGTACAAAGTGCTAGTGGTACCGTGCGTGAGGCTCAAAATTGTGACTGCGAGGTTTGCGAAGAACTTACCCCTGAGCCAGCCTAAGCGCAGACTTGAAGTTACAATAATGAATAATGCTGGTTCTACCAGATCTCGTCAGGCTGAGAATTCGAAGTCAAGGTGAAACTGATCAGGTTTGACGATAGGAAGAAGCCCTCATTGGCTGGCTAGTAACACTCGTAGCGGCCGTGATCGACTTGCTGCCATTTCCGGCAACAGTCGTGATCATCGCTGACAATCATGGCTGGCTGGTTTGCCATCCGTGTATGCATGTTTTGTTCAGGTGCTGTTGATACAAGGATTATCGAACGTTCATTGGTTGGGGCGGAGGTAATGATACTCAGCTCCGGAGGAGCTCCTGCCGAATCGGGCGACCATTGTCTCGCTTCGACTGCAGCAAGCACGAGTGGCTGCGCCTTCGCAAGCTGTGCTCTCCTGCACACACGAGGTCCAGACCGCAAATTCACGAGTTCGTTGTGTTCGTTGCACCTCCCAGAATCTTTCTCTGACATCTCATCCATAGCTTCAAGCAGGCACCTACAGCACCCTGCATTGTTCCAGAGCTCCAGGAGGCCGCTTAAGCCCCCAGCTGAACTTCAGCCGCCAGCCTCTTCCGGAACAGACCATGCTGGCCCAAGCTCCTAAAGCTCATGTCAATTTATTGTTCAAATAAAGGCACGAACCAGCCGGGCGTGTCTCTTCTCCTCGTTTCATTCCTTGAGCAGAGTCCATCATGGCGACCACATTCGATCTGCTTGAACGCCGCAAGGAGCGCTTCGTCCTCTGGAACCCAGCCAGCCAGTCTACGCCGAGATTGATTCTCGGCGTTTTCAAAACCACGCCAAGCCCGGGCGCTGTGGCGGTTTTGTTCAAGGTCGACCTGTCACACACACAGAATGGTCTCTGGGAAGTCTCTCCTAATGCTAGGACACTACCATTGGAGAATGGTAAGGTCTATCACTACTGGTTCGAGGTGGACAACACCTTCCCTACCCAGACGGGCTCGGGCAAGATCACTATCACCGATCCCTTGGCATACACCGTGGACTACAGGCAATTCGGTGATCAAGTAAGGGACGATTCTATGCAGCCTCCAGCAGTCATCAAGTTCCGTGATGGCAAGCTCTGGCCGTGCGATATTGATGGGACAGAATTGACTCCCATCCCTGCTCCTGTCCAACCTCAAGTTCCTGCCAACAACCATATGGTCATCTACGAGCTACCAGCATCGTGGGCGAAGTCCGGCCCCAAAGGAAAGCAAGTCGATCGAGGGACTTTTGCCGATGTTCAAGCTTTATTCGACAAAGACAGTCCTGGTCTCAAATTCAGTAGCATCCCTGCCGTTCAGAATGAGTCTATTGTGGCTGATCTTGGAATCAATGCCCTGGAACTCTTGCCCATCGCAGACTCCAAGTATTTGGATCAGTGGGGATACTCAACTGCTCATTACTTCGCCCCGGACGCTGACCTTGGGTCGACTGCAAGCCTCATTGAGCTCATTCAAACCATCACTCCTACCACGAGACTTATTCTAGATACGGTCATGGCTTTTGGCCACGACCCCTACGTCTATGCGGCTTTCATGCAGTTCCATCTTGTCGCGCTCAATCCTGGAAACACAACCGACCCGTTGCAGAAATTCGCGGAGCCCAACAACTCGGACAGCTACACGTCCCACAACCAAGGACCGCGGAACTCGTATGGGGGCAGTCTCTGGCGGTATGTACCTAGTACCACGGAGCCTCAGCAAACGTATGATCCCCAGACAGGTCAAGCGACCTGGCAGCATCCACCGTCGTGGTCTTTTCATAGGGGCCACCTCCATCACTGGCTGACCAACTTCGGCGTTTCTGGCTTCAGACTGGACAGTATCAATAATGTGGCCAACTACGATTTCATCAAGTACTACAAGGATTATGCATGGAAGCTGCACCAGGCGAGGGGCGGCACGACCGACAAGTTTATCGTGATTGGAGAAGAGCTCAGCGTGCCTAAAGATCTCCTCACCTCGGGCACCCTTAACGCACTGTGGAACGAACCTTTCCAAGGACGCCTTCGTGCGGCAATCATTGGAGAAGCGGCCGACGGTGACAACTTCCAGTGGACAGTCAGGAAGATGATCAACTGCACCTTGGACGGGTACACGGATGGAGCCCAAGCCGTCAACTACATCACTTCGCACGATGTCGAGGGTGATCGAAAAGAAAGACTGTACAACTTCCTGTCCAACTGCAAGGTCTATGATATCGAACGACGTGCTAAGCTGGCTTTCGCATGCTTTCTCACGGCCGTTGGAATTCCTATGATCTTCGCTGGCGAAGAGTTTTGTGACCAGATGGACCTCGATATTTCCCAGAAACAATCCGATCCCGTCAACTACGAGCGCAAGAGTGACGATTGGCGAACCCGAGTCTTCAATTACGTTGCCACGCTCGTAGATCTACGCAAAAACTGCCCAGCTCTTGGCCTGGACGACACATCGTTCATCCATGTCGATGAGAGCCGTGGCGGGAAGATTATAGCTTGGGTGCGCGGAACGACCAATCCAGTGGTTGTCGTTGCCAACTTCACTGATCAAGACACTCCGGGACCTCAGTATTACGTCCCGAATTGGCCCGACAGAAACCGCAGTGACTGGAGAGAGATCACGCAGAATCGGGCCGTGCCGGCGGAGTGGGTCGGCAATGAGCCCTTGATGCACTGGGAAGCGAAGGTGTATACTTATTGGAAGCCTGCCGACGTGAATGGGCAGGCGAATGGGGTGAACGGGATGCACAGCTAGACCTGCCAGGGCTGGAGTTGTTGGGAAACAGTGGGTGTGGGTTCACCAGCAGGGCCCAACTTGCCCTTGATCATTCATTCTTTCTATACCACTGGAGGATTGCAACATTCTCCAGGTTGGGCTCAGTATTCGCAGGAACCCCGGACTCTGGTCCTGGACGCCGACTGTTAGCAATAAATGCAGATATCCATAATTAATAGGCAGTAAAGCAACCAGTGCTCACACTTTCTCGTGAGCTCTCCACTACTGACCCGCCTTTCAGATTTCCTTGATAAGTTGACAACCGCCATCTTCAGTGCGCTGGAGTTACGCTGTAGCAAGTAAGCATTCTCAGTTTACCTCCAAGCATTTCCCCCGCCGACAAACGGACTCTGGATGGAATGGCCTGGAGCCTTGAGACTCCAGCTCACACAAGAGTCTTGTCGCATCCCATCCGTTCACATTCACGAGTACATATATGTGCTCGATGCACCACATTTAGCTAACTGTCAAGCGACTAGATATCATAAGTATAGTAATCGCCTCCTCGCACGGCGTGCGTGTTCCGGGCCTGACAAGGCTAGTGAGGCTGACCGCTCAGGGGCGCTATGTACTTACTGTATGTACGAAGCGTAACTTTGTACAGCATCGGAGCCCTGATCGCCCGTCTCGAATGGGTGGTGAGTGGTAGGGTACAGACCAGAAAGTCAATCAGTAGCCGTCGGCATATGTGAACAAACAGTTCCGCTAGGCCCGACCGGACACATGCCCTCTCTCCAAACCCCCGGGGCCCCCGGTCCTTCTGCTCGGTCTTCGTCTCATTCTCTGCTCCAGCGCCGGAGGTCGGCGACGGCGGCGGCGGCATCCCGCTCGAAATGTCCGTTCGGCCGGCTGACTGTCCGCCCGGCGCCAGCTGGCTAATTAGAATTATTCCATGGACTATTACGATTCGTACGATTAAGTTAATAGGGCCCCCCTGCCTCGTACATTACATTATGGTGCATAGACACATAATGATAGTATGAGCCAACTCAACATTTGACCTAGTCCTACCTACCTGCAGGAGGTCCCCCACGATGCCCACCAGGCTAGATAGATGAGAGTCTAGCAGACATCGGGGGCTAGTTTTATAGAATTGCTCCGCAGTGAGGCTTTGAAATGCAACCATGACAATGGATAATATTGTGGGCAAAAGGGGCCAAAAAGACAACGAACCCGACTCGATCAGCATTGACTATTAGCAGTCTTGTGTGTGTACTGGTTGGTACCGGCATGGATCCCCCCCTTTCATTCACGCATGATCTGCAGAACTTGAAGTCATTTTCCTGCCTTTCTCTTCCATGTTCCTTTCGGGGATATTGAACAAGTATTATTTGTCGACTTCGTACATATAATAATTATAATACCTGCAAGTTACCAAGTACCTACTTACTTAGCTGTCCCGCCCACGACCAACCTAACCTCAGAGACTCCTCTGTCCTGACCTGACTATCTGACTGACTGACTGACTGACCGATCAACCAGATCCGTCCTACCGACGCCGGACTTGGACTGAATCTCACTGCATTGCATTGAACAAAACAATGACACCTTCCACCGCCGCCGAAATTCTTCACGAATCGCCCAATACTACTGCTAGTATCACCACTAACACGACAATAATAACCACGCAGCAGAATGAGACGCATAATCATCATCAGCATCAAACATGTCCAGAGACCGTCGACAAGGCGGCGCTCGAGCAGGCTCTGAGGGCCAGGGAGACGTGGGCGGTCGACTGGAAGGGCGTCGATGTGCTGGACGTCGATGGCGCTGGGGTCGTTCGTGAGTATCATATTTCTCTACTTACCTACCAGTAGAATTTGCCGCTGGTACATCTCCCAAGGAGAGTTTGGAGTTCCATGGGCCGTCAGTCTCCCCACACATCTACCATGGGTCATGATATGCGTGTCACAGGTCCTTTTCTCTTGTGACACACCGGGTGATTGAGTGGCTGGTACACGATTGATGAATGAATGCTTATTCCTGGGGTGTTTTGGCTTGCTCGAACAGATTGGCACCGTGGCCTAGACAGTCATGCCCTCGAAAGATTGCTGCTGGTGAGCTTTGTCCATGTACCGCATCCATCACTTATCAGTACTGCCTTTGAAACACTTGGGCATGCTAGCTCCTGGGAAGGACCCTATCAGGTAGTGAGAAGGAAGGGCGACTGATGGACTGCAATACAGGACGACGACTCGACAGCTCGGCAGGAAAAATGCTCTCTCCGCGTCTTGTACGTGCTTCGATTCAGCATTGTTTCCTCCCTGTCGTTCAAAGCAATGGTCTGTGGCGCGTACCACACTGAACGTGTGCATATGGTATAGTTTCCTTGAAAGCCTTGGACCTGGGCGTACAAGCACCGAGACCGGCGACGCCGCGGTCAAACCGGCAATCCTCAGGCTGCTTCGTGATCGAGCGGGGCTCTCGGACCTGCTGATCACCGCCGTCTGCGGGCTAGGGCACTGGTATACCGTCAAACACGGATACTTTGTTGGTCGCGATGGGCAGGGCAGAGCTCGATCTTTCGGTTCGAAATCCCCCTTCCATTCCCCCTCAGTCAGGATTGAGACTAAATGACCGATCATAAAACTTTGGACGGCATAGATATGGTGTACGAATACGCCCCTGGCGCAAGTGCGTGCACTCACGTTTCGACTTCTCTTGAAACGGGGTCGTCGACGTATTTCTGCCTGAATTTCCCACCCTCGGCCGTCCCGAGACTCACACCGCACGACCTGCGCGTTCCGTTCAAGATGGATGTTGTCGCTGCAGACGAGACGCTAAGTCTCTGGCAGCACGAGATGGTGGCCATCCGAGGCCGGATGAAGCGATTCGTATGGATTTCCCATCTCTCTCCCCTCCACCAGACATGCAGGACAGACAGGTTCTCACTTCGGGATGTAGGAAGCGAACGAGCCGCACGAGGCTGTGGATTCGATGATCAGGGAGCTTCACCGGCTCTCGAGGAGTTGGCACATCCTGTTCCGTAAAGTCTCGGAGTTCGAAGTTCATCTCGATTTCTTGCAACGAGTGCGGAGCAAGTATGCTTCTCTTGCAGAGGATGGGAGGATGCAGAACACAAGTCAGTTCCAGCCCTTTGAAGAGTCCGATGAGTCACTGGCGTTCCTCGTGTCGAGCTGCCGATCCCTTAGACACCTTGTTTCAGACTACAGGGACCGCACGGCAACGCAAATCAACCTGGTAAGGGAAATCCAGCTCTGGCATTTGTTTTGTGGTTTGAGCGAAATATGCGGAATCTGATGGCAATATTCGGCGGCAGCTTTTCCATCTCGCGAACCAGGCTGAGAGTCGAGACAACAAAGAGATCGCGGCGCAGAACAAGGAGATTGCAGAACTCACGGCCCGGATTGCTCAGCAGACTCAACGCGATAGTGCATCCATGATCACCATCGCTGCGGTAACCATGTTCTTCCTCCCCGGTACTTTCGTGGCGGTATGTTAGATAAAAACCCTGCCAATGCCTCAACACATGCAACCCGTGTCTAACACCCGACATAGTCGCTTTTGAGCACGGTAGTGTTCAATTTTGATGGGACCGACATAAGCGTGTCGCGAATGTGGTGGATATTACCTGCCACCGCCATTCCCCTGACGATCTTCGTATTTGCCATCTGGTTATGGTGGCTACGACGAAGACTCTCGCATGATCAACAAGCCATTGTGATCACAGATAGTGTCAAGCAGCCTTGAAGAGTCATAGTTCCATATAAGTTGGCTGACAACATCACGGCGTTATCCGTTGACTGCAAAACCCATTCGGTAGATGAAATTGGACACGTCCAACTCATGTCAAGTATTTGCTGCCTTTTGTTATCAGCCGCTGGGCCAGCTTGAGGCTCTTGTGCCTCGGAGAAATGGAGGAACAGGAGGCTTGTAATGTGGAGACGGACCACGTTCAGCAGGCTCAGCTCAACTCAAGGCCAGTCCTTCCACTTTCCAACCGAGACAAGCGATAGAAGACGCCCGTGGTGTGACGTAGAGCCGACGGCTCGCCGAACACGAAAAATATCCGATAAGCGCAGAGAAGCCATCTATTCTGATCGTAGAGACTTCCTGATTCTGTGCAGGCTCATCCTTGGCCATGCAGCTGGCTTAATAGCAATACTGCTCGACCATGACTCAGAGAGTCCGGGAACAACCGAACGACGAAGTCGAGAACAATAACCAACGTTTGTTTGAGATCTTCATTACGCATCTCAAGCTTCTGCTGAATATTGGTCAGTGTGGCTGCTTTGTCAACCACGAAGTCAATGGTGCTTGGGTTGACGGAGTAACTGAATCCCGCCACATCACTGCTTGGGAGAAGAGCCAACGTCAGGTTGAAGAGCAGGAGGAGTGCTGCCATGGTGGGAGTGGGAACATTTTCTTGGTCCCACCGTCGGACACTCTGGAACCAGAAGGCCACCAGTCTCTCAATATCTCGAAGATCGCGAGCGTTCTCAGAATCCGCGATCTCCTCGATGTAGTCGCAAATGACACTCCTCGCTTCGACAAAAGACGCAAACATGGGTCGGCTCCAAGGATAGCTTATATGGCCCTGGTATCCCGGCTCGATCTCTCCCTTTAAAGGACCGGTGCGAGCCATCAATTGCGTCAAGCCTTTGGCCAGGCTAGCGGTTGGCAGAATGGCCCTCTGCAAGGCGTCTTGTTCGGATGGCGGCGGTTTCGATCGCTGGTACTCCCGAAGAAGTTTGAGAGTTCCACGCAGGTGCACGATGGCGGCCGGAAGGTTGTTCTGGAACAGCTCTATGACCCATGCCACGAGGGACGCGATGACAACGTGAAGCTTAGGGGGGTTGTTGCTCCTGATGTCTACTATGGCCGAAATGTAGTGGGAGACAGCCTGCGAGGTCATGTTCGGAGAGGCAGTTGCGACACCGGTATGGAACTTCTCGTGTGTCATGGAGAGCGCAACAAGCATATGCTTGACTGCAGGAGACCGTCGGGCGAGCTGGGGGACAAGGACGGTATAGAAGTCTCCCTGAGGCCCGTAATGCGCCACCACAGAAGATGTTAGGCAGAGGAAGTGCTGGAGAGACCGTCTTTCCTCGTCTGTGCCGAAAGTCGCGTCGAGCGGCTTGAAGACTAACAAATCATCCTCGGAGGTGGCGGTTTGTGGCGACTGACTCGACGATGACCGGTTCGATGCGGAAGACTGGCCACTGTCCAGCGTGAAGACTGTGGCCGCCGGAGGCACATACCCGAGGCAGTGTCGATTTCCTCTTGTGCAGTTGAGACAGGCGGGCTTTGCCTCATCGCACTTCACCCTGCGTCGCCTGATCGATGTCGTGAGCCGGTGTTGTCGACAACCACACGATACGAACTCACCGGCAGGTCATGCACCCTGTGCGGACCTTGTGGGAGAAGGCCTTCTGTCTCGGGTTGCCAAGCCTAGGCAGAGTCATGACTGTGAGCCGCAGCAGCAAGGCATATCAAACGGACTTGGGCCTCCAGCAAAGGCTCGTCGCTGTCGAGGAACGTGAATTCGACGGTGCTCTGGACATATATTGTGTCTCGTGGGCACTCGGAAGTCAAGGGTCTCGAAGTCGGCACCCGAACGACAGCTCTGACTGCAACCTCAGCAGGCTTCCCATTGGTGGATGGAGGAGGGAAACGAGTGGAACAGTGTGGGCAGTAGTAGTGATAGCTGACGGGGACGTCCATTTGCAGTGCTCGGTCCTGGCGCTACTGGAGCGGCTGAAGCTTGTCCTTGGGCAAAACAACGTCTGATTGATCGCCCGGGTCCATCCTGGTAGTGTCTGAGGAGATGGTGAAGGCTGACAAGCAATGCATACACCCCAAACCTTCGACAGTAGTAGGTTGGGGGAAGAAGAGCATATCCCAGACAAGCTGTTGTTCGGAGGATGTAGTCTGGGAGAAGGTGGAAATGTGCGTCTGCCCGTATTTGTTACAGATGTGCGACTGGCACTCGCAACCCACGAGGATTAAGTACTGTGTAATTAATAATAATTAATGTGTAGGCATCTAGGTATGTCAGTAAAACATACTATTGTGGCAGCGTCTGTAGTAGTGACAGAGCAAGTGTGTCAGCCACTGGGGGCGGATCTAGAGTGAGTGACTACTGACCAGTGACCGGCAACATGACCTGCTAACAATTGTCGGCCTCATTACCCCGTATTCTCTCTCACTGCCACTCACACTCCCACTCCCACTCCCACTCCCACGCGGAATCATTCATTCTAGGCCTGTCTAGTCTTACCGAGGCATGTGAGAAGAAAAAGACCACGATCCCCTGCCATCCACCACCCGAGTCTCCTGCCTATCACTCCCTCTTCAAGCCGACCAGAAGTGGCACCGGCGGCAGATTACGGCGTGATTAGGTGGCCGGAACCATCCCCACGCGTCCAGGGTTCATGCAGCAGTCCCCTTCTCCTACTATTACTACGACGACTTCGTCTCCTTCGCGTTCGAGACGCCGTGCGGTCTGCTAGTGATGTTCAATCTCCCCCTTCGGCTCACCGGAAGAAGCCACCCAGAGAAATAAACAGGTGCTAGTCCAGTGTGTGCAAAAAACAAAAAACACGGTAGATCGAAGATGGACATGTATGCTGGCTCAATCACAGACAAACAGAACACCTCTTAGCGTCGCTGTGCAGCGTCCGAGACACCAATGCGCAACCCCCTTTGTTTGTCCATCGCCATCGGCTCGAGCGCCAGAGTCGCACACAACCAGCCCTGCACCACCCCCGTCCACCTGCCAAACCAATGGCTACGACGCCCAGCTCCCTCATGCATAAGTCTGTCTCCTTGGGCGTGCGCCTCGTCGCTAAGTCTTTACTGAATGGCCCCTAGCGGAACGCCATGGCACGGGAGAACATGACGAATTGTGCTTCTAGCGCCCCTCGGCTGGGGCCAGCAGAAGGGACGACGAGCTGCTGCTATCACCACCGACTCTGGTTATCTGCGCCAGTGCCCGACATGGAGTAGGCGAAGAGGCGAAAGTGCATGTTGTTCAGCCTCACAATCCACTGCTCTGGAGGCATCTTCCACCATGCCGCCGAACTCCCTCGTGAGAGTATCAGTGCTTCCTCGACACCCAGACATCGCCCTCGAACGAGTTGGAGGGGGTAGTTCCAGCTTGAACAACGATCGTCGCTTATGATGGATGGGGACGAACATGACCTTTTTCACGCCAGACGGGCTTTTCGACGCCAGAACTCGTCGCTACTGCCGGGAAACAGCTACGAACAAGCGCCGCAAGACGATCATGAATTCCAGAATCTCACCCCTTCAACAGAATGGACCGAAGAGCCCGTCACTGGATTGAACATTTCAGGCTTGTCGAGGCCAGTCAAGCGTGTCCCGGTCGGCTCGAAAGGTCCATCTTTCACGAGCACAGATGCTTCCACAAGTACCGTGGCAGCGCCGGATTCCCTGGTGTTAGGCCCTGGCCGTAGCAGTCCTTACCAACACACCACTTCCCCGGCCGAAGATGCGAAATCGTTTAGGTCACATCGATCATCGTATAGCCGACTCAATCAACAGACCTCCCAGGATTTCTCTCCGGAAGCCGGACTCTTGCACACTCACACCAGGGTCGACGAGAATTGTCCCACCCACGGCGACATCTTGACCAGCCCATGGTCGTGGTGGACCATATCCATATTGGCACTGGCAGTCTACTCGACAGTATTCTCTGGCGTGTTTCTTGGAATCGCGTTTGCGAAACCTCGATGGGGCCAACGAATCGGCACCAACGGCCACCTCACCTTTGGGAACGCCACTCTTCTGTCGGCGCTCCTGTCAAAGACGGTCGAGTTGTCCTTTGTCACCATCTTCGTGGCGCTGCTCGGACAAATTCTGAGCCGGCGTGCATTTGCAAAGACCGAGAAGAACAGCGGTATCAGCATCGCGGAAATGACTATGAGGTCGTGGGTCATGCAACCCGGAACCCTGATTACGAACTGGATTGTAGTGAGATACGCTGCCTCGACCGTCCTCGGTATCATGGTCTTGGTCGCTGTCTTGGCGGCGACCTTCTACACCACTGCCGCCGAAGCGTTGGTGGCGCCCAAGCCCAAGTTTGGACCTCTGGAAGATCGAACCCTCTGGGGTCAAGTGGCCGCGTCGTACGCCAACTCGATCTACCTGGCCCAGAGCTGCGAAACGCCGGTCCCCGAAGATCCAGACCCAGACGGCGTCGGTCCGCATCCCGAGGGCGATACGTGTCTCCAGATCGACTACGCGGGCCAGAGCTTCCATAACTTCAAGACATTCATGTCGGATTGGCGCGAAAGGCTGAACGTCGGCAACACAAGCTCAGACCCGAGTTCGATCTACGGCCGGCCTGCACCGGTGGCGACGTTGTTCGACAATACGACCGTCCAGGGGCAATGGGTCACCCCCAGTCACGAAAACATCACGACCGACTCACAGCGCTGGGGAAGGCTCGTGCAGAATGTCACCCTGGCGATGCCTCACACAAATCTGTTCAATGCTGCTCGAGATCCCAAGAACCACATTCTACAGCCAGAGGATCTTCAGGGCAACGGAGAGTACTTTATCCAGGCCGCTATCCCGGCACCCCTGATCAATGTCTTGTGTGTCGGTATGTCCACTGCCGAGCTGGCGCCCCTGATCGTCAATGTGTCGAGTATCGCGAACCCAGAGACATATTTCCCACGTCCCACCGCCGTCGATGACATATTCAATTTCGGGGACACCGGCCCGTACAATGGTGTTCAGCAAGCACCGGTCTTCTCCAAACTGCCCATCGAATACAACACGCTGGGGTTTATCTCCCAGCAATGGGGGTACTATTCTATTTACGTCCTCGCAGCACCTCCGCCGGTGGACAAACGAGCCTTCCCGACCGATGACTACGTCCTGTGCTCTGTCAAATCCGCCCAGTATCGCAACTGTACCACGTACTATCGCGTCGCCCAGTCCGGCGGCCAGCTGTCGGTCGAGTGTGACAAGAGCCCGGGCAATACGCTCCCTTACGTCAAAGCGGTCAAGGATGCGGTGATCGGGAACTGGGATGCAGACTGGAAAGACGTCGGCTCGGAATGGCTGCGGTCTCTGTCGCTCACCGCGGGAATCAACGACGCCAATGCTTCGAGCGCCCGCCTGCTCAGCCAGATGATCCCCGCGTACTCGGAGGGCCAGCCTACGTTCTTGACATCCGACATGCCGACGATCGGCGAGGCCCTGGCCGTACTGGCGGGCGAAACGGCGCTTTTGTCGTCGTCGAACTCGCCGTTCGTGCACTTCTGGAACTACTCGGTGGCGATCCTCGACGAGCCGCAGTATCAGAACTTCAAGGCGCGGGTGAGCTACAAGGACTACGCATCGGGCGGCACGCAGACGTGGCAGAACCTGTTTTACGTTATCCTCGTGGCCGTGTTCCTGCTCAGCAGCTTCAGCCTCGTCTACCTGCTGTGGACCTTCTGCCTGCTGGGCCGCGTGACGGACTACACCGAGCCGCAGAACATGTTTGCGCTCGCCATCAACTCGCCACCCTCCAACACCATGTCGGGTACCTGCGGCGCCGGGCCGAGCGGAGGTCTGTTGGCCAAGAAGTGGCAGGTCGACATGCAGACGGCCGGCACGGGCGCGACAACTCCCCGGGACCGGAGCCAGCATCCCCATTTCTACGTGCGGTGTCGCGAGGACGGCGTCCCGGTTGGCAATTCGAGCTCACGGAGGAAGCGCCGGAGTCGGCCGGCCACCATCACCTCCTTCACCGTCGCCGAGTCCCCTGCTGTCGAACAGTATATGCGGCTGGCTGGGAAGCCTTGAGGCTGGGATCTCTGCGAGTCAAATAAACGGGGCCAGGAAAAGCATGTGCTTTTGATATCGGTCTGGTCACCGGGGTATGGCGTGGGTAGGTGGCGTCTCAGTGATAGTGATAATGTGATTTCTATTTCCCTCTCTTCGCCCTTGTGGGTTGCTTTTTACCAGATTCCTATTCCCATGGTCCTGGAAACAAGGGACCTGTATTGGACTAAGGGGCTGTCGTGGGGTCAAATCTTCCACAATGTGTCTCGTGCACTGATAGTTCGTGCTCTTTGATATCCTCAGCTAGGACTTTCCACATCACCACCACCACTGAGGACTTGCATGCCCGTATGCCCTCTTCCATGACACTCTCTCCTTTAGCAACCTCCTCTCCCCCCAACACACACATACACACTCTCTCTCTCTCTTCTCTCTCTTCCACGCTGACATTTCATTCATGCCACGGAGACATTGACCTTGTTCGTATCTAAACACACACGCACCCAAAGTCAGCGATCCATTTCGACCATGATTAGTTATCATTTCGTGATGAAAAAGTGAAGAGAGTGTGTCCGATGAACAAAAGCTTACAAAAGGCGACATGATCCTTGATATGCGCGGCCTTGTCCTTCGGCGCGGGGTAGTACCACGCGGCGTTCCTGAGCGTCGTGGCCCCGCCGTCCACCGTGACGTCGTAGTAGCTGGCCGTGCCCTTCCAGGGGCAGGTCGAGTGCGTGTTGGACGGCCGGAAAACCGACGGGTCTGAGATCGCCGACGGCGGGAAGTACACGTTGCCCTCGACCGTGGCGTAGGTGGACGAGGTGGCGAGGATTTTGTCGCCGATGCGGGCGGTGGCGGTGGGCATGGCGCGCGGGTACGGTTGGAGTTGAGTTGTTGGGTCGAGCAGAGAAGTGGTGGTGTGTTTGTGTGAGACAGATGATGGTCCCTTGGATATATATATGTACAGGTATATATTGTGTTTGACTGGGAGTGTGTTGACACGGGGTATATATGTCTTGTATCTCGAGGGAATATTACCTGATCGACGGCCTACATGCAAGACGCCTCGACGTGTGGCTGTGGCTGCGATGGGCCAGAAACATATGCACCGAGAAACGTTGTCAGCAACGGCATCAGCGGCACCACCCTTCCCCCTCGCCCGACCAATTGCGCAGCAAGAACATGATCTGTATGTACATGATACTGTACATCCGAGAATCAATCCCGGCCAGGCCAGGCTCACTAGGCCATGGCGAAATGTCCTGATTCCGTCAACAAGCTGCACGCACGGATCCCTTCCCCGCTCCGACCTACTACGTAGTAGTCCTTGCTCATCGTAAGTTGACGTACGTAATACGCCAATGTGAGTGAGTAGGTGTAAAACAGGGTGGCCACGATTTGGAACGTTTTGGGGGCCGCAATGAGTGATTATGTCAACACAGTGAGGGACAGTGACCGATACTGTAGATACCAATGGAACGGATACAGGGGTAGAAAGGGACAGGGATGACGGACAGGGATGAAGATGTGGATGTTGACGAGATACACGGCACTTTTGCTGTATTTGATCATCAGCAGACAGAGTGGGTTGGCATTGCGCAGTTGGGGTCTGCGTGAGTTCTCTCGTAACAGCAAAGAGTCGTCTCAGATCAGAGGAACCAGGAAACATATGTATGTGGCTGACACAGTCCATCGGACGGGGAACAAATGATATGCCCGTAAAACCACAGAGTCAGTCCATCGTCACCCCGATACAAGACTGCTTTCCTTTCCTCAACGCTTCTTCCTCGCACCACTGAAGGATTTCAATGGGTCGATTTTCCCCCTGGATCTCCCGCCGAATCGCGCCTTGCGCCCTCCTCGCTTCTTGCTGTCTTTCCGCTTATTCTCACCCCTCAGCCCGACAAACCCGACCTCGTCGGCACTCAGGGCCTTTTTCCCCGCCGCCGGCATCAGGTACTCCGGGACATGCTTCAAGTGCCCCTGGTGCCTGACGATGGCCCCGTGTTCGCCGTCATGCCTCAAGTGTCGCAGGTCGTCCGGATTCTCTTCAAAGTGTTTCCGCAGCTTCTCGGACTTTATCAGCTCTTGCTTGATTTCTCGCGCACGCGCCTCGTGCACCGCAGCCCCGGTCACGGCACGGAGTGCATCGTTCATGCGGTAGCGGAAGGCATCCACTTGTGCCATGTCAAAGTGGTATGGCTTCACTTCGTTGCCTTTTTTGGTCTGTCGAGCAACAATCTTCTCCAGAACACGTTCGTCGTTCTTCGCCGAGGGGATGCTGGTGGCCCGGTGTTTGCCAAACTTGTCCTTGGGGACCACGAAAGACAGCGCCATTCCTGCTTTCCCTGCTCGGGCGGTACGGCCGATGCGGTGTGTGTAGGACTTGGAGGTTGACGGGAGGTCGAAGTTGATCACGCAGGCCACGTTCTGAAAGTCAATGCCCCTCGACACCCCATAGTCCTTTTCGTGTTTCTTCGAGTGCTTAGCTTTCTTGGACGGCTGCTGCACTTCCTCCTCGTCCTCCTCGCTCATTTCATGGGCTGGATCTTCTGCGACCCGTCCCTCCGTCTTTTGCCTCTTCACGACACCCCCCAGAACCTCCTGGTCGTCGGCGGCAATAAGAATGTCGTAAAGGCCCTTGTTGAACTCCTGGACCACGTGCAACCGAGAGTTGACCGGCAATTCGGCGTTCAACACGCACGACTTGATCCCGAACTGCTCCAGATAGAGCTTTAGCCGATAACTTCTGTCAACTTCCGCCACAAACACCAAGCACTTTCCCTTGACCAGGCGCAGTTTAAACAGAACATATATGAGCAAGAACTTTTCATCCTCGCCGCACTTGACCACAAATTGAGTTATCCCCTCACCCTTCTCTTCTTTGTCGTCAATCTTGACCACGGCCGCGTCACGGCAGAAGATGGTCTTCAACTCTTCAACCTCTAGCGTCAGGGTGGCACTCACTAAGAATGTCTGCACACCGCGGGGAAGAGCCGCAGCAATGGTGTTGATGTCATCTTCATAGCCATAGGAAAGTACAATGTCGGCTTCATCAATGACGAGCTGCTGGATGTTTTCAAGAGACAGCCGGCCCGAGCTAAGATATTGAGTTGCTCTGCTCGGGGTTGTGACAATGACATCCGGGAAGTCTTGTAACACCGCATTCATGACCGTGTCCGAGACTCTTTGTGTCAGGTTCAGTGTTTGTACATCTTTCGAGCAGAACAGCGCGAAGGTATTGAAAGCCTTGTATACTTGATCGGCCAATTCTCTCGTGGGCACAAGGACGAGTACCGACGTGACCTTGACGTCTGCGGACGAGGACTTTCGGCGCAGGATCGCCTGCAGGGTAGGGAGGACGTAGGCGGCGGTCTTTCCAGAACCTGTCTTGGATTTCGCAAGCACATCTTTCCCCTCGAGCGCCAGAGGGATGGCCTTTGCCTGCACGGGTGTTGGGTGCGAGAAGTCTGACTTTGCAATGGCCTGCATCAGGCGAGGGTCGAGGCCAAATGAATCGAACGAGAACCCATGATCTTCAGGTTCTCGGGGGACCTCGACCGTCGGTGCATCGTTGACATCCAGCTTTCGCTTCATGGCGACAAAGGTCCGATCCAAGAAGCGAGGGTCAGGCACGTTGCTTCAACAATATGTAATAATGTTGGTGGTGGTGTAGTGCACACGCCGCAATTTTGCCAGAAACTTTTCTTGCTCGGCCGGCTAAACATCGGCAGACTATTTGGCTGTGTTTATCCCCACAAAGAGCCTCACTGGCTTCGTCTCCAATGCCTGATGGCCAGGTATTTACCTTCGCCTATATCGCTGAATGCTATTAGATGCTGCATCTGAGGTCTACATGGCCGCCTCAGAGGCACTGATTCGCTCTGGCGGGGTAAGGACACCACACTGCTATTTTCCGCAGCATCAAGGTTTTGGGGATTCAGCAAGCTCTCCGTTCCCGGCTCCAAGTGTTTTTCCCTCCTGCTTGTCCATCCCATTCTCAACTCCGGGGATATTACTGACCCGGTTAACGGCCTTAAGAGTGGAGCAGGCTTCCTCCCCAGGACCTTCTCCTGTGTCACAGTCATCTATCGTGCAATAGCTACGTTGAATGGGCTACTGGGCCATTTGCCGACGAATCCCTGGGTTGATACGCAGGGAAGTGGAACAACACGAGCGACCACCTTGGTGATCCCGGCTGTAGCCATTCCAGGAGCGTCCAAGCCCATCGCCAACAGTCACATCATAGCTCTGGTGGACGTGGACATCAAGGTCCTTCGCCACGCACAGACTCCTGGGTCTCGATTAATGATATGCCCGATTGGTGGGGAGGGGGGCTCTTGCAACGACCGATCGTAAGAAATCCACTGAAATAGTTCAAGGCTCACTGGTGGTAGTCCGGCTCGAGGACAGAGATGATTCGATACCACACCCGCAAACCCAAACAGTTACGTCCGAGAGCTTCTCCGCAGGCTTTATTCAGAGAGATGGAGAAAGTCCAGCGGATATATCTCCTGATTGAGCATACTCTCTTTTACTCGCGATGGTACCGTATATGGTCAACGGCAGCAGACCCTGGCCTAGACACCTTGGGACATCCAGCTCGGACTTTGGAGGTACATGGATGGCTTCATGGTTGCGGCCGCCTCATTGGTGCCCTAGTGCTTACCTACGCTTTCTTAAACGACAGCTGCCATTCTGCGACAGCGCTACTTGCTGAATGAAATATGTCGTTCACTAGTTACTTGACTTGAACGTTCCTGGCGCGACGCTGGTGGCGACGTGATTGGGCCAATATGCTGTCTCCGTCGGAAAACCAGCGGGTAGTGTTCCCGTTTCAAATCGTTTCCGGTGCGGCTCATGCGGACGCCAGGTTATATGGTGGAGTGGACGTGGAGGCGAGAATTGCCTGTTAGCATGTACTTGACTTGGTGATCCACAAGTGTATGAGAAGATACTGGTTGTTTTTCTGGAGAATTTTCCTGCAAATCTCAAGACGCCCATGGGGGTGCGCGCTGATGTGAGCAGGGACATTTTTCATCCAGATGCAGGTCACTTGTCGGTCGGTATATACGCAGTTGCAACATCACTCAATGGATCCAGATCGGGGACTGCAAGGCTATATATTCGGGCCAGCTCTCGCTTTCGATGGATTCAACAAGACAAAAAATTCCCTTCTATAGTGGCGAATCCAATACCACGAACAAAGCAAGCCTAGCGGCTTGGTCAGGAGTCGGTGACAGGTACACTGCGACCGACAGAGTGCTATAGTCACAGCTTTTGGCTTTCGAGGACGCGATATTCCCAACGTCTCTGTTACCTGGACTCCTTGACATAGGGGTTTAGGCGGACAGAATGGCAGCCCAAGGAATCAGGGAAGAATATGACATTATTGTTGCAGGAGGTTTGTACCTTGACTATCTCAGACCGGAACGACATATTAGCGACTCGGGCTTACACCTCCCTGATAGGCGGCACTGCAGCATGTGTCCTTGCTGGCAGGCTACAGATGGCCGACCCGTCTCTCTCAATCCTCATCATCGAGGAAGGCAGAGACAACTACGAAGATCCAACGGTTCGAACGCCGGCTCTCTTCCTCGCCCACATGGCGCCCGACTCAACCTCCGCTGTTTTTCTGCCTTCCAAACCCACCGAACAGGTCGCAGGTCGGTCCATTATCATCCCCCGCGCTGCCATCCTGGGTGGTGCCAGTTCCATCAATTTCATGATGTACTGTCGAGCCCAAGCAGTCGACTTCGACGAGTGGAAGACGGAGGGTTGGACTCGTAAGGAAATGATCCCGCTTTTGAAGAGGTTGGAGACCTATCACACTCGCGTCACAAAGTTTGACGAAAGTGTTCATGGTAAGTTCAGTAAAAATGCGTGGACTATTTCTGGAACGGGCAAAAACTAACACAAGCTGGTGTCCAAAGGCACATCTGGGCCGATCAATGTATCACTAGGTTCCTGGCCCAAGTCTGCGTACTCTTGTCAGTTCCTTCGGGCCGCTGCTCGCTGTGGTATGCCTTTGAGGGATGATCTACAAGACCTGGAAACTGCGACTGGTTTCGAGCGGATGCACAAATTTATCTCCCCGCAGGGAGTGCGACAAGACGCCGCCCATACTTATCTCCATCCCTTGCTCCATGACGGCGCTCATCCAAACCTCAAAGTACTCCTACATACCAAAGTCAGTCGCATCCTATTCGATGACCAGAACCGAGCGACGGGTGTTGAGTACGTCGCCACAGCGCCACCGAGTTCTGGAAGCCCTCCAACCCCCGAGCAGGGAGTTGTCCGAGCCAGCAAGCTTGTCGTTATATGTGCAGGCGCTCTAGCCTCCCCTGCAATCCTGGAGCGGTCAGGTATTGGTGGACGAGACCACCTCGAGAAGCTTGGGATCCCAGTCGTGAGTGAGCTGCCAGGCGTGGGTGAGCGATACCAAGACCACCCATTCATACATTACGCGTACAAGGCTTCGCTTCCTGAACACGAGACTCTGGACTGGTTTTTGCGTAACCCTGCAAGGGTTCCAGAGCTAATGGCCCAAAGGAATCTTGTTCTTGGGACCAATGGCCTGGAAATCTTTGGCCGATGGCGGCCACAAGTTTCGGAGGTTGAGAAAATTGGCAATCCAGCCATGATCAAGCTCTGGCAGGAGGAATTCGTGCCGCATCCTTCAAAACCATTGATGCTCACTGGTTCTTTTGCTGGCTACCTTGGTCCTCCTACCGATGTGCCACCCGGGCAGTATTTTACGATAGGCAACTATATCCCCTATCCACGCTCTCGGGGCTCTGTCCACATCACAGGAAGAGACGCCAATGCACCGCTAGAAATCAGCACTGGTTTCTTCGAAGGTCCGGGGGAAATCGACTTGGACGTGCATGTATGGGCATACAAACGAACCAGGGAGGTCGCTCGCCGCCTGGATTGTTACCGTGGAGAGGCCCCGGTCGGACACCCGACTTTTCCCCCATCCTCAAAGGCCGCTTTGGCAACTCTCGACAACAGTGCAGCAGAAGAGGCAGGTAAGCACGGCAAGCCGCTGGCAGACCTGGAATATTCGGCAGAGGATGATGAAGCGATCAAGACCTGCATCAGAGAGCGCATTGCGACTGCGTGGCATTATCTGGGTTCTGCACCGATGCGTCCCCGTGAGGAAGGAGGAGTTGTAGACAAAGATTTGAATGTGTACGGTGTCAGCAAGCTGAAGGTTGCAGGTATGGCGATCACCCCTTTTATTTCTTCTCGGTCTCTGCATCGCATCTCCGAGCCGCTTTGTCAAAGCTGCTTACTTCCTTCCCTACATCACTCTGAGTGCACTCCAATCGTGTTCGAGCTTACTAAGGCTAACTGCCTATTGCCCTGTCGGGTGCTCTAGATCTATCAATCGTCCCGTCGAATGTGGCCGCGAACACGTATAACACTGCCCTGGCAGTCGGGGAGAAAGCTGCGGATATTATTGCACGGGAGTTGGGTATTACTGTCGGATAGTCTGGTGCTTGAATCAGCATACAAGCGATTTCATGTCTCTCTCAAGCTGCTGAAGGGCAAGATCTTGGTGGTTTCCACAAAAATTACGGTCGGAATGTGCAATGGATGTTCTCTCTTCTGGTTTGCCCTTCCATGGACTCCCACAGTGGTGACTTTTCAGGGAGAGGATGGGCTGTTCATCCAGCCTTATGTATGGCCTCGCGCCAGGCTCCTGATGAATCGTGGAAAGGTTCGCGAATATGTCTCCCCAGCAGGTCTGTCTCACAGCATAGGATTTAGCCGGCGCCTCTTCTAGATCAAACAGTCATTGCACCGTCGCTTGGGAGTCAGTTTTGGTCGTAGAAATCCGAGTCGTCGTATGCCAGTGGATGTACCAAATGGGCGCTTTACTGCATAGAGTTAGACCTCCCTAACCCGATCCCCCTGCGGTTCTAACCCCAAGTCCCGCAATACGAAGTAATAATATGAATATGAACCCAATATGACGTGGGGCGGAACGGCCCAGAGATAACGTCTTTTTGCAGCCCCCAAGATCATTTTCCTCTCCAACATCTTTCAAGCCTCAAACTTGACTCATCCACAACTAAAATACGACCTTATTGAAAGGAACCACAGCTGTGAACACCTCTCTACTTCTCAAAGTGTTCCGATACCTGCTCGCCATCATAGGTCGACGACGTCGAGAGCGCCATTCCCATCCACGTGCGGGGCGCGGAACCATCTTCGATATGGGTAATGAATCTTCCACCCCCGTTGACGAGGCCACGCCTCCCACCACGCTCTATGCCCGGAACATAGAAGCAGTGGCTCAATACATCAAAGATAAGGATATCAAGAATATTGTAGTCATGGTAGGACCCCGTTCCACTTACTTTGGTAGTTCGGATCTGACTGTTTCAAAGACTGGCGCAGGAATCAGCACCTCGGCCGGAATACCTGATTTCCGCTCTCCTGACACCGGGCTGTATGCCAATCTTGCTCGCCTGAATCTCCCATACGCTGAAGCCGTCTTCGACATCTCATATTTTCGAAACAACCCATACCCATTCTACACTCTCGCGCACGAACTGTATCCAGGCAAATACCGACCAACGGTGACCCACTCATTCATCAGCTTGCTTCACAAGAAGGGCCGACTGCTCAAGTTGTTCACTCAAAACATCGATTGCCTCGAGCGCGAAGCAGGAGTTCCCGGGGACAAGATTGTGGAAGCACACGGTTCTTTTGCCACGCAGAGATGTATCGAATGCAAGACGGAGTATCCCGGTGACCGGATGAAAGAGATGGTTCAGAAGATGGAGGTGCCACGCTGCATTAGGAAGACGTGCTCTGGACTGGTAAAGCCGGATATCGTCTTCTTCGGCGAGGCTCTTCCAGAGTCATTCCATCGCAATCGGAGCCTACCCGCCAAGGCAGATTTAGCCATTATCATGGGGACCAGTTTGACAGTTCAGCCGTTCGCCAGCCTGCCGTCGTTCGTCAGAGAAGAGACTCCGCGCGTGCTCATCAATTTGGAGAGAGTGGGATCCATCGGTTCAAGGCCGAACGACGTGCTGCTGTTAGGTGACTGCGATGAGGGTGTCCGCAGATTTGCAGATGCTCTCGGCTGGCGCGAGGAGTTAGAAGAGCTATGGGCCAGCACCAACCCGGAAGGGAACGTGAAGGAGGCGCAGGAAGTGCCTCCAAAATCCAAGTGGGAGACACTGGATGATGAGATTGAGAAATTGACAAAGGATATTGATGCCACACTCAAGGTCACCGCCGAGTCCAATGAGAGGATCAGGGCAGAACTGGAAAAGAGCAATTCACAAAAGCCGCCGCCATCTGCTGGTCCCTCGTCCGACACGCCAACAGCGCCCACGACGTCTTCCAACTCTGGGCTAAGTCACGTTTACCCTCACCTGAAAGCGGACAAACCTGAGAAACCTTCTCTCTAGTGCATGGTTAATGAAATGGAGCTTGGCGGGCTGAAGTACCGCACCGCCCTCATCTGGAAGCAATCTCGGTTTCAAGTGAATTTCACCTCAGAGAATACTCAGCCTTTTCTCAAGTGAGCAGCTCCCTCCTCCTCCTCCTCCTCCTCCTCCTCCTCCTCCTCCTCCTCCTCATTTCACTTTCTCACTAACCATCGAAGGAGACAGAGTCGTCCCATTTTCATCGAGACAAACCACCTTGACATTCTCCATTTACCACGCACCATGGCGCCAACGACCCCTGGCTCCAAATCAGGAGGGAAATATGCAAATCCGACTATCCAGATCGTCGTTGGGAGAACGAAACGAACACAACAACTGTTCCACGTCCATTACGCGTTCCTCGAGAAGACCGACTTCTTCAGCGTTCATGGGCCCCCTCCACTGCCTACGGCCACGGCCACGGCACCGACACCAACTCGCGGGTGGGTTTCTATGAACTCGCCGGCGGCGACTGAGAACGCTGCGACGCCAGAGCCAGATGAAGTCAAAGTGGAGCAAGATATCGAGGATCAAACTGCCGAAACCGGTGAATACAGCGGCGCTTCACCAACAGCTACCGGTGGTGCCGCCAACGCGCCGGCCTACAATCTCCAGGGTCTGATATATGAGCCTGCGGCGTTCGAGGTCGTCGTCAATTTCCTGTACAACGAGCCACCCCTTCCACCTAGCAGCTCAACCGAATACAGAATACTAATGAAGGCATACATCCTGGCACTCCAATATCGTATGCCCGGTCTTCAAGATGATCTCATCGACTGTTTCCGGAATTTCCATAAGGAGCACAGGATCAGATTTGCTGACCTTTTCTGGATCTCTGGGCGTATCGGGGATGGTGAGGCGGTTTGCGAAGTCCCATTGATTCAGTACTTTGTTCATCAGATCGCATTCGAAATTTTCCAGGGAGGGTACGATAGCTTCGTCCAGCGCAACGATGACTTCGAAAGGTTTCTAACACAGGGCGATCGGCCTCTACGCAAGCGGCTCTTTAGGGCTATTGCTCAAGTAGCCCAAGTAAAGAAGCCCGAAGACCCTGCACTTGGGCCCAACCGATGGAGAGTTGTCGACTACCCCACATTTGAGCGCAGCGCCGACACCACTACTTCACAGACAGCCGATATCATCGAGCTCGACTGAACCAAGGCTTGTGTTTTCAGGCATGGTGATCCATAGAGTTATGTGGGAAGAAGTGGTGTGCTTGGATGCTGCAGGTGGAATGCGAAATTGCTCGATTACTTCAAGGATGATTTCCCGGAAAGAGAATCGTGAGTCAGCGTTGCCAGGTTAGTCATGGCTGGCGAAGACATTGGAAAGAGTCAGTCAGTCACAAGCTACGAAGGACAAAAACAAAACAAAACTTGCAGGCATATCTTGTGGGAAAACATGGGGAGTAATTGCTTGGTGCTTCATGGAGAGAAAGTCTTGGTCTGATATCACAGAATGTGCTGAAAGTGGTGCAAGATTGGCGATCCTGATACCCGAATGAGATAGCATCAACGGAGCTTCTTGAACCTGACTGAGCCAAGATGGGAATACTGCCAAAATGGCCCCCCTCCCCTCCGAGGCGTGCTGTCATACCTACTGTACCTACCGAGCTACGTAGCTACGAACTCTGTCGAGGCCCCTTGCTCGACCCGCTGTGCCGCTGTATTATTTACCCCGCCAAACTTTTTGCTGTATCAACATTTTGGCCTCCGTTTCTCGCCGCAATCTTGCCCAGCAAACAGCTTCTCTGGACACCCTCACCTGAGGGCCCATCTGCTTCATATTTCTCGTCCTAACCGCCGCGAGCCCTCTTTCCCGCAGCCTTCCACCTCCCTCTCCCTCTCCAGTTCAGCACCAGGCAAAATGGTCGGGCTGGGTCAAAAGCGAAAGCCGTCCCGCAAGGGTAAGTCGACCCATTTCTTGAGCTGGAACGGAAATAGTTGCTGAGTCTTGATGTCTGACAGGGTCGATGGCCGATGTGCCCAAGAGCTTGCTGGATGAAATTGCAACCCTGGAGAACCTGTTCACCGTGGACGCCGAACGGCTAAAGAAGATCACCACCCACTTCGTGTCGGAGCTCCAAGCTGGCCTGGAGAAAGAGGGTGGTAACATCCCCATGAACCCGACCTGGGTTATGGGCTTCCCGGACGGCAACGAGCAAGGCACGTTCCTCGCGTTAGATATGGGCGGGACCAACCTGAGAGTCTGCGAGATCACCCTCACAGAACAAAAGGGCGAGTTCGACATCATCCAGAGCAAATACCGCATGCCGGAGGAGCTCAAGACAGGGACTGCGGAGGAGCTGTGGGATTACATCGCCGACTGCCTGCAACAGTTCATCGAGTATCACCACGAGGACGAGGACCTGGCGCACTTGCCGCTGGGCTTCACGTTTTCTTACCCGGCCACACAAGATTACATTGATCACGGTGTGCTCCAGAGATGGACCAAAGGCTTTGACATTTCCGGTGTCGAAGGGCAAGATGTGGTTCCTCAGTTCCAGAAGGCCCTTGAATCACGGGTACGACACGCACCACCCCGGAAACCGCTCTGCCATGACTGACCATAGACCAGAACCTCCCCATCAAACTTGTCGCCATCATCAACGACACGACCGGCACCCTGATTGCGTCCGCCTACACGGACCCGACCATACGAATCGGGTGCATCTTCGGCACCGGCTGCAACGCCGCTTACATGGAGAACTGTGGCTCAATACCCAAGCTCAAACACATGAACCTCCCCGACGACATGCCCATGGCCATCAACTGCGAGTACGGCGCGTTCGACAACGACCACAAGGTCCTCCCGGTCACGAAATACGACACCATCATCGACGAGACCTCACCCCGACCCGGCCAGCAGGCGTTCGAGAAGATGATCGCCGGGCTGTACCTGGGCGAGATCTTCCGCCTGGTGCTGGTCGACCTGCACGAGAACAAGAACCTTCTATTCGAGGGCCAGGACATCTCAGCGCTGAAGAAGCCGTACACGCTCGACGCGTCGTTCCTGTCCTTCATCGAGGAGGACCCCTTCGAGAACCTGCAGGAGACGCATGACATGTTCGAGGAGAAGCTCAAGATCCACGCCACCAAGCCCGAGCTGGAGCTGTGTCGCCGCCTGGCCGAACTGATCGGCACGCGCGCCGCGCGGCTCTCGGCGTGCGGCGTGGCGGCCATCTGCACGAAGAAGAACATCGAGAGCTGCCACGTGGGCGCCGACGGGTCGGTGTTCAACAAGTACCCGCACTTCAAGGCGCGGGGCGCGCTGGCGCTGCGCGAGATCCTCGACTGGCCCAAGGGCAAGAAGGACCCGATCGTCATGCTGAGCGCCGAGGACGGCAGCGGCGTGGGCGCCGCCCTGATCGCCGCGTTGACGATCAAGCGCATCAAGGAGGGCAACACCGCCGGCGTGCGCGACGTCAAGAACTTCCCGGGCCTGACGTAGTGCGTCTGCCCCAAGCGGAAGAAGTACATCTGGGGTGTGGGCGAACTGGACGGTCGTGAGGGAACAGACTGGATATAGAGAGGTTGTGCCATTCATGTATGTCATGTATACATTCGTACATACCATATCATACGTGACACCACAGACGGCCGACGCATTTTCGTGATCGAGGCATTTACTGACACGAGGGTAGTAATCATCCTGCAGCTGCGGCTGCTACTGCTGCTACTCGCGGATTTCCCACAGTCTGATCTTCCCTTGCTCGTTGCCCACCGCGAGGTAGCTCCCGTCTGGGGACAAAGCGGCGGCGCTGATCCTACCCAGAGGCGTCTTGTCCGTCGGCCAGTTCCTGTACAACGTGCAGCTCGGGAGGTGCGCGAGTCTCAGGGCGTTCTTCTTCCAGCGCGACGTCATGACCAGCATCTGGCCGTCTTGCGAGAACTCGAGGTGCGAGATCGGCGTCGTGAGCTGGTCGAACATCCTGGCGGGCTTAGGCCTGTCGTCCTTGTCGGCGACGTGGTCGCCGGGATCACCTGTCCCCATCCACCCGCGCCGATCGTACAAGTTGACCACGCCGCTCGAAGAGCCCACGGCGACCCAACGGCTTCCGCCCTGGCATTGCTGCCCGGCGTCGCCGCCCAACGCAATGACGGTGGTGCCGACGGCGCCCTCGTCCATCCATCTCATGACGACCCTCCGCGCCTCGATGTCGTACTCGCTCACCTCTCCGTTCTTGCCCACCACTGCAAACCCGTCTCCATTGCGCCACCACGCAAAGTCCGCCACGCCCCCGCGCGAATCAATCCGGCAACTGCACAGCCACTGCATGGTCTCCGTCGACAACACATTGATGCTTCCGCCGCCTTTCTTCGACGACCCGACAAGTCCCATGTAGCGGCCGCAGGGGGAGAGCTTGAAGGCTTCCATTGTCCGCTGCTCTTTGCGGGCCTGGCCGTAGAGCGCACGAGTCACTTTGGTCACAGTGCCGGTGGACAGCGACCAAGTATGGAAATAACGGCGCCGGGAGGAAAGGAAGACTTTCGTCGGATCATGTGCTTCGCTCGCATCGTCCGGCGCAGGTTGTGCTCGCGGCCGGCAGAAGGCTGCCGTGTGCAGAGGCGTGCCTTTCAGGTGTAGGGAGGTCAGAATCGGGTTCGGGTTCGGCGGTTGGGGCGAGATGTGGTACAGCGTGACTGTCGAACTTGGACCGGCCGCAAGAAGGAGAGGGTAGTAGGGGTGGAATTGCAAGGTGTCGACAGACGAAGGGCCTGAGCCCGCCACATCCTTGCAGCGCTGGATGTCGATGACTTCAGGCCGTAACTTCCGCACTCCTTTGGCACCTGGGTGCTTGGTGTCTGTCCGTGTCAGAGAACCTGCTGTTCGTAGAAGTTCCGCCAGTGGTTGGGCCGAGGGCAGGGTGTCCTCGCCCATGGACACATCTGAATCTGACGCTGCATCATGTTCGTCGGAACGAGATGACAGCTTTCTCCTCTTCCTAGCATATGTTACCCACTCCGGCGTGGGGTGGAGCCTCTCGTACTGTCGGCGCAGTCTCTGGATGTATTCTCTCCCACTAACCACGTCGTCGGCTTCCGTGTCACGAAGTTTTCGCAGTCGAGTGTTCGAGGCGAGCGAGACGGTTATTCGGTCATCGTCGCTATCATGCCACACGGCATCTGGATGTAGGTGAGTGTGCACCTGTTCGGTACGTTCGAGTTCCTTCGAAACGGAGGGAGGCAGACGGTCGGCTCCGGAGTCGAGAAAAAACAACTGCAAATTTTGTTAGATGGAGAAGTAATCGCCAGGAAAAGCTGAACACAAACGTCTCCGTCCGCCACGTCGCTCAGTCCCCCATCAGCCTCATCTTCTTCAGACTGGTCGTCCTTTCCACGCTTGCGCCGCACCAACGACCGATCGTCCTGGACTTGGTCTCTTTTCAGCGATTCAAGAAAGCCTGCCTCGTCTCCGAAGAGTGCCTTCTCGAGCCGCAGTTCGGTCTCATCTTTCTCAAGCACTTCCGCCTGTATTTTCACTTCGGCCCCCTTTTTCAGCCGCTTAGGTGCTTGCATTGTGCAGGCTGATTGTGTCTGCTCCGTGTTGTTTGTCGAACTTCAAAAGTATGGAATATAAATCTGCGTCTCCACTCAACCCATTCGGGCAAAGATTTAATGCTGCCTTAAGGAAAGAATCAAGCGCAACAAAAGCAGCAACCATAGACAGACTATTTGGACTAGGGTCCAGCATTCTCCCCGAAAGACGACGTGTTGGCTATTATTCCTAGTGTTCTCTTTGTGAGCACAACAGCCGCCACACAGCAGCCAGCTCCAGGGACGAATAATTGCTCCTCATCACCCTCCTTCTCCCCAGCAAACAAAAAGGACGCACAGGAGGACGTAGATCGTACAGGCATTATTTGGCCTGCTCTTGCGATCCTGCCAGTATTTGCATTGTGTCACTCCTCAAGGCAAGACACGTGTTTTACGTTGACAGAATAGGTATCAATATAATGTGACGCAAGCCAGCACAGTGGTCCAAGGCGATGTGGGTAATTCGGCAGTGCTAAGAATCGACAGAAAGGGCACTCTAGTGTGCAGCAGAGCTGGAGAGTCCTAGAAATGTTTCAGCTGATGTGCTGTAACAAAGATGACAAACGTCCCAGATGCCTTTCCTGTGAGCCTTACAACGCCCGACCCCTTCAGTTCTAAGGAGACCGGGCAAATCCGCTCCTAACTGGCCGTTCTTGTCGTCGGTGAGATTCAACTAGTTCTATATTCAAATTGTCAACTTTCCCAAGCACGGATAACGCCATCTCGCTCAGCACCACGTTCAAGGCAAAGTCCTGTTTTGCGGCCTCTGGCGAAGAAGTACACATAGTACAACAGAAATTGCTGCCGTATTGGACATTCAACTCTCTGTGAGTTAGACTTGATAGACGCCACGATCTCAAGACAACACGGACTACTGCATTCCCTTGGCCGAAAAGCCGGCCCACCCATACTCATTTGAGCGTTGGTACGTGAGTGTCCCCTTCTTCGTCCGTGGCGCAACCGGCTCCGCACCATTGGATTCGGCTTCGGGTACCAGAAGGTCGAGGTTGGGATTGCGGGTCGTTCTCATGATGGTTGTGAAGTCATTGCTGTAGGAGAGTCCATTGCGCCGCATCGCGAACATGCCGGTCAGCAAACAGAGGACGTTGGCGAGGATGGCGATGCCGTAGGCCAGCCACAGCTGCGCTGCTTCATATGTGTAGATGTTCTGAGGATAGTAAATTGTGACGGCCGTCAAGGGTGTCCCAGCGGCTTCGGTCTCGTTTGAACTAAGGCGCACGTTAGGCGTGTTCTGTAGTGCAAGCGGGGGAAGGATTGAGGGTGGCTCACAAGTCGACAATAAAGTCATTTGAGCTGAGGAGACTCATGGTCATGTTTTCAAATAGATTCTCCACCGACCGCGCAAAGGTGGCATTACTGGTACTAGGCACGTTGTTCGTGACTCCAGACAACTGCGATCGGAGTCCGGTGGAAAGCACGAGGGTATAGGCCGGCGTAATCGTCCCGTAGTGATCTGTGTTTATCGTGCCCACCATAATACGCCCAAACGCATCCATCTGTAGATTCTTTTAGCATATGTTAACAAATAGAGAGAGGAGTATCAACAGCGACGCAAAAGGGCCCAACGGTCTCTTATCAGTGAGAGGAATAACAGAACTTACAACAGACATGTAGGACAATAGCTTATTAAACATGGATGGGGAGTCGTCAAACAACTCCTCGTAACTTGACAAACCTGCAACCCCGTTCAAGAGCTCTCGACTCTGGACGTTCACACGTTGTGCACGATCACGAAAATCAAAGTTGACGGTGTACGAAGCATTCATGAGTGAACAGTTGAGCAGAACCGAAGACTCGGAGAAAGTTGCGTCGCTGGCCGTGTTGAACGGGATGAAAATGTTGAGTTTGGCACTGTAACCGTCGTAACAACTGTCGGTTGTGCTGGGTAGCTTGTTGGTGGTGAGATCTGACGGGATGGCAATGCTTCCATTCTGACATCCGTTCTCGGCACCGTCGCCGTAGGGGACCCACGCCATATAGTTGATGCCAAACCCGCCCGAGGTGTCCGCATAGTTAGTATACGCGCCCTCTATAGCAAGGGAATCGTTCCGGGCTGGTACTTGGCATGTCAGGGCCGGGGCGTACATCTTGACGGCGTATGTCGAGTTGGCGACTGGCGGCGATATAGACAGGATGGACTGGGTAGTAGCGCTTCCGAGGGCCAGTTGTACGAGTGTATTGCTGGCTCCGGCGAATTTGGCGTCATCGGAGGGGAGGGGCGAAGCAAATGGGGTATAATCTCGATAGTCAAACTGTGGCACTCCCAGATGTTCTGTTCTGTTTCCCGTCGACGGAGTTACTATGAGCGTGCCAGGTGAGATGATGGCCGCAATAGGGAGAGTCCTGCGGTACGGGTTAGCCATAAGTAATGGATGTGTTTCCCTGCAAGGCTGACCATGTTACAATGGCCAACGAGGCCAGGACGGGCAGCCGAAACCAAAGTTTCAAATCGCACAATTCAAAGGCATTGCCCAGAACCTTGAAAATCGAGTTGATCTTGCCCACCTCAAACTCCTTGGAACAGACAGTCAACCAGAAGTACTGGACATAGGCGATGCTGGTGCCCAAAGCCAGGGTTGTTTTCAAGCCAAAAGCAAAAGCAGTTCCGCCTCGTATGATCCAACGCTGTTGTGCGTCGCTGGACACGACTTTCCCATTCCAATAGGTGTAGAAGAAGTGATGAACCAAGGCAAACACCAGCCCAGCTATGATCGAGCAAGCCATCGACAGTGCGACCTTCCAAGTTCGCGGTGCTCTCGGTGTTGTGCCGTCCTTACGACCGTGCTGGCCGGGATGAAGCACTTCGTACTCGACATCTTGAGTGCGTGTTGGTGTCATATCGGCCCAGCACTGTTCCACGTGTTACGTCGAGATCTGAGGTCGTCTGAGAGTATGTCGTCTCCTCCGAAGATATTCAGAGCCGTCTCATTGTGAAGTCGAAGCCATCCATCAGGCATTCTCCGTAACTGACGGTGAGGCTCTGATTTACGTATATTGGGGGCCTTATAGATAGAGTTGGAACGTTCCAGCCGCCGTTGCTTGAATATGGGGGCCATTGGGGATCCAATCACACAGCAATGGTGCCACTGAGTGCTAATCTGGAGTCGTGAAACAGCGCCTGGGGTAGCACCTGTACGAGGTGTTTGTCTCAATTTCCCGGCTGGTCATAAAACCCACACTGGATGTTGTGATTGGTCACTGGCCGGCGTAGCTCGCCAATCAGGATGGAAGCTCCATAATCGTAGCGTGAGAACTGAGGCACTGCGTGCAATGCACATGCAAATACATGCAAGTACAAGAAGGCAACCGATATCTCCTGTGCAGCCTGACTGTGGTCGTCCCTCAAGCCAGACATGAATGCCACGTGTACTGGCTTCCGTGGGGCCAGAAACAAGTCCCGCTTTAGTCACAGCAGGAGAGCCGTCCTTTCACAAATAGAAGGGGTACATTAATCGTACTCCCCAACGATGCCGGCCCTATCTGCAGAAACAGAGGAAACGTTGGCCTGGAACAGCCTCTGAGGGGTCGATTCGATGAGAAGCGCAAGTTAGAGCATTTCGCTCGTTATAAGCCTGACGAGGTATCCGTTATCAGTTCCAGCCGCTGCTAGCCACGGTCAAATGGCGTTGAAGGTTGTAAAGCCCGACACCACAGCGGAGGACGAGCCAAGTTCGAGGCTGAAGGGCGCCAACAATGTGGCAGTCTCGGTGGTGTTTCCCACATTCCAGGCAAGACATTCGATTTTCCTACTGATGGAAGTAAGTTTGGAGGACCTCGAGGCCGTGAATCAATCCAGCAATAGCACGCGGTAAAAGCGGCATGGTTGAAGTGAGTAGCACGTGACCGTCCTTAAGTGGCTCGAATGCCAAGCCTTGGAGATACCGCGGTGGCTAGCAAAGCCGCCGCTTTGGGCTTCTTGTTAGGTGTTCACATGTTACTAAATCCGCTGTTAGAAGCTGTGGTTGATGTCTAGATGGTGCTGCTGGAGATAATGATACCACGGTGAGGATGAAGTCTATTATCTTCTACACTCAAAGGAAACAATCGATGGTGACTTCGTCGTCACTGGTTGTCCAGACTGCCCAACGAACTGACCATCCTCCCAAGAACGTTTTCAGAACCGGGTAAAAAGGGATTTCTCGTCCACCAGCTCGGTCCTTTCGTTATCGCTAGGTCGTCATTCCAATATGACAATCAATGGCCACGTCTCTGAGCCTGAAGACAAGCACGAATCCATCAGCGTCTACAATGCAAAATCCGTGTCAGAGATTCGTGCTGCACTGGCAGAGCTCCACCAGAAAGAGGCCACCGTAACCTCACAGCTCGATGCTCTTGTTAACGCACAGAAAGATCTCCAACGAGAACTTGGTCGTCTCGATCTATTCCGCGCAAATGCGACTGCACAAGCTTCCAAGGCAAGGGCAATCAGCAATGGTATGCTCTCAGACGCTGCCGCCAACGCCAAACGAATCTCAAATTCTGTGAAAAGACTGGATCTCGAGCAGGAGAGGGTCAAGGCGACGCTCACCGTCGTTGAACAGGTTGGGGAGCTGAAGGCATGTGTGCTGGGCGTCTCCGGGTCTATGGGAGCGGCCCAGGACTGGGAAACCGCTGCCAGTTATCTCAGCAGAGCCTCGAAGATTCCCAGCGCTGTCATCAATGGCCCGTTCGCCGCAAGAATTGTACCCACTGCAGAAGTTCCAGATGCCCCGGCTGTCACCTTGGAGAATGCATCAGAATCATTGTGTAGCCTGTTTCTGAGAGAGTTCGACAAAGCAGTCAAGGACAACGACGGCGCCAGAATAACACGTTTCTTCAAACTTTTCCCTCTCATCAATCGCTCTGATGTTGGCCTCGACGTTTACGGTCGCTATGTCTGCCAGGGCGTTGCTACTCGGGCGCGAGCAAACCTCAATGCAGGCACCGGTGGAAATCAAAGCAAAGATGGATTTTTCTATGCCAACGCCCTGACAAAATTGTTTGAGCATATTGCCCAAATCATCGAGGGACACGGTGGCCTGGTCGAGCGCCATTACGGTGCCGGCAAGATGGCTCGAGTCATTGAACGATTGCAAGTCGAGGCTGATCTCCAAGGGGGGATTATACTGGACACCTGGAGCGACGAGAGAAAGATTGAACGTCAGCTGACCGACATCAAGGCATACGCTTTCACCTTCTTGGTCCAGAGCTTTATGAATGCACAGCGAGGCTCAAGCGGAACGCCGCGCGCAGGTTCTCCCGCACCAGGAAGGTCGAGTGAGGATGAGTCTGTCGATATGAAACAGGTGGACGCCTTGCTGAATGAAATGACTCTCATGTTGGGCAAATGGTCACTGTACACCGGTTTTATTGCCGAAAAATGCCACGATCCCGATAGTCTCAACGATTCGCTCCCAATGCCGCCGTTTCTCCTCGACTCAAACCTGTACAGAAAGGTGCAGGAAAAACTCCTCGCCCCATTCAACATCATGACGACCTTCTTCTTCCGACGCTCAGTTGAGAAGGCCTTCCAGCTAGATGAGCAACCGCCAGATCTCTCTCTCAATCCCCACAAGCCACTCAACTCCAACCCTCCTCACGTCACCTCAGCAATCGAAGACATCATGTACATCGTCAACAAAGTTCTACAGCAGTCTTTAGCAACATCGCAAAAGCAGGTCGTCTCTAGCGTCGTTCCAACTCTAGGCAGAATACTAGGTTCCGATTTCATCGGGATGGAACAGCGCAAGATGCGCGACGAGAGCTATCCCAAAGCCGCGATTCCAGGCCAACTTCCACCGGAAGCGACAATCGTCTCGTTCCTTGTCCTCATCAACAATCTTGACGTAGCTAAGGACTACGTTGTCCAAATCGCCCGTGCTCGAGTAGAGCCCACCGCAGGCTCACCTCATCGACCTCTGGCAGAACTCTTCCCCGGGCCTGGAGAGGCCGAAGAAGTTGCAGCCGCCCTGACCTCCTTCGCGTCAGCCTTTTCGGAGAAAACCAATGAGCTCATCTCTGACGGCGTGAACGTGGTCTTCCACAACGTCATGAAGCCTCGTCTGCGACCAATCCTTATGGACGCCTTCCGCGACACGGACTACCAGCTCACGCGGGAGCAGTTGCAGGACCTCATGGGGGATCTCGACGGCTCAGACGAGACTGAGGCTTTCTCGGACGAAGTTCGCATGCGTTTCCAACTCGGGTGGGACGCCCTGACGAAACCGATCGGACGGATCATGACCGAGCGCACCTTCGACCAGCTGTTAACCATCGTGGTGAACTACCTGAGCAAGATGCTCGAGAAGCGGCTGTGGACGTACCACGGGCGCGTCAACGAGGTCGGGGCGGCGAGGCTGGAGCACGACGTCAACGAAATCATCAAGGTGGTGGTCAAGGGCCAGAAGTACGCGCTGCGCGAGGCCTTCCTGCGCTGCAGCCAGATCTGCATGATCATGAACATGGACGAGGAGGAGTGGGAGGAGTTGCTGAACTCCGGCGGCGAGGTCGCTGATAAATTGAAGTTCGAGGAGCGCGTGAGGGCCCGGAATATGGTCAAGGACACTACTGCCTAATCCCGAGAGAGCCCGAGAAGCACGAAGACGAGGGGAGGCCCAAGCGGGAGGTCCTCCCAAGAAGTATTCACGGTCATCTTAAGCATTCGTGGATTGGGATGTGGTTTTTACTGGTCTTGATCATATTTTCTTGAGGTGGTGCGTTTCTCGTGGACCATCCTTTAAGAGACACAAAGCACGCCTCAAAGGTAATGCGCCGTATCTCAACCATTTCCACGATGAAGTATGGGGCTTACATTTTGGTTTCTGCTGGGCGGTGTGTGGGGGGCTGATAGATCCGTAGCAGAACATGCCTGACACTGCTGCTCGTTCCCTTCCATCCCTCGTGCAAGCAGTCCCAGTTCACCGGCTGTGTCCGTCGAATTCTCTCTGCGTCCCTGCGCCTCTTTTCGGGGATCTTTCTCCTCTCAACGCATGCTCGTTCGCGGTCATGTCAAAAGTCCCCCATTATCCGACCCGGGCGCGTGGCACTTTTATGCTCGAGCCATGACGCCCCAGGCGCGGATCTTGTTGTCCGTGTAGCCGGAGAACAAGGTCTGGCCGTCGGCGCTCCAGGCCAAGCTGACGCAGTACGGCTCCTGGGACTTCTTGCCCTTCTCGACGAAGTCGGGCTTGAGCTCGTCGACCTTACTCTTCTTCTCGAGGTCGAAGATGGTGATGGACGAGGTGGTGGCGGCGCAGAGCCAGTATCGGTTCGGGGAAAAGACGAGCGCGTGGATCTCGTCGCCGGCCTGCAGTGAGTACAGGTGCTTGGACTCATTCAGATCCCAGAGCATGGTGGTGCCGTCCTTGCCGCCCGAGGCGCAGAGCGAGCCGTCGGGGGAGATGGTCACGGTGTTGATGTAGCCGGTGTGGCCGATGTGGTCGGTTTGAAGGCGGCACGAAGCCAATTCCCAGACCTGCAGAAGCGGAAGGTCAGCCCCCATCCCACTACTTAACATCAAATCGAGCAGGATTGTTAGACGAAAATTGGGCCTCAGTCCGCCGGTGAATGGTTGTCTCATAGCTCTCCAGAGAGAGCTCCGAAGTAGCAAATACTTTATAAAATGCGTAGCATCTTGGGCAAAACGCAGGTTGGTTGGGAATTTGTTTCTTACCTTGACCAGTTTGTCCCACCCACAGCTCACAATGACAGGGTTCTGAGGGTTCGGAGAGAAGCGCACGCAAGAGATCCAATCGGTGTGGCACTTGTCAGTGATGGTGTATTTGCAATCTCCCAGGGTGTTCCAAAGCTTGATGGTTCGGTCTCGGGACCCGGAGACAATCTGTCTGTTATCTGCGGAGAAGGAAACGGAGAGGACATCGTTGGTGTGGCCAACGAAGGTTCGGGTCGTGTTGCCCGTGGACAGTTCCCACAATCGCAGGGTTTTGTCCCAGGAAGATGAGAGGGCATATGCGCCATCGGACGAAATGACACAGTCGGAGACAATGTGGGAGTGGCCATGGAGTGACCGCTTTGGGTAGCCGTAGGCAGTCTCGTCGCGAGTCAGGTTCCAGATGATGAGGGTCTTGTCTCTCGAGGCCGAGAGCAGCATGTTGGGGCTAGATTTTCTATGTCAGTCCAAAGGGTCGCAGATGCAGGGTGGTTTTTCTTTGCACAACTGACTTCTCCAAGCTGGTCGCGAGGGCGGTGACCCAGCCGCTGTGGCCTTCAAGAGTACCACGTTGAATAAGTTGTTCAGCCATGGCGACTTGAAGATCCAGAAGAAGGAGAGAACAGGCTGGTGTCTGAAAGAGATGGTTGTCGAGGTTCGCCTGTCGAGACTTGCGATCTCCGCCAAAGATTCTCTGCAGTGTGCGCTCTCCAAATCCACGCCAAGATTCGCGAGCGCTAGTCTCAATACGGCGTGGCTGGATTTGCGGCTAAACACCGGTGACTCTGACTCTGGCTGGGCAGCTCTTCACACTTCTGGATGATAACAACGAGACCATCACACAGATGGCGGCGCATGTGCTTGTGTTCGAGCGGCCAATAAAGTGGTCCGTCGTTGTCCAACCTTCGAGTCTCCTTGGAATGACCATCAGTCTCTGTCTTATGTGGCCCGTTACCCCAGGGCGTGGTACCGGAATCATGTCCGACATGCATCGCGGAGTACCGGCTAAATACAACGATGCTCGCATGTATATAACCAGAAGCCAAATCCAGATGTGCCTGAATTGATTCTTGCTGAGCCCCCGTCTTCATCTATATCCTGTGCCTTTTCCCTGCTCGGCCCTTGATCTATCCTTGTGACATCTCGTGATCTAAACCTCAAACCATGGCTTCTTCTGGTGGAAGTCTTCCCAAAATGCAATACCGTTTCCTGGGTCGGTCCGGGCTCCAGGTATCTGCGATCTCACTTGGAGGATGGTGAGTCATCTCCAGTCCACATCAAGAACCCAGGACTAATTGCAACAGGGTCACTTACGGTGATGCAGTGGGCGATGGTAAGGCTTGACCCCATCCAGTCGGGCCAATCTAACTTTGCGAAGAGATTGCCTTCGAATGCATGAAAGCTGCCTATGATGTTGGCATCAACTTCTTTGACTGTGCTGAAGGTTATGCCGAAGGCAAATCTGAGATTGTCATGGGCAAGGCAATCAAGAAATTTGGCTGGAAGCGCAATGATCTGGTCATCTCGACCAAGATCTACTGGGGCCAGGCCCACGGAGACAATCCCGTCAACAATGGTGGTCTCTCCCGGAAACATATCATCGAAGGGACTGCCAATGCACTCAAGAGACTGCAGCTAGATTATGTCGACCTGATCTACTGTCATCGTCCAGACAGACACACTCCAATCGAGGAGACCGTCCGAGCCATGAACTATATTATCAATACCGGCAAAGCATTTTACTGGGGAACAAGCGAGTGGAACAGTGAGGAAATCGCCATGGCTTGGGCCTGTGCCGAAAGACTCAACTTGATCGGACCTGTCATGGAGCAACCAGAATATAGCATGTTGGCTCGGGATCGGGTAGAGCGAGAATATGCTCTGCTGTACGAGAACTACGGTCTTGGATTGACCATCTTCAGTCCACTCAAGCAGGGTATCTTGACCGGCAAATACAACGATGGCATTCCTGAAGACAGCAGAATCGCCAAAGCCGCAGACGGGTTCACCGCCTCCCAAAGAGAGAGTTATGGAAATGAGCAGTGGAAGAAGACTCTAGCTCAAGTCAAACAGCTGAAGCCGGTGGCGGACAAGCTGGGCACTGATCAGGCAACCCTGGCGTTGGCTTGGGTCTTGAAGAACCCACGGGTGAGCTCGGCCATCACTGGGGCATCCAAGGTTGAACAGATCACGAAATCGGTCAAGGCTTTGGATCTGGTTGACAAGCTAGACGACAAGGTAATGGCGGAGATCGATGAGATTCTCGGCAACAAGCCTACACTGCCATATAGACGGTTGTAGATAGATTGTCATCCACTTGGGAGGATGATACTCAGCTTAGGTCCCGTACAAGTGGAAAGTGGACAATCACTTGATCGACCATTTCAACTTTCTCTGAAGTTAGGTCTGAGGATCCTGATTGCTGGGGTTGGAATTGACAAGGACGTGATTGGGATTGGTCGATGGAGAAAAGTGATGATGTATGATGTCAACGTCGAAACCTCACATTTTGCTCCCTGCATTCAGGTTCAACCACAGAACCACCTTTTGACTGTATCTTCACTTCAACAACAAAATTTGAGAGCCACTGGTATCCTCAAGCTCCTACGTGTCCAAGTTATTCTCTGATACGCAAACATGAATCCATCACGCTTATTGACAGGGCGTCTCGCCGGTCGCCAACTGGCTGCAAGCGTGTCACGACGCTGCATCTCCTCTACCTCATCACGTTTCAGTGAGAATCCTCGAGTTCACTCCAATGCCGAAGAACATCGCAAATATCAGAAGGAAAAGGCAGACAATCCACACATGACAAACACCAACTCAACGATTCACAACAAGATGCCGTCGGTGGGGAAAGATGCGCCTCCGCCAGAGATGCTTAGTTCTACCGATCCCAACTATATCCCCAAAGACAGAGTCCCGGAGAACACAGACAAGATGACAGGGGGAACACAACCGGGAGATCCCAACAAAGTAAGCCAGTCAGAATATGCTGTTGGTGAAATGGAGGGCATTTCGTTTCGAGTTGAGCCTCTTCGTCGTACGGGAGAGGACCTTCCCACCATGAGAGCCAGATTACTATGTCGGTGCACACCCTGGGACTGCAACATTGTGCACCCAGGAGATTTCAAAATTCCAAGGAGCTTGCTGACGCATTTCCATAGACCAAAGCAGGAAACGAGGGACATTAGAGTCTGACCTCCTACTCTCCACATTTGCAGCAGAGAATCTATCCTCTATGAATAGAACCCAGCTCGAGCAATATGACTTCCTTCTGGACGAGAACGACTGGGACATCTACTACTGGGCAACTCAATCCCCAGCCAATGCCCCTACCTCGCTCGAGACTGCCGAAGGTGCTACGAGTGACAAGAAGACCCAGACGACCGAATACATCTCTCCCGCAAACCCGGGGCAAAGTCAAGAGACCGATGCATGGAGGCAAGGAGCTCCGCGCAGTGGAGAGTGGGCTCAGACCGTGGGGACTTTCAAGCCAGCGTATAGACCCGTCCCACAGCGATGGAGGGACAGTGATATTCTGCACATGCTGCGAAGGCATGTCAGGGAAAGGAGTGCTGGCGGCGTTCTGGAGGATGTTCAGGCAACTCCCAACAGCAAAGGTAGCGGTAGTGGTCTCGGCAGGATGCCTGATGTCCAAACCTTTGACTGAGCTTGTCTTGACCTTGTACATACAACCACAGAGTATTATTATCCAATGAAGGCGAAAGCGGTGGATGTTGCTTTCCATCTTTTGCTCACCGCAGATCCTCGAGGCGGCCTTCTTGTTCCCGGGTTTCGGCGCCAACGGCTTTATCGGTCGAATGGCCGTTGCTTTCTACCCTCGCTCCAGTTTACAAGCAACCCACGAACCCGGCTTTAACTGGTGGGGGCCTGACACCCGAGGATCTCGTACCGTCAAGTGGCGACCTGGTACGAACATATTGAGGTCCCACGAGGACCTGCGAACATCTTCTGCCTTGTTGAGATGGATTACCTCACCGACTCACCAATTGGGAATTTGATTGCTGCGGAATCATTACTCACCGGGGCTGCGTACCGCTCTGCCTCTAGGCTACTCCACCGAACTATCTTCGACTGCTCGCTGTACGATCGCTGCACCTAAATTCCACAGTTTGCGAGTGATTCGAAATCATAGCCGGCTTTACGATCGTCGTCACTTGTATTTTACTCCTTCAAGATGGCATTCATTGCTCTGTGTCGACATTTCTTCCCCACCTCACCTTCACTCTCTCTCGGTGCTGGTGACCCCTTGCGTTCTCTATATCTCGAGATTGGCTAGTATCTCGTGCAGATTCGAATCGTTCCTTGCCGCTCCAGGACTCCTCTCTGGAGCCGCAGACACCACGCTTTGTTACCAATGGCAGACATGGAAGCCAAGCAGGCCGAGAAGAAGGAGCTCTTCTTGGATGTCCCGCAACAATATCCAGCCTCATTGACTCCCGTTTCGACGAATCGAAGTCAGCCTCGTCCCAGTCTCCACTCCGGCCGATCTTACGTGGATGGACACAGCACATACTTCAGTGACCCAGAGCCTGACGATGGGCCGGATCAACCACAAGAGGTGGACGTGGAAAATGTCTCGAAGACGTTCGAAGTGGGTTGGGACGGCCCAGATGATCCTATGAACCCCAAAAATATGCACACTGCAAGAAAATGGTTGGTTGTCATAACACTGGCCTTTGGCTCGTTGTGTGTTACGTGCACTTCTTCACTCTATACGATCACCTATGGTTAGTACAAAGCCAACACTTCCTTCAAACGAGGCTCAAGTTCTGATGGTACGACAGAGCAAATGGACGCAGAGTTTGGCAATTCACGTATCGTGGCAACACTCGGCTTGGCCCTCTTCGTCTTTGGCCTGGGGTTATCCCCCATGGTCTTGGGTCCTCTGTCCGAGTTCTATGGTCGCCGTCCTATATATATTTTGGGATATATCTTCTTCACCATTTGGCTGTTTCCCTGTGCTTTTGCGCAGAACATTCAGACCATGTTGATCGCCCGGTTCCTGGATGGCTTTTCTGGAAGTGCCTTCTTGTCTGTTGCAGGCGGTACAGTCGGAGACATGTTCAATCGCGAACAGCTTCAAGCTCCCATGATGATTTACACGGCTTCCCCTTTTATTGGCCCGGGGCTTGGCCCTGTCATAGGAGGCTTCATCAATTACAACACCACCTGGCGATGGTCGTATTACATGCTCCTGATATGGTCCGGGGTAATGGTGATCGCCATCACTTTGATCGTGCCAGAAACGTACATGCCGGTGGTGCTGAGGAAGAAAGCGCAGATGAAGCGTAAAGAGACCGGAGACGAGAGGTACAAGGCTCCGATTGAGGTCTACGAGAAGTCTATTTTCTGGACAGTGGTAAGATCTCTGTATCGTCCTTTCATGCTTCTGTTCTTGGAACCCATGTGTTTCAATCTATGCCTGTTCTCCTCCATCCTCCTGGGAATCCTCTACCTCTTCTTTGGAGCTTTCAATCTTGTCTTCACCGAGGTCTACCACTTCAAGATCTGGCAGGTTGGTCTGTCTTTTCTCGGAATGATGATTGGAATGATGCTGGCGATTTCATCCGACCCTATCTGGCACAAGAACTACCTGCGACTTCTCCAAAAGCGGGAGGAGAGCACCGGGGAACGCAAGTCGGAACCCGAATACCGGCTGCCACCCTCGATATTCGGCGGATGGTTCTGCGTGGGGGGATTATTCTGGTTCGCATGGACAATCTATCCAAGCATACATCCTATCGTTCCCATCGTGGGCAGCGGGTTTTTCGGATTCGGGATCATTCTTGTTTTCACGGGAGTCTTCACCTTTCTCGTGGAGGCGTATCCCCTTTATGCGGCTAGCGCTCTTTCCGCCAACTCTTTCGCGCGGAGCTCGTTCGCAGGGGCATTCCCCTTGTTCGGGCTTCAGATGTACAGAAAGCTCGGCTTTCACTGGGCCACCACGCTTTTGGCATTCCTCTGTTTGATCATGGCGCCATTCCCGTATTTGTTCTTCGTTTACGGGAAGAGGCTGCGGCAGAAGAGCAGATTCACAACGCTTCCTGGATGAACATGGGCATGATTGGTAACTTGGCTGGGCGCGGGAACTGGGCTCTCGTGCATTTTATAAGGTGTCAGACAAATCCAATGGATCTCAGTCCGTGGCACCGCAACATGCCAAGTTCCATACAATGCATTACGAATCTGCAGGTCCTTGCGCCGAGTTAGACTGCAGCAAACAACCTCAACCTGTAATTCTGAACTAGTCGGCTGTCAAAGCCCGCTTTTCTCATTCTCTCTGCTCCTTGCCTCATCAGAAGGGGTGGCGAGAGAAGGTCCCGGTGTCAAGGAGCGACCGGACGGGGCCCTACAAGTGGTGATTGCAGGTGGCTCGTCGGAGCTGTATGAGTCAATAAACATGCAGTCTAATAGGGGGCTACTCTGCCTTGTACTGCATGAAGCATTGTCAATCAAAGCACACAGACACGGCTGGCTTTGCCATTGAGGGAAGGGGCGTGCACTGTCGTGTCGTGTCCCACAAGGCGTGGCATTCAGGATGGACGTTCAAGGGTTTGGACATGGACTCGATCACAATGAGCAACGCGAAAGAGGGAAAACGAATGGCACGCAACCGTCCCAGGACAATACTGGGTTGCACCAGACATGATGAGGTGAGTGCTTCAAGATGGTGGCACAAATCCCGACGGCGAGCACGTGTCGCTTCATCGTGTCGGTGTGCATGTCTCTCTCGACACTGACAGTCATCAGTACGACATTGGGGGCAAGGTTTACAATGAATTTGGCTACTTGGCAAACGATGAGAGGTGATCCTCCTGTTGCTGTGCCTCTGCGAGAGTGGAAGAGTTGCCCATCACGGCAATGACCATGACGAGCCTGAGCCGAGGAACTCCGGGGACGCCGGGTGAACTCGGGCAGCCTCGTCTCGAGGTCAGACCGACCTCGGCAGCTGTGCCAGACGTGGGAATCATGTATCCATAAGTCTGACGGAATAAGTGATTGGTAACTCAAAGTCACATCCCCTTGGGTGCCCCTCGTTGGAAAAAGTATCTGCTAAAAGACTATGGGTGTTAGAAGCTGTGTACGTAGGAGGGGAAGATGGCGGTGTTTTTAGGTGAAATGAAGACAAGTAATAGTCCAAACCTTGAAGCCACCGAGGTGCCTAGGGGATGAGGTGAAGTTAATTACTCCGTATTAATTACCTTGATCGTGGACGGGGGAAGCTAAGGACCTCCGAGCTCAGTGACCACCCAAGCCCTGAAAGGCCGGGGGTGTCACCTCGAAAGAAAGGCAGTTATGAGGACAGTTGGTTGGTTAATGACTTGGATGGCTGGGGGACGCCGAGGGATTTCTTCAAGGAAGTGGCCCGGGGGCTGTGCCTAGCACCAGTGATGGATGAACTGGTGGCTCCAGGTGAGGCAGGTGCAGGCCGTTGCAGCCGGGTGGGTAACCAGCATCATCAGGCTGACGATTCAGCTGTGGTTCATTCAGCACCAAGCTCCCAGCTCCCAGCTCTTTGGTGCCCGGCCGGCCAGGTGCCAGTGCACAAGCTGCCGGGCCCCTAGTGAGCCCCTCACCCGCGCCCGCGTCCATGCCTTCAGGCGTTACAAGATTTTGTGGGGTCGCTTATAGTTAAAAGAGGCCTAGCAAATCATCACCCACACTAATCTAGTTATTGCGCGAGCGCACTTCAGGTCGGTCACTGACACACACACTCACTCTTGGAACAAGAAACTCTTTCTCACCTCGTCTCCTCGCTCCCCCTCTGCTCCTCATTCCCTTCCCTTCCTGCACGGCGCAGGGGAAGTTTGACCTCTGCAGGCGACAACGAACCGGACACCTTTTGCATTGACAGCGCCACATTAGGCCACTCTGATATCAGCTACGTATCTGGAAAATTGACTCCGCATCCCGAGGCGCGGCCGGAGCCCTGGCTGGAGAGAGAGAACCCTGGACGCCGCCCGCCCTCCTCTTTTGGGCGATCCTCCTGCTGCCCGCATTTTGCGTGCCTCCTCAGTGCTCGACTCACTCGACCACCCACCAACCTCAATCCAAAACCTGAAAATGCTTCCGCCCTGCTAACAATCTGTCCTCTCAGAAGTCGGCGCTGACAGAGTCGCCTTGCAATCCTCCTGAAGACAGCTATTCCTCTGCTATCCGGTGCCACCTGCACCCCTCCGCCGCCTCTCCAAGCCGCCGCACGACCTTTGTCCTTCCAGGGCTCTCGACGCGAAAGCGCCAGAAGAAAAAAAATTGCTCCTTTTGTCATACCTGGCAGAGTCGCACGGACTTTGTTGCTGGCCTCCTGACGCAATCTGGCTGGACAAGCGAAACCCCACCTACCATCAACTCCCAATCCTGCGCCGCCGTCATACACAGCTGTCGCTTCTCCTGCCATTGTGCTTGAGAGGGAGCTGCTTCCTACGATCCAACCGCCTGGTCCCCATAGGGGGCTTGCGCCCTTGGTTTGCGCGAGCTGAGCCGACGGTGGGCCCGTAAGGGAGCGGAGGTCTGCTTCTGAGAAACTGTCATTCGGTCATTGCTCCAGCCGGGCAAAAACATTTTCGGATTGTCGTGTTACCTCTGGCTGTTCTTGTGCAAGCCATCTTTTTGGAACCTGCATTCTCTGGCATCTCATTGATGGTGTCGTTATAACAAGATGACGGCCTCAGATGTCGAGGATGGGCACTCTCATTCGGTCTCTCCTGAGGACAGTGGGACCGAACAGGTCCAAGTGAACATGGCCGAAGGTCAGAGCAAGGACGACGTAAAAAAGCAGCCAAATGGAGCCCAGCCCACCAATCCCAAGGATCCTTCTCGTCCCCGGAGAAAGAAGGCACGGAGAGCATGTTACGCTTGCCAACGTGCCCATTTGACCTGTGGTAGGTTGAACTGTTCATTCTTATAGCAAAATGCAGCCTGTCATTCTCAACTGCTGATACTCTTTGTAGGTGACGAGAGACCGTGCCAAAGGTGCATAAAACGCGGATTACAGGATGCGTGTCAGGACGGCGTCAGGAAAAAAGCAAAGTATCTGCACGATGCGCCCAATGAGGCCCTCATGCCTGGGATTGGAGGGAATCTCTACAACCAAGCGGGTGCGAAATCAGGCTCGTCTATTGGCAATGACACCCCCCATCAACAGCCGTTCTTTCAGCAAACGCCGACGTACAACAACTTTTCCACGCCCTCACATATGCCTCCCCCAATGCTCCACGAGAGGAGCATGAGCACGGCCAGCTTCACCCAGCAGTCCCCGCTCACCACCAATTTTCCAAATGTCGGAGCACAAGTTCCGCTGCAAAGCCCCGTGATGGGAGCCGATCAACCCAGTGCCGCCAACATAACGGCCGCGGGCTGGCCAGGACAGATGTACAGTGATGATCCCATGTTCAACTTTGATATTGCCAGCATGAACTTTGGCAATCATTACGGCGCATTGGAGTTCGGAATGCTTGGCCATATGGCGACAAATGCGGGAGACACTCCTCCCAGCGACACGGCGACACGGAGCGGGTCCATCACGCAATATCGTATGCCGTTTGGAAGCTTCAGCGAGAGTCCGACGGCCCGGCAACAGATATACAATGAGACGATGCTGCCAGATTGGTCCAACGGCGCCGACCCCTACGCCGCTCATGGACACGGTCGCCATATCGCTCCCAACGCCTTCGCGATAGAATCCAACGCGGTCAATTGGACCTCCCCGGACACCAATGGCACGCCCAATAATGCAGTCAAATTCGAAGAGTCCCCGTTGATGACCAGCTCAGGCCTCCAGGTTCCCCCTTCAGCCTTGGACGGTGGTCCGGTCATTCATTCAACCGGACCCCTGGACCCCAGACACAACCGGCCCCCTCCAGCTATATCGACTCCGCAATTGAAGGCCAGATCTCAGCTGCCTGTCAAAGCGTTGAAGCGGCCTAAGGATCCGTCGTCGATCTACACGTCGGTCACCCAGCCTTATCCTTATACAGCAGGGTTCCACAATTTCATTGCATACCTCCAGAAACGATTTGCCGCACATCCTTCCAAGACGCTTGCCATAGCCAAGTCATTGGCGTCGATCCGGCCCTCCTTCATTGCAACAACTAAGACCTTGAACCGGGAAGACCTCATCTTCATGGAGAAATGTTTTCAGCGCACGCTGTGGGAATATGAAGGTTTCATTGAAGGGGTGGGTACCCCCACCATTGTGGCGAGGAGGACAGGGGAAGTTGCAGCTGTGGGCAAGGAATTCCAAATCCTCACCGGCTGGACGAAGAACGTGCTCCTCGGTCGGGCGCCCAACCTGAATGTGAACCGGGGCCATTCTGGGCAAACGCCCGGCACCGGATCTGGAACCAATACCGCGAGACATAAAGGCACTAACACTCCTACGCAACGAATGTTGATCGAGACCGAGAACGGCGAAAAGCGACCGCAACCTGTATTTCTCGCGGAACTGCTTGACGATGAATCGGTGGTGCAGTTCTACGAGGATTTTGCAAGACTGGCATTTGGAGACAGCCGCGGCAGCGTTTGCGGCAGAGCCAAACTCCTCAAATATCGGACCAAAGACGATGAAATCACCCAGAATCTCCACGTCGAAGCCGAGGGTCGAACCGAACAAGCTCGCCAAGGTCCCCCAGAGCTGCGACAGAAAGACGGTTCTCGTCAACAACATGAATCGAAGCGGGAGCGCGATGGTATTTCTGGTGAAAAAGGCATGCAAAAACTGGGATCTGCCGATGGGAAAGTGGATTGCACATATTGTTGGACGGTGAAACGTGACGTTTTTGATATACCCATGCTTATTGTTATGAATGTGAGTGCTCCCTTGCCCCCTTCTTGCGGTTCGCCGGCTGACATGAGACATAGTTTTTGCCTTGTATATAGGCGATCTCAAAAGTTTTGTGGTTCACGACTGCTTGTTTTGTATCAACTGGAGGTGTGGTGAGATTGGATAGCTTGGACATACCATGTAGGGGAATGACATGGAGGGTGGATCAGGCGAAGGACATTGTGGAGGACAGGATTTGTATCACCGTGGCCCTTGAGCCGGGACGGGAACCCTTTGAAACGGTCTCGAGACGGTCGGTCGGGGAATGGTTCCGCTGTGTTGGTTTTCCTGGCCCGAGAGCCTGGCATTGTCTATGAGTATAAAAAGATTTCGAGGCAGAGAAACCTTGTTTCTATTTTCGCCTAGGAAGACTTGACCGGATCTGACGTCCACCGTTTTGACTGGTGCCCGGCTCCGTAAATCTATACACCTGCCCCATCCCATTGACGGCACTGCTTTCCACCAACGTCTAAGCCTCCCACCCATCTTATAAATGCGTCCAACGTACATGACCCTTTCCCGTCTCCTATTTCATTCGTCCACCCATCATCATTCCTTATTCCTTGTTCAGGACCTGCCTCTCGACCTGCGCGGGGTCGACGCGGTCCATCCACGAGAAATCGGTGAGCCAGGCCTCCCAGTCGCCGGCGCGGAAGGCGCGGTAGGCCGGGCGCTCGAGGCTGCGGGCGGCGACGGCGCAATCGACGTGGATGTCGTCGACCAGGGCGTCGACGCTGACGTAGTCGTACTCGGGCCGGATGTAGCCCAGGATCAGCAGGTTCAGGGCGGCGCCGTAGAAGTCGCGCGGGAACTCGTGCAGGATGTGGATCTCCACCGACCGCACCGTGTTCTTGTAGAACGGGTTGTAGCCGATGGAGAGCACCGCCGGGTGGATCGAGATTAAGGGCGGCGGTGGGGGTGGGGGTACGGAGGACGATAAAGATGTAGTGGTGGCGGCGGGTGAAGATGCAGAGGTCGTGCTGGTGCTGGTGCTCGTGCTGGTCACTGGCGCCGCAGCCGACGGACAGCTCTTCAGCGACAGGCCCACGAAGCCGTAGTAGATCCCGCTCGGCAGCGTTGGGTGGTCGGCCGAGAGGCCTTCGGTGGGGATGTTGGCTGTGGGAATGCCGAGCTGGATTGAGGAGATGTGAGTTTCAATAACGTGAATCCTTTGGGGCGAAGGGGTCTCGTGCTGGAAAGATATGGAAGAAGCATTTGAGGATGAAGATGAGGAACGGAGACAGGGGAAGAAGAGACGTCTCGCCGGGGTTTAGAGGCAGGCCGAGATGAGAGACTTGATCCGGACTGGCTTCTTGGGGTAGTCCTGGCGTTCACCTGGCGACTTCACAGAGGAGATTGGCTTTGTCCTGAAGCCCGGGGCGGAAGAAGGACGATCGCGAGCACATTCTCCTCCTTCATGTTCATGATGCAGTGACGTGAGGCCAAAGAAGTCCGGTATCCAGCCCTGATCAAGTTTCATCGGGCGAGGCTCCCGTCCACAAACCCACACTCCGTGGCAATGAGCCAGAGCCAGAGCCAGATCTTTTCCTTTTCTCTTCGTATCCGATGAGAGGGAGCACAGACACAAGATGAGGCACGAAACGGGACAGTAAAAAAACAATAGGTGGCATAGGAGTGAACACTCACCTCTTTACTCCCCCTCCCAAACCCCTTAATCACCGGGCCGCACAGCTTGATAGGAAACGGCGGTTCGGGCCCTGTGTCAGGCCCAGCGTACGGGTCGCGTGGACCGTTGGGTGGCATCGTTTGGAGGGTTTTCTTCTTCTTAGGTTTGGGTAGTATTGAGCTGAAGTCGCAAGCGGTAGGTAGTAGCTCCTGGACCAATATCCTGTGGAAAGTCGGGTAGATCGGCGGGTGATGGTTAGTAGTTGTAGGTAGTGATGGGTTCGGGCAGGGCTGAGTGAGATATGTAGGTGCAGATGAAACTCGGAGGCGGTAGTAGAGACGATCCTCGCAAGCGGTATATGTCCCAAGTCTCGGTGTTGATATTGCCGTTGTTGTTGTTGTTGTTGTTGTTGCTGTTGTTGTCGTCGTGTGTGGTCTTTCGATTGCTATGTCCGTACCTAACGTATCCGATCCCGCTGCTGACTATTATTATTCAATGAACAAGGTTTTTTTCCTTTCCCGGGCGTGTGGTTCTGCCACCTTCTATCGGCCGTTTCTGGTCCCCAACCCAATCACTTGGCTTTTGTCGCGCAGCTAATCGGCAGTCTGAGAGTAATTCCTTGGGACCCCGTTGGAGCAAAGGGACTTCGAAGATCCGAGCCGCGTGTGAACCAGACCTGCAGCGTCCCGAGGGAGCGATAATGAGCGAACTCAATAATAATAGTCATCAACTACAGTATGACTACGAGGCGGAAGAACGAAGATCTGGAATCCGAATGGCCAATCGGATGATGTACAGTGTGTCAGTATCGTCCACCGAGACATAGACATGCATACACAAGATATAGTCATATACAGTATATCTATTATGGAGGATAGACGGAATACCGAGCGTATGAATATACATATATTTCTATATATCCATATGGATTTGTCGTCGAAATCAGCCAGATTAGCAGCGACCGAGCAATGGGAAGGGTGATAATTGATAACATTCGTCACTTCACGCCCTTCCCTAATCTATACATCACCCTCGACTATACTCCGGGCTCCATGAACAGCGTCGTCCACCGCCACCGTATCACTCCCGGCAGTCGTCTGTCTATACATTGGCCGAATACCCAACACTCGGCAGGCGTCCAGTACTTCTCTTCCTCTCGATCCATTTCCTCAATTCATCAACCCAAAACACAGCGCTGCTTATGCACACCAGCGAGACCAGGTCCCACAGACCCAGCGCCTCGGTTTGAAACACCCGTTGCAAAAATGGCAAGTATATGACACACAGTTGGCCGGCGAGACTTCCCGCGACCGCATAGTTGAACATTTTGTTTCCAAAGAGCTTGATTTCGCCAAACAGCACCGACTTGGACTCCGAGCGGCAGGTCAGCGCATTGAACATGTCAAAAAGCACAAACGTCGTGAAGGTCATGGTGGTGTCGCGTTTGGTCACCACGCGGGTGCGGAGGGGCGTCGACTTGACGGCCGACGGGTCGACAGACACATCGTCAATGTCCACCATCTCTCGCACATAGATGAATAGAGTGCCCATCATGATAAGAGACGCCGACGTCAGGACGCGGCGGATCAGCCGCTTGGTCAGCACGTTCGCATTTCGAGGTCGTGGCGGCTGCATCATGACCCGAGGATCGACGGGTTCGACCCCGAGTGACTGGGCAGGAGGCCCGTCCATGAGGATATCTGACATGTGTTAGTACATAAACCGTCACGGGACCGTGCCGATTAACTTACTGATCCAAAGAATCTGCATGGCATTGAGCGGATTCTTGAAACCAAACATGGTACTGATAAGGACCAAACTCAACGCCGCCACGCTGGTGCTCAGCTGGAACGTGATAAAGTTCTGAATGTTGAAGAAGATGCCCTTTCCCTGTTCGATGGCCCGGAGGATCGTGGAGAAGTCGTCGTCCGTCAGGATCATGTCGGCCGCCTCCTTGGCCACATCGGTGCCGAGCTTTCCCATGGCAACTCCAATGTCGGCCTTTTTGAGCGCTGGCGCATCGTTGACGCCGTCTCCCGTCATAGCAACCACGTCTCCCCGAGCTTGGAGAGCACGGATAATCTTCAGCTTGTGGTCGGGGCTCGTCCGGGCAAAGATGTTCGTCCGTACAATCGCTTCCGACAACTCTTGCTCCGACATACGATCAAGCTCATCGCCTCGAAGAACCGACCTCGAGCCTGAACTTGCCTGGTTGACGGGCATCCCGAGATTCTTCGCGATCGCCACGGCTGTCGTCTCGGCATCGCCAGTGATCATAATGACTTTCACTCCTCCATTCATCAACCGGCGGATCGATCTGTTCACATGTTTTCGTGGAGGGTCGTTCATCCCGACCAACCCCGCAAAACACAGGCCAGTAAAGACGTCCGTTTCTGGCTCCACGGGTTTCTTATGTCCCGATGATGGCGTCGAGCTTCTGCTGGTCTGCCGTGTCTTGTTCCTGAGAACGCCACTCGCGAACCCAATCACCCGCAGGCCCTCCTCGGCCATGGCTTGTGCCGCCGCACTGGCTTCTTTCCGACGGCTCTCGTCAAGCACCACTTCCTGACCGTCCTTGGTCAAATATGTGTCCGACCTGCTCAAAACCTGTTCCAGTGAGCCTTTGATGTATGCCGTCTCCGAACCCACCCCATATCCGTTGGTCATTTCGCCCAGGGCACTACCAATGACGACGCCCATCCACTTTCTCTCGGAACTAAACGGTGTCTCGCTTGTTCGCGGCCCGATCTTTTCACGCACATCGTCTTCGCCGTGCGCATCCAACAAATCGAGCATGGCGATATCAGTAGGTTGGCCTAGCCACCGGCTCTTGGTGACGGTCGATGATCTATCTCTAGTAGAGGACAGCACCGCCGCAGAGGCAGCAGTTGCAGGGGTCCCAGACGCGTTCTGGGAAAGACGTCCGTTGTTCGCGATATTGCCAATGCGGAGAATGGCTTTGGTCGCGGACGTGAGTGCAGTGGTGGGGTCGACGGAAAATGGCTTGCCTACGTCGAAATGCCACAATTTAGTCACCGTCATGTGGTTGAGAGTCAGAGTGCCCGTCTTGTCGCTGCAAACCACATTTACCGAACCCAGGGTCTCCACGCTTGGGAGCTTGCGGACGATCGCTCCTCGTTTCGCCATTCGCAACACCCCCAGTGCAAGAGTGACGGTGACAATGATGGGTAACCCTTCAGGAATTGCAGCAACAGCCAGAGACACTCCGATGGTGAACAGATCCAACAGTTTCTTGCCCTGAAGGAGCCCGATGAGTATGATGACTCCGATGACGACGAAAGACATGTAGCTGAGCTGCTTTCCTAACAGATCCATCGACTGCTGGAGAGGTGTCCGTGGGGCCTCTATCTCCTGCAGAGACAGCGAAATCGTCCCAAACTCGGTCTTTCCTCCAGTTGCGATGACGATTCCCTCCCCGTGGCCTGATCGCACCAGGGTCCCCATGAACGCGATGTTGTGCTGTTCATTGAGGCGCACGTCGGCGCCCACGGTGCCGGCGGCATTGTACGGTTCGGGGGTGCCATGGTGCTCCGACCGCCGAATGGTCGGGTCCAGAGCGGCAGGGAATTTTTCCACCGGTTCATTCTCGCCGGTTAAATTGGACTCGTCAATTGTGAGTTCGACAGCACGGGTGATTCTGATGTCGGCTGGAATCCGGTCGCCGGTCGCAAAGATGACCAGATCTCCCACCACTAGCTGAGACGCAGGTATGGTGGTAGATAGTTTTTCCTCAGGCGCGACCGCAGCACCGTTGGCCAGTGGCTCCATCTCAATCGCATCATTTCCCGCATTTTGATTTCTGGTCAGATGCATGGTTGACCTGGGCGCGGAGCGTCGGACGTGGGCATAATGGGGGACGAGCCGGTTCAGAGCCTCCAAGGATTTTTCCGACCGATATTCCTGCACAAAAGCGACCGTGACGACGATGGTGACGGCAAGAGCAATGCTGACAGCATCATCCTTATTCCCGATGAACAGCGAGATGGCGGCAGACGCGAGGAGCAGGAGGATCAGGGTCTCCTTGAACTGCTTGAGGAATCGCAACCACAACGGCTCCTCCTCTTCATGGGGCAGTTCATTGGGCCCGTCCTTGGCCAGTCGCGCATGGGCCTCATGTTGTAGCAAGCCCTGAGTGATGGAAGTCTTCAATTGCTCGGCCGTCTGTTGGGGAGTGAGGAGAGAGTAAGAGGATGTTATCGAGGAGGAGGTAGAAGCGTAGCGGGCGGGACTCCGCGGCCTGTTCGTCTGAGACTCTGCATTGAAGACCGGTAGTAACGTTGACATGATTGCATGGTAGCTATATTGAAAGCCGCCCCATCCTCCGCAATTAGATCTGAAGAAGACTCGGGTGGATGATCCGTGACAACGCATGCGCGGATGATGGAGGTGAGAGAGTGAATGCAAAACAGATATCGACAGTGAGGATAAAAGGGCTAACTGATTGTCACACGAGCAAGCCTGAAAGACGGCGCACAATGGATCTGTTTGGAAAAGGAGCAGTAAGATAGGGATCCTCTCCTCTGTCCTGTCTTGTGTCCCGTCCTCGAAATCTTGCCTTTGCAAATTGCAGTGACGCTACGGTACGGTAAAGCATTGGCCGAAACTCCAATTTGAGCAGCCTTGAGGAAGGTCAAGCGAGGGTCGAGTACGCACGAGCGCAGTACGAGCCGAGCCTCCGAAGGACACAACAGTGGCGGGCAGTGGGCACTATTACATAGGCGTTGCTTGGGCCACTAAATAGGCTACTCTTCGGGCATTGGCCACAAACAAGATCAACCCGCCAGCTCGCCCAGCCACTCACTCACTCACCCACTCTCCACCTCTTCTTCTCCTCCCCGATCCTTCGCATCGCTCAAGTCGCACCTCCCACCAGCCTCCCATTACTCAACTCACATTCGCAGTTCTTCCTCGTCTCTGCCGCTGGATCTGAATCTGTACATCGTACTCGGTACACGATCTTCTTCGCCTGTTGACAAAGATTCGTCTTCGCATCCACCTGCGCGACTAGATTTCCAACAACATCCTTCCCTCGACGCGTCGATCGTTCATCGTCCTACCCTACAATACATCCTTACCGTCCACATGTTCGCGTGAACTATCTGATAACACACACCTCGACATCTCGTCCACCTGGGAATGTTTTATTCAGAACAACTTTTGGCCAAGACCGGGCCTCTCGCTCGCGTCTGGCTCGCCTCCAATGTCGAGCGCAAGCTCTCGAAATCGCAAGTCCTGCAGTCAGATATTGAGAGCAGTGTGGGCGCTATTGTTGACCAAGGACATGCCCCTATGGCATTGCGCCTAAGTGGTCAGCTCATGCTGGGCGTGGTGCGAATCTATGGGAGAAAAGCCAGATATCTGCTCGATGATTGCCACGACGTCCTGCAAAAGATCAGACTGGTGCGCTGCTTTGGTTTCCTCCGCGACGATGCCATGCTAATATTGACCAGACCCCTCGATTGGCCAACAATCATGATCTGCCAGCTCATGCGACGACCGCTGCTGATCTCAACCTGCCTGAATTGCTCACCATCGATGACTTGTTCTCCAGCATGGACTTCACATTGACCATGACCCAGGAGCCGACCACCATAAGAGGCCAAAGTCTATTGGCGGATGACGACTGGACGAGCTCTCTCAGGCTCCGGCAAAGTAGTACACAATTAACGCCCGCCCCGGCCGAAGAAGCACTATACACCGGGGATGACCTGAACCTCGACTTTGGAGAAGGCGATGATATGGACATGAATGACACCACCATCAGCATGCAGGTTGGCCGAAATGCAACAACTCCCAGACCCACTGGCGACGACGAGGTTCTTCTGTATGACGACGAGGATGCCCTCGACTTGGATTTTGGGGAGGACACACCCATGCCGGACCCGCCTCATTCGCCCAGGGCGGATAATACATTACCTCCCGTCGATGATGCCAGACCGCTTGAGTTTGGAGATGATGAAACCCTCCAGTTACAGGACATGGCGGATTCCGCAAACCGGCAACGAGACACGGAATCTCCCTTGTCAGAAGCCAACTCTGACACCCTTCGCGAACTCGATCGGACATTCCAGGACCTAAAAGACGAGGAAATTGAACAAGTCGTGGTCCAACAACGTCAGCGGAGTAAGAAGCTGAAACCACTCGAGCCCGACGTTGTGACCGTCCTCCCCAACAGGCAACTCGGAGCACAAGCAGAAGACCGATCGAAAATCTTACGCGCCCCTTCATTCCTCCCACGGGACCCTCTCCTGCTGACCTTGATGAACATGCAAAAGAACGGCGACTTTGTCTTGAACGCAATGAATGACGGCCGGTCCAAAGATTGGGCACCTGAGCTCCAAGGTCTGTTGTCATTCGAAACAGTAATGAAATCCGGGCAACTCAAACGGAAACGGGATAGCGGTATCGCTGGCCTGAGCGAAGACGAACACAGTGAAAAGTCTCCACGGCTAGAAGGTCCAGAGGACGCCGTGCAGGATGAGGGTGTGTATCTCGACGATGCTGGTCGCGACATCACCCTGAATGACACGATCCCACAAGCCACGATTGAGGGTAGCCCAGCGGTCCGAGATGAGGTTGATGAGTACGAGAATGCCAGTTTTGATGGTGACGACACCTTCGACGATACGACGGTCCCGCTTCTCCATCCCGCGGATAGTGGTCCCATCTCACTGGGCACGCAGCATGCAGTCCATCTCCTGCGTGATCGACTTGGTGGTGCTGGGGGTGCCCAGCCATCTTCACCGGTCAACAGATCCGTGCTCCTCCAACAACTCGTCCCAGAGGGTCGGACAAGCAAAGAAATTGCCACCAATATGTTCTTCGAGGTGCTCGTACTGGCCACCAAGGATGCAATAAAGGTCGAACAAGGCGACCACGAATTGGGATTGCCCGTGCGGATCAGAGCAAAACGAGGTCTGTGGGGGTCATGGGCAGAGACAAGGCCAGGGGAGGATCCCACTGCTCCAACAGCTTCTCAGCAAGTGGCTGCCTCAGCTTAAAGCGGTTACATTTTGAAACGATTTCGTCGCGGGGGGGACTTACTACGATATTGGATGGTTCCTTTTGGGAGAACTCTGGTAGCACCTGGGTGGCATTGCGCCTGCGATGGCTGTATTTCTAGCGGGCTGGGAGAGCCAGGTTGATGACCTCGGCGCACATTTTGGATACAGGATTCCATTCGTTGGGAAAATTGCAACGATAAAAGCGAAGGCGTGGGCATGTGCAGGGCTTGGGCTGGTAAGGCTGTTGTTGCGGCAGCCATCGATACCCCAATAATACTGCAGATACAGGTTAGGTTTGAATGAGGACAAGTCTTGTTCTTTACCCACGTTCGGACGGCCGTCCATGATCCTTCCTATGTTGTGTCTATCCCTCTCCCGTGCTCCTGCTACCAAGTTCTCGAAGTCTTACTGCGGAGCTTGAAATGGAGCTTCGTGGGTCGAAGCTTCGAATCCTACGACTCGGGCCTTGTGGCGCCTCTCGAAGCTTAAATCTACCCACCTACTTCACATTGCTGGCACTGACACTGGCACTTATTTACATACACATGCCATTCCAGTACACATTCGACAGTGCAATTAACAAGCAGGATGTATCGAAGAGAAACTGTGATCGGGCGCCCGCCTCTGCCTCAGGCCTCCCAGTTTCGCTCCACATCGACAAGGATCTGGCGAGTTGATGGCGAGGGTTGGGGCCGGGATGTCCAAGAGACGGGCGGCTTGCCACCCCAAGTCTTTTCCCTCGAAGGTGACAGCCTGATGACTGAGTGCGCCTTGTTAGTTCGGCAGCCCGGTTGCTAACCCTTCCCGGCCTCGACAGCTGCAGCACCATTTAGGCCTTGACGTGCTGCCGTGCCTGTGGCCGAATTCACCTTATCAGCCCGCTTTTGCTCGTCTCTTAACCCATCAACGGCCGCTCGGGAATGCTAGTCTCACAGCACGGCCATTTGCATGCAAAAGAGCGGGGTTGATGCCAGGTTGAGGGCTGTGCGACTCAAGAACCTAGTGGAAGGCAGATACCTACAGTACACCAGTGTGAACTATGTGCTGCAAGGACGGCTGAGATATGTATAACATCAACGCACCCAGCAAGCCCGACCTGGCTTTCTGGATGCTGATGTCTTCCTTAATCTCTCCGTCAACATGGAGGCCTCTGAGGCCGGTGCCCCCAGAGATGATGTGAGCAGCATTGTCTCCTTCGAGCTCGCCCACATTGATCCAAGTGTAAAAGACATCTCGACAGCGTCGACCATCGCGGTATACGAACCCTATCTCGACCGAGGGCCATCACATCGTTTGTTGGTTGGCGTCGACTCGACGGCACGGACAAAATTTCGCAGATGGAAAAGCACTCTGAAATTATATCTCTCTTATGGGAGAGCGGTCTTGACTGACACTTGGTGGCCCGAACTTCTGGCCCTGACGTTCAGCTTTTCCTGCTTGGTCGAGATCACCATCACCCTCAACTACTTCAGCGGATATCCGCTCTCTCGGCTGCCATGGGGCTTGACGTTGAACACGATACTTTCCGGCCTTGCTGCGGCTTCGAAATCCTCCCTGATCTTTGCCGTGGCAGGTACAATGAGCCAGTGCAAATGGTGCTGGCTCAAATGTGGCCCGGCGCGCCAAAGGCGACTCGGACATCTGCAGGACGTGGACGAAGCAAGCCGTGGCCCTCTTGGATCACTCATCTTGCTCTTTGGCAGCACCATGGCATCCCTCTGTTATATAGGAGCGGTCATTATCATTCTTGGGCTAGTCTACGAGCCCTTCATCCAGCAGGTTGTTAGCTTCCCTGTGCATCAAACGAACGTAACCTCTCCAGATGCTTCAGTGCAGCAGGTGGTCGGCCTGGACTACTACCGCTTCTCTCAGACTCTAAGGGGTTTCACGGTGGCCGGTCTCTATGGCAGTTCTTTTCCCGACCGGACCCCGTCTTGCTCGACGGGGAATTGTACCTGGGATCCATTCTGGTCCGTCGGTTGGTGTGCAAAATGCGAGCAAAGGAAGCTCCAATCTCGGTCGTGCAACTTGACTCCCAAACAAATCGTTAAACAGGGCAAAAATGTGACCAAAGCTTGTGATTTCTCCTTTTCTGAGGGCAATGCACTCAAAGCGACCTTAGAGGCCAGCACCGGCAGAAGCGGGATGTGCTCCGAGACAAACCTGGACAACCAGCTCTCACTGTCTCTGAACTACACTCCTATCTGGCCACTATCGGTCGGGGCATACGACCATACCAACACAACACTTATCACCAACTACTTTCAGGACTCTAGAGAGTTCCTTGGAGCAACGAACCCGCTTCTCGCTCTAGGTTATGCCCCGCCACTGTTCTCAGTGCCAAACAACAAGACAACACTACCGGACACCATGTCACAGTCTGCTTTGTGCTTCCTGACTCCATGCGCCAGAAAATACAATGTGTCCGTTGTCAACGGGCGCACGATCAACCAGACACTCGAGGTGAACTACGGTTCGATAAGTTCAGATGAAACGGAGCTCGGAAACCTCTGTTGGCTACCAACGACAGTGAACACCGTGGATGATGGGCCCCCAGATGCCACTCCTCTCGAAGACCTTGGATTTTGCTTGATACAACAAAGTTGGATTCAAGAGATACTGTCCTTGCTCCATGGTACCTTAAACGCGACCTGGAACCCGTACAGGAATGATTGCCTTTCGACCCCCGACGACACTGGCAACTTCATCCTTGACGATGTTCTGCTCCAATTACAGGCTGATCCGAGCGTGTTCCTTCCCAACGTCGCTACGGCTCTGACATTCCTCAGTCACCAGGCCTCTTACTTCAACACTGTCTCAGGGACTGTCTTCACCAACAAGACGTACGTCGCAGTCCGCTGGGTCTGGCTGTCTCTCCCTCTAGGTCTGAATGTTTTGGGACTCATTTTTCTCCTGATAACTGCAGTCTACACCAAACGGAATAAAGTACCGTTATGGAAATCCTCGGCCTTTGCGCTCCTCTACCATGGCCTAGAAGCCCACTTGGTGGACGACGAGAAAACGTATGAGACCACCAGCGACATGGAGAAAGCTGCGAGCACGACGGAAGTCTCGCTAATGGTTTCTGGTCCTGGGCGGAAACGCCTGCTCTTGCATTCTGACGATTGATCGAATCGGACCCAGTTGACCGGTACACATGACAGCCGGCAATGGCATAAGACAGATGCCCCTCTGTTTCGACACTTCTCCACGACCATTTTCCGGAAGGATGCCTCAAGCTTTTGCAATTGTTGCATCCCAAACAGGTCAGAATGCGGAATCAGAAGCTCCACCTGAGAGGCCATGCACGACACGACGACAGGACGAACCTCTTGTCTTCCTCCCCCGAAGGCTGCTGTGTCTGTCCCGGATGTGCCGGGCATGCGGCTGTTGTGTATGGCCATGGTGCGGCCAGGCTTGCAGAGTAAGAGTAGTCGAGCCGATATACTCAGTCAATCGCTGGCTGATCGCAACAGCTCGACCTCACCTCACCTCACCGGCAGCCTTTCCACTTAGGGATCAAGTAATGGTCTCATGGGAGGAAGGCAAGGCCACTACACGGCCCGGTCTGCCTTCAGCAGTGTCGGAGTAGTCGACTCGACGCTGTCGAAAGGGATTTCTTCCATACGCCAGACCAACTGCGAGACCATATCTCGGCGGAACAGGGCACACGTGAAGGGTCTACGTCCTGTCACTATTCTCGACAACGTATTCTACTCGCCACGTATTATGGCCCTCAATCTCTATTCTATCTGTTACTCGGGCAGGGTGGCAGGAAGGAAACTTAGCGATCGTCTGCGAAGAACGGGTCTCGGCTCTGATGAATCGTGTCGGCGCTTGTAGTAAAAATTGTGTTTTGCTCAGATATATACTATCCTTCTAATGTTAGGTTGGCACATGAGGCCAGCATAGTCCTTCCACTGTCCTTTTCCCCTCTAGGTATCCTTGACCCAAGTGCCGTCATCCATCAAACCTTCGCGCTTCGGCCCTTCTCTCGCCCAGGTCTCGACCACCCCATTCTTGGGATCCTCGTCCGGCAAACCCCTGGATCGTCGGACTTCCAGGACCGCCTCGCGGACCCGTTTTGTACACTCTATCCTTAGCTCCATTGCCTCGGGATGGTTGGCCAGGTTCTCGGGGACCAGGCCCAATATCATCTCGTCCCATCCCGGCAGTCCGGCTTCACGGGCGTGTCGGTCGGCCAGATCTCTCCAGCGCTTGCGCAAGTCGCCAAAGACGGCTTCGACGTCCAGCTCCCGCCCAATCGTGAGAGAGATTCTCTTCCCGATCCGGGGGATGAAGCGCGGAAACGCCCGACTCTCATGCATGACCTGGTCCGTCCCCTCGATGAACATGGGCACCACGTCGGGACATTCGGGCGGCTCGAGGATTAGTCGTGCCACTCCCCACTTGAAGTAACGCATCGTCTTGTCCGTGGCTTGGTGGATCATCCCCTCGGGAAAAATATGTACCCAGCTATAAGAATTGCTCGCGTAACGCGAAGGGGCGAGGTACCACCTCACATCGGAGGGTTGGGACGGATAGCAGGGCGGAGGAGAGATCTCGGAGAACGGGTCCACGCAGTCCCAGGGCCACTGAGGAGGTTTCCAATCCTTGTGAAAGCGTGGGTTGCTCAGAGGGCTGAGCGACTGCTTTTGTGCCGAGATCTTGGAGAGCAGGCGGACGGCTTCGGTCATCGTCGCCTGGTACGGTCCACCGAAAGGGGAGTGTGCGCCGCGGTGGATGGGCAGAACTTGTCCCAACGTGAAGAAGTGCGAAGTAAGCGCATTTGTGAAGCAGATGTCGTGACTACCCAAGCTCCAGCGGTGGTTCATGTAGCCGTGGAAAGCGGCGAAGGAGACTGGGAGCACGCCCCATATCAAGGGCTCGTCGAGGACGGAGATGTGATTCGAGACGGTCAGCAGACCGCGGCGACGCGTCTTGTAGTCGGAACGCGACTTTAACAGGTCGAGGAAACGAGGGAGGCCATGGACTTCGGTTTTGTTGAGCGCATACAGGAACAGACGTGACAAGGTGGCGACGGTGAGGATCGTCTGGTACGAGGCACCGCGCCAAAAGAAGCTCGGGGACTCCAGGTTTTGGTAGAGGTTGAGGTCATCGCGGTGGAAGAAGGGCATCGAGGATGTAATAGAGCGGGGAGAGAGTTGTTATCAAGGAGTCCATCGAGTAGTTATGTAGAGGGGAAAGGGAAGAAGAAGGAGGAGGATGAAGAAGAAGAAGGTGAGCCCCTGTAGAATTTCTATTCTCATCAACCCATGCTTTCCCTGGAGGGAGGCGTCGTGCCGGAGTTGTTGGCTGTCGGGCTGTCAGTCTGTCGGCGGGTTTTTTTCTGAAGCTGCGGAGCAATTTGCGGGAACGTTTCCGATCCGAGTCTGAACTCTCAACTGTCCCATTCAATCTCCTGCTGCGACCACAACAGCTCATCACTTGTCAACCTCCAGCAGTGCACAGTAGATCAGTCGAGCTCACTCTGCTGGATTGCATCAACCATGTTCAAGCCGACGTCCCCTCTAGCAGGAGGCCTTCTATGGTGCGTCTTTGTTTGGGATTAGAGCTCTTCGCTGGTCATCCATGCTGATTGACTCTTTGCCTGCAGGAAAATCCCCTGGCGCCTCTCGTCGATGCAGAAAGCGCGTCAACGGAAACGATTGAAATTGGTCGATAAGGTAGTCGACACGGTCAGCACAGCGCTGCAGAATAACGGCGGCATGACGGCAAAGGCGGTCGAGCGATGGTACCAGGAGATGCCCCGAGAGGAAGAGATGCTGCCCAAGGACAAATACACGATTTTTGACCGCAAGGAAAAGAAATACAGAAAGGGCATTCACAGTATGTTGCTTGAGTAGCTTGTTTCCGGTTCGGTCCCCCCGTGCTGATGAATGAATGTTTCAGAGCTGCCGAAATGGACGAGAGTCAGTCAGAGACTCAACCCGCCCGGCTTCTAGAGGACGCACCTCGATCGATACCATTGATGACATATACCACACCTACGTCCCTCGTCTCCGGGGGAATGCCTTTCGCCTCTCTAACCCCTCTCGAAGCCATTGTCCCTGCACTGAATTGCGGATGTTGACGCTCACGGAGACTGAGCCACGCCCTCCCACAATCAAGACCTACAGGGGATTGAAGTCTGGAGCACCGAACAGGCTGCCTGTCTACAAAAGCGGCGATGAAGCAACCAAGACGCCATACGCGCCCTCAGTGCCTGCAGCGCCGGTGTATGAAGAGAAGTCGACGGGGACCAGTAGCCTATCAGTGCAGATGGGAAGACAGCTGTCTGGTGAAACATATCTGATTGGAACAGAATGCAGCAGGCACCGGGATAGCAAGCAGAGAGGACTTGAAGTGGACCTAGTGTTTCTTGGATGGGATATGAACACACATGATGATTGCTCTGGGCCCCTAGCAGTGAAAGCATCCTCTACATCTCACTGGGAAGAGAGGCTGTATTGATCTGTATAACAGCAGTGACCATGGCTAGACCCTTCGTGGTCAAAGGACAATCATTTGCCCAATGTCCTCCTCCATAGGAGTGAGTGCATCCGAATAATGCAAGGAGGGTGGCACTTTCTCCCTCTTTGGCTACACGTGATCTGCCCAGTCTGGTATGTGGCAGGCAATGACTGTCGCATCCCTCCTCCATTCATGACTCCATATTACTCGTACATGACTTTGCGCTCTTTTCATGACTCCTCACGAACAGGCGAGGTAGATATTCTGTCTTGCCTCACTCCGTGAATTTCACTCTCTTGTCCATGAAACACCCTCAAAATCCGGATACATGCCCAAGAAACACCAAAAACGAGTCCTGTTCACCAAGCCACCGTCCAGCAGTCCTCCGGCCCTCTCGCTCTCCAAGTCCCCAGCCCCCAAAGCAGACAATGAAGGCGCTGCGCGCACCGTCAACGACCTGATCCGGGAGTCTCGTCGCCAGCAGTTGAACAATGACTCGAGAATTGCCACCGTCTCCAACGCCCCCTCCGTCCACCCCTCCGTGAGAGCAGTCCTAGACTTGCCCACGCCGCTCACACCTGCCCCACGACCAGGATTTGCTCAGCGCGCGGCCGGTGGCGGTCCAGGTCCGACTCGAGTGCGGCGCATCCCTGGGCCTCCTCCGCCCCAGAGTTGGCTCACTGGAAGCGCCTATGCGCCTCCCTCTGCTCGCTCGGCGGATGATACCACTGATCCCAACGTCGGAAACGGTCGCTTTCACGTCCGGTCGAGTAATCTACCGGAAGGGGAATTTCCCGCTCCCGCCTCCCTCCAGCATCTCGTGTTGAAAAGCATTTCAAGGAATTGGGAATGGCATGCAGAGAATGACCGCGGCTACTTTGACTGTCTGCCCATTGCGCTCAGGCAACAGCTGCTAAGCTACATTGCGGTATACAACGAGGAGGTCACGAGAAATCCGCTCAGAGTGCTGTTCATACACGAAACGGACAGGGAGGACCGGGCAGCGGTGACGAGGCTGGACTTAAGTAACGCTCTAGGGGATTGGACGACTTTGAGACAGCTGGAAAAGGATCTATTCGTCAAGAATGCGATCGATACGGCGACAGACGCTCACGCTGCAACATCGGATCTGACACCCGATAGCTGGGACGCAGATGTGGACGACCAAGTCGTGGCAGAACTTGAAGAGATCGCTCCACTTCCTAAAACCATACACACCTTTCAAAATCTGAAGCACCTGTCGCTCGCCATCTCTCCATCCAACGCCAGAGCCGCCTCGTGGTCTTCACTACTTTCCCTGGCTACTGAATTGAGCACATTGACCTCTCTTTCGCTCGCATACTGGCCTCAGCCTACATTCACACCAAATGCCGCATCCACACGGGCGCTCATCAACCTCACCGGTCCTGGATCGGCCAGGTATGCTGGACCGGATTTCTATCCCGCTTTCGATCATGACTGGCGAGAAGCGGCAGGGATACTCCGGACGCTGAGTCGATCACTCTACTGCCTGAAATGGTTGGATCTCACAGGCTGCGGGGATTGGTTTGCTGCACTGGAATGGCAGCCCTCTAATCCCGGTCGCTTCTTTTCGCAGAGAGATTCTCTCAACAAGGGACGGTATGGTCCTGAATGGAACAACGGCTGGCGCGGGCTGGAGAGGCTGGTGCTAGGAGTGGGATGGAGACCGATTCCTCCTGAAGCGGTTGGACACGGTTCTCCTGCCGAGGACGAGGATATGGAGGCTGAGCGCAGACTTTATCGGTATAAGCGAGAGCGGGAACGTTTTGACAGGGTTCGATGCTCGGCGTGGTCTGTTTCGCGGTATTTGCGGGCTGTCCGCAAGGAGGCCGGGGGGAAGTGGATTGAGGTCGAATTCGACAAAGATCTGGTGACATCCATGGTAAGTGATCACCTGCGATTGAGACGATCGTGACTAGCCCTCATGGTGGCTCTAATATCAATAATCACTTGGTGAAAAAATTCGTGATTCGCTGCATTCCTGGCTCGGCCTTTTTGGAAGGGCTCGTCTTTAGAGTCATGTCCTTGTTACTGGTTGCGCTCTTCGGCTTCTTGCCCAGAGTCGTCTTGGATTGAGGAGACTTCAAGGACTGAGGGGTGGAGGACAGCTTCGCCTGTTTTTTGGTCGGGCTTTCCTGGGACTCGTCATCATGCCCCCTTTTTTGTCCTTGCTTTTCTTCCACCGGGGTACTCGGTGTGGACAGCAGAGCGTCTTTTACATTGACAGTATCCTCGGCCGTGGGTTGGGTGGGTTCGGGTTTTACTCCGACCTTCTCCTTGGGCTTCTTTGCACTGGCATTGCTGAAGAAATTCGCGATGTTCTTCTTGTTCTCCTTGCTGTCGATGGGAACAATGAAGCTGGGTGAGTTGTTTCCCACCTTGCCCACGGCCGAATCCACCTGGTAGCATTCGAGCTCGCCCTCATACGGTTTCAAGATGGCCTGGAGCTCCTTGCTCCACTTGTTCCTGGTCGGGTCCAGCCACATCTTGACCTGCTCTGTCCCCGGATCCAGGATGACAGGCATGCGGTCATGCAGGAACTGCAACTGCTTGTTCGCGTCCGTCGTGATGATGGTGTAGGTGTACAGCTTCTCCTCGGTATCTTCGTACTTGACACAATCCCACAGTCCCGCGAACCACATCAGATTGCCATCTTTCCTCTTGACGAAGTACGGGATCCTCTCTTTCCCGCCTGGCCCCTTCTTCAACCACTCGTAGAAGCCTTGTGCCACGACCAAGCAGCGCTTCTTCTGCTTCATCGTGTTCCACATGCCCCGGTTCTCGATCAGAGAGTCGTCACGGCAGTTGATGGTGCGCAGCATCGAACCGTAGTCGGGGGCGCGTTTGGTCCAGAAAGGGATCAGTCCCCATTTCATGACTTTGAGCTGGTAGTTGAAGTGCTTCTTCGATTGACTGGACGTTGGGGCAGTGGACTCCTGCGGCTCTTGTTCTTGTTCTTGTTCTTGTTCCTGTTCCTGCTCCTGCTCCTGTGCTTGGCCGTCGTGCTCGGCAGCATCGCTACTTTCAGATTCGTTGGTGTCCCTGACACCTTGGTCGGGCACATCTGCGCGGTAGACGAGGCCAAAGGATCCCGGTGGGAAGTTGTATGTTTCGCGGGCTTCGTCGTCCTCCGGTGCATCGTCAACGGGCATGCCCTGTTGCTGGAGCTGGTAGCGGACAAATGCGGCACGGAGGCCCAGTGCATATCGCCCACACATGTTGGCGCTGCAGAATACTTGTGTCGAGCATAGAGAGAGCAGGTGTGCGAGGCAGTTCGCCAATACGACGGGAATACGAATGGTGGCGGTGTTTCGCTACATATTAGAGCGCGACGCTGGTGACGTCGGGCGCAGTCACGATAATCCGGGGTACATGAAACTTCAAAATTTCGCGTTCAAATGTACATAACGGTTCAACTTGTCCTGCCGCATCTCTTGTTTGCCTTTCCTTTTACTGTTCTCCAGTCAGCCTCATCGGCGTCAGAACATGAATTCCAGTATGTTCACGAGCCAGCTGCTTCGCAACTTCAGACCTGCGCCACCCGCTCCCTCTCGAGCTCTGCTCAACAGCTTCCACAACTTATCGAAAGCACGGCGTCTCGTTCGCAGCACGCCCTCCCTCAATGCACGAGTTCAGACGAGAAACGCTAGGAAATATGCTCGCCCTCCAAATCGATTCGAACAAGCCGTCATTGACGCCCGGGTGAAACACCCAGTCCTGTTCCCATTCCTGCTCTTTGGCTCCACGGCTTCGGTGATCTTGCTCATTATCATGGCCTATGATCAATGGCGGAGGGAGAAGAGAGGCACCTCGGTATATCCTCCAGCCGTCGAGGACCAGCTCCGGCTGGCCTTGCACTACACCCACATCTCCCCTGACCCAGACACGGCGTCAAAATATTTCATGCAAGCCATCAAGAAGGCGGAGGAGGTGGGCATGGACCCCTATAGCAAAGACACGGTCGGCATTCGGGTCCGCTTCTCCCAGATGTTAGAAGAGTTCGGACACGTCAAGGCGGCCATCGAGATCCTGGACGGCATCTCCTCCGACCTGGAACAAAAACTGGCCGAGCTTGACCAGACCTCGTCCAGCAAGACAGATCCTCCGTCGCCTCTGGAACCAGAGACTGCGGATTTTCGAGCCAACCTGATCAAGGGAATTGTCAAGCTAAAGATCAAGATATCATCAATGTACGAAAGCGATTATCTTCAGAACCCCACGATGGCCAAACACGTGCTGTCAGATGCGGTGGGCCTTGTCGTGAAGGAGACCAAGGATCCCCAGGTCAACACCTTTACGGAGGACAACGCGGCGGGCTTGACTACGGGGGAAATTGCTGCGATGCTGTCTCAGATGGGCGATCTGTACGCCACCTCGGGCGAAGAGGAAAATGCCATCCAACTCTACATGCTCACGCTGAAGCCGTTGAGGGCGTCGTGCAACGGCACGAGATCCTGCAAGGAAGCCCAGGTCCTCAGCAACATTGCGTCTACCATGGACATGGCGCTGAAGAAGCCGACGGCGAAGATCAACGGGAAGCCAGCGACCAAGGACACGCTGGCGGCCGGACGACGAGCTGCTCTGAGATGGGCGGACCAAGCCATCGCCGCCGCCGACGTGGTCACGTCGGAAGAGCGCGATGAAATCTGCACCGCCGCTCTGATCTCCGCCCAGATGACCCGCGCGGACCTGTTGCTGGACAGTGGCGACAAGGCAAAGGCCCGCGAGGCATTTCTGAGTCTGCTGCCTATGTTGAGGGAGAGGAATCTCCTTCCTCTGATCGAAACCGCAGAGCAAGGGCTGAAAAGGGCTAGCACCTAACCCCAAAATCTATATTCGCCTGCTTCGAGCAGCAACTATGGCAACGGTATTTGAGGTCGATATCTATACAAATGCCCGACACAAAGTTGAAAAGTTCTTGAGAGCAACAACAATTACGACCGTTACTTTGGTGTGACTATCGTAGTGTGCCCTTTGCTGGCCTGTGGTGCGGACGCCCTTCTACCTGATTAAGCATGCTCGCAGTCGACTCTCAGACACCCACCACCGGATTTGCTGTACTTCGAAAAGGAGTGAGCCTAATAAGGAATTTCGTCTTCTGAACCACGAAAATTATGTTCCAAAGTGGCTTTCTGTAGCAGTGGTCGAGCACTTCAGGTTGGTTCCATCCTCTATTCATATCAACGAGGCTGACCAATGAGGGGCCTGATACAACAAATCTCCTTTCCCCAGTTCATGTTTCAGCAACCGCCAACATTGTCCATTTTTAACTCATGGCCTTTACTTGTGGTCCGGCGCTTACCACAGGTTGTCATGATTCGAGCAGTAGGCCTTCGAAACAGGCGCATTCAGCGTTCCAGCCTCTGCCTGAGCTTAGCGCCGTCCCTGGCTACGTTCATGAATCTACAATCGCCCGATGCCGTTCTACTTGACCAGAATGCTTACTGAGCCCGAGACCCAGTATTTCCAATCCTCAAACGTTGGCCTAGCCGTTGGCCATGGGCCTGGAGTCCAGCGCCGGCTTCATGTAGCGCCTGCGCATCGATAACCCATTGAGATAAACAAATACTCTGCAGTTGCATATGAACCACTTTGTCGATACTCATATCGAAAACCATGGAGAAAGAACGTTCAAAAGTCGTGCAATCTGAAAGTGTAGCCCGCGTTCGAGACTGGATTAGACTATGTTTCCCTTCTGGTCTGAATGCCATTTTACGTTCGAAAGCAGAAAAGACCGGGAAAGGCTCGCACCAAAAAGGACATGAATCTGCCGCTACGGTCGACAAGTCGAATGCGAGATTCACCAGTGAGCGTGGAAAAGGTCCTTCCCCCGTGTCTATATCGACCTTCGGATGGCTTTCTACAGTCAGCCTGTCGATGATTACGGGTTTGTTCATGACACTCGGGTTTGCACTTCTTCTAGTCTGGCATTACAACATTGTTGGGAATGGATATGCCTTGGTCACAGACAACCACTACTCCTGGACTTACGGCCCTACCGCCATCCTTGTCTTTGTCGTTGCTCTATGGCGCCAGGTGGATTTCAATTTCAAGTCTGCAGCACCGTGGCTTGTTCTTCAGCATGGACACGCAAATGGAAAGGATACCCTCCTCCTTGATTACATTTCTCCTCTTCAACCTACCTCTTTCTGGCGAGCGCTCAGGAATCGCCAGTTTGGCGTGCTCTCTACAATTACTGGCTTTGTTCTGCTGAAAGTCATCACACTAGCCTCCACCGGCCTCTTCGTGGCGGATCTTACACAGCTTTCGAGTCAGAGTATCGGCCTGATACGCAATGTGAATTTCAATGGATCACTTTGGAATATCACACAACCCTTGGGGAGCGAAGATGCGTCCGTAGTATACGAAGCTTATGGCGTTTTGGCACGCGGCGTCGCCACACATGGCTTCGGCACCACGAATGATCTCGCCTACGAAACATTCAAAATTCCTCCCGACTTACAACAGAAGTCTGGGCGACTGGTAGCGCAAATGAATGCTTTCATACCCGACTTCAATTGTGTTGATGCCACGGTTTCCATAAACCCATCTCCCTACGGGACAGATGGCGAACAGTCTGGTCAGACTATTTCAATCCTATCTCCAGGCTGTCAACTGATGGGTGGGGCTCAGCCAGTGTTTGTTCTTGATGCAAACACTGAATTATGTCCCCAGACCCAGTTCAGGGGGAATATGGAACGGGTCAACTGTTCCAGGATGGGGTCTTCCGTCGACCTGCGAAATTATCAACTCCTTACTCTGGCCGAGATTTCCTATCAACAAGTCTTGAACAACTCCGCCACGAATACGACGACGGCTGTGGATAGTTCCGATATCGATGTTGTGTCTTGGACGATTGCTATTAATCAAACCAAAAGTCTGCTCTGTCGCCCGGCTTATAGCATGGGCAAAGTTAATGTGACTTATGATTTTTCCGAAGACCCTCCTTTGATCACAGTTGGTGCTCCGACTGTCACCAATGGCCATCTTGCGGGTTTCCAAGACGATGACCTGGCCTCACGATTTACAAGCTCCTTGGTAGCGGGTGCCAACATGTTTGGAGATATCACTCCCGAATCTGACCTGGAACAAGACTTTCCGAACACGATGTTCAGTCTGATGGCTTCTGCTGCCGGCGGTGATGGCCAATACCAATCCTTAATGGATGGTAATGCTATGAAGGATGCAGCTGAACAAACGTATAGGCAGATGGCGGTCCAATTTGCCAGCAAATATCTGCTAGAGCCGGACGGGTCGGAATTCAATGGGGACCTTACATCTGTCGAGAATCGCTTGAAAGTGAATCCTCTCTCGTTATGGATTATGTTGGGCGGCTTTGCCGTCATGGCTGTTCTGGCTTCAGCTGTCTTTTTCTTGCGACCTCGAAAGCCTCTCCCACCATATTCTCACACGGCGTACGGCATGGCATTGGTTCTGGACCAGAATCCGAATTTTCAAAGTCTGATTGAGACCCTCTTGGACCTAAAAGAGACCGAAATAGCTCTGAAACTGGCGGAGTATAAGTTCTCTGCCTTCGCAACCGAAGATTCCATTGGGGCTTCCACCACCGTGGTTGAGTGTTTTCCAAATGGAAACTCACCTCGCTCGTTGGATCTCGATGCAACGGAAGCCCTTCCAGACCCCAACCAAATGCAATGGTGGAATCCATTACCAACTCGACGTTTCATCGTTGTTGTGGTAGTCCTACTTCTTATAACCACGATTGCTGCTCTGGAAGCTCTACAGCGACTTTCAGACAGCAATCGAGGAGTGTTGACGCTACCTGCAATCGATACCACAACCACGACCGTGTACACACGTCTGCTTCCTGCCCTGGTTATTCTGATCCTTGCAACGTCTGTCAATGCCATTGACTTCAATGTCATGGTTCTTGCACCATTCAGTGCTATGAAGTCTGGAAGAGCCTTGGCAGAGGCTAGCATGGAGCTTTCTCTCGTCGATCAACTTCCTCCTTTGGCACTCTGGAAGGCCATCAAGCATCGCCATTTTGCAACAGTCTGCTCGTCGACGGCTGCAATCATTGGAAGCATACTAACAATCGTTGTTTCTGGCCTTTATACCCCTCGGGCAATTCCGGGCACCACCGCAATAGCTCTCAAGGCGAGCGATGCTTTCAACACAAGCTGGCCAGAGAGTGCAACTAATGACAGCACGGCTGCTCTCATTGTGAGCTTGACCGAAAGCCTGAATTCTAGCTATCCAGCATTCACGTATAATGAGCTTGCTCTGCCAACTTTCGCAATGCCTGAAATACCGTCAAACATGACTGCGTCAACGCTGGAAGTAACTTACCCTGCCGTCCGTGCTTCGCTGAATTGCTCTACTCTGAGTTCAGAATCCTTCAACTTCAGTGCCGACTACGATCCCAGAATTGAAACTTCAAGTGCCAACGTCAACGTCATAGTACCACTGCCTCCGAACTGTCTCTTGGGGGGCCCTGGTGGAAACCTGAGTTATATTAACGTTGCATACCGTGCCGGGCTACAAGCGAACGCATCGTACTTTGGCAAGGTGCTAGACCTCCACGTAGGTCCTTACGATGCAATCCAAGGCAGTGCTTTTGGTGAGACCGACCCGGGGTCTCAACCTGACAATCCTCCCGGCTGCCCGTCCTTGGCGTTCATATACGGGTACGCCGACATCACCACGATGGATCGCAGTGATGTTACTGTTTTGATGTGTTATCAAGAAATGCAGCGGGTTCGGACATCAGTGACTTTCGATCTGCCCGCATTGTCCATCTCAACAACACAGCCCCCGGTGCCGGATGAGGCTTCGGTGGAACTGCTCCCAGCTGGAGTTCACGGAGAGACCGCATTCTCCTACCGCATCGAGCAGCATATGGATCAATCTCTCTCACTATTCAATCAGACGCAATACTCGTCCGCAAACTTGGCGGAGTCGCCCGTTGACGGGTTCTTCCAGGCCGTGTTATTCGGCAAGACGCCACTCCCAGAATCGATGCTCGTTGGCCAAGAGAACCGAGCCACCGTATTCCAAGGAATCAATGCTTTCTACCGGCGATACATGGCACAAGCCATCTCCAGCAATATGCGTGTGCCTTCACCCGCGAGTGCTGCGACCAATGAAGCTCAAACATACGCCGGTTTCGTCTCAAATGCTTCCCTGTCCGTCCGGCTGGTCCAACACAACGGCGCCAAACTCGCGCTCCAGGCATTGCTGGGCCTAATGGCTATCCTGACCGCCCTGGCGTGCATGTTGACCAAACTGGACAAAGTGGTACCGTATAACCCGTGCACGATCTTCGGTGTTGCGGCTCTTCTGGCGGGCAGTAGACTGTGTCGGGATCGAAGGTTGGAGACTTTGAAACAGGACGAAGATACGACATGTTACAGACTGGGCTGGTGGGACGACGCGCCCGACGAATTGACTGAACGTGCTGTGTTCGGTGTGGCACAAGGATCTACCAGGGAAAGAAGGTACGGTATCGATTTCGTCGAGCCTGAGCAACGAGTTTAACTACGGTCTGCCCGTCTATTCAGCGTCTGATGATAAGAGTAGGGAAGCTAGGCGAGGTCAGAGCACATTATGAGAGCTCGGGTTTAAAATTTTCCCGTTATCGCTACACAATTTGATCACATTGGTTTTTCTTCCAAAACTCTTTGCAAGTGTTTCGATTTGTCCTCTCGATAGATCTCTCGATAGATGATGACATAAAAAGTAAACCGCTCAGATTTCGTAACATGTTCATCAAAATTCCTTTTCTTTTTCCCTATTCCCTTCATTGCGTGGAAAATAAAAAACAAATTTTCTGCCATTTTGCTTGATATGGCCGGGCCTCTCTGCCTCTCTATCTGTCCGTGAGTCTGAAGTCTCGCGTTATATGACCACGCCACACCAAAATCTTCTCCACGAAAAGTATGTTACAAGAATGTACCCAAAAAGATCTCGACGACCATGAATGATCCGGCCTCCTAGATTCAAGAAATGCGCGACAAGATTCTGCCACTTACGAGTTGTCCTTCATACATACCCGCAGCACATACAAAAGTGTGTGCTGGGAAAATGCGTATGACGGAGAACGGAGTAGTTCTCTCAAGCATATGCTTCGCCAACAGGGCTTGAGATGGAGCTACCATCGACGAGGATGCCGTCTGAACACATGAAATAGGCGTACCTCTCAACTTGGGGTGTCGAGTCGAGGAATGCAGTAGCCTCGGTGATGAAGTTGGCAACATCCGAGTCGGAGCCGCTCGCACCGAACTCGGTGAGCCAGACCTTCTCGACGCCGTTCTGTTGAGCGGCAGTGATGACGTCCTGCACGTGGCTCTGGAAATAGGCCATGTTGCTGGCTGAGTCGTACCAGTGGAACGCCACGAAGTCAACCTTGCATTGGCCGGCGCAAGCCTTGAAGAAGGCGTTCAGCCAGTCGATCCCCATGAGGGGGCTCGTTCCTGCTCCGTTGGTAATGGCGGGTGAGCCAAGTTGAACTTGACCGGAGAGTGGATTCATATTGGCGATGTACAGCTGGGCGGCCGTCGTGGGGTCGATATTTGACTGGGAATCCAGATCGGGTTCGTTGAAGCCTAGGGCGTGCTTGGATCCGCTGGCAATGGCGGACTGAACAGCGCTGGACCAGCCTGAAATGGAGTCCTGGCCCCATAGGAGGGGGACATACTCGGCCCCAGACACAATCTGACCGCCCGGTGAAGCTGCCCAGTTGTACGCCCAGGTCATGCCCTTACCCGCGAAGGCGTCCGTCAGGGAGGCATCGTTATAAGAGAGACCTCTCTTGCCAGATGATCCAGTGCTGGGAGATGAGCTTGGGCTTGAGGAGAGCGACGAAACAGTAGATGCACTGTTGGCTGGGCTAGAAGCAGGAGGCGCGCCAGTCACAGTAGCTAAGGTGGTTGGGATGAATGAAGAAGGGGCGCCCTGAGACCCCACAGGTGGGGGAGACATGGAAGAGCTACCGCCGAAGGATGGGACACCAGTGCTTCTTCCAGGGCCGGGGAAGAACTCTCCAGCAGTGGGAGCACCAGCAGCAATGCTGATTGAACTTGAGGGAGCGAATGCACCTGGTCCGCTGGACGTAGTTGATGAAAGGAGAGTCGGGGGGCTGGAGGAGCTCGAAGAGCTTGGAGAACCGCCATAGAACCCGCCAGGACCTTCAGATGGGACGTAGGTCGAAGTAGAGCTCGATGAGGCTCCGAGGAATTGACCCGCACCGCTAGAGGGAGCGAATCCTGAAGGGGCCCCAAGGTTCGAGCCCGAGTCCTCTGATCCGCCAACGCCAGCAGTTGCTGTGACTGTTACATACTGAACAGATGTAGAGGTGACAGTGGAAGTCAAGACATAGCACGAGTCCATGGGAGCACCGGTCGGAGCAACGTCGGTGTTTGCGAAGCCGGTGTTGGATGCGACTGCTGCAACTTCAGGTGCACTTGAGAAGCTCGAAGCTGTATCCGGAGAAGATGAATCGACCGGGATGGGCAGGACGGTGACAGTCTTGACAGCAGTAGCCACGACAGCGGAAGGGGACTCCACTGAGGGACCAGAGTCTGAACCTTTGGTGTGCACTGTGCCATTCATTGGGAAGATACCACCAGTTGGCATAGCCCAGCCGCCCCCAGTGCCACTGCCATAATGGAATCGTTCGTGTCGTTTGGGATGAGCCAAGACAGCTGAGGCGAACACCGCCATAGACAAAAGTTTGGCAACCATGTTGGATCAGATGAGTAAGCTTGTGACGGAGATAGTGTTGGCGAGGTTGTCTTGCAGAAAGGGGCTGGAGGTATAGTATATGGATTGTATGAGCGACCCGCCTGGGGAATCCAGCAGCCGATTCAATCAATGAAGGACCTGGTTGGATGAAAGAGTGACCGCGAGCGTAGCTCTGCCGCTGGCGAATGATAGAACGAAGGACTAGCCTTGCTGAAAGAAAGACGAAGTGCAATGTGTCGCACAAAACGTGTCAGGGAGCCTGCAAAGACGAGGGAAGATAGCTTGGGAAAGAAAAGAAGGAAGGGGACGCAAATGAAACGACAAGAACCTCAGAGTTATACCTCTGCCAGCAGAGGGGTGGATGGGGAACGTGGCTGAAGGGGTTGAGGGAGAATTGTGAATACGACAGCGAAATGGGTTGGCACGTTTCATGGTGGTCTTTCGTGTGACGGTGACCCTGGTAGATGGTAGACCGCATGTTCCCCGCCGGTGTAAGAGACGGGTCTTTTCAAGGCCCTCTTTGCTGGCGATAAGAGAGTGAAGGGGTGTAAATGACCTGTATCAGAAAGGCAGTGACCGTGGGTCGAGACATCCCAACGGCCCATGGTGCTGGCATGGGAGCCCCAGGATGCCAGCTTGGGACCAGAAAAGGGGAAAGCTGCAGAACAGGCGAGGGCAGTTGGCGACGAGGCTAACGTCGCAGGACCTGGTCGATCCGAAGCCAGTCAGCGTCCAGATTGGTAAAGATCTGGCCTGAAACCGCCAATTGGGGCGGTAATGCAGGGGAAACGTCCACAAAAGAGAGGCCCAGCAAACGGGCGAGCCGGCTAGGCTATCGAGAAGACCCGATAAACTTTAGCCTGACGAGCGGCCACGCTATTTGCTGCCAGGAACCTGCCAGCCACGCAACGACCCTTGCTTGGAGCCTTGCAGAAACGGACACTAGCCCCGACCCCTCACTCCTGAACGGAGATCGGAATGGTCAAGTCGGACTCAGCTGATGGACTTCTGTGCAACAATGATGAAAAGAGAAGTAGCACTGTATTGTACTACATGGGACCAGGTAGGTAGAAATGAGGAAGAGGAGAGAATTTCGGAGAGTGTGCCCAGAGGCTGATTGGGTTGTGGACCTTGGCATCGACACGTCATCTGGTCATTGCTAACGGGGAGGAGATACTTAGTACGGAGTGCTTCCATATGCGGAATGGTCTCTCCGTAGCTGCCTGGTACCACTTGCTTGTAGCTCACGTCCTACTGTACAAATATACATAGCAAGATACTACTAGGGACGAAGGATTCACATCCCAGCCACCATCTACCTCCGCTGTCTTGGATATCTGACCTCTCCGCCATGCCGGAAATCCGCACGGTATTGACATGGGGAATAATAATACGAAAGGAAAAAAAAGGTCGCCGTCCCCGCTGGCGGATCCTGTCTAATCAAATCTCCCTCTGCAATCTAGAGACTTGCTCCGGGCATCGGCCCAATTGTCCTGACAAAGGAGTTGTAATCGTCTTCAAGCATTTATATGGCCAATTAGTTTCGTCTATGGCCACGCGTCCAAATGTCGTGCAGAAGCGAAACTCTATGAGGATCGGAGACCAGATATCGTGCTCAGACAGCGCTTCAGATTTCAGGGCTTCTTCTCACGCCCTTGAAGCACTGCCATCACGTCGCTCATGTTGTCTTTATCGCCTTTGCGTTTCTTTGGACCACGCTTCCGTCCACTTTTCTTTGCTGGTCCTCCACCCTCGGCCCACCCAGCTTCGTCCTCATCATCCTCGTCGTCGGCGATTCGACTTTCACCAAATCCTAGGTCCAGATCTGCGGCATCTGCCCGATCTCGTTCTCTCAGTCGCGCGAGCAACTGCTGCTGTTTTGCGGCTTTATCAGGATCTGACTGGACAGCTGGATCCCCATCCGTCTCCTCATTTCTTCGTAGACCCGCGGCCCGCTTAAGAGCCGAAAGGAGCGTGGGATCTTTCAGAATCGGATTGGTGCGGTCCTCGGCTCCCTCTTCCTGATTGTTTGTCGCAAAGTAATTTCGTGGCTTGTTGTTCGTTGATGCAGCGGTCTTCTCAGCGGCGTCTGCCCTGGCTGCTGCCTCCTTGTCGCCAGCTTCATCTTCTGACTCGCTGCTGATGCTGGCGAGCGGATTGTAATCGGCCACCCCTGAAAAGATATCGTCGTCTTCGTCTTCGGCCGCTTGCTGATCCAGAAGGGTTTGTTGCTTCGCTCGAAATTCAGCGGGCACTTCCATCCCAAGAGGATGGTTTTGATCGCTCTTGGGGACATCCTCTTCCCTGTCGAGCCATCGAGTCTTCCTCTTCGTTGTTCCATCTTTATTGCTGATAAGTAGTACCTCCCGGCGTCGTCCATTGACAATTTCGACGAACTTTTTCTTGTTTGGCTTCTCCGAGGTCACCTTCTTGAAGCGTGCTCCAAGTGCAGGTTCTGGATGTGAGCGTTCTGATATTCCACTTCGGCTCTCCTTTAGGCGTCGCAAGATCTCGTCTCGTGTCATGGGTTCTTGAACTTGCCCAGAGGTTTCATCGTGTGCTTTCCTTGAGGACTGTTTCTCTGCCTTCACCTCCTTCTGCAGCGCTTCCTCCAGCTCGTCATCTACGTTCACTGGGGCCGACTCCTTTTCTTCAGTTTTCGGAGCGGTTTGAACATCTTCACCTCGTCGGACCCTTTCCAGCAGTTTCCAATCCAAACCTTTCACTAGATGTGTATTACTCAGATCGCCACCAATCCCAATCTCGGTCTTCAGCTTTTCAAAGGTAGCTTCATCAATCTGTTGTAGCTTGTACATCTCTTCCAATGCTTTGACTCGCTTTTCCTTGTCATCTGGTGCCGCTACACCCTCATCATCCGTACGTCGAGCCAGGGTTCGGTCCTGGTAGCCAGAAGCGAGTTTGCTGCCTTTCGGTGCGCTTGACTTGAACTTCTTGCTAGGAGGTTGTCCATCGTGCTCTTTTCGATACTCTGCAACTTGCTGTGTGAAAACTCTAGAGGCGTTAAATCCTGCTACGGAGCGAGGCGTCATGGGAATCGATGCGCGGGTTCTGGAGCCAAGCGCGGGCTTCTTGAAGGCTTGCGGAGAGGCCCCGCTGATTGACGGATCTGCATTTTGGGCCGGTTGGAGTAGGTTCCGGAATTGAGAGTTGTCCATCAGAGGCTGTAATAATGGGTGCAGGGAGCCTCCCAAATTGTCGATGAGATATCAAGAGAGTGCGCCTGCCGAAGAAAGTTGTGGCGGAGTTGGAGCCTGGAATAATTCGTGGTCGGAGGTTCTGTTTATTGGGCTCCGCCCATTCTCCGAATCCACCCCGCCAATTCATTTCTCGCAAACATCTTTCCCAAGTACCAAATAGGACAGTTGGGCTCAGGATGGGAAGGAAACGCAAGAACATCGAGCATGTCGAACATTACGATGAAACTCCTCCAAAGAAGCGACCGTTGACTACACCTTTGCCCGAAGGCGTCCATCACTACCAGAATATCGAGGAAGTTCCTTGGGACATCCAGAAGTATGAATTGTATAACCCACCTCTACAGAGGCTGACATGTTCCGCCTCTGCAGATATTGGCATCAGGGCTACTCAATCTTTTCGAAATATGACGAAGGTATCTGGATGACCGATGGTGCGTGGTATGAAGTCACTCATGAGTCAGTCGCAAAGTAGGTTCTACCTCTCCCTTTCTCCGGCTGAGGATTGTCTGACCCTCATTAGCACCATTGCACAACACATGGCAGAAGCCGCGCCAGAGGACAAGTCCATTATCTTCGATATCATGTGTGGTGTTGGGGGAAACACAATTGCATTTGCCCTTTCCGGGAAATGGAAACGGGTCTACGCGATTGAAAAAGACGCCGCAACTCTGGCGTGTGCCAAACACAATGCCGAGATCTACGGCGTTGCTGATCGGATCACCTGGTTCCAAGGAGATTGCTTCGAGATACTAGGGCTGGATGAAACCAACAAGGAGAACACCGTGGAGGCACTTAGAGCGATTGCCAGCAGTTACGGTGTCATTTTCGCCAGTCCCCCATGGGGAGGTATGTCCTCAAATACCCAGCAAGTTAATCCAAAACGCTTATCCTTGATAGGGCCGGGATACCGAGAATCGGAAGTCTTCGACCTCGAGGCAATGCAGCCCTATCCTTTCAGCTATCTCTACGAATCTCTGACGAAGCTGACGCCTAATGTGGTTCTGTATTTGCCGAGAACCAGCGACCTGCGGCAAATCGCTAAAGTGGTGGGGGAGGACAAGAAGACTCAGATTGTGCATTACTGCACCAGGGGCAGCAGCCGGGCCCTTTGTGCATACCTGGGAGATTGGGGGTCGCTGAAATTGGGAGATTTGTGATTCGAGTTGGCACGGACTGTTGCATAATGTCGCCCTACACGTATTACTGCTCCGCTATGATACCCTGAATTAGTGTACTAATCATACCTTCGTTATGACTGCGACCTTTCATTTCACCTTGATATCTCTGATGAGGCTGACAGTAGCGCGTCAGGCTGCCGCCAAGACACGCTAAACACGAGTCACCCGCTCCGATTGCTCCCTTTCAGTAGTGACTCTTCCCCATCTCCGAACTGTCGTGTTCCTGCGCCTCTCCTGTACTCTTTCTGTCGTTGAGTTGTGGCATCTATATCGACTCTTCACCCAAACATCTGAAGAATCGTAATGACAGCTACCGTTACCTGAAGCGATGCGAGACTTTGGCGACAAAGGCAACACTGCTGCGGGGTCAGCGCAGCTTCATTCAAACATCACTTCCTCCAACCCAGCACGATGACCACCGATGTGTACCAGCAGGCCAACGACCTCGACGGTCTTTTCGACGATGTCGACGACGAGATGGCCGAGATGGGCGATATGGGCGATATGGGCGATTCAGCAGCCAATACACCCCTCGACCAGAGTTTCACTGTGCCGGGAGAGACAAATGATGAACTCAGCGCGCTGTTGAATGAAGGTGGTGGCGAGGGCTTCAACTTGGATGAGTTGAATGAAAGAGAACTGGAGCAGGGCGAGAAGGCGGATGATGCGGTGGATTACGAAGACATCGGCGACGATGATTCGTTACCTGAGGAAGAGCCGACGCAAGTTGAGATAACAACCGACATGCTGCCTGGAATTGAGGAGAACGCTTTAGATGGCCTGGACGACGACGACCTGTTCGGCCCTTCTAGTCCCATCCTGGTCAATGCACCGCCGCCGGTTGCTGCTCCTTTGAAACTCGACGACAAACCCGCGAAGGATGCGGACCAAGAGTCGGATCTTGCCTCTGAGCATGGCGACGAAGCAACACAGGACCTGTCGATGCTGGAGGCTGAACTGGATGAGGTTGAAGATGCAGAGTATCGCATACAGCTGGCGCTCTTCGCACAATCCGGTAAAGGCTACATTCCGAAAACGGAGCAGGAGAACATTGAAGAATGGTTGAAAGTCGAGTTTCCCAAGTTCAAGCGTGACGAGGCACCATATTTCAATGAGCTTTTCCCTCCCCGACCGCACAAGTGGCAGGGGAAAGCGCCGTTGAAGCCTCCAAAACAAGTCCGCCCAACCAAAGTCAACCTGGAAATCGAGCAAGACCAGAGGGTGGCGTTCAATTCGGTGGCCCCGATTCAAACGACAGATGTTGGCGCGGATTTTGTGAAGATTCGAGAAGTTGCAGTCCCTGTGGAGGCTGCAGAGTCATCGGAAGAATCCGATGCTGACGAGCCTCTCCCTGGCGGATTCACGATGCGTGATCTGGAATTCATGTGCACTGACTTCGATACGCTGTCGCACCTGGCACCTTCAGACGAGGAATTTGTCGAGATCAGCCCTCGAATTGTCGACAGCGACGAAGAGGTGTTTGGTTTCGATAATTATCATGATCTGGAGAAGCCCCGCAAGAGGCGCCGCCTTGGGTTGGATCCACAGGATATCGTCAAAATCCGTGAGCTCGACGTCCCCTCCTTCGACGAGCCCGAGAAAATGACCGCCAGACTCGCCACCAAGGTCGTTCTGGACTTGAATGACACCGATCTCCTTGTTGAAGAGGTCGATCCAGAGGCCCTCAGAGCAAAGAACCGTCCCGGCGAGAAGCAACCCACCATCAAAACGCTCAAGGAACGCCTTCAATATCGCTTCAAAACCTCGAATGATGCCGAATATGACCTTCTTAAGCAGAATCAGAGGCATAAGGTTCGAGGCCAACTCACCAATCTGACCATTGAACACTCGCTTCCTGCTATCCGTTTGCAATACCCCTATTACCAAGTCCAGTTGTCCCTTCAAGAGTTGCGCAATTACCACCGGAAGCGCATGCACTTCAGACACCCTATAGTATTTCGGCAACCGGCAAAGATCAAGAGAAAGCACCAAAAACATCGATCCGCCTTGGAGCTTTATCCTACCACGAAAGAGATTTCGATGGCCGACAATTCTTCGATCATTCTCCTCGAATATTCCGAAGAGCATCCACCGATGCTTTCTCAAACAGGCATGGGTAATAAGATCATTAATTATTATCGCAAGAAGAGCAATGAAGACAACTTTAGGCCGAAATATGATATCGGCGAGACCTCGCTGTTGCTGCCGGAGGATAAATCTCCCTTCCATATCTTCGGCCAAATCGATCCGGGCGAAACGGTAACAGCTCTCTATAACTCCATGTATAGAGCCCCCGTCTTCTCCCAGGATGTCAATTCCCACGATTTCTTGGTCATTCGAGAGACAACGGGAGTGCACGGGCAAAGCCACTATTTGAGGAACCTCGAAAACGTTTTCGTGGTTGGACAAGAACTGCCTTCGGTTGCCGTACCCGGAACACATTCACGCATGGTCACAACTGCCTCCAAGAATCGACTGAAAGCCATCTCATACCGCATCGCTCGCAAAAAAAGAACGAACCGCATCCATGTCGAAGATATTACGAGACACTTCCCAGGCACGACAGACATGCAGAACCGACAAAAGATGAAGGAGTTCATGGTTTTCAACAAAGAATTCAAGGAATGGGAAATGAGGCCGGGAGACAAGGTTCCGAGTGAAGAGCAAATCCAAAGTATGATTCGGCCGGAAGATATCTGTCTTCTCGAGTCAATGCAAGTCGGCGCACAGTATCTCCAGGATGCCGGGTATGCAGACAATGATGAGGAAGATGACACAAAAGAAAATGACGCCGATAGTGTCGAGCAGCAACTCGCGCCGTGGAGAACGACAAAGAACTTCCTACAGGCTACCCAAGGCAAGGCCATGCTCAAGTTATTCGGAGAGGGTGATCCCTCGGGCCGCGGTGAGGCATTTTCGTTCATCAAGACAAGCATGAAAGGTGGATTTCGACCAATTGGTGGCTCTGCTATGGATGCAATTGCTTTGAAGAGGGAACTCGGCGGTCACAGCTATAATGTCGCGCGGCAACAGAAATCCTACGAAGAATCTATTCGCGGGATCTGGGACAAACAGAAGGCTAGTCTAGGGTCGAAGATTGAACCGTCAGACCTCGACATGGACGGGGATGTTGATGCACAAGAAGATAAATATCCGGAGAGCCGGTCGAATCTCCGAGCAACACCAATGTCGGGAACGCAGACACCCTCGATCTCGAGACGGCGAGATGACGATACGGCTACCTCATTCAGTAGACGCAGTGTCGGCAGTCAGGCTCAAAAAGCGCTACGGATTGTGCGCCGCGTCAAAACCAAAGATGGTGAAATCGTCGAGCAAGAACACTTTGAAACTGACCCGGCAGTGATCAAGCGATATATCAAGATTAAGGAAGCGGAAGATATGCAGACCACAAGGTTTGTGGGCGACCATACTTTATATCACCATTCTCGTGCTGACAAGCGTAAAGTCTTAGTGAACTCGAACCTACCGGCGATCCAGAGCTGGATGCACGGCGAAAGAAACGGTCTGCAAATCTCTCCGGACATGCATTTCGGACTCGGACATTGCTAACAACGTGAAACAGACTCGAAGATGCTCTCGCGCAACTCGAGAAGAACAAAGCCCGTCGGCAAAAGCGCAATAAGAACAAGGAAGCCCTCCTAGCCGCTACCTCACCCGGCGGCACAGCCATGTCTCCAGACGCGGATGGAGTTGGTGGCGGCAGAAATTCGCATCCCACGCAGCGGAAGTGTGCGAATTGTGGCCAGGTAGGCCACATCAAGACCAACAAAAAGTCAGTCACCCACGTTAAGTGTAACAATTGCCATCTCCCCATTGATCGCAAGGTTGGATCCCTGTGGCTGAGTGCTCCGAACTTCTCTGGTTGAATGCATTGAGAAGACGGCTTTGTCCTTCCCTCGGCCTGGAAATGGCGGCCCCCCTGAAAAGCTTGAAACTCGAGAAGGAAACTCGACTCATCTTACTTGATGGTCGTCCGACTCGAGGACATTCTGCGGCGTACCAACACTTTCCCATACGAGGCTGAAGATCTCCCATGTCTCGCTCTGGGGATGTAAGTTGTGCACGATCCCGACATTGCGCAAACCATCTACGCGATCTGGAGCTTCCCCTTGCTGCCGTGCTCGACCTTTCTTTCTTCTCTCAACTCTAAGACATTGTTCGATTGCTGACATTATTTCACCATCAAGATTATGTCCCCTCCTCAACGGCACCATCAAACACGAAGAAGGCCACAGCAGTGCTGCGTTCATGGGAGCACCACCTTCCATGTCGTAAGCGGTCTCTTGATCCACGGATCCACATTCTGCTGGTGCGGTCGTTCTACTCTGCCGGCTGCAGAGTTGAGCCCAGAATGTTCGAACCCGGACAAGAATATCCGGTCGAAGCATGCCTTCATCATCAACATCGACATTGGACTGAGTGGCTTTCACTGGCGAGGCTGTCGGTGACGTTTGCCAGGCAGAAAACCAGATACATCGTTCTATTTATATAGATACCTTCATTATTGCATAGCGTGGGCCACCACATCAGCTGAATGTGGTCTTGTCTCTTGCATGTACCAATATGATACAAGGATTCTTGAGCAGCCTCATCAAGATATAAAACTCGATAGGATACCTCATACTTGGTCTGGTCCCGTATCGTCTCACCCAGATCAGTTGATCTCCTGATAACCAGGAGCACTTCGCCTCGTCACGTGGCCGGCATTGCGGCATGAGTGACCGATCTCGTGACGGAGTTTTATCGGCATAACCGTTGATGCTATCAACGCGCCTTCTGACCGCCGGGGAATACAGGCTTTGCTATAAACGGGCATAATAACCTTTCGTCTTGCCTCTTTGGTGTCCCACAAATCATTTCATAAAACTCGACCGCTCCGTCGATGTGAGCAGCTCTTGGTACAGGCGAGAAAGAGCTTAGACCAAGTATTCCTACGCTCAAGATGACCTCTGGCAAACAGTCATACCTCATCGTCGGAGCCGGCGTGTTTGGAGTATCCACGGCCTATCACCTGATCAAGAAGTATCCCGATGCATCAGTGACTCTAGTCGATCGGGATGCCTTTGACGCAGAGAGCCGCGTAGCAGCCTCCTGGGACTGGAACAAGGTAGTGCGCGCCGACTACGACGACATCGTCTACTGCCAGCTGGCTCTCGAGGCACAAGATATCTTCGAGACGGATCCGCTGTGGAAACCGTATTTCCACAAGACCGGCATCTTCTGGACGTGCCGCAGCAACTACGCCCAGGAAGTCATCGACAACTACAAGAAACTCGGTCGGACGGCAGATCTTCGGGCGGTGTCCGTCGACGAGGCCCGGAAGCTGTACGGCGGGCTGTTCGAGGACGCCGATTATAATGGAGTCCAGGAGGTGCTGGTCAATAAGACCAGTGGCTGGGCTGCTGCTGGAGATGCCCTGCGAGCCGTCACCCGCAAAGCCCTCGAACTCGGTGTGAAGTATGTGACGGCCGAGATTGCGACCCTGCAACTAGACCCTCATGGGCGCTGTACCGGAGTCAAGACCACAAAAGGCGAGACTTTGACAGCCTCACACGTTGTCCTTTGCACGGGTGCATACACGCCAAAACTGCTAGAGCTGAGCGCTGCAAGCACTGGTCTGAAGGATCTCCGAACGGAAGGCAGGATTGTGGCAGGTGGCATCACCACCGGGATGACGAAACTCGACGACGAGTCGTATAAGAGATTCGCCGAGATGCCCGTGGGTGTCCAGGGCTACACGGCACAAATAGGTACTGAGGCAGCCCCCATCCCTGACCACTCACGTCTGTGCGATCGTCGACTAACTGGCGTGACAGGTCCATTCATTGGCAGTCTTCCCCCGACTCCAGACAGGGAAATCAAATGGTGGGGACAAACGATATTCAAGAACACCCATGAAGTGCTCCCCGGTCGCCAAGTGTCAGCACCGCCCGCAAAACCAGACTACGGTCAATGGAACGTCTCCAGAAAACTCAAGGAGGACATCGACTACGCGAACAAAGTGTTCTACGGCAAGAACGGCGCAAACTGGACGATTGAGAAGCACCGGATCTGCTGGTACGTTATTTCCGCAATCGTATATCCCCCATTTTTACTTGAAACTAACCTTACTGTGTTGAAAACAGGGACGCCTTCACCACCAGCTCCGACTTCATCATCTCGCCCCACCCCGCCGCGCAGGGCCTGTACCTCGCGACCTGCGGCTCGTTCCACGGCTACAAGTTCTTCCCCGTGCTGGGCAAATACGTGTTGCAGATGCTCGAGGGCTCGCTGGCGCCTGAGCTGGTCCAGAAATGGGCCTGGGACCGCGAGCGGCCGGACCCGTCGCTCAACCCGGACTGGCCGCGGTGGGAGATGAAGGATTTCTTGGACCCGGTCCGTACTTCGAAGCTATAGCATCCCTCTTCCAAAAAAGATCATGTGGCGCTCAGGGGAGAGTCTTTTTGAAGTTGTTAATAGACTGGAAAGGCATGCATGAAATTGATGGGGAAAAAAACTATATCGTATTTATGCATGAATGGATGAGCTTGTTACCTGTCTCCTTCTTCTTCTTCATTTCTTGGTCAGTCCTACCGTCGAGATACAATGAAATCATCCACTAAGCTCGTGAGAAGCACAGCGTGATATACGGTGGGGAGATCACATTCCAGAGATGTTGCCCGTGTCCAGCCATGTGGACGACCAGGAACCTTAGCAAGGATTCCTTCCTCTTGCCAACATCCGCCGATTGGAATGTTTACCTTGCCTCCAAGTGTCGACGCAGATATCTGTATTGACCGTCTGTGTAAGGCTCCACTACAAAGCAGGTGGACCTAGAGAGTGGTGTTTTTGGATCACGAGCAGTGAGTCTCCAAAGTCGTAATTGGCCCGATCAGTCGTGGTTTGAGCAAGTATTTCGAGTTAAAATGTGCGGGAGGAGGCTAGGGACGGAAAGGACAGATGTGGATGTCTCAAAGGGTGGCTGCATGTTGGGCCACCACATAGACTGCCAGAAATAGTGCCGACGGTCAACTCGGCACGGGATACTGCGAAAAGCAATTCAGATGTCTCTCGTATCTTACTTACATCGATCGGGCAAGGGATGTTTGGGCGAGCAGCGTATTGACAACATGGCCCACAAATGTCCTACGCCACTTCGAGAGGGGGCGTCCTTCGCCACTTCGGCGCTGGGTGCCGTCCTCCGGGGTGCCGTCGACGGTGGGTGGGCGGCTTATGCTTCAGTCCAGATCCATGTAGAGGCACTCCGGGGTTTCCATTTACGGAACTGGGGCAAGCATTGTCAGGGTTGAATAGATCTGAAATGGCGTATGCCGTGAACACTGCGTCTGTCCCAGACCTTGTATCACCTCTCTTCATCCGTGAGGCCGATCTGAATCGTGGAAGCAGAGTTTTCCTGAAGCTCGACAATCTGCAACCCGCGGGATCCTTCAAATCTCGAGGTATTGGAAACTACATCCCCTGTCGAGCTATTGTGCGTCGTAGGTCTTCCAGCAAGAGTCACTTCTATTTAGCATCGGGGGGCAATGCAGGCATTGCCTGCGTCGACAATGCCAAGGGCGCGGACTCGTTGAACCAGACCCTGCATGCCGGGCAGCTCGTGACGTTGACGTGCGCATGACATCGCTGGCCACCAGCCTGGGTGTCGTCAGGCTTTCCCACAAGACGTTAGATTGCGCCCGGCACCCTTACATCCCAAGCCTCGTCTTCTCCGATACCGAAGCTGCCCGTGGGGTGCTGTCTCCTGGTTGGGCACGAACAGATAATGGTCGAGCTGACCGTGGGCATCAACGTACCGGTTTGTTACGGGGGCTTTTTGCAGAGAGTCCTGGGCGACCGGAAGACCCTCGATCGGTCGAGCGAAGTGATCGTCGTGGTCGGCCGCGGAAACGACATCAACATCGATGTGCTCATGAACTCGCCCACCGCAATGCTGTCCGAGGAGAGCATCCAAGAAAGCACCATCAACAACGCACGTATGTCAGGGCTCAGAGGATCGCTGTGAATGAAGGGGTGAAATGGTGGTGAGATAGGTGTTTCGATACCACAGCAAGCGTCAGACACGCCCCTTTTCCACAGCCTCGAAACCCCTGCTGTCTACTAGATGCGGAAAGCACCGTCTTAGAGAAGAGATAGAGATCCTAGCCTCAAGGCTCAGGGGTTTTTGATAGGTATAGTCACATGACACCACGTGAGCGGTCAAAGACGCCAAGCATTTGAAATGACGCAGAGTCGTGTCTTGACTTTATAAAGTCAGACAATTGTCCCAACAATCCCTTCAATTCTATCCCGGTTCCAATCGGAGTACAGCACGCAAGTAGTTTGATTTCACCACCACTATTATCCTCAACGAAGCGACAACGCTTATCCAGCGAGATCCTTCTCATGAGAGTTAACGCTTACTGTACACTGCGGTCTAAGGTGTTGATACCCGACTCCCGCACCTCCGAACTCTCGTCATCATGATTTCATCAAAACCGTGCGACCTCTACGGTCCCGTATGGGCCAGCGACGAAAGTCCGTGTTTTGGGTGCCTGGATTGCAAAACCCACCATGGTTAGAAGATCAGCAGGTCTGTAACAGGCCAATAAATTCCAGGTAGGTCATGGAGGTCATCAGCCCGAGTCCGATCACAATGTTGCACCCTCCCGACCACTCTCGGGATGTGTTGTCAGAAGCGTCGATAAGGACGGGGTTGGTATGTCGGAGAGTTCTAGCCCTTCCGAAGGCACGCACATGCTTCTTTATCTGCCAATGAATCTCCGCTGCTGCCGCCAGCGGTTGCCCTTCCTGTTTGATATCGCAGCCGGGCCCGATGTCCCGGTCATATGACCGGCATTCCGCCTTGACCCCTTTGGGTTTCGAAATCCTGAGGCCAGTCTAACGGATCTGGTTGAGACAAACCGACCGCCGCGTCCGATAAGGACCTCCAGAGGGGCGTCTTGAGAAGGGAGCAATCTGGATTTAAGCTTACCCATTATCGTGTTGAACATCGTCTCTTCAACCTCATCATCATCATTATCATCATCGTTACCTCCCTGTTTAATCTTGCTATACTCAACAAAGCCATGGCACAATCATTCCTGAAGAACTACCTGGGCTTCGGAGGGTCGGCGGCGCCAGCGGACGACAAGACGCCCGTTAGGGCTTTGCCCGCCTCCTGGTACACCTCCCAGGAAATGTATGAGCTGGAAAGACGAGCGATCTTCTCCAAGAAATGGCTTCTGATCACCCACCAACTGAGACTGCCCAACTCAGGAGACTGGCTACGGTACGATGTAGCTGGCTTCCAGTTCATTCTCTGTCGTGACCGCGACGGGAACATCAATGGCTTCCACAACGTCTGCAGACACCGTGCTTTTCCTATTGTGACCGAGGAGAACGGCCACAGCAACATCTTTGCTTGCAAGTATCATGGCTGGTCCTATGGCCTCAATGGCAAGCTCGCCAAAGCACCAGAGTATCAAGACCTTCCAGGATTTGACAAGTCGAAAAACGGCCTTTTGCCCATTCACACCCATATCGACCACAATGGCTTTATCTGGGTCAACTTGGACGGCGGTGAGAAGCCAGAAATCGCTTGGAGCGACGACTTCGAGGGAGTCGACAGGCAAGCCAGATTCGAACACTACAACTTCGACGAATATCAATTTGACCACAGCTGGGAGATGGAAGGTGACTATAACTGGAAGATCCTGGCCGACAATTACAACGAGTGCTATCACTGCAAGACCACCCACCCCGACATTCCCACCATCGCAGATCTCAGCTCCTACGGTGTCTCGACCCAGGGTGGCCACATTCAACATTTCGGCAACCCTACGCCCGAACAGATTGCTCGTGGTCTCAGGGTGGCTGCCACATACTACTTCCCCAATGCATCCTTGAACATTTCGTGAGTACATTATCCCCGATCTCCTTTGTCACCGTGCTAACTCTTGCCCAGACCGCACTTTTTCTTCATCCAGAGATTCGTGCCCAGCGGCCCTGTCAAGTCAGCCATGAGATATGAGGTCTACAGGAACAAGAACTCCAGCGATGAAGATTTTGAATTGGTCAACCAAATCTACAAGAGGATCATGTCAGAGGACAAGTACCTCTGCGTCAATACCCAGAAGAACCTCAACGCCGGAGTGTTTGTCAATGGCGAGCTGCACCCACGCATGGAGAAAGGCCCCCTGTTCTTCCAGAAGTCAGTGCGCGACCTCGTCACAGCCCACCACAAGAAAGAGATGGAGGCACGTGAGGAGATCTGGCCGGCTCGACAGACGCTGCCCAAGACCGACGTCACCGCCCAGAAGGACGTTGCCTTCTGCTCTGCTGTGGATTGCTGCAGGATCAACAAAGAGCCTATTGCTGTTTAGCGGTCATGATGGTTGATGTTTCGGGGGTTGATAGTAATCATTTGGCGTAGCATCGTTAGTGACATAGAGTTCGCCATCTTTTGGAGTTGAATTGAAACTGCATTGCTGAAATCTCTCATTGTGCGTCCCCTTGACCAAGTCTATATCCTGTGACGTCTCCTGGTGCCTTCATCAACACTGAGTTCGATTGGTCGGGAATGATCCCTGAATGATCTCCGGACCGTGTGCTGGCTCGAGGCTGTCATCCCCGCCAATCGTAATGCACTTGATTCCCGCGGGGCTTGTGCGCGAAGGTGGCGAAGTATTTAGCGGAAGAAAATCCCCCTTTGCTCGCAACCTTAACGTACATATCCGCTACGACACCAAAACACGGCAGATAAGCCAGATTGTTCCCTTTGTCTGGCTGTCCACATGGAAACATGCCCTAGACTCATGCATTCATCCTCAGTGTCCAGTCTCCCAGACCTTTAAGGTCAGCCGGGGCCCTCCAGTCGAGATCCACGATGAGTCCGATGGACGAGAGTGCCAAGTTCGATACACGACGACGATCACATCATGCTTGCCTCACATGCAGGTCTGTCATTCATATTGCGGTGCTGTTTGACGTCTCGTGTACCAATGTCATTCTAGGCGGAAGAAGACTCGCTGTCCGGGAGAAAAGCCTGCCTGCTCGAGCTGCGTCCGCCTGAAGCAGCCATGCTCTTACGCCCCCGTGGTCAGAGCGGCGAGGAATGGCCGATCGGTATATTCCATGGCTTGCTTTCCAGTAGCCTGCAGGACTTAACGTGTCTCTAGGAAGAGAGGCTGCAACATCTGGAGGAGAAACTGGATCTCTTGTTGAGTGGTGGCCTGTACGGACCGCCCGCAGTCTATGTCCCTCTTCTGCTCTTCTGACCAGATATTCCAGGCCGAGTCATTCCACACGTCAGGAGCAAGCACTTGAGGAGACCGTGGACTACTCAGAGAAGTCGTACTCAGTCACTCCTCCAGCCCGCGAGCCCAGCTATCCCACCAGCCATCCCTCCTCGAACCTCGAATTCGACGCCGCCGACACTGCGAATCCACGGCCGCGCCCATCCGAGATCGCCGTGGGGCTCGACCTGTACTTCAAGTACTGCCACAAGCAGCCGATCTGGTGCTTTGGGCGTGAAGACGTCGGCGACCATGGCTCTCTCCCCGAAGAACTTGCTTGCAGCATCCTCGCACTGACTTCCCGTTTTCCTCCGAAATGTGATCAGACGCAGCGCTACGGCAAGAATGCACGCAATTTGATTATGCTTCGTATCGCTAATGGAACCGTGGATCTCGCCACCATCGAGAGCTTGTGTCTACTTTCGTATTCATTTTTCATAGGCAAGGATATCCGGCCAGATTGCTGAGTGAACTCTTGCTGACACCCTCACAGACGGAAACATGTCTCTTGGCCAATTTCACGTCGGTCTTGCTTTTCAACTTTGTCGATCCGCCTCGCTAGACCTCGAGTCTACCTACACCGTCGACGATGCCACTACAGAGCGCAAGAAAAGGTTGTTCTGGAGTCTCCAGTTACTTGAGCAGTCTTTCGGCCGACAGCATGGTCTTTTAAGTGTTCCAACAGAGACGTGGCGGCCGTCGTACTCTTCCAGTGGCAGAGGCCAAGGACCTGACAGAGAAGTGGACCAAAAGGCCCCGCCTCTACCTAGAGATGACCTGGGATGTTCATCACCCACCGAGCCGGGAATCTGGAACACCAGCGTCCAGCTGGGCTGGGTGTGGAGCCGAGTCAGGAAATACGTGTCTAATTGTGCTCACAATATCTGGAGGGAACCATGGCGGCACGACTCCATGTATGCCATGGTGTCGTCGGATTTCATGGAGACCGAGAACAGGATCCCCATCTGCCACCGATACGACTCGGTCAAGTTCTACGAGCGTAAAGTGGAAGAGCTGAAAATCAATCGAGACTACTGGGCGCCGTGGCTGCGGGAGCAGTTCACGTACCATGCCATCCCGACAGTCTTGAATCACCCCTTCCTCTACATTATCGGAGCACAACATAATCCAAACCTGGCAATTCCCAATACGTTTTGGCGGAGATCTTCCGAGCTCGCCCTCTTACACTCGACCTGGATTGTTCGCATGATTGATATGGTCTTGGACAAGCAGATGCCGCTGGTCGACCCATTTTTCGGCCATGTGGCTGCGATTGCAGCCACCGTGCATCTCTACTACTGTTGTGCGGCCGACTCCCGGCTGAAACACAAATCAAACACGGACTTTGCAAAATGCAGGCGGTTTCTGAAGAGTTTTGTCCCCTTTTCGCCGGCGTGTAAAGCCTTGGTATGTCCTTCCTTTGTTGGAAAGACTCAGCTGACGGCTTCTAGGACACTAATCTAGACAAGATGACACGGATTGCGGCCGGGACTGAGAGCATGGATGTTGAAGACTGGATGCCATCCAAAATCTACCTCAGTGTCCCCTTGATGTGGGACATTCTCCAGTTCAACTGTATGGCAGACTCCCGACAGCCACCGACTGCCGGCTTGCTGGATGCTTCACTCTCCCCTGCTGTGCCTCAGAAATACGCCGACGAGAGCTCAACCCTGGAGATCATCGTCGCCACCTCGCCCGAAATCAGCATTAACACTGCGGACGGAGGACAAGACGCCCCAATTTTGTCCTACAGGGCTCCTGTTTCTTCCGCGCTAGAATCCGCGCAGAAGAATGTGTGCAATGAAATATCTGTCGAGCAGGCGGACAGCCTCACTCTGAACACGACTCCCTGGCTATGGGCGGATCCTTCACAGTTTGTCGGCATGGGAGATATGGGCTACCACGACTCGCAAAATGCCATGGGCGACGTCAGAACTGCCGCGTGGTGGGAAGTCGAGAACATTGGTAACGTCATGTTTAATCACTTTTAGCGCTGCATATCCTCCTTTTTAGAAGCACTGTTCTGGAGTATAAGGGTATGTGATTGGCGTCCGTGGGTCTGATCTTCCAAGGGCTAATACCTAGTGTGGCAGCGAAAAGCGACACGACCACATCGCTGCTGCGATTTTGATGTTAAATTTACACCATCTACGATGCAAGCTAGCTAGGAGTTTCACGGGCGCAAATGACCTGCGAGTGAGACCGTGGCTTTGAGGGATTTTTTTTACAAATTCAAATATTCCTCATTCGACAGTTTTGGATCCGATAGCCTCTTTTCACCGTGTACAAAGAAATAGTGCGAGGGACCAATATATTATCAATCGAAATGTGGACGGGGGATGCATGCCATTGCGGCACCGTGTCTGAGTTGGCACTCCCTTCTCGACAACGTGAACCAGCTACTTGCGGGCAGAAGAGCGGACGCATGATGCTGAACGGACGCCATCCATCGACACAGCGCAGACATGGACACGTGTGCCATTCTTCACGGGACTGTGGTCGAAGCGACGAAACGAAACGACACGCCAGGATGGAGGGAGGGAGGGAGGCATGCAAGCGATCAGCAGACATTTGTACGCCCTCTCTCAATGCAGGACTCGGGCCGTCTGATCTGGGTATTTGTCTGGTCTCAGCCGGGGTACCCGCTCCGGGGTACTCTATGTCTGTATCTGGGCGGGTGGGGAGAACAGACACCAACCACCCCTTTGGACAAAGGCGAACGAGGCGAGACGGATAAGAGGACCGAAGTTGGTCTAGAAGGCCGGCTTGTCGGCTCCGTATGCCGAACAGAGGGAGCAAAAGTATTTGACTTCGGTGTCAGGAGACTGCAACCGCGAGGGATGGAATCATTCCCGATCGGGGAGTGTGTGTAATATCTTATCGCTTCGGCCGATATCAGTCGCATCTTTGATTGGGATCTGTCAGACGATGATGTTTTGTCGTATTTCTGGTGACGGTGCTTGTGTATCTATACCTGGATTCTCTTATTGGCTGGAGAGGCTAGATGGGCGTCTTATAAAACATTCATAGTCTATGATGGTGTACAGGTATCCAGGTTGAAGCAGCTGTGACACCTGGAATATGATCAGAGATAGTTGTTCTCTAATTAGTGCTCATTTGATCGCCTCCTAGCAGGTTAGTGTCGGAGTCGTCGTCGTCTCCATCATGTGAACAGGTCGGTGGAAGTTACTACTGTGCTCATCTATATACCTCAACATTTTACAACCCCAAGGCGAATCAATGCTGACTGACTCTTAGAGAATAGTTCCAGCATTTCCTCAAGACTACCTCTGGGACAGGCGATAGGGTGTACCCTCGAATCGCAACTCTCCATGTTTTGAGCCAGGTACTGCGAACTCCCCTGGAACGAGTGAAAGCCTCAACAACTCCTTAGCATTTCAATGAGCAAACAAATATCTTGGAATCACCATCTTGCTGTCTGATACGGTGAGCGGTTTCGGTGACGGGATTGACGGGAGATCTATCTGTCCTGCCAGCAATATTTATCCTTTGGGTATTTGTCCTGCACCACTGGATCATACGCGGCCCGACGCTGGACAAATACGTTTCTACTTCCACCGTTCCAGTCAAGAGCAAGCAAGCAAAATGCCCCGTTGTGTGTCTTGGCCCTTCTAGAAGGCCTGAGCCTTCTCCTTCCCTGGCCTTTGTCGAGGTGGTCCTCGGCACGTCGATCGCCTTGATCCGTCCGGCTCGCTCGCTTACCTCGATCTCACTACCTCCCGAACGCGGTGTGTGTGGGGGGGGGGGAGGCAGACTTCTTGGGCCACTATATATTATCTTAAAATTGCATGTCCATTTCTCCCTATCGCTACGGGCCAGTCATGTACCGGGACCTCTATTCAAAAAGAGCGAATTCTGTACAAATAAGTGGGATCAGCCTTGCTGTGCATGACCTGTGGGCCGATTATCCCGCCGGTTCTTGTCTGTCCTCCTCTACAACTAACTTCATTTTCTTTCGCCCTGGGGAACGTGGAACCTTTTCTTTGTGCCGGCCCCCAGCATCAAATACAGATCGCCGCTCGATTTCTCTCCATCGGCCGGGAATTCCTCAGACGGGCTCACCGGTGCTGGACCAGCCAGTCGTACTGGTTGGAGGCCTGCAAGAATCTGAGAATGGCCTCCTCCGTCAGCGCACACGAGGTGGGCTGGACATTGACTCTTGCCAGGCCATGGAGGAGAGGGAGATGAGACAGCCATTCTCGCGATACTCTCCGGGGAGAGCAAAGGAGGAGATGGAGCGAGGCGTGGCCAAACACTGCCGCTGGAAATCCATATTGATCTCGATCTCGCGAACAAAACGGCGAGCAAGATCATCGCGTCGAACGTGATCCCTTGGTTGCAACACAGCATCTCAAGATCATATACCCATCAAGATCTTGAAGGCAGGCAGAGAGGCTCAGAAGGCGGCGTACCGTCTTATATTCACAAGGGCAAGCAAAAGACGGTCTCTACAGTCGTGGACCGTTTTGAACGTTGGAATGCCGCTGACATAGAGAATAGGAGTGAGTATCACATGGACTCCGGACTTAGCTGGGAATGCCTGGCTAGACTTATATACCGCGACCATGTGCTGGGACTTCATCCCTGAGACTTATAATCCCTGGAAGATGTATAACAGGAACGTACACACTTCCTCTATCATCGTTCGGACCTATGAGAGCGCCCCCCTCGGAAACACACCTCGAGCTGCATCGCCAAGGACTCGCTACGCACGGCAGTAGGACCGAGTATATGTTAAGCGGTGCCGCAACATCCAGACGAACATTCCCTACACTATGTACAGCACCGATGATTCACTGAGATAACAGAGTCCAGAACAGGCAGGGGGGGTCTAGCCCGTCCCGATAGCGTCCTTGCTCCTTGGGAGGCGAACAACACGTAAGAATGGCCGGGCCACTAATTACCTACTGATAAGGGCTGGCTGGCGACTACGTGTCAACCCCCTTTACATACAGTGCCGGGCGACGGTCGGCCGGGGCGGATAGTCCGGGGCCCGATCAGGTGACCGTGATCCGCAGCCCGGCCGGGGTGGGTGGGAGTGGTACGGTTTCCCCAAATAGGAAAGCACAGTCTCGATACCACTGGGTGCTTTTGTTGCTTTTCTAATAATAAGGGCCGTGCCTGGGAAGGGACAGGTGGATGGTGCTGCTGGTGCTTATGTTCTCCTCGAGAAAAGAGGTAGAAAGGAGTCGAGAAATCAATCAATCACCCTCATAGAAGAAAGACGACACAGTCAGGATCTCCATTTCACACACAACATCACACTTATACACACACACACACCCCTCTACCTTTGCTGATTGACTTGGTCCACGACCAAACCACTGCCAATGGGCTCCATCACTGTGACGCCCGTGCCCCGCGTCGCCATCATCGGCGCGGGCATCGTGGGTACCAACCTCGCTGACGAGCTCGTCTCGCGCGGATGGACCGACATCACCGTCATCGACCAGGGCCCGCTGGACATGCCGGGCGGGTCGACGTCGCACGCCCCCGGCCTAGTGTTCCAGACGAACCCATCCAAGACCATGACCCAATTTGCCCGCTACACGGTCGACAAGCTGCTCTCGCTGCAGCAGGACGGCCAGAGCTGCTTCAACCAGGTCGGTGGCCTGGAGATCGCGACCACGCCGGCACGCATCGAGGAGCTGAAGCGTAAGCACGGCTGGGCATCATCATGGGGCGTGGAAACCCGCCTCCTCAGCGCCGAGGAGTGCCTCGAAAAGTATCCCTTGTTGAACAAGGACCTCGTGCTCGGTGGCCTGTTCATCCCCACGGACGGGCTGGCGCTGGCCGCACGGGCAGTCCAGCTACTGATCGAACGCACCCGCAAGGCTGGCGTGCGGTACCTGGGGTCCACGCAAGTCACGGGCATCGAACAGGCAAAAGACCGCGTCACCGGCGTGGTGACGCCTGAGGGCGTGATCCCGGCGGACATTGTCGTGTCGTGCGCGGGCTTCTGGGGCGTCGAAGTCGGCGCCATGGTCGGGCTCCCCATCCCCCTGCTGCCCCTGGCACATCAGTACGTCAAGACCACGCCCGTGCCATCGCAGGCGGGTCGCAATCCCCAACCCAACGGGGCGAACCTGCCCATCTTGCGGTACCAGGACCAGGACCTCTACTATCGCGAGCACGGCGACCAGTACGGCATCGGCTCATACGCACACCGGCCGATTCCCGTCGTGGCGTCGACCTTGCCGCTCGCCTCGAAGACGGTCGACGAGAAGAACATGCCCTCCCGCCTGGATTTCACCCCGGAGGACTTCACATCGGCGTGGGATTTGTCCCGAGAGCTTCTGCCGGCGTTGAAGGAGAGCGAGATCGCAGATGGCTTCAACGGCATCTTCTCGTTCACTCCGGACGGTGGCCCTCTCGTCGGACAGTCGCCGACGCTCGACGGCTTCTACGTGGCCGAGGCGGTGTGGGTGACGCACTCTGCTGGAGTGGCGCGTGCAGTGGCTGAAATCCTGACGACAGGACGGTCCGAAGTCGATCTGGCCGAGTGCGACCTGGGCCGCTTCGAGGAGGTCCAACTCACCCCGGCCTACGTCAAGGAGACGTCCCAGCAGAACTTCGTCGAGGTCTACGACATCCTCCACCCCCTGCAACCCCGAGAGTCTCCCCGCAACCTGCGAGTCACTCCGTTCTACGCCCGGCAACGCGAGCTGGGTGCTTTCTTCCTCGAGGGTGGTGCGTGGGAGCGTCCCTACTGGTACGAGTCGAACGCGAAGCTGCTCGACCAGCTGCCCCCCGAGTGGAAGCCCGTCGAGCGTGACCCCTGGTCGGCCCGGTACTACTCGCCCATCGCGGCGGTGGAGGCGTGGAAGACGCGCACCGCGGTGGCCATGTACGACATGACGCCGCTCCGGAGGCTAGAGGTGGCGGGTCCGGGCGCGGTCGACCTCCTCCAGCGCCTGACCACGGGCGACGTGTCGAAGAAACCGGGCGCCGTCACCTACACGCTTCTGCTCGACAGCCGCGGCGGCATCCGCAGCGACATCACCGTAGCCCGGCTCGCCGACGACCTCTTCCAGGTGGGCGTCAACGGGCGCGTCGACCTGATCTACTTCTCGCGCGAGGCGCGGCGGCAGTCGCAGGAGGACCCGAGCCGGTGGGCGTACGTGCGCGAGACCACCGGCGGCACGTGCTGCGTCGGGCTCTGGGGTCCACGGGCCCGCGACGTGATCAGTGCCGTCAGCACCGACGACTTCAGCAACAAGGGCCTGCGCTACTTCCGCGTCAAACGCGCCAGTATCGCGGGGATCCCCGTGGTGGCCATGCGGCTATCGTACGTCGGCGAGCTGGGCTGGGAGATCTACGCGAGCGCCGACAACGGGCAGCGGCTGTGGGACGCGCTGTGGCAGGCCGGGCAGGCCCACGGGGTCGTGGCGGCCGGCCGCACGGCGTTCAACGCGCTGCGTCTGGAGAAGGGGTACCGGTCGTGGGGCACGGACATGACGACGGAGCACGACCCGTTCGAGGCCGGGGTGGACTTTGCCGTCAAGCTGACCAAGCCGGGCGGCGGGTTCGTGGGCCAGACGGCGCTGGAAGGGCGGTCGAAAGCGACGACGACGCGGTTCCTGCGCTGCCTGACCGTCGACGATGGCCGGTCCGTCGTGCTGGGCAAGGAGCCCGTGTTCCACGACGGCCGCGCCGTGGGATACGTCACCAGCGCCGCCTTCGGGTACACGATCGGCAAGCCCATCGCGTATGCGTGGCTGCCCAGCGCCGTCGGCGAGGGCGAGAAAGTCGAGATCGAGTACTTTGGCACCCGCGTCCCCGCCACCGTCACCCCGGAGCCGCTGTATGATCCGTCCATGAGCCGGCTGCGCGGGTGAAAGGGGTTAGTATAACCTACCGTGAATGAAGAGATGGGTCCTGGCCCTGAGAAGGGTGGGTTGTTGAGAAAGAGAAGAAGAAGGAGCAAGTGATGGGCCTCAGATTGATTGACTGACTACCTGTCTCCTTCTGAATATAATATATATTCAGGTTGGATTTCGAAAGGGAAAAAAAAGGGGTAAAAAGAGGAGGGGAAGAGAGGGAAACGGATTGCATGTATGTATGCATGCATGGCTTCCTCCAGAAGTTGTCCCACCGGGTGCCTCTTCCTTTCTTCGTCTTTCTTTCCCCTGTGAGGGCACAGGCAAGGTAGGGTATAGGGCACGGAGGAGCATGATCTCATGATTTCATATGTTATATACATATGGCGTTGGAGTGATGTTTGTTTTTTTGTTTCTTTTTCATTTCTTTTTGTGGCTTTCCAAGAAAAAATGATTCTCCGCCTGGGGAGAGACCGAGACAAACTTACATGGCTTGCTTGGTTGGTTTGGTGGAAGGGAGATTGGAGACGAGACGAGACGAGACGGTACAAGATGGAATGAAATGAAATGAAGCCAACGAACATGGCCGGAGTATGGATGGAACATGGCGTATGGATAGGACGATAGGACGATAAAATACTGTACCTCTTTCCAACTCTTCTCTTCTTTTCTTCTTGATTTCTTCTTTTAGAAAAAAAGGAGGATGGATGGATGGATGGACGGAGCTCTTGGGGACGACATTTTACTTGTAGTCGTACTCTTCATATATACTTCTATCAGTAGTTTGAAACCTGTGATTGATTGACTGATTGATTGATTGACTGATTGATTGATTGACTGATTGATTGATTGACTGATTGATTGATTGACTGATTGATTAATTGACTGATTGATTAATTGACTGATTTTTTGTAGGCTTCCCCAAGAAGGCCATGCCCTCCCCTTGCCTGCCCTTCCTCTATCATATGTTGCTCAATTATATTGGTAATTGGTAGTCAAGACATACAAATACCTCCCTCCTTCCCTTCTGCCTGGTCTGGAGAGAGAGAGGGAGAGAGATGCTCCATCTAAGCTTCGCACACGCTGGGGACTAACTAACTAGCTAGCTAGCACTTGCTTAGTCTGTCGAATCCTCCTTGTTCACTCACACACACACACACACGCACCATCTCTATCTCACGTCTGCCTTTCCACTCCGCAGCACAATCCATGAAAAGAAGGCAAGCAATGCCATGACCCTGAACGCCTCACACTCCAGCCCAAAAAAAGGCACCAACTTTTTGAGGAAACATTCACCAGCTCGCCACATTCTCTCCACAGCTCACGCACGGCTGGTGGATGGTGACAATGCGTTCGCCGTCCATTCAATGCTCCGCATGCACTATCTCCTTCAGCAACGCCCCGCATCTCATTTCACGGCCAAGCACTTGATGTCGAACGTCAACTTGCTGTTCTTGGGGATCCCAGGCATCGCCTTGTTGCCATATGCCAGATGCGCCGGGATGATCAGTCTTCGCTCCCCACCGACCTGGATGCCCTGGAGACCAATGTCCCAGCCCTTGATCACTTCACCGGCGCCGAGCTTGAAGCTGAACGGCTTGCCGGACTTGTTGCTGTCAAACACCTTGCCGTTGTCGAGCTTGCCGATGTAACGCATCTCCAAACGCGCCCCCTTCTTTGCCGCGGGCCCGCTGCCAAGTTTGCGGTCATCGATGGAAACGCGTTGACACTCCTTGACGCTCAGAGAGGCAGGGCCGGAGGCGCCTGACTTCTCCTTGCTATCTGCCTTGGCAGACGCAGGGGGGGTCGCCGACGGAGTTGGGCCTTGTTCCAGGTTCTTGGCGAATTGGACCTTCTTCTCAGAGCCGCCATTTGTCTGCGCGGCGTCCTTCTTGCCTGCGGCGGCCGGGGCTCCGACAGCCACAGCCTCACCATCGTTCTTCTTCAGTTTCTTGAGACGCTTCTTCTCGGCTTTGCTGAGTTTCTCAGGTGCCCCGCCGTTGATCGCTGCGGCCGCGTCTGCTGTCTTGGCATCCTTCTTGAGCGATTTGGCGACAATGTCATCGAGGTTGTCCTCTTCATCGTCCTCGTCCTCGTCCTCTTCGGCAGGACGCTTGTTCTTGCCTTTGCCAAGCAGCTTGATGGCCTCAAGGGCTTCCATTTCATCGTCCTCGTCCACTTCCGTGATGCGGGGGTCCTCAAGATCATCAAGCGCGTCAGAATCTTCATCGGCGTCCTCGAGAGCGGCAAGGATCTCGTCCTCGTCGGGAGACAAGTCATAGTCGTCCTCCTCATCATCTTCTTCATCATCAGACGGGAAATCAGGGTGCTCCTGTTGAGGGATCACGTAGTTTCCCGTGAGGTTGACCGTGTATGCACCGGAAACCTTGAAGAAGATCTTCTCGCCTGCACCGACAACGAAGTCCAGGGTTTGTTGGTAGTTCTGTCAGTGGGGTTAGACGCTGGTCGGATCTCACAGTCCAGTGGAGGTGACTTGCCTTTTCGGGATCGAGGGTGCAGACCACAACTTCATCCAATTCGAGAGCCTCATCGTCTTCATCTTCTTCGTCGTCGGCATCGTCCTCGCCGTCCAGGGCTTTGGCCTTCCCTTTTCCTTTGGCGCTCTTCATAAGCGCGGACAGTCTTGCAATGGCTGCTGCATCGTCCTCGTCCTCGTCCTCGTCGTCTTCATCTTCCATATCCTCATCGTCATCGTCATCCTCGCCACCGTTGGCTTTGGACTTCTTCTCGCTCGGACCGCCATTGACTTCCTCGTCGTCCTCATCGTCCTCGTCGTCTTCGTCGTCGTAATCTTCATCTTCATCACTGTCACCCTCATCAAGCAGGCCCTCTGGGACGCGAATCAGTTTGAGGGTGGCGCGAGGAGGGCGTTTGTCGTCGGGGTCTTCAAGTTCAGGTTCAGCACTGGGATCAATGGCGGCCATGGACAGACGAAACTGGAAGGACCGGTTAGCATCGTTTATATCTTGTAGTATAGGATTGCACCATACCATGGCAGCAAAGGCAGGCACGGCAGGGACCATGATATCGCCCGCAGGCACCTTCAAGGTGTAGAGCGCGACAGGTTGAATGCCCGACATGTTGGTGGTGCGCTTTTTGCGGTATCTCAGAAAGAAAACAAGGCTAGGTTGACTTTCGGAAAGGGTGCTTGCGAAGATAGAATATTGTAGACCACGGTCAACTCGGAGAGACTCGAGTCTGAGCGCAGAACAAGAGAGGTGAAAAAAAGTAAAAAACGAGCTTTACAATAATTGGGAGAGACTTTGGAGTTTCGCTGCCTCAGAAACGAGCATCAGCCAAGCCAGAAATTTTTGCTTATCGATAAGGACAGCCACTGTTTGTACAGCAGTAGTGGGGCTTCGTCTCCGTCTGCCTGCGCCTGCGCCTACGCCTGCGCCTGTCGCGTTGCTTTACTCCTCACGCGCCCCAACCTCATTTGCCTCTCACCTGGAAATACTGTAGGTAGACCAACCGACTGGTCGTGATGCTCAGAACAACCCTGCAGCGACGATGAGCTTTCCTAGCCCGCCATGGGCTCCCGACTAGAAAAGAACTCGGCGCTGGTGCGGAAGCGCATCGAGGGCCACACCTTCAGCGACGAGCAAGGCGAGGAATATGAAGCCTCCAAGTTTGGCGGGTTCGCCGACTACATGCGGAGGAAGAAAATCAAACTACAGAATCTCGACGTCGAAATACGCGCTCATTCATCCGGCAAGCCTCCCATCTTCCGTGGCGTTGTCGTCCATGTGAATGGCTATACCCAACCTTCGTTAAGCGATCTCCACACCCTCGTTGTGTCCCATGGTGGCGGCTTTCTTCAATACCTCGACGGCAAGACTGCTGTCACTCATGTCGTTGCAAGCCACCTGACTCCAAAGAAGACCGTTGAGTTTGCACGATACCGCATTGTGAAGCCGGCGTGGGTGGTGGACAGTGTGCAGGCCGGGAAACTGTTACCCTGGGATGCCTACAGATTGGTCGACGAAGGCGTCACCCAGAAGGTGCTGAGCTTTGAGAGTGGTCAAATTGTCAGCCAGGTCAATACTCAACAGAGCAGATACAAGGATCAGACCCCGAGAAGTTCGTATGCCTCTCCATTGCCCAGAGGGCAACAGAGCCCAAGTGAAGACCATACACAAGTTCGGCAGGCAGATGACCATCGCCGTGACGAAGAAGCCGATGCTGCCATGTTTCTGGGTGAGCAAGCACCGGAGATGGATGATGGGCATGAGGCTCCCCCACATGATATACCTGACTTGCAACACAAATCACCGGATCTGGGTCAACCGGCAGACTCTCCGGTGGAGGACCCCCCAAAGCCCGAAAAGCGCCAATTGACTGCTGAAGAGCACAATGCTATCCTTCTCTCCAACCCTCACATGGCCAAATCGAGTACAGCAAATCCCGACTTTATCAACCAGTACTATCGTGAATCCAGGTTGCACCACTTATCCACCTGGAAAGCGGACTTGAAAGCGCAGTTACAGGCCCGCACCCAGGAGAAGCTGTCCTCTCAGAAAAACAAGCTTCGAAGAGCACCAGGTGCAAGGAGATATATTATGCACGTCGATTTTGACAGCTTCTTCGCTGCCGTGTCTCTGCGTAAACACCCTCACTTGGTGGACAAACCCGTGGTGATCGCGCATGGGAGCGGACCGGGCTCTGAGATTGCGAGCTGCAACTACCCCGCCAGAAAGTACGGCATCAAGAACGGCATGTGGATGAAATCTGCGCTGGGGATGTGCCCTGATCTCAAAATTTTACCCTATGACTACAAGGCATACGAGGAGGCCAGCCGTCACTTTTATGACTCCATACTCGAGATAGATGGTGTGGTTCAAAGCATAAGTATAGATGAGGCCTTGCTGGACGTCAGCGAGCAGTGCATCAAGGCCGGGGGTCAGATGGAAGAGCTCTCTCGGAGGGATCGATATACCGTGAACAAGAAGCGGCCCAGCGTCTTGCCCAGGATTTACGTGCTTCTGTCAAGCAAAAGACAGGCTGCGACGTCTCGGTGGGTATTGGCGGCAATATACTGCTCGCCAAGGTTGCTCTGCGCAAGGCCAAACCCGCCGGCCAACATCTGATCAAGCCAGAGGAAGTTCTGGACTTCATCGGCGACCTGACAGTTACGGATCTGCCCGGTGTTGCCTGGAGTATTGGGAACAAGCTGGAAGAAATCGGGATCAAGTTCGTCAAGGATATCAGGGCCTGCACTAAAGAGAGACTCGTCACCACCTTGGGTCCTAAAACTGGCGAGAAGATATGGGACTACTCCCGAGGCATTGACAGACAGGAAGTGGGTGACCAAGTTGTCCGAAAGTCCGTGTCGGCCGAAATCAATTGGGGAATTCGGTTCGTCAATCAACAACAGGCAGAAGAGTTTGTGCAGAGTCTCTGCGAGGAGCTCTCGCGGCGGCTTCTCGAGCAACTGGTCAAAGGGAGACAACTGACCATGAAGATCATGCGCAAGGCTGCAGACGCCGGCCTAGATCCTCCCAAGAATTTGGGTCATGGCAAGTGTGATACCTTTAACAAGAGTGTTGTCCTGGGAGTTGCCACGAACGACGCAGCTATCTTAGGAAAGGAAGCAATTTCCATTTTGCGTGGCTATGGTTTTCCGCCTGGAGAGCTACGAGGCCTAGGAGTACAAATGCAGAAACTGGAGCCTCTGAAGCCGTCCACTGCCAGCGTAGGCGGCTTGATGGACGGCAGCCAAAGAAGGCTGCAGTTCAAGAAGCCCGTCACCCAAACATCGACCTTGAGTGATCAGAACAGACAGAGCCCGCTCCCTAAACCGACGCTGATGTCTAAAGAGTCGAACGATCCGATCGAAGAAGTGCCTACTCCCGAGAAGCCGAAAGCGAATGAAGTCATTACTGGCGCTATCGAGACGATTACCGGCGCCGACGAAGAAGAGTCCACCCAAAAGCCGCTGAATATCAGCGGTACGCAGTTCGTGCTCCCGTCTCAGATTGATCCAGCCGTACTGGCGGAGCTGCCAGCGGACATCAGGAACAAACTTGCGCCCAGACAAAAAAGTATTTTGGACATTATGAACACCTCTAATCGCGCAGTTTCCCCCTCTAATGAGCCTCTGTCGCGCTCCGTCTCGCCTTTCGTGAGTGACCATGAGGCCGCTTTACCCAGCCAGAGTCAACTGGACCCCGAAACACTTGCAGCACTCCCGCCAGACGTCAGGGATGAGGTGCTGGCTCAGTATAAGCCGCGAGACAAAAGAAAAGGACTCCCTACTCTCCAAAGCGCTCTACCTCAATCGCCTCACAAATCCAAGGCGTCGGGCCCGACGAAGAAGCTAGTCGTGACGCCGACCAAAAAGCAGAAGACGACATCATTGTTCGGCAAGTCTGGTCCCAAGCGAGGTGGCGATTCTTCATCAACTCTCACACAGTCTAATTTTGTGTCAATGCCCAAGACGAACAGAGATCAACCACAACAGGAATCCCCCATTTCTGAGGAGATCTCCGAGGCTTTTCTGAACGAGCTGCCCGAAGACATTCGGCTGGAGATTCTCGCGGAACAGAAGAGAAACCGGATGAAGTCGAGATCTGGTCTGAACTACGACATTAATCGGAAGAAGACCGAAACTACCACTCAAGCAGAAGCCACAAGACGGGGGCAACAGAAACTTCCATTAGCAAATAAGCCAGATAAGCCAACCTTCACTTCTCAAAAGCTGAGTTCGCTGCCGGAGTTGCGGGATGCCATCTCAGCTTGGGTTCGAGAGCTCTCCGTGGATGGCGAGGAACCTGATCTGGAGGATGTGACTGCACTCTGTGATTACCTGAGCAAGGTTGTCTCAGTTGAGCGGGACATGGCCAAGGCTGTCGCTGTGGTCAATTGGCTGGGGTTGGTGATAGAGTACGAGAACTTCGGCAGTGACCGAATCCGTGGTTCGTGGGAGAAAGCGCTGGCTGTTCTGAAAAGAGACGTGCAGAAAGCTGTCATGGATAGAGGCCTGCCTGCAGTCGTCTTTGACTACTAAATCGAGCTTCGAACGGGACCCGGAGACTCTGAGACGAGGCAGCAGCAATACTCGCAAGGGCTTTTCAACTCCGATACACGCTCTTGCTACACGCCGTTGAACAACTCAGAGCAAGTGCGTTCCTTTACTATCCCTGCGTTCCACTCCCTTTGCTCAACCACATCTTCTGTGTTCGCTCTCTTTGCTCATCCAACCGTTAGCATCCACATCCACATCCACATAGACATTGGCTTTGCTCTTATACGCATACATTATACAGAGCTCGGCCGCAACTCCCGCGGCCAGGCGGCTTTTCCCCACGCCATGACGCTCGTGACGGCTCTGAGTCGAAAACGGCGACCAGCCTCTCCTCCACTCCCCCTTTCAGCTCGCCGTGCCACCCCGCCTCTCTCCAAGATACAAAAACTTAACCATCTCTTCGACGGGACGGGCTCGCGATCGATGGAGTCCACCAGCACCGGACGCTCAAAGATCAGTGTCAGGAGCCAGCTCAGGAGAGGGGTCTCCACCATCAAAACGGTCCTGGGCTTAGGAGACAGATGCAGTGATAGCAGTGTCGAGCATAATACCGAGTCCATGTTTCCCCTGACCCAAGGAAACAACTCTGTATACTTCCTTGCCAATGAATCCGCTATGACATTGATCCACCAACCTTTGAGACTTCGACTGACTGCAATTGCGGACAGCCCAGAAGAAGATGGGGACACATCTGCATCGCCAACTACTATGAGCGCTCCGATCTCTCCGGGGTCGCTCGACGTCGCTGAAAATGAAGACGACAACCCATACGACTCTCTCAGTACCAACAGCCGCAGAGAGATTTTCCGGAGTCAATCTGCCCCTGGACTTCAGCGCCGCATCAGCCAGAAGTTCCATCAAACCTTTGGTAACGGGAACTCGACCGTGATCAAAAGGTCGGATTTACGCTCGAGACCCAGCGTTCAGACTCTGTTACAGGAATCAGCCGTGGCGTCCGCTACGCCATTCTCATCTACCCTTTCCACATTTAACAGCAGCACCTTTTCCTCCGTTCGTCGAGATGCATCGACGCCGCCGACTTCTGAACCTGTGACGCCGTCGACAATTGTCCACCGTGGGAGCGTCGATTCATGTGACATGAACCACCAAACATTCGCAGGAGAATGTCGCTTGCTCAGCCCAATTCCGGAAAGCTTCAGTTTTCCCTTCGTTACCATCAAAACTGTCGAAGCCGCTGCGACAACAAGAATCTTCCTCGAGCTCCACTTCAACTCATTGTTAAACTGTAGCTCGCCTCGAGAAATACGGGCCAACGAATTGGAGATGCGGATGCATCAACTCCGCCTGCCTTCAGATCTTCGGGATCGAGCTCGCAAAGCATGGGAGGTGGCTGAGAGCGAGAATCTCCGGCAGCATCGAGTGTTGAAAAACACAACCAACCAAGCGAAAGCAAGCCAAGGGGTCAGCGTCGGAGGCTTTGAAGTGATTAATGTCCTCGGGAAGGGCAGCTTTGGGGTCGTTCGCCTGGTCAAGGTCAAAAACAGCCGGGATGGGTTGCAAACACCCGAAACTAATGGGGCCAACAAAATACTGATCAATGTACCTTCTTTGTCTAACCTGATGTCTCCCGGCAGGGTGTTATCTGGTGGCTTTTTCAATAACAAACGTAGGGATATCATCAAGGCCAGGAAGGACGTCTATGCCATGAAAGTCATCCGCAAGTCCGATATGATTCGGAATGGACAAGAAGGACATCTACGGGCCGAGCGCGATTTTCTCGTCGCGGCCGAGGGGTCGAAATGGGTCATTCCGCTGATTGCTGCTTTTCAGGACCGCAAACACTTGTATCTTGTGATGGAATACTGCATTGGGGGCGATTTTCTTGGGTTGCTCATCCGCAAGAACGTCCTCAGCGAAGAGTTCACCAAGTTCTACATTGCGGAGATGATTCTCTGCGTCGAAGAAGCCCATCGCATGCGGTGGATCCATCGAGATGTGAAACCAGACAACTTTCTCATTGCATACGACGGTCACCTGAAGATTTCAGATTTTGGCCTGGCTTTTGATGGCGACTGGTCCCACGACCAAAGGTTTTATCAAAAGAATCGCCACTCACTGTTGGATGATTTAGGGATTGTCGTTGACGGCGACGAGCAGGACAAACAAGAGAAGGACGATCACGCAATCAAGAAGCATGGGAAGGAAGATTCGACTCACAAGGAAGAACCCGCACCTGGAGAGGCAATCTTGGAGTGGCGCAATCGGTCGCAACGTCGACGTTTGGCCCGTTCAGTCGTCGGCACTTCGCAGTACATGGCTCCCGAGGTCATTCGTGGCGAGTTGTACGACGGACGATGCGACTAGTGGAGCATCGCGATCATCATGTATGAATGCCTGTTCGGTTTCACTCCTTTTGCCTGCGACGACCGCCATCAAACCAAGCTCAAGATTCTGCAGCACAAGAAAACGCTGGTGTTTCCGCGCGGAGACGATGCTTCGGTACCGAGCATAGAAGCATTGGACCTGATGATGCAAATCCTTGTGGAGAAGGAGAAGCGCCTCTGCAGCCGTCAGTACGAGCACAATGATTTTACCAGGAAGGTTGTTGGCGGACGGCTTGTCCGATGCGCGACAGACAAGGCTCATCAAAATTACCAGGGATATTTTGTCTACCCTGGTGACGCAGAAGATATCAAGCGCCATGCATGGTTTATAGACATTGACTGGGACACACTGAACCGGCAACGTCCGCCTTATCAGCCACGCATTAGAGATTGGGAAGATACCAAATATTTTGATGACGAAGAACCCATCTCCGACATTGATTCAGCGACAACTCTGGACGATAGTGGCCTTGTCGTCGGGGCGGAAACTGCTGCTCCAAATCCAAACGCAAAGCACAAGACTACTCAACTGAGCCATCATCACGCAGAAGGGCAGAACATTATCCCATCCGCCGCCATGAATCTTCCTCCCAAGGACCCTCTCGGACCTGGTCGCATCCATGTTGCAGCGGAGCACGTCGACGGGTTGAAGAATCCTCTCATGCAACCACGGCTGAACGGCTGCCCAACAACCGGAGCCACGCTTGTGGGGACAGGTCTCCCTGTTGAAAGCCCTCTAGCAACCGTCAGCACCGAGAACCCCAAACCCAAAGCTAGGAAGAAGGAAATGAAGAGACCCAGGGACATCATCTTGCGGGATCCTGTTACGGGTCCACCAGCATTGGAGACTCGGAAACTCGGCGCCTTCATGGGTTATGAGTATCGTCAGCCTACAATGGTTCCAGATATTTTGGAGCAGGTATTGGCGGAAGAGATGGAAGGAAACAAAATCAAATTGTATCGGCAAGCATGTGATCAGAATGACCCGGACCTCACTTACGAGAAGCGGGCGTTCATGGAGCATGGTGGGCAGTTGTCACCCCGCCATCAGGCTGGGCTGATGTGAGCATTCAGTCTTTTCCTGTGGTGCTGACCACAGGGAGGGGTCTATGGCCTTTGTTCAACCTCGTATTTCTCGGACTGATGGACAGTGTGAGTTTGAGAAGAAGAAGCGGGATCAGTGGGATGGTCTTTCCATACGACAAGATAAGTTTAGCATTGGCGAAGGCATATTCTTAATGCACGTCCCAATTGAGTTTATATTTACTCCATGGTTTTTATCATCTATTTACATGGGTGTCCTAGAGCCTGCTTTGTGCTTCTTCAAACTCCTTGCTGAAAGGGTAGTCGATGTAGCCCACTTCTGATTTGGGAGTGTAGAAGGTATCTCGGTTGTACGGGCTCAGGTCAATGTTGTTTGCGATTCGGAACACCAGGTCAGGCGTGGAGATAAAATGCCGACCGAAGACAATGGCGACATCCAGATCCTTGTAATCTTCATCGACGGCGCGGCGGGCGCTGGCCGGGGTGAAGCCACCGGCGAGCAGCAGCGGGGAGGCGTGACCCCAATGGGTGACCAGGGGGCTGATTGTCTCGGTGGTCTCAACGTCGGCATTGCCCGAGATGCGGGCCTCGACGAGGTGCATGTAGGCGAGGTTGAGGTCCTTGAGGCCGTCCATGAAGTGGCGGAACTGCGGCAGCGGCTCGCGCATCTTCATGCCCTGGAAGGTGCTGAAGGGGCTGAGGCGGATGCCGACGCGGTGGGCGCCGACGGCGGCCACGACGCCGCGCGCCACCTCGAGCCCGAAGCGGCTCCGGTTCTCGATGCTGCCGCCGTACTCGTCGGTGCGCGTGTTGCACACGTCCTGCGTGAACTGGTCGATCAGGTAGCCGTTGGCGGCGTGGATCTCGACGCCGTCGAAGCCGGCCTTCTCCACCGCGTTGCGCGCCGCCTGCACGTAGTCGTCGACCCAGCCGGCGATCTCGTCGCGGCGGATCTCGCGCGGCACGGGGCTGCTCCCGGGGTTCACGGGCGTGGGTGACGACGACACGATCTCGATGCCCTTGCTCGCCGCGATGGCCGGGTCGGCCGTGCGGCCCAGCGCCCACAGCTGCAGGTAGACGTAGGAGCCCTTGGCGTGGACGGCGTCGACGACGCGCCGCCACGCCGCGATCTGCTCGTCAGTGTAGATCCCGGGCACGTTCATGTATCCCCCGGCCCGGTGCGAGATGAAGGTCGCCTCGGTGATCAGCAGCGTGCCCGGCACGCAGGCCCGCTGACTGTAGTGCGTGGTCGCGATCGGCAGGATCACGTGCGCGTCGTCCGCGCGGAACCGCGTCAGCGGCGCCATCACCAGCCGGTGCTGCAGGGTGACATTGCCGATCTTGAGCGGCTCGAAGAGCCGCGACGGCGCCAGCACGGGGAGAGAGCCCATAGTTTTCGTTTCTTGTGGTTCTATATGTTGGGGACCTTGCGTTAGTTACTGCTGGATACCTGGTGGTACGTAGAGCCTGGGGTTTGCGGGGAATTTTTTTTGCCAGAACCCACTCCAGCCGAAGGTTTGTCGAGGGGATGAAAGAGAGGGGCTCTTATAGATAAGGCGGTCTGGGCGACGGCAGCAGCGATGATTCCCTTGAGACTCTGACCCGCGCGTTGTTGAAAAGAATATATATCCTTATCGTAGGAGAGGATGGTACGAGAGACATGTCAATGAGGGATCGGCAGGGGGGTTTTCGGGGGATGGGGGTTTTTGAACTGGGTGGGCAATGAGAGAGAAGGCTCTCTCTGTTGGTTGGTTTCCTCGACCGTATTGGTCAGCAACATGCCCGAGAGCGCGGCCCGATTGGTGAATATGGACGACTTCGTCCGCTTAGTGGGCAAGATTCCAGAACCTGCATGGTTGGCATAAGCGAGCCAATCGTGTCGCGGCCACCAGATGCCGTCGGAGAGACAGCGGGCGTGCTGGAAGAAACCGCAAGGCTGCCCAAGGCTGACCGGTATCGGGTGACAAGACCAAAGTCTATTCAAACTTCCCATGCCGACTGGCATTGCTGTGGCCATCCCACGAGAAGAGAATACCCGGCACATGTTGATGGGTTCCGATGAACCGTGGGCACAACCGCTCATCTGTACGGACCTCAGATCGCCACCACGCAGTGCCCCTTCTCAAGAATACACACTCCGATGTTGCTTTTGATCGTTTCATACCAGAGGCGGAATTTTCAAACTCCTGTTAGACCTTCACGTTCGAGTTCTGTGAGGGTCGGGGAAAGGGAGCGGGGGATTATGCGCAAACGGGATAGGGGGAAAGAGGAAAGTTCTAGCTTGGCTGCGGGGAAACAAATCGTTCTTCACCTTTTGCGATGTTCGAAATATTCATATTGGGACAGTCTCAAACGCGTCGATTGAGCAGAGCATCGATGGCATTGTGACTTGGCGGATCTGCCTGAAGAGAAAGAGAGAGGGAGAGAGAGGAAAGGGGGGGGGTTGTGCAGACAAAATATTTCAGGGGGACTATAAAAGTGGGTGGAGGAGTCACGTGGATCCCCCCAGACCCTCTTAGCTTGGCGCCAAGCCTGATGGTCACATGCCTCCACCGACGGGCATTTATGTCGCCGAACCCGAAAGTCACTTCTAGCTCCCTGCGATGCCCACGATGCCCTCCCAGTGCTTTCAGCTCCTTCTCTCAGGTCGCGGCAGTTGCAAAATTGGCGTACTCGGTACTCCGTACTTGTGTGACAGCCAGGTACCCATTCACTCTGCCGGCTCTCACCTAAGATTGATTGTTCCAGGACCCAGCACTAGGTATGCCGACCTTTCAAGCACTAATGGCCACCCGCGCAAGCTACCGCTGCCTCCCGGGTATGCCCTGGGCTCAATGGGCCAGTCCCTCCCCTGATGCCTAATTGCCCACAGCCTAGACAGCTTGACTCTGTTTGGGGAGATATAGCTTGACAACGATGGCAGGATCAAACTTGTGAGTGGTCAAGAAGTACATTTAATGCATACTATCATTGCATCAGGGATTCTGTTGCCCCTAGTGGCAGTGATCTCTCCACTGAGGTGTGAAACAAACGCTTGTGTTATAAAATGAGTTACAGGGTCTTGCGGGCCCGGTCAGGTTAACAGGTGATCCGCCTGTCGAGCTTCGCCGGCACTGACAACTTGTCTGTCTGACTAGACTGTTCCCCACTGAAACTCTCAAAATACCTGAAGAGTTTCCCTGGATCTTCTCTTACGCGAGATCTAGTGGAAGGGTTGATGATCGAATCGAGCAATACGTCGCTCTCAGTCAGGACCGAGATACACCACCACACGATGGTCTTGCAGGGCAGACCGCACGGCTTGATGCCGAGCACTCGGCGCATCTCACAGTATTCTTTCCAGGCCTTGAAGTGCATTAGCCCGATTTGTCGGTGGCCCGCGCAGTACTCGGACAGGGCCAGGAACAGAAAGGCCACCACGTCTTCATCGCTCGAGTCCTTTTGGCTGGCCAAGGCGGATATCCTTTGCCGGGTCTGGGCCAGGATGAAATTCTGTCGGGCGGCCAGGTAGTGGTTCTCGGCATCGAACAAGTCACTCTCGGGACGTGCTCCGTATTTTCGGTAATGGTTGGCACTGAAGAGTAGTATCATGGTCTCGAAGCACCATTGGCTCGAGAGAGCGAATGGGATGAACAGTTTGAGCACAGGGTCATGTTTTTGGACGATCTCCGGGTAAACATCCAGGCCCAGCATGGTCGCGGCATTTAGCGCGAAGTAGCGGATCAAGTTACGATCGGTGGGAGTCAGACCAATGCGCGACACGTCGACGGCCTGCTGGAGCTCCCGAAGGACAGTGCGCTGCGGCTCTTCGTCGGATCCGGGAAAGCGATCTTGCAGGGTCGCTTGCTGCGCGGGCGGAGTGTTTTCGATCTTCAGGCCTTCGAGTAACGATAATCCGAATTCTGAACGGCTCTCCGTACTGGGCCTTCGCGACTTGGGGCACAGTTGGGGAGAATGGCGCTCCACATCATAGGCACTGGCACTGGATCTGGGCGACTCGGTGTCGGTAAAAGGAAAGGGAGAATTGCCTAATCTGGACTCTTCAGGGGGATCGTCCTCTTCCGGTGACGGTGCACGACGTTTCCTGTCGACAGCGGCCCTTTCAGACGAATTGTTGTTGTCCTGGCCCTCCAGCTTGGTCCGTGGCTCGGCTTTAACGGCGGTCCTTGAACGTGGTGACTCTGAGCGTGGCTTCCGTAGAAATGGCGACACGGTCACGCTATCCCTCTGGAAATCGATGACGGCTGCATAATGAGAGATGCGGTTTCTGGGTGGCCGGTCTGATTCGCCAGCCCTGGGGAGCAGTGCATTTGTTGGGTCTGGATTTGGCTGTGCATTTTCCTCTTTGGGTCGCATCCAGCGCAACGGCGAGAACTGGTTGCGAGAAACCCATTCTGATCGAGCCTCTCTTTTCGATCTCACACGATCCTTCATCAGATGTGCCCGTGCCGTCTCCGTGACTCCGCGTCGATTAATGTCATAGTCTACAAAGGTGAACACCCTCTCTTCGGGCTGCTGGCTCGACATTGCTGGCGGTTGTGGGCGATGTATGGCGACGGGGGGTGACTTTGTCCCTTCCCTGTTGGATGGTGACGATGTATTTTGTTTGTCCTCGGGTATATAGAGCCTTGGAGGGGGATCTGCCTGCGGCTGCTCTCCGATATTACTCATCCCTGAGCCCCATCGACCAGAACGCTCTGCACAGGGCGACCGTGGTGGCTAGTGGGGAGGAAGTCGAGGTCTGAGGGAGCAGGATCTTCGACAGTATTGAAACGGCGATAACCGCCAGGGCCTAGCGACGACAATCCAATCGGCAAGACTGTGCCGGCCCTTAGACGACACTATTCCCTTTTTTGAGAAGAAGAAAACGCACCTGATTGGCTGGCCGTTGGCGTTGGAAGAGGGCGAGACGGGCTCTCCTGTGTGCGCGTCTTGAAGCAGAAAAATATCCGCGACGAACTACGTACACGATGGCGCTCATAAACGATTCCTTCTCGTTGGTCTCATATCATCCGGCCCCTTAGCTTACTCGGCCGGCCAATCACTACGGCTCTTCGCCGATAGTCCTTCGTTGCGGGACGTCCTAGCCTCGCCGGCGGACCTGGAGGGGATTCTGCACGCCATGCATACGAGGACGCCACTTGGCCAGCATCCAGCCTGCTGGCCTACACGTCCCACTGGCCAGATCATGCCTCAGACTTCACGCTGGATTCTTTGTCAGCCGCCATCGTCTTCAAATTTCTTAGTCATTGCATTGGCCGACCCCCAGGGCGAGGCAGAATGACATGGTGTTTTGTCCATCGCCTTCCTAGGATGCTCGAAGCGATCTCCCTTGGGGCAGTTCTTGCCCCCCCAGAACCGTGCTGGAGCTTGAAGCGAGCCGCATCTCGGTCAACTGTGTTCGAGTCGCAGCTCGTGAGGGGGATGTCCTCAAACGCTGTGGACGGAGATGTATTTCATTGGAGAGTCGGCCTGTTCTTGGTCGATCTCCTGGCCAAAACTTCTATGCGGCGAGGATCGTATGCTAGTCGACGCTGACTGCATCGCTCTGTAACCCCCGTCTCAACCTCGCTAAAGAATATCCATGTCAAATTTGGAATTTCCCTATAGCCACAGACCCAGTACCTAGCGTTCGAAGCGGATCATGGGAACGCTGACATTTCGTCGGGGCCAAGGCCGCCCCGGGGGCTCCATGAGCATTTGGGTTTCCAAACAAAACGAGTGGAATCCAAGGAACCTATTGATATACAAGTGTTGACTCCGTATGTACATCTTCCTCCCCACTTGAATATGCGCAGACCCCCCCGTGAGAGCTTGTCTCAAGTATTTTTGTGTCTCCCAGACCTTATCGATCTGATCCAAAAAGCTCCATGCAGGGTCAGAAACCCGCCCATGACCCTCTCTTCCGACGGCATTGTGACTAGCTGGGGACGTAGTGGCACTGCTGATCGGCGCCACCCACGAGAGAAGAATATCTGACGGTTATCCACCTGTCCAAAACTCAGGAGAGCGACCAATATCGAGAATTGCCGACTAAGTATGTAATCCAGGTGTAATCTGAAATTCCCTCCGATCATTGTTGACTACTCGCACCTCTCCCTATGATAAAAAGATGAAAGAAATCCAATCTGCACTGGTCCGAGGTACACACAACACATTGTCGTGGTGTAACCGGATATTCCCACTTACTGGCTACAGGTATTCTGGTATATTCGGTACATGGTATGCATGCAATGACTCTCTACATGTATGGGACCGAGCCAATGAAGCAGAGCTGATAAGGGGGCGATGACTATTCAGCACTTAACGGTTACAAAGGACTGGCCCCATACCTTTACAGGTAACCTCGTTCTCGGGAGTAGGAACCCCTTGCAATTCCCACCTCCCACCAGGATTGCAGCGATGCATTCCTACCGCACTGATCGACAACTTCGCCTCTCTCCCACCCCCAGATCTCACGGTTCGATTTGTTTAAGAGTCGATCCTCCTACGGCCGCAGGTGCTATAGAAAGAGTTGTTACCCACGAGGCAGAGATTTATTTCAGTGACCTGAGTCAGACAGCCTCACAAGCGCCCTGCACCCAAGACATCCATCTCTGCACCTCTCTCTCTCTCTCCAAATCACATGCCACACGGGGATAGACTGCTCTGGCCGAACCAAGCGAGCCAGAATGTAATTCGTGTTCAGGCAAGGCTCCGCTACGAACCCCGGCCTCGAAGCGAGTGGGAAAGAGTGAGCGTTTCGGGCATCTTCAACCTCGCGTAGCCTCTCAACCTCATACAACCGGCACCCACTCAGCTCCCCCTGTTCCCCTTACCCCTAGTCGAGAAGGTGTGGCCAACCGGATCGAGGGCATTCCCCCGGCACCCCAAGTGAACATCGGTCCATCGGCCGCGAGGTGTGGTGGAACGGTGTGCTGTGTAATCGTTCAAGCGACCCCTCTTGGAAGCTTAGAAAAGCTTGAGCAACTGCTGACTACACAAGAGGTGCCATCGCCTGGAATCTTGCTGAGCAGGAAATCCATGACGCGTAAGCAAGAAAACGAAACAGAACGACGGACAAAATCCGGGGTACCTTGCATGGGCATTTCCTTAGTCGCTGCTCGGGAGCCGCGTCAGGCTAGTTTGTGAAGAGCAGCAGGCGGGTGGGTACGAGGAACTAGCCCTCGTATGCATTGCTACCAGGACGCGGTCCCGTCGTTCTCTGTCCCTCGCCTCCCGTCCCCATTGCAGGGACTACCGAAGATCCCACGTCCCACATCTCAGCCGTGGGCGGACGGGGAGCATTTACGCCTTCCGGAAATATATCCTTCCGTGACCGTCGGTTCCGACCTCCCTACGGAGAGGGAAAGCCACGTGATGGGACAAAATTCCCACTCCTCGTCGCTGAGAATGGCCCAGAGTGGAATTATTCTTCTCTCTCTACACATCCCACCAAAGTCATTCACCGACCACCCGCTCTGACTCAACTACTATGACCTATAGGGCCTCCTCATCTGATTTATCCTTCCCGCGGCAGCTCGGCCAGGGGAGACTCCACGCACCGTCGAGACGGGGGAACATGAAGGAGGTGAGCTGAGGCATTACAATTGCACCGTTGTCGATTTGTCGATTTGTCACCTGTGCTTTTTGCGCCTTCCTAGCCTGGTAGCTCATACTGTGCTGGCGAGAGTATGGGTCACAATATCGCGGATATGACCAAGCACATCCAAAGATGCACGGCGGGGGTCACATCCAAAGATGCACGGCGGGGGTCACATCCACATTGTGACGGAGTTAAGATGGAATGCCTTCAGCGGCCGCGTGGTATAGTACCTTACCCCACAGAGTTCTGATGGCGGTTCGCGGTGGCGGATCCAGTTATCTGGTTGGGAGTCGAATCTGGTATTACCACGAGGAACGGATGTGCGGAAGTGTCTGCTGCCCTGCGAGCAGTGCACTTATCTTCTTATCCGGAATGTATCTCCTGGGGTCGGGTTTGTACTTCGTACGTCCCTGCAGTTGAGTTATCTACCCTGAATTCGCACCATGAGAGGCATCTCTTATCATCCCCAAATCACTCATGTCTCCGAGCCAGACAATACTGTCTGGGCTTACAAGCGTCACTACATGATCCTGCAAGTTGGGACATCAAACGCTTACTCCAAGCAATACGAAATGCTGATACATGTGGACAAGGAGCATCTGTCGGCGACTTTGCCATGTGGTAGACGAGGCTGAAGTCCCTGATGCCTCCCGGATTCGCTGTGAGGTCATATGACGTCATTTTTTTGTGGGCCACTCAAGGCCGAACTCGAGGGACTCTTTGACCTCTGCTTGTACCTTGTACAGTATCTGTAACATCACACTGAATCAATTGTACTTGTCAGGCCAAGAGGCAAATAGCTTGTTTGATCAATGCCAACTTCTAGACCCCTGCAGCAGCCATGACAGATCCCAAGGGCGGGCACTCGACCCAATTCGACCCAACGTCACTCGATGCGAATCAGCACGGGATCGCACAGTAAGTTCCCACCCAAATGGACTACTCGAAAGCATGCAGCGGTCCACTCACTAACCTCGCCCTTCTTGCCCCCGTTTCAGAAACACTATCGACGAACAGAAATCCAACTACGGCGCCAAAACTGCGGTGGATCGCGACATCGGAGGCAAGATGCCGTCCTCCAACGTGTCGACCGGAGGGGCATACGGTCTCCCAGAGATCAGTAGCGGGGGACAGTCGCTAAGCGACAGCGTGAACGAAGCTCTGAAGGGCCGGGCGGGCATGGCGCAGGACAAGGCACAGCGGATCGACGAGAGCGTGAAGGTGGGCAAGGACGAAGATCTCCACGACAAGGCTGCGGCGAAGCAGCCGTGAGCACACGATGCTCAAGTCAACTTGGTGTTTCTGGCACGTTTCCGACAAACGGTAAATCGAAGAGTGAGCTTCAGTCGTCGCTACAAAAGTTGATGCGCCCATCCACTGTCATCGGAGGGGCATAAGTGATATGCAATTGACATAGCTGGTATGTACAAAGTCTACCACCGGGAACCCACCCTACAGGACAGGGAGCCATGAGGTTGGACGTCGAACCTGAGCCGAAAGTTGGTGTTTCCTGCCAATCACCTACCAGCAAGCCTGCTTCCTATTACAGCCATTTTAGACATGTGGAAGGACTGTCAAGCACTTGCCTTTTTCCCTTTCTTCCACCAGCAGCTTTAAGCACCCACCTTGACGGATCATCGGTCAAGGCCTCGGGCGGCTCGGTCTCTGCTACCTATGTTGACCAACATCCAAGTCTCATCTTCATGGGGAAAACGTAGCACCGGTTCAAAAGAACTTCCAAAGCTGTAACCCACCGCCTTGCGACGACCGGTCCAACGTGGGCGAAACATCGGCGGAAGTCATTCTTTACTAAGTCTTTTGGTAATCAAAACCCCTGCAGCGACCACGGCCGGTAGGGTTCTGGCTTCCTTTCCGGTGACGCATCTGGGGAAGCACACCCAGGGGCGGAAGGGGATCTCGATTCTTTAAGAGGAGCTATTCATGTAGGTTGAGCAACCAACCGGGGACTTTCTGTATATTTCCCTACACGGTCAAAGGACTGCTGATCCCTTCGTCAAGCAGAACCAAGGCTTTAGTATCTCGAATGTACCGGTCCAGACTGGTGGTCTATTCAAGTTCATTGGGTGCTCCTACGTGCAAGAGGTCCCGCTGAACACCTTCCTTGTGGCCCGGACTATTCCGCACTTCCCTCGTCGGTAGAATGCATGCACGGTCACCGGCTCATTCGAGAGCATGCTCACTCACGACGGCTGCCCCCTCAGCTGCATGACAAATACAAGTCGAAGCTGGGGGAAGGCTTTGATAGAGAGACTGAGTGAGTATATGGGGCCCAACATGACCCAAATCAGCAAGACGTACCATTGATCAAAGCGGAAGGCTGTCAGTTGCCCTTCTTTCCCAAGGCGTCGCTACATAGGTAGAGCATGACCAACATCAATCAGCAATCCTCCGCGGGTGCTCCGGACCCATACGCGCAGCAGATCCCCGGGAACAAAACTCAATGACAAAGGCAGGGCCGCCCTCTCTATTCTCTCCATGACAAGGCAGTGAACATGTCCATGCTTGTGGAGCTTTTGCGAGCTACCCAGCTCCGAGCACGACTACGACGACGGGCCGCGGGGATTACCCGATTAGGAAGCCCTTAACTTACCGCTTTCCTTCTTCCGCCTAACGATGATCGGCCGCTTCTCCCGCTTCTCCTTCATCTTTTCTTGCAACTTCTATGCGAATACAAACTGTGACCGCCGAGAAATGTACTTGGTATGTATCTCTGCTTACCAATCACCGTCATCCTTTCCCCATCCTCCATCGCCCAAATCAAATCTCCTACGCTGCTAAACTCCAGACGAAACGAACCAGTTCTGGCCAATTTCTTAAACTCCTCAAGGCTCCATCCAAAAGAACGCGACCCAACCAACCAACCTCGGCGGACCGACTGAGAGAATCCATTGTCACCATTGCCACGAGGGACGCACATGTGCGTGCAAGTGCAACAAGCGGGTAAGTGCGCCTTCCGTATGTATGAAGGTCACCAGTCGCGACACAGGTGAGAATTGAAACCGAAACACCACCAGTTCTCTCGCTTGTGTGGGACGGACATAAAATAACGAATGTGGTGGATTGCCAGATCCATCTAGCGTCCGAAACAGGTTTCTGCATTTTCGACCGTGCTGCTCCTGTGTCAGACAGCCTCGACCTTCTCTCTGTCGTTGCTTGGACCCAATTTTCGAGAGCTTTCCTAATTGTCCTGAAAGGGTTTTCCCACAAAGCCAAATTTATATGGAGTACAGAGTATACCGAGTACAAGCGACGCATAGCGACTTTTAAGCGCCGACTGGCCGACTTCCTTGGCCAACTATCCATTTCGAGCGGGGATTTACTCGTGACTTTTATTCTTGTCAGTCTGAGATCCTGCCACAGTCCCTCATCCCAGGGACAATGTGACAGTCGGTGTCAGGAGCCCCTGGTAGGTAGGTATCTCTATCCATGTACCTGATAACATGCCCGTGCGTACTCAGCCCTGCCAATCGTGGAGTCGTTGTTGCTCCTCGAGAGCCAGTGGTACCACGTAATCATGTCGACCCATCCCATGCTAAAAAGACATCGCCGCTGCTGGTTTCCCACCACAAAGCATCCCTCATCCATCCACCTCAATCCCTCTCTCTATCCCCGCCTTTATTGTGTCGGCCCCAATCACCTTGGTCAATACATCCGTGGCGTCAAAGCTTTGTTCAAGCATCCACGGTAGTTTTCCCATACTTGTGGCCAGTTAGCTGTGGTTACATGTCCCAGGAGGGCAAAGTTGAGTCTAAACAAGCCGGGACAATTCCACATTCTATCCACGGTGGCGCAAACTCCTACAAGTACTGACAGAGTCCTCCCTCCACACTGGACAAGGTATACAGGTCCCGTCGCCGGAGTCAACGATGGCCTATTTTCTCTACACCACCAATAATCTAAACCTGGCAGGCTGCGTGGCAGAGTGGCTGACTGACAAGTGGGTGACAGGGATAATACGCTCGTCCCTGCTTACTACCTGGACACCGCGGAACAAAGAGACTCTACGAGACCGTTGCATATTCCCTACAATGGATCGACCCTTGTATCCGCCAGCCAGCTACATCAAGGCTTTATCTGGCGATATGCTGACGGTGGGTTGGGTGAATAAGACGAGACCGGTTCCGTGCCCGTCCTTGTGTAAAACCCAAGGTAAATGAAAGGTCGATTGCTGATCGTTTTTGATCCCAGTCCTCAGCTGAGTAGGATGAACGAGGCAGCAGTAGGAGGGAATGTCAGCCCTGGTGTTGCGGTTGCCATCTACCTATGCGGCCCGGCCATCCGCCTTGCGCTGTCGCACGAAACAAACCAACAACTCGCCTCAGTAAAAGGAACACCCCTTGCCGCCATGGCTACCACTCTCCAAGGCGGCGAATGATACCCCATTGTCTGCATTTTTCCCGCAATTTGTCTCTCGAGGCAAACCACCCACAGACCCCTGTGATCTGCAACGAAGGAATGTGCCATGGCATGGCACATCCACTCCACAACGATTGATTCCTCGCTGAACAAGAATGCCCAATCCCCACATGCCAGATGCGGCTTTTGCAAGGCCCTTCCTTCAAGCTGTGCTCTGAGTCCCTTCCCTGGCCCGTCCACTCAAACCTGCTTCTCCTTTCCGTTAGGGGCGGGGCGAGGGAGTGGAGTTCCTCGCGCACATAATGCCGTGAGAATCAAGCCCACCAAAGGCTCCAAAGCCCCCCCTTCTCTTCTGAAGGTAACGAACAAATGCCGCCGCCGCCGCCTTTTGGTGGTGGCGGCAAAGATGGTCGTGGACTTCTGTGCTCACTGCATCTTGTCTCAAGGCGCCGGGCCCGCTAAGGGGGAATCGTTGATGGGGCATCGTTGATTGACCATCATACCACGAGCAGACAATCCCACCGATCTTGGCGGTCTATTTTCGGGGCAATTATCGAACGTGATGATGCCGATGCCTCAGCTGATGGGGGGAGGCACAAAGAGGGGCATGAAGAACTAACTACAGAGGACCCTTGAGAGAGAGCCTAGGCATTTCACCACACAATATGAAGCGCATCTCTAACACACAATGCCGTGTGCTAAATAGGAAGGTAGGTTTTTCAGTGCGTCACAGACAAGCACCGACCTGACGCTATTGCCTCTTAAGACCCATGTCCCAGTCCGGATGTGTCAATAGCAACTGACATATACGAGGACTCGAACCGAAGAAACAGGAGCTGACAGAAAGGTGAAATGAACCAGCCAGCCAGCGCACTGGTCACCAACAGCGGACTTCTGCGATGACGACAGGTTCGATTGGGCATCTGGTGACATAGGACATTGAGGGCGATCTCGTTCGCTTTTGGAGCCTCCGGACTCATGGGAAGGAGTGCGTGGTGTTTCGAAGAGCCCCTAGGGGGGTTGAGCGGTCATGGCGAACGGCTGTCCAAATTCTGCGGAGGACAGGCAGGATGAGATGAGGGTGGGTTTAAGAAGAAATATCAGTGAGAGTCTGGAACAGACACAGCCAGCTAGCCAGCCAGCCAGACAGAAAGAGAGAGAGAATTAAGTAGACACGAAGACGTGTGGATACGGGGCATGTAATAATACAGAACGTTGTTAATGTCGTTGAAGTCGTCGCACATAATTATATATATGCCACAGGTTGTCATCATGTAGGTCAACAAGCTAGTCAGTCAGTCAGTTAGTCCGACGAGGCTCGCGTCGCGGTAACATAACGACAACGCCAACAACAACCACAGCAACAACATCTCAACCACTTCATGCTTTTTCCCCTCCTTGCCCCTGCCGCGAGATCGGGCTAGACGCCAGAGAGAGGAGAATCAGTTGAACCAGGCACAGGCAGGCAGGCTCCCCTCTTCGGTGCAAGTCGAATCATATACCGGCTTGGATGCAGCTTATATATGCATATATATATATATATATATATATATATAATGTCCCCGAACTGTCAACTGCCACGATTCTTTCGCTGACTCATCCCCCGCCGCAACAATCGTCGTTCAACATCGGTCTCAAAGCTCGTGGCACTTGGTCATTTTCCTGTGAGTAGTTCTCAACGTCTCCCTATCAATGACAATCCACTAATTTTACCAAGACTTGACAGAAGATCGGTTCTCTTCGAGTTTATCCGTCGCACGGTTCAGCTGGATCAATCTGCAATCATGAGAACATGGGAACTCGGGTCCACAGATGGATCGAAGGTGATAGGTAGGCCCTGAGCAAGCTTGCAGACGTGGCTGGCTGTGAGAAGGTGTTGGAGATTGATTGTCTTGAGCGCCACCAGTGAAAGTGATCCTGTATCTTTTGAGCAGATCATGATGGGCTCCGCACTGGCAGCCCCAAGGCAGAAGCCATTTTCTCTGGACGGAAGACATCATTCCACTTACGAATGAGCTAATAGTAGTTTTTCCAGCAGACAAATCCTTCCTGTGCCCTTTCGCTCAAGTACCTCTGTTACTCGTCTCCAGCAATCGGTTTTGACTGCAACGCCCGATGATTTAAATCTCTACGTTGCCTAAGACCCCGTTCCAGCAACTGATCATCGTGTTGGGACTTTCGTCTCGATCTCGAAGTAAGGCAACCCATTCGAAACCCATGTCCAAGTCAGATTTCTTTTCTCTGCGCAGTGTACATGCACTCAGTAAACCAAGTACAGCACTTTAATTCTCGAGAAGTCATCATCATTCTTTGTTTTCCACCTGTTACGATATACGCGACTGTTCCACTACTTAGTAGGGTCAGCTCGTGGAAAGAGAAAGGGGAGATGGAGGGAGGGGAGAGACAGATATTTATATAACTTCGTGCTCTACCGGATGACTCAGTACGTGATGGAATTTCTAGCCTAGACGGCTGGTAACCAACCACGACTTCGCAGATCATCCGTACCGATATCTCTCGAACTTTGTGTGTGGAAAGAGAGAACAGTCGGCAATAATTTGATTGTTTGCTCAGAAAAAAAAAACTCAATCTCATTCTCTGTGCAGTCGTATATACATAATACACTTGGAACTCTTAAGCTCAAGGCATCGTGCGGCACACTTTAATTCTTCGAGAAATAGTCATCACCCTTCAGTTCTGTCCCCCCGGGTTCTAACAAGAGACACTATCTCCTGGTCACGAGCAGGGACAGAAGCCTCTTCTGCTGCGTATTACAGGGGCCTTTACAGGGGCATAGAATGTGTAACAAAGTTTGTTGTGCTACAGTCCTAAGTGCAAAGTGGGCCAGTTTCGCGGTTTCGCACTGTATGTGATATAGTGTATATATATATATGTGTGTGTGTCTGTCTCTATCACTTCGGTCAGTGGCGTCTCACGGCGCAATCAATGTCCGTCTCTGCGAATGATGTCCACTCCGTCCGTCCGCTCGCTCGCTCGTCCCCCCTACCCGCCCGTCCTCACACCACCCACTCGCCTCAAAAAAAGTTAAGTTGCTGCTCTCAAATCTTGTACCTGAAATGCAGATTCTGCTTGTCCGTCAGGTCGTCAAAGCCCTCGAGCAATTCCTCCTGCTGTCGCGCGGCGTGGAGGCCCCTGGCGTCGCGGGCCTTGTTGTCAAAGTAACACAGCGCCGTGTAGATGACCTGCAGGACGCACAGCGCGCAGTAGGTGCCCAGCAATCCCCTGACGGCGGTGAAGTATCGCGGCGTCTCGGAGGGCAAGAACAGGTGCGGCCCTGCGATGTTGCCGGCGCAATAGAATCTGAAAAGGTTTAAGGGAATCCGTGTTAGCTGGGTGATATGCAGTTGCGAAAACCCCGTTCATGGAGAGTCTTGAGCTGAAAGAGAGAGAAAAAGAACCAGACACTTACACGAAAAAGACTCCCACAACTACAGTTCTCTTGGTGTGCCCTGCCACATTCACACCGGGGAGAGTCCAGCCCAGGATGATAGGTGCTCCAAGAACGTTTTGTAGCCAGCAACAAGCTACCAGCGCATAACGATGCTTGATGTTGATGGTCAAGAGACCGATCAAGCCGGCGAGCCCCGGTAGGCATGCAACTGAGGGGGAAGAAGCGTTAACTTGGCCAAACCCAGGAGCAGGAGCTTGACTTACCGATGATGCTGATGCCCAGAAGATTCTTCTTGGTGGCCACCCAACCGAAACCCATACACCCAATGATCTCAAACGCGCCACCGGGCGTCTGAAGCAGAGTCGCCCGAAGCGCATCGAACCCAAAGCCTTTGATCAAAGCAGAAAAGAAGTTTGAGACGGCGCCGTTCAGAATTCCTGTGCAGGTGCCCATGAGGATGACGAGGTAGGTCTTTGGATCGAGCAACGCCTCCTTGACATGGCCGAGAATAATCTTGTGATGTTTGATGCCCATTTGATTCTTTGACACGCGCCAGACAGCAACCATCCGTTCATACTCGGTCAGCATCTTGGCATTGTGAGCTCCATCGGGGAGATAGAGAACGATAACGAAACCCCAGAAAAACGTCATAGCTCCGACAATCTGTTGGACGTCAGCTGCCGGTCCGTGAGGAGCTGGAAGGTTATCGCACCAAATAGATCAACTTCCAGTTAGGGACAGCGAGGTGTACTGCATGGCCACTTCCGTACGCAAGCAAGGCACCGAGAATCGAAGAAACGCCATTTGTGGATAGCCAGAAAGATGTTCGCAGTGCTTGTTCTTCTCTCGTCCATAGCATAGAGGTGAGGAGGACGAAGGCCGGAGATATACAAGCCTCGACCATTCCCAAGAAGAAGCGAATGGCAAAGAAGCCGGCAAAGTTGAAAACAGCCGCTTGCAGCATGCAGACAGCGCCCCAGACGAAAAGCATGTATCCGATCGTTCGCCCAATGGGGTAGCGTTGGAGGATAAAGTTCCATGGATATGCGCCAGTAAGCCAGCCAAAGTATAGTGCCGATGCCACCCATGAATAGTCATCTCCTTTCATATGAGTGTCCTCTTGAAGTCCGTACGCGTTCGAGTAGTTGAGGCTGCAGACGTCAGAGCTGAGGCGAGGGGCAGTGATGTCCAGACTCACGTCTGCTTGTCGAGGAAACTTAGCATGTAGGTTGTCATCATCTACCATTGTCTATATCAGCTCGTGATCTGCTGGACATCGTCGCAGGGGTATGGTACCATGGGGATAACAATCCAGTCAAGCTTCCGCCGAACTTTGACCGCATCTCGTTCGAGTTGAGCTTCGTCAAACTCAAGAGCCTTCTGCAGCAGCTCCCTGCCCAGGGCGTCGGGATCATTTGTACTACCTTTGAGGCGGTCGAGGAGGTTCCGTGAAGATTTTGGATGCGTTTCGGGGGTTGGTTCGACGACCTGAGCTGGAGTCTTCTCTATGTCGGCCATCTTCAATGCGCAGCTTCGAAACGGACGCAGCACTTGTGAAACGGAAAGATTTCCTGGGATGGCGGAAGCGTCTTATAGACGTATGTTTCGACTCCGTCGGAAGCCATCGTTATCGGCAGGGGACAAACTGGTGATAGCTCTTCGGCGCAGGTGGTTGGTGGGATAAGAGTGTCCAACGGCAAGAAGCATGTATCGACTCCAAGTGTCCCAATGCAAATGCAAAGGTGTTGTCCGTTGGCCGGCAGGTGGTATCTCTACTTCTCTTCCCAATGTGAGTATCGAATGCGGAGTTTTGCGACCATGCCCCGGGGGTGCTGTAATGATCTGCATTAGCTGCGGTTGAGGCTTCTGGCCGCTCCGCGCAAAGCTATATGATTCGGGCAATGGTTGAAGGATACCAGTGGTTCCACTCTTGGTGTGCTTGGCCATCAAAGCTTTGTTGATAGAGTTGAGTCAGTGTGCTCGGACAGTCACCTCAGAGCAACGAGCACTCTGATGTAACTCACCCTCATCTCTTCTCCTAATCATAGTGGTTAGCGAGGTATCACGGGAACACAATGCTCAACGGGACGCCTAGACTCAACCCAGAACCAGAGGACAAATGACGCTATGGTAGGGCAAGAGGGAGACGCAAGGAGAGGGGGTCGACGAGGATGCAAAAGGCAGTGGACATGGTATTTGGCGTCCCATCCTGGTTCAACGCCGCAGATAAGGCCATTCCGTGAGCCAGAGTGAACAGGCCTTTGAGGCATGGGCCAGCTTATTCGAAGAAGCGGTTTTCGGGGAAGGACAGGGCCAAACTCTGGTCTAACAGCCCTTAGGTGACTGATTTCATCCACGAAGCCACAATGGGAGGAAGTTCTGGGCTGTCCAGGACAAAATGGTGGAGGCGGAGGATGTGACGTCACGTGCCGGCCCCCTTTCCCGCGCTCCCGTGGCTTTTCCTCGGGGCGCGTTCCTGGCGTTCAATTATTACTTCACTCTTCAACCTCATTCAAACGTGTTTGCCTGCCAGTGCTCACCATGTCATAACGCAGACCGGAAAGTTCCTCCCTTCAACCATTCCTGATCTCCCTGCAGATGACCACGACCAGGCCTCCAAACTATCATTCAGGATGGCGGGCTTCTTGACCTGGTTGTGGGACTGGCTGCTATGGATGTTCTGGGCGACCGAGATGGATGTTGCCATAGTTGGATTACAAAATGCCGGCAAGACGAGTTTAGTGCGGGTTCTTGCGGTGAGTCAAGTCTACTAAGCTAATGTGGAAGGGGATCTAACCCAGCATATCAAGGGCAACGAATTCACCGTCGACACTGTGCCCACAGTTGCATTTAACAAGAGAGAAGTCAAGAAAGGCCATGTTTCCATCAAGTGCTGGGATCTCGGAGGTCAACCACGTTATCGATCTATGTGGGAGCGATATTGTCGCGGAGTCAATGCCATTATTTTCGTGGTCGATGCCGCCGACAAGGCCGCCATTCCGGTGGCGCGAGAGGAGCTGCACAGTCTTATGGACAAGCCTACGCTCAACGCCATCCCTCTCCTCGTCCTCGGCAACAAGTCGGATTTGCCCAACAAACTGTCGGTGGATGAACTGATTGACCAACTGGATCTGAAGTCGATCGTTCGGCGGGAGATCAGTTGTTATGGAATCAGCGCGAAGGAAGAGACCAATCTGGAAGCTGTGCTCCAATGGCTGGTAGCGAGGTCTGCGAAATAAAAACCCCTCTTGCGTTGTCGTGTTTTGGCGAAAGAACTACAAGTACGGCGTTTGGAATTCTGGTGCTACACAGCCTTGATGGATCAACGGTACATTGTTGACTTGGGACCATTGTATGAATACGGAGTACACAGTACGCATAATGCAGCCAGCGAGGGGAAGTCCGGGCGTGTTCTGCTCGTGTTCCCCCCCGAAGAATGTTCCAGGCACCTGCTGAGAGGGGAAAATGGTCACAGTACGAGACACCTAGGCACCTAGGGCATTGGATAGGAGATCCACTGGGTTCATCACGGCACCGGCAGACCACTCCCTGTATGACGCGTAGCCAAGACTCAGCTCGCATTGAGGAACCCCCCACTGCACCCCCCAAGGTCCTCGCTGTGGTGGTTGGTTGTGCCCAATTAGTGCCTGGCCGCCCACTGGAACAAGGAGAGAGCAGGTGGGTGGCAGGTGCCGAGGGCGGCTTTCGGGGGACATAGGCCAATTAGAATGGTGATGCTGCGCCACGCCCAGAGGCACTATTTCTCGTGCGACGAAATTCCCTCCAAACACCTCGTGGCCATCACGCAAATCCCCGACTGCGCCAGCTTTTGCTGCGCCTTCTGCTCCATGCCATCACCTTCATACGTTCATTCTTTTGCCTGCGTCTTCTTCATTATTCCTTCATCTTGATTATACGTATCCTCTCTGATCCCATCATCATCATCATCATCACTGCCTCAACTGCTCCTGTCTCGAAGTCAAGCATCCATCCCTTCAGCCTCGCTGATTTGTGTACGCACCCTCCAGGCTCCAGTGGGCACCTCCCGCGGCAAGTAACACCGCATACGAATCGCCATTCGACCACCTCGTTTGACATCATCATAATCATCATTTCCACACCCACACACATTCACACACGTCCACGCAACACCCAGCAGCCATGAACTCCAGACTCGTCACCCGACAGTATTACGGAGACAACGTGTAAGCCCTCCCGCTCTCGAATAAAATCTTTTTATATGCCCTTCATTCTCCCCACTTGCCTCTCGTCACCTTCGCTTCCACAACAAGACTTCTATCTACTGACACACTTCATTCGTCATGGCCAGATGTATCGACAACAACGGTGTCGCATACCGATGTAACACAGCGTGGTATAATTGGGGCAGATGGGTCGCCCTCGCCATCATCATCATCGGCGCATTCCTCATCTTCTTCCTCTTCAGGTACGTTGAATCATCCAGACGTGGCCCCTCTTGTACTAATTGAACACACACAGCTTGTGGAGCGCTCGCCGAAGACGTCGCCTGGGCAGACAACCTTTGTACGGCACAGGATGGACAGGCCGCACACCCTGGGGCCATGCGCCTGCCCAGTACAACCCGGGCTTCCAGCAAACCCAGCAAACGCCTTACCAAGCGCCGCCTACCTACAACCAAACTCAGAGCTACGGAGGCTACTACGGCCAGAACCAAGGGTACTTTGGCGGAAGACAGACAGACGTCGAAATGCAGCCACCGCCAAACACCTACCGGGGAGGAGATGATGTCTATACTCCCCCGACCGGACCTCCACCAGCCAAAAAGTGATTGGGATGGAACTCACTGATCCCCCTCCATAATAGTGATTTTGTGTGTCTGCAAAGGTTGAATGTTTAAGAGCTGCGTATGAGAAAGATGCTGTCAACGCGACATGGATTGCTGTAGAAGGAGAAACTGCAGAGAATGAGTGTACGATAGATTTAGGGGGCGTTGGCTTATCCTATGTGATCGGAACTCGAAAAGCATAGCAACGGGAGAGGGCAAGATCACGAACAATGTAGCGTTATGAACATGGACTAATTCATCACCTTTTTATGAAGTTTGCTTCTCCCTGATGGTACCGTGAAAGTGGTATACCCGATATGCTCCCTACAGCCTCGCACCAAATCGGGTGGGCATCCCCTGTTCGGAGGTCCTGGGCTCTGACGAGCGCCGGCGTTTCAGCTGGATTGTGCCCGCAAGATGCAAGCTCGGCAGGGTCAGATCGCCCTGGAGGAGCCTAGTGAGCCCGCAGTAGCTCCCCCCCGGAGTGCGCTTATTGGCCCACTAGCCTGGAGGCGACCCCTGCTTCGACCCAAACCCGCGATTCATGGCCTTGTGGCATCGCTGCTCCGCCTCCTGCATTACTCAATCCTTCTCTTACTTCAGATTCTTTTCATAGCAACTCCGCGAGTACCTCGTCTTTGTCTTATGTCCCTCTCTTTCTGCTTTTTGCCTCACTCCGGGTCCTCTTCGTTGACATTACATTCACTTCCAGCTCTCGTGGGTTCGCACGACGTTCGTCATTTCACTCATTCTTCACTTTAAACTGTCCGCAGGCCGGCCTCGGTACCTCACAGTAGATCCCAGCCTCCCTTAAACTCCCAACCTACCACTCTCTCTCGATCGGATCAAAAGAGTCCCTTGCCTTCACTTTGAACGACCGTGTATGAGTTGACGACATACTATCCTGCGTCGGCGGTCTACTTCAGGAGACCCTTGACGAAATGGCGCACTATCTCTATGCGCGTGATGTCGTCTCTGACGTGAAATCAGTCCCAGAGACATTCTCCAGCTGGGATAAGTGCATGCAGAAAGCATATTGCAAGTAGGTATCAGCCAAGTCCCCCCTTGTGATTTACTCTGACGTCGCGCCAGGTGGCCTGTCATTGCCGCGATTGTCATCGGCTCCCTTATCCTCCTTTCGGTCCTTTTTTGTATTGCGCGATGCCTTTGCTGCGGGGTGGAGATGTGCTCTTGCTGCATGAGCTGTTGTGGCGGTTGTTGTCGGGGAGGACGAAGTCGTGAACGTCCTTCGCAATTCAAAGACGACTATACTCGTATGCCTCCGACTCCTTACCAGGGGTACCAACCTGCCCCCAGCCCCATGGCGTACGGCAACCCCAGCGCGCCTCAATTTGCGACGTTCGACGATCCCAGCACCAAGAGGATGATCAACGAGGATAGTCTCCCGCCCATGCCCAGCTGGGACACTGCAACCAAGAGAAGAGTCGAAGACACCAGCGAGCCACCACAGCAGAACGCGAACGGCGATCTGGAGATGAGGAGACTCGACGCTCAACCGCAGAGGGCGAGAGGAGGCTATAACAGCGTCCCTAATCGACCCATGTCGCCTATTTCACAAAACCCGCATCCAGATTATCTTCACAACGGCGCCCCTGGCATGAACCACCCGTATAACTCCGACTTGGGCGATCAAAGACTCCTGGGCAATAACGGTCAGGGCAACTTCCAAGCTGTCCCGTTAAGCCCGCCTCCAACCTACCGCTCTAATTCCGCAGCGCCTTCAGTTGCGAGCAACTCCGACAGGTTTGCTGCCGGCGCCGCCAGCCCGAGTTCTTATCAGTATAACCGGAACCCACCGCCGCAGTCCGGCTATCAACCTTCCTATGCCCCGAACAACGCTGCGAGCACGAGATACGAGCCGCCACAGAACGACTATAGCTCACACAGAATCAGTATGCCCAAGCCGTTCAACCCTGGGCCATCCCCACCACCGGCCCAGGCTCCATACCCAGTATCCGAAGCGTCGCCATATGAACCGCGGCCGCCCAGTTTCTTGCAGGTGGGAAGAAAACCCGTTACTGGAAGTATGAGGGAGGTTTGAGCGTGACGAGGATAGAGAATTAATCTTGAATTGATCTGCTTTCTTGCGATCTCAACGGAGGTGGAGCCGATGGTCAGCATACGTCTGGAACTCGAGACATGATCGAGTCCAGCTTACCGGAGTTTGATTTGCTGGTACTATCTTGGTTGGAAATTATAAAAGCATGGCGCTTTCTCGTCACCGACCCACGCGCGAGAAGCCATCGCAGAATTGGGCCGCACAGGGTGGCCGCCGAGGGTTGGATTTGAGCACAAGGCCGCATACAATCAAAGTGGAACATGGCTTATGGTTCACTATCTCCAGCATCAACAAAATATCGATCTCTATCAAACCACAAAACCACCCTGGGGCCGAACAGAAAATGATGACAGCTTTTATGACTTCCACCTCAAAAAATCGACAGGCGAGAAGAGTGCGAATTGGATATCATATATTCCTCATTTCTAGGACACGGGGTCTCATTTGAGATGTTCCCTACCTGACAGGATCGCACCCAGGCTCTGTACTATACCAGTTATGTATGATTCATACAACAACAACATCAAACAGTTCCACAAATCTCCGACCCCGTGAAAAGTATTCTCTTTCTCTTCTTTTCTTTCTTTTCCTCCTGCACGGCCTTTTCGCCTCTCAAAAGGAAACAAATCATCTGATGATTACCTACTGTACGTTGGACACGGGATATCTGGACAACGCGAGATCATTGCTGCCGTTCGAAGAATCATACCCACGGGAATAGAGCCGAGAGAGAGTCTCAAGACGCAAAGGTACGAATTGGACGAGACTCTTCAATTGACAATAAATAAGCTGGTGCAGAAGAACTGCTCTACTCGTATCGAGTACAAATAACCTCTGAGCCTACTTCCTTTGCTTGCCTTCTTCTCGTTCGCGTCTCTCTCTCCGAAGAATGAGCGAGCGGAATGTGGGCCAAGCTAGCTACGGAGGACTGTGTGGACGTGAAGGTTTGGGATCCGTGCATGTTTCTGCATATATCTATATCTATATCTACATATATCGTTTGAAGTGGAGTTGGTGGTCTGTTTGACCGAATGTGTCCACGCCGAGCCGGGTATCTAGATATCTACCGACGTACACAACATACCTTGAAAAGAGACGACTCCGTGCCTACATGTGCGTTCATCGTTGAACGCCTTGAATCAGAAGACGATCAGACAGACGGACAGACGGACAGATAGATAGATAGAAGACAGTGTAGAGGGAAGATCTCAAATACATAGAATACGTTCTATAGTGCCATTGCTTTCTTGCTTCTGACATCCCGTCATATCTGGAGGTGCCTGCCTCCATATCCAAAGGCTTGCACGCGGTGGAATGAGTGCACCGTAAAAGACAGCCAGTCTGTTTGGGTCCCTCTTTCTCCTTATCTCCTCCCCTTCACTATTGACCCTGTTGGCTCCATTCGCAGTTCCCAGAGGTATCATACTTGGAAGACCACCACCGTCTCACACCACCCGCTACCTTGGAAGGTTTTTCTCTCACAATTCGTCTTTTTTGCCCGCTTCGGATGCCTCTTTGCTGTCACCGTCCACCCCCGCGACGGCAAACACACCCTTGATGTCTCTCACCAGCACGGGCAGGCCGTCAAGCGCCGCATGTCCGGCAAACTCATCCACCAGTCTCAACGCCGACGCCTCGCGCAGGAAATCCAGGCCCAGAAAGACCTCCGGCTCCCAGGGGACACCACCCCGTTCGGAGACCGGGGGCATGTCGAAGACGTTGAACTCGATATCGGGGAACTGCTTGAGAGCCCCCTGGGGTCCGGCGAGCAGGCTCAGCGTGATTTTGGCGGCTGGGGTGACTTTGAAAGCTGGGGTACCTAAAGCAGCGGGTCGTTGGTCTTTCTTAGCTATCGGACTGATTGCGGACGAGGCGGACGGGATGCCCAAAGCCGAGAGCATGCCGGATGAGATGTAGTTCTCGATCAGCGCCAGGTCGATGTCTGCAAGGAGCGTGACGGGCTCTTTGGCGTTGTTTTCCACGATGATAGGAAGAGTATCTTGATCCTGACCGGCGAGCTCCGCAGCATGGAACTGCTCCGTGAAATCAGTCAAGTCCGATTCCGCAACGTTGGCATTTGGTGAAGGGGTGCCGGTAGGTTTGACGTCGTGGATGGCGCCCAAATCGGCCTCCCTAAAGATACTGGTTATGATCGAGTCGCTCTGCGAACTGCCTGGTCCACAGTTACGGCCAACACAGAATTGTCCAGGGTGTGGTCTAGCGGGTGGCCAATGTGCCCATCTTTGCCCAGTGGGCACAGCGCAGTGCCGGCCAACGCAGGCTATGGGCCACCAATGCTTCCAGCGCTCGAAGCCTCGACAGAAGCCATCGGGACAGCCAGCGGAACAGCAAGTTTCCGTGACACTGGCAGGCGAAGCTGTTGCTGTGCGAGCAGCATCAGCAGGAGGTGTTGTGTCGAACGGATAGATGCCATTGCATAATCCTAAGGCGCAGGTGGGACCACAACAACCAGTCGCCAACTTGGGATCAAATGTCGTGCCCTCGTCGCCGCTCAAGGAACTGAAGATTGACTTCACACTGGCCGTGATGGTTGGATTGGGTTCCTGCGTCTTCGTCGGTTTCAGAGTTTTCTGCGGTTGCTCGGTTGCATTGGCGAGCGAAGACAGCAGGAGAGCAAAGAGAGGAAGAAACACTGGAAGAAGCATCTTGCTGAATTATGAGGTAGTGAGTAATTTCTTTTCGGTCCACGGTCTTGAACCAAGCCCCAAGGTCCAAAGACTGGTGACACGTTTATATAACCAGGCTCTCAACGACTCGGTGTAGCCGTGGTCGCCTCTGATACCATATCGCGGTTCGAAATAGATTTCACCGCTCCGAAGGTTCCTAGAGTCATAGCTTGAACCAATGTCTACCCCGCTATTGGACATGATACAGTGTCGGGTCGCCTAACCAAACTGTGCAAGGGGGGTCGAGAAAAGCAAGAAACATTGAGATTTAGCGATCGTCGGTCAATACCGAACGGGCTGAGGCAGACCATGTAGCGGCAAGGGGGACACAGCCAGCAAAAGGCTTAGCCGGGAAGGCAATCGCGACAAGAGATCCCTGGTTCAGGCGCCATTGGTAGATTGTGATATTAGAATAGCCATGTGGTAGTGGGTGGGTAGGTCGGTTCATTGGCCTAACTCGGGAGAGCTGAACGCCCTTCACATGCAAGCCTGTACAGTAAAAGAGGTACCACCGATGAGGCTGCTGACATGCAGAACCCCCTGGTCAATGATTGCGAGCAAGAAGGGGGTTGTTTTCGCCTTGCGACGCCAGCTGAACGTCAAGGAGGCGACGAGGACTGCCTAAAACTCGACCGTTGGTTGTGAAGTCCGGTGTCTTATTGGCTGATCTCCCACCTACGAGGAGTCCTGGGCGCCTGAACGGGCAGTTATTCCTGTAAACGTCGAGGCTCAAAGAACCGCAAATCTGTTTGGCCATTGGCGCGGCGGGAGGGAAAACCCCCATCAGGCGCCGGCGTCGCAATCCACAAACGTCAACGTTTGTCTATCGAGGCTCTCGGCCCCATTGGTCATGCCGTGCTCCGGTTGGAGGTTTTAAATCTTTGGCAGTTATTGAGACCGCAGTACGTAAACCCAGAGACGGCTCGGTTGCGTGGTGCGGCCAAAGAAATGTCGGAATTCGACTTGCGCCATGGGATGGAAAACTCTAGAGCTTGACTGTGCCTTGGAACTGTTGTTGATTCATTAACGGGCTGGTCTCATAGCATGACACCAAACTCGAAGCCTTGTTGGGCGCTACCGTCGACAAGAATCCGCCTCGTCTCTTGCTTGAGAGTCTGGTCTACATCCTCCCTCGATGTGGTTCCACTACTCGATGCTCCCATTTGCTTATCTCCAAACGCGGCCTGAGAGAGCCCGAGCAAGCTCAATTTTGCTGCGATATCGCGAACATTGCCCCGGGATGCCCAGTACGCTTGGAAAGCAAGTATCAGCCCCAGCAAGGGATAGCAGAAACTCCACGCCACCAGCATAGCCAGAGGCGGGATAGGCACTTTGGAAAGCAGCATGTGGTCACGCTGCTGTTGAGCAAGGGCAAGGCGACCCGTAGTGTAACCGCCGATGTTTGCTAAGACCTTGGTAGAGTACAAACTTCCGAATTTCCGCAGGAAGGACCCAGTCGTATTTCCAGCCAGTGCAGCCTGCGTGAGGAAATCTTGGAGATCAGGATCACCTCCATTGATCGTCGCGTACAGTAAAGAGCCATGGAATATTTCCAGAACGCTGCCATTGCCGGTTGGCACGGCGTTGATATTCTGCAAGCCTCCGTCAACCCAGGTATACGAGATGTCGTAAGAGGCCACGGCACAATTGAGAATGAAGTCCAGGACGCCGTTGCTAACGAAAGTGGCGTCCGAGTTGTTCGCCGTCATTTCATTACCAGCCACAAACTGTCCACTTGTTGTGGAGATTCGCGCAGCGATGCCGACATAGAACGGATTCACCAATTCAGAGTTGGGATATGGAGAGATGCTCAGATCGAATTCGCCGGAGTCGTTGTAGCCGACGGTATTGTAAATGTTTTCCATTCCTGAGTCGCTGAAAAACGAGTACATCAGGTTCGCAGCCACCTTGTACATCAAGAACGAGCGATATGGATCCGCAGGGCGTGGATTGTTTAAGTTGGTGCTCACGATGGGTGGCATCCCGATGGTGCCGTGGAACATGTTGGTGCAGCTGAAGTTGGTATAGTAATCATCCCAGAGTACCATGCCGCAGCTAGCTGGATTGACAAAACGACATGTTGTTGAGATACCAATGGTGGACGCTTCATAATCAGTGTTGGGGACAATGGTCTCTTGCTGTGGGATGAGATATGCTAGATCAGCCTCTGGAACGCCGTCTGTCGCCGTGATTCGAATCTCGGAAAGTTGCGAGGCGTTGTGGAAGAGCCGATTTGATTCTGTTGCCTCGAAGTTTGCGTTGGGGTCAACTACCCCGGAGTCGGTCGTGTCGGAACAGGGAAATCCCACAAAGGTTCGGTTAAAGGTCAAGCAGAAGTCTGAGAGGCCACGTCCAAATTCCTGGTTGGGTTCCGGAGGAACAAAGATCTGATCAAACTCAACGGTCGACGTCGTGTAATGCAAGATAGTGTCCGCTATGAACACACCGGCAGCCATCAACAAACTGAGGAGCATCATGGAGGCTGCACAGTGCAAGACCGGCGGGATGCTGGGTCTCCGCCGGCGGACGAGATACCAAAGGTACGATCGTAATTGCTGTGCAGAGGCGACCAGAATCCCGATCAGTAAGCTCATCTGAAAGGGTGTCGGTAGGTTGAGATATTTTGCTTCTCTGGATGCATCCCGCAGTTTCCTCGAGACGGGAAGCGCAAAGATAGACAATATGAAGGAACCCAGCAAAGGTGCCACTGTAGACAGGAAGCTGGCGACGAAAACTAACCGGGCTTTAGAGAGTTAGCATCCAGCAACAGCATTGCCAACGTCGGGAAACCCACTTGCAGCAAAGTTGACGAGAACAAAACCAGGCCCATGAAGTGACTTTTCTGTTGGCTTGAACAGATTCGGGACAGGGTGGACTTGGTACATATAGATCAGGGCAAGCAGAGTACCAGCTAGAAGAGTGATAGGGATGCAAATAATCGTCGCTGGCAGTAATATTGTTTGGACTAGGTTTTCATTCGGAAGTAATTCTGGATCGAGCCGAGACTGTTCCTCGGGGGCGTCATGTTGCCGTCGTATGAAAGATTTTCTGAAGTCGTCCTGATCAAGTGGCAATTCGTTTCGAAAGTCCAGAGATGGTGTGCCATTTTTCTGCACGAGAATCTCCTCTTGAAAAGGGAAATTCCAGCTGTACCTGTTCGTGAGAAAGCCAGCAACACGCTCCGAGAAGGGAACGAGGTTTTTGGGGCGTCGATTATCGCTTTCCATGGCGGACCATTTCAGGGTAAATCACCGACACGAAATGAGGTTTGTCGCGGGGACCGAGAATATAAAGGGTGAGCACAAGACAGATGGACCTACCTGGTTAAGAATCATACCCACCTGATCGATACCTATAATCGCGGCTGCACGTCTGAAGCTACTGTTATTGCCTGCGCTTTGGGCTGCGAAGGCATGGTTTGATGGCGCAAGGCTAGGGGCAACCGCTAACATGGCGCTGAAGGTCAGCATCCCAGCTCGATGGCGGCGGATATTCCCATTCGCTGCACATGGGACTGCCTGTATATAGCTGTGGACCATTGAGATTGCGCAGCTGGGTTTCAGCTGGAACGGGTAAGGTTGAAAGAGGCAGTTCATGCATATACGATCATTGACGAGCAGAACTTTTGAATGGTGTTACCGTAACCCCTTGGCACAGGGTCCTTTGGTGGCCCTATCTTTCTTGCATGAGCCAGTTGGAAGAATAGCCATGTTTTCCGAAATATTGACCACAGACCACCACACAATGATCAGCGTGAGGGCTGTAGCCAGCCAGCCAGCCAGCCAGAGCGGCATTGCTGACTTGAGGTTGAGTCAGTCGACATAGCCTCAGGCTTACATGCCATGTGCTAAAATATGAAAGTGGCGAGTACGCTGAGAGAAATTTAGAGTTGCCAAAGTAGGAATGCAGAACAGAATGACTTTCGGAACACGACGTTGAGCGGTGTATACAGCATTATGCCTTGAAGTTGAGAGAATACAGTGGAGAAACATGGGAGGATTGAGAAAAAGAGTCACAGACACAGAGCCGCCGACCAGCCGGTTCGGGAGTCGAGCACGAGCACGTGACCGACACCTGGTCGAGACGCAAGGCGCCATTCAAGACGCGCAGCTTCATCATCCAAACCATCCAAGCAGCTTCACCTCAATCCCTCTATCCATCATCCCACTTCTGCCTTGCTGCAGCTCTCCGTTTCCTTTCTTTCTTGCTTCTGTACCAACACCCTTCTTCGACTCGTGTATTTTCAGAGACTTCTTTCCGCATCAGTCCACAGCAATCAACACCTTCCACCCTCCCTGTAACCATGGACACTCTCGTTGCCCAATACACTCAGTCCCCCTTTGCCAACGAAGGCTTCACTTCAGAAGAACAAAATGACTACTGCGAAACGCTACCTCCTCTGTCCCTCAAGTTCGCCCTACCGCCCGTTCCACGACCTTCTGCCTTTCTGCGAGCAGCGACCGATGACTACTCCAACCCGAATTGCCCGATCAAGATCGCTCATGGTACCACTACCTTAGCATTCCGATTCAAAGGAGGAATCATCGTCGCAACCGATTCCAGAGCCACCGCTGGGAACTGGATTGCATCGCAGACGGTCAAGAAGGTCATTGAGATTAATCCGATGTTGCTGGGGACCATGGCCGGAGGAGCTGCTGTAAGTTTGATGCATGTAATCGCGCCCGGGACATCTATTGACAATTCATAGGACTGCCAATATTGGCTTGCCTACCTCGGTGTTCAGTGTCGATTACACGAACTTCACCACAAGCGACGCATCTCAGTGGCCGCAGCCTCGAAGATTCTGGCCAACCTAGTGTATTCCTACAAAGGAATGGGACTGTCGATGGGAACGATGATTACGGGGGTGACACCTCAAGAAGGACCTGCACTGTACTACATTGACTCGGACGGCACACGGTTGGCGGGCAATCTCTTCTGTGTGGGATCAGGTCAGACTTTCGCTTATGGTGTTTTGGACGCTCTCTACAAATACGATCTGGAAGATGAAGAGGCCCTGGAGTTGGGCAGACGGAGTATCTTGGCAGCCACCCATCGAGATGCTTACTCCGGTGGTTACATCAACCTTTATCATGTCAAGGAGGATGGATGGGTCAAGCATGGTTTCTCCGACACAAACCCGATTTTCTGGGAAACTAAATTGCAGAAGGGCGAGTTTTCCAACGTCACAAGCGAGCTAATTTGAAAGAGAGCTGTGAAGTGAGAAGAGGTGCTTGCATTTTCGCTGCCGGGCGTTGGACTGGGGCGGATGGAACTGTACCAACATACTGAATCAGTGTGTACTAGACGACCTTTCCAAGGCTTTTCGCCCAGCGTATTACAATTACTGGGAATGAGAACAAGGTGGTCATGCAACTCAGGGCGTCACAATACTGCTTGTCGCCAGGATCGCTAACGTGTTTTCCTCTCCTGGCGTGTGCTGCATACAGTTTAGAGAGCACTATCCGACGACCGTGCTCATAATCCCATACGGTGCCAGTCTTGTTTCCTTTCCCGCTGTGTCTCGTCTTCTTCGTGCAAATGTGCCTCATAAGAGTCCTCCGTACCACCGGGGAACCCCGTGACCTGATCTGTCATGCTCATTCTAACGTCGTAGGCTCCCTCCACCTTCTGTGTCATGCTTTCAATGAGTGAGTGACCGTGCTGTATTGGAAGGATGAGCACAGAGAAATAGTCAGGGCCAAGGGGAATACACCCCGTTCTCTGTGCATGCCGCTTGTGCAGGACATATTCTGCGGTGGAGCCAGCTACTTTTTGCCCATCGTCTCAAGCACGCCCGGCAGCCGGCGCTGTTCGTCCGTGTTCAACAGCCACTGCAATTCTTCCCTAGATTCCTTACCTAAAGCCTCCGCCATTCGCTCTGCAGTCATGAAGTCGTGGTCGGCGTATTCGAACCCCGGAACAACAGTCTCGCTGATCAGCAAGCCCTGTTCACTGCTGTCACCCCCCTCGTCGTCGGGGAGCAGAAAGCTCGCCTTGAACTTCCCACCCTCAACAATCCATTGGACTTTTTCTCCCTTCTCAATGTCCTTCCCCACAACGAAGGTCTCGACGGGAATTTCGCCGTTGGAGGAATCCTTCTGATCGAAATGCAAGATGACATAGCGCCCTCGACCCCAGTGCAAGGTGTGCACTGTCCGGCCCCTATTGCGATGGAACCGTCCCACGGGACTCTTTGGACTCAGGAGATAGTAGATTGTCGTCGACGCGTTCCTGGTATCCGATGTGTCCCTAGACGTGGCGTTGGTCAACAGCGGAAGGTTTTTGAACGGGTTGGGCACAAGGAGTGGGTCGCGGTCTGTCTCATGGAAATAGCCACCTTCAATGTGGGATTGAAGCTGGAGGGTGGTGATGGTGTGCGAGATAGCTTGGGATTCGGCAGACGGTGGTGATCTGAGGAGGGAACGGGTATAGTGTCTATCATCTCTTGGGGTTATCGACATCGTTTCTGTTTCCTTGGGATTTTGGACGGGACACCGAATGGAGACGGGGTGATTTGGAAGCTTCTGCACTCGAGAGACCTAGTGCTGCTGTACGCCACCTGCTGAGAGGTGCCACCCCTTTTGACAGAAGGATCAATACTTGATCGAAATTCCACCGTGATGTTTGGAAAGAACTTCAGAGCTTTCAGGGCCAGTTTGTCGAGGTTGAAGTAGGAGGCGTCATAATTAGGACGCAATGGTGACAACCGCTGTGGCTGGCTAGACCGAATCACATGCTTATCTAAGCAAAGTTGGCCGGAATCGGTGGATGCGTTGGTGCCGTGCATAGAAGGAATGCTTGGTTGGCTGGGATGATCCACCCTGCCACAGTTGGTAGATATCCACCTGAGACTCGAAGGAGTGGGATGACTCTGCTTGGAATTCCGTCAGACTGATGAGCAAGCCGCAGATAGGCAACTCATGCTCGTGAGATGTATCATTTGACGGCCGCTTCTTCTGTCAACTTCCCGGACTGGCTGAGCGTCGCCATATCACCACTGCCGCTGCTGCCGCGCACACCACCACCCCCAGTGCGAGCCCATACCTCATCAACTGTCCATCATCATCTTCTTGAAGGGGCCGCGGGTAAGCAGTGACTGGCTCCAGACCGGCTTCAGAAATGACCACAAACAGCTCCTGGATGGAAGGCCAGGTGACGCTGGTGGACATGGGAGGTCCTTGTGGCATGCGCTGAATTTGAGCAACATACTCATCCGGCTGGTTTTCAGCTCTTTGGGTGGTTCGGTCAAGGTCTGCCTTCAGAGCGACGTACACCGACGGCAGATCTTCCAGGTGGGGGTATGTTTTGCGGATGTTGGGAATGTAAGCAAATGAGTCTGGATCCGACGAATCGTAAGCATAGACAATTACGTCGCACTGATCTAGAAGTTTGCTCTTGTTTTCCAGGACGGCCGCCTCTGATTCGCCCAGCTCCTTCAATATGAGATAGCATTGTCTTCCACCGGGCAGCTCCACGGTGTTGACTGCCACGCGAGGCTGAATAGTGGGATGATAGAGATTGTTGAAGGGCTGAGCCAAGAACGCGTCCAGCAAAGCAGACTTACCAGATTGAGGAGCACCCAGAACGTGAGCGAGAAGGACGTTCCGGCCTACTCGACCTGGTTTCCGTCTTCGTTTGCGCGGTTTCGTCAGCTTCAGAGCAGCGGTTGTGCTGGTATTTGAGCGATCTGTTGACTCGAAGCCCAGATATGCGAGGTATTCCAGCGTGGTCTTGGGAGATGTAAAGGTGGTCATGGACCACTGTGCAAGCCACCCCTGCAGAGTGACATGGCCCGCATCATTTCTCATCGTACACGAAGGGAAGTTGTTGTCGACCCATAGTTGCGGGATTCCGGGCGTTGGGGCAAACAAAGATGCCAGCTCCTCGTCTCTCAAACCGCCGTCGTTGTCTCGGTCGGAAGTCAGAAACAGATCGACCAAAAAGCGATAACCAGCTGGGGACAGCTCGGCAGAAGCATATTCGGGCACCTCGAACTTGGGATGTAAAAATGATTCTTGTAGAGACAAGCTATCAGTGTATTGAAATGTCCGGAGTATGACCCAGATCGTCTCATGGCGACCCTTTTCAGCGTAGAGTTTGTTCAGGAGGAGGAAGCCTTGAGAAGTGATGCCTTTTGCAGAGGCGGCTCCCGGGATATGATTGTCGACAGTTTCCTTGATATGTTGTAGATCTTCAGAGCTCAATCCCTTGTCAAAGCATTTGACCTGAAAATCTTCCATCTCTTTATCATTCAGGAGGCCATCCTTGTCCTTATCGCAGAGGTAGAATATGCGGAGCAATGCGGCTACAGCGGCGGGTTTGAGGACCGATTCTTTCGCATCAAACAGAGGAGCGATTGGATGAGTGACAGCTTTCTGGCAGAGAAAGAATGCTTCATTGACATTGTAGTGATCACGGGCGCTAGTTCGTATACATGAATCAATCTCTTTAAACTCCGACATGACCGGCAACATCTCCTCCTCCACTATCTGAGCGGACGTAGAGGTAGTGATCAGGTCGGACTTGTTTGCGCAAAGGATAACAGGCAGATTGACGCCCAGAGAACGAAAGTAGGGTAACCAGAACAGAGCGACCCTCTCATAGCTGTAATGATCGGAATAGACGAGAAGGATGACATTGGACTTTCTCAGCTCTTTGGCTAGAGTTGCACGGTCTTGTGGGAGGGCAGAAGTATCGACAATCACGGTGGTAACATTTTCTGGAGTCCCGAGGGTCGGTGGGATTGTGATTTGAGGCAGGACAGCTTGAATCCTGGTGCTCACGAAGGTATCTTTCACCAGAGAGGTGATCAGGCTGGACTTACCACAGCCCTCGTCGCCGCAAACGCATATTCTCACGGTAGCCATCTCTTTCGTGCGCTTTAGAGAGGCAGAGATCGGTCACAGGTGTTCATTGTTTACCTCCCCTGTGGCCGCAGGTCCGGGCTTGAGTTAGGAGTGGAGAACCGTTGACTGCGGAGACCTGTGCCTTTTGAATTCGGATCGGCGAAAACGTGGGCAGGACGAGACGGATGAGAATCCCGAGTAATACGTAGGAATAGGAGACGTCGGAGGCTTGCGTGGTGCGGGTGTGGCGGGCAAATGATTCTCAGCCAGGTAGTCGAAATCCCTAACACGAGAAAACGCAGCCTGCGCCTCACCTGCGACGACATCGTCCCATGCGGAACGCCAAGGCGATGACGGAGGCAGCTGCGGGCAACTGACAAGCCGCCTGACAGCCGATGCTGGTGACGCTAAAACGTCCCGCCTTTTCCAGAGAATCTTCCCTCGCTTCCACGCTTCCAGCCGTTCAATCACTGGCTTTTCCTCCCAGGAAATTCCGCAGCTGATCTCGGTGCTTCCATGCTGCTGCCTGTGTATATTATTCTCACATCTCACTCCGAGTCTTCCATCGTTCAAGCCGCGTATGTCCATTGAGTCGAACTCGAACACAAGCCTCGAAGCCCACTCGATTTGTGCAGCTCACGGCCTCCCCCACACCGAGGTCTCGTCATCGCAGCCCGCCTATTTCCGACTCGCAGTCTTCTCACCTCTGACTCGATTGCAACAATTCTGATTGTACATCTGCTCACGCTCACGATCTGGACCTGATCACACGACCAATTAAAAGAGAAGGCAAGGTTTCGCCACAGCTTCTTCCAACATGCCGTTTGGGATCAATAACCCACTACCCTCATCTATGAGGAGTAAGTGAAAGTTGCGTTCATTCGGGGTCCTCATATTTACACGTTTTTAGGCGAGTGCAAAAAGGCTGGCAAAATCCTCGCATCTTTCGTCGACCCCAGACAGAGCTTTGGGCCTGATAAAGTGATCCCGCCCTCGATCCTTGCGAATGCAAAGGTAATGTTTCTGCGGACTGCTCAGGATCTAGGCTGACGGTTTCTAGGGTCTCGCAGTCTTGACTGTCTTCAAAGCCGGCTTCCTTGGATCCGGTCGACTTGGATCCGGTGTCGTCGTGGCCCGACTGGCTGATGGTTCTTGGTCTGCTCCTTCGGCCATCGCCACAGCTGGTGGTGGTTTTGGTGGCCAGATAGGGTTTGAATTGACCGATTTCGTCTTCATCCTCAACGATTACAACGCCGTTCGAGCTTTCTCCCAAGCCGCCTCCGTGACCCTTGGCGGGAATGTCTCCATTGCTGCGGGACCAGTTGGACGAAATGCCGAAGCTGCGGGGGCTGCCAGCTTAAAGGGTGTGGCAGGAGTGTTCTCATACAGCAAGACGAAAGGCTTGTTCGCAGGTGTCAGTCTGGAGGGCAGTGTCCTGATCGAGAGGAGAGATGCCAACGAAAAGCTTTATAACGGGCGCGTGACGGCCAAACAACTTTTGGAGGGAGCCGTCAGACCACCCCCTGCAGCAGATCCCCTGATGAGAGTTCTCAACACCCGAGTCTTCTCAGGCTCTGCCTACAATGACAACAGCATGTACAATGACCTGCCCATCTACGACGACCAACACGATGATGTCGTCTGGGAGGGAAGAACTGGTGAAGCGTATGGGGCAAATGTACGCAACAACCGCTCTTCCACAGTAACGTCAGCGGACGACAACTACGTGTACCGCGACAACCCCAATCCTCGGCGTGCCAACACCTGGGCCGATGACGTGTACGATCGAGTACCCGCTGGTCGGAATAATGGGACGCCCGAAAGCTTCAACAACCGCAGTCGGTCAAGCACATTGCAAAATGAATACAGCTATTCAGATAGCAAGCCCACTCGACCTACGGCCCCGAAACCTGTCTTCAGACAGCGAACTGGGTCGTTGCGCGCTGACCAAGCCATCGCCTTATTTACCTTCGATGCGGACCAAGAGGGCGACTTGGGATTTAAGAAAGGGGACATCATCACCATCACGAAGAGAACAGAAAACAAGACCGACTGGTGGACAGGACGGACCGAAGATGGCCGGACGGGGATTTTCCCTTCCAACTATGTCGAGACGGCCTCATGAGACGGTTTGATTTACGATTTGCTTCTTGGCTGGGATGTTGGCGACAAAATATGGCATTTATACCCTCTTGCTTCTGCTGTTTGCCGGGTCCATTTAGCGGCGGAGTTTGCACCAAACATTCCTTCAGCATCTCGGACAGGAGTGGGCGTATTTGGCCTTGGGGGTTGGCGCAATGGATCGTTATAGTAGACGAACAAAATGAGGATGTGATGCACACCTGCGAAATCTATCTTGCACCGGCCGTTCTCGACCTTGACCTGCTGTCACCTGTCGGCAGATTGTGTCGGTGGTTGTTGACCCGAAATGGCTGCTGGTAATGCTGATCCTTTGCAGATCTTCCTCCACAAAGTGTCCACTTCTCGTTTTCCTCCGCAATTCCAACCATATGCCTTTAACCGTCAAGCACACCCCTACCGTACTTTACCTTGGCTCTTAACGTCATGAAGTCGAATCCAGTCGATTTCAAAGGGATTGAATGCATCCAGGGTTACAGAGATGCAACCTCGTGCCAGGGCGCCCTGGTCTTTGCGGCGGTCTCTCCAGTTCCCGGGGCATGACCAATTCAGTGACTACAACAATATATATTCCATGGGACGTGGTACTAGTCCTGCTGGTCATGCTTTGCCCGTGTCTACATGTCTTTATCGACATTGTTTCGTCAAGTATCTCCGTAACGATACCCTGCACTCTTTTCCGCAGTAAAGCAACGCAATGGCGAGAAGGAAATCGGGATTCTTCAAGCACACCACCCTCAGAGTGCGGGATGACTCTGTCACAAAGGCGTCAGAGCTCTCAGTTCGACAATCCATCTTGCCCATCATTCTGGTCACAACGCTTTATTTCCTCTGGGTATGTTTTCCTCTCCCTTCTGTGTCTCTGAACTCGTTCAGGCCACTGACTAGGAACTCCCACAGGGTTTCGCCTATGGCCTCCTCGACACCCTGAATAAACACTTCCAAGGCGTGCTCGGCATCTCTCGTGCCCGTTCGTCTGGTCTACAAGCAGCCTATTTTGGCGCCTATCCATTGGCATCCTTGGGCTATGCCAACTGGATCCTACGCCACTTCGGATACAAAGCCGTGTTCATGTTCGGTCTGACTCTGTACGGCATCGGGGGACTCCTCATGTGGCCTGCCGGCCTCAAGAGATCCTTTGGCGGGTTCTGTGGAGCCACCTTCATTATTGGATCCGGTCTGGGCAGTCTCGAAACGGCAGCGAACCCTTTCATCGCGGTGTGCGGACCACCCAAGTATTCAGAGTTGCGCATCAATCTGGCACAGTCGTTCAATGCCGTAGGAACGGTGGTCGGACCCGTTCTGGGCAGCTACGCTTTCTTCAAGAACACCGGCGATAGCCTGCAGAGCTTGAAGAACGTGCAGTGGGTGTACCTTGCCATTGCCATATTCGTCTTTATCCTCGCGTTCGTGTTTTACGTCTCCCCGATCCCAGAGGTCACAGATGCGGATATGGAACATCAGGTCACCGTCACCCACGACGGGCTGGAGGAGAGAAACAAGAAGCCCTTCTGGAAGCAATATGTGAGTTTTTCCTTTTCCCAAGCCGTAGTTGGAGTGTATCCCAGACTTTTGTGAGTCCAGGGCTTTGCTCTTATGCAGACCTTGGGTCAGCCACTCAGCCCAGACTTTCGTGGTACTCCTCTATATCACGTTCTCGCTGACGAAGTCTGTCTCGTGCCCCACAGACCGTCTTTCACGCGGCATTCTCTCAGTTCTGCTACGTCGGGTCGCAGGTGGCTTTGGCAGGGTAGGTCAATCTGAAAAATCAGCAAATGCCCCTTGATCACAACAACACAACTCTTCTTTCGACCCCATCTATAACTGACTAACTGACTGAATGACTGACTTCCTTCTCCTCTCTTCATAGCTATGCTATCAACTACTTCACCGAGATCGCGCCCATCTCCAACTCGACGGGCGCGGCCCTCCTCGCCGGTGCGCAGGGGTGTTTCGCCATGGGCCGATTCACGGGGTCGCTGCTGATGCGCTTCATCCGCCCACGCTACATCTTCCTGCTCTACCTGACGTCGGTGATCGCCTTCTGCTCCGCAGCCATCACGCAGCGCCGCAACACCGGCATCGCCATGTTCATGCTGACCCTGTTCTTTGAGTCCGTGTGCTTCCCGACCATCGTGGCCCTGGGCATCCGCGGCCAGGGCAGACACACCAAGCGCGCGGCGGGCTGGATTGTTGGTAAGGCCACCACCACCATCCCCCGAGAACCATCTCTTCCTCGCTTCATTCACTCACCCACCCCTTCGTACCTCAAGCCTTACTGACCACAAACAGGCGGCGTGTGCGGCGGCGCCTGCGTTCCGCCCCTCCTGGGCGCCACTGCGGACTGGCACAACAGCACACCCTTCGCGCTCGTGGTGCCTGTGTGCTTCTTCATCGCGAGCTGGACGTACGCCCTATGCGTCAACTTTGTGCCATATTACCGCATCCCCGCGGACGCGATCGGCGATTCGGACGTCGGATTGGACCACGGCGGCAACGGCGACGGCGAGAGTGGTGGTGGTGGCGGTGTGCCGGTAGAGGGCGACGGCGATGTGGAAAAAGCCGGCGCCGTGCAGATTGAGCGTGCCGGCAAAGAGGAAGAGGGGGTGGAGAGAGTGTTTGAGAAAGAGTGAGAGCGAGAGAAGGGAGGGGGGGCCGGATAGAGGGAGGGGGAGGGAGGGGACGAGTGGTATGTCCGTTAGGCAGGTAGGCAGATGGGGGAACATGAATACGCAAAAGACTACGAATTTGGCGCTGTGCAGGATCTCACTCTGCTCTGATACCTAGCTAGGTAGGTCCCTAGTGACGGGATAGATGTAACGAGGACAGAGTGTAGATATGATTGATTTGATCTATAGGGGATATCATCATGAATAGGAGAGAAGAGAGACACACTGCCTTGCCCCTGAGACTTTCTTGTCTTGTCGATCCAACGCCGTGTTCCCAATCACCACGAGTCTTCCATCGCTCTCGCCCGCTCTCGCTCCTTGCCCTTTGTTTTCAACATCTGTCCGACCATGAAGTGATTCACATCCTCGTCCGCCCAGTAACTCAAGTGGCTGGCGATACTAGCGAGCAGGGACACATCAAACATGCCCTCTTGGATATGGTAATCGACGCGTCCATTACTGTTCAATGCCCGAACTTTGGCTTCTTCACGCTTGAGCTTCCTCGCCCGCTCCTGCGCTTGGCGGAACTCGGCCGAAGTGCGCGCTTGAGCGTCGTCGTCGGATGCGTCGGTGGCAACCTGAAGCTTCTGGAAGCCTGAATACAGGGTTTCCATTTCAGAGTCGATCAGGGTGGGCGCTTTTTCTGTCGTTGGGGACGATCTGGCCGCCTCAGCGACGTCTTGTTGCTTTTTCTCATCTGCCACAAGCGTGTCGGGTGGAGGAGCGGTCTGGCTCCCTTCTTTGGCCGCGTTCACGGCTTTGGCTTTGTCCTGGGACAAGGCTTGCTCCTCACCAGTAATGCCCAGGCTTCTATTAATCAGACTGGATGCCACGCCCGAGGTAAGATTGTACCAACTCGACATGATTTGCTGGCTAACCCGTTCAGAAATGTTGGAAATACCGGGGGCGGCAAAGAGGTTTTTCTTAGTATAAGGGATGGGTTGTGATTTCAGCTGTGCCATTGCCGGTGAAATGAGGGGCTCCATGCGATAAGCGATTGGGTCTGTGGGATGGAAGATGTTGAACAGTTCATTGCATTTGGGCGACGAAGTAGTGATGGGTATGAGGCCGGTGGAGCTGTTCCCGGTGGCCAATTTCGATGTAGCACTGTCGAAAGGATCGTTTCGCATAGGGTCCGGGTCGAATGGTGATGTCGGCACGACAGTGGCTCCAAATGCACTGGCGCCACGAGAAGGCCGAGCGGCAATCGTCCTCCCCTTGAGCATCTGAAAGAGACCAACAGGCGAGCCGAGGGCAAAGAAGTTCTCCACGTCAAAGTCGAGACGAAGATCTTTCTGTTCGACCCCGTGCTCTCGTGATGTTTTGCTGGAGACCCGTCTCGGTCGAGTCTTGAGATCATCTTCTTGTCGGCACATGAGATCAAAGCAAATTGCACTCCCAAGAGAATGGCCACAGAAGCTGACTTTTCCTGAAAAGCCCGTTCGCTCTTTGAAGAGGTGGTAAACACGATTGGCCTCCTTTTGTACGATAGAGGCAATGTGTTCTCGGTAAGCACTTTGGTATAGGAGAACATCCAGAGCTAAATCGGTAATCAGGTTGCGCACCGCTGGTACCCCGTCCACCGTGATATCCTGCAATGAAGGATAATCATCATCGAATATGGCATCAGCATCTCCAATGTCATATTCTTTGCGGTTCTGCTTCAGACTTTGCTTGGGGAAATCGAGCATGTGTCGCCAACAGATAGGCAGCACTTGGACTCTGCAATTCTTCGGATCTCCACTTAGAGCCTGTAGGTCAGGAGCGGACTCATATACAGCTTTCATGGTCTTACGCAGAGTGTTGACGTCGTGGACAAAGTTGATGCTGTCGAGGCGAAGGCCAAGACGTTGGCCGATGCCGTGGGTCACGAGCACCAAGTGGTCAATCTGTCTTGCTTGATCTGCTCCATCTTTTTCCCTGGCGTCCTCCATTTCGCGTTCTTCCTGTTCCCTTGCTTCTTCCTCTTCGCCCAGATCGTTCGAGTCGTCAGCCTTGGGAAGGCCCGCCAGCGACGAGATCTGGCGTTCTAACGCAGTCCGCCGAGGCTTCTCGACATTGTCTTTGTTCTTTGCCTGAACTTTATCTTCTTCGGCGCCCGGCGTACCGTCTGGAGGAACTTTGGCAGACTTTCGCTTCTCTTTGGTGCTTGTTGTCTCCGTGGATTTTGAATCATCTTTTAGACCGACTTTCGGCGGATCGGCAAGCTTTATGTCAGACCAGCCGCGAACTACCTTCGTACCACCATATCCAATAAATCTGCCATAGACTGTACTGCTGACGCGCGAGAGGAAGTCATCCGTTGTCAGGTACGCTACCGTATCGTCCAGGTATGTGACGGTTGTGTTCATATGAGTTCCGAACAAGCGATATGTGTTTGGGCCTGAAGGGTGACCGTCGTCCTGTGAGGGAGGCGACTTGCCCAGCGTCTGAGCGGCGGAGCCGTCGATAATTGCCGAGTTGGGTCGACTCCTAGGTTGTGATGCTGAACGAGGGCTTTGAAGGTTCAATCGTCTCCAAGGTGCCACTTTGATATAGCCTTCTTCGAGTTGATTGGCTAAATTCTCGTCGCAAGGTCTCAGTGGATTTTCGGCATAGAACCAGGTCCCTCTGCGGACTTCGTACACAGGACCTAACCAGTAGGCAGGGAGAAGTTCACGCTTCTCAATATCAACATCATACAAAAAGTCTTCGTTAACAGGTACGGTCGTGACGACCGGGGGCTCATTAGCTCCATCTCTGTTCGGGTTCCTTTGAGCAAGGGTCTGGTATGCTTTCTCAATGCTCTGGGAGTCTGACGAAGAGAAAGGCACCAGTTTCTTCGGAACTGGCGGGGGTTTGGCCTTTTCTTCGGGTGTCGGATCCGGGGCGAAAGGTTTCCGTTTGGCCACATCGACAGCGTAGTACCATCTCGGCTTGAGAGGGGGACAGTCCTTGGGATATCTGCGGAGACTGGGAGATCGATTTAGACCGACGGTATGATCAAGGCCCGACGACTGTCTCAGAGCTGGGGATGCATCGACCGGTTTCGGTAGCGGTGACTTGGGCGGAGGGGTACTGCTCCGGGACCATGAGAAGATTGAGCTCGCCAGAGAGGACTTGTTGGCTGCTTCGGCCATGCCCTTGCGGACAGCCCTGATCAGGGCCGGGAATCGATCCAATATGACAGCATATAATTGGACGCCTCGTTAAGGGGAGGGGATGAGACGAGGCTGAATGTTAACCCTGGAGAAGAGCGTGAAAGAGGAGTTTTGGGTCGGTTGTGCAGTAGAGTACCGCGACAATAGGGGGTGAAGGGGGCTTTGTTCAATGGAGACCGTAAGGATACGATGTAAGATTGAGGATATCTGAAGTGTGTACGAGGTAGTTGACGATGGCAGCCAGTTGAGAGACCAGCTCACAGCTTAGCAGGTTTCCAAGAAGTGAAGCCAAAACAATAGCAGCCTTGCCAAGCCCCACGCTAGTCATGCCCAAGTGCCTAGTGGGCCTCCCCTCCTCCGGGCTCCCTATTACCTAGTAGGCTTTCAGCTGGGCGGCACCAGGCGGCGTTCCAGGTGTGACTAAGGCAAAAACTGCGCCACTGCCACCCAACTGCTGCGTCATGGAGCAATCGGGCCCCCCCATTGCAGCGAGGGACGCCCAATCGATCCGGGCTTACTGCACATCGTCCAAGTACTACAGCTTGCGACGCTTGACCCAGGCACCACAATAAAGACACATTCCATATCTTCTTCTTCCTCAATCTCCTTCTTCCTGAGTCAAGCTCAACTTCTCTTCTCTTCCTCTTCCACCTCTCCCTTTGGCTGCATTCCAGCCCCCTCCCCGTAGATTTTCCTCGCGTGTCGGCGGCTGCCCCTCCCCCTCCTCCCACCATGGCGGCCATCCTCAAACTTCAGCGCAAATATCCCCAGTTCCCTCAGAACGAAATCTTCCAGTTGCAGGATGCCTTTCGCAAACTGGACGTCGACGACAAGGGCTATCTTGACGAAGCCACCGTCATCAAGGCTACCCAGCAGTCAGAAAGGCAATCCTACGATGTAGTCAGACAGGCGTTGAAAGAGGTGGATCTCGACAGCTCAAGGCGAGTCGAATTAGAGGACTATGTCGACCTGATCGCAAAGGTCCGCGAGTCCTCTCCCGCGCAAAGACGCATGTCAGTGGGCGCACAGAGACCTGCGGCTGGCAATGGGCTTCCTTCTGCCCCCTCGCATGCTTCGAAACCCAGCCTCGGCGGAGGTGGGAAGATTCATGTTCAAGGCTCTTCTGCCAACGTTACGCACACCATCAATGAGGAAGAGCGAACTGCTTTTACCACCCATATCAATGCGGTCCTTGCCGGCGATCCCGACATCGGCCATCTCTTGCCCTTCCCAACCGATACCTTCGAGATGTTCGACCACTGCAAAGATGGGCTGGTCCTCTCCAAACTTATCAACGACAGTGTCCCGGATACCATCGACGAACGTGTGCTGAACAAACCGGGAAAGAAGATCAAGACTCTCAATGCATTCCACATGACTGAGAACAACAACATTGTCATCGAGTCAGCAAAAGGTATCGGCTGTTCCGTGGTCAATGTGGGTGCTGGGGATATCATTGAGGTTCGCGAGCATTTGATCCTGGGTCTGATTTGGCAGGTGATACGAAGAGGTCTTCTAGGAAAGATTGACATCAAGCTGCACCCTGAGTTGTACCGACTTTTGGAAGAGGATGAGACTCTGGACCAATTCCTTCGACTTCCGCCCGAACAGATCTTGCTTCGTTGGTTCAATTACCATCTCAAGAACGCCAACTGGCCACGACGAGTGGCCAACTTTTCCGGCGATGTCAAGGATGGCGAGAACTACACCGTCCTGCTCAACCAGCTGAAACCCGACATCTGTTCACGCGCTCCCCTGCAGACGCGAGATCTCCTCCAACGCGCTGAAGAAGTCCTCCAAAATGCCGAAAGGATTGACTGCCGGAAGTTCCTGACGCCAACCGCCCTGGTCGCGGGAAATCCAAAGCTCAACTTGGCCTTTGTTGCCAACCTCTTCAACACCCACCCAGGTCTAGATCCGCTCGAAGAAGGCGAGAAACCCGAGATTGAGGACTTTGATGCAGAAGGCGAGCGTGAAGCCCGCGTCTTTACCCTCTGGCTGAACAGTCTTGACGTCCAGCCACCGGTCAATTCCTTTTTTGATGATCTCCGCGACGGCACAGTTCTCCTCCAAGCCTACGACAAGGTCATTCCGGGCAGCGTCAATTTCCGTCATGTGAATAAGCCTCCTGCGCACGGCGGCGAAATGTCCCGGTTCAAGATGGTTGAAAACACCAACTACGCTGTTGAACTGGGCAAGCAGAATCGCTTCTCCCTCGTGGGCATTCAAGGTGCAGATATCACGGATGGCCAGCGTACCTTGACTTTGGGATTAGTTTGGCAGCTTATGCGCCGGGATATCGTGTCGACGCTTTCCGGGCTCGCGCAACGCATGGGCAAACGCGACCTCAGCGATTCAGACATGATAAAATGGGCCAATGAGATGTCCCGCAAGGGCGGCAAGAGCTCTGCCGTCAGGTCATTCAAAGATCCCGCCATTACAAGCGGTATCTTCCTGCTGGACGTCTTGAACGGCATGAAAGCGAACTATGTCGACTACGATCTGGTCACGCCCGGGAAGACGACCGATGATGCATATGCGAATGCCAAGTTGAGTATCAGCATCGCCAGAAAGATGGGTATGTATTTTCTGCGCCGTTTGTTCGGCTTTTAGATTCGTCGAAAGTGTCCTCACATACTGACGAGATTTTGTGTGAACAGGATCTACCATTTACCTTCTTCCTGATGATATTGTCCAAGGACGCGCGAGATTGGTGACCACTTTTGTTGGTAAGTTCTGCCAATAATGCTTCAGTCCTCCACTGTGGTGAAAATAGGTGTCTAACTTGGTAATCAATTAGGTGCTCTCATGCGGACGGCGGAGAAGATGGGCGTTTAAGCCGGTCACCTGCCACCTTTCGCCTTGCGCGGACCAAGGCTATGGAGGCTTTGACATTAATCTTCTGGCGACAATGCAACTATATGAAACTTCTTCGATGTATTCTTCTCTTTCCGCTGATCAGGACACGGAGGCTGGACCAAAGATGGGCTAGAGCCAGGATCAGAACCGAGAGTGCGGGAGGGAATCATAACGAGTCAGTAGCAAACGCTGAGCGAATAGCGAAGCGCCCTTGGACAAGAAAAATGGAGAGCCACCCTCTTTTTTCGTGGCGGAAAGCGAGCAGCGAGAGACACTTGATTGCATCTCCTGCTAGGGTACTACGATACTACGACGACACCTAAGTAGCGCAGACCGATGAGAAAAAGCAAATCAATCAATCACTCAACTGTTGTATCTTCCCGTCCCGCAAACTATGTATGTATGTACCTCCATAAGGAATTCCGGCCGACGACGACGCCAGGCACACCCGATTCTGAGGATTTAAATCCCTGTCGGGTAGTTAGTATTCTCCTAATCATTACCATTATCATTATCATTATTCGGGACGTGGGGACTCTGTCGGGAATGACGGAGCGTGATCGTGGAATTCACGTTCTGGAAAGCTTGAATGAATGGTTATCGCTCACTCTTCCAAAGCTTGTTCCGTGCAGTTACATCGTGGATTGGGGACTGTGGATCGTGGATCTTGGATCTTGGATATATGATATATGATAATGTGGAGAGAGAGGGAGAGACGTGTGGATATAGTTAGATATAGACGTAGATGCATGTAGATGTAGATGAGGCATGTATATGCTAGCTACCTGCCTGCCTGCCCAGTAATACGAAGTACTCATATCGAGGAGGGTGTGGTTGTCTGTCTATCCATCTACATACTACTTACTGACTGCCTGACTCATCGTGATCGAGGTACATAACTCGTCCCGAGTCCAGGTAGGTAGGTCAATCAATCAATCACTCAATCAATCGATGTGTGGCCGGCCGCCCACTACTGCACAAGTAGAAGAATGAAGGAAGGGGGCGCCGATCTGTCTCTATCTCCCTCTCTGTCTCTCTGTCTCCGTCTCCCAGGAGCCACGAGCGGCGGGGGTCACAGTCAGGCAGGCTCAGGACCAGAAGTGTATTAAATCAGATGTCACAATCTCGCTCCGTCTCTGCTTACAATGCGAAGCAAAACACCGTCAGCGTCAGCACCGTTCGGTATCGTCAAGAAACATTCAGGTGCTGTAAACTCCAAAGTCGACATCGCACTCACCACGCAAACGGCGTGTGTGTCTGCCTGTCTGTCACAACCACGCATGCATGGTCTCTTTTTGTTTCACCGCAGCAACAGCCACCACCACCTTCGCGGCCCAGAGAGACAGACTCCTTCCACGCCCCAATAAAGCGAAGGTGTCGACTTACTTTCCACCCTTCAAATGCTCCTCGAACCACTGGAGCGCAAACACGAAAGCACTCTCCTTGGCGTACACATGGACTCTGCTGTTTACGTCTCCTCTTACGGCGAAGCCATGCTCCACGCCACTGTACAGGTTGATCTGGTACGGCAGGCCGGTCTCCTTGAGGATGACCTCGCTTTCGTGACGTTTCTCGGGCGGGAAGATGTGGTCGGTCTCGGCGGCGGCAATGGCGAGAGGGCCCTTGATGTCGCGGAGCTCGTCGGCCTCGACGAAAGACGGGTGTGCGCAATAGCCGGCGTCGAATTTGCCCGAGTCCGGGCGCAGGTGTCGGATCACGTATTTCGCACCGAAGCAGTAGCCCACGGCGCCAAGTTTCTATATTGGAGGAAGAGAGTATGTGTCAGCACTCGTTCCTTGTTTCATTGAACAGAGCCATTCTGCTCCATCGAGCTTCTGTCCCATCTGTCTTCTCTCCAAGTGGACTATCTTACCTTGCATCCGTACTTCGTCCTCATCTCAACAATGCATGCGTCGACGATGGGGTCCACGGTGGGCGGCAAGTGAGCCGTCCCCTTGGGGTGATATCCGCCCTTCAACCACTTCATGATGTCGAAATCGCCAGGGCGGTTGAGGGGGATGGGGTCCTTGTCGAACAGATCAGGCATCATGACGAAGTAGCCGTTGGCGGCCAGCTGGTCCGCGATCAATTGGGCATTGTTGAAGCGGTGGCCGATCACATCGGTGATGCTACACAGCAAAAGTGGCTCGGGTCAGTTCAGTGAAACAGAGCCAGAACCGGACAGCTAGCAGAGGTAGTGGGAACATACATGAGGATGCCAATGTCGGTGCTCTTGTTCTCGGGATACTTTGTGTAGACCTCAAAATCACCCAGTTGAGAGAACTCGCCCGTAGGAGTGCCTTCGTGTTTGACGCCTTTGTAGCAGCAGGAGCCGGGAGGGTTGGAAGCCATGATGTTGACGGGATTATCTGACGAGATCTGATACGACGAGGAGAGAGGAGACCGACGAGGGAGGGGCCGTGTCTTTTATACAAGCCACGCAAGCTTTGCGAGGGTGAGATGGGATCGCTACTCCGCAGATTCGGGAGATGGATCTTTTGCTAAGCTGCAGGCAATGTCACCAATGCCCACCGGCCGTTGGAAATTGGGATCACGCAAGAGGAGTCACTAAGGAAAGGAGGGGCAGTCGATTCGAGTCCGGAAACCGATCCAGGGCCGATGCCGCATCGGCATGCTTCCACGCTGTTCTGCCTGAGTGTGCAGCACCGTCACTGGCCGTTGATAGGACAATCAATCCAGTCAAATCCCACACGTTGGGCGAGAGAGTGAGAGAGCCTCAATGTAATGCAGTAAATGCGATGCGACGCGCCCCGCTGGAGTTAATGTCGGAGATAAGTTTCCTGTTCGCGCCAGATGATGTCATGGGAGCGAAAAGTTCATGCAAGTTGAGAACGTTGGGAGCTAGTCCGTAAACAGGTCCATATCAGTCCGTCAGATTGCATGTGCACGGGAATGCCTCCGGACCGGAAGTCTCATTGCAAGCTCGTACAACCGGAAGTTCCGCTTAATTGTGCTAGGCAGACTACTAGCTGTGGTCTCCTTTCCACTAATTTAGAGAGCAATTAATATGGACTAAATCGAGCGTTTTGACCTCGCCACCGCCTGCTTTAACAGCCTTAGAGCTCGTTTATGCACACCTTTCGCTTGATCGCTCCGATAGTTTAGGCACCCGACTGAGAGACATTCATAGATTCCGATTCCCGTAGAAAGTACTAGGCAGTAATATCAAAGCAATAGGGCTTCCCAAGGTGAGCCATACAAAACAGGCGGAGGCGAGGTCAATGATAACGCGAAGAGATGGATGAATGCAGTGAAGAATTGGATCCCATACAATTTTGGTGTGGTCAGTTCTACCGAGCATCAAGCGAACTTGCGGTCCGGAGGCATTCCCCGTGTGCACACCCAAGTCATCCCTGAGAGCTCCTCCGAGCATCCTCCACTAGAGAATATACCTGAATGAGTTGCCATAGTTTTCCTCTCCCACACTCGTGTCAGCCTTTCCACCTGTCGTCCTTTGCATCTCGGCACCGCCCGGGGAGCCATACTTCTTGTCCAGCCTCTTGTTCTCCCACACCAAGAGCGTTCTCAACGACAAGGCCAGTAATGCGTTGAAGAACATAAATGCTGCGCAGATACTCTGTCCCTCGACGTAACGCGGCTGTTGGGATTTAGGAAATATCCTGGTTCCGAGGAGTGGCCCACATTGACCGACCAGGTTGAGGAGGACGATTCCCATCCCCCGGCGACTATCGCTTCCCTGGTTGTTGACAACCCACGGCAAGATATTGGCGATGGCAGGGAATACGCCGGACGCACAGAGGAACGTGCCAAAGTATCTCGGAGCCACCGCCGTGCACGTTGCGAGAAGGATATACCCAATGCCCGCCACACAGCTGAGGAAGGCGATCATCAAGCCTCGTTGCTGAGTTCGATCCGCAATCCAACATGTCAAGACTGTGACAATGGTGGAGATGAAATACGGTGGTGCCGACAAACCTTGAGCGTTGATGGACGAGAAGCCCATCTGGTTGAGGATTGTAGGCAAGAAGACTGGTAACGAGGAGTAAGAGACATTGCACGAGAAATACATCAACTGGATTCTTTGTCAGTCGGCTACGCTCGGTTCAATGGGTCGGGGGACTTGCCGCTGTAAACCACGCTTTGGCGTCAATCAGCGTTTGGCCAATCTCCTTGATACTGACACGGTGTTTTCCTTCCTCTTGGTGACCATGCTGCCGAATGACCCTCGCTTTGGCAACCTCCTTTTCTTCCGCAGTCAAGAATCTGGCAGTGGTTGGGCTATCGGGAAGGAAAAACCACGCAATTGGAGCGGCGAGGATGGTTGGGATGCCTTCCACAAGAAAAAGCAACCTCCACTTGGCAATACCTGGATGGCCACTTGTGATTCCGTAGGCCAGAGCGCCCGCGAACGTGTTGGCGAGAGGAGCAGCTGCGAGGAAAATCCCACTGCGGAACCCATGCTCGTGTCTGAGGTAGAAGAAACTAAGCAGGTATGGGATGCTGGGCCCGAAGCCCGCCTCGGCGGCACCGAGCAGGAACCGTAGAGCCATCTCCCCGCCCCATGACTGGGTGGCAGCTTGACAGGTGGCCACAATACCCCTGAGGTCGTTGATAAGGGTCTCCCGGGTTTTGACTGGGGAAGGACTTACCAGGCAAGAGTGATAAAGCAAGCCCATGTATGTGGCTTTCTGGTGTCTGTCAGTGAAGCTCAATCGGTAAATCATTCGTCCCGGGCGAGCGCTTACATTATTTTCCACATGAACCCCTGCAGTAGACGGTCAGTCCGACGGACAGCTGAAGTGGATGCGGCTATGAAGGCGCACCTGGAATTGGAACACAATGTATGATATGTAGAATATGGTCAACAACCAGTCATACCGATTACCGGTTAGATCGAGGTCGTCTTCCATACCAGCAATACGCGCGTTGCCGATGTTTGAACGGTCGAGGAACGAGAGCAAAACTGCGAGCTGTCAATGAGGTGGCCATTTCACGAATTAAAGTACAGTCATGCTTCGGCAAGGAGCTCTGTCAAAAACAGTATTGTCCAGCAGAGCGAAGACAGAAGCTCCCCGCCCAGAGACTGGAATTGCAGGGGACTTCTACAACTCAGACAGTATACCCTTTCCTCCAAGACAAAGCAATCCAGTGTGCGACTTACACAAGAAGGTCACCAGTGGAGTCACACGGAGGTCGATTTTGCGCACAACTCTCCTCTCCAATGCAGGATCGATTCGTACATTGGCTGCAGCCGACTCTTGGAGCTCAAACCCTCCATCTTTCTCGATATCCTTCGAGGTTCGAGGTTCTGACGATGGGCCGCTTGTGTGTGAGACAAGCCCTGTGGGAGCCACATGTTGGGCTTTGAAAATGCCCATATTGCTGGGTGAGTTCTTGATCTGGGTGTAAACGGGGGAAGGAAGGACGGAAAGACAGAAGAAAGGAACACGAGTCGCAATGTTTAACCAAAAGGCGGAAAACTCAACATGTAGGGTCGCGTGCTTGTCCCAGGGCGAAGATCGTACATCAAGCAATGAACTCATACGCTAGAACAAGCGGAATTTGTTGAGCTTGTGCTTCGTGGAGTACAAGCATTTGTGCGAGGCTTGTTTGTGGCATGGACACCAGCGATCTGCACTGCAGCAGTGTCGGCGTCTAGCACCCAAGAGAGCAATGATCACACTGCGGGGAGCAGGAAGCTGGCCGATCATCGCCATTCTGCACCTGTTACAGTTCTGGTGGCAAGGAAAGGCGAATGCCGGAAGTAAAGCCGTCGTTGCTGGTCATTGGCGTTGGACCTACGCAATGAAGCATATTCTGGAAAGATGCCATGTGGTTCCCAGTAGTAGTTGGAAGTCTGTGATGTGACTCAGTCACTAGGCTGGTGTACATACAGTAAGTAGAGTAGGTGTCAGGGCGAGGATCAGGGGTCGCCGCCAACTACCTGCACTGTAATACGAGGTACGAGGTCGAGATGCCGCCAGTGGCATGGAGTCACGTGCTCAGATCTTGGCACTCCTCCTGCGAACACTCTCACCTCACATGCAGCTTTGTCAAATGGCCCCCAAGCTATCCATGCCATGTATCGACTACTATACTAGCTCTCTTTAGAGGTGCCCTGGTGTGCAGTACCTCGTCCGGTCAGGCTCCAGCACAGCCCCGTTCAACCTCCCATAAACCTTCAGTACGACGTACAAATACCTACCTAGTACATGATGCCTCCCAGGCGCCCTCCCAAAGCCAGCCATTGCCTACGTGATCCCGTCAACATAGAACCGCACAATGGCTGTAGTGGTGGTCAACGAGCAAGGCTTCCGGGAAATAGCTCAGGGAGACCCATTTCAGTATGGCCATCTCGACTTGGAGAACGAAGAGCTTCGTTTTCTTGTCCTACAGCCACGTCCAGACGGTGCCGGACTGGACGGACTGGTTAGCTGCACCATGGAGACCCAACCACTGGGTAGTGCCGATCCCTTCATCGCCGTCCGGAATGCTCGCGGATACCGTTTGCTCCAAGAACTGATCCTTGTCGATGGGAAGTGCCTCATGGTCTCGGTGGCGTTGGAGAGATTTCTGCGACACTTTAGTCCACCCGGTGACAAGGCTGTGAGACTCTGGATCCGCTACATTTGTGTCGACCAGGAGAACCCAAACGAGATGGATCGTTACTGGACCCGCCAATTCCAGGATAAGATGTACGAGATGGCCGAATCGGTGGTCGACATGCAACGCTTTCTGCGAGACCTGATGGACCGACAAGTGTTTGAAAGGGTGATTGACTCTCGATACAGTAAGTGGACCAAAAATTGGCACGAGATGCCAGAGAAATGGCCTCTGCCACAGGTCTTTCCAATCAGACTCGGAACCAAACCCTCTGCTGAGCAACCAACCCAAACGTATCAGTATGTGCCTCTGGACACCGTGGCCGACGAGACCCGCATCATTGTGATTGCGCCCAATGAGGACAAACAGGCGCCATTGTCGCTCTATCTCGCGCATTGTCCACTTGCCTCCGACGTACGCTACCACGCGTTATCCTATGCGTGGGGGGACTCGGAAGACAACGTCGAGGTCACCGTGATGGGCCAACTGATGCACATTCGAAAGAATCTGGATCGCGCCCTCCGAAGCCTTTTGGGGTCTTCGTCGGTCGGCTGCGCCGTGTGGGCAGATGCCATATGCATCAATCAGTCCGACACGAGCGAGAAGAACCACCAGATCCCTCGCATCGCCGACGTCTACGACAGTGCCGCCTGTGTGGTTTGTGACGTCGGCGAGGCAGACCAGTATAGCGACCTTGCCCAGAACTTTGTCGAGCATCTCCAAGACCCCGTCATCCGCATGGACGACGACTACGAATTCATCGTCGGCAAGCCAGATCGGATCGACCCCGGCGAGATCCCCCGACTCTGTGCTGCCTTGTACCTGTTCTTGACACGGCCTTATTTCCGGAGAGTATGGATCCTTCAAGAGGTGGCTTTGGCCTCGTTTCCAGTCATTCTCTGTGGGGTACGAAGCACCACCGCCTTTGAAGCCCTCGATACGGCAGCGGGCAATCTGTGCGATATGTTAGCACGAGACCCAGACCTTGCTGAGAAAATGAAAGAGTCTACTCCCGATCTGCGCAGCGTTGATCCAACCCAGCTCCTCTTCATACGCAAGCTGCTATACTTTCGTCACCTCCACATGGGCGGGATCCGCCCGGACTTTATTAGAAGCGATGTCAGAGACACCGCGCCTGGATACCTCGAGGCGGCAATCCTTGCCCGAGATTTCGAAGCTTCAATCCCACACGACAAGCTGTTTGCGCTGTGGAATGTTGCACGCGACAAGGTTGGCTTGGACTTTACCGCAGACTACTCACGCCCCTACGAGGAGACGTACATGGACTTTACCAAAGCTTGGTGTGCCCGCAGCGGGACTCTCGATATGATCGCCGCGTCCGAGTTTGCGCAGCCTGTCGATGGTCAGGGGGTTTTTTATTCGAAGGCATCTTCGTGGTGTCCGGACTGGAGCACCCCGTCCCTCTCGAGTTCCCTCGTCCGTCGTGAGAGGTTTCGGTCGCAGCGGATGTCCATGCAGGATGACATCAACGGCAGAGTCTACTGTGCCGACGGCGGTGTGCTTCAGCAGCCGGACGAAAATAAGTATTTTGAATTTGAGGGGAACACGCTACATTGTATGGGCGTCATTCTTGACAAGGTGGACGGCATTGTGGCCAGCAGAAGCGCGCATCTTCCCTTGGAAGCGGTCGTCCCGGGGTTGATGGGGTTCTGCAAAGACTTCTTCGCCCAGCACAATCTCACCACCTACGACGACGTGGCGCAAGCTATGGTAGCAATGGTGCACGGGGACTGCATAGGTTCCTGGCCAAAAGAAGAGGACGGGAGTTCCAAGATATCTCACGACGAGGACATTTGGACGGCGCCGTACGCTTGCATCCCGTTTCTTCCCAGGCGGGCGCGCGACCAGAACCCCCATCGATCTCGACACGTCCCCTGGTACGGCGGGGGCTACTCGTCGCTGGAGGCGTGGGACGCGGTGCGCACCATCATGCGCGGACGGCAGCTCTTCGTCTCAGACCAGGGGTATCTGGGCCTGATACCGGACTACGTCGGCGCACTGGGGGAGGACCGCAACTCCTTCGGCCAGGGCGGGCCGCTGCACCTCGCGATCCTGGCGACGTGTTCCGTCCCAGTACTACTGGTCGACCACCCGGAGATTGAGGGTGCGTACCGGTTCCTGGGGACGTGTTTTGTGCAAGGGTGGATGGAGGGGGAGGTCCTGAAGGGGAGAAACGGATGCAAAGAGCCGGCGGAGTTTTGGGATGCGATGGTAGGCAGCGAGAAACTCCGGATTGTATGAGATGTGTAGAACGTCGAGGCTCGTGGGTCGTTTCGCTTATCGTGGCTAATCACCACTAAGCGAATTGCCCGTGTACACAGCTACTTATATAAGGCTAGCATACTACCGTCTGTCAAATGTATATGGAGGTAGGTAGGTACGTCGCGTAGGTAGCTCTAGCGACAAACTACTTCTCCTCCGACCATGACAAATGTCAATATCAACGGCAACATCAGTGTCTTCAGAAGAACACATCATATGTCCGCCCTGATAGAAACCACACACCCCGTACACACATACACACATACACTCATACACACACCCCTATGAACCTGCTTGTGTCAGGTCCTCAATCCAACACCCTCTCCACCTCGACCTCCACGGGGACGCCAAAGCCATGCTCGCCGCCGACGCGGTTCTTCTTCTTGCCGACCTTTTCGATCTCGTGGAGCAACGGGTTCAGGGCCGCGGGCGCGGTCATGGGGTCCCCGCCCTTCTCCTGGCGGGGGCACTGGACGACGAGCACGACGCCCTGGCTGAGGCCTTTCTTGCCGAGGCCCGGGGCCCAGCGCGCGGCGAGTTTGAGACGGTCCTTCCCCCCGACAATGCGCCCGGCCGGGTACACGGCGCCGACCAGCCCGGCCAGCGCGCCGAGGTAGTTCGCCCAGAAACCCTCCTGGTGGGTGAGCACGGCGCGCAGGCGGGCGTGCAGCGCGTCGTGCGGTGGGGGGAGGTCGACGTTCCAGCGCGCGCAGAGCGTCAGGGCCAGGATGGCGCGGTCGGCGTGCGCCAGGCCGTGGGCAGCGGTCAGCACGCCGGTGATGGGGGCGTGCAGGGCGGCGAGCGAGCGCGTCTCCTTGGGCAGCGGCAGGTGCAGGTACATCATGTCGGCGACGGCGCGGACGAGGGACGGCGTGAAGGACGCCGGGAGGGAGCGGTCCAGGTGGTTCGCCCCGGGCAGCCCGGCCCACAGCAGCGCGGCGAGGTCGGCGGCGGATGACGTGCCGTACGGCGCGGTCGCGGCGGGCAGGGGGTCGAGGGCGCGCGTGGGGGCGTCGAGCGTGTCGAACAGGAAGCCCTCGCGCACGCCGCCCTGGCAGAAGCGCACGTGCTGGATCATGGGCAGGGCGTCGACGAGGACGTGGACCAGGAAGGCGACGGCGGGGACCTGCGCGGCGCGGCGCGCGGAGATGCGAAAGATCGATTCCCCCGCCGCCGCGGCCGCCGCGGCCACGGCCGTGAGGGCGCCCGTCTGCTGGAACTCGCGCTTGGTGACGCTGAACCCGTTGATGATGGGGATCGGGTACGGCGACACCCGGCTGTGCTGCGACATGAGCAGGTAGCCCCAGCCGCGGAACCCGCCGCCGGAGAGGTACAGCGTCAGGCCGCCGTGCTGGGCCTTGTGGCGGAGTGACTCAGGGACGGCTAGGTCGTCGTAGGCCTGGCGGAACTGCGCCTTCATCTCCTCGGCCAGGAGTTCCTGTTGCTGCTGCTGTTGTTGTTGGGGTGATGATGCTGACTGCTGGACGCCGGGGGACGTGTGCTGGTGTTGGTCGGGAGCAAGGGAGAGTTCTCGCAGTCGTCGCGTCATGGCGGCCGCGCCGTAGGGGAACGAGATGCTGCCCTTGGGGCTGGTCTGGACGTGGCCATCTTTGGCGATCATCCAGGTGATTTGCGTGCTTCCTCCTGGATTCGGGTCAGTCGGTCAACGGCTCGCTCCCACCCTCCCCAGGAGAAGACATCGACGGTTGTACATAGACGGAGACGGATAAAAGAGTGAGGAAGAGAGAGAGAGAGAGAGAAACAGTCGCCACCCACCGCCCAGATCCATGACCAGCCCCTCGACCTCCGCAAAGCTGCTGGCCACGCCCATGGCGCCGATGGTGCCCTCGGCCTCCTTGGGCAGCATGTCGACCTCCCACCCGGTGGCGTCCTTGATCTGCTGGCGAAAGTCGACCGAGTTCTCCGCTGTGCGCGTGGCTTCGGTGGCCAGCACGCGGATGTTGGGCTCGGGCACGCCAAAGTCGGCACACGCCGTTTTGAACTTGGTCAGCGACGACAGCACGGCGTCGATGGTCTCCTGGGGGATGGGGCCCCGGACGCCGCCCGACGAGTACTGGGCGTCGAAGAGCGAGATGCCCTCGCGGTCCTGGTAGACGGTGGGCAGAGACCGGGCCGTGGCAGGCGAGAGGTCGGTGATGGAGAACCGGATGCCATTGCTGTCGCGTAGTTTGTCGGTATATGTGAAGGTATGGATATAGAGATACAGGTACCTACCTGCCCATGTCCACCAAGCCATAGAGGCTGCTTGGCGACGGCGTGCGCAACGTCATTGTGGTGGGAAGCGGACCCTCACAATCGGAGATGTATGTATTCGCTCAACGGCGGGAAACCGAGTACGAGGGATGAGGAAAAAGTCTGCTTCTTACATAGAGGCAGCGACGGGCAGAACAGAAGAAATTTCTGTTCACGTAATAGTAATAGTTGGACGAAGTCGCGGCGCGCACGTGGGAATTCCTCCACAGGTGATCCGCCACACTACTAATGAAGATACACATCCCGAAACACCCATTCCCTGCCAAAAACATCAAATATCCAAGGTCATGGTCGCCGTGGCCGCCCACCTTCCGGAAACAGAGGCACATACTCGTCCTACGAAATCTCCTCGTCGTCCTCTGGGTGGAAGGCGTCTCCAAACGCCGAGCCCTCCATGCCGTCCAGGTTCAGATCGTCGTCGTGGTCATAACTGGCAAGCGCATCCCCTGCCGTGTCCACTTCGATGTTGTCAAAATCCCCTCCCATCCCGAAATCAGGAGTGTTCAGTGCCCCATCGGGAGGGGCCTGAGCTGGGGCTTGCTGAGGCTGATCGGTGCTCGGCCCATGAGACTGGTTGTCGGCACGGTCCTCCACCACGGGGCTTTGATCATGGTGACCGTCCTCTGGCATTTCCGGGATTTCCAGCTCGTTCTGGCCTCCGTCTTCCCCAATCATGACCCACTCGTCGGCGTCTTGGTGGGCATGGTCACCATGATCGGTGGGGTCATCCATACCATCCATGTTCACGTCCGTGACGATATCGTCCATTTGCAGAAGCTCTTCGACTTGCTGGCTGGCATCTGCTTCAGGCTGCTGTTCCGGACCCGTCGACGACGCCGTTGGGGCTTCAGGTGGTGTGGGGAGTGTTTCCGCGGTCGCTTGGCTTTGCAACTCGCCCGTGGCTACAGGGGTGTCCTGCAGCTCTTGCTTGGGCTCCTCCACGGGCGTCACGGCCGGCTGTGTTTGTGGTCGTGGTTGTGGCGGTGCCGGTGGCTGTGGCTGTGGAGGTTGCTGGGTGCTGACGTTCTCTGCACTGGGAAGAGGGTGAACACTTGGCGGCGGTGAAGTAACCACCGGAGGCTGAGGCACAGTTGGGACTGCAGCGACCTTGGTTCGCTCCTCTAAACCTCCTCGTGAAATGAGCTTGACCGTATTGGTCTTGGTCAGCTTCTGGCCCACCACCGACTCGACTGATTCCATGATTTCGTCAATCGCATCACGCGAGACGGTGTCGGCATCGGCTGAGGTCCCGTCTTTCGAGATACTGGGTCTCTCGGCCCCATCCGACACCGTTCGCAGCTTCTTCTCGGCCGCCGTCAATTTCGTGGATCGACGCAACTTTTCCATTCTCCGTGCGTGTCTGTTCCTCATTTCTTCCAGTTCCTTTTGCATATTGGCGAGTTTTTCCGAAGCGCGCTTGAAGAAGTCCTCGGCGCGCCCTGCAGGCATTTTACCAACTCGTGGCGGCGGCCCGTCACTCGACTCTCGCGCCACCGACACGGGCGCATCGAAAAAGTCTTTGGTCAGTTCTTCCAGCGGGCCCTTCCGTCCAAAACCCAACTCACTGGGAATGATGGAGAGAGTGGGGTATGGCGATTCGATCACCTCCTCCATCCATTCATGGTGTTGCTCATAGCGCACGCGACTGATGTCTCGAGGGGACATGAAATCAAGCAAGTCCCCGCGAGAAACGTCTTCTTCGTCCTCCACCGTTGGGTCTGGGGCCATGCTCGGACCCCTTCTGTGACCGACCCCGGGTGGCATGTGCCCTTGAGGCGGTCCTCTGGCCACCCCGGGAGGCAAGTGCATCGTGGGCCAGTTAGACCGATCGTGCAGCATAAACTCTTTTCGGGGCAGCTGTCCTTGGCTCTGGATCATGCGACGCTGTTGCAGTTGCGCGTGCACATGAGGCATGATCGGGATGTTGGCGGCGGGGACGTGGTCGCGTGGAGAGGCTTTGGAGTAGTGCGTCAGCCATAAGCTGGGATCGGGGTTTGGGAGGCCATGGGCCGGGTTCCCAGGAAGTAGTCGATAGCGCCGTCTGCAGTGTGTAGCCATGATCTCGCCCGTGGCTCGAAAGCCCGCTCTCTGCAGAAACATTTCCAGAGTCTGTCCGGATACAATTAGCCCTGGGCCCTCAAGACGGTCGATGATTGCCCTACATATCCCCGAACTTCGGATTTGTACACATGTTCCACATCTGCCCAGATGAAGCCATCACTGGCATAGCTTGTGCCCAGGTATTCGAGCGGCTGCCACTCGAGGATCAACGTGCCGTCCGCCGGAGTGTCGATGAACTGCCATTGCATGGGCTGGAGGTCGCGCACGATCTTGGGCGCTTCCAGGAGGTATCCAACGATGGTGTCGACGGCCGGGTTGCTCGTGATCGGGTAGCGATACTTAGAGACCAGATGCAGATGGGGCAACTGAGTGTGTTGTGTACCAGTCAGTTCTCTTGCGCGGAATTCAATCCAGGGTGAGGATTTTGCAGCAAACTCACCAGCTGCGGCGGGATGCCGGCTGCCGGGTCTTTCATCATCGGATTCATCTTGAAGCAGAATGCGACCAGAGCCGGGCGATCGATATCATGGACAGGACAACAATGAGGCTGCGAAGAGGTTGTGCACCAAAAAAGCGGCAGGTCAAAGCGCGCCTGCGACTGCGACGCGATCAATGAATTTTGGACGAGGCTGGGTTCTTGGCGCGGCAGCCTGATCACGTGCCGGCTTTGCAGACCCGCCAGCCTCGTCGCCGTCTACTTATAGAGGGTCTTGCCAGAGCCAGAAGTCATTGGTTCGAAAAGAGTAATCATGCCTCGAGAGATGGGTGTGCAAATTGCTTGTCATAACAACTCTACCTCCCCCCTCTCGACGCCTTTCCTGACGTCCTTCCATCTCACCACCCAGACCTCGCCTCTCCTCAACCTCAGCACGACACTGGCCCCGTCTTCCTGGCCCTGGTCCCTTGCCTCATCGACATCCCGCTCGTTGTTCCACGTGCCCTCATTCAAGCACCTCACGACCACGGCCTTGGAGCCGTCGGGCCCTTCGATCATGGGCACCCCTCCGCTCGAGTCGTCCATCCTCCGTAGGCCCGCCGGCAGTGAGTTCAGGAAACTCGAATCGTAGAGGTCGCCGAGCAGCGCTTGGTGATGCCGCAGAAAAGCAACTTCGGATGGTGACATGATGGCGGACGTTTTGGTGTCGGAATTCAGATGTTGAGAGAGGTAATAGGTGGCGTATTTGGTCATCTTGGCGAGTCGTTGTCTCAATAAACTCCTCACGAGGAATTGTGTGCGGGACAGATCCGTCTGTAATATGGCGAGGACGAGGTTGGCATTCTGTGTGCTGCCGCCAGCTGCTCCCGTCGACTTGGGGTAATCGTCGCCCATCCCGCTCGCGAGATCTTCAATACGCGATATTTGTGCTTGGACACGCGCCAGGACGCGATTCATGAGCTCTGTGGGATAGGGGAGCAAGTCCGGGGCGCAGCGCTCCGAGGTCCATGCGCGTGTGAGGAGCTGATGGTCTATAAAGGCGTCCGTGTCACTGATAGAGTATGGGTGTGTTGTTGTTGAGTAGGGTTGAGAGTGCGAGACATCCGCAAGGATATCTGAGATATCAACGTCCATTGCTCTTCACAAATAGCCGGCCCTTTCCAAAAATAAAAAATGAAAAATAGATAAATGGATAACTCTGTGGACGACTGGGCAAGTATCGGTCTCTTTTTAATAGGGGTAGTGTCGACGCGGTCACAGACGGCTGCAACCAACGTCTCAGGCTCAGTCTGAGTTGCAGAACTGGGGAGACAATAATGCTTGACACCACCTTAGAGCACCTCTGTGGTTGTTCTTGGATCGGACTTCATATACTCTGGAGATTTGGTTGGGCTGTTCTGATAGTGATCTGTTTCGAATGGACTCTTTGATGTCGAAGTTCAATCACGAAAATGGCGTGTCTGACAGGTCCTTGGCAAGCAAAAACCACCGCCCACTACACATCAATATGTACTACTAGGCAGTATTGATGTGAAAAATCATGGATGTTCTATGTCGGTACCTCGTACATTTGGCATATCATATCGCATGATTAATCCTCATTTTGCCGTGAACCACCATTGCTGGATGTGATGAGAAGGTGGTACAATATTTTCAAAACTCCACAGCATCAACATCAAAGCAACATCGGAACAATAATACCTCCATCATGCGAGTGACCGTCCATATGGAGAGCCCACTCGCGGGAAATTGTGTCATAAATTCATCCGAGCTGGAGTCAGCTTCCTCTCCTTTTCCAGCACATCTCCTTCACAGCGTCTTGTCACCAAACCGTTAGCCAAGGTGGCAACCTCGAGGCGTTCGAAAAAGCCTCCTCTGTCTCCTTGAGGCTCGCCGTGGCCTCGGTTGAATTTGCACGCGAGTACTATGCGTAACGTCCAGGCCGTCCCAGCCGTAGATTTGCCTCTGTATAGCTGCAACCTTAGACAGTTCGTGCTCTGTCCCCTTGAAATATCGTTGCCAGAAGAACTCTTGCAACATGCTTGGTTTGCTTTGGAGGGTTAGGAGGTGTCGGGCACCCAGAGTACTTTCAAGTCCTGACGCCATCACCTCCTTAGGAGCATAACTAGTAGGGCCTATAGTAAGTCTGCTTGGCTGTGCTAATGGGAATTAGGGGCAATGGGGGGTTGGGGGGTTCTGTCTTGTTCTTGGAACGTTTGGGGTCATCTCGTCCCCGTTCAGTGGGAATTGGGAGCACATATGTAGGCTGCTGTATCCGTGTGCGTTACAACATCTGTCCAAGTGTATACCTATATATACATCCATAGCTTTATTAGCCTAGTGTAGCCGTCCACTAGACCAACGTGGGCCGCTAACACTAGAGCTATTACTGTAATACCCTTCACTACTCGGGCTCTAATTAGCGAAGGTATAGCCAGGTACATCCTCCGTCCGTTCGGCCTCGAGAGCCCCCCTTTCCCCCCTTTTGGTACCCAGCTTATCCCTTTGAAGACAAGAAAGAAACACAAAAAGAACCCAACTAATTGGCCACGATTACTACTGACCCCAACTAATAATTGACTTCACGTACTAATGATCCGAGAAAATTAGGTATCATTGAGGTAGGTGAGTGAGTGAGCACTGAGAACCCCTTCCACGACCGACCGACCAACCGCCGACTTGATCCGCTCGCTCTCTCTCTCTCGCCGTTTAGACATGGCGGCGGCATTTAGGTGCATTTGAGACCGTTGATTTGATGGAAGAGCGTACTCACTTACTTACTTACCCATGGCGATTGTCGGTGGAAATGGAAATTCCAGGGGCCTCAAACCGAGGAATGCAAATGAGGATTAAGAAATAGCGGACGCAGCTGGGGACGCTGGTGAAGCCGAAGCCACAGTAACCGCGATTCGACACGGCCCGGCTTGAGAAGAGGACGGGAAAAAGTAGTATATTCATACGCAGCCAGTAGACATTCACCTTTAGGATCTCGGCGATGGTAACCCAACAACGCTAGAATAGCCGAGATTGTCAACGCACTGCGCTGTGATATTCCCCCCTACTTCGCTGTATGGATCTCAAGTCGAAAACTTGTCCAGCTCCCCCTATGCAAGAATCTCAGTCCATTACCGCTCAAAGTCGAAGAAGTGGACGGTAACTGGTCGACCGTACGCCATGCCGATGCTTGTCCCATTCCATCCCTGAGTGCTCCATGCACATGAATGTCATTTGCCGTCGTTCGTCATAAAGCTCGTGCCATCCGATCCCTCCAAACATGGTCCTGCCGTGTATGCGCCACTGCGGGAAACTTGACCAAAGCAGCCTGGACGTGTGGAATCATTCCTCTCAAGCCAAGTACTGGTAGGACGGTTTCGCCGGATCCGGACCCCGCTCCAAGTATTCCTTCTCTATTAGTGACTCGATCTTCTTCTTGATCATGTTCACATCCGGGTGAAAACGTGACGAGATCTGGCCCAGAGTCTCCGTCATGAGCTGTGAATGCGACAGAGTCTTGCGTGACTTCATGATACGGACTATCGCGGCCTCGATGACGATGCCACGCTCCTCTTCTGTTCGCTTCTGAGTCGCACGCCGCTCCTCCGAGTTCTCGACCCGGTTGCCACCACCTGCCACCACACTCACTTTGATCTTGAGAAATTGGCTGGTGAAGTCTTCGTTGAAGAAGAATTTGTCTGTCGGCTTGACGTCCTTCGACACCGGCTCTTTCCGGAGAACTCGCCATTTGGTCACCAATGACAATGACTGCAGGTTGCGGATGAGCTCAGACTTGGGAATGTTGGTCTCGGCCGCTATCTGCTCAAAGGTGAGGTATTCCCCGGGCGGCAGATCGTTGAAGAGCATGAGAATGACCATGGCGTAGGTCGAGACGTTGAGTTCGTATCGTCGGGTCTTCCCACCATTCGTGAATGTCGCCCTCATGTCAGCGTCTCCAAGACCGGGCATCCATGTCAGCTTTCGACCAGTATGCTTATCAAGGTAGAACTTCTGGAACCGCTGTCGCACCTGTTCCACTGGAGCTGGGAATTTGCAATCGACCCTGGTGGAGTCCTCGTCAGGTTTGTTGAGCGTTTCGAACGGCCAGATAGTGGTGGTCAAAACTCTGCAATCCAGCTCGACGCGTTTGGGATCGGGGTCGCCGAGTTGATTGACGTATTCCTTGTATTTCATGTTGAGATCGTCCGATGTCTCGGTGTCCCTGATCAGACCCTCCAGCTTCTGGGTGAACTGGTTTCCAATCTTCATCTTCATCTTCGAAAGCATCTGGCGTTCCATTTCCCGGCTGACTGATTTCTTCATCAGGAGCCGCTTGGCCATATGCCTCTTGTAGTATGTCTCAAACGTATCTTTGTTCGCAAGGTATTGAAGAAGTAAGATGCCGTTGTCAAGGATCGTGTCGACTTCAGCATCGCTCTTGTCCTTGCCGCCCCGTTTTAGATATTCATCCAGGAAAAGGGACAAATGCTCCGCGCTGCGATCGTTGATATTGATGAAATCCTGGAACGAATTCTCAAGGGCTTTCTCAAGAACTGCGTCTCTCTGGAATGCTTCAATCCAGAGCTTGTCGAACTTGGTCTTCAAGACCAGAATCTGTTCCACCCACACAATGGCGGCCTGGGTCTGTTGGCTCAGCGCCTTCTCCTGCTGAATGCCTCTGCCTTCGCCACCAGCTTTCTGAGCGGCTTTTGGCGCAGGTGCCGTATCAACAATCACATTCGCAGCTTTGTTGATATCCATCCCAAGCTCTATCACCCGCTTCTTAACCACATCCCTCAGCGCAGTTTTCAGCGGATCGACCCTGCTGATGAGCTCATAGACATTGGAAAGATCTTGAATCTTGTCACTATCCAGCATATTCTGTACCCCGGTGCCCTCCATATTGATGACGTCGCGAATATGGGCCGAGATAAGTTCAGTTTCCACTACAGCTTTGATTTTTTGCTCTGTAAGTGGGGAGATAGTCTGTTGGCAACGCTCTTGTTCTTCGGCGAGCCGTTTTCTGGCGTGGGTGCAAAAAGTACTTGCGTCAGCCTCGACCAAGAGTGTACGGCCTTCGGTCGAATAGAACTCTCGACTCGCTTGGAGAAACTTGGGTTCGAATGATGTGATGTATAGTTTGCTGGATTCATCCTCGGTGAACTTTTCGTAGAGACCCTCCAGCATGTAGCAACATGCACGAATCAGCGGTCGGTCAATGATTTCGCCTTTACGTTCTGATCTGATCATATCAAGAAGGACAGTTTCCAATAGGGAGAGAATAGAGCCCGTCAGATCATTATCTAAAGGAGTGTTGAGGATCTGGGTTCGAAACAGCGCCATCGACGCTACGAAAATTGATGGTCTCTTCTTCTCTTGGGCAAACATGCGGTCCTGGTGAGGCTATAAGCATCGTATCAGCGCAGCGGAGACAATTCGAGGACACTAACCATATACATGAGAACGTCGGTAATCATCCCGGTGAAGAGTTGATGGTCGGCAAAGGCGTCGTTGAGAGCCCTGATAAACCTCTCGCTAGCAACTCTGGTCTCCTCGGACACGGCGGCGGCATTTTGCTCCAGACGACCAGCTAAAAGAGCAGGCGTTATGAGGTGATGTATCTTCAGCCGCACGTTTTCCCGCAACCAAGTCTCTATCAATTGGACGACCCTGTCATACAGCATGTCCTGCTTCTTCTTCAAGACCAGCTTGTATGCATTGCGGAAGAGTTCTTCGAAGGAGAGTTTGGAAGCGTTTTTGGCGAAGATCTCTTGGAAAGCGGTGGATAGAGTGGTCCAGGTGGAATCGAAGTCGACGTCGTCTTTCGTGAGACCCTGGGAGCGGGGCATGTTAGCAAGGTGCCAGAGGCTCAGGTCTTTGGTTGGCAAAGGCGAGAGTGACCTGAATATGGATATAGGTCTGGCAACATTAAGAGAGTGAACATGACTTGGGAAAGTGAGGCAGGAAAATCAACAGGCCTTGGCTTGCGAGATGAACAAAGGTGACAGCAAACTCCAGCCGAACCGCCGTGGCTGAATCGATTTCAGAGGTGAGACACATACCCTTCTCGGGGCTCTAATCTTCGGGCCACCTTTCTTAGCCAACATGATGGGCAGGATACATTGCCCGCACCAAGGCAGCCCTCGAGGTCGCAGTGTGTCCCAGCAGCTGAGCAGATATTAAGTCGAGGTGCAGGTGGTGGAGAAGCCTTTTTTGGAGAAAGTGTGGCCGCGGGATGATAGAGAATTCTCTGGAGATGGCAGAGTCCTACTCGTGCCCTCAATGTTTGGCCAGCTCGAAGACGAGGTCTAATGGGAGACGGGAGGAAGACTGGTGTTCGTGGTGGCGTCGTCGTTCATTCACTTGCCTTTTGCCTGCAAGGTGCCCATCTCAGGTACGAACGAGACCGCGTCGGCGTCACATCGGAGCGGAGGCGGATCGGAAAATCCAAAGGCCATTCTCGGAGAAACCCTTCGTCATCGGAGGACTGCCTCTCACTATTTTCTTTTCCGCCCAGTTCACATTTCTCGAGACATTTGAGGCAGCAATGCGATCGATATCACACGTGGGACGCAGGGCTGCCAGCAGCGCCTTCGCGTCTCGATCAGTCGGGTGTTCCTCACGGGCTTCATCACTCGTGACGAGGAACCCTCTCGTCTGGCGACAGCCAACATTGACTCGCCGCCCATTTGCACCGATCAACCGATACAACTCTTCACTATCTGTGCCCGGCACCCCACCCTCGCCAGCGAAAGCACAAGACGAGCCCTCATACGAGCTGAGCTTCACCTGCAAGCCTTGCCTCTACCGGTCCACCCATCGCATCACGAAACACGGCTACCATCGCGGAACCGTTCTGGTTACCTGCCCGTCCTGCAAAGCCCGCCATGTGATCGCCGACCACCTCAAAATCTTTCTAGACAAGAGTTCGACGCTTGAGGATATATTACGGAAGAAGGCAGCCGCCGGTGAAGATATCTCGAAACTGTTGAAGAAGGGGAGATTGGGTATCCGGCCGGGCGAGGTGGTGGGCAATGAAGGCGAAGAGGATCTTGAGTTCTGGGATGACGGCACTGAATCTGTACACACTCCGATCGAGGAAAAGCAAGGAGGTCAACAAAGTTGATATCACCATCCGGTAAAACCACACCACAAAAGGGCCGTGTTCACACCCTGCTGTCGCAACAGCTTTCCATGCTTCTGGTCGACGGAGTGATAACAGAGGGACGTCAACGTCCCAATCGCGGACAGGAAACACCGACCAAACAATATCCGCTCTGCCGCGCCGTGTTCTTGTCGACACAGGACTAGCCAACTGTGAAAGTGATTTGGCTTCCCGCTTCCGATCCTACGACCCTGTTATTCCCGGGGTAATGGCTGGTCTTGCTGTGTTCATTCCAGCCGATGTCGCACTGTACTATATGTATACTGTTGATGGAGTGTGTGGAGATCACGTTTCTTTTCCAGGGATTCTAGGGAACTGACCGACAGGAATACCCCGGGCTGTCTGACGGATGTATGTATAAAATGTATCAACACGATAGATGGCGTCCAAAATTGATATTATTAGTCTTGGATTATGTATGACTCTACCGCTCTCAACGATGTTGTCTCGGCCAGCCAACACTTTTCTGAGGTCTCAACGCCAGCGTATTTATCCCTCTAACGAAACAGTCGCCGTCTTGCGCACTCTAGGCTTAAACACTCGTCTCTCAATGCCCATTAACCACGCTCTCCCTGACCAAGTACACCCTTGCCTCCCACGGGGTCAAGTACCTGCCGACCTCCCTCCCTGGGGCGAGATTGCTGACCAATAGCTCCTTCTTCACGCGCTCCTCCAAGCCGGGCGGGTAGTGCAGGGGCTGGGTGTCGTCGGAGAAATTGAGGAAGACGAGCAACTTGCGGCCGCCGCCGTCCGGGTGGGCCTTGGTGAAGGTGAAGACGTCTTGGTCGAAGAAGTCCCAGACCTGGAAGTCGCGGCCGAAGACGGTCAGCTCGACGTGCTCCTTGCGTAGCCGGATCATGTCCTTCCAGAAGGACAGGACCGAGGCCGGGTCGCCGCGCTGCGCGGCCACGTTGACGGCCCGGTAGTCGTCGTGCACGCGGATCCACGGCTTCCCCGTTGTGAAGCCCGCGTTGGCGGAGGCGTCCCACTGCACGGGCAGGCGGGCGTTGTCTCGGCCCACCAACTGCAAGCCCTTCATGGCCTTCCTCAGCCAGAGCGGGTCGTCCTGGTGCCGCGTCTTGACGTCGTTGTACGCGTTGAGCGAGTCGATGTCCCGCAGCTCCTCGACCCCCCAGTGCTCCGGGTGGTTGTACATGCCGATTTCCTGGCCCTGGTAGATGAACAGCGTGCCCGTGAGCGTGCACATCAGCACGGCGAGCATCTTGGCCGCCTTCTCGCGCCACTGCGGCTTGTCCGTGGCGAATCGCGACAGGCTGCGGCCCTGGTCGTGGTTCTCCAGGAACACCGTCGTCCAGGCATCCGTGCCGTCGGTCAGACGCTGCACCTTGCGAATCGCTTCTTTGAACTGTGGCAACGTGTGCCGCACTGTGTGGTGCTTCTTCCCTCCGCCTCCGTTCGGCGTTCCCAGGTTGACAACATCGAAGTCGAAGACACAGCTCAGCTCTCTCGCCTCGGCGGAAACGTATTTCAGGACCTCTGCCGCGTCCGTGCCGGGCAGTTCCCCAACAATCAAGATGTCACCGTACTTGTCGAGGACCTGTTGGCGTTGCTCCCTGAACCATTCGTGCATGCGCGGGCCGTTGATGTAGAAATCTTCCGCAGGCTGGAATTCCTCCCCATGGAGCTTCGTGACTGCGTCGGGAAAGGATACGTCCTTGGAGTACAAGTTGCAGGCATCCACGCGGAATCCGTCGATGCCCCTGTCCAGCCAGAACTCGATGGCGGATTTGTAGACTGCCTTGCGGGTCTCCTCATTCTCCCAATTTAAATCCGGCTGCTCCTTTACGAACAGGTGGAGGTAATACTGGTCGCGCTCTTCACAGTACTCCCACGCACTGCCGCCAAAGATGGACCGCCAATTGCTCGGCGGGTGTCTCTTGCCGTTGATCATCTTCGGATCCCGCCAGACGTACCAGTCGGCGTACTGGTTGGTCTTGCCTTTGCGCGATTCCTGGAACCACGAGTGTTGGTCGCTGGTGTGGTTGATGACCAGATCCAGAATCAGTTTCATCCCGCGGTCGTGGCACTCCTTGATTAACCGATCCATATCGGCCAGTGTTCCGTAAGCGGGATAGACGTCTTCGTAGTTGGAAATGTCGTAGCCCATGTCCTTCTGCGGCGAGTCGTACATGGGTGACAGCCATATTGTTTCCACCCCGAGATCTTTCAGGTAGGGTAATGTGCTGATGATGCCGGGAATGTCACCAATTCCATCGCCATTGCTGTCCTTGTACGAGGCAGGCCAGATCTGGTAGCAGGTGCTGGCTTTCCACCAATTCGGCTTCGACGCAGCCATGTTCTGGGTGAACGACTTCGAAAACTAAAAGATTGATGGAACTCCTGGTGGTGAAAAAGGATGAAAGGAGGGACACGGGACGAGGAGAAGTACGAGAGCGAGAGAGATTTGAACAGGCTTCAGAACAAGCAGTCTGGGTTGGAGAGCCGGCGTAAATACCTTTGAGCCAGTTGGCAACATCACAAAGAACGACGGACCGCCTTCTAGATGAGCTCTAGGTGAGTTCTATTTGATGCCCCTGGCGTGAGATCATGTTGTAGCTGTCGAACTTTTATTCGGAGAAACCAAGGGCAGGAAGTGCTGGCGGCACGCGTTGCAACCGGGAAGTATCTGCCCTACTGTGCCAGGCAGTGCAGATACAACCATCAGACCGCTTAGAACTGTCAGAAAGGGGTTTGGGGACGGTCGTCTAGAAGGGGGAAGAGATAGATCTCATGGTACATCTGAAGGAAACTGCGGGAACCGCGAGATGAATTTGTCCGAGAATTTGGCCGTGCAATCGACATCCCATCTCGGTTGTGGATATTCCTCTCGGAGGCGTTAACATGGCCATTGCCACTTTGGGGAATTCCTCCTGGGGAGAGTCGTAAGTCGTATCTCCTTCAAAAAGTCTGGGTGTGAGTATGATGCTCTAGATCTATCCGTCGACTAAGTATTTTATTTTCCTTCTGGGGCTTTTTCTCATCAATTCCTTATTGGTCTTCCAACGCATGAAAACACAGCACAAAGGAAATAACGCCGTATTCACCGCGCACCATGCGCACAAAACGCCGAAGTTCAGGCCTATCCGGCTGTGTGTATCAAATATAATCGTGCGGCTGGCGTTGACAATATGGTACAAAGGCCACGCGTAACCAAAGTGGAAGAAACCTGGCGCCAAGGGGATCGTATAGAAGGCAGTTGAGACGTTGGAAATGACCCAGAAGATGAGCCACCTTGGATGAGATGGTTAGCGCTGATACTCGTCTCTTGAGGGACGAGAGGGATGGGGAAACTCACAGAGCAGTCCACGGCTGGCCAATGATCATGGTGACATTCTCACTGGCCAAACCTAATGCATACATTCCCACCCAGTTCAGCATCCAATACACCACAAATGTTGCATGCCCGTAGGCGTCTGGATCCTTTGCCATCGTGGTATCGTTGTGCGGATAGTCATTAGAGAAGGGAATGAGGAATGCCAGTGACACCAATGAGTAAGCCAGCGACATCAAAAGGTAGGCCGCCGTCGTCATGAACAGACGGAAAAGAACGAGTGCCCAAAAGTGAAGGGGAGCGTGGCCCTTCGGGATCAAAAACTTGGTGTAGACCGGGAGGAAAAAGGAAAAGGAGAAGAAAGCAATAATAATGAGGTAGATGAGGCCGATTGTGACGGCCGGCGTAGCCTGAGCGGGTGTGAAGGGTCGGAGATCGAACAAAGAGAAGCCAATGGCCGGATTCAATGCTTGTGGCGCACGAGAGTAGGTGGCCACATCAAGCGATGTGTTAGATAGGACGTTCTTGATCCATTGCTCTCCAAACATGGACACCGCGTTGATTGCAAATTCGAACAGTTGAGGAGTGATGTAGTTGGCGTAAGTGGTCTCATCTCGGGCGGAGTTGACAATGATCTGACCGGCGCCACGGGGAGAGTAGCTGGAATTTCCAATCGCAACAGCTCGTCGGAGCAGTGCCGTGGCGTTCGAATTGACAATGATGGCCGCCCAGACATGCTCATCGTAAACGGCTTGTCTCACCGCAAGGGGGTCCCCACCATATTTCTCTGGAGGCTCAACGATATAGCCCAGTGCATAAGCAGGAAGTGCTGCCTGTTCCCGCGCAAGCCTCTCAACTATCTCCCCAATCAAGGGTGTCGTGCCTTCGAAGGGTGAGACCCGGCCGTCAAAGCTGACGACGGCCACAGTCAGGGCTGATAGATTCTGCGGCACATGGAAAAGAACAGCCCAGTAGAGCGAAAGAACGCAAAGGATGAAGCAGAAGAGGATCAGGACTGTAAGGGCCCATTTCATCGCGACCTCTTTGCGTACATCCTTCAGCGAGGGATCGAAGAAGCCGACTGGTAGAAGAGGACTTTCCGGCGAATTTTTCTCTTCGTCGTGACTTGTCCCACCTGGCGCTTGGTTCTCGTCCTTTTCATGCTCGGAATCATTGCATGGCTTCTCCCGTTGTTCGTCTTCATCTCCACGTTCCGACTGCAGCGTATGATCCGAGCTATCTCCTTCCATGCTTCAGATTCGGTAGAGGTCTCTTTCAAGAATGGTATTTCGGATTCGAGAAATGAGATGATGCGCAGCCTCGCCACGGATTTCGCAGGTCACGCAAGCTTGCTCCGGAGATCGAAACACAAGACTTGAGGTACATTGTCTCGAGGAAACGAGTACTCATTTGACAGCCCCCAAGCATTTCAAGGACAAGAGCGTCAGCGTTTGGTGTTGAAAGCTAAAAAGTCGTGACGTTGTAACCCTCATTGACATGATGTCATTTGGCTGGTGTATCGCACATATCGTGTATCAAAGCCAACATTGTTGGACGGCAGATACCAGGCCCTTGCCAACGCGGCTGACACTTACAGAGGCCATGTCGTGGGTTCTCAGACAGATGCTGAGCCGGGAAAAACAAACATTACCTGCAAATGTGTGGCTCGTGGTGGTCAGTTGATCAGATCAGGCCTATCGCACCTCCAACAGCCTTGGCTGGTCAGAGATGATTCAACATGCTCGTGGAACATGGCGTTAATGGTGCTTACAATGGTCCAGACACGAGACTAGAGGAACCACAATCATACGTGCATCATGTTGGGAATTGAAATATTCAGACCAGGACGAAGGGCAGTTTGGTGGGCTGACGGAACAAAGATGTTCCGGCGACTTCCACAGAATAATTCTTGCTCCGTCTTCCAAATCATCTATCACGTCTGTTCCAGTGTGTCTTCGTCTCTCCATGCCGCCCAAGCGACGTGCCAAAGCACCCTAGAGCACTTCAATGTGAGCCCCCATTCGGCCTCTGCTCAAACGAGTCCGACCGGGAATGGCATGTCTGGTGATGTGACCTCATCTGCCGGGAGACTCCTTTTCCCAACCGGCAACGGTAGAATATATAATACCGATTGAGCAGCTGGAAACATGAAGTGGGTCCATGATCTGCAACGAACTTCTAGCCTTGACCGAGTTTGGGACAAACCCGGGGGTTAGGCAGAAAAGCCAGCGCAACGGGCCCGTTTCCCCATGTTGCTATTGAGATATCTCACCCATTGGCTGGAGAAGCCATGCGCAAATCTCATTCCAGGCGTGGACTCATGCATGAATCCCTCCTGCCTTTCCAAGAAAAGACCCATGTTTACTCGACATCCTTTACAACTGACGAAGCTTCATTCTTTACTCGTTACAGAATGTTGATTTACGCAGCGAGTTGCGATCGACGCGTGTCCCACAAAATGACCACCGGGGAATTTCTGTCTGAGGAGGCAATGTTGTGCAGAGCATCTACGTATATGAGGATGAGATTGGGAGGAACTTCTGACGAACGAGCATCACAATGTTGTCTCCCAGGATTTCGGCGGCTCTGCTGCTGCTGAGCATCACATCATGGGCTCGAAGCACTGTGCGAAGTCCAACAAAGAGGCAATCCTTTGAGTTCATCAATGCCACGCAGTACAACAGCACCACCGGACCTGTCGAAGTCAGCATCTCAACTGCTGGCGGAGGACGGAACCAGACAGCGCCCCTTCTTTACGGCTGGTGAGACTTGTTGCTGGCAAGGAATCCGAGCTTCGCTGACGACGAAGGATGCATGAGGACATATCTCACTCTGGCGACGGCGGCATATATGGCGAGGCCCTGGTCAATCGTGCCTTTCAGGGTTCTGGTGTCAGTACCGGGTCGTCTCCCGGGATCCCTGGGACCAGTGTCCTGGATGCGGAAAATCCCATTCTGCCCTGGGGTCCTGTCATCAATGGTTGGCGCGGTATAGGTGATGTTAGTTTGAGCTTGACCTTACTGCATCCTCTATCCGAGGCACTCCCCGTTGCTCTGGAGCTCGACATCCCCTTCAACGCAACTGGCGAAGTGGGCTTCTTGAACGAAGGCTTCTGGGGTATAGATGTGCGGCCAGGCACATACAATGCCTCCTTCTACATCAAGGCGAACAAGCCTCGAAACAACGGCACACTCACCCACATAGACGTCTCATTACGTTCCAATTTGACATCTGATGTTTGGAGCACTTCGAGCATTTCCTTCAGCCCATATAACAATATCTCGAGTTGGGAATACGTGCAGTACGCCACGCAGCTCTTCAATGCCGCCCAAGCCCCGGATTCTAACAATACATTTGCCGTCACATTTGACGCCGCAGAAGTTGCAGGCAATACTTATTATTTTTCCCTGCTCAGTCTCTTCCCAGAAACATTCAACGGCCGACCCAACGGGATGCGGCGAGATCTAGGTCAGATAATTGTGGATCTAGGCACGAAAGTACTTCGCTTTCCGGGAGGCAACAATATTGAAGGGCTCAGTGTGGCGCAGCGTTGGAAGTGGAATGAAACAATTGGACCTCTGACAGATCGCAAAGGTCGCATTGGAAACTGGGGATACGTTAATACAAACGGTTTGGGGCTTTTAGAGTACTTGCAATTCTGCGAAGACGGCGGTATCGAACCTCTACTCGCCGTGTACGCCGGCTTTTCTCTGGATATATGGGGCCAGGATGGCGTCTCCTTTCCCGAGGACCGCATGGGTGAGGTGCTCGACGACATCCTAAACGAGCTCGAATATATTAGTGGGGGTACGGATACACCATATGGTGCCCGACGTGCTTCGCATGGACGTGCTGAACCATTCAGCCTCAACTATGTGGAAATCGGAAACGAAGATTGGTTCAGCTCAACCTACCCTTACCGATGGGATTATCTCTACAACGGCATCAAGGCTGTCTACCCAGAGCTCACATTGGTTTCCACCGCTTTCAACGAGAATCCCGACTACAACATCACGCTTCCTCCAGGTTCGATGTGGGACACGCACCACTACGAGGACGCATCCTTCTTCGTGGAGGGTTTCGACTTCTACGACCATTGGCAAGAAGACACGGACAATCCGAACGTCACCATCTTCGTGGGAGAGTATTCAATGTATCAGATTGACACCCCCTCAGGATATATCAATTACTCCCGGCCCCCAGACATACATATTTTCTATCCGACCCTCGAGGCGGCGATTGCAGAGGGTGTGTATCTGCTCGGCGCGGAGCGCAACCCAAATGTGGTGAAGATGAGTGCCTACGCTCCGAGCTTTGCAAATCTCAACTACGAAGAGTGGACCCCAAATCTGGTGACTTTCCAGGCCGACTACGATTTGACCGTTCTCAGCACGAGTTACTACATGCAACAATTGTTCGCACATCACCGAGGAGTCGAGACGCTACCTACCACCACGGTGGCAGGAACGTTCAATCCCCTTTGGTGGGCTGCATCAGTGGAGGAAGGAGATGCCACCGTCTACTTCAAGGTAATTAATTCCGGAAACAGCTCTGTCCCGTTGAAACTCGACTTCGACAAGCCTTGGGCAGCGGTCAACGGAACGATCATTGTGAGTTCAACGCCAAACATGTTGCTGTCTGACAATACTGACGCACCAAGACTTCGTCTAAACTCAGTGATTTCAACTACGTCGGCAACGCAACCTCTGTTTCGCCTGCTCCAATTGTTGATCTTCCGGTGAGCAGCTGGAATCAAACGACGTTCGATTGGGCTGTACCGGCATGGTCGATCAACGTTCTCCAATTCGCGATATGAATTACTTAGCTTGGTCTAGTTATGCCTGGAAAACCAACTGCAGGGCCGTCCAGTAAATGTAGACAGTTGTAATTCATCCAGCACCCTGACTGAAGAACCCAATGTCGTATCTAATGTAGTCATGGTAGTTCGAGCGTCCACCAGACCAGACCAGCCATTGTAACCTCTGTCGCAGTGGCCGGATTCCCTGTGGCACGAGAGCCTCATGTGCCTGCCACTGCCTATGCACCCCTGCAGAGCTGCCTTTGGGCATTCTGTAGAACTTGGACAGACAATCAATTCACGCCCCCAATTCCTGGCATTTCCAGAGGGCGTGGGGGCCAAAAGGCGGCTCGCTGGGAAGATGTGACAAGTGACAAGTGACAGGTGACAGGTTGGTTGCCTATTTCTAGACAAAGCCACGTCTGCCTACACCGACTTGTAAAACTCACGGGATTGCAGACCTCTTCTCTTCGTCACTTCTCTCGGTACCTTCCCCGATCCATATTCCACAGAAGATGCTCAACCAATTCCCCCTGGAGATCTTGGGCCATGTGCTCTCCTTCTTGGAGCGTGACGACCTGCAGGCGCTACGCCTGGTGGACCGCGCCTTGTCGAGAAAAGTAGAGCCTGTCCTGTTTCGAACGATATGCGTTTCAATCCTCACTATAGACCGGCTCCAGAAAATCGCGTCGGACCCCAAGCTCAGCATCGTTGTGGAGGAGCTTGTGTATCAAGAGTGCGACTTCGACCCTTCACCCAAATGGGACGCGGATCGGCCATGGTTCTCAGATGTACGGATGTCCTACTTGTCCGAGACGATTGCCCAATTCAATGTGTACGTAAGGCGGGGGATGCAAGGCGATATGGAAGAGTCACCGGGATCAGGTCTACCTGAGGATGAAACAAGCATGGTGAAGGCGGAGGTGGAGGCTGAACGGGTCAAGATCGACCCAATGCTTACTGCAGTGAAGCAGTCGTACAGCGACCTCGCCGCCTTACAAACTCCCTCTTACCTTCATCAAGTCTTCCGCGACGCATTCCGGAAACTTCCGAAATTGCGTCGAGTTATCTGCGTTGAACCCGAAGCTGGTTGCCCCTCCTTGGACTCTCTGCGACTGGAACGTGCAGGAGCTCTTCAGGAACTGAGTAACATCTTCCCTCTGAGCGACCATGCCGTCAGGTCTTGCCTCCAGCCGGACTCGTGGAACTGGCCATCGCATGGATTCATGGGCATATGGCGTGCTCTGAGTGACCAGCATTCAAACCCTGGTATACAACACTTTGAAATCCGACGAGACAGTGATCTCTTCCTCAAGCGCGGTATATTCCTTCTCCCAATCTCAATGGAACCAGCGGAGCCCGAAGCTCATGTACTTGTGAACGGGTTTCGAAATCTGACGGTACTCAGTCTCTGCCTCGAGGTGAATATCTCATCAAGGTCGTTTGTAATCCCCCAGGCACCTCTCCTGTCCCGAGCACTAGCCAGAGCGACTCAGTTGAGGCGGCTCGAGATCTGCTTGACGTCTTGCGGCGTCACTTTCCCTGGCGACGGAAGGTCGGAGTACGAACTCGCCCACGAGGGCATTCCTTTCGGCGACTACGAGGACACACGCCGAGAAAATATCTTGCCGTTTGTCTCCTTTCCGGAACTGCACACGGTGGTCTTGGAGGAGGTCGACGTCACCGCTAGGCAGATCTGCTCTTGGTTGTTCATGCAGCCGAAGCTGAGACACCTGACCCTGAGGAGACCGTATCTGCAGGGACGGTGGCAAGACGTGCTCCAGAGATGGTCGGACAACCCAGAATTTCAGCTCGACTCCTTCGAACTGGTCAGCCCTTGGGATCATGACAATCGAGATCTCGAAACCAGGCTAGATTGCTTAGGGAGATGGAACATGCCCTCTCGCGTCAGCAGCGATGCTCTTCTAGCCTTTATCAATCAGCGGGGTGGTGGTGGAACGAATCCTTTCAAGCACCGGAGGTGGAAGCTATGTGATGAATTCGAATTCGCCGACTATATTGATGATGTCCAGGACGACAATGTGTCAGAGTACTCGGATGTCTCCGAATGGTTACCGGAGGATCATCCCACGCCCGTAGCGGATCCGGAGGGGCCCGAGTTTGACGAGGACTATGATTTCGACGCCGAAGCCGACAGCGACATCGAGATGGAAGGGGTGTAGCCGGGGTTTGGGCGAAGAAATGAGCGTGCATACTTTGCAGGCACTGGTACCAGCACTCATTTGCGGATAGGTTCACCTCGATAGAGCCAGGGAATGACCACTTATGGAAGGTGGGCGGAGGGGAGAAGAGAGAGAGAGAGAAGAGTCGTGGTCCAGAGACTTTTTTTATTCATACCCAGCGCAGCTCTCTTCCTTTCAGATAGTCAACGGGGATAATGATACCACGCCATACATCCATGCTTCTACCTTTTCCTGCATGGTGTCGCCCAGCAAACCCTCTCCTCTACCTACATATCTCCCGCCCGCATCGAATCGAAGTCCAATCAGCCTTATCTTCTCATTCATCCGTGCTGCTGCCGTTTCCTTCGTTCTTCTCCTCATACAACCCGCCATGGACGATGATAAAGGGCTTTCCTTGGGCTTCGGACTTTTAGTCGTTGTCCTTGACGTCGATGACGGTGGACTTGAACTTGCGGGCCGGGATGCGGCGGTTGAACAGGATGTCGCTCTCGCGGTACGAGCGGTGCTTGAGCTCGGGCAGGAAGAAGAAGGCCATGACCCAGCAGACGCAGGCGGTGCCGCCCCAGACGTAGCCGCACTTGCCGGCGAGGTTCCAGCCGGTGGGGTTGAGCATCTTGGAGGCCAGGTAGATCATGGGGATCTCGGCGACGTAGTAGGCGGCGCGGCCGACGCCGGTGCTCAGGGCGCGCAGGCGCACCGACGACGTCTCGGCGATGATGGTGTACGAGATGGGGCCCATACAGCCGGCGAAGACGAACGAGATCAGGATGCCCAGCACCGCCTGTGCGTAGTTGGTCGCGCTATTCTGCGGCACCGAGGCGCAGATGCCCAGCACGAAGAGCAGCGTGATGTTGGTGGCCGTGCCCCAGAGGTAGATGGTTCGGCGGCCGAACCAGGCCGTCAGGAACCAGGAGACGGCGTTGGCGACGAATTGGAGACACGAGTTGATCAGGTTGAGCTCAAAGGCACGGTCGGTCGAGATCCCGGCCTCTGCACGGGAGGAGTCAAGTCAGCCATTCATGCATGAAAGCCATTCAGAGAGAGAGAGGGGGGTTTAAAGGGGAATATAGCTCACGTTCGAAGAAGAAAGTGGCCTGGTTGGCAATCAGGTTCCCTGCGAAATTCTGCGAGGCGTACATCAAGCAGATGATGGTGGTTCGTCTCAGGTCGGTGCCTTTGAAAAGATCCAGCAAGGTAGGAGTACCGCCCTGGCGCAATTCGATCTCGACCGTCCGTTCCATCATGGCCAGCGTCTGTTCTGCGTGCTCTGGTTTCGTACCGAGGCGCTTGATGGAGCGCAGGGCTTCCTTCTTGCGCCCACGGCGAACGAGCCACCACGGAGATTCGGGCCCGAGGAAGATGAGAATCAAAAGGGGGGTCTGTTTGGCGGGTCAGCGTCTCGATCCAAAGCTCCAAAGCCGCGGGGCTTACGGGGAAAAGCCACTGCAATGCCAGAGGCACGCGCCATGCCCACTGGTTGTTCTTCTTGTTATAGCCGTAGGTGGCCGCGGCGACAATGATTTGACCGACAGACCACGCCATCTGCAGACTGGCCGTGCAGGCACCTCGAAGGACGAGGGGCACAATCTCGCTGGCGTAGGCCGGGGAGTTGGCAATGAAGAAACCCCAGGGGACGCCTTCCAGCGCTTGTCCGACCGTAAGGACCGTGAGTGAGTCGGCCTGATCAGGTGGATACGGTTAGGCGGCCAGCTCGGCAATGGATTCGTGGTACTCACGAAGAATGAAATGAAAATGGTGGCATTCATAAGGATCAGTGCCAAGATGGTGGTCCAACGGTAGCCGAGACGGTTGGTGACAGGTCCAGCCAGGAAGACGCCGACAAAAGCACCACATTGACCAGATTGGAAGAGGGCACTCTGCCATCTCGTCGGGATGGCATAGCCTCCTCCCTTCAGCAAGACACCGTACCTCCTTTGAAAGACGGGAAGCGCCACAAAGTTGCCGTTCAGGAACATGTCGAACGCTTCCATGACCTAAAGGGCATCAGCTGTGATTCCGGATTCCAGGAACGACATCTCTGCGATTAGGAATTGAGGAAGTCGAACTCACAATGGTAAAGCACATGATGAATGCATATAGACAAGCCCAGGGGTGTTGCTTGACCGCAGCCCACATGCCCATTCCATGTTCACGGACCTCGCCATCGACGGCATCATTCATGAGATCCGGGTTGACCAAAACCTCGGAATGATCCAGGACACCCTTCTCGCTCTGGCCCAAGTCGCCCCTGGACTCGAGCAGGACGTCGGAGTTGTGAACATCACTCTGACCGCCCTGGTGCAACTCACCCTTCGACTTGTCGCTATCGGACGACATTATGGGAATGCTCGCAGCGTTAATGCGTCAATTGAGAGCAACTGAAAGCAATGGAGCGAAGGACAGGCGAGGAGGGTCCTAAAGCTTTCCTACTTAACTTGTATGTCAGGCACGCCGCTGTGTCTCCCTCCCAAACGACCGAAATTCCGGTGGCAGTTCATTGTGGCTCACGGTTGATGTGCCGAGCAGCACGACCGCCACGGCACACCTTTAGATCCTGTCTGTTTGGTCAATACCGCCGAGGCCGATGTGCCACTGCCATGTCGTTGGGCGGTGTATGGGGCATTGTGTCACTCCATGCTCCATTGGGAAGCTGGAAGGACGATCTGGGTCATGTGGAAATACCACCAGAGAGTGTAACCTAACATTCTGTCATTCGTTCCCTGTAAACCAGTCTGCGTTCAGGTTCTAAGCGAGGCATCAATTCGACAATCCCATGTGATGTAGTGACATTTGAAGGGCCTACAACGGGCCCTGTCATCACCTCACCTGAGCAGGATGGTGGGGATAGAAAAGTGTAAGGGACGGCCATAGGAGCAGTCGAGCCAATAGGAGCGAGTATATTGAGTGTTCCTCTTTATCCTGCGTGGAAAGACTCGCAGCCTCTGAATCCCGCGAGTCTTATCCGTCCTGTGCTCTGCGTTCGCCTAGCCTCCCTGGGTAAGTTTGCGGTGTTCGCTCCATGGGGCTTGTTCTAGCTGTCGGCATCCTTCACAAAATGCATCTTTTAGGAAGCTTGAGAAGCTTACCATTCCTACAGATGGCCATCTTCAAACCTCTTCTAGAAAGGTCCAAGGGTCGGCCAAGGGCTGTTTAGCACGAGAGTGATGGTGGAGGCACAAAGGACCCGTATATGGCGAATTGAAGATCAACGTTGCATTGGTGCTCCCCATGTTGGCCCCGCCCTCGGTCGATATCATGGCGAACATGGCCTTGCCAGGCTGCCAGCCAGCGTGGAGGCCTTGGAATGTTGGAGAGCAGAGTGCGGGGTTTGATTCGTACTTTTGCCCAGCAAGGCAGATTCAGGGATTGATCTTACACATATGACTGCCGTATTTGAAGCGGAGCGGAGGGTGCGACACATATGACCCCAGACTCCACGGCGAGCACTCCGGATGTTGCTGCACCTTGCCTGAAACACTCATGACCAGGAATGCTGCATAGTCTGACGCAGGTTTCGAGATGCTTATAGTGGATGATCGAAACTCTGGAGCCCGGAATCGATCACGACTCCCGTCTGTTCATACAGAAGCATCTGTTGCGTTTTGATGCAACTGAAATAAGGTTTGAGTTTGCATTCCGCCCGCCAAGCCGAAGGAGGGAAGCACGGGAGGCTTTTGTGATTATACGAGAAACTCGATAATGCCACCGGAGGTCAATACGAGGGAGCTTGTCGAGCTATCTCCGGGGATTCAACGCTTCGGTTCCATCGGGGCGTTGAAGGGCCGATGTGCTGAGCCTAGGAGTGAGAAACGGCTGTCAGGCCCAGCCGGACGGCCCCAAAAGGCAACCAACAAGGCGGGTGGACTGTAGTTGAATGGTGCGATTGTGGTCCAAGTGTTCGAGTCTACAGAGCGCGTCATACAGCTCTGGGAGACCGTCTGAAGGAAGCATGTCCTGTTGAAGGCGAGGACTGAGTACTAACTAAGGAGGTAAAGCGGCGAGTGTTTCGTCAGTGTGGAAACAGCTCGTCGTTCGCGCCAAGACTTATCAGCTCGAACCTCGGCTGTTTACGGCGGCGGCAGCAACTCGCTCGCTGGCTCTCTCACTCACTCACTCGCTCATTCTCTGCGTGAAACGACTCTCGTTCGTACTCTTCGCATGTTCTCCCAGATGTCTGCGTGCGACTAAACACCCGTAGGCCATGGACAGGTCGCTCGCGACACTACTGAGGTCTCTGCAGACTTCAGACCATCCAGATGATGCCGCCCGGTAAGCAGCACAACACGTTGCTCCATGTCGTTCTGCTAAGTCACTTCAGATTACTCCCAGTGGCCACGGGCCTTCTCTCGCGCCTGTCGAATCCCCTCAACATCACGCTGTTGACATCCCAGCTACTGTCGAATGACGTGCTTTACCCAGTTCCAACAGAGGTGGCTCGGTGCCGGCAGATATTCAGCGTCTTTTATACTGCGGTTCTGCGCTTGATTGAAGATAAACATAGCCTGGCTCAGGAGCATACCCGGAGCAATCTCACAATCACCGAATGGACGACGGCTGTTGTGCACGGGGCCAATGACAAATCCCCTCGATGGAGGCATACATTATTGCTGGGGGCGCTGCTCCTGGCCTTCCACTCCAAAGACTTCGAAGGACTGGCTTCGGGGCTGAAGAATAGACTCGAAGTTGCGCTGGTGGTTGCATCAAACCTGGCCCTGCAAGAGAAGGATGCTGAGCCTAATTGCGAGCTGGCTGTCGTCTTTGTCTTAAACCATACCTTCCCTCTCCTCTCCGACGCCCAGCGGCAACAGGTCGATTATGACCTGCTTCTGCCGGTATTGATTGATGCGACATTCTTCTCTCGGGAGGGTCTTGAGCACGGATATTGGCTAGGGGTCATCGACTACGACGTCCGACCATCTCCCGACCAGAAATTCAAATGGACAGTCACCTCCACGTCTTTCCGCAAAGTCACCGAGATCAAATCGAGAAACCTGGTAACTGCTCTTGGTGCTCTGTCGCGCTTGATCGCTCATAGCATCGAGAACGTCCATGACCGATCTCACATCATCTATTGCGTAAACCGACTGGCGGAGTTTTCACGCACTCTCGCCACGTCATGGAGACAGAACAAGTTGTCCGAAGTCGATATCAAGGAACAGGCTCAATGCTTGGACCAGGAAACTATCAACAAGACCTTTCCCGTTCTCCTCCAGATGCTCAGAGACACCATGTTCTCCGTGGTCATCAGCCTCCGGTCAGTTTTGGGGAGACTGCTCTGCGACAATGTTCTAGCATCCGACTCGAACTGCCCAGGCATCGCGATGCAATCTTTGCACATTTTGCGTGACACGTACTTCATAGCGCACCGATTTGGCCTCACATCCTCCTCACAGTACGTATTTGTCAACTTCACAGCCATTGATATTCTGAGCCAGTACCCGCTACAATCGGAAAATTTCCTCGACTCTATCCGACCAGCTGATCTTGGTCGGATTCCCCCTCACCCCCTCGACAGGCTGCAGGACCTCTTCTTCCTCAACACTGCCGAACACTTCACCTTGATCCTGCCACCACAAACAAACCAAGGCCTCCTCTTTAGTGCGGCGGCACCGTATGTTGATCCACAAGGAGATGCACGGTTGGCGGAGATCTTTGAAGCTGCTCACAGTGTCGTGCTGGCCATCCTTGCAGCACCTCAAAATGCGGAGCTGGCAACGACAATCGTTCCATTCTATGTCGAAACACTGTTACAGAGCTTTCCAAAGCCACTTTCACCACGTCAGTTCCGGCTAGCCATCAAATCTGTTGTTCGTATCGCCGCGCCGCCCTCTGCCATCGCTGTCGCTATGCCTCTAACCCAAGCCGTCGTTCTTGATCTGCTTAGGGAACGCATGGAACATGCGTCGGAAGATTCACTTCCTCCCAACCCTGATCTCCCCATCGAGAACAGTCGACCTTTGTCCGAAAAGGCTGTTTTACTTCTTGCAATAATTGATTGTTTGAGTTTTCTCCCTGTGCCATTATTGGAGGAATATCTCCCTTTAACTGCAGAGCTTCTGCACAAGGTCGGGAATCCGAGCCAAAGGAAACAATGCCAACAGCGATTGTGGGACACGCTGAGCAATGGCGAGATGGACGTTGAGCGTGCTGCAACTTGCGTTGCTTGGTGGACTTCCCGGGGAGGTCGGGAGCACGTGCTGTACGGGGAGCAACCCGAAGACCAAGATTTCACCATGAGCGGTGCATTGCCGTTCGAAAGCAAGCTGTGAGGCATGCAGGGTGAACAGAGTACCCTTTCCTCCCACAATGCCCAGTTGTTTGTCCATGTTCCTTACCTCTAAAAGCGCTTGCCGTCGTGGCTGAACAAAGCATCTGAGATGACACCTCCAGACTGTTTGCTCTTGGTGAGCGCGCTCACAAAGACCAGCCCTGGCGCAAGAACACGTTAGGCCACAAATAAATATCACACACTCTGAACCGGTCAACTCTCAACACTTTCTCAAGCCTTCTCTGGCGCAGTCGAAGCCCGGATTTTGCAGAGATTCTTGCCACCATGGTTTCCGTCCGACGCACCAAGAACTTTGCAAACGACCCTCAGACCCCGATATTCCTTTACACTATCCTCAAGCAACTGGACCTCCGGTCGATCAACTGGAACGAAGTCGCCGGCTCTCTCGGTATCTCCAATGGCCACGCAGCCCGAATGAGATACAGTCGCATGAAGTCACAGTTTGAAGGCACATCCAACCAGGCCAAACCACCCAAGCCGAAGAAGGAGAAGCCCAACACTGCCGATAACAAGTCTTCCAAAGTCAAAGCAAAGAACAAGCGCCTGCTTGAGGAAGAAGAGAATGAGCGGCTGGCCCAAGAACGAGCGGCGTGTCAACATATCATGCAACCAGATCATGACCCCAAAAGAATCAAGGTCGAGCCGCAGTCGTACATCCATCACCCATGGTACTCTCCGTACTCTGCAGAGACAGCGCAGATGTACCCAAACCCATATTGGGGCCAACCAGCCATGTCACTCAAAGCGGTGCCACAAGCATCATTCGGACTGCCCAATCTCCCTGCTCAGACTGATCCCCCGACACCCCCTATGAAGACGGAGCCCAACACAACTTTGGCCGTTCGCGACGATATTGAGACGGCAACCCCGGTCATCAAGCAGGAGCCTGGGGGATGTGCACGCTGCTGCGAAGAAGCTGATCTCAGCGCCACAATTGTCAAGAGGGAACCAGGAACACCAATACAACATCCGGCCTCACCTCCCGCGGAGAGTCGCAATAGTGTCTCATTCGGCTATCCTCTGTCTCGGACGATCAATACTTTCTTCGGCCCTCAGCCAAGTGCATCGACCGCAAGACCGCCTTCCTCGTTTCAAAACAACATGTCTCCACTTTCAACACCACAAACCTTCTCGCGTGGCTACTACCCGCCATTCAGTGATCGCCCGCAGAGTCAGAGTGCTGTGCCGTGGTCCACCGTGGGCACAGGTCAACATTTCGGAACGGTTTCGACAGATGATGCCTGCGACAAAATGATTCTGAATCCCTATGCCGTGTCATACCAGGACCTGCTGAATATGCCGCTGTACAGACTGTATCCCGAGACAGCCGCATCGCAGCCGATACAAGCAAAGGCCCAATTTATTGCAGCCCAGTCAGGCGTGGTTGAGCAGGATCAAGAGAACAAGCACGGGAGTACACCACCAGGTGTTACTTCGACCACAGCAACACCACCACCACCACCAGCAGCGTGGAGCCCGACTACGAGAAACAGTCATGCAGGAGCCAGCACCAGAGCCTCTATTACGCCGTCAGATGCCCTCATCTGCTGCCGTGGATCTGCAGTGCTTGCAGACACTGGTGGCTCGTCCACAGCCATTCCTAACGTCATCGAAGTGGACTCAGGTGATGAGGACGAGGACGAGACTTGTTGGACGACGACAGTCAAGGTCAAGAAGGAGTTCGCAGCTTGACGTGTTGATGCGTATGCGAGGACCTTGAAGGATTTCTGAATACCTTAATGGTGATAGGTAACAATGATGATGGGAATCTTGCCATCTGTACGAGGGAAGACATAGAAGGATGTTGCTGTGTTGTATGTCGTTGGCAGATAGATCCCTCGTTGATGGACGAGCAGCAATCTATTCTTATAGCTGCACCATACGTTTGCTCAAGTGTAACCTTTGGTGATGTAAAAGTCAGTGGAGGGCGGTTGAGAATGAAGCGGTCCTGGTCTGGTCTGGGCATATACTGTAATTACCCTCAGCGACTTTTGACGTCTGTTCCTTGTACTTGGTACAACCGACCTGCTCACATCTCAAGCCACCTTTCGACTCACAACTCAACTAACTCTACCCTCGCCTGGCCGGTCTCATATCTACATCCCTACTCTCTCGCGACCCGTTCAGGGCAGGAAGTATCATTAGATACCTGTAGGGTGTTGAATCAAAACCAGGATCACTACAAGCCTCCCTTTCGACACGCTTCGATTCACTCCCGTATTTCCCCCCCCCCCCCCCCCCCCCGGACTTGCCCTGGCGGAAAACTCTCTTCATAATATCGATCTATTCCTTGGGTTATCCTTCACCCTACCACCGTCTATTTGACCTCGCCGCCGCCTGTCTTGTATAGCCAACCTTGGTGTTTATTTTAGCCCTCTCAAGAGGCCGGCGGAGATGCGCAGGACAGCCTGGATTAGCACGCTAGGTAGTGGGCTAGGAGGGGGCACTCAACACCAAGGTTGTCTATATAAACTAGGCAGCGACGAGGTCACATCAATTGCTGCCTGAATTAGTGGATCTGTGTAGCCAATCAATAGCGTGGTGCGAGATTCTGCCAAGCAAAATTAAGCGAACCTTGCGGTGCTCGCGGTTAGCCAAAGAGTAAAGCGGCGAGTGATGGCAGACGACTGTGCGGGGATCATATAATAATAAGTATATCGTCATTGAGCCTGCTTCTCACTCTCACCCACCGTCCAATCCATCATGTAAAGAAAAGAGATGAACCAACCCAACTTCTCATAAACTGCCCTGCCCTGTTGCTCAATCATGTTCTCCTCACTCGCATCTTTTTCGCCCTTTGGCCGCGGCTTGGGCCGGAGCTCAACCTCAACCTCTGCCGCAGGTGCCACCGCTGCAGACGCCATCGCCATTCCCCCTGTCGACGTGCACGACGTGGAAACGTCCGCGGACAAGCGAGGCCGGGCGCTCAAGCACCTGCTGAAACTCAACCACGTGAACTTTTCCATCCTATACAACCACTTGAGATTCCACAATCACACGCCTCACGTATGAATTTCCATATCCTCCTCCTCCTCCTCCTTGCGCTTTCCCAGCAACTCCCACGTCTTCCCCACTACTACTAAAAAATCTCACTTACATGGCATGTGGTTGATCGTTCTAGCTCCTCGGCTCTGCATACCTCCTCTCGTCGTCCGCCGATCATTTACACGCCGTCTACGAAGAAGCCGCCGCTAACGAGGGCCACGAGCCCTGGGTCGACTCGCCCTCGGAGATCGCCCCGCACGACTACCGCGACTACCTGGGCAAACGCGAGTACCAGCGCGCGTTCGTCGATTTTTTCGAGGACCAGATGGTGCTCGAGGGCTACGACTGGAAACGCGTGGTCGAGAAGTACCTCTTCGAGAGGGGCGACGCAACGAAGGGCGAACCCAATGCGGAGCCCATGTTCCACTGCTTGACGGGCGGGCTGGGCCATTCGCTAATCCACCTCGGGTATGCGTACGAGCTGAACAGCCGCGAGGTGGCGATGGAGGCGCTGGGGCTCGCGGCGACGTGCTACGACCAGAAACTCGCACAGCTGCTCGAGACCGCCGCCGCGCCGGCCAACCCGCTGACTCCTTCCTCGACGAATGATTTGTTTGAGGTGTTTGCCCGCGTTCACGGAGACAGCCGGCTCGACGGCGTCTTCACGCACCCCGGGGGAGAGAATCTGACACGCCTGCTCAGCGACGCTGCCCTGACATCGGTCCTGCTCGAGCACTTCCACGCGTGGCAGATCGTCGACCCGACCAGGGACTTCGCGCAGTCGCAGGCGCTGGCGACGGCGCTCCTGATCGCCAGCGGGCCCAGCGTCGGCGGCCACGGCTGGGACTTCCTCCTGGTGCATCTGCTGACGACGTCGCACGCGGTGCGCGTCCTAATCCCGTTCCTGCCCGCGCCGCACCACCACGTGCCCCTGGTGCGCGAGTGGCTGCTGATCGCGCTGGCCATCTACATCACCCAGCTGCGGCCCGCCATCAAGACGGAGCACGTCACGGATGTCGACCTGCGCGGCCGGAGCTGGGACGACGTCACCCACCGGGCCGTCGAAGGCCAGTGGAAGTTCGACGCGCACTTCGTCAAGGCGTGCCGCGCCATGCGCGAGGCCGAGCGGCTCTGGGGCGGCTACGCCGGCGACGACGCGTACTTCCTCAAGGCCGCGGTCAAGTTTTCCAGCGAGTTCAATAGCTGGGGGGGCTTCGGCGCCGAGGACGAAGGCGCCGAGGAAAGTAAGTAGGGCGAGTGCCTAGGAGAAGAAGGTTTGGTTGAGTGAGTGATACTTGACGCCTGGGGTGTGCACGCATTGAATGTAGCCAAAATTGGGATACTGTCGCACTCTTCCCTTGTTTCTTATTACGTCTGGCGAGATGAGAGTAATCCAGAAGGAGCAAATAACCATCTGGCATGGCTGTGACTTCCACAAGAATTAAAAGACTTCAATATAGTCGAATGGGTTATCATCCCTGAGATAATCATATACTGCTGGCGTCACCTCCCAATAGGGATACGGAGCCTCACGGAGCGGGTTTCGCTCCTCCATCGTATCGGCCTGAGCCCCGGTTTGACCGAGCGACCCTTTTCGTCTGCCAAGATGTTTGCATGAGGAGTAAATGACTCCGTTGTGCTGCATATAAAAGGCTGCAACTCCGTTTCAGCTGAGCTGATGCTGTCTGGTTGATCTGGCAAGTTGTTTCCGTCCCACCTCGTCTATTCACGCAAATCCCGGGAACATGGCAAACGAGTCGGCCCCCAAACGCTGCGTGTCTGCAAACAACGCTCGACGGTTCGTGGCCGACGTCCTCCAGGGCAACAACGTGTCGGAGGAGAATGCAAAGATCATCGCAGACTGTCTGATTCAGGCCGACCTGCGCGGGGTCGACACTCATGGCATGAACCGCATCCCGTCGTACATGGAGCGTGTCCGACAAGGAGTGCTCGACCCCAAAGCCCGGCCTGTGTTCAGTCAGATCACGCCCGTGGTCGGCCAAGTCGACGGTCACAATTCTTTTGGATTCCTGTGTGCACATCTGGGCATGAAGCACGCGATCGAGATGGCTCGCACGTACGGCATTGGCATGGTCAGTGTCAAGCATTCCAACCACTTCGGTATGTCTGCTTGGATCGTGCAGCAGGCCATCGACGCCGGGATGATGAGTCTAGTGTTTACCAACTCGAGCCCGGCGCTGCCAGTGTGGGGAGGTAAGGAGAAACTCATGGGCGTCAGTCCCATTGCGTGTGGGGCGCCTGCAGGACAGGCGCCCCCATTCATCCTGGACATGGCACCCAGTGTTGCCGCCAGAGGCAAAATCTACAAGGCGAAGCGCCGCGGGGAAAAAATCCCGCTGGACTGGGCGTTGGATAAGGATGGGAGGCAGACCGATGATCCCGAGGCGGCGTTGGGAGGAGTCATGCTGCCCATGGGCGGGCCCAAGGGGTCGGGTCTCTCCATCATGATGGACGTCTTCTCCGGGGTACTCTCTGGCAGTGCGTTTGCTGGCCATGTAACCAATCCGTACGACCCCAGTAAGCCTGCGGATACGGGACATTTTCTCATCGCCATCAAACCCGATCTCTTCATGAGCCTGGAAGACTTCAAGGCCCGTATGGATTATCTGTACCAGCGGGTCGTGGGCTGTGAGAAGATGGAGGGGGTCGATCGGATATTCTTCCCGGGAGAGATCGAACAGAGGACAGCAACGGCGAGAATGGAGTCTGGGATTCCTTTGGTCGAAGCAGAGATCTCTGCACTGAATGACGAGGCTTTGAGGGTGGGTAAACCGCAGCTTGTGCTTCTGGAGACTTCAACCTCTTAAACTCCTGTCTATCTGTGGCGTTGGGGCCGGAGATGGGATGGGATTCCCAGGGGCTGGCAGAACAATTGCATCTTGTTGCGTATGGGAATGTTTGGGGGGGGCCCTTCCGTCAGTGGCGCGGCACTCGTCCAACTCGTCAGCAAGCGAGAGGCGGTTCGCCATCAAGCCACCTAGGCGAACAAGCCATTTTCGTCATCTCGCATGTGGCCCCGGAGGGAAAAAGGGGGAGGGGCGTCTGAGTGACCTGGATCCCAAGTTTCTGTTTGAAGAAAATGTCAGTCTTATTGCTTGACTTGCTCCTCGATCCCAGTTCGTTCAGCCATCTTGTCCAGACCCGGAACGGTCATTATTGCAGAAACCCAAGATATAAGATTTGAGCCAGAGAAGTCATGCAGCCGGTAATCGTACCTCGCTAGCCTAGGTTCGTTTGGTGTAGGGCAGGATGGTGTTGCACAAGGGTTGCATGTGGAGAAGTTGGCGGGTTAGGAACAGCATTGCCGCCAGTAATGAGAGAGAGAGAGACAATGATGAAGCCGCAGTCCGACTTTCGGGATCCTCCTTGTGCAGACAAGGGTGGGTAGAGATCTTCCCGTTGTCGAGGATGTTCGGCGCAGACAGCCACCCACCCCTACAGTAAGGTCCGTGGCTCCCAAACTCCCAAACTGCGGGCTCGGGTTCTCCTTCCACCTTCCTTCCAACACCAAAACTGGCCCAACCACCACCGTCACTACCTACTACCACCACTTCAATCTGCTCGTCTGCAGCATACGAACTCACGATACTGAACCTCGTATATTCATATCCCCCTCATTAGCCTTTACCTGATTTTGGCGTCAATGCTGTATCTGCAAGCATCACTTCCAATCCTACCAAAATTCCACCCTCCAACGGCCCTTGTGAGGCGCACTGTTGCGAGACTGACCCTCCACATTCGCCACGCCTGAAGCCAACTGACCGTTTGCACTGGGCTTTGCACGGCAATCCCTGTTGCTTGACCGCGTCTTCTTTGCCCTGCTGGTCCCGGGGCGTCCTTCCTGCATTTCTACGCACCCTCTGACGACCTAACCCGTCTCCATTCATGTCCATGCGCCAAACTCCTCCGGCCTTTCCTAACACTCTTATCAATATTTGCAGGCTTCAATCCTGCTAAAACTCACCTGCCATCTGCTCCAACCTTGTTCCCAATCGACTAAGGTCTTGTGTTGCCCAAACTTGGATGAGCGACACGGCTGGCTCAGAAATATACTCAATTCCTGGGGTAAAGATCCAATATATTGTACTTGGTCGAGATTCGGTAAAGAGGGGGGAGCGTCCAGGGATCGGGACTTGGTAGATACCACCAGGATGCGAGTGTTGTAACGCCTTAGCTTCATGTCCTCGCCGGCACACGTCGCTCGTGGGTACCAACACAAGTGCCCAGAGGACTTCGATACCTCGCATCTACTACGGACCTGCCTCTGGCTCCAGAACAATTCTCACAAACATGTCGACCGATGCCACTGACCACTTTAAGGACGCAAACCCTTCAGCATGTTCTGCGCAGGGAGAGGCCACGACCTCAGCATCCCCGGCGCTACGTCAACACCAGACACCTCCGACATGGATACCCATTGAACCTATTCAGTCACATATCAGCATGTTCACAGGACGAACTGACGCTGACCCACTGGTGCCGCCTTCGCCATCCGCAAGATCAGACGACAGTAAATTGACATTAAGTCCAGGGTCTATCAATCGTGTCTTCCCTGTTCGGTCGACCGTTTCCATCGATCCTGTTGCTACCCCAATGCCTCGTATGGATCTGGGTGGTGGCTATCCTGGAATGAGACCTCCCACTGGCTCCAGGAACGCAAGCCGCGTACTTTTGGGACGTGCGTCCACCAGAACAAGGAACGCGTCGACATCTGACGGATCAGACGCTGGCTCGACGACTTATTCCACTGGCAAGGTCGACCATCAGCTTCTGAATAATATGGTCGCGGATGACTTCTCCAGCAAGTCGGAGGTCTCGAGCGTGTCCGGTGGAGTACCAACCCCAGCAGCGTCAGAATCTGGATTGGTCACGGCACGCTTCAAGCATGTTGTGACCGATGGTGGCCACGCCGTCATCACCGGAAGAGACGGTGAAACGTTACAGAGATGCGAAGATGAACCAATTCATATCCCTGGCGCCATTCAAAGCTTTGGTCTCCTTGTCGCTCTCCGTGAAGAGAACGAGAAGCTGGTCGTACGCGTGGTGAGCGAGAATTCGGCCGAAATTATCGGCTACACACCTCATCAGCTCTTCCAACTCGACTCTTTCCTCGACATATTTTGTGAAGACCAAGCAGAAAATTTGACGGACCACCTGGCCTTCATCCAAGATGGTGAAGGAGATGTCAGCACGAATGGACTGGAAGTTTTTCTCTTGTCAATCAAACCTCCGCACGCTCGCACCCGGAGATTATGGTGTGCCATGCACCTGTCCGAGTCGGATCCAGGCTTGGTGATCTGTGAGTTCGAAATTGAAGACGACACGAGGAATCCGTTGGTTTCGCCGGAGGACATGACGCCTCCAGTTCCGGAAAACACTCTCGGGAGTAATCCTACAGCGGAAGAACTCATGGACAGCACTGTCACTATTAGTAAACCGCTACGTGTATTGAGGAGCGCGCGGAAGAAGAGGACGGAGGTGGCAGCAATGGAGATATTCAACGTAATGTCTCAAATCCAGGAACAACTTGCCAACGCGCCAACTCTACAAACATTTCTTAAAGTCCTCATTGGCATTGTCAAGGAACTGACCGGCTTTCATCGTGTCATGATATATCAATTCGACAACGCCTGGAACGGGAGAGTTGTCGCCGAACTGGTTGATCCTCGATCGACTCGGGACCTGTATAAAGGTCTGAATTTTCCCGCGTCCGACATACCCAAACAGGCACGAGACCTGTATAAGATCAACAAAGTCCGCTTGCTCTATGATCGTGATCAGGAGACAGCCCGACTCGTATGCCGGACTGTGGAGGACCTTGAGAGGCCTCTCGACTTGACGCATGCGAACCTCCGCGCAATGTCTCCGATCCACATCAAATATCTCGCCAACATGGGCGTCCGGTCGTCCATGTCGATCTCGATCAATGCTTTCAATGAACTGTGGGGGTTGATCTCTTGCCATTCATATGGGGCGAAGGGGATGAGGGTGTCGTTCCCCATCCGCAAAATGTGTCGTTTAGTCGGCGAGAATGCCTCTCGCAACGTGGAACGCCTGTCTTACGCTTCCAGACTACAAGCTCGTAAACTTATCAACACCGCCTCTACCGCCACAAACCCATCGGGGTATATTGTGGCCTCATCTGACGACCTATTGAAATTGTTCGACGCCGATGTTGGTGCACTTTCGATCAGGGATGAGACGAAGATCCTGGGCAACCCCAGGGGCCACCTTCAAGAGGTCCTTGCGATGGTCGAATATCTCCGAATGCGAGAGATGAACGCAGTATGCTGCTCTCAGGACATCACTAACGATTTTCCTGATCTGCGTTACGAACCGGGCTGGAAATTCCTGGCCGGTGTTCTTTTCGTCCCTCTGTCAACCGGTGGCAACGACTTTATTGCCTTCTTCCGCAAGGGCGTGTTGCAAGAAGTTAAATGGGCCGGCAACCCGTACGAAAAATTCATCAGGGAAGGTACTGAGGGCTACCTTGAACCCCGAACAAGCTTCAAAGCGTGGAGCGAGACCATTGTAGGTCGATGTCGAGACTGGACAGATGAAGAAATAGAGACCGCGTCCGTCCTCTGTCTCGTCTACGGCAAATTCATCGAGGTCTGGCGCCAGAAAGAAGCCGCCCTCCAAAACAGCCAACTGACTCGGCTTCTCCTGGCGAATTCGGCCCATGAGGTCCGCACCCCGTTGAACGCGATCATCAACTACCTGGAAATCGCGCTTGAAGGCCAGCTGGATCAGGACACTCGAGAGAACCTGGCTAAGTCCCATTCGGCCTCTAAATCGTTGGTTTATGTCATCAACGACCTGCTGGATCTGACCAAGACAGAAGGGGGCCAGACACTGGTCACGGATGAAGCTTTCAACCTCCTGCAGACATTGAAGGACGCCACGGATCCTTTTGTCGGCGATGCGAAGCGAAAAAGTCTACACTATGAGGTCATACTGCACCCCGAGCTGCCACAACAAGTCGTGGGCGACTATCGACGAGTTCGACAAGTGGTGTCTAACCTCGTTGCGAACGCCATACAACACACAAAAGAAGGACGAGTTATCGTCGAGGCATATCCTTTACCAACTTCACAAACACAGGGCAAGATTGAGATTGAAGTCGCCGTCGAGGATTCTGGAATAGGAATGTCGCAAACGAAAGTCGACGCGTTGTTTAGAGAACTTGAAGAAGTTTCTTACGAAGAGGATCTGCAATCCCCTACAGTGATCACGAGTGATAAACCCGCCGACAAGACGCAGCCCGAAACCATGGCTCTTGGTCTTGGCCTCGCTGTAGTTGCACGGACCATTCGGAATATGAATGGACAGTTGCGAGTGAAGACGGAGGAGGGAAAGGGTTCCCGTTTCGTCATTGTTCTCGGCTTTGATATCAATGAAGCGCCTAAAGCTGCTCAACTCGACCACCATCCTCGGTCATCAGACGCCATCTCTCGACCGTCTACGTCTTCTGGACAACAACAACAACAACAACAACAAGGTGAAGTCACCTTGATTTACAAGAAACGGCCAAAAGTTAGCGAGCCGCCTCCCCTGGTTCGCAAAGAAAGTGGTGGAAGCATCAATAGCTTGGCCAGTCTCAAGAGCGGGAAAAGTGCCCTCAGTCTCAAAAGCGATACCAGCCAAAGAAGCGATGCCGACAGACTCATCGACGCCATTCAGCAGCCTTTGCAGCTGGGTGAACCAATACAAGGCAGTCCCAGTTCCAATGTCAAAGATTCTCATCGTCTCTCGCTCAATTTATCAGAGGCCTCCCCGAGCTCTCCAAAATCCAGAAGCCTGCCCTCTCCACGAGAACTCCGGTCGGCATTTTTCAGGACGGCCGGGTCGGAAAAGATTAAAGACTCTGGAACTCCACTACGACCAGTCCGGGTGTCCGACGGCCAGCCGGAACAGGTGAGTGGATCAATATCTGGCCCCAGGATCCTTTTCGAAGAGCCGGAGTCTGTGGGTACAAGATCAGATACGACCGAAACCCCCAAGGCGACATCATCGGATAATTTCTCGGTCCTCGTTGCGGAGGACGACCCGATCAACAGCAAAATCATGAGGAAACGCCTAGAAAAGCTGGGATATACAGTCCATATGACGGTGAATGGTGAGGAGTGTTCTTCGGCCCACGGTGACCAACCGGCCTCGTTCGATGCCGTTCTGATGGACCTTCAAATGCCCATTGTGGATGGTTTTGGTTCCACGAAGATGATTCGATCATTCGAGAAGATCCACGGCAAATCCTGTCTCTCCAGTAGAGCTGGGGGCAACGGAAGGATTCCCATCTTTGCGGTGTCCGCTTCGCTCGTCGAGAAGGAGCGCGCCAAGTATGTGCGAACGGGCTTTGACGGCTGGATATTGAAACCGGTGGACTTCAAACGCGTGGATCTGCTGCTAAAGGGAATTGTGGATCAAGACGCGCGCAAGGAATGTGTCTATGAGCCGGGCAAATGGGAAAGAGGAGGATGGTTCTCTCGTCGAGACGAACAGGGAGGATCTTTCGATGTCAACACCACGCCGAGCCAGCAGAAACCTACCATACAAACTGAACAACACGACTACCAGAAGTCAGGGACCCTGTCGGCCGAGGAATCGCCACCTTCGGAGGCAACTGTTGTACCATGAGACGAAAGTACATGATGAAAGCGGTTATTCTCTCCAATGAACCTCAGGTTGGGAGGTCACTTAGGAGGGCCCCTTGGTTCATTTCCAAGTATATGCGTTACGTGTGTATGAAACATGTCACGAATTCTGCAAGGAGTTATCCTTTGGAAGCGAGGATCGCGTACGACGACGTTGTTAGGTGCATGGCGCATCCCGGTGTTTGCGAGCTGGGTTACAAAGAGTGTCCAATTGATAGATATAGTCAAAGCCCCAGCGGCTCGAGGTCAATGGAAAAACACGTTCCTCTCTGGTAACGTTGGGTGTGCAAGCTTCGTAACTTGATCATGTTTAATGAGAAGGACGAGGTGTTTTGCGAGTGAAGGATTGATTGGCCGTCGACCAAGCAGAGTCTTCTTGGTCGTATCTCATGATCCCCGTTGTCTTCTAACTTGAGATATTGCTATAATATAGATATCTGTGCAGATGTGGCAATCCACATCTGGCATAATACATCATAAACAAGGATGTACATCGGTTAGTTCCACCGGCCCAATATCCACACTTACCCTTCCAATTCCTCTTCTCCTCGACGCCAACCCCTGTTCCTGACTTGTCTCAACTCTCCCACCATGCCGCCAACCCACCAAGCAACCCACCACTTCCACCCGGTTTGGTGGTTCAAGTCACTCACTCACTCACTGACTCACTGCGGAAAGGCGGAATATGTTAGACTCCTCGATCTCGGTCCACAGCCTGATGCCGTCCGAGTCGTTGGTGTACCGGTACCACAGGAACATGCCCAGGCGGTCGCGCATGGTCGGCCAGGTGCCGATGTCCAGACGGCGAGTCAGCTCGTCCAGGGTGGTGCGGTACCAGAGGCGGTCGGGCGAGCCGATCGCTGCAATCGCCCCCATTGCGGTGGCCCACAGGATCAGGTCCGTGGCGGCGGGGGTTATTGTCCACGGGTGGTGGACGGACCGGTCGCCACTGCCGCGGTCGTCATCGTCGTCGTCGCCGGCGAGGAGGAGGAGCTGGGCCTTGATGTCGCGGGCGAGGCGGTGGAAGGGCGCCGCAATGGCCGGCAGCGGAAACACCACCAGCAGGCTGTAGACGAGGGTGGCCAGGCGCGTGAGGCGGAGCAGCGGGTGCTCGTCGGGGACGTCGCGGGGACGCGGGGTGAGGCGTAGGAGGCTGTGCTGCACGAAGTTACGCCCGTCCGAGATGCAGCCCAGTTTCTGGGCCTCTGGGCGGGCCTGGACGTGGTCGTCGACGGCGAACGTGTACTGGATGATCCACTTCAGCACCGTGAGCAGGTTCTCGACCATCTCGGTGCCCAGGATCTCCGGTAGCACGCGGAACCCCCGGCCGAGGCCGACCAGCGGGTGGGTTTTGCGCGAGGCGGCGTTCAACAGCCCGAAGACGTCGTCGTACATCTGCTCGTACGGCAGCATGGGTCTGGTGAGCGTCTGGCTGGCCAGGATGATGTCTCCGCTGGCAGGGACGAGCGTTAATATCTCGACTGGGGGAACAGGAAGAAGGACAAAAGAAGGACCACCTACAAGCAAATGGCTTGTGCGAGCCCAGGCAGCTTGATTTGCGACAGGCCGCCCCGTAGCGTCAGCATCTTGGCCAGTCCCTGCAGATGCAGATTGACAGTCTGCAGGCGACCCCCGTACAGGTGAAGGAGTTGCAAGGTGGTCAATGGACCTTGAGACGGTGCCGGCGTGGGAGGATGGACGCGCGGCTCGCCGTGGTAGGACAGGGCGTACACGGCCAGGATGTTTTCATCCTCGCAGCTCATGGACGTGTCGGCGAACTTCTGATGCACGCCCCGGATGGTTTCGGTGTAACATTGCATTTGTTCCGGCGAGTCGGCGGGCGACGACAGGAATATGCGATTGCGCGTGAGTTGACAGAAGATGGATGCGTGGAAGAGACTACGGTCGCGAAAGGTCATCTGCAGCCATTTCTCGGAATGGGGACTGAGCGTCTGTCCTTTCTCGGGGGGGAACATCAGAGACAGGAAGCTGTTCACTGTCGCCACCAGTCAGTCTTTTCCGGTTTTCCCTGTTCGTTTTATGCAAGGCAAACGAGCACTCACCTTGGTCGAGAACAGGACTAACAAACTCCTTGGGTAGGTCGCATGGATATGTTTCGAAGGGGTCATAGTGGCCGGAAATCAGCAGGCTCGACAGACTGGCACTGGGGGTAGATACCAGCTCGCCTCCGGGCAGAGGTGACTGTGTGACGACGAACTCGATCGACTCCTCTTCAGTCTTGGGCGTCAGGTCTTCACTTTCTGTCGAGGAGGATCCGTCCGTCTGAGGTGTCGCGGGGGCAAGGACTCTCCTGGACGGTCTGGCGTGGCTGCGGGCAGAAGAACGACGTCGCGTTACCGGGCGACTTGAGGCGGCGGGGGCGCCACCATTACCAGCAGAGGAGTTCCTGACGCGGCGCCAGTGGTAGTTGGAAGCATTGGAGCGAACAAGGGTTTTGTTGCGCCAGCGTTCGGCGTCGGTAGAGGGGTTTGCGGTGACGAACTGAAAGGTTCTGCTGGCTGCGGCGGTCACGGTGGTCGCGGCGTCATAAGAAGCACGGGAAGGGCTCGACGACGCTGCGATTCCAGCGTTGGGATCCGGCCGAGGAGTCACGGCTCGCGCCTTGTACATGTCCTGGCGTTCCTAGACATAATAATGGGAGACCAAAAATCTGACCTGTTCAAGGAATGAAGCTGGACAGCTCTCGCTTTCTCTTCCTTTCTCTTTCTCTCACACACACACGTCCGCAGTTTGGTGAAATCAAGAAAGGATGAGCCGGGCGGGCAAGGGCACCATTGTGGCTCGCTAGCGGGTGTGGGGTTTGCGCACGGAAGAATCTGGTTCGAAAAAGGCCATGGCTGCAGGTCACACGGCCACGGTGTGGAAAGCCGACGGTGCACTCTTCAGTAGTTCGTGCCAGGGGGAGGGGTGGATGGGTGATGGGTGATAGGCGATGGGTGATGGGTGCATTGGATGGTGGCTGAATGGATGGAATGGAGTTGAGGCGGGTGAGAGAGCAAGCATGTGGAGGGGGAGCAGGAAGAGCAGGAAGACGTGGTGGTAGTGGTCTTTGGTGGAGTTTATCCGGGGGTCTTGGGGGCGGTTAGGAGCTAGTGGGCGGCACCTGCTTGGCTGGCACTGGCTGCACCTTTGCCCCCGCAACCCGCAATCATAAGCCTCACCAGCCAAAAGCTCTCCCCCCCACCCCCAGAGGCCGTGTGCCCGCCAAGCAGAACTCGGCAGATCGCGGCTCTCCACGCTTTCCGTTCTGAGCGGTCTGCTGTAGAAGTCTTGACGTCGACAACTTGTATTAGTAGAGCTTTATGCCAGACAGCAGATCAGCCAACCCATGGCAATATGAGCACGACGATTGCATATGTAGATATAGGCCCCTTTTTCCAGCATACAGCAACCTCTGGGTCTTTTCCTTGGACAATCGCTTGGGAACATGCCTCGATCCGTGCTAACATACATAGGGAGCTCTGTATGTGCCAGGGACATGCACATCACTGATGCTTGCCTGTCTTTCTAGCATTGGTCCCCCTCTGTCAAGATTCAAGATGCCACACAGATTCAAAAGGAGACAGACGGAGTGCCCCCAACACATGAGAGGTCGACGAAACGCCTTTGTCTCCTGTTAATAGCTCTTCTGCTCACGAGAGACGAGACGAAGACCGAGCTGGACGTCTGGAAGCTTGACTTTGAGACCACCAAGAGACGGGCGCGGAATGCTCCCAAGGGGGAGTGATGGTTGCAGGGAACGGTCTGTCCATTGCTGCTCCTCTCCTGTCGTAGGAGCCAGCAGCAGAAGCTGAAGCGAATTCTGTTGGAAAACGTCCGGTTGCTTCCTTTATTGGACGGATGGATGAATTGAGGATATACAGACAATTGGATGTTGCGCCCAAGATACGCCGCATATATCCCAGAAGTCTAGGAACTTGTGCCTGACTCTTCCTTTGCTCTGCCTTTTGCCTTTCCCTGAACCTGTGGGTGCTTGTACATTTTCCAAGATCCGTCACCCCCGTGGGTGTCGATAGATGTGTCCATTTCCTGGGTAATCTCAAACCAACATGTCCGGATCCAATAGCACTACCACCCTTCCGCGCCATGCTTGGTATGCCATGAGAGATGAAAGTCCTATACATGTATTCTTCACCGAAGAACGCTCACGCGTACTGGTCTTCTTTTGCTTGTTTCACCTGCTCGCTTGTTCCATTCATCGCTGGGGTTCGTATCCGTACCCGCCATTGGCATACCCAGTGTGTGGGGCGTATGCGTTATATCCAAAACTGCTGGTCGAGCTGTTGAAATCGTCCACCCTGACCTGTCCGGATTGGCCGTGGCTGTAGTCCGTGTGCGCAGCGTTGTCCCTCAAGCCTAATCTCGACTCGTGGGCGGAGTGGCTGTTGTAATCTCCGATGCCATAGGGCAGTCCGTCCTGGGAACTTTCGTGGCCGCCGAGCAGTCCCGACCCGGAGTGTCTGTTCAGGTCGTCCAGTTTCACATCTGCTCCGCCTCTCGCCCCGGCAGCACCGACAGCCATCGGGTTGTACTTGCCCAACGCCGTCTGCGCGCGCCGGGTCCGCACGTCCAACACGATCAAGGCGATCTGGGCCAGCAGGCCGAACACCTCGAACGAGTACAGCGCCTTGTAGATGCGGCAGATCATCATGCCGTCGTCCGAGGCCCAGTTGGCGCGCGAGCAGCTGTGGCCCAGGGTACCGTACATGTTCCACGTCAACAGGCTGTACCCAACCACCCAGATGATGAAGATGGTGACATTGAGAATCAGGTTGAACAGCGGCGAGAGGAAGAAGCAGGTGTACAGGAACGAGGTGAGGGTGAGGGAGATGAGGGAGAGGAGGGTCGAGGCGAGGACCTGAGATTCATTCAGTAGTCAGTACAATGATGACATCCCCCATAGTAATTTCCACGTACAATGATAAACGTCCAGGGCAACTTAAACCCATCGTGACGCAGTTGCATGCAAAAGTATATCAGGATGCCACTGACGATCGATGCACTGACGAAGGCGATGGCGCGGATGAGGTGGAAAGCCAGTCGTGGATAGACCTGCGGGCGCGACTTCATTTTGGACGGCATGATGGAGACAGGGGGTCGGCGCCCGGAGGCACAGCTCGAGGGACGGACGGAGGTATATATTGCAGATGTGAGTGTCGTGGCCTGGCCTCGCCGAGACGCTCTCTTTGTTAGTTGGGGCCGCCGTCCGTTTCACAATGCGGGCTCGGGTAGGTTGAAACGATTCAGGGAGGCTGTACCGTGCCCACTGCTCAATTGGTCCTGAAACACGAAGTCGTAGCAACACAACAAATCAAACAGATATATGGAATCAAATACACACGACTGCACAGAAGGACGTCCAGAGGCACAGCGCAGTTGGTGTTGTATATTCAAACAAGAACAAGGGGCAGATCCCAAGAGAGGTTTAGCGCTTTCTTGTCGGTTTCACCCCAGCCTCAAGCTGAAAATAGGACTACGCTAGGCCTTTTTCAAAAAAACAGCCAATCAGCCATCGCTGATGGAGAATACAGCTCACCAATAGGCGATCACCTAGTGGGGGTGGGTGAATTGGCGAGGGGCTCTGCCACGAATGCTTTTGATAAATGAAAGATGTAGCATGCTACTGGTATGGTTACTCTACGGTCCGGATCACCTTTCGATCCGGAATGGGATACGAAAATGGAGAGAGTGTAATGAGAAAAGATGGCAGAAAAAAAAAGCCTGCGGTGTACGGAATACTTGGGATCAAATGAGTGTATTGGGGGTGTGGTGGAACATCCAAGGAACTGCGGCCACCCAACAGCCTGAAAGCCAGAGGAGCACGTCTCGCGGCCCTCTTGAGTCAAAAGCTCCTTGGCCGACTCCAGCTATCTCAGCCTGGTTTCTTGGCTTCATCTCTATCGGAGCGGACTCTCTTTGATGATCCCATTGCCCGGGACAAAACTGCCCGCTCCGGCGACGTTGAACTTGAACGATCCTCCCACTGAACTGCCACTGCCACTGCCACTGCCGCTGCCGCTGCCGCCAGCAGCACCAATCCCCTTGGGCGGCGAGGTCGGCAAGGGTGTGCCGGCCAACGACGAGGGTAAAGCCATCAAATCCGGGGTGTTTCTCCCGCTCTGTACAGCACTGTTGGCTGCTCCGGTACCAACACCGTCCAAAGGCATTAAAGTTCCACCGATACTGCGTGGAGGAGGTTTCCAGCCGTATTTCGTGCCCTTGCGGTAAATGTCTTCGATCATCTGCTCTGCGATGCCCGCATCTTCGTATTCCTGGAACTTGCGCCACAGGCGTAGCGCCATGCGTGCGTCTTCAATGCTGTCATGCCCATCGACTTGCATCGCCTCATCCAGCGTCGTTTCTTCCTGGATATATTCCTTGAATACCGCCCACGCAAGATATCGTAGGGAAAGCCGCCGATGCTTGCCAGGGGCGAGGTACAGGTACTGCGTGTCGACGGTTTGCGACTTGGGAACATGGATATTGGCCTTCCGAAAATCAGACGCCAAACCGTGGCCCACGAAAATACAGCCCAGGTTAAGCAGAATCCATAACTTTTTGTAGGCCACCTTCAGAGGCACGAGGTTGTGATGTGAAAGTTGGGCATCAAGATCGCCTGGGCGAATGCCGGAATACTGAGTTTTGTAGTCAACAATCGGCTCGTAGATGGTGATGTAGTCATCGATAAAAGGGACGCCCTCGTCCTCGCCCTGGCCGCGCAACACGCTGACACGGGCGAGACCACTCTTCGCCGGCCGAATGGTTTCTTGCGTTCCGTCCGCCTTGACATTGATCTCGGCTTTCTCCAGCTCGACAAATTCCGTGTCTAGCGCAATGGGGGTGCCTTTCGCGGGGTGCTCTTCTGGTGCGAGGATCTTGCAGCCCTCCTTGGGATAGATGCCATTGATGCTATAGTGTTGGTACAACAAGGTCGTGTCCAAACTTCGTTTCCAGTTGTGATCAAGCTTGCCGTGCGCATTCTTCACTTGGTAGGCAAGGACGCTAGGCATTTTCCAGCCCTTGTTGAAATGGACGGCTTCGCGGGGATCAACCGGAGACACCAAAAAGTCGTTGAAGAGATGCCAATTGGGAAAGACTTTGTGATTTTGGGAGATGTCGGGTCCACTGCTGGAGATCTCCACATTCACCATGCTGACGAGGTGAGGTTGATGCCGTTCACTGGTGTCAATCTCGGCGACGAAGCCAACGAGCTCGTAGATCACCAGACCCGGTGATTTGTTTCGCTGATGCAGGGCGAGGTCGGAACCTTCGAAGACGTACACGTTCCTATCCTGTACAATAACGCCAATCTCGGAAGGAAGCCACCCCGGGGTCTCCCAGATGGCGCGCATTGCAGGGTTAGTCCCGAGTGCCGCATTGATCATCAACACGAAAGGTAGTTGCCGGACTGTTTTCCGGATCGCCAACTGTTGATACCTTCGGCATCGGCTACACCAACCCCGGTTCTTAGCTTCTCGTTCGATGGTGGTCTTCAGGATGGACGAAAACTTGATGTATCTCATAGAGTGCTTTGGCTCGAATTGTGGATAGACAAGGTCGTGCACGTACGTGCTTGCCGGTTTGGTCGTCTCATTGTTGCAATACATACAACGGATGGCTTCAAACGCTTTACTCGCGATAATCTCATCGATCCCATCACTACTCGTCGACATTGTGACATAGTCTTGCGCCATTTGCTTTAAGAAGAATCGATTTACGGCCTGGATCGTGGTCGAGAGCGGCGTCCCGTTGGCCAGGGACAAATTTTCGAAAAGGCTGAGGTTCGCGGCTTCCCTAGAGGCTCCAAAGGCTCTCAAAAGATTTGTCGCCTGGCAGTTCTGGCCATTTGCCTTTTCCAGCATGTCGAAGAGAAAGCCAAATTCGCACAGTAAACATTGACTCGCCACGCACGACGTGGCGGCATGCTGGATGGCCACATTGCGGATGAGAGGAATAAATTTGTACAGCTGTAACAGTGAGTTGATGAATGAATTGGCAATATGCGTTTCCAGTCCAGAATAAGGAGTCTTGTTGTAATATCGAAAATCAAAGTCGTCAACCCCGAATCTGCTGTACTTGATCTCGACATTGCTGTATTTGAGCATTCGTTCCTCGTCGGTTTGCGCCCGGCCATTGAGAGATATACCGGCCAATCCTTCAGCGGCGTCCGAAAGCTTCCGGCCGTTTCCATTGGCGGGCGCTTCTTTGGCCTTTTCGCTCAGAAACTTGGGCGCAGTGATTGAAGCAGGGACGTGGCCTATTCTGGTATCTTCCACCTGGTAGCGGAGAAGCTTTCGAGGATTCAGGTTCGGCGCATAATGTCCCATCTCGGCCGTCTGCATGTGGAACAGCAGCGACGGTTCGACCGGCGGTGGTGGCGCTCCTACCTCAAATACCATGTGGCTTGGCCACGCCGACAAAAGAGGCTCTGAATAGTACGGCATGCCTATGGTATGGAGCGGGGAGTCGTTCCAGTCGACATGGGGAACCTGCTGGGGGGGAGGATCTGCAAATTCTGTTTCCTGGCTGATGTTGTTGAAGCGGACTTTCGAAGGTGACCCCCAAAGATATATCCACCCGTTGGAATCAGTAATCACGAGGGCATCTCCCGAGGAGGCGATTTCCATTCCTAGCATGAATTGAACATTCGCTTGTTTAAGCATGACATTCACCGGGTTCATCAGATCCACCACCTGCATTTGCCCGGTCTGTGACGCGACGAAGCTGGTGGTCTGGAGTTTAGGATGTAAGCGCGCGTATGCGGCTCCCGCATGAAAAGGTATCGGAGGCAGAGATGTGAGAGACTTCAGATCGTAAACATTGGCCAACGGGTCGACGATAGGCACGCCCAACTGCCTGACCGAGAATCCGCAAGTGATAAGAAAGTCATTGCGGGCATCCATGTCGTTGACCGCGCTAGAGTGGGCTTTCCAGGATTTGAGGAGCTGGTAGTCGGTCAAACTGAGGATATGCACGTTGCCGTCATCAGTCGCGGCACATATGTGGCGGCTTTTCCTTAGGATGGTGTACTTTGCCTGTGCGGGATGTTCCGAGACAATTTGGCCTTTGTCGACGTCAATAACAAAGAAGGTGCTTTGACATCCTGCCACAAGGACGAGACTGTTTGTAGCAGCAAAACCCATGCAGCGGAGATCCGTCATCAGGCGGTGTGAGATGTGCCATTGTGTTAAGCCTCTGCGACTGACGAAGTGGACGGAAGAAGACGAGATGGAAAGGATACCCTTTTCGTGGACCAACAGTTGCTTGACTGGGCCTTCTCCCAGATGAGCCTTGACCGAGACGTACCGTTGCAACTCGGGGCCATAGAATGAGGTGACTCGTCCCTGGCCTCGAAGGTGAGAGGTGAAAAGACAACAGTTCCAAAAAGGCTGCCTTACCTGATCGTTGCCGACCCATAGAAGTTCCTGCAAATCATCAAAAGCGACGGCACTGGCTGGGGTGGGAATTGCATGCAGTCCCGACGACGGCACTGCTATGCGAGTGATCTCGTCCCAATCTGCCTCCATGGGCAGACTGATGCCGACGGTGTTGAGCTATCGCAGATCCGGAGGACGATGCATGACGAGGGCAACGTAGTTCGGGGGATGAGGGTCTTCGAGGACGATTTGGATTACATGGATGTGGGTCTCGTCATATCATAGTGGCCGTTTGCCGTAAGTCGTTTGCTTGTCAGGATGAATACTCTGGGTAGTGATGGCTGATGGGTGAAGTCAAGGGCAAGAGCAGAAGAAGCCGGCCTGACCATATTAAGTGGTTGTGGTGGTTCTGGGTCTCTCTGGCTTGGGATGTGGCTGGTGCTGCTTGACACTGTGGCGTCACCAGCCTGCGCCTCCTGAGCTTTCTCTCCATGTCTTGAATGTCTCCTTCGTTTCCCCCACGTATCAACCACCAGACTCCCATTGTCCTATTCACCTGCTCGAGTTGGTTCTTCCAAGTGTTGTTCTGATTGACTGACACTACTGACTGTCTATTCAACTGACTGCCGCCTCTAACCCCACTGTCATCGCTAACCTGTTCAGAGAGGCCGCGCCATCAACTCGTGCCTGTATCTCGCTTGTCACTTATTTATTCCCCACTGCTCACGCACTGCTCTCGCTTTCCTTTCCCTGCTTCTTGACAGCCAGGAGTCCGCCAGAACAATTCTGCGCTCACACGGTAACGATGAGCAGCTACGAGAGTAAGCACAATGCTTTCTTGCGACGCCGACTGAGCCCACTGGGCTGACGCTTTCTAGCTGAACATGCTTCGGATCCTCCAAATGGCAATCAAGGCCAACCACGCCGACCAGATCTCTCCACATTCCTGAGCCTTCTGTCCGAAGTCACACCGGATCGACCAGAAGAACGAGCTCGTGAAGGTGCTGTTCCTGTTCCTGCTGATGTCTCCGCCGTCTTTCGCTCGCTTGCAGAGGCGTTTGAAGTCATGCGTAGGGTCAATGACCATGCCGACTCCAACTTGCTCGAGAGCATGATCCAGAACCTGATGGACACGGCCGAACGACCTCCCCGGGAAGTCAAGGGGGTGGACGAAGAATACATTGCTGCATTGGAGCGGGTCAACATCAAGAAAGTCAGCAAAGATGCTGACTGCCCCATCTGTGGAAATGCCTTCGTCGAAGACCCTCACCCGCTCCTGGTGCGCCTCCCTTGCCATCAAAGTCATATTTTTGACCTTGAGTGCATTCGACCATGGCTTTTGGTGAACGGGACCTGTCCTTTGGACCGGATTGACCTGGCGCAAAGGGAAAGAGATCGAAAGAAGAAACGGCTGGAAGATATCAAGAAGAATGCTGCTCCGGAGGATGAGGAAGAGGAGTGGGATGGGCTCTACGGCTGAAGCATATCGACAATACCCGCCCTGCTAAGGAATCAATGGTGGACAATCTCCTTGAACTGCACGTGCCTTGGCTGCTCAAGGGGCTGTTCCGTTATTCTCAATCGTTGAGCCAGGTGTGGACCTGCACTTGAAGAGCAGCGCCGACACACTCAGTCTCTCCGGCCCAATCCTAAGCCCTGACGAATGCTGTCGGCCGTAACAACGCTTCATCTCGAGTCAAAGGGGGTTCGAAGCCAACAAACGTTCTCCCAGTCATACGGTGTCCGCACTCGTACCAAGGCGCTTCGACCTTTCCTCGATCTGGCTGTCTCGGGCAAGTCGGTGAGATGTATGCCCTGTCCGCTGTTCTCATTCCGGCGGAATATCACCTTTGACGGCCGTATCACAGCCTTCCGGGCTGGAGCATCAGCCCCGATGGTAGAGGCTGACGAGTACCAACATAAGACAGCACATAGGTGCAATATCAACACAAAGATGCTGACAAATGTGAACCTGCCCGCTGATGCGTCGTGTCAGTGTAACTTGCTCTCAAACCGGATTGCGGAGAAGAACAAAGCTTCCGCCAATCATGAATCCCAGAGACTATGATATGTACCTCGGTTTTTTACCCAAAGTAGGCACAATGTTTCTCCTTTTGTGCCCCTCCATTCGGGCGGGAGTATTGGACGTCATGCTGCAACTATCAATGGTCTGACTCTTCGAAAATGCTTAAGACTGGCGCAAACAATCTCCCCTTCTCGTCGGTGTCTCGTCTTCGAGTCATTCGCTGCACAGCTTCTTGCCGGAGACACTCATTTGTCCATCGGATAATACTAAGAGGAGTATTAACTACTAACCTTCGGATAGCCGAAAACATTTTATATCACGCTATTCACCCGACTGCTCCCTTTATCAAAGAGCTTGAGTATTTGTGCAGACACAAATAGGTTGACATCATCCTGAGGACGCACGTTATCGTCTCGTTGATCCACCGCACACGAGGAACTTGACAGCATGGCGTCGACTCCCACATCCACCCGTACCTGGATCCTGGCCAACCGTCCCAATGGCCTTCCGACCTTTTCCAGCACAGAAGCGAACCCAACTTTTAAACTGGTGGAACGACCGCTGCCTCCATTGAAGCCAAACCAAGTCCTGGTCAAGGTCTTGTTCTTCTCCAACGACCCGGCACAACGTCCAGCCATCGATGCTTCCGTCAAGGCGGAGAGGCACTACACTGCGCCCGTAGAGATTGGGGCACCCATGATGGCGCGCTCGCTGGCGGAAGTCATTGCCTCGACTGCGGACAACTTGCCCAAGGGGACCATCGTGGCCGTAGCGCCAGGGTGGACCGAATACGCTGTCGTGGATGCAGCCGAGTGCAGTCCACGACAGCCGCTTCCCGGTGGCCTAAGCATGACACATTACCTGGGCGCGCTCGGCGGGACGGGTTTGACAGCCTATTACGGCCTAGTTGTCATTGGTGAAGCCAAGAAAGGAATGTGAGTGTCTCTGGAAAGCCTGTACCCCTGTCTTCTTTGTTCGATCTCTCGACGCTCTGACGATGAAGTAGGAGAGTGGTGGTTTCCGGCGCGGCGGGGGCCACAGGCAGCATGGTGGTGCAGATTGCGAAGCATGTAAGCACAAGCCGAGACCATTTCGTTCGTGTTTTCTGTTTCTGAGTTAACTTCCCTGGTGTCGCCTTCTAGATTGTCGGCTGCTCAGAGGTCATTGGCATTGCCGGCTCGGATGAGAAATGCCGCTGGGTTGAGAGCCTTGGAGCAGACAAATGCATCAATTACAAGAGCCCGACCTTTGAAGAGGATCTGATCAAGGCAACGGACGGGTTTGTGGATATCTATTTCGACAATGTCGGAGTGAGTGATTTCCCTCTCCTAGAAGAGTGATCGAGCCCTTGGCAGAACATTATTGTGCTGATAACATTCTGATCCAGGGCCATATCCTCGACTTGATGCTCGCCAGGCTGAAGCGTTTCGGAGTGTCCGTCGCATGCGGCTCCATTTCTGGTTACAACTCCAACGAGCCAACCGTGCTGAAAAGTAATCAACCCCCCTTGCTCCTTTTCTCCTTTTCTTTCCCCCTTCCTTTGAAACCGGTTTGACTGATCCCCGGTGTTTTTGTCCTGTTTCTAGACTATTTCCAAGTGATCACCATGCGCCTGTCGATCCGCGGCTTCATCGTGGTCGACTACCTTTCCAAAGCGCAGGAAACCATCGAGCTCTTCGTGCAGGCCGTCAAGGAGGGCAAGCTGAAGATCTCCGACGCCGAGAGCGAGCAGGTCGTCGACACCAAGTTCGAGGACGTGCCCAAGACGTGGTTGAAGCTGTTTGACGGCGGCAACCGGGGAAAGTTGGTCACCAAGCTGGTCTGAGACAGCAGCAGAGGACACGACAGAGAAAATAAAGGGAAGGGGGGTAGGGGAGTTGCCTCGGGCTATCTTCCCCGGTAGGCTCTTGCCGGACAAGGGAATTAGATACTTCCTCCGTAGGCACTTCCTCCAGATATCTTTATGCCATTGATACCCGTCGAGGATCTAGTTGGGTTCGTTCGACGAGATTTCCACCCTCCCCGACCTGCCCTACCATGCCAGACTGAGGCTTGTTCGGACATGTATGGACTGCTCAGTCGGTTCGCTATAGTTATTTTTTTTTAAAGGGGTGCAGTAGTAATTGCAGTACCTCAGCATGTGAAGCCAAACCAGCCTAAAACCGCTGTTTCAGTGAGCTCATTACATCTTTCGAAACATGTGTTTCCCAATTGAAGAAAAGTTTGTATTCGTCGTCATTTCTCCGATTCGGGAGTGTAAAGATATATCATAGCCTATGTAGTACGAGTGATAGTAGACGGACGGAATACATAGTCCAGGCACCACCATGCACTGGTGCACCCACCACAGAAGAAGCCCCAGCGCAACACGATAGGCTCACCAGGCCAGTCCAGGGGGGGCACCTAAACCGAGCTGTCAATTCCCCCGAGGGGGAGGTTGGTTCGTACCGAAACCCCCAAGAGCTGGCAGCCAGCTGAGTTCAGTAATAATGGAACAACGCCCATATGCGACAAGTAATAATCAATCAACCCGGACAATGACTCCTATACGACACATCTGGGGAAATTGTGGGGCGGGGATGCGACCATCAAGATCGAGCTAGATGGCCACGAGGGTGTGCAGTGGATAGGGCACAGCTGATAAACAAATGTAATATGCGAGGAGCAGATCGCCTTCCGGTTTCGGCAGGCGTTTGGTCTGAGGAGGGTGATGACTGCCAATGATCGAATGATTGATTCCGTCCTAGCCGTTGAAAGGGGCCAAGTAATTGCAGAGCACAGCTTTTCAGCTGCCGATCGACGTTTGCTGAACGAGGAGAGAGATGCCTAAGGCGACCTGCTTTCCGAGATAGCTGCCCCGTCGGAGGTGCAGTAGGGCCAGCTCATGTTGAAGTTGAACATATTGTCGTTGGCTCTGGCCTGCGATGATGATCGAAGAGTGACTTTCCCCCGAGCCTTCGAGAGCAGCGGCTGCATGGAGGACACCGAGGCTGCGGACTTGATAGAAGCAGCGTCGCTGGTAGAGGATGACGAGGCTGACGAGAGACGCGAGAACAGCGATGGGCGCTTGGTGGCAGCCATGTTTGTATTGTGGCTTGGTAGTGATAGATACTCTGGAAACGGGTTCAGTCGAGGAATTGTTGTCTTTCTTGTTCAGAGGTTGGGGAAAGAACTGCGTTATTATACACGAGGAGAGCAGGGAGCAGTGATAGATGTTCGAACGAGTGGTCTCTCGAGGCTCTTGATGTACTCTTGTAGATTTGATTTTAGGCGTCGACCACGGGCCAGAGCTGCAGTCCACGTCAGAGACGGGATCTAGCGCTTACCGAGAGCTGTGCTCTTGTTTGCTTTTAGTCTTGTGGCGGGCTGGCAGGGGCAGGGCAGCTGTGTTCAGGGCTAGAAAGGTCCGCGCCACGGAAGGGAGACCACATGCCAATATAGGAAACCGATCTGTGAGGCCCGCTACGGCAACAGCTGAAGTACTGCACTATTGTTGTTTGCCAGTGACATCGACATCGACGTCGATATGTGCCGACTGTTTGATTCCTTCGCTGATGGTGCAAGGCCCTGTCTACTGCGTGTATTTCAATAGGTCTCATGCTTTTTGGTCTATCCTCGTGCGCATCATGGCGGCCTCAGCTACGCGGTAAGGCTTTGCGGTTCCATTCGTATCGACCGATCGCACCGTCTCTCACGCACCGGCTACGTTGACGGGTTGTCCCCCGGCCGCCTCTTTGATTCTGGGATCACTCACCTTCGCGATCTCTCGGACGAATTCTTGCCGTCTCCTCTCCTCTAACGCCCCCGGCTTCCAGTACTCGTACTCGATCCATTCGCCCTCTTTCATCTGTGATTCAACGGCTTCGTGGAAGCGGGCACCGAGTTCTGGTTGCAAGGGGACCACGCCAGTCTCCTCGCAATAAACCTCCCACAGATCAAGCAGCTCCTTGAGGATCTCTGGGTGCTTGGTAGCCAGATCTTCCGTCTCGCCAGGATCCTTGGAGAGATCGTACAGCTGCCACGCCGAGGTGCCCTTGGGGAAGGGAATGAAGTCTGCTTTCCACGGTCCCTTGCGAATTGCAGCACGTCCACAGAGTTCCCACCCAAATGCTTCGTCGGGGTCGTGGATTAGGTCTTGCTTCCCACTCAGCCACGGTATCATGTCCTTGCCACGCATGGGTACAACCTGCCGACCGTTCCATTCGGGAGAGGGATGATCGATGCCTGCGAGAGAAAGCAGTGTGGGCGCAATGTCCATCACGGTTGCAAATGTTTCGGTGATTTCACCTTCTCGCCCTTTGTGCATCGGCGGATAGCGAATGACACAAGGCACGCGGACGCCTCCCTCTGTCGTGTATGCCTTATACAGTCTACTCGGGGCGGTTGCGGCCTGAGCCCAACGTGGGCCGTACCAGACGAAACTGTCCTTGTTGCCAATGTTCTCGAGCGAGTTGTTGTAGTACTTGCCAATATGTTCCATCAACTCACCCGCCACCATGGGATATGCTTCGTACGCAGCTCCCTCGGCACCATTATCTGAGAAGAACATGATGTAGGTGTTGTCTAACTCGCCAATTGACTCCAGATAGTCGGTTACGCGGCCGATGTTGTGGTCTAGGCACTCGACCATCCCAGCGTAGGCTTCCATCGAACAAGAAGACGCCTTCTTGTGAAAGTCGTCCATTTCGTCCCACCCTGGGACTTCGTCTGCAACAACTGGATGGGGCTTGACATCTTTGGGTATCATCCCCAGTTCAATCAGCTTCTTCAGCCGGGCCTGACGGAGAGCTTCTGGGCCTTCCTTGTAAATGCCTCGATAGTGATCGATATATTCCTTGGGGGCCTGGAGAGGCCAATGCGGGGCAGAGAAGGGGTAGTATGCGAAGAATGGCTTCTTGGACAGCTCCTGGTCCTCTTTCCATTCTTTCAGATAGCGCAGCATCCGGTTTCCGTACCCATCGCTCGAGTACCATCCCTCGGGCAGATCTTTGACATAGTGGTCGTCCTCCATGTGTAATGCAATGACACTCTTCTCCAGGAATTTTGGGAAGTCGGCCTCCGGTCTCCAGTCGTAATGATTCGAGCACGCTGGCAAGAGGGCTAGACTTCGGTCAAATCCTCGCGCCTGAGGGCTTCGCTCTTTAGTGAGTCCTAGATGCCACTTTCCACTCATGACAGTGTGATATCCTCCTTCTTTCAAGATCTCGGGCAGTGCGGCCACTCGAGCATTCAAGTACCCTTCATAGCCCGGCATGCCTCTTTGAGGGGCGGTCGAATATTTGCTACCCTTGGGGAAGTTCTGCCCTGAGAAATCCGTCCATTCGATCAGGTTGCCTAAGCCTGCAATGTGGTGATCGGTACCCGTCAGGATCATTGCTCTCGTCGGAGAGCATGCGGCGGCGGCATGGAAGCCTGTAAGACGAATGCCCTCTCTTGCTAACTTGTCGATATTGGGGGTGCGAATCTCAGACCCGAAGCAGCCGGCGTCTGAAAATCCCATGTCATCGGCAACGATGATGAGGAAGTTGGGGCGTTTAGCAGCCATGCTGGAGAGAGCCTATACACGGTCAATGGTGCAGGAACAAAAGAACCAACCCCGAAGCATAAACACGAGAACAATGAGAACGACAGCGAGATGCCTGTTCGAACTGGTAGCGAGTGGGGAGACGAAGTGACCGGAGCAATCTCACACAACGAGGCTTCAGGTATTGCGCCAGGGACCAATCTCGGTACTACTTCAGGTAGGAGCTGAGGGGCTTGTGGAGGGGCAGGTTTGCAGACCCGCCGCTCTAAAAGGCCCTGCGACAATAGTCATAAGCACCCCCAACTTTAGGCGCTTGGTGCCTAAACTCGCCACCTAGTCGGTGTCAAAGGCGGGGAAGTCCTTGTGAAAGTGCCTTGGCCCACGCCACAGAATCTGGGGAAAGCTGGAGCAAGCATTGCTCTCTTGGTTGTTACAGCCATAATAGATCGCGGTGACTCCCTCCCTTGGAGGCTTATGAAGAAGAATACGAGCAACAAGAAAGCCATAGCCATAATCGGCGCAAAAGAACCATCTACAGACAGCACATGCACCCCATCGCCAATGACAACGCCGCAACTTGGCAGGTTTTGTACATGCGCATGATGGCGTGCTCGCAGTCTCACCCTCCAACCACCATCATCTTCAGCCAATCTTCCTCGATCACGACCCACGACACATGCACACACATCCTTGCTCGTCACCTGTTGTATATCTAAGTTGTCACGAACGGCTCGCGCCCCTACCTACTCCTCAATGTGACACCGGCTCGCATCCATCCACTTGTCGATCCTCTCTCACACCCCTCACAGATACCACCTGGATCTACGCGACTCATACCCTTTACATCTGGTTATCCAAACGCTAGAGTCCCCCGCATCCATGGCGTGATTGACTACCCATGTTTCTCTCTTCCAACATTTTGGCCCATCCTGTCCATAGGAATTGCAGTCCGGTGGCCACTGCACCGGAGGGTGGTCGAGGAAGCGAGTGCGACAGGCGGTCAGCTGCGTCGTTATAAGACCTCAGCCATGGCCTCCTCCTCTTCCGCCGGTTATCAGCTTTTGCAGCAAGGCGACACCCCCGAACCACCAGTCGCGACTGAAGAGGAAATCAAGATGGGTAAAGCACTTGGGACATTTCGAGCTTGCTACGTTGTGGCATTGTGCTGTATTGGCTCTTTCCTTTTCGCCTACGACACGGGGATTGTGGGAGGCGTCTTGACCTTTCCCTCCTTTCAAAGGGACTTCGGTTACTCAAAGGCCGACAAGACGCAGGTCAATTCAAACTGCGTGTCGATTCTGCAAGCGGGTGCCTTTTTCGGCTGCTTCTTCATCTGGCCGTTGACCGGATGGCTGGGCCGGAGATGGGGATTCATTATCGCCTCTGTCGTTTTCTGCACCGGGTGCATCTTGCAAGTAGTCAAGTCGCATTCCATTGGCGTTTTCTATGCTGGGCGAGTCATCTCCGGTCTAGGGACTGGAGCAGCCACAGTGCTGGTGCCAATGTTCTCCGCAGAGATGGCGCCGAAAGAGATTCGAGGCAAGCTTGGCTCCTGCTTTCAGCTTTTCTTTGCAACTGGCGTATGCGTCAGTTACTGGGTCGACTATGCGGCTCAGGTGGGCATTTCGGAGACTTCGTCAATGCAATGGCAGGTTCCGGTTGGCCTACAGCTGGTCCCTGGAGGCCTCCTTGGGCTGGGCATGTTGCTGGTGAAGGAGTCTACTCGATGGCTTGCGAAGAAGGGTCGCAACGAAGAGGCTTATGCTTCCCTCCTTTGGGTCCGTGGCGGCGTCGATAGCCCAGAGATTCGAGCCGAGTTTGAGGAGATCCTTGCTGGGGTGGAATTGGAAGTGCGAGAATCTGAAGGCTTGACGTGGAAGGAACTGCTTCTGCCGTCGAACAGATATCGAATGTTCATCAGCATCACGATTCAGCTGTGCGCACAATTGACGGGCAACACTTCCCTCGCCTACTACGCCCCTCAGATCTTCGCCACAATCGGAGCTGGCAACAAGACACTCTTCATCACGGGCTTCTTCGGGCTTGTCAAGATGGCCGGTGTCCTGATCTTCATCCTCTTCTTCGTCGAAAAATTTGGCCGCAAGATCCCCTTCATGGTGGGCGCATTTGCAATGGGGAGTTTCATGCTCATCATTGCACTGATCGTTGACACGCATCCCCCGAAACCATCCGCCAAGGGCATCACACCGTCGGGAGCGGCTGGCATCGCAATGGTCTATCTCGAAGCATTCTCATTCAATATGTCTTGGGGCCCACTGCCATGGCTCTACATAGGCGAGATCTTCCCCAATCGGATCCGAGAGATTGGTGTTGCGACAGGTGCGGCCAGTCAGTGGCTCTTCAACTTCGTCATGAGCCAGATCACTCCCCACGCCATTTCCAATATCGGCTGGAGGACTTTCCTCATGTTTGCCATATTCAACTATGCCATCATCGTCTACAGCTATTTCGTGCTCAAGGAGACTACGGGCAAGAGCTTGGAAGAGATGGAAATTGTCTTTGGTACCGTGGACAGACTTCCCACCAAAGATGATGACGAGGTGGAGTCACAGGCCGCACACGACACCACCAGGGAAATCCATGAAACCACCAAGTGAACTGATATATAGATGGTCAACTCAAGAAGACCAGATTCAAATAGTGTATGTGAGATGGAGACATGCACAAGTGATGATGTCCTAGCTCTCAGTCGAACATACAAAAGTTGGATCTAATGATGCGCCGTAGCACGTCCCGGTGCGCATTTCCTTCACCGTAACTTTGTGCAATTGTCGTCTACCGTTTCCGTTTTCCTTTACGACAATACCGAGTCTCAGGTACTCCTATCATCCTGCATTTCTGATTTGAAAAAGAGTGAGGATATTCTGACACTCACCCCCGTTCTGTAACACGGGCTGCCAGCATAACAGGTTCGCCACTGCCGAGGCCACAGCACCTCTCGTCAAACATGTCCAACCCCCCTCGCGCGCCCGGGCCCCCTAGGCGACGATCATCTTTTGCGTATGATCCTGCTCGCGACACGTTTAAAGAATTGCCAGACACTATAGACACCATAGCTGAACAGGCCATTGCCGAAGATGCTGAGGAAGATGCAAAGACTACCGCCCCGCCTACGTCAAGTCCTACGGCAGAAGACGCTGCGGACCCGTCGCGAAAGCGCAGGCGATCAGAGTCGCTTGACGGAGATGTAAAGCTCACGTCCAAGATAAAAAGACAGGACAATGAGGACACGCCTCCGACGAAGAAAGCACGCGCTTCCATTTCACCGTCAAGACGAGACAACTCTTCCCCCAAGCCTCCAATGAATGGGACTCTTCCTGCGAAACCTAAGCCCCAGACACCCGCAGACCTTCCCCGTATCCCACGCAAAGCAAGAGAAGAAGGCGAAATCTCCACATCTCGCCCGGTACCCAGCGCATATAGTCGACGACCGGATACCGATGACCGACGAGGAAGAGGTCGGAGGGACGAGCTGTCCAACCGACGATCGCGATCCCCTCCTCGAAGACGTTCTCCTTTAGACGCCTACCGTCGCCGGTCTCCTCCTCGAGAGCACCGCAGATCCCCCTCTCCCATCCGAGACTCTCCACCACGAGATATCATCCGTCCCGGCGGCGCTCGGGGTCGTGGCCGCAACGTGCTGGCCGAACAACAGCGCCTTGCTGCGGAACGCGAGCAGAAACAGGCCGGGCTAGTCGCTCAAGTCAACCGTGGCGTTCAAGAAGTCTCAAATCAATTCTACAACGCGAGGCCGGAGTGGGTGAAGGAGAGGGGACGAGACTGGCGAAGAAATGAGTCTCAAATCAAAGGATTACGCAGTTTCAATAATTGGATCAAGTCATGCCTCATCCACAAATTCAGTCCGGAAGAGAAGGTTGAGGAGGAAGAGTTGGGATGGGGCGAAGAAGCGAAAGAACCAGCGGCACAGAAGCCGCTATGTGTCCTCGACATCGGATGCGGTAAAGGTGGTGACTTGGGAAAATGGCAGCTGGCTCCGCAAACAATTGGATTGTATGTCGGTCTTGATCCCGCGGAGACGAGTATCCAACAAGCTCGTGAACGATACCAACAGATGCGGCGAGGTCGTCGTCCAATTTTTGACGCGCGCTTCGTCCCGCAAGACTGTTTCGGTGCTTGGATTGGTGATGTCGGCATCATTCGTGAGGTCGGCATCGACCCCAACGCGGGCAATGGCCAAATCAGTCGCTGGGGCGGTGGTGGATTTGACGTTGTGACTTGTATGTTCGCCATGCACTACTCGTTCGAGTCCGAGGAGAAAGTACGAATGATGCTCCGCAACGTGGCAGGGAGTCTGAAGAAAGGAGGACGCTTTATTGGAGTGGTCCCCAACAGCGATGTTTGCGCGGAGAAGATTCGACAGTGGTTCAAGGACAAAGAGGCGAAGAGGGCTGCGGAGAACGGTTCGCGTGGCGCTGAGAGTGAGAAAGAAGAGGGTGAGGCCGACGAGGAAGGCCCTCAATGGGGCAATTCCATCTACAACGTCCGCTTCCCAATGGACCCGCTGCGTCCCTTGCAACCAGATGGATCCTTTCGTCCACCCTTCAGCTGGAAATATACCTATTGGATGGCCGAAGCCGTGGATGTTCCTGAATTCGTGGTACCCTGGGAAGCGTTTCGGGCGTTGGCGGAGAACTACAACCTGGAGCAACGTTACAGGAAGCCGTTCTTGGATATTTGGCAGCAAGAGCAAGGCAATCACGAGATGATGAGTCTGGCGGCGAGGATGGGAGTGACCCGGCATGAAGGGGGGGAGATGGTTTTGAGTGAGGATGAGAAAGATGCCGTGGCGTTCTACCATGCTTTTTGCTTTGTGAAAGTGTAAATTGGTTCTTGGTTTGGTTCATCCACGGCAGCCTGGCAGTGCATGAGGACGCTGCTTGATACCTGTGGTTTTAGCTGGCACGGTTGGGTGGATGGAAAAGTCCTTCATCCTCGGGGATTCTGCGCCTTTACTTGCCCCAGCCTCGTTCGAAAAAGAAGGTCGACGAGAAGGGGGGCATCTCAGGCATATAGATTCTTCAGTTAGTCCGTACAGAGAGACAGACAGTCTTCAATGCCAGATGCAACAATAGGACAGAGACACTACTTACAGTAATTGGTCCATGAGTACCTACCCTCTCCATTGGCACCAAGAACGAAGCAAAGGGGATACGTCACATGAAGCGTCTCGCATCCAGAAGCCAGAATTCGCCCTCGAGCATTCCACTATCCCCTGAAGAACGTGATTTCTGCAGAATGAGTTACTCGTGGCAATATAACACCGAGCAGAGATACAAGACCATTCCGTGTGTATCCATTCTCGTCCCACAAGTACCAACCACGCCGCTATTCCATACCAAACAGTCTGTATAGGCGCTCGACCGCTCGATACCTCGCGAGACGTCGCGTGAGAATTCGTTTCTGTAGTCTACCTTCTGTTAAGAATCTCGATCCAGAGTGTCAGAATTCCGATTGTAAGGAAGTAAAAGTCCAGATACATAGAAATGAAGGCTCCCAGACATGCGACCCATTCCACTCATTGCGCCGAAGACCCCTCCCTAGACCAGCCAGCACGACCGCACTCGCATCCCTACCCATCAACCTCCTAGCTGGTGTGAACAAGATGAATATACACCAGTGGTGACACCGTCAAAAAGCCGTCGCGGACCGACATAGCATAGTGAAATGACCACGGGTCCAACTCACTAGTTTGTTCAAACGGATGATCGGCTAGCAACAGAAGAGTTAGAAGATGCAGATTTCCGATTTGTCATTCGCTTGCTTGCATGCTTGAAAATACCCGTCTGGAGAGCACGTCTGCCACACGTGTGGACACAATACATGATAACCAGGAGAGGGGTAGGAGAAGATGGGAGAGGACGGAGAGAAACTCCCCCAAGAGATGACAGGAGAACGTACCAGTATATGCACCTCACGACGCTGTCGGAGGATTGCTCTATCCACTTGTCGAAACACATGGCGTGCGTCTCGTTGTGGCACGTCGTACAGCGCCAGATCTTAGCACTGTTGTCTCGACTGCGGGTGGAGGGCAGTTGGGACAGGCAGATCCCGCATTTTGCCGCCACTACCTTTCCCCTTCTCGCAGACAGGGAGGTGGAAGTGGAGGTGGAAGTGGAAGTGCGCGCGGAAGAAATGAGGTTTTTTCTAGATGACGACGAAGACGAAGACGAAGACGAGGACGAGGACGAAGAGGTGGCAGTCGGACCGCGAGATGAAGATGGCTGTGGTGGATATCTTCCCGGCAGCTCGCCGATGCTGACTTTAGGCTGGGAGATAGGTTGGCGGGTATGGTCATGACCAGAGGTTGAAGACGACACTTCGTCGTGGATTTCTTCTCCCGCGGGTGCTCCAGCGCCAGAACTTCCAGGGCGCGCGTCAAAGGCTGGAATTGCCGCTCGGAATGTCGATCGGTCCAGCCTGGCTAAGATTTCGCCCAGGGTTCTCAGAATCTCTTGCTGAGTCTGTAACTGGCGGTCCAATGCGGCAGAGAGGTCCCTATTCCCGGCCGACGAGAGCGGAGATTCCGCTGCTCTATCCATTGGCAATACGACTTGACCATCGCTGGATCGCCGTTGACCAGGTTGAGAAGAGCGTGGAGGCTGACCCCTTTCAGAGCGTCTTGCCACTTTGCGTTCCTCAATGTGTTTGACCAAATCATCAATCCATTCCTCGGTTTTCTCGGGTGCCTGGGACTGGTGGTATCTAATGATTTCGTCAAAAATCCGTGTCAATTGGTGGTTTGGTCCTTTCTGAACGGAAAACCACGCGGACTGAGGCAAGTCTGCGCGTGTACGCGACAGACGTACCTTTTGCAATGGAGCAATTTTGCCGCGCTTTGCAACTGTGTTTCCAGCGTCGAGGGTTCCACTCCCCGGCCCAAAGCGTCGCAGATATCTTCAAGCTGGTCTTCAGCTGCGTCGCGAGATGCCTCTGCCACTGGGTTTCGGCACCTCCGACCACTTCTACAGTACCCAATGCATGTAGATTGTATTCCGGGGTCGTTGATGCCGAGAACTTCGTAGAGCCCGTCGATGTGGATGGAAAGCATGCTGAAGGAGAGTCGAATATGACAGGCTCAGAAGGCTGAGGAGTAAGGGGAGTTATGTATTGTGGATCGACGAATATAGAGGGGACTCGCCGGAACCTGAGTAGTCTTTTATAGATTCACCTCACCTTCTCTCAGAGAAATAACTCAGCCAAATCGATGACTCGCACGGTGAGACTCCGAGCGAGTGTCCAATACTCAGCCACTGACATTGCTGCCTTCCAAGATAACGATTCGGGAGTTGGTGCCGAGACGGGCAGAAGTACATCTGGCCGCTCCGCACCGACCCTGCTGGGGCTCTCGCAGTAATTGGTTCAGAGCATCGAGTTCCTGGTCGGTTTGTCGTTCAGGTGGCGCTACAATCGGCCGGACCAGAGGCGCAGTGCAGGCTTCGCAGACGCAGGGGATGGTTGCGGGCGTGGCTAGATTTGCCCCTGGTCAAGGTGTTCAGACGAATAGTGTATCAAAATGTCACTGACCTCCCCTGGCACCAAGCGGCTTCCAGAAGGGCACTGCACGTTCCCTTGCTCCAATTGAGGCGGAGGCTACCATGTCGACGGTCAGACCGCAAAGGATGACTCCTTCAACGGCAGAAAATGGCCTGGTAGGTGGACGATTCTCCCAGTGGCCTTAACAGAATCCTTCGGCCCGTCGGTGACTCTGCGTAGTCGGCATTCAAGAGAGCAAGACGTTCATTTATTTGCGCACAGACTCACTTCGGTGCGTATTTTGGCCGTTGAGAGAGAAGAAAAGGAAAGGGCTGACGTAGGGGTGTATCCAGGACCACTTGGCCCAGACTCAGAGAGCTTCGTCTAGATGACATCGCAGGTCCTTTGAAGCCTTCCTAGCCTTTGAGACCATGTCGCACAGAGGTGTTTGGTTATCTTACCGGGATGTTTATGTCAGGGGTAGATAGTATAGCATAGTTCTCCTGCAGTGGTGAGAATTGCTTAGCTCGACAAGGGGGGTGAATGAATCATCACCAGTCACGCAAAAAAACGTTGACCATGGCCCATGCACTGTGCAGATGGAAGATGGTGTTGAAGGAGGAGCTCTGGACTTCACCTTGTCACCTCCGGCTTTCGCGGAAGGGGTAGGTTTCGCTGGAGATGTAAAGGGTAGAGGCAAGAAGAGAGACGCATTGATGAGGTGACGATTTGGCGAGGAGTTAAGAAAAGAAATGTGTCGGTCTGACGAAAACTGCTCCTTGCCTCTAGTGCAGTTGAGGGGTTTCAAATAGCGTTGTCAGACAGAATCTTTTTTAATCATAACAGGAAGGTCGGATAGACTCAAATGTAATGTTTGTATATATTTCAAGGAGTGATTATGGTCGATGTGTATATTACTCTATTTATCCCAAAACTCCCGCTATGCTCAAAGACATGCAAACCGCTCCAAGAAAGACGTGCTGCCCTGCAGCTCAACTCTTGTCCACATACATTACTGACGTTGCTCATCGACTTGGAACCAGTTCTTACCAGGCACCGATCGACGTCGGCACGGCCATGGTAATCGTGATCGTTTGGCAACCAACACAATCACTTAGGCCATAGAAAAAGTTTGGGGCCAAGGTAGGGGTGGCAGTGACAGTCACTGTGGCGGGAGCAGGGCACCAATGAGGAGTTGTGGTGGTTGTAGGTGCCGGATTGCACTGACCATTGGCAGCGGTTCCGAATCCACACCAGTGGGAGGCTGGAGTGGAGGTGGAAGTCGTTGAGGTGCTGGTCGAGGTCGGGGCTGGGTTGCACTTCCCGTTCAAGGCAGTGCCAAATCCACAGTAGTGAGACGGGGAGGTGCTGGCTGAAGTAGTCGTGACGCTGCTGGTGCTGCTGCTAGAGCTCTTTGTTGTGGTAGTGGTTGAGTGAGAGGAGGAGTGGGTGGTGGTGCTGGTGCTGGTGCTGGTGCTGGAAGTCGACGTGCTGGTGCTGGTTGGGGTGACACATTTTCCGTTGAGGGCCGTGCCAAATCCGCACCAGACCGACGAGGTCGTCGTAGATGAGACCGATGTTGTAGAGGTGGTGGGAGTGACGCATTTCCCGTCAAGCGCGGTGCCGAATCCACACCAGACCGACGAGGTCGTCGTCGTCGATGAGACTGAGGTAGTGGTGGTTGTGGGAGTAACGCATTTGCCGTTCAACGCTGTGCCAAAGCCACAGTACAATGATGTCGTCGTTGTGCTTGATGGAGTTGATGTGGGTGTGTTGCAGCTGCCGTCCAAGGCCGTGCCAAAGCCGCAGTAATACGACGTTGTCGTGGTCCCGGATGAAGTCGATGACGACGTGGATGTGGGAGTAACGCAACTGCCATCAAGGGCTGTTCCGAATCCACAATAGACGCTCGATGTGGTAGTGGAGGAAGCAGAGCTCGAGGTCGTGGTTGGGGTGACGCACGAACCATCTGCATTAGTACCGAAGCCGCAATAGTAGGAAGAAGTAGTTGTTTCGGCCACGGGCATAGCCAAAGCGCCTGCAGCAAATGCCGCGACAAGGAGAGAAATTGAAGAATGCATTTTTGATATTGACGAAATTATACTTGGAGACGAGTATGAAATTGTTGTAGGAGTGTTGCTTGAAGCGAGTGTTGTAAGGAAGCTGAGTTGGTTCAAACGACTGTGGTAAGGAAACGGAGGCAAGGGAATTGTTGCTATGGTTGTTCTGCTGTTGTTTGTGATGATAGAGAATTCACTTACCTGCAGAGAGGCACTCACCTTTCTTATAAAACTTGAATGTAGACCAGGAATTCTCCTTTGCCGCCGTCATGCGAGCCGTGGTGACGACTGAGGTGTAGCATTGCTCGGTTTTGCACAGGCTGTGGTGCTGAGCCTCGAGCAGCTGCTGTAACGTGTGAGTGGTGTGTTCAGTGTCAGAGTTACGTTGCGATTGGTTCGCAAAAGGGCAAATCATGCGAGACATTGCTCAAGCTAGGTACAGAGGTACGTCGAAGCTGAAGTGAGAGAATTCTGTGGAGAGAGCTTTCAATAATTCGGGAGGCTGAGCAACCAAAAGGCTGAGATCCAGTTTGCAGGCGCAGCAAATCAGGACGTTGAGAATCCACCAATCATGACATTGTAAACCCAAGAAGTCTAACCGCATATGGTCCAGCTAGCCGGCGTAACGGAAAAGCTGTTTATCCGATGCGAGGTTGAGCCGCGAGGTGGTATTGTCCCAGTGGCACTCAGCGGCTACAGTAACAGCTGCCACACACCAGGCTGCGCGTATTGTCTCGAGCTTGTATCTTCTTTTGGACTGAGACATATGGACACATGATATGAATAGAGTGAGTGCTGGTACCTCCCGTGAGGTGACATCTTCAAAGGTAGTTGCGATTGAAGACGTTTCTATTTCCGAAGCCTCCACATTTCACTGTTATCGTGACTTGCCTGAATGCCATCAAACTCCCTCAAAGTAGTGTACATGGGACATCTGCGAAGGGACATCTATCCCATGCATGATACAGAGAAGAAAATCCAAGGATGGACCGACAGAGGGGGCAGGGCATGAGTGCCTAAGTTGAACTGCAGTTGAAGGCTCTTCAGGGCAAGCAAACATGATGAATGTAGCCATTTCTTTGGTCAAGAACGGCCGAAGAAAAGCTCGTATAGCATTAATCTTCGAGCCTCATTCATCGTTGCTGAGAGGACAAGAATATTGATTTGCGTGACTTGCTGAACTCGGCCGTGCCCTGCCGAGTCAAATGTTCCAGCGCGTCATCGATCCCAACACGTGTCTGCAATTTGTCTGGGGTCGCCAGCGTCCAGCTCCAACGAAGCCCAAACACCAATAAAGTCTTGCCTTCTCTTTTCTCAGCTACGTTGCCCATCATGTTTGGTGCATTGAACCGCTTTATAGCTCGCCTTGATGGTGAGCCACCTCCACGACAGTCAGACTCAGGGCCGTCGGATACTTCGTACGGCTTTCAGGTCCTGCGAAACACAAATAAGGACCTCCATATTGAACCCTGGTTCGACTTCATAATAGGCATCAACGGCCATTATCTGGTACTTGTCCAGCTCATCAAGAAGCAACCCATGTGAAATGGCATACTGACTTCCCTGAAGGACTCCCCGGATCCCACCCTGTTTACAACCGAACTGCGCAACTGCGCCGGCGGATACTGTTCCCTGGATATATGGAGCGCAAAGGTAGGAGCTCCCTTTCCGCCTGGATAAACTCCCTCCTGATCGGTTTGACAGGGCCAAAGAACACACTCGGTCAGCGTGGCCGTTCCTGTTCCGCCCGAAACGCTCGGGCTCTCGCTACAACTCGCACCTCTGAATTCCTCACACAATATCTGGCACGTCCTTGACATTCCCTCTCCGTTGTCTCCGGCCCATCAAGCGGGCCTCCTACCACACAGCGACTATATACTTGGCTCGCCAAGCGGTACCTTGAAGGGGGAAGCTGCTCTCGGCGAGCTCGTTGAAGACCACCTGAACCGCAGTCTGGTATTATGGGTCTACAATTCGGAGTTCGATGTGGTAAGAGAGGTGGAACTCGTGCCACGAAGAGGTTGGGGAGGTGAGGGCGCTTTGGGAGCGATCCTTGGTTTCGGCGCTCTACATCGCCTGCCCGTGGGATTGGGAGAGGAAGTGCAGGCCCCGGGAGAAAATCTATTTGATGCGGATAGGAAGAGCTGGGAGAACGGGCAGCAGGAGGTGTTCGCCAACACCTTCCAGCCTGCGCCAGCTCAGGATCTACCTCCACCACCCATGGTTAACCCGAATATTCCTCCTCCGCCACTGATGAACCCCAGTGCTCAACCACCCAATGCCTCCTTACCAGCTAGATCACGAAAGGGGCGACACCACGCCGGAGCCGCTCTGAACAGTGGTTTCGATGACATATTCGCCGAAGGGGCCAAAAAGAGTGCCGAGCAAGATCATGTACCTTCGAGGAAGGGAACACCACTTGCTCCGCCACCCAAGGTCACGTCTGCTGGACCGACACCACATTCTGTCACCCACGAGAAAGAAGATCCCCTAGCGCAAGCAGGCGAAGATCTTGGTGAACCCGGGGATGCCGAGGAAACGTGATAGTCGGCAAAACCCTCAGCAATCACTGGCAGTCTGGAATATTCCTCGATGGGGAACCCAGTCTCAAAGGTCAAGCATCTGATGAGTGGTTCAATTCGATGCAACAGTCGGACCAGCCTCATCCTTCCACCACTTCATGAACTCCCGAATCCTGTCCGATCTCTCCTTAGCCATTGCCTTTCCAGCCTCAGTTTTCATCATCCCCTCCAGCTTCAGCAACTTGTCCTCAAAGTGCTGAATCGAGTCCTGAAGACTCCTGGCACCCTTTGCTCCTCCAAAGGTGAAACATCGAGCAATTCCAATGGCTCCGATGGCGTCCAGTCGATCAGCATCTTGAACAATACCCAGCTCCGGTATGATGTCAATAAGGTCCTTGACGTGCTGAGGATTCTTGATTTCGGAGGAATACGATACACCCTCGACCAACAGTTGTACATGCTCAGCATAGCTTTGCGACATACCGGCCTCAATCACCGCCTTTTGCAAGGTCATCTTCTGTCCGTCTGTCGTCACATCGACATACTTCTTGTCCTCGACATCATGCAGCAACGCGCCTAAAATCACACTCAACGGGTTCAACGCGGGCAAAGCCTTCTGTTTCCGTTCCTCTTCCTCCTTTTCAAGGATTGTTAGAGCATTACCAAGGACTCTCCGCACGTGTTGAAAGTCATGGGATGCGTCGAAGCGTGGATTCTGGAAGTACGTCTCTGTGAAGGAGTAGATTTTCCGGACAGTGGAGATTTCGTGGTCGGAAAGGCTGGGATAGGTGGCTGGATCGACGTACTTATTCTTGTCCTTGGCCATGTTGGATATCAAGATTGGTGTCGAAAACACTGACAAAGCGAGAATATGGCGAAGTGGGTATCAGCCTCGGGGCGTTTGTACCAGTGGCACGCGACCAGAAAGATTAATTAGCAGTTGGAATGGAGAAATTTCAGCTTAGACCTCGTCAATTCATGATTGAGTTCGAGAGCAACGCTCTATCGTGTCCGGGTTCTGTGCTCCTAGGTAGATATGGGTCGGCATTCATCTATCGTCTGCGAAGAGAGGATGACATGAGGATGGTTTTTTTTGCAACATCCCGTGGCTGGAGTCTCCTACCGAGATATTTACGCCAAGACGGTAGAAAGTCGGTTCTTACTTCTGCTGCTCAGCACGTCAATTTCTCTACATAATAATCCGATTACTTCTTCTGGGTGTCTTCCATCAACTCCTCAGTCCCAACTCCATCACTGCGTGGATATTGCCCGGTATCTTCTTACTGCTACGCAGCTCCAGACTTGGATCAGCCTGCTCAAACAATGACTTCCAGCCACTCTCGTCCCTCTCGCACCCGTTGAAACTGAGCATCATCTCGATATCCATGATCCTAAAGGCCAATGGTCAGTGCTCCTATTTCGTTCTCGTGGGAACCGACAGCCTTACCTTGCTCGACTTTCTTCGAACTTGCCTAGAATACCAACTTCAGGCATGATGGAGTCAACGATCATGATCCTGCTGTTGGCGCCCATGGCCGGAGTAATATTGCTCAAGATCTGTGCAGCATACTTGTCCGAGTAATCGTGGCAGATGAACCTCAGGAGGTACACATCGGCATTCTTGACGGGCTGCGGTTTGAAAAAATTGTGCGTCTGAAAGTCGATCCTGTCGACGTGCTTGTCGCTGGCCCGCTCTTGTTGGGCTTGAGTTACCACCTTCTCGAGATCCTGCACGATGAACCTCAGCTCTGGGGCGACTTTGGCAATTTCGGAACAGCAATGCCCAAAGCTGCCGCCCACATCGACCACGAGACCGTCTCCCAATGATTTCCAGTCGAATGCTCCTACTAAATGCTTCAAGTTGTAGCTCTCTCCGGATGCCAGCGACCTCATGCAGCCCATGAACCGTTGCAATCGAGCTGGATGCTTTTCGAAAAACTCAAACATTGGTAGGTCGGTGTTGTGGCCAAGATTCCACGCAGTCGTGTTTTTCTCTTGGCTTCCAGGATACTTCTCCGCGGCCTCGACGAGCCTGGGGGCAGCAAGGAAGCTTTCCTCGGTCACATACCCAGCGATGTCTCGGAAATCAGGTTGCAACAATGTCGCGGACAACGCAGTATGAGCCACATGACCCGGTCTGGATTGCCGGAACATGTTCTGGGTCATGGCGTGTTTCAGCACTCGGGCACATTGACCCTCCAGCGTGCCCGTCTTTGCAGCAAGATCTTTGTAGCTGATGTCCCCGGAGACTGGAACCCCCTCGGCAAGCCGATAATGATAGATATATTGCATGCACGCCGACATGAAGTGTTGTGTCAAGAAACTGAAAGATGCTTCAGCTGGACCTGACACCAATTGCGACAGGGCATTGCATGCGTCTTGGATCTGGGAGCGCGCTTTCAAAATGTCTTCACTAAGCCTTGGATAGCTGTCGACGCTCGCTGGCCCTGTTCCCGGAAAGAATGGGTATGCATCTGCAGCAAGCGAGAGAGTAGGGAGGGAGTTCTGCTCCAAGTACTTGGAAATTGTACTGGCACTGTCCTGAACCTGCCGCGCGAGGTCGAGGATGGAAAGATTGAGGTCGGTCATTTTCGCGTTGGCGGACTACCTGAAGGACAAACTGCGTGCCTCTAGAGGGCGGTTTCTTCAGGGCATTTACCCGGGGTAATATATATCCCTCCTCTCTCCCCAGTCATCCCTGGGCCCTACCTATGCAACAACCGTCGCTCCTCAATATCGGTATACTCCCTGCACGGTGCGGGCCCATCTGACAGTAATCCAGCCCGTCAAGCCAGAGTAGAGCAGATAGATTCGCGACCTCGTGGGCGGCCTGAATCAAACCAGCATGGAGCCATATCTTTGAAAGACCCATGCGAGGGCAAACCCCCAGTTGTATTGCAAACACTGACTGTTTCTGAACGAGGTAGAGAGATGCTGCTGACTTACAACCCCATTGCGTCCAACTACCTATCCATTTCCGGGATGTCGTTTATTAGCGGATGAGGCTAATTGATTGTGCTAAGTCCGGGGAGGGAATCATCTCTGATAGGTATAGATGACGACAAATACCTGCACGTAACTTGTGCATGTACGACTAATTTCCAGGCTATTTCGACTCGACCGATCAATATAATTGGGGTGAAGATGCGGGTGGCACCGACCTTAACGGCTAGCTTTGCTCGTGTGGACGCCTGGACTCCTGATTGGGAGATCCTAACCTGCGTGTTATTATTATGATGTGTCACTTCAGGCCCCCGGAGTAATTAGGTAGCCGTGAGCAATGTACCGAAGCCGAATTATTACCTCCTAGACTCTGACCAGGTGTCCGTCCCCCTTCCGAAACTCATATCGCAGTCCTTTTCAAGCCGGGGACGGATGTCAGATAGAGCACAGCTGTTACCTGCCTGCCTTGCTTCCTGCCTCGATATGTTGCCAAATCGTTCCACCCAACGTCAGCAGTAAGACCACCTCTGAAGCTCAACAGCTCGACTGGATTCCCTCACCGCCGATTCTACCCCGATCAGGCCATGGCTGCGCTTCCTGTCGCAGGTCTCCGTGTCGAAGCCCATTTGCCTGGTCGAACATGGGCTAGACGGACTATAGGGCTCATCGGAAAGCCCGACAGCGGGTAATGGTATCGGCCTCGCGCTGGAATGGCCAGTGTTGGAAGCATTTTCCAATGCCACAGGCCATAACTGGTGGAATAGGCAATTTGCAGTGTGGTGATCGAGAATGTGGCCGAGACTCCCTCACTGTCTTGATGTTGAAACGTTGATTTGCGTTTCTCCAGAGGCAGAGCCGTCATGAAGCTACCCAGCGGTCGCCTCGGCGATGCATCGCAACTCTGTCGCCGTCCAATTTTTCAACTCGTGCAAGTATTGGGTGGAGTTGAGTTGAAGAAGTCGGAGTCTGTGGTGTGAGGCATTACAACATCCGCTGATGATGCCGGGAAGAAGTTGCGGCAACTGGTGCAGACTGTCAGGCCGACCGTGGGACCGCGTTTGTGGTACCAGGCGACCTGGGCCCTGAGTTCCTCGACCTCTTGCTCGAGGCGGCGGACTTCCTCCTTCCTCTTCTGTCGGAAATTGCTCTGCGCCTTGCGGTTCTGCTCTCGACGCCGGTGCTTGCGGTCCGTCGTCTTGGACTGGGCTGCCGTCGAGTCCGAGGGCAGATCTGCCAGGTCGGTGGTGGTGGCCTCCTTTGTCGTCCAAAAGTCATCTGACTGTTCGCTGCTCGCATAGTCGACCGACACATCAACGGCCGGGGATTGCGAGAATAGGTCTCCGTAAAGGGTAGGTTGCCGTCGTTGCTGCGACTCGCTCTCCCGGCGGAGCGGGCATGCATGGACGGCAGGCGAGTTTGGAGCCGAGTGGAACAAAAAGTCCAAGATGTCTATGGAGCTTTGATCCGAAGAGGCTGATGAGGGATACGACCAGCCGTAAGCGGCGGGGCTGGAATTGGTCGGGAAGCCCAAGTCCATGTTTTGTTCAATTGCTTGCATTGTTCGTTATTGGGAATGCGTTACAGGCGATCCCAAAGTTGACAACGACGGTGCTTGCTATTGTTGCGAGGTTCAACAAGTTCTAAAACACGTTAGGTTGGGTCGTCTGTCGCTGGAGCGAAATAAATTTGCTAGTCCTGTTGATTATCTGTGAACGTGGTCGATGGAAGACTGCAACTACCGCCGGTGGAGGGAAGGGGTGTTGTGGTGTTGTTATATCCACGAGGCTGGCCCTCAATGCGCGAGCACTCAGTCACCCCAAGAATGACGCACGATCGGGGGAAGACAAGGGGTTCCTGCCCTGTTCGGAATGGCATGACAGAGAGCCCAGGACTTCTGACATATGCAGGGACCGGTCTGGCGAGAACTAACTCACCTTTGGAACACCGGGGTGGGAAGAGACATAATTCTGACAAAGCGAGGAATGGGAGATGAGGGAGTTTCGGCTGGGAGAAGCGGTGCTGTAGCGGGGGTAATCCAGACGCGACACTGGCTGGCATGCTGCGGGAATTTTCCCCCCTGCAAAGGAGGAGTAGAAGAAGGGGAGTTAACCGAGGAGCTGGGAGATGATTGGATCAGTGACGTGATATCGAGACGGTGGCTATACCCAATGTGGAGAGTGGAGCACTGCTTATTAGCACCACTAGCCTGAGGGCAACACGAGGTAACTGCTGTATAGGTACTAAGTACCTCGTGCCTACAGCCACCACCGACTTATCATCAACCACCCCCGCTTTCCAGCACCAGCAGTAACCTTTGTCGGTCAAGAGGCTTTGTCTCAAGGGACTGCCCTCCTCTTCCCATTGGCAGTTCAAGGTACAAGGGGGTGATTAGTGAGTTGTTGTTCCTATGCTCATAGCCCAGAGACGAGGCCTGTCGGGAATACCCCCAAGTTCCTAACCAGGCCGTAACTGAAGGTGTTTGGTTGCCATTGAAATGGTCACACGGTCGTCCCCCAAAAAAAACCTGCTCGAATCGATCATCTCTTGGGCCTTCGTGCTTTCCACAGCGGACATACAGAGACCGCATTTCGTGGCAGATCGCCAACCATGTCCGACTTTCTCCGGCCAATACTGCGGAAAACATGAACTCTCACGGTTCCTCCCGACCCTGCTTGCGCTTTTCGCGATAGTTGGTGGTGGGGTCGAACAAGGCCTTTGACTGACCTAATAACCCCAGGTTTGCACAGTGACGCTAAATGAGCGTTCGAGACCAGTCTCACGACGTGACTGATGCTTATTTCCATGCCTACATGCAAGTTTCTGAGCGCATGTTATCACCCGCCATCTTTTGGTCGGCGCCTGTCACTGGCTCCTAGCAAGATCCGTGGCTGCTAGCCGACATTTCAGATCTTCCCAAACTCTGCCCCGAGTGACACTCGCCTGGAAACTCCCCGGATCACAGTATCGTTCGCAACATCCCCGATTGGTGGAATCGGCAACTGTTCTCAGCCTCAGAGTCTCAAAATGTAACCGACATCCCTTCCACAAGCGCAATCTCGCCAGTGCAGGGGAATGCGTCATTAGAAAATATGAACCCCTGGCAGCAGTCTAGGCCGTACTCTTCCCATATGTCGCCGCAATGCTGAACGGGTTTGTGGCAAGATCAAAAAGCCACATACGTCAACGCCTTGCTGACACCAACTTTCACCTGTCTACGGCAAGTTCAAGACTGTCCCACGGCATGTATCCAGCCTGAGATGGGTTCTTGTCGGAAGGAAGGTGGATAGGGGATGTCATATGAAAGACAGAAGGCAACCTGCAAAGTCGACCACAGCGAGGGGCCTCATGAGACCAGGCGATCTCAGCGCCATGGCGTCGGTTGAGCTCAAGGGACGGGATGCAATCTCCATTCCTACACAAGAACAAGAGCTTCGGAATAGGGCTCATGGGGATGATCAGGACTCTTGAGGGTGGCACTCCCCTTTTCTTGCCTGCACACCTCTGGGATTATCAGGTTCCCTTCTCTGAAGGTGACCTAACAACACCTGATGACGACGACCGACAAGGCTTTACAGAAAGGCGGTGAGTCTGTGAAATTGAATTTTTCCAAGTCGATGATCCCCTCCTCTGATGGTACACATGCTTTGGAATGACACACTGGCCTTTCCCTCCATGAACGTATTTCGTATGCGCTGGGTCCGATTCGACGGACGAACTGATGCCAAACGGGCCGATTCGCTCGCGACAACCACCTATTTTGGGCATGGAGCGCCAGAGGATCCCTCGGTTGCATAAATTCTTTCTGTCTGACGGAAGAGATCCTGACATTATCTTGCGAGAGGTGCTCTATCAGATCAGGCAAACGGTCATACTGCGCACTGTCAGACGGCGGTCTTTATCCATCAAATGACAACTCCATCCCTCCCTCGCTTAACATGGAATGTCGTTGTTCCGACTCCATCGAGGCAACGAGGATTCCTCATCGTCCACCTTTTCTACCTTCGCTTCTTCGTTCGGATCAGTGTCTTTTTGCGTCTTCTGTGTCTGCCTGTCCTTGTCGACTTCATTTAAATCCTTCGACTCTGCCCGTCGCCGCTCGTCCTGCTGCTCAAAGGACAGTGGCGTTGTGCGAGACCTCAGGCCGACTTCACCTTATCCGCCTTGATAAACGGCTTACCTCTTCCTTGAATCCAGAATGCCGTTTCAGGTCCCAGAATTCCTAGGTACCTACCGCTTCTGGATCACTGCCTCCCTGGGTGGCTCTGTGGCTCTGGTCAGGTTTGCCCCTCAATATTCGATTTTACAGTCCTACACATGGACCGCCTCTGTAATCTTTCTCTTCCAGGCGCTCATCTGGGCAGTCTACGTTATTTTCATATATCCTTTCTACGTCAGCCCTCTCCGCCACGTCCCGACAGTCACGGGAGGGAGCAGGATTTCCGGCCACTGGGGCACAATGCTCAAAGAACCCTCGGGGGTGCCTCAGCGACGCTGGGCGAAAGAAATTCCCAACGACGGCTTAATCCGCTATTTGCACCTTTACAACCGGGAACGGCTCCTGGTCACGAGCCCCAAGGGACTTGCCGAAGTCCTGAACACGAAGAGCTATGAGTTCATCAAGCCTGAGCTCCTTCGCAATGGCGTCGGACGAGTCTTGGGCGTGGGCATTCTTCTGGCCGAGGGCGACGACCACAAAGCGCAGCGGAAGAACCTGATGCCGGCGTTCCACTTTCGCCACATCAAGGAACTCTACCCCATATTCTGGTCGAAGTCTCGAGAGATGGTGCACGCTATCCAGAAGGAGCTCAAATCCTCGTCCTCGCCACGGCCTGTCGTTGAAGTCAGCGAATGGGGCAGTCGCGCAACGTTAGATATCATCGGTGTCGCCGGCATGGGTCAAGACTTCAACTCTCTGCAAGACCCGACGAACGAACTGAACCGTGTCTACCGAGCAGTCTTCCAGCCGGACCGGACCGCCCAGATCATCGGTCTCTTGTCCTTCTTCCTTCCCGCGTGGTTTCTCAACAACCTCCCCATTGACCGGAACAGCAAAGTGCAGGCCGCGGCGAATGTCGCCAAGGACACCTGCCGGCAGCTGATCGTGCAGAAGAAGCAGCGCATGGCCAACAAGGAGCCCATGCAGCCCGACATCATCTCCGTGGCGCTCGAGTCCGGCGGATTCAACGACGAAGACCTAGTCAACAACATGATGACCTTCCTCGCGGCAGGCCACGAGACCACGGCGTCGGCGTTCACTTGGGCGATCTACCAACTCTGCCAGCGACGGGACATCCAGGCACGCCTGCGCGACGAGATCCGCGCGCACATCGCCAACCTTGACACCGCGACCCCGATCACCGCCGAAGTGATCGACGGCATGCCGTACCTCCACGCCGTGTGCCAGGAGGTGCTCCGGCTGTGGGCGCCCGTGCCGCTCACGCTGCGCGACGCGGCCTGCGACACGTCGATCCTGGGCCACTTCGTGCCCAAGGGCACCAAGGTGATCCTGGCGCCGTGGGCGATCAACCACAACACCGCGCTCTGGGGGGACGACGCCTCCGAGTTCAACCCGGACCGCTGGACCGCGCCGGGCCAGGCCAACGCCGGCGGCGCCGTGAGCAACTACGCCTTCCTGACCTTCCTGCACGGCCCGCGCAGCTGCATCGGCGCCAAGTTCGCTGTCGCCGAGTTCGCCTGCCTGCTCGCCGCCTTCGTCGGCAGCTGGGAGTTCGAGATGGTCGACCCGGACAAGCCGATCGAGGTCAAGGGCGGGGTCACGGCCCGCCCCAAGGGTGGTGTCGAGGTCTACTTGAAGCCCGTGGAGGGGTGGGCGAACTGAGTATATGTATATCTGATCCTTGACGTGATAGACTGGATAGGCCCAGTCAGGCCCGGGCCCGGAGATTGAATTTCGAGCGGAGATATCGGCGTGGATATTGATTGTCCCCCTTTGGACCAGGCGAGATGATCATATGTGTATCCCAGTGAGTTCGCGACATCCACAGTTCATTCAGGAATGGTCAGTTGCGGTTTGAAGTCATTTTTCCCTGCGACGACCAGGGTTGTTTCATATCATTTCGGGGCTACCTCGAGCACAGTCGCATCTATATATATATATATAGATATATATCGCCCTAGCCCTTGGAGCAGGGCTTTTCTGCCAAGAATCTCATTGCCGTTCGAGCTCCCCTTTGTTCTCGAAGAGAATATTCTTCACACGATTAGACTGGGTTCTCTTCATCGCTCGAGTTCGCTCATATCGCTCATATCGCTCAAGTCGCTGAGTTCACTGGACTCGCTTTCCGCGACCTTCTTCCCCTTCCGCCTCTTCTGCGTCTTGCCCTTTACTGCACCATTGACGACCTGTTTTCCAGCAAACATGTCCATCAGACTCTTTTGCCCCTTCTCGGGTTGTTTCTCTTTGGCCAGTTTCTTCCTCTCCTGGTCCAGCTTCTTCTCCCTTAACCTCTCATACTGCGCCTGCATCTGATCCCTCTCTTTCTTACCCTTTTCACTCAACTCGCTCTCCAGTCGCTTGAAGTCTTCCCCTTCGGGGTCCATTCCGATTAGGCTCTCGAGGAGTTTGATTTCTGTCGCCCAGATGCTCTTGTCGTCGATCATTTTCTTTCCCTTTGGGTCGCTCGGGTCCGGCTTCTCGCAGGGTGTCTCGAGAATCAAGGGTAGGTTCTGGAAGTGCGGCTCGTTCATGACATTGTGGAACGCACGGAGTCCAAGAAACCCCAGGCCGATGTTCTGATGGAGGTCCCTATGGCTGCCCAATGGCATCTTGGAGTCGTTCAGGTGCATTGCCTTGAGGTACTTGAAGCCCACGACACTGTCGAATTCGTCCATCGTCTTCTTGAACTCTTCCGGACTGCGCAGGTCGTACCCTGCCGCAAATGCATGACATGTGTCGATGCAGACACCAATCCGGGACCGATACTCCGGCTTGATCTGGGAGATCACATCTCGTAGATCCGAAAACCGTCCTCCGATCAGGGTGCCATGTCCCGCCATGTTCTCTAACAGAGGGACAACAGTTTTGGTTTCCGATAATGCCCGGTTGAGGTTGTTGGCGAGTCGAGTGACCGCCTCTGCAAAAGGGCTCTGGCCAGCTCCCCCTGGATGGAAGTTGTAGTATCGGATTCCGAGGGCTTCGCAACGATGGAGATCGTCAATAAACGCATCATAAGATTGCTTTGCCTTATCCTCATCCTCGGTCGCCAAGTTGACGAGATAAGATCCATGTGGAACGATATGCGACAGTCCGTCGTATTTGTGTTCTACCAGGGCCTTTTTGAACGCATCTCTGTTCTCATCTTTTAATGCAGGATTCTCCCATTTCCGCTGCGACTTGAGGAAACATGCAAACGCATTGCCTCCGATCTGCACGCAATTTGTGACTGCATTTTCCACTCCCTTCGCTATACTCGTATGAGCGCCCACGTACATCTTCAAGCCGACAGTACGAACAGCAAGGGGCATAGCTTCAGCTTCCTTCTCTTCCTTCGTTTTGCGTTTCCGCTTCGGCTTGACCGGTTCGTCCTGTTGTATTTTGTCTGCCTCAAGCTCGTCTGCTTCCGAGTCAGATCTAGCTTCTTGCTTGACCTTCGATTTGGTCTTTCGTTTGCGAGCACCCGTGTTGGGCGTTTCGATTTGCTCGATCGCTACCTTCGCCTCCTCCTTCAGTGCCAATTTACCATTCGCCGCCACGCAGGCTTCCGTGGTCACTTCCTTTTCCACGCTCACGGCCGCTTCCTCGTGCTTCTTTCCAAAGGTCTTCGGCCCGAGGTCCGCGCCGTGGTCAGCTGGTTTCACACGCTTGCGGCCCCTGGGACTGGCTTCACTGTCAGGGACGTCGACAGCGACTGCACCACCTCGCTTGCGTTTCCTAGCATCCGGGCTACCTGGTGCGGTCTTTGGAGCAGAGACTGGGGCAGTCTTGCGCAGTTGAGGCATGATGCTTCCAAAGAGAATCTGTAATGAATGTTAAGCAAGTCATCTAGTAAGGAGGTGTTCATTGGAAGCTTGGAGATGATGATTATTCTAACGCGTCTCTCGGAGCCGACGCGTAAAGTGGCCTGCCCTCGCCGCACCTTCCTCAAATAACTTCGCGGCCCTAGAAAGTCTCCAACTTGCGGGATCTCTTGTCGCCTTCCTTATGCTATGGAAGCGCAGAAAGTCGACCTTGGTGATCCGTTAAGTATGAGATCTTGATTCTTTCTTCTACTGCTGCGCTTTCAAATCATGGCGGACGAAACCAATGACGATACGCCTCAGCTCTCGGCGACCGAGTCCAGCGAAGATGAATCAGCGGATGAACTCGTCGAGACCCTCGTTGCTGGCAGAGAGCGACGGAAGACTGCTGGCAATCGCTATGACAGGGACAAGGTTCTGGAAGAGGCGAAGGATGTCGACGATCAGGACGAGGTCACTTTACTATTCGCTGGCGACGAAGATGAAGACGATGAGGAATTCAGAAGTGATGACGAGGATCACGATGCAGATATGTCCTCCAGCGATGATGAGGATCAAGGTCCCAACGCAGAAGCCGATGACCTCGAAGGAGAGAAGGAAATACAAAAGCAGGCCAAGGAGGAACGAGCAAAGAAACGGAAAGCAGACCTGGCCCTTACAAGCGTCGTGGGTATGAGGAAGAAACTCAAGACCGATCCTACGAGGCCGACTGTAGCATCTGTCGCACCGAAACCATCAAAGAAGAAAGAGCGAGTGACATGGGTTCACGATCAAGATTCCGGTCGAAGTTCTCTGCGCAAGCAGACAATCGCCCATCGAGCCGAAACCATTGCCCGATTGAAGGAGAGCGAAGCCCAGAGCAAGAAGCTGAAAGCGCTGAAGGAACAACGGGAAAAGGAAAAAGCAAGGGATGCTCCAAGAGAACTCACGCAGGCGGATCGGTTGGCAGAAGCGGCCAGGGTTGAGCGACAAAATTCTAAGAGCCTAAACCGTTGGGAGGCCACGGAGAAGAAGAGGCAAGAAGAGCTAGCAGCAAAACTCGCAGCTCTTAAGGACAGGAAACTGGAAGGTCCCGTGGTGACTTGGCTAAGTGCGAAGGCCAAATGGATTGGGCCTAGATTGGACAAAATCGGTACGAGAAATGTCACAGACCTGGGCGAACGAGGAACAGAGCCGAAGAAGCGTGGGAGGAAGTCGAAAGCGTACCTCGAGCAGTTAGCCGCAGAGAAGAGTGCAAATGCGGAGGGGGCCGGAGCAGTACAAACAACTACTGCGGAAACAGCGAAGGCACCAATCCCTCTATCGAGTCAGTCGAATGGACCTACCCGAGAAACGGCTACGGCCACGGCCACGACCCCGATCACGACGACGGTCGCAGCTCTTGTCTCGGAGGGGGCTAACCCGCCAATTATGCCGACAGCTCCTCAGGAAGCTCCGCAGGAACATGAGGACACTTTCTTGAGACAGATACACGAGTATGCTGAAATGCAGATGGACAGCAACCCCACAGAGAGCGGACGAGTCAGTCCCATTTCTCAAGATGTAACCCAACAACAAGCTCCAGCAATGCGTCCAGACACACAGCAGAGTGCTATTGCTTCAGCGCAAAATACTACAAGCCATCTTCTCAAGGTTCCGAAACCGTCTAGCGAGGCGTCGGAAATTGTCGCCATCAAGCCTGAAGCACAAACACAGCCCACGCATACACCTGAACCGAGCATATTACCAGAGCAGACGCAAGTGCACCCGCCCACTGAAGCAGCAGGGCGGACCCAACCGTCTATAAACGCTGAACAGGGGGAGCAGATGCAGCCCTCCGGAGCCATAGACCAAACACAACAGACGCAGCCAGCCAAAGTCATTGAGAAGTCCGAGCTGACAGAGAATTCGGGAGCGGTCACACAACCAGAACACACATCGGTGGCTGGAGCCATCGCGCCACCGGCAGCACCGGAGCCTCCACTGGTTGAAGAATATTCGACGCGAAATCTGGTCATTTTGGAGAAGTTTGAGGAGCTATCCAGCGAGGCCCGGCAGGAGTTCTCGCTGTTCTACAACAATCGCAAGACAGCCAAACCCGTGAAGCACATCCCCGAGCTATGTTCAATCACCATGTTGCCTGTTCGATACCGAGACCAAAAAACAGGGATTGGATTTGCCAACGCAGGCGCATACAAGAAACTCCAAGAACTCAAGGAGCACAAGTTTGTATGGAGCAGCATGCTCGGCTGCTACGTAGGTCGAGAAGGCGGGCCGGTAGCCCGGGGAGTACCCGAAGGATGGGGTTGAGGTTGTCCTGAAATGTGAAAAGGAGCAAAAGGGGCACAGGTATAAGAGTGGATAGTCCCAAATGAAGCATGCCACGATCGTTGTTTGACAAAAAAGAAAAATGCAATGCCAGTACGGAGTAGAGGCCTACCTATACTGATGATGGAATAAGAGGGGGTCAGAACGAGGGGCTATGCCACTACGAGAAGAACGGTCGATGAAGCTAGCTACGAGTAGTCAGGCTGACTCTCCTAGGTGCTCTTTCCCCCCTGTGCCTTGCACAAGGCCAGAGGGACCTTTGGTGGGCTCCATTCTCCCCCCGTCTGTCACCCGTCAGACCATGGCCGGATTCGGCCTAGGCGGTCGATTAGGGGATCATAGGGCTCGCGGCACATGCACCAGCTGCAGTGGCTCGCCCGGAACCCCTAGAGCACCCACGTCTTATAGGCCTTTCGGAGTGCATGGTGCCCCGAAACAACGGACACGCGGGAAGTGGCCTCGTCTGGAATGGGGCAAGACACACGCCCACTTTTAACGTCATCCACCCAGGGCGCAGCCTGGCACCCATGGAATGCACCCAATTCACTTTGCGGTGTACAACAAATCATCAGCTGCCCAACCCCGAAGGCATCTGTCCCTCCTCTTATATCCCTCGTCACAGGTACATATACGTACCTCACCGCCCTCAATGGGAGACGATCCCTCTCCTGCCTCACGCAAAATCCAACATGGCAAAGGCTCCTCCTCTGCCAGGAAACTGAAGCGCAGGAGTGGTGACTCAGTGCTCACTCCTCGCTCCTTCGCCCCAGGCGATAACAGGAGGGACAAAGAACAAGTGATGGCGGCCAGTTTCCTACAGTTCTGGTAAGGCCACATGTCCCATTCTCTATCTCTGTTGCAGGTCCAGTTCCACTGACCAGCAACCATACAGCGCCATGTGCGAGAAACAGATCATGACTCCATGCAACTCGATTCTTTACTGCAGTGAAGCGTAAGTCTTCTCTTCCTCTTCTGTATCCACGCGTCACTCTCTCTCTCTGTCAAGTACAGAGGCTGATAAGCGGTGCAGATGTCGGCGCAAGGACGCAGCGAAGCCCCTTTCCGCTTCTAATCTGTCTGTGGAATCCTCTACACCGCCGTCGTCCCTCCCCTCCTCCCCGCGCCCAAGCATAACAACACGCGTTTCCAGCGCATCCCCAGAGTATCAAGACAAACCGACCATTCGGATACCCTTTGATCTGCACGATCACCGCTCAGATCTTGACCCAACCGAATGGAAACCCAAAATACCTTCCCGCGGCGCCTCGACTAACTCGGAGGCTTTCCGCTATCTAAGTCGCTTCCACCAGACACACATGATAGCCGCCAACAACAACAACTCCCCTGATCATTCCGACAGCCTGGGCCAATTTGTCAAGCCCGAACGCCCTGCCGCAACCCGGCACAAGAGCACTTTGAGCATGTCCACCTTGACACCCAGCACAGCAACTCCCAGTCTCGCCAACAGCCCCACCACCACCTCCTCCAGCTTGGGCAGCCTGTACGACTTCAACCTGCGCCCGTTGGCCCCGCGCACCAATCCTCTGTACAGTACCAGCGCCGGCCACGCCAGAAGCATCGACTTGGTGACGCCGCACATCCCACCTCCCGCTTCGACGGTCGTCGGCGACGTTGCGCTGGCCGGGTCGGTTCCCACGGTGGATTTCGAGGTGGACCTCTGGGGTAAGAAAGTGGTCAAGCCCATCGTGCCCGCCGCGACACCGAAGGGCGAGGGACTGGGAGCGTTGTTCGGGAAGGGTTCTTGACTTTTACTCACCTCAGAGAGAGAGAGAGAGCGAGTGAGCGAGCGAACTTGTGTGCAGGCAACGGCGGAACTAGACGACGGCCATCTTTTCTGGAGGTAATGAAATGAGTCATGGGGAAGGAAGGTTGGACGGGTGCATTGATCCCGACGACACTGGGAGTATAACACATGCGCGCACAATAGACTTGATACCCTCGGATTTATTATGTTGGTTTTGTGCTTTATGGAACACCTTCTCCCACACTATCCTCTCTCTCCCTCCCTCTCTCTCTCTCTTTTTGTGTTTTCAAGGGCTCTCCAAAGAAGAAAAGCCTTCATTCATCGCGTAACTTTACTCCACCGCGCTGGCCCCCTCCGGACGGACGGAGTCGTGGAACCGCAACGACCCAGAGGGATAGATCTACGAGTACCGAAGTATTTATCAGGTGTCGACTTACTTCTCCCGGCTGGTTCGAATCGGGTCGTGTCTGCTCTGAAAGTGAGAGAGAGAGAGAGAAAGAGAGAGCGCGAGAAATGAAAAGAACTAGCGGACGTAATACAGTACATGCACATGGGACAAAATGTGCCTCTCTTAAGTTAAGACGCCTTGGGTTCACCAGTATATTTTCATGCTATACATCTCATCGTTGAAATCTTCACCAACAGAGAAAGGCGGTAAAAGCGTCTCCGCGTAGCTTTTGTCGACCTCGCTCCATGATGCTTTCTTTCCCTTTCCCTTTCCCTTGCGTAACATTGGCGCGGGATCACAATACACCCGGCGGCGCCCCCTTGACACTGCCCAGCTCGCCGTACCGTCCCCTGTTCTTCGTCGTGTCGTACAGACTCAATACTCTCATCGTCTGTCCACCCGTACTCTCGTCGCCCGCAGAGAATGCGTAGCCTCTCTGCTTTCTCATCCGCTGTACCTGCCGCACTTTTCGCACGGCCTTCTGGAACTGTTCCATCCTCGGTCGGTAATCCTGAACATTGTATTTCTGGATCTCCTGGACGTGGTGATAACTTTGCGGGAAATACATTCTCTTAGCATACTTCCACGCAAAATCTCGCACCAGACAGACCGGCGGAAGGACGAGGCAAAGGGCGTAGAAGACCGGGTACGAGAACATGACGGGAATTATCCCATCAAGCTCGGTCGAGAATCCACTTCCAATGTTCGGTGCCGCGTAACTGTAGGCAGGGATGAAAGCGAGCCAGATCACAAAGCTTCCTGGGATCGCCATCACGGTATATTTCGTCCACACGTTTGTAATCAACGCGGCTTTGCCCAGGACGACCAACAGAATTGCGGTGTAAGTCGAGGTTCCCCAAACCCAGTGTCCCGCAACCTTGCCATTAGACATAATGCCGTCATTCAGAAAGAAATAACTCGAAAAAATATATGCGAGAATGGAGTGGTAAAACCCATTGGCAACCCAAGACCAGAAGCTGTGCATGCGGAAGAACACCCCTTTTTGGGTGAGTTGGTACGATTGCGGGTAGCGGTCCAGAAGACGAGCGGAGATGTATTGATCGAATACACCAATGGCGAAAGGTGGGAAAAATGTAAAGAGGACATTGTAAAAGGAGAGCGTCCAAGATTCGTAGATGACCTGGCCAGAGAAAGAGTTTTGGAAGGCATACTAATCGCTTGTTAGCACGGATCACCAGTCCGACCGACAATAGTGCTCCTTCGCTTACCCAGAACTGTGTCATGAACATAGCAATGTTCTTGTAAAAGGAGTACAGAATGACCTTGCTGATACGTTGATAACTCCAGGCCCCATGCACGAGGAGCAGTTTTCTGAGATACCGAAATTGGCCGATTGAGACATCGGCACTGCGAGCAGCTTGCAGACCTTCCACGCCACTGATACCGACGCCGACGTGTGCGGCTTGAATCATCGAGACATCATTCGCTCCATCGCCAATAGCTAGCAGAAGGGCCTTGAGGTGCCGCTTGACCAGTTTGACCACCAGGGCTTTCTGTAAAGGCGATACTCGACAGCAGATCACGGCTTTGCAGATCACGGCCAGATCAAGGAACAGCTTCTCCATATCCTTCTCCAAGGCAAACGACAGGGATTTGCCATCGATGACGAGTGCGAGGACATCCCGTTCACCTGAGGCGGCTTGACTTCGCACCGCATCGTATTTCTTCTGCAGACTTGCTCGTGTTGCGCTGGAATTCTCCTCGTTGATAATCAACAATGTCATGTCTTCGCTGATCAACTTGCAGCTCATGCCAATGTTGATGGCTGTTTCTTGTCGATCACCCGTAAGAACCCAGACTTTGATGCCCGCTTGCTGCAGCGTATGAATGGTATCTGGCACTCCATCTTGGAGGCGATCTTCGATGGCAGTCGCTCCCAATAGATACAAGTCGTGCTCGATGATCTCTGCAGCCTTATCAAGCTCTTCAGCACGGTTACCACCCACAGTCGTTGCTGCCTTGTCGAAAATTTGTCGCCATTCTTGGTACTCTTGCTCTGGAACCTCGCGCATGGCAAGACAAAGTGTTCGAAGGCCTTCGGTGGCATAGTCTTCCAGATGCCGCAACGTGGTTTCCACTGTATGGTTGTCTGGGGCCAGTCTCTCCATGATGACCGTGTCAGCGCCCTTGCAGTATATCCTGATCTTCCCGTCTGGGCATCGAAAGAGTGTTGACATCCGCTTTCTGGTAGAGTTGAATTCGCAGACCGCTAGGAGCTCGTACTCTACATCTTGGCCATCGACTTGGACAATCACCGAGCGCGGTTTTCGGGCCACAAACCGGTATCCAAGCATGACGGCGCCTTCGACCAACGCGCCTTCGTCCGGTGATGCGGCTTGGTATTTAATCTCCGATTTCTCGTCTTTGCGCTCTGGAATAACTGTATGACATACGGCGAGCAATGAGAGGAATTGCTGAATGACTGCGGCGCTCGGGTGCGTCTTCATGTTCTCGCGGAGTTGCTTGAAATCATGAATGCCGTCCATATCGTCAGGACCGACCGCCTTGCGGTCTTCGGGCACCACACCTGCATACTGAATCCCACTGATCGTGCATTGGCGAAATTCCATCATGTTGCAAGTCAGCGTCCCTGTCTTATCCGAGAAAATGTATTCGATCTGTCCTAATTCCTCCACAAGCGACGATGTCCGGCACACGGCGGGTGTATCGGTGTCCGTGTAGTACATATCCAAATCACTGCTGATGAGAAATGCCTGGAAGTATTTGACGATCTCGATGGTGACAAACAGGGACAGCGGGACCAAGTTAGAGTAGAGAATCCAGTAGGTGCAGAGGTCGAGGAAGAATTGCGTGGCGGCGTTGAAGTTGTCGTAGTAGAGGTAGGTGAGTTTCTGTCCAGCAGTGGATCGAACGATGAGATCGCCAATCGTGCTAACGGCACTGAGAACCAAAAGTATGGCAACAAGCATCAGAATCTGCTTGTTAAGCATCCGTTCCACGTCTGTCCTCTTGATAGGTGTAGCAGTGGCGTTTCGCATCAGCTTCGTTTCATGGCCAGTGAAAACAACCACCCCGTGTACCCAGGGAGTGTTGCGGAGGATCGCTCCACGAAGAAGTAACTGTTCGGGAGTCAGGGGGTGTTCTTTCTCGTTCCCTCCGCCAGTCACAGTCAACGTTGCCTCGTATGTATAGAGACTGCTGTTCGGCTGTTCAGACTTTATCCGTCCGTTCAATCTCCCCAAGTCTGCTGGGTTCACCAAATGAACCGTCTCTGGAATCGCCTGTTTGATTTTGAGGTTGGTTTCACCGTCAAGATTGGCAGTTTCGATGTAACAAAGTCCTTCAGGTTCGGAACTGGTGAGCAATACCAAGTCAGCAGGAAAGGACTCCTCCGACTCGACGCGGACAATATCACCAACGGCAACATTGATCCACTTTGTTTCCACGAAACTCGACCCTTTCAAGACCTGTGCCTTCGAGTCATTGAGAGCCTTGTCTGCAGTCTTGCGCTTGAAATCCTCCACAAGTTCCTTGATCGCAGATATCGTCAACACAATCAGCAGCGGGACTATTGTCGTGTAGCGATTCGTGGGGGAGACATTAGGTACTTGCTGCAAGGCGGCGGTGAACAGGAAGAACAAGTTGGCATATTTGGAGAATTGTTCGAAGAGGAATTTCGGTAGAAAGGTCGCGACGTTGTATTTGGCGGTCGAAACATGGTTGTCGACCCATTTGTTAGAAGCGTTTACCGGGGCATTGTTGAGGTGGATAATCCTGGGACCTAGACTTGCAGGATCGACCTTCTTCCTCGTGAACATATCTCTGATATTGTCGAAACTAAATTCCTTCTTCTCTCGGATTGGAGGGGTCTCATCAGTCCCGGCTGTGTCTACCCTCGAGTGTTGCAGACCGGCCTCTGTCAGTGGAAGGTTGATGTCCGAGTAGTTGCTATTCCGTATTCCCAGCATTCCTTTTGCTCTGTCCATAACACCCGACATGGACATGAGACTCGTCCGATCGCGCCTATGATGCCGCCCGACAACCTTGACACCTCCACCGGGGATATGCTCATCTGAGGGACCTGCATTGTCGTAGTATTTGTATCCAGACTCTTCTTCGGTCAGTTCCTCCCCGTCCCCGTATTTCGCGTAGTTCTGCAGGTCCGAAGTCTGGGAGTAGTTTCGAGTACCTGCGTCCATGTACGGAGCAGTGAAGGGTCGAGTGGAGGACGTTGCCGGTTGTCCCTGGCCAGCTGCCGCCGGCCTACCTCCGCCGACAAATTCATCGTAGCTGGTTGACGGTCTCGGTTGAGGTTCTTCGGAGTCATCGATATTGAACACGTTCAGTAGTTGCGAGTCATCTACAGGAGGGCGCTGCCCTGAGCTGTAGGCCGGCTGTGAATTCCCTAGGCCATCCAATATGTTGTTGTTATGGTTGGAAGCTTGAGGCGCATCGGGCCTCCCGTCCATTTCTCAAGCGGATGGGCGCCAGAGGGGCTTATGAGGAGGAATCGACAATGTGCGTTATCGTGCCATAAGAATTATGAAAGTCCTCTATCACAATTGCGAGTGTTTGTTGCAGACATGTCGCGCTAGATGGCAGTGTTGGCAGAGTAGATGTCAGCGTGGTCTGTTCCGTCGAGATGGACGGTGACAATGGCAATACCAAGGACCCAAGTCCGATCTGGATACGCGGCAGCAGGCGGAGCAACACCTTGTAGCACAGACTTGGAGGCTACTTGCCCCCATGCGGGCAGCAATGTTAAGTGGCTGGTCCCCTATCAATTGCAGCCTAGCGAGCCTAGCGCTCTGTTTCAGTGACTTTAGAGGCACCAACCGAGACACTAATCACGTTACAGGCTCTGAGGCGCAAGCAGAGATCACCCCCAGAGGTCCTGCGACACTGGGTAATTGTTGGTGGCGTATGCAATATATTTCGTACATATAACGAAGCACAAGACTGAGCATACAGTAACCAAGCATCAGCTTGCCTGCAGCCTGGAAACTATCTAGGTGAACCGGATACCTCTCCATCGGCCAGTGGCTAGATAGATTAATGCCACGGGGGAAATTGATTCGCAGCTTACTGCATCCTTGGTGTCTGGGGGGTTGATTCCCAAGAAATTTAAAAATGGCATCTGAGACTGCACTGCCACATCCCATGATTTTTGCGTTGTTGTTACATATCAACCCAAGGCTTCAACGTTTCTTTTGGCGAGCCCATATCATCCATGCAGCACCACGTTTCTTTCCTGTCCCCTTCCCCGTCAGCTCGCCTCATCCAAGAGTAGTCACCTCTCGTTCTCAGCTCTTAGCTCGGCAATCAGCCCGCCCACGTCTCGCTTGGTCGCATCCTCTGCCAGTTTCTTGGCCACGATCCCATTGACTTCTCTTCCCTTTGCCAGCGCTGTGTTGATACATCTCAGTAGAACTAGGGCATCGATCGCGCTCCCTCCCATCTTGGAAATCTGGCATAATTCAAAGTCGTTCACAGTAAAAGTCACCGATGCGTCTCGAGCTTGCTCCTCACTGCGTGTGGCGTCTAACAAGACGGTCGCCCCTCCGTGATAAAAGCTGAATGTTGTGCAGACAGGATGGTGCATGATGCTCAAGGGAACCGGTACTCGTTCGGCCATGGTGTAGATGGTTACCGTTTCTCCGTCAACTGAGACATCGGGTCTTCGAAAGTGTCGCAATGCCGCCACGATTGCCATACAAGCACAATCGATCAGACCACCGTCAGAATCAAGAACATGCACGTCCGCTCGAATGGACCAGCATTTTGTTCCCGCAATAATGCACAGGGATTCTGTATCAATGGCACGAGATCTTCGGATCGCCTTTTCGAGGGTCCGGGACAATAAGACTTCCTGCTCGGTTGGTCTGCCGACTTCGTATGCGGGAGACGCGATGGGACTCAACTCAGTGGTGATTGTGAAGATGCCATCGAATTTGCGGTCTTCGAGTGGCTTCGTGACTTCTGCTGAGACTTGGACGTGTACTCTTCACGCTTTTTTAGTATTTGCCTACATGTGCATCGAGAGTAGCCTACCTCGTCTTCCCGAGACGGGCAGTAACTGTTCCATATTCATCTCCGAATTGTAGGTCAACGTCTCTGAATTGGTCAAGTTGTCGCCCATCGACTCGGATGCCTTGTTCTAGGGCATGAAGGATAAAATTCCGCTCAATGTTGGAGATGTCGACTTCGCGCGGCATCTTAACGAGGCACCGTCGGCGGGGACGGCAGGTGATGGTGGTAGCGCGACTTCAACGCCATTCAGTAGGTGGATTCACGACAAGATCGATGTGGTGGTACGGAGTCCTTGAATTGCGACGATTTTGGTCTTTCCCATAAAGTCTGTTGCTTGAGGCCAAAAATATCCTTACGTTTGATGCCTACTAACTCCGCCGGACAAGTACTCCGGATCAATACGGCGGACTATTCCGGCCATCAGGCGAAGGGTTTCTTGCCTCAACAAAATCATCATCGCCTCTTTGATCCATTTTTTCCTCCATTCTTTTACAATATTTTCATTCCCGGAAAGATTATTGCTCCCAGCCTTCCGTTATGCTTTGAATCTGACTCACGGTAAGGCCGACACTGCCGCGGCGCCGCGAGAATGTTGAGATGTCCACAGTCACATGATTGTAACCACAATTCACATTTCACATGCCAAATCTTCGAAATAGCAGACGGCGTGATCCACAAGCCGCCCAGACGATCCATTTTGTCTCTCATGCGAGATAAGCAGAGTGCAGAGTGCAGATTCAGGCACTGGTGCGAGGGTACGTTACCATGCACTTATCATCACAGCACGCCACAGGAACACAGTTACTTCCAACGTCGCGCCGTTGGCGAACTCCTTTCCGGCTTCCCATTTTGAGCCATAGGTTGCGTCAGCCTTGCTCAAACTTTTCCACCGAGCCTCGCCCATACCCATATTTGTTGGGCCCCTATTGAGGAACTTCCTGTCTCATGTCATTTTCTACATCTCCCATTGGCAACGAAGCCCATTTTTCGGCTCTCTCCGTGGTTCTTTTCCACTTTTCGCATACACAGCTGACTCGCGAGATCCCTGTCCGCACATATTGGGAATACCTGACAAACCTCCGACGCCTCCACCACGTGCAATGACGATTCTGTTTGTTATCAAGGACGTGGGTCGGTGGGTAATGAATTGTTCTTATGCAATTTTGTTCAAGCTTTCCGCTGTACTCAAACCTCTATCACGGCAGACCTGTTGCTCTTCGCCCCTCTAGTGGTTGGAACCACACGCCCGCTATGGCTTCTGATATTTTTACTCTCTATACTTCCCTCTTCCAAAAAACTTCCCAACTTGTGATCCTGGGTTCTTCGAGGCCTTTCTGCCGAACGCACTCCTTGCGTTCAGGCAATTTTGCCCAAGACGTGATCGTGGGGTCACATATATCTGGTCGATTCTTTATTGCAGCCCTTTGTTGCCATTTGAGCTCGAATTTCCACCTTTGCCCCATCTTAATCTCACTCCTATCCTTGCCCATACTCGCCAGGTAGGGTTCGTTCTCAGATACAATCGGCTCTCTGATCATTCGTGGTCATGGCTGAAAGGGATATACAGCCCCCAACATCCGAGAAAGCCAGTAACGATTCCGACGCGAACCCTGCGCGACGGCACAGTCTCAGAGGACTCAGACATGGGAACCGACACCACCAAAAGGTTAAGTTCTCCGACACTGCCGACAGTGTGGAGGATTCTCATCTCGAGGCTGGCGCGCACGGAACTGTCCCGACAATTCGATTGTCTGATTCCGAAGACGTCGCCGACCACGGTCTTCCCGCTTCGGATTGGGCTGGCATCACAAATGCTGCCGCCGCTCAAGCCCAAGACCGTGCCAGTCGCCTAGCCAATAGATTAAACCTTTCTCAGACCCAACCGAGACCACATTCAGGAATTCTTATTTCTCAAAGCACGACTCCTCAAACGTTGGTATCTCCGAATTCGTCTCCTCCCACAAAGCCACTGAGTGATTGGCCTGGCAACGACGACGAAATCCCCTTAGAGCCACTTGAAAAGGACAAACGCCTCTATGCGCTACACGATGTAACGAGTGACGATGAGACAGACAGCGAACACCCTAAGGCTCTACATCGAGAAAATGAGAATATCGAGGAAGCAAGACGGCTCGTTAGAACATTGACAAGTGGTCAGAATGCAACCGTGTGGCAGGAGGAACCCCGGTCCGGAACAGAGACGCCCGCGGTTGACAAGCACCTCCATGATTTGGAATATGTTCCCCCCCCCGATCAATATCGTCCCAGTGTTTTTGGGGCTCTTCTTGCCTCAAAACTGGCACATCTACAGCGGAATGGTGTTACACATCCCGCGTACCACGACGAGCCAACCCCACGCCCGCCCAACAAGTACTCTCCAAAAAGCTACTATTCCAAAGGCCATTCTCGTGCAGGCTCCGAAAGTCGCGATCTCTCTACGCCTTCATCAGGAAGGGCCACGCCCTCTAAAAGGCCGAAGTGGTATGATAAGAACAACCACGAACGCCAATCAACCGGGTCCCTGGCAACCTTATTGGCTCAAGCCTCCATGACCTCGACAGCACCGGCGGCGCCTCAGACCAGCAACTACGTGCCTCGCCCACCTGATCACCAGACAAAGTCGTCTAATGGCATGATAGCCACAGCAGTGGACATGATCAAACACCCCGCAAACTATTTCCATCACAAATCTACGCAGTCCCTCCTGATAGATGAGGAGCGAGTCATCCTGGACGTCGCCGAAATCATCGCATGTCGCAAGTACTTGAAGAAATTAGCTCGATGTCTGATGGCAGTCGGAGCACCAACCCATCGTCTTGAGGAATATATGAAGACCTCTGCACGGGCGCTCAATATCGACGGCGACTTTCTCTACATGCCAGGCTCAATGCTGATCTCCCTCAACGATAGAGTTACTATGAGTACTGAAGTCACTCTGGTAAAGGAGTCGCAGAGTGTGGATCTGGGAAAGTTCAGAGACGTCTTTGACGTGTACAAGTTGGTCATTCACGGCAAATACACTGCCGAACAAGGGACGGCCGATCTAGACGAGATCATGAAGAAGCGCGGACGGCATCCTCTTCTCCTACGGATTTTTGCGTACGGCATCGCGGCCATTGCGGTGGGACCTTTCGCCTTTTCTGCTCGACCAGTTGACTTTGGTCCAAGTTTTATCCTGGGATGCATTCTGGGCTGGTTACAGCTTGTGGTGGTGACACGATCGGAACAGTTCTCGCACGTATTCGAAATTCTTGCATCCGTTCTCATTTCTTTCGCTTCCCGAGGCCTGGGCTCTATCTACCACAAAGGCACGGCCGTGTTCTGCTTCTCGGCCATCGCGCAAAGTAGCATAGCCTTGATCCTGCCGGGATACATGGTGCTATGCTCTGCATTGGAATTACAAAGCAAAAGCATCGTTTCAGGGTCGGTCAGAATGGTATACGCCATCATATATTCGTTATTTCTCGGTTTCGGAATTCTGATCGGCACAGTTGTTATGGGTAAGTCGTCTCCCTTTCCGAACGAATTTCATTCCCGAATATTCTTACTGACGGACCTTTGATAGGCCTCATCTACCCTCAAGCACAGAGCGACGTGACCTGCAACATCCCAGCTTGGTGGAACGACTCCAATCACGGCCCCAAGCTTTTATATGTCAGATTTATCTGGGTACCCATATTTGCAATATGCCTTGCTATCATCAACCAAGCGAAATGGAAGCAAATGCCGGTCATGAGTGCCATCGCTTTTGTCGGCTACCAAGCAAATTTTTGGATTTCGACGAAACTTTCGAATAACATCCAGGTGGCCAACGCGATCGGCGCCTTTGCAATAGGGACAATGGCTAATTTATATTCTCGCTTCTTCCATGGTCTGGCGGCTGCCGCCATGCTACCGGCAATCTTTGTTCAGGTTCCCAGCGGATTGGCTGCGAGCGGGAGTCTAGTGGCTGGCATCACGAGTGCCGATCAAATCACCGGCAACATGACAGGAGTTAGTGTCATCAACAACGGCACGGCGGGTTTTCTGGACGCCCAAAACAGTACAACCAGTGCGAGTGTCTACGGCGGGACGATTTTCAATGTTGGGTACGGGATGGTTCAAGTGGCAATCGGTATTAGCGTTGGTCTTTATTTGAGCGCTTTAATTGTGTATCCCTTCGGCAAGAGGAGGAGCGGACTATTCAGCTTGTAAATATCTCAGAGAAGCGTAGTCTTACTCACGAATGGAATGCTTGGCCCTGAACAAGCTCTTGATAAGCAAAGTTTTTGGATCTGCAAGGCTAGAGCGGCGACCGCCAAGGCCCGCCAGGCTGCGAACCTGCGAACCTGCGATTGTCGCTTGGAAGTTTTTCCAGACGGATCTTTGATGCAAACACATTCTGGTCCCATCTCCATCCCCTTGATCCCACTGACGACTTTCCTGCTGTGTACCTACTGATACCTTACACCCAATATGACGACAGGCAAGCTCTGTTCTCCCGCTTCTCGCACGACATTCTAACTCTAGAAATAGCCCACCGACCGACGTTTGACCCTGCACGAGGAAAAGAGGCGCAGAGAGGCCCTGCTTATCACCAGCGGCTACTCCCTGCCTACACTCTTCTCAAAGTTCGGTCGGTTGCGATCAAGTTTCCGTGAAGAAGTGCTTCTGACCATCATCACTAGGCAACCTGGTCAAGGCGGAGCCGCAGAAGCTCAGCAGAGAGATCTCAGGGCAGAATTACTTGCGGCCGAAGCGGCTCATTTTGCCAAGACGAAGGGGACAACTGCAGAAGCCACGAACAGCCCCTCTAAAGCTATAAAGCGAGAACTCGAAGATTCCTCTGATGCTGGTCACAGCGACAATGAAGATCCTGAAACCAAACGAAGAAGGATACTCGAAGATACCCGAGATATCGACGCGGACTCAGACGGAAGCGATACAGAAAGCAGCGATGAAGAGAGTGATGAAGAAGACGAGACGGCAGAACTGATGCGCGAGCTCGAGAAGATCAAAAAAGAAAGAGCAGAGCAAAAGGCACGGGAAGAAGCAGAGCAGGCTCAACAGGCACAAGACCAGCGAGAACGAGACATTGCACTTGGTAACCCGCTGCTCAATCCAAAGGCATTCAACGTGAAGCGGAGATGGGACGACGATGTGGTCTTCAAAAACCAAGCTCGAGGCACGGAACAGAAAGGGAACAAGGAATTTGTCAATGTGCGTCTACTCCAGACTGTTGCAACGTGCATATGCATCAAGGCTGACGAGATTGCAGGATCTACTGAGGTCGGACTTCCACAAGAAGTTTATGGTAAGAGACTCGGTGCTGGGAAGACTCTTCTGGCTTGACTAACTAGTTCTATTCCAGTCGAAATATGTCCGATAAACCATGGATCAGACTTGAATGCATTGGCAACGAGTACAACACGCATTGCTGGTTGCCAACGTGCTACGACCTTGGATCTCCCGAAGATGAGAACGCTGACCCGGAACGCTGTCCCTCCCGGCTGGATCGATACCAAAGACACCGGCTGGTGGCAAAACATCTGGAGGGTTTTGATATGACCACGTGCACTATCAAGCAAGCTGAAAATGCTGCAGGTCGTGCATTAGACATGGGTACTAGTTCTGAAGCTCGGATAAAGGCACAGCGCCCGGGGTGCTCGGCAGGGGTATGTGGTTGTAAATCAAACTCTCATGCGAGTGACGCCAAAAGTCTGAAAGCTTGGGCAAGCGTCGGTCTGTGCTTGTCGTTGCGACCTTGGAACTTGGATCTTGAATCTTGAATTCTGGACTAAGAACCTTCCAAACTCCAGGGCAAGATCAGCTTGGAGTTCTTCATCTGGCGGAAGTTGGATCGGGCTTGCGTGAATAGCCGGAGGGGACCCTGAGAAGGGGATGGGAAGTGGGGAGGGGCAAGGATGAGAGGGCGACTGGGGGTGGCAACCACTTGGACCAGGCCACCAAAGGACCCCTGAGAGGCAACCCCCGCCCACCCCCCCAAAAAGCCACAGGCATCTGTGTCCCGGCAGCAAAAGCAAGCAGATCGTGCATGTTTCGGGCGACGCAGTGACGCGCGCAATGCCGTCATAGGCATCTGGAAGCCGGGAGCTGCACATGTCTTGACTGCGGGGCTCAACCCTCCCATTCACCCACTCAGCTCCCTGCGCAGCCACAGCTTCAGTCTGCTCGTCCTCTGAGCAGCATTCTCTGTCCCCAAACAGCTTCTCCCTCCAGTTCTGGCAGCGATGTGCCCTCATTCCATCACAAATATCAGCTCTCGGAGCCAGACCAGGTGCAGCACCGTGCCCGGGTCAAGGTGTCACACAGGCGCCATCCACTCCCCTCCTCCTCCATCCTCAGCCAATGCTCGCATCAGGAAATGACGATACTTTGCGGCTTCCCAGCTTCCTTCCTGTTTGTGTTTGTCTGGGTTCAGCTGTCCAACACCTGGCCTTGTTTCACGCGGGGTCTCTCCCTCAAGCCATTGGTTCTGCATCGAGACTTACGTATGCTGCGAATAACCTCCGCGTCAGGTTTGTGACTCGTGCCTGACGTGCTTTTGGAATGAACTGTGTTGGACTGTAGACAGGGTCGTGGGTTCCTTCGTGGTGTCCTTAAAAACCTCGTCTTGCTCCCTCTGGACCACACTTCGACCTCCCTCCCATACCCGTACCCAATCTTACGAAACTGCTGAACCTCACATTATTTCACCCAAACTAAAACAAGCAAACAGTCTCTCGAGTCAGAATGTCTTACAACGATGACGGCGTACGATCAGGCTCGACCTTGAACAGGCTTTCCGCTGACATTCTATAGCAACGCGGCGGTGGCTACGGTGGCGATAACTATGTATGTCACCACTCCGCAAGCTCACTGAACTTTCACATTGACTGGAAGCTAGGGCTCAGGCGGACGTCAAGGAGGCGGCTTTGGCGACGACAACTACGGTGTATGCTTCTCACATCTGACACTCTGCCCTCGATACTTACACACCTTAGTCTTCCGGCCGACGCACTGGTGGCGGCCTAGGTGCCGATGACACCTACGGGGACTCCACTGTCACAGGAGGCAGAAGCACTGGCCAGGACAACGAATACGGTGCGCCATCGTCGAGTCCTACGGCAAGTTCATTGAACTAAACATTCATCCAGGCATGGGCAGTGGCAGGACTACCACACAAGATGCCGGTGGCTTTGGCGCAAGTGATGATACCTACGGCTCCGGAACCCGAGGTACCTCTGGTGGTTATGGAGGTGGTGGCCGCACTGGGGGCGGTTTAGGCACCGATGACACCTATGGAGATTCGACAACCACCGGCGGTCAAAGCACTGGCCGTGACAATGAATACGGTGAGTTTTGTCTGGAGCTTTCAGTACCGCGACCTAACCTCGTGTAAAAGGTTTGGGTAGTGGCAGAACCGGAGCTCAAGCATCTGGCGGCTACGGTGCAAGCGACGACAACTATAGCTCCGGCACCGGCACCGGCGGTGGCCGTGGCTTCGGAGATGATAGCATTGGTCGTCGCGGCGACGATTTCAGCGGTTCCGGCGGTTCTGGAGGCGGACTTGGTATGGCCCCCATGCATATGTCTGGATAGCATCTGACCTATCAAAGGCGCCGACGATACTTATGGCGACTCGACCCAGACGGGAGGCATTTCTACGGGCCGGGACAACGACTACGTGAGTACTACCCTGTGGCACGGACCGAGAAGGTCTCGAAACTAGGATTGACAGCTATATTTTCCAGGGCATGGGCTCCGGCCGCACCCAGGGCCAAGAGCAGGGCGGCTATGGCGGTGGCGGTTACGATGATGACACCTCGAGTGGCAAGAAAGATTCCACCATGGGTAAAGTGATGGAGAAGGCGGGCAGTATGTTCGGAAGCAGCAAGTTGGAGGAGAGAGGTGCCGAGAAGAGACGTGGTACTGGAAACGATGACTATTAGGTCGAGATAAGAAATGGTAGAGATGCTGGGATGGCATTGTCAACCATGCGAACTGGAGATGGAACGAGACACTATGAGTCGTGAACTGCTCGGCCAGTTGCGACATATCGCTCTATGACGAATGAGGAACATCGCACTCCGTTTGAGGCTATGCTTGATCCAAGATATCATGCCGCTCCCCGTTCGCTGCGTACACTTGCAGTAAATGTATGATAATGCCTTCAAAAACCAAGTCAAGCAGGATGGTTACCGGTTGTATCATCTCCGCTCCCACCCAACCACCCGAACCTCAACACCAGCCTTTTCGTCCTTCAGCCACATCTCCTTCCCAGCGCTGTCTGCCGGGGTCACCTGCTCTTCCTCCTCTTCACTCTCATCATCTTGTCCCGCCTTGGCATCCGCGATGCTTTGTTTCCGCCGCCCCATGTGCTGCGGCAGCTCGACGTCGTCTCCGATCCACTCCTGCACTTTGGCCTGCGGCACGTGCTTCCACTTGGCGGACTTGACGCCCGAATGCGGCGACGGGAGGAGGTCGGGGAAGAAGGTATCGCATTCAAAGTCGTCGTCGTCGTCGGCGGCGGTCGTGGCAGTAGTGGTAGTGGTGGTGGTGGCGGCAGTCCGGGGTACCTGCATGCGGCGGATCTGTGTCTGCAGGATCCTCACGTCAAAGTGCTTACCGCCCCCGTCGCCGCCGGTCTCGCCCTCAGTGTCCGTGCCCGTCTCACTCCCGGCCGGCGTCGTGGGCGTGTGCAGGTTGGCGGAAGACAGCGACAGGACCTGGCGGTAGATCTCGGCGCCGCCGATGCAGAAGATCTTGTGGATCGACAGGGACAGGGACAGCGACGGGTCGCGCGGTGCCGGGGCGGACGTGGGCGCGGTGTTGGCGCTGCTGCTGGTGGTGGCAGTGGGCGGGGGGATGTGGATCGGGGCTTGCGACGAGAGCAGGGAGAGTGTCGACGCAAGCGAGGGGGAGATGAGGATCGGGGATATCGACGTGGTGGTGGATGATAAAGATGGCGGCGGGACGAGGATCGTGCTCGGCCGTTTCTGGGAGGCTCTCTTGGACGTCGAGTTCAGCGTGATCCTCACAGTTGGCCTGGGCGGCGGGAGGGTGTGTAGCTCCCACTGCGACGACGACGACAACGACGACGCGGCGTCGGCTCCCTTGGTCGCGGACGCGGACTGGAGCTCCTGAAGGATCTTCCGGCCCAGCGCGTCAGAATCTGAACGCGTGATGATCACATTCAGTCTGCCCGCCAGCGGTCGGAATTTCGGGGGGATGCTCTCCCAGGTCTTGCGGCCCATGACCACGGCATTCAGCGTCCTCAGCCCCGTCGTCTGTGACGACGCAGAAGAAGACTCTGGCTGCTGCGACCCGGACTTGTTGGCGACGTTCGGGACGTGAGACGTGACGCTTTTGAAGAAGGCCATGTCGGCGCGGATGGGCGGCCAGGGCAACCTGCCCTGGAGCCCGATGCCCATGGGCGGATTCAGCGACGTCGCGACGATGACGTAGATGGGCTTGGGCCGGATGAAAATGGGCGTGACGATGGTGGTGGTGGTTTTGATGATGCGCTTCGCCGACGGCGAGAGCATGTCGGGATCTTCTTCTCCTTCCTCGCTGTCACTGTCACTGGCCTTGTCGAAGTTCGGGGGCAGCCTGGGCGTGGCGAGCTCCGTGGGCGACGGCGGGTCGGAGAGCGTGGTTGATGGCGGAGTCGGCACGGACATTATTATTATTGTCTCCTTTCCCTACTTCCAGCCGTCCTTAAACCTGAGTTCAGTGCGTTTGGTGTTTTTGTGTGTAGAGATTTCCTGAGGTTCGTCGTAATCGTCGAGGGATGCCTCGCTAGCTAATATTATTATATCGATATCCCGTCTTGGAAATGTCGATCGGTGTTTATCAATTCCCCCTTTGAGTTGCTCGGGTTCTTCGACGGGGTGAATGGAGAGAGAGATGGAGCTGGTAATGACTGTTTTTTTTTCCAAGCCGTCAAGTAATAGTCGGCCCCGATTCAACTCTCGGTCTGGTCTCTCCCTTTTCGTCTTGGTTCTTTTCTAGTTATATCCCCACCTCTGGTTGATCGAGGAAGATAAAGAAGAATAAGTGGCCGAGACAGAGAGACAGACAACGAAGTCAAGTGCGTCTGGTTTGAAGGGGAAATCACCCACAGGTGACGCGGTGATGTACACATACACACGCTCTCTCGCTTACTACCTACGCAGCGGCAGCCAGTGGGCAGGTTGGATACATGTATATGTATGTATATTGTACGTAACGTATGGTGTGGTTGGTATTGGTAAACCTGACTGTCTTTTTGTTACGGCCACCTCGTGATGTGTTGTGGTTTCAAGGGTTCAGCTATCATCGAGGTGGGCGATTCGAGATACGATGAACTTAATTACTTGGTAGATCGATCGAGATGACGATGGAGGAGGGCCTAGACTCTCCCATTCGCGACGACATGCCACCCCTCAAAATCCAAGATATGAAAAGGTTATCGCGCCAGAGGCCAGAGGCCAGAAGCCAGAGTCTGGACTAGCGGATATGCTGCTGGGCCTCCTGTGCCGCGCTGTGCTGGATCGAGCGCCGCCTGCGGCCTAGAACGCCCGGGATGGAGCCACCTATGGACAGCCTGCAGCCTGCCGGATAGGTCCCTAGGTAAGGTACAGGGAAGCCCCGACCGATGGTTGCAGGTGAGGGTTGGTTGGCAACTTATGTATGTACTTGGGCGCCTAGGCCGCAGTAGCAGAAAGGCAGGCAGCGCCAATTGGTGCCTAGGTATGTCTATACCTACTGAGTGGGCAATGTTGCTGCCCGAGCGGGGAAGGAGGATATATGTACTCGGTACTGTAGCAGTTTGATGAGTATTATAATGCTGGTACCTTCCCCTATGAGTAAGCCTGGAGCACCTGCATGTACCTACCTCTTGTAGGGAGAATGACACCTAGATTCTCAAGTACCTAACCTCTTTTTTACGTAGGACTTCGGGGGAATCGCCTCCCGGAAAGTAACTCACAGGCTAGCTGGGGTGTACTTGGATGACTAGGTGCTGTAGGCTCAGGGTCCATGTAGTTGGAATATGTACGAGGTACTTAGCTACAGATCGCTACGGAGTGCATACCATCTGTTGGCTGTTGCCCTCTTGCTAATCGCCATGGCTTTATGGATGAGGTGGCCCCCGGAAGGGATCCGATCGGTGACCTCTCCTCTCAAGCCAGCGAGTTGAGTTGCCCAAATATAGCTGATCAGCATTCTTGTCCTCGAGGTGTTTCCCGATCACAGGTGATGATGCCCAGAATCTGCACATACTAGGTCATGTTGTCTCTTGTGTGTGACACTCCCCATCTATCTCCTCCCAGGTCAAGAGAGGAGGGCATCTTGGTTCAAAACGTTGGCAAATAGTACCTTGTTCACCCCTCTCATATCGTAGATTTGAGTAATTGATGCTTAAGAGGGACAGGAGCTTCAAGGAGGGCCTTAATCCGGCGATGGCTTCGCTGTCCCTTTAATCTCGATATCCTGTGCTGGGGTACGCATGATGAGATTCGATCGTGTGAATACCATCCATTATTCTTTGCCCTCGGTCATGTCCAGCGTCGTCTCGTACTTCTCGAGAAACTTCTTGAACCCCTCTTCCACCAACTTGACGTCCTCTTCCATCTTCCTCCTTGCCGCCTCGTCCATGCCATTGGGATCCCGGCTTCGGTGGTCGCTTTTGAGGGTGTCCAACCCGCCAAAGAGCCAAATTTCCTTCATCGTCCGGGTCAACATCATGATCTCCTCTGCTGCACGGACGATTGCTGTCGATTCGACGTCGAGTTGAAACTGTTGAACGGCCGTGTCTGTCAGGGATGGCGGCACTGGAGCATTGCCCGTGCGTGCAGACGCCGCGGCAGTTTGTGCGGCCGTATCATCGAGAGCCACGGCGAGAATGTTCTCGAGCCTCTTGATCAGGGTGGTTGAGAGAGCCGTGATGCGGGCTGAGAGGGGTAGATGTCAGAATATCGTTTGTGATTACAGGCCACCATCGTCCACCGGACCAAGGCGTGGACAGGGATAATACGAGCCGGGGGGCCAATGACACCTGCCCAAGTGGCTGCGCATACATACATACCTTGTAAGAATTTGGCCGTGGGCACGGCGTCCGAGGCTGTCTCTCTTTTGGGAGTCGTCGATTCCATTCTGCCAAAGGTCCAGCTCCGCCCGCCCCAGCCTCGAAGTCTTCAGCCTCTCCACTCTATCAGCAGCTCTTCTCAGAAGTGCTCTCACTGTCTTTCTGCAGTCCCTCAGCAACCTCAACCGAGCGTCTTTGGGGCCGAAGGCGAGCCCTCGGACGCTGCAACTCGAACTCAGCCCTTCCTTTTGCCTGGACTTGCCCCGTTTTCTTGCTTCCACCCAGCTTCTCACAAGGGTAATCAAAGTCAAGCGCCAGGCAGGATCTCCTGCATTTCGCGGTCAAGGTGACACGAGAGCGTTGTCAGCTGGCGTCAGCGTCAAGCGCAGGGAACAGGAATTACGGTGACTCGATTGCGACATCGTCTTTACAGCGAAGCCATGTGATGGAGAAGGCGTACAGGGGACAAAGTTTTGGTGTGTCGCGCGTAATTCAAAAGTATTGTGCTTCACGATCATATGCTCCGCTGGAGTCAGGTACTACTGTGAAGCATACAAACCCCAGATAGCAACGCAGAAACCCACTTTCTTCTCACCGTCCACTTTCACTTCACATGATACCGTTTTTGATCTTGTTCAATCCAATACGACCCAGCAGATTGTTATATGCCTGGGGAGTCAATGGCCTTTTGGGAGAAATGTCTCATTGACCACCCCTCCCATAGCTTTCCCACTGTGCGCTATCTGGATCAGATGCCACGCAATGGGTGACATCCTCTCAAAGCCAAGCTTCCTCGTTGCTTCTTGGGTGCCCTTGGATTTTTTGGAGCCCCCAAAGGAAAGGTACGAGTAAGCTTGAGCCAAATTCTTACTACACGATACAGGCGAGCCTGAGTGGAGACGACTCACGACTTTGCTGCCATTTTTCGGAACCTCGGGATCGTCGAAGGCGCTGCCACGCTGCTGGGCGGCGATGGCGTGGTCTTTGCCACAGGCCGATAAATTTAGAATCGAGAGTCGCCTATCCTGATTCGATCAGCCCTTCGAAGCCACACCTTGTCTCAGAAGGAATTCTCCGCAGCCATACGCACCATGCCACTTTCTGCCATCGACCCAAGGCACCGACGGCTATGCGCTCAGATGTCAGTATACAGAATACAGTTGCTCCATCGCCCCAGCAGGCGGGACTTCCCTGACGTCAAATCCAGTACTCGGAATACTCGGTGTTGTGGATCGGATTGCACAATTTTCACCACACACTGGAATCGAGTGGAAGAAGACTGACAGACTGATCCACCGTTCCTGAGACATTGCCCATGGGTGCCGTGGGTGCCTACGAAGACGACCACGACTTGCGAACCCTTCTACCCGTCCTTTATCCATATTGAGTACTTGGCTCGACGAGGTATGGACAAATAAGAGCAACAAAATGCCCTCGCTAAAGGACAGGAGCGGGTACACCGATGTAAAGTGACCAATGCTTTGCCACAGTCAGACTCAGGCCAAATCCACCACTCCTCGTACCCATACTTCGCCTCCCAACAACCACTCGCCAAACTCACGAACGGTTGCCGCAACTGACACATCGAGGCATATACTCACCCACGTATTATGACCTGGCGGCCTTAAACTGCCCCAGTAGGATCCCCGGCCACCGATTCTCTCTCATGGCACTGGAGACATACAACTTTTTTCGGCCTCCACGTGGTGGGGAATTTGACCCAACGTGCACCTTTCAGCCGGGTTAGCCTTTCCCTTCGATGGGATGTTACCCTGCTGCGCCCTCAAGGTGTTGGATGCCGATCGAGTAGGTCACCTATATGAGTCGCGGCAACTATCGTGGAAGGTAGGTATAAGAAAGAGGTATTTGCCCGCATCTCTCCGTTTGCATCTTCCATCTCCTACCAAGTCCTCCCGTCATTCGCTGTCTTTCCATTCTGTTATACACACATTCGTTCTTCTCGCCCACCATGGCCAAACCAATCGTTCTATTTTCTTTGCTCGCTCCCGCTCTCTCAGCGGTCCTGCCTCGCAGCCAAGAGAGCTCATGGAATGACTGGTCCTCGTCGAGCACGACGACCGTCGCGCCCACGACCACGACCACCCCCACCCCCAGCTCCGTTTGGAACGACTGGAGTTCGAGCACAACTGTCGTCTCCACGACTCCGACACCTTCTACCACTTGGGCTGACTGGAGTTCGAAATCCAGCACTACCACCCCTGCCACGAGCAGCTCTGGCTGGAACGATTGGAGCTCGTCTTCGTCTGCAACAACCCCCAGCACTACCTCTACCAAGGGCTGGAATGACTGGACGAGCACTTCTTCCACCACTCTGAGCACAACCACCACCACGAGCAAGGGCTGGAATGACTGGACGAGCTCGTCGACCACCACTCCTAGCACCACCTCTACCAAGGGCTGGAATGACTGGACCTCGTCGTCCACCTGGACAACGTCGACTCCCAGCACGACCTCAACATCTAGCAAGGGATGGAACGACTGGACTTCCTCGTCTACCACCACAACCAGCCCCAGCGGATGGAACGACTGGACCTCGTCTTCCACCACAACGAGCCCCAGCGGATGGAACGACTGGACCTCGTCTTCGACCTGGACCACCTCAACTCCCAGCACCACTTCCACCAAGGGCTGGAATGACTGGACGAGTACTTCTTCCACCATTCTGAGCACAACCACCACCACGAGCAAGGGCTGGAATGACTGGACGAGCTCGTCGACCACCACTCCTAGTACCAGCTCTACCAAAGGCTGGAACGACTGGACGTCGTCATCCACCACGACCACCCCAGTCACAACCACAAGCAAGGGCTGGAATGACTGGACGTCATCAACCACGACCACGACCCCTTATACCACTCCAGTGACGACCTCCAAGGGCTGGAACGACTGGACGTCGTCAACCACCACGACCACGACTCCTTACACCACCCCAGTCACGACCTCCAAGGGCTGGAATGACTGGACTTCGTCTTCTGTCGCGCCGATCTATTCTTCTTCCTCCCAGGCTTGGGGTGACTGGTCCAGCGCTCCCGCGCCTCAACATTCTCAATCTGCCGGATGGAATGATTGGCACTCGACTACCACCACGACCACGAGCACTTGCACTCCCTCCACCGTGTACGTCACGCTTCCCGCCTCGACGGTCTATGTTACCGAGACCGCCACCGTGACCGATACGACCACCGCCACCGTGACCAGCTGCTCGGCTACCACCACCACCTCGGGTTGGTCTGACTGGCAGAGCAAGAGCTACGGCTCGGCCCCCAGCCACAGCTCGGGATGGAAGAATTAGATCTAAGCAGGAAAAATCCAATCCAGTCCGCATCAGTCTCCCTCATCAATCGCGCGGCAGCCGTGAAGAAGAGTAAGAAGATTGAGCAATCAAAAAAATTGAAGTTGATATGAAAAAAAATGAGAGGATTGTCAAAACAGTGACATTGACCGAGGAGGGGAGGATTAATTCATTGATTTAATGAGAAAGAAGAAGATCGCGCACATGTGCACTTAACGGGAACTACGAAACTCCGGGCATTGGGCCGGGGGGGGGGACTATGGGTGTTTTTTCTGTCTCTCAAAATAGTTACCACGTCGCTCCTTAGACTTGAATTTTAATGTTTACTTTATATATCCTTTGTCTGCTTTGTCTTCTTGCCTTCAAGTCGCATTCAAATTCTACATATAGTTTCACACACACCCATACACACACCCATACACACACACCCATACACATATAAGTGAGATGTGATGGAAGGAGACAAGAAGAATTAGATAGAATGTCTTCCTCTCTCCCCGTCACTTCACCCGTATCGTACGTATATGGTCATCTTCTGGACAAATAATGTCCTCACCACCATTATTCTCGCTCTCTCGCTCTCTCTCGTGCATTTCGCGGCGTGCTGTAGTATGTAATCTAATATAATATAGTATAATATACCCTACACACAACACATACCGTACTCGCTGGTGGTGGTGTGGTGGTGGTGTAGAATAGATTGATATGCTTATATACTTATATGCTTAATTTGCTTATATATATGCGCTCCCGTATTTACCTCGTATATGCATGCGTCTCGTATCTGCACACACACACACACACACACACACACACACACACACGTATATCATCCGTCTATTTCGACCCTCCCTCCCTCCTTCCCGGCGGGAAGGAAGAACAGACTTATCGATAGGGTGTGGCGTACATACATACATACACAAATACGAACATAAATACCCTGGCTGGATGGATTTCATTATTACCCACCAATCCACCCACGAGCACCGGTTGTTCCCCGATGAGGATGATGATGATGATCATCAAATCAGATAAATACCAGTCCGTCAATCACTCAGACCGTCAAGCTCAGGCATTGCAAGGTGGTTATTTATGGTCGTCCGTCTATACGTGCATGCAGTATGTGAGATATACACGCATCACACCTATCAACGAACAAACTAGTGTTGGAGGACTCTGGAGGTCTGTGTACATGAGGCGGATGAAACTCGACCGACCATTGATTGATTGAACCGCGTCCGTGGCATGGACAGACGCCCCTCCCTCTCCTGGCAGCCTCGCCCTGTGTGCGCGCCCCGACTGTCGGGAAAGCTGAAGGATGAAAGAGAAAGACGGACGCTCTTCAGCAGGAAACATCGCCCTAGGTAAAATCGTACATTCACTATATAATCTTTCAAGTGTCCCCAGCTCCCAATGCGCCCCAGCAGCCGCCAAGTCATCTAGACCGACGAAAATACGATGTCACCGATCCGGTCAACATCCTCCTCGTCTGTTTCCCTTCAGTTGGGGAACGCCTTGGATTCATAAAGCCCGTTTGGAGTTGGTCCATACAATTCGATTTGCTTGAGCAAACCGTGATTTCAGAAAGAGTGCCACCTGTTTGCCTCTTGTTTATCCAGATACCTTGACTGGGTCCCATGGCGGCGTCGCAGGCTCCAGGCCTCCCGTGAAGATGAGGGACGAGCGCATACTCCATATCCAATTGACGTCCAGCTCCGACCAGCCCGCTCTCGCATATCTCCCATCAATCCTTGTATTAGCACAACGATGACCTATTCCACCCAGCTCACCTGGTGAGAAGTCAAACCAGCCTTCCCTCGGGTGCAACGTAGATTGCGCTGAAACGCTCACTGACAGAACACAAGACATCCTGTGGGTCGAGTCCGACGCCATCGAGAAACAAAACAGAAGATTTGACACTCGGAAACACAAGGAACCATCCATTGCAAGAAACGCCATTCAAAATATCCACCCATTTTGAAACACCAGTGTAGAACCCCAAGAAGTCGTTGGCTCCGTAATCGGGGAGCTCCTCTATCATTCATGCCCGAAATTGGATTTGCGCCACGTGGCGTCTTATGCACATTCGGGACGACGCACTTGCTGAGCCAAGATCGCTCAGGACAGGAGATCCTGCTCTTCCTCTATCCTCCATTGACACCATCAGCTCTCCCAGCCGTATTGAAATCGCTCCTTTCCATGGCAAAAGGTAAAAGGTCGTCATCGTCGAAGCGGTTTTCTGGCCGACTCCCACTACTTCTACCTCGCCACGGTGCGCTGCCACTGCTGCCTCCGGGATCAATGCTGGCTCGTCTTCCACCCGTGCTTGCCGTCGACCCTTGAGGAGGCGTGACTCGTCGGCCGATACCATTTCTGCTGCTAACTTGGTTACGGAAAATGTTGGCGGAGGATCGTCCCGAGGCAGAATCAGAGGCGCCGTCATCGTTCGTGAGGGCCGTTGCAAGGCCAGAATGACGATGAACTTGGGACAATCGTCGAGGTGACCCGATGGGCGTTGGTCGGTTTGGCCCCTGGCCCTCGCCGGCAGCTCCATCCGCGAGATCCTGAGCGGACTCCCGGCGATGTCCCCGACGATCAGCTCCCATGCTGGCACTTCGCATCCCATAGAGATCACCAATGTCTTCGTCGGAGCTCAACGGTCTGCGCTGAGCAGAACTTGACCGCTGGTACGACGGAAATGGTCTGGGAGAGCTGGGAATATCGATGGCAGGTACATTGGAGGTTGACTGAGCGTGTGCAGTCTCCTCTGTCGCAGCCTCAGAGGGTGAAGGTGGCTCCTCGGGGGCCAAACGATGGGGCTCGTCGGCATCATCGTGACTGTAAGCAGCACTCAGTCGGGACGGAGCAAAGGGGGTGTGCGGCGTATGAGGTGAAATTGGTTTGCCAGGAGAAGAAGAGGTCGAGATAGAAGTTCCCGCTACCATCGGAGGTACCCCGGATATTTGTCGACTGGACGAAGCGTACGATCTATGCATCATTAGTGATGAAGACATGGAATCCGACAACGCAGTGTTGGAATCTCGCATTCTGTGATATCGATTCAATGCCGCAGCGGTTCTCCTGGTACTTGCTTCGGCAGCAGTGGGAGTGGTTGGAGTTAGGAGGTCCCTTTGCTGTTCCAGCATCTTCAGGAAAGTGGAGATATTCTCACCGTCGTCATCTGCCATCGAGCCTGAGCTTCCACCTCCCGGCCCCTTCTGTCATCAATCCCGAACCAGGTTGTGCGGAAGAGGTGGCGCTTGCTTTTCCACTGCTTGTCTGGTCTTCGTCTGTTCGTATGGTCGTACCTCCTGAAGAAAGCCGCGCACGCCTGTGGCTGAAACTGCTGCTATATCTCGTGACTGGCGCGGGTTTGGGAGAACTCGAGGTTGAGGAGGCGATAGCATTGTCCGAGGCAAGAGAACCAGCTCGTCGGCCGGCCAGAGTGAGAGGAGCCGCTGCGGAGGGAGAAATGCCCTCTTCCGTCAACGAGCCTAGCACAGGAAGTCGAGCAGAATAAGTTCTTGGCGAACTGGCCATAGGAGAGGCGCCAAGAGGAGATGCTGACAAAGTAGGTGTCTTGAACGGTTGGACGGAGAATGAAGTTGAACTTCGTCGGCCGGCTGCTGCAGCTCTGAGAGAGTTTCGCGAGTTTTGGCCTGCTGCAGGGGAGGGCACCGCTGGCCTGGCCGGTTCCGGAGTTGGAGGAGAGCTCGCATTGAAATCTTGAGCGTTTCGTAAAGCAGAGATAGGGTCGGTCCCTGTAGCGATACCCGCCTGGTGGAAACTTGTCAGGCTTCCATATGCGTGACCCAGCTCTGCCTGTTCCAGTAGTCTCTGTCGTCTGTCTGCAGGTAAGGATCCGATCTCTGTCCGCGGCGCCTTCTCACTCGGTAGTGACGGCCGGAATAGCTCGTCATCTGCGCCCAAGAACCGCGAGCTCAACAGCTCCTCCGAGTCGTCTATCCGGAAGTCACAGTTCTGGCGGTAATCGACCTTGACGGAAAAGGGTCCAGCAGGTGAATCGGTCACGCCGAAATCGTACGATAACAAGACGCCTGAGTTGCTGTCGAAAAGTCGCGTGCCTAGATTGTCGGAGCGGGACAAACTCCGCATTTGAGAGCCGTCCACCAACCTATAACCCAGTTTCAAGGCCATGTGGGAGCGACCCTTGCCAATTTTCCTCGACAATTTCCAAGCTGGAAGGAAATTGCTATAGGTGTAGAGGGATCGGAAGAAAACGATGCTCTTTTTGTAGACCAGCGGCAGGACCATGGCGAGGTCGGCAGGGATGGGAGCCTTCGGTTCGCCGAGTTCAATGGTCCACCGCTCGAGGATGACTTCGTCAATGTCCCCCATTCGGCGCAGACTTCCGCGCGAAGCACTGCGGGCAGACATCAAGGTATTCATGACATCCCACCGCTTGCCATCTTCGTCCACGATGACCAACCGCTGTCCTTGCTGCAAGGACTCGGTGCTCAGGAATACCTCGATGACCAACGGAGGAGGTCTGTTGTACTCGACATCACAGGTCTTCCACCTCTTGATATCGTCTTTGTACTCATCCGTCTCTTCAATGTCTATGTTGAACCACCGGTTCACTCTCTTGTCGTTCGTCTTCTGCGAGTATGCCGGGGCCAGTTCGACTCGAGACTGGAGGATGATTAAGGCGGACTTGGTGTGGAAGTTCTGGATGACCTGGTTAAGCCTCTGCATTTGGACGCCGGGGTTGTCCGCCGGTTGATCTTGACGGGCAGAGGCAAAGTCCTCGGAGGAATTGGAGCCTTGGGTGAGAGGAGAGTTTGTTCGGAGAGCGTGGACGTCTCGATCTCTCGGGTTATTTGTACGGCTGGGGTTTGTTTGCTCAGAGGTTGCGGGGGAGGCTGTGGGAGGCGGCGGTCGAGGGTGTTGATGCATATTGGGTCAAACAAGATGTTGAACGTAAAGGATTGCTGGTGTATTCACTTTCGACTGCCTGGCTTAACGTTGTAGTTGTAGGGGTGAGTTGGGACTGATCCGTATTCGATAGCCATCCATTGCTTTTTCATTGATGTGATATCCACAAAACGTCTTCAGCGGTACCGGGGGGGGGAAGGAGTGGATAGCGGTCAAGGCATCTGGGACTTTGACGAGCAAGGCTGATGGACGGGGGATAAAAGAGCAGACTAGGTCGACGAAGGGGCCATTGTGGCGTCGGGACCGTGAAAAGCGATAAGTGGGATGGAAATGGTCAGCGGAGGTCGAGGTGCTCCCTGTTCACAAAGGTCTCGAGTCGTGGGCATATGACGGAAGCCGCATGTGATTGGGGGTGTCGCACGGGCTGGCGGCGCGAGGTACTGGTTACTTTTCGGCCAGGGTCAGATGGGGTCAGGCGATGAAGGATAGGACGCAAGGTGAACAGGCAACAATGAGTCGGGAGCTAGGTTGAGGTGGAGAAGGACTGCGGACGAGAAGGAGATGGGAGAAAGGAAGGAGAAGAGATAAGTACTGGAAGAGTCATCGAATGTCGGGAAAAATGTATATCGAGGGCGGATGGCCAGCAGGAGAAGCAGCAGCAGCAGCAGCACAAGCACAAGCCGTAGCAGCAGGTTTCACGCATCATGCGGTTCTGTTCTGGGGGTGGGCGGGTCAGTAGTGGGCGGTGGGCACAGGGACTGGGCGGGAGCTGGGAGCTGTTGAACCAAACGAGTTTAGTACCTGACTAACTGTACGATCTCTTGGCCCTGCCGTGGGCTGCGCCTAACTTGCCCTGCGGTGACGGTGACTGCGGTGACTGAGCGTGGTGCCTGCGGTGGTCACTAGGCTGGGCTGGACTGGCCGGTGAACGAAAACGCCTACGCAACGGCTGCGTTGGTACCTACTGTAGGTCCCTACAGTATGTAGCTCGGTAGGTAAGGTGCAAGCTGGGAGAAGGGCACACTCCTCTCACTCTCTTCTCCTTCTCTCTTCTTCACCTCCATCTACTGTCTTACATCCCTCTTCATCACCGCTTTTGTTGTTCGTCCACCACTCGCCAGCTATCATATGTCCCCCATATGCACGACCCTGGGTTACGCCTGCATCGCCTGCATCGTACCTTAATCCCTGTGGATGGAACCCCCATCCAAGTGCGCCCCATAGGCTGCTTTATTTTGACTGACATGCATCTTGTGTCGTGCCGCCGTGCCGCCGTGCCCGTCTGGCGATTGAAATGCTCCCACGCACACACACACACACCTCCGCCATGTCGACATTTCGGCGGCCACATGTCGGTTTAGGTCGTCATTGTCGTCAACGTCCCTTCCATCGACCACCGTCATTTCTTCCCGCCACACGCAGAAGCATTCCTTTGCCCTCGTGCCCCGCGTCTGTTGGCGACACCTCAACCCAATCGATCTACGAACCATATTAACCCACATCGACCCGAATCCGCCCGTGGCAACGCCATCTTTTGCTTCCCCGTCGGTGCCGTGGCACTAGGCTGATTCCAAGGTCCTCATTTGGCACAGGGGGTGAAGACCATAATACCAGAGTATCCCCTTGACTGGGCCTGTGGGAGTCACTATTGTTGTCTCGAGAAAATCACCAGGCTGATCGGATGGATCCCGTCCATTCGGGCTTTCTCTCTCCACAACACAGTCAAGGATCAATCGAGAGCAACCGGGAAAGAATTTCCCTCTTGGTTCTCTCTTCTTCTGCCTACTTGGCCCTCACGTTTCTCTTCCAAAGGCATCAGTGGTGAGAGTGTGATCATCCATGGATCTTCACCTCGCGTTTCCTGTTTCTTTTCCAGGCAAACACAATTGTGGCCTTTTGTGTGCGGCCACCTGCAGAGCGCCAGTGCTAAACTTGGGATCCAGGACTGGGAGCCTGCTGGAGCTTTACCCTGTCAAGACTGGTACCATGGGCCCTTTGATGCAGGACCCGGTTACGCGAGGATCCTACATGAGTGCATAGGTTCATTCCGCTTCTCGTCTGGTGCTTGGAGAAGTGCTGTCGACGGTGGACTTTTCCTCTGCTGGCTAGACGTCCAATGCCGCAGCCAGGATTGAAAGGTTCCTGGTGATTGGTTCCTAGGCAGAAAAGCAGCATTTCCTGGTTCGGCTACTCTTAGTGTGTTTCGGTACAATTGGTAAATCCCCCACGTCTTTGCAGAAGCAACCCTTTTCTACCATGATGTACAAAAAGTCTTTCCTCCAAATTCCCGTCCTTTCCTGGACCTCTATGACTCTTTCAAGTTGATGCCTTGGCCCCTCGAGGGGCCTGCTGGGACTTTCCATGACCCCGGGCTCGCGCACTGCTGGCACCGCCTCGGGGCACATTACCTCGCCCAATTCCTCGTCCTGATTCAGGTTCTTGTCTCACCGGTGCTGAATCCAGGGAAGGTTGCTTCTGCTGGCCACCGACTTCAACATCCGGCGTGCCTTTTCCGCGTCCTCCCCCCCGACGTTGTCCGCCTCGTCCCCGGCCGCCTTTTCCACGACGGGCAGCGGCCGCGTTGGCCTGCGCCTCTTGTTCCTGCACTCGCCGGCTCTCATTGTCCCACCATTCCTGAAACTCCTGTTCCTGCTGAATCTCTTGTAGTGACTTCTTCGCCACCGCTTCCTTGACCGCGATCTTCTCTGTTTGCTGCTGGGCCAAGATCTCAGCCATTGATGTGCGGGCGTCCACCGCTGAGACCCGCGTCGGTAGCGGCGTATGGCGGATCGATTGGATTTGCGGAGCGGCCGGCTTTGAAGGGGCTGTAAGGTCCATTGCAGGTCCCGCAGAAATTGGACCCCTGGGGGACGGACCGGGAGTCGAGGTGCCTCTGGCGATGGTTTGGCGCATTGTCATTGGCTGCTTCGTGGGAACCTCTTTGACCGCCTCGATTGGTGCAATTGTAGTCGGTGAGGAGTTGGGCTTAGGTGTCTTTGCAATCGCCTGCCATGGCGAAGAAGGACTGTTTGTTGTCGGTTTCGCGGACGAAAGACCCGTGGGGTTGGTAGCCTGCTCTTTGATTTTTTGTTGTTGTCGCTTGCGCTCCTTCTGCGAAACCTTGACCGTTGCTTTAGGTCCCGTCGAAACTGTCCGCATTGCCTGAGTCAAATTAGACACCCGGGCAGCTGAAGCTTGCTCCATAGTGTCCTTGAGACCGTCTTTTTTGACGCCTTGAGCAAGAACCCCCCATGGAGCCCTCTGTGCAGCAAATCCAGTCGTCGGGGTTTCGGCCACAGTGGAATCTGACAAGTTGTCGTCGTTGGACCTCAGCGAACCGGAGAATCCTTCGCGCGACCTGAACGTTGAAGGAGGCGAATCATTTTCGGGAAGTTGTGGTGTCGAAGATGGAGCCACGCCCCCCAGGGATGAGGTCTTTCTTGCAAGATGAGGCAGTAAAATTCCCCCCTCGTTGACAGGGAGCAGCTCTGGATCATCGCCATCCATGTCGAACGGGAGGTCGTCTTCTGTATCAGTGGCCTTGATCGCCGGGCTGCGACTTGGAGTGCTAGGTGGTGATGAATCCACGGGGGTCGGCAACGAGCTCCTGTTCTGAGGCGAATAGGCTGAGCGTTCCAGGCTCCCGTATCGCGTCTTCAACGATGCCGCAAAACGTCCCTCGTCTTCGACCAACCTTGATCTTAATCTCATAGAATCCACCCTTGTCTGTCGGCCAGCCTCAATCTGGCCCAATAGACCTGGATAGCTCCTCAACAGTTCCGCCTCAGCTCGATTGCTGCGAGCAAAAGGAAGGAAGGCCAGCTGATTGGCTTGGACGACCTTGTCTAATTCGAGAAGAAGATCCTCATCCAAATCGTCCAGCAATTTCAGCTCCAACATGCTTTCCAAGTTCAAGCAGATGTACTCGAGAGCGGCTTTTTTGAAGCTGTCGACTGTACACTCTGCAACTATGTTGACCAGAGGGCACACGTTTCTGAGATTGACGTACCGGCCCAGAGTCTTTTGACAGATCTGTGCGAGGCGATCAAGCATGAGCTCGTTGGCTACTGACATTAGCTCAATGACAATATCAACAAATTCGTCCAGACTGTTGGTGAGGATGTCGTCAAAGAGTTCTTCTCCAGTATCAGCGTAAAGGTGTCGGAGGACCATGGCGAAAATCTTCTCGTCGATATGCTTCAGATCCACACGTACAGCTTGAGACTGTTCTTCAGCTGCATTTCGTCGCGAAGCCATCCACATTCCGCCCGCTCGTCCATTGAACAGGCCGTCAAAGAACGGGCAACGGCTGCACAACAGGGCGCTATGTGCGGGCAACTCGGCGTCGTCTGCGAGCTCCACGACCACATCGGCGTCGGAGAAGAAGTCAGGATCCACCACTGCAAGCTCCATATCGTTCGCCAGACTTCGGGCGGGGTCAACCATCACTCTTACAGCGCGTTCAAGGCCTCGCATTTCGAGGTGGCTCGCGATCTTCATAAGCTCGACACGTACTGACCTGTAACGAGCAGCAGATTGTAAAGCCTTCGACGTATGATGCCACACGTCAACCAGCTTGTCGGTGTACAGGTACAGTACGAGATTAGCTAGAGTCAAGAAATCTGCGCCTTGAAACGAGACTTGGATTTGGCCATCTTGTCCGTATTCGATCGACATTATATCAGGGACGGAGTAATAGTACGTCTCTTGAACTTCGGTCAACGCGTGGCGCATGACACGGCTTCGTCCCTTAAGAATAAAGGAATGGACAGGAATTCGTACATCCGTAACGGTAGAAGTGATCCACAGGTCGTATTGGCTCCGGGACAGAGGTTCGTACTGCTGACACATGGTGAGGATGTCCGTTTCAGCGGAACTTCTGAAGATTATCGCATGAGCAACGCCGAATGCATTTATTGCTGACCCAAGTTCCATCTCAGACACTCCGTATTCTCGAATGGGCAATAAGCGCAAAGTGTATCTCCACAAGCCTGGTGGGACAGGCACGATCTGGTCCCGTGTTGCATTAACGTCCTTACGCACCGCGGTAAAGGCTCCAAATGCGTTGCTCCTGACGGCGATAACTCCATTCAGGTTGGGAATACGGACGAATTTGTAGTCTTTGGGACGTCCTGGACTTAACTTCGCATCTCGTACGGTCTTTATGTTTGCACGTTTCTCCTTTCGCCAGGCCGAGCCTGACGCGGTACAGATAATGATGGAGCCATCCTGACCTACAGCCACGTCAATGGCCGACATGTGAGCCTTGCGAAGGGACCAGAGTCGCGAAGGCGCAGGTAGAGCGTTGCGCGCCTTAGTTGGGTTCGTTGTTGACATATTCGATGGTACAGTTTCCGGGACTTTAGGAACGTCAGTTGAATATACTTCTCCATACGAGGACATTGCGCATATTGTGTTGCCGCCACTGGTGATATGTTTAATGTAGTTGGATTCCATGTTGAATCTTGTCGAAAGGTTATTGGCCATGTAGTAGTTGGTAAAGGTCTCCAGGGGGAATATAAGCTTAGTCCAACCATAATGTGTGAAGACAAACACATCATGATTCTCGAGCAGGACAATTGTAGCTCGGTCAATCGCGCTCACGCTTTGAATTGGAGATTGCAAGACTGATACGCCAACCCGGCGTGGCAAGATCTGTATATCTAGAGAGCGTGCCTCAGCATCGGTCAAGCCAAGTTGACCCTCGTTCTTGCCGAACGTGTACATCGCAGAGGAAGTGTATATCGCTGTATGAATCGCGGATGCTGCGGCCCCAATGATGACTTCTTTTTTGATGTAGCCGAAAAGCTGGCGTGGGATTAATTGAGTTGGAACCTCATTCTTGGCCACTTCAGGAAGAGCATACCCCAGCTGCCCAAAGCGGTTGCTCCCCCATGTGTAGACCTCACCCTGAGAGCACACAGCCACAGAATGGTCCTGCCCAAGGGCTATCGACGAGATACGTCGTTTCGCCAGTCCACCAGCTTGGATGCAGCGATAGGTGAAGCTGGTGTTTTCGTCGCCAGTGCCAAGACGGCCACCAGGACCGTACCCGCATATATACAGGTTGGAGATCGGGTCGTTAGTCAGAACGGCCGTATGTAGCTTCGACATGACCACGTTTTGAACCGTTATGGGCCGATAACGGATAATGGCCGGCACATCTAGACGTGTCTGGAGATCCCCAATACTATCCGCCAGATCTTCTTGGACCGATGTCTTCCGTCTTTCAGCAAGATGATCGTCAAGGAGACGGCGTAATAAGTGTTCAGGGCGTTCAAACTGTAGACGCTCGGGGAAATGCCTATCGTCTCCATCGCCCAGACCTAGTGATAGGTTTTTATTGCTTCCAAACGCGTAGACCTCATCACCAGCGAGATCTATCAGGGGGGTCACATGGCGCCTTGATCGCTCATGCTCTTGGTGGTCACCATTATCATCCACTCCGTTGATGCTGTCGTCGTCATGAATGCCAGACGGGAGGGTGGAGGAATCTTGCTGAAGAGACCGGGGCGCAATGGTCAAACCAAACACCTCAAACGGGCTGTTGCCTTCATGATCTTTGATTTTCACCAGTCCACCGGCGTGGGAATGCTGAGCGTTGGTTGTGTAGTCCGTAGCATCTTGTATATCCCGGATCATTAGAGCATGCGCGACTGAAATATTGCCAAAGTATAGCGCACGATGGAGTGGCGTCCACCCACTTTCCAGATCCTGGACGTAGAGATCCAAGAAGGGCATTTCCATTAAAGCCTTGACGAAAGCCAGAGCATCATCATTCTGGGAGGACGCAGCATGATGAAGTATTGTCCGGCCGAAACTGTCTTTGGTGTTCACCTCCGCCCTCGTAAGCACCAAACCGGCATTTTTCCCAGGCGTCGCACTGATAGGTGTGGTTCCCGAGCTCTTTCGAAATTTGAAGGGTGTCTTCGGGGAGACTGCCAGATTCCCAGGACTACCTATCTTCAAGGTTGCACCCCCGATTTGTCCGGCGCCAGGGGTTCTCGGCGCAACGGAGGAGAAGGTGGCGTTGGCCAGGTATTGTCGAAATGAATCGACATCATCTTCGAAGAAAGCGCGCCAGAGATTGTAGCTCATGTGTCAGACGGAATCAGAGATGTCTCCGGTGACCTTGGACGCGCCTCGCTGTAATCTCGACGGATCACGGCGTATTTAAAGGCGCAGAAGGTCGATCGGAGACGAAGAGGATGGGATGAGTGAGAGTGACTCAAATCGAGATCATTGCGAGGGGGTTGCTGAGTGTCTCTGGTGTCGCAGAACGATTCACACGTAGTCAGGAAGGCGATTCTGTAGAAGATCGCGACTGGGAGGCGAGAAGCTGGATGAGCACGAGGAAGTGTCTTTATGGAGGGGTATAAGAGAAGTAATGTCGTAGCTCGTGGTCGCGGATGCGATAACTGTGCGGAGCAGCGAAGGTGCTTGGAATGATGTTGGGGATGGCGTTGTGACCAATCACACGCCCTCGTGCCAGTACGAGCCGCGTATGGTGGAAAGCGCATTTTGTCTAGTGGCGCCTCTACAAGAGTGTGGAAATTGAGGAGAGGAAGGTTTGTCGTGCTCTGTTTGAAAGCATAGAAACTTACAGAGAAAGCAAGAGGAGGGGTACCCCATCTGCTTGACTGACGCGACTCACAATGGGACCCGCGATCTGAGAGCACTGCGGGCTTTCGAAAGAGCGGTGTACCTCTGTCGAAGCGAGGGCCTACTGTGTATCTGCGGGGTGAAATGATGCTCAATTAATTCGCTCATGTTTTGCTATCTGTTCGTGATCCATCCACCGATGTACGTGTCAATGGCCACAGGACTCATTGCAGAGATACTCAACCACCGGTTTTTCAAAGTCCCATCATTCCCGCTGCGGCAAGACCCAGTCCCAGCAGAGCCGCGGTCGGAACAGCCGCATGGTTTGCTGCACCCGGCGTCGAAGTTCCTTCTATGGTTGTCGTTGATGTTGCTGTCACCGAAAAGGTGAGCAAGTTGAATGTTGGCGTCCCTGGAAGGATCAGGGTGGAGCTCTCGATACTGGCTGGTGGAACACCTGTTTCTGCGACGACTTCAGTGAGCTGAGTTCCACCTGCCGTGGCAGTGACAGTCGCGCTCGGTATGGTTGTTCCCGCCGGAATAACGACGATGTTACTCGTGCTTGCTTCGTTTTCCACGGCTTGGGCAAGCGCCGCCATCTGGTTGTCGATATCAAAAACCGCGTAGGCGCTTCTCAAGAAACTGTCTCCCATGATAGCGAAGCCTCCACTGTCGGATGGAGTCCCCAAAGCTAATACACAACCTCCTGACGGATCGCCGAATTCCGATGATGTGTATCCCTGACCTCCGACCGCTTGCGAGAGAGGAACTTGAATTGTGATGCCGTCGTTGCCGCCGAACGAATAGTTAATGGTGCCATTGGCCGACACAAGACTGCAGGGAACCAGATAGGCGTCTCCAGAAGGATCACCCACCGCTCCGAGTCCGAGGGCTAGGCCAGTGAAGACGTCGTTGGTGAGAAGGGTGTTGGTGGTACCCGAATCAAGCAATGTAGCCTGAAAATACCCGTCAGGCGACAATTGCGTAGTTTGACCCGTCGAATCCGTGAAGGACACACTGGTCAGGGTAACATAGTATTCCGAAACGATTCCTTCAGGGCCCTGCTGCAGGGGCAGGGCAACAAGATCTCCCGAATATTTAGTTGTATCAATCCCGCCAAAGATGACTGCACCCGTGGTTGCTTCCAGGTCGTTCAAATACAAGCTGAAGGCTTTGCGCTGGATGACCCCGGACGACTTGAGATTGTCCATGACTGAGGGATAGACGCTATTCGGGCCGTCGTTGTTGGCTTCATTGGTATCGAATCCAATTCCCATCACCCCATGCTGGTCGAACAGTTCAAATGCTACTCCGATCTGTTGATTTTGAATGGAAGGAGATCCTCCAACTGTGATGGTGTCAGAAGCCCAGTCACCAGCGTCGCTGTCTCCTGGTTCCGCATATGTCTGTGACGCCAATGAGTCAGTTACCTCACCCTCTCACGCTCGGGGCCGCCTTGACGGATTTTGTAGCACCTTGGGCACGGAGACTTACAATGTTAAATCCGTTCTGCTCGACAACTTTGTAAGTGCTTGATGCGCTCGTATCAAAGTCACCCAGGTCGCATTGGCCCTTCTGGCAGAGCTTGGCTGAAGATGCGGGGACCCAAAGGTCAGAGGAGCCAGTGTCAAGAGTAACGCCGAGATCCTGTGGAGGTGTGCCAACAGTGATATTCACCAAGTATTCGAGCTTATCAGTGCTTTGTGTCAAGACTGTGTCCAGCGTTCCATCTGAATTTTGTCTGCGCACTAATCTGCCTGCCGACGGAGTCCTCCTCTGTAGGTCTAGCTTGAGATAGCCTGGTGAGGCGACGCACGAGGTCGTCAGAGCCGCAATGGCCGTTGCGGCAAGAAGATACATCGTGGATACTTTGACGTGCAGCCGATGTAGGAAGCCAGGCTGGGCCCGGAGGTCGAAGGTCGAGGTGGAGGCCGGACAGGAAGAAACGAAGAGCGGCGGTATTATGTACACATGAGCAAGGAAGGTCAAGGGCTAGATTTGTCAATTGGCTCTGTCACACAGCCACAACGGAGCGGCAGGGACTGGCGAACTGTTTAACACTGGCAGTTCGGGGTGAGAGGCTAGATCGAGAGAACAAGTGACGAGAAGCAACAAGGACTGGAGGGCGTTTGTTGACTTGATGGAGTTTTTTTTCCCTGTAAGGCCAGCTGAGGTGCAGGCCGCACGCAGCGAGCTTGCACGAGCAGCAGCCCCAAAACCCACGTCATCGCCACAGCTTCCTATACAGGATTGAGATGACTTTGTGTTTGGAGGATGCTGTGTGCCTTGGTTCTAAGCGTGCAATCAGCCTGGCCAGCAGGGCAAGTGAAAAGATTTCCTATTGCTCGAGGACGGATTGGATCTAGATCTCACCCTTCCAAGGCTCGCTTGGCCCCGCTGGGTCAGCTGAAGCATGGCCCCCGGTGGCACTAAGGCACTAAGTTCAGATCACGAAACTCTGAGATTCGCTGAAGCCCAGTGCTGTGGTAAGGCCTAACGGTTTGCCCCTGCCCCTGCGGAGGGCATAACCTCAATCCCACCAGGAGGCAAATTAGGCTCACTGGGCTAGTGAAGGATCCCAGGCTCACCTAAACCCTACATCCCATGCTTAAAAGACGGCCGTCTTGGCCACTAGCTAACAATCCTGCTTCTTACTCGTACTCTGTACTTGTACATACGTCGCACGGCTTTCAACGCCCCAAAAATAGATGAAAAGGTAGAATATTGCCAGTAACTAACTGCATTCCTTCAGCACCTAAGTCGGTAAAGACACACTGATGCCTTTGGCCCACTCCTTGTTGCTACCCTGGATCTCTGCAAATTCCCTCAGTTCCCTCGACTCCTCATCCAGCCCGCGTTTCACACGTTTGTTCCCTTATCCAATAAATGTCCGTCAACGCATGGAATGCTCAGAGACTACCCACCCAGAGCCCAGATTAAACGACCGTCCATGAAGACCTTGTGCTCTCCCGCATTTGGTACGCAGTCCTTGTATGGAAAAGTACCTGCGTATTTCTGCTTCAGGTGCTCTTGTCTTTCTTCCCCTCATCATTCGATCGCCCCAAAACTAGTTCATCACGAGTCCAGATGGCGATGGCAGCAGCGCCACACGGACCGAACAAGCCCGCCATCAGCAAGGCTTTGACGACTCCGAGCAGGGTCTGACCAATATTGGTCTTCCTGTGTTTGCTCGCATCTCGCACTGTCAATGCCCACAGAAGCGAGGCGGAGACCCCAACGACAATGTCCCACTGAAGGAACCATAAAGCTCCATCAGCCAAGACCCTGACCTGCGGCTGTCCAAATGGCACGACAGGAACAAAGATTCTGGCAGGTTGAAGTTGAGGGAGGTAGGTGGAGCTGAACAGGACGGGAAAGAGGTAGGCCAGCGTAGACAAGCTCAGCGCCGCTAGGTGGGATCCGGCCGACGACATGATCGCAAACGCGTATGCCAGTCGGAGATATCGGGCACTCTTCAATCGCTTATCGTTTTCGGTCAAGATGGAGGCCCGTTGATCGAATCTAAGAGCCAGAGTGGTCAGGATAAGTTGTGTTAACCCGATCCAGATCGACCAGCCCTGCTGAATACCCGTCCATGTCTGTTTCGTCTCAAATGAAACCACAGTTGGGGCTGGAAGGCACATCAGCAGGGATGGAAGCCCGAACCCGACGAGGATGCTGATGGGTGCAATGGCGACTTGGATTGGCGTGTTGACATCAAGGTCATAGTCCTTGGGGTTCACTACTGTAGGTGATGTCCACAGGTGCAGAGCAAACCACAAGGGTGCGACGCAAGCGTAGCCCACAATAGCAACTCCAACGCCAAGCAATGTAGTCCTGCTGATAATCAGATCCAGCACTGGAACTATCCCTCTAGGGTTGAGACTTACGCGGTGAGCAGGAATTTGTCTTTATTACCACGTCTGAGACCCTCCACCATGATCAAGACCCAAGAGGCGAGGACCTGACCTCCCAGGTAGAGGAAGGACAGAGACACATCTGCTCGGTTGCCATCAATAGCGGTGTAAAAGAAGCTGACCAAGACCGTCAGTTGCTTATCGACCGGTCCAATGCCAGTGTACGTCTGCTTCATAGGAGCTGAAGTTGGACCAGGGATAACGGCGCCGGGCTCTGATTGCTGGCCCAAGATCTTGAGAAGTCCATTTTGATATGGAAAGCCCCAAAGCGTCCAGAAGCCGGCCAGGGACAGCAAGATGAGCAGAACTTTAGGGACGGTAAGCGCCATATTCAGAAATGATCTGTATCACGCCAAGCTGGAATGTCTGGATAGACTTGACGGAAACAACGTCTGCTAGAGGGATGAAGAGATATATAAGGAAAGAGAATGACGATGGAAATCGGCTGATCATGGGAACAAGGAGAGATTGCAGCCTGAGAATACCCTTGGGAGGAGGTTTGTAGAACACGGGGGATTTTCAGCTCGTCGCGTCTCAGCCTCAAGCCCCCAAGCTAAGGGCCTGTATCCATTGATTGGTGGTCAGACTCGGACGCCTTGGTGGCAGGAAATGCAGACCTGGGTATCTCAACTTCACCGGTTGCTGGGAGACATGACACCTCGTCGCATTATTGTTTTGATCTGAAGCATGACCTGCACTGCAGTAAAGGAGTTGCCTTCGGGTGTTACTGCACGAATAATAGTTCTTTCTTTCCTCGTTGTTGCCTGTCTTGGTGCCCGCAACTTGAGGTGCCGGCAGCTGCCGGCGCTAGTCATAGAGACTAGTACTGATCAGAGTTAGTGGAGACTAGTCTGTTAAACTCATCCTAAGCGAAACTGCCTCGCTGCCACCATGCGAACTTCGTCATTTGAAAAATAATTTGATGCCTTTTGCCAAAGTCCTCGACTACAGCTCGAAAACCACTGTAGCTACTGCTAATGAATGAGTTTCCGGAAACATATCAACCCCGCCGCTAGAATGCTGAAGCGAAAGCGTGAGAACCATGATTCCGAGGAACCCGAGAAAGAGCGACAGTACCTCGGGTTAAAGGTGTCTGGGTTGAGGGCCAGAGTCACTCGAAGCGTTAAGATCCTCCACGATGCCCTAAAGCTAGCCCGAGGTTTCGAGAGACAGAAACTGGGCCGCCGTCAGAAGAATGCAAGCGACAATCCTCAAACCTTACTTCGACTGCGAGAAGAAGTTGTCGTCCTCAAACAACTGCAGCTCGAACAAACAGCGCAGAACCAACTCCTGAAGCACTTGGTCAGAACAAAACGTATCAAGGAGCACCCTGTATTCATCAAGGCCTATGGGCTGGATCCCGCACTGGAACCTGTGAAGTCAAGCGCCGAGGCAAATGTGATCGGAAGACTGTTCAATTCGAATCCCGTCAAACAGGTACTGCCTGAGATTATGAAAACTATCTACGACGCACTCGAGATTCCTCAGTCAGGGCAAATTGCTTCAACAGGGACAAAAAAAGCATCCGAGAAACTGACCAATTCGAGGGCAGGCCCAGAAGAGGAAGATGAATTCGATGGGTTTTCCCCGGACGCATCCGAAGACGAGGGTTCTAGACGTTTGGATGACCACATATTTGAACTCGGAAAAGGGCGCCTAGCATCTTCTGAAGAGGAGTCTGATGAAGAAACCCCTGAGGACCGAATGCGGGTGGCTGATGCGGGAAGATATGTTAGACATGAGGATCTCTCCATATCGCCATCACCTAGCGAAGTGTCCGAACCCGACGACGAGATCTCTCGAAAGTCACACTCCACTGACACCACGAAGAAAACAGCATTTTTACCATCCCTTAGCATGGCAGGCTACTACTCCGGATCAGAATCCGAAGACAACGCGAATGGTTACCAAGGCCCGGCGCTTCCCAAACCCCGAAAAAATCGACGTGGGCAACGTGCCCGACAGCAAATAGCGGAGCTTAAGTTCGGAAAACATGCTAAACACCTGGAGAAGCAAAAGGATCGAGACGGAAGGAACACAGGATGGGATCCGAAGAGAGGTGCGGTGAGTCGCGGGGACCGCCCTCGAGACCGATTCCACGACAGGAAACTCAATCAGAAGCCGGCAGCAGTCCATGCGGCTGGCCGGTCAGGTCATCCACCGAAGCCCAGGTCTAATGTACGTGATGACCAAGGCCCGCTTCATCCCTCCTGGGAAGCCGCGAAGAGGCGAAAGATGCAGGATCAAGGCCAGGCTACCTTCCAGGGAAAACGAATAACTTTCGATTGATTTGTGGCAACTATTCGACGGAGGGATTTGCTTGTACTATCGATCCTTCTCATAACTACGACTGGAATACGGATTCAAATTCCTCAACCACGCGTAATATCTTTGATGGTGAGAGAGAGGGCTTTATTGCGAGTGAGCCGCTTCAGCTACGCCATAGAGGGACGGGAACCGACCTCCACCGGTGTGGGAGAAGAGTGTACTGCCCGATCATTGAGCGACGTTATGTCGACCTGGTGAGACCGGCTTCAGACTCTATATATCACCTCTGCGAATTGCTGTTGGAAGCCAGGTGGAGATTATGCTGGATGCAGCTCTGGTCCTCGAGTCCTGCATGTTCCCGAACTTCCCTCTTGACCGGGCATGCTTTTGCTTTGTGCTGTGTCACTTCACGCTGGCCCCGGTTAGGTATAAAATGCCCCGGAGCCAGGGTCCGGTTACGGATAAAAGAGCCTGGTCGGGCGGTGAATCTCACCGTGCTTCCAAATCAGCACCCTCCCTAGCCAAGCTCGATGAGTCGCGCAGTGGAGTTCTGGGTTGGAGACGAGATTTCTTGACGGGTTTGGGTCGAGCTCGGGGGAGGAGCCACGGGTTGGAATTGATATCACAAAGACGGAGCTGCCGCATTGAAGATGCGGCGAGGAGATCAAGGAGCGCCGAAGCTGCCGCACACTATGGGTGAGCTTGGGGTCGTTTACTATGCGCGGTGAATGGATGGACGGAGAGACGAACGAGATGAAGATCGTCGGGGGTTGAATCAGATCAAGACGGATGGATGGTGCCTGAAAAGCTCTCCCATAACGAGGAAAATGCATGATCTTTGTTTTTATTGTAAGGTGCCGTCCCAGTCTGCCCGGCTCAACCGTGCAATTTGTATTGTGTTTAAATAAATTAATGGTACAATATGCTCGGGACCTGCATGACACTGTCCTGGATACATAAACCCTTCGGTGCGTCAGATGGTTGAAGTAGGAAGAAACTCGTGCTCTCTTCTCTTCAGCAGGAGATATTGGACTGATATGCGATGGCATCCGCGAAGCTTGTGCTCTCTTCTTCCGCCCACGTGTGGATTAGGCCGAGATCGCCTTCTTCTCGAAGAAGGTGTGCTCGGATCGGACCCTGACAAAGCATAGTAGTATATCATTCCTCCGACATCCGTCCAATCCGTGCGATCGCTGTTCTTGTACCAATTCACGGCGCTTGCATGACTCCGCACAACGAGGCTGCCTGCCTTCGTCGGACCAGATCGTCCTCATTGCCATCCCAACCCGATCTTCCGGGCAACCTTCTCGGCGATGTGTTCATAGTACCCGGAATTGACTTTGACACCGGCAGCCTCCTCGGCGACGACGGTTGGCATGCCCCGGTCGGCGTCGGCGCAGATCCTCGCGTCGAGGGGGACGTCGCCGAGGAAATCGACGCCCAGTTCCGCCGCCTTGGCCTCTGCGCCGCTCAGGCCGGTGTCGTTGGCGGCGAAGATCTTGGTCTCCTGGTGACAGTGCGGGCACACGAAGACGCTCATGTTCTGCACCATGCCCAGCACGTCGATGTTCATCTTGCGGAACATCTGCACGCCCTTGACGGCATCCTTCAGCGCGATGTCCTGCGGCGTCGACACGATCACCGCCCCGGACATCTCGACCTGTTGTCCGATGGTCAACTGCACGTCGCCCGTGCCAGGCGGCAGGTCGAGGACCAGCACGTCCAGACCCGGGGACCAGTCGACCTCGTGCAGCAGTTGTTGTAAGGCTTTCATCACCATCAGCCCGCGCCACGCCACGGGCGCCGACTCGCTCGGCAGCAGGTAGCCCATGGACATGCTCTTGAGCCCGTAGCTGGTCAGCGGCACCAGCATGTTCTGCGGGGTGAGGTTCGGCTCGCCGGCGTCGGCCAGTCCGAGCAACGTGGGCACCGAGGGCCCGAAGATGTCCGTGTCCAAGATCCCTGTCCGCAGACCGTGCCGGGAGAACGACAGCGCGAGGTTCGCGGCCAGCGTGGACTTGCCGACGCCGCCTTTAGCGGAGGAGACAGCGATGGTGTGTCGGACATGGCGGAGCGGGCGCTTTTGGGGGAGCCCGCGTTGGGCGCGTGGGATCGTCGGCGGTGGCCCTTTGCTGCCTGGTGCAGAGGACCGAGGAAGACCCTAGAGGGGCGGTGTCAGTCAGGACTGCTGCAGTATCGACACAAAGTAGCGGGGGGCAAAGGAGATGAGGGCGCCTCCAATCTCGCGTGTCCCTCCACAGACGGTGCGGAAGGTAAACAGGTTGGTATTGGGGACGGGAAGCAACGTACTAAGGGGTTTTCATGACTGAAAACTCTCGCGCATGTGCTGAAGCACTTGCGCATAGTCTCTAGCGGATGGGCTCTCCAAGGTCAAGGCAGAGAGCGACCAAGAAGGGAGACCATTTCAAGGTTGATCGTGAGAAACGGTGGGCGAGCACGACAAGCTGGCAATTGGAGAATATTGACAATGCGGGAAGGTCGACGATGCCGCTCGGGTTATCTTTGTTCCGAGCGTATACAGACTGGTCTCTATCTCTCTCTATCTCTGTATGCATACGCTACCATTTCTCTTGTGTGGCTACCGATCCCTGTTCTTGTGGTAATGTTTGACTTGCTGGTATAGCAGCTAACACGGATTGTGTCCTCGTTCATTTCCCATGGACCAAATGTCTCCTTATGAGAGGCGAGACAAGCCAACACAAAGACAGGCTCTGGTACGATGAAAAAGCATTAATTCCGCTGATACTTGCTTTTCACTATATGGCAGATGCTTTTCGAAACCATGTCTGGGGTAAACAATTCCCATATTTACCTTCTCACATGCCTATCTTTCATCTGACATCTCCAACCATATTGATAAGGGATCGCAGTGACCAAATGCAATGAAACCTGCATCTGGGTACCATCAGTCTCGACTGGACAGGCATGGCATAAGTATGGCAGGCCGAAATGGTGCAATATGGCATTGTCAATCTTCGCAACGGCGTCAAGAAGGGCTCTCCATCGCGGTCTGGAACTTCGTCTCCGTCCTCTCATACAACTTGGGCCGTTCGGGAGTACCCCTTTCAACCTGTCTTCCCTCTAATTCGTCATGCGTGTTCGAGGACTCACTGACCACCCCGTTTATATCCTTCTCTTTTTCTATCATGCCTTCTTTCATCTCATAATCTTCGACTCCTTCTTTTCTGGAATACTCTGTATCTTCAACCACGCCTACAACACCCTCGGCCTTGACGATGGCGGTGGAGCTGGGACTTCGGAGTGGCGCCAGCCGACCCATTCCCTCGTCGCGTTGGTGGCTCTGTAGCCGCTCCAGGCTGCGCTGGCTTCGAGGTGTATCGTTCCCATGCGCCCCGGTGTGAAATCTTCCCGCAGTAACACTGCCTAGCTCAGATCCTAGATGTATGCTTGCCACACCTTCGTTGAATTCCTCACTCCCGGACACGAAACTCCTGGTTTCGTTTGCCAAGGGGCTTCCCGGCCTTGTATTCGTGGCTGGACTTGATGGCTTCGCCTTCTCCACCTCCTGGGAGTCAACGCTCTTCGAAATTCCTGGGGCCGCGAAGACAGCACGGGTGCTAGCATCATCGGCGACGAACCCGCTCCGTCCGGTCATCGTGCTAGCGGCGTCGGACAGCACCGGCGTGTGTTGGCCACCGCTATCATCACGAAGATGCACTGCTGTTTTGAACTTCGGAATGAAGCCCGCTGATAGCAAGGATGATTCAGGTGAAGCTATGTGCCCGTCTTGAGCCGAATGTTCGTTCCCTGCCGTGGCTGGTAACTCCTTGGATCTTGCAGGATCTGAGGGAAGCACAACTGGGGGTACATTGCGACCTTCAGCTTGGCCTCTGTCCGTGACAGAGATGGTGCGTCTCCTGCCTCGAGTGTTTGATTGGCTTGTCTGACGTTTTGCGCTCGCACTTCGCCCTCCGCTGTTGCTTCGACGCCAACGTGTCGAGGATTGTTCTCCTTCGACTATAGTGGGCGTGACGCCGTCCTCGCGCTCTCTGCCTAGGCGCTTGTCTTCCGACTTCTCCAGCTGGACCGCCTCCTCTTCCCTCTTCAGCACCGACTCATCATGTTTGCTTCCCCACATACTCCACATCGCCAACCCATAACTCTTCCTCTTCTTCTTGACGAAAAGATCCTTGTCTGTCCGCCGACTGGCAAGAGCGCACGGCGGAGGGTGCTCACCGGCTTCAAAGCCCTTGATCTTCCCACTGGATAAAGCTGCAACTCTTTCCTTTTGCACCTTCGTCCTGACTCTGGCATATTTAGTATCCCACGTCTGTTTGGCCTCGAGCCATTTTCTTACGGGACCAGGTTTGACTACTCCCACCTGGTCTGGATGCATTTGCAACGCTGGCAGTTCATGTGGTTCGGCCAAAGGGTAAATCTTCCCGTGACGGTCAATCCGTTGACGAATCATGTTGTTCTCGAAAGGGGGGATTGGGTCTCCCGCTCGACCAACACTTCCCGTCACCTTGTTCAGGTCTAATTTCGCCTTTGCTGCGCCGGTACTTGATGAGTCGGCGTCGGTGTCCGGCAGGGAGTTATTATCCGTCTGTGAGGAAATGACCGAGATATTGTCGTCATCCATGATCTCGATCGCTCGCTTCTGAGCCTTAGCTAACACCCAAGCTCCGAACTGTGCAACTGAACGGTACATGAACTTCGCTGGGCGAGTGAAAGACAGCGTTGGAGCAACGTGACACAGATCTTCCCACACTTGCAATTGAACTGGCGTGGGTTTGTATTTAGCAAGGAGAGCACCATCTGGATCATATCTTGCCTTGTAAATAGAACCTAGGGGAAACTTGGACGGATTTGCCATCTTGTGAGCAAGATAGATTTGTTCGTCTCGCAGAATTTCCCCGCCGCCGGTAAGGATCAGGACTGGAGGTAGGCCTCCTAGGGAGGGTTGCAAGACGGGTGACACTAGGGGGTGGGCCAATAGTTGGTTGGTCGTATACATCTGAATCTGATCTCGCAAGACAACTCGCTTTCCGTCCAACTCCATTGATAGAGGTAGCTGAGGACCAGGCTCCACATTACCGTCATCCTTGATGGGTACCGACGTGCTTGGACCGTCTTCCTTATTTTTAAGAGGGACATCTTTGCCTTTCGCCAATCTGCTGATGGTTGCTAGCTCTTCGTCGTTGGGAGGGGGCCACGAGGTTGAAGGTTTCTGCATGAAGCCATAGGGTGGTATATAGTCAAACTCTGCGCTGCCACTCAGGCTGGGGAAAGAATGCGTAAGGTCCACCCATGGGGAGATGAGGACTGCGCCAGCAGGCAAGGGAAGGCCTTGATCACGGAGAATACAGAGTATCGAGACAACCATGCCTCCACCGGCCGAGTCGCCCGCCAGAATGATCTCGGTAGGATCATGTATACTAAGCAGATAAAAATATGCGGCAAGGCAGTCCTGTAGCCCGCAGGGAAAGGGAAACTGTGGCGCTAGCCTGTACCTCGGGGCGAACACGCGAGCCTTGAGCTTTCGAGCATGCCTCTGAAGCTGGTACCTGTGGACGTCGACGCTACCGAAGAAGTACGCTCCGCCGTGGATGTAGAGCATAATCCGTCTGCTTTTCGTGCCTTGTCTTTTCAGCTCGTTGTAATGTGCACGCATCTCGACCCACTCTGCTTTCAGATCAGCTCCCTTGGGCCTCCATTGCCACCACTGAGTGCCGCCGACTTGTTCAATGCCTGTCGGTCCCAGTTGGGCCGTGATCGTCTTCGCAGCCTTGGAGACATGGTCGGTTGTGATTGTGACGCTTTCGGTTCTTACCCAAGACGGGCTGGGGACCCATTGAGCGGTAAAGGACTGTAGATCTTCCACTGTGTGATGTGAGGCGTAAAGGAGAAAGGTTCGCATCAGATGGAGGCCTTCATCGTAGGAGATGTGGGCAGTTGGTTTCTGGCGGCGGGGCTTCCGGTTGGCATACTATGTTCTCAGTTAGGACAGACTTCTGTGAGAGGCAGCATCCGTACATGTGAAATGCATGTCTTTATGACAGTGGGAGTGACTGCGGCACCGGCAGTAAGTGTGTTGATGGTCATGGTTTTGGTCCGCAGCTCACGCGTCAGGCTGGCTTCATATTGTTACAGGAACAGTCAGAGCAGTGGTTATAGAACCAACATCAAGCAGAACAGGAATAGGGGAAGTAATAGTCAATCGTAGGGAGAGGCTGGCGCGGCAGCGATCATTTGTGACCAGCACTTCGCAGAGAATCAGGGCGCGAGACGGTTGGAGAGTTCGATGCGAGGAGGACAATAATGTATTGGAGTTTGTTCTCCACCATCCACCATCTCGCCATACGTCACTCCCCGGATCTCCAGCATCGGCAACATCAATCATCACAGGCTATTACTCTTCAAGTCTTCGAGACGATCAACATCCACTACCTACTCGTTGTTGTTAACATAGGCTTCTGATGTCCACTAAGCTAATCACCCTGATCATGGTCAGCTTCCACCTCGTCTGCCCGCCACGACAGCCCCCTGCCTCTTCTCCCTACTGTTCAGAACAAGCAGAGCCCAACACCGACGATCGAAGTCAGCAGTGCGAAGAACGAACAGGAGTTCCAAGTCTTCGCAGATAAGCCGGCATTGCTGGCTGAGGCAGTGCCATCATCGGTCCCGCTTCCAGAAGCACCATTCCCACCACTACCACCACTTCCACTTTGAGCTTGACTCTCGCTCTCTGTGACCTCTCCCTGCAATTTCGCCAGCCGAATTTCATTGGCTCCAAAGTCGAAGACCGTAAGCACGTTCTTGAGAAAGGGTGCGCCAATGATGTTTAACGTAATGTCGCCTTCCGTTCCTCCATTGAAGTCCGAACTCAAGATGTTGGAGACGCATTGTGCCTCACCACTGCTTGGTGGAGCAGTCTGGTAGATCAGATCACGTCCGTCGAGAAAGAACGTCTGGTTGCCGATCTCAAGGCCGAATTGAGGTGCGTTGGCGGCACAATCGACTGCCCACAAGCCAGTGGTGGCATCGAATACCGCGGGAGGTGAGAACAGGGAGTTTATGCTGGTGACCACTGTGTCAGGAAGGTAAGAGAAGAAATTGCCGCTGTCGATGAATGCTTGGAATGCGGTGGTGTTTTTGTGTGTGGAAGAGGTCGTGATGTTGTTAGGTTGAGGAGCAGTATGGGACGTGGTGCTTTTCCCAGGTCCGTAGACAATAGCCGAGACGGTCAGGGTCCAGTAGGCACGGACACGCTCGTTGGATGTGACTTGCACGGGGACGGAATTGTCAATTTCGACTGGGACACTGGTGAATTCGTCGCTGTGTGGGACGGGTGGAAGACCACCGAGAGACAAGTACCCGCCGAAACCAAGGGTGGCATTCTGGGGTGTTCGTGCTAAGGCCAGGCTGAAATATGGGTCTATTAGACCTTGTTGGTGCATGGTGAACAGCAGGGGATCGTAAGTGAGACGGTTGTAGAAGTAGGTCGTGTTGTCCGTGACATTGCCCGGATGACCCGATGTCAATGCCGGATACGCAAGGCCCAAGAGGCCGCAGTTGACGCCGTCACCCATAGGAGTCGAGCTGTTGGCCACCCCGATGATTGCATCCTTGACTGTGATGCCAGCGAGGGTGACCTCTTCCTGGGCTAAGACACCAGAGGCAATGCCGGCGCCATACTGAACCCCAAAGATCTCATTCGGAATTTGAGAATAGGTAGCGGACGGAGAATACGTCGCACTGCCGTACAAACAGGCAGTTTGCGGAAGCTCGGTACCATTGGCCTTATCGAAGCACTGATATCCCTTCTTCATTACATATGTGTCGCTGCTTCCAGTGTCGACTAGGAGAGGGAATGTTTCACCGCCGATGGTGACATTGACGTCGAAAATTGTGCCGAACGTCGTGGCCAACAGACCTGCGGTGGCATTGCTGGTCACCGCCGAGCTCCGACGATTGAGAACAAGATGCTGAGCAGAGCTAGAAGATAAAGCGAGAGCGAGAGGTTGGAATAACCCCAGGGTAAGAAAGAGTGCGGACGGGTTTCCCATGGTGAGTAGTATGACGAGCAAAACACGAGCTTTTCGAACGATTGCAACTGAAAAAGCATCCTCAGACTGACAAGTCCAAGCACTTACCGTAGGGTTCTTATACCTCGAGGGTCGATACAGCATAACTGTTGGTTCGTCACTTCCACAGGACCCTCGTTGACACGGTGACAGGGCACGTAAATTGCGAGCCATCTTCTGGTGAAACCCTGACAAAGCAAAGACCATTAATATATGGGTGGCCCTACATGGGCCTTTACCATCTGGTGGTATATAGACCATGGTCGTTGAATAGTGGCAGTAGCATCGTCGTGTCAAAGAGGTATGGTTCGAGCATTGTCTGAGGTTAGTTCAGAGACGAATCAGAAAGCGGATTCTCGCTTGTCCGTACGCTTCAACTTCGGGAATACTCGGGTATCTGATTGGCTGGGCACGCTGTATAGTGCCCCGCAAGGCTGAATGCAATCTGCAACGGCCCCCAAAAAGGAGGTTGAGGCTCTTTATTCTTCCACTTGGTCCTTTTGTTCTCTTTGCGCCAGGTAGAACTGCACGTACGAACCATCGGGCTTAGGTCTCCAGACTGCCCTCGAATTTCTAAATCTCGACTCTGCAGCAATGTCTGTTCTTATCCATCCTGCCTGCGCGTGCACTCATTGCTGCCATGGACAAGTTGTCGGCTAGGAAGCCGCGGAAGAGCGCACCAAAGTCTCGATCAGGGTGCTTCACATGCAAGTAAGTGGTATACCCTGTGGACAAGCAGACGCAATACTGATGACAGTTCTCTCAGAGCCCGCCATATTAGATGTGACCAGAAGAGGCCGGAGTGTGAGAACTGCACCTTGTCGAACAGAAAATGCCTGGGTTATCCCATTCCTCCACCCAACACTGCTTCAGGTGCACAGAGCTCACCTCACGACCCAAGCTCTATTGCCTCTTACCACATCCCCTTTAAAGTTCCTGGGAGCCAAGCCGACAGACAGCTCTTACACTATTACTGCTCTCAAGCAGCATGGAACCTCTCCAGCTACGCCGACCCGACCTTGTGGACCGAACTGATTCTCCAGCGATGTCAAGATCAACCTGTCATCCGCAATGGCCTTGTCGCCCTGAGCTTTCTGCACAAGAACTTTGTTTCTGGGTCGTTGACCGAGAGTCGAAAGGCCAAACCGAGTTTGAACGTGGAGACCATGACCATGGTCAGCAAATGCTACGGGCAATTGAAGAACTATCTCGCGCGGTCTGAGGCCTTGCCGGATGTCGCGTTGGTTTGCAGCGTGATATTCTACTCTCTGGAGTCACTCCTCGGTGATATTCGGCAGGCGATATCCCATCTCGACAGCGGGCTGCGGCTGCTGAAGCGAACCAAATCAGAAGCAAAATGGGCCACTGAGCCGTTGCTTGTGCACTTGACGCATCTCTTCGAACGTCTGGACGTTCAAGCAAGTTGCTATGACGATCTTCGCATTCCGGTGCTGGAGCTTGTGTCTCCCCAAGAGACTCGAGGAACATTGTCGGTCGTGCCAGATTCGTTTCGAAATCTCGGTCATGCTGAACGCGTGCTGGTGAAACTTCAAAATTGGACTCTACGTCAGTTGATCAGCCACGTTCAGCATAAAGGCAAATCGTCAGATGAATTTCCTCAGGACTTATGGCGCGAACGAGTGGTCCTTCGCGAGCAATATGAGAAATACCGACAGGCGCTCAGCATCCTCGATCACCACCCCGAGAACTCACCTTTGGGTATCCCGCAGACGGGCAGCCAAGAGGACCGGAGGAAACTTCGGCTACAACAGTTCTTACTCTTGCAGATAAGCTTCCACACCTTTTACAATCTTATCGAGGAGAACGTTCATGCCGCCGATATCGCCGGGTGCTCTATCAATGGCGAAGACACTCTCAGGACGGCTCTTTCCGAAGTCCTGGACCTCCTCTCACTGGCAAGCAAGTCAGCATCACACTCTGCCAGTGCATCATTCCCACTAGCCTCGCCCTCACAGCGCACCTATACGCTATCCACATTCCTCATCGGGACATTATACTTCCTGTGTCTCAAAACCACCAGCCAAGAAACATTAGCCACGTCTTACCAGCTGTTCTCCCACCCTCTGCTCAAGAACTCGCGCGATGGTCTCTGGGACTCCAGCATGGCGGAGATGGTGGTAAAGAATGTGATCAAGATCCGCGATCGGGACATCGGTGTGAGCGCGCCTGATATTGTCGTAGAAGAGACGTCAGGGGCAGCGGCGACGTCAACTTTCAACATTGAAGATTTCAGCTCGGGCGAGGAGACAGACTATCTCAACCTGGAATTCTCCTCGTTGATCACCAGTGAGTCGGATCTGATTGACGATGCAGCTGCATTCTTCGTTCCCGACGACTCTCTTCTGTTCCCAAGTGACAACGTCGCGCACGGCTTGTCTCTGTCAGCCTCAGGCACGAGTTCGCCATATCTGTCCGAAGATTCGTCCCTAAGTAGCAGCGGCGAGAGAACTCTACCATACGCGAACAGCCAGCCAGCCGAACACTTAAATCTGCATCCAGGGCACGGATATTCGCATGCTGGCCTCGTTGCTGACAGCCATCCCAGGCCTGAGAACCACCAAATACAATACACGGTAGGCGAGACACCGGCTTCAGGTTCTGGCCAGTACATGCAGACTCGGCGGGAGATTCTACCTGGGTCAGAAATCAATAGCAACAACTTCACACGGCAATCCACGGTGCCAACGGGTTTGTCGCCCCAAAGAGGAAGGTTAGAAGACTTCGCGCTAGGTATCGTGGATGCGGACGGTGGACTAGAGGAGGCTGCCAAGAGAGTTGCGGTGTTGTCTATATAAATCACTCGAGTTACTCGAGTTCGAAGAGGATAGAAGGGCCATTTCTCCTTTTGGCAAGGCCAGGACAGACGACATTTCTATCAAGGGATAGAAGAAAACCTCCCAAAAGCGGTGGCGCTGGCTGCAAACTGCGACGTGGAATTTCTCCACAACTTGCCTTGCACTATATAGCGAGCATAAGATTGTCAACTCTATCAAATCCTACATGGACTGGATCCCACTCAACACCTCACACTCAAGCATTCCAACCCGGCTCCAGTTCTCAGACTCGTTCAGCGGGATCCAACAGCACCCTCACAAGGCATAGTTCCATGATTTCGTTAGGAGGTCCAATGCTCTGTTGTAACCCATGTGGAATCGTCTCCTTCACGTGCACCGTCTCTCCTTGGGATATACAGCAACCCCGAGTGTCTCCAGCCTAGTATGTGTCCCCACATGCTCTTGGCTCTAGCCTGTTATAGGGCTTGTGTGCAGGACCCCCGTGTGGGGCCTACCCATACTTCAGCTTCCCTGCAGCTTCAATCACACAGCCAAACAAGGAAACCTCTTCTGCGGTCGAACGCAGACGGGCGGGTAGGATAGCCGTACTAGCTGCCTCCGCAAGGATCCCTCTCCCCGGGCACGTCGCTCTCCCAGGAGAGTGAAATACCGGGGAGAAGGGAGCGAGGGCCCAGCGCACAATATGACGGGCCGTGGTCTTGCCAGGAGCCATCATAGCCTGGAGGTACATAACAGCGTTCAGGTGGCACGTCTCATCGTGAAGATAGCCAGTGCCATTGGTTTTATCAAGACTCTTCTGCAGGCTACCGCAAACAGACCGAGGGGTCTGATGAGACTCATTATCGCGGCCACATTCACCAGCCTCTGAAATTTCCTTTCGATTTACAGACTCGCAGCCAACTGCCCTGCCGATGCTTCAGTATCATCTGTGGCTTTGGATTCTAGGTCACGCTCAGCATCCTTCGGTCGTCCACCTTCTGTCTCATATGGCCGGGTCCTCGGGATCTCGAATCCTCGACCGCGTAGCCGCTTCGGCCACACGCCACTCTTCCCAGGAGCCAGGATGCCGTTCGGATCTAGACTGTCCTTGAGCTGCTCGTTAAATTTCAGCGAGGCTCCGTTGTTCCAATTGTACACGCTCACAATCTGGTCCATGTAGCACAGGTGCGTCCTGTACTCGCCGTAGCCCTAAGGGATGAAGGTTTAGCCATGGCTCCGGACCTTTGACGTGTAGGACTGGTTTGAAAGGTCCGGTTGAGTGCTCGGAAGGGTGAAATGATTGATCGTTCCAGCTTACCTCGGCTGCCGCATCGTCGATCAAGAGTTCAATGCATCGATGTGCCCTTCTGCGGCAATCAGGGTCCGACTTGTCAAAGGTCAAGCACACTATGACGGAATCGTTGATCAGCATCTAACAGTCAAATGTCCGTGCGACGGAAGCACAAACGAACCGATATGATGAAGCTCGCGCCATCCCACGACAAAAGTGCCCAGGTAGTCGAACCCGAACTCGCCGAGCCTCCGTTTCACCATTTCATACTGCTTGTTGGCGTCGACACCAGTGGCGGGCGAGATGGGCGAAAATCCCAGCAGCGAACCGCGCTTGCAGGTCCAATCCAGCCATCCAAGCTCGTAGGTGTTGGGTATGCCCTTGAGCGTTTCCTCCCGCATGTGAAGAACGGTTTTCTGGGTGCCCTCTTTCAGAGGCTCCGGAAATTCATACTTTGCCTGCAAAGAAGGTGGTCAGGAAACTAGGACATCTCGTGGAGGAAAGCAAGAATAGCCACTGGTGCTCAGGTCTGCTATATGACAGCCATCAATTGGACCCACCCCAGGAATTTGCATGAATGTACTTTTCAGAACCTCCCACTGCAGATCACGCATGGGCTTCGGGCCGTACATGGCCCCGTAGATGTTCCATCGACCCACCCCGATCTTTTTGGCGATGGCGTCAATCTCACTGTCGCTCAGAACTTCTTTGGAGTCTGTATATTGAGATTTCTGAGCGTAGACAGCTGCATCGAGGAGCGTCGATCTGATCGTTGGCGCATTCTGGATGACCATGCCAATCCGCAGAACACGGATGGCTTCGACAATTGCCGGGAGATCAGTCTCATTCTGGAAAGAGAACAGGTAGGATTGGTAGCCCTGGGCAGCACGGTCAGCCAACACACGGATCAAACTTAGAGGAAGAAGAAGAGGCCTTACGCCAGGGTCAGGCATGAGCCAGAATCCCATCTTCGTGACAATGCCGTAGTTCGATTGAGTAAAGATTCCGTCAGGATAGGGACCGAAACCGTACTGGAAAGTCTGCCAGGTGTTGTTGTTTGGCAAGGCGCCCATCCCCGTGCGCATCACTTCGCCACTGGGCAGGACGACTTCCATCCCACAATGGAACGAGAAGTGGTCTCCATAAGGGGTGTACCCGGCGCCTCGATCGAGAGCGTTGCCCACGACCGAACCACCTCCCAGATCAGGGTTGTCGATCCAGAGGTGCTTGAATCCATTCTTCTGCAGATAATCATAGAGTGCGAAATATGACACGCCAGGCTCGAGAAGGCAAGTACAGTCTCGGTCACTGACTTGCAGCACTTTGTTCATGCGGGCACCCATGTCAAGAACAATGCTGCCACGAAGGCGTGGTGCCGAGCCTCCATACCCTGTCGTTGTTTAGTCCTGATTAGAAGACCTTCACAGCCGAGACAGATATTGTGCATATTTACCAAGATTTCTGCCCATGGAGACGGGCCACAGCGGTGTCAAATATTTGTTGGCTAGTTTTACAATGGCAGCAACGTCTTCTGTTGAACCTGGCCGGACCAACGCACTGGCGAGGAAAACGTCTTTCTCCAAAATGTAAAACAGATCATGTTCTTTTGGAAGGTTGTAGTAGTGTCCGTCCTCATCGGGCTTCATGGTTTCCCTGGTGCAGACGTGCACGTTCTCCGGCCCGACGACGAGGCTGATGCTTTTGAGAGCCTCTCTCAGAACAGTTGAGGAGACATCTGGTGGAGTTATCAGATCCTCGTCCTTGAGTGAGTCGAGGAGAGAAATGGAAGTCATGGCTGGGCATTCAACCGATTGCCCGTGTAAAAAGCAGAGCCAAGAGTCTGTAGGGGGAGGGGTGGTTCAACCGAGCACAAGATATTGTTTATCAAGTACCCGGACGAGATGCATAGAACCCTCACTCTGTGACATACTGGCATATATATGCCTCGAAGACATTCGAAAGTACTGTGAGCTGAGTGGGACGTGTATTCCCAATCCCCACGGGAAACCCCAGTCGTTGCCATCATTGGTCAGCCTCGCGTTGGGGCTACTGAGGCGTCGCCCCACATGGACCTCTTCAGCAGCAAGTTGTGAGGATGCCTTCCATACTCAACGCTGAATCTGGATCTCTCCGGAACCCAGTCGTGTATTCAAACTTAAAAGAGAGAGACTGAGCCACGGTGAAGTGTGGTTGTATGACGACTGAACTCTGCTTGGCGAGAACAGAGACGTCCTTGCTAGCCCAACAAGCCCTCGGCATTATTTTCAGTGGCAACCGGATTTCTAGGCCCAACAATTATCGAGAGAAGTACCTGCTAAAGAAGGCTGGACTTCCCACAGCGAGCTACGCGCCTCAGAGCTGCTCCTGGGCCTCGAGGGCGGAACAGCTTGGTCCATTTCTTTCCAAGGCGTCGAAACTCATTGGTAGGAAAAGACGTTTCAACCGTAATGAGAGGAGGACGGGAGGCACTCACGGCTGGACTCCCAACTGGTCGGCTCTCGCACACGGCAATTGACAAAGCTTTTGGCCTGGGTTCAAAGAGCTTTTTAAGACCGCATTGATTCCGACTTTGCGAAAAGTCTGGGGAACCCCGTGGAGACAGCTTTGCGGAGTTCCCGTCGAATATTCCGAAAATGACAATTCCGATAACTTCGAGCGACGTTCATAGGACCATTAAAGGGCACGGATGGCGATATGCCCGGGGTATTCAGAGTCGTATGATCAATCTGTGAGATTCCTCTTGCCAACCTCGCTTCCGTGTTCCTCTTGCTTTGAAGTTCGACATCCTCCTCATCGCCATCTCGTCACCAGTACCAATTGTCCACATTCGGCAGCATGACCAAGGAAATGTTATCTGCTACGGCAGAACACCAGACTGCTGTGGTGGCCCGGGAGAAGCTGTATCTATACAACTATCTCATCGTCGCCATCATTGCCATCGGCGCGACCGCCTCCGGCATGATGACGGGTGTCATGAGCACCGCCTTGGGCCAGCCCACGTTCCTCGAATATTTCCACTTCAACACGGCTTCTTCTCAAGATACAGCGCTTATTGGCGCGATCAATGGCGTATATTTCGGGGGCGCCTTCTTTGGATCCTTCAATGCCAGCTACATTGCGGATCGCTGGGGCCGGAAATTGGCCCTCTTGGTTACAGCTTTCGTGGCGACTGTGTGTTCCGGTCTCATTGCAGGGAGCGTGCACATTGCAATGCTGCTTGTGTTTCGGTAGGTGCTACCTCAGTCCATTGGAATTCTCCACCGAATTGACCGAGCCCAGAACGATAGCTGGTTGGACCTCCGGGGCATATATCACCATTTGCTGCCTCAGCCTGTCGGAGCTGGCACCTCCGCACCATAGAGGCCTGATGGTAGCCTTGGTCGGAATCCTCAACTGCCTTGGCTATGTCATTTCGAATTGGCTCGGCCTTGCCTTCTACTTCGTTCCGGCCGGCGGAGTGCAGTGGCGAATCCCTTTCGCGCTGTGTTGCGTCCCATCGCTGGTCGTCTTCTGTTTCGTTTACTTCGTCCCGGAGTCACCGCGATGGCTGGTGATGAAGGGTCGACACTCAGAAGCGGGGGACGTTCTCAACAAGCTTCATTGCAGGGCAGGCGATGAGAGCTCGCATGACTTCGTGCGGCTTGAGATGCAGCAGATCACACGCCAAATAGAGTTCGAACGCAATAACGAAGTCTCCTTGTGGCAGATGCTTACAGCGAAGCAATACCGGTCCAGACTGGCTCTCTGTATCATCACTATGCTCATGGCTCAAGTAAGGAGTGCATTTGGCGAGGGATCTCTCTGGTTGTACGCTAACCTCTTTCCAGTCTGCAGGTAACGTGGTAATCGTGGTCTATGGTCCTGTCATCTATGAGTCGATCGGATTCGGACCAGTCGCCCAGCTTTGCCTGACATCAGGGTACGCAACATCGGGAATGGTGGACAATTTTATAGGATCATTTTTCATCGACAAGGTCGGTCGTGTGAAGATGATGGTGGTGGGTATCACTGCTCAACTCGTCTTGCTCGCGATTGCCACGGGTTTAATTGCCACATACGCCGGGACGACCAATTTACCGGCTCAGCGTGCTATCGTTGCCATCTTTTGGCTCTTCATGTTGTCTTACGGTGCATTCGTCGAGGGGGCTTCATTCACCTACATTAGCGAGATCTGGCCAGCTCATCTTCGTGCGAGGGGATCTGCGATCGGAATTGCCACGCTGTATCTCATCGACATGGTCTACGTCGAGTAAGTATAACCCGGCTGCTTCATGTAAATGGGAACTGATACTAAGCTACCATTATCTAGGGCTTCGATCTACGCTTTTTCAACCATCGGCTGGAAATTCTATCTTACTTTCTTAGCCTGTGGAACGGTCTTCCTCATCATTTTCATCTTTCTGGCAAAGGAGACGAAGGGGAAGCCTCTGGAAGAGATAGGAAAACTGTTCGGCGACGACCTCATCGTCGAGACTCAGGACGAAATGATCAAGAGCGAGAAGGAGGTCTATGAGAGCGAAAATTTGTAGGCGTGTGTCCTTCCCATGGCCAAATCGAGCATGAGAGCAGCACAACAAAAGGTTCAGGTTGTCGCGATACTATAGGAGCTGTAGGCTAACGCGTTAAGTCCGCCTCAGCAACAAGCATTCCCACTGATATGCTCTGCGTCAATTATCTGGTAGATAGAGATATGTGTGGACAGGAAAGCCCATATAAATCGAGAAAGACCCTCTGCTCTATACTTACCTAACAATCACAAGTATTCCAACTGATAGTTAATATGAGGCAGACCGGCCACCATCCACCGTAAGAGAAGAGGCCGTGATGTGGCTCGCCATGGAACTGGCAAGGAAGATGCATGTATCAGCCACTTCTTCCGGCTGCGCCAACCGGCTCATGGGAGTGTTGTACATGTCCGCCGGTTTCCACGTACCAGTGGAATTGTTCCCGTCAAGAAGAGATGTGTCCGGAGATCCGTCCATCTGTCGTTCCAGCAGCTGTTGTCTTCTCCTGGCAATCATGGGAGTCTCCACGAGCCCAGGACAGATCGCATTGATGCGAATTTTGTCGGCTGCATGATCGATGGCTGCGGCTTTTGTGATGCCAATCACGGCATGTTTAGAGGCGACGTAGGGAAGCATTTCCGAAATGACAGAGAACGAACACGTCGACCCGATGTTGACGATGCTCCCTCGCTGGGCACGCACCGGGCTGTGCGTGTCGACCGTGACAATGGGTTCCTGCCCCGACATGGCTCGGATTTCGGCCTGAGTACAAAGGAGAAGGCCTCGTGTGTTGACGGCTTGGATGTCGTCGTATTCCTCTGTTGGATACTTGCTGGCAGAGACACGGGCCTTGACGGATATCTTCAGACCAACGACCGTTAGCAAGATGGCTCGAGCCGCGTATAGAGGACATATATGCATGAAATTCCGGCCTTCACAGACACTCACTTACCCCTGCAACATTGAATGCTGGTCGAAACGTGGGTTAGCTTCAGAGCGAACAAAGTTCACAAGATCTAGTCCCATATTTGAAGGGAGAGAGGTCCTTCTTACCGTAGTCGAGCCTGCCGAAAGCCTCTGCTGTCTCTCTTACCATCGCAGCCACCGAGTCCGGGTTCGTAACATCGACCAACAGGGGAAGCACCTTGACGTTTGCGTCAATGGCCAAAATGGTACGTTTCACATCCTGAATTCCATCTGAATTGACATCTGCAATCACAACCGCTCGGCATCCGCTGTTGGCACAGGCCAGAGCGACAGCCCGGCCTATCCCAGAACCTGGGCTAGTCAGTTCGTGGTGTTGATTCGACCTGAGTCGCGAAAGATTGTGCCATACCACCGCCGATCACGAGCGCAACGCCATTCAAAAGCTGCATCTTTGAGAGAGTGTTACCTGATGCTTCTGCAATTGCACGTGAAGGGCAAGTACCAGCGTGTATAGAGAGAAGTGATCGGAACTTTGATATCATTTCACGGCTCGAGTTGGACTGATACAGTACTATGCTGATAGCCTGCATGCACGGCAGATGATTGCATGTTCCTGATGGAATGTTTCCGGGAGCCTCGGCTCAGACCTGTGAGATGTGATCGTCCTAGCATCTATAATAGATATAGCCTTTGGGGATTCTAACGTTGGCGTAGACTCAATTGAATTGCCGGATAGAGTTTGATACTAGCTACTGCATTTACCGTTTTTATGCTACATACATGGTGACTGTATCCTCGGTGCTGTCAACCTAATAATGTTGGCGGTTACACTTTATGTACCAACGATTCCTTCCTCCGTCAAATGCTCCGCGGTGCTTTCTCCCAGCTCTTCTCGCCGCGTTCGGCCATATCCCAAATATGCAAACCGGTTGCGCCGCACGTAACGCAAATTGTAGTCCTCAAACCGGGGCGTCGCTAGTGCCTCGTTGAAGTGCCAGGACGAGCCAGGCCACGGCCCTATGACCGGGCCGTCCAATTTTCCATTCTTGTACCTGTAAGGCAAAACACGAAGTGTGTGGTCAGATGAAGTTGTCGAGATCTCGGAAACGTGTCATTCGGGACTCACCAGCTCCGACACTCGCCACTCCAGACGAACGCCTTCATGGCCTCGTTCCGGTGCTCTATGAAGTCTTGCATGGCTTCTTCCTTAACTTCCAATGAGGCGACGTCCTCGGTCTGCATCTTTTCAACACAGCTGTAAGCGTAGTCGATCTCGACCTCGAGCCCAGAGATCAATGAGCCATTTGCAATCGGGCTATTGGGACCTCCGATAACTGCGCATGATTAGACGGATTTGAGGGGACGAGCATTATTGACAGCTGTTGACCTACTAAAATAGTTGGGAAATCCGGGGACTGCAATTGACAGGTAATGTAGAGGCTCTTCTCCCCAGTATTCTGCGAGATTCCGACCGTCCAGCCCGATGACTGGAAATGCCGGTCTGAAAGAGGTGTCGAAACCAGTGGCACAGATGAGGGCGTCAACGGCATAATGATTTCCATCCTTGGTGACGAGCCCCTTGGAATCAATGTGATCGATTTCGTTCATGATCACCTGGGAATTATCTGCCACGAGAGCTTCTAGATATCCGCTGCCAGGTGTATATCTTGTTTTCATAGTTAGTCGAGCGACGATATATATGCTTAGCCTGCGAATCTTAGCACATACCTACGACATCCCACCGGAAATTTTGGAATGAATTGGGCGGCCAGCGCTTCGTCGTCTTTTAGTCGTTTCTTCATCATCGCGGAGAAATTCTTGACCGCCTCCAGCTGGCGGGGTGATCCTTTGTAGAAGGTCCCAAAATTCGAACTCCCCGTGTTCTGGACCAGTTTGCGATATTGGAGAAAGTACTTTTTGTCAGTTTTAAACCGCTCGATTTCCTCCGCAGCGAATTTCGTGTCCCGGCCTTCCGTAGCCAGGGACTGGCTAAACTCGGGTGTTATCCAGGTCGGGGAGCGAATGAAATTGATCATCTTGCGGGCCTCTTCGAGAGGAGGAAGAGTTAGCCTAGATAGATACGTTGGGATCTCGAGAGCCAGACATACTGGGAGTAAGATTCGGCACTATTTGAATAGCAGAAGAGCCGGCACCGATGACTGCCACAGTTTTGTCTGTGAAATCATACGAATCATCCCACCGGGCTGAATGGAGCAGTTTGCCTTTGAAATTGTTGAGGCCGTCTATCGCAGGCCACTTCCAGTTGCTAAGAACAAATGATTAGCCAATACCTCTAGCTCAGTGCTCGATCGCGAAATACTTCAGAACTCCAGTGGCACTGAGCAGAACCTCACAGCGATCGTGAATTATAGCCCCGGTTGCGAGAACCTCTACAGTCACCTCCCACACGGAATCGGTGGATGACCACTCGACTCGAATGACCCGGTGTCCTAGTTTGATGTACTTCATGCAGTCCCATTTGACGGCACATCCTTTGAAATAAGCGTGGATTTCGGGGGCTTCCACGTAGCTAAGGACGAAGTTAGAGAATAATCGATCATCTCGACAAATATATGGGTTGTGGCAAAGGACAAACAATCGTGACCACTCGGGATTTCCCTCCCAAGAATACGTGTACCCATGTGCAGGAATGTCGCACGCACATCCGGGATATCGATTCTCCAGCCACGTACCGCCGACGTCGTGGTTCTTTTCGTAGATGCTGAACGAGACATCGCTGAGCCGTCGCTGGTACTTGTATGCGGCCGCGATCCCTGCGATGCCAGCGCCGATGCAGATCATGCGCAGCGGGCGTTTCTTGTGAATATGATCTTGCGAGACGACGTATTGCTCTTTGATGCCACTTTGCGGCTTGAGGTTTCTTCCTTCTATATCATCCTTTTGGTCCACTGCTAGATTCAATGCATTAGAATCTGCGGTAGGGTCACCCATGTTGAATTCTAAGACCTGCCCCTCGTTCAGACGGGAGATAGATTCAATGATTGGCAAGCATCAGCCCAGAGACAAGTCGATACGTGATATCGAGTTCTTGGAGATGCCGAATAGCAAAGAAAACGCCTCCTCTCAACCCTGGCTTTTTCAATCAGGCTCTGCCACATAGTACACCTGCTTAAACTATATTGCCATATTATCTCGCGACTGGACCTCCAGAGCCCGGTTCTATCTGCCGAGAGGCACGCCTGGAGCACAAGGGGATGCTGTCGCTGTGCACATTGTCCATGGTCTTCCAGTGCTCGAGCATCTGCTACGCGAAATATGTTCCTGATCAGCTCCAGGACCGAGGCCCGGAAAGAAGAGCCAATCAGTCGCGGCCGGTCGTTCCGAAAGAAGGATTCCGAAAGGCTTCTTGTTTTGTTTCCGTGACCACCGCTATTGCTCTCAGACACCCATTCCCTTTACCTACCACATAACATGCCAGTTACAGTCATACACAGCGGATGCTTAGAATAGGATTTTGCTCTTGCATGTTCAGCCTTGGTCCGTACCCCATCTCACACCATCCACTCTTCCATCTCGCCCATCTCCCTGTAAAGTAAAAAGAGAACAGTCATAGATATGGGCCAAAGAAGCATAGCGGATCAGCCCAGAAGGTACGATAGTTTGGAGACGAATGTGCAAAGAAACGAACTCTAGACGCAGAAAATCTGTTTTATTTCCTCTCCAGCGAGAATCCTACAACAGTTCTACACTTGGACTTATCCTGTCCGCAGTCTCCTTCGTCCAAGCACCTTCTGACCAAAACGCTCTGGGTGCCGAGTTGAGCTACATATCCCGGGGCTGGAGGTGGCCTCGATAGATTATTCAGTCTTATCCCTGCCGTGTACTCACTTCTCCCCAACAGCAGCCCGCGATTTAATAAGCAACGGAAGCGGGCCCATAACCAATGACTGGAAACTCTTGATGCTGCTGTCGAATGCCTCGACGTCAAAGTCGTCGGGCATGATGATATCAAAGTTGTGGACAAGCGCGGCAACGAGGAGCCGTAGCTCACCCAACGCAAGTTGCTTCCCAGCACAGGCATAGGCTCCCGTTTGGAAGGGGATCCACGCCTGTGGGTTGTGCTTCCAGTTCGGATCGCGCTGGGTGTCGTCCCATCGCTCTGGAACGAATTCGAGTGGGTTGGTGAAATTCTCCGGACTTCGTTGGACCGTCAAGACGTGCGTGCCCACCTACAAGATTCACGTCAATGTCTGATCTCTAAATTGGCAACGAACTCCGCAATGTATCCAACTTGCCTGTGTCTTGGGAGGAATCATCAGCCCATCAACTTCGTGCCAAACATGGTCTAGAGTACGACGTTGTGGGTTGTTGGGGCCTGGAGGCCAGATGCGGAGCGCCTCGTAGATAACCCCATTCAGATAGGGGCACTTGTCGGGTGCTTTGAGTTGTTAGTATCCACAGAATGGGTTGTGCTTGGACAGTCTGCTACCTAGCAAATCCGAGGAGATAGATTTTCCTTTCAGGGCGTTATCGATTTCGTCCCGGAGTCTCGAATAGACCAGTTTGTCCTTGGTAATGAAATAAAAGATGAATCTGCATGGACGGTTAGCGGATCGAAGTATGAATACAGACTGCCAACATACGTAGAAGTAATCGAGCTCGTGTCGCTTCCAGCGATGATCAAAATCGGAGCATCTGCCTCGACATCTGCTTCTCTCGTTTTTCTGGGTGCAATGAGTCAGTTCTGAAGAGATATCACTTCTTGATTGAAAAACTAACACCCCGTCCTTGTCACCAGCCAATATATGCGTGAAGATGTCATTTGGTTCTGTGCCCTTCGCCAGTCTCTCCTTATATGACTGCTTGGACAGTGCCCTGAATCTTCCAGCATTCTCCTTGAATTCCTTGTTCATGGGAAGGAGATAGGCGACAGGAGACATCCACGGGACATTTGAGATGATATTTCGAAGTCGGAGGCCACTTCTAACAGCCTTGGAATAGTAGCGGGGGCCATCTGCACCAATGTCAATGTCTGAAATCGAAGGTTGCTGGGGCAGGTGGTCAAAGAGGTACCATCATTAAGGAGTCCGAACGATTTGCTGAAAGCCAAGTCACCCATCACGTCGAATGTGACATAGTCGAGCCAGCATCCAAGGTCTACGACTTGTCCTGTCCCCCTGTTAGATAGTTCAGGGACGGAATTGGCTCTATCACCAACCATCGAGCTCTCTCAATCGTGCGCAGAGAACATCCAGCAGCGCTATCACACGGGGTTCATAAGACCTGAGCTGATTTTGAGTGAATCCATGGTCCCACATGCGCCGGCGAACTTTGTGGTCGTGCCAATCGCGAGTATTGGGCATGGCAGTCCCCCGAGAGCCATAGACGGATCCGTCATGATATGGTCCCCTCGGAAGCTTGGAGCCTTGAGGCCCGTGTAAGAATTTGATGGCCTTTGCATCTGCAAAGGAAAGCTCATTGGGCCCGATCCGGACAACATCACCGTACTGTCAGAGATATTCATTGGTGAGTGGTGTCAAGATATCGATATAAGAGGTGGAACATCAGTACCTTCTCATGAAGTGCTGGAATAATCTCGTGAAGCTTGCCAGTCGAGGCCCAATAAGCACCAGTCCACTTCGTGAGTTTCGCAGACCATGGCCCCGGGAATCGCCTCAGCGGATGGAAGAAGAGGCGATATAGCGCAATACTGAGCCTGGAACAAGCTGTTATTAACAACAAACGGATGGATTTCGATGTTGAGCCTACCCCAATGCGGCAAGCTCAATCAATGGAAAAGTAATCACGGCAAACATGGTTGACCTGGAGTTTTGAGAACCCAGGAAAGCAAGACCGGTAAAAATAGCTACCGTGGCCAGGAAGTCACGGATGAAACTCCTGTTTCATTGTAAGCCAAAGGTACTATAAAACCCTGGGAAGGAGGCGGTCTTGGAAGGCAATAGTCTGCCCTACCGAATAGTTGGCTCATGTCGATTGTAGACCACATGTCCAACCTGGACTCCCGTTAGGCGACAAACCACGAGTTCTAGTCAAGACACTGACCAAACCAGTTCCTATGGCGGCAACGACGGACGCTGTGGGAGAGATGGGCACAGCGCCCAAGTAGGTGGACATTGCGCTGATAGATCTGGGATATAAGTGTTGCCGAATACAATGAAACCTAGACTAGACTGTGAGTCGAGTGGATGGAGGACGAGAAGTTGGTGGTATGATAACTTTATCCCATCGCATTTGGGTCAATGACTCCTTTGACGTGGAATCGATCCAAGTATACTGCTGGTATCATACTCTTCTTAGAGGCGTGGCTCAAAAGCCCTGGCACCTCGGCAGTGTTGTCCCACAGAAGGATTCCGATTGTCCGATGTAGAAACAATCCTTTCCGGGCTCAAAAAACAAATCGAGCCTAGGATGACCACCAGGAATTACCTCCCCGAGTCAATTCAGAGTCGGTCTCATCCGAAATCTCTTCAGTTGCGTGGCCTGTAGCCCGTGATCCCCATCAAGCTTGGTTGAAGCATTCGTTGAGCCTCATCTAGCCCATCCTTCACAAATGAAGTGGATGAGGTCAGACGCACGACAATCTTTCCCTTGAACAACTCTCAGAATCTGCTCTTGGCATCCCTTCCAAGACCTAGAACGGTAGTTGTTGACTGCCACTTTCGCCAAAGATGAGATCTCGAGTCGCCTTAGTTACTGGTGGTGGTGAGCGCCCCCAGATAGAGAGTGTTTGGAAAGTCGACTCTTGCCCTCGCGGTCGCTCACTATGATTACTCCTCGCAGCGTCCGGAATGGGCTTGGCGGTCGTCGAGAGCCTTGTCGAGCAAGATTGGAAGGTTACCATTGCGGACAAGGATCGCAGTGCTGGCGAACAGGTCGCCAAGCGATTGGGTGATCAGGTCATGTTCTTTGAAACAAATGTCACCAGCTATGAAGAACAAGCCCAGGCCTTTACAGCAACCTGGAAGCAGTGGAATAGTCTTGATCTCGGTACGTGGTATACTTACCCAAAAGAGGGTTTCGCTGATCTATCGCCTAGTGTTTGCCAACGCTGTATGATTCTTATGTCTCAGGAGCTCCTCTGCTGGTGGAACTTTGGCTAAGATTTGACACAACCAGGGCATCTCTGACCGAACCGATATCATAGAGCCGGCAGAGGAGCAGGACAATGGTGCTCCTCCAAAGCCTGATACATTGGTCATGGACGTCTGCCTCCTGGGAGTGGTGTACACCAGCTATCTCGCCCTCCACTTCTTCCGTAAAAACAAGTCTAAGGACGGGAGCCTCGTGATGACGAGCAGTATCGCTGGCATCTACGCAGCTCCCGGTGTCACCGTCTATGGAGCATCGAAACATGGGGTGAGATGCCTGAGTCTGGGTAGAGGTCTGAGCTGATGAAGACGGAAACAGGTCATCGGACTGACCAAGTCACTGGCATACAGACTGCAGAAGCGCGGCGAGCGCATCACGGTGAATGCTATTTGCCCAGCTCTCGTCGCCACCGGACTGGTGAACCCAGACCTGGTCAAGAGAATACCAGAAAAGTACATCACCCCGACCGCGACGATCGTCAAGGCTGTGCTTGGATTCGTTGAAGACCGCGGGGTGACTGGCGAAGTGGCCGAATGTAGTGGACAGGAAATTTTCTACCGACCAGGGATGCCCTTCAGCAATGAAGGGTCCAAGTGGTTGATGACGGGTGGACTGAAGTCTTTGCTGGCACCGGGAGAGGAGCAGGCTGTCAGGAAGTAGTAGATAGAGGTCATTCCGAGCTGGACAGGTGCTAGCAATCACCACAAAAGAGCTGCTTTCGTTGCAGTGACAATTGACGAGACCCCCTCTCCATCCTGACTACATTTTATTACTGCTAATAATGTTGTATATTTCTAGAGACGGACAAGGCTGTCCATATGATGTTGGGAAATGCTGAACTTGTCGGGTGAAAGTGTGAAACCAACGGATATAGGTAGAGCCTCCACTCGATGCTTACATAGAACCTAAAGTTCCAACAATATTAGGTCTGGATACCAGTCACGAACCTCTCAACGCATGATAAAGCCCGATATCAGCATCCGTATATAGAACCATCCAGCCGAGGGTCTCCCGATGCTGACCCCGCAATCCCCAGGTTTCCTTATGTACTCCCTAAGAACTCCCTAATCCACTTCTCGCCTCCTCTATATGTCCCCTAAGCATCTTCTCTCCTTCTTTGGCACACAAGAAAACAGACGACCAACAATGTCAGACTTGCAAACCTCTCAAATGCCACATTCGGGTAACAAACGCCGGCCATATGCGTCCAGAGCCTGGTAAGTGGAACTTCAACGAAGGTTGATGTATATTTTGATAGGGGCCGGACTCGTCTAACTCTCGATCACTTGTACCAGTGTTGAATGTCAAAGACGCAAGACTAGGGCACATTTCCCTGCACCCGATTTCTTCCAGGGATCTCGCCATCGCTAACGGGGCGACAAGTGTACCGAAGAACGACCCTGTCCGAGCTGTCGCGTCCGCGACGTCGAGTGCAAGTCGGCAGAAATCGACTCAGACCACGCCGCATCTGCCGCAAAGCGTCCGAGGTTGAAACCCAGGCCCACCACGTAAGCCACTCTCACATCATCGTCGTCATCATTCATCTGGACAGAGCATGGCTTTGACCTTGTTCGGCTAGGGATCTTCTTGTGGCACGACAGGCCCCTTTCACAGGGAGCCAACAGAAGAAGACGCCTCAGCCTCAGAATGACGACAATGAGGTGCTGAGAGAGGAGATACGGAGGCTTCGCCGCGATGTCGACCTCCTCTCTAAAGCCAATGATGTAGGTCAAGATACCAGCCTGCATGTCGTGCAGTGCTCTGAGAAGTTCAGGAAAACGAGCCACTACGACGCCGTCGGGCCAGCTCCGCGATGAATGATATTCAACGACATTCCGACTATCTCTACCCATTGGACGGCCAAGCGACGTTGCATTTCGAGGAGGACAAACTCTCAGTATGCTCGCCTTGCACAGACACGTTCAATCCTTCAAACCTGTGGGCAGGTCCGGATGCCATCCCGAACAAGATCAGCGCAATACTAGGCACCACCCTTCCAGACTCCCTCGTGAGCGAATCGATCCTCCTGAACGGCGGTAAGAAGTTTTCACTTACACTGCCCTCACCGGCCCATCTACGACATCAAATCGATCTGTACCTCCGCGAATTCAACGACTGGACTCCTTGCTTTCGCCCCTCGAAACTCAAGAAACGACTCGCCATCGCCCTGCATTCCGTTTCCTACAGCGAGCGTCGAGGGACCATTCACATCCCCACGCAGCACTGTACCGCTTTTGCGATCCTGTGCAATATCCTCTCCCAGGCCGAGACTGTCACCTCAAGCAATAGCTCTCTGGACTCTAATACCGGCCAGTACTGGTTTCTCCAGGGCAAACAGCTCATGGAAACCTTTGAGGACATCGTTGGAGACTCAGTTGAGCTTGTCGTATACCACGTGCTAGCTGCCGGAAGCATGATGGAGGCCGAAAGGCTCCGCACGGCGGCCACACACACCCTTCGAGCCCTACAAGCGGCGTTAAGCATCGGACTCAACGACAAGAACCGCTGGGACCACGATCCGGACGACATCGTGTCGAAAAGGTGCCTGTGGTGGGTCCTATATTTCCTGGAGAAGCGAGTCCATTACCGGTGCGGCGCGCCCTACCTCCTGCGACCCGCAGACGTCAACGTGGAGGAGACGCTTCGGATGTATGGTGAGTCCGAAATCGACGACGGAAAGCTCGAATATATCGAAGGCATGGTCAGCTATACGAAACTGTGGACGTCCATCTGGTCCGACTTCTTGGCTCCCAATGCTCGGTTTGCCGGCAAATGGGCCGAAGTGCAGGTCGCCGACGCCCGGGTGATGATCGGGTATCGAGAACTGGCGCCTGGTCTGCTCTGGGAAACCGACAAAGTCCAAGAATGGATTGGCAATGGAACAACTGAATCCGACATGCGTCATAAACTACAAGCGTTCTTGGTGAGTGCAGCCCTGATCCGCACTGTCACGGCGTTTGAGCTGGGATACTGATGGAGAATGTGACAGTGGCACCAATCTTTGCGCCTAATCATCCGGCAAACGCGCGTCTCGTCGGCCCAAGGGGACATCGAGCGGCAACGCTCGTGCGTCAGCATCTGCAAGGACATTGTGGGCGCGATCGCGAGCTACATGAAGCATTTCCTCTGCATGCGGCCTATCGGGTACTACCTGACGTGCTCGCTGGTCGACTGCGTCTTCGCCCTCAAGCGGGAGCACATTGACCAGTCCCCGTGGCTGGACCAGACCGGGCTGCAGAAGGTGTTCGTTGAGATCGGGCGCTTGCTCGAGACGCTGGCGATGACGGTGGGGTCGGCACAGCGAGCCCTCGCCGCGCTGCGTTGCGTCCTCGTCATCCCTAGCAGTAATGTTGATGTGGAGGATGACGGTGCCGGACTGGAGGGATCCGATGGCATTCGGACAAGCTTTCTCGAAGAGCCCGACCGCAACAACGGGGCGCTTCATGACGACCCCGCCGTCTTCGTGGACAGAGATCGCGATTTCCTCGACGAGTATGCCAATCCCAACATTGCGGAGACGCTGAATTTTCTGGGTCTCATTCCGATGTGATAATCATGGCAGCCAAAGTTGTGCACAAAGGCTGGATACTTTGAGACGGAAGTATTTTCCGAAGGCATGCGCCAGCTTCTATTTTACTTGATCCGGCATGGAGACTCCTTGAAACAGGGAGCGGCGACAGGATCCGTGCTTTTGATAAGTACTTGGAAGATTGAATTGGAGCCTTGATCATTTTCTGTTCGAGGTTACAAGGATTTCACTACGTGAACGCAACAATATAACCCAACAACGCAGTATCCGGAACTCGTGACCAAATCAAGCACGATTTCACACCATCTGAGATGCATAACTGACTTGGTCGCCCGTTGTGACACAGGTGACACATCCTCTCCTACCCATTCTTAGACAATGTCCCAGGGCGTATCGGCGTTCCTGATAAACGGGGTCAATCTCTCCACGGTACCCGCGACGTCAGCCTCGGTGAGACCGTTGCCCAGAAATGCCCAGCAGTCGTCGGGGTTCTTGTATGTGATGTCGTAGTGCTCGAACAGCGGGGTGCGCAGCGTCTTGAGCAGGTGCAGGAGCGACCCGCCCCAGATGTATACGCGGCCCTCGGGTTTGTTTTTCTTGTACCAGCTGTGATGACGAAGAGTGTGTCTGAGGTTAGCACCGGGAAGGCACCGAGGGAATGAAAGATGGAAGAGGTGATTGTGGAATAATGCTCTGAGCTCATCACTCACCTTCGACATTTCTCGGCCCAGACCGAGTATTTCGCGTGCCAGGCGTCCATGTGGTTGTTGAAGTCCGTCGTCGGGCGCTGCTTGACTTCCATGCTCCGGATTTTCTGTCGCTGCATCTTGTCGATGCATTGGATCGCGTACTCTATCTGGACTTCGTGCTGTACAGAGCAGACACCCAAACTGTCAGCTATCTCGTGACCCATAGATTGATTGACTGGTTGCGTAGGCTCAAGAACGAACCGAAGGTGCTTCGAAATCGGTCGGTCACTTACTGATGGAAGCGCACAGCCTTGGCCCCAGTTCCCCCTCGGACCGTTAATCACCCAATAATTTGGGAATCCCGGGCCCGTGATGGAGCAGTAGATGTTTGATTCCTTTATCCGGGGTCAGTGCAGGTACCGAAGACCACTTTGGTGGGGATATGATGAGATGAAAGTGAGTGAGTGGCATCTACTGACCTCAGCCCAGTGTTCCTGCATGACGAGACCGTTGGTACCGATGATCTTGCTACGAGGTACTTGTCAGATTACATACCACGACGATGCCACTCTGCGAGGACGTACAAGTGCGGCACATAAGCGGTCTCGAAGCCGGTTCCACACGCGATGATGTCTACCTCGATTTCTTGTCCGCTGGCGGTCAATAGACCCTTCGGTGTGATCTGGACAATTTCTTCATGAACCGTGGAGACGTCTAGAGAGGTATAGATACGTTAGCGGGAAACCATGTCGACAAGACAGAGGGGACATCGTAGTCTTACGTGGCTGAGCAAGAGCCTCGAGATACCCTTCCCCCGGCTGTGGGTGCACTATGTCAGTAGCTAGCTCTGCTTTTCCTCTCCCCGATGACTTACGGTCATCCTCCGACAGCCAGGAGACCACTCGGGAATCACTTTTTCAAGCAGGTCTTCCTGACCGGGACCCAGCTTCTTCAGCATATCGGCCCGGAAGATCTTCTTGGCTGCTTCATTGTCGGGTGTCCCGCGCAAAAAGACCGAGAATTTTTTGCCCATTTTAGACTCGAGTTCTTTGCGGTAGGCGAGGTGGAAGTCCTCGTCGTCCCGGAACGATCGTTTCTCGTCCTCAGTGTAGTAGTGCCGGCCGATGATGGCGTTTCGGCTGGATGTCTCCAGCTTCTGCGTGTCGGTCGGGATCTGGGGCGAGATCCAGAACCGGTTCCGCATGAACACCGTCAAAGACTTTGCTCCTGTGAGGGCATCAGCAGCACGTTTCGAAGAGTGAAAGACAAAGACAGACCCTTTGCGAGGCTCGGGACCATTTGGATAGAGCTGGAGCCTGTCCCAATGACGGCTACTCTCTTATCTGCCGTGTCAATCGTCTCATCCCAGGCGGCTGAGTGTGCTAGCTTTCCGCCGAAGCTGTGTAGGCCCTCGATGGCGGGCCCTGTCCTCTAATATCAGCATGTCTGACTGGAGAAGTAGCATGGTTTGGCTTACATTTCCACTTGTTAACCACTCCAGACCCGTTGATCAAGACGTTGCACCAGTCATGGAATACCTGTCCATTATGTCGAATTTCAACATCCCCTTGAAGTATTTATTACTAGTTGTCAGCCGTCTGTCAAATGGATGAAGAACAACGAGAGGGAAAATCGCCACGACTGACTTACAAACTCCTTCCAACTCATCCCAAGTTGCGCTCAGGACTTCGTGCTCGAGCCTCACAAAGGGTTCTAACTCGTACTTCTTGTAGAACCTCAAGAAATAGTCCTGGATCTCCTGACTGCCTGCGTAGAATGCAGACCACTCGGTGTTCGGCTCAAACGTGTATGTGTAGCAATGTGCTGGGATGTCACAAGCACAGCCTGAATCACCCCAGCAGGGACACGATCAGCCTATTCTCAAAGAAATGAATCCGAAGGATGAGTGGGCTGTCGAACCTGGGTATCGGTTTTCCCACCAAGTGCCTCCAATCTCAGGGTTTCTTTCCAGGAGTCAGTAGGGAAACTTTCCTCTCTCAACTCGTTATTGGCAATGCTGTGGACTTACTTTTCGTAAAGAATGAGCTCGTAGTTATGGAGCATCTTCCTAGCCTTGTAGGCCATCAGAAGGCCCGACGCTCCGGCCCCTACATGGATGATCTTAATGTGGTCCGGTTTGGAGTGGACTTCGTCGACGATATCAATCACTGGTGGAGGTGGGTCGGAGTGAGGCATCTTCGCGTAATGGCGCTTGACAGCAGTGTAGATATTCTACAATGCTCGAAGCGATCAACGATGTACCTGAAGGTGTTTATTCCGTTAGGCGACAAGAGAAAGGCTTCACGACGGTCAGAAATGAGATCCTTCTCACAGAACCGTGGACTACAAATACGGAGATATACCCTCTTACCACTATCGCACCCTGTTAATCGTTCCATCGCGTGCTTAGGGCTCACAGCTTTGCATACAGATCACACATCGTCTGTCAAGCGTGGACTTTTCGATTTCGAACCTCGGCGTGAGATTACACCAAGTGTCAGGATCCCATCAGCACAGGCTTCCGCGGCAGTTCATTCCGAACACTGCATTCCGCAGCATCTGGTTGTCGAGTCCCCGCGGCCGAAAGAGGTGTCTAACTCGAGCCAGGGGGGTAATGGCAATCACACGGCACAGCAAGGCGGCAGTATGAGCCCCAGGGCCGACCATTGTAGTTTATACCGGTATCTGTGAGCCACGATGTGAAAACGGTGTTGAGCAAGGTGGGGGCGCCGAGAAGAAGCGTTTCTAACGGACCTAAAGCCACGGCGTGGCGGAAGAAGAAAATACGTGCCTTCAACGCGATGTGATTAGCTACAGTCAAAATCGAACATCTCGAGAATAGTTCTTCGACTCTTGGATATTCTCTACCTGATCAGAGACTGCTAAGTCTCTCGTAACCTATCTACCTATAGAACCCATAGTAGCCTCTCTCACAGGATCTAGCCGAGCGTCATCCGCCCTCCGGCTCCTATCCCTGTTCTTTTCTCTCGCGATGCTTCTTCAGCGCCATCATGAGGTCCTGGAACTGCTGCTCGTCACCGTTCGAGGCACCTATACACCTGGCCGTCTCCGCTTGGATGGGCTCCTCAAACTCGGCGCATTCGTTGTTGGAGACGAAAAGCGCATGCCCGTGGTATGTTGGGTCCGTCGCTAACTTGCCCACGGCGAGGGCGATGGCAGAGGCCGGCTGGATCGGCACGCCCACGGACTTGAACGTGTCGATGACACCGGCGGTGATGGCGGACTGTGTCCATCCTGGGGCGACCGCGTTGAGTCGGATGGGGAGTTTGGGATGGAGCTGCATCTTCATGGCGCGGAGGAAGCCAATGATGCCGTGTTTAGCGGCGGCTGGGTTACTCTGTCCGTCAGTGTTCTATCAGATGGCCAAGGAAGCAGATCCGGAACGTAGAGATGGGAGATACTGACTGTACGACGCTGAAGTCACGCCCACGTAGCCTGCCCCGGATGAATTCATGACGATACTCCCGCCCGGCGGCAGTTGCCGTTGCATGTGGTGGACTGCGAGAGCGACGGTATTCTGGCATCCAAACAGGTTGATCTCGATGGGGCGTCGACTCGGCTCCAGAAGCTGCTTTTCGTGCTCTTTCAAGTTCACGTAGTCGATCGAGTCGGCGACTCCGGCGTTGGCGAACACGACATCCATGCGGCCATATCGATCGATGGCTGTTTGGAACAAGTTCACGAGGTCCTTCCACGACGCGACGTCGGTTTTGACGTAAAGCACTCGAGACCCGAGTTCGTCGGGGGGAGGTTGGATGTCTGCGACGACGACAGCGCGTGCACCCTTGTCGAGAAACAGTCTTGCTGTCGCGAGGCCGATCCCAGATGAGCCACCGGTGACCAGGGCGACCTTGTCCTTCAGGCCCACGAGCTCGGATTCATCGACCTTGAAGTATTGCATTGCTGCAGCATCAACCAGAAGTGAGAAGACGGAGCCTTGGAGACTTGGCGAGTGACTTTGGCAGCTCCTGGGCTGCTCCTGGGCTAATATAATGTTCAACTCTGTCGGGATTGACGGTACTGTTTTATAAGTATCCGCTTGAGTCCCGGCGTCCTCGCGGCGTCCCCAGAGACTTCCTAGATCTGGATGAATCTCCGCCAGGCATGGCCATTGTGTGCATAAATAACGGGCGAGTCGGTTAGATGCTAGGAGGGACAAAAGGAGGAGAGAAACATACGATGCAAAGTTACTCTCCTACCGCTCCGGCAAACCCGACCTCGGCTCAGTCATATACGTTGTCCCACGGTATTCCGATACAAGGACGCCTTCTGAGCAGCCATTCGTCAAGGCTACTTATCGTGGAGAGTCTGGCTGGACTGGGCATCTTAGGGTTGATACCGCAGAGCAGACCACCAGCGTCAGCAGTAATAATATATCAATATTGCCGTCCCAAGAAGTCGTGGCATTCCGAGCCCCTCTCCAGAGTAAGATTTACTAAGCTGGAACCCCTCAATTCGCCGAGTCAGTCTTTTTCTTGAATGAAAACATAATTGTCTCAAGGAGTCTGTCTCTGAAGGGTTGACTTGATCACGACGTCGACAGTGAGATCTTAGGCAGATCGTTGAATCGGAACCGATAAACATGTCTTTCCTCGACAAAGAATATATCCTCTCGCTTGCGCCTATCGATCCCGAACTCAAGGCGGTAGGTGTTATTCAACAATACGTCGCAATGCCATTTGACTGACGCCGGCTCCAGTTTCTCGAAGCCGCTCAGCTCCCTCCCCCGAATTACAATGACTTGGACGCCTTCAAGAAGATGGCGCGCCTTCGCGACGCTGAAATGCTGAAAGCCCTGGGCGACGCACCTCCCGAAGTCAGACAGACGGAACTCGAATACCCGACCCGAGATGGCAGCAAGGTCCGAGCGAAGCTGTACCAGCCTTCCGACATGGCGGCGTCGTCGTCGTCAGACCAGCGTGGCCGTCCGCTCATCGTCATGTTCCACGGTGGGGGATTCTGCGTCGGTATCCCAGAAGCCGAAGAGCGGAGCTGCCGCAACTTCGTGCAAGCGTTTGGCGCCGTATGTGTCTCGGCGGCGTACCGGCTCGCGCCTGAATTTAAATTCCCGTACGCGGTCAACGACGCGTGGGACGCCGTGCAGTGGGCAGCGGCACAGGCGTCCTCGTGGGGTGCAGATCCGTCGGCAGGCTTCGTGGTCGGAGGCACCTCCGCCGGCGCCAATATCTCAGCAGTGCTAGCACACCTGGCTCGAGACGAAGGCCTCTCGCCTCCCCTGACGGGCCAATATCTCGCAGTTCCCCCCGTTCTCCCACCCACGGTGGTGCCGGATAAGTATAAAGAGTACTACCTGTCGTACGAGCAAAACCGCAACAGCCCGGTGCTGCCCGTCGCAGCCATCGACATGTTCCTGGCGGGCTACGCAGCTGACGACCACGACAGCGTGCATTGGGCGGTATTCAACCACCCCAACGGCCACCGGGGAGTGGCACCCGCGCTGTTCCAGATCGATGGCATGGATCCGTTACGGGATGAAGGCTTGCTGTACGAACGCGTGCTCAGCGAGGAGTGCGGTGTGAAGACGAAGACGTACGTCTACCCGGGCCAACCGCACTATCACTGGGCGATCTTTCCGTTCTTGAAGGCCAGCGAGAAATTTCGCGTCGAGCAGGTCGAGGGTATGGGCTGGCTGCTTGGCAGGACGCCGGACTTTTCCAAGGTAGTCACCAAGGCAAAAGCTCCGGATGTCTAATCTATCATCTGCGCAGTCTCGACCCGCTGCACACTTGAGGAGGAGACGGGGTTAGACATAGATCTGCATCAGAATAGACTGCTAGCAGCTGTAGAGCCAGGATTGAAACAAGAAGGCGATCGAGACAAGCGAGCTGTCCCTGCTTTCACTGCCTTTATCACATAGCTGCCACCTTCCTCACGGTAACTCTCAAGTGACCTTTCGTCGTGACCACAAAATTATCCTTCCACTCCATGTCAGCCGGCTTCATATCATATGGCATCAAATCAAAGGTCCGGACTAAGTAAGCGAACGTCAGGTACAGTTCTGCATGCGCGAGGTTAATGCCCAGACACGACCGAGGGCCACGCGAGAAGGAGATGAGCTGGCTCTCGAGTTCTCGTGCGTTGGCGCCCAGCCAGCGCTCGGGCCGGAATGTATGGGGCTCGGGAAAGAAGACAGGGTCGTAGTGGTAGCCGTATGCCGTGCTCGAAACGGGCGTCTATGAAGGTAAAAACGAGTCAGGAACGGCGGAGGCTTGGAAGCTAGTGATCGTGCCAAAGTTGAAGAAGAAGAAGAAGGACATACTCCTGCCGGGATCATTTGGCCGCAGAGGACAACGCCCCCTTCTGGAACCACGCGGGGGATTCTGCCGTATCAGGTTAGATAACAGATCTCAAACGGTGGATCGGGTTCTCATCACATACCGTCCCGGCACACCCAGAGCCATCCTTAGGCTTTCCTTGACAACGGCATGCTGGATGGGACTCAGTAAATAGCCGACCTTCATCCCTCACATTAGGTAAAGGGCACACCCACGAGGTACGGCAACTCCTCTAGGACAGTCGTGCTGACCATTTGCGTGCTGTCTGGATCAGGAATGACGCGTTCCAGCTCTTTCCTCAGCTTCGACACTATTTCCTTATTGTTCATGATATGCCACGAGCCCAGCGTTAGCGTGTGTGCCGTGGTATCGGTCCCGGCACCGTGGAAGACAAAGGCATCGGCCGTCAACTGCTCGAGGGTTGGGTTGAACGAGTCCTTTTTGAACGACGGGTCCGCCCACGCATCGAAAACGGTCGGGTATTTGGACTGTGACCCCTGCCGGCTCATAATCTTCTCAACTTTTTGTCGACATTGCTGTCATCGAAGGTCAAAAGTGCCGCGATTTTTCCGTACTTGTTCCACTCTTACCTCAGAGATCCAATTCGTGGCTGCGAGCGCTGGCACATACTTTTCTGCCTGTTCCTTAGTCATTCGACTTAGCAGTCGGAGCAGCATCCTCGCCGCATTGTGCCAGTAAATGGTATACTGCATGACATCGAACATCTGCTCCAGGGCAAGGAGCATGGGCGACTGGAACTCATCGGCCTCGAGGGACTTGAACCCCTGGTCGGCGAAGCAGTAGCTCATGACCACGTCGCTGGTCAAGCTCCGGTAGCCGAGACTGAGATCGACGGCCTTGCCGGCGGATGCTGCGGCGGCGAGAACTGACACGAACTTCTGCACGCGGTTGTGGATTAGTGGCTCGAGCCTGGTGATTGCTGCCTTGGAGAAGTATGGCCGGAAGGGATCCTTCCACGGCTTAACGGCCTTCGAGTCGGCCACGTTGAAGAAGCCATTGGCGCTCTCTGTTGAGTACATCTGCGGCCATTTGGAGAACCTTGAGCCCGATCGGAATATCCTTGACACAATCAGGACGGGAAGAAGATTGAGGGGGAGAGGGAGAATGTCGAATTGCCCTACTCACTCATTATACGCCTCCATATCTTTGACATGGAGCTGATCTGGCGTGATGCGCACGATGGGCCCTGCGGATGGTTAGTTTGGGGAGCGCCAATCCGCAAAGGACTTGCCATATCTCTCGTGCAAGGCCGGGAAAACCTTGATGTAGGAAGTCGACGGTCTCAAGTCATACCACGCCAAGTATAGCGATGAAGCTGCTGCTAACTTCGGGCCAGGGAATTTTGCCAGAGGGTGCAACGTCAGACGGTAAATAATACGCAGGATAAACAGACCACAGATAGTGGTTAGTGCTCTGATTGCCAAAGACCGTACCAAGAGATCCATCTCAAAACGTGTTGGTGAAAGAAGCAAACGAAGATCCCGACATGGAACAGTCGCCCAGCTGGTGTCGCAAAGAAATGGCAAATAGCCGTATGACTCCCAGGGCGCGGTCTAGGGTCCTCGAACTTGCACCTAATATAAAGATCGGCCTAGAACTGACGTCCTTACCTTCCACGTTGCATAAAATGCTTAGCCTCTCGATGTGGTGGAAGGAGAAGCGACGGATCTTGAGGTCTGTGTGGTCATCGGAATTCTTTGTATGCGAATCACCAAAGGTACCTCGGGCCTCTCCCTCTCCCTCTCCTCATTCAGCCCCGGCGCAGGTCCTCACATCCATAGAGACGATCCTCAAGTCAGATACATAAAGCTCCGTCCAATACACTTGTACGGTCTCTTTCATGGCGGAATGCCTGCTGGCTAGATGCAGATTGTATCCGGAATCAGCTTCCTAACGGTCCGCGGAATCACTCGGCCGGAACAACACTTCTGCCCGGCTCTATGCAGTGGCGCGATTGCTCCAGCTGGCCGGCATGTTTCCGTCAGTAGAGCTACCCGCTCTATATACGGGGACTTTGAAGGGTGATTGGACTGGCCTGACATAAAGAGGTAGATATATAAACAAAGGGATGACATCATTGTTATCGGCAACAGGGGAAATAGTAATATATGCTCGCCGCTTGTCCTTGATTGCTCCACACCAATAGGGATGTGACTCTTGACGAACTACTCGGGAGTGATTCCCGCCCTGCTATTAGTTAGTCGAGTTAGCCGTATATCAATTCTGAAGCCTTCGCAGCTCCTATCTTCTTCGGGTCTGCACCCACACCCAATCCATTCAGTTCTCCAAACACAACCTTAGCCAGAGTTAGTTAGAGAGGTAGTGGGTTTTATATTACTGCGCGGGCAGAGGGTTCTGGATGTATAGTTACATATCGCCGACTTAGCTCCACGTGACGAGTCCTAGGTATCCAGACACTCTGGCGATAGAAAAGAAAGGAATGCAAAGCAGCCTCTATATAATTAAGTCATTGGCGTATACCGTGACGGTCATCGCCCCTGGTGTTTCGATTCAGCTGTCGGGCTCTTCGTCATTTTTGGGGAGAAGGAGGGGAAGTCGATCCAGGTCGTTCTTGCGCGCATTGACCAGCTCGTTGATTGACCGGCGAGCCTCCAGCAATTGCACAAGTTCTTTAGGGTGGTCAGAAGAACAGAGAATCTCGTCGCGAATCGGAGGAACTCTCACCTAGTACAGAAGCCCCAATTTGCCAGAACGAGCCGATCGCGCCCAGAACCAGCTTCAGCATCTCGAGATATATGGGCCTGCTTTCGTCAGGGTTTGCGGCGAGCTCGCACGCTGTTTTGGCATTCATCGCCGCCGGACCGAGCAGGGTTGTGGTGACCAGCGGACAGGTTCGCGGAATGAAATTCGGATCCCATTCCCGAATGACGCGGCAGACCAACTTCTCATCTTCCAAGGCCGATGTTTCAAGGGAAACGTCTAGATGCTCTGGGAACTTGCGGTGACAAAGCAGTCGAAGGGATGAACGAGAGCTATCCTCCTGAGTCAGTATTCGTGGTCTTGGTTCTTCTAAAGCTCTGCTGAGAAGCTCTTACGAATGGAGGATTAAATGAGTGCAAATAATCCAATTATTCCCGGAGAAGTTAGTCTCGTCGTAGCTGAGACAGTTCGCCGAAAGGTGAAATCTTTGAGGTAGGATCAAGGAAAAGCAAGTAAGAGAGGACTGGAAGTCGAGAACCGTCTGCACCGTGGTGTGTCGTCTGTGGAATATGTCGTGAGCAAACGCCCTGAGGAAAGACGCGACCAGGAACCAAGCCCGATCGTTGTCATTAGGGGAATCCTTGAGCGTTTTCCAAACGTGCAGTGGGTCGGGTATGATCGCAACTGATGCAACTGGTGTGTCGGAGAACCATGCCTCATCGGATACCGGGAGTAGCACATTGATGTGGCTTTTGTCAATCGTGTGTGGCCGTTTTAGAATCGTGCCCGAGAACATGTCGAGCTCCCAGGCTAACCACCAGGCCCGGCGAAGTTCTTCTTTCCTGCTCCATTCTTCGCTCGAGGTCCATTGAGCCGTGGCCTTTGAATCTAGAATGTCATGGTCGATGTTGTTGAGGCCGAGGTCGTATGCCAAACGGCAGGAGACACCAATTAGATTGCCACATCGCCCACTAGAACCACAGACCTGGTGGTACCAGCCTAGGAGAAGTAATCCCTGTAACAATGACAGATTTGGTTGGATGGCTGAATCTAGCTTCATGGCGTCCTGAAATAGCTGCGTCGCCTGATTGAGGAATGGTTCAGCCCGTCCCTTGGGAGGTAAATGGGCAAAATACGAAGAGGCAGAAAAGCGGGCGGCGAGGGCGCAAATGGTATCTAGGATTAAGCAGTCTTCCAGGGACAGGCTCTGATATTTTTCGGGATCTTGACCGTGCACGTTATATTTTTCATAGAATCGCGGTTTGTGGAAAAGAGGCAGCCAACCTGCCACATACTTGAAGAATGAATCAATCCTAATTATTGTGAGTCTTGAGTAGCATGCATAGAGGGTTAACGTCTTTCTACTCACGCGTCATCCACGACCATAGCAGGGAACGGCATCGAGTATCTGTTCGGCCTGGCATTTCCCGGGTTCGTTGAGTTTGCATTGGGTGCGGGAAAGAAGCCGAACTGGAAGTTGTAGTTCATCTCCAGCGCTCCTGTGGGATCTTGTGCTCGCAACAGAGATAAGTCCAACATCTCTCCTGCATTTCCCTGGAGGGCTTCCAAGCCTTGGGCATTCGAGAAGCCGTCCGTCAGCCAAGACCCTAAGGTGGGATCGAAGACATCTGCGAAGAATCGGGTTTCAGCCTGTCCCGAGAGGAGGGCAGGATTCATGTCACTCGCACAGAGCAGTCCATTTTCCATGTCGGTTGTTGTTATTTGGCCTACGTGGTTAGGGGAGAAGTTGGGTGTTGTAGAGACCTGTGGGGATTGGGAAGTCGCGTTTGATAGGCTGTCCTGTCTCTCTCTGCGTCGTAACAGCGCATTTTCTAGCATACTGGAATCCAGAAGGTCGAGGATGCGATCTGGAAGAAGGGAATTAGCTTGTCGCTTTCTTGCTCTGAACAGTCCAGCAAGCTCACTTAGCCCTTCTTCTCCTTCCATCTCCAGGAGACGCCTAGGGGAAGCGCTCAATTGCCAGGGGCGGGTTGCTGGCCGTCTTTTCTTAGGGTAATAACACTCTTGCCCAGTTCGGGCGCACAAAGAACACCTTGGAGTTCGTTTGTCACCTTATTATGGTTATTTGCACAGCTTTGAACAGGGGTCTGCAGCGACCGCATACATTTGATTTTCTTTCTTTGAGCGTGTCAGGACCAGTGCGACACTTTTCGTGATCGGGGAGGAGTGTTGTGGTACCTGTTACATTCACCACATGCTCGAGCTTGTCCGCCTCTTCTTGGCTTTTCTCCCGCGGTGGGCGCGTATGTAGATGCATTGCTGTTGTTTTCATTCTCGTGGCTCGATTCATCCGAGCCCTCTCCGGTGAACATGTCATTCATGGTGGTGTCCATGGTGGTATCCATGACAGAGCGAACGTAGTGTCAGGCACTTGGAAAAGCTTTTGGATTTTGTGGGGAGACTTGCAGTTATACATTTCAAAGGGCGGAGGGGGTGCAGACGGGAGGGATCACGCTGCATCACTGCGAACTTAGCACTTAAGGTTGTGGGCGACGGAGAGGAAGGAGGGGGTGGCGCCCCTAGAGCTCGCGAGTAGATAGGCAGAGCTAGGCAACTACCAGTCCTGCTTGCGGCCGGGGAAGCCCCTAAACCACCCGGCGTGCCTACCTTGGCTACAGTTATACTCCCAGCGAACTCTCTGAGGAAGAACTACTCTTGGCGCAGGGAACAGAAGAACCATGCTCATCTCGAGAAGAAGCATATTTCCTTACTTAGGGCATTTCTTGTCGCAGATACCATATCACCCGTAGCCACCTCTCATCACACAATGTCTAGGGCAGATGGCTGCTTGTGAAAGGATATAATAGTTCCTCTTCTCATCGTGGGAACTGTGCCACGTGGATAGGCGACAGTTTAATGGAAGTTACTCAAGCAGCTTTAGACGTCGGAATGACTGCGCATTTGTCTAACTGGCTGTAACCTGATTGTTGGTTTCTTTACTATTGATCGAGCGATCTCCCATATAACAGCGGATGACAGTGGAGTGGACAGGAAGTCCAAGCTGAGAAATCTTAAGTTGTACACGCACACCAGGTGGTCAAGCCAATTTGTAGGAGGTGGCGAGTCGGCGTTGACCGAGAACACCGTCTTCATGCAAGGCTGAGGCTTGCCACGCCCTGGGACCCAAATGGCTAGAAAAAGTGAGAGCTTTGAGAGGGCCCATGTATGTCCTCCTCGATCGAAGCCAAAGCTGGGCAACAGAGAGCGGAACAGAATGCGGGGAGGAAGATTTCTCAGCACGGCATTCAGAACACCGGATCTCACACAGCGATGCTCAACTTGGTAAGCGCAAAACTCAACCCATGGCACGCCCTGGCGCCCTGGCATCGGGTGTGAGCATTTCCAGACACCTTCCAGAGTGGTATACCATCCGAGTCAGACTTACAAGGACGATGGGCTAATTGTCTACCAAGGTACGGCCTTTTTTTAACCCGGCAACGACACCACCATGGCACAGACAACGGTGCTTTTCACTCCCTACGGCTCGATGGAGCCTCAGAAACTCCACCGGTGTTCGCCCACTGCGGTCTCTCCTCGAGTGTGTTACGGACACTTCAAATACGCCCTTGAAGCCACTTGCAGATGTCCGTCGATCCCTCGAGTACATCAAGGTTATCGAACACCTGTAAGGACTGTCTTCAGCAATCACTGCGAAAATGCCGATCGACAAATCTTGGCCCGGTTACAACAAAGGGACCATCCCTAACGATGGATTCGAATGGATCTGGCAGGAAGCGACCCCGGCAGATGAGCCTAACCGGCCTGTAAAAGTGGTTACGATTCCCTTTGGCTACGAAAAGCGCGTCTTGCCTCGAGGATGGCAGAAAACACCCGAAAACAAGCCATTGGAACTGGACATTATCTTTGAAAAAGACGTTGAGATAGTCATGAGAGATGGGGTCAAGGTGAGTCTGAAGGAGCTGATACATGTGGACGGTGAACTGTTCGCTGAACTTCATTTTAAGATATATGCCGACATCTACCGACCTGCCGACACGGGCGGCAAGAAGCTTCCCATCATCATGCCTTATTCTCCGTACGGAAAAGGAGGAGGCGGCGCGAATTTGATGGACGTGGTGCCCTACCGGGTCGGAGTTCCAAAGAGTCGACAGAGCGGACTTGAGAAGTTTGAAGGGTTGGTATCTTTCCAGGCAAGAAAGAGAACTACGCTGACTCGGCCAAAGGCCTGATCCCAACGAGTGGTGTCGCCGGGGCTACGCGATTCTCGACCCCAATGCCCGAGGATCATTCGACAGTGAAGGGAATTTACATTACTTCGGCCGCAAGGAGGGCAAGTTGACTCTCAGCCGACCCTTGAGGAATACATTTCTGATAGTTTCTCTTTAGGCGAGGACTGCTACGACATCATCGAGACTGCGGCGAAATACGAGTGGTGTAACGGTGCGGTCGGCATGGCTGGTAACTCCTGGCTCGGTGTCGTGCAATACTGGGCCGCCATGGAGCAACCGCCACATCTCAAGGCCATCGCGCCGTGGGAAGGCCTAAGTGACGTTTACCGTGACTTGTGTCGCCGCGGAGGAATCCCCTGGGCGCCGTTCCTGAAATGGGTGTTGATGGGTATCCCAGGTAGGTTGCCCCAATCTCGAACAACTCGCTGTGCTCGTCTGCGCGTTACTAAGTCTACACGCTTAGGTCGAGGCCTCCAGGAGGCAGCCACGGAGATGGCCGAGGTTCACGAGTTCTACGATGCGTATTGGCAGTCGAAACAGGTTGATTTCAGCAAGATCAAGGTCCCGTCGTACATTCTGGCCTCGTACTCGACGATGCTGCACACCATGGGCTCGGTGAGAGCTTGGAGAGGCACTAACACAGATAAGAAATGGCTGCGCTTTCATCCCCATCAGGAATGGTACGAAGACTATCACTATCGCTCGGTGGACGATCTGGATCGCTTCTTCGAGAGATATCTCAAGGGAATAGATAACGGCTGGGAGAACACGCCGAAAGTGCGTGTGTCGATGTATCGATTTGGGGACACGGTACTGGGAATCCGTAATAAGCCAAAAGGGCTCCCAACGCTAACGTTTTTATCTAGTACCCTCTTTACGACCAGGTCGAGACTGACTACCCGATCCCTCGCACGAAATACACAAAACTATATCTGACATCGAAGAAAACGCTCCAAGACTCACCCAGCAAAGAAGAGGCCGTCCATTCATATGACTCCACGAATGGCGACATGGTAACCTACGACTACATTTTCCCCGAGCGAACCACACTGGCTGGATTCTCGAAGCTCAAGGTTTTCGTGTCGTGTCAAGAGCACAACGATCTCGACATCTACATCATGTTGCGGAAATTGTCGGTGGACGGCGAGCTGATGGAACAGTCCAATGTGCCCCTTCACGAGCTGCCTGTGAAGTCAGTCAAGGAGGTTGCCAACGTGAACCCGACCAAGTATCTCGGTCCCACCGGTATCCTCCGCGCCTCGCACAGAGAAATCGATCCCGAGAAGTCCACGGAGTACTGGCCGGTCCATCCGCACTTGCGCGCTGACTACGTTGAGCCAGGGAACGTCGTCGAGATGAATATCGGCATCTGGCCGATGGGGATCGTGTACGAGAAGGGCGAGGGCCTGCGTCTGCAGATATCGGGAAAGACCATGGTCTTGCCCGAGTGGGACACCCCGATGGTCAAACATATGGAGCCGCAGTTTAACAAAGGACACCACCGGGTGCATCTGGGCGGGAGCCACGCTGAGAGCTATCTGTTGGTGCCGAAGCTTTAAAATGGCGGGAGAGAGAGTGCCCGAGAAAAAATACAATATATGGCTTTTTGACAAGGAACGACGGTGGCTTCCGAGAAGTCACCCCTAGTGCGTCCATTGTTCTTTATGCGTTCTGCTTTGGCAAGTAGATGGATCCTAAAAACCGCCATACTTGCCTTATAAATCATGCCCTGAGAGATTCTCAAGCCGGTAATCACAACGCCGGCTTGGACTTCACAGCACCTCATCGGCATTCCGTAGAAATGAAACTCGTTCTTCTGACTAAGTCTCCATCGGATGAGGTGCATGTTCGGTCTGGATCGGACGCACGCCGACAACCGGAGACATGCATGGCTCTGCGTTGTCGGATCGCATGATGGTCGGAGGGTGGAAGACGGAGACGAAGACAGTGATTCTCGTATTTATTGTCGGCTTCGAGTTCCAACTTTCACGACTCTATAAGGGCATCCGTCTGTTGTGTCGGTACTTGTGTATCGAAGCAGTGATCATTTGTGCATTTATTTTTGGTCATGGCTCAATCAGGAGACTCGCGGCTGGCGGGGAAAGTGGCGATTGTCACAGGTCAGCACATACCTTGACCGTCTCTTTTCAGAGGGATGACTTGGAAGGCAGAGCTAACTGTCCATCAGGAGGCGCCTCTGGGTTTGGAGAAGCCACAGCCAAAAGATTTGCTGAAGTGGGCGCCAAAGTCGTGATATCCGACATCAATCGCGCGGGGGGCGAACGCGTGGCCGCAACCTCGCCCTCAATCAAGTTCTTTCCCGCCGATGTCACGAAGTTGGAAGACTGGCAGGGTCTCCTGGACTTCACACTCAAGGAATTCGGCAAGGTGTCGATCCTGGTCAATAACGCCGGCACGACGTATCGCAACAAGCCCACACTCGAAGTGACCGAGCAGGAGTTCGACCGCGTGGTGGGCGTCAATTTGAAGTCGATTTTCCAGGCCACGCGCGTGATTGTGCCGTACATGATTGAGAAAGGCGAAGGAGGCTCCATCATCAACGTGGCGTCCATCGGGGCCCTGCGCCCTCGTCCGGGCCTTGTGTGGTACAATGCCTCGAAAGGGGCGGTCTTCAACGCGACCAAGGGCCTGGCGGCGGAATTTGCGCCTCACCAGGTCCGCGTCAATGGCATCTGTCCTCTTTTGTCCGGAACGGGACTGTTTTCCTCGTTTGTGGGTGTGGAGGATACTCCAGAGAACAGAGCCAAGTTCATCGCGAACGTTCCGATGGGAAGGCTCACCGACGTGTTCGACGTGGCTAATGCCGCGTTGTACTTTGCAAGTGACGAGTCCAGCTTTGTGACGGGGACCAACCTGGAGGTGGACGGAGGACGCGCCATTGGCTAGACTGCCATGACAATTCAGCCGAGAGTATGGACAGAGGGAGTTCCTGAAATTAGAGGCCATGAACTCACAAATTAGGTAGAGTCTAGACCGTGTTTTGTGGGTCCTCCCCGTTGAGGGTAACTAAGCCGAGAACTGATAGAACAATAAGGTCTCTGTGCCAAGGCGCTAAGCTGGATTTGCTCAGCTAGATCTAAGCTCCCAGGTCACTTCAGCAATCCGTTTTATCAAAATCAGACCATGAATATAACACTCCTCACCGAGCACGTATCGCCACTCTCCCACGGATCGTAGACACAAGAGCATCTTGCCACCTGATACACCCTCAAGTTGTAAGAGCTTTTCGATGCTGACATCCCGGCATACGCCATCTTATCATATTGAATGAGATCTCTTACTGTGACCTCCGAACGTGGAGAAAGAGGAAAAGGGACCGTTGTCGTAAGATACGAGCCTTTTGTCGACGAGCCCTTGAGGCTGCTAGAACCTATGGTCTCTGCATTGAATGGATATGGGTCGATACATGCTGCATCTAACAATGTCAGCAGTTCAGACAATTCGTTTCAGAAGTGGGTGCGGCACCATAACCGACGGGCATTTCCCCTGAGCATTGTAGATACCGACACCATTACCTGGGCGTTCGCTCTCGCCGCTTTTACCATGGATATGCCATAGAATTAGGTATTTCTGACTCTCTGTGAGCTGATTAAGGCTCCATGTCTCGGGTATGGAATGTGGAGGGCGGGAGTTGAGCCGAGGTACCTTTTCGCCCTATTAAGGCGAAATCCACATTTACCTCCACGCTTTTGAATGTATGTACCCCAGGCACAAATGTCGCAACCACGAGAAACAGAAGCCATCGCTCCATGGAGTGAGCCCGCATGGTGGACGGCGAGAGCATCTCCTTATTACAATGAAAGCCATCGACGACTTCGACAGTTTGTGCGAAACTATATCGAAACCCATGTGTCGCCGAACGCATTGGAGTGGGAGGAGAAAGGCGAAGCGCCTAGGGAGGAACAACTGAGATGGGTGGCATCTGGGGTATGTTCAAAAGTCTCTCCAGTATGTTTGCACATGAATAATTAGTTCTTAAAATATATAGATTCCATTCCATGAAATCCCCTACGAGTACCGACCATCCACGGTGCCGGACCCGGCTGGGATTCGGCTCGAGGATCTCGACGTCTTTCACGACATGATCATTCGCGACGAGACGAGCCGTATTGAAGGCGGCGGCATGAGTTCTCTAACGAGCGGATCAGTTATTGGATTTCCCCCAGTCCTAGCACACGGCACCGAAGAGCAGAAACGTAAATGGCTGCCGGGTTTGTTCAGCTTCGAGACTAGCTTTTGCCTGGGAATCACTGAGCCGACTGGTGGTTCCGACGTCGGCAACATCCAAACCACTGCCGTCAAGACTGAAGATGGCAAGTTCTATGTTGTCAACGGCTACAAGAAATGGATTACCGGCGCTCCCTGGGCGACTCACATGACCACTGCCGTGCGCACGGGACCACCGGGCTCTGGGATTGGGGGCGTCAGCGTCCTCGTCATTCCTATGTCGTCACCCGGCCTGACCATTCGACGCATCGCCAACAGTGGCATGAAAGCCGGTGGCGCGAGTTTTGTGACGCTGGATGAAGTGAAGGTCCCCGCCGAGAACCTCATCGGCACTGAAGGCAACGGCTTCAAGATCATCATGCACAACTTCAACCACGAACGGTTCATCATGGCCATCGGCTGCAATCGCCACGCCCGCACATGCCTCTCCGAAGCGTTCGACTACGCTCACACGCGCCACACGTTTGGCAAGCCCTTGATTTCGCATCAAATCATCCGACACAAGATCGTAACACTGGCGCGCCACATTGAGTCACATTGGGCCTGGCTGGAACAGATTGCCTACAACGTGCAGAGTCAGCCTCAGGGTTGGCAAAGTCCAGATATTGGAGGCCAGCTGGCTCTTGCCAAAGTCCAAGGCGGCCGAATTTTGGAATTGGCGAACCGCGAAGCCCAACAAATATTCGGTGGCGCTGGCTATCAAAGAAGCGGTCTTGGTGCCAGAGTCGAGCAAATCAGCCGCGACTTGAGGATGATGGTCGTCGGCGGCGGCAGTGAGGAGATCCTTCAGGATCTCGCCTTCAGGCAGGAGACGGCCATTGCTAAGAGGAATGGTTGGAAATTGTGAGACATTATGCCGAGGTGGAGAGTAGTATATCTTATGTCCCTACAAGCTTATGAGTACTGTAACTCCAGTGTTTCTTGTGTCTCTTCCGTCGATGTGTGAAAGGACATGGTCTGCGTCTGCTTAGCTACATTGATGCCAGCAACTCCCCAGGGGTTGCCTTCCAGCTTGATCGGGTGTGACGCTAGAGTAACGCCATTTGCTTGTTGGATGATCTCCGAGAGGTTTCATTCCCCAACGTCGCGGGTTGTCTAGATCGTCGGCCTAGAAGGGCAACGATTACAGCATGTTGGGTCCTCAATTGAGCTTTGAGTTGATCAAGCTCTTCCTTCTGCTGGCGATACGAGCTTGATAGTAAGGAATTGGTGCGTGCTAGTTCCGCAACCTGGGCTTGTAGCTCCTGTTGTCGTTCTTCTCTGCGCTTTCGGAAAGCACGTTGAGCTGTTCTGTTTTGGGCTCGTCTCTTCTATTCCCCTTGTTAGAAATTCGGTTATGAAACGAAAAGGGCGAGAACCACCTCGATATTTGGAGGGTTCGTCGTCTGAACTTCTCCAACACCGTCGCAAAGGCTTGGATAACTAATCTCAACACTAGACCTGGTTGAACTCTCAGACCGCGCTGAAGGTGTTGAGCTGATTGGGCCATCCGAGAGAAACTGGTAGATCATCGCCGTTTGAGGAAGGTGAAAGCCACAATCCCGAGCATTCGCGTTCGTAGCATTGTTTGCAGAATTGAAGAGCGTGGTGGTCGAGTCCAGGGACGAGGCAAACGGACCGTTCCATTGGCAAAGCTCGTCGACGCCGAGTGGGGACCTCCAATCCAACATGTCGAAAAAGTTGAATTGGCAAACAGTCAGCACAAGTTGATCGTGGAAGTAGCTGATCGCTGAGGGAAATGGTGATCAGGAAATGCTTGAGCTGAATAGGAGTTGCGGAACCAATACATGGCCCCTTTATACGACAGACACTCTCATAATATTTCATCAAACTTTGGATTATACTTGCAACCATACACAGGAGCAGTTTGGGTCATGCATTATCGAAGCCACGCCTGAACTATGAGACCTCATCAGCCGTGGCAAACGAATGGCTCTTGCGAGAAACTTGACCAAGCCCTTTACGGCAGGCGCATCAATACAACGCGGTCTGGTATAAGGATAAACGGAGGCCAATCGCCGAGTCCGTGAGTTCCGACTACGAGGTTCTTGTAAGCCCTCCAGTAGATCTTTTCCTTAAACATCTCCCTTACCAATCCATGGGTTCGAATCGGCCAAGAGTGGAGAAATGGAGCAAGAGGGTAGGTTAATCAGGTGTTGCACAAAACGCTGCCAAGAGACCGGGCTGAGCAGCGCAATGCCATCGGAATAGATGCCTTTGTGCTTGTTCCCTTTTAGCGGGGAAGCTATGAGAAGCTATTTCTTGTAGCTTCTCAACATTGAATCTTTATCCACAGGAATCACACGTAGTCTATCGATTATAGATGCCTAGTCTATCAGTATCTGTGTGGCGTAGGCCTTGATACAAAAGCAAGGATAGACTATTACATAGGAATGCAAGTTAAAAAATGTGTTTCTCATTCAATCCATGTTCGAAATACTATTCCCCCTCCAACGCAACCACGTTGCCCTGATCTTGATCAACGCAGCTTCTTGAGTGCCTTGGCAACCTCTTGCGGATGAGTCTCATTGAGAAAATGACCAGCATCGATGATACTGATGTCTGCATCTGGCACATCGCGCTTGAAAGCTTCTGCGCCGGGAGAGGCAAAGAATGGATCATTCTTGCCCCACAATCCCACGACCTTTGGCTTGTGTTCTCGCAGATATGCCTGCCACTCGGGATACGACTTGACATTGTTCTCATAGTCGCGCAAGAGGGCAAGCTGAATATCGACCGCACCTTCACGAGATGTGTAGTAGGCATCCAAAGCCGGCGCATCGGGGCCGACCCGAGAAGGCGGCTCTACACCATGTTTGTAAGCCCAGTCGATGCCCTCGGGCGAAAAGATAGGTTTGAGAGCATCAACTTTTGCTGGGTCCTCAGGATCGGCCCACAGTGCCTTGATGCCGTCGAATGCGGGTGCCAGCCCCTCAACATACGCATTTCCAGATTGCGTGAATAATCCCCTGATGCGTTCGGGATGCTTCGAAGCCATGATGAGTCCGATAGGTGCTCCGAAGTCGAAGAGGTATAGACTGTATTTGGTCAAACCAACCTGCTCGGTGAACTTATCGATAGTATTGGCAATGTTTGCAAAGGTGTAAGGATAATTCTTCGGCTCAGGCCGATCAGAGTTGCCAAAACCTGGATAATCTGGCGCCACAACATGGAATGTGTCAGAGAGCTGCACCAAGATGTTTCGAAACGTGTGTGAGGCAGAGGCGTGGCCGTGAAGAAGCAAAAGCCCTGGAAGTGAGGCCGATCCTGCCTCTCGATAGAAAATCTTCACGGAGTCGATCTCAATGGTCTTGTACTGGACGTCTGACGCCATTTTCCAGGAGCTTATAGGTATGTAGAGGAATGTAACGGACAGCCTTTCAAAAGAAATGGTGGTCAAAGATTCGAGTAGCTGCCATGAAAGGTGTTCATCTTATACAGTGGCCCCGATCGTCTTAAAGGGGAATTAAACAACAAACCCGTAGCTCTGAGCAGGCCGCTTACAAAGTAGCAGCATGAGCGCACATCAAGCAGCGACATGTGTGTACCAGTTCAGAGGATTAGTCCGAACTCTGAAGTCAAGAAACGGTATCTGGCTGACTCACGCATCTATGCGGAAGCACGAGCTGCCACTGATCAATTATGTCACTTTGGTGGATTTCATGAAATGATTATGGTATCTCCAGTCTAGCGAAACGCTATTACTAATGCCGACCAACCTTGGCGGATGGAAATTCCATGGTGACGAGATACCAGGGTACGAAACTGCACGTCTTGCCCTGATTCCAAATCTTGAGTTAACCGCCGGGAAAGCACGTCTAGTGGAGACGGAACTTTCGCGAAATTGTTCCTTAGAGCAAGGGGCACCTGCACTATACAATCCTCTGTACGAGTCTCTCAAGAGCTTGGTCCCTGCAACTTCCTGACCATGTCTGTGGGCGGACAAACAATGACAAAATAAGATTTCTGGAATGCTTGGTTAGGTCTATCTTGGAGAGCGCAAGCTTCTCGGCTATTAACTAGGGATACGGAGCTACTGTATCAAGACGCTAGGAGCCCCACCTCCAGAGTTGGTATCGGTGTGTGTGTGTGTGTGTAAGCGACGCGTATAGTTTTAAGTTCGTAATGTAGTTTTCAAACTGAGAGATATGTAGCTGTTGTATGAGTTGTTCCTGGCATGGCCTAACAGTGCAAGGGAGGAGTGTCACAAAATTTTCCTTGCTCCTGGGAGAAACCAGCAAAGACCATCTGACGTGGAAAAGGACATCTTGTGACAGTGATGGTTTTCTGTCCGAAGTTTGACTCCCCACTGTTGAAATATATGTTAATTCGATTCTCTTCAACAACCCATAGCCGACTGAGAGTTCCGTCGCCGATGTTCAATTCATTCTAACCAGCAGGAATAGCATATCCCCATTCACCTTCACGAGTTTCACAGCCTTCAACCAACGGCTGTACATCCCCAAGCAGTCTGAATAGTGCCACCGCGGCCAAAAATTGGAATCAGTGACTCAATAGCAGACCAGGTACCGAGACCGGAGCAAGCAAGACCGGCACAAGCAAGTGAGATAAGTGGAATGCTGATATACCAACTCTTTTTAACTCCACGCACGTGCCGTCTCCAGCCATTGTCGTGGCGAGTCGTGATACCGGTTTGTGGATCAAAACCCTCGCCTGGTAATGCTGAATGTTTCTTAATGACGTACATAAGATAGATGACCGGAGGGATCGTGTATGTAAAGTTCAGAAGCAGCAAACCGCCAATCAAATTGGTAAGGCCAGCGAAGTTGGGTATAGAAACCGCCAGTATCATGGCGAAAATCCAGTAGACCGGGCCGAGAGCTAACCAGAGAAAGTAGCCTTTCTTCTCGGTGATTGGTGGTAATCGAAATATCTCCTGTCCAACTTCAAGGTATATAGTCTTCATGCCGATATTGAAATATAGAAATGTGGAAAGGAAGCCCATGATAATGCCGGAAATGTTGCATAGGATTTGTATGGCGTGTGGGCTGATGACTTGAGTAATGCTTAGGATGGAGTATTGACCCATATAATGGTAGACGAAGATGCCGAAGAGAAAATAGACCAAAACGATGAATACTTGGCTTATGACTATTGCCTTCCAAAAGTCCATGGGATGACGCATTTCCGCCATAAAGCCGATAAAAAGAAGTGTGCCGGAATAAGCATACGCGATGGTGTCGATTGCATTGAACACCGCAGCGAACGTGTTTGTCGTCTGTTGTTGGTATCCAGAAGGGGGAATGCCGCTGAAAGTCTTCACTGGCGCCGTATCCTTGATAAGTGTAATCTGATGCACAATAGTTGTATCAGGACCATGAGTTGCAGCTGCGGTCATGATGATGATGAAGGTGACAATATTAATCCAAACTGCACAGTTACACAACCAGCCCAGTTGTTTGAGCGCTCGAAGGGTGCAGGAGGTCATGGCGATAACAACGTTGATGATAACGATAACGATATAGCAGACTCGAGCATGTGCTAGTTGTGAGAGCTTTTGTGAGTTACTAATTAAGATGACAGCAACTGAGCAGAGAATCTGGAAAGCCTGCAAGATGTTGATAAGTGTTCGCGTCCTGGGTCCAAAGAGCCTGAAGAAAGCATCGCCGAAATTCAAGACCGGGTATCTTGATGAGTCGAGCATCATGAATACTCTCCAAATCATAAAGCCAGAAGCACCAGCAGCAAGTCCAAAGATGATAAAGGCACTTGCGGTAATGGCGTACCCTGCACTGGCGAATGCATATGGTGTTTGGCTCCAGCCAAGGACGTCAGTGGTAATCAGGTAAAACGTTGTCATCCAGTTAGCCGTACGAAGAGCGCGAGCAGCACGTCGCCATTCCGCATTGTAGTCGTAAATAGGTATAATAGAATCCTCTTGAACGGCCTGTCCTTCGACAGTAGTATTCACGGCCGCGGCAGTGTTCTTGTTGTTGTCGCTTCCATGTGAATCAAGCGGGATTTCAGATGGAACAGGCCGTCCACCTTCGAGAGTTCTCGGACTCAATTTGAGATAGACCCTGATGCTGTCGAAGAAGCTGAGTTTTCTTGTCGTCGCGAGGAGTTGCACGTGCTCTTTCTCCTCCATCTCACGCTCGATCTTGGCCCAGAACGAGTATTCTTCGAAAGTGACGCCAGGAGCTGTACGTGCTTTCAAACCCCAGATTGGGTAGCGCGGCCGGGCTTGATCGCCAGAAGCTGCCATCTGTCTCATATCTCTTGTGAAGACCAGCTCCTTCGCAGTACGAGCAGCGTCACAATGATTCATATGACAAAACGAAATATTGAGACGGAATTTCATATAAAATACTAGGATTTGGTGTAAACAGTCGAGCAGCAGCGGAGGCGCATTCGAGAACGGACTCGCCGAAAAATGTAGCAGAGCGGCCCGCCCATCCGTGTGCCCATTATTCTCGATAAGTATGGTGAAAATTGTTGGTGTAGTCGCCAGATAACGCGAGTTATGATTGACTTGTGTGAAATGTGATTCAGTAACTACTTCAGTAGCTCGCGCTCTGGCAAAAACCTAGGTCCGCTAAAGAAATTAGTTAGTTGGAAAGGCACCCTTTTTACGGCACCTACCGTATTGAGTTAGAACGAACCCTATCGGATCACTTTCTGCCGGTTTCCCTTGTTATGGTGAGGGTTTTCGATGACAAAGGGAGCGGCAGGCTGGCATCTCCACAACGGAAGTCTTTGGCAAGCGCATGGACGGATTCCACTCATCCCAGTTGGCGCAAATTCCGGCCGAGAATACTCTGAGGTGGGCCGGAGTATTCGGCACGAGATCTTCCTGAGCTGGCTCCAGACATTGAGGCTGTTGGAATTGACAGTATGTTTGACGATATATCGACCATCAATTCATGCTCGCCGATGACCCAAACGGGAGCACGATCCCGGGAGGCCTCTTGTCTCAAAATTTGTCCGCTGGCGACTGTGATGTTGCCACTCCTGCTACCTACGGTAAGTTGCCTGTCACATATCCGAATTGGCTGTTGGCCATTGAGTAGGCTTCAGCAGGACCTGGAGCCTAGTCTTCAATAGCCTAAAGCTAAGACTTGCTGCTAGTGGACGGATCTCTAACAGACGGCTCTGCTTTGGCATGTATCGTCGAAATCATATTGTACTTCAGATTTCAATTGATCGTTACTTGTTGCAATCGAACCAAGAAGATTTGGGATGACTTGCTCTTTTTCGTAGTCCTATACTATAGAGAGAGCGATCTCCTTAAGATGTAGTGATGATAGGCTGTCTGTAAAGTATTGAATCAGAGATGATAGACCTTGATAATGTTACACACACAATGAACTTTTTAGTCTTCTTATGAATAACTAAATAGAAAAAGAAACCCCGCTGGCTTTCCATCATTCTCGCTCATCTCAGCAGCTTTATCAGCTATGACGCAGACTATGTGATTAAACATCTTTATTCTGGAAGAATAAAGCGTAACCGAGATGTAATCAAGGTTTTGTCCAAAGAATAGCTGGTAGAGATTCCCACTCCATTGGACAGGCTGAGCTTAGAAAAGTGTGATATATCTGGTGGTGCTCAATCTAACTTGAACTAGAACATCTCTTCCTACATGTGGTTCTCTGTCTCTTAGCTATATTGTAGCCCTGGTGTGACACCTGTATATGCTCGTTGGTGACCGAGAGAGATTTTTTAAATATATTTTCAGGTACATACTGGGTTCCCTTCAAAATTGATGAATCCGTTGAGCGGTGTACGAATTAGACCCTTAACGGTGCAGAGATCAAACTGGAACGAGCATGTCTGACGAATTGGCTTGCAAGGATTTATACGTGTCAGCAAACATTCCGAATTAGATGTAATCCAACTCGGCAATTGAACGTGGCCGAACGCCGCTGATATCTGATATGAGGCGTTGGCAACCAGGCCTCCTGGCGGAGTGTCCGCCTCTTTGGAGGAAAGATACTATTTGTGGAGTATGGGAGACGATCACATCTTGCACCCCAGCCCTTTGAATCGGGCCTCATCTGCACAATTTCAATTCACCTCACCTTTGACGTTGCTGTCGTTGGCAGGCTTCCCGCCATGATTTCTACAGGGCACTTTCAAGCCAGAGATACAAATGGTTGATGGTCTTGGCCACGGTCTTATGGGTCCAATGCTTACGGTGTACCTGCCCGTCGAGAAGAACCAGGATAAAATAGCTAAAAAGAAACACTTAGATGCTCAGCATCAGACATTTGTGACCAAACATCACTGCTGTGACACCAACAATTGACCCAGTAACCTTAAGATCCTGCCCTTCAGAAGTTTCGACGATACAGTTGGGCAGTGCTAGCGGCGGCCGGCACTACTGAGCAGAAGTCACGGGTCAACTACAAGAGGTCCACTATTGTGCAATATCAATAATCCCACAGCCACAATCGCCAAATCTTCACATCCTGACAAAGCCATGAGTGTTAGGAAGCCTCCAGCACGATGGCTCTGATGACGGAATCAACCATTTCACTCACGCGTTGTACGAGCTATAGAGCGTACGAGATTCGGAGCGGGATTCTTCTATAAGAGATGGCATACGGACTCCTCTCGAAGATGTTGCTTGCTGATATGTTAAGTGCGGTAAACTCACAAGATGTTGTATCAAACTCTCCTGTGGGCCACCTTCCTGGTTTGTGCTACTGTTGAAGCTCAAGATGCTACTGATAGCAAGGTCATCGATCTCTATCCATATTCTACCCCTTCGTGCCATACTGACACTTGGACAGCTCGGCCAGCTCCAGGCTGCTACAATTGATACAGAAGGGCAAACGGAAACAACAGACAACGGTGTCCAAGCGAATTCCAACAACTCTCTAAGAGCAGGTCCGAGAGGATATGTCTTATTAGAGGATACTGTGGTGCGAAAGAAGTTGCTGCACTTTGACAGGGAGCGAGCTCCCGAACGTAAGTCAGGAAAGATCTTTCCAAACCTATCCACAGGTTGGCGACAATTTGGCTCACTTCTTATTAGGTGTTGTACACGCGCTAGGCCATGGTGCGTATGGCATGTTCCAATCTTATGCCGACTGGAGCAACTTGACAATGGCCTGTTGGTTGCAAAATAATGCAACTAGCGAGGTCTTCACAAGATTTTCCGTTGTTGTTTCAAGCACGGGTGGAAGTGAGGTCCAGAGGGACACACATGGTTTCGCGACGAAGATATACAGTCAGTGCGGCAATCAGGATCTGGTTGGCAATCACGTCCCATCATTCTTCATCAATGATGGCTCCGAGTTTCCTGATTTGGTTCACTCTGTGAAGTTTGAATCGGACAAAGGCTTCCCAACAGGCGGCTCTGCGCATACCACTGCTTATGACTTTTTCGCTCAACATCCAGAAGGCGCAGCTCAGCTTATGTACGTGCTCTCAGACCTGGGTCTTCCAAGAGACGTACGACATATCAGTGGCAACGGCGTACATACATATCGCTTCATCAATGGGCAAGGCAACTCTACATTATTCAAATGGTACTGGTTACCGGTTCTTGGCCATCGAAGCTTGGTGTATGATGAAGTCACCACCCTGGCTGGGAAGAACGCCAACTTTCAGCGTATTGACCTCTACAACAATATTGCCAACGGGATTTTTCCTGAGTGGGAGTTTGCTGTGCAGCTATTCCCAGACGACGGCACGTACATGTGGCAGGGTTACGACCTGACCGAGCCAACTCAGATTATACCCTTCGAGGATAACCCGCCAATGAAACTGGGAAAGCTTACACTGAATCGCAACCCAACTAATTTCTTTGCGGAGCCTGAATCAGTCAGTTTTGCTCCATCAAATGTGGTTGACGGTGTCTCGTGGGTTCCAGATGCCCTCTTGCAATGGCGTTTGATGGCATACGATGACACATCGACCCATCGACACAACAGTCCGAACGGCTACACTCTCCCAATCAACAGACCCATTGCTCCGGTCTACAATAATTATCGAGACGGATACATGCAGCCCTCGCTGTTCAAAGGAGAATCTACTTCAAGCCCAGATGGTCTTGGTGGCGTGCAACCTGCCGGGCCCGCACAGGCCCTCATGTATGCTGGAATCTCTGGCACAGGCAAAATTGGTCGATACCGAAACCTGAATTACGACTGGGCGGCTCAAGCCCGAGCTTTTTGGGGCACTCTGGACGCATATGGCCAGCAGCACCTGGTCGATGGTTATCGCTTCGAGCTGGGCCATGTTACTGACCCCAACGTTACCATGACCTACATCAACACCATTCTCAACCCAATCGACAATTGCCTTGCCCGAAGGGTTGCATACGGGATTGGGGCTGTGATGCCCGCACTGGGAACTGGCGGCCCCATAACTCAGCCTGGAAGTAACAAAAGCTACCCATCCCTCTATCCTCTCAACCCTGGTGTGGAGTCCAACAAATCCAATGCTGGTCTCACGGTTGCCATCATAGCCGACGACAACATGTTGACTGTGTCTGATTTACAAGCCATGGAGCCAATCCTTTCCTCACAACAAGTTGGATTTGATATTGTTGCCCCTCATGTAGGGATGCTCGCATCAAGTGTGAACGCCACAAGTTCCTACACTCTCACGAGCGAAGTCATGTGAGTCAAAGTGTCCTTTGAATGAAAATCCCGAGGCTGATCAAGAATCGATAGGTATGACGCCGTATTCATTGGGTCTTCTGCCAATGGAAGCATCTCTACGACGCCTAACTCGATGGCAGCAAGCCACTTCATTCTTGATGCTTATGCCCATGGGAAGCCAATTGCGGCGCTTGGCTCCAACGGAGCACAACTTCTCCAGCATCTACAGCTAAATGCCAATTCATCCATTGGCCTGTATACCGGGAACGTGCCAACGGTGACAATGAACGTCCTGAATGCGTTGAGTGGGCCAGCCAGATTCTTCCAGCGCTTTCCAGTGGACGACCCAGCGATTTGTTTGTAAATCAGTGTGATGGATCTCGCGAGTGTGTGGAACTCATGTTTATCACCTCGCACGGTTCAAGTGACATAGAAATATCAGGCGATGAAGACACTGAATCCCTCATTTCCCCCCTGAAGTCTTCATTGAAGCATAGAGAGGATATAGCAAACCACAACGAATAGGAATCCGGAAAGACACCCGCTAAGCATACCCAAGTAGGCGCTCTAATGTCAAAAAGCTTCGCTCTTGTCAAGGGCATGCTTTCCACATCGTGTCTCTAGACTCCCAAGTCACAACGAGTCCCACCTCCGAGACCAAAAGGTCTCCATGTCACCGGTCCAAAAGAAAAGTCTGGTTAAGCCCTTTACATCGGCCCAAGAGCGATATTCCCCAAAACGCTGACGAAACTGCCACAGAACATCAAGGCCCTGTGGCAATAAAGTCCCGTCATAACCGCCCATCCGCCATGCATCGATTAGCATCAGCCACATCCATGCTATACATTGCCGCTCAATCCCCAAGGCCGGCTGAAACGGGACGAGTCTTTCCCAGAGCTGTATCATCATGGCATTGTACACTGAGAATTGAGGATATCGCAAGGTGCTGAAGCCACACCAGGCGAAGAGTGACAGTGCCAAGACCAACATCTTCTCAAAGAGATTGTGTATATTATCGGGTACGAGGAGAATAGGCACGCTGTCAAGGTAGCAATGATACTTTCTTAATGTTTGTCGGCGCCCCGCGAAGAACATCTTTTGCGATTGTGTGAGTGCCACACATGTGGTGCCAAAACCAAGCCTGCAAGCATTGACGAGGACGGAGATCGTGTCTTGGGTGATCGGTTTCTCCCGGATAAGGAGGTCAAAGCCAAGAGGAAGCCGGATTTGCTTGGGCAAAGGTGTGGATGCATATATTTCTTCGTATTGTCGGCGCTTGAAAGCGGATTGGCCAGTCTTTAGGGCAAAGGTTGTGTCGCTGTACAGGGCCACCATATCTGCTACTCTCAGCCCGGAAGGGAGCTCTAGATGTCCTTTTTCTTGCCCCAAGAACTTTAGAGCTGACAAATGCAGCCTGTATGATTCGAGGTTGCCTAATGCTGCTTCGATTGTGCTCAGGCACACGATGGCGAATACCAGAGCTTCACTTAAGCAAAAGTTGGGTTGATTAAGAAAAGCGCGGACTCTTTCCATCGCCTTGCCTCGGTGTCTAAGCACAAGCATGTTGGGGTTCACCTTGGATTGGCGGTGCATCGTGTGGGTGAGGTGGAGCTGACTCATAATCGCATGGTAAGAGACTGGGGAAGTCTGCTAAACAGATCAGAACCAGTTTTGGTGGAAAAGAACATCGAGAATTCGACAGCAATCTAATCGTGAAGAGAGCTCCAAAGAAATAAGTAAAGTTGATAACTTACGAGGGTTGGTAGCAGGAAATGAAAAGCACCTGAATTATTGAATATCTCGTTCGCAACATCAATGCCAGGTAATGTAACCTCAACAAAGAAGTCTAGGGCCTGAAAGTCACCTGCTTGTGCATCGGGTGGAAGAAGATTGAGGAGCTCGCTTCGGAAGCTGCCGAAACCGGGGTATATCGATGTTGTTAGGGTTGGGTCGATGCCCGTGAAGACTTTCGATCCCCAAACTCCCACATCTTCATTGGCGCCATCGCGAGCATCATATTGTCCTGTTACGACCTTGTGATGTTTCCTCGGATGGGCATATGAGGCCTTTGCAGCATGCGAGCGCGCTGCCGCGTTCTGCAGTTCACGTTCTCTTTTCGAAGACTGATTAACCGGGCCAAGGATCAAAGTACGCATGATATCAAGTTCGCTTTTGGATTTCGCTTCATGGAGAAAAAGAACATCGAACGTGGCGAAGGAGAACAAGCGATCGTACTTGCTCAGCATGTTCGAGCCGTACTGCTTCATATTGTTTTGAATGAATGGTTTGTCTAAGCAGCATTACCAACTTAGATCGTCTGCCTCACTTAAAGTCTGAACGTAGATAACTCTAAACCTGAATGGACCACTCAGACGCCAACAAGCACCAGGTGTTATCCACACTCCATGCATTGATGGCTCAGTTCCGGCTCAGGGCGGGGAAAACTTAATTTAACCTAACGCACTTGCAATATTGTGAGAAGCGAGGCTGCTACTCCTCATTTCCTTACAGCGCTTAGGGCCCATCAGCTGTCATTTGTTGTCAGCTGCAGTCCCGTGTACGAGGTAGACAAGTCTTGATTCTGGGGCTATCACGTTGAGTCGTGCCCCACTAATATCGGCGTCTGATTCCATCATCCTCATGTGGAGTTACACCCCACTAATCGGCATCTGATTCCATAATTGTTGTGGAATCAATACAGCACGTGGCTGCCTACGCTTTCCATGGGGCAGTGGCACTTGCCTCGAGCACCCATGGATGTAGTGACTTGCCGTCGGGCATCCCAAGGAACTTGCCTAGAGAATCAATCCATTTACCGCAGTCGGTGGCCTTCCCAATGATCCTCACGAAAACCCCGCTTATCTGGGATGGATGCAGGAAAGCCAAAAAGAGGTCTACACGGCCGTAAAATCCGAAACTCTGTATCTTGAGACTGGCTCTGATGGTTTGAGAAAGTCAGGAGAGCTACCACTACTCGCTTTGGCATCTCTAGTGTGCGAGACGGCAATCTTACCATTGGGTTGAACCACGGCTACTTGTACCCAGTGGACACAAAACCCGAATCAATCGACCCTGAGTCTGGTAGCTACTTATCATTGGCCAAGAGCTGAGGCCTCCAGAATCTTTCATTCAACCCCTGGGGATCATTTGTTTGAGACTGGGTATGAGAAAATAGAAGCCGAGTCGTAGATCGCGACAGTCAGCGAATTAGTCTCAACCCTCGGGTCTGGTGGACCTGGTATTCATATGGATGAAAATGTCTGCAATATCCAGCAACGGAAGAGAGATCTAAAACGAATCAGGGCTGAAGCCCTGGAAATTGCAGTGAAAATGGCATTTTGCCAAGTATCTTGTCAACCCCAGACTAATAAAACCACCAGGGTTCTGTTGACTCCTGAAGAGAAGCTGAAAATAGGAGGGCAACCACATTGTGCCTAGGTCCACGAAGGGCGAAAAAAGGTTGGCGATGCCTGTTCACACTCTACATCCAACAACCGAGGACGTTTGAAGGGAAAATCCTATCAGGGAAAAGCGTTCCGCGAACAGGGACATTGAAACCAATATCGCTTTCTTCGTGTGCTCCCTTGCGCCCTGCTTGTTTGTCTTCGGTACATCGACGGGGTCCGATGAACACTACCGAACCTACTTTCTGCATTTACTAACTTCCCATTGATTATGAAATCATCTTTGTCACAGCCTTTTTGAATTGTTATTTGTGCTAGAGTTGTTGATAGCTACGAATAGCGTGATGTCGGAAGATAGCACTACATGCGGGACTAATTACAGCGAGGCCTGGTGGTCTGGCTCCGGCACGATTGCACAAGCTGCAAAGGCTAGAGCATGCAGGGTGGTTTACGGGGTCTACACACATACTAACACTAATCCAGATGTCATTTTGAAAGCGGTTTAGTCCTATGGCTGCAGATGGTTGACCTACCAGCTGTCTCGCTCCGATTCATTTATCAATGGCATCTTACCTCATCTTTCTGACTGAGCAGACAAGATCGTCATCTCCTAGAGACCGCAGACTCGCTTTACCTATTTCTTGACGTATATAGTTTCCCATTACCATGCAGCTACTCTTCATCGACAACAAAGAACAGTTATCAAGGAAAGATTACGAGCTTCGAGATGCAGCGGCACGCTCACATGCCGCGACGTTTTCTCATCGATACTCGAAAAGGTGGATCAAAGCAAAATCAAGATTACCACCTCGTCCTGGGACGAGGGACACGCGCACCAAGCCCATCAAGACAGCTGATCACAATAACTCACAAGAAGCTGCGAGCACACCGCTTGTGGAGGATTCTGAGGACACCAACGCTGCTGGTGAGGCTGATATTGACGCTGATGCGGTTTGGTCTGCCGCTGAGATCATGCTTATGCTATTGCCACAAAGCATCCTGATCAAAGGACAATCGGATCCATTTGACGCATCCCCAGTTCGAATCGATTCGAAGGCCCACGAACTCATCTTGTACTGGAGAAACGAATATCTCTTCCCACGACATCATGTGAATGCGAAGACATGGTATCAAAGTGCGAGCGCAGTCTCGGATTGGCAAGATGCACGATGGTCTCTATCGGATCACGGTCTCGGATACGCTCTGCTCGCACAAGTGAGCGCCTCGATAGCCCTAACGGTAGAATCGAGACAACATCTTGAACTGGCACTCGTTTACTTACACCGAAGTACTGTTGCTCTTCGAATGCGACTCGAGAACAGAAAAGAAGACTTGGACTCTTTCAGACTTTTCCGACATGTGGCTCTGCTGCAAGGCGTCTCAACATTTGCCCGCAATCGGACGGCTGCAGTCACTCATGGGGAAATGCTCAAGCGTCTATATGACGCATGGCTCGCTCGAGAAAAGAGATTCGAAGTGAAAATATTGTTGTTGACCTTATATGCCGACGTACATATGGCCACCACATTTCTGGTTCGACCACACTTCAAGCCCTCAGAGAAGCTAATTAAGGCCTTCTACGAAGCTAGTGGTGCTCCACCCAGAGAAGAGTGCAACGTGCCCATCAGCCTCACGCAACGTCTAAACGGTCAGATAGTAGACACGAAATCGGAGGACGTTATTCTCATGTGGACCCAAACTCTCGCGATCACATCTTTCTATGGCCGAAGACTATGGACCTTCATGAATCAAATCGATCTGGTCAATCGCATTTTAGATGCCGAAGACAAGGCCAATCGACAACATGACCCAACGAATGCAACTTTCTTTCATACACAAGCCTACATCTTGCTGGCAGCACTCTTCTTCATCCGTCTATCTACTATGCCGGAACATTTTGTCACAAAATCCCACTTCTCTGCTCATGCAGCTCTTCTCAGCAGACTGCGCTACCATCTCGAAATCAGTGACAGCTTGAAAGATTGGCACGTTTACTCGCAGGCAAGATTATGGGCGTTGTTTGCTGGCGCACAGTCTGAATATCAAGCAGCTCTATTAAATAAGCAACCCCGTGCTTTGGCGTCTCAAGGCTGGTTCAACATACAATTGGCGAAGCAGTCAAGGAGGTGTGAACTGCTGACTTGGGTCAGTGTCAAAGAAGTACTAGAAGGCTTCATGTACTTCGCAATGGTGCCGGATCCGTCTGAATGGTATCGTGAGCTGATGATGGTTCAGTTGACTGTGGGGACGGAGAGCCGATCCCAGTAGCTGAAGGAGACCCATCGTATTTACTTGAGCGAAAAGCAGACAGAAGTTCACCATACACCTGCGCTAGGCTTTAGATGAACTTATCACCTGCCCTGGGCCCTTGGCTTTGCTTCGCTTCCGATTCATCTTTCCCAATCTGGCTCTGCCGGCTATCCTAGGGGGTTTACGTGTGAGTGGCTTGGCAGATCGCGATTCCCGAAGCGATTGTCGACGGATACGCTCTGGCTGAAACGGAACTCTATCGACCGGATCGTGGCTGCGTGATTTTAGCACCACGAGCCTTTTCAGCTGGAAGCAGGAGGACGAATTTCATTGCATCGCGTATACTACGGAATCATTCTTCGCTCACGAAGATACCCTCGTCCAAGATGAGATGTCTTGAACGTTTCACCATGTCACCATCTCAAAGCTGGTACTTGAAGCCAGGAGACCGATCGGTCCATTCACCATCAGGGACAACATAGCCTTCAGCCACCAGCCTTGCCTTCTTCGCCTCTCTATGCCTGTAGATGAAGAAGAGGATCCACCAGCAGACGAAGCCGAGCCCGATGGAGGCCAAGCTCCAGCCATGGCCGAGGAGGAACCGGGGCGCGGAAGTCGAGCGGTAGATCTGCCCGGCGATGATGCCACCGACGTTGGCGAGTCCCAGGTGCACACCCATGGCGGCGGCACGTTTCCCGTCCGGCGCGATGTTCATCCCGTGCCAGGCGATGCTCGTGCCGGTGATAATGTAGCAGCACGACGCGATCATGTAGGTCGCGCCGTACCAGACGCTGGCGTGTTGCTTGGTGAGCAGGATCGCGTAGCCGGCCATGCCAATGGGCGCCGAAATCACCATGGCCAGAAAGTAGGCTTTGAATCTCTCAGAGAGCACGGCAGCGATGAAGTAGCAGACCGCCCCGACGATTTGGACTGGAGAGCTATGAGTTAGTGGACGAAGACAGGGGAGAGAGAATCTAGTGTTTGTGTACCTGGAATAACATAGTACTGTGATTTCTTGGTGGAATAGTTGAACCCGTCCTTGAGGATGATGGGAAGGAAAGTCCCAAACCCTGTCAAATGAGATCAGTAAAGGCCAACTATCAGGATAAAGCGCAAGAGTGATTACCATAAATGATGGTCGACATGAGAATCTGATTGAATCCGTGCAGCCAGGTCTTGATATCAAGCAAGGCATTCTTCACGTCTTTCCTGGTATACTTGCCGTCACCGCCACTGTATGATTCCATGAGCTCCAGCCGCTGCTTCTGCACGGCTTTGTCCTCGTCGGTGAAGAAATAGGCGGTCGAGTAGGACCGAGGAATCAGGAAGTAGCACACAAAGGCAAAGACGATGGTGACGATTCCTTCGATGATGTACAGCCTGTGGTCTCGTCAGGAAAGGGGGGTCTTCAGAACTTGCAATGTCTCGCTCACCAGCGCCATCCAGGGTACCCAGCTGTGCCGTCCATGTACAGGATGGCAAAAGCGATCAGCCCGCCAAAAGCTCCAGACAGAGCCGAACCAACTAGGGTGATCCCCGTTAGTTTTCGAGATGGAGAGATCGAGGCAAAGTACATACTATAAAGGTAGCAAACGCGTTGGCCGACTTCTTCACGCCGATACCAGTTCAACAGGAACATCGTCATCGACGGGAATAGACACCCTTCAAACGTGCCCAAGAGCAGCCGGCAGACGATCAACCCGGCGTAATTCTGGATGAAGCCCATGCACATGCACACAAGGCCCCAGCAGAAGACGAGGACAGGGATGACTCGATAGAATTGGAGGCGCTTGACAAACATTGTGGACGGGAACTTGTTCATGTTAGCCAGGGTTGCTGGGTGTTAAAGGCTGTCCCCCTTACTTCGGATAGAATGTATGTGAGATAGAAGATCGAAACCGCGGTCTAGTATAGATTTGTCAGAGATTGCTGCATTCACACAAGGTTGTCTCTACAACTCACATTCAATTCGTTGCCGGTGAGCCCGATGTCCTTTGTCATGCCCTGAGTCGCGGCGAAACCGATATTGCCACGGTCGAGGTAGCTGATCAGCATGAGCAGCAGCATGACCGGCGTGATGTACATGTCCAGCTTCCGGACGACGCGTTTTTCCTTCTTGATGAACTCCTTTTGCTCCGAGGTGAGTGCGTGCTCGCCATCGCCGGCGAACTCCTCGAGGTGCACATTGCCCTTCAACTCTTCGAGATTCTGTGCCAGGGAGCTCATTGTGAATGACCTACTCGTTGAGGAGCTCACGGAGCAGTGAGGTCGAAGGGGTAGGCTGTAGATGAAAGCTTCGTTATACGAAGAAAGAGATCTCGACGGAGAGTTCGGGACAGACAAAGACAAAGAACGCCCTCAGAGCATGATAACTTGCCTTGGGCCCGGGGGGCTGGGCCCCATGGGGACAGAGATCACAAAACATGGGGTCTGGGAGAGCCACCAGAGACCTAGAACTTTGGAGATCGCGTAGTGCTGATAGAAAGAATAGATGGAATTGGAGAATGCATCCGCCAGATCTGAACTGCAGCAGAACAGGCCCAAGCGACATGACTCGTTCTCTTTTGACATTGGATGAATCGTGTCTTATTTCGCTTAACCAAACCGGCCATGTGCACAAGTGTAGCCTCACGCGGGAAGATCGGGAACTCACCCCCGGTGAAAGGCTGCTTGAACGCCCCTATCTCAACCTACTCCAACACCTGTTGAGATGCGTGAGCGGTGTATCTTTGGAGATCTATCACGTCTGCTGGCACAGAGGGCATGGAGAACATTGGGGAGGTACTTCTGCACAGTGCTAGCCTTGTGTTGGAGCCCATTGCACACGCTTGCGGTTCCGTCCCGGACGGTCTTCAGGATTGCTAGTCTCCAAAGCAGTTACCTGAAGGGAGTAACCTAAAACAGGTTAAAGAAGTTCTGCACGCTGCCTGTGCGTGTTTTCTGGACGTGGTTCGGCTCACAAGACTCAACCAACCTCCTTTTTCCACGTGACGGTGCTTCACACTCGGCAAATTCGGCATCCACCATGTTGGCTGGGGAGCTCTTGTTATTGGAGGCATACTAGTCCGGGGGAGGAGGCGGTGGAAGCGGAGGAAGTGGAGACGGGATTACTGCGGAGGTGGATTCGACTAGTGTAGTACTGAGTAAGGACATATATGATGCCGTGCCGGAGAGTGTCCGGAGGTCCTTTGCTCTCAACTCGGTTCCTTAATGGAAAGATCGACCTGCCATGTTAGTTAATGGTCATTGGTCTCGTTGACACTGTTAGCCGTGCAGTTGGAGAAGCAGTCTCGGCGGCGGCTAGCATTGTGGTCAATGACAAGCCTGTGATGTTGGGGTACCTCGGATAGATGGTTTCGAGGGGGGTTGGATTGGTCTACTACCCCCATATGCTTCTGAGGCGACACCTACCGTCTGGGCATGACGATTTCGGAGATCAACAAACAGCTGGCTCGTCGACGCGGAGTTTGGCTGAAAAACATCCTCAATAGTAGATACTCGACCTCTGCATCACACCTTGAACGCTCATAAACGCATTGAACAAGACAGACCATGTCGTTGCCCGTTCGCCTCTCTCCGGTCGACGCTCCCAACCTGCAAAATGGGGCAGCCTCTCCCAAAGCAGGCTGGGGGTCTGACTATATCGCACGCCAACTGGCGAAGCTGCATATCCCGTACTTCGTGATAGTCCCCGGGTCGTCTTACCGCGGGCTCCATGACAGCCTGGTCAATCTCAACGGCAACGCTTCGCCTGAGATGGTGGTCTGCCTGCATGAGGAACACGCCATTGCCATTGCCCACGGCTACGCCAAGGTAACGGAGAAGCCGCTGGCATGTGGTCTGCACGCCAACGTGGGCTTGATGCACGCGTCCATGGCGATTTTTAATGCCTTTATCGATCGAGTGCCCATGGTGATCTTGGGCGCCGGCGGCCCGTTCGACACGACGAAACGGAGACCGTGGATCGACTCGACGCACACGGCTGTCGATCAGGCCGCCTTGGTCAGGAACTATACGAAGTGGGACGATCAGCCTGCGAGTGTCAATTCGGCCATCCGCAGCGTCATCAAAGCCACCGCCGTGGCATCCGTCAAGCCCTGCGCTCCAACATATGTGGTTCTGGATGTCGCTCTTCAGGAAGGGGAATACGACGAGAAGGAGGTCCGATATCCCGACACTGAGAGATACCTGACGCAGCAGTCAGCAGGTGCCAGCCCAGCTGATGTGAAGAAAGTTGCACAAGCCTTGCAGCAGTCCAAGAAAGCTTTGATCATGTTTGGCAGGATGAACAGGACGCAGAAAAGCTGGGACGAGAGGATCAGACTCGCTGAGATGTTTGATGCGAAGGTTATTAGTACGTACCAGCCATATCTGTTGCAGCCGGGCCAGGAGGTATTAACCTTTTGCTTCTAGCCGATATCAAACAACCAGTCGCCTTTCCCACCACGCACCGATTACATCCTGCAGCGCCTGCGCTTTTCCTAGCTCCTGAGGGCTCCAATCTGATCAAGGAGGCCGATCTGATCATTTCCTTCGACTGGGTAGATCTCGCCGGGTTCTTCACGCTGGCTCACGGTGAGTTGATCGAGCCCAAAGCGAAGGTGATCGAGATCTCCGTCGACAGCCAGCTCCACAATGGCTGGTCGAAGGATCATTTTGAGACACCCCCAGCCGACATCAGCATCTTCGCCGACCCGGACAAATTCATCACCGACCTCGTGGCCGAGCTCGAGTCTAGCAAACTCTCTGGCTTCCCGAACTCGGCGTGGCCCGCGACGCAGCCGTCATCCTCGCAAAAGCCGGTGAATCTCGACAGCGAAGAAATATTCCAAGCAGACCTCGCCTCCGCTCTCTACGCCGCCATCAGCCCCGAAGACATGTGCATCATCCGCCTGCCGCTGAGTTTCCGGGGGATTGATCTCCTGGCGACGCACCCACTGGCGTACCTGGGCATGGACGGCGGAGCGGGCATAGGGTCCGGGCCGGGTCAAGCTGTCGGTTCGGCGTTGGCGTTGAAGGGAACGAAGTACGTGCCGGTCGCAATCCTGGGCGACGGCGACTTCCTGATGGGCAATTCTGCCATCTGGACGGCAGCCCGGTACCGTGTCCCAGTGTTGATCATCGTCTCGAACAACGGCAGTTTCTACAACGACGAGGTGCACCAGGAACGTGTGGCGAACACACGCAGTAGGCCGGTGGAGAATAAGTGGATTGGCATGCGACTGGACGATCCACTTCCAGATATTGGGAAGATTTCGGAAGGATTCGGCCTGAAGGCACTGGGTGGCCAGATCGCGACACGAACTGATCTGAAGGCAAAGTTGGAGGAAGCCGTCAGATTGGTCAGAGACGAAAAGGAGGCGGTGGTATTGGACGTCAGAGTCAGACCTGACGATTACCTGAAAAACTGGGGGGCGAGTAACATTGTCAAGAAGTGAGGCGGTGGGGAGAGATGCTAGATCAGCTTTGGATTTGTTTTACAATTTGCATCTGCATTATACGGTAGAAGGAGGGTTGGTGAGCTAGACGTGGTCGTACTAGAAGGGTATGAGGACAATGTGCATCACAGAATATGTTTCATCATTGTTGATTCCTTCTCAAATTTGCATGGTCTAGAGTGCAAACGATAAGAGTTCGGCACAGGCAGGCCTACACCGGAAGGCACAAGACATTGATCTGGGGATCCTGGGAGAATAGATATACATCCACATAAGTTTACTCTACTCTGATCTCTCACTACGCAATGTCACGGTAACCCAACCCTCATGCTCGTCTTCTCATTCAAACCCCAGGCATAGCTCGAATCATCATGGACCGTGGTCCTCCTCATGTCTCTGCGGTATTTGCCCTCATACGCACCGCCGTGGGCACGATGCATCACAGACGTGTTGTCCCACAGGATCAAGTCTCCCGGGTTCTGCCACTCCACCGACAGGATATACTTGTCCTGGCAAGCGTGCTCCAGTAATCTGTTGATCAGCGCCGTGCTTTCTGGCTCCGGCAAGCCCTCTACGTGGTGCATGTGGTTGCCGATGTACAGCGTCTTGCGGCCCGAGCGTTCATGCGTCTGCACCACCTTGTGACGAGAGTAGTAGCCTTTGTCCGGGTCGACGTCTCCGAAGTATTCGGGGGCGGCTTTCCTGCGTGAGTGCAGCAGAGAGTGGCAGACAACATAGTCGTTTTCGTCCAGCTGCTGTTTGAGGTCGGCGGGCAGCTCGTCGTAGGCGGCCCGGCAGTCAGCAAAGTCGGTGTTCCCCCCAAGGCCTTGGCCGGGAGGAGGGATTTCGTGAGCGCGTAACAGCGAGAGCCCAGCCCTCCGTGGGTTGAAGGAGGAGTCATGATGGAAAAGATTGTTGCCCTGGCACTGTGGTCAAAGGACGTCCCCAACACCCAAGGTTCTGGTCAGGGAATACCTTGCCGTAATACCACCGATGGCTTCCCGGTTTCACCAAGCTGTTATCTTCCTCGATATTTCCCACATCAAACAATTCCTTGTGCTTAAAGCGAAACGGACGGCCCGCTTGGATGTGCGGGAGAACATCATCCAGCTCACCCAGCCTCTCAGAGAACTGGATGTGGAGTTCATCATTCAATTTGGCATGGCGAAAGACCAAGGCACCATACTTGTATAAATCAGCCTTGTGTATTGACGTGTTATTGACCACAGAATGGTTCTGCTCACTTGGTTGACGGCTTTCCAGAGTTCTTGGAAGACGTCTTCCGGCACGGGGCGAGAGAAGTCCACACCCGACACCTCAGCGCCAAAGGTCGGGTGGAGTTCTTTGACTTGAATGAGGCTATAATCAACAGCGTGTGGCATGTTGGGCTTGATTCTTAAGACGCGAATAACTGTGCTCTGATAATCTGCACCAAAAGGAGTTTGCACGAGCCGGCTTTGTCATTCTGTACGGTACCTTCAACGTGTGTGCATTTTATCCATTCAAGAAATCCGAGGTTAGCCCACGTTGCTGCGTCTCCAAGTTCTCGACAAAGGCGTGGTATGACGACCTTTGCCCCTTTTCGCACTGTCGGGGTCATGGCAGCCTCGGTGGAGAAGAAGCCATGGTCGTCTCCAATGCTTCCTTCTCAGCAGCGTCAAGGCTTGGAGAACACAGGCCTGATTACACCAGCAGTGAAGATTGGGGAAAGCATCACGGAACATTCCTCTATTCACCTGACGTGACTGTCCTGCGAGGCTGCAAACCCCGATAACCATTCTCTAGATCAAGCAGTGCTTCTGTATCACCGCAGGTCCCTCCACCATGTCCCTCACTCGTTGCCAACCATGTCCCCCAGCACTCAGTTCGCCGTCCCAGCTGGAGCGATTGCCCAGCTGCGGATCATCGACTCAACCACTAAGATCAAAGGTCTTCCCTTGGACTACCTCATGACACCCCCAATGCCTGGCATGGAAGTCTTGCCGGAAGCTCCGACCTGGTCATTCCTGATAGAGACTGACACGGGCCGCAAAGCACTGTTTGACCTGGGCGTTCCGCCGAATTGGAGAGATTTTTCACCTGTCGTGGCAAAGCCTCTCCAGACTCGGGGCTGGGGTGAGCCGTCTGGGGAGAAGCACGTGGCTCATATCCTGGCTGACGAAGGCATTGACATTTCAAGCATCAACAGCATCATTTGGAGGTGAGTGGAATGGGGCACCGTGCATCTTATTTGTCATTGACGTTGACGGTCCGGACACGAAGTCACTGGCATTATGATCACATAGGGGACCCTTCCACGTTCCCTCCATCCACCGAGTTGGTTGTTGGGCCAGGATTCAAAACAGCCTTCTTACCGGGGTGGCCGGCCAGACCCGACTCTCCTGTACGTGAGAGTGACTTCCAGTAAGTCGCCCCCAACTCCGGGCCGCGCTCAGAGCTCAGTCCTTTCATGTAGTGGACGGCAAGTACGAGAGATCAGCTTCCAAGAGCCAGACACCCTCCAGATCGGGCAATTCAGAGCCTTTGATTTCTTCGGAGACGGTTCTTTCTATTTGCTTGACACACCCGGCCACGCAATCGGGCATTTGGCAGGCTTAGTAAGGACGACTGCCGACACGTTTGTCATGATGGGCGGCGACCTCTGCCACCACGGTGGTGAGCTGCGTCCGTCCAAGCTCTTGCGTCTTCCTTCCAAAGTCTTTTTGCCCAATCTGGTACGGTATCCTGGGTGTATGTGTCCCGGTGCCGAGCTCGAGGCCATTCAAACGAAGCGGTCACGAGCACCAGACGAACCGTTCTTCGACCCGGCTATAGGCTATGACATTCCCGAAACCATTCGTACGATTCAGAAGGTCCAAGACGCAGATGCTGCGGATAATGTCTTCTTCATATATGCACACGACAGCACCATCGGAGGCATAGTCGACCTATTTCCGGGACTGGCGAATGACTGGATGGTGAAAGGGTGGCGGGAGAAGGCGTACTGGCGGTTTCTGGAGGACTTTGAGGGAGCACTGGAGGGAAACTAGAGCTTGTAAACGAGACAACAGGTTGTAAAGCTTGAGACCAACCAGTCTGTTGTTTGATTGCTAAGAGCATTCGTTGCTGGTTGTGACCTGGAATTTTAGATGGATAGCTTCTCGACGAAAGGACTCGAACAGGGAGACTTACCTACACTGGGTCACAATTCCTCGAAGGCCTCCTGAGTGGATCTGAACCGGATGGGAGATGGCTTCCCTCCGACGAACGTCGTCAACCAGCTGTCTCTTCGATGAGAAACATCTGTTTCTGCCAGGGACACCCGCACGCAGACAGCGTTGCTACACGCTTTTCTCTCTTGGAGCCCGAGTAAACTCCGCTTGCTACGTCTGCTCTCCTTGCCTTGCCTGGGCCTGGACTTCTGGCCAGGCAAAGTGGAGGCTGACCGATGCTCAACAACCAATGATGATGGTCAGGGTTCGTGGTTCATGGTCACCAGAAGACGGACCCCGGGCCACCAAAAGAGCGGAGGCGTCCTTCAGGCCACGAGGATAGCCCGTTCGTCTAGACCCGGGGTTGGGGCGCAAGGGAACAGTTCCAGAAATCTCGACTCTATCGGATGTTGCTCTGGTTTCTGCTCGTTACAAGACAAATGAGAAGTTCTCGACACCGGATCGCCCCATCCCCTACCTCCCCAAAAAAAGCCAAAGTTTGACGCTCCAGAATGCCGAGTGCGGAGTTGTGAGATCCGGGGTTTCTAACTTTCCTGGAGAAAGCGAGCAATTTGGAAACACGAGCGTCACGGCGTTCCCACGCCGACCCCATGGTTTCTCAAGCGGCGCCAGGGAACATGGGATTTGGAACACCAGGTAGGTCCAGGCGTTTACGTCTGCGTGAGACCTGTGCTAGGATTTCGGTCCTGGTGACGCTCGAGGACTTCTTAATCCAGCCGATTCTCACCCCTGGAATTCAACAGATTCTCTTCTCAACCTCGACATCTTCTCAGTAACTCCTCTTCTCCCCCCGGCAAAAGACTATTCCCCTAGCATCACGATATCACTAACGGCAAGATGACGGTCGAAGGTGGACTCATCACCAGTACCAAGCAAGCCTTCAGCTTGCTCAACTTCTCCACCTGCTTTCTCCTTGCACTCGGCTCCTTCGTGTATGGCTACTTTGCTGGCATCATTGGCACGACCCTCACCAAGGCCTCGTTCCTGTCGTACATGGGCCTCATCGACGCAGACGGCAACCAAACGAAGAACGCCCCAGGCCTGATCGGAGCGATGACCGGTGTGTTCCAGGTATGCTTTGATATCTATCCTCCGCAGGCAACTCGGTACAGGATGCTGACGTCAACGAACTTGCTCAGGCTGGCGGTATCTTTGGCATCATCATTGCTGGCCACCTCGCCGACAAAATCGGCCGCAAACGCACGTCCATCTCCATTGGCATCCTCGGCATCATCAGCTCGGCCATTATCTCCGCCTCACAGAATGTGGGCATGTTCATCGCCCTTCGCTTCTTTACCGGTGCTACCGGTTTCGCCTTCCTGACTGTCATGACTGTCTACTGCGCTGAGCTTGCCCCTGCGGCTCTTCGCGGGATCTACGTCGGGTTGAACGGCGCATTGTGCGCATTGGGCTTCGCCGTCTCATCTTACTTTGGCGTGGCATTCTACAACGTCTCCAACGAGGTTCAATGGCGTGTCCCGATCGCCCTCGGCATCGTCTTCCCTCTGGTGCTCACCGTCGGCTACCTCTTTGTGCCTGAGTCGCCGCGACACCTCCTGATGGAAGGCCGGAAAGATGAGTCCCTGAAAATCATGTTGAGACAGCACGGCCATGGAGATCGGGAGGACTTTGCGCGCGCCGAGTTCTTCCAGATGGAGAAGCAGGCCGAGCTCGACATGCAAAGCGATGCGTCGTGGAAGCAGTTCTATGCCAGTCCCTCTGTCCGCCGCCGGGTGGCCATTGCAGTGGGACTCGCGTTTCTGTCCCAGAGCACAGGCAACTTGGTCATCAACAATTATGTGGGCAGATCCCAAACCCAGAGTCTACCTTTCTTCCGCAAGTGCTAATGGATGAAACTAGGGCTCAACCCTCTGGAGCAGTCTCGGGTACGACGCGTACACTCAGCTGTGTTTCCAGGCTGGCTACATCACTGTGTCACCCATTTTCAACGTGATTGGATCCGCCTTTGCGGACTACATGGGACGGCGCACGTTGCTCCTCTTCGGCCTGAGCATGTGCTTGACGTGCGTCAGTATCGAGACGGCCATGATTGCGCTGTACGGTGCGGAAGGCACCAACCGAGCAGGCCTGGCCACGGGTGCGGCAATGCTGTTCCTGTTCCAGGCCAGCTACGCGCTCTGCGGAGACGTGTGCGTGTTCATCATCGTCAGCGAGATCTTCCCCAACCATCTCCGCTCCAAGGGGAGCATCGTCGCCTACACGGCCAACGCCTTGACCAACCTGGTGTATCTCCAGGTGGCGCCGACAGCGTTTACCCACATCCACTGGCGGTTTTTCCTGGTAAGCATACAAAAGATGTACTCCTCACAAATGTCAAGTATCTGACGCAGTTGTCTTAGCTCTTCATTTCAGTCACCGCTTGCGGCCTCGTGTGGGTCTTCTTCTTCGTACCTGAAACCAAGGGCATCGCGTTGGAGGAGTTGGCCGAGATCTTTGGCGACAAAATCGCCGTGCACGCCGCAGACATCACCGTCGACCACGACGCGCACGAAGTGCATTTGGAGAAGCACAGCCAGGACGATATTGTTCCCACGTACATCACCGAGACGAACGCCACCAAGGACACGGCAGCTGTGCACATGGAAAAGTCCGAAGTGTAGACAGATCGACGCCAGGGCCGGGCTGAGGGAGGTGCCAGCAGGTGAACCCGGAAACATTGGAGTCGCAGGCTTTTCTCCGTCGATTTCCATCTTAAACCACATGCTCTGACGAAGATGTCTTGATCCACTTCAGATATTTAAGCATCGTTTCTGGTTATGCCCGGCAAGGCTGAAGAAAAGGGGCTGGGGTGAAGGGTGGAGCGGACCATTTGGGCCATTTCGGGCTAGCTTCAATTTTGACACGTGTCTCCACTACCACAAACAAAATATGTGATCACTATTCCTGCCCTGCAGCATCGAATATCAGTGGTGACAGAATTGGTGGTAATAACGAGAACATATGGGCATCTCCATGCAGCTCAGCGGGGATTCACGATTTGTCATTCAAGGCTGCATCGAGCATCTCCGCGTGGGGATCCTCTTCCTCTTCCTCCTCCGCCCCCACCACCACCTCCTTCTCTTTCTTCTTCTCCCTGAATGGTCTGGGGATCTCAGCACTAATTAGGCCCATTGCGGAGTTCGCTTTGCCGACCGACCAGTGGGATCGTCCCCAGTGGCTAGGCTACCGGGTCTGACAAAATATGGGGTCGGGATTCCAGACACCGCGAAAGCGTCTATGTCTCACTAGCAGAAGTTTACATTGCGCGTGCACGACGTAACGAAACAGGCGAACAGTGGAGAAAGCCTTGCAGTGGTACTTGGTACGGTGGCTTGAGGAAAGGAGGGCTATTTTCTGCAAGGAACATGACATGCTTTGACGCGTCCATCCATCCAGGTGATCATGGCCACAGTATGCAGGCGCTATCTATCCATGCACCCCCTGGGTGGCCCCGTTCCGAATACCACGACCACGCTCTCTTCTCAGCCTCGACAACGTGACGCGAATCCTTCACTTGGTTTTCCCGCCACCACTGACACCGTTCGGATCCTGCCCGGTCATCCAGGCACAGTACAGGTCAATCTTCCAAATCGCCCACGTGCTGTCCGGTTCGCGGCGGATGGTCCAGCGATAGACGGCGCCGGCGTCGAAGTGCCTGTCGAGCTGGTCGCGCTCGTACAGCCAATGGGTGATGCCGTTGCTGCGGACGAAGGCCAGCTGGCGGTCCGGACTGAAGTGGATGTCGAAGTTGCTTGATTGCAGATGGCACTGGGCGTACTGGGCGACCTCGGGGCCCCAGGCCCAGGCGCCCAGCCCCTTACGGCCAAAGTGCTCGCCGAACGCGTACTTGACGTGCGCGTCCTCGGTGAACAGGTCCTCCCACTGCTGCAGCGCCGCGGGGTCTGTGAACGCCTGGTCATGCAGCGCCGTGTAATGGTCGATCAGGTGCCGTACCGCCTCGACGTCCTCTTGTGCTTGCAGCCGGCGCTCCAGCTGGGCGACTTTTTCGGTGAGGGTGGCGATTTTGGAGGTGTAGTCTGGTTCAATGCTGCCCATCTTGGTAAATTAGTTCTTTGCGAGGAGTAAGAAGTGTGTTTCCGGGCTGTGAGTGCTTGAAGGATGGATGCGTCTGCTGTGGTGTTGGAGGTTGGCGGGTTTACGGGGTTCTTTATGCTCACAGTATACCACAGCTAGACGGGCTTCCTGAACCCCGTTTCCCCATTTCCGGGGAGGAAAGTATGAGGGCCTCTGTATCTTTATTTGTCACTTGAGCAAATCATTCCTCCCTGTTTATTGACCTTGTGCTTGTATGCTGGGAGATATGCACAGAATACTCAGCAGTATTATTAATGGCAGCATTCTCCGGTCTTTACGCATTCAACCGTGACCGTCCTATCGGAGAATGAGGAAAGGGTATGATGATTCCTGCCATGTGGCCATGCCTGCTGCTTCGGCTATCTATGTCAAAGAGTCTACAATACTGGTGCAACAATACTGAATGTATACCGCTACAATGTTCTTTCAAATGGCAGCAGTGTCCAGACAGCGAGGTGAGCCTTTCTGTATACCATGAACGGAGAAAAGGAGGCTTCCAAAATACAACCGAGAGAAACAAGCCTGCAGGGAAAGTTGACTATCGAGACTATGGCACTATCGCAGTTTACTTCATGCACTCTCTCTCCACTAGCTTCGTGACTACACCTTCCATGGCTCTGTCCTTCCCTAAATCTTCGACGCCAATTGTGGAGCCCGGTAGTCGGTCGTTATGAAAGGATAGTCGATATACCCCTTAGCCTGGTCTCCAGGCGGATACTGCGCAAAGTACTATCCCCTATTTGTCAGCATCATCTCATCTCTCTCAAAGTGCTTGATATGTGGCGAAGACTACTCACGTCAAAGTTGTAGTCGAACTTGATTTCCTTCTCCCTGCCGGCCATCGCCGCGTTGGCAAAGTCCGGATTGATCAACCAGGGGCGACCGAAGATGATCACGTCGCCGGTATTGTCTTTGAGAAGTTCCTCGGCCTCGACCAGGGAGATGGCGCCGTTTAGGAACACCTTGGCGTTCTTGATCAGGTGGCGATATGTCGCCCACACGGGGTGCACGGGCCCTCGCATCTTGCCGTCGACTTCCATGTCCATCCACTCTGTTTTTGGATCATTAGACGGGCTCGTGGCATTCTCGGAGGGAGGGATTACAAACGTACCCAGGTATCTGACCAGGTTTATGTAAGCCAGGGGGCGCTTGTCGAGCTCCTTGATCAGGTAGGTGAATTGTTCAATCTGTCTCTCCACGGGGAACATGCCCAGGTCGCCTCGACCAACCGCCGGAGACAGCTTGATGCCCACGCGATGGGGTCCCCACACTTCGACAAGCGCATCGATGCACTCCAAGCAGAATCTTGCGCGCTAGAGACTTGAGTTATATCCATGTGACACCAGAGGAGGGCCTCAGGGCTTACATTCTCGACCGAACCACCATATTCGTCTGTCCGGATATTGGCACCGTCGTCAAGAAACTAGAATATCGAGTCAGCAGAAGTTATCAGGTAACTGTGGCCCTTTGAGTGTGAGCAGACCTGTGCTACGAGGTACCCGTTGGCGCCGTGCAACTCGACGCCGTCGAATCCAGCCTGTTTCGCATAGATGGCGGATTGGCGGAATTGCTCGACCACCGTCTTCGGGTCCTCGATGGCCGTCGGCACCGAGTAGCCCTTGTCCAGCCCCGGCTCGAGATCGTACACGCCGTCGTTGTCGGGAGCAATGCCCATGCGGGCCTGGATGGCGCTGGGCGCGATGGTCGGCTTGCCGTAGTCCTTTTGGATTTTGGCGTCCGCATAGGTCATCCGGCCACCTGTAAGAAATCAGCATTGGAATGAATCGCGACCAGCTCTCCACCGTCGAGACAAGTCATACAGTGCCAAAGCTGGCAGAAGAAGATCGACCCGGGCACGGTGTGCACCTTGTCAACGACCTTCTTCCACGCCAGCATGTGCTCGTGCGTGTCAATCTGGGGAGTCTCGCGCATCGGAGTGCCCTGGGGTTCGATGAGGGCGCCGCCCGCCGAAATGAAGCCCGCGCCGCCTAGAGCGCGCTGGTAGAAGTACTCGGCATTGAGCTCGTTGGGATACGTGCCGTTGGAAGACCTAGGAAGTCATCAGGTCAACCACGCACACAAGGGCTGGATGGGTTTTTGGGCAGCATTGCATGCATACATACCTATTCCGAGAAATCGACGACATCCCAAACCTATTACGGAGTTTCAGCGGCCCTATTTGCAGGGGTTGCGCGAGATGCTTGATTGGCGTGACGAGTTGTTCCATTTTGGCGAGGCTGCGTTCACAAGGGGAATAGATGTCTTGTGCTCGTCTAGCACAAATACTTGCCTCATCTATCTCATGGAAATACAGGAGATCAATCCGACATCATCTTTATACTCCATTCCTTCTTGATATCGTTGATACAACTCGCCTTGGTCGCACTTAATGGTCCGGGGAAAGGCGGGGCCCGTCGCCCAGGATCTCTGGTGGGCTGATCGTTTCTCTTGGACGGCTTTTCCCAACACCGTTGAATTGGGGTTCGTTTGCCACCGGCAATACCGTCCGTTCTACTTCTCTATGTATGTAGAATGGATTATCGATGATTACTGATTATATCTAAGCCAATCTGGTGTCGGGACTCTGAGTGTCTCTCTTTTCAGCACAGTTCTGCTGCACACCACCGTATCCAGGGTGCATTGCCGCCGGCATCGCTCCTATACTCACTGGGTTACACATCCGTCTGTGGTTATCTAAGCAGAGAGGTTCTGGCCCTGGGTCTGGGCGCCGACTCCCTTGGCGATGCGGAGTTGTTGAAATGCTTTGATACTTGTTTCAATTGAAAGAACAAATAACAAAAAGAGACGGAGACGGCGGTACACCCATCTGGACACCTTTTGGTTCTATCCTCCCAAGAATTAAACAAAGGCATTTCGACCACCTCCAAAAAGAGAGGGGAATAGACTAGTATTTGAACATCAGAGTCTCAGACCATGGCTTCTTCTTCCACAATCAAACCGCTCCTCCTGCACGCCCACCACAATGGGCCCAACCCCATCAAGATCGCCATCGCCCTGGAGTTCCTGCAGGTGCCGTACACGTTGCGGCTGTGGCAGGGCGGCGACGATCCGGAGCATGGCGTCAAGGGAACCGCGTTCCTCAAGATCAACGAGAACGGCCGCGTCCCGGCCCTGGAAGACCCCAACACGGGCGTGACGTCCTGGGAGTCCGGGGCGGTCATGAACTACATCCGTCGCGTCTACGACAAGGACAACAAGATCGGTCCCCGGGGCGACACTGAGCAGGACCGCGTCGACTTGGAGAAGTGGGAGTACCTGCTTTTAACCACCTTGGCCCCCATGAGCGGGCAGTGAAATTGGTTCCGGTGAGGAAATTGTGTCACTGAATGTCCCTGAGATTGGCTGTACTGATAGAGCGTCCGATGAAGATTTCACAACAAGACGAAAAACGAAGATGCACTGGAGCGATACCAGGGGCAGACTTTGCGGTGCTATGATATCCTCGAGGGCCAGCTGAGGAAGACCAACGGTGCCACGATCATCCCGGGTGGCTACACCTCCGTCGACTGCCATTACGAGCCGTGGATTCGTCTGCACGGCTTTGCAGGCCTGACGCTGGACAAGCACCCACTCATTGCGAAGTGGTTCCACGCGTTCGGAGAGACGAAGGAGGTCAAGGCGGCATATGGGAAGATCAAGGAGGCGGCAGGGCAGGTAGAGTAGGCCAGAGTAGATAGTCCGATAGGGTCAATGACATGACTATCCACGATCACTGCTTCCAGAGTGTCGTTGTAAAGACACTTTTGCAGCTTGTGAATTACTCTCATATGCTGTCTCAAGCTGTCGGAATATGACGGGCAGTACGCAGTGTAGTAGAATTTGGCCAATATCTTTAGCAAGTCATCCCCCCACAAAACCCGCAAAGCCTCCAGCCGAGTGTGGGTGGCACTGGGGAAAACAATCGGCGTTGCCCAACACCGTCTGGTGCCGTCTCAGTGTATCTTGATTACACATCCAGCTCGCTCCTGATACCAACTAGGTCTTTGATCACACACGAGCCAATAACACTTCTTGTGGTTGAGAGAGTCGGCGTAGGCAGGGATTTGTAGAGGCAGCCTCGCCGCGACTCGGCCAATGCAGACCACATGTCCCTTAAAAAGACCGCCATCTATTGTCGTATTTTTAATCATATCCTCTTACGAGAAGAACAGAAACAGAATACTCCTCACACTGGCTTCAACAGAACCGTTTGACTCAGCCATGGCCACCAAGCAAAAAGTCCTGCGGGTGTCGATGTACCTCAAGAGAAAGCCGGAAATGAGCGAAGAGGAGTTCAACCACTACTGGTCGCACGTCCACGGACCCTTGGTGCGGCCACTGGTGGAAAAATATGGCATTTTGAAATACACCCAGGTAAGTGTGAGAGTCCCAAACTATTTTCAGGCTCTCGCTCTCGATAGCTAACCAGCGGGGTTTTGTTTTCGACGGACTGCAGTACCACACCTCGACAAGCGTCCAGCAGACCACCATGGCCGCGTGGCCAGAACTGCAGGCCCTGGCAGTGACGCCCTACGACGGCGTGGCCGAATTCATTGTCAAGGACATCGAGGGCATCAAAAAGTCGCGAGACGACCCCTTTTTTATTGAGAAGGTGCGGCCCGACGAGGAGAAGTTCTTCGACGTGAAAGGCATGGCCTGGACTATCGGCTGGGAAGAGGTGTACGTTCTCGACGGCAAGATCGTGCCGGACAGCGAGGCCCGGGTGAATGCTCCGTAACAGAGGAGTGTATGTACCCTGAGATAGATAGAACCAGGATGTTACCGATTTACAACCCCCGTTTTCCAGTACACTCAACGCTCAACGCCCACTTCTGACGTCGTATTCAGGTCTTTGAAGAGTGATAGCCAGACACGGACGAATGCTCCGTACCGGATCCTGCGAAACGCTTTGGCCCAGTGCTCCTTGTTCGACTAGCACATTCGTGAAGTGGGGGAGAAAGGGAGTTTGTCAGCACATCCGACTGAAGTCAAAGGCTAAGCCCACCCACGGTCTTGGAGATCTGTGTCTTCCTGCCGGGGCAGAAGCTTCGAAGGGTCAATTGACCGGACAGAAGAGGTTCAAGTTTTGTGTGCCCGCTGTTTCTCAAGGCCGACTATCTCCGCCAAAGTAGATGTGACGGGTTTCATGAATATCAGTAACGAAATGTAAATAATAACACTGCTGGTTCGAGCTAATCACCCGACGTTGAGGCCCTCACGCCACCAGCGTAATACTCGTCGTGCTTCACTTACACTCACTGGGTCGGAAGAGTTGTATTTCATCAGGATGGCAACAGAACATCCGGTCCTGGCACATTTCACTACCCAATACCACCATGGGCCCTACCCGGCCATCTCGCCGTCGCTCCCAGGTCTGTCAACGGCGGGCAAGGCCGTGGTGGTGACCGGAGCTGCAGGGGGGATTGGGTCGGCGATGTGTCGCGCGTTCGTCGAGGCAGGCACTAAACACCTGGTCATGATCGACCTCAATCAGACGGGGCTGCTGACGCTCAAAGCCGAACTCGAAGACCTGAGCCTGGGCCGGACCAGAATCCACCCGCTGGTGGTGGACATTACTTCCCCCAAAGCGGTACGCGACGCCTTCACCACTATCGAGGCCGTGGTGGGCGGCAAGTTGGATGTGCTGGTCAACAACGCGGGATACCAGAACGTCGGCCGACCGGTGCTGGACATCGACATGGACGAGTGGTTCCGGTGCTTCGAGATCAACGTCAAGGGCAGCTTCCTGGTGGCTGTCGAGTTCCTACGCCACGGCAAGTCCGACGCCATCATTATCAACCTCTCAAGTATTTTGGCGCATTACGGCGTGCGCGCGGGCCACTGCAGGGGCCACAGCGGCTACTGCGCGTCCAAGATCGCCATCACCAAGGCCATGGACGTCATCCAGGAGGAGATGCCCTTGGTGCGCATCGTCAATCTGCATCCGGGGCTGATAGCCACAGCCATGTCGGCCAAGATAGGAAATACTGCTCTGTCGGTGGATTCTGGTACGTTCCTATTGAACTTAAGAAGTCTAGCCCAGGAGAAAACTATGCATTGAAAGTGTAAGAAAACTAACGAGTAACAGTCAATCTGCCGGCCCATTTCGCCATCTGGCTGGCTAGTCCTGAGGCTGAGTTTTTGAAAGGTCGTCTGGTGTGGGCAAACTGGGACGTGGACGAGATGAAGTCGCGGAAGGACGAGATCATAGAGAAGGATCTCCTGCGTATCGAATTGACAGGTATATGAGGGGGCTGGTAGGTATAGAAAGTTAGTTACCTCTGCTATAATATAGACACCTGTATCAGACGGTGACTTTCTTCGCCCTATGCATAGCTCAGCTATAGTCTGTCTCTCTATCCATGACACCACTTCCACTCGATACATCACCTGCTCTCCCGCTGGACATAGTATCCCCACGAAGGTGAGGTGCCGGATCTCACAGCGGCCAGGATACAATCCCCTCGAGGGCTAGTATACCGTCCCCAGCTCGGCCCCGTTGATTGTTGATTTCAAGCTCAGTCTCCGTATCTACCTCAAACCCCGGGACAGACTAGCCGGCCTTCGAAAACCCCGCTAGGGACACATGGGGTAGCTGAAATAGTCCGAAGCAATAGTGGACGGATGAGCGACAAGTCCAACATATATCCTGGTGAAATACGACAAAGGAATCAACTATATCTCTCCCAGGTCTTCCTTCCAGCCCAATATAGTTATATATATATATTATATTACCTCACGCCCCAACACCCCTGCCACGAGACCGTCGACATCCCGCCTCCCTTGTAGACAGACCCCAGCCCACATCGACCAGATCTACTCCTCCCGGCTCCGGCAAGACATGTCTCCCTCAGCGCCAGCAGCACCAAACAAGGAGAAACGGCTCATGTTCCACGTAACATTCCACGTCGCCGACAAGGACGCCGACGAGTTCCTGCGGCACCTGCGCACGACGTTCGAGGCCGTCACCGCCGAGCCCGAGTGCCTGTTCGTCGACACGTACTGGGACCCGAACCATCATGGCACCATTCGGATCGTCGAGGAGTGGGCGTGTGATCGGGAGTGGTTTGTGAATGTATGTCTCTATCTGTGTCTATCTGACTCCCCTCTTTGCTTGGTCAGTCTATCTGCACCGCTCTACTCAGACAATTTGTGTGATCTAAGCTGGAGAAGAAAAAGTCGTTTCGAGGGGAAAGAAGCTAGTTTCGTCTCTAGGGCTGTATTTCTTTGGTGAGAAGCATGGGTTGAAATCCTCATCCTCTTTAGGTCCAAATGCCCAAGGCATACTACGACCCGTACCGCGTCGCGACGGAGAAGATGTACATCAAAGAGCGTGAGTCGAATCTCACTTTATCTAACAATGGTGATCTTCCTTTAACTTGGACCTTCTTTTAGGTACCGTCGAGGACTGGGAGCGGATACCGGGTTGGTGGAGGCAGAAGCCGGATTACAAGCCCGAGTAGGCCTCACTAGCCTGGGGAGAGATAGTAGGGGTGGAAGTTCAGGCTGGTGTATACGGGCACAGAAAATGCTTCCTGAGAGAACCTAGGGACTGTGCGTTTGCTGGGGGAGAAGACCGGGTCACAAAGGCTCTGTTCCATACTTTCATCACAGACAACGAGACGACGAAGAAGAAAACTGTTGCTTGCCATCTACCTACTCATCATACCCTGACTTCCCCTGCACCACGCCGTGCGCGGCACTCCGCTTGCCAAACATGGTGCGGATATCCTGGACCAGCACCTCGGGCAACTCCCAGGCGGCAAAGTGGCCACCCTTCTCATGTTCTCTGGTGAACACGACGGGACCCATGGCCTTCACCCAGATATTCGGCAGCAGGACGATTTCCTTGGGAAACCGCGAGTAGCCCAGAGGCACGTCGACGTAGCGCTGGATCTCGAGATAGGCCTCCTTCAGGGGGAATCCCTCCCGGGGCGTCCGGTGCGTTTTCTCGTAGTAGATGCGCAGCGAGGCCGCCGCGCCCGCGGTCGAGAAGTAGTAGATGCTGATCCAGGTGAGGGCCTCGTCGTCGGTCCACGGGTAGCCGTCGGTCCAGTCGTGGAGTTTCTCGTAGATCCAGGCCAGCAGCGACACGGGGCTCGCGGTGATGGCATACCCGGCCGTCTGGGGCCGCGTGCTGTGGAGGAGGTTGTACCCGAACCCTTCCTGGCGGAACCAGCGCGACCGAGCAATGCCCGCCTTCTCGTACTCGGTCAGCGGAGTCGCCTGGTACTGCGCCCACAGGGCGGGATGCGACGTGGCGCTGATCTCGGGTGGGTGGCACATGTTGATGTGCTGCGCCTTGCACGACTCTGGGTATTGCATCGCCAGGAAGCGCACCACGAAGTAGCCCAAGTCTCCTCCTTGAGCGACTGCCACCTATGTTAACGGTGGTTTGGTTCACGAGGCTGTCTTCACGAGCTTACCGTATTGCTTGTAGCCCAGCTTGGTCATGAGTTTATGAGCCACCTCGGCATGCTGCTCGAATTGAAAGTTCGCCTAGTCACAGTCTCGGTCAGTGCCTGATTCGTTCATATGCATGGGCTGCTGCTGGCTGTCCACCTACCTTTCCGGCCCCTGACGAGAATCCATAGTCGACCATACTGGGCGCAACGACGTGAAACGAAGGGGCGTCCTTCCCGCCGTCGAGCAGCAGCGGGAGGATCTTGGTGATCTCCACAAAACTGCCCGGCCACCCGTGGCAAAAGATCAGTGGGATGGCGTTCTTGACGGGACTCTGCGCGTGGACGAAGTGGATGTCGTAGGTGCCGAAGCCGTCGACGTCGATCTGGGTCATGAACTGGGGCAGTTCATTCAGCTTGGCCTCGTGTTTGCGCCAGTCGAAGCCATCCTTCCAATACGCGGCGAGGCGCTTCAGATCAGACAAGGGGGTGCCTCGAGTCCAGGGTTCGACGTCGGGGAGTTCATCTGGGAAGTCAGCGAGGGCGATTTGCTGCTTCAGACGCTGGATCTTCTCCTCGGGCACATTGATCTTGTACGGCGTGATGGGCGACATTGTTTGTTTCTTCTTGTTGAATGACCGAATGTCCTGCTCGATGGAGCCCCTTTTTAAAGGGGGAAATCACCAATCCCTGGAGACATAATACACACACCGATGTATGTGTGTATGTCTGTATGCTGGACGTTGCATTGCCGCCCACCACCCAATGACGACGACGACTTCTCAGTGGAGTGCCGAACTGTACGCCGCGTCCAATCAATGGGTCGATAAGATCTAGAACGTCGTTAGCCCATACCGTAGTCAGATAGCCAGTTTTTGCCGCGGGTTTCGGCCTTCGTAAGACCGTGATCGAAACCCACTCGCACAAATACCTTATCAGCAATACACACAGACACAGCAACACATACTCACACGCAGATCTGCCACGGCTTTTGTGCTGTCACGACCAGACACAGGGGTGCCAGTGGAGCAGCAGGAAAACTGTGGAACCTGACTGGATCCGAGGATTTGCTTGATTTCAAATGCAATCAATTCTGCCAGCAGGAATCCGTCTCTAGGCATGCTTCAAAATGTAGGTGCAAACTTGGTGGGAGATGGTGTCAGCCAGTGATCCTGTCACCCAAGAAAAGACACGAATAAGAAGAGGACAAGAACGAGAACGAGAACGAGTACAGCCCTCCCATCATTCGTTGTTTACTTTGAACGCCGTAGAGAAAAAACCATGACTTCTTCTTCTTCTCCTCCTTCTTCTTCGCCTCAATGCCCCCAGGTCATATTCGGGGCGGGCTTCTTCGGCAATGCCGAACCTTTCATCAGCGACGAGGGCCTCACGGCCACGTATGACCTGATCTCCCAGTACGGCGTCACACGGCTCGACTCGGCGCAGCTGTACGGCGAGAGCGAGCGGCGGTTAGGGGAGACCAAGGCGGGCGACCGGTTCGCGATTGACACGAAGTGGTTGATGGGATGGAGTCCTGGGAAGGCGACCAAGGACGGCATCGTCACGGGCGCGCAGGAGAGTGTCAAGAAGCTCGGTTGCGTGGTGAGTGATCGATGAAGTCTTGGTCTTTACAGAGTTACCATGTCCTGTCCTCTCTCTCTCTTACAGAAGCTGAACATGGCATGTGTGCCCTTCACAGCCTGACGTTTTCTACCTACACTGTCCCGACGTGAGCGTCCCGATCGAAGAGACACTATCCGGCGTCAACGAAGCATACAAGCTCGGTCTGTTCAAGCGATTCGGCCTGTCCAACTACCCGACGGACGACGTGGTCGCGATCTACGAGCACTGCAAAGCCCACGGGTACGTGCTGCCCAGCGTGTTCCAGGGCAACTACGCGCCCGTGGCGCGCAAACTCGAAACCCTCTTGCTCCCCACGCTCCGCCAACTGGGCATCGTGTTCTACGCCTACTCCCCGCTCGCGGGCGGGTTCCTGACCAAGACGAAGCAGCAGATCGTCGACGGGGCCGGCCGCTTCAACACCGACTTCGCCGCCGGCATGTACGACCAGATGTACCTCAAGGAGTCGTACCTGGCCGCGCTGGCGCTGTGGGAGGACGTGGCGCGCGAGCAGGGCTGTTCGCGCGCCGAGTTGGCGTATCGCTGGGTCGCCTACCACAGTGCGTTGCGGGCCGAGCTGGGCGACGGCATCATCATCGGTGCCAGCAAGTTCGAGCAGATCGAGCCGACCCTGCAAGGGCTGCAGAGGGGGAGGCTGAAGGACAGCGTGGTCAAGAGGATCGATGAGGTGTGGGAGACGGTCAAGCACGATGCCCCCATGGATGCCTTTGCCAAGTAGGAGGCATGAATACATATGTACATGGTGATCAAAAGTCGAGATCTATCAAAAGAACTGTCTCCCAAATATATTGATATATCTCCATTGCTTAGAAAGTAGACAGATAGAGAGGCAGACAGATAGATGACAAAGAGCAAGCAATGATCATCGAGTATACCCTCTCTATCTGATCGTCCCATTAACCTCCTTGTCCGTACGCGACAATATCGTCCGGAGGACACGCAGAAGGACTTCTCCCGGATTCTCCACCAGCTCCATACTCCTCCATGCAATGAATCTGTCGGGCCGGACGAGGATGCAGCCATCTTCCTCAATCTCCCGGACACTCTCCCACTCCATGTACATGTCTTCGTAGTCCTGCCGGAATCCGATGGAGTACGCAGCCACGGTAATGCCCAAGGCGGTGCTCGCTCTGGCTGCGGCCTGCTTCCAGGCATCGCCACCAATGCCGGTCAGAATGGTGAATTGGCCTTTACCAGCCAGGTCGAGGATGGGAGTGGGTTTTTCGGGAATGGCCTTGTTCAACCAGACGTGCGGCAGCCGCGAGCCCGGGTACGTTGACTTGGTGTGGTCGAGGACGGGATGTCCTGGGAATGAGGGAATGGGTCCTTGGTCAGCTTGGTAGACCGCTGAGGATTGATACCGTTGGTTCATCTCGATACCCAGTCCTTGGAACTCGAAGCGCGTGCCCTGGATGGCCTTGAAAAACGCTTTTCGACGTTCTCGGCCCTCTGGCGTGGCATGGACGAGCTTCCCAAATTCTGCGACCCGAGTGGCCGCGTCGGGAGCCAGGATGCCCGCCGCTTTCCACAGAGGAAGATGGTCAAGGTAGCCTTGGAATGCCCTTTTATCTCGTCAGAAAGATGCTTCTGGGGAAATGGAGTTCATACATACCGCTCAACAATAGCTTCGCCCACTGGTTGCCGTTCCTGGTTGTAGGAATCCAGCAACTCCTTCCCGGCCAGACCTGGCGGAATGTCAGTTTTGTAGGGGCGTGTGGACAGCGCAACGACTCACCTTTCAGGACATACGCCACCTTCCACGCCAGATTATATGCATCTTGGATGCAAGTGTTCGAACCGAGACCGTTCGAGGGGGGATGTCGATGGACAGCATCACCAAGACAGAAGACATTCCCCTTGGAGTACTTCTCAGCGACAATGTCGTTGATCATCCACTTGCTGATGTTCAGGATCTTGACGTCGATGGAGTCGTCGCCAATGATTTGCTTGATGCGCTTCATCCACTGCTCCTCGGTCGGCGGGGGATTCGGCTGGTAGCCCTGGACAGGAAACATGATGAAGACCCATTCGTTCCACGGCTTCACCATCCGGGGAAACCCAATCCAGGCAAAGTCGGGGTGGTCGATGTCGTGCTGGTAGCACCAGTGCAAGTTCCCCTTTCGATATTGGACGTGTTTGCTCAGATCTGCCTTGACGAGGACATTCCACGCGAGTCCACCACCAGGCTTTTGCTTGAGCGGCAGCCCCAGCTGTGAAATGATCTTACTCCGCGCGCCGTCGGCACCGAACAGGTACTTGCAGCGGATCGTGTAGAAGGCGTTGAAGACGAGATCCTTGACCAGGACGTCGACGAAGCCATCCTGTTCGTGGTCCTCGAAACTGACAAATTCCGTGTTGAAGCGGCAGATGAACCCGCTGGTCGTGGCCTTGCGAGTGAGAATCGGTTCGAGTTGAGTCTGAGGCAGATCCACGGGCTCGCACGGGCTGCATTGCGCGTATTTGCCTTCCATGACTGGGCCATTCCCCCAGGAGTAGAGTCGGGCGTACTCCTCCCCGGCCATGCTGTATCCCCATCGCGTGTGCATCATGCTGTCTTTGGGGCTAGCCAGCTTGCGACATTCGACCTCCAGATCGATGTCGCGCAGACATTCTAGATCCAGCGTGTTAGATTCAGGTCTGACTTTGCCTGGAAGACGGGATGTCTTACCCAGCGCTGCCATGTTCGTGATATGTGCTCGAGGCGTCTCTGCCGTCGTGGACGTCGCCCCGATCATGATTCCCTTGATGCCTGATCACCGTCAGTTTAAACTAGCCCAAGAATTCTCCCAATTCTTACCATATGATCCGAGAAAAGAGGCAATGGAGCCTCCCGAAGGCCCGGTGCTACAACGACGACATCAGTCTCAAAGTCGGGGGCAGACGAGTCCCTCGGGGTCGATTCTGCGTTCGCCATGCTTCCGGTGACAGAGAAGTCTCAAGCTGTTGGGGTTTGTGAGAGCAGTTGAAAAGGGCGCCTGGGACATAGTTGATTTATTCATCTCTATCATGCCACGATTTTGTTGCATTCCGGTGCGGTGTTTTCCTTACCCAAGACAAGCAACGAGTAGCCAGCTAACCTTTCTGAAAAGGCCTTCCAAGCTCCCACAGGCCAAGATGGTTACGCGCTTCCCGTGGTTTCGGGGAACCGATCGCGGCGTTGGCAATTGCCGTTGATGATGATGGCTGCCGTTGAGTAATCATGAAAATCCACAGTGAGTGGATTGTGAGCATCACTCTGTAACCTTCAGCTTTCTCTTTCTCCACAGTGTCTGGACTGGAGTATGCGTGCTGTATCCATCCCCCAGGGCCGTGTCTTTCACCAGCATCGGTGAACCGGTGAATACGAGAAGAACGACAACAACAAGTCTCCCTATTATCGATCTAGAACCGTTCCAGAAGGCTATGTTTCGGCCCACAGACAACGGAACCAAACAGCAGCGCTGTGTGATTCGATGCTTGTATTTTTCTATCATGGTCACAAATATGTACCAGTTCTGTGAAGGATGGCTAGATGGAAATGCTCATAGCGTGATTACAACAGGTCCTGGCCCTCAAGACCGCTAAAGCCATTTCTTGTTGCCCAGATGCGAGAGGAACGCACCTGCGTCTCCGTTCTCTATACTCTTCTCGTTCAAAACCTTCAGGAGGAAATCGACTGATTCTTGCGTATTCAGTGGCTTGACATAAGAGTTTTCGTAGCTGTGGAACTTCAAGCCCTGTTCTTTGCGCTTCTGCAGCTCTGGAACGCTCGCTGCATCGACAGACACTCATGTTAGCTTTTGGCGTCCAGGTGGAAAAGGTAGGAACTTTGTTCCACGGCGAACTTACCATGCTTATGCCACGGGCGGACGGGGTAGAGTGTTTGCGATAGATCCCCCTCGACGTCCTCGACGGGCGGATTGGATCCTCGACCGTCGTCTTCCGAGTCTACCGCACCAGGACTGACGGCCATGAACAGGATACCCTCTTTCTTGTACGAGGCACTGAACTTCGCCATGACCATATTCAGAGCGGCTTTGCTTATGGAGTAAGGCACCGCCATGTCCATATCCAGCATGTTGGTGAAGTCAAGATCGCCCATGCCGCTGCTCAATGCAATCACTTTTTTGATCGTTCCCTTTCGTATCAGCGGAATGAATGCTGCCGTTGCGTTCATGGTCCCAATGGCATTGATGTTGAAGCATTCGTGCATGTCCTTGTCAAATACCTCAGGCATGTCGTAACTGTGATTGCCGCATAAACAGTCAGCACTTTCCTTGCAATAAATGTTGCCGGAATCTTGGGGAGGGTTGGAAATACTAGTCTTCCAAAGTTCGAAAGGCCGAGGGCTTCGCTATCAAGCCGGCATTGTTGATGAAAATATCTACACCTTTCCCACCAAGGACCTTCTCGGTCTCCTCTGCCGCTTTCTAGGATTTCGTCAGCTCTATTATATCCGTTTTGGTGTATACGAAGGGAGTCCAAAACGGGTAGAGGCAGGATACATACTAGTAAAGCGCTGCGATCAGTAACATCGGCTTCAAACACATGAACATTCTTGATGCCATGCTCCGCGAGTTTCTCCTCTGTCGCTTTCTTTGATAACACTAAAGCAATAACGACATTGTCTGGATCTGCTGAAAGCTTGCGGAGAAACTCATACTGTTGCGGATTTCATCCGTCAGTCCATGGCTCGAATAGCAGAGTTTGATCCCAACACTTACCCCTATACCCCGATCTGCGCCAGTGATCACATAAGAAGGCATCTTTGCAGTTGATATGCTGTTGCACCAGTACCAGAGATTGAGAAATGTAGGTCGTGAAGGTGTGCAACGTCGTTGTATGAGACCCAAGATCCGATAGTAGTAAACCTGACTTTTTAGGCTAGTCTATAGCTTTGGTCTGATACATGCTACCACGTAATCCAGATCTCGCACATACAGTCGCCACAGAATACTGAATAGTCGTTGTCGGGAGGAATAGCCGCCGTGTGTGCAGGGAACGAGTGCTTCAGTCGTGCCGGTACAAGCAGAAAGCCGTCAACGGTGTTTGAAGGGCCGAAGGTATAACTGTGTCGCCACTATCTGGGAAACCCCCAGACACTTTCTGGGCTTCTGGATTCCTCTAACCAGTATCCTAAGCCCGTGCCCGTTAGTAATTCAAGCAACCCCCATGTCAATCATTTCGTGTGTCCTTTGGACTTGTTCCCTCGATGGTTGCATAGTCTCACCATTGACCCAATATTAACGATGGAATACGACATAAGATCTCCATAACCATGCTGGATACATGGAGCCCGCAAAAGTTCATCCTCCGCTGACAAATTCGCTGTGAAGCTGTTACTCCAGACGCAGGTTGAAAATGTAAATATGTCGCTGGCAAAGGTCTGGCTTCCAGAGTTCGCCCACATTCCTAGACTTAAGCAGGTTCGCAATCCAACAAGATGCCGTCATACGTTGTGACTGGAGCTAGTCGGGGAATTGGCGTAAGGAGGTCCCTTTGGGTTACAATTCGATTCGAAATGCTAACACAGAGTCAGTACGGGTTCATTCAGTACCTATCCAAAGATCCAGACAATGTTGTAGTTGGTCTAGTCCGAGACAAAGTCGCGACAGACAAAAAGATCCAGCAGGACGGCTTGCAAAATGTTGCCATCATTCAAGCTGATATTACCGACCGCCAATCTCTGAATGTTGCCCGGGATCTTGTCAAAAACCTAACCGGTGGCTCACTCGACTACCTGATCAACAATGCTGCATACGTTTCGCACCTGACCACGGGAAAGTTTCTCGACGAGTTCGAGAGTGACCCGACGTCGTTGGACGAAGATATCAAGACGGCATTCAACACAAATGTCGTCGGGGTCATCAACACCATTAATGCCTTCTTGCCCTTGATCAAAAAGGGCCGTGTCAAGAAAGTGGTGACGCTAACTTCTGGCATGGGCGATCTGGATTTCGTCAATGACCTCGGGATCTGGGAGTCAGCACCGTATAGCATGAGCAAAGCGGCGGTCAACATCGCAGTTGCCAAGTACAGTGCCCGATACAAGGACGAGGGCATCTTATTCATTTCCATTTCTCCCGGGGTGGTAGACACAGCTGCAGCTGCAGGTAAGTTCATCTCCCGCCTTCAATGACGACTCCTGCTCATTCGTATCCAGCGCCTGGAATAGAAGGACTTGTTCAGAAGTTTCTGAAAGCTGCGCCCAACTTTCCCGGTCCTATGACAGCACTTGAGTCGGTCGAACAAGTGCTGAGCGTTGTGAACTCGAAAAGCGTTGAGAACGGTGACGGGGGTGCTGTTATGTCACACCACGGGGACAAGAACTGGTTCTGAAGCACGTCGACATTTGTGATAGCATGAAGGCAAATCAATCAGAACATCCGCAAGATCGTGATAGCTCTGCAACATAGCCACTTTGAGATCATTCTCTATGAAGCCAGTCGTGAACTCCATCTGACCGTTGTAGTCATGTTCCATCGGTCCAGGAAGAGTGTCGTGGTTTTTGGAATGACCGAATCCGGGTGCTGCATCCTTGCACGCAACCAACATTCAGGTGTCGCATTCGTATTCTTAAGGGATTCGAAATGGACGCATACCATTAACGCGACAAGCTGATTGATCAATTCGTAATCGTCAGTGCTTGAACAACACATTCCAGACACAAGGCGGCATCCGACGGCGTCCTAGAGACCTGGGGGTCTCCCTGAGATCTTGGGGATTTTCCCAGGTCTTCCTCATCTAGAGCTCACTTGCTGCTGCGACCTTGGCATGTACCAGCTGAACGCTTGCATTATTGACGGAAGGCTGAGTGGAGCATGGCTTTGAAGGGTGTGGTTGAGTCAAGTCGGGGCTTTTGAACACCGCAATACGGTGTTTCTCGCAACTCCGGATTTGAGAACGGCTACCGCGAACACCGCACTAGAACCCCCAAAAATATCAGCATTGCATATGTATAATGAGAAGGCATTCTTGATCCTCTCGAAGCGAGCTAGCTGCGCCATCTCTTGACACTCTTGGAACCTCGTTGCGATATTCTCAGCGACACAGACCTCTTAAAGCACAGGCAATCATGGCGAAAGGACTGGGCCACCCGGAATTTCAGGCGTTCAGACCGTACGATTTCAAAGCCGCGAATGAGGACTATATGGAAAACGTCTTCTCGAAGCCAAATATGATAGTGGGAGCAAAATCCCGCGTTGGCATAATCACATGTTGTGACGCCCGATGCAGTCCAGATCAGTTTTTCCGCTTGGGCGAGAACGAGGCCTTTGTCATTCGAAACGGAGGTGGAAGAACTGCTACCATGGATGTTCTTCGGACAATTGCCAGCATTGAAATCTTGAGCGACATCAAAGAGTTGAAGGTTATTCATCACACAGGTATGGACTCCCTTGACCTCAGTTGAGAGGAGTGTTCGCTCACATCGACACAGATTGTGGTGCTTTATCGTGCTCCGATGACTTTATCCGATCCATGATAACGAACAACGACCCTCTCATGAAAGATGGACCGTTCCTGCAGGGATCCAAGCAATGGGCGGAGGCTTTGACCTACTATGCATTTTCGTGGAAAAAGGGGGAGTCAGAAAGAGAAGTGTTGGAAAGAAGCGTTGTCGAGGACGTCCAATTCTTGAGAAGCCACCCCCTGATCAAGCCGTCAATTCCCATCACCGGCTGGATCTTTAACCAGGACAATGGGGCTGTGGAGGAGGTTGACTGCGGGTTGGAAGACGGACGTGACCCTCGCCAGATTGAACTGCTCAAGGAGCAGCTTTCAAAGACCTTGAACGGAGAGATGAAAAGCATCATTGGAGACATCGGCAAGACCGCCCACTGATAAATGGCGCAAGATATGGGATTTTACCTGGGAAGGACCTGGTGCTCTGTCGTTTAACCCTGTGCGTGCTTATGGAATCCCACGAGCTGTTGTTGCTCGTGAACAGGAACCACTGCAGCCTTTTTGAGATAGGACATCATCGGATGTTTATAGTTTTTTTTCTTTACCTTCTTCTCGTTCACAATCCTGCTAGTCTTTGGATCAGTGTCGGGAGCCCACGCGCGCTGCTGGGGCATTCAACTGCAAAATGAATTCCTGACGCAGAGACCGAGCCTCCCAAAGCATGAAACACCAGTATGACTGCCTAAGTGGGTGCAGACTTGAAGTCAGTGGACGTGGTGCTTCTGAACATGCGATCAGATCCTTGTGCCTGCTCGGACTTTCCAGCCATCAAAGGCGCGTTCCCGCAACAATGCTTATAGAGACGTGCCTCCACTATTCTGATTGTTATAGTGGCAAACAATGACACGTCTAGCATGATTGGAGCATAAGGACATGGCGGAGTGAGTGCAGCGAGCCTTAAAGAGAAAAAGGGCAAAACTCGTGAAGCTGGAAGCACTATGGGTGTTTCCGAGTGGAATAAAGTATAGGTATTCATGCCAAATTGTACAAGGTAGAACATTCCAGCCCGTTCACACAGGAGGCATTTGTATCAAGCTGTGAAGTTCATGTAAGTCGCGGAAAATAGAATCGCATCGGTCAGACAGAAACAAATAAATCGCCCCTAAGATTGAACTTAAAAGCAGCCGCGGATCTTCTGTCTATAAAATGGTCAACGACCTCCACCTTCCTTGACTTTTAAGTTCCACCTCACTCCACGGTGATGGAAGAGTTTCTGCCATGGCCAAAGCTCCCATTATATACTATACATCCACACTTTGCAGATGCTTGACGTTGATCTCATTTCCCAAGCCACTGGGCTCGGAAAATGAGGCAGACTGAGCCAACGGAGAGCTCTATCAGAGTCATTGTGCACTTATCATCACGGGATCCAAGAGGACTGTCTCAAGTGCCACGACGAATGCTGCAAGTTGTCAAGTCAACATCACCGCCACGTCAGTGGTGCAAGATACGAGAGTGGTGGAGGTAGCGGCTCACTCCTCGTTCTTCGCTGAAGGTGACAACAACGATGGACAGAATATCCAAGCTTCGTCCTCTGGCTTGGGACATACACCGACTTGGATTCTGCCCTGGTTTTGAAAATCTGTGAGTTGAACATCTTTGGGTGACTTCTCAGACAGTCCACATTTGCTTTATTCAAGATCCCGTTCCGCCTGCACCACTCTCTTTATGGCACAAACAACTCCTCTTTCTTCCACCAGTCTACGACGATAGAGACCTCCTTGGCCTGTCTTTCTAGCTTCCACCACCAAGGTCAAACAAAAATCTGCTTGATTTCAGCTGTCCGGGAAGTCTCAGAGCCATCTCGATCTCCGCTCAGATTCCGTTCACGTCGGCTCTCCTCAGACAAAATCATGGATCATCGCAAAGAACAAGAAACCGGGCGCCAGCGGATGCGAGACCTCTTCCAGCAGCGAGAACTGGACCGTGGGAGCCTCCATCACAAGCGAATATTCAAGACTCCGGAAGAAGAGGCCAAGGCGAAGCAGGCAGTGAGATTCACGCCCAACGCGCAGGCGAGGAATCTGCGAGAATTGACGGCCACTCGGGGACAAGCCCCAGCGTTTGACGAGGACATCTGGGACGGCGAGCGGCGTAGACCACCCACAAGCGACTCCGGTTCAGTCAGCCCTCGGACGCGTGTTGATCAAGATGACGGATGCGGTACTACTACGGGCAAGAACGGTGGTGGTGGCAACGGGGAAAAGAGCTCAGGCGGCGAAGGCAATCCCAAATCGCAGGCTTCTCAGACCGGGAATGTGAGCGACAAAAAGAATTCTCACAGTCGCACTGCGGCCGACAAGCAGAAGTCTTTTTGACACCCCCTTTATCCACAGTGAGTGAATCATTCACCTGCTCATCATTTTGTGGACAACGTAGATCTAACTCTGGACTTTAGCACGTTGCGTTTTCTACTTTACTGGCCTTCCTTGGACGTATCCGGAGGCATCTATAGCCGGCTCCTTAGACCTGTCGTCCAATCCGTTGATGTGCCCAAACATGTTGAGCATTACTAACCGCACTCTGCCTTTTTCAAAAGCCACCACTCAATCTTGAAAGACAAGGAACCCGAACACAGATCTCAGTCCTTCAGCTACCGGATGACCTCATCAAAGATACGAGGCTGCTTCTCTGCCTGTCTCAGCACAACGACTGCGCCTGAGCATTATTAGATTCCTTCCCGAGCGTTCAACGACATTTTTAGTTCAGGGGCGTTCAGCCTTGCCACTAACAACTCCCCACCGCCACCTAAAAGGAGGATACAACCATCGACCATGCGAGCATCAGCGTGTTTGGTGCTTTCAAGGACTGGTCCACCCTTTGGAACCGATGGTTGGAACTGAGGGTACAAACTAAGAGGGAGGAAAAAGGAGGCTTCTCTCATCGGTCTGGAAAAAGAGTTGGCATCTTAGGCACTTTGGAATAGACAGGAAAATGCAAATTCTTGGACCAAATCTTGCACCGTGCTATCTTGTCCCCTCTTGTCAAGCTCATGTTTCTGTTGCCTCGCCCTGCTTCGTTTCAGATCCGTTCTGTGCCTCCCACAATAGGTAGACAATGCTCCCAAAGCCTTCTTGTCTGTATCAGAAATCTCGCTGAGGCATCAAGGATGATTTCTATCATCCAAGTCAACCGACGAAAAAAGCCATTTGAGAACCCGCAAAATTCATTGCCACCATCTTCGGCATCTAGAAATACACGCCGACCAAAGACCGTGCCCATGCGACCCTTCGCACCCACCATATCATGCCAACCAGCGGGCGCCGCGGTAGAAAATGCGCAATGTGAAACGACATGGCCTTACCATGCCAGCCTTGCCCCATGAATCTGTGTCCACAATATCACCCTAGAAGTCGGGTCAGGTTTGGATGTGTTGCCATTGTCTTCCCGACGTCTAGTCTTCATGTTCATCCTCATGGTCGTGCTCCCTCTTCACGCCCCTCTTCTCATCTTTCTGGCCTTCCTCAATCATTCTCAGGAGGTCATTGACATAATCCCGTAATGTCCGACTTACACTCAACACATGAAAAAGGCCATATTTGTGAGCTCCAAACAACTTCTCATTCAGCCTGACACCCTCTCTTTCAAAGGGCTGACCATGCTTGTTGGCAAATCGCGCCAAATTCCGTAGAATCATAACGCTCATCCAGGGTATACCGCAGGGATGATTGGTTTGATCCATCGCTGTATAATGCCATTCGTGCTTCATCTGAACGGGATCTGGATCTTTGCTGTCCTGCGCCAGTTCGTGGATGATCTTGGATTGGTCACTAGCCGCCTGGGGGATGTGCATGCGCATATGAGGGCCGATCTCGCTGCTCTTCGTTATTGCAGATTTCCGTCCGCAATGTGTCCAGCGACAAATCCATGTTTGACCAGGTTGGGGCACAAACCGTCCCTCAGGTTTCTTCTCAATTCTCAGATGATCCGTCATAATGTGATTCCACAAAGTTTCACGTCTTGTATGCCAGACAGGACAGAGATTCCGTGGATTGACTCGACCACTCGGGTCCTGCATGTCAGGGCGAGACATATCCCACAGACATTTGAACAGAGGTCGGCCTTGAAGATCGACCAGGATCCTTCGTGGCTTGATCCCCTTAATGATGAACCTTGGGGTTGGCCCATTAATCACTTGAGCCTGCGCAGAGACGAAAGTATTTGAGACATTCTTAATGAAGTCAGCGGCAGGAACGGGGTTGTTTTGCGCGAATTTGCCCTGATATGCTTGCCAAATCGCGATTTGCGTGATGTCGTCCATCAAAGACTCTTCAAAGCAACACCGGAGCCATCTCGAGGAACGCTCCGGCTCGACGAATTGCAAAAGATGTGCATGCACCTCAGGGGGAATAATGGGGATTGTGGCGGGAATTGATGCCATCCTCGGCGAGGGTTTCGCCACGACGTTTTCTTCATGGGTGATTGACTGGTAAAGCAGAAGAGTTGTGAGGCGAGAAATGATGTTTGGTAGAAGATGGAATGCGTTTGAGAGTAGCTCTGTATTATTCTCTGGAATTGCGGTGTATTCATAGAGAAAATCAAGCGAGTTTTCGAGGAGCTCGATGTCATCGAGCAGGGTGAATGAGAACAATCGTTCCACGGTTGACAGAGGGACGTCAGTGAGACGGTGTGCATCGGCCATCTCGAGCCCGATTCTATTGATTGACCGCAAGGCCGAAATGATCATACTCCGGTCGTCGGATTCGAGGTATGGAAGGAGCGACATGTATAGCGGATCTTTGGGCTTCATTTCCCAGTATCTGGTGACTTGCTCAGTAACTTCGAGAACCGACTGTTTGTACTCGACAATTCTGGGTTGGTGTGGAAGCGAGAGGGCAATTGCGAGGAAGTCCTTGAACAAGGGAAATTTAGAGAGAAAAACAGCATTCTCTTCAAGAATCACCATATTGCGGAGGACGAGGACCGCTTCTTTCAACTTCTCCAATCTCTCGGAGAACTCGGCGGATTCCAAATCCTTATCCACGACCTTTGGGGTGACGGCCTGTATGCGTTCGAGCAAGTTTGATGTGCCGAAAGCCGCATTCAGGGTGTTGAGTGTTTGACCTTCCTCGTCTTCCTCGTAGCTGACCTCCCATTTGACGCCACAGATCAGTTGTGTAATCTCCAGCGCCTTTTCTAAAAGGGACTCGGCGAGGAAGGGAAATCCTTCAAACTTGTACTTGTCCCCCCGCTCATAGGACACCTTGACAAGATGGTGTAAAGCAAAGTCCTGCTCTTCTTGAACACCTGATCGCAGACCATAAAGGCACCTCAGGTAGATGTTTGGGCCATTCATCCCCGTCGGAATATGTGACTTGAGGTACTGCTGTGGTTCGAACGAAGGTCGGGGCGCGGCCATGGCTTTGGCATGCGCCTTGCGAGCGTAAAACATGGAATCATTCCCAGGAGTGATGACTTGTCGAAGAGTCAACGCAACAGGCTGTCGTGGCTCGTACTTATCAAACCAGTCAAAAGTTGAGCTGCGAGGATCATTTGAGGTGTGTGTGTAGGGCTGTTGTGGAGGCGGCGGAGCCGAAGGAGAGTCGGTCGCGCGGACGTTGCGAACGCGTGTAGGTGCAGTGTCCAGCTGGAACAGTTGGGTGCGTTTGGGGTCTTGTCGCAATTGGCCTGTGATAAGCGTGTCAATGGGAGGGGATGAGGTAGCTGTCAGGTGTCGGAACATACGAGTGGGATACCTGCTTGCGCTTCCCTGCTCTTCGGGTTCAGTCTTCTCCGCCTTGGGCGTCATCTGAACGTCCTCTTCGCCAGACTCTGCTTCTGTTCCTCCCGTGTCCGTCATGGCAAGCTCAAGGGCAGCCCGGTTGACAGGCACTGGGTAGTTTTCCAGAGTCCGTGTTCGCAGATCACCCCCTTTTGCACTGAGATCTTCGAGAATTTCCCGGGGCGGCGGCTCTTCTCCCCAGTACGTGGCAATCTCATACGCGCTTTGTGAGAGAAGGACATGTGTCAGCGAAGAGAACAGATCAGAGGGCAAAACTGTGTCTGGTGTTACTCACGCGAGATTCTTGTAATATACCGTTTTAAGTTGAAATGTCATGACGGCCTCATGGGTTTTGCCAAAGCCAAACTCCTTGACGAGAGTCCTCCATTTCATTCGTTCTGCAGACAAAGCATCATAGCCGCCTTTCTCCATGACCATTCTGTAAAGCCTATACAGGGAGATGGGGCGACCACTAACTTTGCCTTCGCGGTCGAAGGGGGTCCTATCTCGAGAAAGGAGGGTGTCAGCATCATGTCCTGTTGGTGGTCGCACAGGAGTCTCCTCGGTACGCACCCTCGCTTCTCATGGAAAGCCGCAAGATCCTTGAGAAACTCCTCCTCATCCTCGATCATCTTCCGGGGCGGGGCCGCCATGCTGGCCTTTGGGAGTTAACCGCAGTCGCGAGGGATCGCAGGGTCACCGGGTGATAGAGGTTGCGCCGGACGGGCTCATCGCGGTCGGGGGGTTTCAGAGAGGAGACAGCGAAGGGGGTCAGGAATCTCAAGGCCGAGAGATGAGGTGAATCTGGAGTGTGGCAGAGAATAAATTGACGCGATGCTGGCGCATTTTTGTCCTTTGCCCTTTGCAGTTGAAGCGGCCTTGACTTTTCTCGGCTCCCGCCGCGCGGATGGACATTTCCGACTGGCTGCATTGTCACCAGAGGCTAATAATAAAGCGGTACCTCTCCACTCCTCTCTGTCTTCTTCTTCGCTCCATCCTTCATGCCATTATATTCGATCGAGTATTCTATGTTCCTGGCGGTCTTTTCGTCTACCGATCATTGTCCAAGACACCCCTTCCCGTATCCCTCCGTGTGTAAGACATTGTCCTGTTGCATTTTCTGACAAGTGACGCCGCAATGCCTTCTCAAGGATCTCAAAGCTTCTCCCAATCATCTCCTTTGTGTCTTCCCTTGGCCAAATTTTCTTATGCAACTGTATCTGGTGAAGGCGTTGCTCCCATCCCGTGGCTTCATATCGGCAACAAGAAAGCTTTGTTCGCCATCTTTGAAACTAGCCCTGTTCAATTGGAAGATGGTCGAATTGAGCAAAGGCAAAAGTTCAAAGTCTTGCAAGATCCTGAAGTCATGGTATATGAAACCCGCTTCAGACTCGCCTCCGTTTCCGGGGGGCAGAACGCTCATCAGCTTACAGGAAGAGCTCGACCTCAATGCATTGTCGGTCGAGGCCCATCGTTCTCTCATGGAAAAACCAAAAGGCTCCATGTCCATCGACCCTGAAGTCAATATCGTAGTCCAGGTGCCTCTAATTGCCATCAAATACCCCTTGCCAAGTGGACAGGTGACAGAACTCCCATTTTTAAGCCTTCATTGCTCACCAGTCTCCAGATTCGGCGTTTTCAGATTCGCTTCTCCAGGAACGAAGACTACTATGAAGCGATGAAAATGCTTTCACGAGCAGATGTGCCTACCGTTGAGGCAGGCACCTTTCCAACTCGCAAACCACCACCAGCACCAAGATCAGTCGCCCGCAGCCTAGTAGCACCCAGCGATTCCGCTTCTCAAATGGGGCGATCAATACCTCGTCAGAGGGAACACCCGACAAATGATGACGCTCTCTCACTGTTTCGGCCAGTCCCCACGGTCATGTCCGCAATGCCTCCTCCACAGATGTTTCCGGTGCCTGCACAAGGAGGAAAGTATTCTTTGAGTGTGCGGCCACCGCCTGATGGGGACTTGCGCACAGCCCAGGCGCCGGATCTTCAGCCTGCATATCCCAAATCTAATATTTCGCTCAGCACCGCCACTACTCTTGTTCCCGGCGGACAGCGGCTCACGTTCCGTGCTGTGCAAGACCAATCGGAGCCTGAGGGTCTCGGTGACATACGCAACGGGCAGTCGACCAGAGCATCTCCTCCGCGCCCTGGGTTTGAAACCTCTCGGCGGGATATAGGTCTAGGACTTCGTGGAGGGCAGCTAGCACCGACAGTCACACGATCCGAAGTCAATAGTCACAGCCACTCCCAACTTGGTCGTGGAAATGGCGATGTCGGCAGTGGAAAAGGCCAAAGTGACAGGCACCTCACAGGTTTGGAAGTAGACTCGGTGCTTACCGGGACTACCACAAAAGGCAAGGGAAAGAGAGCCGCGACTAACAAGACCACAAAGACTCCAGTAGCCAAGAAGCCCCGACCTGCTGCATCACGCAAGACGAGTACAACAAAGCAAGCAGAGGATAAACGTGTGCCGACTGTGGATGAACTACTTCAACAACCGGGCTACAGCTTGCTCCCGAATACTACGACCGTTGGAGCCCCCTGCAATCCACGTGTGGAAGATTATACAACCGAACTCGTCCAGACAAGAAACCTGGAAATTGCGGAAACAGACTACGAGGCAGACCAGCTTCAAACTCAGGGTAGTCCATTCCTTGGTAGCACAACGAACAGGCACATGACTCGCTCTGTATCTCGAGCCCTTTCGTCAATTCCGTTGCAACACGCCAGGGAGAGCGGGGGACGGGTCCACCAAGCTACCCTTCCACCATGTACACCGGCAGACCAGATCATGAGCAGCCCTGCGACGCCAGCGTCACCAGTCACCCAGACACACACCTCCGCACCCCCTCAGCCTACGTCTCTTTCAGAAACTAGCTCCAACACGCGAGTACCACAGTCTTCAGGAGCACCTCCGGTAACCGACAGCGCCCTGCTCGCCGTCGCACAGCAGTGCCTTTCCACCGACCCTGCCTTCGACCTTTCCTCCGCCAAATCTCGCCTAGACGCGTGGCTCAAGCTCCCCGAGCCGGCGCGTGCGTTGGCACTGAGGGCTTATTTCTGCGACTTGGTCATGACCGAGGGGTTCAGCCAGTTGTGCAAGAGCGTGGACATGTTCTGGGAAGGCGCAGTCCTGGAGGGGAAGATGATGATGATGACGGCAGCACGGGCGGCGAATGAAGGGGTTGAAGAGGAAGATTAGATTTCTACACCCATAGACTGAGGAATGAGCCCGTGGGAGACGAAAAGGTAAGATGGGTAACTGGACCAAAAGCGACCAAGAAAAAAAATGTTTGAAGAATGAGAAAGGGAACCGGGAATAAGAGACAAGGGCGAAAAAGAAAGGATGAGAATCCAAAATTTGGGGAGGTACGCCGCACACAAGTCGGTCAATCAGTCTGCGCATGCAACAAGGGATCTCAAAGTTACAAAAGAAGCTCGGCCCGGAGGATGCACTGGTTTTGATTTCAGGCCGCCGTACAGCTTTTTCAGACCGGTTGTCCATGTGAATGTAGGTTTGAGCTTGTAAAAGGAAAACGGTAATACATACTCGGAACAGTGTTGCCCTTGCTCGGAGCTTATGGGTGGTTGTTCGAAGCTGGCTCTCAGACTACGGCAGTGACATGGAACTCAAGATCATACAATAGAAGAAACATAGATGTCACGCACAGAATAGAAGCATAACAAAGTCAGTGGACAACAGTGTATTCATGTTGGAGTCCTTTCCTTCCAAGCTATCTATCCGTGTTGTAGGAAGTGCTACTCTGCCTCGATGAATCTCTTAAGGCTGACGCTCGTGGCGAAGCCGGCTGCTCTCGTGAGTCACAAAGTGAAAGCGCAGACCGCATCGCCCTCTGCCAGCTAGGATATGCCAATGAATGGCGAAGATGAAGAGCGATACCCTAGTGTCGTCCGGTTTCTCCTGATGCTTCACCGCCCGCCCAGACGCCTGTGACAGCTACAAATAGCCTGTCAAAGTATTTGAACAGTGAAAAAAGAGACCCATATTACTCAACACAGATACGCTAGGTCGGAGAAAAAAGCACAGCAACCAAGAAATACATTGCTTGACAGCTGATTCGAGAGAAGAGCGAGAGCTTGCTGAAGCGAGAGATCAACAATTGTGAAAAGGTCGGAGTTTTGAATTGGTCTGGATTTTTGTTCCATTTTTAGCCGTTGAAGGGTGCTCTGCTCGTGGAGAGCCCCGTTTTTGAGACTTTGACAAGTACACATAATGGGTGTTGGAAAGTAGAAAAGAAAAAGGGCGGTCAGCTGTCTGGACCAAGCCGCCGAGGCAGTGTCGTCGTCTCCAAGCTCCAAGGTTGAAGATCGTCTTAAAACAGTAAAGAAAAGTGTCATGCGCTAGGTTGCTCCAACCAGGACTCTGTTCCCAAAGCAATGCCCACTCGCTGGTATAGCACAATGATGGACACACAAAGAACAGGTAGGAATTCCAGGGGCTAGCTCGAAAAGAGCTCAAGAAGTGAACATCGCTAGCAGGTCGCGTCCAAAGCTCAACTTATCCGAAGCCCAAAATGATCCCTGGAACATGATGTGACACCGCTGCCAACGCCGGGCTAAAACGCGAGTTAAGTTGAGAAGAGAGAATGCCGTCAATACGAAAGCATTCGATGGTTGCGAGTGCGCAGGGCGTCAACCCCAGGCCTTGGCCCAGCAACAGGGGTATACTGGAGACCCATGTCGAGGTCCATGTCGCTGTCCAGGGTCCTTCTGCCCATAGCAGTAGGACTGGAGTCAAGAGAAGGTGAATGTTGGCCAAAGGCAAAGGTCTGCGCTCGGAGAAGTTTGGATCGTTGTTTCACTTTCCCGAGACCGCGCTCGCAGTCAAGAACATGTTCTTTTGCATCCATTTCGACATAATTCTGGGGGTAACATCGTGATCGATAATCCTTGAAAAACGTGCTATAGCCGCCATCTAATATGTAGGCTTCAGGGTATGTGAGTGCCGGGTAGCGATCAGCATTGACAGCCCGGTCTTTGTTGCGGATGTATTTGGCCATCAGAGGTGCTCGATGGGCAGAATATTCACAGTGAAAGATAAGAAGAGCCCTGGGGGTCGGCTCGACGTCGAAAAGCTGGGCTGACAATTTCTCTTTGTCGTTGAAATTTACAGCACCTTCAATGTGGCCGCCGTCAAACTCGTACTCGAACCGGCAGTCGATAATCACTCGCTTCTCGTATAGATGATCGAAACGACCATCTAGGACTGAGACCATTGTCTCCTTTGTTATTCTAGGTAGACAACCTGTTTCACCTTCCGGCGTGAAGTGGGGTAGCTGAGGCACATGAGATGCTTCAACATCCATAATGGAAGGTAACAATGGTGGAGGGCTGAGTTGTTCTTTTTCTTGCTTCATTATGTCCTCCGGGTGTTCGAACATGCTCAGAGATCGTCGGAACTGCTTTCGAGGTCTGACAAGAGGATTGGAAGATTTTCTCATATGGGTCCCAACAGGAGATCCGTTACGAGACGAATATCCAGATCCAGCCAGACTTGGGCGGGATCTTGGGGGGGCAAAGGCTGGCGCACCTAACCTCGGGGCCACCTTCTCCTGACCGGGCGAGTCTGCAAATATCTCCGACAGAGACAGCGAGGACGACGTGGCAGGTTTGCTCGAATAGTTGCCATTGCCGAATTTGAACGGTGGTAATTGACTTTCAGGTGCAGGTCTCTGGGGCAGATTGCCAGTACTGTAGCCCTTAGCTCTGGTTAATGTAGGTCGTAAGAATCCTTGTTTCCGTCTGTCTTGAGGGAGGTTGATCTGGAATGACTCGGTGGGCGAACCGCAAGACGGTGAGGGTATCGACAACAAAGAAGTATCGGAGGGCGTCAGGTCTGGTGTTGGTGACTGGAGCTCTATTGCCACTGTGCAAAATGGCATTTTGTGTGGTAAGGGTGAGATGTCCAGGTCCATATCCATTGTATCATTTGGTGCGGGCGAGGAAGACGGTATGGGAGGCGTCGTCAGGTGTCCTTTTTTGCAATGTCAACCAAGAAACTCGTGCACCCACAGCGATCCTTTTTACTTACTCTGGCCGTCCTGTGCAAACAAGCTGTTGGGAAAGAGTGACCGCCGTGGAGTAGGTACTTGCGGACTGGACAATCGTTAGCACCGAGATCAATGGCTTCTTTCGTTAAAGAACTGCAGACAGACCTCTGGTCAATGTGGAAATTTTGTGAAAGGTCAGCAGCCAGGCTGGCCGTGGGCGAAGACCCTCGAACCGACTTGAGGCTGAAGTAATCCGGTTTTGGCTTCTTCATTGACAGATCTCTGAAATTGAAGCTGTTCGTGGCAAAGGATTTGGCAGCCGCGAACGAGGCAAAGGATGTAGGGGCATCCGCTCTATAACCACCGCAGTGGCCTAAGAACGCCGGAGGCTGCATAGCAGCCAACGGTGATGAAGCCTCAATCATGTTGTCGAATAATAAGACCTTGACTCAAAATGCTGCCTCTTATATTCCCATTGACAAGCCACCCTTCCAGAAGGTCGTCGAGGAACGGCGTCAGAGAAGGCGCTGTTGATTTGGATCTCGTCTGAAAAATGCGGGTAACACAAGGACGTCGGCGTCGAAATCTCGGTGGAGGTGGATAGGGATCCTGGCCAGTCGGTGGCAACTGAGGCTTGAGCAGATTGATACCGGGTCGTTTCTAAGGATTCATACTGCTTAGAGATCCGGGGGCTCGTGGGAATGTATGCGGTCGACTGTCCCTCTGCCCGTGATGGTCCAGGTGGGGATGGGCGAAAGGCCAACACACAATGGAGAGAGGCAGACCACCGAGCAGGAGCCTCTTCTCGCACTGACAGGAGACAGAAGACTGAGAAGAAGCGTCCGACCTGCAGCTCGGTGGCTTGAAGGAGGGGAGAAGGAGAGCTTTAAGGCCGGTGCAAAGTCAGGTCCGTGTTGTTGCTGGGCAGCATTGAAGTTGGAGAAGTGGGCGGGCGACGGTGGGAGCAGAATCAGCTTAGCCGGGCTCGCTGGGAGCACTGCAGTCTGCAAGGTACAGAGACCAAGAGCCCCAAAGGGCCTAGAGACGCACTGCGGGGCCCGCCTTTGAGAGTTGCTGCGAATCCAGAAGTCTGGTTGGCACCGAACAACGGCTTGGCTCTGGCACTGGCACTGACACTGACAGCCGCTGGAGGCGCTGCACGATCCCTCCTATAGATGGGTCGAATAATCAAGTATGATTACCACCAGGAAGTTACCGTTCGAGACGCACGCACGCACGCACATGTTCCCTCTCACACAGACCAGAAGCCCGGGTGGCGAGGTTCGAGAGCGCGATTCAATACGAGTTCTCGTAATGTACGAGGTACGGGGATCGGTAACCGCCTATTGAACTCACATACCTAGGGGAGCTCAGCTGCGCCCGCCCCGACGCCTGGGGGTATCGCCCATTCCTGCATAACCTTCTTGCCCTAAGCCCACCAGGTTGCCTATGGCTCCACCTCCACAGGCCACCAGGGCCCCAGTCTAACAGGTCAAGTTTCTGTGCCTGGAGCCTCACTGTGGGCGACCTGCCCCAAGGCCTACCTATCGTCACCCGGAAGACTTGAACAAACTTCGTCGTCGTCCGGACTTTCTCCACCTTAGCTGCAACACCAAGCTTGTTCCAAGTTCTCTCGTTTTATCACACAACCACTCAGCGCCATCCACTCGACGACTCTATACCAAGCTGTCCATGCAGACGATGTCATAGCTTTGATACCTCCCTCTGATCGGCTGATCGCCCTACGATAGTCAGGTCCATGGACGGGTCGCAATATCCCATCCCGTATCTGGATCTTGACCGAAAATCTTTTCATGAGTTCATGTCCATAGCGCTTCGCGAACCTGTCCTCACCAATGCCTCCTCGTCAATTTGATGACAAGATGGGGACCCTTCCCACCTGGGCGCGAAACTTCATCTCCTCAAGCTAATGCCCTGTTAGGAAGGCTAAAGAACTTTCAGCGCATCCTGCAAGCCTCCAGACCCTCCATCTTTCAGCAGGACCGACAAGGTTCATGCGCCATGACGCGAGGTTGCCCCGTGCAATAACCGACCACTATCGGCCTATCATATCTGCGAGAGCTGCACGTCAGAGACGCTGTGCTCTGTTTTTGTCCTCTAGTCTCGTTTCTCCATGACATCGCGGTCAAGCCCATTGATCTTGATACCGATAAGTCCGACCCTTCCGGGCACTATGTTATTGCTTCAAGCTAAAGGGCGCGTGCGGAAATCAGGTGGTCATTCTTGAGCATCAGGCTGACCTACACGATGTGGAAAAGCACGGATCAATACGAGATGAGCGGCAGGCCTGGACACTCTTGCTGATCGTTATTCTTAGACTTTTCAAGCCGCCTTCCAAGCATTCCAGAGTTCCCTGGTGGATTTTACGTTCATACTATAGGAGTTCACATGACAGCATTTGGATAAACATCAATTCCTCTGTTTTATTGCGGCGCAGTACGAGTATTCACGTGGGTGCCACCAGAAGGACACTTTCCCCTCTGGTCATCAGTCGATGGATTGCGCCATCCTCTGTCCTTATCATGGTTGGTCATCAGCGCCGCTCGTACCTTGTCCACTTCAAGCATGGCTTAAGGCCCTAGGGTGCTTCATCTTCTCGGCTGTGGCTGTTGTCCCCGGAGACACCGTGCGAATAAGGCATGTCTTTACGCAAACCTCGCAAGGCTCAGCACAGAGTTCAAGCGACCTTTTCGCCCTTCAATTGGAACGGAATCCTTCGCACCGTGAACCACCGGCCGCTTGCAAGGACAGAGTTGAAGCACCTTCTGTCGAGCTACATAGGTCCTTGTTTTCGGCAAGCTTGTTTCACACTAATCAAGATTGTTATCGGCTAGGGCGTTGAACCACCTATCCCCCACAGTGTCCGCTCGAGGACGGATCTCAATCAACACCTCGACATGATGGATATTCGCCGACCTGCGGACCATCCAGACGCTTTCCTACGTCATTTATTAATGGATTGTCGTTGTGGTTTCTTGGTTTTCATACTGATTCCGGATGTCAGAACCGGGCAAGCTGCTTTGAATCGAAATTGTTTCTTACAGTCCCCAGTAAACACGCTCTCTCACCCGTTCTGGTGACGCAGCCATGCGGCCCGTTTTAAGGCTGACAGAGGGGCACCAGGTGCACTTCTTGGACGAGTCTATCGAGATGACAGGCAGTTCCCCGCTTACTGCGACACGACCATGCACGGAGATTTTCCTGGTGTGACTTGCTGTGCAGCTCCAGTGTTGCTTCCTGCAACCGAGCTCGCACAGAGGGCCCAACGCGATCTCCGATCACCACCGTGGCCTGAATTATTCGTGGAGCTCGAACGATTGCTTCAATAATCATCTCAGCCGAATGCTGTCTCGATCAGAATACTGCTCGAGTGGCATGGGCACCCCGCGAGTTCGGCGATTGTACCATGGACTGAAGTAAGTCATCTGGACTATGTTGAACATCTCACCGGGGGACGTGTCTGCCAAGAATAAATATCAACAATGAGCGCGTTCAAGTCGCCTGTCCACGTGATTCAATCGGCAGATGCGGACATTGCCTTGACTAAACTGTTAATTACAGCGTCCTGACTCCAGAAGGAAAGAAATATGGCTCTCAACCCAGTAGTGAAAGCCAGCCGTTGACCGGCAAGTTCATGATGTAACAGGTATCGCCCCGATTCCCGGATAGCTGCTCCAGACGTCGAGCATTATTGTGGCGTTCTATACAGCGTTACAGCCTTGCCCGTGAGCAACAACGTTTTTCTGCAATATATCCTCGAGAAGCTTTCATACTCAAGGATATTGCAGCTTGAACACGTGGGTCTATCTTGACATTGGATCCCAGAGTTTGCACATTCGTCGCCACCGGCGTCATATATTCCAAAAGAATGTCTGGCGGTGTGTGCTCTACAAGGATACCAGGGTGCCAGGGATGCTCAATTGGTAACCCTGGGAAGAAATATTATTATTATTAGATCATATAACATATTTGACGAACGCATGATCGCACGGCTCACACGACCATCCCGCATAGTACTGGGCGATCAGCACTGTCAATCTGCAGATTGCCAACCCGGGAGAGGGTCGAAGAATGCCATGCCAATTTCCGAACAAACTCAATTCTATCTGCACAGGAGTGAGTACGGAAAGCAGCTGCCAAGCTCGAGTTATACGTGGGCGGCCAAAACAATGGTTGCAAGCTATTTAGCATGTGCCGCAAGCTTACTGTTGTAGGTGTGGTACTCCTACGGGCACAGTCAGCTTAGACGACTGGAACAGCTGAAGAGTCTTGAAGTCGTTTCATTGTTGGCTCTGACGTTGAAGTCGGGCCCTGGAAAGGTCTCTTGAACCATCCGCTCTCTATTCTACCTGCCATGGATGAACCGACAGTCCTAGTGTACTAATATCTATTCCGTGTCGCTTGAAATCATCAATTTGTCGTGCCGCGGCGCTAGGAGCTCCAGTCAGCAGAAGGCTTGTCAAACTTTGTGAATTGACATACGACGACTCTCTCCCATTCAGAAATAGCCCTCGAATAGCCATCTCAACTTCTCCAGTGCCTTCTCTCCACGTCCCTCAGGGTAGGTGCTGACGCCAAACTTCCTTGACTCGGCAAGATGCGTGGCTCGGACAAGGCTACTATGTTCTTCTTTGGAGAGCTCGTCCAGAACGGCAGCGATAAACCGGCGGGCGTTGACGGCGTTGGCACGCATGTGGCCCATGACCATCTCGACTGAGACGTCGCCATGGACGTCGTGCCAGCACTGTTATGCATTAGACAAATCAGGCAGCGTATTGCGCAGGAATGTCGAAGATATGATTTCGGGAGTGGGGATGTTTGAACGTCAACATGAAATGCTGGTGGAATGGGACGTACATCATAGTCTGTGCTCATCAGGATAACCTGATAGGCAATCTCAGCTTCCGCAGCGAGCTTCGCTTCTGGTAAGGTTGACATGTTGATCACCGTGCCGCCCCATGAGCGATACATGTTTGATTCGGCGCGCGTGCTGAATTGTGGCCCCTCTGCAAGTTGAGAAGAGAGACAGTCAGCCTTGCCAAAATAGACCTCGTTCTCAAGGTGCAAGCTTGAGAGCTCTGACGCTATATCGAGCACAAGTTGCCCCTGTCACAGCAGTGTATTCCGGCAGATGCGATTACAGACGATTAGCTGCACCATCTCAATCGCCCGCTGTTGGACTGTCCTTGCATCCTCGAATCCTCTTACCTCAAGCCACTCGTTTCATCACGCATGGCATTGGCAAAGTCTCGCGGAAAGGAATGCATACTTGGCATGCAACCTCCAGAGATGGCAGAATGGAAGAGGAAGAAAACCTACCCATCACAATCAAGGTCCCTTTATCATGTAAGACCACCCCGTCTCCCTCCAAACTATGGCCGCACCGCCTCACCACGTCCCCTACCTTTTTATCGAAAGGATCGGCGAAGGGGATGTGACAAACCACACCTTCCTCGAAGAAGGTCCATGGCCGGACCCCCTTGGTCCGGTCAATAACCTGATCGGGGACGACAAAATCCCTTGGCTTAACTTCCTCGGCCAAACTGCCTGCCGCAGAAAAGGCGACGATACATCTCACGCCGATATGACGCAAGGCGGCGATGTTCGCACGAGAGGGGACCTCGTGGGGCGCGAGGGCGTGGTGTGGACCGTGGCGAGCCAGGAAGGCGATGGGGATGGGTTTGCCGGTGGTTGGGGAGGGGTGTTCGAGGATAGTGATAGGCGAGGATGGCGAGCCCCAGGGCGTGTTGACGGTCAGTACCGCGGCCTTGTGAAAATCAGGCAGATGCTCCAGCCCGGTGCCACCTATCACCGCGATGTTCACGGGACCTGGGAGGGAAATACACCACGGTCAGCTGCCAGTACTTACAATGACATCGGAAGGGTAAGACAAGTGAGTGTCAAAGTAGAGGCAGACCTGGATATGTGGTCGGGGTTTGGTCTAGTTCGACTTGGACCTCCATTGATATTGATATCGACCTCGGCGTCTGCTAGGGATGTGAAATCGGCGAGAAAACGATGGCAATAAGACTGTAGCCCTGTGTCCAGGATCCCTCTGGAAAAATTCGAGTGTGAAATACCCGGGAACGATGTCAGCCTCCAGCTGGAAAAGGCAAAGGAATTCGGCAAACAGCGAAGTGGGCGGCTCAGATGTGACACCTGAATCTCAAGTACGAGCAAGTCGAAGGGGATCGATCTCAAGCTGGTGTTTTTCCCCCCAAAGAGTGGCTAGACGTCCACTAAAGAGTGATAATAGTAAGTTATGTAGTAATACGTGGTGGTTCTCCAATGGAGGCAGTTGTTCTGAAAAAGTCGAAACGCACGTTGATAGACGCAATTGGTGGCATCGGATGATCGGAGCAACATTTCACCGAGTCAGATTCCTGGGACCGTCGCACAAAATTGCGCCATTCCATCTCTCTGTTCTGTTCGTTGCAGCAATGACGGCTACGGGTCCAGGATCTTTTGGCTATACCTCTTTCTTATGACAGAACCAAAGTATTGATCTTGCCGCTGCTGCAGTGCTGACGCCCACATTCGGCAAAAACACTGAGCATCCAACCAAGCTGCCATCCGGAAAATCAAATTAAATTCCGCGTCCACCAGCTCTTTCAAGGCTGAGCAATTCCTTCCATCCTCATTCGTACCCAGATGTGACATTATTGGGATATCTCTTAGCAGCAGCATGTTCGAGGTGCCAGATGCAAAAAGGTAGCTTTCCTCTGGAGATCTGCCCATCAGGTTGCTGACCCCAAGAAGGGTGAAAAGATCGGATCTTTTCCGAGACGATGATGACGCTCCAGGCTCTCGGGGATCGAGTCGGTCTGTGTCGCCAGCAAGATCCGTGGAAAACGAGGAAGAGGGTATTTTGAAAGCAAGCTATGGCTTCGAATACGACTTTGTGGCACCAAACCCATCGTTACGGACATCGACTCTCGCACCAAGCAAACCGGCACCGGACGTCAACCTAGAGGAGGAAGATCAAGAATTCGAGTTCCGCCTGTTCACATCCACCTCGAAACCGACCGTCCGGCCCTCTCAGCCCGATGTGCCCGTCGCAGACTCAAAAATCAGGCTCTCACGGACCCCAGAGCCTGCTGAGCTCGCCGACTCATTGTCCTTGGAGAGAGCACACTTTCTTCGTCCTAACCGGCCGGACTCGTACTATTTCACCTCCGCACTTCCAAAGGAGACCATTGAAGCGTTGAGGTCACAGTATGCAGACGTTGCACTGTCAACCTCCGAAGTTCTCTGCAGGGCAGAATCAACCAAATGGCCTGGATCTGCCCTGCCCTGGCGTCTGATTCATGTGGAACTCCTCGATAAAAGCCACCGATTTCAGGGTGTGGCTCAATCCGCCGTGTCTGCTATGGGCACTAGAGACTCCAGTTCCCACATGTCCCAGCCTCGCCCCAAAAGACCATCGAAGAAACGTCGCATCCTCCTCCGGCGCCGGCTGGCTCTGCGACAGGAACTCGCTGCCCAGGCAAGGGTAACGGAGGAGACGGAGAAAGAGAAGCGCACGCGACGGAACCGGGAAAAGAAAGTGAAACGGAAAGAAAGGGAGAAAAGGAAGAAGATGGAAGCGCCCGAAGGCGAGGGTGAGCTTGCTGGTGGCGAGGAAGGTAAGGGTCATGAGAGAGGCGAGGGAGAGGATCTCATTGCCGCCGAGGAACGCGATCTCAAAGCCGGAGGCGATATCAAGGCGCAAAGTGGGCGGGAGGGAGAGACCGGATCAAAAAGGGGCTCGGCTATCAGACCACCAGATTTGGCGGCAACCACGAAAAATGCTGCTGTTGCTGCTGCACTGTCGACAAACGCGTCTCAATCCTCAGCACCAACACGAAGAGCTCCTACGTCAAGAGCCCCAACCACGGCCGCACCAGTGAACCCCGCGGCTCGACATATCGGACGAGGAAGGTGACCTAGTCTATACGTTACGCTCGTGCTGCGACCGGTATAACTTGGGGCCCGACCAAGACGACAAGGTTGGCGGATGGCTCGCTTGCGCCGACGCCGTTGATATCTCCTGTCGAGCTTCACCCGAGCTTCGCCCAGCGCATCATCCTTGTCAACTGAGGAACTTATACAGTCCCTCGGCAACGAGGCAGGCCGCCTCGCAGTTAAGCCACTGGAGCGAGACTTGGCGGTGGATGTGGTGGAGGTGGTAGCGGCATTGGGGGGTTGCTTAAAAGAACCACGTCGTGGGCACTTTGTAGAAGCATTCCAACCGCGCCACCAGGCACCTGCGGCACGACGGCTTCTCCTCGCCGCACTTGATGCGGCGGGTCTTGCAGTTCACACAGCCGGTCTGCGTCTTGGGTGGCTCTCGTCACTGTCGACGAGCACCGACATGGCCGATATCATGGGAAGGAGAGTGGTTGTCGTGGACAACTTTGGGTTTGTTCTGCGATCAGATTCTCCGTCGGGATGTCAAAAGAGCAATCAAACCCAGGACGGGCCAGCGTGATGCTGACTTTGCGAGAAAGCAATGACGAAGAAGGCGTGTCTGTGCCGACTTACCAGGTATCGAGCGACACCACACCGGCAATGCCACCTGGGGCCTTCTTTTCTACCACAACAAAAGAAAGATCCCTTCCCACAGTGCTTTGGTCTCGTTGCTACACCCTTGCTCCTCCTTTTTCTTGTCCCTATTGTTTGTTCCTACTCGCTGCCGCCACGGCCCGATCACAGCTCCTCTGTCGGTCTCGTGGTGCAATGATGCCGTAGCTGCTGGGGAATTGACTCGGTTGGTCATAGAACAAGAGCACCTATCCACCACGGAGAGGAAGCAGATAGATAGATCAATGGATGGATGGGTGGACACATACACAGACACTGTAGGTAGAATGGCGGATGATGTCAGATGGATATATTGTGTGTATACTGTATATATTCGTGCCACCTCACCCATAAGGCTGGGGAGGGAAGCTGACATACACAACGACACCTCCCTGCCATGGGTCGTATCGTCTAACCCTGACGGACTAACTACCCAACTGAACTGCCCGTCGAGTAGTCCTCGGTACCTTGGGTATGTATCCAGTATGTACATACCCTCGTAAGGTTTTTACTTCTGCTGACTGCACGGGAAAGAGAAAAAGGTGGCTGGACACACTTGCAGGAGGAGGTAAGTCGAGAGGAGGTAAGTCGAGAGGAGGTAAGTCGAAGTATACATAAAGGAGAACCAACCAAAACTTGGCGCGTTTTTTCAGTCGGTTCAACAATCGGCATAATCAGATCAGGGATATACTGCTACTATTGATTGTAGTTGCATTCGTTGTATTGCTCGTGTCGCTGGCTGCCAGTACCCATACCGGTTTCACACAATCTTTGGCTTTTATCTTTCCCTTTGTTTTTTCCCCCCACGCTCCAGCTAGGATCATCGATTCGTCCTTCTTGAGTCTCCATCGCCGTATACAGCAAAAGTAAACACATCACACTTCATTCCAGGGCGACACGCTAACCAAGAGAAGCTCTCATACATGTTCCCTTTCAGGAGATCGCTTTCGCAATGTCCCCTTTCCTTTCCCCTCTTTACCGTCCATTCGTGATCGCACCTGCAAGCCTTTTGCTCATGAAATCAAAAAAGGCAAACTGACTCGGCGTCGACCCGTACTCGTACACAAATCGGCTGGCCAGGAAACTCCCAAAGATGGACTTGAGATAGTTGTCCGGCACGCGGCTCAAGATCTTGTCCAAGCCCACCTTCTGCTGCAGCGTCTGGGGCAGCGCTTCCTCGAACACCTGGTGCCGAAGCGTTTTGTTGTTCCACAGATCATTGAAGTTTTGGAGATCCTCATCGAGCTTGGTGATCGCAAGAGACAGCTGATCAGAGAGGGTGGAGCGAGGCACCCCCGTGGCTTCGTGTTCTCGCCAGATAGCTTCAAACTCGAGCCGTGCATTGCGCTTGATGGTCTCCTGGACTTCCTTGACGTAGGTCTTGTAGAACTCGGGAACAGTTCCATCACTGTGGACACACATGTTCTCAATAAAGCCCTTATCGTCAAAGGACAAGCTGGCCAGGACCTCAAGCGACGACGAAGTCACACCACCCTTATTGGCCGAGGCGTCTTTGTATATGACACAGCCGGCCTTTTCAAGCCGAAGCTTGGCGTCTTGTGTGATGAACAGATTGGCCCCCTCGACAATGTATGGGATCGTGCACTTGCCATCCACGATCAGCTTGCCCGCACTGGACAGATCGATTGATTCCGGCCGACCGCCGCAAGGGACGAAGAGGTCGTATTGCGAAGCATCGCGCAGGTGGAAGGTATTTCGGAACGTCATGCCGTTGTGGACCTTTTCGCCCGAAGGCAACGTGACGTTGTTTTCGTCCACCAACACGCGGTATCCCTGCGGTGACAGCTTGGAGATGTCGTATTGCGAAATCATCACTCGCTTCTTCGCGAGACGGATCAACTCTGCACGATCCAGCCCTGCCGGGTCAACGAGGACACCAGAACCATCGACGATGGCCGTGTACTTCTCGTTGCTGAGGAGGATTTCGTTGGACCCCAGGTCTCCATCCGGACCACCAGTCTGCAGCTTTCTGATTTTGCTGGGATCCAGGTTCAACTTGCGATAAATGCCCAAGACATACTCGCGGACGGACAAAGTTGTCATGCCATACGAGTCGTGAGGAATGCCACCCAGTTTCGGACTCTTGCCGGTGAAGAAGGACTTCCACCACGGGGCACCTCGGGCACGGGCGTGCTCCGTGGCCCAGTCCACGAGGTCGGCAGTGTTCTCGTCGGGTCCCATGAACAGGATCTCCTCCTGCCCGTGCAGATCGACAATGGGATCTTTGATGCCAGGGCTCGTTGGAGGCAAAAGGAGGTCCATGATGCTGTCAATGTATTTCTCGAAAGCGACACGGGTCTTGTCTTGATGTTGATAGTCAAGAAGGATGACCCCTTTGGATCCACCTTCCGGAATGTCCTTGTTCTTTCTCTGCTGAGTGTTGGCCAGATTGTAATTCTCGTCGAATTGAGTTCGGGCGTTGATTGCGTAAAGTTCCTTGTTACGAGACTTGACGATTCGAATGCCACCACGTGCAATATCGCGGAACCGAAGATGGAATCCTCTGAATTCTGACCCAATGACCAAGAACATACCATACAGGGGTTGCGGATATTCATGCTCGGGCAGGAACTCAGTGCTGGGCTTGAGTCGGAAACTGAGCGCCACCTTGGTCGGGGTGTAGAAGTTGGTCTTCAAGACTGCTCTGTTGAAGGTCAAGAAGTATTGCATCACCATCTCGTCGTGCTGGTTCTGGGTGGTGGTGGACACCATCTCAGCCAAAGTGGCATCGTCGAGAACGTTTTGCACGTCCAGTCGCAGATAGCTCAGCGTCGGAATGAAATCATCCTGCTCCCCGCGAGTCTGGACATAGTGGGTGCTGGCAAACGAGAGGTACAGATTGCGAATGAGCTCGGGGTACTTGTTGATGATCTCAAGGATGTAGTCCGAGGTGAACGTCTCCGTCCGCAGCCGCTTCTTGATCTTCGAGAGCAATTCCGCATTGGCGTTGGTGTCTCCTTTCAACGCGGCCACCAGCGAGGTGTACTCGGAGCCCAGCCGATTGAGGAACTGCTGGACAAAGACGTGCACGCAGTGGGCGTAAATGCTTTCCTGCAAGCTCAGGTTGCCGCTGGCAAATTGTCCCTGAAGCTTGTTCTGAGGGATACAGAACAGCAACGAGACCTCTTTGATGATCTGATGGATCGATGCCTCAATGGGAGGATACCTCGACTTGGCAATTTCGTTGCTGGCGGGTTTCAGGTAGAGAGAGACCACCGTGATGCCGTTGGAAAACTGCTCGACGTACTTTCGAGAGCTCGTAACTCCGTAGTAGTGGTAGAGATCGGACAGCGCACTGAAAACCCCCATGGCAGAGCCTTGACGATAGGCAATGACCAGTCTCTTTTCCCGGGTGCCCTCCATCTCGAACATCTCAATGACGGGGCCCGTTCGGGCAACCGCATAGGTGATGATCTCCTGGTAGATCTCCTTGGTCTTCTGTGTGGCTTTCTGAAGGAACCGCTTCTCCCCAATGACCTCGACATCGGTCTCATCGGGCCCAGGGTTCGGGTTTTTGAATTGACACTCGTAAACAAAATAGCATCGCAAGGATTGGTCTGGGTTTTCTGGCAGGGCATTGTTCGAGCGGAAGGACTCGACACGGAAGCTCCGTGCCGGCGTCGAGCCATCAATGTATTTCTCGTCAATTCTCTGCTCGTATCTCGGCCCGTCAATGACACTGATCCCGGGCTTGCTTGTGTCAATGTAGACCGCATGATCGGACGCCTCTTTGGCCAATCTGATCTCCAGCTTCTTGTCATCCCGCGCATAGGCAGCGAGCTTGGCCGCGTACAACGAAAGGATGTTGCTTGCCACGGCCTCGACGGTCTCGGTGGAGAAGTACATGTCGTCGATCCCCAGCGAATTGTAGAACCATTCGGTCTCAGAGGCGATAAATTCAGTGGGCAGGAAGCCCTTCTCTTCGATGAGGTCCATAACTGCGATTGTGTCAGCTTCTCTTAATCACACCATATAGCCTGTGAACGCACCCTCTTCCATTTGTGCCCTCTTGCCCTCGAACTGAGGAGCCACATAGCCAGGACTGTTATCCGACAGGATACGGTGTAATGACTGATTGGACTGGGAGGCACCGGGCACTCCTAGCAATGTCGGCTGTGGTGACGGTTGTCTTCCTGGTGTCCTGATGACTTGTTCGACCAGTCTGTGTCTTGCCGGATTGAGCGGCTGGTCGCCATTGGGTGAGAGGTGGTCCATGGTCGCTCTGGAAGGGAGTGGAGTGAGGTATGGGAGAAGATGTTCGTTGTAGAGGAACCAGAGGAGTGAGCGACAGGATCACTGGAATGTAAGATGCCAGTGAAATGAGGCAGAGACAGATGTCGAGCCCAGGAGCTCTTTGAACAGCTTATACGTAGGTTCAGCTAAATGTGTCTGTCTCCAAGGGTGAGCATGTCAGCCGCACCCCGTGATACCCCTGACGACGTTCTGATATGGTTCGGTGATGCGGGAATAGAACTGATTATGAGAACAAAGGAGGCTAATGAGGCTGTCGGCAAGGTCAATGCTGTGTCCAGAGCAATATCCAATTCGGGCACCGCGTCAGTCAGCCCCTCGTGATCGCCAATAGCGCAGGTTCGATAAGAGCAAGCAACAAAGATACCGGATGGCTAGAAGTCTCACGGCAGCTGAAACACCTTTTGGGGGCGAAAGTGCGCGTAAACAGCTCTGTGTCTATGGGGGGTTGTGGATGGGGGGTTCCGAGGGCGCAGCAAGGGCGGATCCTTGAGCCTTTTTTATACAATGGAATTTTGGAAGACGTAACGCGCCGCCCCGCGCCAAAGAAGCAGAATTTTTCATTGCCTACATCACATGGCTACTGGAATGAGAGAATTCAGGAACTTGTTACGAGACAGCATCGCCCAGTTCCCCCGCAATTGGATAGCCACCACCCGAACGAAGGGGCGTTCAGGCACGGATGGAGCCCCTCTTAACCATATCCATCACTGCACAGGGGCACGGCCCTATCAGCTGCCCTCCCACGTGCCTCCTCATTACTCAACCTGTACCGCCTTGTGCCGCTTAGCATCGGAGCGAATAGGAAGAGGTGCAGATGCGGCGGCGTTGAGGGCGGCGCGAGGTCACGGTCACATAGAAATTTGCGAGCAAAAGATCCCCAGAATCGTGATGCGGAGTAACCTCAGACGTAATCAGAATGCAGAGATTGATCATGACGACGAAGACCGGGCCGCATGTGGCGGTCTGGTATTCCCTACGTATATTCCTCCTGCCAGTATCCAAATATACAATGATCCCGTGAGCTCCCAGGCGGCTACTCTCCCATTTCCGGTATACCATCCAACGCAATGCAGACAAAATCCAAGTCATCATATCCGAGGCCGATCTTCCAGACCTTCTTCTTCTGCATGAGCGGTCAGCCCGCTGCTCTCGCCCGGTTGTTCCCTCACAACAACTTCCCCGTCCTTGTCAGGGTCATATGAAACAATTCTCTCAAGCTGGCTGGAGGATTTGGCTTTGCAGGCCTCATCCTCACTGAGCGAGCGACCATGATCAGGTCCTGCATCTGGCAGGAGAGAGCCGTGTTCTTCACTTCTTTCATGTTCGGTGTCTTCTTGTCCCTCGTTTTGTGATCCCTTCTGTTTGATAAATGTGTCGATGATGTAGTACTGAGCAGCGTTCATGATCAAGGGAAATATAAACATGACAAATGCAATCTGAACCGCCTCGTTGCCCTCCGTCCAGCCCAGTGCCCAGTCGCCAACGCGTCCTAACCAAGGACAGAGCTGGAAAATGATAAATACACAGATCTTCATGCCAATTAACCCTAGAAAGTAGAGGAGGCACTGTTTGGCCCACCAGGAGGCCTTCGGTGGTGTGCCATAACGTCCAGATTCGATCGATTCGGGGGGTTTCGCGAGTGGGGTATACCGTGCGCCCATGGTCAAGATCTTGAGGATGCCGATGAGGATGGGTATCCCGATGGTCGTGTCGATGGCCAGGTTGAGCAGGTAAAATGAGCACGGGTTTGGTTGGTACTCCGCGGTTGTTTCGGCTCCGAGTGTGCTTGCTGCGGCATTCACAACAGTCTCTCCAATCTGCCCGGAGGAGAAAAGCGACATGAGGAGGTTCAGCAGATGGAGCAGAATCGACCCGACGACTTGTTTCGACACGTCAAAGGACCAGACCTTGAGAGGTCGTTGCGGCCTTTCTCTCCATCTCTTGAAGACCAAGGACAATAAAGCCAGAGCGCCCAGCGCTCCCTGCACCAGTATAGCAAAAGGGCCCAGTAGTTTACATTCGCCACTGCTCTCGTCGTCGGACATGCTCGCCACAGGCGACGAAGTCGGCGAGGGGATGGCGGTGGAAAGAGGCGAAGCCGCTGCTGTCGCTATACTGAAGAGGATAGATGTAGCGGCCATAGCCAGGCTGGTGGAAGGGTCAGATGACTGGAATGCTGAAACGAGACCATCGTGCAACTCAGTAGCTGAGGGTGAGAGATCGGGAGGGTGCATGTGCGGAGGCCGGGACGGTGCTCTGCTGTGACGGCTATCGTCCCATGTATTCGTCTCGACGGCAAGTTCTTATCAACTTGCTCAGAAAACCTGCGGCTGAAGATGTTGCAATTTTGGTCAGATGCTGGAGGCGCAGCTCGTTGGGAAAGTATCAAGGACCGTTGGCGGGGGCCTTTTGGCGTCATGACCGTGCCAAGACATTCTTCGGCCCTGCCAATCAGCCAAGGCGGAGCCCCATGGCGGGGAGAACGCTATGAACATAGGCAAGTTGAGTCTGTGGCTTCTTTACAGCCTCCTAGTGACTGAGCCGTGACTCCTTATACGGCTATCGGTTGACCTGAGCCGGTATAGGGTCTCCAGGGCGATGCAGGTAAAGATGAGGAGAAACTACGGAATGATGCGAATTCGGGACAAAGTCAAGGATACGAGAGGAAAGTGCGAATCGCTGGACTGTCTCTCGAGGTTGACGACCTACATTTTGGTTCGAATGCCAATCTCTATTACAGGCAGTTGTTTTGGAAGTATTCACAGGGGAAATACTAACAACTCCAAATTTGCATTTTCGACTGCAGAGTACCCGGAAACAAGTGATCTTGCAAACAACTCTGAACTCCATGCCACCAGCGCCTGGGAGTTGAAGATTCGCACTCATATAGCCAAAAGACAACAACCTCGCGATCATCACCGTCCATGACAGATTCCAAACCACCTCGGAATCCACATCTGTGGGCTTGTGTCAGTCTGCCACCTGGTCGAGACTCGAGACGATGCAAGAAGTCCAGGACTGAAAGGCATGGGCTTTTACAGTGAAATATTTAGTAACCCATGGACCTGTGCAGAGAGGAGAGTCTTGGTTCAGAACGAAGTTCCATGGATGTACCAGGGTAAGGAAGGAAGGTCTAAACAATGTGTGGTATGAGGGAACATTATTGAACTTTGTTCAACCTTGAGATTTTCCCTTCTCTCACCTTTGCCGCGACCATGGCCTCTCCGTCACACAACCCCAACCCGACCGGCCTCGTGACGACGAGGAAACTGATAAGACAACCATGCAGACTGGACTGGATGAGGTGGTGTGTGCTGTGTGTTGTGTGTACTCCGTACAAAGATACCGCGTCATTGTCAAGGTTGATCCTTACCCCTTGCTCGCTTGGTCGCCATGTACCTAGGTTAGTCAGAGGTTCCGAGGCGGCCGATGTGTGATGGTTTCTGGTGTGGTAGTCCCCAGATGGATGACCATCACCCATGATCGACATCGTCATCGGTCACCACGTACCCCTTTAACATCTTCCTGGATATTGACATCCGGGTGATACCGCTTTGTCCCACTGCAATGCACCGCAGCTGCCGGGCTGCTGGGGAGCCAGAGCGGGATCCGGCTATTCATTCAGCCTACCAATCAAGCCCGCGATGAAGAAGGAACATCACGCGCAGCAAAAAAGGAGGATGGAAGAGGAAACCTGTATACTTGCCCACTGGAGAACTGGCGGCACCAGGTTTGTGGGCTGAGTGAGAGGGGAGGGGGGAGCTTTGACCTGACCAAACTGGGGGAAGATCTGGTGAGAGTATGTACGCGGACAGATATATTATAGGTTAGATGGATGCAGGTTCGCCTCAGATCTTGACTGACACACCAGGGTGACGTAGATGTAATATGGTACGGGGTAAAACGTAGTTGTATTATATCCCCTTCTTTGGAGCATGACAAGATTATCGATCAGGTTGAGAGCGGCACCAGCAGTGGTCATTTAGCTGACCAGGCGGACCAGACCAGGCGGGGATCTGTGTACCTATGTATAAAAGTTATGCAGAGTATCGGCTGGCAGGCTCTCTTTAGCAGATCACGCACCAAACATTCTTCTTCTTCTTCTCCCTCTCCCTCCATCCCCCATACACCATGCCGATCGCTTATAATTCCCCGCACTGACTGTGGATAGTGACAGCGAACAAATGGAGGAGGCTGGGAACGGACGAAAATAAAAGCGAAGGGCGAGGACGAGGATGAGGACGAGGCCCAGATGGACTGAGACATTGCGGATCCACCAAGTATTGTATGTATGTACAGTAGCTACGGAGAAGATAGCTACCTATGTACAGGACAGACATATTGTTTAGTCAATTCCCTAACCACAACAAGTCCTCGCGTATCAACGACGGGTGTTGACCTACCCAAGTCTCTTTGGTAGTTCCTGGCCGGGATCGGACTACACAAGTACCAAGTTTCCCTGCATTCTACGGAGATAACGAGCACCCTGGCTCGCTGGGACGCTTAAGTCCCGGATGTTCAGGGTGGATCTAGTCGGGCGAGTAACATGCTACATCCATAGGTAGAGTACGGGACAACAAGGTCCAGACTTATCAGCGGTGTGTTGGTCGATCTGTGGTTCCTAATGTGCGGTCCCAACGGGCACCCGTCCTCCGTAGTTGTGCACGCCGCTATTTGTAATAATACTTGAGAACCTCGGGGGGATTTCTAGCTCCAAGCTGGCAACTCCAAGCTGGGGTCCCTGTCGCCCAAGCAGAGCCTGGGTTCCAGTTAGGCGTACTGTAGAGCAGGAAATGAATAGCATCGTTGGGGTGTTGTAGTTTGAGAACAGTCTTGTTCAACTTTCCTATTCAGGCCACTCCCTCACTCCACCCACTGTTCTTGTCTGCAGCCGTTGGTACAGTATGTAGTCACAGATATCCAACCGAGTCTAGGGCAGGAGGGTATCAAGTGAAAAATCAAAACGAAGATCCCGTGCATCTTCCCAGAACGCCGTCCGCCAAAGCCCATCCCGGCCCCCAAAATCCTGTATCGCAAAGGGTATCATGATGCTGGTCATCAAAGGACTGTCAACAAGGTAAAAAAACACATAGCAAGAGTCATGTCAGTATCCTGTGTCTCGTCTGCACATCCTCGCGCACTCATCTATATGGCGTTGTCTCCTTCCTCCCCTTCAAGAGGAGACAGATGTAAATGGGCAATCTTGTCCCCGCTGCCGAGCCAGTTCTTGACCACGCAAGGGGCAGTGTCTGGCCCTTGACAAATCTTCTTTCGCCCCAGATGCTTGAATTTCGGGCCCAGTGGGCCGTTGACATAGTGGTATTGTCCGGCGAATCGATACTGCCGTTTATCACCCAGAGGGTAGAATTTATCCCCCCAATGTCCAGCGAAGTGGAACCAGTTGGTTGGGGCGTTGGGGGTACGGTTCGACGACCGCAGGGTCTCGTTCTTGTGATCATATGTATACGCGTGTGAATTCAGGGCCGGATCCCACAGAGGACCACGGTCAGTCATGTCGTGAAGGATTCCCCATGGTAGGATGTAAGGGTGCGTGCCAGGCGTCGCGTACATAGCATGAGTCCCATAAGCGGAATAGATGACGGGGCGTTTCCCGATCTTCTCCACCGCTTCATAGCTGTAGGCGGATCCGAAATTGTGCTCGCTGAAGAAAACCGCTTTGGGTTTGCCGTGTTGAAATCGAATGGCGGTGTGCTCCCAGTCTCCCACGTGATTGCCGAAGCGGACATTGAGTACCACGTTCCCCAAGTTGAAGCTGTAAAAGAAGAACCAAAAGGCGTCGACGATGCCATGGCCCTTGTTGACAGTGACGAGGACCGCAGGCGCATCGCTCCGACCCCCTCGGAGCCTGTCTGGCGGCGCGTGATTCGAAGTGGTTGAGCGTCTCAGTTCGTGATGAATCCGGCGTGCGGCCTCCGTCTGCTCTGATTGGCCCGAGGCCGTCATTTGAAAATCGTCGTTTTCCTCAAAGCCATCCAAGTCCGGTGCAAACCATTCTTTCGCGTCATCCAATGCATCCTTCACACCCTGAAGGTATGTTCTTCCTGGTTTGTGGACCCAGCCCTCGTTGTCATCGGATGGGTCATCTGGACTCGACGGTCCTGTTGGGATGTTCTTCTCTCCCTCCAACCAGTCTGGCCGTTGTTCCACGTTGTCGTTGCTAGTCAGAAACACCCACCGACCACCGTCCCACTGGTTCAGCTCGTCCAAGTTTTGGAGGGTTGGGTGTTGCTGCTCGGACTGCACTGCCGTGTAGTTCAAGGTTGGGGTGATGTGGTAGAGGTGCTCGGCAATGTCGCAGGGCCAGAACTGTTCTCCCGAGTAGAGGTGGACGAGAGGAGCATACTCAAACACGTAGTCTGGGATCTCCCTCAGCACCCGTTCGTCGTGAGTCCAGTCTTCAGGCCGGTCGTTGCCCTCTGTCCAGGCATGCTGCCAGTCCCAGTCGGGCGTGGGAACCACTAACCGCTCTCGATGGCCTATCGAGGGACGATGACCGAACTTGGCGTGCTCCGAGATGTAATGCATGTGGAATGCACCACAGACGCCCAGCCAGCGACAGCATTTCCGGTCGAGCCAATACCGGGAGGTAGCAATCCAGCTGGATTCCTCTCGGTCTTCATCTTGCCAAATGAATACCTCTGGACGTGTGGCCCGCAGGATGCTGTTGGCGCACATGTAAAATATGATGGTAGATAGCACACCAATGGTGGCCTTTGTCTTGACTGGACCCATCTGCTCTTCTCCCTCCAAGGCCTTCCCGGTCACCGGTTCATATGGAGGATGGGATTGAGTAGTGTTGGGGTCGGCAGGGACGATAACAGTCAAGGTTTCGGAGTCGAGTGCTGTGTCTGAGGAAGGCTGAGCAGCGAGAGGGTGCTGGTCGTGTGCTGGAGTGACCCAGGCCGCGGGGGAGGAAGTGATGGGAGATATAGACGGCTCCGCCGAAGTGGCATATAATGCTCGGGTAAGCGATGGTTGGCTAGCATAATGAGACCCCAAGGCCAAGGCCACTGTACATGAGAGCGAACCCGAAAGGATTAGCCAGAATATCACGAAGAAGTCAAGCTGACAACAAGAGAAGGAATGTGATTTGATCACAGCCTCATCCACCCACGCGGATGTTACGGCGAGAGCGGAAACGCGGCCCAGCAAGGCGCCCCGGAAGGCCAGCGCGGTGACTGCATTGAGAGAAATATGTCTGAGGAGCACCAAAGCGTTGCAACGGCAAGGGTAATGCGATGGACTTTCATCACTACCGCATCACTCTCCGCCGCCGTAAGCGACCGAAGAACTTCCTGGGGGGTGGGTGTGCTGGGAGTCCCGCTGGGCATGAATAATACTGTGGTGAAGAGGCCATTCCGCCAACATCCGCTTGCCGAATGTGTAATACAGGTCTCAGGGCCAGGAAAAGACAAGCATTGACGTACTCTTTGCTATGATTGGTGGTTGGGACGCAGGCTGACCGAATGTCCGACTGTCCGGGGGACCTCGTTTGAGGGGGTGTTTTCTGTTTTCGTTGGTACCTTATCGGCGTCTGACAAGTGGTTGGGCGGGGCGGCTACTTTAGTCAGTCGACAGTCAGGTCAGTCATGCCAGGGGGTGGCGGATGAATGATTGCCAAAGAAAGAGATGAAATGCCCATGTCAAAGATGGGACACATGTGAGGAGTGTGAGTGAAAAGAAAGTTGGAATGAAGGAGGAGCTGAGAGGGGGTGAGAGAGAGAGGAGGGAATAATGACGGAGTCTGACTGGCACCAGCTGTTCCCTCCGCTCCCTCTCCGTCTCCCTCAATTATTGTCTCGGATTCTCCTGGCTCGGCCTGACTTGTCATTTACCGAATTGTTGTCAATGACTTCATCCCTCGTTCGTCAGGACCCGGGCGCTAGTCCGGCGTCAAGCCTGCTGTGGTTAAACGTAGCAACGGCCCCAACCATCACCTTGCAAAGGTTACCAGTACTTCGGAAGTAGAGCCTGGTGCGGACTTGAGTCGGTGAACCAATCCAGCCACCTGCCTTGATCTGGCATCTTGTCTAGCCGCTGATCTTGACTTGTTTCATCGGTTACACATGGCCGTTTCAGCCGTGGCGTGAGTTTCTTTTTCCTCGCAAATATGGGAACAGAACAAGGGCGGTCGTGGTGGGTGAGACCTCCAATGAAGCCAGTAATTTTTAGCACGTTGGACGAGACAGAGGATCAGAGTGGGATGGCATCATGGAGGGGCTATTGGAATCTGGATCAAGCAAGGGACAAACAAGGACGGAGATCGGTGACGTGTCATTTGAAACATTCGTTGTTGTATCACGTGCCGCTAAAAGCCCTCGGATTAATCAGAGCCTCAAGCGGGTAGTGGATGGGAGCTACTGAGATTTTGAAGTGATTCTTCCTGTCTTATCCCATCTGCAAATCAACATCTCAAAACAAGACTTTCCGGGTTCGTGGCCATTGGCTTGGTAATGAGCCGCTATGAACCCACCTGAACACATATCAGAAGAGGATTTTGAATATGAATACGATGACATCGAGACAGAGGTAGGGGCCTGCTGCAAATGAATTGAAACCAAGCCGCCTCTGTGCTGCCGGCCCCCAAATTCACAAAGCTGTTCATTCCTTGACACTTTTCTTATGGACAGACCTTCTTCGTGGATATTGATCTGTCCTCCTTGAACTCTAACATCAAGTCGCACCTCCCCGTCCCTCTCAAGCCCGTGACGCCGGCCAAAAGAAAAAGACCCGACTCTGGTACTCCCGCGCCTGGCCCGGACGACCCCGTGGGCGGCGGCGGCGGCGGCTGTCTTGAGGCTGCAGAACCCGGAGCAGGCGAAGGCCGTGACTACTCGACGCAGGAACCGCACCAGACACCTTCCCGGAATGAACAAGATGACAATGATGACGAGAATGCACACCTGCCCGCACCCTCACGTGTGCAGATTCTTGATTTGGCCACACTCAACCCCATCATCTCTTACCAAGCCAAGTGTATAGCTGTACGTGGGCCGACATGGTGGGTACAAACATGTTCTTCACCCTTCCAGGCGTGTTGGACGGCGCCGACGTTCTGCGATCAACCGACGAATACGACCTGATAGGCCTGTCACGCATCAAGCTGGTCGGTCAGGCAGCCAAGATGTTGAAGAAAGAGAAACCGGCGGAAGAAACCCGGATAGATGATCCGCTTGTCAGTGCCCAAGCGGGTGCGAGTGGCGAGCTCGCCCAAGCCCGACACGACCAGGATCAGGCGAGCAAACAGGCTTCCTTCTTGGAAAAATTGATGCAAGTGAAACGGCAGCGCGGCGAAACAGATCTTGTTCGCACATTCGTGGACGAAAGGACTGCGTCGGTTGACCTGGCACGGGTACATGAATCGCATCGTGACGAAATCCAAGAACTCAATGTCCAAGTGCTTCGGGGAAACCCAGATGCTCTCGTCAGATTGCAAGAAATCTATTCTCAGTCTGATGGCAAGGCCTCTCAGATTCCAGAGTCTTCAGAGAGACCTGCAGAGGCCCACGATGAGGCCGACATAACTATGTAACAGGAGCAGAACACCCATTCTCGCTCGCAAGACGTTGTTGCCATTAGCCCATTTTTCAAAACACATAGTGCAAAATAACAATCCCTATGAGAATGACAGTACAGAAGCCAATCAATCCAAACAAACAACACACTATTCGCCCGCCAAACTCGATGAATCCCGAAACGCCGTGCTGGAAATATAGACCTAGCGGCTCTGCTTCTCACGGGTCCAGTGAACGGGTGACGGTGGCGGTGGAGGAGGGTGATGCTCAGGATATTGTCGTCGATCGGAATAGGAGACAAACTTGGGACGTGGAGATGCCTCGAAGGCTTTGTGCATGTCGCGGCTCGAGGTTTCCGACGCGAGCACCGTGGAGCGGTAGGAGATGCGTTGCATGGTGCCGGATATGGGAGGGTGTCAAAGGTCTGATGTGTTTAGATTATGTAGATGGACAGAGGTGTGCTGGAGCTGTCAAGAGCTGGTCAGTGCTAATCCATGCAGACCTAGTATTATCGAGGTGAAGATCAACTCACGACGCCTGGTGCTCGGCACTTGGTCTGTTCGGTAGCCGCGTTGATCGGCAATTGCTGCAGGTACAAATGTCCACGGGCCCAAGGCTGGTGGAGGATGGAACAAGATAGTGATCCTGGATCAACAATGAAACTGAAGGATGATTATATCAGAGGGCTGAATGATGGATGAAGAAAGCAAAGAGGAAAGAAGGAAGGGAGATTTTTTTCGAGGGAGCCTGAATCAAATATACCCCTTCGCAAGCCAATGTGGGAGTGGGAGTGTGCTCAGCAAATGTTCGGTTCCCCCCAAAAATCTAGCGGTCAAGGCGACGTGGGATTGTCGCATTTCAAACGAATCCGGCTGGACCTTGCAAGCTCCTCCCCAAAGCCACCAGAGGTTTCCCCGGAGCGCCACGAGGCGCGCCGTGCCAGGGAGCAGGGGGGAAGGAATGGACCCGAACCAAAGGGCCAAAGGGCTAGGCCGCAAATGTCGAGCCGATGGCAATTCCATCAAGCCCATTCGGTCATTGACGGCAGGACTTCAGGACCATCCAATTCCATGGTGTTTGTCCCGGACACGGGGGCCCGACCGTGAGTTTCCCTCCCTTGCCTTGGGGGGGGCTTATCTGGCTTCTGTGGTTTGTTATTCTGAGCCGTGACTGAGACAATTGATCGCCCTTTTCGTGGTATGCGTCGGTGGGATCCGTGAGGCGATTGATTGATCGCCCCCTTTTTTGCCTACTGCAAGCTGCAAGTCGCAGGGGGTGACGTGCGCTCGATCGATTTGAAAGAGGATCCGAAGCACAGCAGACTTGTCGCCCTCCCCGTATTTCGGCTAGGCAGAGTGGGCAAATCCAATCCCGATGCTTTGGGAAACTTACCGGTGCAAGCATCGAAGGAGGCAAAGTAAGGAGTGAGAGAGTCCTGACTCGTTGGTATGATCCACTGGTCGGTGACTGGAGACACACAAAAAGCTGCACCATCGTTTTGAGGCTTGCAGAGCTGCCAAGTCACAAACAGCCTATTTGATGCAAAGTTTCCTTTCCCCATCCCACGCTCGTATTATGCCGGGGCTTCAGACGAGTCCCATCACCGAATCCCGGTTGCAAGGGTTTTTTTGTTTTGTTTTTGTGATTTTCCAAGTTTTGGAGGGGGGCTTGCCAGCGTTTCGTATTCCCCCGGTCCGTCTGGGCTGGGCGACCCGGGTGGATTAGAAAAGCCCGAAAGGACAGCCTCCATTCTCCATTCCTCTCCTCGGCCGCCGTGTGTGGGTGGACGCGCGGAATGAGCAACCCGGGAAACCAAAAGGCGCCAGGATAGAGGAATTCAGGGTGGATGTCACCACAGCACGGGGGGATGACGGCTGGCGCCGGATGTGACCAGCGCCCCATTTCCTTCTCTTGCCCTTCCCTTCTCTTCCTTTTTGGCCATAAGCGAAATGTGGGCAACAGAAAGGTTGTTTTAGCTGGATATTATTATGAGGCCGCTGTGTTTGTTTGTGCGTTGTGCTCCTCCTCCTGGTAATACTGTCCTTTCCTCGCTGTGGAGCTCCCCCGAACCTTTTGCTCTGCATCATCACCTCACGCAAGGGTGCGAGTGTGAGTGCATTGATGCCCAATACACCGACCGAGCGGGCCGAGGAGGTCGAGCAGGTCACTGTGATGAAAGGGCGTGGAATGAGTGTGTGGATGAGTGAGTGAGGCCTGGACACGTTCGACCGGTGAACCGTGGACACACAGCATTTCATTTCATTTCCTTTACTCAATCCATCGCGAGGGGTACTGGGGAATGTGCGAGCTTCTCCGCAAAACAAAATACGACAGCCAGGTTGCCCAGGCGGAAACAAGTAAGCCCTTGCGTACAAAAGCCTCAGGCAGGGAGTGATTGTCGGGTTCGAGGCGCCTTGGGGGCCGGGATGAGGAATGAGCAAGAGGAAAACTGGAGAAAACGAGGTCGAGTCCAAGGCGATCGTCCCTTGTATCACCGTGCCCATCAATGCACATCGAATCAAACTGATGAACTGGCCTTCACCCTGATCACAATTACTCCGTTGGCTCATAATACTACTGGGTCCTGGCACTCTGGAACTCTGGAACTCTGGGAGCCCTGGTCTCATGATGGGTATCCTGACATGCTCGTTGTTCATTCTCCGCCCTAGCTCGCTCGCTCGCCTTTCGCCGCGATTTACTCGATGCAGTCCTTGCAGCCTCATGCCAATGCCAAAGCCAAAGCCAAAGCCAAAAAAAAATCAGTAAAGCGGTGTGATGAGAAAGAGGATCAGGACCTCGTACTGGTTACCGTTAGCTTTGAAAGGTGTGTGCCTCGTGTTTAAGTTTGCTGCCTACAGACATGCAGCTATTGCATTCACATTTGGCCGCAGTGGCGTTCCAGTATCCTCCAGTATACTCGTACACAAAGATTAGCTCCAACAACACCACCACCAGCTCGAGGTTACGATCAAGCACCCACCGGGGAGGGCGGGCTACATTAGGACACAACCATGTAATTATTACAGCAGTCATGTTAGACAGGTGCCACTCCTGGCTGCTTTCCAACTCGACCGCAACTTCAACCTCACATCGTGGTCCGTTCTCTCCTCCCATCCCGGAAAGTCACACACCGATGATGCTGTGACTTGTTCCAAAATCAAAATCAAAAAATCAAAATCATAAGTCTGCCCATCCATGCCGCTGTCGTGCAACGATATGTACATGGGCTGCCTTCCCCGGAAGCCACGCTCCGGGAATCTGTGGGATTACGGGGGCAATGATTTCCTGCTTTCCTTGAACGACCGTGATTAAACAAGGCAAAAGAGTGGCCGTAGCTTGATGACAAGCTTCCCAGGAGAGATTATGTGTGACACAGGTAGAGCGCATGTCTGATCTCCCAGTATTACTACTTCTTCTGTCACGGGCCCGGGGGGATTGAGCAGAGGCGGCTGTGTCGCAGGCTCAGAAATTTCTCACTCCAGCAAGATCCTGTGCCCAACATCCGATCCCCCCTTGAAAGAATCGATAACAGCAAACCCTCCCAAGCACGGAGCCACCCACTCACCCATCCAATTTCTTGTAGATCTTCCAGCCTTCTCTCTGCAGTCGATGCTCCTTCTCCATGTTCTCATCGTCCATCTGCTGCAGGTGGTCAGCTACCCACGTCCGTACTTTCTCATCGCTTGATCCCACGATCCTCGCCGCCAGGATCGCCGCGTTGACCGAGTTCCCAATTCCCACTGTCGCCACAGGAATGCCCCGCGGCATCTGCACAATACTCAATAGACTGTCCAGCCCGTCCAAAGAGCTAGCTTTTACGGGCACGCCAATGACGGGTATAGGGGTTTCCGAGGCCATCATGCCAGGCAAGTGTGCCGCTCCACCGGCGGCGGCAATGATGGCTTTAAGTCCACGACCAGCCGCAGCTCTGCCAAAGTCGAGCATGTACTGCGGCGTGCGGTGAGCTGAGGTGATGTGCACCTCGTAAGGGATGCCCATGGTATCAAGCAGCGTTAAGCCTGGGCGAAGTGTAGCCAGGTCGGTGTCAGATCCCATTACTACCGCTACGACAGCTCGAGCAGACGGTGTCGGATTGGAATCAAGAAGTTCTGCCTGAGTCTTCAGAATCGAAGTAGCAGAGGACTGGCCAGATCTGTCGTTGCGATGCACGCGTATTGCATCTACCATCTGAATCAAAGGATGCATTTTGACCTCACATTCCGATAAGCTGGACCCGGTGATAGTGATGTGTCCCATCTTCCGTCCAGGTCGACCTTCACCCTTTCCGTACAGGTGAATTTTAGCTCCTGGAACGTCAAGGGCGGCTTTGGCGACCAGCAAATGTGAGTCCGGTTGTGGTCCTCCGAGGATATTCAACATCATAGCTGCGTTGACCGCCAGATCCGTTGCTCCAGCAGGGATCTTTGAAGCGAGATCAGGCAGAATAGCACGGATCTGTGCTTCAAATTGGGACATGTGGCATGCTTCGATAGTGTAGTGCCCAGAGTTGTGTGGTCGGGGCGCGATTTCGTTGACGACGAGGGTGTTGTCAGGAAGGAGGAACAATTCAACCCCGAAGACGCCAGTTCCCTGAAAGGTTGAAACGGCACGTCGAGCCAGGTCTTGGGCAGCGCGTGCCACTTGCTGTGAGACATCTCGAGGTGGAACGTACACAAGCTTGCAGATGCTGTCTTCATGGACGGTCTCGACGGTAGGGTACGCCAAGGTGTTCTTCTCCCACGCGTCCGGATCGTCCTCCTGGGCTGTTTTCACCACCATGACTGCGAGTTCCATTTTGAAATGAGCCCATTTCTCCGCATATAGAGGTCGATTCGCAAGTGCTGAGATGGCAGGCTCTATATCGGACTCCGACTTTACCGGGAAGTTACCTCTCCCATCGTATGCTTGGGTTCGAGATTTTAACATGAAAGGGTACCCAAGCGCCTCGCCGGCCTCTTTCAGTCCTTGCTGTGACGGGCTAACCGCAATGGATTTAGCGATGGAAATTGCATATTTCGCAAAATGCTGCTTCTGAGTGAATTTGTCTTGGATCGTGCGGACTGTTCGCCAACTAGGCTGGAACCTCGACCATTTGGTCCCCTCGACAAAGGGTCTCTCAGAATCTAGCTCTTCAAGAATCTCGGTGCCAACGTGCTCGATCTCGTAGGTCAGGATATCACATCTGGCAGCAAGTGCCTTGACATCGGGCGCATTTGCGAAGGACCCAGTAACATGCCTATCAGAGTTTGCAAGATATTTTGCAGGGGCGCTGTCGGCATCAAGGACTCCAACCTGAATATTGAGTCGGTTCGCCGCCTCCACTAACATACGTCCTAGTTGGCCGCCACCGAGAACACCCACGATATGGTCGTCCATGTTTGCAGTTGTGGCTGCGATTATAAGAGTAACCGTGCAATAGGGATCGGAAAGAGAAATCTCAGTCGTGCTCCTGACTTGGATGGTGAATGAAAAAAGACCCACTTGTGAATTTGCTGCGAATCCAGTAAATTTCCAGACGCCTGTGAGGACTCTTGACTCTGCAATGTCCTGGGTCAATTGAAAGAGCCCCAACACCTTTATATCAGGACCTTTTGTTGTGTGAAGACTCGGCGGTCGACCAAAATTTATTTTCGCGGCACAACTTCGGTCCACGCCGCTCGCGCCCTCAGCGCTCTGGCTGCGGGCCTCCAGCCTGCGTACCACCAGTCCTTTACTCGATACCATGCTCCTTCTTCATCCTTTCCAAATTTGCCTGCCTCGCCGCAATGTCCTCCTTGACCTCCATCTTCATTTTCTCTGGTTGATGGTACAGTACTACCAAATAGCGGTTGCGAAAGTTGAACCCATTCAGCTTGTCGCACGCTTGTTTTGCGTCCAAGACGTCTTCATAGACCACGAAGGCCGTGCCCTTTGTAGTATTCGATGTGCCTAGGCGGATTTGACGTATAGGCCCGAATTTGCCAAAGAGATCGAAGAGGGCCGGGCTGTCGATGTCGTAGGCAAGGTTTTTGACAAAGAGGATCCGATTTGCTTCGGGCGCGAGCTTGTTGCTGCGTGACATTGCGGAGGGGTAGAATAAGAAGACTGCAGCTCCTTTGAGAGGCAGGGAGTTGTCGACGACGAGGTTTGAGCGGGGAGTGGCGTGCCTGTTGTGTTGAAGGACGTGGGAAAGATGCGAGAGGAGAATTTACGGCAGATTGGTAAATGCACGTACAAGAGCGTGTATCGGTGTTCCGATGGTTTTGAGCGGTCCTGCAACTGCCACACACATGGAATGGAATCCAACTATCTTCAAGGTGTCTTCAGAGCACAGTGCACAGAGGAACGCAAGTACGAAGAGAAAGACAAAGCTGAAAGGCGGGCGGCGCAGGGAGCAAATGCAGTGCTGTAAAGTTGTCTTGTAAATCTCGGTACGCGCCGTATTGTCACAATCGACTCTCCCGTCTGCGGTCTACCTCGACCCTGCTCCGAACAACCACCTCGACCGTGACAACTCCTCGTCCACCACCCGACGACACTCAATTCTTTTGTCACTGCTTGCGGCCTCCTGTCGGAGGTCAGATCGGCACATTCACCAATGTAGCCATCCTCCTGTGGCCCTCCTTCCCACAGCTAACTCGACTCCCGACTCGCGAACCCCGCCTCCGCAACCAGTTCGACTTCAACTTCGACCCTGATCTTTCGCTCGCGCTCGAGGGTGATTATGCCTACCTCGACCATCTGGCGCCGGGGCCGTGACCTGGGAGGCCTGCGGCGAGCGAGCCCTGTACGTCCGTCGGTCGAACTCATCGAACGCCTGTCCCCTGATCCCACTTTCGAATCCCCTGCCGTCGAAGTCGCCTCGCTCCCTCTACGGTATTCACCCGATGGCGGCTACACATTGAGAGGACTTGGCCTCTCTGATATTGGAGAAGTCGAGAACAATGAGTCCGCTCTACAACCAGATCACCTATACTATGACCAGGACGGCGCAGCCCATGTTGCGGGTAAGATAAAAGGTGGCGCGAGTACCAGTTTCGGGCACTCTGGAGTCGGGTCGCTAGACTGGGCGACCAGAAGCGCCAATCCTACTTCCGGCTTCCTGCAAGACAATCGACGCCTCCATGGAAAGGGACATACGCGCTCCGGCTCTACGATCGATGACCTTGCGACCGCCGCAATTGCAACAAGCCCCGTTTTGGCTAGCGCAACCACTTCTTCTCTACCCAAGGGAAGCTCGTACACTGCTACTCGCCCTTCTACCTCCTATATCCGTCGCTATAGTCATGAAGGTCCCTCAAATGGTCCGCCCGCAAAACGCATCAAATCCGAGCGAATACCCAGCCTCGAGTGGTCGCCGCGTGCGGACAGACCAAAAACAAGCGGAGGGTATAGTACATCAGATGTCGACCATGAAGATGCACTTCTACTACTTGAGCTGAAGAACGAAGTCAATTTCAAAAATCATACAATTACCCCAAAGCTTGATACGGTGCCTGAATGCCAGCTGTCGATGTCACCCATCTCTCCCCAGTCCTCCTCCAAGCCGCGGAATCAAGGAAGCCCAACCACACAGTTACATCCGAGCGTGAAGAGTTGGTCTAGAGAACAGCACATGTCTGAAGATGTGTCCAGTGTGAGAGGTGTTTCCATGGCAGAGAAATCCGAGTCGGTACACCTGGAAGCGGCGAACGGGGGAAACGCTCCGGACGTTCCAACACAAGAGTCCACAGGAACCCACGTTGCTGATGATGCCCTGCCACCGGTGTCTGCAGAACCTCCCGAGCCTGAAGTGACCGAAGCGGAGCAACCGTCCAAGAAGCAGCGTCGTATCAAGCCAGAACAAGAAGCCGAGGTTTGCGCAGCATGTCAGCGCCTACAATTGGAAAAGGTGGATAAACAAGACACTTCTACCTTCTGGATCAGGTGTGACGCCTGCAAACGCTGGTTTCATGCAGAATGTGCTGGTTTCAAGACAAAGGCAGAAGCAAGGAGTGTGGATAAGTACATTTGCAAAGACTGTGAACCTATACATGGGCCAACCACATACGTGCGAAAGTCGTCCCGTCCGAGGACTGCCATTGATTACGCTGGCCTCAACCAAGGTCTGGTAAAGTCATCTATAGAGACCACGAATCACCACTATATCCTGCCAATCAAAGAAGGCAAGATGAGGACCATACCAGATGATTTCGCTCGAGTCCGGCCAGAAGAGCTTACAATGGAGTTCATGGAAAGCTTTGAGGGATTCAAACGGCCCTTTGTGGTTCCGGCTGAATGGAACCCTCGAACTCTTGTGAGGCCCGGTCCTGTCGAACGTGGTTCGACTCGTCCTGCCAAAGATTCCACAGCTTTCACACTCATCAACAGCGCCGGAAGAAACCCAGATCCTGACGCCACGCCGCCGTTGGAACTTGGGGAACAAGAGGTCATCGACTGTGATCAGGACTCAATGGATATGGTGATGCCACGCGGTTTGACAGTCCGAAAAGTTGCCGAGCTCTGTGGCCCTGATGAACCTGTGCCCGTGATCGATGTCAAGTCTCAAGAGACCAAGGGCTATTACACCCTCCGAGAATGGGCGGGCTACTATGAGCAGGAAGGTGAAAAGCCTGTCCAAAATGTTATCAGCCTCGAAGTTTCACACACTCCACTCGGCAAACTTATCCAGCGGCCCAAAGTAGTTCGAGATCTCGACCTGGACGACCATGTTTGGGTGGTTGATGCTGAGACCCGACTCAAGAAGAGGCCAGTATCGTTCTATTGCCTGATGTCAGTTGCTGACAGCTACACGGACTTCCATATTGATTTTGGAGGCTCCTCTGTGTACTATCACATTCTGCAAGGGACAAAGACATTCTTCTTCATACCGCCGGAGGACAAGTACCTAAAGAAGTATGAGGAATGGTGCAACTCAGAGTCTCAGAACGAGACGTGGCTGGGAGACCTCTGCGGTGGCAACTGTACAAGAGTTGACCTCCACGCAGGAGACACGGCTTTCATTCCCGCAGGCTGGATCCACTCAGTCTGGACACCGGAAGACAGCTTGGTGATCGGCGGTAACTTTTTGACTCGTCTGGACTACGAGATGCAGCTCAAAATCGTGAGCATTGAGAAGGCCACCAAGGTGGCGCCCAAATTCCGCTATCCGTACTTCCAGAAAGTCATGTGGTATGCTTTGATCCAATACCTGGACCAAGATCCCGTACCGGAAGAGATGTTGAATGACTTCCGCGATAACCATGCCTATGTTTTCCCACGAACAAACCCGATTTGGCAGAAAATGGGAGAGTCTGAAAATACAGCACAGCCTGGTGATCCAGCTTACAATTCAAGGCATTACCCGAAGTCTGAGGTGGACGGTTGGCCGGCATTACGAGATTTTCTGTATCGGACAGCTCGAATAGATGCGGGCTTGCCGGTACCAGATATCACCAAGAAACAGATCGATGCTGTGAAGGCGTCTATACCCAAGGGCTATGGTGATCCACTCACGATGACGAAAATCTTCGCAATCTGGTGTGCATGGAAGATCGGTAACACCACCGCGCCAGATTGGGTTTACTCAGATGGCCCATTAGAGGTGGAGAAGCCCAAGAAGCCCGAGCCTGTTCGCGTGGCAGGAGAAAGGAGTTCCTCTCGAAGAGTCGCGCAAGCACAGGCTCAGGCGGCACAAGCAGAGGTCCACGCGCAAACACAGGCTCAAACACCTCCGGCCAAAAACGGACCCAGAGGAAACGGATTGAGAGTCGCATGTGAGCCTTGTCGGAAACGCCGTATAAAATGTCGACATAAGTCGGGTGGTGAAACACCTCGCCGCACGCCGGAGATTCGTCCCAGGAGTTTCTCTAGTGCCGATCACCATTCCCTAGCTGGCGCAGCAGCGTTTACCAACGGCACCCTAGGAGAGGTTGTCTCCCCAGAAACCCGGATACCCGACGGGGTTGGTGCAGAAGTTGCGCAGGCTGACCCTCAGTCCTCATCGAAGAAAAGTCGGAGCAAAGCTTGTGAAGACTGCAGGAAAAGCAAGGTAAGCGGTCCTGGCATGGTGAACTTGTCTCCTACTGACAGAGCCCAGCGTCGTTGTGTTCACGATCAATATGGTCGCATCGACCCCGCGAAAGTAGCAGAGCCTTCGAAGCCTCGCGGGTCAACGAATGTAAAACGCAGCACCCACGCCAATGAGGAGACCAAACAACCAGGACCAGAAATTGACAACCTCGAGGACTTAATCGACCCTGCCCTGATCAATGGTGATACCTCTCAATTAGCCCATGATGTTGACGACGAGACGTTTCATACGCCAGGACCTGCGAACGATGGGAGCCCAACTAGTGAAGACAAACACGCAGATGAAGATGTCTTCATGACGAATGGTGTCGGCGAAAATACCGCAGTGGTCGATCCCGCTCTAGAGAGCATGGAGGAAGAAGCAGCACTTATCAAAACCGAGCATGATCCAACTGCAGGATCGGCAGACACGAGCGCCTTGAACGAAAACAACAATCTTTCCACTCCGAACACGAATCAAAATGGTGCACCTGTCGACGGCGAGATTTCTGGACATTACGCTTGGACGCCTGGATCGAGACAATCGTCTCGCCAACCCAAACAAGTAGAAAGATACACGCCCGAAGAGAAACGATCGCCCACCAAGCTGCATCCAAAGCCCCAGAGGAACGATCGACGGGCATCGAGCGCTGCGAGCGTACACACGGTGGTGACCAGTGTCAAGAGTGAACGTTCATCTAGCAATACTTCGGGTACCACGCACCAAATCGCGGCCATCCTGACCAGCAGACGTAGTGCGTCTCTGGAAACCCCTGCTCGACCTGTGAGCAGAGGAAGTATAGGGGGAGAAAGTGATGTGAATGCAGACGACGAAAAGTTTGCCAGAGAACTGCAAGCGGCAGAGAATGGGTTAAGGCGTCGGACCAGTATGAGGGCTTAGAGGGGCCTCGGCTGAGCCCCGGGGGACAGCAGCTTATGATGACATGACAGAGGAAGATGGCGTTCAGATGGTGTCGGAGCCTGGGACAGCAATGGATTGAATTCGGGATGCCATCTTGCGCTGCTCGAGGACGACCAAGGAGTGAGATTTGGTTGGCTTGGGGAATTTCGCGTGCGTGATTTCTGTTCAATAAAATACCCTCGAAGCGCGATGGATACCCGAGGGCACTACCGTGAGCTTTCCAATGTACATTTTCCCCCGGTTCTTGCATCTTCCTCTATATAGCATATATCAAACTACCCCTTGCACGTGACGACGAGGACGTCCGTCTTAGGCCGAGCAAAGGGCAAAGTGTGGGGTAATAACATCATTGCTCAATCGCTCACCGAGGGACGATCTCAACCATTCCACCTTCATCCATGCTTCCTAGTGTCTTGTCTTTCTCTTCGTCACACTCGGTCAACTTGTTCCTCGTCATCAACAATATGGTGCAGACAGGCTCTACACAGTGACCATGGCGAACTTTGTGTACAATAGCCAACTCGTACGTCCGCTCTATACAGGGCTTTCTCCCGCCTCATTCTGTCTGTCCATTTACACGATGCCATGGGCTAATTCATGTGATTCCCGCTACAGGACGCCTTTGAACTCTTCCATCTGGTCCAAGAAGAGGATGTTGTTCGCTCGTCTGCACGACCACCGAGGTCCCATGCCCTGGAGGCTCTAGGCCACGCCCTCTCGGGCTCCTTCGGCGCTGCCATCTCCAATGCCGCGCTCTACCCCGTTGACCTCATCATAACGCGCCTCCAGATACAGCGCCAACTCCGCAAAGACCAGTCGCGGCCTGCCCAGGAGGAATATAAAGGCTTCTTTGATGGACTCCAGAAGATCTACCACAAAGAAGGGGGAATAGCAGGATTATACACGGGCCTGCTGCAGGATACCGGCAAGACCATCGTGGATTCTTTCTTGTTCTTTTTGCTATACTCGTTCTTGAGGGATCGGCGGATCGCTAAACACGCAAGGCTGAATGGCGGCAAGAAAGTCAGTCTGCCTGCGTTAGAAGAGTTGGGTGTTGGATTCGTTGCGGGGAGTTTCACGAAGTTGGCAACAACCCCGATTGCGAATATAGTCACACGGAAGCAAGCGGCGGCGTTGCTGACGGCGTCGGAGGCAGGCGAACAAACAAGGACGCCCACCGCGCGACAAATCGCCCGAGACATCCTCTCGGAGAAAGGTGCTCTTGGGTTCTGGTCCGGCTATTCGGCGAGTTTAGTCCTCACGCTCAATCCGACACTCACTTTCTTTCTGTTTGAAACGCTCAAGAAGGTTCTCCTTCGCAGAGAGTCACGTCACAATCCACCACCGAGCCTCACATTTCTGCTATCCGCCATCAGCAAAGCTTGTGCCTCTTCAATTACATACCCTTTTAGCCTGGCGAAAACTCGCCTGCAAGCCGGCGGTGCGTCGTCGAAAAAAGAGGAGCAGGACGAAAAAGAAGTCATCAGCGAAGATTTCAAACATGAAGAAACTCGGAAAGCCGCCCGAGCCACAATCTTCAGCACCGTCCTCACCATTGCGCAGACGGAAGGTATCAGCGCCCTTTACGAGGGCTTACATGTTGAGGTACTGAGGGCCTTCTTCTCCCATGGAATCACCATGCTGGTGAAGCAGATCATCCAACGCTTCCTCGTCAAAGCCTACTACCTCGTGTCCATCGTTCTCGGACGTTACAAGAAGCGCCGCGAGGCAAGTGCAAAGCGCCTTGCAGAAAAAGCCAAAGCCAGTGTCGAATACTACAATCTCGCAATGGCACGGGCGTCCGAGAAGATTGAGGCGGCGGCCGAGAAAGTCAAGGAAAGTGTCGGAACGAAAGCAAATGAGACGGCGGAATTTGTGGGAGAGTACGTGGAAGAGGATGACGAGCTCGGGGAGAAATGGAAGGAGCTGTATGGGACGGTGGGATTGGCCCGATGGTTCGACAAGTCGAGTGACGAGAGGTGAGAATTGCAGAAGGACTCCCTAGTCGGTGAATGGATGGCGGAACAGCATTCCAGAGCAACATGTAACGGCAGTAAATTGGTGGATGGATTGGCGCACACGGAGCGGTGGGATGGAAACATGTGCGCACACAGGTTTTGGCAGATGCTGTTCCAGGCTTAAAACATTCCTTTTCTTTTCGTTCCTTGTCTAGCGATACTTGACTTTTTGTCCTCTTTTCTCTATTTTTGTCTGCCTCTTGCTGTGTGCCATGTCATCACCCTCTGCACCTCCTCCAGCCAGTCCTCCCAGCATGCCCTTGACACCCCTGGCAGCCCCAGCAATGCAATATACGGCATATGCAGGAACGACCAAGTAGAGCCACCATGCGCGATTCCCAAAGATCAGGACTACAATGAGGTTAATCCAGGTCCAGTACAGGATGTCCCACATGAACTCGGTGAGGCCTTTTGCGTCGAGATCCTCTCCCGCCTTCTTCAACTCGCCGTTGGCGTGGTAGGTCGGACGGGCGAGGACGTCTAGGTATACTTCAATAAGTAAACCTGGAGCGCTGAACAGGAGATAACGCCATAAGGATAGAGAGCGGCGAATCGTGAATTTCAAGAAGAGGAACAGTATATGGATCGAGAGGGTTATGAGGTGGGTTTGGCGGAGGCGGGCAGTATTGCGAGTGGCGAGGGTTTTGGCAGCTTTCTAGTCGGAAGGCACAGTCAGAGAGATACATCAGGACATCAACGAGAGGACGGCCACTCACCTGAGCCATGATTGAGTAGTAAATGAGCCAGTGAGGTGGCAGGAGGTTGGGAGAGACGTGCTCGTGCTCAATATGTGTGGCAGGCGACGGGAGCTGGCAGAACACAGAAGAACACAATCCCTACTGGCCTGCAGTAGGTCTTGCACCGTGCAAGACTCGAGAAAACCGGAAAGGTCGACAGACTAATCTGGTGTTGACAGTAGTAGAGAAAGAAGCCTGTGACTGGCAGTTGAAAGAGGTTGTGCACTTCCCCGCCGCAGCCACAATGGACTCTCGGTTTCCAGCCACAGCTTTTGCCTCACGATTCTGCTGCTGCGCTGCAAACAGAAACACTGAACAACAACACTAACCGCCCGCATCGCATTTTATTCTATTGATACTCACCCACCCCCCGTCATCTGCACTTCATCCTCCCTTATACGTTGCTTCTGCTGGCCTTGAGCACTCACTGCCTTCCATGCATTAATCGACCACCCTCTGCCGCGCCTTTCACGGATGGGTGGCGCATTTGTTTCAGTCACAGCAGCCTCCCGGGGGGTTTGATTCCATGACCTCTCGACCGCGTCTTCATCCCCGCAACAACATCCTTCAGCTTGTCTCGGGTCGATCGACTCGTCACCTCGCCTCATTCCATCATGGCTCCTACACAACAACCTCACGTTGCGGCTCAGCTCCGCCAACTTATCTACTATCACCTGGACAACAACCTGCTCAAGAACGCCCTCTTCCTTGCTTCCCGTCTCGTCGCCTATGAACCTCGCTCCCCCGAAGCGGCCTACTTGCTCGCATCCTGTCAATTGCAATCAGGGTTCCTGAAGGCTGCATGGGACACTTCACGCGCCGCCGCCGTGAAAGGTACCCACTTGGGATGCAGTTACATTTTCGCTCAGTCTTCTCTCGAGCTCGGTCGGATTGTCGAAGGTCTCACGGCCTTGGAAATGTGCAAACACCTCTGGCAGAACAGAAACACGTGGGGTCAGCACAACGAGTCGAGACGCCAGCATCTTCCTGATGCCGCGGCCATCCTATGCCTCAAAGGCAAGCTCTGGAAGGCACATAAAAATCTGAACCAGGCTGTCGAGTGTTGGGCGGCGTCTCTGAAACTGAACCCGTTCATGTGGGATGCCTTCACCGAGTTATGCGATTCAGGCGCGAAGATTAGTGTGCCGAATATCTACAAGCTGAATAATGAGATGGTAGCGGCCGCGCATTCAGCACAACAGCAGAGCGTAAGGGTTGAGAACGTACCGGCCGAGAAGGGAGCACCATCAGATCCATTTGTCTCGACACAAAAGTCAAGTCTGCAGCAACAATCGGGCAACTCAGTGCTATGGGAAAAGCTCAATGGAAGCAAAATGAGCGTCAACACGGTCAGCACGATTTTGGATGAGGAGGGTCTTGCTACTTCCTCAACAGAGGCCGAAGCGGAAGGTGTCCTTCACGGCGCGCCACTCAACAACCAATTTCACGAACCACCGCCGGCCCCAGTCAGAAAAGCCAAGGCCTTGACGGAAACACAGACAGATCCCCCTCCTAGGTGGAAGTCAGGATCTACTCGGATAAGGGCAAAAGCAAAAGGTTCATCGGATGATTCTACTACCGTCTTACAAGATCCCCCTCCGCAGCCACTACCGGCAGCACCGTCTAAGAGAACGGTCTCGGGCCAGCTTGCGCCAACGTCGTCTCATGCTGCTCCCTCAAGCATTGCCGAAGGAACGAGAAGAAGCAATCGACTGCTCAACACCACCAGACCACCCAGTGCGACCAGCACGGCTGGGAGCAAGATTTCGTCTCTGGCGAATACGCTCGGTCTACGAGAAGGACGGGATATCAGAAAAGCGAAGGCCCCAGCCCCGAAGGGCAGGACAGCAAACACATCGACCGTGGGCAGAGTCGTGAGCGGGAATAGAACGAGGACCGGATCGTCAGATCAAATGGATGTGGACACGAAAGAACAGAAAAATATGCCGAACGCCAACGCAGCTCCTCCAGTACCGCCTCTCCCAAACCACAAAACACGAGCACCGTCGACCGCGGATAGAGAAATCGAAGCACTCCAGACGCTCTTAGACCTGTGCGGGAGAATTGCTTCTGCTCAGCTCTGCCTGTCCAATTATGACTGTCAAACCGCCATCCAGGTATTGAATGCCCTTCCTTCGTCACAACGTGAAACGCCTTATGTCCTCAGTCAAATTGCCAAAGCGTACTACGAACAGGCCTCGTACACCGAGGCAGAGAAATTCTTCATCCGCGTGCATCAACTCGCCCCCAATCGTCTCGAAGACATGGAAGTCTACTCCACCGTTCTCTGGCACTTGAAATCAGAGATTGAACTTGCCTACCTGGCGCATGAGCTCATCGAAATTGACCGATTATCCCCTCAAGCGTGGTGCGCGATCGGGAATTCCTTTTCTCTCCAGCGCGAACATGAACAGGCGCTGAAATGCTTCAAGCGCTCGACCCAACTCGACTCACAATTCGCGTACGGATTCACGCTCCAGGGTCACGAATACATCGCCAATGAGGAATATGAGAAAGCACTGGAAGCCTACCGAGCCGCCATCGCCGCAGATGGCAGACATTACAATGCATGGTATGGGTTAGGAAAGGTTTACGAGAAACTGGGCAAGTGGAATATTGCGGAGCAGCATTACCGAACGGCAGCCAGGATCAATCCCACCAACGCCGTGTTAATCTGCTGTATCGGCCTGGTTCTCGAAAAACAGAAACATCCCGAAGACGCCCTACTTATGTACACTCGCGCATGCAGCCTGGCGCCTCAGTCGGCCTTGAGTCGATTCAAGAAGGCAAGATGTTTGATGAGCCTAGGGCGTCCGAGGGAAGCGCTTGTCGAACTGATGATCTTGAGGGATGTGGTACCGGATGAGGCGAATGTGTGGTTCTTGATGGGACGGCTATACAAGACCTTGAGAGACAAAGGTAATGCGGTGAGGGCCTTTACGATGGCGCTAAACCTGGATCCAAAGGTAAGGGTTTGCACTTTTTTCGCGTGGCTCAAGGGTGACTAACATGGAACTCAGGCCGCTCAGTTCATCAAAGACGCAATGGAGAGTCTGGATGATGATGACGACGACGACGATGAGGATGAAGACATGGAGTGATGATGATCCTGATACTTCTTTCTCTTTCCACATACGCTCCATCTGCTTCCGGAGGGCGATTACTCATCGTCACCCTCGGCCTTGTTCATGTTTTCCCAACAACGTCCCGATCATTATTCGGACTAATATCGTCCATGTTAGCGCGACGAGCGCTGATCACATGTTGGGTACTACCATCTTAATGTGTTTTTTTTTTCGGATCCTCCACGAATGCACGCATCCAGTGGAATAGAAGGAGGTTGGATTGAAGATGCCACGACACTTTTGTGGATACAAAGAAGCAAAGAAAAGGGAATTGACAATGAAAAACGACTCCAGCTCTCGCTCGCAGAGAGAGAGTTATACCCTCGAAAGCAGGCTCTGGAATTCTTCTTTGCTTTCAGGCGTTCTGATGCGGAAAGTCCGTCCCTGGGCACCTTTCCGACTTTATTGCATGGACTGGAAGGGCGTGTATTTGGCTTGTGCTTTCTGCATGGGCCGGCGGAGCACACGCATGTGTACTGCAATGGGTTGAGCGCATTCTTCGGAGCTGTATTTTTGCGGTTACGGGCTATCAGCCTTGGAAGCTCGAGCGTCTTGTTGCACCTGACGGAGTCGACGATGAACATGGGGCCTGAGCACGGGACGGCACGGCACGGCACAGGCATGGTTTGGTTTGGTTTGGTTTGGCATGGCATGGCATGAATTAGCATAGCGACACACGGTTTACAGTCACGGTTGACAGTTCGTCAGAGACACGGATATGGACACACAACACGCACGAGAGCAGCAAAACGCATGGAGTTCTCTCGCCGCTGAAACGCTCTACGGATGTCCGTCCATATGGATGAGCCCCGGTGTACCTCTGGTACCTACAGACCTATTTACTCCGTTCCTCCATCGATATCGATCGATTGATCAATCAATCAATAATATTATTGTAATTGTCCTAAATGAACGAACACGCAACCAGGACTGTATACGAGGTACAGATTTGTCTATACCGTAGATGGGAAGTGGTAGTAGTTGGTAGTAAGCAACAAGAAAATGGAGCAATTTTTCTTCTAGTCGGTATACATGTACTGTAGCTGCAAAACTAACTAGATCCCAGGCAAGCCAGCCAGCCAAGGAAGACTATTATTGAATGAATAGTATTTCGGGGGGAAAAAAACCAGCCAAACAGCAAGCAAGCCAGACAGCAAGCAATAGTCATCATACCACGATTACATACGTACATACGCACATACCATACAAACATACATAAATACACATATACAACAGACAGCCAGATAGCCAGACAGACAGACAGAGGGAGGAAGGAAAAAGGTGGTGGTATCATTCATTGGGCAATAGCAACGCCCGAAAACAACAATGTCATCTCCCATCCATCCACGCATGCCGTCTGAGTGAGAGTCCAACACCAACACCAGCCAAACCAGCGATAGAGAGGCCGTGACTTGGTTTGACAAAGACGCCGGGAGGGGAAGGGGCAGGGCAAGAGATATGACCCCAGCTGATGGTCGCTGAATCAATGACAATCAATGGAGACAGACACACAGAGCAGACAGACAGAGTTGTCAACTGTTCTCTCTGCCTCTCCTTCTGCCCTCGCATCAGCTCCAGCGTGGGTTCGAGTGGCTCAACGAGCTAGCTCCCTTTGAACATTGCTTGTCGGACTCGATCGAGCTTCTGGGAGGGCGATGGGGTTTGATTTGTGCAGATAAATAGGTACTTTTAAAAAGGGTCTGATCGAGGATTAGAGGGAGGCAGACAGGGAGAAAACCTCGCGCCCTCGTCCTTCACATCGCTTCATCATCAAGTCGTTGTTCATCCATGCCTCTCCTGCCATGCACTTGAACATGCTCGTGACCCCCTTGCGACTCTCCGCTCACTCACTAATCTGCTCACAACTCGTCCTTCACATACTTGGTCGCGCTGCTCGCCGTCTCACTCACTGCGCTGGCGATGCTCTCCACACTTTCGCTCACGGCACTCGCCGCCCCGGCCGCGCCGTCACTGACTTCATTTGCCATGGCGGCGATCCTGCTGCTGGCACTGCTCGCGGCTTCGAGGATCTGTGAATTGATGCTCTCCATGTAGCTCTGTTCAGGCCCATAGATGGCCTCGGAAACCATGGCGGTGAGGCTCTCGACACCATCGCTGGCTGCAGAAGCTGCCGCCGCCCCATTCTCGGAAACGATGGACGATGCCCATGCGTATGTGTCAGCCGCAGCGCTGGTCAAAGATTCAACTGTACCCGTGGGCGTGCCGTAGATAGCAACGCTTACGGCATCCTGCGCACTCTTGGCCAAGTCTGCAAATGAGGACGATGCAGCTTCCGCGTAGCCGACGGGGGTACCGTAGATTGCTTCACTAACTGCCGCGCTGGCCGAGGAGTAGCTGTCGGCGACGGCGGAAGTTGCTTGTTCGATGGTTCCCTTTTGTGTGCCATAAATCTGTGCACTTGCTGCGTCGACAGCAGCATTCAGCTGTCCCGTCACGGAATCCAGAATGGAAGAGACCTCAGGGGGAGGGGTGAAATAAGATGATGCAACGGACGAGACAGAAGAAGCCATGGACGATGCCGAGTCGTAAGCTTCGCTCGCCAGACTCGAAGCTGAGCTGTAGCCCGTATAGTAGGCGGAGCTGAGGCGACTCATGACCGATTCGGTGAAATCGGGCTCCTTGCCCACGATCAGCTCCGAGACATAGGATTGGATAATGACGTATTTATCGTTCGCAAAGTCCGTGGCCTGGGCAGAATATTCTCCAGCTTGGGAAGCAAAATCTTCATAGAAGGGCTTGGGAGTGCCATAGATTTGTTCGCTAGCTTTGGCGACGAGAGCTTGCCAGTTCTCAGATGCCACGCTGGAGATTGATTGAACGGAGCCGGTTGGAGGACCGTAGACGGCCGTACTTGCCGCGTAGCTAGCCGCAGCGAGAGATGAAGAAGCGGCAGCGATGGCAGCATCATACTGCGAAGAGATAGAATTCATAACACTCTGCGCCGGGGATGTCTCCTCCGTGCCCATAGCGGAGGAGGCCGAGTCCAGCAACGCGGACATTTGAGAAGCGGCCGCTGAGGATGCTGCTCCGTAATGAGACGACGCTGCATCCAGAACACTTTGATAGTATGGGGCGGGCGTGCCGTAAATGGCGGTGCTCGCCGCATAGCTGGCTGCGGAGAGAGATGAAGAGGCGGCAGAAATGGCCCCATCATATTGTGACGAGATAGAATCAAGAATGCTCTGTGCTGGAGAGGTCTCTTCCTTACCAAGGGCAGAGGACGCTGACTCGAGCAGTTCTGACATATGAGAAGCGGCTGCGGAGGAGGCAATCTCGTACTGTGACGACGCCGCATCCAAAGCGGTCTGATAGAATGGCGCAGGAGTGCCGTAGACAGCAGTGCTTGCAGCATGTGATGCCGAAGACAGCGATGATGAGGCTGCGTCAACAGCACTTGAATAAGCCGCCACAGCTTCGTCCCAGAGGCTCTGAACAGTTGTACCCGAGGCAGATCTGAACGAGTCCAAGCTGGAAGCGGCTGCTGATGAGGCCTCCGAATATTGCGAAGCGGCTGCGTCGAGGAAGCTTTGGTATGCAGGCACCGGCGTTCCATAAACTCCAAACGAAATAGCGCTTGACATGCTACTCAACACGGGTGTTGGCGTCCCATAAATTGCGCTGGAAGCCGCCGCAACAAAGTCATCGTACTGCTCGTGCGCCAATCCAACAGCGGCATAGTAGTTCTTCCTTGCTTCTTGGAGATATCTTGCACGAGCCGGTGTGGGAGTGGCTCCAACAGCAGCCTTCGCCTTCGAGTATTGAGCCGAAGCGGCGGCCAGAGAGTCTTGCAGTATTGACGATGCCATCGACGACACAGATTCAAGGGGTTTAGTCTCTGGAAGCACACTCGAGGCCGAACTTCGAGCAGATTCGAGTCTGTCACTCGCGGCAGCCACGGCACCAGAATAGGCCGACTCAATCGAAGAGAACATTTGCTCATGAATAGGTTTCGGAGTGCCGGATATCTGTTGAGAAGCAATCGATTTTGCGGCGTGGTAATTATCTTCCGCTCTGCTGATAGCCTCGCTGTAGAGGGAGCTGGCCTTGTGAAGCAATGACTCCGTGACAGGGGTTGGCGTACCAAAGATGATTGAGCTCGCAGCAGCCACAGCTTGCTCATACTTTTCAGACGCGACTCCTGCGACGCTTTCAGCCGTGCCAGTAGGGGTACCATACAAGATATTGGAAGCTGCAGCTAAAGCGCTGGCATACTGCTCACTCGCCACAGATGTGATGCTTTCTACTGTGCCTTGAGGTGTTCCGAACATGGCTTCAGATACCGCGCGAGTAACCTCTGCATAGCGATCGCCTGCTTGGTTGATCACGCTCTGGACACTCTCGGAGAATGTCGACTCGTTGTTGTCAAATATGTCATCCAGAATAGGTACAGAGCCCTTCACCTCTGCGGCCATAGCGCCTGCAAAGACTTTTGCTGCTCTCGTGCTTGCTGAATCTACGGCGGCGGAGGCGGAGGAGAGTTCATCTGATGAGGGTGAAGCGATGAATTCCACCGTCGATGATGTCGAGCTCGCCGACTCCATCACGTCTTCCGTGAAGTCTGAGCCCGTCTCCGAGGCGTCAGAAAGGATGAACTCGGCAGTCCCAGGGACACTTCCAATGACGGCCGAAGATGCAGAATCATACACATCTCCAGCCGTGGCGCTAATATCAGACTCAAGTGACCCAACAGGCTCCACGATAGAAGAGTCCAAAATGGAGGAGACGGACGAAAGTGCGTCATCTGCAGCTTCATCAACTTTGGACGTCACAGACTCGATGGCGCCGGTAGTGGTGCCCACGACTGCAGAGGATGCAGACGAGACCGCCTCGGTAGCAGCGGCACTCCCTTCTGCGAGAATAGAGCTGACGGACTCCGCCGCTGCTGAGGGTGCGTCTCGAAGCTCAGCAACCAGACTAGAAGCTGCTGAAACAGCTTCTGCGGGCATACTTCGAGTCTCGAAATCATCTGAGGAATCGCGGGCTTTCAGCTTCCACTGAGCAACGCTTTTGAGCCTCACCAGTTCTTTTGCGGCATCTTCAGTAATTGCCATGCTTTCTTCCAGGATTTGTCGTGCCGTGGCAATTGCTTCTTCCGCCTCTGGGCTCTTCATGGCAACGTCTTTGACCTCAGTTTTCCATTCGTCGAGCGTCTTCCGGACCTCATGGAACTTCTCCCAATGTTTGTAGGTGACTCCTTCCATCCAGGCCCAGCGCATTCCAACTTCTTGGAGCCCGATGTCCTTTATTCCATCCAAGACCTCCAGAGTGGACGCGGAGGCGGCTTCCAGTCTCTGTATCAAGCCTTGCTCAAAGTTCCTAGACCAGTCACGGACATTCCGGGCGCGTTCCTTTATCTCAGTGCCTGAGGATCGGATGGACCCGAGAATATCTTCTGCCGCCTTTTTCACTGTCTGTGCACTCGCATCGGCAGGAAGGGAAGCGACAGTTGACTTTATTTTCGATTTGACCTTCTCCAACTCATTTTCCGCCGTCTTCTCCAAAGCTTTGGCCAATCCTCGACCGACTCCGTCAATGTCGCTCGTGACAAGACTACCGACGATGGAGATGACCCGCTCGCGAAGGTCATCGCTACCCTTATCTGCCGCCACAGCAAATTTCTTTTGCCAGCTTCGAAGATCCTCTGTGATTTGTTCTTCTGTAGCATGTTCAATTGGCCGTTTCACTCGTTCTTGAAGAGTCGATTGAGCTTGTTGGGACGTGGTCGTAGTAGAGGACTCTGCTTCATCTTCCGACTCAAACATAGCATACACATCATCCAGGATGCCGGTGGTTGCGGTTGAAGTCGCAGAGGCCGTGAAGGTCGACTGGGTGCTATCTACCTCATCCATGGCGGCCTTCAACTGGCGGCTCTCTCGATACTTGGCAATCCTCTCATTGATCATGACCAGCTGAGGCCTAACGTTGTCGCTGTAAAGACCCTTCACAAAGGGCCAGAAAGTGCCGTCCATGAAAATAACCAGGTCTGACCAAGCATGTCGCAGAACAGGATACGCGGTGTTCAGTGCAAAGTCTTGACAGAAATTGTATGCTTTGTGGAGATGTGGCTGGGTGTATTCCATTGCCGGAAGAAGATGCTGTCGGTATACTTGATAGACCTGATCCCGTGCCGGGGTGTAGTAAGGACCAGCCAACGCCACAACCTGGTCAACATGAGGTCCTACATGCTTCTCATAGAACCTGACAGCATTTCCCCGAGCGAGATTGACCTGAGGCATAATAGTTTTGTCCCATTGCGCTTGAGAGTAGGCCTTCGCAGCATCGAACTGCGGAGCGGCATATTTCTCATAGTTGACCACGGCAATTTTGGTCGCAGGCCGCACCACGCGGCTATTCACTAGGTGTGCATATGGCTCGGCTTTGGTAACGTACGGAGCTGCATATTCATCGTAATATGGTTGCAGATGAGGTTGGATGTATTCCTTTGCGGAAAGGTATGGTCCACATATTCGCGGAGAGGTATCGGTGAGGGCAGTCCGAGTAGAGGGACAGCTGAACAGGATTGTGAAGAGGCAGTACCATATGGCAAGCCTACAGGACGGTCAGAGATGTTTTCGATGAGTAAGTTGCGACATACCTTGCTGAGTTGTTGAATAGCCAGGAGGTCCAGCTCCTGCGGTAACGCTGGTGAGCAGGTCGCCGTGCAGGCGGACCTACAGCGTGCCCATTGGGCCTGTCTTTGACACTCTCTATAGGTCTTCCATTCTCAACCACTGCCATCGCAGCTGATGTACCCTGGAGGATTGCTCCTCGCTCCCGCCTAAGGTGCAGTGTGTGCTGCCAACTTTTTCCAGAGCACAGATACACTTTGGACAACCCGGTGGAGGAAGTGTACTACTCAAATGCCGATGTTCAAACGGAACAATGCAGCAGGGAGAGTGGACGCAGACAGGAGGAGTGGAAAGAGATGTAGATTCCAGAGCAAATCTGGTGGTGTGATTAATGATGGCCGAGGACGAGTGGTGGACGGGATGAGCAGGTAAGTGGTAGCTGAATTCCCGTTGTTCGAAAATTGTGGAGGATGTCTGGAGTGAGGAGACTGTGAAGCTTGGAGGCGTGGTTCGGGGTTCAAGCGTCAAACTTGCGAGGCACAAGTTGCAGCCAGTGCGTCACCCGGCACCAAAATGGCATAAAACCTGCGACACGGACCGTAGCAGCTCGGTGGCAGCCAGTCACTGCCAGGAAGAGTCAAGTAGGGGTGGCCAACCCCTAAGGACCAAGGGACCAAGGAGGAGGTGTTTGTGATAAGCAAGAGATTAAGCTGTCAGATCGACAGTTGTATCATCGATGAGAATTGATTCTTGGTGAATGATGTCAACTCTGCACATGCTCAGTTCAATGACAACCAACGGAACGGCTCAGTGGTGGATGGGATGGTGGATTGTGTGGATTGTGGGATACTGTGGCTTTTTGCCTGCGGGCCCCATCGCGTCACAATCACGGACTGCATAGCCCACCGTAGTTGCACCGGACCGACATGTGCCCCATCGTACTGCCACGTTACGACATTGCCACTTGCTTCTGGAACTAATATTGTAGGTATTGTTTGCTGTCAGTACCTGTCTGTGTCTTTGGAACACAGGGACTGCACCCTTTGACTGAGATGCCTGTCTGATGTGACATGCTTGATCCGCCATGTCCGCCTATCTCTATACCAAATCATGACTCATGTCCACGTCCTTATCATGCAATACCTGGAAAGCCATCGCATCCTCAAAAAGCGCGCTCCTTGCCTTTCCGTTTCGACACAGCCTCCCTTCTCCCTCTTGGCTTCGGTTCTTGGAAGTTATGTAACCTCTCGCCGATCAGGTATACCTCGTCCCTAATCTTGACCCTCCAATTCTCCAGTTTCTTCCTCAAGTACAGGAAGCCTATATAGTTGACCATCATGTACAAGAAAGCCGGGTAAGCAAAACGGTACAGCCGAAGTCGCTTTCCGATGTCGGAAATCTGGAGGATGGTGATGATCGTTCGCATGCAGACGAGAGGTGCGATGAGGAGTGTAATACAGATAATGATAGCAGGAAGAACGAAAGCCCGGGATGCGAGAGGAACGTCGGCGCGGAAAATTCCGTTGCGGACGATCCCCACGAGAGCCCTGGCAGGTCGCACAGTTGGTGGGAGGACGTGAGCCAGGATGCGGAAGGTCAAGCGTAGAAAAGCGAGACCAATCGTCCAGGACTGGAGTATGAAGATTGTAGGAGGCGGAAAAGGCCTGGTGGTCGCCGTTCCTGGAGAGGGTGTTGCGGCTGAGGACGAAGACGGTGAAGAGTCGTGGATGAGCTTTTGACGATTAAGAAGTTCGAGCAAGTCGAAGAGTGGAATGTGAATGTACAGCTCCATGATCAGAGAAAGAGTGAACGGAAGAATTATGGCAGTGAAAACCCCGAGGTACGTCAGGCCAAGGACGTGGAGCGTTGTGGCGAGGAACTGCTTTCCAGACCAGTTGAACTTCTGTTGCAGGTAGTCTCGAGCGGGCCGGGCGTAGGCAACACCGTAACCGATCGCTGCGAAGATGTGTATGCCAACAGTGAAAGCATACAGATCGTTTGGCGGAGGTGTTGATTGCGAGAGGAGTCGGATCAATTTGCGACCGAGTACCAGGGGTCCCACAGTGAGGGCGACACCAGTCGAGGCTGCAAAGAGCCACAATAGGACCACGAAGGCCGCAATCCGAGCTTTGAAGTTCGGAGGAAGGTAGACCTTGGTGAACTGGGGATTTTTCTTGCCATGTGGCGCATAGTGTAACTCTGGTGAGCCATCTAGCCTCTCGTTGTCTTCTGTAACTTCGAGAAACACTGCGCGGCCTTTCGCGATGCGCACAGAGTCAGATGCAGGCGCTCGCACATAGCGTCCATCACGCTTCGGTTCTGCAACATTGTCTTTGGTGAATAGGCTCCAGGGAAAACCTTTCGGGTGACTGAAGGTTTCTTCTTTGCGCTCTTCCCCAAAGAGAAAATTAGTCAATCTCAAGTACCTGGCACATCCTCGAAACCACCACTGATACATTGCGGAGATCTTTTTCGACGGCTCGGCCCTGCGCAAGGCGAACGGAAGGAGGAAATTGTAAAAGACAATGTCGACAGGAAACGACAGCCTGGGTTCCGAGGTCGACCATTGAATCGGTAGAACGCCGCCGAACCAGTCTATCGACCATACCACGCCACCCAAGCAGACAATGACCAAGCCACCGTAAACCAACGCCGAGAACGCAATTTTGCCCAGTTGTGCCGGTACAGGCCGTTCTAGGACATCGCGCACCGGATGAAATGTCGGGTCGTCGGGGTCTCGAATAAAATACAGGACTCCTTTTCGCATGATCCTCCGGCATATTGATACAAAAAGGGCGAAGTGAAACATGTAACAGGTTCCGATGAACCAATGTATAAAAATCCCAGTGAAAGGATTTTGCATGAGGAAAGCAATGCGGCTCGCAGCGGTGGCCTTGGCAAACAGGGGAAGCAGTGCCATATCCAAGAGCAGTCCACAGTACAAAGGAAAGACCAGCATTTCAATTCCGATGATGACGATGACTTTCATCACACCACCTGCTTGCCGTAAGGAATCCGCAAAATAGCCGTCGACCCTCTCGCCATCTTTCAGGCCAAGGACGAGATGAGCAATCTCAAGAAACACGACTCCCGCAATGGCGAAGAAAGCATAACCGAGCAGAATCGTGAGGATCCGGTCTTCTGTACCCCACTGAATCAGAGAAGTATCCATACCATCTCCATTGCTAGATGGCGAGGCACCTAGATCCGTAACCAGGGACCGGAAGTGGTTGGTCACATATTCACCGAGCTGAGGGATCTTTCCAAGTAGTTGAGGAACAGATCTCAAGGTATACCAGAAGGAGGTCAACAGGGCGCTGGAGTCCTGGCGGTCCATTGTCAACATCGTTTGGCCCTGCATTAAGGTGGAGCTGATCCACTGGACGGCTGTATGTAGGGAGGTCTTGAAAGAGATGAGTGCTCGATGCGACTGCATTGAAAATGTTGGCAAATCCGGCCGCAAGCTGAGGATCGCAGCGGAGAGTGTCCTTTCCAAGCGGAGACCACTCTTTTGACTCAAGTCGAGGCTAAAGCCTTCCAGCGTAGCAGTGTCAAGGATGCCGCCAAGACGAGGCATGACTAGAGACATCGTAGCTTTTATGATTTTGATAGGTTGGTTCAGGAGGAAACCGGCAAGTCCTGCCACGAAGAAAATGATATCGACCACAATATCCGCAGTCCGTGACAATACGAATAACGGGGCTTTCACCAGCATGCTGGTAGGACTTGAGAGGAACAACAATGCAATCTTCCCCCAGATGTAGGGACACCAGACACTCGCCGACAAGGTCACCGATATGAGGAAGAAGGAAAAGATGACATTCTGAACCATGCCAAAAATGGGACCTTCCATACCAAGGAGTTCCAGGATGCCATCAAGGTCTTCTGCATCGTCCGGGTTAGGTTCGTTGAGGTCGACGCCGAATAGCATGTTGGGCTCCCTGGGTTCTGCGGGTGCAGCAGCAGGTGGTGCGTCAATGGCTGCAGGAGGCAGCGGCCCCGGTGCAGCATCTCGGTTGTGGACCGGTACGAATGGCGCTTCTGCGTTGACGTCTTCCACGATGCGTTCCTCGTCTTGATCCTCTGCGCGTACGGGATCGCCAGGCTCCGCACGAAGCCGGTCATTAGCCTCAAAATCGATGTGCCACAGCCACTGTGATAGTTTTCCCCATATTGTCGTATCTTCTAGCACATCCTCATCGATGGGCGTATGGACCTCTTCCGGTTGCGTCCGACCTGCACCGTCAACAGGAGCTTCCTGGTCTTCGCCACCAGGTAAGCTTTCCCTTGGTAGAGGAAGTTGATCGGCATCATTGGACTCTGGTGTGGGTATGACTGGCTCGTCTGAATCAGACCCCTGTCCATCAAAATTCGGGTCTAGGAGCCCGTTTGTTGCATCATCAACTACATCTGACGCCCCGGTGAACGACATTCTTCGGCTGGATGCGTCCGCTGATTCAGATTCTTCTTGCCCAATTAGCTGATGCTCTGAAAATTGCATTCGTCCTGCTCCGGACATCTCAGAAATATTCCCAGGAAACAGGTAATGTTCCATCTCAATGGGGGATTCATCGCCAACAATCGTGTTAACGAGCTGTCGACTTGGAGGTACTATAGGCAGGTAGTGATTAGCTTCAGTATCGTCGGCGCTGTGTCTTCTGAATGGCTGATTCCAAGGTTCATTGGCCGCCACGTCCTGGTTCGCAAAAGTTTCCCAGACGGCACTCTGCTCCTGAACTGCGTCAGGAATTGCTGATGCGCTATGCGATCTAGCCATCAGAACCGGTCTCTCAAAGTCATGTTCCGATCCACTGCCCACGGTATCGTCCGACAGAGCCGACAGAGTCCGTGGACGTGGATCCTCTGGAGGGGTTTGTGCAGCAAAACGCTCAAAAGCCATTTCATCTGCCATATTATCACCAAACTGGGGAATGCGCTGTCGGTGGGCAGGTAGTCTCATCGGAGCTATCTCATCGGCATGTAATTGTGCTGCGAGCTGCTCAATAGCAGCTATTTCATTTGCGGCATTCTCGCCAGCGCGGGCAATGCGCGGCAGGTTAGGACGTACTCGTAGTCTTCCCTCATCAGCCTCAGCATTTTCATCCGGGTCGGGCATGTTCAGGATGGGTTGTTGGTTGATGACCCATTCTCGGATTAGAAACACGAGGATGAATGCCGCAACCAGCAAGACACAGATTAATTGGCCTTCGATCACATCAATGGTGATGTGGTTGACCATGGGAGAAGTCGACCATGTCGCTATAAATTGAACGTCGGATAGCATTGATGGAGGCCTCGTGGCTGACGGAGACACTTCCGAAACGGGATTCTGGCCATGCCCAGGCGTATCAATTTGTCTCAAACGTGGGATGAAGATGGATAGAAAGAAGCGAAGTATCTTTCCAAACATGCTTTGACCAAGAAACAGTCGCGCAATGTCAGCCAAGGAAATCTGGATCGGAGGAAACACTAAGTTTATCTTCTCCAGCTGTTCGATAATAGTGGAATTCACGGAGGCGGCAAGTGAGGCTTCAGACCCGAAGACGGCACCGGTTATGTTTGAAGATCGGTCGGATGTGGCTTGCAGGTTGGGCTCGTCCACCCAGTTTCCGTCAGCGAGCCAGAATAAACCTCTCCATATCTGTCGGATGCACCAAGGCAAGCAACAAGTCCAGATAATGCCCACCAGCAAGTAGCGTGACCAGCGAGCACACTCAGCGGCTCCATGGCGAACCAGTTGACGGAGAAAGAGGGGAAACGGGAGTTTGGCAGGCATCGACCGGTCGTAGAGTTTGGTGAATCGAAACGAAGTCTTGCATAACTCGCAGTATTTTTTCTGGGAATGTGAGAGCCATTCCATGAGGCATTCTTGGTGGACGAATTTGATACTGCCAGAGCACTTGCACGGATAATATAGAGGCTGCGTGCTGGTGCCTTCACCACGGCAGATACGACAGTAGTCCTGTCCCTCTTCATTGCCCGCAGTACCGGTAGAGGTTCTGCGAGTGGCAGCACGAGCTAAGGTGTTGTGTGGTCTTTCTTCGAACGGATCGGGAGGCATCTTGTCTGACACAGACGGAAGTACGGTTTGGAGGGTGTTCCACGATTTGCATATCGGCAAGGCGATGAACTCAAGCCATCGTAGGGCGGAGGTGAGGAGGAGAAAGGAAATGACAGTCCTAAGGTTTCACTGTCTTTGTTTTGGGTGCGTGTTAGGAGAGAAGAGTCCCTATCTTTCCAAGGGTAACAAATAGCAGATGAAATGGACAAAACGTCTGGGGTGCGGCGCAGTCTGGTGGGCAGCATTAACTAGTGCCCAGGTGGTCGTTACTTCTGATGATGTCGGTTGCTTGACGGAGAGGTCACGTGGCCTCCATTCTGCCACGGTGGAGCATTCCCTCACTCCTGCCTGCGCTGATCCGATCTGTCGAGCTGTGTAGGCTTCACCCTTCTTCACTCATCATTGCTCTATTCCCAGTCAATATCCACTTCGGTGACACTAAGCAAGGACTCCCAGAGGGTATGCAGCAGGTGAGCCAGAAGGGCCTTGGTGCTAATGATTGGCCAACCGGCTTTCCCCGTCTGCCACCTGGGTGGCCTTGCTGCTCCCTTGCAGCACTTCTACCCGCACTGTGTTCTCTCTCTCACGCGCAACTTACGAGAGTCAGGGATGAAAGTCGAGTCTGAGCGTGCAGCTCATCGCATGCTATCCATCAGACAAAGATATACCTTTGACAGTTCAGATCCCGGTTGAAACTCCCGATCAGGCTTTCAGAAGCCCCGTTTGCAGACGGCCTCCTTTTTCCTAGCATTGCATACTACTTGAACAGTATAGTTTTCGAGTGTGATGGTTGATCGAGTCTTGCCAAAGCGGCGGAAAGCATGGCACTCCAAGGCCCGGACTGGATGCAAAACCTGCAAAGCCCGCCATGTGAAATGTACCGAAGAGAAACCACAGTGTCTCCGGTATCGTCAACTACCCTCCCTTGAACAGGTCCACAGGCTAATCAGATCCGCAGTTGCATTCTTGCAGGTAAAATATGTGGCGGTTATGCAGACAACCCGAAACCCTGGATATTTGACCCTTGGAGCGACCGTGCCGATCGTCGTTGCGAGAATCATGCTCCGACTGCTTTCTGCGGAGAACCTATATCCATTGTGCGGCTCTCCGACGACGTGTTGACTTCGCCCTACAAGACACGCGAAGCTCGAGCTGCTTTGGAATTCTGGCTACGGCTGACCACTCCAGCGGGTACCGACTGTCCGGCCGATGTAATTCGAAACACTCTCGGGTCTTATATTCCACAAGCGGCGTGGAATCTGGATATTGTAAGGCACAGTTTACTCTCTGCTGCATCCACAGCCCTAGTTCTGGAAGCTCGAGCTGCGAACATGAGCCAGGAGCTCCAGTCAACATTGTCGAAACAGTCCGTCATTCAGATGCATATGGCCATACAAGCCATCCTCAAAGAGAGACAACCGGCGTTATCCACCGTACTGGCCGCGTTGCTGATCGCCATCGTATGTGCCTGGACCGGACGCTGGGAGGAATTCAATCGACACATCTATTACTGTCGTGACCTAGGGCGTGACGTACGTATGAAGGGCGAATACGTGGAGGGAGACCTCTTGACTTCTATCGAAACCATGCACCTTGTTCTACAACCGTTCCCACCAATGTCGGCCACGACGAGGAAAGCTCGAATGGTATATGCAATCTCGGTCGTTACCTCGGCCAAGGCCTGGATCGATGGGCTCCTGGCCAAGCTTGAGCAGCTCTCTGCATATGAGGCACTGAAGGTTGCATTACGGGCCTACCGCATGAGAATGAAGTGGACGTTGTGGCGGTGGCAGAAGTTTTACTGTCCGGGCACAGAGAAAGCCAACCCGGTCAGCGTCGCAGGATCGCCGTTTGGTCCAGCAGTAGCGCACATGGAGCAGTATCTACAAGACGACTCCGACTTCAATTTGTCCTTGTTCACGACACAGGTAACGCTCGGCTTCAAGTTGACGCTGCTTTATGGTGCCAGTGGGGATGCTCAGAGAATGCGGGATACGGCCACCGCTTGCCACGCTCCAGTGCTGACGCTGGCTTCAACTCGCCCATGAAATGGACTATATCGTCAGCAAGGTGGAGACATGACATCCTGCCTTCTTACATGTCGAATTAGATCACGCAAGGCCAGGGAGAAAAGGGCCCTCCTCTTTAAAATTACTGGGACTGATAGGACGATATCTTCTAGACCCCCCTGAGAAATGGCTGTGGCAGTCGTAATGATATTGAAAATCCTATCACCCGCGTTGCAATTTAGATGATCTGAAAGGCCAAATACGCCTTGTTCACATCATGTCGATGACAGCTTCCGTCGAACCGGTCTATAATATGGGGTGCAAGTCGTGCCATTGTAACCAATTGATCAATCTATCCTTCGACCAGTCCTTTCCTCATTTGTCGGGAACCGCAAAACTCGATGAGTGTATAACATTTGGTGCGAGGTTTGTTAGTGTCGTTCCCAGTCTCCTTGTCCTCCGTTATCTGTGTCTCTTCCCCCACGCAACTCATTTCCCAAGCTTAGCTTTCTCCGCGGCCGATTCCAGACAATGCGAGAAAGAGAGAGAGAGAGAGAGAGAGAGAGAGAGGCCGCAGGCAGAAGCAGAGTTCTGACTGTACGCCTCAAGCACCCCAGCTGCCCCTCCATGCGGCCTCCAGTTCGGACTCCTCGCCAGCTAACTTTCTTTTCTTCCTCGCAATGCCATCCCTCATGCATTCGGCCACGTCCTCGGCGCTGGTGCCTCTTTTGCGATGCTCGACGCGTTCTTTGCCCAGCATCGTGTCGTTCGCGACCAGGTTGTACACCTCGGCGATGCCATCGAACACGGCCGCGGCTGCATGCTTGCCGTTGCTGTCTGGGGATTGATGGCCGTGGTGGTTGTCGTGGCCGTTACCGTTACTGTGGCCGTTGGAGGAGAGAACGGCGCTCGTGAAACCACCTTCCTCCGTGAAAGTCTCGTTGATCTGACGCATTTCCTCCACCCAGCGGTACGCCTTGGGCGGCATGCTCACCAGGCCCCCCTGGGCGAATGCGAGCAGTTGCGGGCTGAATTCCTGTAAGTGGGCCTGTAATTCCTTGAGCACGCCGCACGTGTGTGCGGTGGTGAAGGATAAGATGGACAGTGCCGTCATGCCCTTCGTCAGGGAGGCGAAGCAGGACTTCAAGGCCGAGGCCGTGCCGATCTGGGGGCCGAGAATCTTCATGTTTAACAGGTCGATGAACGCCGGAGTCAGGAGCTCGGCATGCTTGGGCCCGGAGATGACGACCGACGGCTTTTTCCAGCTGTGGTCCTGTCTGAGTGATGGAGGACCCCCAATGATGCCGCCGTCGAGGAAGTCAATCGGGATGGGGTCGAGTTCGGGCTCAGATTCCCTTCTCGGGTGGAATGAGAAGGTGCGGGAGATGGACGCTCTTCGGGGCGATGCAGGAGACGCGGGCGTCGAGAACATGGCGGCGATGGATCGGGCGCTTTTGGGGCTGATGGCGTTCAAGTCGATGTACGTTAGACTTGGAGCCTGCGACACCGCTGCGGTGCCTCGTCGCTCACTGCGCCGCTTGATGGCGGTCTGCGAGCGACAGGCTTCGAGCGCCCTTCGGGCCGTGGCGATGGCATCGCGAGGCGGCACAATGCTCAGGATGATGTCGGCTTCGGCCACGAGTTGTTCATCCGACTCCAAGGTGGTGATCTGCGAGGACTTGATGCGGTCAAGGGTATGCTGGCTTGATGGCCGCTCAGCAAAGAGTTCAATGTCATCTGGATGGAGATCTGGAGCCACTTGCCTTCTGCCCTTGGCGACCGTGTAGACCGTGTGATCGTGATGACGAAGCAGGCGGGCAACCCCCATGCCCATGTCGCCGATGGAAAGGATACCTACGGTGGGGGTGATCTGCGTCGACGAGGTCGCCATATTTCTGCGGAGCGGCAAGGGATGAATAGGGGAGAACAAAACTCGAATGCGACAGGCGAGGAGTCGGGGGATGTCCATGAGGTAAAGTCGTGGTAAGAAACGCGGCGCCTGACTCTATCAGAGACCAGGACTGGTTTAGGCGGAATCCCACATATTCGTCCCACCGATTACAGCTATTCCCGTCCAGGGCCACACCCCGAACTGGCGAGCCTGAAGGAGCATTCGGATGTATCAAAAGCCATCAATCACCACCACTGTAGGGTATAGAGCCTATGACGTAGGTGGGGAAGATCAAGTCTAATACCCCGCCATCGCACACACACACTGACCAAAAAAAATTCTCTAAACGAGAAAAAAAAAGAGGTTTTCCTTGGGAATTGAGCCGCTTGATGGATGTTAGTTGAATGTCACACTTTATTTGAAGCAGGTTACTCACAAGGCGGGACTCGAACCCGCAACCTTGAGGTTGGTCTTTGCTAAGAGCCACACGCTCTACCGATTCTGAGGAGGACGTTAGAAGGCTGATCAGAGGCGGCAAGGGCCTGGAAACAGGAACTTACGAGCTACTGTAGAGATTGTCAGAAACTGATGAGGTGGTTGAGTTGGTATGACTTACCCCCGGCAGTGCTGGGTGATTGTTGAAGGAAAGTCTTGTATTATAAATTATATACCCTTATTTTCGCACTGTGGAGAGGGATTCGATGGGCTTGAGTCATGGGCACAAAGTTACGGTGCCACCAGGCAGGCTACTCTACCACTGCTACTACGTTAGTGACAAACTTTCGCACACTACTCTGCAGAACAGCAGGCGGGTGTTCCCTCTCAAACAACCCATATATTTGGTTACTTGGTACCAAGATTTAGATTTCTTCATTCTGAGAAAAGAATTTTATCCCTTCCTGGTGACCAATGTATGTCCTGGGAGGTCTACAATACTCCGAATACTCCTGTATACAAGCTCACAACCTTGGCCTGGATTCTACATGAGGTAGCGGTGGAAAATCCATCTATATGGGAACATGGCAAACGAAGCAGTACAATTCTGGGGGCAACGGCAGTTCCGAGCCGTCGGAAAGACATGTTCAGGGCTCGCGACCGCGACATCTTCCTCGTCACGGAACGGAAGGGACAAACCCCAATTCTATCAAAGATCCAATACTTTGCTCTCCACCCTCGTCGGTGATATTTGTCCCGAGAGGGTCAAATAGCCGGCCTTCCTCCGACTCTGGCTTGCGCGACTGCAATTTCTCCAATAGTGTGCAACCTGATGACCATCAGGAAGCGAATGTTTTCTCCTCCATTCGCGCGGTCTTGAGACCTCAAAGCCCACGTTCCTGGGACCAGAGTCAAGTGTTACAAGTGAAGTGACAGATTCCTTCGGCGATCATGGCGAGTAACCACACGTCGACAGCCGCAGTGCAGAACGGCGACGGTGGTAGCTCGATATCTAAGGACTATGATCTATCCCAGCCCATTACCTCGACGTCCGGGCTTCGCTCCGGCCTCACTTCATATGGCGACGCTCATTTCTCACTGTTTCTTAGAAAAGTCTTCATCAAAGCCTTAGGGTATTCGGACTCGGCACTGTCTTCGCCCATCATCGGCGTCATCAACACCTACTCCTCATTCAATCCTTGTCATTCTAATGTCCCCCAACTCATCGAATCGGTCAAGCGAGGGGTATTGGCATCCGGAGGGTTACCTGTCGATTTCCCGACGATCAGTATCCATGAGAGCTTTGCCAGCCCGACCAGCATGTATCTGAGGAATCTGATGAGTATGGACACGGAGGAAATGATCAAGGCTCAGCCGGTAGATGCTGTGGTCATGATAGGTGGATGTGACAAAACAGTCCCAGCCCAGTTGATGGGCGGCATCTCTGCAAATAAACCCGTCATTCCTCTCATCACAGGCCCAATGATGCCCGGCTCAGTGGAAGGGGTCAGGGTAGGAGCTTGCACGGACTGCCGAAGCTATTGGGCACGGTACCGAGCTGGCGCCGTGGACCTGGAGGACATCATGTCCGTCAATGAGGAACTGGCACCCACAGGAGGCACATGCGGCGTGATGGGCACCGCGTCGACTATGGCTTGCATCACGGCAGGCCTGGGACTGCTTGAACTTAAATCTGGTGCCACCGCCGCCGCTGTGAGCTCGGCCAGACTGAGAGTCGCTGAGCAGGCAGGTCGTAATGCAGTGGCCATGCTCAAGAAGGAAGGAATGCGACCACAAGATCTTCTTACACGGGAGAGCTTTCTCAACGCCATTATCGTTCTCCAAGCCATTGGTGGGAGCACGAATGCTGTGGTGCATCTGCTGGCCATTATCAACCGACACCCGAAAGTGGCTGGCACTATTGACCTCAATACGTTTGACGAGATTGGCAGGAAGACGCCGTTGCTGGTTGACCTAAAGCCCAGCGGTGACAATTACATGACAGACTTCCACAACGCAGGTGGCATGTTGGCACTGATGCATACACTAAGGCCATTGTTACACCTCGGTGCAAGGACTTACTCTGGTCAGACCCTGGGCGAGCTTCTCGACACCACTCCCTTCAAGTCGTTCCAATACTCCAGGCAGATTGTTCGGTCTCTTGAAGATCCACTCTACCCTAGCTCGAGTTTGGTGGTCTTGCATGGCAACATCTGCCCACAAGGGGCTGTCATGAAAGCCTCTGCCTCAAAGGATCGGAAGCTCTTGCACCACCGTGGCTCGGCCTGCGTGTTCGAAAATACTGCAGACATGAGCCAACGTATCGACTCCCCAGATCTGGAAGTTGATGCGAACTCGGTATTGATCCTCAAGAGTATTGGTCCGGTCGGCAACCCGGGAATGCCCGAGGCTGGACTGATCCCTATCCCTCAAAAGCTGGGGAAACAAGGCGTGACCGACATGTTGCGGATCAGTGATGGGCGAATGAGCGGCACTGCTGGTGGCACAATCATATTGCATATATCACCAGAGTCCGCGGACCTTGACTCGGTCTTTGGTATTGTACAGACGGGTGATAAGATCATTTGCGACATCGAGAAGAGGAAACTACTGCTGGACGTAGAAGACCAGGAGATCGCTAGACGTATTGCTGATCGCAAAGCGCGGTCCCAGGTCGCCTCCTCTTCTGGACCTACTGACGGACAAATGTCTAACAACTCAGAACCTTGGGTGGAGAGAGCTGGCCGGAGAGGTTATCGAGGCCTCTACGAGCGGGAGGTCAACCAAGCACACCTTGGCTGCGACTTTGGCTTCCTTACAGCCCAAGGTCCGTTAGGCCATTGATGTTGCTCTATCCACTATTTACCATACTGGGTGTTTGTGAAATTACTTGCCACTGCCACGGCGACAGCGCGGACAACCTCTGCGATAACCACGAATGGGTTATGTACAGCTCCAAGTCGACCTGGAGCAGGAAGCTGACCTTCGAGGCTTTCCGACTCTTTATGAAGCGTATTCTTTGTCGTGCTCACTGCTCATTGACCTGTCGTGTTCCTTATTGGACAGTGCTACGTAAAGCATTTGGAGTCAACCCACCAAGCCTTTTACCTTAACAGGTAACTGCTGGCTCGAATCGGATGGCACCTAATGCGTGCCAGTCAAGGGCAGGAATCGCCTCAACTTGTATCCACCGTTGTGACTTTGACTGGGTCGCCGGGTATCATCTCCTGCAGCCTGATGTCCGTTAGCTTCCACAAAGGGGAATCCAACAACTTCCTACTTCCAGCTCTACACTGAACGATCTGCGTCCTGGCCAAACTGGACTTCCATATCCGACAACAGTCGTGAGGCGAGTGTCAAATTGAGCCATATGTTGTTCCTATACAGAGGGCAAGACTCAAGGGGTAGAAATGACTCTATGGCCTAACACAGCGTCACGAGGGGAGGATCCTTGATCGAAAGAGCCAATGTCCGGTCGGACACGAGACTAGAGGTGTCTGAGTGGGCTGTCTCCCCGCGTACAGGGGTTTCATGGTTGCCACAACATATCGCAACCCACAACCAGTTCCCCATCTAGGGCAAGGATGAACGCTGGCTACCAAGCATGAGGTGACTGTGCCATCTTGTCAAGGTACGACCAGCTGACATTCTCGTCAAACTACTCAAACCAGCAATGTAATTGCCATGTTTGAGAGTCCCAGGGGCTTTTCATGAACCAGCGACTTGGAGCTGTTGCCGCTTCAGGAAGTATAGAATTCGAAGACTTCGGGAAATGGATGAGATGGATGCAGGCAAAGCCGGTCTGGGCGGCGGCGGCGCCTGTAGCATGGGGAAACTCGACAGGGGCAAGCCTTTTGAAGTCAGAGGCTTCCCTTGTTCCCCGACCACCGTCTGGACTCGTGGATCCCTACCGAAGCAGCTCTTCAATCAACATTCTGCCATTTGAGGAAATTAGAGGCCAACGACCAAAGCTTATTGTCTTGGGGACCGTTCAGTTCCCTGTTTTCTTTTGGGCTAGTTGTCTGTCTCGATCTTCTTCCATCTGTTACCTTTGTCTCTATCTTTCCGCCGAGCATTCAAAGAGGATCATGTTCATCGTAGCATATGTCCTCGGTCTAGCGGATAGGAAGCCTCACTAGCCTCATCCCCTGTGTCAAACCGCCAAACCAACAGAAGAAGCATCAGCGGTCCATGACGAACCCATCCCCAGGAATGGCTCAACTGTTGCGCCAGCTAGCTTCGTCTCGGCCTCCCAAGCCTTGCATAAGGGTGGTCGTTACGTGCGTTGGCCGTGACCAGGGGGCGTTAACCCGGCTTCGTGTCATCCGTGTCAACTTACCAAAAGAGGAGACAGGTTCTGCCCACTAAGAGGCCCGCTAGGGTGCAGCAAGGGAGACGACGCTTCGATCGAGGCTACCACGTCCGATCATCTGTTCCGCAGCTCTTAACGAGCAGCCCGCGAGAGGCGAGCTCAGTAGCAGCTCTTGGTCACCTTTGGCTCGTTGGTGGTCTTTCTCCATGGGGAAGTTGTTCTTTGCAGAGGCCCTGGTGAGAAACGCTACACTTTCCCGATGTAGATCGGACTCCGAGGAGCTTCAGAAGAGGTAGAATGGGTTGACGGAACAAAATCATGATTACGCGCTGCGTGCCGAGTACGTCTTCTCCAGGACAGGAAGTAAGTCTGATCCGGAAATCCATCGCATGAAGAGGATTGGAAGACTGGGGAAACCCCATTGAGCAACACGAAATAAATGAGCCAGCGTAACCTGTCTGATTTCCTGGGGGTGCCGTGTTCGCCAGGAAAGAAAGCGCAGCTCAGGCAGTAGTCTCGGAAGTTCAATCCATCCTGTTCTGCCTACTGCTTCCGTGTCCGCTGCTGCAGGTCGCGAAACGTCTCCAGAACGAGACACAGGCCCAAGTTCGTCGCGCAAACACTTCCCTTTCTCCCAGGAACGAACCGTTCGGGGGGTGGACACCTTTTCAGGGAATAGGCGATAGGAGAGACGACGGCACAAAAATAATTATGTATGTATTAATGCAGATCAGCTAAGCCAGCCCTACCGGGACTGAACACAGCGTTTCGCATACGGCTGAAACGAGGAAGCGAAAGGGGGGGGCCGACTAAGACTGCAAGAACTGTAGAACTGTAAGACTAGGCCGAAGATGGTGTTTCCTCAAACAAGGCATTGCATCGTGGAGGCTGCATACTTGCCAGAAGAACAGAGCAGAATAGGAGAGAGGATCGTTGGCGGGGTTGAGTGAGTGAGTGAGTGAGTGAGATAGGTACATAAGAAGGAATGGAACGATATGCATACATTCATGTACATACATACAAGGGGATAACAGTGGACACCGTGCCTCGTCCATCCACGCTTCTCTGCTCTTCTCTGCTCTTGTCTTTGCCCCTTGTCCTCACGAAGTCGGAACAACCTGGTCAGTCAACTCGCCTACAGTACTTCACCCATTACTTCCTACCTGCTGCCTCCTAGGATCCGAGCCATTGGTAGAGGAGATTCATCGGCAGGTAGTTGGATAGGTAGGTAGGTAAGTAAACGAGTGGGAGACGTTAGAGAGATATATGTATTCCTATTACGGCATCTCGACCACGCCCCGAGGTAATACATCGACATGTATGTATTAATCTATCGGTCTAATTGAGGAACCACCGATACCTCACACCAAAGAAACTCCCTTGATCAAAGGATATTGTTGATTTGTCAGAGGAGCACCCCCCGAGAGAGAGAGAGAGAGAGAGGGTTATCATTCAAGAAGATAAAACGGGGCGGTCTTCCTCTCTGGGTCTCACGTTCGCTAATGTTCATAGAGCATGGACCCGGTCTGCTTCGGCCTTCTCCAGAGCCCTATGGAATTATACCTCGTCTCGAGTACAAGACTGCAAGCAATCACCAATCTGTCGACTTCTTGAGTCTCTCATTCTGGATGATCTCAACCCAGTAGTCATCTGGATCCAACACAAATGCCACGTTCTTCATCCTGCCGTCCGTGAGACGCTTCTTCCAGTTCACCCCCTTCTCCTCCATAAAGGCACACGCCTTGTCCAAATCGTCCACACTGATGGCAATGTGTCCGAACCCCTGGGGCTGGTCGTTGCCGTTGTGGTATACTTTGCCGTCTTCCTTCTCAGTTCCATAGTTCCAGGTCAGTTCCAATAAACCCTCTTTGCCCGCGAGTGGGTTGACCCCGTTGGGCGAGTCCTCAGGATTGGGAATTCCAAACTCGCCGGGATATCCTAGGAAATACAAAGTGAAACCACCCGCCTTTTGTTCCGATGTCCGCATGAGCGACATGCCCATGACCTCCTGGTAAAATTTCAAGGACTTCTCGGGATCCTTGACCCGAATCATGCTGTGATTCATCCTATAAGTGCCTGTCTCTGTTGTCGTGACACCCTCAGTCTGCTCGATCGGCTTTTGCCCGATGACTTCCACCCAGTATCCATCGGGATCCAGCGCGAACGCAATGTGCCGCATGCGCCCGTCGGTCAGTTTCTTCTGAAACTTGTACCCGGCATCCTCAATGCGTTGGCATGCGGCTTGAAGGTTGTCGACGGAGATACAGATGTGGCCGAAGCCTTTGTGGGGTTCTTTGTTGCCGTTGTTGATGGTGAAATCGGGGTCCGACTCGGAGCCGTAGTTGTGGGTGAGTTCAATGACACCTTCACGGTCGGTCCAGTGTGCATCTTTCGAGTAGGAGGAGGGGCCATCATAGGCTATTGCGATACGTTAGAGAGGGGATCTGTCAAGGAAAGGAGGACATAGGAATCGTACCCAGGAAATACAAACTAAACTTGTTGTCGGGGAAATCCAACTTGTTGATCAGGCTCAGACCCAAGAGGTTATAGTACTCAATGGATCGCTGGGGGTCCTTCACCCGCAGCATGGTGTGATTGAACTTCCATTTCGAGTGATCCGTCATGGTGGCAGACTGAGACGTAGAGGTGGTGAATGGCTTCGACGCGGCAGTTGTGCTGGGGACTTGGAAGTGTTGCAGGAGTTGCTGGAGTCGAGGTAGGCGTGATGTGAGGCGCGATAGCATGGAATACCAGTGAATGCAGATTTCCACATACAAACGACGTAAGCTTCAGAAAGCAGTCGAGCAGAACACACGAAAGACCGTTCACTGCGCTCGACTGCTCATTGAAATTCTGGATGATGCATAGTGTCGCAGCATGACGTGGGGCAATCGATGGGCTTACGAAATGGGGTTGCGCACTTCTCCCCCTCACGGCACCTGTGACACGGAGCGGGCGCTCCCCTTTTAGGCGGTCGAACCCCGCCATGCCTATACGACGCACGCCTTTCTACCAACCGTCGGGTGCCCGAGTTTCATCCACGCGACATTCCGGTGGAAGATTTGAAGAGCTGCCAGCTGCCACGGCCCCTCAGCTCTGGGCGTCAAATCACAGAACTCCCGCCCGGGAAACCCCCAATCACGAGGGCTCATGAGCTCACCAGCTTCACCCAGTCTGGGAGAGCTTCCTCCACACTTGCCTCGGCCTGCCTCCACAAAGACACAAGCGATGCGTATGGGGCTCCCTGATGTTCGCACTCTCTCTTATAAGACATTTTGCTGCTGGTGAACATCTCCAGCAAACGGTTGGGCGATCATCTAACTTGCTATAACCTCCCCTCTCCTGTTATACCTGCTGCACTGTCGCCAGCACCGAGTTCTGCAACCACTCCAGCCCGAGCTAGACTCGTTTCGTCGCTCGCAGCCATGGTCCTTTCACCCGCAGTACGTGTCGCGAGGACAGCTTCCCAGCGCTCGACCTCTTTGTTGCGAGCAATTCAATTTGGCCATCCTCCTAACTGCCCTTGTCATTCAAACCCCAATTTCCATCATGCCCCCGGGACTATTGGTGAGGCCCGCAGGCGCCTGGCAACTCCCATTGACAGCTCGCGAACCAAGGAGTACGCGTTCGAGATGGCCGCCAGCTCGATCCGCTTCGGGCCAGGCTGCACAAAAGAGGTGGGCATGGACTTCAAAAACATGGGCGCCAAGCGGGTCTGCGTCGTCACAGACGGCAATGTTTCGAAGCTGAACGCAATGAAGCAAGTTATTGAAGGGTTGAACAAGGAGGGAATTGAGTTCACCGTATACGACAAGTGTCGGGTCGAGCCCAAGGATAGCTCAGTCAAGGATGCTATTGCTTTTGCCAAACCATATCAACCAGATGCTTTTCTAGCTGTGGGAGGGGGTTCGGTCATTGACACGGCGAAATTGATGAACCTATACACTTGCTTCCCGGATGCGGACTTCCTGGATTTTGTCAATGCTCCCCTCGGCAAGGGATTGCCAATCACGAAGCCGCTCAAGCCGCTTGTGGCTGTCCCAACCACGGCAGGCACAGGATCAGAGACGACAGGAACAGCTATCTTCGATCTAGTTGAGAAGCGGGCCAAGACCGGCATCGCCCACCGAAACCTCAAACCAACCCTAGGCATTTGCGATCCCCTCAATACTCGCACTATGCCGTCCGCTGTTCATGCTTCCTCTGGTCTGGATGTGCTTTGCCACTCACTGGAGTCCTGGACCGCTATTCCCTACCACGAGAGAACGCCGAGACCCACGAATCCAATCAACCGCCCTGCCTATCAGGGCGCGAATCCTATTTCGGATATATTCTCGTTGACCGCGCTGAGATCGACAGTCAAATACTTGCCTCGAGCTGTTAAAGACCCCGAGGACCACGAAGCTCAAAGCCAAATGCTTCTTGCGGCGACTTTGGCTGGTGTCGGCTTCGGCAATGCTGGTGTCCATCTGTGCCACGGCATGAGTTATCCGATCAGTGGTCAGAACCCGGGCTACAAACATGCTGGCTACGTGGTTGAGACACCTATCATTCCCCACGGCGTCAGTGTTGCTGTCACTGCCCCTGCTGTGTTCAAGTTTACCGGTCCAAGCAATCCGGAGCGACACCTGGCAGCGGCAGAGGTGTTTGGCAAAGATATCTCCAACGTCAAGAAAGAAAGCGCTGGCGAGGTTCTGAGTGAAGCATTGGCAGAGTTCCTCATCGGCTTAGGAGACCAGCCACGCGGCTTGAAGCCACTGGGTTTCACCCGTGAGAGCATTGACGATTTGGTAGAGGGAACATTGCCTCAGAGGAGAGTCCTCATGTTGGCGCCCAAATTGAGCGCGGAAGTGAATGAGGAAAGAGAGCAATTGAGAGGCCTGTTCGAAGAGGCACTCGAGTATTGAGAAAGATTGCGGCGTATATTCTTGTTATGGTGGAGGCAGAGCATGGTCTGGCTGTGTTGCTGGTATTGGTTTGGGACAAAATTGTTTGCTGTGTTTGCACGGTTTGTCTTCCCCCCGAATTCCCCTGAACAAACTCCCCCAGATCGCGGGGTTGGCATCAAAATCCTCCCTGCGACTTCGGCCACTTACTGCCCCCCATTCCTCGACTTCATTGCTCGTGTCTCGCCAATGTGCATGACGCACAACATCCGGCCAACGAATGGATTTGGAGCATGGGCCGGCCCACGGAGAAATTGAAAATGTCTTTACGCATCACAAAACGGTTCGGTCACTGGTCCTTCTCTTCTGAACATCAAGGGTAGCCAAAAAGTAGGAGAAAACTCAGTTCAATCTATCTGTCCCTGTCATTGGCCTCACAAGTCCATCCTCTCTTCATCACTGTCCTTTTGGTCTGGAGTTCTTGAGATCTTTCTATTTTCACCTTGAACAAATCTTTCGTGGTCGATCGCCTCGGTTTACAAGTGATTCGTACACCGCCACTCTGCCTTCCGGACACAAAGCTTGACCAGCAAGTTGAAGAGTCAAATGGCTACCACCAACGGTGAAACGGTCCAGGCCCGAGTCCTCTGTCCGGAGAAACTGTCCCCGGATGGCCTCGCCCTCCTTCGCAAAACCCTCATCGTCGACGAGAAGCAAGGTCTAACCCCTGAGCAACTCATCTCGATCATTCCGGAATACGATGCACTTCTTGTGCGCTCTGAGACAAAAGTCACGAATGATCTCTTAAAAGCAGCCCGAAAATTGAAGGTAGTCGCCCGAGCGGGTGTCGGTGTCGATAATGTCGATGTACCCGCTGCCACGAGGCTGGGCATTGTCGTGGTGAATTCCCCCAGTGGAAATATACAGGCAGCCGCGGAACATACTATTGCTCTTTTGATGAGCATGGCCAGGAATGTCCCCGACGCTTGTGCGAGCGTCAAGGCCGGGAAATGGGAGAGAAGCAGGCTTGTCGGCGTGGAGGTCAAGGGGAAGACGTTAGGTGTGGTGGGACTAGGGAAAGGTATACAACGATCTCTCCATCTTCCTCGAGGGTTGAGGTTGGTTCTGACTATTGGTTTCTTCTTCAGTCGGCCTGATTGTCGCTCGAATGGCTCGCGGCCTAGGTATGAATGTGGTGGCAGCAGATCCCTATGCTTCTCCGTCAGTGGCTGCTGCCGCCAACGTCCACCTAGTCGAATCTCTGTCTGAGCTCCTGCCTGTCGTTGATTTCCTGACCATTCACACACCAATGCTTGCTGCCACACGCGGCATGCTGTCCACATCCGAACTCAACTCGATGAAACGGGGGGCTCGCATCCTCAACGTGGCCCGTGGGGGCATCATCGACGAAGAGGCCCTTCTTGCTGCGTTGGAATCTGGACAGATAGCCGGCGCGGCAATCGATGTGTTTACTTCGGAACCACCCCACAAAGACCCAAAGTCCTCTGCAGCCAGACTTGTCCAACATCCCAAGTGTATCGCAACTCCACATCTCGGTGCCTCGACGGTTGAAGCACAAGAAAACGTCTCCATCGACGTCTGTGAACAGGTCCTACAGATCCTGGGCGGGGATCTACCCAGAAGCGCCGTCAACGCGCCCATCATTCTACCCGCCGAGTACAAGACTCTCCAACCTTTCGTGCGGCTCGTGGAAAAGATGGGATCTTTGTACACGCAGCACTTCACCTCCCCGACGCAACCCCTCCATCAAAGGAACATGAACACGTTTGACCTGATCTACGAGGGTGAGATAGCGAACATGTCGAGTACGAAACCGCTCTTCGCGGCTCTAATCAAAGGGCTGACACTGCCCATTTCCGACGCGGAGGGATTCAACGTCAACATCGTCAACGCCGAGATGGTCGCCAAAGAGAGAGGGATATTCGTCAACGAGCAAAAGTCGCGAGATCCGTCCACGCAGGCGTACTCGAGCTTGGTGACCCTCGTCGCACGGCCCGCCAGCAGAGCTCCGTCCCTGAGTCGACATTCCAGTGCCCTCGAAGGGCTCTCGATATCATCCAATACGGTGGCGGGGGACCAGCAAGGGCAACCTGCTAGCAAGCAGCACATAATTTCGGGCTACTGCAGCGACAACTCGCCCTTCATTTCCCGGCTCGATCGCTTCGCCACCTCCTTTGTGCCTGACGGTACCCTGCTGATCTGCCACAACTACGACTCCCCCGGGAAGATTGGCGTCGTGGGCAGCATCCTCGGCCGAGAAGGTGTCAACATCAACTTCATGAGCGTGGCACCCGCAACGTTCTCCCATACTGGGGCCACAAAGGGCCTCGCAGCACCCAAAGAGACGACCGAGGCGCTCATGATCCTGGGCGTGGACAAGGAGGTGGACGAGAACGTCAAGAGAGAGCTAGTGGGAGCAAAGGGCGTGCTGAGCGTCAGCAGCGTCACTCTTTAGTGGGAATGTAAAGAGAGATGACATGGACCACAAGTCCGTCCGGAATTGTTCAACCAAAACGGATAGAAAAGGGGGTTCCCATGGATTTAAAACAATAGATATATATACCAGTTAGACGGAATCAGGCACCGTCTGCCAACTTTCAACATCTTGCACAATAATCAAAGCATCAAAGCATCGGTGGAAAGAATCTTGTTTTTGGAGGCATATAAACCTATCAATGGGGTTGTCGTCCGGGTAAAATATGAAAAAAGAAGAAAAGAGAAAGACGAAAAAGCAAAGCAAATTCTAAAATCCAGTAAAGGTTCCCAGCGGAATATATCAAATCAATCCAGCAACGACTTCTCTTTAACAGGTGGACAGTTTCTTAGATCACTAGACTAAATGTTCACAAATACCTTTTTCAGTCCAGATTTTTTCTCTCTCTCCTCCTTTGTTCTTCCTGTTCACGCACGGTTTGGATGACGGGTACTCGACTTTGGCCTGAAGGCGAGCGGTTATTACCCCCAGACAGATAGCTAAAGGAGTTCAGCCCTTCGTCAAGGATTGACAGACACTGGACGAATTAGATGTCGCTCGTGTCCATCTCTCGTTCGAGAACAGTCGTTCCTCCTCCCCAGTGCCGATAGTTCGCTCGGGCAGACAGATCCCAGAGCAAATCGCCATCCACAGCACAGAGAGATCCTCGAGGAGCAAGAATATATAGTTCGGATTGTCGGTTGCCAAAGCGACCCACTCAATTTGACTGCACCGAATGACTTGCAGTATGGCCGCATTTTGAGAGCACATGTGTCCGAAGATTGAGGTATTGCCATTGTTCCTGCTTTGGAAGTGGGTGTCGTGCAAAGATGGAGATGGTCGTGAGGGCCCTGGCGGCGACGAATCGACACATAGCCCTCACCCGTCGGATTACCAGGCCCCCGCAAAGATTCTAGCATGTCATCGTCGGGGGCCACCGATATCTTTGGTCAGTTGACCTCCAGATCTCTGAAGCGAACCGGGGTCGGCTCGCCGGCCGCCACGGCAAAGATGCCGACGACAGGACCGACAAAGTCCAGATCTGTCAAGTCCAAGGTGTCAACGGTGGCGATGGAGATCCAGCCCGCAGACGACTTCGTCTCCGGCACCCTGTAGGAGAATTGGTACTGCTGCTCGGTGTACTTGAGCCTGAAAGTGAGGCTGTCGCGCGGCTCGATGATATGGGTCATGGTCCGGTGGATCTTGTGTGCAGTATTTCGCACCTCAAACATGACGGCTGATTCCCGGGTGTCGTAGAAGATCCTCGCGTAGCGGTGCTCATCTTTGTATACAGCGAGCCCGGCTTTGACGTCGTTTGGCGATTGCGGCGCTGGATGGGCCATGAGCACCGAGCTGACACCCTCCAGTTGACGTTGGCGTTTGCCGATGAAGGTAGGAGACGCAGAGGAACTCCGGAGGTCGACGTCCCGTGCGTTGAGGGTGATATCGCGGCCGCCATGCAAGATCTCGTAGTCGTCCAGGTTTGCGTCGCGGATGTACACCAGATCGACCATCGAGTTAGCAGTAAGAGCCGTCCTGTTCCGGTGAGCTAGTCCTTGTGGATTGGACGTCACGAGATCCAATGAGGGCCAACCTCCTTTCGGCCATGTCGCTGAAGTGATGAATGTTTCCCGGCCCATGATAAAGCGGCCTGCTCTGTCCTTTCGCGCCCCGAGGCAAACTCCCCACCAGTTCCCTGCCCGGTCTTGGAACATGTCGCAGTGCCCTGTGAATTGTATATATTCGTCGGTCCCACGCGCCGTGAGGATGGGATTACCTTCAAATGCTTCATAGGGCCCAAATACGGCTCTAGACCTTGCAACGGTGACCATGTGGCCCTTGTGTGTACCGCCTTCGGCGATCACAAGGTAGTAACAGCAGTCCTTCTTGTAGAGATGCGGGCCTTCTGGGTTTACGCCGCCAGTCCCGTCCCAAATTATGCTCTCTTCGGATAATTTTTGACCGGTTTTGAGGTCAACTTCAAAGAGCTTTATCTTGTTCATTGGTCCGGGGTTAGCTGAAGCCTGGATATAACTGCGACCGTCATCGTCGAAAAAGATGCTCGGATCAATCCCGCAAAAGTCAAAGTAGACGGGATCGCTCCAATTGTCCGACCAGATGTCTTGCGTTGAGACGATGAAATTTGCGCAGGCCGGTTCCAGAGAGCCACCTGTTGGTGCTATGATATTGGTACACACTGCCGCGTCGTTAGCGGTTCAACTCAATTTCGAGTTCAGGTTTTCTGATGTGCTCGATGAAGTTTTTGTCGGGTCTTACCAACATATACCACCCCATCGCGGTATCTTATGGTCGGAGCATAGAGACCACCTGTGCCCACCAACACGTCGCCGCGCTCATTGAGAGCAAAGATGCCGGTGGGAGACCTTGAAAGACTTAGCTGGGTCCGTCTATTGATTACGTTTCCTTGGTAGAGACGTCAGCTTCATTCATCCCAGAGCCCACACACGGACTTGCGTAGCTGACCTATTTGTCTCCATGTGACCAGATCCTGCGAAGCGTAGATCGGCAGACCGGGGAACAGATGGAAACTTGAGTTGATCAGGAAGAATGTGTTGTCAATCAGGACGATCGATGGATCCGGTGCGAAACCCGGGATGATTGGATTGACTGCAGCCATCGAGAACGACGCAGGCAACCCTAGGACAGATTGGCCGAGAGCAAGCAGTGGGATTCTTCTTATGGACGGACGAGTATCTGATCTCTAACAATAAGTGTTCGGCCCAAGTTCTGAATATACAAACCGGAGAATCAGGCTCTTCGGATAAATGATGCCAGCAGCGACATCGACAAAGGCCGGCTTGTTAGTCCAGCTTCCATATTTTGATCAAACTTTGAGAGAGTATGAGATGCTGTCGAGCCGGAAATCCCTGCTTCGAGTCAGCCAAGTCCTGAAGCGTCAAGTGGCAGCCCTCATAAGCGCGTAGAAGTAGTTGGCGTCTCTTAACGGTCCGGATGACCCGTTTCGGGATGGGCCGACATATCTCAAGAACCGGAACCGGAAGCACACTCGTGTTGGGGAACCGGACATCGACACCTTTGGCGTAATCGCACAGGAAGCTTTAGTGAACCGAGTGCCGTGGCGCGAGTCGTACAGTTCATGGCGTCGAACACTTGATATATCTAACCGAGAACCCTGGAGGCGACGGGCTGAAAGGGACCGTGTTGATGTATTGACTCCCATATGTACAATGGCGTCTTGAGACGCTCCGCATTTTCTTCTCACCAAATCATGAACCTGCCCAGCCTTCAATCAGCATGCCAGGTCTGCCTATTTCTTCTCTTCTTTCTTCTCTTCAGGCTTGGGCGTGGGCAGCTTGAACTCTGCTGGTTTCCTGTCCGAGCCAACACCAACCTGTTCCCAAGCGCTTGTGCCTCCTTCAAAGTTTCGGTACGCCTGTGTCATCTCCAGGGGCTCCACCACAATTCGCTTCTTCTCCTCGTCGTATCTGATTTCAGTGTATCCCGTCAAAGGGAAATCTTTGCGCAGCGGATGCCCATCGAAGCCGTAGTCCGTCATGATTCGACGGAGATCGGGGTGGCCTGTGAAAAACACGCCAAACATGTCGTAAACCTCTCTCTCATACCAGTTTGCGCCATCGTAGAGGGACGTGATTGAGGGTACCGGTGTCGCTTCATCCGCATATGTCTTGACTCGTATTCTGGAGTTGTGTCGCACACTGAGCAGATTGTACACTACTTCAAATCGATAACTCTTGGTGGGAAAGTCTACCGCAGTAATATCCGCAACCATGGTATACTCTGCCGCCGTGTGGTACTTGAGAAACGTGAAGACGGGGATGACGCCGGTCGGACAAATGTAAATGCAAAGCTCGTCTTTCCATACCGAGAATTGTTGGACATATTTGGGTAAGCAGGACATGAGGTATTGGCCGTATTGATGGAGTGGCAGGGCTTTATCTGCGTATTTGTCGGCATCGTTGACGATGGGTGCGGAGAGCTTGCCCATGGCTGCTCCGAATGTCAGCAATCTGTGCCAGCTCTTTTGTATTCCACTACTCACGTGGGCGAGGAGCCTTTCGCAACTCAGACAGGAGATCGGACCCAGCTGTCCTCATGTCGGGTGCCGGTTTGTCGGCGGCATAACTCCTCGTCGATTGAGAAAGGGTGGCACGTTGGGCGCATCCCTTGGCCTGCGCAGCCGCCCCTAGAGGCCTCTTGCTGGCAAGACGCAGTATGGCCTTCGTCGACGACATTTCACAGGTCCCAGACCGTAGATGTGCGGCCCTTGATCTGATAGAGTCTCATTGAGAGGTTGCAGGAGCATCTCATACTGGTGGTCATGACGGAGCTCTTTGCCATGCCAAGACCGGAGCTAGTCCACTAGACGATATTGAGGTTAGCGTGAGGTTCTTGCCGCAGTCGCGAGTCTTTGCAACGCAACCTTTCGCCTTCTCTCCGTGGCTTTCGATGCATATTTCATTTCGCTTCACTTTGAACACACCCTTTTGCCTCATTCCAGCCATTCGTCCTGATCAATATTGCTTCTGAGAACTGGTTTACCGACTGCCCAGTCCCCCATCAGATGACTACGACACACCAAACTCGACATTAAAACCCGTAGTGCATGGAGGACATTCTTGACCTGTATTCACCGGTGCAGGCGTCGACAGAGGTGGAACACTTCACAATAATATTATCGCATCTACCGTTATGAGTCGGTCGCAGGACACCGTCATCGATGATGACGAGGAAACCTGGTGAGTGTAGCTACCCTCGGTCTGTCGCAATGTTGGCTCGATGCTGATTACGTGACAAACAGCCCACTCTGCATCGAAGAGTTTGACCTATCCGACAAGAACTTCAGACCGTGTCCTTGTGGCTATCAGGTATGTCTGGACACCCGTTATCACTTCCTGCGACTCCCCTCGTATTCCGTCGTCTCATTCGATTTCGCTTGGCCGATACTGATGCTCGACGCAGATTTGTCAGTTCTGCTTCAACAGTCTTAAGACAACATACGAAAAGAGTACATGCCCGAACTGTCGAAGACCCTACGATGAGAAGACCATACAGTACAAAATCCCGACAGCTGAAGAATTCAAACTCGATCAGTTGAACAAAAATAAAAAGCAAGCCGCAGCCAAACGAAAGGAGACAGAGAAGCGTGAGGTGGAAAATTCATCACGTCGCAACCTCGCTGGTGTGCGTGTCAAGCAACAGAATCTTGTCTATGTTATCGGCCTCATTCCGCAGATTAAAGATGAGCAGGCACTGCTGCAGACTCTCCGCGGTCCAGAATATTTCGGCCAATACGGCGAAATTGAGAAGATCGTCGTCAGTAAAGCCAAACCAGGAGCTGCGAACCAAGGAATCGGCGTCTACGTGACTTATGCTCGCAAAGAGGATGCTGCTCTCTGCATCAACACGGTTGATGGGTCTCTCAACGGCGATCGCGTCCTCAGGGCCCAATTTGGCACCACGAAATACTGCTCGGCTTATTTGCGAGGGGAGACGTGCACGAACAAAAACTGCAGCTTCCTCCATGAGACTGGCGAAGATGGCCAGCACAGCTCCTTACAAAATGAACCCCATGGAGCAAAACTGCCCGTTCGACCTGCCGTGTCCACCCAGACGTCGCAAATGAACCCTCCACCACGACCTCAGTCAATCGTCCAAAATGCGAATACTCAACCAATGGCTCGGCAAGGTAGCAAAGAAAACGACATTAGCAGGAAGAACTCTCAGGATAGTTCTGCCCTGCCCTCCACTGCAAGCTGGGCGACTGCAAATGCTTCCGTCGTACGAACGAGACGAGCAAGCCAAACCAACAGTAGAGCTACTCCGAGTCCCCAAGTCACTCATGCTTCGCTCGCGGCCCAGAAGCTGGATGACCACAAAGCTAAGGACCCTCCTGCTAGTCAGCCACCTACCTCGACAGTTCCCCCGAAGACCGCGCCTAGACCAGACCAGACAATTTCCAAACCGAAGTCGAAACCGTTGGACCCAATACAAAAACAATACGAAGAGGTCCTGCGATGTGTATCGCGGAGTTATCGATTCATCTACGACGATTCGTGTCTCAGTCCAGAAGCTCGCGCCGCGGTGGATGACATGCCTTGCTTTATCGACCCTTATGGCGGTGCCAAACGCCGTGCCATGCGGGAGAAAGAACAAGCCGAGCGTGCAAAGCTGGAGGCCGAAACGAAAGCGAAACTCGAGGCCCAAGCCACCTCAGCCGCGGAAGAAACACTGGAAGAAGACAACGTCGTTGCTGGTAGCCTCGCTCTCGGTGGAGAACCAGAGGATGATCCCAGGGGCTCTTCCGCACGTGGAGCAATTGGGCGCCCGACCCAGTCTTTGAGCGATCAATTTGCGTCAATGGGTTTGAGTAATCGCAGTCTGACGCCTCAACAGCGGCAACAATTGGCTCTGCTTAACACCAGTAGTTTGCCACAGGCTCCAGGCCTCGGGCAACCAAGCTCCCAGAACATCGCTTTCGAGATGTCAGACTTTGACCGAAGAGGACCACAGTATAGCCAAGCGCAGTATGAACAGATTAGCAGTCATCAACGCCACGGTTCCAGATACTTCAACAACGATACCAAAGCAGGCTCCGGCAGTCGCTTTCAAGGCCAGCAGCAGAGCTTCTACTCCAGTGGAATTCAAGGACCCCCTCCCGGCTTGCCAACAGCCGGTACACCTCCGGTTAGTGGAGGCGGCATGTTCGCCCATGGCCAAAATTTCACCAACCCTGGTTTTGGAACTTCCAAAGACATCAACGCGGAAGTCTATTCGCGGAATCGCAGTGGAACAAATCAAGGTCATGATCTGTCTAAGCGTGAGTTGCTCCTTTCCTTGCAAAGTAACCCCCTTCGGTCACCCCCATTATCAGCCCCTGCCCCTGGCGTCCTCAACCCGCTCTACGCTCAATATCAAACATACCAAGATCCTGGGCTTGTCAAGCAAAGGAAAAAGGGCAAGAAGCACAGACACGCTAACACTTCCTCTTCAGGAGGTGGTGTAGAGCATCTTGCAGACCCGAGCATCGCATCAGCGAGAGTCCACCAGAGCAATACGGCAGGGCAGGGGCTGTTTGGGGGTAATCAAGGTGGGTACCAGCAATCAAACCTATACGGCGGCGGCGGCGGGTACAATCGATGGTGATCGAAGACATTCCGACCAAAACACTCAATGCCCATTTCTTTCTCTCTCTTCTTATGATGGATTCTGCTTGGCGTTGGTGGTACGAGGCCTTATTATTCGGATCAGCGAGCAATGCATAAGTTAGTAGCTGAATGGCGAAAACTTAGTGGAGTAACGGCATGGTCACAGTCATGGTCCCGGGCGAGCGTGGGACGCATCGAAAAACCAATCTATCGGCATCAGGCTTCTTCAGCGGCATCCATCGTCCCATTTTCACGGTTCTGTTATGTATGTTAGTACCCTTCTCTGACCATGTTACGAACGGTCAGGCAGATCAGAAAAACAATTTCTTACAATTCCTTTTAGGTGAAATGCTCTAGAGACAGTAAAAAGCTTGTGCTGAGGGATCTGATGATGCGAAAAGCCTGATTGTCTATGCCTGTACCCATGAGCCCGTTTCGAGTACCCGCCGCCGGGTTGTTTGATGGTTCTGGCTGTGTCCTTTCTGGTTTTATCTTTTGCTTGGATGATTTGCTGACCTTATCGCCGCAGTGGATGAGAAGAATTTCCCGCCGCTACCAACCCGGCCAGAAACACAGCCTCCACCTTTACATTCCCGTGTCTCGTCCTTCCAGAGTCATTACAGCTCGGGTCTTCGATCATCCACACCGAAGGTCCCACCGGGTTTCGAGCTCAGCCATGGACATCCAGCTCCCATCAGGTCGGTGTCTCCAACTCCGCCTGCTCAGGCGATCGGACAACGAAGCACATCGATCAGTTCTGCACCTATCGCTCCGGCAGTTCCAATCGTGCCTCTAGCTCCCCGCACATCAACTCCGAAGCAAAAAGGCTCCGATCTCCCGAAAGAAGACAGCAAGGCCATACTGGTTGACGATGCACCGATTTCGAGCAAAAAGCCTAGCATCGGGTTGAATGAAATCAGTCTAGGCTCGCCCAAGCCAAAGTCAAGCCGCCAAAAGTCTGGAATGGAGAAGAAATCGGATGTAGCGGGAAAGGTTGAAGAGAAGAGTGAGAAGAAAGATGACCCGCGGCCTCTTACAAAGGCTGAGGACCCCAAGGGCAAAGGGAAAGCGACAGCAAAGGCTGGGAAGTCGGAATTACCTCAAGGAACCATTTCGGATGCCCGTACTAACTCGCCGATAACATCTGTCAGCACTGGTGGCTTGGACAAGTCTGCTACGCCAATTTTAGATTCTGCTGTTGTTGGCACACCGGCGACAATGAGCCCACGACCGATCACTCCTGTGACTACAACTCCGTCGGAAACGTCAAAGACATCCGTGCCCCGACCAAGAACTCTCCGCCTAACGACTGGAATGGTCAACAAGGCGCTGGAGCAGACCCCTGCTTCCGCTACCACCGAGAAATCCAGCACTGTACCTCCCGTTTCGGCTTTCAAGAAAGGCTCACGGCGACCATCTCTCTCTTCGGCCCAGCTTAGTAGGCCTTCAACTCCAGCGATGTCCGAGCGGCCTTCTCATGACGCTTCCCGCGCGAGCTCTCCACCCCCGAGCATTGTTGGTTCTGCTCCGGAACGAACCAAAAGCAAGGCTCAACTAAAGAAAGAACGGCGAGAGAAAGCTAAGAAGACAGCTGAACCGGCTGACGCAGTCCCTAGCGCTGCTACTACGCCCGTGGTAGAAGAGGTTGCACCGGTCATTGCTCGGCAAAAGAAGCAGAAGAAACAACGGATTGAGAGTAGTGCTCCGGCTAGTGGCGACGAGAGAGCGAAACCAAAGAGCCAGGAGATCGGCACAAAGTTGCAAGAAGCAATCGAGAAACAGAAATTGGAAACTACCGGAGATGGAGTCGACCAAAAGAAGATCGAGCAGAAAGACAAGGCTGCCCTTCTCGCTTCGCAGCAGGTCGAAAAATCTGCAAATCAGCCTCAGAAACCGGGCACTCCTCGAACAGCCACACCTAGGCAAGAGTCTGTCGCTAAAGTTGAAGAAGCCAAGGGCCCCTACACGATGCGCGACCTGTACAATGAAGCTGAGAAGATGGCCGCAGCCACTGACGGCCTTTCGACCCATGCCGCCATTCAAAAATTGCTCAACGAGCATATTTCGTCGATGCCTAAGATCTTTCATTCGCTCATCCAAATAGGGGAACTCTCCAGGGATCATCCGTGGCTCAATCCACCCTCTTTCAACTCAGCCACGTACAAATTACCGCCAGACTCCCGACGCGGGCAAGATTACCTGGACGGCAACGGATACAGCGCCAACGATGCGTTTGGCTATATCTACCTGCCACTTAAGGAGAAACAAGCGCTGAAGGACGGCAATGCCGTCAGTGTTGCGGACGCAGGAGAGCGAAAAGACGACCTGTTGAAGAGATGTCTGGTGACGCCTAATGGATGGGTCCTGAGGCATCTCAGCGCTGATGAGGGTGAAAAGCTCCTCGAGCTTGAGGAAAAACGACAAATATACCTCGAGGAATTTGGAGACTTGGGCACCATGGGGGGTTTGGGTGCGCTGGAAACAGATGATTACACCAACCTCAGCGGCGGGATGGAGAGGCTTGCGAGACAGGGCGAGCGGCACGGTGTCGTTTGGATCATGGGTGAGGATGGTGAAATTGTCGATGACGACGAGTTTGAGCCATTCGACGACGAAGACGGTGAGATTGACGGCGAAATCGGGGACAGCGACGAAGAAGTCGAAGACGAGGAATACGGCGACGGAGAAGGCCTGGATGATGAGGGTGAGGAAGAGTTCGAAGCCGACGACTCGGTCAACATGCCAGGTGGCTGGGATAACCCACCTCGGGATCCTCACCATGCTACTCGGGTTGGTTCTGGCGGGCGAATTAACTCTCTTCCTGGCCTGGGACCGCATTCTAGGACGAATGCTCTGCGACTGCCTTCAAGAGGCCCACCGATCGGCCCCGAAGATCCAGCGCAACAGGACAACCGTGTTACTACTGCTGGTCCCAGCACGGCTCCCCAAAACGCAAGCAAACAACCCCGGCCACCATCAGCAACTGCAAATGCAGCGAGCGCAACGACGACGGAAAACGTTAACGTGCGTCTTCTTGACGCCGATGCCCTGCAAAAACGTGTCCAAGAGTCACAAAAGGCACTCGACGCCGCACGAAAGGACATGGAGAAGACTGAGAAACTTTGGAACAAGAAGGCCAAGGACATCGGCCGCTGGAGAGATGGCCTCATCGGGTCATTGGGTGTGAAGGGCTAGGAGATCCTTTCCAATTCTCAAATGGCAAAAGCACCAGAGGCTACGTTACAAAAGGCCACAGGAAAGACCAAAGGCAAAGGGAGAGTACAAACAAGCACCGACAAGTGGCAGGTACCCCCAACCCCGCCCATGCCACTACTCCCACGCTTCCTTGATATCTTCGAGACCGATTGGGATGCCCCAATTCGTGCCATGTCTATCAAGGGCTCACGCCGTCCCAACGCGTTACGGAATTTAGATATCAACCCTCCAGAAACTACCGGACGACCCTTGAATGACCGAGAAATCCAAATGGTCGAATTTCTAAAAGGTACTGTTCTCTTCGACGGCCAGGCTCTCTGCACAAAGATCTTGGTCATGGAGGAATGGGATTGGCGCTATCACGACGATCAAGTCGATATCAAAGGCGCAGTGGCCCGACTGCGTGGACCGGACCGCCTGATTCAACATGTTGCTGCTGCGGCTGCGGCACTTGATGGCATCGATCTCGATGAGACTAGAAGCGATTTTGCACCCCGGAGGAGAATGCGCGATTGGCTGATCGTCACCAAGACAATCCGCCAGCCGTGGGAGAACAGGAGCAGCCTTCTTGCCGCCCCCATCCCTGCCGCTGCTAGCCCTCCGCTCTCAGAAACCCAGCAGCTCTGTGGATCTCTGGGGAGCTTTGGGCGTAGGCTGAGGCTGAGGAAGTTGAATCCTAAAGAGGTCAAGGCCATGCTCTTCCTGCGAGAGATCATCCATCGCCGTCATCAATTGGAGCACAAGGAGATCATGCCAACCGAAGCGTTCGAGAAGCCAACGCGAAGAGGCAAGCTCTGGGAATGGGCGTTCGATTGTCTGGACGCGTTGACTCTAATTGCGGGGTTTCAGACCGGAAGAAAATCCTGGGGATACTGGGGGAGGAGCAATTGATGGATAGATGGAGCTCTTGGTGGAAGGGGAGAAGTGCAATGTTACTGCCATGTGTATCAATGGGGTTGGGAATGGGAACGGAACCAGGAACGGGTTTGGCTGTCATGCCTTTCGAATCTTTGCTGCTCCGGGCAGGTAGAGAGCATGGCATCGTCTTTGTATTTGTATTATTAGACGCTCTGCATGGGGCATCGTCCTGCTGCTGCTGTTGCTGACTATGATCAGGCCCGGTATGGTACCAAGCATAGGAACATGCATTTGGCACGTAATTAATCAATAATTCTTTCACAAGCATTCTGCCGTGGAGTTCCCTCCATCTCCGATCTGTCACAAGGGTTGAATGAAGCTCAAGGTCTTGCAAGCAAGAGCAATTAGCAACTTTGTGTGTTCTGTCCTAGACATCGTGCGCCACGTTATGTATGCATTTGCTTCCCCGACATTTCTCGATTTGGATCAAAAGCAGCACAGCACATCCATCAAATTATTCAATTATCCATCCATCCATTCACCCCTCCCTCCCTCTCTATCTGTCTGTCTGGCTAGCTCGACATTTTCTTTTTTTCCACACAAAATCCATTCCTCACTGGGTGCGTTGGGGGACGCTAAATGAATGAATGTCTTGGCTTGAGTTTCTCTCACAGATTTGTATTTTGTCTTGTGCTGCTGCTGCTGCTGCTCCTTTTTTCTTCTTCTTTGCTCCTTCACGTCTGGGTCAATTGTCAACTCAAACGGCGTGTCTTTCCAGCAACTTCTGCTTTGGCCTGTTGGGAGTGCCCCCGCGTCGTCGTCGAGACCGAAGCCATACCAGGTGTGGTGGTGCTGGTGGTCGTTGTCGTCAAAGCCCCAGAAGCTCGGTCACAAATGTCCTTCACGCGCTGGATTTCTTCCCAATCGGAGCGACGGATGCTCAACACGATGACATCGACGTCGTGTTTTTCTGCTGCTGTCACGGGTAAAGTGTTCACGCCAGGACTCCACGACGAGATTTGAGGTGCATTTGTTCCCAATGCGGTCAAGGCGCCGGAGAAGACGGGCTTCGGGGATATCTGGGCGAAGACGCGCACGAGAGATCTGTCTGGAAATCTTTGGGAAAATGCGGGTCCCGTGGCGGCGCCCGAGGCTGGTTGCGGAACGGTGGTGCCGGTGAGGTAGGGTGGTCGGTCTGGAAAGTACAAGTCCGCGAGTGTGACGGTCCGGCTGGCTCCCATGGTGCGAGTGGTGTGCACCACAGCATAGATCTCCAGATTCAACGACGTGGTAGTGGTGATCCAAAAGCCCGTCCCGGCACGGGCTGGAGTGGCCGGTGGTGAAGAGGAGAAGGCGAGCGAGACGTGGCGGAGAGCCTCTCCAATGCCGAGGCAGATTGGAAAGGGGTGCAAGGCAGAGCAATTCGTGGGCAGTCCCGTTGGCGAGGCAAGGGAAGGCAAAGGACCGATGACCGGCTTCATTGGCGCTGTCACATTGGCTTCAGTAGGTGACGATGGTGTCTTGAGGGCCCTGAAGGTTTCTGGTCGGGAAGAAGTCGGAGTTGGGTATGTCGTCCTGGCCACCAGTGTCTTTTCGGCTTCGAGAAAGTTCTCAATGTCAGCGAAGTCATCATCATCGAAGAGGTCTTCCTGGTTGTCCCTGTTGGAGGCATCGACAGCGGCAAAATGACGTTTCGTGTCGGGTTGTGTCGGTTTCATTGGCGTTGTGTGCTGTTCCTGTGCCATGAAGACGCCCGTAGCAACCGAAGTGGTTCCCTGACCCATTCCCCTCATAGTGAGCATCTTCTTTGCTACAAATGTCTCTACATCTGTAGAAAAGGCCTCCGAAGACGTCCGCTTATGTCCTGATGCAACGATGTTGAATGTGGTTCGGGCAATGGGCATGAGACTCTGGTCGATCTCAAATTGACGATTATAAGGCTTCCCAACGGCCCGAGGTTTCTTTGGGGGGGTTTTCTTATTTCCATTCAGTAGCATCGCACCTTTGGAGGCATCTCCAGAACTGACATAAGTAACTCGCTTTGCCCGTCGTAGTGACAACAGTACAGCTGAGAGGGCCTTCCGTGTCCTTCCCCTGCGACGTTGCTCCAGGCGCAGGGCTGAGTCGAGGATCGCCTCGCGAAGAAGACTTGCGCTTATAAATGATTCCTCACTGTCATTGATATCTGACGGAGGTGGCGGAAGAGCAGGAAGTGCAGCTATGGTGGATGTGGGTAACGGATTGATCGGTGTCCAACTGTTTTGCCTGCCATTGTTAGAATTCTTCTGTTGCTATGGCAGTCTGCCGGCAGAAACCCTACCAGACAGGTAACTTAGCCTCCACTTCAATCACTGCCTGGGGTTCATCCCAGTTGCTGCTGGACACCCAGCCCAAGGCGGATGGGGGGGAGCTCATTGCAAAGGACTTGGCTTGGACAAGGCTCCACACGCCACAACAACAGCCTTGACAACAGCTCGAAGCTCTAAGGATGAAAATCTTCAAAGGAAAGAATGGTGGAGCAGAGAATGAAAGTTGGAAAGAAGGACGACGTCGTCTGTGAGAAAAGCCAATACTTTGGGCGTGGAATGGATGACTTTGGCAGTCCGTCTGTCACAGGAGCAGAACTGGCTGCAACTGAAAAGGTGTGATTCCACAGTGCAGGAGTCATTTTGAGCCTCTTTGTGGATTTTCTTTCACCGCCTTGAACTTCACAACTCAGAGATTTGCAGAGTGCACGTGGACTGAAAGGGGTTGGTGACAACAGGTGCGGCAGTTGGCATTGGGATAGAGAATGTGTAATGGGGTTTGCCTCCTGTATGGCAGCAATCAGTTTTGCATCTGTTTCAGCTGTCCTCGCCGTCACATGAACGCAGTGCATAGCTTCTCCATGTCGTCGACCCTGGGTCTCCCTGTTCAGTACCAGACTCATAGCGGCCAAGTTCGATGCGTATGTAGTCCGTAGTCGTCGTATGTCGTCGGTTCCTCAGCCAGAAAAGGCACTAACCGTATTTGGTTGGCGCATGTTTATGTTTCTGTATATGGATGCGCAATGCCACCGACCTTCTCGACTTCAGCACCAGAATCCATGAAACTGCATCATCCATCTACCCTGCTGTTGAGTGCCTCTACCGGCCATGTCGTATGCTATTGAGACCAAAAAGCGCAAATTCGATCGCATCCTCGAGGCCCTAACCGACGGTGCCGCCTCGACTCCTCCCGCCTCACCGTCGCACTCTTCGATCAACGCCTCCACCACCTCCCTCTCTCTCTATGCCGCTTCTGACTCCTCCAAGCGACGTCGCATAACTCCCACCAGGGCTATCGCATCGCATACCTCTGCGCCAGTCACGTTGAGCGGCCAGTATCTCCCGTCGAGCCGAGCCGCATTTCTTCAACGACTAGAGACATTTCGGCATGTGACCCAGTGGCATGTCCCATCGACCGACCCCATCAACGCTGCGGCGTGGGCAAAAAGAGGCTGGACTTGTGTCGATACAGATACAGTGGCATGTGGTGTCTGTAAGGAGAGGTTGTACATTGATCTAAATGTCGACAAGGAGCTGCTCAAGTCCTCGGAGAAGGAGGGCGACAAAGGTGCGGATGAGGACGTAGCTGCGGACGAGGAAGACAGCTTCGCCATCTCATTTGAGATCTACGACAAGATTGTCAAAACATACCAGGGCATGATTGTCACCGCGCATGCAGAGAGTTGTCTCTGGCGAAAGCGAGGATGTGACGCTTCAATTCAACGCATTGAAGGTCTCTTGAACACCGCCTCGGCCCTGTCCAGCCTGAGAGCCCGCTATGTCAGTCTTGCCAGCCATCTAGACGAAATACCCCAGGTTGAGCCTCTACCCTTGGCCTCTGTTGAGAATCCTCACGAGTTGGAACAATTCCGACTCGGTGGGCAAGAACGACCTCACTTCGACACGCTTCGACTCGCAGTCTGTGGGTGGGAGAGGAAGTGTGACGATGTCATTGAATGCCGTCACTGTTTCCGCTCGCTGGGTCTGTGGTTATATCGTGGCGAATCACCTGCGATCGAGAAATTGGACGCCATTGACAACCACCTAGAATATTGCCCGTGGAGGTCGGCCGAGGCTCAAGACACCGAAATACCAACGGGGCACAGTAAGACCACTACGGGAGAGGAAATTGTGCCGAAGAAAGAGCGAGTGCCAGGTTGGGTACTGGTGTATCAAGCGATCACAAAGGACAACAAACAGAGAAGAGGATCCACCACAACGCCCTCAACTGCAGTCTCCGAGACCGTGGCGAGCGAACATGGTACTGAGTCCACGACACCAGAACAGCGTGAGAAGAGAATGAAAGATTTACTGCGGAGGATCAAGGAGATCAAAAAACCCTTCAACGTCAAAGCCCTCCTGAGGCGCAAGGACAAACCAAAGGCTTGACCAGATCTACTGTATGTAGGTACAGTGGGCTGCACAGACAAGATCATCGCCTTCGGCGTCTAGAACCTCCGCGTCGAGAAATTAATGGCGCATTCAACCTGTTCCAGCCAGGACAGGATCCGAAAATTGTCCTATCCGGAGTGGTGACCGGCTAGGGGCCACTGATATTCAAGGCATTGGTGTGAGGCATCGAGCCATGCTTCGGGAGCCAGGCCGGATCTCATACACGTGTGCGAGGGTACTCGGTCGGAAGATGCTCGGAACTTTCCGGGAAAAAAGCTGCTCCAGCAGAGGGGCGGAAGCTGCAGTTGTCCACTCTCCGAGGCCCTCATCTTAGAGCGTGGTCGTATGGCGACCAAGCTGAAGTTGTCGTAGATTTTGGATAGGTAGTAGAAAAAAGTTTCTCCTACCCTGGATCTGAAGTCGGTATGTGTGTGCTGGAGAAAAGAGTGCCCGCACCGGTGGTTGCAGGGTGACCACAGTGGGTAGGCTTAACTATTAGCCTTCCCCAGATTTACATTGGGGGGGGCCCGCTAAGCAACTTTCAGCAGGGCGAGGTACTGTAGCTTTGACTTGGGCGGCGACGGTGGCCAAGGGTGACCGAGGTGTTGAACAAGTGGGGAGCAAACAACAGCCCATGACATCAACATCCCGACGCCAACAAGTCGAGGCTGATGAATTCTGCAAAGCTCAACCACCAAATCCACCAAATCCTTAAGCAATGCTTCCGTCAGCCTCGTTACACGTGCAATTTAGATCGGCCTCGATGGACCCCTGGGAACAGTGGGCCATTGAGCGTCAGGAATAGTCCGAATCTTTCCGCTGCCAACCGGCATTTCGGGGAACAAGGCCCAGTCCCGATGATGAGCAGGGAGTCTTTGTTGAGTACGCCCGCCACTTGGCGGCCTGGTAGTGACCAAAAAGCAATATCCGAGCTGTTTTAGAGACGAGAGAGAGGGTCATCTTACGATAGGGGTGGGGAGGGGGGAAAGTAGTCGAGGGAGAATTGGCACAAAGTCTGTGGCATGTGATGAGGGGATGGAAATGGGCTCCAGGTGTCTGTCCGTACATACAGTAGCACCTCCAAATCACAGGGATTGGGGGAAAAGGAAAAAGTGGTGAGATGCGGTGCAATGCTTCGCCTGGACAGGGCTGGTCGGGCGGCGTAATGGGTGGCTCGTCAATGGCAGTTTCAACAAACAGGGGCCTGGAAAGGGCTGCGTGGGCATGAGCTGGTGGTAAGTTTGTTGTAGTGGGTGCTAACTGGCGGCGGCGGCGGGCGGTGCATGATGCTTGTTGGCTCACCAAAATGCCTTCCCCGCATCTCTGGCGCCTTCTTCCCATCTGATCGCTGCCGAGTCCGGAGTATGGCAGAGCCCATCAACCCGGCCCTCCATCCAATCCTGGTGACTCGAATAATGCCCATCTTTCCCTGCCATGGGTGCCACCCGGGGTCACCTCCGTCATTTGTTGCTCGTACTCAGCAGTTGAGCAGGGTCAGACAGCTGGCGAGGCAGTCCCTTGACAGACACGCACAACCGCCACGGGCTGCTGCCCTCGAAACTCTGCTACGTTCTCCTGGACCGAGTTGGCAACCTCTCTTCCGACCGACTTCTTCCTTGTCTCCTAGCTGGGTCATCCTTTGATCTTCATTCTTATTCCAGCACACACCCGCATCTCCGCCCGTGTCTCCTCTCCTCTCCTCTGCTCTCCTTCCATACTTGTCGGTCACCGACATCAAAGAGTTAGTCAGTCGCCTTGCTGTCGAATCGAGTCTCGTCTCGTCTCGTCCCAATCGCGTTGTGTGTGTGCATGTGTGTGTGTGTGTGTGTGTGTGTGTGTGTGTGTGTCTGACGACAGCTCCAAGGCCTCCGCACCAAGGTCGTCCTTCCCCGCTCTGTGTATAAGGTAATAGACCGCCTTCTTCACCGCACGAGACAAGTCGTCGACTCCCACACAGTTGCTGGAGTTTGTTCCTGCTTGGTAAGTGGTTCTTTTTGATCCTGTCCACCCAATGTCCAGACACACCCTCAGGAGCAAAACGATCCGGTCAATGGAGCTGTTTCTGCAATACCCGACCGCGAGCCTAGGAATGCGTGGACGAAAGTGGGGAAATTGCTAACGGACCATTGCGACATCCCAGATACCGACCTCTTCGGGCTGCGTTCCTTGTCACCTCACCTCGTATCTCTCCTCCCTCCCCCTCTAGCACAATGTCTAGTGGCACTGCCAACCGGATCAAGGAGGGCGCTCGATCAGCTGCCACAAAGGTCGAAGAAGCGGCGACCGAGGCAGTGAACAACCCGGTTCAGGCCAAAAATGACTTCCTCCACTTCCCTGTCGTGCGCGCCGCTCTGCCTTTTGTCAATGGAGGTCTCGCGGGCATGTTTGCGACGGGCTGCATCCAGCCCATAGACATGGTCAAAGTGCGCCTACAGCTGGCGGGCGAGGGTGTGAAGACAGGTCCCAGGCCCACGGCTCTGGGAATCACAAGAGACATCATTGCTCAAGGGAAGGTGCTGGACCTTTATAATGGTCTCTCAGCGGGTCTGTTGAGACAAGCAGTCTATACCACCGCAAGACTAGGGTTCTTCGACACCTTCCAGAACATGCTGCAGACTCGGGCTGATCAGAACGGCACCAAGGTCACATTCGCGGAGCGAGGCGCGGCCGGTCTGGCAGCCGGTGGTTTGGCTGCCATGGTTGGCAACCCCGCGGATCTCGCCCTCATTCGAATGCAATCTGATGGCCTGAAACCCAAAGAAGCCCGCGCAAACTATAGATCAGTATTTGACGCTTTAACTCGCATTGCCAAAGCCGAAGGCGTCACGGCTCTCTGGGCCGGAGCGTACCCCACCGTCATCCGTGCCATGGCTCTCAACTTTGGTCAACTCACATTCTTCGCCGAATCCAAGGCTCAATTGAAGCACTATTTCCCCGACATCTCAGAGTCCTCGAACCGCTTTGGCGCATCTGCGATTGCTGGGTTCTTTGCCTCGTTCTTCAGCTTGCCGTTTGACTTCATCAAGACGCGGTTGCAGAAACAGCAGAGGGGGCCTGACGGCAAGCTCCCGTACAACGGTTTCTTTGATTGCGCGAAGAAGGTTATCCGCGATGAGGGTTGGCTGAGATTTTACCGTGGATTCGGCACTTACTATGTCAGGATCGCTCCCCATGCGTGAGTAACAGACCCCTCCAAACATGTTCGCAGGCTGACGTGGCATAGAATGATCACCCTGATCGTTGCCGACTATCTGAAATTGATCACGGCCTGAGTCGTCCGGTCCGAATTCGACGGTTGGAAAGAGTCGACACGCGGTCAAGCTATGTTGAATAAGAATGGCGCCAGCCGTAGGATTGGAGAAAACACAAAAAGAATGAAAGCGCAAAGAGACATCCAAAGTCGAAAGAGGGGACACAGAAGCAGTCCACGGCACAGTCTTCCAGGCTGACAGGTCCGAATATCGCTCGATCTCCAGGGTCAGGTCATAGATGTGATTTATGGCAGGCAGGTCGACAATCTGTGGCATATACCCTTGGAACAATGGCGCACTCTAGCAGATGTCATATACAGCACAAATCTAGCATCCTTTGGGCGTTGATAGGTAGCTAATCCTAAAGAATTGTTGATAGATGGTGCCAGATGCAAAGCAAAAAAATTGTGTCCAGACCAGGTACCTCTCCGTATCCTCGGCACTTTTTATTTGCCGGTGAACAGGCAAGTATAGCGACCGCAACATCCCTTTGCGGATCGTTTGCTTCACCGAAAACTAGACTGCGGAGTTTCCAGGTGAAATCCTCCGTCAAAGACATTAGGAAAAAAATTGACTACACGCTGTACCAAGGTTCCAACGACTATGAGTGCCAGCTCTCAGCATGAGCGCCTCGTTACTCTTACAATTAGTCCTCACCGGCACCCAAACTCATTACGAAAGCCCCGGATTGATCGATGAGAAGAGATTGGAGCACCTGTTGATCGCTGGTAAACAAATTCTGTATAAGTCGCATCAAGAGAGTGATGTCCGATCTGCGCTGGGATTCAACCCTCGAATATGGGAGGGTCTGACTTCGGTGCTGAAATACGCTCTTCCGGCCCTGGAACAACAGTCCTTTACCTACAAGCACCCTCCGCAGCTGGGCTTTGGCGGCAGCAGCTCCGAACTCATTGCTGCTCATTACCTCAGTCTCGTCAAGGACATTGAACGGCTGAACGACCTATGCACGATCGCGCGCAATCTCCTCGCCACCACCAAAAAGGCCCAGAACCTCGCGGCGGAGAAGGGCTTCGATCAACAGATCCTGAAACTCATCGATGTCTGCGTTAAGGTCACAGCTCGGGGATTCGACGGCGAGGCAAACCCGCGGAATGAGGAGAGATGGCAAAAGGTGGTGAATTTGTACAAGAGGCTGTTGATTACGTGTCTGCAGTTCTTGCACAACTTTATTATGCACAATGAGCAGCGAAAGCTGGTGCTGTGGCTGGATCTCTTCGGACAATCCCAAACAAATGAGGGTGACGACCAAAGCAGTCAGACAGACCAGCAAACTCTCAATGAGGAAGGCAGAGAGACGGCTGCGAAGGAGGACAGAATCAGGTCGACCGTCGAGAAACTGCCGCGACGAGTGGGTCGGTTTGCGGCAGATGGAGATGACCCGGGCTACAACATCGACGACGTCCATGCTCTGTTCGACCTCATAGGCACCAACAAGGAGTATGATGAGCGGACCCAGAAGGCGGCCAAGGTGCTCATGGACAAGATCAGATCTGACATGGAAAATCTGTCGGGCATGAACGCGAATCAGCTGGACGACAGCCCGGATGTGCTGTTGAAAGTGGGAGCCGAACTGCGTGCTTGGTTACAGACTAAGGAAGATGCTGCGGCCACCGAGACCCATTCGCCGCAAGTCAAACAGGTTGCCGAGAAGATTATGGCTTTAACCCAGGTCAATGGCTACAAATCCGGTGGCAAGATAAAGGACTCTCACTGGAGCGATCTCCCAGAGCCTGGTTCGTACGGCGACCTGAATGAATCCACCCAGGATTTGACAGAAGAAGACTTGAGCATGCCCCGGACCGCTCAGTCTGCAGCTGCGACGTTGAAAGAAGCAAAAGATGAACTCATGGCGCGGCTGCACCCCCGGCCTCCTCCCATGGTAGATTATGACGGACCCGAGTACGATGACGAGGTTGATCCAGAAGAATATGAACTCGAAGATGATGAGGACGACCTCATCAGCGTCGGAGATAGTATGGAAGACGACGATTACCGCGGATCAGGGGACCAAGAACGCGGCCTCCTCACCGATGTCCCCCTGGTCCTTGGACCGACTGAAATCGAAGCATTACCCATGATCATCCAAGCAGGCATTGTGGACAATTTCGGGTCCAAGAACGGCACCACTGCTCACCAGCAAGGTCTTAAAAACATGCAGGCGGTTCGCTGTCACATATTACTCGCTCAAGAAGCAGGACGCAACGTCCTGCGGGAGCTGTTGATTTTTATCGCCGCGTGGGATTTGCCAGATGATGAATTCTACTTTAAAATGATGGTGCAGATCATGGAAGCTATCCTGAAAAATGGGCTGATGTCCCATGCGTACGCGGACTTTGGGCAACCCAAGGACATCATCTCCCCAGCCCAAGCTGTTGTCATCAAGATTCTAACGCACATCTTCCGTGCGAAATATAGCCCCCCTTCGGCGGCGCAACAGCAACAGAATGCGGCAGGTGAACAACCACCTGCAGCACAACAGCAGAAACCTCGTCTGAGTTCCTCTCCACTCAGCCGTGTGGATGTCCTGACGGTCCGGTATATTTTCATCGTCTTCCGGGGCAACATTATCCCTGAAACCTGTGCCCTTATCTACCTCCAAGGACAAATTCGCGCCGGCCTCGCCCTGGCGGAGGATTTCCCACTCAACTTGTGGGATATGGAACGTGTGTACGAAGGGGTGTACCAGTTCCTGGAATTCTTTGCGGTATTGACAGAGAATAACGACTGGAAGAAGTTGTTGGTGCAGTGGGAGATTGTGTATGATTTGGTGACGTTGATCAAGGAGTTGGACCAAAGTATTGCCAAGGTCGGATTGACGCAGACTCTGCCTCCCGCTCGGACAGGTGCGAATGGGATTGTGAAAGCGACGACGAATGGAAGCGGTGAACCACACAGCACGACCGATCTCGAAGCTCCGGAGCAAGCATCGGCACTTCCTGCACACGTTGCTGTTGAAAGACCGTATGAAACTGCTGCCCAAACGGAAGAACCTGCGCAACAGAACGGCACCTCAACCGCACCTGAGTCGCTCCCACAACCGCCAGGTGACCACCCTTCACCGTCCACCCCTGCCCAGGCTCCCCCCGCCGCAACTACTGTGACTGAGGAACCGGCAGATTTTGAATGGCGCAACCTCAAGAAACTGATCGTGCTGGTGTTGTCAAGCCTGGTCTGGAAGTCCCCGACGGTACAAAATCAGATCCGCGAGTATGGTGGGGTTGAGACGATCCTGAGTTGTACAACCTATGATGGTACGTAATCAGCCATTCCGTTTCTCTGATGCGCCAATAAACGTCCTGTTCGTGGAGGAATTTGCTCGTGGTCGGTCGTCTTGTTGTCTCTCTGTTGTATTTCGCTGACGGTTTCTGGAATGTGTAGCATGCAATCCCTACATCAAAGAACACGCCCTGATGTGTCTCAAGTTCCTTTTGGAGAACAATCCCGAAAACCAAGCGCTCGTTTCCTCCCTCGAGGCAAGGGAAGTTGTCCCTCCACCGGATGGCAAGGACGCCGAGATGATCAGAGAGACGACCGAGAAACTTAAACTGGAGGTGCGCCTGGGAAGTGACGGGCGAGCGAGGGTGGTCAGAAAGGACAGTGCCCAAAGCCACATGGCGAGAAGGGCGACGGCTGCCGCAGCGGACAGGAATTCGAATTCCAGGGATAGCAGGATCGAGGAACTGGGAGACGACTATGACGAGATGGAAGCCTTGGGCCTATCGGTCAATGGCGACGAGGCTGAAAAGAAGGATAAAGGGAAAGGGAAAGAGCGTGCGGTGGATCTGGATGTTAGTGCCGACAACGCTGTTGATGATGATAATGATGATGATCAGGAGATTGAATTCATGTGAATGACTAGCATTGGCGCCATTGGAGAGAGGGGACCAGAATAGACACCAGCCGATAGAGCAGATGAAACTAAAAAGGTACATTGGACAAGTCACTTGTTCGATAGTAATCCATGTTCCTGCCCGTCCCCAACTCGTGGTAGAAGGTGAGACGGGTCTGTTCTCCGGGCTCAATCAAGCACTCTCTCCCACACAGGGAAAGTGAGAATAAGCGTAAGGACTGTCTGGACCAGCCCGACCAGTGAAAGAGTCTTAAACCTCGCTTATCCCATATCAGTCGAGCATGGCTGCCGATGGAGGTGTTCCAGAGTCTATCTCGACACCCCATGGCCAGTCTGTCGTGATCTGATCTCCATTGGATCTAACGAAGTACAGATGCGTTGCCAGATGGTCCAATACGGGGACAAGGAGGAGGAGATGAGTCAAGGCGCAGCAGGAGAATGTGGTCTGTGGTGTCTGTCCCTCTCCACCGAGTCAGCCTCAAATGATGCAATTAGCGTGGGCTAGCGCCGCCTAGTGCCGTGTGGCCGACGAGATAACAGCCAATAACAAGTCCATACACACAGCACCGCCACGGCTAGCCACATTAGCGCCAACCCTAAAGTTGTAGGCCACATTTTCCACCCCGCGCAGCGTCCGAGTCAAAAACCCCGTCAATCCCTCCAGCCTTGTCGCCTGGACCTCTCTCTCTTCCTTCACCTCTCTCTCTACAAGTCTTTTTGGTCCTTTCTGTTTTAGTTCGAGTTCCCTCACTGTCATTCTCCCGCACAGATCCTCACGGGCTTCAGCCCGCCTCAACGCATTGACAATTCTCACTCTTCGGTCTCACTAAGCCCCCTCGATGTCGCCTTCCTCCGACGGCCGCCTCTCAATCCGACTGGAAGTATCCCATCGTGCCGCCGGGGTAGACGACGTCGAGAAGCGGCGGCAGATGGCTTTTGGACGGGCTTTGAGATCCATTGATTTTGGCGGTGGTGGTGCAATGTTTTTGGCTTTACAGGCACATCGCAATTCTCGTATGGCCACAGCTCGAAGGAGGCCCGCCTGGCATCGCTAATCATTTCTCTTAGCCGAATACAAAAAACTTGGCAGCAAAAAAATACTTCTTACACCCAGCTTTGCTTCGATTGACGAAGAGCACAACAATGACCTCTTCGTAAACCAACGACGTCCCGGGGGCGGTTTTGACGAGGCGACCCAGCGGTCTGCTTCTGACAACGACAATAGTGACTTCGAGTACCCAATGCTTGACGACCATCAACCATCTTTACGTGGATGCTGTAGATGCTGTGGATGCCTTGCATGTGCAATGCAATTGAAGATACCGGGGAAAATCCCCAGGACGAAATATTCGGGACGGTCTGATGATTGGGATAGCGATCTATTGATTTGGAAGGACGGTCCGCGTTCTGACAATCCCGGGTATCCTGATGCCGACAAGGACTCGGATGAAGATTCGACGACTACCAAGGATATTTCGCCAAACAGTTCCCGGCCTTCCTTGATCGATTGTCCTATTCATCATCGAGGCTCTCTCCATTGCCGAAAAGGCAGAGGAAAACGCAATCAGAGAATGAGGGTCCTCGGACTGCACTACAAGGTACGCCATCGAGCACGCAGTCGCAACGCGGAATCATGGCGTCCCAGCATCCCTTTTACTTGAACCCTCGTCAACCGTTGCAAGGTCATACCCACACCGAAACCTGGGAACCACCTTATACTTTCCACCTCCAAGGAGCGACGTGTCAGCCCTTGGAGAGCATCCTACCACTACAACAATATCAAGCTCAGCAAGCACATCATCAGCACCGGGCCCTCGTGGCCCAAAGCCCGATTACACATTCCACACAATCAACATCTCCTCTATCCTTTGATTCGTCACCCGACCAATATTCCAACATGGAAGGCTTGGGGTTGGACTACGACATCTTGAACAATCTCAGCTACCTGGATGACTTTGGGTACGACGGCAACCTGAGTAGCTTTGAGTACGACAGCTACGGCGACTCCGTCTTGTTCCCATCCGACGAAAGTTTCATCCAACCACCTTTCACCGATGCCGATCTATTCCCAGCCCTGGAAGCACCGTCGCCGGCTGAGAGTCTTTCCCCTCTACCAGCACACAAACACCGCTGCCAGTTCGGCGACTGCACGGAATCATTCGCACGCCCATGCGAACTCAGGCGGCATGAATACAAGCACACCAAACCGTTCCAATGCCCGCAATGCAGCCGCCCTTTCGCCGAGAAGCGACGCTGCATCCAGCACGTCCAGGCAGTGCATGGGCTGGCGACGGACAAGGACAAGGCGAAGTGCCATCTGTGCCAGTACAGCCACGTGCGGCCGGACGCGGTGAAGAGGCACCTGAAGCTGAGGCACGGCGTCGGGGAGAAGTCGGAGGGATCACCTTCCACCGTCGGATCGGGGGAGCAGTCCGATGGAGAGTCACGACCGGGGAAGAGGAGGAGGGCGAGGTGAACGAGAGGTCTGAACGGAGGTACGGCGGGGATGCTGGTGCAGGCGTGTTGGGATCTCGTCTTGATGTTGAAAAAAAAGGTCGCATATGGCTGCGCTTTGCCATGGGCTTGTTGTATTTTAGACACGAGGAGTCAGTTAGTCAGTCAGTCGGTACATTGAATTATACTGCTTTATATCCCCTACATGGCCGAACCCAAGAATCCTCGAACCATTTACTCTATTGACACGTGGACAGAACGCTGCCACTGCGAAGTGGGAGAGCAAAAAGCCGCTCATTTTATTGCCAACGTTCTTTCGAAAGGACAGTCAGCGAAATAGGTACCGTACGTACGCCCGTGGAATTGGTACATCGAGCAGCAGTGGGAATAGATTGCTTTGCTTTTTGCTATACGACGAAAGTAATATGTGCAGCAACGAGAACTCTGGCCCACGCAAGAGCCTGTATGGATTCAGACACAGACAGCCATCAGAGATCGACATTGCACGGCCACACATCACACCCATCATCACCCGGCGAGCGAGTCATCGTCCACCCATCAAATGTTGTGATATCAGCAGCGGTTCAAGCATCAAAGACAAGGTGCTTAGCATTCTGTATTCTCCCTCCCTGTCTCTCCTTTCTCTCCTTTTCTCCCTCTCTCCCTCTCTCTCTCTGGATCATCATCATCACCACGGAAGGTGTGTGTCGTCGTACCGCCACAAGCGCACCTCGTCGTCGACGGTGGCGCGGTCGATGATCTTCAGCATGCCGGCGATGCTCTCGGCGGGGGAGATGGTGGCCAGGCCGATGCGGGCGGCGAGGGGCTCGACGGTCTCGGTGGCGACGACGCCCGGGTGGATGGGGAAGGCGACGATGCCGTTCTTCTTCTCCTCGTAGGCGACGTGGCGGATGAACATGTTGAGCGCGGCCTTGGAGATGGCGTACGCCGACGACTGGCCCGGCAGGTCCTCGACCATGGCCAGCGACCCGTACTGCGTGCTGATGGCCACGAACTTGGGCCGCGGCGCCGCCAGCAGCAGCGGCCGCAGCGCCTTGAACACGGCGATGTTGTTGAGCAGGTTGACGTCCAGGAAGTCCTGGTACATGCCCATGGGCGCGTCGGCGATGCTGGTCTCGTGCCCGATGATGCCCGCGTTGGCCACCACCACGTCCACCTTGCCCGCGATCTTCTTGACCAGCTCGGCCGCCGCGAGCGCCTCCGCCACCGCCTCGGGCTGCTTGGTGATCTTGACGAGGTGCACGTTGCCCTTGTCCGTCAGCGCCTGGAGCTTGGTGGCGCGCTCCGGGTCGCGCGACGTCGCAAAGACGATCGCCCCCGGCCGCTCCCTCAGCTGCCGCACGAACTCATATCCGATCCCCTATATCCCTCTCCCAAAAGGGGCACGTCAGTGCACTGGTCCCCGTCTGGCTGGCTGGGGAGGTGTCGTTCGTTGACTTGCCTGTGTGGTCCCCGTGACAAAATACACCGTCTGGTCCGACATGTTGCCTCGGGAGTTTTGTTGGAGTAGTCCAATTCTCTTCGTCTTCTTCTTCTTCTTTTGTTTCTTCCGCTGTCAATATGGGAGTCTGAGCGAGCGAGTGAGTGAGTGAGTGGATGGATGGGGGAAGAACAGCAGCCTCGACGATAACTAACGCACGCCCTACCTGATCTCAATATAGATAGCCCTTCTGCTTTGACCCCGGTCTTCGTCTATGTAAGTATGTATGGAGTGACCCTCCTCGTCACGAACCATTCGGTCCAAGGTATGTATGTATGTCTGTATGGATGCGTATATGCGATACCCCGCTTTCTCGCTCGCAGGGATCACGTCCCAATCCATTCCATCCCCGCCATGTCGCCGAGGGATGCCATGAGATCCCCGCGCCCTATGGGTCCGAAGGTGATTTTGCCTAAAATGAAAACGTGCTACCAGGTGGCTGCCAGACAAGAAATGGGGGTCGTCTAGGTGCTGGGAGGAGGCGGAGAGAGAGATGCCATTCCGTGCCTGCTCTGTCGAAGCGAGCATTCGTTCCCTCTTGTCGGCTAGCTATCCATCAAAAGAGACTCCCCTTCGAGTTGCTGTGGGCCTGCCATCTATGATGGAGGAATCAGAGTGGCTATCTACTCGCTCGTCCGATGAGGTCAGGTCGAAGCCGGTGGGAAAAGGAAATCACCGAACAGCTCCTACCGATCAGCAGCCGACCGGCCTCTCCCACGAGTCCTTCGTCTACTCTAATAGAGAGCCAAAGGGGGAAAGGGAAAGAAAGACAGAAAGCTTTTAAGGGAGAACAGCTTCAGATTGGAACTACCTTCTCCAGATCCCGGGTAACCCCCAGAATCTCACCACGGTATGTATAATATAATGCCAGGAAACGCCAGATTTTGCCAGAACACAAAAACAACCCCCGAGCTGAACATCCCAACGGTGACACGTTTTTTCAAATCAGCTACCAGGGAAAACAAAAAACCCAGATTACAATTGCTCTTCCAAAAATGCGTCGTACCAATTTTTCATAATCCCGTCACAAGAAAGTTCTTTCCGGTCAAGGGTCATATGCATATGCACGCACTTAGTTGACCTCAATCAGTCCAGGGCCGAACTTGGTCGCGGCGGCGACGTCAGCGACGGAGGCGAACGGGCCAGATCCCTCAACCACGGCGGCGATGGTCAGGCCGAACATGTCGTTCGCGGTGAAGGGGAAGTTGGCAGAGAAGGTGACGGTGCTGCCGCTGACCGAGGCCTGGGTGATGGGCTCGACGACAGGCACGTTCTGCTGGCTGATGTAGACCAGGCTCAGACCCTGGTAGTTGTTGGCGTACTGGGAGTAAGAGCCGGTGGCAGAGAAGGAGAATTGGAGTTGCTGGTCCTGGGGTTGGATGTTCTGGGTCAAGACGTTCAGGGCACCGAAGATGGGGAGGTTGATGGTGTTGCTGTTGGGGCACGAGCCGGGGACGACGAAGTCCTGGTTCAAGGCCGAGAAGGCGAACTCACGGGTCGAGGCAGTCAAGAAGGGGTTGGCCGAGGGGATCTTGTTGAGGAGGCTGCGGTAGAAGCCGTTCTGCTCACCCTCCTGACCGATGACGGCAGCGACACCACGGATGAGACCACTGTCGCCGTTCTGGCCGAAATGCGTCTGGACGTCACCGAGGGTTCCGAGAACCACGTCAGTGAAGGTCTGGGCCAAGGTGATGGCGCTCTTGAAGTCGGAGACGGGGGCGATGTATTTGCAGGGTTGGATGGGGCCGGCGTTGAAGTGGGCGAGAGCGCCGTTGGCGTTCAACGCGTGCAGCTCCTCCTGAGCTTGGACGGCCGTGATGGCGTCAATGACAGCCTGTCGCTGGGATTCGTCCTGGAACTGGTATCCTGCAACGTTGTGGGTCACGTTGTACAGGAGCTCGGTGAAGAAGGCCACCTCCCACAGCTCGTTGAAGGCAATGAGTCTCAGCGACGTGAGATCGTCAGCGGCAGGGGCGCTTGGGGGCGGGGGGCCATTGGGCAGGAGACCGTGGGCCTGGGCCTCAATGGCAGTGAGCTGGGACGACGGGTTCTGAATGTTGGGGAAGCCGTTGGACAGCGGGAAGCTGAACGGGTTGCTGCTGCCGTCGCTGGAGCCGGAGGCAGTGGACGCCGGAGGGGCGGAGGTGGAGTACGAGCCACTGCCGCTGGTCGCTGATGCGGTATAGTAGCCGTTGGCACCGCCAGAGTAGGAAGCAGAAGGTTGGCCGCCCTGGTAGTTCTCGAGATGAGGTCGGCGTCCGTCGCCGGTACCCTTGAACCAGACGTCGCCACGCTTCTCGATGTCAACAGGGACTGCCGCAACGAGCGAAGCGATGGCCAAGGAGCCGAGGACTGGGGCGAGCTTGGAATACATTATGAATATGTGGCTTTGGTGGTAGTGAGCGTGTGTTCAACGAAAGGAAATCGAAAAGATTATTGTTGGTGTTAGTTGCAAGTTGCTTGAATGAGCGAGAGAATGTGTTGCAAAAATGAAGGCAGCTGAGCTGTTAATGTAGTGAAGTAAAGAATGAAGTGATTGTTGTATGAGTGAGACCTAACTTCAAGCGAGAGCCACAGCTGAATATATAGACGACGTGCGTCAGAGAGGATGCGGTAGGAGCCATATCGTGTGGCAAGCTAGCATTCGCCATTCCGGGGGGCCAGGCTAAGCAGTCGTTGAGGCAAAGCTTGACCTGCAAGCTTAGACTTGTGGCATAGCGCAGAGAAGGAGATTGCCCTCATGCTGACCCGGGCGGCGAAGCGGTGATTTGGTGCTGGGTTGCTCGACAGCTGGCCGTCCCTCCAGCCGTTGGTTGCTCACCGCCCACATGGCCTGCATTTGGAATCGCTCTGGTACATGCACGCACGAACCCTGTTGATACCACAAAGAGCATGGGCGACAATAGAAAAGGAGGATTCACTCGGTGGCCCGGGCAAATTTCCATTCCCACGTCATACACACTAGCTTCCAGCAACATCCTCAATTTCGTTGCGGACAGCGAAACTGTGTGGAAATGGCAAGGACCTACCTTTGCTGTCAGCGACGGGTGTTCGCAACTAGCTTCGCTCAGCGCAATGCTACTAGGGTGCGATCCAAGGGGGGGGGACAAAAGGCCAAATCCGGAGGATGGGTGTTGGAGGTGTAACCAACTCGGGAGATTTTGCTGGAGGGCTGCCGGAGGGTCAGCGCTTGCACAGATCGGGCTATGGCGGTGATTGCGATAGACGTGATAGGCTTAGTGCTGATGAACCTAGATCTGAGGGCCATGGCACCCCCCAGCAGCCACCCAGCAGCCACCCAGCACCGGGGGGGGTGATGAAGATGACAAAGAGATGCGCTCAAAATAGGGAGCTGCCAGCGAGAGGGAAAAAAAGGAACAGGCGAGGTTGGATGTGGCCAATCACAGAGGGGGCCAAGAGGGGCGACGCTAAAAAAGGCTTGACCTGAGCAAGCTGCCTCGGCACTGGTGCTTGGCCTCTTTGGGCTCTTTCATTGGCCAGTGGGACGTTGCTGACCCCACAGGACCTATTTTTACCACCTATTATTAACCATCGTGCACGGCCTCCTCGTTTGTCACTCATCCACCACTATTACCACCCGCAAGGGGTCCAGCCTCATATTGTGGCTATACGAGCCCAAAGTCAGTCGTTCCTCCTTCCTCGTCCCACTCTCTTATCCAGGATCCTACACACTGTGCATGTCCCCATACTCGTATTACCTGCCCTACCAAAAGAGGTAAGAACATCCATCCCACTCCGGCAACACAGACTTCGTTGAGCTGACGCTGTGCTATCCCCGCAAAAAGACTATCACAGTGCTCGGTAGAAAACCACGCAAAAAAAAAAGCTTGATTGTTCTTCAGCTGGAGAACGAACCAAGCGACATCCCAGGCCTTCCACTGCTACCCGATACAGGTACCGACACTCGTCTCATCGATTGCCGTGAGGAGCTTCCCCGTCTTCCGGTCATACGAGGACAACCTCAAGGCGGACGAGCAAGTCCCGAGCGAGAACAGGACCGGTTATGGCCGCAGGGCTTACCCCTACGTGCGATCACCAGCCGTTGCTGATTTTTTGCGTCGAGACCCTGCTTACTGTCCCCTTTCGTACATAACATCTGCAAGCAACACACTCAGGAATCGGTCATTCGGACCACGTGTCCCATCGGGATTTTCCAGGTGTTGACCAGATGCGAGAAATCCATGATACTGCTAACCTACGGCCACTTCCCGTCCCCAGTTAATGTTCTCTTTTACTCTTTTGTGCCTCAATCTTTTTTGGATGCAGTCCGCTCGATAGCTAGAGACCAACTTGTTCTCGATGTTCGCTCCTGTCGAGGATAGGAAAAGCAATCTCCATGCGGAGGGCCTTGGCCGATCAGCGCCCAGGATCTATTTCCCCGGAGCCCGACGCCTTGCATGAACATCTCTGCGTGAGATCCACGAAATTGATGTCTCGGAGCAGCATCAGCACAGACCGTGCAAGACGTGGAGTTTTATCTTTTGAAAACCGTCGGGGAAGCGTCTGTCCATCTTCCCTCAGAGATCTCGTTCGCCATCCCAACGGAGTGGGAGTAATGTCGGGGAATCATAGCAGATCCAGAGTGAGAATGCGATCTCGGGCCCCAACCGCACCGCCAAACGCAATCTTCCTTCGAATTGAGTCATCGGGGCGCGGCAATAGTGTGATACGCCGATGCTCACGGCGATCAGGGAGACAGCAAAAGGAGCACAGATTTGCAGAAGTGTCCAGCCTGCCTACTGACCGTAACCAAACCTCCTTCTCGTATTCGGCGTTCCACGAACGGAATTTGATGAATGGGAGGACGAACAGAGACTCTCTCGTTCCTGCAGTGTCTCCAAGAGTGGGAAAAAGAAAATATCTGTCTAGAACTTAAGGGCTAGTGAGGTGGACGCCTTCATGGTCCCTTTTCGCTAGTGCTTCTTTACCAGAAACCTTTGGAAGGGTTGACGGAAACTTGACTCCTTACGAATATTTCCCCTGGCGGTTTGGGGACTTCCAGCACAATAGCCTCTATGCAGAGTGTATTCCCTATGCCCAAGGATCGGAATGTTGACAGTCGAACGCAGAGGTGAGTGGGTTGGGGCAGTTGCTAACCTCATCCACAGGAGTCTGTGCGCCTGCTCCTGCTCTTGTGGTTCAAATTTTACAATGGTCGCGTTCAAACATGTTCTGTGATCATCCCGGGTGAAAATATCTTGCCATGCTCCAGAGGAGCTTCTTTCATATACGTGGTGATTGAGAGAGATCCCAGCGCAAGGGCCCGCTACCACGACCACCTTTGCTCCTCGAAATATACCAGACTCTCACTCAAAACTCCGAGACAAATGGAAGGGTAGTGTCCATCTGATACCTGCTCGCCGGCACTCTCCAATGCCGCATGGTGCCGCTATCAGAGCACTCGACGTTGAGAACCAGCCAATCCGTCAGTTTCGTCCTATCATAGGGCACACAACCCGTCGCTATCATCTCTCCCGTCTCATATACCTCTAAAGCAGCATGTTTCTCCGCCCTCTTGGGGAGTTGCATTACCTGGCTCTGGACTTCTGCCCAAAGAGAAAACTCAGCAATCTCTTTTTTTCTCTCCCCGTTACCGAGGCTATTGGCTGATCCTCGACGAGATGCTCCTGTATCCCAATACTATATGTAAGCAATTGGAGCGCTATCTCCAACCATCGACCGTCATAGGCCAACATCAGGACGGAGTTGACCCCGACCCCGCATTGAGCAATATTCGGCCTGGATGGCATCATTCTTGCCGTTTTGTTTATCTTGCAGTCTTGGGCATGACTGATTGAAGGGGCCGCCTCCTCCGTAGGAGAACTGCTTTTCACACCTTCGGCATACCATAGGTAACAAAGAACCAGGGTTTCTTCCTAAGAAATGGCAACCGAGACAATCACGCGTCCAGCGTTTCTGTCCTTACCGAAATGGAACCAGGTTCCGGAAACCAAACATGAATGTAAATGCTTCCCCCTCACAAGCTTCCAAGTCCCCCCTTGGCTTTGGCTTGATTGTCTGACCGGTGACAACTAACGGCCGTGTCGTGGACAGTGGACTGGGCCGATTTGGTGACCCTAGACCTCAGCAAGTTTGACCAGCCTGGCGGTAAACAAGAGTTGGCATCTCAGCTCTTTGATGCCGTGAATCGGATAGGTGAGTCTTCTTATATTCCCTCAATTGCAACAATCCATCAAGGTCATAAAAGAAAGCCTGTGGAGAGAAAACGGAGGTGGCTCACTGTCGCCCCTGGACAGGTTTCTTCTACATTATCAATTTCGGCCTCTCGCAGGAGGAGGTCGACCGCCAATTCAGCCTGTGCAAGCAGGTCTTCAACCTCCCAACGGAGGAGAAGATCAAGTACCGTGCCGACCTCGAGCACGGAGGCTACAACGGCTACAAGCCCCTGGGCATCCGCGAGATTAAGAACGGCGTCAAGGACAACACGGAGATCTACAACATCCCCAAGTTCATCCCCCAGTACGAGCGGGCGCACCCGGCCATCATCCAGGAACACTGGGACGAGATCCAGTACTTTGCCACGCACATTCACTCCCAGATCGTGCGCAAGCTGCTCGTGTTGTTCGCGCTGGTGCTCGAGTTGCCCGAGGATTACTTTTTGAAGATCCATCGCTATGACGAGAAGAGTGATTGCCACTTCCGTTATATGAAGTACCAGTGCGTCTCCTAGAGCTCCCTTCATCTTCGGTTTTTTCACGGGTGGGGGAGTATAAGACTGACTTCCCTTTTTCTTCACAGCCGCCGGTCGCCGGAGGTCAATAAACAGCTCGATAACGTCTGGGTCAAGGGACATACCGACTTTGGGAGTTTAACCCTGCTTTTTCGGTAAGTCCAGAGGTTGGAGCAGAGGGCAATGATCTTCAAGACCGTCCTACTGACATCCATGGGGGCCACCAGACAACCCGTGGCCGCCCTGCAGGTGCGCACGCCCGAGGGCGAGTGGAAATACGTCAAGCCGTACCCGGAGAGCATCACGGTCAACATCGCCGACGTGCTGCAGTTCCTGACCAACGGGTTCCTGAAGTCCAGCATCCACCGCGTCGTGGCGCCACCGGCGGACCAGGCCGACGTCGACCGCCACGGTGTCCTGTACTTTGTCCGGCCCGAGGACGACACCGAGCTGGTGCCCATCCAGGGCAGCCCCGTGCTGGAGCGCCTTGGGTACGACAAGGCCCTGGACCCGGCGACCGTCGGGTTGACCGCTGGCGAGTGGGTGAAGGCGCGGGTCGCGAAGAACGTCAGTCGCGTTGGCAAGGAGGAGGAGAGTATCATTAAAGGTGTCAAGGCTCGGTACTATGACTGAGCGAGTACATACATATACGATCCCCAGCGTAGGGATGAGTGTTGCACAGACATGAGAAGCTGGATATAAAATCGCCAGTCGAAGAGCAACTGTCTCCCATTTGCATCTCGGAGGTCAAGGAAACTGGTATAGTCGAGAAAAGAAAGAATGCCTCCCTCACTCGTCGCAATCAAAGGCCGAGATCATCACTTACCTGTCTGTCCTCCTGCTGTGTGCCATCTGGCTAGAACCAGAGCCCCAACCTGCTCGACTCGACAACCGCAAACTGCCCGCTAGACGCAAAAGCCCCAATGAAGGCATGCATACCTTGAGTTTTGAGACATGGCCCTTGGCTCACTTTGCCCTAGCGTGGCTGAGGGAGACTCATTCCCGCTCAATGAACGTCCGCCCGGATTCCCGGCACGACATCACTAGGTCCTGTGAGAAGGCGGATCCATCGAGAAGAAAAATAGCGGTTGAGTTCGGGAAAGGTAGTCAACGTAGGTGGGTAGGGAGGGATGTGGTATGTGAACCGTATATCTCGCGTTCGGTAGAACCACTAGGATAATGGATTGATCTGTCTGTGACCAGATCAGATCGATCACGAGGAACAATTCCCTTCCACATGGGAACCCTCCGTAGCAAATCGTCTTATTTCCGCCACAAGCTGGACGAATCTCGGATCAGACAATGATCATGGTGATAACAATAATATTAGCATTATTATTCCCTCTTGCTTTTCGCCGATCGAGGACTCCGCCATGACGGCGGGAAGAAGGCAGGAAGGAAGAAGGGGCTCAGATCTGACGTGCACTCATCCAGTTATTAGTTCAATTCAATTCCTCGAACTCCGCTCTGGCAAAAACAGGTCTGGTCTGGTCAGGTCATCTTTTAGTCCTATCATGGACCGAGTAACTAATTATGTACCCGTGTGTGTGGCGCGACCGAACAAGGGAAAAGGGCGGCAAAGAGATGTAATATGTCCCGACAGATGGACTCAGTCGCATGTAATCGGAAACTCCAACAAAATAATGATTAGCTTTTCCTTGTGTCTCCCGTTTCGAGGCATACAGGACCTGCGTGAGAAACGCAACGGCAATGCGACTCTGTTGTTGGGTGCGTGGGGACGAAGTCGTCCGTGTCTGATTCCATTCCGATCTTCTTCTCATCCACAGTGACCATGTCCGAGGAGCAGTAGTATTGCAGTAGAAGATTCTCGTTTGCCGGATCCGGTGATACATAACACCGCGAGACATAGGTTAGGAATGAATCCCTCACGCACGGGGATTACTCACGATCGAGACGAGCCGAGTGCCAACAAGTACAAGTCATATTATCCCGATGTGTTGCTGTACATACCCGGAAGACGGTACGGGAGCTTGCTGATGCCCCGGTCAAGCGTGCTCTCGTGTCGGTCATCTTATCGGGAGGCTCTCCGTGAGCATGTCACCGAAGTTGAACGGGAGATGGACTTGAGTGAGGCCGTAGCGAAGTAAAACAAGGTGACAGTTTCGAATGTGCGCGTGATGGAGCGACAGCCCTCGCGGCCAGAGACGTCCACATGCTTCTCTGTGCACACACACACACACACACACACACACACACACATGCAAGAGGGCGATGCTCGATATAGAGACGGTTCATGCTCGTGCCACGTTGAGGCAGTCACCCAGGGCTTTCAAGGCCCGGGGTGAATCTCATGGCTGTCATATTGTTTTGAGAGGCTTTCGTGACGGCAGAGTCTTCTCTCGGACAGTCACCTTGGCAAGACGTGTGTGTTTGTATCGTAAGCCGATGGTCGTCTCGTCGAAAAGAAGCCAAAAAACCCCGTTCTCTGCGAGACTTGGTCAATCTGGAGGTGGCAACGAGATTCTTTGATCGAGACACCGCAGAACACAAAAGCGACTGAGATACCTCTCCATGAAGCGAGGATCCCTCCCATCACGCAAAGGGGCCGAATAGGACATCGAAACGTGAAATGTCTCCCACAGACTGAAGATGTGATGGAGCACCAGGAGAGAGTTCACAACATTTCCACCGGGCCGAGCATAATTATGACTTTTGAATCTCCTCTGCCAAGGCATACCGACCACATTTTTCCTTCGGAGAACCCGGGTGAGTTTGGAGGTATATATCAGAGTCGAGTAAGCTGCCTTCCATCAGTGTGAGACAAGGGAGATAGGCACAAGACGCATCAGGACGGACATATTGCTGTATATATCGCCAGCTCTGCCAGTGTGGTCAAGAAGACGGGGTATTCTTTCGAGGAAGGAGTTGTGAGGATACGAGAAAGAGGATTGGGACGGGGGGATGAGGCGGGCTTGTATGGGTCAACAGGGATCTGAGCGACGGGAGAGTATCGTATGCAATTTTCCGGGTTAATGTCATTTCCAACGAACGAGGGTATCATCATCAACTCTGCTAAGATCGCAAATGCTGACCCGGTGCTCGTCGTCTCGGATGCATCACTTGCGAAGGGCGCCCATCAAACCTCACATCTGTAGACCGTCTCTGCTTGCTATACCAAAGCTATTCAATTTTCATGATCATCACCATTAACCAGCGGTTCAGCAGGTGTCTGGACATGTTCCTCCCAGACCAAATCATACTCAAAAAGTCTCGTTGACGTCGTACCCTTCCTGTACGTTGTTCAGGCCTCCCCCCGCTAGACCCCCATTCAGACCCATGCTTTGTCGTTTGGGCAGTTTCGAAGTCCCACCGATGCTGGCCCGTTTGGTCGGACTTGGAATTCCAGAACCCACATCACTGGTGCGTCCCCGAGCAAACGTCGCTCTTCTAGCGACGGGCGTGACGCCGGTATCATTGTCAAAGTGGTGGAGGCTGTTCTCGCTCTCTTCGTCCATGGTGCCATCATACCCGCTGCCATAATTACTCAGGCTGCTTTTAGGCCGAACCCGGTCCGTCGATGCGTTCGGGGCGAAGTTTGCCCCCATGCCGCTACCGAGAGGCGCTCGCGGGAAGCCAGAGACACTGGCCCGGCTTCCGGGACGGCTGTGTGACGGTGCGAAAGACGAGCGTGCCGATGTAAGTCCGCTAGTTCGTGAAGCCGGACGCAGAGGCGGGGCGGCCATGTCGCCCCTGGTTGGGGACGGAGGAGGAGGTTGGTTCAGTGACGGTCGACTCGTCTTGTGTTTGGGTATCGAAAAATCCGTCCTCGTGGGAGACGGAGGTTGCTGATTCAATGATGATCGACTGGCTTTTGTTCGGGGTACGGATGGCGTCTCTGGGACCTTCTCCATCAGAGAGTCGTTCCCACTGATGGTGCTGCCGCCTGTCCTCTTTCGACTGCGGACAGTGACCGATGCAGGGATGTGATTGCCAAGTGCCGAACCACTTCGTGGAGAAGATCTGGGTGGAGTGCGGACAGGAGCTGGAAGTTTCGAGCGAGCAGTTTGTACCCTCTCTTCCAATGTCGCAATCTTGCCGCGGAGATTTCTGAGATGGATGATCGACGCCGACTGGGGCAGTCCTGACGGCCGCTGCGGAGCATTTCCAGGTCTTGACAAGCTCTGACGGAATGATGATGAAGGTGCGGTACGTGCTATCGCGGCGATTGAAGGGCCACGAGCATGACCGACAGGTCTCGCACCGGTAGATCCTGAAGTGGATGGGCGGGATGTCGGGCCATTGGCCGTCAGAGAAGGTCGCGTCTTGGGAATCCCCGGCGTGACAAACGCTTTGGAGACCTGGGACGACTTCTCTGAGATTGGAGGGGATGGAGGGGTGGGTGTGTCGGATAGGCCGGACGAGGAGCCGGCCTTTGTAGGGGGAGTGTCAAAGGTAGGCGACGAAGCATTCGTGGTAGTGGGAGATAGATCTGACCGCGGCGAGGCCGACGTGGCAATGGGTCGCAACGACAGGTGTTTTTCTCGCCGGGCCAGTTGGTCGACGGCCTTTTGCAGCTTCTCTTTCGTGATGTCGGTCTCAATCTTGAGGTCAGAGAGTTCGTCGCGCAGTCGTTGCGCTTCAATTCGCAGGGCTTCCCTTTCCTGCTCCCCCGAACGAATTTCTTCCTCCATCATGACGCTCCGCTCGATTGTCTGGTTGTATTTCTGTTCCATATCTTCCAGGGAAGACTCGGTGTTCCGTTGTTTGCGCTCGTAGTCGTCATTGGCGACTTCGATATCGCGAAGGCGCAGGTTCAACTCGCGGTTGGTCTCCCGGAGTTCCGTAATCTCCTTCTGCAGCGTATTTTGGACATTGGATGCTTCGGTCTTGGATTGTCTGTATTTGGTCTTCCATTCCTCGACCTCATACTGGAGATTGGCCGCTCTCTCTTTCAGTTGGCGCTCACGTTTTTCTGATGCGTCAATATCGCGTTCAAGTTCCGCTTCTAGGTCTTTACTGGAAGCTTGAAAGTCTGCGAGTTCGGCCTCCAGCAGTTCGTATTGTGCTTTGTAGTACTTCAGTGACTCCTCAAGAGAGGAGCTAGGTCCAGGGGGGGACGAAGGGACGGCGTCTGAATGTGCCATCTTGGGCGTTGGTGGTGCTTCGGTCGGCTGATCGTGGTCGCTTAGTGTTGTTGCTCTGTTTGACGGAGTCAAGGCTGAAATCTGGGCGATCTGGCTGTCGTGGTGAGTCGTCTAGGGGTTGTTGATGGGCTATTGCTGGAGTCCAATTGATTGCGACGCGGGTTCGGAGGCGGTGTGGTCGGTGTCGGTGGGCTTGTTGTTGAGATATTTGGCGGTCGCAGGGGACTCGGGGGCGATGCTGTTGCTGCTGCTGCTATGGTTAGTATTCGCAGGGTGAGCCTGCGCTGGGGTGACGGTCCCAGCAGAAGGCAATGGAGGCGCCGTTTTGTTGTATCAAAAGTTGGTAGAAGGGGCAGCAAATAAACGCAGGCACGTCTAACGACAAAACAACGGGTCACCAGGCACTAGGCGTCACTAGCCCACTAACCCACTAGCCCGGGGGGGTTGGGGGCATCAATGAACGCTCACTCCGCTGACGGGCACCTGCACAGGCAACACCCGACTGCCAAGCAAAGCCGATCTGTCATCTCGTGCACAAACTGCTACTGCGTAATTCTCCGATTGTACCGAGTATTATCTTCGTGTTCTATGTATCTCGTATGCATCTCCACGTGACTGATCCACGCGCAGCTCTCCTCGTGTCAACCTAGGCTCTTCTTGTGTACCTCGTAGTACGGACTACTCCGTATTGCCCTAGGAGATTGTCATGCGAGGCGGGAGTTCACGTGACCATTGGCATTCAATTTTTTCTTCGTGCACTGTTCTATTCCTACACGTCTTTGACTGGGCCAAACTCGTAACACTGGTCATGTCCAGACTTGGTTTATGTCTGATGTTTTAGCACCCCTCCTCGCATCCAATGGTTCAAGAAGTCTCTCACTGGGACCAGGTCCCGGCAGATCCTTACCCATATCCGCATGACGCTTCCCTGTCTCCCGAAACAACCGCCCTGGTCATCATCGATATGCAACGAGACTGTAGGATGACTGCTCAGCAGGCTGCTTGAGGTGCCGCGCTGACTATTCTCTGCTGCAGTTTGCGAAAAGGGCGGCTATTTCGACTGTCAGGGGTACGATGTGGCAGATGCCCGTGCCATCATCCCGGCCATTCAATGCCTTCTTTCTGCCGCGCGAAAAGGCTCGTTCCCAGTCTTTTTCACTCGGGAAGGTTCGAATCTGAGCTCCTCCAAATATAGTCCTGCTTTGCTGAAACCCCTGCAGGTCACAGGCCAGACCTCTCCACTTTATCGAGTCGGGAGCGCTTCCGATCTCGTAACAATCCTCGACATCTGGGGATTGGAGACAGAGGTCCGCTGGGAAGGTTCCTGGTTCGTGGTGAAACTGGTCACGATGTGGTCTCCGAGTTGAGACCACTGCCCCAGGAGATCATTGTCGATAAACCTGGCAGGGGGGCATTTGCTCACACGGATTTTGAGCATATCCTGCGGCTGCGTGGCATCAGGAATTTAATCCTAACAGGAGTAACAACAGACGTCTGCGTTTCCACAACCATGCGGGAGGCGAATGACCGCGGCTTTGACTGCCTTGTGCTCGAAGATGCCACAGCCGCAGCCACGCCCAAGTTGCATCAATTTGCATTGGAGTCGGTCAAAATGGAAGGTGGTATCTTCGGCGCTGTGTCACAGTCAGGCAAGATAATCGAAGCGATGCAAACGTGGGCCTGATCTCCGAGCATGCCGCGCAAAAGACAACATTCATCGGATACTCCTTCTTTGATATCCAGAGAGATCACATTCTCCTGAACGTGTTTCCCGATGCGCTTCTTCGATCTTGACCTCTCGATATCTTGCTAGTACTAGCATTCGTAATGTCTGCGCGTTTTGGTTTTTTCGTAGGATCGAAAGAGATGACCTTGTCACCGACAGCATCGCCAAACCCAGTCCTTCTTTTTGCCCGTTCGACTGGTCGAAAACTTTCAGCACGCGAGCCGAATGAGCGGTCATTTGGCCTTCTGACAGCATTATTCGACGTAGAAGAAGTGACGCGCATTTGAATCTGATCCCCCTTCTTTTTCTGTTTCTTGCCTGTGCAGCGTTTGTAGTCCGCGGTAGAGATTCGGTCGGTCGTTCTGTATCTGGACGGGTCATCGTCGTCATCCGTCCGGTCGTCGTCACTCGAACCGGGAACTTCATCGATCGCCTCCTCTTCGACAGCGGTCAGTCTCTTTTCTCGGTCACCATCCGACATAGGCACCTTGGTGCCAGCGTTGAGTTGCTGGAACTCTCTCGATGTTTCATCCACAGCGAAATCTTCATCTTGAAAGAGTTTGGCAAAACGTGAATCTGCGAGAAGACCCTTTTCTTCGTCCTGAGCAGAGAGGGTGTTAGAAGCCTCGGCAGCAGCAGCCTCATCACCTCCCTGTGCCAGGACCCTCTTTGCACGGCGCCTTTCATTCTTCTCTTCGCGTTCAAGAATCCTTTCCACCATCTTCCGGTTGACCTTGACACTGATTTTCTTCTTGCCGCGGATTCGACTTTCGCGCTCCTTGTCAATCTTCGCCTGGACCCGCTTTGCTCGCTCTTCTTCCCAGCTGGTCGGATTGGCAATCAGCCTGGCCTCCTCATATAATCCCTGAGCCACGAAGAAACCATGCATATAAGGTCGAAGAAGATTCGTCTTGCCCACGAGGTGGTCCAAATTGAGCATCCGCAATTGCGATGGCGTGAGGAATTTGTAGTTGTCGTAGACCTCCCCAATCTTGGATTTCGAGAAGGCGTATGGGTCATTTGGATCCTCTGCCATCTCCTCGACGACATTGTCCAGGAACGAGCACCACTTTGGAGCCGGCCCAAGCTGAGGAATGAAAAATGCATGTTGTTGTCGACCTTCATTGGCCGTCAGGAACATTCCGCTGTCTTTGCACCAAGCAACGCAGTTGATGTCCACCGCTGGCTCTACCGAAGTCCACGGCGTCCCGTCCCGCTCATCCCAGAGCTTCAATATCCGTCGGTCTGCTGAGGCGATCTTGGGATCTCCAATGGAGTCTCGGGTCCTGACACCTTGCGTCAAGAACTGCACGTACTGAATAGGGTAACCATAGCCCTGGTCCTTCTTTAAGGTTGGGAGTGAGGATCGCAGGTCGTAAAGATAAATAAGACCGGAAGAAGTTCCAACAGCCATGTTGATGCCAGATTGATGGAAGTCCAACGCCGTCACCTCCGGCCGCCCTTCAAGGTCTGGAGGTACACCAAGGGTAGCCACTCGGGCTCTGGAGCGGGTATCCCAATATTCCACAGTGCCCAGTGACGTGCCAAATGCCAACAGGTTGTGACTGCCTTCTGCCACAGCGGCAATATTGACACTGCCAGTTCCAATCCCTCCTTGCAACGCACCCCCGCCCATGGAGTTCAAGTCGTCTCCTCCGACATCGACCTCGAACTCGTTCATGAATCTTCCCAGCTCAAGGTTGATCCTGAACACCTCTCCCATACCATTCGCATTGACGCCGACAGCTGGCACCAGCAATTCGGTACTGCTCCGGTCATACGCAAGGTCACGACCATACCGGGGTATTCGCAGCGAATCATGAAGTCCACCTGGTGTATGAAATTCCAAGGAGCGGTCCTCTTGCAAATGGACAGACTTCGAGTAGTCGGATGAGAGGAAGATGAACGTCTTGTTCAAGGTCTTGGTGTGTCTTGCCCATGACAGCGCGAGGTTGGGCAGATAATGCGTATGGATTTGTGGCTTGTATGTCCCCGTGCTCATGACCCATTCGCCATCTTCGCTGACCCGCACGCATTGACTGGCCTCCTCAAACTCGAAGTCTTGTAGCAATTCGACACGATTGGCATATTCGGGGTCTTTCTTTCGTTTCTGCTGCTTGGGAAGCCAGTCGGGGAGACTGCGAGAAGTCGACGAACCAGACACCGTATAGACTGGAACTGCACTATTGGTGAGTCTCATGTTGGGCTCGGAGAGGAAGGGAGACTAAGCATGCCAGTATAAAACCATCAGGAAGGCAAGCATGTCAACTGCTTTTTGTTAGTCGTCTGCTGCTGAACGGCAAGACTGGGAGCCACTTCATACCTGGTGGCACTTCCACTTTTTTTTTCGGGCGAACTGAAATCTCCAAAAAGATGCGGGTCACACGAAATACACGCCAAGATTTCGGGTCTTGTCACGTGCGCGGCTGTCCAAGTCTTCCGGCGGTCGTTGTTGGTCTTTCCAACGACAAACCTCTCCCTTCATCTTGTAACATAGCAGAGCTGGCCTCTTCCATTCTCTCTATATCTTAAATTGCCATCAAGGACAAAGGGTCTTCATCCCAATCAAAGCTAGTACTGCCAAACATTCGAATTAGATCGGCTTGTATTGCGGTCATCTTACCAAGTCAGCCGACACACCGCAGCATCATTGTCCTTACAGCCTGGAGGGGTCCTTTGGAACGATCAAAATTTCGAATCCTTGCAGACACTCGTGCAATGCACCTAAAACTCGACTATTTTATATCGTGTTGCTGTTTCCGACAAGCAGTTCTCATTCCTCCGAACGGTTGACGACATGAATACCTCGTTGGAGTTCCCGAATAATTGTTCCACCAATATCTACACCCTTGTGAGTTGTCGAACTGCAATGGATGTCGGACCCGCTCGAGCTAATGAACGTCCAGCCCGATTTTGGCGAGATAGCTTATATCGTATGCACGGTAGCAACTCCGCCCACGCAGGATCCCGCAGTATTTGCCAACACTAAAGAGAACACTCTTGCTCGACTCCGGAAAACTGAGCGTCAGTTCAGAGAGGCGTCAATTCTTGCCGCACTAGATGTCGAAGCTCGCCAACTTTTCACCTTCTACAAGAAGGTGGATATTACTGCTCCCAGAGACCAAAAGACTTTGCTACTGAAATTTGGTTACGTGCTGCGGGCTAACACCTGTACAATCGCATACAAGACCGCCGCGCGCCTTCCCGACTTGCTGAAACCGGAACAGGCTCGGCTCTACAGACTGTTTATTACTGCGATTGTATCCAGTATCAAGTTTACCCCCATTGGCGAGGCTGAGCTTCAGCCGCTTGGCCCCAATCTGTATCTGGTTGAGCAAGCTCCGTCTGCGACCGACATCCACCATTTTGACAAAATCAAAAGGTGGCTTCTCTACCGCATCGATCTACAGGTAATTCCAGGTGGCCAAATCATCCTCACAATCGCGAAGGATGGTGCGTTCTCCTTCTTTCGTGTACGAGACGGTGCTATGAAGCTAAACTGGAGTGGGCACGCAAACTCTGAAGCAACCGCCATATACCTCGCACCTATCGGACGCATTGGGCGAACAAGGCGATCAAAAATCCTCACCCATAAAAAACTCAACGGCACCAGTGGCAATCAACCCAGTGACGAGAACCAGCTTTCTAATGCGCAAAGAGAAGTTTGGAGAGAATTGCTACCTTCTTGGCTCAAGGAGCACAGGAACACAAGTATCGAAGCAATGGAAGATGATTGGGTCGAGGTTGAGGTACCTATAGAAGAGATTGATCACGCGTCCAACGACAGCCAACCGGATGATACAAGTCCCAATAATGTCAACTACGACTCGGTCACTTGGAGAACAATCTTTTGGCCTGCGCACCTGTGCTTTATCTTCAGCAACGAAGAACCTGCTGCGGTAACTCAGACGAAAGGGGAGCAGGATCCAATGCAATTTGTGCGGGACTGGATCCTTGGCACGGGCGGCGGCACGTCAAAGGTTGAGACTGGTCGGCAAAATTTGATGGATGAGGATGATGAACCACTATTTGCTGATGAAGGTACATTTGATGATCCAGTGCATTTTCATCCGTTTGGGCCTCCGGGTTTTGGTCCTGGCCAAACGATATATCCGACTCCGCCTGACGTTGGAATGACACACCCTACACCGGGCTTCTCATCCGTCGATGGGATGGCCATGACTCCCGCAAACCCCCCTCGAGGTCCTGTCGAAAGGCCTCAACCGCAGGATGAAGACATGCCGGATTTCGAGGACGAACCAACAACAAGCGGACTGCAGACATTTTATGACGAAGACCTCTTCGAGGAGAACCCTGATGACAATCTCGGTGCAGAAGCCAATGGAGATGAGCCTAATTGGGATTTCTTTGACCGTCCTGGGATAGACCCTAACTCTGCGCGGTCTGTAAGCCATGGGCGGAGTGAAGAGACAGCGGTGCGTGGCGAGATACAGCCAGGGATGATGAGAGCCAATGATGAAGTCACTGGTCAAGACGCCGCTTCTCAAGGTCCAACTGTTGTGCAGGGCGAAAGCATGGGTCCTGATGCTGCACCGAGGGCGCCTGCAAATGCCGAGTTGCTGCAACTCCAAGACCAGATGGAGCAGCCGACCATGGATACAGAAGTGAAAGGCAAGCAGATCCTCCAACCTCCGCCCCAACGGGGCCCTCCTCCTTTGTGGCAACCAGAGTTTGCCCCGGAACAAACAATTGGTGCTGATCGTGGACGTCGTTCAAGTGTGTATGATGGGTTACGCTCGCTTCCGTCCGTGTCGAGCCATGACAGCCGATATGGAGCGGGCGGGGATTATTGGTTTGATCCAACGCCGATTCTGAACAAGAAGGGCTCCTCGAAGCCAAATCCGGTCTTTCAGAGGCCTGCATCGAGCTCATCAGATAGTGACAGCTTGATGACCAGTTCCAGCAACTCGCCAGAACGTGCGTCTTGGCAAAACGCAACCCATGTGCCATTCAGACAGTGGACTGAGTATCGTTCTCCATCGCCAAACGCTGCCAATCGTCAGAGTGAGATCGACAAGAAGACGTTCTATCAGGACGTGCAACAGATACTAGGGGGTTTGAGGTCCGGCTTGGTAGACCCTCCCACGCTATCTGATTTCCAGCTGGATGACCCCCGCCCTCGGAGAATTCCTCCAGTATCACCACAGAAATTCCTGCAGATCGCTCACGTATTAGTTGAGCAGATGTCACAGACAACCTTACTCCCCCGCGGAGAGCTTGAGAGGGAGATACAGGTTCCTCCTCGTGATCAGATGGACGTGAACGTTGATTTGAGCGGGATCAATACTTCTGCGGTGCCTTCGAGTGTATTTCAACTTACTAACCCCAAGACCGAACCAAACAACGGCGGCATTCCTGGCAGGGTGACGAGAATCCAACCAGATCAGATTCGCATTCGACGGATGGAAAGGCCCCTCACCGCCTCTATGGCTATCTTGAGTTTCTGGGATTCGTTGAACCTCCAACCGGAGAGCGGACCGAAAGATGTAACGGCTTTTTGTATCCATCCAAGTCAAGAAAATGTCACAGAGGGATGTTTTAGTCTGCTGCAGCGACTTACAGAAACTTACACCTCCTGTTCGCTAGGGACTCATACGGTTGGACGACTTCCTGGTATGACAGATACTGGACTGATATCATGGAGTCCGAATGATACAGGTCAACATAACCTCCTCCAGAGGTGCCACAAGGTCGGTTCAGCTCTCGCGGAAGCCTCAGACGTGAAAGGCACTATCCTTATCTGCATGATTGCCAGAAACCAAAGCGCGATTTCGTACCTGGAGGCCTGCATTGGTTTCTTCAGCCTGTTCGAATCATTCACCGAGGCGCGAACGGACAACCAGGGCGTCACCGACATTGCTTTGCAAGTCATTCCGCAAAGTTTTGTCGCTGATGCGGAAGCTTTGGTGATTCCTTCCCAGACAGCCTACATTCGGCTGGCCATTGAGGTTTACAACCGGCTCCCCCCGTCAGAATTACCAGCGCCTCCAGCTGCTTGCAGCTCCGCCGTGGTGCTCTCGAAATCGGAAAATTCGGTGCATCTGCAACTGACTCCCACGTATGGCTCGCCTCTGGAGAAGAATGGACCATGCCTACACCTCGCATACTCTGTCAGCCATGACAATAGGTGGCTTACAGCTGCTTGGACGGACGAGTCAGGACGGGTTGCACTTAGCATGTCCTACTGTCTTCGCATCAGCCAATCAGGGAAGAGCAGGCCCCGGCATGACATCTTCCGCGAGATGTGGGACGTTTCACAAGACCTCATGAGCAAAGTCCGGGGGCCGTGGCGACTGGCGGTTGTCAAGCACGAATACTATGAGCAACCAGAGCTACTCGACTGGCACCAGCTTTTCGAAAATGCCCCTACGTCACAGAAACGATGCCTCCTAGTGCTTCTGTCCGTCCAACTCGACCCGACGTTAGAGATATTTCCACCGGCGAACCAAGGAAAAAGTGCCCAGACGGGGGCGCAGAACCTATATGGGACACCTGCTTCGACACCGCAGGGCAGTATGACGTCTCCTGAACAAACTGTGCCAGCGACCCCAACGCCTGGTGGCAGTTCGTTCATGAATGCTCCCACACCGTCCGACCCAGGTTTCGATCCGAATAGTGAGAGTGATCTCATACTACTGGATCCTTCTGAGGAGAGTTGGGGCGTCATCCTACCGTACGGGGTTAACCAGGCGAGGAGTCTCGTCCAGCTTCGACCCTCTCAAGTCACGGGATACCTCATTAAACGCAGAGGGACCAAGTGGGAGGACGGATACAGCATGATTGAGTTCAGCCTAGTCACGTCGACGATCCACATATCGAATACATCGAGCGAGACGTCGCCAGATGAGTTGCTCGAAGATTTGATCAAGCAGTATCGAGGCCTTGTTACTCTCGGCGCTACTCGAGGCTGCGTGGATCCAAACAGCGAGTGCCTGCCTTGGCACATTGCGACGGCGATTAGAGGTGCGCAACTGCTGGGGCAGACCCTCTAGTAGGTGGGACAATGTCCGACTTCGGACCATGGTGGCACGCAATGCTCACAGAAATGCTACACTATATGCAATCCCTGTCCCCAGTCTAGTTTCTCTTGGCTAAGCGGCCTAACTCTGCAAATTAGAGCAGGCTGGGCACTGGACTTCTGAGGTACTGTGTCGTGCAAACTGCGACGTTGCTGGCCGCCACTACCTCACTTCGTACTTGTTATGCAGAACCTGATTTGACAGATCCAACGCCACCGACGCCGTCAAACTCTTTGATCGGGTAAGAGGACCCGATATCTGATTAGATCCTGTGATCACCGATTAGATCCTGGATTTGGTCATGGCACAGCTCGCTTGCTCCCATCCCTGCGCACTACCCATGTATCTGACAAGCAAAATTCCTTGTCACCAACAGAACCAAATGAAATCATCTTCTCGGCCATGCCCTTGGCGTCAGTACGCTACGGAGTACAACTTCTGTCTCGTTCTAAAATGCCGCTTTTCCCGCCCCGCCATGAAAATTTTTATCTGATGATCTGATTAGATCACGATGTGTTGTCCAATGGGTTGTGCCTTGCGCCGACTCCATACCCACCATTGCCTCCCACATCAAGACAAATTTCTGCGCGACAATGTCCCTTGTGGCATTTGCGCCGCTCCGCTGGGGATCTATAATGTGCTCGAGTCTTTGCCAAGGATGTTGGAAATGCTTGAGAAGTCATCTGCAAAGTAACTCAAGGCCGGCGTCGCCGAGCGAGACTCGCCTTTGTGTTTCGACTACCACATAAGTAGTTCCGCTTCCCTCTCTGTGATTCCTTGTCTTGAATGATATCCTTGACCGTCTATACGCTGATAGAGGCCTACGTGAGACCACGGTTTCTCATTTCTCATGTCGTTCTCGGACGATTCCCGTCCCAAGCCTGCAGACATGGCATCAGATCCCAAAGTTGTGGACGACAATGCTCCTCATGCCGTCGCGGAACCGACCCGTCGACGCAGTTCTATTGTTGAAGCAGAGAAATCGCCTGGTGTCGTGAGGATCGAGGCCATCAACGAAGTCCTCACCAGGAAAGATCGTGTATTCCTCTTCATTGGCGTATTTCTCATCGCCTACGCTTATGGACTGGATGGCACGGTTCGATATACGTACCAGACTACAGCCACTGCATCGATGGGCCATCATTCTCTGTTGGCCACGATCAACACGCTTCGTGCCGTCATCGCTGCCGCCGCCCAGCCGACTGCCGCCAAAATCGCCGACGTCTTCGGCCGTCTGGAACTGGTTTTCGTCAGCGTGGTCTTCTATGTGGTGGGAACTATTATCGAGGCCTGTGCGACCAACATCGACACCTTTGCAGGAGGCTCCGTCCTATATCAGATCGGCTATACGTGCGTCATCTTGCTGGTGGAAGTGATCATTGCGGACATCACGTCCCTGCGAGCTCGACTCTTCTTCAGCTACATTCCTGCATTGCCATTTCTGGTGAATACCTGGATTAGCGGCAACATTACTTCGGCTGTGCTGGGTGCGACAACCTGGCAATGGGGGATCGGGATGTGGTGCATAATCTACCCAGTCTGTGCGCTCCCACTCATGATATCACTCTTCTTCGTTGGTCGGCGTGCGCGCAGCGCTGGCGTCTTGGAGAAATACAAAACACCGTACCAGATGATGGGTGCAAGGAGATTGACTCTCGAGCTCTTTTGGGCTCTGGACATCCCTGGCATCCTCTTGTTGATCGCGGTCTTTGCTCTCATCCTTGTGCCCCTGACCATTGCTGGAGGATCAACTTCTTCGTGGGGTACTGCACACGTCATTGCACCACTTGTCATTGGGGTCCTCTGTGTCCCGGTTTTTGTCTTGTGGGAACTCAAGGCACCTCGACCACTCGTGCCCTTCCATCTCCTCAAAGATCGCGGCGTCTGGGGGGCACTTGGGATCGCGTGTACCTTGAATTTTGCCTGGTACATGCAAGGCGACTATCTGTACACGGTGCTGATCATTGCTTTTGATTTCAGCGTCATGGGCGCCACCCGAATTTCTTCCTTGTACAGTTTTTGTTCTGTCGTCACGGGCTTCCTTCTGGGTATGGTTGTCTACAAGGTCAGACGCCTAAAATGGTTCATCGTTGCCGGAACTTGTCTTTTCATGGTTGCATTTGGACTCCTCATCCACTATCGCGGGTCTCCCACCTCCGCCGGGCAGTCGGGCGTTATTGGTGCGCAGGTCCTCCTGGGTATTGCTGGAGGCATGTTTCCATACCCGGCCCAGGCGTCGATCCAAGCCGCGACCAAACACGAGCACGTCGCCGTCATCACTGGTCTGTATCTGGCCACCTATAATATTGGGTCTGCTCTGGGTGGTGCCATCTCCGGAACAATCTGGACCAACGTGCTGCCGTCGACGCTTGAGGACAAGTTGGCGCCACTTGGAAATTCGACCTTGGCAGCTGCGACCTACGCCGACCCCTTCACGGTCGCCTACGAATATCCTGTCGGCACGCCGGTGCGAACAGCCATCATCGCCGCATATCAGCATGCACAGAGGTTGCTCTGCATTACGGGCATCTGTGTCTGCACGCTTTTGATCATGTTTGCATTCTGTCTCCGCGATCCTAAGCTGGGTGACGAGCAGAGCTTGCCTGAAGCAGAAGAAGACGTGGTTCGTTGAGGACCTGGTCGCTTGCATCGACTCTCGTGATCCCCGTGGGTGCAAAGAGCTGTAAATATGAGTATTCAACTATGTATACTGGCACACTTTGTAATTATTGCGCCATTACTTTCTGTCGCTGTGAAGCAAGCTCCGACTCTGGTGGCACTGAACGAGGACAGCCATCAGTCAACCTGCTGCAGCCCAAACTGTATTCACCACTGAGTTGAGACTAAATGCCTGTTCCATTCCCAAGCCGAGTATATCTTCCACACTACCACAAACTTCGAGATTTGGTTGATGGTTCCTATTGGCCGACCAAAGCTCATTCCTTGGGGCCTTAAGAATTCAGTCACAGCGGCGATCGTCCATCTGAGGACTCTGATGAGCACAAATACCGAATATAAAAGATGCTGTGATCATCTCCGAGATGGGCGTCATCGCCACTTAGCTGAGCAGTTGCAGTATGCTTTCTTAGTCGAACAAACATATGCCCTCTGATACCATGGCTATCAAACAAATTCTCGTCTTCACTCTCGCTGCTATGGCGGCATTCCCTGCCGTGGCCCATCCTGTCAACGTCACCAACTTCGTCAGAGCGAGAGCGATCGCTGCAGGGCCTTCCATCGACCTGCTGAAGCCTGGCGACGACGGGGCCAGGAGCATCGCCAACGTTGTGGGTGATGTGGCAGGTGTTATAACCGGCATACCCATGAGCCCCGGTGAAGATCCTGCTGAGGGGGGTGCTCTTCCTGGTGATATGTACGGCGTTCCCGGTGACGTGTACGGCATACCCATCGACGACCCTTATTCCACTCCAACCTACTATGACGGACCGCCCTCCAGAACGTCTCCAGAATACGCCAAGATGACGCTCAGATGCCGGGCCAAAGGGTGTGACAGCGTGGTCAAGGTCTATGACCTCAACATGCCGGTACCGACGCACAGCTGTCCACGAGACGCGCTGGCGGCGCTGGCCAAGTGGCGTCTGTTCTGCGACAGACCCCCTAAAGTTTTCAATAATCTGATTCAGACGGAACCCAACTGTTGGAGCAGAGCGCCCTCCATCGACAAATGCTGCGGCGAATGGGTCGACGCCGACGATCCCAAATACAGGAGCTATCCGTCGCGATACGTCCCCACGGAAAAGGGGTTTGCAGACGACACCTACATCGCGGCTTGGGTACCACAGACGGACGATAATGGAGGCCGGCGCATCATCAAGCCGGGCTGGCACGAGTACAACGTGAAGACGGACAGGTGTCAGTTCTGGAGGCCCGAGGACGAACTCGAGTTTGCATACTTCATCAACACGCTGCCAAACTATGGGATCTGGGACGTTGACGAGACGGGCAAGATTTGGGGTCAAACAGCCTACAATGCCGAAGGCGTTTCTCCGGGGGCGCTGATACCAGGCTCCGACAGCGAACTGGACGCGGCAAAGGGTCTGGGGGGATGAATGTAGGAGGAGGATAGAGCACCTATGGTATTATTGTATTGATGGACTGGGGTTTTTGGATGAGCGGGTGTTTAGTTGGCGTATTTGAGTGGGACTTGATGCAATCGGTTGATCTATGTTTGCGTCTCGAGGACGTCTAGACCTACAGTATGTACGTATGGAAACCAGAGGTGATGCTTTGAAGCACATAAATAAACAGGAAGCATGACATGATTATTTCTGTGTATGGAGAAAAACGCGGTGCGATCGATGCAACATCTCTATACATATTAAGTAATACGCGTCGATCAATGACGTCGCGTGCATCGGGCGAAAGTAAAAGGGATGATCCGCGTCAAGAACAAGAATATGCACCATGCACCATGCACAATGCACTTTGTATGCACTCCTGCTTCAGCTGAATCCATTCAGCCGTGTTTCCAGCATCTGGTCCAGTCAATCCTGCTTCCTCTCTACTGCTGCTGCTGCTGCTGCTGCTGCTGCTTCCGAACGCTCATTGTCGCATCTCAGCTCGGAAGCCACACCTCAACTCGCTGTTACTCGCACCTCGCCTCGCAGCTTTAGACTCTCAGCCCCTCGGCGCAATCACAAGTCGCACAAGCCTCCACCCCCCCTATTCCCTCACCTGTTCCGCAATTGAAGCGTCTACTTCTCTGCGTTAGCATTCCACGAGCGCACTCATCTTTAAACCCCCCCCGTCATTCTAACTGTCATGGCAGTATCGTAGTACCATACTCCTCCTCCCGACTATTGCTTCGTCATGGCGTCCCCTCCGCTGCCCACCAGGGCCAGAACTGCTAACGATTCCGATGATGATGTCGTGGCCGAGGGAGACCCTTCCAGCACCGCCGGTCTGTTGATCGAGCGGCTGCAGGCGTGGAAGCACATGTGTGGCTATCTCGAGAACTACATCTCCGCCGTCGCCAAGGAGCAGGCCGGCCGCGCCAAAGATCAAGAGAAAGTCCTCAAGACACTGTCGAGTCCGCTTCGGGAGGCTCATCACTTCGACTCCGCTTTGGGGGGCGTCGCGGGTCTGTTTGAAAACTTGCGGGCTAATACCCAAGCGCAAATCAATCTGTACACCGAAACCTCCAAAAACCTCACTGGCTCCGTGCTTCCCATCCTCGAACGCCTGCACGTGGAGATTAAGAACAAGAACAAAGAAATCTCCAGCGGCACCGGGAAAGGGACGAAGGCTGTTGAGGCGGCGCGCACACACTCGCAGAAGCACATCGAGCTCCTAGGGCAACAGGCTGCTCATTTCGACTCGGCTGGGGGCAAGGTGTCGGCGCAACATGACCCCTACGTCGTCAAGAGAGGGACCCTTTACCGTCTCAACAGACAGCTGCTCGAGGAGAACAGCAACAGACAAGATCTGATTGCGGTCCAGAATGCCTTTGCCAAGTTCGAGTCGCATGTGATGCAAACGGTACAGACGGCACTGAACTCTTACAACCAATTTATGAGCGGCCAGGCAGATCGGCAGAAGGCCATGTTCGGCGACATTGCCTCCACTGCCAGCAATATCCCGCTGGACTTTGAATGGAATGGCTTTATCAAACGCAACCAGCACATCCTGGTCAACCCGAATGCGCCGCCTAGGACTATGGATGCCGTGTCTTTTCCAAACGAGAAGCACCGTTCCACCAAGGCACTGATTGAAGGTACCCTGGAGCGCAAATCTCGTGGGATGGGTGCTCTCAAAGGGTACAGCAGTGGATACTATGCTGTCTCTCCTGCCGGCTATCTGCACGAGTACAAAGATAACGATAATTTCCAGAAGGACCCCAGTCCCGAGGTCTCGTTGTATCTCCCAGACTGCATCATCGGGGCTGTGGACGGGCAGAAGTTCACCATCAAAGGCAAAGACTCGTCGGGAAGCAAGTTGGGCCAGAAGATGGCCATGACGTCCGACTTCCAGTTCAAAGCGCACACCAACTCGGATGCACAGCAATGGCACTCGATCATCGCCAGTTTTGCCAACTCGTCCAACAGCGTGCCCACGAGCCCGGCAGAATCTCGTAATATCACCCCTATCACCACGAGGCTGGATGAGAATCAGACGCAGGGGGTAACGAGTGGACCGACAAGTGCAGCGACCCCCAAGTCTGCGCAGCCCACGAGTGCCACATCTGCTGCCACACCGTCCTCAGCGGGAGCATTCAACCCCGGGCTCAGTTCGAACGGGTCACAAAACGTGAAATTCGCGGGAAAGTAGGGGAGAGTGCCATTACGGATGTTGTTTTCGTTCTCGACAGGCGATTGAAATCTTCCATTCAGCTTAGTTCGGGTTTGGGTCTTGTTCGAGCCCTTTTCAATGGGTTAGTAATAACAATTGGTTACCCATTGGATATTCAATATGCACACACTCTTGGGTTGCTTTCCCGGCTGCTCCATCACTACTTTTTGCCATTCAAGACGATCATCTCCTTGCCTTGTCTCCCTTGACCCATGCCATGTACGTCACCACCACCACCATCACCCAATCCCTCCATCCCCGACAGATCAAAGCCCACCAGCCCGCTCCGCTTGGGCACGAACTGCCGCAGGACGACGCCGGCGTCGCGCAAGACCCTCCGGCTGGCGTCGTCCATGTTGTAGCTCTGGCTGTAGACGACCTCCTTGACGCCGACCTGGGCGATCTTGACGGAGCAGGTCAAACACGGGCAGGTGTCGCAGTACAGAATGGCGCCGCCGTCGCGGAGGCGCTCGCGCCCGGCCTCGAGCAGCGCGTTCTCCTCGGCGTGGAGGCACAGGCACGTGTCGAGTGCGGTGCCGCCGGCGTTGCCCGACCCGTTGCACCGCGGGCAGCCACCCTCGTTGCAATTGACCAAGCCCCGCGGCGTGCCGTTGTAGCCCGTGCTGACGATCCGCGCGTGGTGCACCAGCACGCACCCCACCCGCCGCTTCATGCAGTTCGACCGCTGCGCTGCCAGCGAGGCCAGCGTCATGAAGTACGCATCCCACGTCGGTCGGAGGCGGAGTGGGGATGGGAGGTCGAGGGTTGAGAGGAACGCGTGGCTGGGGTTTAATTCGAGATTTTAGTTTTCGTGACGATCATCAACCTTGGGGATCATATTCCGGGGGTGGCAAACATGCATGATGATGGTGATGATGACGATGGAAGTGGTGGTCCACGTCAAACGCGGTGGGATGTCATATATTTTGTTCCCACGGGAGGGGGCATAGAGGACATTTAAGGGAGGGGGGATGGGCTTACTATGTGGAGATGCTTGGGAAAGAGTTCAGGATGGACAGGTGTGCATGAGACAGAAGTGGAAGGAGTGCTGTCCGTGACGCTGAATGGTCCTCGGTTGGACCATCGTGGTCGGCAGTGTCAGTGGTGGTGGTCGTCGTCGTAGCCCTCGATGTTGGACTGTGACCGCTGGAGTCGGTAAAGGAGTGGGTGCCTGTCATTGCACGAGACCCGTACAATTTGAGGTCGTCGTAGAAGATGAAGGTCGTGAGGGACATGGGTGAGAGTTTGCGTTTCAGACACCTACATTTACCATACCATATATGAACAGGGATGGTCAAGTTTACCGAGACAGAGGGGTGTGAGAGAGAGAGAGAGAGAGAGAGCAAACATAACCTACCGCTCCTGGAACCGCTCAAACCGCGTCCCCAGGGGCGCATCCACGTTCAGCAACAGGAAGAACGGTCTCCTCAGCAGGATCTCCAGCGTCGCTTCGTCGTAGATGTCGGTCAGGACCCAATGCTCGCGCCATCGCCTGGTGACAAAATCCAAAAGAGACTCGACGTCGGGAAAAGAGAGCCCCCGCGTGCCGATCTGGTCGGTGACGCTGGGCAGGAGGCGGAGGTAGTCCGGAGAGAGATCGTGCGACGGTGACGGTGACGGTGACGGTGACGGTTGGAATTGCTGCGGTGTGGGGAGATGCAGGCGAAGAAAGCCGTGGCGCTGGACCAGGTATTCGGCCGTGGTGTGTTTGCCCGAGCAGATGGAGCCGCAGATGCCAACCAGCATGGTGTACAGGAGGAGCCGTCCTGCTGAAGCGTGGCACAAGGCTGTGCTGCTTGATGTGAATGTATCCGCTGTGGACACTCTGGAGTCTGTCTCTCTCCACCTGTTGGGTTGGTTGGGCTGGTCAAAGGGTGTCCGCTCCGCCAGGATTGTGTGAGGTCAGATGGTTAGGGGACTCTCCACGAGGGTAGTCGTCGAGTTGGCAAAGGCCTTCTGCCGAGGCTTGTGTGTTGATGTAGTTGAACGCGGTGTCCAATATTATATGATCGCGAACGCGTAAAGTGGTTGTGGTGCCAGCCTAACCCAAAGCGGAATACACAGCATAACCTTAATTAATTACCATTAAAGCAGCAGGTACCAAACCGAGGCTGGCCATGTGGTTCCGACCCGCCGCTGTTTTTAGCCTCTTGCACATGGCCCGCCCCAGCCACATGGTTCAGTCACAGATCATCAGTCTGACCTCAACCAAGTTTCCAACAATCCCCCCTCATACTACTTATTATAGTCTTACTGTTGCCTAGAACTGAGCCTCGCCCTCCCGCTCAAACCACCATTTTATCAGTCCGCCATATCGGTAACGAATCTGCGTCAGAGGAGAGGGAGGACTACACCAATACTCCTCGACTACACCATCTTCATCGCCACTCGACTGGGACCATGCAGTACGTTCCTTTCGCCTCGGACATCGAAATCCCCTTCTACGCCTCCTTGGCATCGCACAAGATCAACCATGACAAGCTCGACGACTCGGCCCGGAAGCTGTTGGGCCTCTACGAGATCCGTCCCGCCGACAATAAGGAGCACTCTTGCCGCATGCAAATCCATGCCAATGCCCTGACGAGCGACGAAGTCCCCGCCGGCTTCTACCGTGCCGAGGGCATGATCAAGAATGTCAACACGATCGAGGAGTACCGCAACATCGACAAGTTGGCCATGATTCAACAGGCTGGCAAGACCATCTGGGATGCCATCAACGACGGCACCATCTACTCGTGCCCCAGCCTCCTGGCCTCCTTCCTGGTCCTCAGTTACGCAGACCTCAAGAAGTACAAGTTCAACTACTGGTTTGCGTTTCCCGCCTTGGTCATGGATCCACCTTGGGTACCAGTGGCGAGTAGTGGCGGCCTTGCAAGTCCAGAGACCGGAATCCCTTACAGGAAACTGAACTCGATCGAAAGCACCACGCTAGTAGATCACGTCCAGACCTGGAAATACTCCGTGGACTCAAGACAGTATGGGTTCTTCCTAGTCAAAAAGGCGCGGGATGGTCCTCTGGGGCTCCAGTCCCCCAATCCCGCCGACGAGGACTTCGGGCCTACTTCTCCTCAGTCGCCTCTGACTCCAACGTCAAGTCTTGGCTACACGTGGCAGGTAGCCTCTCTGTCGAGCTTTGACACCGGCTTCTTTGATGGTGTTGACCCAGAAGACTGTTTCGTCGCGTTTGCCGATCCTTCCAACTACGCCGAGCCAGGTCCCGTGGCGCCGGGGTGGATGCTACGAAACCTTCTGGTCCTGATCCGGCAAAGGTGGAAACTCGACAAGATACAAATTCTTTGCTACCGTGAGACGCAGATGCGACGAGACGCCGCGCGAAGCGTCATCCTTAACATGGAGTTATCCAAACAGCCGTCCAAATCCAGTAACGCTGGAGAAGCAGCGCAACCACAAGACTATTCACAGACCATGCCCAAAGTCGTAGGCTGGGAACGCAACGCGCTGAATAAACTCTCGGGCCGCGTCGCCGACCTCACCGAATACATGGACCCGACCAAACTCGCCGACTCGTCCGTCGACCTCAACCTGAAACTGATGAAATGGCGGATCTCGCCGAACCTGAACCTCGAGAAGATCAAGGAGACGAAATGTCTCTTGCTCGGCGCCGGTACGCTCGGGTCGTATGTCTCGAGGAACTTGATGGGATGGGGAGTCAGGCACATCACGTTCGTGGACAACGGGAGTGTCTCGTTTTCGAACCCGGTGCGACAGCCGTTGTTCACCTTCCAGGACTGTCTCGATGGAGGCAAGAAGAAGGCCACCGCTGCAGCCGAGGCCCTGAAGACGGTCTACCCCGGCGTTCAGTCCGCGGGCCACGTGTTGAGCGTCCCCATGGCAGGACACCCGATAACGGACCTTGAGAAGACGAAAGCGGAATACGACACGTTAAAAAGGCTGGTGGACGAGCACGACGCCATTTTCCTGCTGATGGACACGAGAGAGTCGAGATGGTTGCCGACCGTCATGGGCAAGGCCAAGGGCAAGATCGTCATGAACGCTGCGTTGGGCTTCGACACCTACGTGGTCATGCGGCACGGCGTCAAAGCCGCGCCCACCCTGCCCGGCACGCAGAGAGAGGAAGCACAGAAGCAGAAGCAGAACCAGGGCCAGGGAGACCTGGGCTGCTACTTCTGCAACGACGTCGTCGCGCCGGCCGACTCGATGAAGGACCTGACCCTGGACCAGCAGTGCACCGTGACGCGGCCGGGCATTGCGGCCATCGCCTCGGCCCTGCTGGTCGAGCTCTTCGTCTCCATCGTGCAGCACCCGCGCGGAGCCGCCGCGCCGTCTTCCGTGTCTCCCACGGACGACGACAACAACGGCAGGGGCGACCACCACCCGCTCGGGCTCGTCCCGCACCAGGTGCGCGGCTTCCTGGCCACCTTCTCCAACATGAACATCACCGGCACGGCCTACACGTACTGCAGCGCCTGTTCCGAGAAAGTCCTCGACGCGTACGAGGCCGACGACTGGGGCTTTGTCCAGAGGGCGCTCAACGAGAGGGGCTACGTCGAGGAAGTCAGTGGACTCAAGGAGGTGCAAAGGCTGGCCGAGGAGGCCGCCCGGGATATCGAGTTTAGCGAGGAGGATGAGGAGGGCGCCGAGGATGAAGAGGGGGAATTGGTCTGATGAGCTACATACACAGTAGCTAGCTACAGTAGCTATGTGTTGTCACAGCAGCCCTCTTGCCACTGTTTGCCCCGTGTCAGAGGTTCTAGGCGGATGGTAAGCAGCCTTCCATCACCGCTTATACAGATATAGTCTTCACCTATTCCTATAGATTTCCCATTTTCCCCCTTCGTCTTCCGGTTATATTGCTCTGTTCGTCTCTCTCCTTATGAGAAGGTTACATCACCAGACACCGTGTCCCCATGTTGTCGTCGCATGAGAGCTTGTGGTGGGGATTCACGACGGCTCAGCAAACACGGCGTCCCGATCAGCCTTGGCCAGCCGCTTGATGCCCACGAAATACGCCTCTCGGGATGCGCTCCTCGAGCTCTCGGGCTTCTCGCGGTGGACCTTGTGGAACAGGGCCTTCAGGCTCCTCTCCAAGGCCTTGTCCTCGACTCCCTGGTAGAACTTGCACACGAAGTGGCCGCCGACTTTGAGCGTGTCGTAGCTGAAGCGCAGCGCGGCTCTGCAGAGGTCCTGCTCGATTGTACCCGAGAAAAAGTGTCAGTCAGTAGTTTCAGGGACACTTTCTTTTGCCTGGAAAGGAACGTGGAGAGACTTTTTGGAGAGATTTTTGAAAGCAATCAATGGGGAGAGATGAGATCAGAACACCAAAGTTCAAACTGTACACATACCATACTTCCGGCATGATCGCGAAAGGCATTTCCGCTCGTGTTCATCAACCTGCGATAAGGGTTACTGATGCTCTTCTTGTACAGCCCGTCGAGCGGGTCCCAGGGTTCGCACATGTCGCTCAGCACCACGTCGACGGACTTGTCCAGGTGTTCTCGGTCTCGCAACTCTTCCTCAGGGAGTGTCTTCTCATGACTCTCGCGGTCCAGATACCCGGTGGCCTCGTCTTCCAGCACTGCCTGGTCAAACTCTCCGCCATCTGGAGCCTCGGACGAGCCTCCTAGCATGAGCGGTCGGCGGAGGCGGCCTCGTTCCGGGTCGCGCAGAAAGGACTTGATCTCGGCTTGGATGTCCGGGGACAGGAAGTCGCCTTGAATCGTCGACACCCCCTTGGGTGGTTGGACGGGGAGCAGGTCCACGCCCAGGACGCGGCCGCGAGGTTTTGTCAGGTCAACGGCAACCTATACAAAAGAAAGGGAGAGCCCCGTGTCAGCGCCAAAGTCCCAAATCTTCTCTGGTCCAGACTTTTCTGCCAATGTCTCCCGTCATGCCCCTGCTTCGTCCCCTCACATCTGGTGTTTCTTTCGTACCTGACTCCAGCTCCCGGGAGCAAACCCCAGATCCACCACGGTCATACCGGGCTTAAACAGTCGATACCGCTCATTGATCTGCAACAGCTTGAACGCCGCCCGACTCTTCAGTCCCTGGACCTTGGCGGCGCGAGCAAACTGGTCCCCGCGCTGGCGGTCAGTCCAGCGCCTCGTGCTGGAGGAAGCGCAGCGCACTCCGTTCGTGCAGGTTGAGGGTGAGGAGCGTGAAGGTGACGTGGAAGGAGATGATGTACGACCAGCAGGCGATAAGGTAGAGTTTGGCGAGGGGAGACATGGCGTCGGTGCCGAACGCAGACAAAGCGCAAGGGTATTGAAACGGAGATAGTTGATGGTGGTGGTTGTAGGTGCCCTGGCTGAAGAGCGAAGTGCAAGACGTGGATTACATGATTGCATAGCACGCTCTAGAGAGGCCGAAGAGCGCTCGGCAAGGGAGCAGAGGGAGTTGTTATGGAATGGAAATGAGAAACAATTTGATCAAGCAAGACTTTTGCTCCGCGGTTCACATGTCATACTGTAGATCCATAAAGCGGCACCCAAAGCCGTCGTGAATAGGAAAAAGGCCCCTTGCCGCTATTGTACATAAACAACTGCCACCAAAAAATTCGTCCCAGATGCATGGTGGTCAGTCAGTAGTGGCCCAGATCATCCAACTCTCCGTCCTAGCATCACTCAGTAACATTACCAGCTCTTCGGTCCTTCTTAAGGGGTGAGAACTCAGTCAATGGTTTCCCTCTGCCCACTTTGGGCTTGAGATTGATACGGCCCAACACGTCCCCTTTGACGGGAAGCCCACCTCCTAGAATTCTTATCTTTGGTGCAGGCGCACTGTCCTCTTCATCAAAGATGTTGGCTCGTTTGGCCAATGTCTTTGGCTTCCTGAGAGGTCGTGTTGCCTCCTGAGTGGTGGGATCGGTACCTGCTGGCTCTGTAGTCTCCTCGTTCGTCTTGTGGCCCTCACTATTACGTGTATTTTCCCGATCACTTTCCACGTCCGAGTCCTCCTCAATGACCTTGCCAGGCCGTGAATTCTTGACCGTCTTATTTGTCTTTGAATTGGTCCTTTCTTTCAGATGTTGGCCGCCTTTCCGTTTAGCTGCTGGCGCAGTCGGCTTTTTCGCCGGGGGTAGCTCTTCCCGTGTCCGTTGAATGATGATGGGCATCTCGTCCCCGTCCTCGTCCTCGACTGACCCGTCAACACGCTGACTGGCGCTTGCATTGTCATCTCGCTGCTCTTCAGCTTCGTCCTCGGCCGGCGTTTCTGGCAAGATGCTGAGAGTGCGGTTCAAGAAGGGCGTGATGGAAAAGTTGGACTTGTCCCCGACACTAACTGAAATCCGAGGCTTCTTTGCCACAGGGCCGCCATTTCCGGGCGTGCCAATGGTCATGTCTGGGTCAAACCTAGCAACGTTTCGCTTCCTTGGGTTGGCCGTTGTTCCTGCCCCATTAAGTCTTGCCCTGGTCATCTCAGACGACTGCGCCATCTGCACAGCCTGCAATCTTTCAACTTCGTCTTGTGCCTCCTTGAGTTGGTCTTTGGTAGATCGGAGTTTGTTACGGAAAGCATCCAGTTTTCCTTCCAAGACCCCCTTATCGATTTCCCACTCGCTCGTTCTCTTCCTGCTCTCCCGTTACGCTTTTTGTGCGTGCCGCTGTATTTCTGCGAGCTCCTTTCTCAAACTCTTAACCTCGGCCATCAACTCTGTATCCTCGTGATTGGATGACTTTTCCTGTGCCTTGAGGCGCTGGACCGTTCGTTTCTCCGTCTCGAGTTCGACTTGAACAGAGCTGAGCTGCCGCTCCAAAGCCAGTTTTTCGGAGAGGGTTTTCTGGTAAGCCGCGTTCTGGGCTCTCAGGTGCTCAAGTTCGGGTTTGAGGGTGTTTAACTCCGTAGACAAAGCCAGCTTCTCGGCGAGGAGCTTTCTTGCGTCGTTGCTAGCAGCATTCAAGGCGTTGTTTTCTGTTTTCAAGGATTCCAGTTCGCGTAGGCACGCCCTGAGCTCCATCTGTGCGCGTTGCAAGTCCGCCTCAACCTCGGCCAGACGTGCGCGTAGGGACTCATTGGCCTGCTGCAAATGATGCTGTTCATCTTCGCCGCTCTCTGCTTGTTCCTGCATCTCCTCTTTTCCATGTTCTAGCAGCATGACCTGGAGGCGAAGTCTGCGCGCTCGTTCAACTTCATAGAGGCGTTCGATTTCTCTCCGAGAACGCTCGAATTCAAGTTCGAATTCGGTGGTATGGACGCATTGTGCGATTTCGGCCGCGTCCATGTATGGCAATACTGTGTCCATTGTCGAATAGAGCCTCAGCCAAGAAATAAATCGAGTAACATGCAGTTTGGTGATGTTGAAGAGCGTCCCCCTGCGAGTGTTTACCCTTTATTTACAACGGCCAACTAAGGCGGCGGCCCACTTTGACCAATGACAAAGGACGTATCGGCAAACCTGCCCAAAGAGTTCGGCCAACTATTAATGGCGACCACAAGGACATCGAACTGCCCTTCACGGATATACCAAGTGTCGCTGAATGGCATTGATGCTGCGTGCTGACTCTTGGCCACGGACTGGCCGATGCTGCGAAATCCTTGCCAATGCCCCTTCCTCTTACTTCTCCGAAGGAATTTGGTGCTGATGTTCGTGACAGGAGCAGCAAGTGGAAAAGGCCCTGCGACTGCTCGACTATTTGCCCAGCACGGTGCGAGGGTGATCTTGGTCGATCTGGATGCCCAAAACCTGCAGGGTATGGCACAAAGCATCGGCCTTGAGTGTGATTTTAACGCGTGTGACGTCTCGTCCTGGGAGCAACAAGTCGCTCTATTCGATTAAACAAGACACAAACACGGACCGCCAGAGATAGTGTGTTTGAACGCTGGCATCGACCCGGAGCTTGCAGTCTCGAAGCAAGCGCCGGCCAAGGAGCGGGTTGCAAGCAGCCACCTCGCAGACGAACACGAACCTTCTAGCCATGTAAGTCAAGTCTCCACGGAAGATCGACAACTACTCAACCCACCGCTGAAGGTAGTTCTCGGCGTGAACTTCTACGGCGTCCTCTACGGGATCAAATTGGCGGTGCATCACCTCGGGGACGGTCGAGGGGCCGTGTCATCATCACGGAATCCGCAGCCTCATACATTCCAGTGACTTGTCGGGACATTTATATGGCATCGAAGCACGCCCCCGATGGGGCCAATGCGCAGCACATCTCGAAGAGAAGAGCGAAAGGAGAAGAATATTTCCATTGCCATGGTAAGGCCATGGCTCACACGCACTGCGTTGACCGCCAACTTACCACCCGAGGTGACTCAGGGACACGACGCGAGTGAAACGGAGGATGTTGCCTTGGGAAATGCATATCTTGCAACAATAGAGAAAGACACAGATGCGAATGGCAAATGTTTGTGGGTCAAAGGGAAGAGGTGCGTTGAGATCGAGGGTGCAAACGAGAAGTTGACTGGCACAGATGATGGAGGCCTAGGCAGGGGCTTCCAATGCTCAATGCACAGATGAAAGCTCAGATAACTCGAAAGGGTGAAGATGATGAAGATGATACCCGAATAGGGAGAAAGGGCCTGGCCCCCTTCCAGAGTTTGCATACGAGCTACGTTCGTGCATCGTTGATCTCATAATGTTGGGTTGCATGACGTGTGCACGCCTCAACCTGCGCCCGACCTTGAATCGTCTCCATCAGTCTTGCGTCCATCTTAGCCTTCACCTTCACCTCCACCTTGATCCCCCTTGCAAGCATGTGATAGATTGCTCTACTCTCGTCAAAAGCATGACACACGTCCGTCGATACTGAGCAGAATGCAACCCAGTCAGTCAACGTCGCACGACTGAAACACCAGAGCAAGCTGCAATCGAAGGCCGGCTTGAACGAGAGCTGCGTTCGACCAGAGTTACTTGCAGGAAATAGGTGGAAGGAAAGCAACATGTTCGCTAGGACAACCATGTCGACACTCCCTTCCGCCGGTTCACAGCTTCCAGCGATCCCCCGAGGCTGCAGATGTCGTGTTTGATGGACTCATCTTCAGGCATTAACAGCAGTTGAGTAAATCGAAAGAGATGATACACTCAGGCACAAAGACTCCGATCAGACTTCCATCATGAGAGCCCGTTGCTCTTAGCAAACACCCCACAACAAAAAGTACTCACAGATACCCAATCTCTGACTGCGACTGGTAGATCTTGTTTCTCTGTCAGCAAACTTCAGCAAGCCATGTGCCAGCAGGAAGCGGAATCTCGGATTTGAAATGGCCGTACAGATTTAGGATCCATGAGTGCGCGACTGGGTTGGTCTTCTCGTACCCCCTTTTCTGATCTGCCGCACATCCCGCATCTCTGTGGAGTAAAGCTGCTCTTTTTGGTAAGGATCTCGCCGTCCCCTCGCCTCGTTGACTCCCGATAGAGACCTAACGATATCAAACAACCAGTAAGAAGGCCAGTGCCTTGAATCGGGATAGCGTGTGGGCAGGCATACTCTTCCTCGGGCATCTCGGCCCTGTCAATTTTGTCATCCCTTTTTGACTACTCCTTCATCTCTGGAGATATTCCCCGAGAACGTTTTCACCTCAACCAATCCTAGGCAGCTGCTCAGGTCTCTCACACCATTTCCATAATGTGAAGTTGTAAGCTAATATCATCGGATGGACTCGAAGATTCAACCCGTTGCCAAGTCCCGATATGTTTTGTTGCACAAAGTACGGACACACAGCTAAGCGCTGGGTAACGGCTTTCCTCGTCTGAATTGTTATCAACGTCAAAGAATCTATTTGCTTATTAACTCCCGTCGATCCATTGCTCAGCGCTGAGTATGATTGTATCTCCCAATCCCGTATGGCTTGTATCGCTTACCCAGAACCAAGCTCTTGCACTACAGGACCAGCGAAGAGCACAGGCGGTGCAAGTTTCCTCAGTCGCGATCCGAACCCCGGAAGTCGCGCACGTGCTGCCCATTCAACGAGCTTTTAGCGACTCTATCGATTCTCAGCTGATTTTATATGCAGGCATATTAGCTCAGCACTTCTCCTTGAATTTGATCCCCCCCACGACCATGGTCTCAAGGGGTTATATTGCGAAGAGCGACCCAATTCCCGCCTGGGATTTGGCTTGTCTTCGTTGGTATACTTCTTTCGGAAGTCGCTCAGCGGATGAAATGAATACCCTATCATGGCTCCTGCCGGATTTTTCACCGTGAGATTTGTGCCGCAGCTTGATTCGAAAGCGACGCAGGTGGACAAAGAGCTCGAGATCGCGAAACAGAAATCTCATGCTGCGAGATGGTCTCATGAAAAGCGCAAGAATAAGAAGAAGAAGCAGGAGCAAGAGGAAGTTTGGCGGATTGAAGGTCGAGGCAAGTCGAGCCGACTCTGTTCCGGTTGATATGCATCCTCCAGATTAACGGGTTCATCGATCTACAGATCCTCACGCAAGCGCTCACTATGGAGTTTGGGCAGATAGGCAAGTGGATATACGTGGACAGGGCAGCTTAGTCCTCTATCCAACGAGCGGCTTTTCCCAACCCAGGAGATTCAATCCTGCAAGAGACAGCAGAAGCCCGAGTCTGCTGGAAATTCTGGGCGGTGGTAACTCAGATCCTTTCAATGCTAAGCCTCTCCGCATTACCCCTGAGATCAACAAACTCATCACGTTTATAAGAGATGGCTATTTACCTGGAGTATATATCACTTCTTACATGAAGTACAAAGAGAACCCGCGCGGAGCTCCCATGCTCACCACTCTCGGAGAGGGATTTCACGTCTTCGGTCAACGTACCGTAACGAAAGTGTGGAATTCTATGAAGGAAGAATTCTCCGACGAGGGACGAGCGCTCTCGTGGTGTTCCAGCTACATGCCAGTTCTGGCAAAGTTCTCCTCATCAGACACCGCTCGTGAACTGCATCTTCATGCTATCAAGATGCGGGCGAAGAGCATGACGATCCTGAAGAACCGTATCGAGAACCTGTCGCTTGATGTGCCACCAGATATATCGTTGGTATCGCAGATTGTCTCCCTCTTCCGGGCTGCCTGCAAAGAGAACGACATTCCCGCGGCAAAGATCCATGCAGACATCATACAACGTCTGGTAGACCGGGTCGAAACCCCGGATCTCCATATCCAGACGTTGTTCATGACCTGCATGAACAATGACACAGAACTGGCCATAGCCCAGATGCGAAACACGTTCTTTGACTTTGAGAACTGGGTTCAGAGGCAGATTGCTCGATTCTGGATGGAAACGCCAGAGAAGCACATGCCGCAACTGCCGGCTGATTACAAGGCGCTCCATGAAAGCATCCAACTGAACGCCACTCGCCAGGCAGCTATCAGGCTCCGTCAGTACTTGTCCGTCCGGTCGACGACTATCAATCTAAATGACCCCGAAGACCTCGACCGCACCGATGCCATATACACAATCTTCACGACGTATTCTCATTATGATTCTGGAGCCTTGATCAATGCATACATCAACCTCACCGCCGGCAAGGTCTACAATATCAAAGAATCTTTTCGCCTCATCGAAGCATCACTGGCGCTTACCACTTTGCACATATTGCGACGGGGAATATTTGAAGCCACTGTTTATGGGTGTGACCACCGTACGAGCCACCACATGATCACCATCAATCATCTCGAGGGTACGATGAGAAAAGCTTTGACCTTGGCAACGGCGGATGTACTAACTCGGTATCGCGAGGCTCTATTTTGGGTATTCTTCTATGGGGCAAGGTTTGAGTGGCGTGTCAATCAAATGATCAAAGACATTACGCCGAGGACCTGGTTTACCAAGATGCTTGCTCGACAAGCAGAGATCTTGAGGGTAATTGAGTGGCCCCAGGCGCGGGATATCCTCAACCACTTCGTATTCTATGGGTTCTTGGAGCCGTATCTAGCACCATGGTTCGCAGAGACGTTGGTCGGCAATGAGCCGCCTCAATGAACAATGATCCAAGGCATACTATTGCCTTGCGAAGGGTTGCCATTCGAGACAGGGTATGTCCACCCTGATCTATTCTTATACCTATTCGGATCTATACCTCGCCTTGTCAACAGCTTCCAACATAAAGACGGCGAAGGAACAAACTGACGTTTACCCATGTGCCACCAAGGACGGGGATCTCCTTTGCATGATGATGCTCCTTCTGGATTGTCCAATGCGATTGGTATTTTGGAGATGAGATTTCCAAATTTGGCCGCCAGAATCACGCAATCTGCAATGAGATTTGCACCACAACTATTCAGCCGATCCTTCCCACACACGCTCCGACCCAGCGTCATTGATCCATTGTTCGATTCTCACCTTCGTACAAAGAGACCGAGTCTCTATATGAACCACTCCATCCTTTACGTTCGGCGTGTGCCCATGTCGACGTCTCGGTTACGACGTGACCTTCTCCCGAAGCACATCCTGTCCTTCCAAGAAGGCGAGTGCTATTGACGATTGGGAAATGGCTTCGGTGGAAAAGACCCCTGTCGACAGTTCCAAGACCACAGACAAGGGCGCTCCCCCGACTGATTTCGGTGAGAGTCTTGGAGGCAATATCAACGAGCGAGCCCTTGTGCGAAAGCTTGACATCACTCTTCTCCCAGCCTTGACCACGCTGTATCTTCTTTCATTTCTCGACCGGAGCAATGTCGGCAATGCACGAATCGAGGGTCTGGCGACGGACCTAAACATGACGGGGGACCAATATCTCACGGGACTCACCCTTTACTTTATCGGCTACGTGCTCTTCGAGGTTCCCTGTAATCTGATCTTGAAGATATGGAAACCGAAATTGTGGTTGCCCACACTAACGCTCGTGTGGGGTGTCGTGAGTACGCTTATGGGCGTTACTCAATCCCGAGCTGGCTTCTTCGTCGTTCGTTTCTTCTTGGGAGTGGCTGAATCAGGATTGTTTCCCGGTATGCTTTCCACCCCGCGTGGGCCTTACTTGACTTGAGTGAGCTGACGACGTATCTCGACAGGCATTGTCTTCTACCTCTCAATGTGGTACAAGCGAAATGAACGGCAGTTTCGAGTGGCTCTGTTCTTTAGCGCGGCCTCGCTGGCAGGGGCTTTTGGTGGTATCCTCGCTTGGGGTATTGCTCATATGAAAGGTATCGGAGGCTATAACGGTTGGAGATGGATTTTCATTCTGGTGAGTGATTTCGATCACTGCTTCAGTGTGACTCGCTGAAAGGTGTCACAGGAAGGTCTCCTTACGGTTGTCGTCTCGATATCTGCGTACTTCTTCATCCACAACTATCCAGACACAGCAAAGTTCTTGAACGATGAGGAACGGGAGTACATCCAGCACCGGCTCAAGGTCGACAGCGATGCCACGCAGGATGAAAAGTTGGACTGGAGCAATGTCAAAAAGGCCTTCACCGATATCAAATGCTACCTCTACGCATTCGGATTCCACACACTCTCGCTTCCACTTTACACGCTGTCACTCTTTCTCCCCACCATCATCAAGTCTCTCGGGTTTTCGGCGGCACAAGCACAACTTATGACCATACCACCTTACGCGATCGCCTTTTTCCTTACCATTGCCCTTGCGGTGCTCTCTGAACGGTATTGCCGCCGGACACCGTTCATCCTCATGTCTTCGTCGCTTGCCATCCTCGGATACATCTTACTGTTGAGCGATCCACGGCCCGGCGTGTCGTATGTGGGAATTATCTTCGCCGCAGCGGGCATATATCCGTCGGTGGCCTTGACGCTAGCCTGGCCGGCAAACAACGTCAGCGGACAGACCAAGCGAGCGGTCGCCAACGCGCTGCAAATCTCGCTGGGCAATCTGGGGGCCGTGATCGGCACCCAGCTCTACCGAACAGAAACAGCACCGAGGTATTTTCTGGGACACTCGTTCGCGTTGGCATACATGGTGGCGAACTTGATCGTGACCACGACTCTGTGGCTGGTCTTGAAAAGGCACAATCAGCGGAGAGAGGATACGGCAACCGAGCATGCTGCTCCCGATGGACCGTGGCTCGGAGACGAGGATCCGAGGTGGAGGTTTCACTTGTGAAGATCGGTGGTGTCAAAGCGTCTGCCCAACGAACAATACGAGGTACAGAGTATACTGTCAAGAGCCATGGCATCGAGATCTAGATAGTCATTTTAGCCCCGAAAGGAAATGGGGTAGGTGTTGACTTCCCGGACGGGGTGATCCATCGAACGATTTGACGTCTGTCTCCGGAGACTCGGTTCACTGTTGCCTCGCCCCAAACCGGTAGGACGTCTGACACCCCGTGAGCCACACGAGAGCTGTATGGGCACCCATGGTGGGCACCTATGGGAAGGTTGGCTAAAACTTGAGTCAGCAAACTCTCAATGGTGCGCAGTTAGCTAGCCGTTGAAGCAGCATATCGTACGAGGTACCCAGGGGTGAGCGATGGTTGTTGGTGGTTGAGCTTCCTGGTGCAGCAGGCCAGCCATTCAAAAGGACATCTTCCCGGCTGCCGCTAGCATCGCAATCCCGTGGGTGCAGGTTTCTAGTGAGGCCCCTATTACGCCCGTGCGTCAGGACTGGTGGCATTATACCGCAGCCGAGATGCTGGACACTGACGGCCGTGACGGGCATATCACTAAGCTGCTGGCCGTGCCTGGTAAGGCGGGCGGCGGGCGCCATCACCTGGGGGGTCTCCCTAGCCTAGTTAGTGAGCCACCAGCCCCAATTTCCACCCCAAGCAACCCTGGAGGCCCCTCAAGAGGATGCTTAAAGTCTAACAGCACGCCCATCTTCCCATTGACAGGATCCATCCTATTCCACTGGAAGCCTCTGCTCTCTGTGGCCTCACTAGCCTCATCCCCACGCCCGCCATGGAGACTCCCGCTGTCTTGTGGGTCAACTACGATGCTGAAAACATGAAGGCCCTGCCACACCGGCGACAGGTCTATTCACATATCCAAAACAGCTATCGCACCTGGAAGCGACAGGAGAAGACCAGGGCCCTGCGTGCTTCGGCCAAGATCCCCGGGAGATTGGACCAGCGGCCATCGAGGGTAAGCATGAACTCTGCTCGTTTCTAGGGTGTCTGATAGTGGCATAGCACTGCACTGGACTGCCTAAGAACACGGCCGTTGTCGAGCAGAGTCCAAACGGCGACGATGAGCATCGACGTTTCATGCTCATACAAGACCAGCCGTCCCGGGTCTTGTCTCCCGTCACGATCCTCAACAAAGGCAGTTCTGACCCGTTCGAAGCGTGTGCCATCCCCATCACGGTGGAAGAAAACAACATCCTGACCTTCTACCGGGATATTCTTCTCCCGGCAGCGTGGCGACTCGACGCCAAGTCCAAACAGAATCTCGCGAGCTCCCGGGCCAAAGCGGACTGGGAAGTCAATACGGCAGGGTTACGGGACGAGGGCACGGCGCTGGCCTTCATCGGCAGCAACGCTTCACTGGTCGCAATCTGTGCAGGGACTGACACGCGTCGGGGCCGAGCACTGCAACGAAAATCCCTGGTCTGTCGTGTCAGAAGCACTGCTGCGTTGCGGCAGAAACTGGCCAGCCGTACCAAAGTCGATCCGTGGATCTGGTGGCACATTTTCATGATCTGGGCCGCCGAGATTGCGGCGGAAAATGCGATAGCAGCACGGATGCATGGGCAAATGCTAAGCAAGCTGGTTGATGAGCACTTTGAGCAAGGGGGCGGTCTTTTCGACAAGATCGAGGAGATTGGGCTGACCATGATCGAGCTCTTATTTTTCTTCCTCTATGCAGACATGAACATGGCCTCCCAGCTCTTGACCCGGCCTGCTTTTGACGTCTACGAATGGCTGCCCAAAGTCTTTGATCCCTTCCTTCGAGCCATCGAGCCCATCCTGGCCCCGGCACCGTTGGATTTCTGCCACCTGGATCCGACCATCGACTCGGAAGAGATGGCGACTTGCGTCAAGTCATGTCGCGACATTTTTGCTCGGTGGCGCCGACGGTGGTCCGACGGACTTCCGGCCAAATCGGCCATGATGCACCTGGGCTGGGGCCAGTATAGATGGTGCATGGCTCTCGGGACACTGGTGAATCGCTATTGCACCTTCAAGGAAGTCTCGGAGACCGCTTCCGGGCCCGAACTCGACTACGCCTACGCGCAGCAATACATGTCCATCAGCGCCGTCAAGTGGTCCCGAGCTCTCACCTTTCAGAACCACGTCTGCGGCAAGAACATCTGGGCGGGGAACGTGTTGGAAACCCTGCGACCTCTGCTTGACAAGAGCGAGCGGCCCAGAGGCAGTCCTGCGTGGGAGAAATGGAAGAATGCGAGGCTGTGGGCGTTCTACGTCGGTGCCATCTATGAAGGCCGCCAGCAGCAGCCCGGGTTGAGCACCGAGTTGTTTGACGGCTGGTTCCACGAACAGTTTGCCCGCCAAGCTCACGACATGGGCCTTTTCACGTGGGAAGATGCTGTGCCCATCCTGAGCGGGTTCCTCTTCGACTCCTCAACCTCTCAGACACAGGGGTCTTGGTTCCAGGAGACCATGAGGTTGAAAGTGGCGTCCATGGCAGGGACTCCGGTGCCAGACAAATATGTAGAACGCTGAAACAGAAGACATCTCCGGGCCAGGTCATGCAAATACACCAGGTGATAAACGTCTGAAGCTATATTTACGTCTTGGATTCCTGCATCTCCTCGTGGTATAGTCAGTCGTTGAGATGATTGCTTGTATGCACGTGTCCGAGCCGGAAAAGGGGTCGAAGTCGGAAAATAATTAATACGCAATACGTAGTAAAAGCTGCAACTTTGCCGAAGACGTCAATTGAACACCCTGTCTCGCAGTCTGTAAGTACAGTAAGTACTTCCACCCACTCGCGCTGTACCGGACTGAACTCGCACCACCTTGCCTAAGCCCAAAGCCATGCGTCTCTTCAGGCTGCTGGCGCTGACAGCGCTGTCGCTGACCGCCACCGTCTCCGCGAAAAAGGCTGCCACGACCAGCAAATTCGACACCTACTTGGCTCAGCAAGCCTCCTCCGCACCCTTCGAACTCGACGAGAAAAGCTACAGTGAACTGACGGCCTCGCCGCGGGACTACTCCCTGGCCGTTCTGCTCACAGCTCGAGACGCCAAATACGCATGTGGCATTTGTCGAGAGTTCGATCCGGAATGGAGCATCCTGGCGAGAAGCTGGCAGAAGGGCGATCGCAACGGGGACAAGAGGCTGCTTTTAGGCACGCTCGATTTTGATCAGGGGAGGAACGTGTTCATGAAGGTCCGTTGATGGCATGACGACTCGGATGGTGAAGGAAGTCGTTGCTGACTGACGGCTCGTACAGCTACAACTCCAAACCGCTCCTGTTCTCCTCTTCTTCCCTCCTACCGTCGGCCCGCACGCCAAACCTGAAGGTCAACCGCTGCGACTCGATTTTCTCGGTCCGCAGTCGGCGGAGAACGTCTACAACTGGCTCCTACGACAGCTCCCGGCGGCGGGCGATTACCCTCGCATCGTCCGACCCATCAACTATGCAAGGATTGGCGCTTTTCTGACCATCGCCATGGGCCTGTTCACATTCATCACCGTTGCATATCCCTACCTGATGCCCATCATTCAGAACCGCAATCTGTGGGCCGGCATCAGTCTGATCATGATCTTGCTCTTCACGAGCGGCCACATGTTCAACCACATCCGCAGGGTCCCCTATGTTGCAGGCAATGGGCGTGGTGGAATCAGCTACTTTGCCGGCGGATTCCAGAACCAGTATGGAATGGAGACCCAGATTGTCGCTGCAATGTGTAAGTTGCCGACCGATGTTGTCCACCGGACCTTTGCTAACCATCGTCGACTACCAGACGCAATTCTCGCCTTTGCAACGATCAATCTGGCTCTGCGAGTGCCCCGGATCAAAGATCCCAAGACTCAGCAAGCGGCAGTCATCATCTGGGCGGCGATTCTGTTCGGGATGTATAGTTTCCTGATGAGCGTCTTTCGGGTCAAGAACGGAGGTTATCCTTTCTGGCTGCCACCATTCTGATAAATAACTATGGGAAGGATGGAGAATTGTGTAAAACTCCTGCAATAAACCACGAGCTTGGGGCAAAGTAAACATTTAGATGGGGGCATGGGCTTGGTTGTCTTAGGTGCTTGACTGATCAAAAATTAAAACATCTTGGAAGGCCAAAAGCCGATTCACTGATTCATTCATTCACTCATTGAGTAACCCACCACGACGACTCCTGAATCCGTCCAGCCTCGAGTTTCCCCAACATTTTAGTGTAGTTTGGAAAATGCGGAGCAGCATAATAATAATGGCTGCGGATCGACCAACTTTCCACCCTTTCGATCCCTGTCCTGACACGCAGTTTTGTTTCCCTTGAGAAGGAGGGTGTTTTGCACTTCGCAGATTGATTGATTGTTCTTATAACGGAGCGAATGAATTATCAGTGTCACGCCTAAGCCAGCCAGCCACCTTGTATTGTTCTCAGTCATGGAAGACTTCTCCCAGTCCCGCGGCGACGACGACTTGTTCGACGACGAGATCATCCCGTTTGACAGCCCACCCTCTCCTGAGAAGGTCTCGCTCGAGCCCTCCTCGCCCGCTGTGGTCGCGGCCCTCCACCTCCTGTCGTCGCCGAACCTGCTTCGACTTCACTCCCGCCCGCTGCCCCAGCGGCGAAACCCCCGACTCCCACGGACTCTTCGTTTCACGGCTCCAAGCCCAAGCCGAGGGGGAGAGGTGGTCATGCCGCTGCTGGACGGGGAGAAATAGGGAGGAAGGTCGCTACAGGGCTAGAAGACTCTAAATGGGCAGCAGCACCACCACCACCGGCGGTCAAAGGTGGAGAGACAGGTTCGTCTTCCAGCGGCCAAGATAGAATGCCTACACGGTCACACGGGAGACGAGGTCCACGGACACCGGAACCCAACACCACATCCGCTGCGGCGCCAACCCCTCAGCCTCCTGCTCCTGCTGAAGATCCAGAATCGTCAGCAGCAGCAGCAGCAGCGACGCCTTCCGCTCCCAGCAACATTCCCACGGGACCATCACACACGGCTGCCCCCCGGCCCCTCGCGGTGCGCGGCGACCGTCTCTCCACAGGGGGGATCCGGCCTCCCAAACTCTCCGAAGAAGAACTGACGGCCAAACTGGCGGCGGCGAAGGAACGGTCGCAGACGTTGGCGGCGGCGCACGCGCGGGCCCAGGCGGACGCGGCGAACTTTGAAGAGCGGGAACGCAAGGCGAAGGCGCGGCGGGAGCGGGACATCAAGGACCGGCGCGCGATGGAGGGCGAGAGGGAGAAGAACCGGCTGCGCAAGATGGCGGGGCAGCTGGGGCGGGAGTGGGATCGGGACAAGGACGAACTCCTGCAGCCGCAGCAGATCAATGGAAGAGGAGGAGGAGGAGGAGGTCGGAGGGGGTTTCCTCCTCCTTCTGGAGGGGCTGGCGGGGAAGGAGTCGAGGAGGATAACGATGATTTGAGAATGTACGAGTGGCACGAGGACCGGGGACGGGGGAGGAGGACGAGGGAGGGGTAGAGGCGGCGGCGGCGGCAGGGGGCTGGGGGGGAGGCAGGGGACGAGGTCGAGGCGGTCCGCGAGGAGGCTTCTCCGGCCACAATGGAGACGGCTTCAATCACCAGCAGGACCAACAGCTCGATTTGTCCGGGGAAACAGACTTCCCTTCCCTGCCTGGCTCCAACACCACAAACACAGCCACTACCAATACCACTACTACTCGAAAGGACCCTCCTGCCGACAGTGACGCGACCACCACCGACCCAGCCTCCTCCAAGCCGAAGCCGAAGCCGAAACCGAGTCGCTGGGCCTCTGGCGACGGAGGAGGAGGATCCTGGGCGGAGCAGGTCGAGTCCAGCGAACTCAATGCCGCCGACGAGAACAGGAGCTAGCTAGCTACATAGCCCCCAGCGGCAGCGGCAGCGGCGCCAGCAGCATCAGGGTGGTGGGTCCCTTCTGGTATGTATGTATGTATGTAAGTAGTGAGTGAGTGAGTGAGTGACTTGAGTGACTTGAGTGACTCGAGTGAGACAATGTTGAAACTGTGTGTGTGTCTGTCTCTCTCTCTCTTTCCCCATTATACACATATAGACGGGATAGGGTGCATGTCCACTCCACTGCGTGAGAAAGGGAAAGGGACAGGCAAAGGGAAGAAGAAAAACGAGAATATGATATAGACAAAGAAAAAAAGAGTAAATCTGGTAACGGCTAACGGCACACTTTTTTCTTCCCTCGATGCTTGATGCCTGGCTCAGGGACCACCCACCCCCAACGGTCAATTGAGTACTGTAGCTATTCTGTCCCGCTCTCTGGTCTCTCTCTCTCTCCATCTAAGATGGATGTTCGAAATCTCTCCAGAATTTCCCCAGAAACCCGACAGTGACGAGTGATATACTCCCCTCCCCTCCCCTCCAGTCCACCCCCCAGACCAACTCCAAGCTCAATAGCAAGAGAGAAAAAAAGAAAAGAAAAAAACAGAAGCAAAAAGCAATTTTAGGTCCCGTCTCTCTCTCTATACATAGTCATTATACACAAGTTCTGTACCGTATGTGGTCGACGGCTTTCACGTCACAGAACACAATCAACCAACAAACAGCAACAACAACCGAAAAAAAAGGTCTGAAGAAGGTCGTTAGCATCGTCAAAGCCGCATCACCATCCCCATCCCCGTCCCTAGCGCGGTAGAAAAGTTTGAACCCTACCACTACCGTGGGGCCTGCTGCTGCTGCTGCTGTTGCTGCTGGTAAAATCTGTTCTCCGACCATTGCTGCTGTTGTTGCGGTGGTGACGAGGGGAGCTCCGAGATGACGCTCGTCCGATCCGAGTAGCTGCGGGGCCCCGACATGCCCGACGCGATCGAGGGAGCACTTTCCTGTGAATAGTCCTTCATGCTGAGCCGCTGGACGTTGTTCAAGTTCTCGGTTATCTGGCTGCTCTGGTCGGACTGGGCCTGGAGATTGGGCGAGCCCATGAGCGTCCCTTCAGACCCGGACAGTTCAGACACCATGCTCATCCGGTGGTCCAGGGGCGGAGTGTTGTGGGCCGGGGGCACCAGGTGGCCGGTGTGGTACGTCGACCCGGGCAGCTCGGCCACAAACTGTTTTGGCGGATCGGGCTGCTTCAGGGGCGCGTAGTAGCTCATCCGTTGTTGGGCGTTGGCTTGATACGGAGGGAGGCTGTAGGTGCTCATTCGCTTGTCGTCGGACCGGAAGGCCGGGTGGAGGGCCATGGTCTGCCAGCCCATGTCTTGCTGCGGCGACAGCATTTGAGGCGACATCGGCCGTTGGTACATGCTCGGGCCGTTGAGGATCTGCGAGCTCGACATGTGAGAGCCGGACTGGAAGCGAGGGGTGTCGGGAGCAGGGGTCGCAGGGACGCCCATGGTCTGGACGGTTTCCTCGAGGCGCTCAGCCTTTTTGAGGATGCGTTCCACGAGGACCTTGTGGGAGTTGTCGAGGTTCTTGCGCACAAACGACGTCAGGAGCATGTTGCACCTCATGTCGCCGTCTTCGCGGATGTAGAGGCCCGTGCGAGGGACTTCGATGCCCAGTTCTCGCGGCTCCGGGGGCTCGCCCGGCAGCGACCCTCCGATGGACCATTTTTCCCGGATGTCCAGGCCCATGGGGGCGTAGATGTGTGTCTGGAGTCCATTGGGCGTGTCGTGGAAGCAGGCCTTGTAGCTGACTTTCCCCTTCATCATCCCGCCGGGCAGGTAATGGATCTTGTCCGTCAGCTCCTGCCAGGCACAGTCCAAGAATTCGTCGGCCGGGGCGTCTCGTGGCGTCTTGATCGGGTGGTGTTCGATGACCAGCGGGTTCAGCTCGATCATCTCATCGTGGTTGTGCAGCATAGCAATGGCGACCTCGCGCGAGACCTGAGGGGGGAGAGGGGTGATGTTGGTGAAGAGGGTGCGTTTCGGCATGGCTAGAAGGGGAGGGCTCGGTTGCTGTCGATCTCAAGATCTCTCGGGAAGGATCTGTAGTGGTTCTTTTCTTGCTGGTAGACGTGGAAGGTGGATTTAATAGTTCTGACGGTATACGAGGTACAGTGGTGTAGTGACCTCTAGACTTTGTCTCGCAACAAGCCTCGCTCGTGAGAGAGAGAGAGAGCAGGAGGATGATCCGAATATGAACGAACTCAGCCCAAAAGATGCCCGTGCAGCTGGTGCAGTGCCTGGGAAGAGCCTAGATCCCCCGTACAAGCAAACGAGCGTCTTGGTAAGAATTCACCTCTAAGAATAGCTAGTGCTTATCACCTTCTGGGTAATTGTGAAGGGGGGCTCGGGGGGTGAATCCGCTCTGTGGCTGACGCGATGCTAGCTGTGACCCTCAGCGAGTGGTCAGATCGCGTTGACTCCCGCTCTTTCGGTTAGATCCAAGCAAAAGAGAGAGGCGGAGTCGTCGAGTCGCCAGTCCTGCACCGGCGGCGCTGTTGAAACGGCCAGTGTCCCCCCCAAAAAAACTCCGGGGGTTGCATCGAGTCGCGGCGGAGGTATGTTCTTCCCGTGGGAGAAGCAATGCACAAACACAGACACAAACATAGATGCAGCTATATCCCCATGGTTCGGCCATGCTGGCGACCAGGGCCACGTGTGGCCATGCTGTGTGTGGGAGGCCAACGGGAGGAGCCAATATTGGCGACCGGAATACGAAAATTGACCTCAGTTGGATGGTGGAGGGGCTGCTGCGCCGCGTCAATGCTCCCCCGTCTTACGGATGGATACAAGCCGAAGTGTTATAAAGGCTAGCTTTGCCACCGTGCCACCTTCGTCAATCTCTGTACGGCGTCTTTGCTGATACAAAAGGTCGGGTCCAGCTCCTTCAGCCCGGGCTCGTTGTATATGGCCAGTGTTGCGAGTCCAAGATATGAGTGTAGGAGATCTGCGAGGGGTGTCAGGAGACGGAGTGTCCACACATGTGTATCACCTCGAGACAATGTGACCACTCACCCGGAAGTTCGCCAGGGGCTTTCCCAAATCCTCCGATAACGTGGGTGACCTTCCCCAGAAGATATCTCCTCAACGAGTCGACGTCGACGAGATGATGCTGTTGTAGGATCTGCGGGACTGTCAGTCGAGAAGGTCAACCGTTCTCCTTGCATACACTGACTGCAAGAGCTCCCACATTCCAAAAGCAATAGCACGTGTCTGCAATCTTCCCACAGCGGCCGCAAAATCCAGCAACTACTTTGTCGGTGGCCAAGCTGCTGTGCATACCGGACACGTCGAAGAAAGACGGTTGAGCTTCGTGGTGGTTTCCAGTCTCGACGCCATCTCCAGGCTGATGGTCTTCGTCCTCGTCTTCACCGTCGTCGTCTTCTTCTATCCAAGTTGTTTGTCGATCCAGCATCCATCTTGTACAGATGGACGTGTCGACATTCGCTCGTTCCGCCATCTCCTGCACGGACACTGCGGGATTCTGAAGCAGCGCGAGAAATGAGAGTGTCGCGACGCCGCAGTAATTCAGCCCGGCTAGCAGAGAAATCAGCAAAGTGGTGGACCATCAACCAGTTGGAGGGATTATACAATGAGCCTCGAGGAGAGGAGCTTGACCGATCCCACCTTCGTGGGACTAAGATAGACATCAGCCCCTGCCTGGTCGTTTGGTAAACCTGTTGGGTTCCTCACCTGACAACTGGCAATATATCTCTGCAAGCCTGCTTCGTCGAAACTTGACCTTTTTGCATGCTCCCCGTATCCCTGTAGAATTCTGATAATGCCCACAGCGCACATGCAGTGTCTGGGGTCATCTGCGCCTTCGACCTGATCATCCTCTCCAAGGAACTCCCCAAAGCTGCCATTAGGTCTTTGCAGACCAGTTACCCAGCCAAGGCACTCTTTCCTCTTCACCCGGGCAAGGTCGTCTCCCAGCATCACCAAGGTGGCCAGTGCAAAGTAGGTGTTGGGCAGATTGGCAGGGTCCCAATGCCAATTGTGGTAGCTCCTCTGGCCCCCCAGCATGGTCCCCGTGAAGCCTCGGAAGCCGCCCGTGTCAGAGACTTGACAGGTGTAAATCCACTCGATCCAGCCTTGCTTTTCGGAGGACGTGATGACGGTGTCGAGGGCTCCCAGCAGATCCAGCGCAGCCACGATAAAGAAGCCGAAGCTCATTCGATTGGCATCACCCGATGTGTAAGGTTCGGGCAGGATTTGCGAACAACGCTTCCAGTACTTGACATGCCGCTCGCGATTAAGGAGGTATTCCTCCTGGGAGGCCATGGAGCAATCGTCCCACAGTCGTCAGCTTCCAACAGAAATCTGATATCAGAATGCAATTCAAGCAGCAGGCGGCGGAAACCCAAAAGTTGTCGTTGTAGGTTCGTGGCGTGGCACAAATGCCTCCGTGTCGTGTCAGATTTCGCACGTCTTCAGCTGACTTTGCATCTCATAAGTCCAGAAGAAAGGAACGGGTTTAAAAGGGCTTTGCAGATCAAGGCAATCCGAGGTATGGACACGAAACCCCTGAAAAATGGGATTGAACATTTGGGCACAAAATAAAACTAGTTGGTGGTAGAACAAGGCCAGCTTTGTAAGGCGCGGAATGTGAAGCTACTACTGCGTCGGGCCTCTTCAACGATGCCCGGATCGCATGTTCAACGGGCATCATGTTCTAACAAAACGTGCCATAATCATGCTTTGAAGTGATTCAAGAGAACTCTGGTCAAGTCATAATCTAAGTCCGCCTATCTGTCGTGCATCCTGTTCATTTTCTCATAAATGACGGGGATTGGCCACGCACATCCTGTGCAATGTCCCGGAAAGAATCGGAGAAAAGAAGAAATCCATCAAGAAAACAATCACATGAAATCATCGTCCTCGAGGCCATCGTCGTAGCTGGTCGTGTCCGCTACTCCTCTGCCCATGTCCCGGGTTGCTGCCAGAGTCGACTTGGTCTTGGCCGCCTTGGACTTTTTGCCGCCCTTCTCCTGGGCCTTCTCCTCCTTCATCTTCTCGTTGCTCAGAGCCGTGAGTGCACTGGCCGCCTTTTTGATCTCTGCACTGGGTAGCTCGGCAGCTATTGCCTTCACAAACGTAGGCAGCCAGATAGCATAGTGCGGTTTTGAAGAGGCGGCCGTGAGCAGAGGGACCAGGGTTGCCGAGAGCGCGTCGAACTGTGTCTTCGTGGCGGGCTTGAACAGGGGCAGTTGTGAGAGATCGATTGTCTGGCCCGGATTTGCCTTGTCTTCGATTATCACCGCCTTGTTGGGAGCAACGCGCGATTTGGGTTCCAGCGCCGCCTCGGCAAATAGATCTTGTGCATGTTTAAGATCAGAATCTTGCTCCGACTGCCGTAGTCTTGCACGCCTGGTTGCTTCATCTTCTTCTGAACTCTCTTCGTCTTCCTCTTCAGCGCGTTTTCGTCGGTTTGCTTCGCGGTGTTCCTCTATCCGCTGAGCCTTGCTCTTTTTGCTCGCCGCAGCTTCTGCGTCTGCTTTGGCTTTGGCTGCGGCCGCTTTCGCAGCTTTCTCTCGCTCAGCTTCAGAGTCTTCTTCTTCTTCCCAGTTGTCGGCAACCTGGCCATTTTGTCAGTCCTTCTGTTGTTCTGCCTGAAAGGCAACCAAACGTACGTCATCGGAATCTTCTTCATCCGCAAACTTGCGTCGCGCAACAGGAACATCTACAGACTCTTCGTCGGATGACTCCTCAGACTCGTCGTCTGCCCAGATAACATTGTTAACATAATGCTCCTGATGTTTCGAGGTAATGGACCCCGCGGCTTCCAGGATGCGACTCACCCCACTTTGAAGGAGGCATGTTGCGCTGAGCGAAAAGACCACGGGCTTTCGCCTTATTTGATGAGCTGAATGCGTGTTAAGAGCAGGAGCCGCAGATCGTGCGATAGACGGTGGGCCAAGCAGAGCGAACCCAGAGGAGGCAATGAAGTTATTACAGTACCTGAATTTCCTCCCAGGTTGTGACGACAAGGAGGCGATCTAACAAAATTCAGGTTGAGGACAACAAAAACGCCAAGACTTCGCTTCAATGAGATACACATCTCGACATTTAGCATAATATCACGTGACTATGCAGATCTCAAGGGCATGTCTAGCGAGAAAAATAAAACGAAACGCCCCGTTCCGAGAGGTTCGCTGAGTGCACCAACATCTTCAGCTCATACGGACTTGATGGAACTATCACACCTGCGTCACCTGGTCTGAACAGAGATGATCTCATAAGATGACAACTGTCCGGGTTGTACAACAATGAGGATCAAAGTTACATAATTCGTACTTTATTCTTGTAAAGTGCATAGAACACACACGACCTGCCCCAAGTTACCCGAAGGGGGCCTCTCCGACGAAGTTGTTTTCAGCGGCCATTTTTGCACGGCTTGGAATCCCAGTATCCCGGAGATCCTACTGCTCACAAGGTGACAGACTTGCGAAAGTTGGTGCCAGCATAGATGGCGTTGGATCCCAACTCTTCCTCGATGCGCAGGATCTGGTTGAGCTTGGCAAGACGTTCAGATCGTGCTGGCGCGCCAGTCTTGATCTCGCCAGCCCGGATACCGACCACGATGTCAGCAATGGTGACATCTTCAGTCTCCCCAGAACGATGAGAAACCATCACGCCCCAACCAGCTGCGTAGGAGTCTTTGGCGGCTTGAATGGATTCGGTGAGGGTACCAATTTGGTTGACTTTGAGCAACAGAGCATTGCAAGCTTTGGATTCGATGGCTCTCTTGATACGCTTCGGATTCGTCACAGTCAAGTCATCACTAACTCCTGTCAGCAATCGAGGCTCATTCCGCCACTAGATTCGAGAACTTACCCGACAATCTGGAAGTTGGACGTCTTGAAGAAATAGCTCCATGCCTCCCAATCGTCCTCGGCAAACGGATCCTCGATCGAGACAATTGGATACTTGCTCGCAAGAGACTTGTACATGTCGGCCAGTTGCTCGTAGGTGATCCATTTGCTGGGGTCGCTGTCGGGGTTTTTGAAGTCAAGATCATACTTGTTCTCCTTCTCTTTGTAGAACTCGCTCGAGGCAACATCCATGGCGATGTTCATCTTGCCCTTGTAACCAGCTTCTTCGATGGCCGAGGAGATCAGGTCCAAAGCTTCTTCGGCGGTTTGGATATCTGGAGCAACGCCACCCTCGTCACCAACGTTGCCAGCAGATTGGCCGTACTTCTTCTTTGCTAGGGCCTTCAGCTTCTGGTAGACCTCAGCACCCCATCGGAGGCCTTCACTGAAGGACGGCGCTTGGCTGTGTTGGTTGTTAGCTCAGGTCCAGAGTGTTCGGGGTGTGAAACTCATACTCGGGCACGATCATGAACTCTTGGAAAGCGAGACGACCACCAGCGTGAGAGCCTCCATTGAGAACGTTCATGAATGGGACAGGTAGCACATATGGCTTCTTTGTACCTGCCAGATCTGAGACGTGTGCGTAGAGAGGGACACCTTTCTGAGCAGCGCCGGCTTTGGCAACCGCAAGACTGACGCCCAGAATGGCATTGGCACCGAGGTTGGTCTTGTTTTCTGTTCCGTCGAGCTCAATCAGGAACTTGTCGACCGAGGATTGGTCTGCGCAATCGATGTTCTTCTCAATCAACTTCGGTCCGATGATTGTGTTCACATTGTTGACCGCTTTCAGGACACCTTTCCCTCCCCAATGTGTCTTGTCACCGTCTCGGAGCTCGCAGGCTTCGTGCTGTCCGGTGGAAGCACCAGAAGGGACAATGGCGCGGTGTAGACCGGTCTCAGTCACGACGTCGACCTCGACCGTCGGGTTACCCCGGGAGTCGTAGACGGAGCGGGCGTGGACCTTGACAATAGGCATGGCTGTCGGTGGGTCAGTGAATGGAAGATATCGGAACAATGGCAAAGAGGCGAGTTGAGGGGGGGACCAAGGACTCGAGAATCGAGGTAGAGTCAAGGAAGGGAAGGGGATCAGTAGATTAACAAATGCGACGTGGGCTGAGGAGCTTCACGAAGACGGGTTGAGGAGAGCTTGAGCAAGGTACTCACTTGGTGTTTTCAGTGGTGTGACAGAAGTTGTTGAGTCAGTAACCAGCTGCTTAGTGATAAATCCAAAGGGGGAAGTAAGAGAACAACTGGGATCCTCGTTCAAAGAAGTGGTAGAGAGGAGGAGAAAAGTGCAGTGACGAAAGCAAAGATATCAAGAGCAGGTGAAACTTTTTGTTGCTTTTTTCGGTGGGGTATGAGCAAGAGCGACTGAGGGTATTGATCGCTACACAACTTCAACTCAGCAGATTCCCTCAGCAGTGATGCAGGGCGGGGGAACACGATTGAACCCCTCCAAAGCTGTGGTTCGACCCATCGCCGGCCACAGACTGCGGATAGGCCAGGGCAACAGGGGTCCTCCCGCGCCCAAGCCGCCTGGCTGGGGCCTCACTAGGCTGTCGTTGGGCCACCACCAGGCTAGAATCAATCAATCAATGGCCACCAAAGCGTAGAGGTGGTTAGACGTCGACACGTGACTTTTATCGGCATACCTTCCCTTACTTGTCTTGTCCTTTCCTGCGCCTTTGCCGCGTAGTGCTGTGGTACCTGCAGCGCGCAAGCTTCCATTTCCTGGGCTATCAGACAATTACTGATCCTGAATCTTGAAACCCTGCCACGACATCTCGCCTTTCTCCCTCTTTAGACCCGAGTCCCTACGCTCCTCCATCTTCCCCATCGATCCCACAAACAAGTACTCTTCGCAGTCCTACAAGCCACGGGATCTCGCACCCGACATTCTCCTCAACTGCCACCATGGATGGAAACGGTGATCCAGAGCGGCAACAAGCTCTCGAACAGTTTAAGAACAAACTTCTAGAGTCTCGAGAATGGGAGGCCAAGTTAAAAGCGCTGAGAATGGACATCAAGGGACTCCAAAAGGAGTTTGAAACAACAGAGGAGAACATAAAGGCATTACAAAGTGTTGGACAAATCATCGGTGAAGTCCTGAAGCAGCTTGATGACGAGCGATGTATGTTTATTGCATTTCCCTTGCCCTTCAAGAATGCTAACATAGTCTAGTCATTGTCAAGGCATCCTCAGGTCCCAGATATGTTGTCGGCTGCCGTTCCAAAGTCGACAAATCCAAACTCAAACAAGGCACGCGAGTCGCGCTCGACATGACCACCCTGACTATCATGAGAATGCTCCCTCGAGAAGTCGATCCTTTGGTCTACAACATGTCTTTAGAAGATCCTGGTCAAGTCTCTTTCGCTGGTATCGGTGGTCTGAATGAACAAATCCGAGAATTGCGGGAGGTGATCGAGCTGCCGCTCAAGAATCCTGAGTTGTTCATCCGAGTTGGCATCAAACCTCCCAAAGGTGTCCTGCTCTATGGGCCTCCTGGTACTGGAAAGACCTTGTTGGCAAGGGCAGTGGCAAGCAGTCTGGACACAAATTTCTTGAAAGGTGAGTGCGTCAGTGGATCCCGAGCTCAATGCTGACTTCGTTCCAGTTGTGTCATCCGCTATTGTCGACAAATATATCGGCGAGTCGGCACGACTGATCCGCGAGATGTTTGGCTACGCCAAAGAACACGAGCCTTGTATCATCTTCATGGACGAAATCGATGCCATTGGCGGGAGGCGCTTCAGTGAAGGTACATCCGCCGACCGAGAAATCCAGAGAACGTTGATGGAGCTTTTGAACCAGCTCGATGGTTTCGACTACCTCGGAAAGACCAAGATCATCATGGCCACCAACAGACCTGATACCCTAGACCCTGCTCTGTTGCGAGCAGGTCGACTGGATCGAAAGATTGAGATTCCACTACCCAATGAGGTTGGCCGCTTGGAGATTTTGAAGATCCACGCTGCCGGGGTGGTGACAGAAGGCAACATCGACTTTGAAAGCGTGGTCAAGATGAGTGACGGTCTCAACGGTGCCGACTTGCGAAACGTTGTCACCGAGGCCGGGTTGTTCGCGATCAAGGATTACAGAGACGCTGTCAACCAGGACGACTTCAACAAGGCGGTGAGGAAAGTGGCCGAGGCGAAGAAACTCGAGGGCAAGTTGGAGTATCAGAAGCTGTAAGATATGATCAGGCGGTTGGGTCTTTCCCTGTATTGCATCGCGAGACGACCCTCAGGGTTAAAGCAAGACGTGCGCGGTCCGGGATAGATGGCTGCGACGGGCCTAACGTCGTTCCATATTATGCCTGCATGAATCCCATAGCGACCCGCCACCACTTGTGAAGTCCTCTCGCCTCCATACGAGCGGCCATTTCTTTGACTGTCGCGACTTCTTCCAGACATCCCGGTCCCAGTCTTTCATCGTTCTGATCAGGTCCAACCCCCCGAAGCTCGGATGCAACAGCATGGACAGGCGCTGCCAATTGGTAGTCTTTGTATCTCAGGTCATGGACCGTGTCGACCCATTTCTGCACATTAACTCGATCGGTGCCTCGTACATACATGACGCCAGGAAGCCCCCCCGAACGAAGAAGAGCGTAGCATTGGTACTGTTTGGCGGCGGCCTTGAGCCGTGCGACCTTCTTCCTGGACGTGATGTGGTGGGTTCGGATCAAAGCATGGTATGTAATAGCACCTTGCATGCCTGGCCCGACCTTGGTACAGTGGGAAAGAGAATGGTATAAAGTGACGTGGACCTGTACTTACGCTGAAGGGAAGCAGGTGGAAGGGCAAAGCTGGATGGTGGGAGGAATAAGGTCGGCAGATCCTCGGCAGAATTCTCGTCTACCGTCGAGGCGGTATCTGCGTTTCTGCCATCTCACCACAATAATAATAAGAGCAATAAGACGGACCACACAATCTTGCTCAGTCTGCCTCATCCCACCATCTCCTCGACTTTGATGTTGGAAATATTAGGTCAACATGCTCTAACACACGCCCAACTAGATCTCAAACAGCCGTTTTCATCACCTCTCTTTCGTACTCTCGATGGGCAAAGGTGTGGCCTATAACAACCTGAGAGAGGCGGACTTCTGCGCCGTCGTCCCTCCCAACAAGAAACCCCTGACTTACGGGCGCTTTCCCCGCATCGAGGATCTCGCGCCTTTCAAGCTCCGATTCAAACTCAAGTTGACAACGGCAACTATGCGAAGGATGGCGTATCCGGCATAGGCCTCAATTAGCTTGTTCGAGGATGAAGAAGGGGCGCCATCTCAACGCGGAAAAATATCCTGCTGCCGATGTCACCAGGTTGTCCCATCCAATATTCATCACAAAAGAACTTCGTTTCGACACCGCTCATCAGATGGCGTCAATGTGAAGCTATAACTCCGCACTGTGCCGTCGGATCCCTCGACCAGCAGAAGCGCCTGCGAGCCTCGGTATATGCAATGCCTTCTCGGTGCCAGATGGGCCTTGGATTCCCATGGGGCTTTCAGAACCGACGGCGATTTGCGGATTTGACCATCCTCGCTACACACTAGCACCACCTCTTACAAATGCTCCATGTCCTGCTGTTCTCTGGGCGGTACCTTTGCATTGCCCCGGTTATTCTGCAACCTCAATTTCCTTCTTCTCTTTCCGTTCCATTGCGTGTGCCCAAAGAGCCTGAGAATCGTGGTGTGGTGTTGAAAGCCAGTCGCTATGGGTTTCTGTATTCAATGATCGTCTTGCTGCTTTCGTCCAGAATTTTGACGGGGTTAGACAGAAAAGTCGGACCAATATTTCCCTGTTTTGAACATTTGAACAGTCATGTCGGACCCCCGACGTGATACTTCCAAGACGGAAGTCGATGCCATACCCATTGATGCTCCTACCAGCAAAGAATTTGAGTTGGAGGCGACGACCGTTGTTTCCTTGCCACCAACGACCCTCACGGATGGTGGACTCCGGGCATGGCTCCAGGTTATTGGCTGTTTCCTTGTCTTCTTCAATGTTTGGTAAGGATTTTCGGTTCTTGACGGGAAACAGATTGTTGATTGCGGCTGGTGAGTAGGGGCTTCACCTTTGCATTCGGCCTCTTCCAGAACTATTACGAGACGTCCTTCCTTAAAACGAGCTCTCCATCCGAGATATCCTGGATCGGGACACTTGCATCGTATCTGTTGATCGTTATTGGCATCATCTCTGGGCCGTTGTTTGACCTCGGCCATTACCGCGTTATGCTCTTTGGTGGTGCGGCTATGTCGTGCTTGGGGATTTTCATGTTAAGCTTGTCAAGCCAGTACTACCAGATCATCTTGACTCAGGGTATCTGCACGGGTCTTGGCTGTGGCGTTCTTTTTATCCCAGGAATGGCACTTGTCAGTCGTTCATTCAGAGCGCGGAGAGCAATCGCACTCGGCCTCGTGAGTTGCGGTGCTCCATTTGGTGAGCGGAAGACCTGGTTTTTATCAAATACAACCCTTGCTTATGGTGAAATCAGGTGGCATCATTTATACCATTGTTTTCCAGCAGCTGATCGATCCCTTGGGTTTTGCTTGGACCGTCAGAGTCATGGGTTTCATCATGCTCGCGTCGTTTCTTCTGGCATTCCCTCTGTTGCTCTGGGGGGCTACAAATACTGGTGACATCAGCTCGGGCACTGCACGAAAACTCTTCGACAGGGCAGCTCTTAAGGATCTCGGGTTCTGGTGCTATACCTGGGCAAACTTCTTTGTCAGTCATTGTCTAGCCCCAGAACGCTATACCTGTCCATGAAAGCTGACCGTCACAGTTGTTTACTGGTTATCTCGTTCCCTTTTTCTATATCCCCAGCTACGCACAGCTTGCATTGGGCACATCACGGGCTCTAGCGCTTTATTCGGTTGTGATTGCACAGGGATCTTCAGTGATTGGGCGAATGATAGCCTCGACTGTCGCGCTGCATATAGGTGTGATGATTCCCTGGATGATTTGTGGCTTCGTCTCCGCCGTTCTTTGCCTGGTTTGGATAGGCATTCACAGCAAAGCTTCTTTCTGCGCGTTTGCCGCTCTCTATGGTAAGCCATGCCAACATTCCAGCCATTGCTCTTACTGTCGGAGTAACAATCGGTACATAGGCTTCTTCAGCGGCGCTCTCATTCCACTACCACCTAGCATATTCCCCGTTGTCTGCCCTGACCCGAAGGTCTTGGGCGCCCGACTCGGTATGGCTCAAGCAATTGGAGCCACCGCTTCCCTTATTGGCAGTCCGATCGCTGGAGCCCTGGTTGGCGATGATGGACGGCACTATGTGGGACTGCAACTCTTCAGCGGGCTTGTGATGATGGTCGGAACTGTGTTCCAACTGTGCCTTTGGTTCACCTTGGTCAAGAAGAGAGACTGCAAGGTCCTGGTCTAGACCCTCATGCTCGCAATGCCGGAGGAAAGGGGATTCGGCGTTTCGTCACTGTTGGCGCGAGTTTGGTGGTCCGCACTCATCTAAAGTTTCTTGAGAAGCTTTACACAGACTTGGTACCCAGTCGCACAGCCTTCCTGATGATCAGGCAAACTTACTTGGATGCCTCACGACATGCTGCCCCAAAACGGATTGCCCGTGACCTCGATCTCAGCTCAGACGAAGTACATAAATAGTCCCTCCGCCTTTCGGCCCCCAGCCCTCCACACGATCATCCCCGGACGTCAGTATACCAACCGCCTTACAAAACATCCGTGCTCTCCCACGGTAAAGTAGGATACGCTTCTTCTCATCCGACTGTCCTGAACTACACCTACCACGATGCCTCTTGGGCTGGACGACGATGAACTCGCAGCCTCCATTGACATGTATGAGTTCCGACTAACCCGAAGGACTCAGACCATATATTCCCTCCAGACGCAGATCTCAACAAAAGATTCTAGCCTACGTCCAGCGACACGGCCGTTGCCTCGACACGATCTGTTGCATGCACGAGGAGAGGGGCAAGCAGCGAAGCAGTCACAGCAGCTTAGCGCCGTCGAAGAAGAGCAACCCAGCAGCCACTTTGGATGGCCTGTAATCGACCCTCCCGCCTCGCCACCGCCTCAAGTAAATATCCGCCATCCCGGGGAAGGCAGAGTCAATACGGTGTACTGTAATGAGGAGATCCAGCCTCGGAAATTAACATACAGCACTTCTCTCCCTGCTATGCCATCCCGTCCACACTACTGTTCCACTTCAGATCTCCAGTACCAGTATATGCCTGCAAGAAATACCCGCCGGCGGGGATTCAGTTATGCAGATGAATTTGAGAAGGAGCTCCGAGAACTAGACATCACACACGTGGGCAGACCGAAAGGGAGACCCAGTACCAAATCTTCCTATACTCGAACTCAATCGGGCATCTCATCGACGAGTTCATCCATACCACAACTCCACAAAAGAGGAATTCTGTTTTGGAAACCAAACAAGGATGTACATTCGCCTGGCTCGACATCCTCCACTGTGAATATGGAGGGTGATCTCGATGATCAAGCACTTGCCACCAATTTTGATGCACCACCTCCTTATACGGAGACGGAGAAACGGGCGTCCCGGTTGGAGCGGCTGCTTAAACATCTGAATGGCCGAGATAGTGACAGTGTTGGTTCTGACACTGGCGGCGGAGCCAGTCAACATGATTCTGCACATCGGGCCGGGTAAAGATATCAAAGGTTTGGAGATGCGAGAACAGCGGTGGAATCCCTCTGGTGCTGGTGGTCAACAGTTCGATTTCAGCTTTACCAGTCTGATTCGAAGTGGGTGGTCTTACGGTTATGAATGTGGAATGAATAACAGCATACTGAGGTTGATGGATTGGCATGACATGGCATATGATAAGATGCTTGTGCCATTAATCAGGGTTTATATCGAGATTCAAATCTCAACTTGCATGTTTGGCTATTTGTACAGGACCACAGGACAAGACATGGGTAGTCCACCACAGAATTAACTGCATGTGACGGGAGAGGTAGGTCTGATATACAACAAAAAAAGTCCATCAGGTAATTGAGTAGAACAAGACATTGAAGTTTTCGGACGCGAGTGTCCTGCCTTGTGCACCTCCTGAAGTTCCGTGTAAAGGCCGAGATCGTATGTCCCTGTGAGCCGGCGATTTGTTCGACAGGTGGGAAGATGGCGTGAAAGGCGACTGGGTGAGTATTCCTGCCTCATTCGCGAATAGGTAGGGCGCTCTGGACCCCAAGACCGACAGAGAAACTTCAATTCTCCTTTCTCCTCGAGCACATGTGCCGGCCATCCCAAAAACAAATAGACCACACGAACAGGGCGCCCCAAGCGACGAAGTCTATTTTGGATACTTCTTCCAACCACGCCCGTGGCCCTTCTGTTTCCACTCTCTGATCAACTCCGGCATGCTTTCCATTGCCTTCCTCCTCTTCTCCAACGTCGCTCCCATATGTCTCTCCCACTTGTGGCCCTTGACCTTTTGTCCCTCGCCCGTCCCTCTAATCCTCAGTCCCCTCTGCAGCAACCGCGACTCCTTAAACACAGAGGATTTTCGCCCGGGCGGAAGTAATTCTTCTATCCCCAAATCCTTTGCGAGTTTCACAAGATCTGCCTGCCGACGCAGACCGATCTTGGGGCCGGCCCAGCGCCCGGTTACGAAGTTTTTGCGGGGGAGGAAGGGGTTTGGCGGGAATTTCTGCAGGGCGTTAGACGTCGACATCGGTGCAGATGCTTCCTCAGTTGTCTCTGCTATTGATGAGTCCGACTGTGGAGGGGGCGCTGTGGCGGATACTGATATAGGCTGTGCAAGGATGCTCGCGACGAGACGTGAAGGTGGTGAAGACGCAGATACTTGGTTCTGTAGTTCAGCCGCTCGGGCGACGGCTGCCTCCTTCGCCTCTCTCCTTGTCAACGGTATCGTGATTCCCGTGAATTTTGCAGAGTAGAGCTGAGGAGGATACCGAGCGAAGAAGTTCTTCAGCCGGAGCGGCAAAGCATTGAGCTCCGCCATGGCAGGGGATGTGGGAGGCGAAAGTTAGATGTGTAAATGGGACAGGTCGTGACGAGAGACGTTTGTTTATTGTCCCCGGCAGCAGACAGCGAAGTTTGTGCTCTGGATCCTCTTGTTCGTATCTTGGTAGCCAAAGGGATATTGTATTAGTGAATGAGAGCAGTCGGTCAAAAAAAGCTGCCAGAGCGCGGATTGAGAACAATGTCTCCGCAGGCTTGGCGGACGGGAAGTACTTTTGCTGCTTCAGCCTCTGGCCTTTTTTCCCAACTTACCTGTTTCTTCAGCCCACTTACTTCGTACTCGTATCGCATGCTGCGGAATACTGTCTACTGCATTCCTGACACTGAGATATACCACTGAAAATAATACTGACTCGCTCATCGTTGCCTACACCGTCGAGATCAATCCTCTTGCGCCCGACGTGGCCTGGTCCAAATGGACGCCTACGGTGGAAATGACGAAGAGAGCGCTGAGTTGCGAAAGCTCTTGGTCGAGGTGGTATGCGACACCCAGGTGACGACAGCATGATCTATGACTGACATCTGGTGCTCGCAGAACGATGACTCGGACAATTTCGAGGTCTGGGAGAAGCTCGTGCGCGCCGCCGAGGCCCTCGAAGGCGGTATCAACAGGAACTCGAGTTCGCAGGCGATCACGGCCGTCCGCAGTGTCTATGACCGCTTCCTCTTAAAGTTCCCTCTGTTCTTCGGCTACTGGAAAAAGTATGCCGATCTGGAGTTCTCGATAGCGGGGACCGAGGCCGCCGACATGGTGAGGAAGCCCACTGCAAATAAGAGAGGCTCGCATGCTAAAAGTCGGACAGGTCTACGAACGTGGGATTGCAAGTATTTCCAACTCGGTAGATTTGTGGACAAACTACTGCTCATTCAAGACCGAGACGAGCCACGACACGGATGCCATTCGAGAGTAAGTATGAGATATGCGTTCCCTCTTGTCGAGAACCTAAACATAGCATGACACAACATCATTAGCAGAAGGAGCTGGCGATGAACTCGATGATGATGGCCACCACAGCTTTGGTGAGCTCATCGTCGCTATCCTTTCCCTTCCGAGCTTGCTTCTCACTCATCACCAGTCAGGTGCTTTGATTTGATTTGCCCGAGAATCGGGCCTTTGCCCGCCCACCCTTTCTGCAGGACCATCTCAACTTGTTGCAAAAGCAATTGAAGGACTATTACCACGCGTACATTCCCCATCCCCCCATATCTGCTTTCTCCCCTTCTTCTCAGGATCCCTTGCGAAGGTATCCTACAATAATGCTAACCAGCTGATGATCAGGCTCTTTGAGAGAGGAGCAGTTTGTGTCGGTCTCGACTTCCTGGCCCATCCCTTCTGGGACAAGTACATCGAGTTCGAAGAGCGCATGGAAGGATTTGACCGAATCTTCGCCATCCTCGGCAGGATCATTCACATCCCTATGCATCAATATGCGAGATACTTTGAGAAATACCGACAGATGGCACAATCACGCCCACTCTCTACCATCGCCCCTTCCGGTACTCTTACCCAACTGCAGATGGACATTGAAAGTGAGGGAGCCGGCTACAAAGCTGGCCGAAGCCAGACAGAAGTGGAGCGCGAGTTACGTGCCCGGATTGACAACTATCACCTCGAGATCTTCAGGCGAACACAGACTGAGACTACGAAACGCTGGACCTACGAGTCTGAAATCAAGCGACCGTACTTCCACGTGACAGACATTGACGAACCTCAGTTGGCCAATTGGCGCAAATATCTCGACTTTGAGGAGTCAGAAGGCGACTACCTCCGGACCCAGTTCTTATACGAGCGCTGCTTGGTCACTTGTGCCCAGCACGAGGAATTCTGGTTACGATACGCCCGGTGGATGCTTGCCCAGCAGGGTAAGGAGGAGGAAGTTCGAAACATCTATCAAAGAGCATCGTGTTTCTATGTGCCTATTGCCCTGCCAACAATCAGACTTCAGTATGCATATTTCGAGGAAATGAGCGGCCGGGTCGATGTGGCAAAAGACATACACGATGCCATCCTTACTCAACTACCTGGTCACGTTGAGACAATCGTCTCTTTGGCGAACATAAATCGACGTCATTCGGGCTTGGAGGCTGCTGTTGCCGTGTACCAAACTCGTCTCGAGTCTTCAGCGATTGATCCTGCGGCGAAAGCTGCTCTCGTGGCAGAATTGGCGAAACTACTCTGGAAGGTCAAAGGTTCGCCGGAAGAAGCCCGCCAGGTATTCCAGAAAAACCAACATTGGTACCTCGAAAGCCCTGCGTTCTGGTCTAGCTACCTGCGTTTTGAGATTGATCAACCTACAAGTGGTGAGACGGAACAACAGCACTACGAGCAGATTCGGCGGGTGGTGGACGAAATCCTCAGCAAGAGCGTTCTACCAGAACCCGTTGTCCAGGAGCTCATCACCACGTACATGAGGTACCTGCTTGAGAGGGGCACCAAAGATGCGGCCAAAGAATATATGAATCTCGATCGCGAGATCAATGGGCCAGCCTCAGTTCAGAAATTGCCCAAGGCAACCCCCGAGGCGAGCAAGGCACTTGGAGTTGTTAATGGACAGGTATGCTACCCTGTACTGAATCACACGGGCGCTGAGACGTACTGACCACCTTGACAGCCTCTCCCGATGCGATACCCTTGACCATTCGACGGCATGTGTCCCACGCAGCGGCCATTTGGCTACGAAGAAACGGTTCACTGAATCTCCCATCATAGGGTCATCGGGGACGGGGTTTAAAAGGGAAAGTGCGCGACCATTCGTTTATTTCAGGTTTTTGCGCGGTGGGGGATTTCTGCATTGATTGGAACGGCTGAAATGATATCCCCGTTGATTGTGAGGAGCGGTCTCCCTGTACACAGGTTCAATGTTGAGATTATCACTGGAACCCAGCCCGCCTGTCTTCCCCTTTCCTCCTCCTTCTCTTCCCCCTGAGCGGTGCATTACCCATCAGTGTTGCCTGAAGCTGGCGGCCGGCCTTCGTTTTTAGAGGGGTTCTAGTCCGCCATGGCCATGAAAGTAGTTTCCTAGTCCTCATTTCTCGGTCACGGTTTCAACTCGATCTCCCGAAGCAGCCACCTCGTCATCATTTCACACAGTTTTCTCGCGATCGCTGTATAGGTACGAACAGTGAGTCGGTATTTCCGTGATAGATGCCCATGTTGAGACAATGCTATGGGCAAGAGCATCACCCTCGGCGAGATTCGAGGACCGCGAACCGTTCCAATCCCGTGACCTCTGATGATATTGTGCGTCTTTGTCTCTCCGTATGGTGTAGGAAGCTTTTGACACGCGGAATACGCCACGGGACAGGTTGCTTTTCCCAGAGATTCACATTATATTAGGGAATCGGGGAATATTGAATATCACTTTCGCTAGCTAGCATATGAACTTAAAAGTACGATAGACATTAGATAATACTCGAATGCCTGAGAGGGTCTGTGGAGAATTGATACATAGTGAACCATCCCACGGACGAGGAGAACCTCTGTCGTGGCTTCTGTATCAAAGGCTCGTCGGTCTTCCTCGTCTGCATCTGGCAGACTTCCAACGTAGATTTTATGCAGGTGCTAGCAGTGCAACTGTCACCGGGGCTCCCTGAACACAAAAGTCTTACAGATCTGGCCACATACAAGTGTCCTGGGTCCGGACCGTCGCCATTCTAGGAGCCAACACCACTGAAAAGAAGTGCAATCCTGTGCCTTTCAATCCGAGATAACGTCTCCTGAACTGCCACTGCTCCTAGGTCGTTCAACCATGCTATTGCCGTACAAGGAAGTCGTGGTCATTCGAGCAACAGGGAATTCTTCCCGACACTATTAAGCAACACCAGTGACAGATCAGGTATTGGCGAGACGCTAGCCAGACGACTACTCGAGGATGGCTCCTTTGCGACTGCTGTCGGCCTTCGAAACCGTCGAAAGAAGCATCTCACAGCCCTCATCTAGCAGTATGGCCACGAAAAGGTCCTGTGCGTGTCCTTCGACATCACAAACCTCGAATCCATCCCAAACTTCACAAGGCATTTCACCAAAACTCATCCTAGTCGGGGATTCAGAGGAAGTCAGACTTCAGTGATCCTGATCCCATCAATGTTGATACTCTCGATCTTGGATTCACCACAAATTACCTGTCTCACCTCGTCCCGACCAAGGCTATCTTACCATGCCCGCAGGAGAAGGACACGGAAAGTGCCTTGATATATGTCACTTCAGGACTCGCTCTTGTTCCCGTACCTAGATGTGCAAACTATTGTGCCTCCAAGGCAGTCATACATCATTTAATCCTCTGCCTGTGCCAACAGCTGGAGGGTTCGAATATCAAGGTGGTCGAGCTGTTGCTTCCCGCAGCGCAGACAGAGCTTCATGATGAAAAGACCGACCTGAGATCAAGGACGGTAGATTAATCGGAATGCCTCTCGACCAATTCATGGACAAGGTATGTTTTCACTCTCAAAGGAATGTTGACGAATTATTCACCTATTCTGATTGAAACGTTGCAGGCATACACTGGATTGACCAGTGGACGAGAGCAGGTTCCCCGTGGACGATGCAGAGCGAGTCTCTGACGCTTTTGAGACCATACGGCAGGAGATCTTTGCGCAAAGGGTCAAAGATATGGGTAACAACCCATAGAAGATAGCTGGGGCAATGGTCCATTGACGTACAGTACATTTCGGGACGGGCCATGTGGATAAACCAGAGACTTTCGTATTAGGACAATAATAACAATGACACTTGACCCCTTTTTCCACACCTTCGTATTACTGCCTGCAACAAATTCTTGGGGTGGTGGCAGCTGGATCGATTACTCATTCAGGAATACGAGTCAGGGAGCAGCCACCACAAGCCGATCTAGAATGCCACGGGGAGCATGTTGTCTCAGCAAGCGATGAGGGGGGTTTGATGACGGGTGGCATCTTACTCGACACTAGGGAGAGGCTGACGAACCGCCTATATTTTTGGACCCTCAGCCGCTGGTGGAGAAGAGGAGCAACCTCGCATACACTCGCCTATGAAGGTAACCTGTTTTGTCCATATCAGCTTGAGGAATCGGGTTAGGTCATGCAGATTTGGGCACGTTATACGCAGCAGGACGAGCCTTTCCTCCTCATCGAAATGGCCAGGCCAGATGGCAAAAGATGATACGAAGACTTGCCGAGGGCTTATGGCTGTTTTCCTCTTTCCCTTTTTTTGTTTTTGCGGGATCCAGGTATGATGCACGAGAAAACGCCGAACCAACGGTTGCACAAGCAAGGGGGAATCAAGGCTATAGCGCAGAGTGTTTCACCACCAAAAGACCATCTCGTATGTCAATAGCTATAGCGGAGTTGATGCGCGGCTTTATTGAAAGCTTAGAGCCGGAGGAGATGAGGAGCTGCCTGCACCGCCTACCTCTACGACCCCGCTTAGGCGCTTCTCTGTTGCTTGTAGCAATTGTCCCTGCCAAGGGCATATGTCTGGGAAAGGTCTGGGAAATGTCTAGGCGGTTGCCGTGCCAGTGATGGGTGGCCAGTGGGTGCCCAATAGGCGGTGGGCACTGGCCACTCACTGAGCACAGGTAGCGAGCGCCCTCGTCCCCTCTCACCCCAATCCGCCACCACAGGTACTGAGCCACGGGTGCCACTCGCCAGACTGGTAGCTTACTGACACTGGGAGCTGTGGGCACCCTTCCACCCACAGAGTGCCACCAAGTGGAGGCCAGAAACATCTCGTCATCCAGCAACTTGGGGGCCAGGAAAAGGACCCTGCGTGTTTGAGCTGAGTTGAGTTTAAGCTTGCTAGCCCCGTTACCCTGGTGCGCCTCTGATGCGCGTCCCGTGCCCGAGACTTGCATGCACCGTTTTTGTGCGCAGTTGTGGTTTGAATTTCAGCCCTGGCTGGGGATACCGCTGGTTGTCAGCAACGAGGACAATTTGGCTCTTTTGTTTTCTCACGGTGCTACAACTACCTTGCTGATTCCCCCCAGCTGATCTCTCTCACTCACTCTCTCTATCTCTCATACACACTGCTTCCATCTTGCTGTTCAAACTCCACAAACCCAGAGCCTTCCCGTCGTTGCTTGCAACCCTGCCTTGACCGCCCCTCCTTTGTTGTCCGCAAGAGTCTATCCCTTCCTTTGTCCGTCGATTGGACCAACTACCTTATACCCAAGGCTCCGGCAGTGCTTTGTGACGTTCTCTTCTGTTCTCACCTCAAGTGAAATCAATCTCTTCAGCCGCACGCTGCAACACTCTTCAAGATGTGGTATGTACACCCCGGCAGCCATTGGCACAGCCTTAGGTATGTGCTGACAGGGCATAAGTGGCATCTTTGGCTATATCAATTACCTGGTCGAGAAGGACCGCAGGTTCATTCTTGACACCCTGCTCAACGGTACGTCGTGCCTCGTATTCCCCAAGCAATCGCCCATCTAACATGGAATTGCCAGGTCTGGCCCGTCTGGAATACCGTGGCTACGACTCAGCCGGTCTCGCGGTTGACGGCGACAAGAAGAATGAGGTCTTTGCATTCAAAGAGGTGGGAAAGGTGGCCAAGCTCCGAGAGATGGTTGAAAAGTCTGGCGTCGACATGACCAAGGTCTTTGACTCTCACTGCGGTATTGCCCATACCCGATGGGCTACCCACGGCCAACCGTCCAGACTCAACTGCCACCCTCACAGGTCAGTTCAGACACATTCCACATGAAGAGCTAGCCCTCTCTGACCAGTCACAGATCTGATCCTAAGTGGGAGTTTGCTGTTGTCCACAATGGCATCATCACAAACTACAAGGAGTTAAGGGCCTTGCTCGAAGGCAAGGGCTTCAAATTCGAGACCGAAACCGACACCGAGTGTATTGCGAAGCTGGCCAAGTACCTATATGACCAGCACCCCGACATTGATTTCACCACTCTCGGAAAGGCCATCATCAAAGAGCTCCAGGGAGCTTTTGGTTTGCTCATGAAATCTGTCCACTACCCTCATGAGTGCATTGCGGCTCGAAAGGGTTCACCTTTGGTGGTGGGTGTCAAGACGGCCAAGAAGATGAAGGTGGACTTTGTGGACGTCGAATACTCCGAAGATGGCGGTGCTTTGTCCGCAGAGATCGCAAACCACAATGTTGCAGTCAAGAAGTCTACGGCTGGTCTCTTGTCACCCAACGGCATGCTGGCTCCTCCTGACAAGTCTCTGCTCCACCGATCGCAATCACGAGCATTCTTGTCCGACGACGGTATGCCTCAGCCCGCCGAGTTCTTCCTCTCGTCCGATGCCTCAGCCTTGGTGGAGCACACCAAGAAAGTTCTGTATCTTGAAGACGACGACATCGCCCACATCCACGATGGTCAACTGAACATTCACAGACTGACCAAGGATGACGGTACCAGCAATGTGCGTGCCATTCAGACCATCGAGCTCGAGCTTCAGGAGATCATGAAGGGCAAATTCGACCACTTCATGCAAAAGGAAATCTTCGAGCAGCCTGAGTCGGTCGTCAACACCATGCGTGGTCGTCTGGACGTTGCAAACAAGACTGTCACATTGGGCGGCTTGAGACAGTATATGAGCACCATCCGAAGATGCAGAAGACTCATCTTCATCGCGTGCGGCACCAGCTATCATTCCTGCATGGCAGTCCGAGGTGCCTTTGAGGAGCTGACGGAAATCCCCATTGCAGTTGAGTTGGCTTCGGATTTCCTCGACAGACAAGCCCCCGTCTTCCGAGACGACACGTGCGTGTTTGTCTCACAGTCCGGCGAGACTGCAGATTCGTTGATGGCTCTTCGTTACTGCTTGGAGCGTGGCGCTCTCACCGTGGGTATTGTCAACGTCGTCGGCTCGTCCATCTCTATGCTCACCCACTGTGGTGTCCACATCAACGCCGGACCTGAAATTGGTGTCGCCTCCACCAAGGCATACACTTCTCAGTTCGTGGCCATGATCATGTTTGCTCTGTCTCTCAGTGAGGACCGCGCTTCCAAGGCACAGCGCCGCCACGAGATTATCGATGGCCTGGCCAAAGTCAGCGACCAGTTCCGGGAAATCCTCCAACTTAACGACTCGATCAAGGAAATGTGCGCCAAGTTCCTTCAGAACCAGAAGTCTCTGTTGCTGCTCGGCCGAGGCAGCCAATACTCCACAGCTTTGGAGGGGGCCCTGAAGATCAAAGAGATCTCATATCTTCACTGTGAAGCAGTCATGTCCGGCGAGCTCAAACATGGTGTTCTGGCCCTTGTCGATGAGAACCTGCCCATCATCATGATCCTGACTAGAGACGACATCTTCCCTAAGTCATTGAACGCTTATCAACAAGGTAAGAACTACCTTGCTCTCACTCACGATCATAGCTAACGATATGACAGTGATTGCTCGTGGCGGACGACCTATCGTCATCTGCAACAAGGACGACCCAGAGTTCCCCCCTTCCAAGACCGAGCGTATTGAGGTGCCAAAGACGGTCGACTGCTTGCAAGGCTTGTTGAACGTCATCCCACTGCAACTGATTGCCTACTGGCTTGCGGTCGCAGAGGGATTGAATGTGGATTTCCCACGTAACTTGGCCAAGTCTGTCACGGTCGAGTAAACTTTAAGGGGATTGAACCTCAGTCAGCATCTGCTTGTTATGCCTGTTTGCGCTATGAGGGATCGTCTCCGGATACGATCTGGGCATGTTGCCAAAGGAAGTAAGGTTGTTTGTAGGACGTAAAAGAGATATCGGTAGAGAGTACTTCCTGGAGTTTGAGGAACAAGACATTTCGTTGCCACTTACCTGTTCACACTGTTCTCCCTTTCATTGAGTAGATAATATCGAGTTGTTGAGAGCATAGCATCGTAGGGCTGAGTTGGAGGAATTTGGAGAAATTGTGTGATGATCTCGAACTGTTATGTTTGGCAACTCACTGTTTCCAGTGCGCCTCAGAATCTCTTTGATATCTATCTCCTCGGGTTTCTCATATGGAAAGAAATGTCGGTAGATGAGTCCCCTACGGCAAAGGCCGTCCTGCAAACGGACAAAATTGCAGCGGCCGTCGTCGTCGTCGGTCGCACAAGCCCCTCGTCTCCTTCCACTGCACGACAATGGCCCTCCCTTGCAGCTCACAACGTCTTCCTATTCCTAGTTGGGTTACGACTGGTCAATGCTTTGACGACGAGGACGTTCTTCCAGCCAGATGAATATTTCCAGGCCCTAGAGCCCGCATGGCAGTGGGCGTTTGGACAAGAAGGAGGGGCGTGGATCACATGGGTGCGATAAACAGAAACACGGCACACACGCAGTGAAGGAAAGCTCATGAGGGACAAACAGGAGTGGAAGAACCATCTGCGATCGGCGATACACCCTGCAATCTTCGGACTCTGGTATCAACTGGCAGACTCGGTGGCTGAGCGTCTGATGCTACAAAGCCCAGTCCGTTCAGAAGTCCTCCTTGCTGCGCCAAAGACCTTGCAGGCCCTATTCGCTGCGACGGCGGATTTCTACACCTGGAGACTTTCGTCCTACGTCTACGGAGAAGACTCGACAGCCTCTTTAGCGACGCTTGTCTTGACGGTTTTGAGTCCGTGGCAATGGTTTTGTTCGACCCGGACATTCTCGAACTCGTTGGAGACGACCTTGACGGTCATCGCGCTACACAACTGGCCCTGGCATTGGACACTGCCACATGGTGGTGACCGCAATGCAGTTGATGTCCATCGCGATAAGCAGAGAATCCGCACCCGGGATGACCTTGCTGCCGAAAAGACATCGACAGACGAGGTGACTCGACTGAGGAGGGCGCTGCTCTGCGCTGCAGCGGCGACAATCCTCCGGCCCACGAATATTCTGATCTGGATGATCCTCACGTTTCTGACATTCGTCCAGGACTGGAGTTCGACAGGCCTCAGTTGGAGCGAGTGCATTGTGTCCGTCCGCGAAACAATCCTGTGTGGGAGCATCATCTTGGCCTCTTCGGCCATACTCGATCGCATTTTCTACAATGCTTGGGTCTTCCCACCCTTGAACTTCCTCCAGGTCAATGTTGTCCAATCGTTGGCAACATTCTACGGCAATAACGATTGGCACTATTATGTCTCCCAGGGATATCCTCTGCTCCTGACGACGGTGCTACCGTTCACATTGATCGGACTATTTCGATCTTTGAGCTCCAACGAAGCGTATTTTGTCCAGATCCCCCGAGGAGGCCGCAATGCACTCCACTCTCTTTCTATTGCATGCCTCCTTGTCCCAGCGGCCTTCTCGGTCATCGCACACAAGGAGGTGCGCTTCATCTATCCCTTGTTACCAGCTTTGCATATCATAAGCGCCTTACCCTTCGCGTCCTTCTTCCACCAACTGACGACTTCGTCCCCGTCTTCTCACTTGGCAAAGCGACTGGTTTTCCTCCTCATTCTGTCCCTGAATCTCACAATATCATACTACATCACCCAAATCCACAACTCCGGCATTGTGGATCTGACCCATTATCTCCGTCACGAGTTCGAGATGACCTATCTCACCTTGCCCACTCCCTCGAATATGACGGTTGGTATGTTCATGCCCTGCCACTCCACGCCCTGGCGGTCACATATACAGTACCCTCCGTCCTCGACACAACCGGGAATCCGGGCTTGGGCGTTAACCTGCGAGCCGCCGCTCCACCTCAATGCGACTGAGAAATCGAGCTATTTGGATGAAGCAGACCAATTTTACGCCAATCCGTCAATTTGGGTTAAGAAACACATGTCACGCCATCCTCCACTCCGCAAGAGCACCGTTCGACCTCCTGGCTCCGTGGCAGGAATCCTCGCAGCCCCGAATCGACACGGCAAGATCGACACCATCCCTTCTGATATTCTTGAAAGTGAGAGGGCGGAGCAATTCTGGAACACCGGTGGCCGAGGTCGGAAGCCATGGCCCGACTACCTTGCTTTCTTTGCACAGCTGGAACCCACATTGCAAGTCATCCTCAGGGAAAGCGGGTATGGCGAGTGTATGCGGCTGTTCAATTCTCACTGGCACGATGACTGGCGGAGGCAGGGCGACGTGGTTGTGTGGTGCCTTGATCCCGCCAGACAGCAGGAATCGAAGACAGCTCTGGCAAGGGAGGACGTACCGTCTGGAGTCAGGATGAGAGACGTTGAAGACGCGATCCACGACCCATCCGCGTTGGAGGATACCGCGACGGGCGCCCAGAAGATTCTCGGCGGCGGCGGTGCCGCGAAGGGCAAGAACAAGAAGGCGAGGGATGAAAGCCAGGAGCGAGACAATGGGAAAAGGAAAAAGGAGCCGTTCAGGAGGGTTGTCGAGAAACCGTTCTGGAAAGTCAGAGCGCCGGGAGACTGAGTGGCCTCCATCCACCCAGCAGCGACCAGCCATTAATCACCACCAACGTCTTTGTCCTTGTCCTTGTCCTTGTCGTGAGAAGCACGGACTTGAACCCCACATATGCGAGCAGATCTACCTACGTAGGGCCAGATAGAGCCTTCTCGACCTGTGTGTGCCACGACATATCTATCCTACACGTGGGCCTGTCGAGTGAGTGAGAGAGTGAACCAATCAATCAACCAATCAATCATCACCATGTCCCCCGTTTTCCAGTTCTGCTCCAGATAAGCAACTCAATCTCCAGCATGTATGTGTTAGAGGGCGAGGCGAGTGAGGCGAGCGAGGTAATAGTGAACCACGTCCACCGACCGACCGACCGCATACTGTACGTAAGAGTTCTCCCACCGCCCAAGGCAGGGTAGGATAGGGTGCATACGATACTGTGTATAAATAGGAAATGAGCCAATACATTGCGCGCAGGCTGCGAAAATCGTGATGCTGCCTCGTCTTTTCTTTTCTGTTTCATTCTTTCTTGTCGCGGAATCACAGAACGCCAGCCAGCCAGCCAGCCTCAACTGTCACGTCGAAAATTATCTTAAGTACTTGAGATGGAAGAAAACCCCATGTAATATTACTGCCCGCTTTTCCCCCAAGTGACTCGACTCTGGCCATAATTCGCCTGACCTCGTCCCGCCCCGCCGTCGTGACATGTCTCATCTCATATATCTCGCGCTCAAACTCGCAAATGCATCGGGACTATGCCTCCCCGCTTCCAAATTGTTGATACTCATGCTCTCTGCACTGGCATGCCGTGCGGCAATCCCCTGCTGTGGCCTCTGTACTCCCACTCCGGCACCCATGCCATTGGGCATGTTCATCCCCTGCCCAAAGGGCTGCTGCGCCGCAAAACTCTGTCCAAAGTTCTGGTTCTGAACCTGGGCCGGGCCTGGCGGAGGAGATCCAAATGGACTGGGCCCGCCACCAACAAAAGGATTGACAGCCCCATTGGCATTGATATTACTCATGTTAGCGTCGGTGACATTGGTCATGAATGGATTTCGGTTTCCACTGCCCCCGGCGGAATGCATGTTCGACAGTGAAACAGGCATAGTAGCGCTACGTTTCGCTGGCGAGATGTGACTGTTGCCAAAGATGTCCCCTGATGGAGCATATGAGACTGGTTGTTGAGGCGGCTGTTGTAGGGGTTGCTGTTGTTGCTGTTCGGACGCAGGTTCTGGGATTGAAGCCAGTGGCTGAAGAGCGGCTTGCGGATAATTGTATAGTGCCAAAATTGAACTCTTGTCGTAGCGACCAGTTTGCTGGGGCATCAGAGACTGTTGAGGCTGCTGAGAGAATTGTGGTTGGGAGTATGATGACTGTTGCTGGAATTGAGGCATTGACCCCGGCATCGCTTGCGCTTGTGTCTGCGGTTGAGGTTGTGTCTGAGATTGGTTGTACTGGAAATTGGCGTAAGGAGATTGATTTTGAGATGCAGAAGGACCCGAAACTTGAGACTGTTGCTGCTGCTGCTGCTGCTGCTGTTGGAAAGGGTTGTTCGGCTGGGGCTGATTTTGAGGAGCAGTACCGAACAGGTCTTGTGGTTGTGTTGGGGGGGGCGAAGACTGCGAGGGTGGTATCCCAAAGGGATTGAGATTCGCCGGGAGCGAGCTTTGTCGAAGTTGCATTTGTGCAGTTTGTCCGGGTGACTGCAAATTCAAGAAGGGGTTTGATGAAGGTGACGGAGGCACCTGGGACAGGAACGGGTTGTTCCCCATTGACTGAGCTGACACAGAGGCCGGCTGGAAGAACGGATTGCTGACGACAGGAATCGCCGCTGGGGATGCCACAGGACCTTGTTGGAATTGCGTCGAGGTCACTGGAGGTGTCATTGAATACTGGAAGCGAGGATCCTGTATAGGAGCAGGTTGGCTCGGATACCCCCCAGTGCTGTGAGGGAACAAGGGCTGAGAAACTTGCAGGGATTGAAAGGACTGTTCGAGCCCTGTTTCGGGCGGAGGCGGGCTGCGATTTGGCTGAGCATAGGGGTTATTGCTACTATAAGTTGCAGCACTGGTTGGAGTCGAGGGTTCTTGAGTCTTTGCCAACGAAAGACCAACAGTCTGTTGGTTGGTCATGGAAGTGAATGGGTTGTATGACGGCTCTTGACGTCTCGAGGTCGGCTCCTGACTCGCAGCAGGCATCGTGCCCTGTTTTCTCGAGGAAGTAGTACTGCCATTTTCATTCGCACCCAGTTGAACCAGAGCCTCAATGGTCCTTTCCACATTCCCATTTAAGCGACGCAGCAAGCTCGTGTTGCGGTCGTCGTTGGTAAAGCCCATGTCTCGCAGTGTAGTCAACTTCACACGCAATTCCGCATCTGTCATCTCATAGCGTGCATCGTCCATCCTCGAATCGTAGTCTCCGGTAGGGATGCGGAATGTGCTGTCAACTCGAGGCTCCTTGTGATGCTTCTTCTTATCATGTTTCGACAGCGTATAGGCGGAAGACGAGGCGCGAAGACCAAAACCAAAGAATTTGCCTTTCTTGGGAGGTAGAGGGGGTGGAGGAGAATCCATGTCTGCTCCCTGAGGTCTGGAATAACTGGAAGATAGACCGTCGTCACGCTGGGGAGGTTCCGGTTTGCCGTCGGACAGACTCTTTTCCTGGTATTTCTTGCGTATGAATCTTTCCATGGCCGAGTCGACTTCATCAACGTCCAGCGGCATGTCAGGCTTCTTGTTCTTGGGGTTGTAGATCTTGTTCACCGCGTTGTTGCCGTTGCGCCTCATATTCTGCATGATGTGTCAGTGTATCTACTTCGGAGTAGGAATGGAGATTCTGCTCACCTCCACCTGATCTGTCGACCAGGTGTCCATGCTCAAAGACTTGACCTTGGAAATATGAGTGCCCAATTTGCGATGCAGAGAGGCGCATCGCATGCAGAGGAAGATCCCCAGACTCCAACTCGCCCACGCTGGGTTCTTCGCACCACAATCAGCGCATTGTGAATTGCCGGGCACGGAGAGCAGCTCGTGAAGCTCCCGCTCGTTCCGCGCCTGGGTTCTCTTGCTCATCGAGGCCATCTCGAGTCGGACGGGGCCGGTTCCGATAGGGTTGTCGTGAAAACTGAGTCGAGCCGGACTTCACGACATGCGGAGCGGAGGGTGACCGACGGTGAAGTTACAGGTTGAGGAACTCGAAATTGATCGACTCGAGGGATCCCAGGAGACGTCAACTCATTGCGACGACTTAATGCAGCGTCGATCCTTTGAGTCCTTGCAGAATGATTACCAAGGTCTCTTGCCGCACTGCAGTGGTATGATCTGAGCTATGCTTTGTTCGTCCATCTGCGCTTGCCGCAATTACATAATAACTGGCTGCGGTTCCAAGAACCCCTTTCTGGGAAATGGTCCAGCGAATAATAGATCTCGTCTACCAGCACATGGGACACTCGACGACTGAATTGTTGCTCTCAAGTCATGCTTGTCTGCATATGTGCAATTCCCACTGAACAAATGAACGAGGTCGATCAGTATCTACATCCAATCTATGCAACTGTAAGATCAATCATCCCAAGCAGTCTTCCACGCCAACGTCATGCCGTTCCCTTTCAACTGTCACTCAAGACATCTCGGCATCCCCATCACCGCGTCTAGCAACGGAATAATCAATTCCATAACTGTACATCTGCTGCAGCATGCCGTATTGATGTTCCATAGGCTCGTCATCCGACAGGTGCCACCATTCTCTGCTATTGTATACCGGGTCCTTCAATTGTTTGTAGTTTTCCTCCTCCTTCATCATGAGGGGCCCAAGTTCCGTCGAAGCTGTCACTCCTCTTGGGTTTGGCTGTGCCTGATAGCCATGCAGGATATAAGGCTCGGCGGTCTGTCTGACCCCACCGACGGGCAAAGCGCATAGATTCTTCAACTTCTCTTGTTCCACCAATTGCAACCGATACTTGGCGGCTTCTTCTTCTCTTTCCATGCTTGTTTGCGGCCAATTTGCCAGGTCATCAGGGTGCATCTGGCTGCCGTACGTTGGAGGGGCGATTTGCCAAAGTTCTATCAACCTCAGCCTCTGTTCAGGCTCTGCGTTCTTGAACAACTGCAATTGGGATGGAAACAATGCCGAGGCGTTGATGCCAGATCGTTCGAGGGTGGTCGACACAGGAGTATCAGGTGGTGCCTGGTGGGCTGAGTGATGATAGTGCTGTGTGATATACGTGATTGGCGTCGACTGCGGGACGACTTGGGGGGTCGGAGGCATGGACATGTCTGGCGGAGACTGGAGAGGGCCGAGATGCAGATTGCGGGTCATCATGTTGATCAGGTCGTCCTGCATCTTGATATCGCTCTCGAACGCCGATAGTCCGCACTAGGGCAAAGAATCAGAAGGTCATGAACGAGGATTGGACCCGGACAAACCTGTCTGCAATGAGGGTTCTCTTCAAAGGCTGCCAGATTGTTGGAGAGGTCTGTCTCGTAGCCACAATGCTGGCACCTGTGAAAAGCGGACGCCATGGTTGGCTTCAGATTTGATAACAACACCAGCGGTTAGAGATCCTTGTCTGCAAAACGAGAACCAGGCAGGGAAGAGGAAGCAAAAATTCTGGGATTTAGGCTTCAAATTCGTATTGTACTAACTAACACACAAGTCTGCTATAGAAGCTCCAGGGAGTCCAGGGAGCAGGTCCAGTGTCCGGAACCGGCGAAAGAATTCCAAGTAGGTCGATGGTCCAGAGTCCAGAACAAAGAGCGGCCTTGGATCCAGAGGTCCAGTCCTGAGGGAATTTGCTGCTCCGGTCCTGAGGCAGCCTGAAGTTAAGAAGCTGTTGATCTGTTTGTGAAGAGATACGAAGTCAAGGGAAGAGGACGAGGTCAAGGGGAGGAGAGGAGCGGGGTAAAAAGGGTTTGGTAAAGTGGTTTTGCGAGTCGGTCGGTTTACAGAAGGCGGTGACTCAGCTCAGCATCAAAGCGTGAGGGCCGCCTGGTGGAGAAAGGGGGTCTGAGAGGTGTCTTTGAGAAGCTGTAGAGTGTCAAGATAGAGAGGAGGCTGAAGGTTGACGATGGTGGGAAGTTGGAAGGAGGCAGCACACATGACCGAGTCGGAAGTTGCTGATGACACGTAGCGGTCGCTGCTGCCCAAACACGCCAAAAACTCCCGAGGCGCGCCTTGGCAGAGGCTAGGCTCCTTTGGGATCGCTGCTCGACATCTGGAATGGCGCGGCTCTGGGGAGCCTGCGTCGCAATCAATGAAGTCTGGTCGTGACAGCAGAAGTTCTCACTGTATACTCAACTTCTCGATATTTCCAATCCCAAAAGCAATCTTGCCCACGCTCCTTTGAGCTGAGACTCTGCCCTGAGCTCACAACCTTCATACAAACAGCAGGAAATTTCCCCAGCTATCCCGTTGCAATGGTATGGCACTTATGGTCCCATCAAGCTCTCACAAAATACTGACTGTCCATTCTGTAGACGTCGATAGGTACAGGCTATGATCTCTCCAACTCTGTCTTCTCTCCGGATGGACGAAACTTCCAAGTCGAATACGCTGTGAAAGCGGTGGAAAATGGCGGGACGTGTGTCGGCATTCGGACCAAGCATGGAGTGGTTCTAGCATGCGAGAAGATCATTACCTCAAAGCTCTTGAAGCCTGGCTCCAACAAGAGAATATCCACGGTTGACCGTAATGCCGGCATCGTGACTTCCGGATTATTACCAGACGGTCGTCACCTCATCAGCAGAGCGAGAGACGAGGCTAGTAGTTGGAGACAAACATACAAAGCCCCCATTCCCATCCATGCTCTGGCGTCAAGAGTAGGGGGTTACGTGCAGGCATACACTTTGTACTCCAGCGTACGGCCTTTTGGTGTGACAGCCATCTTGGGAGGCTGGGATTCTGAAGCGGAACATGGTGTAGACGGGCAGGTCGGAGAGGGTCCCGGGACCGGTGCTGGTGGCAAGTCCGAAGGCGAAGCTGTCAAACGAGGTGGCCCGGGACTTTATATGATCGAGCCTAGTGGGCTATACTGGGTAGGTCAACAGGAATGGTTTTGAAACAACGGTGCTGACAGGTTCTCAGGGCTATTATGGTGCTGCCACAGGCAAAGGGCGGCAGGCTGCCAAAGCTGAACTGGAAAAGCTTGATCTTGGCTCACCGACCTGCGCCCTCACTCTCAAAGAAGCCGTCATGGAAGCTGCTAGGATCATCTACGTGGCCCATGAAGACTCGAAAGACAAGGAATTCGAACTCGAGATGACCTGGATCTCGAGCCTTGACGGCCCTACAAAAGGCCGACACGAACAGGTACCGCAAGAGTTACTCGACGAGGCCGAGAAAGCAGCCAAGAAGAGCCTGGAGGGAGACGACGAAGACGAGGAGGAGGATGCCATGCAGGATTGATTGATCTCGCCTTTTCCAGCACTGTAGCATTACCGGCGTTGGAGACACGTCGATGGGGTTTCTCGTTGAAAAACAAAAGAGGCGGAAACCCACGAGCGGCGCGGATATCTAGTTTTGTGGCTTTTCTACGTCTCTCGCATACCAAGTCTTGACACTGGAGAGACTTCCGGGTGTGTGATACTCCAAAAGACCAACAGGAGCAGATAGGCTATGGCAGCCTAGATCAGGTTCCGGCAATCTTGCCTTCTCCCCAACCCTTTCTCTTCACTCCAAGTTCGACAGCTGCGTTGCCCCAGTCTTCTCCGTGGTTATGTCCCTTGGCCTCCTTGCCTGTGCCTCCTTCTAGGCCTGCCCGAGCCAGACCCTGGCCTTCGTTCAGAACTGTAAGAAGACCAAAGATGACTGGGACACCCGTGTCCAGTTGTACTCTCATCAGGCCGTGGCTCACAGCGTCGGCGATGTATTCGAAGTGCATGGTCTCGCCTTTGATGAGCACCCCGATGGCTATTATGGCGTCAAATGTATGCTTCAGTCCTTTTACATCTTTTTTCTCAGGCTCTGGCGGGCCTGGCTGTAGACTTCCCTGAAGGTCTGTTGTCGAGTTGCTTCCTCCCAGAAGGTCTCCAATCCCGCTGGCGAGACTGCCCATGCCACCTGCGACTGCGCTCGCCGTGCTCTGTATTTGAGAGGCCGCATAGATCCGTTGGACCGCCAGGGGAAGCTCGTACGACCCAGGCACCGACTCGATGACAATGTTCTCCTCTTTCACGCCTTGGGCCAGCATGGCTTTCTTTGCACCGCCGACCAAGGCTTCGATCATGGTGGTGTTCCAACGGGCGTGCACGATGGCAATTCGCAGGCCGGAGCCATCGTGTGTTTGAGGAGCACCAGGCCCCTTGAGCGTCGCCATTGTCTGTTTTGATCAAGGTTGGAGAGTGCGGTCTCTGATTCTGTTGACATGAGGTCTAGAGTAAGTGCGGGTTTGGGGGTAGGCGAGTTGCCAGTGGAAAGCGACGGCTGGCCTGGGCGCGACACCTCCCACGCCTAGTAGTGAGCCTAGCCCGCAGTTGACCTTACAGGGTTGAGAAATCAGCGTGATCAGCCCACCAACCAGCCCACTTGCCCCTCGACGACCTCTCGGCTCTCGCTCACTGTGTCGCCTCTTCTAGTTGCCCTTGCATATCCCATTACGCTTCTCAAACATCCAACCGTCGTCCCCATCCACTCGATTCGCTATCCACCACTGCGGGTCAGGCCTTCGACAGGCTTAAGTGGCCCTCCATTAAGGATACACCTGCACTTAGGGGTATAGCAACAAGTGAGTTCCAAGTGGAAAATCTCTGCACATGACCTAACGTGAGTGGACCTCATAATCCAGGGCACTACTTAAATCATTTTGCCCCGACATTCCTATGTAAGAGACGAGAATTGCTTTACTCCTGCTAGGCTATATATGATCAAATCCATCTGACATCTTTCAGTACAAGACCAAACCGGTGGCCAATTAGCGCAGCCTCGATCCAGAATATCAAGAACTACAATTAGCCCCTCCCCGTCAACAATGGCACCATCAGCAACCAATGGTGATGGCGTCAACGGTATCACCAAGGTGAATGGCCAGACGACCGGCACTCAGCTGAAAGCGACCGCTCCCGCATTTCACCCAGCTGGTACTCCTGACCGATCAAAGTACCACGCTTCAACTTCCGATGAAGCCATACACGCCGAGCACCAGTATGCCGCCCACAATTACCACCCCCTGCCGGTTGTCTTCGCCCGAGCATTGGGAACGACTGTGTGGGACCCAGAAGGCCGAGAATATCTGGACTTCCTGTCCGCATATTCTGCCGTGAATCAGGGCCATTGCCACCCCGAACTGGTCAAAGCCCTTGTTGAACAAGCCTCGACACTCACCCTGAGCTCGAGGGCATTTTACAATGACGTATTTCCCCGTTTCGCAGAGTTTGTCACCAAGTACTTCAACTTCGACATGGTTTTGCCGATGAATACTGGTGCTGAGGCGGTGGAGACAGCAGTCAAGATCGCCAGGAAATGGGGATATAAATCCAAGGGCATACCCCATGACGAGGCAATCGTGCTCAGCGTGGCGGAGAACTTCCACGGGCGGACGTTTTCTGCCATTTCCATGTCCACGGACCCCGAATCTCGCGACAACTATGGCCCCTATCTGCCCGGTGTCGGCAGCATCTCTCCAGCGACGGGCAAAGTCATCCCCTACAATGACATTCCGGCCGTCCGCGCGGCATTCGAATCCCACGGCGACAAGATTGCGGGATTCCTCGTGGAGCCAATTCAAGGTGAAGCCGGCATTGTGGTCCCTGACGACAGCTACCTGACTGAGCTTCGCGCACTGTGTGATAAACACAATGTGCTGCTCATCTGCGACGAGATCCAAACAGGTATCGCCCGCACGGGGAAGCTTCTCTGCCACGAATGGGCCGGAATTAAGCCCGACCTTGTTCTCCTCGGTAAAGCCATCTCTGGTGGAATGTACCCGGTCTCGTGCGTTCTCGGCCGCAAAGATGTGATGCTCACGATCGAACCCGGTACACACGGCTCCACATACGGCGGCAACCCGCTGGGTTGTGCAGTTGCCATTCGCGCTCTTGAGGTCGTCCGTGACGAGAAGATGACTGAACGGGCAGAGAAACTCGGACAAATCTTCCGTGACGGACTAAGAGATTTGAACTCGGAGTTGATCAAGACGGTCAGGGGTAAGGGACTGCTGAATGCAATTGTCATTGATGAGGCGAAGACGAACGGACACAGTGCGTGGGATTTGTGTATGTTGATGAAGGAGAAAGGATTACTAGTGAGTTTCAATCCCCCCGCGTTGTGGTTCTCCAAGGTGCGGCGAGGCTAACCGTGCATGACAGGCAAAACCTACGCACCAAAACATCATCCGTCTTGCCCCACCCCTAGTCATCACAGAGGAGGAAATCCAGCGTGCGTTGGCTATCATTGCGGAGGCAGCAGCGGAACTTCCCCATTTAAAGGGGGAGAAGGAGAAGCAGGTCCTCCCGGAAGGGGAGAAGAATGTTCACATTGGCGTGGACAATTAAGCCGAACTATATTGGTGGAGACGACCCGCCGCATGGCAGGACGCTGAACGGCACGAGGCTACGATGCATCTAATATACTAACGAGTCATTGAGGAACGACGTTCGCTGAAGACATGGGTCGCTTGCCCGAGGAGTGGTGGCATTGATATTCAGCTCTTTCAGTCGGGGCAATGTCATTTTAGACTGTCGAGGTAGTGGGGTTTCAGTTGCTATTGTGGAGAACATATGTATTGATAAGGCATACATCCAATGGAACGTAACATGGCAGCATGAACCTGTGGAAGAGTTCAACTCGGCGTGGCGAAGAACAACAAAAGGTACCGGGGACCAAAGATGATGTTCGGGTTCAGTCATGGGTCGGGATGCTGGCCTGGATAGACTTGTATCAACCTCTGCTCCACCATTGCCAGCCTTGCTTAACCATCCACCAGCAAACGTCTCGTGCTCTCGTGGCTTTCACTGCGTGCAAAGATGTGGCCGATGTACTTCAGATCATGGACCATGGACGGCCTCTCCTGGCGTTCGTCGTGGCGATGGCCCTCTGTTTGGACTTTGGAGGTGGTGTCCTTGGAAGTCGAGCCGTTGGTTGCCGCCGCTGCCGAGGAGCTTCTCTTGGAAGACGTGGAGGTGACATGATTGGTGATGACAGGGCTGAGGTTATGCCACGGTTGGTCACGGCCATCTTCAGCCAGGAACCGTTGCATCGGGGAGGGGTCCTCAGCCATCGGCTCCCTGATCGTGTTGGTGGTGCGCGTGGTGTTCCGGCTCGTCAATGTTTCTTCTGGTGAAGTCGTCTTCAACGTCATCATACCTGACTTGCCCACGGTTCTCAAGCTAGCTCTAAAGGGTGAATCGATTCTCCAGCGGAAGGTTCAATCAAGCAGAGGTCCCGACGATGAAGAAGATGAAGAAGAAGAAGACAGACCCATGTGGCGAGACAAATCCGCCCAGCTTATATAAATGCTGCTTCAGAGCATTTTCACTGCGCCGCCTGACATGTTCATCCGCCTGTGCCCTGTTGTCCGGACATACGACAAAGGATACATATAGTCCGAGTTAGGCGTCGCGAATTCCCCTGGTTCATCTCTGGTAATCGACCACGCCCTCATCCTCGCTACTCGCCAGACGTGATGCAGTTGCAGAGCGCCTGGCAATGTTCTCTGGTGTTTATCAGCGGCCCCAGTGGACCCAGAATTGTGCCTGGCGGGTCATGCCACGAACACGATCACGAACGGTGAATCCAATTTTCGGCCATATGTACCAATTATTAGTGGAGGGGTGGAAGTAGATCGGACAGGATTTATCAGAGGGCGGATATCGGGCAGGTTTGTGGCTCTAGCCGATTAAGCCCTAGTTATTCTTCATCATGTCGTCGCACGACAGCAGGTGAGCCTGCCTCAGGCTGATTGGACCCGTCAGTCATGACACTGGCCCCATTCTGCAACATGCGGCCTTCACGCAGCAGAACAAGTTCCTCTCAAGTTCTGAAAACATTGAACTGCCTTGCTCGTCAGATGTAGGCTCGAAGGTATTTCAAATCCCCTCTGATCCCTCGATGTGGGAGGGTTCGCGTTCTTCACTGAGAATATGGATAATAGCGAACGTTCGACCTCACCACCGCGCAGTCTCGGTGATCCTTTCACCAATGACGGTCCGCATGATCTGCATTTGCCCTACAATTCTTTGATACCCACGTGCCAGGAATTTCATGCGTTTCAGCGTGACTCGGTCGAATCTCTCGACAGCGTCCCTCCCACCAACGACGATCATGAATACCTGAAATTCTTTGACGAGACCATCGACCAGAAGTTCTTGGCTGACGACTTTTGCACGGCCTGCCAAAGCTTTCCTGGGATTGCTTGTCGTTGCGACTGTCCATGGTTAGCAGTGTTCTCCCTGGACAAACCCACTACTCCTTCCTGCAACGATGACACAACAGTTCCATTCGCCGCAGTGTCCAGCAGCGAAAGCAGAGAGACCTTTCTTTCCGAGATGCGAGCCAAAGGACATAGTGAAGCCGAGAGAGGCTTTTGCGTTCCGCCAACGACTCCTCATCGGTCGGCTGGGCCTGTTGTGGATGTCCCCTCCAGCGTATCTTCACAGGGGCCTCGAAGAGGCCAGGCCAACCCGCCAGTCCACCCTCCGGATAGCTTTCTTGCGCCCTCGGCCCTCAAATGCCCGCATTGTGGACAATGCTTTGGCTCGCACTCTCTCCAGGCACAACGTTTTCAGTGAGCATGTCAACTCCGCGACAACGGTGATGTACGCCCTGACAAATCGTAGGAAACATCTAGAAAATCACACGAGCCAAAAGTGTCACATTCAAGGCTGTGACGTTGTTCTGAAAAACGACCCTCGAACCCTCGAACGCCACTTGATGGCCGTTCATGCCGCCCCGTCACAGCCTTCAGATCTTGTCAGCTGTTCGTGCGGAAAGACCTACAAACGGAGGGACCACCTCGTTCGACACCAGAAGCGATGCTATCTATCTCTATCAAAGAAACACGACGAGCCATTGTTAGGGTTTGAATCTACCTGACCTCTGTTGTCGACTGAGTGTTTGAGTGTTGAGGCTTCAGCCTCTTTTGAGGGATGGATCACCCAGACCTAGAAGCGGAGAAGCATGCACATATGATGATGTGTTTCACTTTACTGTGTTTTTCGCTCTGGGTTGCTCTGTTTTGTATATCTAGCTGGGCTTTGTATCTCTTTGTACTTTATATCAACACTCGGTTGTCTGTTCGTGGCGTGGAGTTGGTATCCTGGGCGCGGGTAAAAAGAGGAGCATGCACCTTGGCGAAAAGGATGGTTCAAATGGATGACACGGACGGCTCAGGCTATGATCTTAGCGACTTCACGAAATAGGCCAAGCGAGAACCCCCTCGCACAGGTATGACAGGTCTAGCCTTTCTCCGATACCTCCCTGCCTGCAGGCGTTGCAGTATGAACTATGTTATTTCCAGACTATGAGAGCCTGTGTACCTGATTCTAATGATGAAGTAAACAGGGAACCTCAAACCCCTCGCCAGTGGCTGCCTCATTCAATTGGGGCCACCAATCAAAAGCCTCGTTCGCCTAAGGGGAAGTCATTGCCTGACCAATCGAACCAAAATTCCCATTTGCCAGGTGTCTCAGACGCCTGCGGCTCTGCAGGTCATATCCACGCAGCTGCTTGTTGTTTGCCGTTGGCCGCATAAGTCGCCTAAGCTCAATATGAAAGGGGACCACTTGTGGCAGAGAACGTCGCGCGTGCGCACAGTTGGGCCTCTCTTTCGTGTCAAACCAGAAATAAAGCCATTGCGGCAAGGATGGCCAGCTCACTATCCCAAGGTCTTGCTGCCTCGAACACGTGTTCCGGTCCACCTGGTCTTCGATCTTCGAGAACATCATTGTGCGAGCTGGGGAGCTTGGGATCAGCGCATCGACCCACAGACCAGGAGACGAAGAGAAACCCGTGCACGTATTAGAACCTCAGTGAGACAATCCTAGCCCGACCCACTGATGCAGCGTGTCTGGTAGAAAGCTTGTTGCTTTTTTCTCTCCTTCTTTTCTTGACGTGGCCCGTGCGTAACCCTAGCGACTCGAGTCGCCGCTTCCTCCAAAAATCGGAAACTAGCCGACGCTGACGCTGGCTTCACCACCTTCAACCGAGGTGTCCGATGCAATTCTCGTGTTCGTCGTGCAACAAACCCATCCATCTCGTCTAGATCAAGATGTGTTACTCGAAACCTCCATCGCACCCTCGACAACGCCTAGTCAGAAATGCATCGGCATGGTGCTTGAAATGCACGTCCATGAGCGCATGGGGGCCTTTGTGGGGAGTATATCGGTCAGAACAGGAAAGAAATCGCTTTCCGCGGCTAAGACGAGGAGCATGGCTTCCCCGGGGACGGGAACGGCGGGACACCAAGGCACTACTCCCAATGACTATCCATTCTCGTGCCTCGAAGCCTAGAAGCGCGTACTCCGCCACGACCAGGCACCCTCGGTGCAAGATGTTGATCATGCGTGGAGATCATCAGCGGTATTCCTGCAAATTGTTGGGGTGATCCTCCGAAGCGACGGATTTGCCGAGTCTCATGTGAATCCCCTGTGTGATGGCGGATTAACATCACCCCTTAGATCGAGCGACGGAAGCAGGTTCATGGAACATACATAGGCTGTCAGATATCTTGTCAGCTTCGCGTCCCCAAACACCGGCGGGAACACAGCCTTTCACCTTCCCACATGTGTGGACACTCCGAAGAGTCGTCAGATTGATGGACCTCCTAGAAATCTGTGTAACGAACGACAGTGAGATATGTGCTATACCGAGATCGACTCCAATCTAGACCTCCGACACTCCTGAAAAGAAATCATACCGTGGGGATCATTGAGGCCGGGCCTCCTCGAAGGATGCTCTACCAGCGACCGGTCTCACAATTTGGCAACCGTATTATCTTCCTGTGTTAGCATTCGAACAACCTATTATACCACGCACCTCTGCCATCGTCAACAGCATGAGAAAATTGATGAGAAACAGAACGCAGCTTCTTCTCTTCTCCCCGGCTCCCATCCAGCTGTAGGGCGCGAGAGGAATTGACAAGCTTTATCCCTCAAATGCCGCAGCATGCTGCCGAATATACCTCGTATTCGTCCACCGAGTCTCAGGTTTGGCGAAGGAGTTGCGAACCCACCCTCAAGCGAGAGTCCTAAGCCCTGTTTGGGAATGGAGGGGCACCACCTTCCCAATCGGGTATTAACAAGACGTCATCCCCCACAATTTGCCGAAGAAGTCTGTATACCCCCGATCCGCGGCTGCGTTGCGATAGAATAGACTCCCGGTGTAGTAGGGATCAGAGTCAGTTACTAAGCAGCTTCGACGCCTGGCGTCTGAGTGGCTGTCGCGAGGCGAAAAGTGTATACAAATTTCCTCCGATGTTTGCAGGGTGAGCATTCGGCAGTCCTTTTGAGCCGACTCCACCTAATTACACGTTGGGCTGATTGGTGCCCACAAGAGGCTCGAGGATTCCGGTGCTTGCTTGCTAGCGAACGCATGTGATTGAATGAACTGTCTCGTGCTCCCAGAGGTCATGATCCAAAGATACGGTCCTTTTTTGGGGTAAAGGAGCAGGTACTATACTACTCAATAATCCCAAAGACATAGAGACTGTTATGCTCCTCGCTCTACCCAATGCATCAACGATGAAAGACAAGACCGAGCGGCAGGGAAAGAAAAAGGGCTATTCATCCGGGGGTGCTGTGATCCAGAGGAGCTCGCAGAAACATTCTGCAGGGACCGATCGCGGGTGCAGGTCCCGGCATATGGGATCTGCATTATCGATCCGTAGTTCTCCATCCAATCCCCAGCTAGTTGGGATCTGTTCGAATATCTCCGGCATTACTAGGGACGTGAAAAGCAGTTTTTCGGTGGCATTTTGTATGGGCGGCGCCAGTCGGTGGAACGCTGCCAACATCCGTATGACTCCGATCCAGATCTCTGCGTACCTCTCACCGATAGACGCCGAAATGGTCAGTCGAACCAAGAACCACATCAGATGGACTGGCGATATTGATGCGTCGTCTCGTGCCACTTCGAGGTGCTGGCTGATGGCCTCGATGCACGAATCCGTCGCCGGATCAAAGTCTCCGTGGAGCATGAGCGCGGATGTGAGGAACAAGATCACTGCCAGACGGCAGTTGCGGTCGGTAGGAAATTCTGCAGTGGGCGGCGTCTCAAGCAGCTTTTTCAGTGTTGAAGCTTGGAACGCCCTGACCCTCTTCAAATCTGACAGGCGGTCCATTTCTGCCTCGGAAGTAGGTAGCAGGTTAACCAGGGCCTTTTGACGGCTCCGAAGCAGATCGTTGAGGTTCTTAAGCCCAGTATCTAGACCGGGTCCGAAGTCAAATCCCGTCAGAGGGCCGGGCAGGGCCACGAAGGTCCAGACGAGCTTGGTAAACATGAGATAGTCGCCTTTGAAGGAAGACAACCCGCCGTGGAGCATCACCATCTCCCGGAACGCGAGCCAGTGTGAAGTACCGTCCGACCCTTCCATACATTTGAGGCTGCAGAGAAGGACCGTGCCCAAGATGACGCCTGTATTGAGAGTGTGCAGATTGGACCTGACACTTCGCACAAGACTGTTCTCGTACTCGAGCGGAGCTGGTATGCCCCGAAGGGCTGACCGATGAGTGGCCGCGTCAAACAGCATGGCTCGAAAAGACACCTCGTCACGGCAGTAGAGCTGGAACAAGTCTTTGACGGCAATGGCGTTGCCCATGTGTTTCCAGCGTGCTCTGTACAGCTCCGGCATCACGGTTGCATCTATGCGGCAGGTTTTAGAAGTCGCACCGAGCCTAAGGGCGGTGGAGGTATTAGTTACATACAGTGATGGAAGAGACACCGGTCTGAGGCCGTTGCCAGGAGATGGAGAGGGAGCTCGACCGTCGGCGGACAGGCTGCCTTGACCACCACGTCGACGGGCCATTTGAACTGGTCGAGTCGTACATTGACGGGAGCGATGGCGATGTTCGAAGGGTCGACTTTCCGGCGCTGGCGCTTTATCCGGTGCAACTCTCTCGCGAGATGCGCTCGAGACTTGTGCCGCTTCTCGGGATCATTTTCGTCGACAAAGTGCAAGCGCGGGAGAGGGTTCTGGGCAGCCATTGGGGGGGAGGGAAAGGATGAAGATTGCAGAGGACCGAGGGGAGTTCCCCATGCAGAATGTACATATAATAAAGTACTAACAGTATTACGAAGCCCCCACAACCTCACCACCACAGTTACTAACGTGAGTTAGTATTCAAGGAGGTTAAAAGTCTAGACTCTCGGCAGAATGCCTGGCCTATTGCTTACGAATACCCGCTTGATACTCCCACTAATGCTGCAACTCGCCTCGTTCTTACGTACGGCAAGCGGGTACGGGTTCGGTGTAATTATTGCACGTGATCTCACCTTACCTCACCTTCATGAGCTTGATACAGAGCGAGGCTTTGCTCCTCAAGAGTGATGGGATCCTGGTCCTTTTGGGTGTGCTGACGGTCTGGAGGCGAGAATAAGAACCCGCGGGAAGTAAGAGCATCGAGGGGTTAAGTGATCGACATATTGCATATTGAGTGGATTAGCTATCCAAGCGGCCGAGGTATGCATAGGAAGGGTTCTGTCGTGACAAATACTACTACCATCTTAGAACACTAGCAATGGAGTCAGTCTTCCACGAGGATATAGGTAGTGGGACCTCCACCGCAAGGCTGAGCAGCCCCTGAACGGTTAATGGTATAGAGGACTGGCCGTCAGATACTCAGTTATGGATTAAATATGTACACCCACTCACTACTCGTATGTACACTAGTGCTCATTTCTTGTTCTCAATTGAATAGTTCCCTACTAGACCCTTGACCGTCTCTCTCCCCTCGCCTGTTAAAACTACAATCCGGGCATTTATCATTACCACTGCCCGCTGTAACGCCACGATTTTTGTCTCCCTGCATTGATCAACGAGATGCTACACAGTGCACTGGAGAGCTTACCAGCCTGGCGCCCCCAAAAGCCAGTATCGATACTGTGTTCATGCATATGTGCTATTATGTCGAAATGGATTTAGTACGGATACTACCTGTAGAGTAAAGTACTCCTACCGATCCCGGAGGAGGAGAAGGCTCCTAAGGAGATAAGTGACAGGATAAATGTGGAGCGATTAGGGTCGAGTTCGGCCAGATCTGGACAACTTTGAAGGTACGGTTGAGAAGCAACTGTAGCTCCATCTGCATCAACTCGTAGTTGCTGTTGCCTACTTGATCGTGTTGGTCGGGCTAGATGCAGGCGCAGGAAAGACTTTAATCAAGATTAAAAGCTATAAGGTCGTGGTTCTCACAGTACGAGACTGCCAGATGCAGTTTATCATGGGTTCGGGGAGAATGTTTCGCAGAACTGCTGGCCATAACCTGCGCTCAGCCTACAAGCTAGACACATTCAGCCACTGCAGCTATGATCAGGAACACTCATGACTGTTGGTCGAAATGCGCTCTCAGGGTTTGCTATAGAGAGCCCATGGGCCGCCGTGAGCTCGCTGGGCAGCCCCCGCCAAGAATATTTCTATGGGCCGCGGGGACTTTTTGCCGATGTTGTGACCTGCAAAGCACCACCTGGACGATTCCAGTTCCGAGCCTGACCTCCGAAGCGGAGCAAACTGATCCCAGCTTGACTCAGCCAGGTTTCGCAACGGGCCAGCCCGACTCAGTCGTAGCTGAATTGATTCCAAACTAGCTCCGATCTATGGGGGATTGGTGTACTCGAGCTGTAGTGAAACTGATGCTTAACTCGAATAACAGGATCGTACGCTTCTGCGCTGGAGGAAATGGGATGTCGCAGGGCTCAGTAAGACTACTAACTCGTGAGGAGGAGGTAGTATTTGATATACGCGTCTGGCCCTGTATACCAGGAGATGTAATAATCACAAAGTATTTTCAAGCTCGCAGACAATCCTTCTACGGCAGGGTAGGCTTCTCACTTCTACCTTGGAGGATGCTGGCATTCTCAAGTCTATACCCACTCCTAAACATATCACTAAAATCGCCCAAAAGGGAAATACACCGAGCTCATGATCACGTGATCATACACGGGTGAGATTATAGTTCCTTTCCACCCCCAGGCTCAAAGCAGCTCTTCCAAAGACTCTGAGTGCCAGGAATTTGGATTTTGATGAGCCCAAGGTCGAAAGAATCATTTTGATCAAGTACCGGTAGCATCAAGGATGTGATGTTGTATCACTAGTAGTTTTTATTCTTCAGCGAATCACATCTTCTTCTGAGAAAGGCACGCGAGTTCGGAGCAAATGTGGAAACCAAGTCATACTGACAAACCTATTAGTACTCTAGGACTATATTATAATTCAGAGCATCCACGATGATCCTGACAGCAAGAAGCAATTGACCGCCGTGATCAAAAGACCATCACGTGATTTGACAAACACAGCAAACGGTGCAAACTGGTGCTGGCTGATCCTCGGGGGCTCCAGCTCCAAGTTTCGCAGCGCCAGAGAAGAAGCTCCAGGATAACTCGAGCACTTCATTCAAAACATGGATGTTCAGTCAGTCAGCCTCTCTTGACGGGTGTTGCGTTTCAGCCCTCTATCCACGACAAGGTCACAGCTACTAGAATGCAGTCCCTCCGCTCCCTTGCCCGCGTAGGACCGGCACAGGCCCAATTTCCTAGGAGTTCACTCCGCAACTTCAGCGCCGCCCGCAGATACGCTCAGTCCCAGCGCACTTCAAGCACCAGCTCCTCCCAGCCCGAGCGACCTGTCAACTTCTACACCACGCACGGCCGCGCCTTTTTTAAAGCCATCACCTTAGCCTTTCTGACGTACCAAATCGCGTATTGGGGCTGGCTGACGTTGGAGACGGAATACCTCAAAGACCAGAAGAACCGTGAGATCAAGTCGCTGGAGCAGGAGGTGAGGTTGCTGGACGAAGGCCGAAAGGCTCACCGGCCCAGTAGTACCTCTTGAGGACGCTGAAAGAGCTTATGAAGCAGAGGAGGATATTTATGCAGATATTTCAAGGGAGCAGACTACCCGCCCATCATCAGAGGGCCGTCTTTTGCAACTTCGAGGGTATGGGGAGGCCTGCGGATTGAAGGTGCCACATCCCACCCAATCACCTTCCGGATCAGATGTGGAAAGCGATCCTCCAGAATTTTCGACGGGACGCCGAGGAGTGAGATGCGTGTGGGTTAGAGGGACTTCCACTCAACAACTTGAAGCTGGGCGTCGCGCATGATGCACCACAGCACTCTCATTCTCCGTCCAGGGGCGTCCCCGACTGTCGGCCGCCCAATTAGCACGAACAACACTTGCCTCAGTTTTCAATGGAAGCAGTATTGCTCGGCTAGGATGTATCCGTACGATTGACACTGGCGTCCTGATTTACAACCTACAACCAATATACACCTGCTGTACTAACAGAGATGGCCACATTGGTCAATCAACACGAAACCACAACCACATCTATGAACCATATCTTGTCTCACAGTGAATGGACTACAGCCTCCGATAAGGCTGGTCATCCATGACACCGTCGAAGTCTCTCGGAGAACTCGCTTCCTTCCCTGCACCAGAGAAACCAGAGAGGAGCCGATTCCGATGGAGTACAGCAGTGAACAAGCTGAATTGGATGGTGATCGCCAGCGAAGCAACACTCTTCACGCGGCAGGCAAGGTAAAGTTACCGAAGCACTACCTGTGATACGAGGCCCTAAATGACAGCAAGATGATCTCAGACGGGATGGATGAGCCCAGCAAACACGAGTCGAATGACAGAGGCCTGAGAGGGACAGAGGGAAGTAGAGAGAACTGATGGGGACATAAAAAGACACGGGCAGCATGCACGACGCGTGAATCTTGTCTCGTATACTTGCTTCTTTTACTCGCCACGGGGATACGAAATAATCTATGTCTTCTCATATCCAGTACCAGTTGGTGAATTCCTGCCCCGTTCCATTCGTTGCATTCTCCATCTCCCAATGACACTGCGTTTCATTCCATTGTATTCGTTAGTACTCACCCTTCCTGGCTCAGCAACCAACCGTCACCCATCCATCTCGCTCTCTCTCTCCCCCTCTCTCTAAGGTGGATTTTTGACTCCCTCCTGACTTCTCAACTGGGCATCAGCGGCTTAAACCTACTATCCAACCTGCCCGCTCCTGGCCTGTCATCCTCGTCCATGAGACCATCGTTCGCATTGACACTGGCGTTTGCATTTGCACCGCCGTCCGGTCTGTTCCTCACTGGCAAAGCCGGGGCATTGGTGCTCGTGCCACCTGTATCTCTCCGCGGGGGCAAGGGTGGTGCGGGAGCATCGTACGACTCATCATCGCGCTGGGTCTGGAGTTTCGATGCTCTCAGAGGAGGCAGAGCGTGAGGAGGAGGATTGATGCCCCGTTGCAGATTTCTCGTCCCGTGGCCCGCCGAGAAGGATTCCGGGGCGCTCACGAACGAGGCCGTGGAACTCGCCGTCTCCGTGCGCCGGGGAAGTGGTGGAGGGCGCTCTTCAGATTCCGACGACGCCATGGAAACCTCTGGCCGGGACACGCTTGCCAGTCGCGGCAGGACTGGGCCGGGCAGAGGGCTCAGCTGCGGGACGGCGACCTGGCTGGACGAGGCCGTGAGGGCCGACGGCTTTGTGGGTTTGGGCGGAGGACGTTTCTTGGGGAACCCTGCCGCGGAGGAGGATCGGGCAGGAATGTTTACCAGATCACCTGTCGACGACAGGGCGGACCGGACAGGCGAGGTGGTGGCGCTGAGAGCTCGATTCCGTGGCACCGAGCCTCCTCGTGGTGTCGGGGGTGTTGGACGTCGAAGGGCCTTCATCTCTGCCGCCGGTGTGGATGGCGTTGCAGCTCGCTCTCCCTCCCAGGGTGGAGGCACCATTCTCTTCACCGTCCTCGGTGGTGGCGGTTCTGGTTTCCTGCTTCCGAGCCTGTTGCCTTGCTTGTTGTTGTTGCTGTTGTTGTCCATGATCGGCGGCCTCTCGATCTCGACCCAGTCGTCCTCTCCGCCCTCACGCCACGGGTTGCCTTCGCGGTTCCCGCTCAATATCATGCCCTCCTTGGGTGGGCGCACCGTGCTTCTGGCGGCTTTATTGCCATCCAACCACCACTTTCGCTTGTCGCTGCTCGCCGGCGGCAGGCCTTCCTGGATGCTCTCATATCCCATGAGACTCTCCATGATGCTGTCGGTTTCGTCATCCGTCTCCATATCATCCAACCCTTCAGTGGAATCTCCCGCTTTGCTCTTCATCTCCTTCGCTCTCTTTGAGTATAGTTTCTTGGTCAAGGCATCCTTCTTCTCTTCGTCTACCACCCGGATCCCCACGTCAAATATGGCATAGACCGGTCGGTGGTCGCTGAACCGTAAGGCCATGACGCTGTCATATTCTAATTGCTTCATATGCGAGCCGAGGATCTCTCCAGCCTGCACTACGTTTCGGTTATGGTTGACCTTCCAGAGGATACGGTCGGTCCAGGCAGGTATACGTTGCTTGTCACTGGAGTCGAACTCGTCTTTGCCAATGTCGTACTTGTATGTCGGCAGGAACTTGACCCGTCCTTCCCGATAATAGTTGAAGCAATTTCCGACCACCATCTGGATGTTGAGTTGGTCGTTTTCGTAAAGCTTGCCCAACGCATCTTCTCTAACCTTTTCGGACCCGATCATCGCTTCGGTGACTAGGGCTTTGACGCGCTCGTAGCCTAGACCGATCCGATAGTTGAAGTCCCCCGCCCACACGATGATCTCGTGGTCTTCGATGCTCCGGTTGCGTTGGAACCGCAGGCCCGAGGTGATTGTGTTGTAGTCTCGATTCCGTTCCTCATAGTTGGCGAACCCTGCGGCCAAGTGGGCCGTGACAAAGCACACCGACGTGCTTTCAATGTCCATTCTGATGGCGACGGCTCCTTTATTTCCAGCGATCCCACTCATACCTGTTTTCTTGATGGCGCCCTCAACATTCTTGATTCTACTCAGAATGCTTGCCCGGACAAAGACCATCAAGGCTGCTCCCACCAATTGCCCGCTCCTCAAAAGGACATATTCGTCGCCTTTTGTGGGTACCCCCTCGAATTTCTCGTCGGGACCATGCCCATTGAGACAGTTTCTGACTGCCCGTTCCCACAACATTCGACGGTTGGGGTCTGTGCTCATAATCTGCTGCGGACTGAGCTCGACGATTTCTTGGAAGCCCACCACCACGATGTCTAGGTTCTTGCCGCGGACGTCCAGCCAAGGAGTCAAGTCTTCATGGATTCCTGTTGTTTTGCCATTCAAGTTGTATGTTCCCATTCCGAGCCTGAGCTGATCCCGCGACTCAAACTCCGCTCTCCGTCTAGCAACCTCCGCCACGACCCAGTCGTTGATAGGGTCGAACAGGTCCACGCTCGTCTGTCCGACCAATCTGCCGAGCAACAGATCAACAGTATTCTGCCTGTTCTTGTCCTCGAAGTGATTGACATAGAGGCGTGTAGCACTCTTTCGAGCATCTGCCAGAGCACCCGCAAGGCTCATCTTGCCGTGTCTTGTGAATGAACTTTTCAACGCTCCGGTCCCAGCATATATTCTCGAAAGGGAGTCTCCATTGTCGGCCCACAATGCAGAATGGCGCATCCAAAAGTCAGAATTGCCTCGTTCGTCTCGGTGCGATAGAAACAACTCCAACGCCATCTGGCTGATGATGCCCTGTATGAGATTGGTCCGATCTAAGCAGTCAAGGCAATTGACACGAAAGATGCCGTTTTGTTGCATGATAACAATAGGCCTTCGGACAAGTTTCCTCCTGCCCTGCTCGACGGCAACTTCCTCTATCTCTTCTGAGAGAAAGTAGACAAACGACTCTGCGCTCGTGTCCAAATATGGTCGGATCGCTTTTGCTGCCTCGTATCCGGTGGGTCCACGAGTTCGTTCGTGGAAATCAAATTCTGTTTCGTGGAGCAGATGGTGCTCTTCCACTTCACCTTCCTCATGCCGTCGCAGTGGGCTTCTACTCACATGGTACCGGTACCTCTCTGTCAGCTCAACCTCACCGGGTTTGGAGGCGCTCAGCAGATTCACAATATGGACCGCACCGTAGGTTCTCTCTAGAGTTGCGAAATGCTTGTCAAATGCTGGCTGCGTGGCCTCTGGCGAGCGGGTGATTTGGATCTTTTGTTGGCCTGGTATCAGGCTGCTCGAGCTTTCCCAGAATATTGGTATGCTGCCTCGCACTTGAGTGTATGAGAAGCACAGGCCGGTGGGAGACCAGAAGACAGTTTCAGTCTCGACGAAGTTGGCAACATTACCGTCATCGTCAATGCCCCGGGAGTTGAAGCGCGTACCGGCCCTTCTGGACGATAATCTAGATATGATACTTAGGGTTGTGGGTGGACCAGGGACAGTGCCCCGGATTGGGGAGGAAGATGGTGGTATCGGCAGACTTTTGACGAAGCCTCGAATCACAGAGGTGAGAAGGCGAGAGCGGTCCAGGGCATTTCGTTCGAGATCAGTAAGCCTGCTCCTGAATTTGATCAATGGATCGATCATGTAAGAGTTCCAAAGAAGGCCTTCGTCGAGACTGGAGATGTCAACGGTACTTTCTGCCTCGGCACTAGGACTGGTCAGCTCTGCTCTTGATGATTGACTGCAACCTACCGATCCTGAAGCCGTCGTGTCAGATCAAAATCAGCACTGTAGTAGAAATTGCCGTTGCTGAGGAGTTTCTTCAAAGCGTGAAATGGATGTTCAGAGACATCATCGCCTTGGGTGTAGTCGACATCATCCGACTGGAAGACCTGTCCAGGATATGGGTTTGGATAAGGCCCATGAGCGTGATCGTAATCTGCACGGTTGAGACAGTCTAGCCAGTCATGAGCATGACGTCTCTCTAGCAAGGGGAACCGACTCACAGAACTCCACGGCGAAGATCTTCTGGACAGTCTCGCCTGGCCTCACAGTAGCCACCTCCTCTGACCCTGTGATGACACAAAGGAAGACATCGTTGTTGAGGGTGATGAGACCCAGGGTACCCCTCGCGGTAGTGACAGGATGAAAGTGCTCGAGGTTGATGAGAGACTTGTCTCCGAACTCTACCATACACCGAGGTGTCTGGCTGGATCGACTCGTGTTGCCCAGTGGCAGGCTGGTCGAGCTCGAAATTGAGGCCCTGCCACTCTCTGGTGCAGCATGAGAGTGGCGAAATACCAGGACATGCTCATCTGTTGCGAGGGCTACTGTCCGGTGCGGGTAATCGTGGATCAACACCTTCGTTGACATTGTGTCGAAGGTCACCGGATGACGCGCACTTGGCCCCGCATCGCCAGGCTCATCGGCGGTGTCTATATGCAGACAGACTCAAGCAGGCGTGAGGACCTCCGGGCAACAGACCATTGACTTATTGTGGAATGCAGTCGCGTGCTAGGAGGTTTGGGTTTCGGCGAATTCGTTGAGGCTCCACAGCCACACACCAGGCTGTATTATAAGTCGCTTGACACAATGCTCGGGTTAAAAATCTGGCTTGTCATCAGAAAACCTGGGCTAGTCAGGATGGTCACTCTCTGAAATTGACAAAGGGTCGATTGATTGATGGAAGCTGAAGTTGAGGTTGGCTGGCGGAACACGTGACATCCCGCTTAGTGAGATTTCGCCTACGTCTCCGTCTGGGATACTCGACCAGGTACGGAAGACGCAGCACAGAACAGCGAAAAGAGGAGTCTTTGACTCTTGGACAGGCTCTATTTTATTCATTATGTTGCTACACGACCTCTGTATCTCCAAGGCAATGAGCAACATTGCCAGCTATGCCGACCGACCTGCAATAAAAATGGGTATCTTATATGAAACCCCATACAAGCACCACCAGATGAGTCCCCAGTATGCAAAGAGTCGGCAATATCCTCGAGCCGATATCCCAACAACCTCATGTCAAAATGCTTCGCCGCTCATTCGAGAGCTGTTTCTTCGGTTGTCAGACCCCTGATTCCCACACCACATGTATTTTGGAAACTCCCGCTAAAGCCACAGTTCGTAAGTCGTAACCCAACAAAAGAAATACATCCACGTGTCGCGTCCCCTGAGGCATGAAAAACCGATCCCGAATGTTCGAGAGGATAAAGCCATGCCTCCTGAAGTGGCCTATGCGAGAGGCTCCCTCGTCCGTCGATCTCCAAAAACTGTTGTAGATTGGTTGCGGGATGGCCGTAGAAAACCGAGAGAGGTGAAGTTGGCGCCGTAGTGTATGGTACTGAAACAGATGAGCAATGGACAGTTCCACCCACGCACTTTCCACCTTTCCTCGTCGTCCCACAATCCTCCGGACCCAGTGCTGGCCCAATCTACCCAATTTGTCGTGTCCACGTCAAGGGAGCCGCTCACATAACGGTGCATGCACTGTCGTCAGTGGCACCGTGCTGATATTTAGCGGCCACATCAGGCTTTTTATCACCTTTTAAAGCCCGCGAAGGCCGACCCGCTCCTCCTAGCATCCAGCCAGCGATGCCTCCGGTCGGTTTCTTCTTTCTAGGGCCTGGAACATAATGATCAGAATGCATCGTCCTACGAGCAAGTTCGTCCGGGGATCCCATGTGTCTTACCTCTTTTCTCCTTCCTGGGGTTCATGATCTCTTCCAGATTAAGAATAGTGTCGTCCAATATCACTGGAGGCGGCGGAGGCGGCGGAGGCTCCTCTATTATCTCTTCCTTCGGTTCGGGAATGGGCCACAGCATCATGGTGATGTGCATATCTGGCTCGATGGTTGATTCCCAATAGTTGGGCATGATGATCTCTTTGTCAGGCCCGATCAGGTCGTAACGACCAGCACTCACATGCTCTGCCAGGTTTTCGATGTGTGCAAATGCTTGGACGATCAGATTTTCCATATCCTGCAGATAAGTTAGCTGCGGTTTCTTGGCCGGTGGTCGAGTAACTTACCCTCCATTTGCAACATCGATCCCAGGGGAAATTGTAATTTCGCCCAATGGCATCTTTGAATCGGACCGGAGCCTTCTTTTCGGGCCCCTTTGCAGCAGCGGCCTTCTTTTCCGCCTCTTCGGCTTCTGCTTTTGCTTTTGCAGCTGCTTCTTCGGCCTCTTTGAGCTTAGCTTCAGCTTCTTCCTTCACCCTTCTTGCCTCTTCTCGCGCAGCAGCCGCTAGCTCTGCAGCCTCCTTCTCGGCTGCGATCTTCGCAGCCGCTGCAGCGTCGTCGGCAATCTTCTTCTCGGCTGCGGCTTTTTCGGCCTTCGCAGCAGCCTCTTCCGCAGCAGCTTTGAGGGCGGCTTCTGCAGCCTCTTTGCGAATCTGCTGCTCTCTTGCGGCTTGTTCGGCGGCCGCTCGGACTTGCTCCTCGTAGGCCCGAATTGCTTCTTGCCTCGCTTCTTCTCGAATCCGTTTCTCTGCGGCCCTGCGCTCGGCTTCTGCTGCAGCCTCGGCACGTGCCTTCGCTTCTGCAGCACGCACAGCTTCTTCTCGGATGCGCCGCTCTTCTTCCATGCGTGCTGCCGCAGCTGTGGCTTCTGCTCGAGCCTTTTCTGCGGCATGCAGCAGGGCCTGTTCTCGGATCCGCTTCTCTTCTTCCGCACGTAGAGCGTCTTGTCGGGCTTTCTCCTCGGCTTGACGCATTGCTTCCTGTCGAGCCTTCTCTTCAGCTTGCCGTACTTTCTCCTCTGCCAGAATTAGTGCATCTTGCCGGGCCCTTTCATCCTGCCGGGCCTTTTCCTCGGCCTGTCGGGCCTTCTCCTCAGCTTGTCGAACTTTCTCCTCCACCTGCCTCAGTGCCTGTTCTCGAAGACGATGTTCTTGCTCCGCAATTGAAGCTGCTATTGTGGCTTTCTCGGCTGCCTCCGCATCCTTGGCGAGCTGATCTTCTTTCATCAAATCCTTGAGGCGTCTAACAAGTTCATCGTCATTCTTGGCTTCGAGTTTTTCGGCAGACGCACTTGCTGACACTGGTTGTGGAGAAGGTGCGACCGGTGGAGCATAGTAGGGGTAAGGCATTTGTTGAGGGTACTGCATGTAATGTGGCGGAAACTGCTGGGCACCAAAGGGCGGAGGATATTGAGAATAATAGCTCGCTGGCGGAGGGGGAACGCCGTAGTTGACGACTGTCGCCGGACCATAAGGAGATGATGTGTATGGAGCGCTCACTTGTGAAGGAGCATGGTGGCTGAAACCACCTGGATACGCCCCATGAGGAGGATATGGCACTTGCTGGCCTTGGGGATAGGGGTTGGGATAAGGCATAGCCATTGGTTGCGGTTGAAGCGCGATCACTTGATTTGCAGGATGTGGCACGGGAGGATATGGGTATGAAGCGGACGAACTGCTGTGTGTATACCCGGCGTGCCCATAATATGATTGAGATCGAGGCATGTGAGATCCCAGGTCCCGCCTGGCAAGGAACTCCTCGGTCGAGTCCCCACTCTCCGTCGGGGATGTGTCTTGCAACTCTCGAGTGCGACTGCGAGCGGGCTCACGAATAGCCTGCTGGCGGTGCACCGGTTGTCGTCTTGCTGAATTGGATCGAGACTCGTATTGCTGCACTCTTTCACGGTGGTCTATTCTCGAAGCGGAATCTGAGCCATCAGGCTCTCCCAGTTCGTTCGGGAAGAGGGCTTGCACGAAGTCACCGTGGTGAGAGGAGGAGCCGCTCTGGCTCTGGGTCGGCTGGATGACCGAATACGTGGGCGAGACACCGGCAGAGACCTGCACACCGTTTTCGCGGAGCTCGTCGTCTTGCGAGCTGGGGGAAGGAGAGCGGGAGGAGATGTGGGTAATATCAATGTGTGTGTGACTGTGACGACCTGAAGACCTGGAAGCAGGAGAGTCAGCACTGGTGGGCGAAAATGTCGGTGAAATAACCCACCCCATGAGCGACTGAGTGAGGTCAAGGAATTACCGCGTTCAACCTACCCCAGAGGGAAGGCTGAACGAGATAGCCTTGAGGGTTATGTTAGTGTGTCAAGGGATGTGCTAACCGGACCAAAGAGGGCTGACTTCAGGCAGTAATAGGACCGTCCAAATGGGCCAGATCCAGTGTATATCTGAAACCAGTATCCTTCAGCGCCAAATGTGGTCGAGGAAATTCAAAGGCCTGGCGAGAGGGGGCGTGGTAACCTCCCGCAGGTGTGAGCACCGGTAGCGTCTGCGGTCTTGAGGGTGCGTCGCGAAATTCCGACAAGGTGGATCCGTGGCCGTGGGGAGGTAAAGGGACGAAGGGTCGGGCCAGAAGCAGAACAGGTTGCACATGCGAGGAGCCGAGGGGAATGCCGATGAAACGACGAGGAGTGAGAAAAGAATTACAAGGTATTCAATGGGTAGGGGATGCAAGATGGCGACGGGAATAGATGTAGTGAGTGAAAGGGTGACGGGTGTCGAGGGAGGGAAAAGGAGGAGGTGGAAGGTGACAATGGTAGCGAGATGAGACGGTGAAGTCTGGCTGCCCAGAATGAAAATGTGTGAGAGCGCGTGGACAGGTTGTTGACGCCAATGTGGTTGTTTGGCGTGTGTGCTGTGTGTGTGTGTGTGTGTGTGTGTGTGTTGACGGGGGATCTGGTTGCTGGTTGCTGGATCCGCCCAAAGAGTCAAAAAGGTCGAAAAGGGGGGTAAGGAAATTGGGTGACTGATGCCCAATTGCTCACCCACTTAATGGATTCCCCCCTAATTCGTCAGGTGCAGGCGCTGTGCGGGCGCAGCGGGCAGTCGGCTGCGGGCAGCAGGCAGCGCGGGCTTGTGGGCGCAGTCTATTTGGTAGTGGGGTCTAGTGGCCTGCAGAGCCCAGTCTGACTCGCCCTGGCGCTCTCTGTCTTTTTCCAGGCCTCCAATTTTTGCTGTAAGGCACCAACCACGTCAATGAGAAAGGAATCTTTTCTTCAGTGTGCAAAAAGGAAAAATCAATCAAGACCTCAGTCAACACCCGTCAACTGAGGTCTGGCACGACGTCGTGGTTGTTATTGACGATGTCAATAAGAGGCCTGGTCCCAGTCACCACCACCTTTTGCAATAATGAACAGACAGGTGTGTGTGTCTCCCAGGAGTGCCAGGACAACTTGGACCTTGGTGATGCTGACGAGTGCCCAGTAGATGGGTCCAAATGGACCTCGAAACGGTTATATCAATCCACCCAACGTCTTGTACAGACCATCGACTCATACAGTTTCTTTTTTTGTTGCCCGTTTTTTATCGTTGAACTTTTGTTGTTGTTTTCTTGGCACCGGAGCTTTTTATTCTGCAGGATCGAGCGTTAGAGCCCGTCAATGGATGCAGTGGTGCAGAGGGAAGACCGGAAAGAATTGAGCCTCCCGCAAGAATCTGTAAAGGGAGAAATGCACGATGTGAGTTGGCGACAGGAAGGGTCGCCACAACAACCCGCAGACGCAGATTGTCCAAAAGGTACTCAGGTGACGCAGAGTCGTACAGAAAATTCTCTCCCGGTTGCAAGCGATCTGTAAGGGGTTGGATCTAGTAGTGGTAAGCGCTTCTTCCGCGCAGTCTTTCTTCGCTCGCGATTGGATTTGTGATTCTGAGACATTGAGGGCTCCTGGGGAGGAGACGTAAGGAGCAGTGAGTCTGGTTTTATTAATGGCAAAGTGGGAGTGACAAAAGTGCGCAAGTCGTATGCACTGGGTCTACATTTGGGTTGATATCAAGGCAGAAAGATGGCTATCCACCCCCCCGACCGGTCATGGCATTCTCAGTCTATATATCAGAAACCGAAACAACCCGGTCCTCACAATCGCCACCGGGACACCCTGTTTCCCGTCACGCAGGGCGATTAGCCTGATATTCACACCCCCCTTGGGTGTCGGAAAACTGATGATACCCTTTCTTTTTGGTGATGCTCCCAACAAAACTTCTCGAGAGAGCGGCCTGAAGGTGGGATTCTTGACCTCGTGGTTGTTAGTTTGACGGGAAGGCGAGGCTCCAGTGACTCTAAATTAGACGTGATGGGCAGAAACGACCCACGATCGCTGACGGGGTGGGAGCCTCATTCGCTAGGGGTTGGGTGTCGCGACAATCGAGGCATCCTCAGAAAAGCTGCCACGTTGGCCTGCGCCGAAATGCTGCCCAACTTCCACCTTGAAGCAGCACGCTAGTGGAAACACCCGCATCTGACATGATCTTCGCCGAACCATGGTTTCTCCCAAAGTCCATTCGGTTCTCTGCAGGAACTTTCGCCTGGTCCACCCCTGGTGCCAAAAAGGCATTGAAGTCAATACGCAGGTGGCTTTTTCAATGCTCCTTTACCCGGAGAAACGTCTAGACTCGGGCTGCTTTCTGGTTCGTCGTTCCAGAATTTCGCGGGATGGTTCAGCCTTTGGACCGATCCAACAGTTCCTGAGCTGCAATGAGCTCAGACCGATCGGTCCCAGATGACCGTCGTCCGCTGCGGTCCTTGATAATAGCCTCCAGCTTTGACGTGGCCAACTGATTCAGTTTCTGCACCTTATCTGGGGTGATCGGCGAGCTGGTGTTCCCCCGGGATGTCGTGTTCGTCAGCAGAAGCTTGTCCGTGGCCAGCTTTAGCCCGTAGAACCCCCGCAGGTAGTCGTCGCAAAGTTCAATGCTTCGACTAAACCGCTGGATTGCCTGTGACAGGTGTTGCTCGACTTCGGAATTGTCCGTTGACGACATGGCAGCTAGATATTCGAGTTCGCCCAGTCGTGCATGAAGGTTCCATGCATTGGGGGCAATGATCACGGCCTCCTCCAGGCAGAAGATGGCTTGTGGGAGGCACCCCTGCGAATGATAGAGGTCGCTCAACTCGCACCATGCTTCCATATCGGTGGGAAAAGAATCGACAAATTCCACCAAGTCCCTGATGGCATCTTGCGCCCTCCCCATGCTCCTCATAAGCGCAATCCGTCGTTTGTGAATGGGAACATTCATCGGGTTTTCCATCAGTATTTTGGCATAGTCTTCGAGTATCCTGCGCAGCGCTGCTTCATCTGGAGCCGTGGCTTCCTGATATAGCCCTCTCAGCGCCATAATTCTTTCATTGGTAGGCCCGAATCGGTGACTTAATCGTTCCACACATAGAAAGGCAGACTCGTCGTCCCCTGTCCGCAGACATGCATAGAGGAGTTGTTCAAGCTCGTCCCACAGTTCAGCGGAGTCCGCTGTGTTGAACATTGATGCAGGAAAGGTCGTACTGACTGATGCCGACTTTGCAAGGATCGAGGGAGACTGCTGCGCTATGCGCAGAGCGGAGGCGGGATCGGAAGAAGGGCCTTTGGTTGCGACTGTTGCCATGGCTGCGCTGTCTGTCGACAAGTTTGACCAGCGTCAGCGGTAAAGAGAGAGGGAGTATGGACTGTTCAGAACAAAATAGTTGCTTCGACAGACCACGGATGGAACCGTCCTATGCAAATACAGACAAGATTCAGGCTGTCAGCGGAACACAGGACAAGTTGGATGACCTGGTCCAGGCTTAGAGGCCACTGCGAATGAACGTTAGCAACTGCGAGGTTCGGGATACCTAATCTTGGCGGCTCAAGCTATGGTAAATTCATGGCTAGCTCACCCCACAATTTAATTACAAGTATATTCCCAGAAACGCTAACTTGCCTCAACAATCAAACAGGTGATTTCTCGATGGCCGTACGTTGTAATTAATTCGTAGGCCGACTCCTCAGAAGAGTCTCGGGGAGGCGGCCCTGGGATTTAGACGGCAGGCGGCAGCCGTGGGTGAGATACAGGGCGGCATCACCCAAGTCCTGGAAAGGGGTTGGCGCGCTTTTACCACAGCTTGGCATTCAGGCGGAGCATCTGGCACCACACGAAGAGGTCCTCAGCATTGCCCATCACATCATCGCATCTTTCCGGTGATCTGCTATTTCTTTGCAGTCTACCGGCGAAATCGAAGAGCCTATGTGTAGGTGTGTGCGGAGTCCTGATAAGACAGAGGAAAGGGTCTTTAACAGTGCATCTTCAATCTCTCTTCTCCCCGGTTCACCCGTAGACGGGACATTCACAACCTCAACCACCTGTGTCGCGTGAGAAATGAGGGTCCGCGAGATCCCAAAGGAAATATCGGCCGCTCAGCTCTCATGACATGCTGATCAGAACCTCTCACCATGTTCGAAAAGTCACTTGTCGACCTCATTCGGGGCCTGCGAGGCCACAAGGGAAATGAGGCAGAGTACATCCAAGGCGCTCTGAAAGAGTGTCGAAGTGAGATTCGTTCCCAGGATCTGGATCTCAAGGCAACCGCACTACTCAAGCTCATTTACCTGGAAATGTTTGGCTATGACATGACGTGGGCCGCGTTCAACGTTCTGGAAGTCATGGCATCTCCGAAACCGGCACAGAAACGAGTTGGCTACCTCGCTGCCGTCCAGAGCTTCCGCCCCGAGACGGAGGTCTTGATGTTGGCCGAGAATCTGCTGAAAAAGGATCTCACGTCTCCTTCGATACCCGTACTCACGCTGCCGTTGGTGACACTGCCGCATATTGTGACTTCTTCCCTGGCACTTTCCATCCTCACGGAGCTTCTGCCACGATTGTCACATTCGCAGCCAGCCGTGCGGAAGAAGACCATCGTCACACTTTATAGGCTGGCTCTGGTGTATCCTGAAACTCTGAGGGTTGCTTGGCCCAAAATCAAAGAACGTTTACTTGATGAACAGGAAGACAGTAGTGTTACTGCCGCTACGGTCAATGTCGTCTGTGAGCTTGGGTGGCGAAGGCCGCAGGATTTTCTGCCCTTGGCACCTAGGCTGTTCGACCTGCTCCTGGCCCAGAAGAACAATTGGATGGGCATCAAAATCATCAAATTGTTCGCAGTCTTAACGCCTCTCGAACCAAGGTTGGTCAAGAAGCTCGTCCGACCCCTCACAAAACTGATTCAAGAGACAACGGCCATGTCATTACTGTACGAATGTATCAGCGGCATCATTCAAGGAGGCATCTTGGATGGCACTGAAAGCGGCGTGGATGTGGAGGAAGTGGCCGATCTCTGCATCTCTAAACTGAGGGGAATGATTGTGTTGGACGGCGATCCGAACCTGAAATATGTTGCTCTCCTGGCCTTCAACAAGATTGTGGCCACTCATCCGGCACTGGTTTCCATGCAGCAAGATGTCATCATGGGATGCCTGGACGACCCTGATATATCGATTAAAATGCAGGCTTTGGAGTTGGTGTCGGGGATGGTCAGCAGTGACAATCTCCAAGCCGTTGTCAACCGCCTCATAAAACAGCTCGCAGGCTCAGCGTCAGCCCACGAAGGTGTCAACGGACACACGGAAGAAGAACAGACAGACATGGAGCAGAGGCTTGTCCCTGACAAACGAGGGTCGGAAAATGTTCCTTTGCCAGATGAATACCGCTACGAAATCATCCGCCGAATTCTTGACATGTGTTCTCACAACACTTATGCAAACATTACCGATTTTGAATGGTATATCGAAATACTAGTTCATTTGGTCAGACACCTCCCGGCGGACAAGGACGGGAGTTCGTCGAGAGCTACATTGGCAGATGACGCCTCTTTAGGAGCCCAGGTCGGGAATCAGCTTCGCGATATCACGGTCCGAGTCAAAGAACTCCGACCCGAAACGACCAAAGCGGCTGAGACTCTGGTCTTGTTGTCCAACCGCGCCATTGCCTACCCAAAACACGGCACTGGTCAGAGTCAGGTCATCAAATCGGCTGCCTGGATCTGCGGCGAATTCGCCCTGTACTTGTCCAACCCATACGAGGTTCTCAATTCATTGATTCACGAGTCGTCTAGACAGTTTACTCCTGCCACCCTGGCAATAGTCATTCAAGCCATTCCGAAGATCATTGCACGGATCGCCACAGCGGCGGATCGTGAATGGAATGCCTCAAGGGGCGCGACAATGTCGCTCCTCCTCGCGAGAACTACCGAATTTCTGGACAAGCTCTCGTCACACCCCAACCTCGAAGTGCAGGAGAGAAGCGTTGAATTCCTGGAACTTCTGCGCCTTGCGTCAGAAGCGCTTTCTGCGCAGACCGGAGACAGTCTTCAGGCACCGCTCTTACTGACTTCTGCGGTGCCAACGCTCTTCAGCGGCGCGGAACTCAATCCTGTCTCGGCGGCAGCGCAGAAGAAGGTTCCTCTGCCCGAAGATCTGGACCTTGACGCGCCAATAAATCCGGACTTGACGACGATTCTACAGGATTCGCAGATTGTGGACGTCGAGGATCACGCAGAGGATGCGTTCAAGTCCTTCTACCACGATCGTGAACCCATACAGGCCGTCACGTCGTTACATCCGCCGACAGTAGCTTATCTAGACTCTGCTGCTGCTTCGGAAAGTGCACCGCTCTCATACCAATCTGCGCCCGAGTCTCCGGGAACCATAGCTAGGCGTAAAGCCGAACGGATGGCCCGCAACAAGGACGATCCGTTCTACATCGCCCCGTCGAATGATATGGACCCTCAATTCCACGACATCATCAGCAAGACAAACGGTGACGATGAACTCGACGTCGACTCGATTCCCATCATTGACCTACAGATCGATCGGTCTCAAACCACGGCGGCGAGAGCAGGGACAGCAGAAGAACGTAGACCGCGAAAGAAGAAACCTATCCGCAGATTTGTCGTCGCGGCGGATGAAACACTCGAGGCGTCCGCGGCGACCACGCCCACCTCACAGTCCCTTTCGAACTCCAGCCCCTTCGCGGCCCTCCATCAGGCTCAGCGGACACGTTCACTCAGTCCTAACGCCCAGCCGCGCGCACAATCTCGGCCAGCCCGCACGCTCCTTTCGGTCGATTCATCAACGCTCGAAACCCTTAGCCTGGAAGGGCCTGCCGAGAGCGCGGCAGAGATGCTGCGCCGCGAAGCCGAAGAGTTGGAGATGGCGATCGCACTGCGCGAGGTGGAGAAGAAGAGGCTTGAGATGCAGCGGGAAATAGAGCGGCAGAGGACGGTGATGGGCGAGGGGGTGGATGCCGAGGGGACGGTTGTGCGGCGAAAGAAGAAGAAGACGTCCCGGCCGAAAGTTGGAGTAGACGCCGGCGAGGAACGGATAGGGGTCGAGGCGGAAGGTCATGGCGGCGAGGAGGGAACCGTCAAGAAGAAGAAGAAGAAGAAGCGGAGGGTCAAGGTTGTCGAGGAGGGTGCAGAGGGTGCAGAGGGTGCAGAGGGTGTGGAAACGGCGACTGCCACGGAGCAATCGTGACGGGATTCTACAGTAGGTATCTCATACACGCCAGCAAGATCTTGCAACGACGCTCCATCCCTATGAGTAGACTTGGGTCTCAGCTTCAGCCCCAGCCCCGTAGCTCCCTCAGTCACATCATGGGAGGATGCAGCATAACAGAACGACTGATACAATGCGAGCGGGACAGACAAATGCTGTGATGATTGATTATCAGGGGATTTCATCGGGTGGGCAAAGGGGTGAGGGAGTGAGCAGCGACAAAGACTAGACTCGTTCTTCTTGACCTGGCCCTTCCGTAGCCTGCGCGTGTGTGTTTGGATGTCCTTCGGTCTCAAACTTGTAGAGTTACTCCTGCTCGCAGCTCGAGTATGCACAACTGTGCAGAACGCAGGAGAGGAGCGTACCCACATACATCCATGACACTGACCATGGCACATGTACACAACGAGAAACTTCCTGGACGTGCCTACACCATCGATCTCTCCTCCTTACGCAGTCCATCACTCTACGCATTTCTTTTTCTTTTCCTCTTTCAGCAGGGGCGGGCAGTGGTGACGGTGACGGTGACGGTAACGGTAACGGTAGTGGCAGTGTTTCCACTGTCCTAGGACTTCCCCATAGGGGCCCATCCACTCTCATGTCTGTCCGTCTGCCTGGCTTGCCGACCAGGATGCGAAATTACCTCGCCCGTACAGTGTGTTCACGTCATTTGTTTCGAAAGTTTTTGCATTGCCATTGTCATTGCCATTGCATCGCCTCACCCCGAGACTGCGCGCCACCAGCACAAACAGCAGCGGCGGCAGCAGCGGCAGCAGCGAGGCGTTTACAGAGTTCCAGCACGGAGATGGATGTGCAAGGGCGTGTGAAGGAAGGTATGTGGGTGAGTAGGTAGGTTGGTGGGTAAGCAAGGAGGGAGTGGGGAGGCGAGTGGGAGGACGCAGGCAGGTCTAGTGGGGGCAGTGGCTGCAGGTATCCGGCTCGTACCTGTACGAGACAGAGTGAGGCGTTAGCGGGAGCCAAAAAGCAATCAAGAGCAAGAGCAAAAAAGAGACCGGTAGGGAGCGCCACTGAGTTTTGGTCTAGCTGATGGTGGTGGAGGAGGAGGAGGAGGAGGAGGAGGGATTCGATCTCGGAGGCAGGAAGAGCAAATAATGGGGGGAGAGGGAGGTGTGCCAAACAAAGTCATTCACTGCCCCCTCTGCACCAAACCGGCTCAGTCATTGTTCATCTGTCTACTCCTACAGTACGAATTGAACTCGACAGAGTCCATGATCCCTAGGTAAAGCACGGGTCCCCTATGGCCCAAGCCCGGGCGAGCCCAAGCCCCCAAGCCCCCCGAATGTCTGCCTTTCTCAGTCTCGCCTCAAGGGCGGGTAGTGCCCAGCCGACAACTGCCTGAGTTCTCAGAGTCATCCTTCCATCGCCCTCCGTTGCCCTCCATCGATCCTTTCAATCGGTAGTGGGTTCCCAATCCACAATTGGCTACCGTCGATGGCCACAATAACTAAATCTCCATCTAGGGACCACCATCGTCAACCCGATGTGCCCAATTTGTTAGTAGTGGATACCTGGTCGCCTATCGTGGCTGATGCCCGCCCGCAAAGTCGTGCAGAAGTCACACACATATCACATATCTCTCTCTCCGCTTCAGTCCTCCGTCCTCAGTCCCACTCCACTCACCTCATCCGCTAGGATACGAAGTCCATCACCCGGTCACTGTTCCTAGCCCTAGTAGTTGTGGCTGGCACGCTTCGTTCCAACTGGGCAGTGTTCTAGAAGGTTGCCAGGAGACATCCCTGTCGCCCAAGGTCCACACCTCATCTTCTCAATATCCTTCACCAGCTCGGTCGAGGGGTGTCAAAGGCAGGTGCAGTAGGTATGGTCCTGGTTACCGACCGTTCGCTATCCACCTTTGCCCTGGTGATATGCTTATTTTGCCACCTGGCCAAGTCCACGTCCCATGTTCCAAGTCCAACGTTCTCATGACCGGCATCTTCCACTGGGACTGACGGAATCCTCCAAGGGATCGATGGGTCCATCCTTGAACGTGGAATAACCAAGCTTGTGGTGGACCCGCTCGTGAACGACAAAACCAGGGAGTTCTTGACTTGGGGACTGCAGCCTCCCGGAACACAAAGATCAAAACAAAGGTTCAGAATGCTGGGAGAACAACTGGGTTTGACCCAGTCGATCGAGGAAACTCAATCATCCTGGTGCTCGACAAACTGGCGGAGCTCAGTACCAAACACCACCAGAGAGCTTCGATCAGTCTGTTTTTCCGCCAGGGGGACGTCAACGGTCACAGCTTGCTGCGCCAGGGATTCTGCGGCTATTGACTTTGGCAAGGACAGGCAAGATGAAAGGTCTCATCGTGGCCCCCAAGTTCGTCGTGGCTAAGGTGTGGGCACGTCACCTATAGTTTCTCCCCGTGAGACTACACCTATCATACCTTGGAACCATTAAGGGAGCCATTCACGATTGATTATAGGGTCGCCTTCGGCTACAACTGTATTCCATACACCTGGAGATAGGGCGACGACGCTCTACTCATCAACAAACATTCTCTTGTCTATGTGGGCGGCTACCTCGTCGCTATCGAGTACTACTCAGTAATGGACACTCCATGCCAGATTGTGTCATGTATATCTGAAGTCAACTCGCTGGATAGATCAGCAGGTAGGCTTTAGTCCTTGCTCCGGGCACCCCCTCAATGATAATGGCAACCGAAATGCTCAACAAAGCTGCTCTACCGGGGGGACGAGCTAGTGACTGTGAATGTCCACGGGGGCCATCGTCCCAGATTCCCTAAACTTTACCCACCACACACCTACCGACCCAAGTACTGCTTCTTGATCGAGCTTCGTGTTTGAGCCCGCCATATCGATCCTTGCGTCAGCCGGTGGGTGTGTGGTTTCTAGCCAACTTCGGTTCCTTTGCACTCTCCAACACCATCACAAACCCCCTAGTGCTGCCTCCAGCCCCTCCGCCCCTTGGTGCTTGCGGACTATACTATCTTCGGCACAAGCCCTCCTGCACGAACCAGGGTTCTGCGAACGACGAGTGGACGATCTCGAGGTGCGGGTTCCAAACGAGAAGAAAAATGACTCACAACCACGTGGCAGCACGGCATCTGCCCATCCATCCTTGTCCCTAGCCCCCTTAAACATCTACCTACATTAGGGGCCTGCACCTCGTACTGGTGGTTTGGAGGTAGTGATAGGATAGCCCACTAGCCTGTCCTCTTGCTTTGCTTGCTCCACCCCCCAGTCAACAGTCGATCTTGTTCCTGCCGCCCCGAGCGAGAGATGTGGAAATGACGCTTCTTTCCCTACCCATCCGTATGTTTACACAGGCATGGTCACTGGTCACTGGGTCACTGGGTCACTGGGTCACTGGGTCAGATACTAACCGACAAACCTTATCTCTCTCTCTCTCTCTCAGTCGAAGTACATAGGTAGCATTTGCAACCCTGTGGTCTGAGGTGTTGGCGTCATTGTCCCCCTCTCCTCCCCTCCCTTCTTCTTCTCCATCTCTGATACGGCGCTCAAGTTCCGTGCATATCGTCCCTCCCCCTAAATTTAGTTGCAGATATCACACCCCTTGTCCTACAACCTTACCAGGAAATCTAGGTACGACGCACCACCCGGATCTCTGTTCCACCTTTCCTCTGCCACTCCCCTCCTCAAACCCGCGTTATTTCAGGAACCGGTGTCTCATTCGATCACCCATCACCTGCGCCCCCCCAGATATCCACCCTATCACACCTCCGTTACAGCACCTGTCTAGCCATCTCAAGCTAGCACAATGCTTATGGCCGTCCTCTGTCATCCCCTGTCACTGTCTTCGAGGCGTCTTCTGGAAGACTGCCAATTCTGGACGTAATTTCGTCAAGTCAGTTGGCCTGTGAACCCCCCTCCCCCCCTTTGTCCGACCGTCAACGGCCTCCCGCTTGGAGAGCCCTACAAGGGAGGAGTGAGTCGTGTGTTAGCCTGCCTCATCTCACCTCGTTGATGGCTTTGCACCCCGGGCCGGCAAGAGACCCACGCCCCGACCGACGCCTTGCCGTTGCTTCTAGCGTCTTTCCACGACCCTTCCATGCCTTCCCATACCAGGACTAGCATAAAGCTTAGTATCCATAGAGACCCATGGCATGGGCCCGCAATCCGCGAACCAGCGAGGGACGCGGCAGGGCTTCGTTGACATAGTAGAAATCAGCCTGAGCCGACGATTGCTGCCTTCTTCCGCCGCCTTTTCCCAATCCCAACAGTTTTCCATTGCTTTGTTTCCAGAGACGGAGCTTACGGTGTCCCTTTCGTCAGCCCGGCGACGGGTTCTCTTTGTCTCACATTTGCTCCGAGTTGGCCTGAGTCATGGTGGTTTTTTCCCCCGTGTGGTCGGAGACGCGCTGACTGACACCCGTCTTCAGCCTTGCCATTCATATCAGATCAGAATTCGTAAATGTTCGGGGTCATCTCTGCCAGTTGGCCTTGGAGCACGCCCGCTGAGGCGCAGCGCTATGTAAACATCCCGTCGCCGCTGCCGCCGCAGAAAACGCAGGATTCCTTGCACGTTGGATCTTTCATGCAACCCGTGTGCGAGAGGGGGTTGGCCGAGCTTAGCTTAGTCTCTGTTGGCGGCCTACCTTCGATCGGCAACCTCACCATTCAAACCTCGTGCCATGGTTCCAGGATCCATGGTCCCAAATCCATACCAGCAATCGTCAACCGTGGGCTTGCGTTCCTGCCCGGGTCAAGTCTGCCCTGGGTATCTGGCATCTGCCCTGCCCTGTCAGACTCTTACCTGAGTCCTCGCATGTTCCCTCCCCCCTAACATCTCACGTTTCCATTTGCAATCTTTTCCAAACTCAGGGACTTTGAATTGCTTTGCCCTCTGAATGCCTGTTGCCTCATTCGATGCATATGTTTCTAAGACCTCGTCTCGTCGTCTCGTTGGCTGTTGGGTGTTGCCACCCGCCCTGTGCCTCCCTCCGCAGCCAGTACTGCCCTGGAGTCCCAGCTGTGATTGAGTCCTTTGACCTTCCAAGAACCCATTGCACCGCTTTGGAATGTGGTGTCTGAGCTCTCGATCTCCTGAACGACCGACCCCTGTCACTGTGCCTCACTTTGGCCAAGAGGCGTTCTTATCTCCACAACATTGATGTGTGGTTGCCATATATTTAAAGGGCCAGCGGATGCCTTGACCTGTCCCTCTCTTTTCCTTCCTTCATGAGTACATCACACACACGCACATACACACAATAGCTCACAGCAAAGCTCACCAACCTACCACTACCGCAGACCTTCCACACCGTCGTTGCCACAGCAGCAAGCTTGACATCTTTTCACCACAACCATGACTCGCCAGATTTTGACAACCGTTCAGCAGAAGCACACCATGGTCTTGACCGGCGCTCCGGGTTCCAGCAAACCCTCGGACACGAAGCCAATAGGACGTAAGTCAATCATGAAGCCCTGGCTGTGAAAGATGGACAAGGCTAACAAGTCACAGCGTGGTGCACGAAGAAATCCCGAAGGTCATGACTGCTTCGGTATGGGGACGAGCAAGAAGGGGGAGGGAAAGAGGTACTTTGCCCACCGTGCTTGAGAAGACGACACCATAGCTGACCCAAAAGCTAGCGTTGTCGCCATATGGAGCCTCTACATATGACGAGGGACATCGTCCCCAAAGACGTCCCTTTCTAGCACTCGGGGCTTGACATCAATAAGGGCGGCGGCGTGCATTGGGCCTGGGCGTATGAGCACGGAAGGACTTCTGGACACCACGGTACATATAGGAGTCATGCGTTATAGACGGGGAGGAGGAGTCGGAAGGATATTGGAGCGCGAAGGTTCCTTTGGTTTTTGTTTTCTTTTTGTTCAAGCCTGACGAGATCCACTGACGTCATGGCCTCTGTATCAATATCATCAAACTTGTGACACCATCGACATCACATTGTACTGCCCTTTCTGCATTTGGGTGTGGCGCACACTGGGGCTTGCTGGGGAATAGGATGGGATGGGATGGGATGGGATGGTGGTAGTGGCTTGATCTATGGACTTGGGGGTTCCAGTCTCGACAGATCCGAACTCTACTAACAATACCCTTGTCTGCTTGCCTACTTGCCTGCTTGCTTGCTATCCGTTTCCTCGTCCCTCGGATGGCGTGAATAATCACTCTAGTAAAATCGTCTCGTCTCGTCTCGTTTCATTTCGTTTCACGTATCGTCGTTGCTATCCAACCTACGAACTGACTGACTGGGACCTCATTTCATACTATCAATCACCTTCCAGCATAGTCGCTGTACATTTCTATACCGGAACGTCTCCATGTCGTAGTCACCCAGCCCGAGCGTGTCGGGTTTCTCGCCCACTGCGACGCAGTTAGATCAACGTTTTCACGGATGGGGGGAGGGAGGGGGGGGAAGCAGCAAGCTTCAAGCTTACCGTGGTCCTCGATCTCATGCCACAGTTGGTGCTCCAGATCGAATTCCCGGGCGTGACGTTCGCTGGGGGACTCGAGCTTGCCAGACGTCGCCTGTGTCTTCGAGGATGCCCGGCCCAGAGCGTATCGGTGGAAGGACAGAAGGTAGTCGCACACCCTTTCTTCCATCGTCTTGACCATTTGCTGGATTTCTTCCGGAGAACGCTCCAAATGCTCCCCGAGGCCCGGCATGTGAGGACACATGGACAGGGCAAGCTGGGTGCGCCCGAGGAAGATCACCAGGGCAAAAAGCATGCACAGGACTAGGTCTCGGCTATCTTGGGACGCCTTCTGGGTCACGGCCATCTTGAACATCCTGTCGTGGAGCCTTTTCAAAAGGTCCTGTGCAGCTTTCTCGGCCATGACGAGGATGACGAACTTGAGAAAGCGATTGATTGTGTGGGGAATGATCTTTAGATGCCGAGGAATATCAAGGTGTCCTCTGAATGTGAGATTCGTCTCGAGAGTCGCCACCGCATCGGCTGGAATAGTGAACTGGTTCAGGAGGAGATATTCATACCACAAAAGCCTCAGAGCATTCTTGAGATCAGCATGTTCCGGTAAGTTAACCTTGTAGTACCTTCCCATGAGGCAAAGAATTTTGGACTGAAAATCCTCTTCTTTGTCCTCAAAGTATTCTGTTGTCCAATTGAAGTACAGTTCCGGGTCGTTCAATACCCTGTCAAAGATCTCGGTCAATTCTTGGCGAATTTGTTTAATCGTCGCATCTAATTCGCCATCCTTGATGTACATGACGATCGGCGGATTCCAGTCCTGTTGTCTGCCAAAGAACCTTTGTCCGTTTGAGTCGTGAGATGTCTGGAATGTGTACCCGATGTCTGAAGTTGAGCCAAGAGGGGAGAACTCCCTCACATGAACATATAAAGGGACTCCAATGTACAGGTCTAGAGGGATTTGGAAGACCTGAGTGGATACAGGAATAGGAAGGCTCTCAAAATAAGAACGTATATTATGTCTCCGGAGGCGAAGTGTCAATTCCTCTGTTTGGTCAGCGGAAAGCATCCTGAATCGATCGGTGATCTTACCAGGAAACAAGCTGGCTTTACAACCATCCCAATCATAGCGACTAGGAATGCAGTCCTTTGGACACTTTCGCCGTTCCTTGGTGGAACAATTGGCACAAGGGCTGCCACAATCGCACTTCCACTTGTCAGCTTCTGTGGGCACCTGATATTTATGTGTCGACGAACCTTTTCTTTCATGATAGTGCAACGGAGGCAGGCGCCCCGTTTTCGCACCTCACGGGTTTCTTGTCTCTGAGTTGGGTTCAGAGGCCCCGTTCTGCCGCCGCCGCCCCCTCTTTCACGTATGGGAAACAAGCGGCGGAGGTCTTGGCCGCGAAGCACTTGGGGGACTGTCTCCATATTGACATACAGAGCGTTCTGACGCGGTTGATGGGCAGTCCATGGATCAAACTGGGAAGGATATCTTTGTTGCCCGATTGACGATGTGTATTGCGATAGGTCGCCAGGGGTCTCACGAGGGTCGATGCCCGCGACAGCCGCTGGATGAACACGTCAGTACGAGAATGTGTTAAAAGCGGAGAGCCACGGTCAGACCTTCCATATCATTGTCAGCTCCCACCGAGTATCCCGATGCTGAGACTGCTGAATTCAAGGGCTGGTTACTCGCATGATGGGCGAGATGGGCAGGATGGTATGTCGAAACGCTGTTGGTAGGGCTGGACGTGCCACCAGCTTCTGGAGAGAAATTTCGAGCTCGCTCTAAAGCTGCAGTGTCACTTGTACTTGTCGAGATCGCGACCCCTGGGCGAGAAAGCGTGGACCGAGTGCTCACGGGACTGAGAGCATCTGTGGTCGACGGGGCGTGGGGGTACCCGGCCACAACGAAGCTATAGTCGCGAGGTTGCCCTGGCTGCCAACGAGGCTGCGGTGCGGGAATCGACAACGCAGGTCGCGACAGCTGATTGTACTGAGGCTGGGTCAAGCACAACCCGACTTGACCGGGACGTTGACTGGGTTCAATCCTTGGAGGTCGAAAGGTGCCTTGGAGGTGGCCGCTCTGCCGTCGGTGCCGTCCCATTTGTCGTCGAGGCTAAGGGCGGATAGACCTCAACCAGTTTCCGGGCTCAAAGGCAGAAAGATGCCTGCAGCACAGCAATCGAGGAGTGGTGATTTGGGCAAAACGCAGGGGACTGGAAATGGAGGAATGGAAAAGGGAAAGGGGAAAGAGACCATCAGGCGACGAGGCGACTGCGGGCAGGGTTTATGAAGAGAATCCAGAAATCGCCAACTGAGAGACCGATTTCGTTTGGACGGGAGGATGGATGGATTGCAGGAACACAGCGGTTCAGGTTAATGCATCACGATCATGAGTTCGGGCTCGCTTCAACCTGCCAGATGGCTCTCTCTGCGCAGCCGGGAAGGTGAGAGGCAATTTGTGGTGGTGTCATGTAGCAGAAGGGTGATTCTGGTCCATTGAGAAAAAAGCATAGGGCATGCCGGAGCAGGCGTGGAAGCACGTTTGTGGTCTGCTGAGAAGGAGTGCGACGGCTGAGCATTCCAATCAGCGTCTACCAACCTGTAAGTAACCAGCCGGGAAAGACGCAGACCCCTGTACACCGGTTTGCGATATCTTCCAACGAGATGCTGCATTTTCAGCCGCACCAAACCCAGCCAGTTCAAGCGTGCTGGCGCCAATAAATGTCAGGCGCTGCCGAAGCTGGCCGACGGCACACAGGCTGGAGGAGGGGCACGAACTTTGTTTGTCAGTGGCACTTTGGTGAACAAGAGATTTAAGTAAGCAGAAGAGGAGGGCCTTTGGCACTCATCTGGCACCTCTGATGGCATGAGGAAGAAGACTAATGGCACATGTACATACTGTGCAACGCCAACCCACTAGCACGTGGAAGGGTGTTGGTTTGCACAGTGGCAGAGTCTCCATTTCAGATGAAGGAAAAGAGGGACGAAAAGGACAAAAGGGCCCTGATGGAGAGGGAAGGAGAAGAAAAGCGTACAATACAGAGTAATAGTATTATTGCGTCAGGAGATGCAGGCTTTTAAGGAGAAACGTGGCATTTTGCCTCCAGCTTCCCTCCTTTCCATCGACATTCCTGCCACTAATTAGCCGACTGCAATGGCCTAATCAACGTCACTTTATGAGGTATTACAACCAGGCAACAAACAGTACACGAATAGGCTGAAGTGCTCATTGCTCATTGTTCTCCAGATCAGGGGAGAGCCTACCACTGGATTGGTCCAGCCGCCACGGCTCTCGACCAGTAGAACCATTGCCAATGTATCAAATATCAGGCTCGTATCTTGGTGCGCTCCGATGCTCACCCTGTCGCTATGCTCATACCATCGATACACATGCAAAGGTATTTCCTCCCTCCTACTTGAAACCCGGTTTTAACCCCCTTTGGATCGAACGCCTTTGAAAGACTGATTTCCAGGCATACCAGCCCTAAGCAACATGTCGTAACCAGAATGCTCCACGCCCTTGGACACACATGCTTGACTCTTCTCACCCTCAAACAGTATACTTTGTCTTCGCCCGGGTGCTGCCCGCATGTGCAGCGTCAGTGTGGCCACTGAACTCGAGCTGGTCGTTGTCGGGGATTTGAAGCACTTGCTTGAAGCGAGCACCGATCTTCATCAGCGTGTCTTTCCCACCGGCCTTTCCCGTGGTGCGAGTCCACAGTCCAATTCGATAGAAGCTCTTTCGCACGTTGACGACCACCCCCATAATCTCATTGTCTCCATCGTCTTCGAGAGTCTCTCCGATCGCGGCCAATTGGGTGTGCAGCCATAGTTCGTCGATGTTGACGGCCTTCTTATCCTTGAACGTGTAGGACCATTTACCACCGTGCTTGTTCTGTGGATCCTCCCACTCGGGTCGTACTCCTCGCTTGAAGAGGTGGTAGTCGGATTTGACGGCGAGGTCAGAGGTGGCTGTGATGTTATTCTATAGTCACATTAGAACGAGTTTGACCACCAAGTGGTTGCCGCAAACATACGTATACGCCCCAGAACTCTTCAACTGTGTCAAACGTGATGACCTCCTTCAGCAAGTCGTTCCAGTTGTCGCCTTTGGAAGACGGTGGTTTGGTGAACTATTCACATCGGGTCAGCAGCAGAAGTGGAATAACGCATTCCCGCGACTCACCCAGAGACTCCAGGTGTTGAGTAGAGGGTGCTTGACGTTGAAGTTGTTGACATCGTGGAAGATGGTCTTGATATCATCAGACGTTGCGGGTGCTGCGTTTTCGTTCGAAACAGGGCCTGGAACTGGCTGGGGCATCTCGACTTCGGCCATGGTGCGAAAAATCAAGGATTCCGGTTTAAGGTTGCAATTTCAGTGTAGAGGAAAGAGTTAATCGATGCAAAGGCACGACGAAATGAAAAGCGCGCAGAGGAAGGGAAGCCGTCAAAGGTTTGCTTCGTGCCGTGCGCAGACGGGTCTTTAGCAAAACTGGTTCAAACGCGAGCACCTCTGACAGCGAGAAGAAGCCTCAGGTGCAATGGACGTTCAGGGACGGGATCGTGGTCAAGTAAGAGCAAGTGGCCGCTCGAGTGACTTATACAGAGCGCAGTGACAAACGTCGAGGCTGCTGTGAGTGAACGTTTGAAACTGCTCCTTCGCCGCTGCCGCCAGTGGCGCATGAAATAAAATCCGTAGGCTCCAAATGCGGTTTAGCTTACATCGCCATACAGGTACAACGTCCGGTTCTTCTCGGCTCTCGACTGCTCTCTTCCATCCATCCTCTTTCTTTCTCGATCTCTTCGTGGTCTATGTGATTTTCTCATTCAATGTCGCTCGTGCAGATTGTTCACAGATCCTACACCTCTAGTTATGCTGCCATGCTGAACCCACTGATGCCAAAAACTGCCAGATCACTAGGCTAACCACTGATGAATGTCTCGCTATGCCACACTCATTTCGAGCTGTTGAGGTAGCTCAAAAAGCAGTTCCAGCCAAGACTCACAATATTGACGACCAGAACCCTATGCTCGAGAGGCACCAACTTGAAATTCACAGCCTGAACTGCCGGCCATAACACCCAGTTTGCCTTCAGCCCTGGAAGGTAATGCTTCTCGAGCTTTTCTTTGGGATCACTTCCTTCCAAGACCGACATTGTCGAGAGAAAGACGGCAAGATTGCAGGTGGCAAAGATGGTTTGGTCAGCAGCGACTCGCGCCAATATCGTCATGTTATGTGACTGAAGGTTGATGCGTTTCTGCAGAAAGGCATACCACTTGGTAGCTGCTGGTCCAAAGACACCTGGCCATGTCAGCTTCCTCCACAGTACACACTAGCAACCTCGCACTTACAGCCGCCATACAAGCACATTCGAGCTGTCCGAGCGCCGTCATGATTTCGTATTCCTTTCCGCTCCACTGCCTGCTGGGCAAGCGTGTCGCCCGCGGCAAAAAGCGCCTGTGTTGGTCAGCAAACCTTGGACAAACCGCTGGAGTGATAGTCATACAGCGGTGGTCAGGGTCTGGGTCAACAGTGGCCGCTTTGCCAGCTTTGCTTGATACCTAGGCCAGGGGTCAGTCGTTGACGTATCGGGAAGGAGGTCTTGATAGAAAAACCATCGTATCGGCATCTTTCCTCCGCTCTGATATACAAGCCTTTGCAGGAAAATCAATGAAATCTAGTAGTGTTGTCCTGGTAAGCTCTTTGATTTCACTTAAGCTACGTGGGAGCACTTTGAAATACCAATGTTGGCGACAATCTCAAAGACCTCTGTTTTTGATGGTTGCAAATGCGTCATTGGCTTGCCCTGAGCATTGGCGGCGGAGAGGCTGCCATCTCTGAAAGTCAATCCGAACATCCGAATCCGGTTTAGCCCACAACTCCAAAATACATTTCTTGGCATGAATTTGACGAATCTTCAAAGTGCGGATTGACTGGTTCACTCACGCACCATCAGCGACTCAACCTGCAACTTGCGCCCACTACCTGACAATCAATTACCTGCGCAATCCTACAACATGGCCGACGCTCCCCGAGGACGCGGCGGTTTCGGTGATAGAGGTCGTGGAGATCGAGGCAGGGGAGATCGTCGAGGGCGACGAGGTCCGCGCCGTGGTGGTGCAAAGTCCGACGAGAAGGAATGGCAGCCCGTCACCAAGCTCGGCCGTCTCGTCAAGGCAGGCAAAATCCAGAGCATGGAACAGATCTACCTGCACTCTCTGCCCATCAAGGAGTACCAGATTGTCGACTGGTTCTTGCCCAAACTCAAGGATGAAGTCATGAAGGTAAGAGGCCACAATCCACATGGTGTTACGGAAAGGCGACGCACAAAATTCTTCCGGCAGACCGTGTTTCTCTTTTCTGACGAGTCCCTTTCCGCGTACAGATCAAACCCGTCCAAAAGCAGACCCGTGCCGGTCAACGTACTCGATTCAAGGCCATCGTCGTCATCGGCGACAGTGAGGGCCACGTCGGTCTCGGCATCAAGACCTCGAAAGAAGTCGCGACCGCCATCCGTGCCGCCATCATCATCGCCAAACTCTCCGTCCTCCCTATCCGACGAGGCTACTGGGGTACCAACCTCGGTGAACCTCACTCCCTCCCAACCAAAGAATCCGGCAAGTGCGGTTCCGTCACGGTTCGATTGATCCCCGCCCCCCGAGGTACCGGTCTCGTCGCTTCCCCGGCCGTCAAGAGATTGCTCCAGCTTGCCGGTGTGCAAGACGCTTACACTTCATCTGCGGGCAGCACCAAGACGCTGGAAAACACCCTGAAGGCGACGTTCGTGGCAGTCAGCAACTCCTACGGATTCTTGACTCCCAACTTGTGGAAGGAGACGAAGCTCATCAGAAGTCCGTTGGAGGAGTATGGTGATGTTCTGAGAGAGGGCAAGCGTTACTAGGCGGGTCAGGTAATCTGAAAACGAAACACACAGCTGAACAAGGCCTGATTCGAAGGTTGCATTGGCAGATGTGAGAGACAGCTCTGCATGGCGTACGGACAAGAAGAACTAGTCTGTACCTGATCAAGAAAATACCATGATTTAAATGTGCTTCAAATTTTGGACCACTGCGCCTTGTGTGCGATCTCTATATCTGTGACATCTCCTTCACAGCTACGCTGGACATCTCAATTTCTCGAGCGTAGACTCCCGGACATTGAACAGGTACTTGGGAGATTCTACCCGTGCAGCGGACCCCGATTGTGGCCCGTGCTACTAGAATTTCACAAGGCCGGTCTCCAAATTTTCAGATGTGCACACCGACCAAGCAATTCGCAGGGATATTAGTCTGGCGATTGCTGAACCCCATATTTCAATCTTCCATGGCCATCTCTTCCATTGCCTTTACCGCATTCTCCAGTTCTCGTATCCGCGGTCCCACTCGACCCTGAATCTCCTTGCTGACTTCCGGGCTTGTCTCCTTCAGCGCTTTTTGAAAGGCCTCCTGTAGCATCTTCAATGCGTCCGCTGCGGCCTCTCTATCATCAGCCGCATAGACCGTTTTCTTCTCCGTCTCCTCGGCTGCGATTTCGAATTCGTCCTTTGCGGTGGCGTAGAGGTCGTTGAGATTTTCCATCAGGGCGTCGGCGGTGGGTGATTGCGCGCATCGAGGGGAGGAGCTGTGAAATGATGCTGAGATCTGGTGAGGATTCGGGAACCGTGAAGGTGTTGAGGGTATGCCCCTGCTGTTCTGATTTGGTCGCAAAAGACAAGAAGATATTGTCCTCCATGGCTGAGGCGTTCGAAGCGAGCGAAGAGTGCCCGTCGTCCGTCGAACGGACTTGGAAGCAGCTGTGCGCATCATGGCTGCGGCTGCTACTAGGACAGACACCGCGAGATTTGGTAGAGACGGACAATGGAGGTGGCCAGTTGTAAACACTGAGCCTGCAAGGTTTGACCCGAGCCCGGCGTTCGGCAGCCGGTGGTAGTTTGGTGGCAGCGCGGCCACCCATCTGGGTGATGACGTCGAGCCGAAAAGCGCAGCCACTCAGCGCCTCGGGTCACTCGCACCCTCTGAAAATCCGGGGAAACGAAGTCGCTCAGTCCGGTTCCTGCATTGGATTGCAAGTCTGTTGTCCCCCAGGGATTCATTCCCATGAACAAGCATCCTCGCATTTCTGAGCAGCGGGCCGTAATGACAAGAACCAATTGGGAATCGCCTCATTGCTGTAAAGGAATTCGCGTGACGTGATGCTGTGCAGAGTCTATGTGTTCTGTGGCGTCGAACCTCTCACAATGACGTCCTGGATACTTCACCCTGCCAATGAGACATTGTCGACTCGGATTGAATTCACGGGTCAAGCGTTGCCCAGACAGGTTGCAGCTGCGTCATTGTTGCGCGAACTCGTCTTCAGTGAAAAAGAAAGCTGCTCGTTTGAATTGTGTGTTTCCTTCACTACTATTCAGACCCTCCTCACTCACAGGTCTTCTGCTCCAGTCATACTCTGCGTTATTGTTTCCCCAGTCTTTTGAATCATTGGTAGCACCTTGAGAACACTGCACGATGCTCGGAAGAACACCCACGGCAGCTCTTCGTTCTAGTCGAGCACTGAGAGTCCGTCGACCAGTGCAAGTGCCTTCACGACCTCGCAGCGCCCGCTTCCAGTCTACAGCTCCCGCCAAACCCACTACCAATGCCTCGTCATCTTCGAGCCAGGCTCTTCTGGGGGGCTTGGCTGGCGGCTCGTTTGCATTCGTGCTGGGATACATGTGGTACTATTTCTCGGGTGCCAAAACTACCTTGAACACAATACATTCTACGAAAGCTTACGTTGAGGACGCCTTCAAAAAGACCACCCAGAACGCTCCAGAGCCCAACCAAGCTATTCAGTGGTTGAAGGAGACGGTGCAAAGCTACACAAAGATGATTCCGGGTGCTTCAAAATACGTCGACTCTGCTTTCGAAGATGTGGACAAGGTTCGGGAGAAGCATGGAGATGAAGTCGACGAGATCGTCAACGATACATACAAGAAGTTGAAGGACGTCACCAAGAAGGGATTCAGCATGGAAGCTGTTGTACAAGCTGGGGAAGTACTTGCAGATTGCTTCAGGCGGATCGGCAGTCTGGCAGTCAGCGCTGGGCAGGACATCCTGGACAACCACCCCCAGATAAAGAGTCAGTTTGGAGGCAAGTTCGAACAACTGCAGCAGATGGGCGAGCAGTACGGCCCGGAAGCCAAGAAGGCAGTTGACGAGACATGGCAGCAAGTGCGTGACATTCTGGCGGGCGGCGTCAGCCTCTCGACCGTGCAGAAAGTCCAGGATTTGTTGCAGGAAAAGTCACAACAGCTGAAGAAATACGGCGACCAGGCCTGGCAGAAGGGTATGGAACAGGCCAAGCCGCTTCTGGACAAGCAACCGGAAATGAAGAAGCTCATCGAGGAGAACAAGTCAAAGTTGCTTCGTGGCGATCTGGGTCAACTGTGGCAGAAGGTCCAAGAGGCGGTGCAGTCAGGAAATACAGACGATCTCCAGAAATTCGTCAAGGACCAAGTTGACAAGGCCTCAGAAAGCGCCGGCGGCGGAATTGAACAGCTCCTCAACATGATGCCAGGTGGATCAGAGATTGGATCAAAATTGCAGCAGCTGCAGGAGCTCAGTCAAAAGCATGGGCAGGAGGCAGAGAAGCTGGTCAGAAGTGCCATTGACGATGTCAAGAAGGTGTTGTCCAAGAAGGTTGAAGAAGGACAGCAACTGAAGGAAAAGGTCAAGTCGGAGACATAAGCAAGGAGCTTCACGTCTGTAAGGCGGTCAGACAAAGGCGTTGCTATTTCCCCTGCAGCACTGCAAAAGCGAGATGAGCGTCAGCCCATCATACCTGGGACTCTCAAGGCGAGTTGCCTGAGCGAAATTGATTGTCTTGTCGATACCTCGTATATGTCAAGGATATGGGAGTTGACGTCATACGAGACGGAATTGATGCGCTCTCCAATGTGTAATCGATGCAATACCCAGTTGAACACCAGTACGGGGTAGTCAGTGTCCTTTTTTAACAATTAAGCCCTGTCATAAACGCATCTTCAGCCCATGTAGAGGAGAGCACGGATCGAATGAGGAGATTACAGGCACTCACGAAACAGCTCATCCCAACTCATAGTGGACAATCTGCCCTCAATCTATTATACAGTCTGTCGCCTCCGATGTCTTCAACGACCACTTCCGCGAATACAGCTGCTCCTCCAGGCCGCCCCAATCCTAGCTCTGTGGCCGAGCACCTACAGGGATCGTCACAGTCATGGCACGGCCAGATAACTCCAGATGGGCCCTTCCCTCCGCAGCAGGGCCGCTACCACATGTACATCGGACTATTCTGCCCATTCGCGCACAGAGCAAATCTCGTGCGCCACCTCAAGGGCCTCACCGACCTCATAGAAATCTCCATCGTGAAACCTTACCCCAAGGGCGACGAGCATGGATGGCCCGGATGGCAGTTCCCCAAATCCGACGACGAGTACCCCAACGCCACGGTCGACAGGTTGTTCGGAAGCCAATATCTGCACGAGGTCTACTTCAAGGCGGATCCGGGGTACAAAGGACGGTATTCCGTCCCGGTCCTCTGGGACAAGGAGACCGGCACTATCGTGAACAATGAGAGCCCGGAGTTGATGAGGAATCTGCAGGTGGCCTTCAACTCTCTTCTACAGGAGGAATATGCCGGCGTCACGCTGTACCCGGAGCATCTTCGCGGCAAGATCGACGAGGTGAGTGATTGGATGCAGAGGGACTTGAATACTGGCGTGTACAAGGCCGGATTCGCACCGAACCAAGACGAGTACGACAAGCATGTCCCCGTGGTGTTTGCGGCATTGAACAAATTGGAGAAGATGGTCGCGCAGAATGGCGGACCATACATCCTGGGCAAAGACTTAACCGAGTTGGATATTAGGGCATACGCCACGATCGTGCGCTTTGACACCGTGTACGTGCAGCATTTCAAATGTAACCTGGGTACGATCCGGCACGATTACCCACAGCTGAACAATTGGTTGAAGAATCTGTACTGGAACGTCAAGGGATTCAGGGAGACGACAGACTTTAAGCATATCAAGGAAAACTATACCAAGAGCCACTGGGATATCAACCCCAAGGCCATCACGCCCATGGGTCCGTATCCTGATGTCGAAGAGGGGTTCGAGCGGGATTTTAGCAAGGTCAGGGTTGGGGGTGTGTCCATGCCCAACGTGGTGAAGCTGGAAAAGCAATTGCCGGGATGAGGTGCAGCCGTTTCTGAAGGATGAAACCGACATGGGATAGTTCTTGTTCGTCACGCTTGTCTTCTCACCGACGCGAGATGTGCGGGCATCAGCTGTTCTTGTGGAACGGGCAAGTGATCGGCGGTGAGCCATGTCGACATCCCAGGTGGTCCCGACGAGTATGGACCATCCGCCCGTCCCGTGAGTGGTTCCTCTGCCATCCTCAGTACCTACCTACCTATGTATGTAGAGCACCATGTATTATTCGCAGGAAATCCCCCAGTCTTGTGGATTCACATCGTTCTCGTGTTGCTTCGGGTGGTTGCCACTGCGGCGCTGAGCATGCACTGATTGGCGACAGCTATATGGGCAATTTGGCGCCGAATCATGATGTTCCTTCTTTGCGTTCTTCTCGAAATCAGTATTCCGCCAACGGGAGGGATTTTCGACGCAGTGTGGTGCGGGACCGTCCTAAGGGAAAAAGTATACCACAGGAACAGTAAAATTGTGCTCTGATATGCAAGCGAAGTTGAATAGTGCAGCACTGATTGGCCACTTAAGAGAAATCAGGGGGAAAACCGGCCGGCGCCTACGGCCGCGGCGGTGTGGGATCTACTGGGCGAAAGTTTAGTTAAAGAGCCCTGGGCGACTAGGCGTTTAGTGCCGGCCCAGTTGGTTCTTTCTAGGCTAGCCACCCACTGGTAGTTCCTGTCTCCCACAGACGACACCTCATCCCTCATCTCCAATTTAATCTCCTGCCAGACCACTCATCATCACCAAAGTCAATGTCAACGGCTAACCCAACACATGTTGCCTCCCTCGAATCGTCTGTCTGGTGCGGTCTGGGCTCCTGCATCTCCCAGTCTGACCCATGTCACCATGATCTCCGGTGTTGGTGGTGTATCCCTGTGACTTTCCTGCACCTCGGAGAATTTCTGCAGCTTTCAGTCGCTGGTTCCTGTGACCTTCTCTCAACGGGTTAAGCATCAATGTCCGTTGAGCGTGGAACCCAGAATCCCAAACCCCACCGAGGCTTAGCAGAAAGCCACCAGTGCTCCTCGTCCTCGAGCGTTGCGAGTCAAATCATGCCAAGGTGGCTGTTCGTGGCTGCGGTCTAGTCTTCGTATGGGAAAGCGATAACGCCTTCGAAGATGACGACGCAAGACATGGAGTCAAGGGACATATCAATCTCTTTCGGGAAATCCACATCTCGGGCCACAATGGGGAAAAAAAGCTGAGACTTCAGTTGATACCGGAAACAATCCTTTCACAAAGCTCATCAATTGTTGCCAGAGCCAGCAAGGACACCGCGTAGAAGTCCTCCTGGAACGCCAACCTCGTCTATGAGGTGCTGGGGACACAGGTAAGACACTGAAAACGGTTGTGTCGGTGAGCATGTGCCTCTCGATCTTTCTGGCACAAATTCTCACTGGTTGCTGGGGCTAGAGTGGCCCATTTGATAACCCCCTGGTCAAACGTCAATGCTAAAGGAGTTAGAAAAAGCCTACCGCAAGCCCTGATGCAGCCTTGATCGACGCCGTGGCTTCATCTCCACCGTCTAATCAACTTTAGACGCGAACTTTCTGAAAGCCTCATCTCCTACCCCAGCCAAAGAGTGCACGACCCCGACAGCTTGCGGATAATGCATTGGATCCTGCGCCAAAATGACCGGGCGTCTACCTGGTGCTCTGCTTGTTCCTGGCCGAGATCTTGTTATCTCGTCCGCATTAACATACCTTGTCCTAACTAACCAACGGATTGGTTGTTCTGGTCCAAGCCCATTATCTTAACAGAGCCATTTCCCTTTCAACCCAAGTTACCTGAACTCTAGATAACTGAATACGATATCTTCCAGCAACTGACTCAACGCTGCGCTCAGAGACAGATCACAGCAGAACTGCTCCTTGGTAAGAGATCGCTGATGCCGTTGATGAAAGGAGATCTGGGACAATAGAGCGGTACGACGGAGGATAATAGGATTTACAACAGCAAGGGAGAAGGAAGCATGGAAACCTCCGCCAGGAATGCGACTTTGTTGCCTGTCATCAAATGTTCAGACTGCGGACAAGATGTCGATATGGCAGGTTTGACCGAGCACCAGTGTGCTTCAACGACAACATCAACGACAACACCCTCAGGTATACTTCAATGCTCGATTCTCGAGACAATGCAGTCGACTCACAAAGCTAGCTTCAACGATGCCTCCGCCTCTTCCGCGGGCGGACCCCTCCATAGGTTCAAGGAGCATGAGGCCGCAACGACCGCCGTTACCCAGGATCGATCCTTCTTTTGGCTGTGAGTCTCGTAGAAGAGTTCATGATAATACATGCTAACCGACTGCTCAGTTCGACCTCCGGCACCTCACGGCGAGCTCACGCCTGCAAGCAGTGGGCACAGCTCAGTAATCTCTCCCGTGAGTGCGACTTCTGGCCCTCGGTCACCAGGCCCTGCCATCCGCAAGGGATCGCTACCAGGACCCCGACGCCCACCGTCACCGGAATTAACGAACCTCGATTGTGCATTTCCGCCCTTCCCTCTGCCTTCGAGAGCCGCCACGACACGAAGGCGAGAGAGATCGGCGACTCACCGCAGTGACACAAAACCATCCAAACCTCGTGATGTTCAGAAGGGATTACCTACAGGGAGCAGGCCGTACCCGCTTTCAAGAGGAGGATCAGACAACTCCGTGACGACCCTGGCCAATGAAGCACCAAGACAGAAGCAGTCTCGTTCACCAAGTCCTAGAAGTGGAGCAAGACAGCCTTTGAACACGGAAAGGGACGGCCTCCAACAGAAAAGTGAAAAGCCGCCAGAAACGGAGATGAAACCACCTGAGGTGAATTCAGCAACCCAGGGCGATGGAGTTCCAGAATTTTTGCACGCAAAGACCTTCACGCCTGAAACTTCGAGCTCTCACGCTCAGCGAGAGCCTACTGCCGACACGAGAATAGATCCTGGTCTCAGTGCATTTGACTTTGGTGACTCGGAAACTGATAAGTTCAATTCGCCGCCTACGGACGAGGCTCCTAAACCAATGGGTGAGCACTCTAGAGCCGGCACTGAGCCGTCATACAGAACAAAAAGACCTCCTCCACTGTTCAGCAACCAGGAAGTCAGCACCTTGGCCAAATCGTCTACCGAACCCCAGCCATCTCCGGTTGGCAGCTTGACGAGAGGATTGGGCCGGTTGTTTGGCCGACGACGATCGCAGTCAGCCGCATCGCGCAGGGAAGTGGTGCGACAAGCTCTTAGCGACGAGCCAGATATCCACGATACCTACTTCGCTGGCCGAAGTCTCCTTAGTCCAAGTAGCGATCGGTCATTCGTTACAGCAGAGCCATCTCCTCTGGGCATGTCGCCGTCGCTATCGCCTGGTCCTTCACTGGGCCACGAGGAATCACTGAAAGCGCTCGAAGGAAGGACGTCCGAGCCGGTCGCTGTCGCTCCTCCGACGGTCGTTGTGGAACCAGCAATCGAACAGCCGCCGCTGGAGCCTACTCCCCCTGCTGAGACTGACAACAAGGAAACTCCAGAGACGGAGGACGTCGCCGTCGTGTCGCCTGATCCTCAAGGTGCAGAGCTCATCGAGGCTCTTCGGCGAGTGTCTGTTGACTCGGCGTCGTCTTACGGTTCGGCTGCATTCTCTGAGAACACAGCCAGCTCCAGATCGAGCTCTCCGCAGACTGAGAACGTGGCATCGAAGGCATCGGAACCATCAAATGCCGGATCTCTCAATTCTGGAGAGCCTAATGTGCCAGCACCACTCAGACCAAAGATTCCAGAGCTCTCGGCCGATTCACCAACAGATCCGTTCTTCCAGCAAGGCCGTCTGTCGCCGATTCCAGACCTCCCAAACCGCGCCTCTGACTCGACAGACTCATTATTCTCGATCTCCGGGGGTCTACAGACAAGCCCGAAGTCAACCCACGAGCCTCACGCATCAATGAGCGGCAGTACCAAGTCCACCGTCCCCAACAAAGGTGTCTGCCGCGGCTGTTCTCAACTGATACTCGCAGGACAAAAATCCGTGTCGAGTGCCGACGGCCGGTTGACTGGCCGGTACCACAAGGATTGCTTTGTGTGCCGGGCGTGCAAGATTGCATTTCCCACGGCCGAATTCTACGTTTATGAAGATCACCCGTACTGTGCCTACCACTACCACGAGCTGGAGAATTCTCTTTGTGCTACCTGCGGCAAAGGGATCGAAGGTCTGTACATGGAAACGGCCAACGTGGCGGGGCGTGGGAAAGAGAAGCATCACCCGGAGTGCCTCAAGTGCACGACTTGCCGGGCTCGACTGGACCACGACTATTTTGAACTGTCCGGGAAGGTATATTGCGAACGCGATGCTTTTCGGCTTGCAACCCTACCAAGGTTCCATGACAATGCCCCCAGCCGCCCGAGCCCATTGATTCGAGAATATATCTCCAGTGGAGACCCCGGACTTGTGAGGGGCAGGAATTTCCCTGAGCGAAGAACGACCAGACTAATGACGACGACCTGATCATCACGACGATAGATGCTACATTTGAGGCCGGGATTTGGTGCCCCGGCGAAGCACCGGAGTTTCTTCCATTCGAAGCTGGCCTCGATGAGAATTGGAGGGATGCCAACACCTTGGACTTTGCACGACCGTAACCTTTCCAGTTTTGTGGTGCGCAGCAGGATTTGGTCCGCTTCATTTGTCCTGCCTTTCCAACATTAACTATGGTATATTCAAGACTTGTGCCGGCCACATGGTGAGATCATTTCCTGCCGACAGGTACGCGATCAGGAGAATAATGTGTTAGATATGTATCGATAATGTGTATGCCAGTGCAACACCTGAACCGACACCTGTTGTTCATCATCGGATCTTACAAATGCTTTCCTTTTCGAATGAGTATGCGTGGTTGGTGCGACGTCGGGCCGTTGGCCCCTTGCGGTGAAATTATTCCAGTAGGCCCGGCAAGACTGAGACTGAGCGTGTCGAGCGTTGGTGGTCACGGAGGCCTTTGCCGTGATGGTTGTTATTCGACCGCGACGACCGCGACTCAAGCCCATGCAATGGTGGAAAAGGACACCATACCCAGACAGTTGTTTCGAGGCTAGGCACCGGCGTTTTCGGGAAGCAGCGGCACCCCCACGACGCACACTGGTCGGCTTAGCGTGTCATGACCTGCTGCGTCAATCGTGACAGATCTCGCAGGCAAGCACACAACCGAGACAGGAAAAAGATTGTCCAGGATTCGGAAAGGGAACAGAAATCCCAAAGCTTGCTTTGACGACCACGAAAGAAGACCCCCGGATGGTGTAACACGGACACATTTTCCGCCCAGTCGAAGAAGACAGATGCTTGCCGTCAGGGCGTGGATGGTATGTACCGTACCTAGGCATCAAAGTTTTGAAATTGGGCCAGCGAGGTCGTCGTGTGACCGACACAACAATCCACAATCCACATCCACTGCGCACCCGAGGGGAGATGAGCAAGATTGGGTCAGTGGACTCAGCCGGATATCAAGACTGGATTCGGAGAGATGCGGGATGTTGCGAAAGGTGAGATTCTGCATGGTGGTGGATTGATTGGAGGTCGGTAGGAGTTCCAAGATACGGTTCCGGACCACAAGCGGGTACCAGTTGGTACAAGTCTCATGCGGTGCACATGCACATGCATTTCAGCAGCAGTTATTTGGAGCCGGCGGCAGATACGAGAAGAGCGACGAGAGAAACGGTCGGGGCTGGAGTGGGATGGAAACTCAACAGTACCGAGGACACTGCGTTGTTCGATCAATCCCACACACTGGTACCACCGTGTGCCCACCTTTCTTGTATTTTTTCGAATGATAAGGACTTATCGGCACGACACGACACGTCTTGATCGGCATTATGATTCTTATTATTCTTATTATTATGGGGTGGTTGTGGTTGCTGCCCAAACGGCAGTCGGGGATACAGTCAGGACTCCAGCAAAAGTATGTGTAAGAGATGAAGCGGTCAAAGCATCAAGGCTAGTGCTAACTTCTAAGTAATGAAATTAGCGAGACTAAGAAAGACGCAATTCCCTATTAATTAATTCCTTTCCCATTAGTCACCCTCTCCACCACGCACACTGGGTGTCCAAGGAAACAATACAAGAAGCCTCGATATTCCTCCATCTCTCCCCCTTCAACACCTTCAACCACCAACACAGTCCAACGTCCCCGGATCTGATCGATCCCCCTTCTTCGTCTACACGCACAAGGATCACTTCCGAGTGATCCGCCCAGCCGCCAAGACGTTTTCCAATCTATTGCCCTCGTAAGTACCACCCCGTTGCCTCTTCCCCGACCAGTCTTGCAGCACTGGTACCTGCATCGGTCCCCTGTTCATGCATTTCTTTTGGGCATCTTCCATCTGGCGCTACCTGGCGTCAATCTCGTGTGTCGTCGTGGCCATCGGACCCTTGGTCATGCAGTCGACCGCTGGTGGTACCTCGATACATTCGTTCCCCTTTCCACGACCATGGTCGTTGGACATTGCCGTCGTCGCGTTGAGAATCTGGTTCTCGTCTTCATTTGCGAGAATGCTCTCTGACGTCTTTAAAAGGTCCCATCACCCGTTCAACGGTAGCCGACGCTCTTCCCCTCCTGGAGGAGCATCGGATTCAACAGAGACCCGATAAATTCGCCATCCATCAGAGAAGCCGCTGCCACACTCCAAATTCTTTGATCCAGTCAATTCGGCCCATTCTCTTCAACTCAAGATGGCACCACACGCGGAAATCGGCGTCGGCACCATGAACGGGTATAGCACCAATCACACTTCGGACTCGCACAAGGAACTTTTCACCGTCAACTCTCCCAACGTGACGTACACGGATGAACATATCAAGAGCAAGTACGTCTACCGCACCACGGCGGTCACCAAGACGGCCGACGGCAAGTACACGGCAACGCCCAAGGAAACCGTCTACGACTTCAAGGTCGACCGCAAAGTGCCCAAGGTCGGCGTCATGTTGGTCGGATGGGGCGGCAACAACGGCTCCACCGTCACTGCCGGTATCATTGCTAACCGTCGTGGACTCGTTTGGGACACTCGTGAGGGAAGTCGTGCTGCGAACTACTATGGCTCCATCATCATGGGCTCCACCATCAAGCTCGGCGCTGACGCCCAAACCAACGAGGAGATCAATATTCCTTTCCACGACGTCTTGCCCATGGTTCACCCGAACGACATTGTGCTTGGTGGCTGGGATATCAGCAGCATGGATCTTGCGGCTGCCATGGACCGTGCTCAGGTCCTTGAACCGACCCTCAAGGCCATGGTGTACAAGGAGATGGCCCTGATGAAGCCGCTGCCCAGTATCTACTACCCGGATTTCATTGCTGCAAACCAGGAGGACCGTGCGGACAACGTTCTACCGGGCAACAAAGCCAGCATGGACCACGTCGAACAGATCAGGGCAGACATCAGGAACTTCAAAGCCCAAAACAACCTGGACAAGGTCATTGTTCTCTGGACCGCCAACACCGAACGCTATGCGGACATCATTCCCGGCGTCAACGACACCGCGGAGAACTTGCTGAAAGCCATTGAGCAGGGACACGAGGAGGTGTCGCCGTCGACCGTCTTCTCTGTCGCCTGCGTCCTCGAAAAGACGCCTTTCATCAACGGGTCCCCCCAGAACACCTTTGTTCCCGGTGCGATCCAGCTCGCGGAGAAGCACGACTCCTTCATCGGTGGTGACGACTTCAAGTCCGGCCAGACCAAGATGAAGTCTGCCTTGGTCGATTTCTTGATCAACGCCGGCATCAAATTGACGTCCATCGCCAGCTACAACCACCTGGGCAACAACGACGGCAAGAACTTGAGCTCCCAGAAACAGTTCCGATCCAAGGAGATTTCCAAGTCCAATGTTGTCGACGACATGGTGGCGGCCAACAGTGTTCTGTACAAGAAGGACGAGCACCCAGACCACACGGTTGTCATCAAGTACATGCCCGCCGTGGGCGACAACAAGCGAGCCTTGGACGAGTACTACGCCGAAATTTTCATGGGTGGTCACCAGACGATCAGCATCTTCAACGTCTGCGAGGATTCCTTGTTGGCCTCGCCCCTGATCATCGACCTGGTTCTCGTGGCTGAGATGATGACCCGCATCCAGTGGAAGACCGAAGCTGCTGCGGAGTACAAGGGCTTCCACAGTGTGTTGAGTATCCTCAGCTACATGTTGAAGGTAAGGCGGCCCTGTTTACGTTGTGACCTCTTTTTGGGCTGTTTCACTAACATGACACACTCTCTCTTCTAGGCACCACTCACACCTCCTGGCACACCTGTCGTCAACGCCCTGGCCAAACAACGTAGTGCCCTGACCAACATCTTCCGCGCCTGTGTCGGCCTCCAGCCCGAATCCGACATGACGCTGGAACACAAGTTGTTCTGATATTCTCCCTCCTCCGCACCCTTCCGACCCTAATGTGCAGGTAATGGCAAAGAAAAGAAGAAAAAGATAGCAGCACTCTGCGAAGCCGCTTCCGCTCGGCATTTTGTTGATGCGACGATAGGGGTGGCTAGACTGAACTGCCTTTTTTTTTGGCTTCCTTGCATTGCGAAACGGCGAATTTGACAACAAAAGGGTCGGGCGGCCTCGATCGAGCGAACCGATTGCACAGCACAGATTTGTTCGCTTTTCTTCTTTTTCTTCTTCTAAGTACCTACCGGTGTTGGTACTTGTTCAGTCGTTTCCGCCTCCTCTGCCCTCGACACTCGCAGTCGGGTAGTCAACCAACTCACAGTCATTCCTTTCATCGATGATCCAGCTACATAGGTGTATAGCCTTATTTAGTGAACACAACCGACATATTATTCCCCAACCACCCCGGCTTCTTCACCAGTAGGGTGCACTTGTTTGTGTCTTTGAATCTCTTCAGCCTTCAACCCCTGACAGGGGAGGTCCCGTAGATCCGTGCAGCTAAGGTATGTAGATGTAGATAGATAGATAGATAGAAGGTTGGGATCCCCCCCATTCCCCCGGCGCCTCTTGATCGCCCAGCAGGGAGGAAACTGAGTCACTGTAGAAGGCCCCCGGTTGGGGAGCTACTGTATGTGCAGACACGTACATGTACTTCTTCGTACCTTCAGTAGCCAGCATTCGTTCGTGCCTGCCTGGCTGTCTATCTGCTATCAGTAAGTATATATGTATATATATACATGTATATGCATGTGCACATGTATACACAGGCCGGCTGGGGTTCATTCTCCACATCATATCATGACATATCTATCTGTCTTTTTTTTTTAGGTCCTCGTGATGGATACGATCCCTTGAATGCCTTTTCTCCTGCTTCTCCTTCTTCGCCTTCGCACCACTTGCCGGCTAGCTGGCTAACTAGCTAGGTAGATTAATAGGGATCTCTCTCTCTCTCTCACTCTCTCACTCAAACAGCTACATATATAACATACGTTCCCACTGTACATACTTCAAGAAATAGCTCCCTACCTACTAACTACCCTGCTACTTACTACCCTGCCCACCTGTCTAAGTATGTACTGTAGGCCGCGATAGACCAGACAGACAGACAGATCGATACAATTCTTCTCAGAACGCACTGCGCGCAAGGCCGTACAACGTGGCCACGCCGGCCTTGACCCCGTCGACGATGTAGACGTCCCGGGCGCGCTCGGGGCCCAGGGTCTCGGCGCAGGCCTCGCGCACCGCCGAGTCCAGGCCCACCATGCCCGCGCAGCCCAGACAGATGGCCTGGACGCGCGAGAGTGTGTCTGCTGAGCTCGTCGTCGTCGGCGTTTGATCATTCTTCTTGATGCTGCTGCTGCTGCTGCTGCTGCTGATCTGGCCGCGCCGCAGGAGCCGCGTGGTCGCCTCCTTCATCTTCCGCCGCACCTGCTCGGCGGGGAGGTCGTGCAGTTCGCTCGCGTTGAGGCCCGTGGTCTCACACCCGACGAACGGAGACTTTGTTGTCGTTGCGGTTGGGGGACATCCGATAAACTCCGCGACGGCCGTCTGCAGGGCCTCTTCCCAGACTTTGCCGGTCGAGACGATCCCGAACGCGGGTCTGACGTCCTTGTCGTCGTCGTCGTCTGTCTTCTGTTTCTTCTCCGGCTCACCCAGCAGCGTCAAACTGGCCACGACACTCGCCTCGAAGATGCCGGTGACGTACTTCCGCGCCCCGGACCCGCGGGCGCCCTGGGTCGCCGCGGCGGTAAGCGCGGCGCACTCGGCCTTGAGCTGCGCGACGAGCGGGTGCTGGCTGTAGCACGCCACGAGGAAGGCGTCGTGGTGCGGCAGCAGGGGTAGCAGGTGCGGGAGGCAGATGCGCGCCGACTCGGCGGCGTCGTGGGGCGAGTTGATGCTCGGGATGCCCGGCGTCGGCGACGTGAAGAAGGCGTACTGCACCGCGGGAAACCCCAGGCTCTCAACCACGGGCACCAGCGCGTCCGTCATGGCCTGCGACGTGTTGGGGTTGATGATCAGGATGCGCACCGGCGGTGGCGGCCGTGGCCGTGGCCGTGATGATGAGGATGATGCTTCGTCGGTGGTGGTCGCCATTCCTCAATGATTTCTTGATCTGTTATTATTATATTCCCTTCTCTTTTCTCTGGATCTGTGGACTCTGTTTCTTTTTCTCTGTGTGTATTTCTCTCTCTCTCCTCTCTGGTGAATGCCTCTTTTTCGTCAGTGATTTTCTGGAGAAGATTGACTCGGCATCGGACGAGCTGGTTCGGAGCTTGCTGTATCTATGAAATGAGAATGCGGCGAGTCTTTCGTGTTGCAGACGACAGTATTGAGAATGTCTCACAGATTTTTTGGTTGCTGCCGGTGAGGCGAACAAACAACAAACATGGTGGCAGTTCGTCTATGACTATTTACATATCTATTGTGACAATGCGGGGAGGCGAGTCTTGTTATCTTATCGCCCGTTACTGCAAGGGACGAGGCGATAAATGAGGTACATGCTTGGGAGGTACAAGGTGCCGCGTATATACTCCGAATATTGACACCGATATATGGATATATAGATGCGAGGTCCTGGCTTGACGTTCACAATGGCATCTATTAACAGATTTCCCTGGACAAACTGTCTCTTTCGACCTGTCCCTCCTGCAGGTTGGCTCGACAGAACCTTTTCACGATTTACTCTGAATCCATCCTCTTGTCCTGAATGCCTTGCTATTCTGTTCCCGGCCCTTTCGACCGAGCCAACCCAGTCTGCCAATGTCGATACCAGGATCAAGCTTGCCAGCTGAGAGCTTCCGCCTCGACCGATACCCATGGTTGCAATGTCGGAGCGGTCGTTCGAAACCTGGCTCGCTTTCCACCAGAAACAGGAACTTCGTGCAAAGATCTGAGTTGCAAGGCTTTCAGTCGCACTCGACTCACATCTCTCTCTGAATCGACTGGGCCAGCAGATAGGACGTCAGCTTGACTCTGATGTCAGACAGCTTCCAACATGTCGCTCGTCTTCTCGAGGTTGGTTCTGGCATATTTTCCGCATTTTGCCGCATGGAATGGTCTCTAGCTGGGACCAGTGAAGCCAGGCCGAGGGATCCAGCCCACAGCAGTCTAGTCATCGTTGGAGGGTCTGAACATATTTCAACACCCGAGCCGTCGTTCTCGATCTTCACACAAGCTTGCCCTCCGCCTCACTATCCAACTTGTCGCGCGCTTTATCGTCGACAATGGGCACGGCTCTCGTCGGGATTTTGAAAAGTCGCTTCCCCCCCGTGATGAGATCTCTGAGGGTGACGTAAACGACAAATAACCAGAGCAAGAATACGCACACCGATATTATCTGTCATTGCAATGATTAGCCAGACGTCCACGAAAATGTATTGGGGGATATGGAGGAGCAATACAGATCCAATGACTCGGAAAAATCGCGATGGTATATCTATGGCGAGTGTATTGCTCGAAAGAGCGAATGTGCCGATCGGGAAAGTGAACCTGTCCACGGTGAGTGAGTCGTCGGATGGTTTGAGATCCGTCATGAAACCTACCCCCACCAGCCGATATTGAACGGGAAACGCTTGCAGTGGTATATCGTTGCCACGGCGAGAAAGAGCCACAGCAAAGTAAACCCCCACAAGACCAAGGATAAGAGCACTCCAAAATTGTATGCCAAATCTCCCGCCAGCGGATGGATGGTCTTGGTCACGGGGAACACTTTCATCGCAACGGAACCAAGCTTCATAATAGCAAAACCGCCCATGTTTAACGGGCCCAGCGGAACGAAACAGGACACAATGACCTCGCGGGGCGGGAGTTTATGGATTGTCAAGCGCTGCCAGTAGGTGATGAGAATGAACGTCGCGGCAGGGACGCCGACCCCCCAAAGAATGTAGCCGATGATGACCGTGACCAAAGCTTGCTCGTCGTTGGGTAGCACGCCGGCAACCAAAGCCGCGGTGGCGGATGCGACCACTGTTCCAATGACGGGGAATATCTGGAGAGCAGTCATCGTCGAGAGGGGTGCCTCCTCTTCTCGTTTGATGACGAGCAGAAATGGTAGAACCAAGGCACACACCAGTGACAAGACTGCATCGGCCATCCATAACCTGGATCGATTAGCAAAAGACTGCAAGACCTGGAACGGACGAACCCCCATGCGAGGTAGACGACCCATTTCCCCCACGACGGAGCACACACGAGCACCATCATATTGACGATAGTCCCGAGACTCTATAGGGCTCTGTTAGTACGTTTTCTTCAGAGAATCTCGAGACACGTACCACTGGTATGCAGCTCAGGAAGAGTGCTTGGTTGGGTCGCTCGATGATGGTGATCCACACCTTGGGAAACAGAACAAATTGGAGAATGGACACGAAGATGAAGAACCCGAAGAGGCCGATGTTCAAGCAGAACACAATGACGGAAAGCCAGTAGAGCCATCTTGCACCATACGGGAACTGGTTGAGAAGGGTGGCCACGATCTTTTGGGGCGGGAGGTCGTCCTTGAAATCAGCCATGATGTCCAAGACAGATGAGATGAACTCGTCGTCCGCTTCGAGACTGAGAGACAGGGCCAGCAATGGGCATCAACTGGGGGAAAGGCTTACACCTGTGCCCATGGTCACCGTGAACCAGCTGCGTATGCTCCCGTCAGCACGCAATCTCAGGAGTCGAGGGCAGATGGTCGTACGATGGCGTAAAGTACTTGACATATTTCCTCCATCCCATCTCACCACTCTTGCGATAATCCGGAGCCATCTGTTTGCCATCCTGCGTTGGTGCATGAGAAGCTGGTGTGGGAGAGGAATTGTCAGGGCCGTCCCCCAAGGCCGGATTCCACGATGCAATGTCCCCATCCTCGTTGGCACCTCCGCTCAGGGTCTTTTGAAGGGAAATGGCGGCATTAGTGACGAGTCTGGTCAACGCTCTGGGGCGAGTCGGTCGGGACGCGGTCTCAGACATTGCCTCTTTTGCGGCGGAACGAAGCGGATTTGGGAGTAAATGTGTGTCACGAAATGGCGTCTGTGACGTGGACGACCAGGGCTGTGGGAGTATTTGCTAAGATTGATATACGCTTTCTCCGCGGTACATGAGAGACAACGCCCGAGGTCTGGGGGCAGATGAGTAGCAGCAGTCACTTCATCCGCCCGGGTGTCGTTTGTGGCCTCGATGTTATGGCCTCGACGGTGTAGATTCGCCCAAGGAAATGATAGTGAGAGGACGGAAGCGATAGGGAGGAAAGAAACAGTCAATGGAGGCCAGGAGAGGTCGAGGTTATTATTTTGAATCTGGACTAATTCGGATCATGGCGGTAGGATGGAGCTATCCCAGGTGCCCGGCAAGCGTCTTTTTAGTCTTTTAGCTGAGCGACTGGTCGAAATCTGGAAGGAGAAGAATGCCTGATTCAGCCTGAGTTTGGGGCGCGGGATGGTAAACGAGGGTGGGATGGGTTGATGGTTGGATGGAGGCTGGGAAATAAAGAGGCAGGCCTGCTTACGAAAGCCCCGTGTGTGGGTGTCCACTGCCTTATCCTGCTCCTCACACCAAGTACCTCTCCCTGCAGCCAATAAGATATGCATGTCATTGCTATACAAAAGGATGCATATTCGACATACGAAGCTTGTTGGACCCCAATCATAACGAAGGTCAAGTGCAAAAGATAGAAGAAGAAAGAAAGAACAAAAAGATATCCCAGCCGTACAACGTCGACGACACCTGGCCTGTGCTAAGGGTTTGCAGCTGAATGAGCGTGCCCAACCTCTCCGTCGTTTCTCCTTTCCAGGTGTTGCTTCACGACTCCAGCTGACGTCGATGCGAGACATGACAGATTCGAAATGAGTGTGTGGTGGTGCCAAAAAGGCCAGGCATAAAGGCCGGATCCCACCAGACCGACCTTCCCTCCCTCAATGTAGAGACGACAGAAAGCATCGGCTTTTCCTTCCCTGCTCTCCACTGCGCTGCTCACCTTCGTGTGCATCCTCATATCCGGAACTGCGGACTCATCTCCCAACCACCACCATGTCTTGACCGGAAAGTGCTGAAGAATGATCCAAGCCCAAACGGAAAAGTACTGACGCCTGCAAAACGGTAGACTCAGCTGGTGGATCTCGTGTCTGTGCATGACCATGTCGGGACCCCATCTGACGAACCGCATAGCTCTCCCGCGGTTCGCAAATACCTGGTTCAAGCCTCGGGGTGTGCGACTTTGGTTGGGTTCGGCTCTTGCCAATGAAGTGTAAGTGGGTTTGCTCGTGCTGTTGCAGACATCCACGGTCTACAACCGCGCCAGGCACGTCTAAGGGACGAACAACCGACCTCTGCCGCGGGCCGATCCACGTTCGAATCCATTGATGTAGCCACCACGGTTGAGGTTCGATCCACGTCCCCCCCCACGACTGTGATTTCCACGGTAGGCTCCACGGCCACTGTTGAATTGATGTGGTATGTGGGTGCTCGTATTGACGAGTGGCGTGCTCCCCCGTGCGAAGCTGCCACGGTCGAACGAATCAGGGTCAATCTCCTCGACCGGAATTTGTGGCTTGTTCTGCACCGACTGCGCAGGAGTGCTGAAGGACGTTCGTGGGGATCGCGTATTTCCTGCTCGAATGCGGACGCTCCCTGCGCCGCCACCTCGCGACGACTGCGGTCCGCGTGCCGGGCCTCGCCCTCGTGGCTTGAAGACGACCTCTTCCTCGTCGCTCTCGACGTCGTCGTAGCTGAAAAGAGTCTTCGGCTCCGCATTGGACGCTCTTTTCGCCTTGTCCTTCTTGGTATTCTCTTGCGCCGGAGGTTCGTTTTCTCCCAAGCCAAGAGCACTCCTCAGTTGGTGGATATTCTTGGTGGGGATCCCAAAGTCCCGCGCGAGGTGCATGGTGTCGGCGGAATTGGTGAGGAAGATAAGACCCTCATCCGCGGGAGCCTTCTTCTCGTGCACATACCACACCACCGGGTTGAGAAGAGACTTGAGCGATGGTGGAACGGGTGTCTGATCGTGGCTGATGATGGTGGCAGACTTGACCTCAGGGCTGGTCTTGGAGCTCTGTGGCCCAGAAGAAGAGGGCGACAACGGCGGTGTCGAGCCGGGCGACATGGTCGCTGGTTCTTTCGCAAAGTTGAGTTTGTCCAAGAGGATTTGCGACAACGGCCCTGCGACGCCGCCTGCGCCGACCTTGAAGGGAATTTCTGCGTCCTTCTCGAGTTTGTTGTCCATGAGTGGGATCGACTCATCTGCTTCGTTCATCCCAGCAGTCTTCATACTTTCATTTGTGTAGTGTGCCTCCACCTCAGCCCACGTGGGGTATTGGTCGTCGGGACCTTGGAGGATGACTGGGTCATGTCGTAAATCGCCGCGAGACGAAGTGCTGCGGTCCAGGAATTTCACTGCTTTACGCGCGCTGATGCCGATCTGTGAAGAATCCTTCTTCAAGACATTCAGGCGAGAGAGCGCTGAAGCTGATTAGCGGGGGCACGAGGGAATTTGCGACACCGGCGTCCATACTGTACAAGGGCACGACAAGAATAATGAGGCCCTGCGAGACCCAGTTCTCGATCTCCTCCAGGTTCCTGGTCAGAGCCGTGTCGTCTACAAGACAACGGATGACATTGTGTTTCGACATTTTCACGGGTTGTGCCGTCTGTGACTCTGTGTCGGATTGGGGGGTGGTCGATGTTGTGTGGTATCAAAGGGGGAAATTTTTACAGATTCATCGGCGCGAACTGTGGAAGGTGCGGTAGCCAGGTGCTACGACTGCATTGTCCCCAGTGGTACATTAGTGACAGGCACACAAAGAGATGGCGGGAGAGCAAGGCGCAGGGAGCCCATACCGGGAGTGTTTGTGGCAGAGAGCAAGCAGTAAGGATAGGTGCGCATCTTCGCTAGAAATAGGTTGATGCCGTGATGGGGCAATCAGTTGGTTTCATGGAAGGATGCATCGACAGTGCAGGCTGGCGAAGTGAAGAAGAGTCCAGCTTGCGTCGTGAGGCGTCAGAGAGAATGAATGGCCGGCTAGCTGTTGTTGTGCGGTGGGTGGCAGCGGGTGGGAATCAAGAGGATCGGAGGTTGGACTGAGCGGGAAGCGGGACGCAGACTCTCTGCAGAACTGCGGGCGAGCGAATCAGCCGACGCCGGCATCGTCTCCGCTTTGTGCCCGAAACCGACCTTTGGTCCAGCACAAGGTCCTCAATACATATAGCTATCTCTCGCTTTGTGGAAAGTGGCTTGGGAGTCATATTTCTATGCCGAGGACCTCTAAAACACCGTCAAACAGCTTACAGTGTCATTCTTCAGCACTTCAAACAACATCCCTGGGAAGCCAAACAGCTCGGTGTTGCCCATGTCCCCTGCAGCATCTACCGTGCCGTGGTCGGCTGCCTTTTCTCGAGTCGGGCTTTCCTCTAGATCACCCAGCAACTCTATGGAGCTCTCGGGGCTCTCTCCCCATCCCCTGTTGAGGACCATCCCTCGCTGCATTTGCTTCTCCTCGTTCTCGTCTTTGTAGGTGTCATGCCACACCTCTTTCAACGCCCGAGATATCTCAGAAAATGTCATTTCGGAGGTGAGGATTGGCCCTCGGCTTTCCCCACGAGTCCGGATCACCCACCGACTTCGACGATGGCGGTTGAAAGCGAACGAGCCAGGCACGTTACCATGGAGGAAGATCTTCGTGGCGACCAGTTGTGCACCAGACGAGCCAGAGCTCTCGCCGGTCGTCGAATCGGGGAAAGGTGGTGATCTCGCGGCAGGGGACGATATCAGAATGTCAAATCCGTGCTTAAAATAGTTGTAGAAACATTCATCACTGGACGAATCTGCCCTGTCCTCCTCAAGCTCGGGGTCGAAGTCTGACTCTTCGGTATAGCTTTGAACTGACGACTGGTCCGTGTCCAACGCCTGAGGATCGAGCCCCGGTGACATGCTAGGCCGCCGCCGATTCGCAGGATTACCGGTGGCATGGATGGAAATCCGTCGATCATTCTTTCGATATATGGCATCAGGGGGCCCCAGCTCCGCCACAAGATCTTGAGGTGTTGTTTCACTCAACGTGATTGCCATAGGCGGGGAGGCCCTCCGTAGGAGTTCTAGTCGGCCACCTCCGAACACTCTTACCTCCTCGATCTCGTCTGGCGCTGTCTCGACAGACTTGCCAATGAGTGTCGGTGACCGAGGATACGTTGGAGATCTCGTATACAAATTTGTCCTGGCTTCTGTCCACGAGGACCCCGAGAAGATGGCCATAGATTTTGCCGAGCCAGTGGCATTGGATGATAAAATGGACACAAAATCAACCTTTTCGGACCAGGACTGATGTTTCACAGGGAAGCTAAATGCCAGCCCTGGGTACGAGAGAACATATGTGCCTTCGGAAACACCGGGTTCCGGAGCTATATATTCTCCGGCGTACGTTGGTCCAAAGAGACGGTTGTAGACATGTCGAAACGTGGGCCCGCTGGAAGAGCCTTCGTCTTGGCTGATCTCGTCCGAACCCTTAACTCGGCGGACCAGGTCGGTGTTCTTATAGACAAAAGAGCTGAGAGAAAAGTCCAAAACCTCAATTAGCCGTAGTCGCTGGTCTGGACCGTCGAACCGGAGTCTCAGTCCATTACAAGGAAGGCTGAGCACGACCGGTTGCGTGATTGGGTCTGAAGCAGAATAGGACAGCTCCAGACTTGGATAGATCTTTGGTGACGCTTTCAGCCTTGTGATTATACTGTAGATAGAAGATCCGAGAGCTGAGGCAGTCAGCACAACCCAAAGGCCCCGAAAGATGATATACACATACTCATCCAACTGATGCCCCTTTCCGGCTGAATCTGGAAAGCAGCCTTGGAGGCGGGTTCTGCCATGATCAAGTTGGCATACCGGGAGAAGAGGAGAACGATGAAGAGCTGACCGTTGCAGAGAAGGCTGTCGTGATATTTGACCTGGTGATCACGGCGAACAAGAATAGAATCCAAGTCACAAGGGGAGTCAGAACAGCGCCGACGGGGTCGGACGTGCGGGCGGACCAATCCGAGACCAGAATTTACCCGCGCCATATCACGTGCAGCCCCCACCATCTTAGCGCCTCGGCATTGTTTACATTTCGTCCTGTTTCGTATCCTTGTTTCCAACCCCGGTACCATGTTTATCTGGTGATGCACTATCCAAATGCAGTCTACGCACGCTCAATAACATTGCGTCTCCTATAACACCCGCTGCTTTCCTGCTGCCGACATGTCAGGATCACAGCGTGCCACGAGAACCTCAATGCGCCCACCACCGAGACCGCACGGGACACAATATCCTTCGATAACCGGTCGAGCTCCTTCCCCCGCAGAATCGCTATCCTCGAGCAGTGCCTCTAACGCGGGCACCAAGAGAAAAGAGAGGGATTTTGACCAAGACCATGGCGAGGAGACGAACATTCATGTCGTCGTACGATGTCGGGGTCGAAGCGCCAGAGAAGTTCGAGAGAACAGTGGAGTGGTGGTGTCAACAAGCGGAGTCAGAGGGAAAACAGTTGAACTGTCGATGGGTCCCAATGCAATCAGCAACAAGACTTACTACTTCGACAAGGTGTTCTCTCCGGCGGCAGACCAGGCCATCATCTTCGACGACGTCGTGGCGCCCGTCTTGAACGAAATGCTGACAGGCTACAATTGCACAATATTCGCCTATGGCCAAACAGGGACGGGCAAAACATACACTATGTCGGGCGACATGACCGACACTCTTGGGCTGTTATCTGATGCAGCCGGCATCATCCCTCGGGTGCTGTACTCGCTGTTCCAGAAGTTGGAAGCGGATGAGGTGGAGTATTCGGTGAAATGCTCATTCATCGAACTATACAACGAGGAATTGAGGGATCTGCTGTCGCCCGACGATTCCGTCAAGCTGAAGATCTTCGATGATGCGAGCAGGAAGAGCCATTCGGCCACGGTAGTTCAAGGCATGGAGGAGTCGCACATTAAGGATGCAGCGGCGGGCATTAAACTCTTGCGTGAAGGCAGCCACCGGCGTCAAGTCGCAGCCACCAAATGCAACGACCTCAGCTCTCGAAGCCATACGGTCTTCACCATCACCACATATGTCAAGAAACCTAACAAAACGGGCGAAGACTATATCTGCTCTGGAAAACTAAACCTCGTTGATTTGGCGGGAAGTGAGAACATCCAAAGGAGTGGCGCGGAGAACAAGAGAGCCGCAGAAGCCGGTCTCATCAACAAGAGCTTATTGACGCTAGGAAGAGTGATCAATGCTCTGGTGGACAAAAGCTCACACATCCCATACCGAGAATCGAAATTGACCAGGCTGCTTCAAGACTCACTGGGTGGAAGAACAAAGACGTGCATCATTGCCACAGTTTCACCGGCAAAAAGCAATCTCGAGGAGACCATTTCGACCTTGGACTATGCTTTCCGTGCAAAGAACATTCGGAACAAACCACAGGTCAATTCAATGATATCCAAGAAAACTTTGCTGAAAGAGTTCACCGCGGAGATTGAAAAACTCAAGAGCGAGTTGATTGCCACCAGACAACGCAACGGCGTCTATCTTACGAATGAGCAATATGAGGAGATTACGGTCGAGAGTGAATCCAGGAGGATACTGAGCGAGGAACAGAAGGCCCGGATCGAAACGATGGAAGTCAGTCTACGCATCAAAGTCCAGGAGCTCTTCAGCTTGACCAACAACTTTACGACGCTGAAGCGAGACAACGAAGGAACTCGGGCCACCTTGGAGAGCACAAAAGACGTGCTTGAAAAGACTGAGGCTGTTCTTGTGGACACAGAAAGATTGCTCGCGGAGGAGACTGCTCTGCGCGAAGCACATGAGATAACGGAAGAGAAATTATTCGGTATTGGGACCGAGCTAGTCTCGACCGTTGGTCACTCTCTCAAGGACATCGACGGTCTGCAGGCCAAGCTCAGGCGGCACTCTGTCCTCCATACACAGAACCGCGAGTCGTGGAATTCTTCTTTCGGCCGGGTAATGGACATCTGTGAACTGGTTGACGAGCGCATCGGAAGCTTCCAAGCAGCACACTCTGAGGCCGCCGCTGCAAGCTCTCGTCGGATCGAGTTATTGATAACGACCGAGATGGCTCGCATGGAGACTTTTGGCCGACTATCTCAAGAGAAGTCCTCCGAACTGGCCAAGGACTGTGCTGCGGTGGAAAATCAGTCCGTGCAGGCTCGAGATTCCATGAACAATGTCCTCGAGGAGATCAAAGATCTCCGTGAGGATGTCAAGGACAACCTCAGCGAAGGCCTTCACGGGCTCTCCCAGGCAGCTGCAAAAATATCTGCGGAAGTGATCTCGGAGCTGGAGCAGTTTCACACCCAGTTGCATTCGTCCTACAGCGGGCTGGGGAAAGACTTTAAGGCGATGTTCGACGACCTCACCAAGCAACTGACGGCGCAGCGAGAGGAAATTGAAGCCTTGTCGTCAGCTCTCCAAGGGGCGAATCGCTCCAACATTGAGGCATCACTCTCAGCTTCTACCCAACTCGAAGCCATTAGGGACGAGGAGAGAAAGGCTGCAGAAGAGGAGAAAGAGAAGCTCAAGGAGCAGATCTTGAAGCTGATTGACTCGTCACATCAACAACAGGAACAGAGACTGTCTAGTCGACTGAATAATGTTCAGTCACACCTCGTTGAAGCGACCGAGCAATTCGAAAGTGCTGATAAGACTTATCGCGATGGTATGGACAGGTGGACAGCTCAAGGCAACGAGCTGATGGCGTCGGTGGTGACTTCAAAGGACGAATTGAAGACTAAAATGAAGAGTGATTGGACGGTAAGTCGAGCAGAAGTTGATCTTTATGGAGGCTAATATCTTGCAGGCGGTCAGTGCACGAAACCAAGCCATTCAAAAATCCACCAAAGCCGTCCACGAGGAAACGGTCAAGATCGTCGACGCTCGGCTGACGCAAATGTCAACCCAAATGGGGGCTCTGGACGAATTTGTGACGCGAGCTCGAACACAGAACGACAGCCACCATGCTGAACGCTTACAGTTCTTGAGCCACGCCGTATCTCGTGCTCAGGACGGGTTTAGCAGTCTGAAGAAGGAATCCGAGCTGTGCCGTGAAGGATTTGGAGCCTTTGCGGGAGAACAGGAGACACACCGAGCAGATGTTAACAGGCTCATGGGATCCTTGGAGGAAGGCACCAGGCATCCTCTCCAGGATATGAGGGCAGAACTCTCAGAAGCAACTTTGACGGATTACATCCCAACTGGAGAGACGCCACAGAAGAGGGAGTGGAATTATCCGACGCATCTGCCTCGAACCGAACGCCACGAATCTATCATTGCCAGGCTGAGAGGTCTACCTGATCCTGCTCTCGTCGCGAAGACGCCTTCATCAGTGAGGACACCGGCCCGTTCGCCTAGGAAGCAAGCATCACCACGTAAGGGGCCAGCCTCGCCTTCGAAGCTACCGAGTCCGACCAAGGCCAAGATCTTCACCGACATTGAGAATTCTACGATACCGGCCTTGCAAATACAAAGCACTGCACCGAATGGGATACCCCTCAGTGAGCCGAAACCTGGGCTGAAAGAAGTCGACATCAATGTTCTTAACAGCAACAGACCGGTAGTGTCATCAACAACATCCATGACGTCGTCCAGCATTGACGAGAAACCTGTGCTGCTGGATTTCAGCAAGAGTATCGGCAGTGGAAGTCAACAGCCGCCCCTCAAAAGGCACGCGACGACTAATGCAATCGTCGAGAGCAGACTCCCTACCGCAAAGTCGGGCAAGGTGACGAGAAGTACCATGGCTGGCTTAGCGGGTATGGGTATCGGCGGCGTGGAGAATTTCAGCCAGAGCGTTGGGCCATTGGGTGGAGGCAGGAGGCTGAGAAGCAGTCCGCCTGGCTAGTCTGCTCACCGTTGAGAATCTGTGTTGTTTTGTTTTCCAGTCCCGCGAATGGGACTTTCTGGTGGTGGCATTGTCTTGGATTTGGGAACATGGTCCCGGTGCTGAGGAATCGAATCGGATCACATCGCATCGCTTTCAAGTCGAGTACAGTTAAGAGATACCCCATGTTGTTTGTCATGTCATTGTGTGTTGCTGCTCTCCACATATGCTCTGTCTGTCTTTGGCAAAAGGGACGTTCTGGTATGGTATGCTAGGGTCGGAGGACAGTGAGCGATTGTTGGATAGCTGGCAGGACGGATGGCCGGAGACGAGACGAGATGGACTGGAAGGGAAATACATAGATAGATTATTTGATCGAGTGCGTTGAGGGAGGGAGGGAGGGAGGAATCCAAGAAGCATGAAAGGAAGTTCACTTTCTTTTGAGCCTCACTGCTGACTGAATTACGTCCTGCCCTGTATTCCCTTGGCGTGTCTGAGTCTGTGCTGTCTGTTGTAGACAGACAGCTCAACATCCACTCTACTTTGCACGATCTGATTGATATATGTAGGTAGGTCAGATCAGCGTGTACGAGGTAGATGGGTCCTCCTCCTCCTCCTCCACCTCTTCCTTTTCCTCTCTGTAGGCCGTCACGGAGGAAAACGCTGTGATGACATGTTCAATGTTGTCGTTAACAATGCGGCTGGGGGTTCGTATACTAGCGAGCAAGCAAGCTAGCCTGTAAGCGGCGAATTTATATCAAGGTAGGGATCGAGGGACGAGATGGATGGATGGATGGATTGGCAAATACTCGAGACTGAAGAAGAACTGGCTGCATGACTGAAGGACGACAAGAGCGTAAGTAACAGCACCAAGAAGAGGAAGAGGAACCCTGGAGTCAGTTGTTGGTCATTCATCCATCCATCCATTCATTCATTCATTTATTAACTATTCGTGTGGTTCCGTCCGTTTCCCTTTCCCCTCCCTCCCACTAACAGATATATGTAATAGTCGACGAGGGAGAGGAGGAGAACGAGAGCGAGCACGTATAAGTAAAAAGTAAGGGAAAACCACACTGGCCCCAACGCCTGTATTTTCAGTAGCAGCAGCAGCAGCAGCAGCAGCACACTGTTCGTGTCCACTACTTTCGTAGTCATCGTTTTGAGCCCTGATCTGCGTGTTGACAACCCCGTCGGCCAGAGGTGAAATCAGTGCTATTTTCAAGTATCCCGGCTGGATCAGACTGTCAATGCTGTATTTGTTTGGTCGGTAGTCTCTGTCATCAGTCAGGAGGAGCCTTGAGGAGGAGTGCGGTCTCTTTCCTCTCTGATTTCTCACTCCTCGCCGCCGCCGCCGCCCAGCGCCGCCGCGCCGACTGGCCCACCACTGATGCCACCGGCCTCGATGACCATCCTGATATCGTCCAGGCGGCGTTGGAACCGATCAATCATCTCTTCCATGCTCTCTCGTTCCTTCTCTCTTTCCCGCTCGGCGTCTCCGCTGCCGGCGGCCGCGACGGCCTTCTCTTTCTCCCTGGCCCCCCCCGCCGCCGCTAGGTCGCTGGGGGTGTTCCCTCGGCCCTCGATCCGGAGCATCAGCCCTTCTCCTTCTTCGCTGGGGACGCCGTCGCCAATGGTCGGCGCGGCCGAGATGCTCGTCCGCAACACCTGCCATTCGGCGCTGAGGCTGTGCGCGGCTGTGACCTCGTAGTTGTACCCGATTGTTCCACCAGCACCACCGCCCGAGGAACCGACCCCTGCGGAGGTGTTGTCGTCCGGGGGGTTCTGCGTGCGAGGTTGCGGGTGCACGTCGAGGATGATGTAGTGCTCGCGCATGTCGACCGTGGACGGAGGGAGGCGAGGTGCGTTGAGGCTGTCGTCCTGAGAACCGCCAGGGCCGTCTGTGTGTGCGTGTGGGAGTGTTCGGCCCTGTCGTCCATGTGGAGCAGCACCAACCCGATCCCCTCGTTGGGTAGGATCCAGTGTCTCGAGGCTCCTCAACGCAGCCTCGGTGATGATGTCGGCGTCGTCGTCGGCGAAGATGTAGTGGACCGTGGGATGGTAGTGCTCGTTCGTGACGCTGTCCTCGATCAGGGTGAATAAGGGCTGGAAGGACGGGATGGGCAGCAACTCGTCCATGGGATGGGCAGCAGCAGACGCGAGGCCATGGCTGTAGTGTTCCGACTCGGCCACGGCGTGCTCTGAGTACTCGGGGTTGTTGAGGGTGAGGCTCGGTCTGCGGCCGAGTTTGGCCTGTTGGTGGGAGGCGACGATCGGGTCGTCTTCAAAGTGCGGCGAGGGCAGGAGGCTGCGGGTGGTCGGAGTCGTTGTCGTTGTTGTTGTCGAGGGCTGCTGCGGCTGCTGCGGCTGTCCTACACCACCACCGCTCGTGGTCCGCCGTGAGGTGGGATTCGACGGCGACGATGTGTGCGTGGGGACGTGACGGGGCTGCTGGGACATGTCACACGGAAAATGCCAGAAGGTCAGTCAGTCTGCGACGGGGGCTACATCGCGACAGATGATGGCTGGAGAGGAGGGAGAGAAGAAGAGCGCAGGCGAGGTGAAGTCAGAGAGAGAGAGAGAGAGAGAGTGGTTTGTTGGGGCAAACGCCATGAATGTGAATCCCATGCAAGGCAAACAGTTTAATGTGGAGAATGAATTGCGTGTGGGGAAACCGAACAGACAGAAGGCATTTAATTGATATGTAATGACATGGCAGGTCGTCTTTTGATATGTAATTACATAACACGCCGTCTTTTGATATGGACAAACCTAGGTAGCTCGGTAGATAGATTTCAGATCTCGACGTGTTTGCCCTCGACCCAGGCTTTACACTGCCAGTAGAGAAGATCATGCTTGTCGCCACACTCTTTGCTGCCACCCTCGACCCCCTTCTCGCGCCGGTGACCGGGCATGTCGCGGAGCACCGTGACGCCCATGGTCGCCTCCTGGAGGTACGCCAGGTACCGATACCCACTGGGATAGTTCTTCAGGCGCTCCTCGTCGAGGATGGGCACTTTTGCCGGGTTCACGGGGATCAGTTTGTCCTAGGTACGACGGATTTCAGTCTCTCGTGTGCTGTCGTCCAGGACCAAGTCCAATCATCTTTTCTTACCTTTTCGTACCAATGCCTCACAAACCTGGCCCGCCACTCCCCTCCCTGGTCGGGCATCTTGACCCAGAAAAAGCAGAAGCGGCAATCGCTCTCCGCGTCGACCTCGCACCCGTCAATGGCGAAGCGCTGGGTGATGGTCGCCTTCATCTTTGTCACGGCCCGCGTGGCCTCGCGGTTGATGTCGGTGGTGACCCCGTGGCAGCGGTGCATGATGAAGGCGCCCTTGTCCATGCCCGCCTGAGACGCCCGGATGAAGTCCAAGTGGTGCGTCCGTCCGGTCCAGGTCGTGTAGATGTAGGCGTCCGGGTGGAAGATGGATTTGAGATTCTCCCATTCACACGCGTCTCTGGCACACGGCATCAGCAACAGAGAATCGAAAAGACGTGACGAACCACGTAGTAGTTCCTGTCGAGGGAGTTCAGGGCCTCTCTGACCTATAAAGAGGCCAGCCTTCAGCCAATTCACGTAGTTTGTATCGCTCCAGCACGAGACTGTCAGGCCCATTGTTGCGGACTGCGTGCTCTGGGCGTGAGCCGGCTGGCAGGGAGTGAAGGTCAACCATTGCTGGGGTCACAGACTGCTGCACAGACAGAAACAAGAGCAACTGGTTTGACGAGGAAGAAATTCAAACGGCTCAGTGGTGAGTATTTGAAAGTCATCGGATCGGGATCTCCTCCCGATGCGCATGGCGTATGGCACATTTTCGGCATCTGTCAGCGGCTCATATAATTACGAGTTTGCACAGCATCTCACATTCGGAGGGTCAGTCATTCTGATTCCATTTTCATTGTCTCTGTCCCACGGCCTCTGGGAGACATCTAGACGTGGCCTATATTGACACAAAATGCGACGGTAATGCCATTGATAGCCACGGCAGCCTGTAAAAACAACAACCAGTCCTTTTCGAACCCTTACACTACTTGACCTGGTTGGGACGTTGAAATCGAGCATCCCCCCGTCCCGTGACAAATCCTCTATGGCCACCCGGTGCAGTCATCAATCCACTCGGTTGTCGAACAGTAGATCATGGGAATATCCGCCCTCTTGGCTTTCTCCTCCGACCTCTTCTTCATCGCCGGCTCCGCAACAGCCTCCACACTGCGCTTCTCGACGGCCGGAGCAGCAACAGCAACAGCAGCATCTTCGGATCTTTTGACGACGGGTTCGGGAGCGGGCCATCCAGTGCAGTTGTCAATCCATTCAGTGGTAGAGCAGTAAATAATAGGAGCCCGCTTCTCTACGTTCTTGGTGTCTCTCTTCTTCAGGTCGTCCTTGACGGCATTGGGCGCCGAAGCTCCACCATCGGGGTTGGTCAGGGCACCGCCAAAGCCCATGAGCGTGTTCCAGGTCTCTGCAGTGGACCTGTCGCGAGTTCCCAAAGCTCGGATCTTGGCCTGAGACTCGCGGCAAAGAGCCTTTGCGGCTTCGTTTGCTCCACAGACGGTTGCAAGTTGGTCGCAAATTCGGTTGGTGATGATATCTGGCCGTACCATTAGTTACAGCACATGGCAAAAAGTCAGCGGCAGCTTACTTGGGTTGGATGCCTCTTGCTGGCCACGAGCACACAACGGATCGGTGGGCAAGAAGGTAAAGTCCACCGACGACCGTCCACCAAGACTACCCTCAAATTTCATCGTCGGCAGACAGAGGCCAAAATCGGCGTCCTCTCTCATGACAGATTCCTTGCCATATGACAGGACGGCAGCTGAGGCTGAGCTAACAGCCACCAGCAGGGTGACGACGGTGGATTTGACAAGCATGTTTGATCTCCTGAGATGCTGGAAACGAGTAAAGAGTGTGATAAGGTGTTTTTGAAAAGGAAGGACTGCAGAGAAAAGACCCGACCAGCGGTAAAGAGCGAGAAAATGGAAACAGAACGACGACGATGAACGGAAAGAATGTTTGGAATAGTGAGAGAGAGAGAGAGAGAAAGCGACCTTGGCAATGGCAAGTCTTGGAAGTTTCTTATAACCAATTGACCAGGCCGCGCGGATGGCAGAGGTGCCGGTTGCACGTTTCGAACATGAGGCCTAGTGTGTCGTGGGTTTCGTTTCACGTGCACTCAGGGGGTGTTCCCCCAACCACTTTGGGAGTCGGCCGACACAAGACCTCAAACAAACCCATCTCTGAGCTGGAATCATAGTCTTGATGTGGAGAGGAGGATCGTAAGTGATGAGGGTCAAAGCTCAGTTAGCAACGGAGAACCATTAGCAGGACTGTCTTCGCTTTGAGTAGGGACAACCTCTGGATAGCCAGCCACATCCCTAATGCAATGAGGAATGACAACAGACAGGTGCAATGCACTCAGCAAGTCGTCGGACGGCCATGGTTGTGAGAGCCAGAGCATCTAGATTCCATCCCGCTCATGTCTCTTTGTTGGTAGAGCATCTAGAAGAATGTCCTTGGTGTTGGGTGTGGGTTTGTCTGGAGTTCCCCCTCAATTTGACTAGGACCTCGTGGGCGTGTTGGAGGTAGGCATAGGGTAACGTTTTCGAGGGGTAGAGTGAGCAGCAGAGTGAGACTGGATGCACAGCTTTCAGATCATCCTTGGAGGTAATTGCCTTCAGGTTGAGGCGATCAAGCATCTGAAGCACCATGGTGAAGCGGACAGTGTCGCAGGGAGATGGGATCGCCAAAAAGGGATTAGTGGGAAGATCATAGGTCACGTGAATGGAGTCTTCGTCTGGCCCTCACGTGCCGACGGACGTCCTTACAATCTGTCCCACAGCAACGAGGTTGATGACCATGCAAAGCGCAGGGGCAGATAGACCAGGTATGGAAAAATAATGCCATATGCCCCCGTTGTCTTGTTTCCAACCGCCAGTCCAGTACACTATCTGTACAGTTCCGCCTTCAATGCTCATGTATGTGAACGCCGCCGAGCGCCATACCTCCATTTCGTTGACCAAACATCTTGGAGAGCGTGGAGGGTGACATCTCAGACAGAATGGTGAGCTGCTGCATGTCTTCCCCCCCCATCGGAAAACTTCAAAGGTGTATGACGAGTTCGTGCTCATACAATCGTTCATCCCAACAACTCAATGCAACTGCAAGTCGTGGACTCGTATCACTTTACTTCATGCTCACGTATCTCGTTTTGTTCTTTTTTCTCTTGTCCCTCGCGGATCGACTCTGGTGCCACAGCGGCATATGGGTCCTTGTCTCCGTCACCACCCTTGCGTGCGTGGCTCTCCAAATCATCCGGCGACTCGGCGTTGGTACGGCCATCCATACCCGTTTCCGTGCCAGCTTTTTCTTTGTCCATGATCTCTGTTTCCGCTTCCGATTCGCCCATATCGACACCATCCGCCGACACCGTGTCTTCGTCCCTCCTGACCCTCCCCACGCGACCACCACGAAACATTCCGCCGAAAGGTGACCTTTTCCTCGCGACTTTAGGGCTCGGCTCTTGCACCTCAATGATGACCGGCCCAGTCTCCTTTTCCGCGTACTTGTCAATGAACGCCTCCTTCAGAACTTCGTAGAGGAAACTGTACTGCAATTCGTTCATGACCATCATCATTCGCTGTTCGCGGAGCGTATTCACCGTTTCCCATATGAGATCTTCGTCATCCTTTGGATCAGGCGTGCTCGCTTTTGGAGGCCCGCTCCTGCCCCATGTACCAGAGTCGTTGGAATTCGTGGTCGGGGTATGCGTGCCCGTCTGTGGAGGCGAGGATTCGACCAGTCGACCTGCTTCGAGCTCTTGTAGGAGGAAGTCCAGTGCTATCCAAGTGCCTGTCCGACCAACTCCGGCAGAGCAATGCACAATTCGTGGAGACTCGCCCGCAACTGCGCGTGACACTCTGGTCAGTTCCAGTAGAGCACGGCGATCTTCTGCCTCCGGTTTGCCAAAATCCGGCCAGCCATGGAACAGGTAATGATAAATTGTTTTGGCTTCGCCATCGATGGTCAATCGAAGATTGCGGACCTCACAGCCAATCTTGGCATCGTAGTCTAGCGAAAGGAGGGTAACGGAGCCACTTTGACCTTGCTCTTGGGCCGAAGCTTTCTGTCCGTCATTCCCAGGGCCATTTTGCGGCTCGCTTCGAGGGTCGTCGGCATCTGTTCCAACACTATCAGTCTCAGCGCTTCTCGGGGGGGAGTCCAGGAAGGGATCACCGTCGTCCAGGGCCTCCGCGTCTCCATCATCACTACCATCCTCATGTGCAGGCAGAATTATCGTGGGGTTGTCCATGTTGGGAGGGAAATACTGGGCGCATTTCTCCTTGCTTCCTTCATAGAGCTGTGTGAGCATGATAATAACGCCAACCTCGCCTGGGGTCTCTTGCATAACCATGTGCCAGAAGTGTGAGAATTGGCCCTCCTTTGGACCTTGAGTGGCGATGTAACTACTTTCGACTGGGGCCATTGTGGGAAGCGGTTGCCCGGTCGATGCTGGAGTTGAACTGCCACTGCGAGCCTTCCTGGCGAAGCGACTCCTGAGGGTGATGGGGGACGCGTTGACATAGTCGGAGCCTCCAATCGGCTTTCTCAATTTAACTCTCGAAGATTCCCAGGGTTGAACATTGCCATAGCGATTGCGGCTGATGACGGTCAACGAGCGGTCGACCCGGAACGGAGACGTCTGCGGGTTCTGCGAGGCGTGCTGGAGGCGGTATCTCTGTTTCCACTCCAAATCCAGGAATGCCGATGCGATCTCTATTGCCCTGCTGGTTAGATACCGGGATAACCCGAAGAGCAGAACCATTTATATCCAGGGGGGACTACTTACTGCTTCGGGATTTGTTTAGGTAGGCGGGAATCTTGAGGTTTATCTGCTTTGCTAGCTCATCCGGCTTCTCGGCCACACCGTTGAACTGTCCTTGGCCACTGGAAGCCGGTCGGGAGACGTTGGCCGACATCTCTTGGGACCGTTGCCTCTTGACGGAGCCCTGCGGCGGAGTGCTCAGGGACAAAGATTGCGGCATGATGTTGGTGATCTCGGCGATTGTTGCGGCATCGGAGGAGTGAGATGAGCCAGCTCGACTCACGGAGGTTGAGAGAGGCGGAAGCGAGGAGGAAGTTGTAGGCCGGATGGTCAGGTTCGGTGTTGGTTTGCTCTTCCTCCCAGATGTGTGAATATGTAGTCTTTGCAAAATTGACGGGCGTTTGGGAGGGGTTTGGTTAGGAGTTTCCCCAGAGGAAGGATCCTGGGGAGCGGCACCGGCTTTGTCAGCGAACAACCGTGAGACAGTCGTTGTGATGATGTGTGGCGACCTATGAATGGAACAAACACGGGTGCGAGCTTCTCTGGATACAAACAAGGCCAGCACGCGATTGCTGTGTAGACAAAGAAGACGGGAAGATGCTTGGCGAACGGTGTTCAGGAAGCGGGTTGAGGCCGCGGCTGCCGGACCTTGTAAACGACGACTTGGGTGCTTAATGGATCCCTATGGTTCAGTTCCTGGATAGCCTTCGGCATCAAGGGGGCCTCGTCTGCTATGAGTCGTCGCTCTGGGGTTGATATGGAATTCGTCTTCGTTGGTTTCAGGAAGCGCCGGAAGGGTCTGGGTGTTGAGGGGTCTCTGGGGTGCTGCGTCCAGGCAGATAAAGGGGAGAAGGCTCTTTGAAAGGAGGCACACAAGTCGATAGCCTTGTTCCAATGGAGATCTTTTATGGAGACTTTGATATGGATTTTATGCTTAAGCGACGAAAGTATTGTTCCAATCAAGAGGAAATCCAGAGAACAAAGGAGGCTGAATGGCTGACCTCATATTGCAGCGTAAGCTTTTCGGTAAATCTACGTAATTACAACTCTTTTGGTCTGCGCTGCCCACTGCCACCCTCACGTTTACATTGTGTATCGCTCAGTCATATTACAGCGCTGGGAGTCATCTGGCACTGGATGCGGAGTGACATCGATTGATGAATTCTTTCCGACTTCGCCTGCACCACCGTCGAAAATCCAATACCGAAACACCTTGCTTTCATATCGAGCGTCCCTCGACGCCCTGCCGTTGTAGGACACCGCTGCACCATTACTCTTGTATTTCCCCGAAGTTGTGCTCGGACTGCCGACCCCTGCCTTTACACCATGGCTTGGTGGTGGCTTCTCGAGGTCTGATTGTTTTGCTGCTCAGTTTCATCGGAAGACAGTCCACTGACACCCACACAGAAGCGACTAGTAGAAATGGTAGACCACCCCTTCATATTCCGGCATCTCTCTCCCACCCGCTCGTTGAAACCTCTAACCAACCACAATCCTCCAGCTCCTTCGCAGCCCGTCCTTCCACCGCGGCGTCCAGCGTGTGCACAAGAAAGTTCACGAACTGCAACATGGCAAACCCCCAGAATACTATGGCGGCACACACCTTGACCGTATGTGTCCGAAAAGAGTCTTTCTCTTCCGTGGACAGCGCTGTGCTGTCTCCCAAAAAGAAAAAGAACCAAGCTCATATGTTTGATACGTGGAACAGAGGACCAGGCCACCGAGCGAGGCGTCGGCCACTTTCTCAAGCTATTCTGGGAAGAGCTGAAGACGGGCCACAAGCCTGAACCGCCAACAAAGAAATGAAAATCGTGAAACGGCGATTGAAAATTATCTGGATATTGTACATATGGATGGCCATCGAATCTGTCGATTTGGAAAGTTGAGAATTTGAGCGAAGGCGTTGGAGGCGCACACATGAAGTGCTATTGAACGACTTCTTGCTATTTGCTATGATGTGCCTGAATACACGGCTGCATAGGTGTACGAGTGACTCCTTTGTGGGATCAATGACCAAGGCGCAAGAAAGAGATAGCAGGCATTCGATCGCACTTGCTCTTGAAAGGGTGCCCTTCATTTCCACAAAGGTAAGGCTCCGACACGAACTATGGGCGGCAATATACACAGATGCTCAAGGGATATGGAACTGATCAAAGGAGCCCTGGACAAATGCGATATCATCGGATAAAGATTGGGTTGGCTCATTCTCTCCTACATAGGGGCTCGACCCTCATTCCATCCGAAGAACAGACTTTATGCCACCCAAGATAGTGTGTGTTGCTTCCTGTCTCCAGGCTTCACAGACTGAACAACGAGGAACGGCAGACATGAAAACGTCTCGGAAAGTCGACTAAAACCCCGGCGTCCGGACGAGTTTGGGTGTACGACCATGAGCCAGAATATCCACTGCATTTTCTGGATTTCCGTCAACTCCCTGACCTAGTTACTTTCTGAACAACTGGGGTGCGGACGCAGTCAACGGTGGACCAACTGGTTCCCAAAGGCTGCCTGGAACTAGGCGGGTTTTTGTCTCAAGGGTGACAGATGACAGGCGACAGGCAATTCAATGATTTTTCTTAGTTGCTGCCCAAGACTGCTTACCTGAGATGGTAGAGATCTGCAGTCCTCGAAGTTGAGGCTTAAACTGCCCTGGGGTCCCCTACGCTGGTCTGCAGCTCCCATGCGCTAACCAGAGATTGGACAGAGATCCAGGGCACAAGTCTACAGCTGAAGAATCCGATACAACGGTGTGAGGCTATCGTCCAGATTCAGGAGTGTTGGACGACGATGCCACGTTACTGCTGTCACGCACGTCAAAGAATCCCCGGGAGGGCAGTCAGGAGACCCAGGCCCCTATCGCGGGATAGGAGGCGGGACAAATTTGAAAACAGTTGGGCATTGCCCGTGTTCGGCCGCACTGCAGCGGTAACGGAGTGCGATCAAGGAACACACTGCACATTTCTTTTTTTTCCTCTCCTCCAAACTGCTGTCAACCCTGTTGACAATCTGCCAAATCCGTCAGTGCTCAGGCTCTCTGTCCGCGTCACTTCCCTCAGAGACGAGCGGTGTGAAATGAGAAAGGGAGGTGGGTGAGATCTGCGAGGTCAAACAGGCCGCATATGTCGAACACTGTGGGTGTTCCGATGTGTGAATCACATACACTTACGTTGCGCCCTGCGCCACTCCTGGCCACAGGCAGGGTTCGAGTTCCCTCACAGCGACAGCCAAGGACAGTTTGTTTGTCAACCTGTGGTTGGTGAACCATTCATTTGTTAGCGTTGTGCAACATTTCTAGGTCCAATCAGTGCGAGAAATTCGAACCGTCAAAGGACGATCCAACCCGCAGATCCTGGTGGTGTGACCGGGCATCAGCTCAAGTCGTCAAAATTCAGGTCGCCAACACCACTCGTATGCCGGATCCTTGCAATATCATTGTGGTGTTGGGAATCCCGATATCAGTTTGCAGTTGTGCTCAACCACATTGTTGTCAGCATCGCAAAACACCCAATCAGCTGTGAACTCTGATGGATCCAAAGCCCGAAACGAACACCGGGTTCCAAAGATTAGCAGGATCAGTTGCGTAGGGTAGGAGCCACGCCTTTGGAGGATCTTCATCGATGGGTCGCGTCTTCCTTGGGGCCAGATGCACTTGGAAACCACATTCAGATCGAATTGGGCTGGTCCCATCTCCCGAATGGCAATGAAGGTTTCTCGGGGCTTACTGAGGTACCCTGCATGAAGAGAGACACATGTCATCTTGCTTGTAATAGAAACGTTACAGCACCAATGGTTCTCTGCAAGCTCGTCAGCCACTCCATTCTTTGATGGCCATTAAACCCCAAGAGTCTGTGGAGCACTGAGCTTCAAACACCTGGAAAAACAGAGGCCAAAAGGGCGTGTGTCATGTCGGCAACATGTTCGTCCACATCCACTGGCACTTTTTGCAGAGAAATCACCTCCTCTTGGGCGAAACGTGGCAGATTACGGATTGTTCTTAGTCAGTGGCCGTATCAATCAACGTGATCTGGTTGTGCTGATGGCCGGTGGCCGACTGCTCGCTTGGAAAAGTCGAGACTCTGGGGAACCAATTACTGGACCCTGCTCGTGATTGATATGCAGAACTCCTGCGCAACCGTTAAGAATAGCTGCATATCCACTGTGACTAACAAGACATCACAGTTGACAGCCACCCAATTAAAACCTGGTTGCTTGTGTAAATGAGCGCAACTTCAGGGGGCCCGGTGTAGGCGGAATCATGCGGCCGATGTGGTCTCTCTTTCCTTGTTGAAGAGGGCAACATCAGCAAGATCAGCTGTGCAACCATCGGTTGCACGTACTCCGGAGCGACCAGGAAAAGGAGGAGTTAGGCGATCCTACACCCCTTAGGCTCAGGGCCTGGACAGTGATGGCTGGCGCTAAGACATGCAGGAGATCGTTGATCGCTCTAAGGAGGGGGCAACCGATACCCAGATTCAGAGTCTCAGCGCAAAAGTCTTCCAGTTTGACAAGTAGCAAGGCGCCCAACATTCCTCCATCTCGCAGGCAGGAAGGAAGAAGGCCTGAGCGACGCTTCATATCCGGCAACGGATTGGGCAGGATGTTCACTCGTAGCTGCTACGTCGTATTTCGTGCTGGAGAGCTGAAAATAGGCGAAACAGACTGCCAGTACTACTAAATCACGCAGGTCGTGAAGGGGTGGGTAATACCTTTCAAAAGAGCCTTTCAATCTGATCGTGATTTGGACGGGTTGGATTTTGTCTGCCACGTGTTGGTGGCGTCCTTCCAGTTACAACAAGGCAAGCGATATCCACCTTACCTCCATGACATCTGTTTGGGACATCACACAGCAGCAGCGTGCATGAAAGTAGACAGCGCGTAAGGGGGAAAAGGAGTCCTGAGGAAGAGTTTCTCGATGAACTTTCACTTTGTCAGGCTTCGAGCGGTTTCGCTGGTGGATGTCTGGGGGGCTTTTTTCCGACCAGGGTTGCGGCCGGAAATACAAAAGCAAGGGCTCTTTGATACGAGGGTGCAATTGTAGCGTACAGCTTTCGAGTGGTCCCTGGCAACGATACACTCCGGAAAACCTCGCCACAAGCGTGGTCTGATGGGATCAGAACTCTGGGTGAAAGATCGGCAAGTTCCCCTCATGGATACTGTAGCAGTGTTGGGACCTTGAAGACAGCCGCAACGTGACCTGCAGGTGTCACAGCGGCACCACCACCACCCACAAGCATCTTCTGACTGGTTGATCCGATTTCGAGTCGAGAGGGGACTGACTTTCTGAGGGATATTCGGGAGACGTCAAGAGGCGAGAGAAAATGCCATGATGCACTCGCTCCACAGCATATCGACGCCAGGACGGTTTCCCTAGCTCGGTGTGGATTCAAGATGGCCCTTTCAGGGAAAGGTTGCACAGCATCTGGGAGGAGGACGGCTTGCAGCATCACATGCTCGATCCGGACACCTGGAATGCTAAGCCGTAGATTCCTGACATCTGTCAAGAAACGCCTGTGCAGCTCCGCCGCGGGCCGGTTCCTAGAGATGCGATAGGCCGATGCCCAAACTCTGGCAGGTCAAGCTCGATGAGAAGCAGCCACATGGTTTTGAAAGCGCCAAACCTGATTTGGCCCCGCAGCCCGGAGATGCATCGATTGCTTTTGTTCGAAGCTCACTCACCGCTTTCTATCAGGAAACCCACGGCGGGAAAGGGACTCCGAAAGGCTTCTGCTCAAAGCAGTAGTTGACACCGCAGATCCATCTCTATGTACGTACGAACAGCACGGTAGGGAGGCAGATTCGCCAATGCCTAAGAATAACCGGCATTATTTTGGCGGAGAGAACTAGATAACCGAGTGCGACGGGGGAATCTGAGGATTTCCGTAGGCCGAAATAGGATCGGATACAGCATGGGGGAAACCTAGCTGCTGTTACGGAGCAGACTTCTGCCCACCCAGCAAGAGAACCCTGCCGAGCAGCATGGCAGGAGAGGGAAAAAGAGAGTTTCATACGAAGTTGACCCGGGCGCTGCCACAAATCAATAGCGGCGAATCGATGCATCGATGGTGTACATTAATGACGCCGGGGTAATGGATCAGAAGGCTCTGATACGTCAAATCGAATCGATCTGAAAGGGATGCCCGATTTGATTCGATAAGCTCTCGGATTCCACGTGTAGATGATGGTCGACGTTTGGCTCCGAATAGGCTCTGGATAGGCTCGGAGCCCATTCCCACCTGCTTCACCAAACGCCCTTCGGCCCTACTGCTCACTTTGTCAGGTGTCATCGTATCTCACACATCCCTAGCTTTTGCTCAGAAGTCTATTTTGCGTAAATTCCGTGATTGATTGGTACAAGTACCGGAGGGCTGTAGGGAAACATGTCAATGATGGAACTCTAATGGCCAACGATTCCAGGAGGTGTGCTGGGTGTGGGAGCATCAGACGACCGACCGAGACTGGGCTTTGAATGCGGCATGGCTTTTCTCTTGCGTATCCAGTCTCGTCGCGAGACCAATCTCTGGAGGCGTTGCCGTTAGTATTAGTGTTCTGACGAAGCTCAAAAGAAATTGAATCATGGCCGTTACTAGCACTCGTACTGCGTACAAGGAACTCGATTTAGACAAAAGGTTTGGCTCTGGCGCCTGAGGCGCCTCGCTTAGCTGGGGATCAGGCCGGTGGAGTGAGTTTTGCTGCGAGTTCGAGGGAGGGCGAAGGAGGTTCAGCCAGATACGAGCAGGCCATGGAGGAGAACGAGCGTTGAAGCGATGGGCGAGTGCCTGGCGAGTAGTAGGCGAGACAATTTAGGCATGGTGAGAAGCGGCAAATTTGGTCCAAGAGATCCAAGTTCAGTGGGCGAACCACGACAAATTCAGGCTTGGCTAGACTGTTGTTACACAGCATGACAAGTAATGGGCGAACAGTCTCAAAGGAACCGGACGGAGACTGACCCGGGGACTTCGAAGCTCAGGTAGCTGCGGCGGTAGTTGGCAGGTCTCTAGGCAGGGCGGGGAAGGAGGCAAGGGAAAATAGGGAGCACCAGCGATGGTCAAACGTGCGGAAGCGAGAAACAGATCTCTGGAGCTTCCCAAACAAGGTGATTGCCTGGTAATTCCGTAGAGGGCTCTACTGGGAACACGCCTACTAATGGCTAGATACCTGCCTAATCGACACTCGGCATTTAGAGGTGCATTGACTTCGGAGAAGTTAGATTCCCTAGGTAAGGGGACACGATGGTGGAGGGTCAGGGTAAGGTCGGTTACCTACGAGGCACGCACTCGTAAGCAAAGCAACCAGATTCTGGCTGGGTCTGCTGGGTGCAAGGCGGCTGGGGGGGTTGTTGCGACTCCTCCAATGCCCCAAAACAGTTGCACCATCACTATTCTTCCAGGGCCCCTGCTATCCTCCTTCTCTTTCGCCCCCCTCTCTCTCTCTCCCTTCCTTCTCTTTTGGTGGGTGAGCCCTTTGGCCCTAAAATGCCCATTCCTTAGCCGGTCTTCTCTCTCCTCCCCCCCGCTTTTTCTCTGCCTCTGACTGCAATCCCTCCAACTCCATCAACTTCCCAGCTCCCGACCCTCCCCCCCCAAATCCCAGTCCAAGCATCGTAGGCCGAGACCATCGCGCGGTGCATCGTTCCATGATCATCGGCCAGACAAGGCTCGCCCCTGTCAGCCGTCTATCAGTCTATCGCAGAAAGGAAACAGCCACCGTCCATCCATCTATCCCCTGGTTCATGGGTAGCTTGCTCTGATCAAAGGAAGGTCAGACTTTACCCAAAACACCATCTGCCTTGGAGGGCGTCACCAAGCGTCAACCCACTTACGACGTATTTTTGAATCCCTGGTGCAGCTCGCAAGCCCGCAAGCCCCCCAGGGTGCTAAGTGGCTGACCTTTCTGTTTGGGTCAGACTTCCAGAGAGAACAAAGTGACAGGGGTCCAACCCTCGTCGACTCGGGCTCTGACTCGCCCAGTGCACAGAGCCCACTTTTTGGCTTTTGCACACTGCACCTGGACATCCGGATTCAAGGTTCCCACCTGCCCTCCGGCCCATGCTTAGCGCGATCTCTCGATCTTTCTCCGCCCATCTCGCTCTCTAAGACTTGCTCATCTTCATTCTTTCACCATCGAGCCAACCTTCGACCCCGAAACCCGTCAAAATCCCCTCCATTGCCACCAACGACTCCCAGCACCCTGCATACGCACCTCTTCCTCTAAAGTCCTCTACTGCGTCTCCTTGTCCTTGGACTGACTGCACTCTGATAATCCTCTTCGACGACGCTGTGTTTGCCGACGAGACACAGAGTACCGAACACATCTTGGTTACCTGACAGCGATCCGTGCGAGGCGGCGCAGTTGGACCGTTTTATTCCACCAAATCAAGTAACGAGTCGTTTCCTTTGGTCGCCTTTCGGTGCTTGGTCTTGTGTCCTCATCAAGTCAGATATCAGGAGTGCTGGTTAAGACGGCTTCCTGCACTGTTCATACCCATCTCGTTGGTGCAACGACAACAACACTGGGCCCAGGCTTTGCGTCACGTTGGAACCGGCGGTCTTGCAACCTCGTGCGGAAAGATTCATTGGAAGCAAAATATCTTCCACTCCGCGGTCCGGCCTCATGATCCATCGTGCTATCCTCAGACAATAGAATAATCATCGTTGCTGGAAGGAGAGTGTATACCCAACTACTACCACAATGACAACAATAGAAACCGCCCCTCGATCGAGGTAATGTCTTACCCTCGACCGACTGACGTGCGTTGCTGATGTGAATATTAGAGACATGTTGCCATCTATAAGTCATCTGGACCTCGAGAATGTCCGATCCGAGAGGAATGATCTCTCGAGGTATTCCATCGGCACCGGTCTGAGTATAACCACAGCACCCTTGGCGAGTCCCACGGCATCCATGTACTCGGGCCCGCCTCAGCCCTACTCATGTGCACCTTCAACAGCAGGCTCTGCTACTGGTGTGACTGGGTATATATCTCCTCCCGAGTCCACCACTCGACGCTCGACCAGGGACGAGAAGGAGTCGCCTGACCTTCGCAAATCCTTGCCTTCCATCCATGAAGCTTTGGGAGAGAAGTCCATGCCCTTTCCAAGCTCGTCCCAGCATCAAGCTCTGTCCACGCCTTCGGCAGCTGTTGGCCCATCGTTCTCAGATGGCCCCAAGGGTCCTGTTAATCCCTTTTCTCAACCAGCACCTTCTGTGCCCGTCTTGCGAGATGTGTTTTCAGCGCCTCAAATGTCTGCATCGACCCCGACAGAACCGCAGGCCGCGAAGCCGACGTTCCCTCCGCCATCCGTGCCGGCATCGGATCCTCGTCAATCAGTCTCCCAAGCCTTTGGCTATCCAGGCTCTCCAACTTCCTCTCAACAGCCGTCAAATTTTCGTTCGGCCTCGTTGGCGAACACCACATTCACGAATAACAATGAGGCTGCCCCGGCCAGATCTCCCCAAGCCTACGAGCCGCTTAGACAGCAACAAGCAGTCCCACAATTCGGTGTTCCCACGACTTCGACAGCAGGTACTACCGCAAGTGAGACATTTCACTTCTCCCAGTTCACCGCAGGTTCGAAACCTACACTTGAGGTACAGTACAACGAGGCCGTTAAGCGGCATTTGGAGGTATTCGACGCTGAGTTAGGGCTCAATGAAGTTGGTTTTTCCCTCAGTCTCGGCGAGTGATGTGACCCTGACCGTTCCTCCAGATTGCTGATCACTGCCTTCGCACGCTGGACTTTTGCCGGACGTGGGTTCCACGGATTCACCAGGGAAGCCGATCGAGTTACGTGCCGGAAATGTTGCCCTCAGTAGCGGAGGTGGACGAGGTTCTCCGTTTTACTCACCGCTCGTACGAGCTGTTTAGCTACGTGCGAGAAATGGTGCTTGCTCAAGAGAATGCCAAATTGGAGCAGCAGGCCCGACTTGCACGTGGCGCTCAGGCGGAAGAAGAGTACCAGGGAACGTCTGACGAATACAAAAGCGGGGGGTATGCCGGAGGCGATGCAAAGAAGCGACGTGGAGTCAGTATATTATCAGTGAATGCGCCGCTCTAGCTAACAGGTTGCCACAGAAAGCCGCCCCCCCAGGTCGATGCCACAGCTGCAACCGTGCCGAGACGCCCGAATGGCGAAGAGGCCCGGACGGGGCACGTACATTGTGTAATGCATGTGGCCTTCACTATGCCAAGTTAACTCGAAAGCTGGGTGTCAACAAGGCAGCAGCTATGACTGGAGCGAACCTTCGCCCCAAAAATGCCGAATCCTCGAGACCGTAAAAGTCCCCCCGGCTTTCAACCTGGAGGCCGGGATCTGGCGGCGGAAGATGGACGAAGGCGACGAATCTACTTGTTGACACATATACAAAATCTCTTTTAGGAGACACGTTTACGACTATGTGGTTGAATGCTCGGGTACCTTTACGACGACACCTTGAAGGAGTTTAAGCGGCGTCTTTTTGCTTTGATTTCAACGTTGCTGACTGGTACATGACAAGGGAACACCTATGGAAAGGATGCGTGTTTTGCTCAACGGACTGGACAGATGAAATTTGGAGTCGTGGGACGACCAAAAAAATAACTTGGGGAAAAAGACGGCGTCACTGTGTACAGTCTTTTGTGCCTTATTAGAGGCCTCATGGGGAACATGGGCGAAAGCGTCGTCGGGGGTGGGGGTTGGTGGGCTTGTTCTCTCTGATACCCCTACCAAAGCCTTATTAGAGGCACATGGAGCATCTTGGCTCCTGAAAATATGTTTACGATATTGTTATTGCTTAGTGAGGGTGGCATGCCGGTGGGACTGATGTTGGAAGGACGGGGTGATGGACCAGAATAGTTTGGTGGAGGATGGCCAGAGGGTTTCGTGTGTTGACGCCTGTTCTTGAGGTTTGGCTCGACACTCTTCGACGAGCGAAGAAATTACAGACGAAGAGAAAACGAGCTGATCCTCAAGCAGGTGCGGCATGGTCTCCTTCTGCTTCTTTTTTGGTTCTTCCCCGGTCGCAGCGACTGCCGGGGAGGTTTCTCAAGGGACCATCATTATTACGCAGGACGGGGGTTTTGAAGCAAAGGTCGCAGCTGCAGAACAACAGAGCTTATTCACAATACCAAGGCAGCAGCCAAAACACCTTGGATGCTTGTTAGTTTTCGTCGCGTTTTGTTTCCCTGACGGTACGGCCACAAGTCTGGAGACGTTCCCAACATTTCTGGCCAGAGGACTCGTTACAGCCTGCGATACAGTGGGCGCAGCATACCTTCTGGGCTCTGGTTGAGGCAGCCACCGGACCCCCAACCCTAGCGGAGAAGAAGTCTCTGAAACGTCTCTGATGGTGGGTGGTGGTTGTACGAAGAATTTTTGTTCACTACCGGTAACTTCCAAGCGACCAGGAGCCAAACGCCACCATGACACACAACTGCCAGATCACTGGATCGAGATCTCCTAAGTACCACTAAGACGGACAGACAGTTTTTGCTTGCACCGAACCCACCGGCCTCCTAGAGAGACTCCTCGTTCGTTTCAGAGCCAAGGAGCGATATCCTCGCCCGAAGGAGGAGGGCAAGAGTTAAGGTGAGAAGAACTCGAGTCAGCACCGGCACTGCCTTGCCAGAGGTCACACCACCCGACGGGGCCGTCAAACCAATAGACAGTGCCCGACCGTGCAAAAGTTCAGCAGGCCAGCACGAGCCAACAAGCCACCCCGGACACAGGCTCCGGAGAAATCTTGTCTGATGTCTGGGTTAGCTTCCCAGGTTGGCTGACGATAGACCAGGACCGCTAACTAAGATACTCGAGCGGCACGGTGTCTGAGCTGCGAGCGACCGTTTTGGGTGATTCCTCCTACCACCCGCGCAACGTCAGTTATCCTCTTGCTTTGTCCGGGGGGCTTGTTTCGGGCGTCGCCGTTTTGAGCCCAAATGGAGTCACGCTCCTCACTAGTATTCAGGTTCTGACAGTCGCAACAGGGAGTCGGCGGTTGTGATCGACATATGCTTTGGGATAGTCGCATGGCTCCTTGTCTTTGGCGACCCAAGCACGACCAAGGCATCCCAAAGGCAGGGTACAACTTCCCACCCCTACATCGCCAACCCAGGATCGGCGCTTGGTGTGCCCCCGCCTACGTTGTTTCTGATCTGCAAGCCATCTTCCCTTTGACTTTGGGCCTGTGCATGACCCATTCTATCGGCCAGCGTTTCAGTTGGTTGGCCCGTGGCTGGTTCCGAGGCACATCACGCAAAAGAATGTTATCAAGAGGCTTCGCATGGGATTAGAACGGAACACGGAACACTTCGGGACTGAGCCACTGACATTATGGTGGCTGCGGTGCGTGAGGCGATGCGATTGGTTTTCTTCCGCGAAGGCAGCGAAAGAAGCGTTTCAGAAAGAGACCGACTCGGCGGCCAAGGGAAGCACCTGTTTCTACGAGCTAACAGGTAGATGAACACTGACCAGTCAGCCAGGGCCCATCACGACGTGTTGAGATTTCCTGCACGTCTCAAACAAGCAAATGGGCAGATGCAGATGCGTCCAGTGTGTTTCTCCCCCGTGCTGATCTGCTGAGATGGGTGACCACAGGCAGGAAGGCGAGATCTCCCGGAGTAGTCCGCTACATCTGCATCTGCCCCGGGGCAAGATCCCAGATCCGTCCACCCAGGAATACAGTGAGGAAAGTCAGATGTCACAGATTTGTCGGGGCGAGCAGATCACGATGCCCAACCTCAACTCCGAGCATCCGAGTCGAGGCCGAAGCGCTGTCCAGGGTGGAGAGGAGGGTTTAACTGAAAGCATTCACGCCCCCGGAGTAAACGGCAGGTCTGTTGGTGCTGCCATTGTCCTTTTTGTCGTTGATACGCATCATTTGGGGGGCCCATCATCACCAGGTCTGTATTTATGGTGCTCCGTCCGGCGTCCTCCTTGTACCAAATAATTATTAATGAATGATTGAGATGGTGCCGGGATTGCAGAGTGGAAAGTGGAAGGTGGAAAGTGGAAAGGCGTCGATGGGAAGTGGCTCCCAACCTCCTTCGTCCGTTTTGCCCCAGTTGCAGGGCGCGTGCCTCCCCCCACCTTCCCACCATCCCAGATTACGTCAGAGGCCTAGGATTGATGCCTACACAGTACTCGGTACTGCCTACATACCCTACTCGATACAGGCTTCAGCCCCCGGCGCCAGCGGAAAACACAATTCCCCCAACGCGCTCTTGATTCTTGCTTCCATACTTTTCGGTTGTTGGAAGGCTCAGACATGGTCGGCCCATCACCAGATAGCAACAACCAGCATGTAAAGCGCACTCGTGCGCCGCCTCTCGCATCTTCCCACCAATTCTGCTGCATCATCATCCTCATCGATCATCCTCCTCCTCCTAACGGTCACCACCTCATCACCGAACCGTTCGCCCTTTTGTGGCGTGGCCTGGACCAGTCGATGGATCCTTCCAGACGCCGCCAACGCCAAACTTCATCTGGCTGCAAACGGTCGACGCCAACCGCCCCAGCGCCCCAGGGGCCAAGTCACAACGGTTGATCACCCTTTTAAGCGGCCCCTGTCGCGCCTACAGTAGTCCACTTTGGCATCCTCCGAACCGAACCCAACCCCCTGGTCCTGGTCTCTCTCGCCGCTGGTCGGCAACCAACTACTTGTTGCGGGAGATCCCCAATACTGCCCGTGCAAGTTTACCCGGCCCACGATCGGAGGGTCCTAGCAGCAGGGTGGTTCTCTCTAAGCTCCACACTGCATCACAGGTTTCAACTGGCTCATATTTGTAAAGATGCATCCAAGCCAAACTTGTTCGTGCACCGGTGAAGACTTACACAAGGAAAAAAAGCCTCAAGTGCCATCACGTCTCGCAATCGGTTGGTCAAGTCTGCAAGTCACTTTGGTCACGGCGCAGGAGAGAGTCAGGCCACTGCGACTCCACACACAGGGATACACATTACTCGTCCTCGGTATGGAGACATTGCAGGTTTCCCCGAAACCGGGGGCATTCATCTCTTATCCAGAGCTAGCCCTCTAGGTGCGGTCGCTGATTGAAACCCTCCTGGCCGTGAACCGGAGCGGACGGACTATTTGACCAGGTCAACAAGCAGACATCATCCTACGAGGATGCTATTCCTCTTTCCGCGGCCCTAAGAGTAAAGGAGAAACACCCCTCTCACGCCCGGATATTCGCCTCCATGACTTCTTCAACCTTATCCATTATCGTTAGGCATTTCTTGCCTGATACCCGCAGCAGATCGATTCTGGCTAAGCGTGATCGAAGATCACTCTCTTCGACTTGCCTGCTCGATTCAACCTGTCGTCTACATTCTGCAGTGGCGCCGTAACCGAGATGAGACGATGTCTGCTGTCTCGAAAGATGGCATATGGGTATAATCATTAATCGCGACACAAGAGTCGAGACTGTTCGAAGGTGGCAGGACTGACGCTTCTCATCACTCAGCCATCAAGGTTTTGATCCTTTAGCTACGCGACGACTGTGCGTGTGTACGTCGGACCGGGAAACCCTGAAACTCCAGCACCATGGTAGACCCGTTTCACTGCCCCCCGGGGGCCGAGATGGTCTCTTCCTGGGATGTGCGACCAACCTAAGTTGACGAGTTTACCTAGTCTTGCGAGGCCGTCCCTAGGTAAAGACCTCTCATCGCAACCGGCGCATCTAAAAGTACCGACCCTTGCCTAAAACATCAATTATGTAAAGCCAGTAGTCTACTGATTTCGATGCTGGCAAAGCCTGGAATGCCGCGCGTTTTGCAAACTTGAACTGTGCAGCCTTGACGCTGGAGTCGGCTGACTTAGGAACATCGCTAATCGTCGTTTCGACTACGGCGCAGTCTCGCTGAGTTTCCTCAATGGGAGCTGTCCAGAAACGCTCTACTCGGTACAGGAATCTTCCTCGATTCGTCTCTATCGCATATCCACATCTGCAGTGCTTCCTGCGCGTCCATGTGATCAGCGAAGAGTGTCCCTACACCGTCTCGGTGGCTGGACAGCGAAGACCGTGTTCATTGCCGAGAACATCCATCCAATTCAGAGGGCCGGAAAGCTCTTGGACTGTTCAGTCATAAGGGCCATGGATCGAGATCGCTTACACATCTGCACTGCATTCGACAGCGACGCCAGCCCTCAGCAGATCGTCCCAGATTTGGACACTGAGTTCAACCCATGTATGGGAGCCTGCTGAGCAGCGCCATAATTTTGACTTGCACTGTTTATTGACTGAAACATGGGTGTCGGAGGACAAAGCTTCAGAGTCGATCGCTGTCTCACTCACTTGTGTTTCGCACGGGGTTGGTTCTTCGATGAGGCAAAAGCGATCGAGAATGGCCGTTGCGAGAGAATGCATACCGGCAATTACATCAGGGGTCCAGCGCTGACAGGGATGTTGCAACCGTTGGCCATGTCTGCGTCGATCACTAAGGCATTGCAAGCCGGATCCTACCAGGAATGACTCTGTTTCAAGAGCTTGTTCGCGCGTCCTTCGAGGCCAGATTATGGCCCAGCTTTTTGATGTGGCAGCTTTGGATTTCAGCAGTCCAGATTCGCGGCTGCTGTCCATTGTATGCAAGCCACAAAACACATTATCCACAACAACACAGCGGAGTGAATAGAGTCAAAGACAGCTTCAGAGGCTGTGGTGTAGCGATCTTGGTAGGATTCTGGTTGGTGCCACGCTTTCCCCTATTCTCCCCTCCCTGTTCGACTCGACTGCGCCTGCGTGAGCTGAGGCTGTGTGGCTCTTGGTTTCCACGAATGAGTGCGAGGAGATGCAAAATCTTCAGGCCGGCACTTGAGCTCCTTTCGCCAGCAGCACAAGCCGTTCTCGATCAAGGAGCGATGCCGAAGTACTTGTCATGCAACTTCGGGTCTAGAGCTGGTCCGAGCTGACCCCAGAAGTCTGACTTGACTGTGCCAGGACATCTGCTGATGACCATTAGATCAAAGCCCATTTAGTCGGGACATTTCAATTCCATTGATGGGACAGGCTCGCCAAAGTCCAGAATCTGGAGGGGTGTGCCCCCTTTTTGCTCGTGTCGCTTTGCATCCTGCTACAAATGCTCGTGTCAATGAAGATGTTGCCAGTCCACGACCGTGCAGTGGGGTATTCTCTGGTTAAGGCGTGCGATACCACCTTTTGTTCGTGGAGTTACATCACTTTTAATTCAGACAGGATCGATCCTGTTGCGATGCCCGGGCCAGGTGCTGCAGTCTTATCGACTTACGTTTGCTGCCAATAAAGCGGATAGTTGAAAAGCCATCAGGTTAGTGCTGGCAGGAATACATGATTAACTAGGAATTCTGCGCGGATCCTTCCTGTACCTCAAGGTCTTGTGTCCATGATAGGGATATGTGTTGAGTGGAGAAAACTGCTGATCAATTGCCAGGTTCACGTCCTCAAGAAAACACCGTACTGGAATGTATATATGTTATATAACACACGGTCGCGAAAAACGCTGGGTGTGAAGACACAAGTCAAGTCGAGGCTCGACTTGCTCTCATTTTCTTGTAAAGAGTTTGATCCGCAGACGTTGAGAACCTAAGGTATTTGAGTTTGGAGGCGTGACCACAGTCTCGTAAGATACGATGCTGGTTCAGATTGTCTCGCTGCAGAATACGACAGACACCTTGATACCAGCGCCTTTGTTGATATGCGTGCCGCCACATGCATCCCTGGCCAGGAATCTGTGTTGCTGGGGATGCTGCAGCCACAAAGTTCGACTCAGGAGCCAAGCCTTGGGCATTCTCGAAGGTCAATCCTGCTCCATCGCAGAGGCTCACCGACGGTTGACATGGCACGAGTTGGGAATTGCGAACAGGTCAATGCAGCGATGCTATCGTGCTTGCGAGATGAATATCGAACGTGATATTCAAGTTCGGGGCGATTGCTCTAGAGGCTGAAGACGGGTTGACTTGTAACGAAGCTTTATCGAAGCACTCACCAGTATAGGAGGCTGACCTTTCGCACAACGGGGTCGACCACGCGACGCTGCGACAGCAAGAAGCTTGATGGTCGCCTCGTACAACGAGGAGAGAGAATCTGTGGCACTGCTTGGCACTGCAAGTCGGGAGTACAAGAGGGAATGCCGACGCTGCTAATATTACCAACTGTCGCGGTGAGTGAGTCATTCAGAGACCCCATCTTCCTGTCCTTCCTGTTTCTCTTTTCCCCCCGTTGGTGACAACACACCGTGGAGGCAATGTGTTCCATCCATCGTACTCTAATACAAAATTGGGAGATTACTCATCCGGCAACCTTAAAGGAAACCGCAAGTCGACACGCAGCCGTCAAGAACCATCGAGCAGGCAGTGGACAAGATGGCCACGACAAGTGAGAAGATGGAAGCATCCACAGCTACAGTCAACAACGTGTCAGTAACGTCTCTGGTAGACCTCAAGGGCAGGTCCTCGATACCAACGCAGTCGCTCCCTCGAACCACCTCGTCGCAGTCCCCCGAATACCGCCACCAGCTTGCCGAGATCTCATCACGAGCCACTCTCGGCGAGCCACTGAACATTGCCTTCCAACAAGAAAAGACAGGCAGGGCCACAGCTGTGACACCAGACCTCCTCTATATCGGCGCCAAAGGGCGGATCGAGACCAAGGTGGCCGCCGGCGCGTCAGTTGTCGAGGCAGCCAACTTTGCAGCAGTGGCATGTTGGGAGCCGCCATCGTCCACTCCGCAACCATTCACGGAGGCACAGTTTGCGGAGATGGCACGGGAGAGGCCCGTCTTTGCACAGTTTGCCCGAGACATCCAAGACGCGAGGCTGGATTGTCTGGGCCCCAGTCAGCCATATTGGACCCTTTCGATGATGGCGCGGGATCCCAAGCGCAAGGACAAGGGCGCCGTCCGAGCTGTCATTGAACCCTATATCAATCGAGCCAAAGAGGAGAAGGTGCCGTTGTGGCTGGTGGCCGGGAACGAGAGGGCCAGGGATATCTATGCATACTTTGGCTTCAGGGTTGTCAGGGCCATCTATTCGTATCCGGGGGACAGCAAAGAAGGCGACGGTGTTGTGGTGTCATGGTGCATGGTCTGTAACTGGCCGGTAGAATAGAGAATAGAAAATAGAGCCATCCAACAGAGAGTTCGACTGACTGACTGAATTGTTGATTGTTTTCTCAGCGAATTGATTACTAAGGCAGTGCCTCCGCAGTCTTGTGCATTATTACCAATTTCTTCTTCTTCTCTAATTATTCGCCCAACCACCACCACCACACAAGCATCTCAGCTCAGGCCACGACGTCTAGTTCCCTCCAAGCACCTCCCATCACACCTACTGTTTCCTCCCCCGTGACCGACCTTGAACTATTGCCTAAGAGCCACCAGCTTCCGCCTCGTTCTCTCCAGGGACATATACACTAACTAGCTACACCTTCAAAGGGGAAAAGTCTCCGAGGGTTCTCTCGCCACGACCTCACCTCTCACCTCACGCGGCCTCGGCTTCTCCTGCCCCGTCTGACATCCTCCCCCGTCGATCGGCCCGTGGCCTTTGTGCTTTGGAACTCTGCATCGTTGCTGGTCGGTCTGGACGTACAATGTGAGAGCTCTCAAAGCCTCGACGTCCTTCACGAAGGTTTGCCATGAGTTTGGAGGCCGGAGAAGCCTCGACTGCCAGTGGTTCCAATGCCACCACCGACCGCGTGGTCAAGAAGAGAGCTTCGCAAGCCTGTCACCACTGTCGCACCCGCAAAGTGAAATGCGACCTGGTGAAGTCTGGGGTGCCCTGCCACAACTGCTCCTCAGATGGCATTGAATGCATCATCCTCGAATCCAGACGGAGCAGGAAGTACCGTCTTCAGAAGCGCCAGTCGACTCGCCCCGTTGCGCTCCCGGCCATTTCCCAGGCGTTGCCAAAGACCGCCCCTGAACCTTCAACGACAAGCTTGCAACTCCCCGGTGGTTCCAACAATGCAAGTCCAGCACTCAAAGTAGCCTCCCCAGATCAACCGAATCATGGTAAGACTTCCCAAGTGGTTGCACTATCAGTCAATGCTTTAGTGACCGAAGAATCGTCTGCAGCGCCTCCTCCCGCGCCAACCCACTTTCCGACTCCTCCTGTCGTGCCTCGAAACAACAGCGCGGGCGCGCCGAACTCGGCGGGTGCCGTCTCTGATATCTCCCTCGGGGGAGTGGTCAAGGATTTGCCACCCTACATTCGCCCTTCTCGTCCAGACATTCGACAGGATGACTTGGAGTTCCTGCATCGCCGGGGGGCTTTGAGCTTACCTTTTGGCGAGCTCCAGGATCAGCTGATCCGATCTTTTGTGCTATACGTCCTGCCGTTCATGCCAGTCGTGGACATGGAAGATATTCTCGGTGCCCTGGACGGCAAAGATGGCTCTCCGAAAATCAGTCTGGTCGTATTCCAAGCCATCCTGTTCTCCGGCACCGCGTTTGTGGAGTTGCCGCTTCTCCAAGAGGCAGGCTACGAAAGTCGGAGGGCCGCGAGAGCCGATTTCTACCAAAAGGTCAAGGTGAGTGGTTTGAATCCGCGACTTGTCCGGGATCCGTTGCCCCTGCTGACCCATCCAGCTGCTCTACGATTTCGACTGGGACGTAGATCGAATTGCGCTCATCCAAGCATTGCTCCTGCTGAACTACTGGTATGTTTCAGAAAACGACCCGAAAGATCCCTGGCATTGGCTTGGTGTCTGCATCTCTCTGGCCACCAGCATCGGGCTGAATCAGCCCTTCACACATACGCAGACGGATCCAAAAACCAGAGCTCTGTGGAGACGGATATGGTGGACTTGCGTCCACCGCGACAGAATAATCTCGATCAGCATGCGAAGACCAATGCGGATCAGGGACGAGGATATTCGACTTCCACCTCTTCAAATGCTCGACTTCGAATCCGAGCCCATACATTCGGCTATCGTATCCCTCAAAGACAATGCTTTCCTCACCCACAGAAATGTGAGATCTATGTTGGCTGAGATGTATATCGCCAAGGTCAAACTGCTGCTCTTCATCGGACGGATACTCCAGTGCTTCTACCATCTACGCGGCTTTGGTGGCTCCACCTCCGAGTCCACAATGCTTTATACTCCCCAACGATCCGAAGTCAACGGGGAGCAGTATCTCGAACTGCAACGTGATCTCGATCAGTGGTACAGAGATCTTCCACCCAGTTGTTGGCTGGTGACGAGCAACAGCAGTGTTGATCCCGATCCTTCAACGGCAGATTCTCTCCTGGTGCACCGATCAGTACTGAGAATGCTCTACCTTATGGCATCTGAAGCTCTCAACCGCCCCCAGTCACTGTCCAGACGACCAAGTGGCTCGGGAAACAGCCCGACATCAAAGGTCAAGGAAGCAGCAGAGAAAATCGCGGAGATGATAGAGACTCTCCAAGAGCGAGACCTGGTCAAGGTGCTCCCGCCACTGTCGGTGAGTTTCCTGCTGCTCGCCCTGGCTTCCTTCCTGGTGGATATCAAAACGAAGGGCCAAAGCGTCGGAGCACTTCCAGGACGGCAATTTCATATCTGTATCCGGGCACTGCTGCGACTGCGAGAAATTTGGCCAATTGCCGATGCCGCGTGCTTTCTGATCGGACAGATGATCACCAAGCATCAAGTCGGCAAGATTTCGATGCCTGGTGTACAACCGGCACTTATGGACGCAAAGGAGGCTCCGTCAAACCTTTGGCGCCCCCCCGAAATACCCGGGAGCAATCCACCTGCCGTTCCTCAGTTTGAACAAATCCCCGCGACGGAAATACCATTGAGTTCTGCCGGTATCGGCGAGCCACAAGCATTTGGCTCACCTCAAACAGAGGCGGCACCTACACCGACACAGGGGTTTGTCATCCCGTACAATTGGTCAGAAGAGGACTTTGAGGGCGACTACGGGGTCATGGTTGAGGCACACGCATTGAATATGGATCTTGCCATGCCCGACGCCGAGGTGTTGGGTTTCTTTGGCGACGGTATGTTTGACTTTGAGCCATCACCACACCAGGATCAAGCTGGACAAGACGGCTTGTCGTATGCTTCGCAGCGCCCCTCAGCCACCGGCAAGACTTGGATTCCAGCAGTTGCCAATCGGTACATGGATCCTTTTCGGACGCCGAAGTCAATTTAGGGGTTCATGATTTTCAGCGGACCTTCGAGACACTCCTGCCTGGGTTTCGCAATCCAGACGTTGTTGGGAGATCTTATATACGACGTGTGAAGAAATGGCTGTGAGAAATCTTTTGCATGCGAAACGAAAACAACGTCAGCAGCGCTCACTCGAGATACTGGCCTTTCTTCAGTCTGCCAAAAGCACGAGCAATAGCGCCAAGCCAGGTCAACAGATGGATATCTGAGTGTGCCTCGCTACGAATGCGGCTGGTTCCCTCACCTCATGATGGTGTTATAATCAGGTCACAGATTGTTAAGGAACCGCGTCGAGATTGACATGTGATGCTTCGATGGAAAACTCAAGGTCTTATGTCCGGCTTCGTACGTTGGTAATGCTAATGAAAGAGCCGGGACATTGGTACCCGGCGTGGAGAAGTGAGTTGCCGGGTTTCAGCATCGATGCCCCAAGCATGTTTGCCTCTGCCAATACTCGACTGCCCACGCCGACCGCAACAGCATGCGGACGCGTGGTTGTTTCTTCCTTAGCATGGGACAATGGCTATCATTACACTATTGTGAAGTCTACGACGCCCAGTCCGACGAAGCGCGCTTTCTCCAGCCTGCACTTTCAGGCGTGCAGTCGTCTCTGGTGGGCAGGTGATATATCCCTATCCTCAGGATGAGGATTGCATGAAATTGTGTGTGTGTGGAATACCTAATGAACTCCCCCCCTCCCCCAAAAGTTTGGCTGGTTCATTGTGGCTTCTCCGGCCTAAATCCCATAAATATGTAATAGCATCCGTCACCAACGCAACGCCATCCTACTCTTTCCTGTAGGTAATATACGAAATACCTATATAACGTTTATGTGCATACATTACAGTGCTCGTCGATAAATAATAACCGGCTGGCCAATCTGTATTGTATTTCGGCAAGGATAGTGAGATGGATACAAGAAAAGGAACCCTTTCAACCTGGAAGATAAACACACACATACACACAGAGAGAGAGAGAGAGAGAGAGATGTTCGGTCTACACAGTTCTTTCTTTTGGGATTCATGTTACCACAACACAATACACCACACATATGCTGTGCTGTACTTATATAGTAGAAAAGGGCATGTCAATTCGTCTTGTCGTTCTGCATCTCCATCGTCGCCGCGCGAGAGGCCCGGAACGGAGTGGGGATACCCGCAAGCTTGTTTGGCAACCAGCAGCACGGAGAAACTTCTCTCGTCTCCCAACCCCTCTCACTCCACGATGCAGAAAGAAAGGATTGAAGTCGGGCCGGGTATACACACTATAACCTGCCTGGTGAGGAAGTAGTGTAGCTCCGTTCCCTCTCAAGGTCCAGCAGAGTAAAGCTTGCCGAAGACCAACTGCCCTGATTCATCCTCTCTCCTCTCACACTCCCTTTTTTGGGCGGATTGGCGGTGACGACTTGTCACACAAACAACAACCAACCACTTCCAAAAACTGAGCACCCCTCGTTGTGGTCACCATATTGCTGACGCACTATCTCGGACCCAACTTCTCGAGTATCCGAGGCCCTTGCTCCTCCCACTCCTGCTTGGAAATCCACATATTCTCTTTGTCTGACATGATGTTGGCCAAGACAGCACCGCCCAAAAACACCATGTGTCTCCTTCTGGGAGGATCTTCGATCCGCACCTTGAATTTGTTCAGCCGTTCCGGATTTCCACCCAGCACGCGGGTGAGCCAGAGCTGCTTGAGTTCCTTCTCCAGACGCGAGGGGAGGCCGGGGTACATGCTACTGCCACCGGAGAGGACGATCGCTTTGTAGAGGGAAGAGCGAACGTCCACGTCGGCAGACTGGATGGTGTTGAACAAGAATTCGGCGATGCCAGGTTGTTCGACGTCGACCAGGTGCGGCTGGAAGAGACACTCGGGCGCTTCGAAGCGTTCGCTGCCGACACGGATCACGCGGCCATCCGGGAGCGTGTACGACTCGACCAAGACGGTGGTTTCTTCCGATAGACGTTGGTCGAGGGTCAAGTCGTATGAGACGTAGCATAGTTTCTCCTTGATTTGACGCACGGTTTCAAAGTCGGCGGTACGGTTGAGTGCGTAGCCTCGTCGCAGGAGGAGGGCAATGAGGTTCCGGGTCACATCGCGGCCTGCGACGTCCAGCCGGCGGGTCAGATGGTTGAGGACGGTGGATTCGTAGACGGGGACGATGTGCGTGACGCCGTCGCCGGAATCGACGACCACGCCCGAGGAGAGGCCTTGTGCGTAGAGCGCCAACACCGCCTGGATGGCGACATACACCCCGCCGAAGCCGTAACGCTCGAACATGACCTCACACATCTGCTCCCTGTTCTTGAGCGGGTTCATCGGGGGTTCCGTCAACAGGATCTTACGGCCCCTGGGGTCTATCTTTAATTTCTCGAAGAATGTAAAGTCCCACAGGTGTTGCATATCGTCCCATTTCTTGACGATGCCGTTCTCCATCTGTGCCACAGTTCGTTCTTGGAGTCAGCCAACCTTTTTCCCCGACGTTGCCGGCGGAAGAGCCGTCTTTCTGTGGTTGGGGTCTCAAGAGAGTGTCCTCACAGGATAGCTTATTTGCAGCATCGATCTGGCAGCGGCAGCCTCATCTCCACACATAATGTCCTTGACCACGATATCTCCCGCCCGCTCTTCTGACCGCAAAATCGGGCGCCCGACGATGGAGGGGAACTGGTGTTCGGGGAAGTTCTGTGAAGTGACAGAGTCAGGTCTCGGCGGGTTCACCTGGAAGCAACGGACGAGGGCATGGGCAAACGTACTTGAGCTGCATAGCCGACCTTGAGGAAACCGGTACCCCCATCGAGGACTATGGTGCCTGTGTCAGCACGAGGTCAATGGGCAATGTGGGCAGACGAGGGGTCTTACCGATGGGTGGTTCGGCCATCTTGGGAGAAGGGGGAGGCCTGGATGAGCTCAGAGCCTCGTAGCTTGTGGGATATGAAGGGACAGAGGAAGGTAGAGGCGGGGGAGACAGAGGTCGGAGATTAATATGAAGCCTGTATGCGCACTGCTTCCGAACGACGTACGAGGTACACAGGCGCAATTGAGATGAAGCGGCGGCATTGTGCCTCGCAGCCTGCCGTAATGCCAAGAGGTCTGCCTTAGTCAGCATTCAACCCCTCCATACGTCGAGACGTCCAAAGCACACAACTTGTGTTCTGAATATCTCTGGCTCCTGGTCCAGGTCCAGCATGGAAATCAAAAGGCTTGGTGCGACACAAATATACGCTGAATTGAATCAGTGCAGGTTTACGAGGGGGTGGACACTTCAACAACCACACAGCCCAAGAAGGACTAAATGCATGCAATTCGAAGGGAGATGAAATGCCCAAAAGATTCCCATGTGTGCTATGCCTTGCTTACGAGTAGACTATGGTCCTCATTCTGCTCTGCCCATTGTCTGCTCTGCGCGATGCAGATGAAACGCTTTTCTTTCCAGACACCATCCTCGCCACTTCCGGGCTGACCAACTGACTGTACTCTGACCAAGAGAAGCACTGCTGGCCGCTGAGATAAAGTGAGGGCAAGAGATTCTGTAGCTCCTACATACAGTACAAGGTTCAGTAGATAGGTGATGAATGACAATGTGGCTCAGCTCATCTGGAAGTCTGTCGGGGAGATCGGTATAGTCACGACTGTGCCTCCCTATTGTCTGTTTGGTGTCAGTAGTATAGAGTGCCGTGGACGTCAGTCAGATCAAGGTCCAGGTCTATCCCGAGTTTTTTAAAAAGGAGATCCAAACTCTCGCATGTGCCCAGTCCACCACATACTCCTTTAATATTCCGACTCACGATCGTGTATGTGTGACGTCGGTGACCACGTGGTCTCCACCATCGCTCCAGGCTCCCTAAAGTTGACTGCGGGGGTTAGCGACATTCCAGAGTTTCGGCCAAGCAGGTGAGGCGAGCCCTACACCGAGTAGTTTGGGCAAGGAAGATAATGCCTCGTGAGCCTCACAGGTCTATTACCGGCCTGAAGCATGGGGGCCGACAGGTTGCTCGAGCAGCAGGGCAGTGCAAAAAAGAACAACGAGTCTGCGACTTGCCTAGGGGTCGGTCAACAGTGGCGAGAAGGCTTCCCGGACGATGGAATATCCTCGACATTATTACCCCTGATCCCAGCATTCGACCCGCGTGGTTGGCAGATGGTGCACCAAAAAAGAAAACACCAGCTTACCTACCCCAATCCGAACTAAAGATCGAGGGAAGAAACGATCAAACCAAGGACAAATCCATCTATTGCGCGATATCATCATTTCGTGTCTCATGGTCTCATCCCAGTCGTGCGCTGACTTTTCCAACTTTGCCTCAGCCTATCCTGTATGACAAGTATTCGTAGATCCCAACGCTCGTGTCAAAACCGTCGTATCGCTGAAAAGCACATGAAAACAAGCCCTTCCAAGGTTTCCTCCAACCTGTGCCTTTGCCTTTCTCCCAAGGTCTCTCCATATGCAGTCCTGAGCCCGAAATTGGTCGCAATACGGTGCTGAGCAAGTTCCACGCTAAAGCCACGCAGATACCGCCTCGTGTGACTTCTCGACATGCTGCTCCCCAGCCTGGTCAACTTCCCTCAGATACCCATCACCTCTTCAGCCAAGCCTGCCCCAAAGTTCCCAACGGTGGCCCGAGTCTTTTCCGGCTTCTTCCTGTACTTCTTCATAGGGTCCGGCGATTTTGACGGGCTTCTCGACGTCTTCCGCGCCGTAAAACGATGCGTCAGCACATCGTGAAATGCAACAAGATCCCCTAGCAACGCCGGGGTGATGAAATCAGTAGTTGCTGGCACGACTGCGACTCACCGCATGTCGGGATCTGGATCTCCGACTATCGAAATCGTCAATATCCCCATCTTCTTCGTACATCTTTTTCGCGCGACTCGAGTCTCTGATGGCGCGCTCGTCGTCGTAATGGCCAGCTGCCCCTCCACCGACACGGCTTCCTCGGTAGCTTTCACTGCTCTGTGGGTCGGGGCCGTCGTAGTACCAGTTGCCGTCCCGTCCCTTGTAGTATCCTCCCCGTTCCCTGGCCCGCCGGCGTCTCTCGCGCTCCATGCGTTTTTTATGGTGTTCTTCTTTCTGCGACAGCAGCTCCTTGTGCTGATTGTGCTCCTCGGATAGTTCATTCCACTCGCTCACCGCGCCTTTGAGGCCCAATGCCGCAATGCCAATGGCGGCGGCGTCTTGCCACCGGGATGCACGTTGTTGTTTGTGAGCTTCCTCAGGAGACATTTTGCCGGCGCGGACCTGTTCCATTCGCTTATCGTGTGATTCGATCGAAGAATAGACCTTGGAGGCGGCGTGTATTGTGGCCACGCTAGCCAGAGCGGCGGTGAGCCATTTTTTGCGTTGCATCTTGCGGATGTTCTTCTCTTCCTCGGTGGAAGAGAGCAACGAGGACGAAGAGGAGCTGGACGAGCTTCGACGGCGGCGGGAGCGAGCAGACGAAGACTTGGCTCGCACGCGCGACCGTGGAGGCACCGAGCCTTCAGAGTCATAGTAACTGTCTCGGTGGTGATCTCGGTTGCGGTGTGCAACAAGTGCACCTGCACCCGCGCCCGCGGCCGCACCCGCACCGATGTCTCGACCGGAGTGCATGGAACTGGCTCTCTGGCGTTGTTCAGACCGACCAGGCCGCCGGGGTAGGATTTCCCCCTTGTGCCTCACCACTTCCACAATCTCTTCGTCCGAGGCGACATCGCGCCGACGGCGCAGGACGAGACCCTTCTCTTCCATTGTCCTTCTGTCGAGGAGATCGGGATCCGGTTGAGGGACTTTGCCACGAATTTTCTTATATCTGCGGTGCAGAGGGTCGATAACCTTGTCCTGGTGTGTGATGGCGAGGTTGACGCCGTTGAGGCCTAAGCCTAGAGCCTGGTCCATTTTTAAGGGGGCCGAGCGTTACACGCGGCTGTGGTCGTGGGTCGGCAAGGCAGCTCGTGTGGTGTCTGGAGATTGGGGATGGCACGCCGCGTATCAGCACGCCTTGCAGCACCGTGCGCCCGACTTGTATAGCGCTGCGGTGGAAGTTTCGGGGCACAAAAGCCTGGATTGCAAGGATAACTTGGCTTATTGACCGACCGAAAGTGGTTTCTGTGTTTGATTGGGCGCACAGGATCGGCCAGTTTAATGAAGAGCAAACATGTTGTTAGGACACACTGGTACTATATCGTAGGTTTCGAAGCTCGCACAGAGGGTCGGAATCGCTTAACTCCAAGCAAGGAGTGCACAGCAAGCAAATAAGTAGAAACGCGCGGTGTGTCTATAAGGAAGACGTCATTGTGTAGCAGCTACACCGACATTGACAGAGTCCATTGGGTTGTTTCGAGGGGCTCAAATTCGACTGGACGGAAGGGTGAAAAGTAGACGGAACAGAGAGCAGACATTGGTCATGGGGTTCGTATTTAACGGCGGACTGGACGGGTCGGTAGATGGGGCCGCAACGACGGCCACCGCAGAATGCTTATTTTTGCCAGGACACTAGGAGTGCCATCTTGTTGAAATGCCAGATTGCTAGAGGCCCAAGATGCCATTTCTGTGAAAGGCCCACCCCTGGAGGTTGGGCGAGGCCGTGAGGATCAGAGATGGCCGATCCTGATCACTGCCGAGGAAAACCGACGATCAAGCTTTCCTAAGATCTCTACACATCTTTGCGATCGACAACATCAACGGGGGCAAAGGGCTGTTGATACCTGAATGGGAAAAAGCGAGGAAATGCCGGGATACACATAGAACAAGGCAGGGGGATGAGCGTTTTTCTCCTCATTGGCGGCTGGAAAGGGGCAGAAGTGAGCACAGAGAGTCACTATTTGTTCGCCGCCCCAAGACAAGGAACCAGTCAGCACGCCAACGACAGGAAGGAAGGGGAAGACGTTGAGACCGGGGGAGAAGGCGAAAGGAGGATGAAGGAACAAGGGGGCCAAAGGGAAGTTGTCGGGTTGTAACGAATAACGCCTTTGCCAGGGCGGGGAGAATTCTCCTAGCAGGGGCATGACGTCGATTAGGCTCCTCTGGGCCCCATCGGGAACACAACTACCAATTTAGGGGTGGAGGGAGGGGAGGGGTGGTCGTAGGTAACACAGGGGGGCGTCCACAGGCTAGAGAAGCACAAGCACAGGCAAACAAACCCTGGCATTATGGGCACTTCCTAGGCACAGCAAGCCTATTGCTGTGGCAATTGGCAGTCCCCTGCTGTTGGGTGCTTAACCACCGCCAACGACGTCATCCATACTCACTTTGCACCGTCCAAGTCTTGCACGCAGCCTTTTGGCAGAAACTGTGCTGCACCACCTACGTACGCAGTAGACGCATCAATGTGTGCTCAAAGGTAACAAGACGCCTCAAAGAATTTCTTCTCGGGCCTGTCAATTGTCAGTTTTGAGCAATCGATTTTGATTTTAGCACATCTTCGGCACAACAACAGTCAATGAGAGCGGCTGAGTTGCAATTTGACATCCGTGCTGGAGAGATATAAATCCTGTGTCTGATCTCGTGAGTTCAATATGCTTTTGGAATGACATTGTTTCGTTGAATCTAAAACTTGATGATGCCGCCAATACCCGCGGGTAAATCCTCGGTACAAGCACTCCTCTGTCGACAAACAATCATAGTTCGCCATGACTGGCCGTGGCGGTTGAAGCATCACTTTGTGGTCCTTTGAAGACGTCTCCGCTGATGATCTGTGCCCAGGACTTCTTCACTTCCACAAAGGCCACGTCGAATCGGGCACCCATAAGCCACGCAGCGGCACCCTGGGTCGGATCAGTACTAAACCGGTAACATCAAAACGAGGGAACCACTCACCATGGTAAGAGCAATGAAGAGGAGCATCAGGATCACGGCGCCGAACAAGGCAAATGTCTCCTTTGACCCCCTCGAATCGGAGGCTTCCTTTTCTGACTGTGCAAGGGCTGCCCGAGCCTCGTCGGCCTTGTTCTTGGCCAAAATTTCTTCCACCTTTTGGGACGGGAATATCGACTCGATAAACTGCTCCACGTTGCCACATGCAATGCTGATCTTCAAAAAGTTCGGGTCCTGCGGCCGATTCTTCTTGCGGATGGAATGAATATGTCGGCGGAACACTTCGCACGCCACCTGAAGGTTCTGGGTCGACTCGATCATAATCTGACAGGCCTCGCCCTTTGTGATTTTGATGTTGCGCTGAAACATGGTGTAGTTCCTGAAGCAGAGGTCCAGCGTCGCGATCGCCATGGTTTGTGGAATCGCGCAAAAGTTGAATACACTCTGCTCCCTAAGCCCAGCCATGAAGTAAAGACATTCGTCGGCATGGTTGAGCGCGTTCAACACCATCTCCGAACTGCAATTCAACGCTTGCTCTTTGTACTCGGGTTTGAAGAGATCTTCGAAGTTGTCCACATGTTTCGACCAGATCTCCTTGGGCCAGAATATTCTCTTGTCGTCGAAATCCTCCCGCACGTCTCGGATGATGTTCGTCTTTTGCAGGAAAATCCCCATCGACTTGTGAAGATTGGGCCTGTCGAGTAGAGCTGGGTTTCCGAATTTGCTCTCCACGAACATTCTCGTCAAGCCCTCACCAACCAGTCCCGCCACGTAGTAACAGTACTCGTCGTACTCGGCGCAGGTGATCACGGCAAACTGATTGTTCTCAGATTTCAGGCAGTAGTCGGCCATTCCGTTACCCATCCTCTTCGCGATATCCTTGATGATAACTTGATACGCAGGTTTAATCTTCTTGAATTCTTCGATAACACATCCGTAATTGAGCAACAGTTCGCGATCCTTCTCCTCTGGCCTGTTCTCAGTGAAAGTCCAACCATCAATCTCAAGGACCTCGTCAAAGTTGCGCAGGATTGGCTCTTTCTTCTTGACGGGGATCGAGGTGTCGTCTTCAATGGTGTCCAAGCCGCGTAAGACCAGGTAGAACAGAGTAACGGGTAGCAAGAGCTCTGGGTGGAGCTCTTGGATCACGGCGCTGAACGAGCGACTCGTCAAGTTCAGGTATTTGAAGCATTGCTTCGTGGATTCGGTTTCTTTCGATTCATCTCGTTCGTGGACAGGGTTGTGCCAGACTTTCCTGAGTAGGTGTCAGTGGTTACGCGCAACATGAACATCCTCCTCGCCTCACCATTGAATAATGGAGCGCAGTTGCTGCGGGTGAAAGAGGTAGAACAAGACTTCGCTGGCTTTGACCATGGTGACGAAATTTTGGGTTCAATGCAGGCTCCAAGTGGACTTGCGGACAGCTCCCCTCGTTCCTAGCTGACGGTTGAATACTCCAGACGGTTGGAAGACACTAAGGAGTGATAACGAGCGACCATGATCGAGAAGAGAAAAAGGGGAGGCGAGTTCTGGTTAACTACCCGCGGTCAACGTGAACTAGACCATCGTGTTTTTGTGTGTGGAGGTTAGCATATCCGAATGGCACGATCCTTACCCGAGGACTCATTTATTAGCAAGAGAAGCGATGCCGAATGAGCTCTAGGCGACCTTTGCCGAACCAGCTGATGCCCAGGTTGCCCAGGTGCAGTCTGCAGTCATAGCCACAGTGGCACTGTGGCACCCAAGAGGCTTAGCTGCAGGCATCACTTCACTGTTAGTGCCTATGACTTCACCCCCCTTGTGCTGAGTTTCGTGTTTGCGGCGACCAACGGGTACGGCGGCCCTTTCACGAGCCAAAAAGGCTGCGATATAAACCGTACACATCTCCGTCCCATGCCAGCCAGCTTGTAAGCCAGGAACCTCCGTACATCTCCGTCTGAAACTGTGCCTGCTACCATGGTTGTCGACACTTCCTACTACGACGCTCTGGGCGTCAAACCAGATGCCTCCGAATTGGAAATCAAAAAAGCCTACAGGAAGCTCGCCATCACCACACATCCTGACAAGAACCCCGGTGATGAAACTGCTCACGCTCGCTTTCAAGCCGTCGGCGAAGCCTACCAAGTCCTGTCGAACAAGGACACCCGTGCCGCATACGACAAATATGGCAAGGAAAAGGCCATGCCCAGCCAAGGGTTCGAGGATCCCGCTGAGTTTTTCAGCATGATCTTTGGCGGTGATGCCTTTGTCGACCTCATCGGCGAATTGACCCTCCTGAAAGATCTCACGCATACCATGGACATCACAATGCAGGCTATGGAGGAAGAGGAGCTTTCTAAAAATGCGGAAGAGAAGCTGAACATCCACGAAGCGAAGGAAAAAGAGGCAACTGCTGCAGGTGTAAACGCAAAGGACACTGAAGCTAAACCCTCCTCAACACAAGAGGGCACCCCTGTGCCGCCTCCGCCATATGTCTCCGGGGAGGAGCCATCGACGTCCACTGGCAGATCGTCTGGGACGACCACGCCGCAGAGAAGATACGCTGGCCAGCAAGCCATCATGGACCGATCAGAAGAAGATGCACGGATGGACGCCGCGGGCTTGACCCAGGAAGAGAAGGACCTGCAGAAGAAGAAGAAACGTGGCGGGTTGACCAAAGAACAGAGGGAGAAGCTGGAAGCCTACGAACGCGAGAGACGACGCCTGCGAGAAGAACGAGTCGAGACTCTCGCGAAGAAATTGATCGACCGCATCAGCGTGTGGACAGAAACAGACAAGAGCCCCGAAGTCACGCATGCATTCCAAGAAAAGATCAGGCTTGAAGTCGAAAATCTCAAAATGGAGTCCTTTGGCATTGAAATCCTCCATGCTGTCGGCCAGACATACCTCCAAAAAGCCACCTCGTTCCTCAAATCCCAGAAGTTCCTCGGCATCTCAGGCTTCTTCTCCCGTCTAAAAGACAAAGGTACCCTGGCTAAAGACACGTGGAATACCATCTCCTCAGCCATTGACGCCCAACTAACAATGGAAGAAATGGCGAAATTGGAAGAAAAGGGTGGCGCCGACTGGACTGACGAAAAGAAAGCGGAGTACGAGAGGAAAGTCACGGGAAAGATCCTTGCAGCTGCATGGAGGGGTTCCCGATTCGAGATCCAGGGTGTATTGAGGGATGTCTGTGACCGGATTCTGAACGATAAGAACGTCAGATTGGAGAAACGAATAGAGAGAGCACATGCTTTGGTCCTATGCGGGACTATCTACCAAAAGGTGAGCCCTCCTTCGTTCGACGCTTGAGATGGCGCACACATTCATCTCAAAATGACTCTGACATTGATGCTAACGACGGTATTCTTTCAGGCTGAACGCGATCCGGACGAGGAAGGCGACTTCATGGCTTTTGAGCAACTAATGGCCGAGTCCGTGAAGAAACAAGAAAAGAAAAAGGAAAAAGAGAAACAGAAAGACAGCAACCACACCGACCAACCGCACAGACACTTTTTCGGAGGCAATAAGGAGCCTACCGCTGGGGGGTCACCGCGACAGTCGACATCGGCGTGAGTGTGACGACGGCCAGGGTCAATGTTCCCAGGGCAAACCGGGATTGAATAAAGGCGGCTACTTCCAGGAAGTTGCGCAACTCCCTCGGAGTGTCGACTCGACCATCTGCTACCGGTCTGCTGCTTGTGGGTTGTATGCTTTTTTCTTGCTCGGTTGGCCAGACATCTCTGACCGCACGAATGCTTCCTGGACCAAAGCTTCTTCTCGGCTTGCACAAATACTATCACTACTAGAGGTAATTAGGGGTTGCCAGCGCGTCTGCATCGCGGAGGACGGAAGCCGAGGCGACGAATGGCTAGGATGAGATGGGATCGGACGGGATACAGGCAAGGGAGCGTGCTGTTCGTCGCCGTTACGTTACGTTAAACCACCTCGATCGCGGGTTGATTCGCTGAATAGATACCAAATGCTTTCTTTACTCTTTCTGCCTCTCTCCTCCCTCCTTCTCCTTCTCGCTAGATTCCTTCGTCTCTTCTACGGTAGATTCTTCAATAAACAGGTGGAGAAAGGGGTGGTGTAAATCTTTCGGGGGTCTGTTCTTCTGTACATATATGTGTTGATGATCGATTAGTCCCTCCTCTTGTCCGGCGTTCTTCGACCATTTATAATTTACGATCAGAGAGGTATTTGTATTATATAGCCCACCGGCAATTTTGTAGGTGAGGTCCTTTTTCGATTCTCTCTCTTTCCCCATCTCGCTTCCCTTCGTGCGCCATTAACAACAAAAAGACTCAGCGATGATTGGGGGGGTATCATTTTATACACAACGGGGGACACCGCAGGGTTCCGACAATCTGAAGCACGCCACCAAGCAGAAACTCCCGCCACAACAAAGGGAAAATAGCAACCTCTTCACGTAATCCGGCTTCCAATGCAGTCTGGGGTCATTATGTCGTAAGGGAAGAATCTTTGTCTTCCGTGGGTCCAGCCCAAAAGTTTCACCGGCGCCAGTCTAGGTCTCCTCCAACTGCGCGCTGACGGAATCCAATATATCAGATAATTCGTCCAACGAAGGCATCGCTGTCACTTCGCTGGCAATTATGGCTGGAGGAGGCCCAACTCCCCAAAGTTGGGCTTCATCCAGGTTCGCCTTGGTGACGCTGGGACTTAACAGGCCCTGTCTTGCCTCCTGTTCTTCGGCCCCGTTCACCAAACCCCTTTCATCCAGCTCATCATCGTTCAAGACTCTGCCTCCCAGCTTCACATCCCCTATACCCACTCTGTAATCCAAGGCCTTGTTGCCTTCTCGAATGAGCTCTTCCGAACAGGTGAGGCACCGTTTGATGCTTTGGCTGAGTTTCTGGAAATCAATAAGGAGTTGTTGGTGGCGCGAGAGATCCTGCATCAGTCTCTTCTCGTCTCTCGCACGCTGGCGCGATTGAATGGAAGGACTCAGCATGGAACCTGACTCGTTGGATAGCATAGACTCAGCTTCGTCATCGAGATCATCTAGGTCACTGTCATTGTCGTCTGAAAATTGACGATCTTCATCGTCAAACTCCGTGACCGTGCCGAGCGTGAAATTAGATTGTTCAGAAGTTGTTCGTGTTGTCGTTGCAAGAGATAATCTCCCTGAACGTGACAGTCGACGATATCTTCTTAGCTCCCCTGTCTGCTTGCGGAGTTCACGCTCCAGGGTTTTATTGATGGCCAGCAACGAAGAATTTGAGATTTCTAAATCGAGAACTTTGCGTTCCCGGCGGGCGTTAGCAGCTTGATCCAACTGAGACTGCGAGGCGCTTGTGAGGTCTGTTCTAGAGTCTGAACTCGGCCCGGAGACGCTCGGCGTCTTTGTAGCTTCTGGAAATTCCGTGTCGCTGGTGACAGAGGTTGGGAGGGTGTTCGTCGATGCGAGGCTGATAGATCTGGGACTCAATGTTTCCGGAGACAGAAGGCCATTCCCGTGAATCCGAGGTGACACTGAAGGAGCGGTGGGGAGATCTAGCGGCTGGGGCGGTTGTGATCTGGTATTACTCAGTTTCCTGAGAGCGGGCGAACCTATGGAGCTTGCGCTGATTGACTTTCGATGGCCTTTCGGTGTCGGTTGAGATGTGGTCGTGCTGCCTGAGCTGCTTTTAGGACGTTCGGCACTCGTTCGAGGCCCCGGCGAAGAAGGCGCCTGGCCAGGCTGTAGTTTTCGGGGTGATGTGGGTTCTGTTAGGATACCTCTGTGAACTTTGTTTGGTGATTGAGGCGGGGTGTTTCGAAAGCCGTGTGGAGCTGTTGTAATGGCCGGGCTGTTCAACCTCTCTGTTGAGATGTGAGGAAGGACGTTACGCCGAGCGGGTACTTGTGGAGTTAAATCGTTTGCCCTGAAGAATTTATCATCGAGGTTCTCCTTCCCACTAACGTTCTCTCTGGCTAGCGGTGGTGACCCGACGAAGAAGTGCCCTGGCCGTGGGGGAAATCGGTGGCCCTCATCAGGCTCTGGGGATCCAACAATGGGCCTCACCTCGTCCGCGTGGAAGAATTTCGACGTGGTATCTTTGTCACCCTCTACCATGCTCTTAGCGGCGGACAACCGTCGATGGATTGCCCCTGCCGGCGTAGAACTTGACGTATTTGCTTTTGACAGAGTACCTGTACTCGCAGGAAGCCGTGGGCTAGTGAGGCCCAGGCCTCGCATGACACCCCCAGTAGGTTTCGACGACTCATTGCCCGATGACGCTCTTGACCTCTGGCCGTTGCCTGTTCCCCTCGGTTGTGCCGGGGTCAGAGGAGACTCTGTTCCGACCCGTGACTTTCTCGCACCAGACCGAGGAGTGATGTTTCCATTTAGGGGTGTCGTGGTCTGATCGGGTTTGGGAGGTGATTTTGACCTGACGAAAGGGTCCCTGCGAGAAGACAAGTTGGGGGAAGACGCAGCAGAACCCACCACCCTCGGTGTCAATGGGCTTTTGACCGTGCGGAAATTTGCACTGAGGGCGGGTGTGAGTGGTTTCGAGGTGTTAGATCGGGTTTGTTTATCGGCGGGCATCGTGGTCGGGAGGGGCGATCGTCGAGAACGAGGGATTGACTGTGGCTGCGGACGCTCTCGCTCTCGCATGACAGCGAAAGATATATGTGTGAGGCCTAACAGAGACCATTATTGTCGGCTCAAGTTAGCGAGCAGGCTCTGTGTGTCTGTGGACATTGGGTGCGTGCAGACGATGTCTCTCCACACATTGAATGTCAACAAGCTGTTTGAGATTCCCGGTGCACGTTGCAGTAGGATACCGCAATGGGTTTAGCTTTGGGGTCTTGGTTTCGTCACCGAGCGCAGGTGACTCGCCGCTAAACACGTCCCCCATCACGCCCTTCCCTGTCGCGTCCCGTCCCTAACGACACGACAGACTACTCCGTACCGAGAGCAGCATCATCCGCTATGCTGCCCGATGCCATTCCTGTGGTGTTGAGATGACATTACATGACGAGAATGATGGCCTCTTTATACATGTTGACCCGGACACAGATAATACCCAAGATGAGCCCGACCAGATCCCGCAGGCCCAGGAAGCCTCCCTCCAAGCATCTCAGCACCATTCCCTGAAGCACCATCTTCTTGGTCCTTCCTTGACCAAAGCCGGACAGGATGCGGTCGATCAGAAAAGGGTCTCTGAAATCATATATGAGGCCTCCAAAGGCTCCAAGTTCTTCAACAACGAAGAAGTCAAGGACAAGAACTTGACTCTAAAGATTGAGCGGATTCTCAGACAAAAGGCACAATTGGAGAAGCTGGACCTCAAGACGGACCTGCGCCGGGCAGATGACTACATTGCAGCCCTCGAACTAGCCAGAGACTTATCACAGTATGTTGTTCACATTGATTGCGATGCCTTCTACGCCGCTGTCGAAGAAATTGATCGACCTGAGCTCAAGACGGTGCCCATGGCTGTGGGGATGGGTGTCCTTACCACATGTAACTACGAAGCTCGGAAGTATGGTTGTCGCAGTGCCATGGCAGGATTTGTGGCGAAGAAACTCTGCCCTCAGCTGGTCTGTCTACCATTGAACTTTGACAAATACACAGCCAAGGCAAAAGAGGTGAGAGCCATTCTCGCAGAATACGACCCGCGTTTTGAGAGCTCCAGCATCGACGAAGCCTACATGAACATCACCGAGTACTGCAATACTCACCAGATGGGACCGGAAGCTGCAGTTGAGCAACTCCGGAAGGAGGTGCACGAGAAGTGCAAGATCACAATCTCAGCCGGTATTGCGCCCAATGCGAAATTGGCCAAGATCTGTTCCAATAAGAATAAACCCAATGGGCAATTTCGAATACCAAACGATCGAGCTGCTGTCATGTCGTTCATGTCTAAACTCGCGGTGCGCAAAGTCAACGGTGTTGGTCGTGTCTTTGAGCGAGAGCTCGACGCCATTGGCGTTAGGACATGCGGCGACATCTACGTTCAGCGGGCATACCTTTACAAGCTCTTTGGAGAGAAGGCGTTCCAGTTCCTGATGCAAACCTATTTGGGCCTTGGACGCACGGTCGTACAGCCCGCTGAGGAGTATGAGCGAAAGAGTGTCGGGACAGAAAGTACATTCCGCGACATCAGCAACAAGCAAGAACTTCGCGAAAAGCTTCGCCACACAGCAGAGGAACTAGCTAAAGATATGGTCCGCGTCGAGGTCAAAGGCCGGACCCTGGTCCTGAAGGTCAAACTACACACTTACGAAGTCTTCACACGACAAGTGGCTACTCCAAAGGCAGTCCACCTTGCAGATGATCTGTACAACTACAGCCTACCGATGTTGGCCAAACTCGAGAAGGAGATCCCAGACTTCCGGCTCCGCTTGATGGGACTACGTTGCACCCACCTTGTCAGCACCAAGAAAGCGGGCACTGATTTCTTCCGCCGCAAATCAAACAACGACAACTCCTGTGCTGAGAAGCCAGCGGATGATGCAGGATGGGAAGTTTGGCCGGACTCAGAGTTCGAAGAAGCAGCACGTCAGGAGAGACAAGAGGAAATTGAAGAACTAGAGCGTCTAAGTCAGGAGCAGCAGCAGGATCTTACGGCCAACCAAGATCCGAATATCCTTTCATCGGGTGTCTACGTCTCCACGGCAGATTGGCACGAACCCTTTGGCAAGTACAAGTATGGCAGCGAGCCGAACTCGCCGGTTGCATCACCACAAAGCAAGCATGGACGGGTGTTGAATAAAGCTGCTGCATCGGCCTCGAAAGGAGAGCACAAGCAAGAAGCACTGTGGGACTGTCCAATCTGCCAACTCCCGCAGCCAGCAAACGACAGAGACTTTAACAGCCACATCGATCTGTGTCTCTCGCGGCAGACGATCAAAGAGGTCGTGGCAGAGGCAAACGGATCGGCTGTCGTAGCCTCTAGCAGAGCATCGCCTGATGTACCTGTGCTAGATCGGCCGAAGTCTGTCAATGGAACGAAGTCCAAGAGAAAAGCCCCCTCCAGCAATCTGATAGAGCCGGATGTGGCTGGCGGGAGAAGGCAGAAGAGACTCTTTTTCACATGAGATTTCACGACCCTTTCTTTTTTGATACACAGGCTCATGAGAAATGACGTCGGTATAGCAATAGGCAATTCATGTTCAGACTTGAAGTCCCCATCCTCAGGAGACCTTCCCACTCGGGGTATACATGACCTCCAGCTTGGCTGGTCTGACCAATACCCGTAACGGACGGATATGTAAGTTGACCTATATAGTGTAGTCCCGGACGCCTGCAGATGCAAATTTACGCAAAGAGCCTCCATGTCCATTGTGACTGGGGCATGAACCACGCTTCTCGGTGGCCCAGCTGCGGAGTGGTTGTGACATCCTCCATCCAGAAAATTCCATTTCAATGCACGGCCGCATGGCCTCGTGGCATCCCGTTTTAGCCACGCTTCCAGATTGTCCCGCTTTGCGCCCGCCAAACATCAGCAAAGAGCACTGGACCTCGCAAAATACAAGAGTGGGACCAGTCCGACTCGTCAAAGCACATTCAACTGACCCTTCTTCTATTACTTGACATCGGCTCGTCATCGCCTTCTTCATCTTCGTCGTCATCGTCATCAAACACTTTATTCTCCTCCTCTGCTTCCCTCTTCAATTGTTCTTCTCTCATTTCCCGATACGTGGCCCAACTGAGCATTACAAACGCCACGATAATCAAGCCGCAACCAGAGAGTGCCGCCGCACTAAGCGGCTTGCCCGTTATGATCCAATCCGTGATGCCCACCAAGAAGATCGTGAGGAGTGCGGCAACCGAGCTCAAGACCGGCGAGGTGAGGGACATGAGCACAAGGAAAGAGCCGGAGAAGACAGCGTTGGAAAGGGTGGAGACGGCGAGCAATCTGGCTGCTTGGCCGCTGGGAATCTCGAATGTCTCCAGACCGGTCCAATGGAGGATGGGGAGTGGAATCCAGAGAACAGTCAAAGTGAAAAATCCAACCATGCTGCCAAATGTGTTTGCGAAGATCATCCCCCTGCCCGGAGAAGTGCCTTCAGGAGGGCAGGCGAAGCGTTTGTAGAGAACTTCGTAAAACCCGTATGCGACCGAGCCAATGCCAATGATAATGTTCCCCACAAGCTTTGTACCAAATCCTTTTTCCGCACCAGGATTTGACGTCCCAGGTCCCGGGGTGGTGTCGTCTTTGTCACCATATGCGACTACGAGGACGCCAATGATGGCGAGAGCGACCGAGAGGGCCTTGTCAAAGCGTAGCTTGTCGTTGAGGAGCATAATGGAGAATACATAGGCGAAGAAGGCGGAGCAGTTGTAGATCGCGGTCAGGTCGGACGGCGAGGTTAAGTTGACTGCAACGTACCACGATCCCCCAGCCATAGTGAGAAACGTAGTGATGAAGGCGGTGGATTTGATCATGTAGGGCCAGGGGGAGATCAAGATGGTGGATTTTGAGAGATGGAGTTCCTGAGAGCGGACCATCTGTGCCGTCGAGCGGAGGAGATAGACATGCCTTCTCCAGAACGCAGTCCAGGTGAGTTTCCGTTTCTGTATCCGGAGAAACATGAGTTGGACCGGCCAGAGAAATATCCAGGAGCCGTGTGTCAAGTACATCATGCAGTAAGCCTTGTCCCATTTCAGTTCGTGTTGGATATACACTGCAGTCTCCGTCTGCACGACAAAGGAGATGAGTGAGAGAATGAGAAAGAAGGAGGCATAGATGTATTTCCGCCGTACCATGTCTTCAGGTTGGGCGTATGATGGTGACCGCGAGCGGAATGTGCTCCTCCGAGATGAGGCTGCTGGTCTGGATGAGCCATGGAGACTTGGTGACTCTAGTCGACCTCTGGTGTTTGCTTTTTTGTCTTCTCCTAGTAATGGCTCATGCGATTCTGGACCCGTAGGCCGGTGCATTGACGTCCTCCCGTCCATGTCGTCGTCGTCGTCGTCGTCTCCTCTGTCGGCTATAGGCTCGTCATTCAGACTGAAATGTACTCCTCGTATGTGTTGTCGATCGGCCCGGAATTCGTCTTTTATTGCTGGGGGAAGGGAATTTAATCGTAAGGGGCTCGAAGGACGTAAGGGGGCTTTGGAGGGCGCGGTGGAGGCGGAGGTGAGAGGTAAAGGTGATTCAGTTCCGGGAGGCGTATAGATGAGATCCCCCCCGGACGAGTCGCTGCTGTCGGATGGTGTCATCCATGCGGTTGGGAGGAGGCAGGACTATAAAAGGTCACCAGATTTGGTCAGTGGCCTGCGGTGGGGGAGCACAGAATCAGGCGCAGTCGGTCTGCAATCGATACGTGGCGGTCTTGGTTTGCAGTGGGACGGTTCGTGCGCCCTGATAGGAAGGCCTTGGACGGCGTCGACGGTCGTCTGCAACGTTATCGTCAGATTCACCTATGGTTGTTGAATGCTGAGGGAATTGCACCATACTCCTAAGAAATTGAGGTCAAAGGCTTCCATCATCTGCACCAAGTGTCGGACAGGGGTAGCCGATTGGGGGTTTAGGCGAGTTAGGGCTCCAGCTACTGTGGTCACTACGCAGTAGGCTTGCACGGCTTGTTAGACTGGACCCTGAATCCCACCCAAAATCCCACCCGGCTAGGCTTAATTCACTTAGACCAACCCCCGTGCGCTTTCGTCTGCCCGGCTCGCTGGGCATCCTTTATTACTGATCGCTTTGTTGAGAGAATTTCCGAACCGGCGATTGTAGCCTCTGATCAGATCATGTTTGGCGCAATCCTCGGGCCACCTCTTTTTGATGGATACATTGTTACACGGTCTTTGAGTCTCACTCTTTCAAAGATCGTTTGCGAAGAAGTGCTGTAGGACGGAGAGGTTTGAGTTTGAGGTCACTTCAACGTTTCGACTTTCGAGGTGCTGTGACAGCAAGGACCTGCCGTGCGATGGGGAAGCATGACTGGAACGTGGGATTTCATCATTGACAAATTTTTCAATATCGGCCACAAGGACAAAATGAGCAGTTCATGCAACTTCACCTACGAGATTCCGACCGTTCACAACGCTGCAGTCAGGGATTGCGGGCGCATGTGGCACGTGGCACGTGATACTGCACCTTAGGTCTCGAAGACCTCGCACATGGTTTTGTTGTAACTTCACCCTTTTTGCTACTTCTAAATTTTCCGAGCTAGCTACCTCGACGTGGATCTCAGGAGATGTCAACACTCTGATCTGAGAATGGAGATGCAGATGACAATTGTGATCGTCGTCTAGACATAGCAACGGCTCTGAACAGTGCTCAATCTTCCCTAACCCGCAGGCACAGTCCTCGAGCCGAGTTTCAACTCTATCAATTCAGAAGCAACAGGTCTCGCTATGCACCCACGATCTACGATGTCTAGGAGCTCTCCTCGGATGCTCCTACAACAACGCCAGGGGAGGGCCCGATGATCGAGAGCATGAGATACTGGCGGAGTAAGCTAGGGTGAAGTGCTTTGAGGGAGCCGGCTCGACTATCCTTCCCTTGACATGATTACACCGGTTGCTCTGGTAGAGAACGTCTGATTCCATCCTCGATCCAAGATACCGAATTGTCTGGTTCCACTGAGTCGTTTCGTACAGCAAAAGCGCCATTATTTGCAGAAATTCGAGTGCGGTAATGTACGCAGAAGAAGCCTGGAGGTGAATTTCGCCAACTCGGAGCCATTGGCCCTCGCCCCGACGATTCTCATGTGAAATCTCGTTTCAAGAGGCTTATACTAATTTAATAGGTCCTCCAAGTCTATTGTCCGGATCATATCTTTTCTTCAGGGCTTGGAGTCTCGGGTAATGCTCGCGGTACACCTGTGATTTTGCCGTCAGAAAGCTGCAGTGGGCGCTCTTTGAATCGTCTCACCTGTGTGACAGGGTCATGGAAGTCTTCCATTGCATTCGGTACGATTTGAATCGGCCGTGTCGTGTTCACTATCTGTTTTGGACCATCTTTGACCAGCCTCCTTGCCATTTCGGTTTGTTCTGTGGGCTCTCCAATATCCGTCCCGGCGCCAATCGTTATCTTGTGCTGAAAGCCTTGAGGACGTGGCCAAGCGGAATCCGTGTTGGATGTCAGAGAATCTCGCTGTTGGGATCTTGTGAGAAGACGAACAGCTCGAACTAGCAAGGACATAATTACCGTTGTGAAAATTTCGAGAAACAATGTCGCTCGCTTTCCTACTGAACCCGGTGAAGCAGCAACATTATCATACCAGTCAAACGCTCGAGTAAGTGTCGCCTCATCGATCCTGCTTAATGCTATTGGAGCCCACCAAACGTTGGCACTACCCTTGGCTTTACCAACATTTTCTGGCGAGAGCGTCATTCCATGATCAAATCACGATCCTGGACACGGCTTACCTTGCAATTTGGCCATACCTGACAAGCCAATTATCTTGGTTGTGTCGACAGCCCCCGGACAATCCAGCGCCCATCTAAAGCCATCGTCACTTCTCCCATGTGTTTCACCAAGCGCATCAAATACAAGGACCATCAGCATGTCTTCTTGGGCACCCATATGTGCCAACTGCTCTTTCCTCATCACAAAGAGACAGAGAGCGACTTTGGGATTTGGGGGCCTTGCATCCATAGCGGCAATGCCTCTGACGACAGCTCTCAGTTCTCTCTTCGGGATGAAAATGTACCCGCCCCAGGTCTGAGCCTCATACTTGCGAGCTCGAAGTCTGTATCGAGTGACCACTAGCCGACAGTAAGCATGAGGATATGGTTGCAGCCAGTCAAGCTTACCACCAAATGCACCATACGTCCCTCTCAGTCCCCAGAGCAATTCTGGATCTTCGGACGCCCATAGGACAGTCCCGTCGACTTTGACAATCTGGGCATCAAGCAGGTTGGCCGGGTCTGAGGTCAACCCATATTCTGAGGAGAGCCAGGAATACCCACCACCTAAGATGCTTCCGCCCACGCCCACACTGGGCGTTCGAATAGATACGGCTACCAGCAGGGTCAGGATCTCTTGTTGACTATTTCCAACTAAAGAAATGGGCATTCAGTTTGGCAACCTACTTGCATAATCAGGCGCAATCTTGTCCATCTTCTCATAATATTGGCCCCAGCTCTGTCCTGCTCCTACCGTCACAATTTCGTTTTGCCGGTCAATGTCGACATCATCAAATGCTGTCATGCTGATCAAGACATCTTTTGCCGAAGCCGAGCCAATACCTTGACTTCGAATGCCAAGGCGTAGGCCTGTTCTCGAAAGGTGTGCCAATGCTTTGCTCAATGATTCGAGAGTCGTGGGACGAATGACTATGGCCGGTTTCAGGTCTTTCTGGAGCGCCCAGGGCAAAGACTCTGCTCTGTACAGATGTGAACCTGGGAGTATGATTTCGTCGGACCTCAGGATCGACCGAAGCTTTTCGATATGTTCGGCAAGAGACATTTTTGGCGTGCTTGAGGCTTCGAGCTAACTCCTCGACAAAATTCAGATCAACGTGTTGTTTGCATTAGTTTTGCTTCGGGAAGCGCGGCTCATCTCACGGTTGCTGACACCTCCGAGTACGTGGCTATCCGGGTGGCCTAAACAATCTGAAATTCCGGAATTAGAATACATATGTCTACGATGGGATCCCTACAAGCTGTACGTCAGGCATTGTCCACTTTGTCCGCACCGGGGTCTTCAGACTCTCACGACACATTGACGTCTGTCGGGCCACATTCTTGGAAGGATTCGGCGAACCTCCGAGATGGGATACACAACCTCTCACCGAGACGTCTGATACGATGGGGACGTCCCGCCAGGCGATCGCAATACGAACCCATGGGTGTCTATCTACATCGGTGCCGGGAGGTAGTGTCCAGTTCTGGGTATGAGTGAGCCGTCAATTACTAAAGACGGTGAGCATTGCTTTTCGACAGCGCCGCGCTTGAACAGCCTTGGACAAAAGGTTGCAAGATAAAGGGGGATAGCGACATCTAACGATACGAAAAAGCGAAGTCGCCACTTGGCCAAGCGTAACTCTAGTACCCATGGTAACTTCTTTCCCTCACTTCGAGAGGCATGCGCAACAAGTGCGGTCCCTTCACTCAGGGGGGCTTTCTCCGCAAGATCCTTATCGTTGTTCATCTGTCGGAGTCCTAGATCTCGCAAAGTGGTATCAATAGTGCAGCTTTGCATGGCTCTCCGCCTATTAAAGCCTCAACTTGCAGCGTCGTCGCCCTGACAATGCCGTCAAGGTGAATGGGTGGAACCGTGAATGAGTATGGAAGCTGAGCCATTGGATTCGGTTGTGGGTTGACTGCAGATCAGCATCCCTGTCCAAGATCTACCAAGTGGCTGTACCAGTCATCGGCCTTGCTCCCATATTGTCATGGGGAAGATAATGCCAGATATTTTACGCCTTGTTGAGAACAGCGCGTTAATTCGAAAGGGTAACACGAGACCATGGCTGCAAGATGTGAATCAGGTCTGCTTCAATACGACACTTCAATACCATCACAGTCTCACCACCGTTAAAATCTTGACGGGAGGCTTACTCTTTTCCCGGTAGTGCCCCTCGACTCTGTTGCTGTCTACCTGCAGGCTGACATGCTCACCGAGAGCCCGAGAATTACAATGAGTGTGTAAGGAAGAGGGCTGCCGAAACCCCGTTATGTGGTCTTAATGGTCTACATTGGGGACGGTCGCCAGCTGGAAGGCTAGGCCAGCCGCGTTGGTGCCTGCTTCTGGATTTGCCCAGGTATGGACGCGGTATGTTGAAGATCAATGTCATAGAGGGCGACAATTGAGTATGTGATTACTCGGATTTGCTAAGACATCCACCTCTCGTACACTGAGTCACTGATTGGGCAAGCAGCGCAGTACCCCAGATTTTCTTTTTGGGCCGTCAGAATGATCGACCAACGTCCTTGATATGACCAGCTTGGGAAGTCGGAAGGACAATGTGGATAGTATACGGTCCAACGGATTCAATCTTACCGACCAAACATAGGTCCACAGTTCTAGGCGAACAGGCCTTGGGGCGCCTTACTCAACGGGGCTTGGGACAGCCCTTTTCCGCGACCTGAAATCGACTCATGAGCAAACACACAGACAAGTAGACAGAAGACGGTGACGGAGACATGATCGGAGAGCCTTGCTCTCCGCAATATCAAGTTGTATCAAGCGGAATGCAACCGGTAAGGTAAGCATTGATCTTCGCAGGTAAGCAATCCTTTTGACTTATCTCGTACTTTGTGAGAGGCTCCTGCGTGAGAACAAGGCTTTGTTGCATAATATGACATGTTCAACGAGTCCCGAAAAGTACCAGGCCTGTTGTGCTTTGGCTCTGCCTTGCGGAGCAGCACCATCGACGAAATCCTCTTTCAGCTTTTCCATGAAAGACGCAGATGGCAGCCAATCGTCCCGTAAACTGGGATTGTGACCACGAGGGTGCTTACGAGGCCTGAGGTTCTCTGTATGTGCAGTCACATCAAACCATGAACAAATGGACCTCAGCTGGCTAAAACGGTGAGTTTAGATGTCATCGGGGATTGTCAGAGGACATATATACGGTGGCAGTTGGCGGACTGACCTGTGCCTTTGCTGTTTCCTCTCCATCTCTATTGTTGGTTTGAAGACCGTGCCATGTATCTCTCAACGGTCATTACTGCCGCTCTGGCAGGTGTAGCTTGTGCAAATCCTATCGAAAAGATCAAGAGACAGAGCATAGAAGACACATACGACTTCATCATCGCTGGAGGTAAGCTAGCAACAGGGTGGCATGATGGTGGTTACTTACCTCAAGCAGGTGGCACAGCGGGCCTTGTTATTGCAAACCGTTTGACCGAATGTCCCAACATCAGGGTGCTTGTGCTAGAAGCAGGTCCGGAACCTGGTATTGTTGCGAATTATATGTACCCCGGCGGGAATCAATACCTAGGAGGTGAGTTTCTCACCCTGGACTCTTGTCAAAACCCTGCTGACCCTTACCTCAGGTACCGCGATTGACTACAATTACTACACGTTGCCGCAGAAGAACCTCAACAACCGAATCCTTCCCTACCACCGTGAGTGACTGCGTAGCCTCCGGTTCACAGATTTAATTGACTCTGTGCTGCTAGGAGGACGGGGACTTGGGGGCAGTTCGGCCATTAATGGCCTGTACTATGGAAGGGGCAGTGCCAGCGTCTACGATCATTGGGTCGAGCTCGGCAACCCCGGCTGGGGCTGGGATGATCTATATCCTCTGAGCGTCAAGGTCAGCGTGCACAATATCTCTCTCTGCAGATCAGAGAACTGATCGTCATAGCAAACCCATTTTAACCCGCCCAACCTCAACGACAGTTTCGATCACAGCTTTGAGACCTGGGATCCTACTGCATACTCTAATGGTGAGTTACAGCTTGCATTCCAGGGGTACGTGCCGCCCTCAAACGTCGGCTTCATTCGCGCTGGTGAAGCCATCGGCATCCCCATCGTCAATGAACTCAACACTGGCAACAACACGGGTGTCAAGCAAGGCACGGGGTGTTTTGACAGCCGGCTCAGACGCAGCTCGAGCTATGATGCCTTCTATAAGCCCATACAGAACCGCACGAACCTCGACGTCCTCCACTATGCCTCGGTGACCTCGATCCAGTTCACCACAGGCAGCAACGGGACATCACTCGCAACGGGGGTCACCTTTACCGATCAGCCGACTGGACAATTCATCACGGTCAATGCTACCAAGGAGGTTATTGTGGCCATGGGCGCCTTTAACAGCCCTCAACTACTGATGATCTCGGTCAGTCAACTTATGTGAAGGACTTGACAATTCCCTTCTAATATCCGTCCCCAGGGAATCGGGCCTACCGCACAGTTGAGTCAGAACGGGATCAAGCCAGTGCACATCAACGAGAACGTGGGCCAGAAGTGAGTGCCTCAACCTTCTTGATGGAACACTGCTCTAACTCTACATAGTTTGAATGATCACTGCGTCTTCAGCATCATGGCCCAAGTCCAACCAATCGCCTCGACGAGTTCGATGGCCTTCAGCGATGCCACACTTGAAGCAGCCGAGCAGCAGTTTCTCGATTCCTTAACCGGGCCATACACCGCTCCTTCTGGTATCACCAACGGTTTCCAGCAGTTGTCGAATGCCACCCTGCAAGCTATAGGTGCGCAAGCTGTGCTCGATGTAGGACTTGTCAACCAGTCGCACGTCGAGTTCTTGTATGAATCCCAGTTTTACCCCAGCGGACTGGCATTCCTCCCGTCATCGGGTGGCACTTCGTCAACGGGAGGGACCTCTTCGTCAGCATACTATGTCCCTCAGTCCAACTTGTCTTATATTTCCCTTACGGCATCACCGCTCGTGGCGCTCAGTCGCGGCAGCGTGACGCTGAAGTCGGCATCGATTTTTGATGCCCCAAATATCGACCCAAACTATTACGCGAATGAAACTGATCGCGCTGTGGCCATCAACTCGTTCAATGACCTGAGAACTTTGCTTGCACATCCGGCTATTGCACAGTTCACCATTGGGCCCAACAACGGAGAGGTCCAGCCTGGACTTGCGAATGTTCCTGCAAACGCCTCGGACGATGTGATCTTCGACTACATCAAGGCCAATACCATCCCGAACTGGCATGCAAGTGGAACTTGTCAGATGCTCCCCGAGGCAGCCGGCGGCGTGGTAGATGCACGTCTCCGAGTCTATGGAGTGCAAAACCTCCGAGTGTGCGATGTCAGTATCATCCCGCGGCTGCCCGATGTCAACCTCCAAGGACCGGTGTACATGATTGCCGAGAAAGGTGCTCAGATTATCAAGGAAGACTACAATTTGCAGTGCTGAGAGAGAGAGTCATTGTCGAGGTGTGTTGGGATGGGTACTTGTCGGCATCCTTGTGGAGAGTTAGTTGATGGCTGGACGATTGGCAAAGAGTGCCTTGATTCACATGTCGGGTCGATGCATGCATGTATGTATGTATATGTCACGACAATGACCACACCTCGATGGCATTTTTGTAATGGAGAGAATACCGACCGCGCCCCATTAGGCTAATAACACGGCCAGATTTGGAGAACGAAGAGTCCAATGGGCAATGGCGTCATGTTGTTGGGGGAATTGTGCATCTCCAGGTTGTCGCTGATAGCACAATGTCGCCAGAGTGAAACGTGACCATCGTATCTGCTTCTTCTTCTTCTTCTTCTTCTTCTTTATCTTCTTTGTCTTAAGTGAAGTCCCTCCTCCTGCTGCTCCATATCTCATGTTTCGCGCCGCCATCGCACGTTCTCAAGCCTCCTTGCCACCTCCCCAGACGGCTGCCCGCTTGACGTCCCTCACCCGTCACATCTCCCCAGCTGCCTCGCCCTCCACCGGCAGGATGCCGCTCGTCACGTCCACCATGGTCAACAGCGACAAGCCGCGCGTGATCCTCGGCCTCATGACGTTCGGGCCCCCGGGCACCGAGTCCAAGGGCGGCCGCATCACGACCTTGGAAGAATACAACAAGAACCTCGACTACTTCCAGTCCCAGGGCTACAACGAGGTCGACACGGCGCGGGGATACATCGGGGGCCAACAGGAGGCATTCACACGAGAGGCGCGGTGGAGAGACCGTGGCCTGACGCTGGCGACGAAGTGTTACCCCGTGAAGCCCGGCGACCACGCCCCCGAGAAGCTGAGGGCGAGTCTGGAGAAGAGTCTGGGCGAGCTGGGGTCGGAGAGCGTCGACATCTTCTACCTCCACGCCCCTGACAGGTCGGTGCCGTTCAAGGACACCCTGCAGTGCTGCGACGAGATGTTCAAGGAGGGCAAATTCGTTCAGCTGGGCCTGAGCAACTTCGCGGCCTGGGAAGTGGCCGAGGTGTGGAACATTGCGAACGAGCGTGGTTGGGTCAAGCCCACGATCTATCAGGCCATGTACAACGCCATCACGAGGGACATTGAGAAGGAACTGGTTCCCTGTTGTCGAAAGTGAGGATGATCACAGCCCAGCCCAGCCCAGCTTTTAGACGCCTGACCAGCCACTGAAGAACAACAACAAAAAGCTGACGTGTGAGGTGCTTTTCTTGACAGGTACGGGATCGACTTGGTGGTTTACAACCCGGTAAGTCTATTTGCTCCTCTCCCTTCGTTTGGTACCGACACGGTTCCGAGAAACAAGCTCCAAAGCCACGGACTGACGCAAGACATGCATGTATTTTTTTTTAGCTCGCCGGCGGTGTGTTCAGCGGCAAATACAAATCCAAGAGCGACGTGCCTAAGGAAGGCCGCTTCGCAGACGTGGCCAATGCAGGAAAGGTACCGTCAAGCCCCCTTGGGAGCGTTGAGCTAGCTATGCCAATGCTCCCGCTCTCTCTCTCTCTCTCTCTCTCTCTTCTAACTCCCTCTTCCCCTCTCCTATCCCTTCCCCTTGATCAGCAACCCTCCTAGACCAGGTTTTTTTCTCCACGATGTGCTGCTGGCTGACCTGAGGGCTCTCCCTCTCTCTTTCCGCCTTTTTTAGATGTACCGCGCGCGCTACTTCCAAGACTCGACGTTCGACGCCCTGCAGACGATCGAGCCGGCGGTGCAGAAGCACGGGCTCACGCTGATCGAGACGGCGCTGCGGTGGTGCGTGCACCACTCGGCGCTACGATTCGCCAAAGACGGCGGCAACGACGGCATCATCATCGGCGTCAGCTCCCTGGCCCAGCTGGAGAGTAACCTGCGCGACCTCGAGAAGGGCCCGCTGCCGCAGGAGGTCGTCGACGCGCTCGACCTCGCCTGGGAGACGCACTTCAAGGCCAAGGGGCCGACGTACTGGCGGTAGAATGTAGAAGAGGACGGGGGCGGAGAGGAGCAAGAAACGAAGGAAGGAAGGGGGGCCCAGAGATTAAGAGATTATGCATCCCTCCCAACAGAAAGAGAGAGGTTGTTAGTTAGTTATATACAAGGGGTGACGATGATGATTACATATGATTTTTCCGGGCCACGAGCCAAGCAGGCAAGCAAGCGAGGGCGGTCCAAGATAGGATCGGATTGGAATGCAAAAAGCAATGCGAAGTCTTCCGTTGACAACGCTCTCAGTAGTAGCTATTATCCCGTCTCCCGATAGTATAGCCAGTGGGGGGTTTTTTTTTTAAAAAAAGAGAAAGGGGGGCGGCAGAGGGAAGAGGAGAAAGGTGAGAGACTCAGGAAGCCTCTGAACTCAGGAGCATCCAGCCTTGCGGGATACATCTGGTTCTGGTTCGCGTAACCAGTACATATGTAGCTAGTTGTTTGTACGGAGGAGGATTTAATACCGTAAGTCAAAGAAACTTGTCGGTCGACGAGTATGATGGAGTTCGGCGCTCAAATGTCTTGCTTTCTTCATATTGGATTAGTTGCGTTTGAGCGCTCCATGAGTGTAAACCTCAGGTGTTTATAATACATGAGAGTGTATCTTAGCTATCCATCTCCGGTTTACATACACACACACACAGAGAGAGAGAGAGAGAGAGAAAGAGCCTTTCAAGCTTCAACATCGCTGTCAACTTCCAACCCTGCCTCCTCTCCCTCTACCTCTGGCTCCCCCCCTGCGTGCTCTGGCTCCAAATCGAAATTTCAAGTCATCACTGTCATTGTCCTCGCTGTCGTCCTCGCGCACTGTCGTGACAGGGAGAGTCTTTTGACGCTTCGGCCGGCTCGTCTCGGCATGGGAGGTTGTTGCAGCCCTCTTTCCCTTCTGCGATTGCGTCGCTCTCGGCGCCGTGTCGTCTCCTCCCGTTTCGGAGGCGTTCTCGCTCGCCTGCCGAGTGCGATCCGCGGCACGGGTGCGTCTCGGCGTGTCGGGGTCGATCTCATGCTCTGCGATGTCCTCTGCTTCGCGCTGCAAACGAGAGATCTCCGCGTTCGTCCCCGATACCGATGCGTGCTCAGCGTCTTCGTCTGCCAGATCAATCACATGGTCGATTTCTTCCTCATCCTCGTCCAGGACGACCCTCGTTCTCGATCTCCCGTTGACGTGACCGCGGACGGTCCCACTCGACGCCTGAGTCTGACTCTGCGTTGTGAGTTTGTTTCTCGCCTCTTCCCGACGCCTCCTTTCTCTCTCGCGCTCTTTCTCTTCATCAGTCCTCGACCAATACTGATCACCCAGTCCACCAGTTTTGTTCGGGACTTCGACTAATGGCACAATGACTTTGCTGGCGTGGGATCTTCGCTGGGCCGGATCGCCTTTGCGGCGGAAACCCTTGAAATTCTTGCGGCCATTCCACCTGGGATCCCAGTTTGGTCCATGCTCCCCATTGACTCTAGTGTGGGCCTTCTTCATGCTATCACGTACTGGAAGATCAACAGTGACCACGTCGACCAGGTTCGCAGGTGCCTTGTCCTCAATGTAAGTCGGCATGGCCTCAAGCTCTTCTTCCTCTTTCCGTGCGGCTGCCTCTTTCTCCTCCCGTTGTTTTCTGGCGGCTTCGCGGACATCGATTTCTCGCTCCTTTTTAATCTTCTTCACAGGTGCTGCGCGTGGTTCAATGTCCTCCGCTTCGAAGCTACGCCCATTGGCGGCTGCTTCTGCCAACTTCCGTCTTTTTAACGCCGTAGCTGCAGGGAGGAGATCGTCCATTTCCTCCGCAAATGTGTCGAGTGGCTTCTCTGTGGGAGAGCGAGGTCGTTTCCTCGACGAGGCTGGCGATTCTTGTTTGATGACGACAGGTGACTGGGATGGTGCGTCCGGTTCGGAGACGTACGCCTCTTCCTCCATGACCTCGTCTTCCTCATAAGCAGCGACAGCATCAGGGTCAAATCCATCGTCAAAATTCTTGAATTTGGTCAACTGCGAGACTTTCGGCAAGGACAGCGGCCTTGCAACGCTTCCTCCGGCACCATTGACCTGCGAAACATTTGGCTCTGACGTTTGTGAAGGCTGAAACGCCGCCGCTGCGTCCTCTGCTCCGTTAGATGCGGAGTCGCCGGCATGCCCTGGAACAAGAGAATTCGTTGCAGAGGGGGGTGGTGCGATTCTCCCATCGCTGGTGCTTTCGAATGGGATAGGTTGTTTAAGAAGTCCGGCGTCATTTGCCAAAATAGCGTCCAAGAACTCAGACTGGTCAATTGCCCGCTGGTCCATTTTCAAAGCAGTCTCGTTGATAAGAGTGTTCGTCCATTCTTGGGCGTCCTCCTTTCCAGGCCACCGAACCAAGATGACACCACCTTTTGATCCAGCTTCAGTGCGGCCGGCTTTATTCCCGGCCACGTTATGCAAGAATTGGATCAGCTCGTCACTTGTGGTTTCGAAATCCACCGCCTTGAACAGCAAAGCTTTGCCATGCCCACTCGTTACAACCGGGAGCAGATTGTCATACTGAGTCTGCTCGCCGAAGACGAACGTGTAATTTTCAAAAACGTTGAGTCGCGCGGGGTTTGGCTCATATGATTTCGCGGGTCTGATGGTCGGTTCTTTTCCTGGAGGAGGAAGATGGTCCTTGGGATGAGGCCAGGCACTGTCGAAATCATTTTCCAGCGGAGAGAGATTCACCTCCTGGCTGAGAGTGATGGGAGTGGCAGCGTAGTCAAGGGCATCAAGATATGACTCGGTCACGAGGTACTTGGCGTTGACGAGCGCCAACAGACCTTTGGCAGTGTTCCTCTTGTTCGCCACCACATGCGTCGTGTACTCGGCAGAAAAATCGCTGACAGCTTTGATATCCAGATCTTGTACTCTTGCCTGCTTTGCCTTGAGAAGTCCTGACTTGATCTCTTTCTTGAGGAGGCTGAAAGTGAGCACGCAGGGGCGCCAGGTGAGGGTGAACTCATATGGACAGCTCCCTGGTCGAATTGAGATTTCGACATCATTCAGTTCTCTCGAAGGGTTCGGTTCTTGCTCGTTCTTTGGGTCCTTCTTCTTGATCAGCGAGCCATTCACATACGTTCCCGTCTTGGAGTGATCCTCAATCCGTATCTTCGTTCGGGTGTGGATCTGACCGACGTCGGTCTCTTTGACCGGGTCAACAGTGATATTGAAGTGTTGTCGGGAGACCGTTTTGTGATCAATGGCGATCATAACGCCATCTTTCTTGACCCGACCAAACAAGTATCTCCGACCCGGCTTGAGCCACATTCGCCTTCCCTGGAAGAAATCGGCATTGGTGTCAAGAATCCACATTGTGAGGGCATCGTCGACGAGAACTCCCAGAGGAGGATGAGGACAGAGAGCTGAACAAGGGGGAGTAAATGGTGTAGTTGAGTACCGGACTCGAGGCGCAGTAACGAGCAGTACAATTTTATGACGCGACACGACTTTGAGGCGTGGCACCTGAGGGCAGAAGGGGGAAGCTAGGTGCGTTAGCGGCATCGGTGCCTATTAGGCTCACTAGGCTCATCCCGCGAGCCTTGGGGGCGGGAAGTTCGGCGCCAGACCCTTCCCCTCAGCAAAGAGAGGGGCTAGTGAGGCCCGCGGGGCAGCTGAGCAGTGGCACATGGAAGTTGGCGGGATCAGCAGGGCATTCCAGGCCCCGAGCTTGGCCATTGCCATCGCAACAGGTGAGAACAGGGCCCAATCGCATGGGACCACAGGGTCTCCGACGTCAGCCAGCACTGGACAAAGACCATCTTGCTCCCACCTGCACCTATCCTTCCTAGCCTTCCCTCCTAATACTCGAGTCTCAGAGCAGTCAAGAACGCCGCCTCTTAGCACCATGTCTAACGCGTTGAACGAAGAGAACACGCCTGATCTCAAGGTTGACGAAAGTCCAATCTCCCCCATTGAGCGCCGGAACTCTCTCGAGAAACACCTGCAGCAGCGTCCGGATGTTCAAGACCTGAAGAATCGCAACATCCTCCTCAACAGCAATGCCGCCCCGTGAGTATACAGATTAGCTTGTCAAAGGCGTAATCGTAGTCAGTTCCTGACTATGTGTGCAGGGCCCTGCAAGCGAAACAGCACGAACTCGAGCGCCAGAAACAGTCGGACAATCTAAGGAAGCAGCTCGAGAAGCGACCGGAACGCGAGGAATTGGTCGAACGTAGGAGTGAATCAATCCTGCAGTGTAGCCATCATTCTCACACTCGAATAGGAAACATCCTCCCCGACTCAAGCGCCGCCCCAGCTCTGCAAGCCAGCCAGAAAGCATTGGACAGACACATGCGGGCCGACAGCCTTGAGCATAAGATCCAGCAGCGACCGAAGCCAGAACAGCTGGTAAAGGAGGGCATCCTGGAGGCGGATGAGGACCCGACCAAGGAATGAAAAAGCAAACTCTGGAAATCTGGGGGACACGTCTTTTTGCGTGATTGTGGTATACAAAGTGGTGGGTGTGATGGAGGACCGACAGTCAAATGCTTCAGTAGCTCTCGATATAGCCCAGCATTTGAGCAGACACGAAGGACCAATATCCTGCGCCATCTGAGCATGGACACTTTTGTTTCAATAACTCTCACCGCCTTCTCCGCCGTCCCGTCCTGCATCAACGGACGAAAAATCTGGTTTCCAGCCCTTGGGTCTCTCCTTGCCTCTGACTATCATTTGATACACGCTGTTCTCCACCTTCTCCACGGATGTTTTCGTGACCTTGAGCTTGTCGTCAAAATGTTTCGATAGGCCCCGAAGTTGACTCGCATCTAGGGCTTCAAGCCCGGTGCGCAGATCTTGCATGTCTGTCAAGATCGAGGACTTGTGGGACGACTCTGCTCCTCTTGATATTCCCGGCAAGTGCCCGTTTGTGGCCATATACGTAATGGCGAAACGCATCAGTTCACCAGTCATGTCGAAAATACCGAGCGCATAGTCGTCATAAGTGAGTGAGATGCCTGCCGGAAGCTGTGCCTGCGCCTCCTCAAACCTCATGACCTGTTGAGTCTCCAGGTAGCGTTGAAAAGTGACAGCCTCCATGAACTCTTGAATCCCACCACTGATGTTGCCGCGGTAGCGAAATGCATTGATGCCTTGCAGGTCTGGGACGACGCTCTGTAACAGGTTACGGATGGTGGTGTACATGGGCGTCGTTTGCTTCGAGATCGAAGCATGAATGGGTTTGCCGAGTTCACGAACTCTATGTGTTATAGCTGTAAGCTGCTGTTGCCAGCGCGAATGATAGCTGCCTCACCTTTGTAATGCGAATATGCTGCCGACACTTGGTTAGGGGCACACGGTGACAAAGCGACTGAAGCCTAAACTCACATCTTCTTACTTTGAGCAGTCACGTCTCTTGACGCTTTAATGATTCTTTCTCTGCGATCGTGGTGCTCATCGATCTCGGCCCGGAATGCGTCAAACATGGGGAGAAATGGCGACTTTGTCTCAAACAAAGAGGGCTCCTCATCACCCATTCCGTCGTGCTTTCTCTTTGTTCCTGCCATGATGAACCTTTGAGGTTGTGAAGATTGACAGAAATACACACCTTGTCGACAAGCAAGGGACAGCAGGTTGAAGTCTCTAGCGATTTCTCTCGCTGCTTTAAGAACTACAAGGCTTAACAGATTGGTGCCAGGCGAGATGTACGCTGGATTTCGGGTTGACAGCCTCCCAGAGTATGTTAGACCTGCTTCTTTCTGGTGCTGGTGTCCTAACATATGCAGTTCAGTTCAACGATGTCGGCCTCCCATGGCCTGGCAAAAAGCCTCTTTCCATTTCGAATCCTAAGCCACTAATGCGGCAGCCCTGCGGAGACTTGTTCAAAAGTTCCCCAATGCACATCCAACAAACCTCCATTTCAAAATTGCCTTGGAATGGACCCGCAGTCCTTCAAATTGTTTGTATACTCACCCTGGCAAAGAAAAGCTGACTTCGATCCTGCCTCGTCCTAGGGGAGCAACACGAGGCATGCTGCCGGCCCCATGGCTTCACTCCTCAAGTCTCTCCTCTCATCGCGCACCGCAGTCTTCACCTCAGCCTTCTTCCTTCGAGCCGTCCTCCTCGTCTATGGCATATATCAGGACTCGGTTTCTGCACTGAAATACACGGACATCGACTATTACGTCTTCACCGACGCCGCCCGAGCCGTGTCCCGGCATTCGTCCCCCTATGACCGTGCCACATACCGATACACTCCCCTTCTAGCATGGATTCTGCTACCAACCAGCTGGGGGGGGCTGTGGTTTCATTTCGGCAAAGCGCTGTTTGCTCTGTCTGATCTCATCGCTGGATGGCTCATCCTGAGGCTCTTGAAGAGGCAGGGTTTGGAAGAGCACCGGGCATTGAAATATGCCGCCGTGTGGCTGCTGAACCCGATGGTCGCAAACATCAGTACACGCGGAAGCAGTGAGGGTCTCCTCTGCGTTCTGGTCATGGCTCTACTCTGGGCGTTCGAGACCAAGAAAACGATTCTGTCAGGACTGCTGTTGGGAACTTGTGTCCATTTCAAGATATACCCTTTCATTTACGGAGCGAGCATGCTGTGGGCGCTGGAGACCTCTTCTTCTGCAACAAACATATTCCAAGTTGTGTTACAATTCCTCAACGGCAGACGCATTTTGCTCCTTTTGACCTCGATATCAACCTTTTCAGCGCTCAACCTGCTCATGTACAATATCTACGGCTTTCCCTTCCTCCAGCACACTTTTCTCCATCACTTGACCCGAATCGACCACCGGCACAATTTCTCCCCCTACAATACCCTTCTCTACCTCTCCTCCGCGCAGTTAGCGAACCCAACACTCGCAAACCTGCGCTCATCAATCTCCTTCGAGTCCTTCGCATTCATCCCCCAACTTCTATTGTCCACCATCCTCATTCCCATTTGTCTGGCAAAGCGCGATCTTCCAACCACCATGTTGGCCCAGACCCTGGCTTTCGTGACGTTCAACAAAGTCTGCACCTCGCAGTATTTTCTCTGGTACCTCATCTTTTTGCCACTTTACCTGCCCAATTCGTCACTACTCGCGAGGCCTTCTCTGGGGATAACGGCATTGGCGCTATGGGTTCTCGGGCAGGCGATATGGCTGCAGCAGGGCTACCGGCTTGAGTTCTTGGGAAAGAGCGCTTTTGTCCCCGGCCTGTTCGCGGCAAGTCTTGCCTTCTTCGGGATCAACTGTTGGATATTGGGGGTCGTGGTGGGCGATGTGGTGGACAAGCCGACAGGTTCGACGGTGACCACCGCCGCTCAACGAGAGCGGGAACCCTCATTCTCCCCGATAACAGCCTCAGGAGAAGGGTCCACCCCGAGTGTCTCTGAACTGAAGGCGAGGTCAAGCCGCGACAGGCCGCGTGGGAATGCCAGCATCGACACGAGTGGGATGGCCAATGTGCATTTGGGGCCGCGGGATCGAGTGTTGAAAAGCAACTGAGCTGGGACGGAGGCACACTACCCGCCCCTCAGAGATCATTTTGAGGGTGTCGAGGGATTTGTAATACTAGTAGTATTGAACAGTTATCAGAGAACGATTCGACATTTAGGTAGCATTGCTGACCGAGACTCTAGGTCTTGAGGATGAAAGACAACCAAATAAAGGGTCAACTTTTTGGTCTCCTGAAGAGCCATGATCCAGTATTATTAACACCTTTGCTTGGTTCTCGACAAACGCATGTATTCTCCTGGCCCCGACCAATATCTGGGGTGTGATCTTCCCATTCCCCATTCCCCATTCCGAGAGTTCCCTCTTGCATTTCCTCCCAGTCCCATTCCCATCCCTCTCCTCTCCCATGCATTGTAATATACTCCCCCATAACATGGAGATCCAGTGAGCAACACATCCATTCCCCTGATCGGACCAGCTGAGCTGTGTTCTTGCCGCCACGCCCGTCGTTGGAAAACACCTTCCTCGAAGCCATGCCACCGCAGATCCTCCCTCTCCCTCTCTTTCTCCCTCTCCCTGTCCTCCCACAAGCAGAGAGCCGGGCCACGAGAGTATTTAAAAAAGCAGAGGCAGAGTCATACAACAAACACAAAACGTACACAGAAGAATCGCAGTGTAGAGCAAGAGTTAACAGGAGGAAAAGACCGCAAAACCTGAATTGCACATCAGAAAAAGAAACCTGGCATAGAGAAGGACGAAGGATAGCTCCAGACCCCAACCGAGAAACTTTTTGCCCCGATGCCCCGGACCCATCGCCCTCCCAACATTAGAAAGTTCCTCGTCACATCAAATACATACACAGCTCGTGACTCGCTTGCATATATGCATACATGAATCCCTGCATGCTGTTGCTGTCCGTTTATCCGTCCGTGCGTCCACAATATGCAATATGAGACCTCGTAGTCAGTAATAGCTGGGGATCGAAAGACTTCACATCCGTCAACGCCCTCGTGCAATGCTCCCACAGTCGCTGAAAGTCTGTTGTGAGCTTCGAAGCGGCCCACCGATTTTGCAGGGAAGATACTGCTCACAAGAAAGGGGGGAAATCAACCGCCTCTCACATCAGCAATGATTTTGTAGCTGCTCGTCTTGATGCTCCGTGGCTTCCACTTTGGCCAAAGCATGCTAGGTACGATATCCAAGCCACCCGCCGGCGAAGGAACACCATAAGGAGAAGAGGTTGCGTCACCAATGCCAGTCGAGGGAGGATTGGAAGAGCCCGACATGGAAGACATGTGTTTGTAATAGCCTTCTGTACACTCGATTCCTTCGCTCAGCTCCACGTATCCGACGTCGGGCATCAGTTCGCTCAGCCTCTCCACGATCTCCTCGTTCCAGATGCCGTACACTCTGCCCCTTTCCATCAGCCAGTACGGGTTCAACAACGTACAAGGAGAATCCAGATCAATGTATCTGATTCTCACATACTCCAAATTCGGGAACAGAGGCAGCGCTTCGACCGTGTTGAAGACCAGGCGTTCAAGAGCCTTGATAAAGACGAGATTTGTGAGTCCAGCGCCGTCAGCGATGATCCCACCCGCCTCTTGAACGACTGTCTCTCCCGTTATTGGGTCGGTTCCGGTGACTCTTTGGCGACAGCATGACTTGACCACTATTTCCAAATGTTTGAGTTTGGGCTCCTCTGTTTTGTCTTTTCGAGAGGCGAGTGCAGAGCACGCACTGGTCCATATACACTCGCAGATCTTTCCCGTGAACGAGAGCGATTCGAGTTGCGGTAGAACACGTCCCAGCTGTTCGCAGAGATGCGGTGGCCGGCCACTCAAGCTTGAGCCTAAAGTTGTCGGTTCTTTGCTGTACATTCCGTCAAGAGAGATGTTGACATGACGGAGTCTCAAAGGGAGGTATGTGAGGATGTCGTTGATCGTGGCGTCCGCTTCAGCACGGGGTTTCGCGTAACCGCAATGCCACTCCTCGACGTTCGGCAGAGCATCCTCGATTGGCTTCCAGTGCTGATAGTTGCGCATTATGTTCCAGGCACCGCGCATGGCGAAGGTTCGAATATTCGGTAATTTGTCCAAACGCTGGTTGGGGTTGGGGAAGAGGGTTTTGGGAAAGTGTCGTATCATGTTAGACTTCTTACAGTGGCCTCCTTCTAGTGTGAAAACGCGCGAGTAGGGGAAGAAAGTGTCGATGTGGGAGAAAATCTCCGAGAGTGTTGCTGAATAGGCGCACAAGGTGAAGCTGAAGCTGAGCACATCCGTGGCTGCGATCAGATCTCTTTCACTTGCTCGCTGCACAAGCTGATACGAAGGGCCATTATTGCGCTCTGCCGCCGGCCTGGGGAGGAGAGGGTTGATAGACAGGTCGTGGAAAGGGGCCTTGTCCCCCCAAACAGGTACCCAGAATTCGATGTGCCGAACAAGCTTCCTCAGATGAGGGTGAGAGCTGAAGAAGACCTCCGAGTCTTTCAGTCCGGCCCTAGTGCCCTTGATCTTGATATGACGATAGATGCGCTCCTGAACCAAATCGCGCCAGGTCGGTGAAACCAGTGCAAGGTCCGAGACAGCCTTCCGCCGCGGATGTCGCATCAGGGACGAGACACTCTTGCCCCGCAACGACGTTGAGCCAGCATAGACTGAGTGCATGTCCCCGAAGATAAAGTCGAGGACTTTGCCTTGAACTTCGAGTGGCAGGTCATCCAGCGACAACTGAGGTTTGAGACTGCATTCTTGAGACCCGGACAGGCCCATCTCCGTTTCTTGACACGAGTCTCTGGCGTCCAGACACGGCGAGTCCACCGCGCGAATGGTTACCACACCTATCGTCTGTCCATCATGCTGTGAGGGCTCCACCCCAAGGTCGACCACCGAAGCTACTGAAGGAGCACGCTTCCGAGGCGTCACCAAAGGAAAAGCCACATCTGATCTGGAAATTTTTGTGGGCGGGACGGAATGCCGTTCATGTAGTTCCTGCGGCCGGTTCGAGTCGTTGTCAATGACCACCTCTTGCAACAGCATCTTGGCGGGAGACTGTGCCGGCCCCAATTGCCAGGGTTTCTATAAGGATACACTCTCCGACGGTCTTTCAACAAGTCGACGCGGAAGGGGGTGGTTGCGGTACACACGACTTTGTCGCGGGCGAGACTCAGACTTCGAGAGTGGGCTGAAGGGCTTCGGGGGGAGAAGTTTCTGCGGTTCCGTGGTCGAACGGGGTCGGTGCCGGGGAGGAATGCTGGCAGGGGCGAGACTGTCTCCTCTGGCTACCTCCGAGTAATTTGCATGTCCTGGAATGAGAGGGAGGACACCCAGGCAAAGGGGGGTCAAGTCAATAATCTTGTCAGTTTGATTATCGGGCGGCTGAATTTAATGGCGCAGGACACAGCCACAAGTGACTCGGAGAAGTTGAAATGCACTGCCACCACTACCCGCGTCTCAGCCTTGCCAAGGGCCCGGGGATTTGATCACTGCGGGGGAGTCCGCTAGGAGGAGGATGGAACGAGAATGAGGGTTGATATCGAGATGAATCTGTTTCAGTCAAAAGAACGAGCTAGGGTGGACAACATATGTATTGCCATGTGAAAACACAACTGCCACGTCAAACGTCAAGATGGGCAGCATTGTCGTAAGTTCACGCTATGCCGCATTGACGCAGGCAAGAATCACGAGAGTCTAAGACCACGAGCGGTGACTTGGTGATTATCTTCAACCAATACAGCTACAGGTTTCACTGCTGCCGGAAAGAATGCCGCCTTTACAGACACTTGCATGCTCGATTCGAGAATCCATTGGGTCGAGTAGCCACAACATTCCCCAGAACACAACGTCCTCGATGTTTCACGGCCTCGCATGACTGGGTGGCCGTTCGTCATGACAGTCGGATCATCACTGCTGGCCTTCGCAGCGCTTTCCACGTGGACAATTTGTGAAACTCATATCAGCAAGGAAGGGTCCGAAGTCGGGACTGGGGCTCAACATTGTTTTGGAGGCAACCGGCATGAGACGAAGGTTGGGCCTCCGGGCAATACATGTTTGAGCAAATCGTTGTGAATCATTGTTGCACTATCAAATGCCGAGGAGGTTGGGCACCCACGGACGTCCTGCATGATGGTCAAGCTCGAGGAGAGACTGAGGGCACTGTCGTATTCTTTATCAGCATTGCTAAAGAACACTTTGTCTGTGTTCCTCCTTTTTCAGCCACATCGTGTCGTCACTTATATGCAATTCGTAGCTGGGGAGGGCAAGACGTAGGGAGTGGCATGTGTCGTCAAGGGTTTGCAGCAGTTGGGTTCGCCATCATAATGACAACGCCCAGGTTGGTTTCGTCTCAGTCTGTCATTCTGTGACCCTGTGGCTCGAAGTGAGATGGTCTGAACCGAGCTAGGCCGTATTTGAGAGAACCGCTCTTCTTGTGACCTTGATCCGCTAACTTAAATACACTCGTAATAGACGCCACGCAAATTGACGTCTGATGCTGAAGCACGGCAAAAGATTGCAACACGGAAACGGATGAAAAAGGGGGACGGTACCTTAAAGCGCCAACTGGCAAATGTGCCAAGACGCACTCAAACATCCCGGCCCAGCTTGAAGCGGCGCAGCAGCCCATCAACATTCACTTCGACACAACGACTTGTCTTGATTGCTCTTGGATTGAGGGCTTGCAGCGAGACTTGATGTGGTGCCTTGAACCAACAACGCTTTTCAAACTAACATCAAGCGTCAAAGGTGAAATTCGAGTCATGCAGTCGTGTCGAGTGCTCTCTAAAGCCCTCGAATGCCCGGTGCTTACCCTAGACTTCGGGGAGAACCATGTCCATCCTCTGTTGGGCAGCAGAATGTCCTTTCGACGCCTTCATGCAAGACTCGAACGCAGGGCCTTATGTTGAGCCGGTTAGGCTATTCCAGCCTTGCGGATACGAGGCACGCAACCCCTGAGTCACCCCTGCCCTGCTTCCGCCATGGGAGTATTTTTGACCGGTCCTACGTGCAATGCAAATACGACCCTCTGGTCATCTTTGGAGAGAAGTCATTGCGCCGTTGACCTAATTTCATGGCCCATGTATATGACCATCCGTTCGAGCTTGCGACCACTTTTGGCACGAGGCTGAATGCTATTAGTGACTCCGCACTTCTAGACATGGCGCGAGACGCCTCGCTACAATGTCAATTGGCATCTTTAGAAATGGCAGCCAACCCCCTCCTCAGCCTGACACCGTTTTTTCCTCCCTTCCAGCCATCTTCACTGACCGTCGACAGCTGAAACTCGTTGCAATTGCCGCCTCGACAATGCCCTTGCTGCATGATTGCCAACGGATGGGATCCGTGAGGGGAGGAGAAAACGACTGACTTTCGTAAGCAGTGGAAGTAGTCAGGGCTTTTCCAGGTCTATCACTGGTGCCTCACTTTGAAAAAGAACAGCTCTAGCGTGGGTGCTTTACGACCAGTCTATTCTCTAACGTCTCCGACTGGTGTAACACGTCCCATGGATATATCTATAAGTTGATTGGCATTCTCAAAGATCTGCATCTCCCACTCCTTATGGCTTCATACCAAGAGCTCAAAGAGACACCTAAGCAGAACTAAGCAGAATGTCGTTACTAGCGGACCCAAATGGGACATTTCGGCTTATCTTGTTCGAATTTTGGAAAGCTACGCACAAAAAGGACGCGCAAGAGGCTGAGTTATTGTCCTTTTGGTAACATCTCTTATCCAAGTATGAGTTCAAGGAGGACTTTCGGATTTGTGACGCCGAGATCAGACCAACAACAGACAGTCGCCGACGTATCGATCGTGGTATTCGCTTCGTGGAGACAAATGGAAATGGACTTGTGTTGTTCTCTGTTGGCTCGAGGCTAATGGGATAGATGCTGTAGAAGCTATTAGGGAATGCGAGGAGTAAGCTCTTAATGCATACCAACTGACGCTCGATAATCATAAGTGGTAGATCTACGTCTACGCGCCGACGACGGCTCGAACTAAAGCAAAAGCGTGAATATATAAGGGAGGCGATTAGAACTTGATACCTTTACACGACGAGCATTATATCGAGGTACACTCCTCAGAAGGCACCAAATTGAGAAAGTCTTTCGAAAGGATAAAACAGCTCACCCTGCTCCAGTCCTCGGAATGGATAGATCCGTAGCCCATGCCCAACAAGCGACAGGAGGCGGTGTGGCTGATCCGTCTTCATCAGACTCGACATTCCCGCAACATGGCGTATAGATGGTGAATAGAGGCCGACACCAGTCCCAGCCGCGTCGGAGCGAGTAAAACTTTGGGATCTGAGACACTGGTATCTGTTTGTGGAAGAGAGACAGCTGAGAAAGCACAATTACACCTATAGCTGCGGTGCAGTTCAAGGTGGAAAAAGACCTACCTGGAGTCCGTGATGGAAGCCACGGCTGCGATCAGCAAGCTTAATCAAAAATAATGGCATCCAATCACATCTCTAGAGCTTTTCTTTCTCTGCATAGCTGCATTTCACTCCCATTAGGCCCGCACCACTACGCGACCTCACCTTCCGTAGGAAATCTCTCCCAGCCGTTAAGCAATTTATCCTCTTTATGCACCGGCTCATAACGGATATAGACATATAGCTCCTTGTCAGAAACAATATTGCGAAAGACGCAGCTCTGAACAGATACCGACCGTGATAAGTGCTTGTCGAATCGTACCTAACCTAAGCACTCCACGGTATCACCAGTGTACAAAAGGACGCCTAGACATGAAGCGTCGTCTGCGCTGGTCCTGCACACCTCCATTGTCGTGAATGATCCCACGGATGTCATGCTAAAACACCAGTCTCGATCTAGGCTGCCGATAGAAGGGCATGATAAAGAGATGCTCTGGCCCATAAAAGGTATAGACTCCTTCTTATATTTGCCCGATATTACTATATCTACTTCGGAGACACCAGGGACGTCCTCACTGACAGACCGGTGGAAGAAGTCCTCGATCCGCGCTAGAGGTTCGGCGGAGATAACTTCAAACGCGAAGATATGCTCTTTCTGCGGTCGAGGGCCAAAAGTATAGCTCCTTCCTTTATCCGTCGCGACCTTGAGAGCTTCAGTCTCCGTGCCTATTAGTGTGGCTGAGGAAGAAGAAATGGAGAGGGGAAGAGGATAATAGGGGGCTCACTTGAAATACCGGCAAGTCCAGCGGAAACTTAAACGTCGTCAGGCGGCGGAGACAAACAGTCTGAAAGTTCTCCTCTTTCCCCACAGGGAAATAGAGAAAGAGTAATTTGCTGCTAGGGAACATTTCTTCCAAATAGCCTGCGAATAATGCGAAAGCGGTTCCGGGCGTCTCCTAATGGCAGAAAAAGCTACTTGTCCGGCCATTGCGAACAGCAGTAGAAATCCCTCGAATATTGATAAGGTTATGATATTCGAGGCGGGCAAGAGGACTAGGCTGTATCGTGCGCATATTGCTTAAGAATCGCACGGTACCCTCAGGGAGGGATGGCACATTCCGTTCGACCAGCCCGGTATTATTAACCAGTAAAGGGGTAAGTAACCGTACGAACATACCCTAAAGAGAACCAGATAAGGGTTAGAGTGGGTATGCAGCGAGAGTATAGATCTTACATCTTTGAAGAGCTGGAGATGAGATAAACTAGCACTAACTTTCCTCAGTAGCATAGTGTAATAGAAGCAGTTTCTTGATTCATCACATTTATAATGATCTTCTCCATAGTATAAGCTCCGAATTCCAAAGTGGTCTCGGCAAATATATATTTCATCTCCCAAGAGAAGTGCCTGAGTCTAGTTAGGATTATCGTCGGTCGTACTAAGGCTGCTTAAGTACTTAATGCCTCGTACTTCGTCGAAAGTCAGAAAGAGTATCATACCCGGTTTTAAATCGGTGACTGTGGACCAAGAAGGTATGCCACGTTTTGCGTATCGTTCCAACAGAGATAGTCTTTGAATGATGGAGATGAGCTCCGGGAAAGGATCTAGATATTCGCAGATGATGTCGAGGACATGGAGAGGTAGGGTTTTCAGGGCTTTGAGGTCTCATCGCGCACACATAAACGTGAAGATGGACTGCTTAAAGAGATTTCGGGCGATGAGCTCGACAGTATTCCTAAGTGGTTGGATTATGGGCCAAGAGGCCAGTACCAATTCCAAGATGGTCTCCAGCTTGCACTCAGGGCTATCCTTCCAAGCCGGTGGAAGTGCCCCAAGCACTGCACTGATGCAGCTCTGATGAAATTTGATGGAAGCATACCTCGGCTGCCGAAAACATAGCAAGTAGGTTGTTGGTTTAATCGGTCGACTCTCAACTTCAATAGGTTAAGGAGTAGACATTTGTAAGGAGCGGATACTGACTTACGGGGATAGCCGTCCAACTCAGTATACCAGCAGAACTGGCATCGAGATCGCTTCTCGGAACAGATACAAGCGGTAGTTGACCACATGCCACATTCTGGCGCAGGGTTGTTCTTTTCCAGAAGCAAGATGGCGAGGATAAATTGCCCAGATCAGTTTTCGAGGCGTACCGAGTACACTTGCCAGTCTGGCGATTTCTCCAGTGACGCACTCGCCATATCTGTGGCATTCCAACTTATGCACTAAGGCAGGTCTCCCGACATACTATCACGTTACTACATAAGCCTTTAGTGCCATTGGGAAGAACATGGATGCTATGTATGCAGGGGAACAGACGGATATGGCAAGTCGGTGGATACATAATATCATTCGGCTTAATGGCAGCTGAGATACAGAAATACATAGAGCGAAGCATTCCTGGAGGTTCTCCTTTTGAACGTTCAAGAGCTATTAATAGCTGGGAAATGACTCTCACCTGGCGCACGACACGCAAAGACCGGGTTGAGCTGATCACGATAAATGCTTCATGCACCCAATACCACATTTCGCGCAGCAGCCCCAGTATCAAAGTCAGAACAGAGACATTTCAAATCATATGTATGCTCGACGGTGAGATGCTTTTCATGTTTTGGGGCCACCGCATGTCCGTTCGGGTAGTTCGGACCCGAGATCACCGAGTCTCGAAAGGAGTGCAATGCATATCTGATGGATTCTGGAGTCGAAGGTGTATGTATGCCCTCGGGGCCGTAGCAAGGCACGTGGGAAAGAAGGGCGGGAAGCAGAGATTCAAAGCCAAGCAAGGGTCAAATGTGGATGAATGTCTTCCGTGACTGATAATATACCTAGCTCTTCTCGACGATGCTGCCCTGGCCAGTTATGCTGTTGCAGATAACTTGAAAAAGTATTCTGCACACGAGGTGTCAAATGATTAACCTCGTTTCTGACCGCACCGTATCATGTCCCTCAAAGCTGCCAATGTTGAGCATTATTCTCACCGAGCTGCACAGGCACTGCGTGACTAGATGAACAATCGAAGCCCCAACCTCAACCGTCGCTCTTCCGACCCGTCTCGACAAGGACTTTGATCCACAACTCAGAAGGCCACGGTCTCAATTGGGAGTCGTCATGACCGCTGGACCTGGAGTCAGGCTGCATCGTGGGAGGGTAATGGTGGTCGCGTTGCTGGCGGTCACAGTGATGGTAAATGTCTCCTCCTGCACCCAGAGTATCAGCAAACAGCTTGGAGGATGACATGGAAGTGGCTCAGAAGAAGAGACGTCAAGAGCAAAGTCCTCCAGTACACAGACTTACCACGAAGACGTGGCCGTACGGGAGAACCACGACGGTGTCGCAGCCATGACAATCGTAGATGTGGGATGTGTAGGTGGTCAGGGAATAGTAAGTGCTTGTCGGGCCTGCTTGGATGACTGGGGCGGTGTACGCGGTGGTGGTGCATTCCACCGTTTCGGTCAAGGTGCTCATGGACATGCTGCTACAGACAGTTAGCTTGAATTTCATCCAGAAAGACACTCTGACTTGCATACCTGAGGATTTCGGTTGAATGTGTTTGAGCTGGGATGATGAACATCGTCGCCCAAGTGAGCACCGCAGACAGTACAAGGAACATTTTTGTCGTGTATCTTCCAATGAATAAGTTGAAGTTGATTTCAGCGAAGATTTCCTCAGGCACAGGAAAGAGTAGAATTGGGAGGAGAACGTGTTGGAAAGAAGGAGAGTGTAAGATGGACAAGATCAGGCAGTGGTAACGAAGGGAAATCGTGCTGTTCATGGAACGTCCAGCTATGGTTATCGCACAGTTGCGTCTTCTGCCAACAAATTCAGCTACAATGTTACGAGGACGTAATCAAGTCATGATGCGTGATGTCGCAGGATCACAGAACGTACCAGCGGAAAATTTGTGAGCCAAAACCCGACCAATCTGAGAAACCTGCCTTCCATGAGTTTTGTATTAAACTGTCATTGTATCATGCAGCCCTCGACCCAGCTTTGTAGTCATCCAGTAATGAGGGGTGCTACTGTACAATTGCGTTCATCGAGCGTCGTGAGCTCGGAAATGCTGCGCCCAGTGATATAAGCCAGCCCAGAGAAAGTAAAATCATTGCATGTCTTTCGTCAATGTGATCCATCAGCAAATGCCCCGTGATTCTTGACAATCCTCGTTCTCCCCCATTACTCTCCGTCTCCACCCCACGTAGTCAACTCGTCTCCCTCCGTATTGAGCTGTTCATGCTCGCGTTCCGATTTCAGACAACAGGTTGATTTTAGCTGAGACATCGTCGACATTGCGTCTAGTCCTCGTCACCGACCTGACCAAGTCAGCAGGCGCATTTAAGCTTCACTGTCGTCACCAACTCGGAGAGTGCCTTGGCTGCCAAAGCCTTGAGACCAGAATCCTTCGAGGGACGGGGAGCTACAAGTTGTCAGCAATTTTCGGCAATCAACCAAATAGTAGTTCGACATACGTGCTTGACATGCTGTCGTGGGTAAACAGAAGCCAGAAACCAAAGACCTGCTCATCGTTAGCGAATGTCTTGGGGGAGGAGCAAAGAGAACTCACCGGCTTCGCAAGAATGTCGAGGACTGCGTAAGCAATGATCTCGGAGTCGACATCAATGACGTGGCCTCCTTCCGCAAGACCCCAGATGCTGTCATTTGTCAGTAACTGGTTGCAAGGTGGCGGTCGGCGGGCTCACATTGGATAGAGTAGCCACACAATGAGGGTGTAACCGGCAATGGAAGCATAGAACGCCTTGGTCTTGCTGTCCTTGCTGGCAACAGCCTCACGACCATTAGCAGCAAGTTGATAAACAATCACGAGGAAGGCAATGCAGGCCCAAGCGAACCAGCCCCATTTTTGGCTGTCATGGGCCTGGCCAAAGGCTGCGAAAAGTCCCGCAAGCACCATAACGACATCAGCAAAGATGGCAACCAGAATATTGGCGCCGCTGAGGCCCGCAAGAAGGGCGAGGTCGAGAAGCAGGAGAGGGGTTGTGATGCTCCAGTCAACATATCTCGCCCAATAGACATCACGACGGTATTCCTGATGGGTGTTTGGGACTTTCTTGTGGTGTTCTGTCACAGTGTACGAGACCCATGAGGTGCCATCACCGGTGGCCATAGCAAAGTAGGACAGGAAGGCAATAGTCGTAATGAACGAGGTCAGGATGTGGAAGAGGCGTTTTTGCTGTGCACGCTTGTCAGTCCAAACCTCGAGTTACAGACGGACATGCAGGGCTTACCACCGGGACCCGGAAAGCCATGCCATAGAAGGCAAGGGAAGACAGGGCCATCAGCACGACCACCACCCTGGAAGAATGTGAACAATCCCAATCTCTTCATAAGCAAGATGGAGCATACCACAGAGTCCTCTTGCCGACATCACCAGCCTCAACGAAGATAGGAGGAGTTGGGATGACGGTGGGGATGGGAGCGACCGAGGTGGATGCCGTAGGAGCGGTCTTCAACATATCTGGATGGACAATCATGTTGCTGGCAGCGGATGTAGCGTTACAGAGAAGGATGCTTGAGTATGAAACAACAAGGCTGGCAATGAACGAGATTGGGGAAAACTGGGAGAATGTGTAGAGACACGATGGAGAGATGAGAATTCAAATACGAATTTTCAAGGCAGCAGTCAAAGACGTCAAAGAGCAGTCCGCGGGGGAGGGAGCTTCGCTCGTTGGTTGCAGCAAGACAAGAGTGATGGAATCGCCTGAAGGAGACAGCGATGACGAAAGGAAGTACTGTTCCCAGCTGCACTCGGTGCCACCCATTGGACCCTTGGGCTGGCAAGTCATACCACCACGGCTTGACTGTGAGAAGGACAAGTTGGCCGTGTGATCAGATGGGCCGAGACCCTCTTGATTGACGTGTGGAGAGAGAGAGGCGGTTGAGTGGTCCTCTTGTCTCACTGGGATGTTTCTCTTACTGTCACTGCAGACAACAATTGTGTGCAGGTTGATGCGGGGGTGGTAGGCGTACCAGTAGGACGAAGGCACCATGGCCAGTAGGCCCTAGGAGTACCGAGGAGGTACGAGTTAAAAGGAGCCAATCACTCCAGGCGTCACCCACACTCAGCCACTTGCACTAGGCGGCACTTGACCTTGTTTAGCTGGTCTAGACATAGCTGTTTACTGGTAGCTGCGGCTTCACCCGCCGCCATTGGGCAAGCTGCTCCAGCTCCTCATCCAACGATGAGGAGAAGATGCAGCACGAGAAGGCGTCTACATGATGCCATTTGCTCTGTTGTAGCTCTTGAACCAACGGCTTAGCTGGATGTTGCCCACCTTGAGACTGACAGCTGCCGGAAACTGGCGGCTCAACAAGACAACAGTCGGTGGGCGAGTCAGCAGCAGCAGGAGCAGCAGGCTGGGTGGCAGGAGCCACTAGTTTCCATGCGTCACTTGATGACGTCGAGCATCTTGGGTTCGAGTACTGCGATGACGGAATTCTGTACGAGGTAAAATTGCTGCGACTGCTTCATTGTGATGGAGGCAGGCATCCAGAAAGTGAACCACCTCACCATATCTCTTCAGACACCTCTATCTTCCTTTTTCCTTCTTCTGCCGCACTCTACAATGTCAGAACCACACCGTGTTTGACAATGCATCAAAAAAGCCTGTTCTTCTTAGTCATTCAAAGAAGCCATGGCTCTACCCCGCAATGAAGGATCATGCACCCACCAATGAATCTAGCAGCTATGGAGCTGCACGTCAAGCTCTAGTCAGTTCTACAAGATCCCATGACACCCGCTGGCAAATGAATCCTCCAGAATCGATGCTGCGATCGGACAACCAACACGAGATGCAAGACGATCTCGTGCTGCCCCCACGGCACTAGGAAATGCTTTTGAGCTGTTGCGTGCATTCAAGGTCCTCTGCGCAGTTCTCCGTGGTGCACTGTTGGAGACGGGTAGGTGGCTCGGTGGATAGTTATTATTGGTACAGGGGCTACATAGTGAGTCGATATTTACAGCTAACCTCAAGATCCCTTCCGAACTTTTATTGTTGGAATTTCGCAATCGCATCTGTGCACCGCCCACAAAGCAAAGGTGCCTCCTTTTCTTCTGGTTGGTTCTGTTCCTGACGTTCGACCACATACTTCCAACATCGGTCGCACTTGAGGCCATGGGGACTCCTGACAATCACCCTCCCTATCTTCTCACTATCAGGCGAGACAATGTTACGGGAGAATGACCAAGCCGGCTGATATTCTGCACTCAGTACTGGAGATGTCGTCTCGCCAGCTTCTGTTGAGACAATCTCCACCGAGGACACGACCAGGAGTTCCTTCCAGGTGTCTTTTGGAATGCTCGAAAGGTCAATATTCTTCTGTAGAAATATCGAGACCTCGGACGCTAGGGACTGCCCCATGAGTTTCTGTGTACGCGCTGCCTCTTGAGCCGCTTTGACGCTTGAGTTGATAGAAGCGATATAGGGCAAGACAGTCTCCAGTGACGGATCGTGCCACTCCTCTGGTAGACGTGACCACCTTCGTCTCAGCGGGTGCTCGAGGATCTCTTTGTACCTTTCTGGGCTATGCTCCCAGCTTTCTTCCACCAGCAACGGCGTGATGGGCCCAAGCATGTTTTGGAATTGGCAAAAAATGTGGTGGAGTGCGGTCTGGGCACTCAGGCGCCTGGCGGCCAGAGGCATATCGCAGTAGAGAACATCCTTGATCGCCTCAAAATAGAAGCTCGACAGATCAGTCGTCACCCATCGATATACGGAGCCAGAGGCTTTGTGGAACTCAAAGTCAGCGTAAGCTTTGCGTATCGAGGTGAAGGCCAGATGAAGTTGATGCATTGCAATTTGATCCAGCCGAGACATTCGCTCATACGGGACAGCCATTTGAGGATCGAAATCCGCCAGCATGCCCAACAACATCTTGAAGGTCAGGCGGTACTTGTCAAGCATAGTGTGGACAGACGACACTACCGTTTCGCTAATCACGACGTCCTTTGTCCACTCACTCGACGCCGCCCACAGTCGCAACACGTCAGGTCCGAGTTGGTGGACTTCGCGCTTCTGCTTTGTTTGTTTCGAGGAAGACGCGAACCCCGATATAATTTGGGTTGGGGCAATGACATTTCCCAGAGATTTGCTCATCTTCTTGCCTTGGGCATCCAGAGTGAAGCCATGGGTTGCTAGAATGCGAAATGGTGCGCGAACTTGATGTGTCGAAGGGGTTTCAGGATTGGAGGCGGACTGGAGAGACTTCTGATATGCAATATTCGTAAGCAAGCTCGACTGAAACCATCCTCTGTGCTGGTCGGTGCCTTCAAGATAGAGATCTGCGACTGGCGTTGGCTGAGATCGAGACCCAGCAGACAGAAGATCATCCTTGAGCATCAGGGTCCAGCTTGTTCCGCTGTCAAACCAGACATCCATCGTGTCAGTACCTCGAGTGTAGTCTGAAGCGGTCCCTGGCAGTCCTCCAACAATCCAGCGGCTGTCATCAGGAGCATCAGACCACCAAGCATCAATCCCGCGCTCGTTGATGGTTTTGATGATGTGATCAATACTCTGGGGCGTGAGGACTGCTTCCCCCGTGTCCTTGTAGTAGATGGCCGGAATCGGAACCCCCCAAGCCCTCTGCCTGGAGATGCACCACTCGCTGCGGTTCTCGACAAAACTCCGCAGCCGCGCTTTGCCAGATTCTGGAAGAAACGTGACGGCGTCGAGAGAGTTCAGCGCGTCCGCTCTAATCTTGGAGACGTCCGCGAACCACTGGGCTGTTGCACGGATAATGACTGGCTCTTTGGTCCGCCAATCGATGGGATACTTGTGAACGTAACGATGCTGGTGGACAAGAAGGTTGTTGGCTCGCAGAAGTTGGAGGACACTGTCATTGCCTTTTTGAAACACGTCTTGTCCGGCGAGGAGGCCGGGATCCGCAGGTGATGCGGTGCCATCAAAGCGGCCAGAGTTGTCGACCGGGGCTTTGACAGAGACAGTCGAGACTTTTATCAAGGGTTGTAAAGCTTCATAGTCTTCCATACCATGACCTGGAGCGCAGTGCACGAGTCCCGTACCACTGTCAGCGGACACAAAGTCAGCATGGACGATGGGACGGTTTGCTGCTTCACTCCCGAAGTGCTGGAGCCCAGAGTAAGTGCTCTGTAGCAGTACGTCAAGAGGAACATCTTCCATGACGACTTCCACGTTCTCTCCAATGCACTCTTGCAGGTAAGGCAACCTCGAGCGGGCCACAAGCAGCGTTCCGTGAACGTCTGACTTGACGAGACAATATGACAAAGATGTGTTGACAGCGATTGCTTGGTTTGCGGGAAGTGTCCAGGGCGTAGTTGTCCAGATCAAGGCGTGAACAGGACCATCCGAGAATGGCTCAAACCGGTCTAATGGGAATTTGACCAAGGCCGCAGTAGAGACATGGTCATCTTTATACTCCAGCTCGGCCTCTGCGAGAGCAGTTCCCGAGGAGGGAGACCAGTAAACGGGCTTATTCTTGCGATATATCAACCCATACTGAGCCATTGCCTGAAATACAGTCAACTGCCGCAGCTCGAAATCTTTCTGCATGGTCTTCCAGTGGTTATCCCAGTCTCCCATGACAGCCCAGGATCGGAAACCAGCCATCTGCTTTTCCACAGTCTTGTATGCGAACTTCCTCGCAGCGCTCCGTATCGCAACGGGATCAACGCCTTGTCCTCGCTCCCAGCCATGCTTCTCCAGAGCTTTAAGCTCGATCGGCAGCCCATGGCAGTCCCAGCCAGGTACATAGTCGACCCTTTGGCCTTCAGCTAGCCTGCAACGACAGACAATATCTTTGACGATCTTATTGAGAGCGTGTCCGACATGGAGATCACCATTTGCATACGGCGGGCCATCGTGGAGTACGAAGCTGTCTGACGCAGGCCTTTCCCGGCGCTGCCAGGCGTAGAGGTCATCGGTACACCTTGGAAGATATCTGGCAAGGTCGGTGGGCTTTGGACGCGGTGGAAAAGTCGACGAGGGAAGCCGGAGAGTGCTCTTCAGAAATTTGGCTGCATCTTTCAGAGGCGCTGGCATAGCACTTGTGGCACCATACCAACCAGCCACTACCGGGACAAAATGCTGCCAGCCACCTGTGAGTCGGCAGGACAACTCAGGGCGAAGGTCTGGTGGGATGGAGGAGACAAGTTACTCGTTTGGCATACAGCTCGATAAAACGAATATCTGGGCGAAAACGCGGGTTTGGAGGTGCAGATTCCGCAGCCAATTGACTGTATGGTGGAGCATATTGTCGCGAAGCGCCATTCTTGTAAACGCCATTGATAGGCATAGAGGATACAATATGGGAGTTTGGGCGGATGCCCGTAGCGGTCACGTGGTGGAATCCTTTTGGAGAAACATCGCGTTCTCTTCCATTGCTTCCACCCGACTCTCGACACAGATACGACGATGAATGGCGCGAACTCGAAAACTTCTGTCTACGCTGAAAGCTACCCGTTCTATGTGCTTTGACGTGAAGCCTCAGTATCCGGTAGCTCACGTTGTTTCCAACTGTACCTGCGCCCAGTATGACTTTGAAGAGACGAAAAGCCCTTCTATCTCGGAATTGGTGGCCAGGAGCCGTATCCCACTGATCGAGATATCGAATGGTTCGGTAAAGACTTCCAGCTTCGCCGACGAAGCCGACTGGATCCCACCCTTCGTGGCTATCAGTCACATCCGTTCGCAGGGCCTAGGCAGCACCCCGTTCAACAGTCTATACATGTGCCAGCTCCAGCGCCTCCAGGAATCCGTCAACAATCTCTTTACCCCAGGTCATCATCTGATACCTTTCTGGATCGACACGGCGTGCATCCCTCGCGCCCATCCGGGCAAAGCCTACGCCCTGGAACTGCTGAGCACCGTATACCGGCAGGCTAGCATCGTGTTGGCGCTGGACCGATCGATCGAGCAGACCCCGACGACCACAGCAGCGAAGGCACTCGACGCGATCAAGACCTCCGCATGGGTGCGTCGTCTATGGACCATCCGCGAAGGCGCCCTGGGACGATGCGTCAAGTTCCAATTCCTGGACGCCGCACTTAGCTTCGACGACATCCTCCACGGGTACGCCACCGCGCCGCACAGCCCCGTCCCTCGCTGGACCGCGACAGTGCAGGAGCCGCGGCGCCCGTTCGTGGATGAGCGCCGCTCCCGCACGGAAACCGACCTGCTCGACGCCCTTTGCCTGTTTGAGCGCGATCAGCGCGTCTACTTGGGCCGGGCGCCCGCGACGAGCCGCGACCCGGCAAGGGAACGGCATAAGTGGCGACTGCGCACGCTGCTCAGAGAGGCGTATCTCTCGACCGCCCGCTACGGCTTTCTCGCGACCCCAGAGGAGGCTACAGAGCGCGCCGAGTTAGGCCGCGCCATTGAGACTGTCTACGCCGGGCACACGTACCAGGATCTCGTCGCCGAGCAGGCTACCACGTTGGACGGCACGATCGGTCGAATCGACACGATTATGCGGCTATGGGCAATTGCTACTCTCCCGAACGGAGTCGGGCGCTCGGATTGCCACATTGAATAGCAAACTAAAGCAAAGTTGCCGTTGCATTAAAATCGGTCGTCATATTACGGGAAAATAATAATCATGCATTTAATCGGTTTCCTTCGATCCTTCGTCGCTCTCGGCCTCCAGAACTTGCTCGACTATCCGCGGTTTCAGACCTGAATAATGATTTAGACTTCCTCTATGCGTCCCCTCGTTGTTGTGGATGAAGAAAGTTACCGACTTAAAGGAGGTCGCTTCAAACTCGTCAACATCGGGAGGAGGTGATGCGAGAAATGGCGGTTCCCCTTCTATAATCACGCCCATTTGTAGTGAGACAGCGTGCGCAGATAGCCCCCAATACAGTGCAATTGCGGCGACTTGGTCCGCGGACCAGTTGTTCGTGTTGAGCTTCTCTCCATCCAGAAGCATCGTGCCAAAATGCTTCTGAATGTAATTATTGTTGGCGACTTCCTCCAAAGCCTTCAATGTGGGGGGCTCTGGCACCTCCTCTATTCCTTGCTCATACATGCTCCGAAGAGATTCAATGATCGCGTATAAGCCACATTGGAGACCCTCATCTTTCGTCGGCATTATCAGAGCGCCATGCGGAAACAGCATCTCGAAGGCCTTCCCGACGGATGTTGACGCCGGCTTCTTGAGCTTGAAGTAGACGGATCCGTTGGCTGAATCACGTATGATTTTGCTTTCCAGGATCGCACGTTGCTTACTGGTGAGGTGATCAGTTTGAGACCCCTGAGAGGCGCTATGGAAAGTGCGCTCTGTCTTTCCGATCCTTGTTGATCCGCTTCGCGCCAAATCCCCAGCATCTGGCGGCTGGATGATTCTGCGAGCTACTACTGATTTGACGCGACGTCGGGAACTAGACTGGCTAGAGATTTGGACACTACTCCCGACCGTTGTCGTTTCTCCTATTTTAGCTGGTTGGGTCAGAGGGCTCGGGGTGCGTTTACCATTCCGCTTGAAGCTGTTAGGTTGAGGACGCCCAATTCCACCAAAACCACCGCCGTTTCCACCGCTGCTACTGCCCGACGACCCTCTGGACTTATCACTGTTGTGGTCGCTGCTACGTTGTTGTTTGCGTTCACGTCGCTCATCCCCAGGTGCAATGCTTCGTGATGTGCCAATCCCCTTGCCGTCACTTTTTTCTTGAGCGGCTTTTTTCTGCCGCTTCTTGGTCTTCCGTTCCCAAACAACCTTTTGGTCGTTCAGAAATCCCGCGGGGAGGAAAATTGGTTGAAGAGCATTTCCTATCCCCTGGGGCGCGGGATCACGCTTGAATTCGACTGTGTAAAGGGCCTTGAAAACCCTTTTCTTTTCAACAACCTCCAACTGCGTATCACGCTCGATGGGGAGTCCGTGTGAAGCTGGTGATCTTGGCCGGTTTGCCACAACGACATTGGAGACCATTCCGATGAGTCCCACGAGAAGCAGGAACCAACCGTCTTCCTCCAACCCGCCGACGAGAGTAAGGAGAAATAGCCAGAAGACGGCGAGAATGATGCTCATGAGTTTGGTCAGGGTGTTGTCGATGGGTCTCGTCGTCGCCAGGTCATCCAAATTCTTGAAATTGTGATCCTTGTCTACCATGATGACAAAAACGTGCGAGTGTCCATTGCCGCGTGTGAGCACGTACGTCGTAGGTTTGGTCACTCGTCGACCGGTATATTTTTCTTCCCCCCACTGCGGCATGCAGCCGGCAACAAGTGCCAGACCCGTGCCGATTCCAGTAATCAGTAGAATGGTCCAGTTGCGCCGTCCAGGGTGGATAATAACTGGGACACTGGCAACTGCGAATTGCGCTCCGAAAGCGAAAAGGAAGAACCACCATACACGATCGCGGTTGGGTTCTCCTGCTCCTCTACAAGATCTGTAGAAGTCGATCTTCAACCCGCCTTTGTCTTTGCGAGGATTTTCAAGCTCCAAGTCCCGGAGCAGGCGGCCGATGATCCACGACTCGTTGTTTTTCCATTGACCTCCCACAGTCAATACCAGGCCGGGCACGTCAGTTTGAGGCATCAGATGCCCATCGCCGAAAGCCCCGGACAGAGCTTTAAAGGCGTACGCTACCCAACCGAAGCTGAACGCCACTGGAGTAAACGAGAAGTAGTGTCGTTCCTGGGAAGTATTTTTGCTGCCGTACGGAAATCTGAGGCCTGATACCAGTTGGGCGCAAGCTTGTTGGATGACATCGCCGCCGATGATCAGAAGGACTGCCAATATTCCGACCGGATTGGTGAGCTGTGTTCGCAAGATGCTGGCGGGGGAAGGGTCAGAAGGAGTCAATTGCGACGCTTGACGTGTAACCAGCCTGAGTTCTACGTCCTTGGTAGTAGAACGCTGTGGCAGCGCGTTGACCAAGCACCACGACAATACCGCCGCGAGCCACGGCGCAATCTGCCAGCCTCGTACCATATTCAGTCGTTATGTGGAAGCATGCCAGAAGGCGGCGCCCATGTCCCACAGATGATTCATTCCTGCTGGTTCTGCTGCTGGTTAGCGAGAAGAAGAGTGATCAAGAACGCTATCAGGCTGAGACTATCTGTTGTCCATTTTCCACTTGCATCCGACAGGGTCACCAAAATCGACCCAGCCACGCATCTAACAGCCGAATAAGCGATTCAGACGGCCAGAGCATCAAGGCTAAGATGGGAGGCGAGCGACAGACTCTCCCAATGTGTTGATTCGCTATTACCCCTCAGATTGTGGCCGCATCGTAGTGCTTTCCACAACCCCTTGATGTGGCGTACTGTCTCGGTCTGCGCCCCTGAGAGTTCTTGCAGAGATCAAGCTGAGCCACAAGCTCATTGAAGAGACGGTCACTGGAAGGACAACATGATTCTGCCATACTGGGACCCTTGACAGCGCGATAAATGCACAAGGCACTATTCAGCAGTGCACGTAATTTGACATTTTATGGCCCGTCCCTCTCGGTGCTAGCCGAACCACAGTGCGCCCCTCCACGCCCGTTGCCTTGCTAGGGGTCGCGCCGTGATATCGGCATGTCGTGCACCACTAATAAAAATGGTTGCACTGAGAGACACCGCCGCGGCTACCGGGTCTGAGTTGTTTGACAGAAGCCTCACTAACTCCTGGCCTCTCGCCCCCAAATTAAGTACTAAAAGACTCGAGTCCTTTAAATGTGACAAGGCGACTTCTAGCATGTCAGCCTCGCCAAGGTTTCGCAGCCTTTTCAGTCACGGTCGCCGCCAACATCACCGACCTGCGTCTTGAATTCCTGGAATTTGAACTACATGCAGAATAAGAAGCCCGTAGAACAGAGCTGAGCGAGAGTCTCAGCCTGATAACGGCGATAAGGTGTTGAGAGCGTCTGGGAGAGACTCTTGAGAAGAGAACGCAATCAAGCAGATCTCTGAGATAGACCACTTCAATCTACGTACTATCGGAATATACAGATCTCAACACTCCCTTCTCCTTCCCCATTGGTCCCCATGCTGGAGGGAACCCAGAGGGACCCGCGACCAAAGAATGCCGAGATATCCCACCTGGAAGTTGATTTCACCAAGTTTCCCGCTGGACGTTCCAGCGTGCGCAAAGTCGCCCTGATCGCTCTTGTGACCCCAGAACAGTCGCTTCCCCTCGGCGGGCCATTCGTCAATCAAGTTTGCGAGCGTCTGCAGATGACCAAACGTCGCAGGCTGAGGGCCTTTTGGAGACATTCGCACGATCGTGGTGGCAAATAATGCCAGCAGCAAAGCACTGGCACTCAAGTAAAAAATTTGGGGCGGCCTCATGGTGACGCCCGCGTTGAAGGTGATAGTGATTGAAAGGCCATAGAGCCAGTGAACAAGCGGCTTGAAGCAGAGCAACGTGATTGACGGCCAGGAAGTCCCCATCTTGATGAGGATATTTCGGTCTCGCTTCAGACCACCCTGGGACGAAGCCAGCCTCCAAGTTGCTTCATCGGTGATGCAATTGACGCGGAGTTCCACGCAATGCAAGGCAAGGGTAATCACCGCCTGTAGCCCCGAGATGAAGAAGAATGCCCAGATATAACAGACAGCCGGAAGCGTCTCGGAGTCGACATCCCAGCCCATGTTGAGGAAAGGGGTGTCATCGTTCGAGAACAACGACCAGTTGCCACCATCAGAAATACCATTCACACTTCCATCCTTGATAATGGCCCAGATGATGATCGCCCACAGGATCGCGAGAACAACAGTAGCCCACAGCGCCCAAATGACTTTCCGAACTTCTGGATGTGCGGCGTAAGCCGGTCGCTGTTTGTGTCGAGGAAGTGTTGGAGTTGACGGAGCTGCTGCGTCATGCACACTTTGCATACAGCGGCCCGAAACTTGGTGTAGGTAGCCTTCCTGGATGCAAGCGGCAACTGTGTCGAGAGGATCCGCGCTCCAAGTTGGCACGTGTAGCTTGTTTAGCAGTGACCACCAGGCAACGATGCCTTGGCCCAGGAGGCACATGGCAAGAGAGATGATAGCAGCGCCACAGACATGTGTCGGTGGTGAGTCGTCAGTCTCTTCATCGTATTCGTAACTGCCATCCTTCAGGAAGACGAGGGACGAAGATGAATATGAACCTATAATGCAACACAACATAAATAGATTGGTATACCACTTGTTCGGCCTCGACGTTCGTGAACTAGTCAGTAGCCGGAGGTTGGAATTAAATGTGAGTCTCCCCTCGCGTTGTAGTGCCCATCGGAGGGATATACCGTGAATATAGCCGTAAATCTCGTTTAGGAGTGTGATGGCGATATTAAAGCTGACGGTGATGGCCTCTCCGCCAGCTCCTTGCCATGAGAAGGAAATTGGTCGCAATGTTGTGTAGACGCCTGCCACTAGGCAGACCGTATTGCAGATGAGCGCAATGTATAGTCCAGCGACACATGTCTTCCGGCAAAGTGCTCCCTGGTCAAAGTAGGGTTTTGATGATAGAAGATAGGCTGTGCCCTCGGCTGTCCTATACGACCTCTCCATCTCGCAGTCCCCATCTGTAAGCACGCGAGTGTACGACATAAACTTCGATCATATAGGGTTGAATTGCACTCAATATCTCGAAGAAGAGTGATGATTGTCAGCTCTACTGTTTGGAATAGAGTACAGAGTACGGCCGGGGAGTCGTCAGGCCGGGATGAAGGAGGCTTAAAGCTGGCTCCGACGATACTGAAAGCCACCTCACCACTAGGCTGAAGAGCTGCACTGCCCAGGAGGCGGTGGGCGACTCAGCCTCGGGACTTGAACCCGAAAAGGTGAACGCGTCCGTGCCATCGCATCGTGGCCCAGCAATTCTGGCACGGAACAACAAATCTAACCCCTGAGGAAAAGAGCCTTAGAGGAACAAGGCGTCCTCGCTGTTGATGTGCACAGTAGCCAGATTGGGACTCATTTCGAGCGTCTGATTTGCGAATTGTTTTCCATTTTTAATTACTCACTGGGAACGTCCATAGTTTTGCGTTCTGGACATTACCGGTCTCAAGACTGGAGGACCAGTCGTCCGAGGTATGACAGTGAATGAACTTCTCGATGTGTTATCCGACCGTGACCAGAGTTATCACAGCGTGATTAGAGACCGGCTCGCGTACTCGGTACTGTCCTCTAACATTTCTGCTCTCGTAACTCTTGACTCGACACCCTTCTTATCGCCAGTGGCTGATGCGCTTCACCGAAAATGGATAGGTGTGGATGTTGAGCCGAGACAAATTGAATCTCGACCTCGCGGAGGGCAAGAAAATTAGGCGAACTTCTTGAAACCGTCGACTTTTCCCGCTGCCAAGGACGGTCTTCGAGATAACCGCAGTCCCACATTATTGATTCCACTGGTTAGGCTATAAATCTTTATATCAGACCGGGATCCTCCAACGCGATATATCGGTAGGTAATCTGATGATAAACGAAGACCCTACGAATCTATCTTGGCCAGCATTTTCGATTGATCTCGACCTTGCGATACGGACACAACGAGAGGGATCTTCAGGAGCGCGCGGCAAAACGGGTACAAGAGCATTCATGGCCATTGGGGTACTATTAGGTGAGAAGCACTCGGCCATGCATGACTACGAATCGTTCTTCTGGGTCCTCTTCTGGATATGCATCCACTACGACGACCCGAAAAGGAGTGGTAGGGTCGTACCCATGTTTGAGAAGTGGAACTACGTGAACACGGAAGAGCTGGCCATATTGAAATTGGGTATGGTATCAGATGAGGGCGTTTTTCTGGAAACGCTAAAGCAAAATCTCACCTCATACTGCGAGCCATTGAGACTATGGATAAATAGGCTTCGAAGGGTGGTATTTCCAAATGGGAGGTTGAGAGAAGAAGAAGACGAAGCCCTTGCCTCGAAAATGATGTCGATACTCGCTGAAACATAGAGAGACCGAGACGTCCTTGCAAATCCAAATACTCCAAACTAGATTGAAGGCTGGAAGCTGACATGCTCCTGTTGAGGGTTTTCTGGGGAAAGCGGTTGCCTGAAAGCACTCGGCGCAGTACTAGATCAAGACGAATCCGTTTTTCGCGTTTCCGTGGGATAAGGGCACGGCAGACCATCTTTATGACTGGAACCTATGGCTCGAAGTCATGCGAGCATACAGAGCAATACCCCATATTGTGAGAGCAAATATTACTATACCCTGCAAATCCAAATGGAGGGGCTTTTCCTGATCGCTTGGTTCCCTACACAGAGCTTAGAGCTGTTCACAGACGGCCCGCGTGGGCATTGTGTCGCTCGCCCATGTCGGCTCGCTTGGCGGGAGCCGGGGGTGAGGCGCGAGCAGTTTTACTCATCTTGACATGGACCATGAGGGCTCGACACTAAAACCCCGGGCTCTGACGATGCGAGCGGAATGCTTAAGACTCGAACCACGCCAGGCTGATCGAATGCAGGACCAGACGCCAAACACCCTCGCTAAAAAGAATGCCACTATGTAGCCGAGGAATCCACTTTGCAGCCGTCAAAGACACTCATGTTCCCCTCAAGATTTGCCTGACTCTGATGTTTTGGATTGTATTAGACCACTGGTCGGAGATACCCTGGAGGCCCATTCCCTGCACGAGTTTAGCACACATCTTCGAATGAAATAGTTGCAGGTGAGAGAGACTTACGTCCAGCTGCCATCATATAATCTACGGTCATGCTCTGAGCCAAACCCCGCCTCCTTGAGGGCCGCCTCGATGATAGCTGCGGTCACACCAGTGCCACATGTGGTGATGAATGGCGTTTTGGGGTCAAGTTGCTTGCTCTCGAAGATCTTCTTCAGCTCTTCTTGAGGAAGCAACGCCTTGGTCTCGGGATCCAGCAATTCTTGGAAAGGCAGGCTTGTTGATCCAGGCATGTGCCCACTTCTGATTCCAGCTCTCGGTTCTGGTTCTGTACCTTCCCATCTACCTTTGGACCGAGCATCAAGTATCTGGATCTCTTCTGAGCCTTCTTTGCCATTATCGTAGCCTATTGTTTTCATCTCTGCGAATTTCACCACCATGTCCGTATTGTATGCCGGGACCGGATACTTGGTGATGTTGGGAACTTCTGGAGGACCCGTTTCGATAGGGTAACCTTCCTTGACCCAAAGACGGAAATTGTTGAGAATGTGGACTTTGGGGTGGCCAAAGACCCGCATGGTCCAGGCCACACGAGGAGCAGAGAACAAACCGAGCTCTTCAGTATCGTATACCACCACTTCATCCTCCCGTCTGACTCCCATCTTGGACATTGCGTCCGCAAAAGCGTCGCAGGTGGGGAGCATGTGTGGCCATTCCGACTCTTGGTCCTTTATCTCGTCAATGTCAAAGAAACGAGCAGTGGGTATTCTTTTCTTAAGGAAAACCTGGAGGCCTGTTCTTTTCTCGGGGTCGTTGGGCATGAACCAGGCGGCACAGATGGGAATGACTTTAGGAGCCGTGGAAATGGCAGTAGGAGCATTCTTCTTGAGAGCTTCGTCGAGCTCTTTCGGGGTCACAAGGTAGGAAGAGAAGCCTCGGCAGCGCATGCTGGATATGCGATGCAGATGACCGTGTAAAGGGCGACGAACTCCGCATCGCCAAAGTGGCATGTAGCCGAGCGAGGCAGGCATTTTGCGACGGAGCTATGATCATATCATGGTTGTGGGCGACTGACGGGAGACTGAACCATGTCTGTAAGTGTGCTAGAGGAGACACCGAGCAGTGGAAAGAGATAATGGTTATGAGTAATAACAGAACTGACCTTGTGCTCGATGGTATCATATCCAAGCTCCGAGCTTTTCCTTTGCTACTCCGCATCTGACGTAGTAATAAATCTGGACCCGAGCCAGAAGATCAAAGACCCGCATCGGCGGACGAGAGCGTTTTTGACGCGACACCATCCACGCGACAGGCATGTGACACCTCCCCAACTGACCGGTTCAACTGCTACACAGACATTGCATTTGACAACCTCGAATCGATCCCGCAAAACACGGCCTTCCCTACATAGCTCCCCTCAGCCAGAATACCTTCTTCGTTCAGCGGCGTAACCGGCTCAGCATGAAGGTCAAGATCAAGACATGGCACGCAGTGGCGACATGGCGGTGGGACATGCCCGAGGATGAAGTCTGTGGCATCTGCAGAGTCCAGTTTGATGGCACCTGTCCGACATGTAAGATACCTGGTGATGAGTGTCCGCTCTTGATGGGAAAGTGCGGCCATTCATTCCACATGGTATGTTCGACGGTTGAAGGCTGTGAATATCGAGCTCACCCAAACAGCACTGTTTGTTGACCTGGATACAACAAGAAACGTCGAAAGGTCTCTGTCCTATGTGCCGTCAGAGTAAGCATTCATCGACCTACGGAAAAGGCCGAGAGCTAATTCTTTTAGAATTCGAATGGAAAGACGGTGCTCAACCAGCACAAGTACCACAGACCGGTTGAACATAACGATTATCGTTGAAGACTTGCACACCGAACACCAACTGAGGCCTTACCGCTGAATTCGGATGACGACTGTCTGTTAAATGGATACTCCTCCTCGATGACAGCAGACTCGGAACATGTTGGTCCCATGGAAGAATCTTTACTCGAATTGTGGAGACACAACCCCTACAGCATGACTTCTGAGTCTCTATAAACTACATCTGCACACCGCTGACCATTCAGTGGGCATGATGGAATCGGTGCTCGCGCAAAGACTTTCCTTTTATGGTAGGGATCAAGATTCTGAGCACGAACAGCCTCGATTTGCTGACGCATAGGAGTTCGACTCCTTTAGGCACTGCTGCACAGGAAAGAATAGAGCACCTCGACGCTGAATCGATATTGATAATGGTGGATGTTCTGGCTATGATGGGATCTCATCGGCCTCGCTCTCTGGGATGGCCTTTGGAAAACGCTTCAGTATCACCGCCGATATGACACGGAGAAGTCACTGAATTCAGCTTTTGTTCTCTGTCCCACGACGTGTTTCAGAAGAGAGTTGCGGGCGCGATGATGCCTGTTTGAACTTGCTGCATATCTGGTCGACCTATACCACCAACATGGGGTTTCCAGCATCGTTATTGCACTCGCACATGAAAGTATCAACATATTCAAGAAGTATGGTTAGAATCAATATGGGGGACAGGATCGAACGTAAAGCAGCGGGATTTCACTCCGCTCTTTTGCTCAAAGCGGCCGACTTGCGTAGATCTTGGTTTTTCGCCGTGCTCGCCGTCAGTTTGTCGCCTTGCAAAAGCTGGATTACTGAAATGTTCTGTTAACATATCTACTTAACCCCGCTTGATCTCTGACGGGATATTACACCTTGCATAAACCACTCGTTGCCGCATAATAGAAGGAGTTGCTCTGCAACCGCAACTGACTGCATACCTCTCCCGCACCTGCGTCGAGTTCCGTTGTCAAAATTCGCGTCTGAGCCGAATCTCCCACACCTCGAGAACACCTGTGGACAGAAGCCTATATTTAACGGCGTCAAGATGGATCAAGCGGCTGCTCAACCTCGGAAATGCCCCGGGCTGAACTGCGAGAATGATGCATCCTCACTACAGTGTCCCAAGTGTAAAGAGATGGGCGTTGACAGTTTCTTCTGCTCACAAGACTGCTTCAAGCGGAGTTGGGTAGGCTGACCTCCGGTCTTTTGTAAGAAAGACTATGGCCTCTGGAAAGACTAGAAACCGCTGACCTTGCTTTCCAGGCTGAACACAAAGTTCTACACAAGAGTACGAATCCCTTCCGAAAGTTCATTCCTCCCAAGGTTGTGTCTAAAGTCGATCCAGAGAGCGGCCACTTCAACCCTTTTCCTACCTACCCTTTTACTGGTTCTCTGAGGCCTGTATATCCTCTGTCTCCGAAACGGGAGATCCCAAAGTCAATACCGCATCCAGAATGGTCGCAGGATGGAATACCCAGATATCCATATGTCCGTAAAAACAACGTCCAGGTACTCGATGAAAAGGGCATCGCGGGCATGCGCAAGGTGTGCAGATTAGCCAGAGAAGTCCTCGACATCGCCGCCGCTGCAGCAAAGCCCGGGGTGACGACAGACTACATTGATGAGATTGTCCACAATGCTTGTATAGAGCGCAATGTGGGTTGGGCACAGCCGACTTGCCAAAGAGAGAAGCTAACAATTGACGATAGTCCTACCCATCCCCCCTGAACTACAACCACTTCCCGAAGTCCGTCTGCACGTCCCCGAACGAAGTCATCTGTCACGGCATTCCCGACCAGCGAGTTCTCCAGGATGGCGACATCCTCAACATTGACGTCACGCTGTATCATGAAGGTTACCACGGCGATCTGAACGAAACATACTACATCGGCGACAAGGCCAAGGCTGATCCAGACAACGTCCGCCTCGTCGAAACCACACGCCAATGTTTGCAAAAGGCCATTGATCACGTCAAGCCTGGAGTGAAAATTGGCGACTTTGGAGACATCATCGAGAAACACGCCAAATCCCAGAGTCTTAGCGTTGTCAAGACGTATTGTGGCCACGGCATCAACTCCTTGTTCCACTGCGCGCCTAATGTGCCGCATTATGCGAAGAACAAGGCAGTGGGAAAATGCAAGGCAGGGATGACCTTTACGATCGAGCCGATGATATGTTTGGGCAGTTACAAGGACAAGACATGGCCCGATGACTGGACGGCAGTCACAAGCGATGGAAGCCGCTCTGCCCAATTTGAGCATACGTTGCTGGTCACGGACGATGGAGTCGAGGTTCTAACTGCCCGGTTACCGAATTCGCCCGGTGGTCCGGTTCCTATGCCAAGTTCTGAAGCGACAAATGGAGAAATCACCGGGGATACAACACAGGCTTGAGCGTGGTAGTGCTAACTGTGCTATGTCTGACTTGGTGAATCCAGCTGTTAAATACACACTTTTCTATCGATATGGTCTTGACTTTGGTCTCCATGGCAATGCCAGTCACAGCGATTGTTGTTGTCCTCGATTCGCCTACCGATGACGGGATGTGATACAGTATGTCCTGATATCCTGACAGACCACCCACGTGACAAGGCTACGCAAAACAGGGGTTTTGTCGGATTCGCACCACAGTCTCGCGGGAGAAAGATGAGCAGATAATTTAAGGAAGGACATGTACGTAGCATGCACTATTAATCCTTCTTCGAGGTGCAGAAAAGCAGGAGCTTATTCCATGTGCCTTTTTGAGCCTTCACGAATGTGCATAACACTGGAACAGTAACTGCTCAATTAATATTCTTAGCGAGTGACTGCCTGGCTCGGCTCTATTACCAGCCACAGCTTGGCTTTTGCTGTGCCACAACTGCCAACTCGTTCGTCGGCGTGAACTTTCTCTCCGCAGTCTGCCACGATGAAATGCACTTGAAGCAGCAACCTTCAGTTACATCTCCTAGAAACTACCATCCCGTTTAGATGCAGTTGATCATGCCGTCAACATGGCAGACCAGAGTTATCGGAAGCCATTCTTCCTAGCCTTAGCTGGGGCGGTCGCCCTCACCGCAGCCTACTACACGTACACGCAATATGCGCAGCCTCCCCAAGCAGAGCCCTCCTCCCTCCATCGCAGCAATGCCGTACGTCGGCCAAGAAATAGACGACGTTGGCGCCGTGGCTTCGAGCAGACGAATCTCAACTATGACCCAGCCCACCTCGCTGTCTATCACCTCGAACGACGGAACGAATCCGGACGAGGATATGGAGAATACGAGAATAGATGGTTCTTTACTACACGACCGCCCACACAAGAGGTGGACCTGTCGCTGATCCCGTCTAATTTCAGCTCTATCTACGACTACCTCCTGCAACATTCCCCGGCGGAGCTGTCTTCAAACCAACAAGAATACCTCCTCCGTCATATCAAGAGCGTTTTTGTGCAGAACTTTTTGAAAGCGGAGTACCCAGAAGGTTATATCATCGGAGACGAAGTTTGGATGCTCGCACAAGCCATGGATCGCCTTGGGATTGCTGCAGATATTGTTTTCCAGGCGGCAAAAGCATTTGACGAGGGAAGCTTCCCTCTCAACGATGAATGGGACCCACTCGATGCTCCTCGCCACAGTCCCAGAACGAGCCTTGGTCAGACTGACGGCGTATCGGAACAAGCTGGCTTGGCTCCTCACGAGGCACTTCAGGCGTTAGCGGATCCTGACGATGCACACAGTGACATTTCATCGGGCAACAACGAGGAGGATCCCGAAGGCAGCCAAAACATGCTCGACCTCCTTTACCATATCGCTGGCGAGCAAGCACGACGGGAATGCTATATCCACCGCGGTGTCGAGTGCAACAGCTGCGGCGTTCACCCCATTCGAGGTATCCGCTATCACTGTGCAAATTGTTTCGACATGGACCTCTGCGAGAACTGCGAAGCCAGCTCTACACATGGGAAGGCTCACGTCTTTTACAAGATCCGCATCCCGGCTCCTTCACGCGGAAACATCAAGCAGGTCACTCCGGAGTGGTACCCTGGCAACCCGAGCGCGTTTCCCTTGTCCTTGCCGGCCAGTGTATCCAAACCACTACTCGAAGAGACCCGAATGGAGCGTACCGAAATGGATGCCCTCTACGAGCAATTCAAATGTCTGGCCGGACATCCATTTCCTGCCGACCCGACTGGTCTGGGAATTGCCATTGATCGAAAGGGGTTTGATGCATATTTCATCCCTTCGCGCGGAGACAAACCTTCTCCTGCGAATTTGATCTACGATCGCATCTTTTCCTTCTATGACACGGACGAGAACGGAGTTATCACCTTTGACGAATACATACGCGGCCTTGCGTATTTGCAGGACAAGAGCCGAAAGGCCAGGCTTCAGCGTATCTTCGAGGGTTACGATCTGGACTCGGACGGCTTCGTGGACCGCAAAGACTTCCTGCGCATGTTCAGAGCGTATTACGCGTTAAGCAAAGAGCTGAGTCGGGAAATGATCGACTCGCAGGAAGATTTCGGTTATAACGAAGAAGAAATTCGGGAGGTTGTTCAAGGCAGTCAGCCTATCAGCGCTGCTTTTGGAGGCGGTACCCTCTACGGTCACGAATCCAGAAATGGTCAGGGTAAACAACGTCAGGCGAATGGGGATCTGCAACTTGCCAACGGCACAAATGGCGTTCTGCAGCCAGACAGTGATCTGATCGGAGATCGTGCCAGGGCTATCGGAAATGCCGCACTTGGAGGCCGGACCAGGAACCATCCTTTCCGATCGTTTCGACAGGAGCCTCCAGAGGACGAACCTTTGATGATGCTGCCCATGGGAAGCAATTTCATCCAGACGGGCATGGAGTCGGACGAGGCCATTGGGGAGCCCGTCACCGGGCCTGATGCTCCGTTGCAGACATATGCTTGGCCTCCGGTGCGGACACCAGAGCCTCAGGACATCAGTGAAGCGCTCGGACAAGAGGTGCCGCTGGATGACATTACGGATCCTGTTGATAGGACCCGAGTTCTCTTTGCTCAAGCACAGCGGCTTGATGCGGAAGGTGATGGAGCTGAGGAAATGTTGCGCGCCAGAGCCCTCGAAGAACGGTGGCGTCGCCGACGGTTTTATCTCGATCGCGAGGAAGGATTAACCAAGCCGCCAGGCTACACTGAACCCGACAGCTCGGATGACGAGGATTTGCCCGAACACAAGAAGAATGGGCGAGGCGATGTCAGCCCTCGGAGAGCATCTATGGCTTCGAGATCCTCGTCCAAGGTCCGCTTCGATGATAGTGCCATCGAGGGAGACTACGAAACGCGCTCAAATGCTTCCTCTCGAAGCGTTCCTTTCAACGAAAGATGGGGCGGTTATGAGCTTGGCCAGGCCGAAGCAGACATTGGCAAAGACATTCTCTATCAAGCCGTGCAACAAGGATTCAACGAGTTGCTCGACGTGCTGTTCAAGGAGAAGGAAGACGAGCACATGGAAGCACGTCGCACACGAGTGGACCGGCATTGCTTTGCACAGGAAAGAGTCAACTTCGAGAAGCTGCTTGTCGAACTCGAAATGAGAGCGGGTGAAACAAAGGAAACCTTGATCGAGAAGATCAGGCGGAGGAGGGAGAACGAGGAGGAGCAGAAGCAGCTGGCGATGATTGATGCTACACCAGTGGCAAAGCCGGGCCACGGAAAGTCCAGCCCCCAAGATTCCGAAGATCATATAGGATTGATGTTCGGCTCTCAGGGTCTGTCCGGCCAAAAGGTGGCTGCGGGTTCTGTCACTGCAGCGACCGAGACAAATGCATCATACCGTGACCCGACGCTCCCACAGTTTCGTCCTGACGAACCGGAACCACCAAGTCTAGCCTCGAGTGCGGCCCCGTTCGCTCCGAGTCAAACCCCACGACCAGATCCATTCTCAGGCGACCCGGAGAAGGCGCTCAAGACGTATTCCCTGTGGCTCCTGCACGATATGATTGACGAAGAAGAAGATCGCAGAGGTGGACCCGCAAAGCTGAGCTTTGCTGAGTTCCAACGCAAGATGGTGCCTCAAGATGAGGTGACGGATGCTTTGGGGGACAAGGACAAGAGCAAAGACGGCAGCAACGAACGGAAGACATGGGAGAGCAGTGCGGACCTAGGAAGACTGGCTTTTGTGGGCACTTGGTTGGAGATGGCGAGTTTCTAGCGAGGTGTCAGATGGTGGCCTGTTTTCCATTGCGTTTAGATTGTACTACCAACTTCACGATTGCATGACGAGGCAAAAGCATGATATCCAAGGAGTTTTCCGGAGGAAGAAAGTCCCCTTTTCCACAGGACCAAGATCTCGTATATAGGTTAGTGAATTCAGGGCCTTCACGAGTGTTTCCAAAGCCGTTGTAATCGAGAAAAATGGCGGAAGCAAGGCTGCGATACGGTACAACTGTTTTTCCATTCCCGGCTTGGCATTTTGACGGCACTGGTGCTGCTGAAAGTCGGCGAGACTTTTCTTTGGAGAATCCATCTGCTCCGGGACAAAAGATCAAGTAATCGAGTGAGATTGCTCTACGGAACCGATCGTCTCGAGCGGAAGCATGACCCACTCATCTCCTTGTTGTGCGGGCTGCAATCTGGGTTGTAAGAATGGTCAAGCACAACCGGATCGTGGCCCTTTCAGACAGCGCCAACTGCACCCGTGACAGCAGCCTGCGACGAGAACGCTCGAGAGACAGCCGCCACGCCCACATGGGAGGACGCTGATCTACTATGCACAGGCCGGCACTACCAAAACACCACGGGCCATCACAATGTGGTATGTTGACCGCATCAAAGGCGAGCGAATGGGGCCATTGCACGAGACTTCGTTCGGAGCTCTGAGTGGTCAGAACTCAACATGCCCCTGGTATTGAGTATCAAAATGCCGTGCCAGCAGCACGCCCAACAACGGGGACAACTGACATATACCGCCCACAGGTACCTCCGCTGGCTTTTGCGATGATGATTTCTTTCATTTACAACATGTCTCTCTTTCACAGACCGGTGCCTCTGCTCGAAAAACAAGTGGGCAGCACAACACTCTTTTACCACCAAGCATGACCCATCTTACGCATCCATGGGTGGCAGTACGCCGGCCGCGGCATATCAGGCGACAACGATGGATTGGCGGGGTCGGCTTTACGGGAGGTATACGGCCACAGTGCAGTTGTGGCAAGCCACATTCTCGAAATTTTGACCTGTGTCTCCTATTTCCTCGACACAGATTCGGCTCCAGCCGCTTCAACACCGTGTTTCTACTGTTGTTCCGACTATTTTATCATGCGTCTTCCTTCGAAGTTGCCCACAGCGGTTATGCCAAGCGACTCTACCTGCCACTTCTGCAGGAGACCACGGCGAAGCCTTTCGAGGAACTCGGTAGCGAGAAGCCGCTCGTGGTCCCAGCAAACCCAGGCCTTCCCGTCTTGTTCAAAACCTTCAAACGATTCTCGTCGAAAGGATGGTTAGAGGCGTTGCTCCAGGATCCCGCCGAATTCAAGGATCTGAAGGTGAATTCAATCACGTGGATCAAGGCTCTTGCCTCCCCCTTTTCTCACGAATTCATCCAATTCATCGTCGAGGACTCTGGTAGTGGTCAACGTACGCGGATCGCCGCCGGCCGAGAAGAAACCGGAGACTGGGTCCTCGTGGGCTGGAATTGGGCTTCAGGCGCAACGCCTTCCGACCACTATAACCTCCCGCTCCCACTCTTGACAATTACCTTTGATGACGTCAACAAGCGACCGGACTTGCGGGCACTGGCCCACGTGCTCTCTGCGACCACCGAAAAGCATCCCGCCTATAAATTTCGCCGAGAAATGTGCTGGTGGTACGCCGAGACCGTGCTGGAGGTGATGCACGAGCAATTTGGAGGGAAGGTCAAGGAGTGGGAGTGGTCGAGATATCGATATTCATTTATTGTTAAAACGAGCTTCATTAGACGGAGAGTCTTGACCAGGCACGCCGAGTTGTTCAAGCGGCAGCTGGCTGAGGAGATGAGCTACTAGACATTGACAGCATGGACGGGGTTTTGCGGGAGTCGAGTGCACCCTTTTTTCTTTTTTGATTTTGCCTTAGAGACCGGTTGGCTCTGAGTTGGAAAATGATGCAGGTAGACCACATTTGCTTGATACAAGATTATAGAACACAGAACAAGAACATCGATCTCACTTGAACTGCTGCATCTGCTCCGTGCTGGTAGAAATGCCCCAGGCCACGGAAGGCTGAAGCGCCGAAGATTAGCCGGTCCGGCGTCATCCCTCCTCGACCTGCTTCATCCCACTTCCAATCCGACCACATACACACACACTCTCTCTCTCCTTCTCTCTCGCTTCATCTTTCTTAACCCTCACCCTTACGGCGATAGTAGAGAGCCACTCCTATCGCTCCTGCACTCACAATGTCTGGACCAGAAGTCCACCACCTCTTCCACCACCCCATCGCCGACCATTCCTTCTCAGCTGACCGCCAAACTCTCGCCGTGGCGCGGGAGAACAATGTCGAGCTGTACCACCGGTCCGGCTCCAAGTTCGCCTTGAAGGATGAATTGAAGGGCCACGACAAGACCGTTACGAGCGTGGACATTGCGCCCAACAGTGGCATGATTGTGACTTGTTCTCAAGGTGATTGACTCTCGCTGATGTTTCCACCGGTTCCATGCAGATTGACTGACGCATCCTCGCATTACCCATACTAGATCGCAACGCCTACGTCTGGGAACCCGCCCCGTCCGGCGAGTGGAAGCCGACCCTCGTGCTCCTCCGCATCAACCGTGCCGCCACCTTCGTGCGCTGGTCCCCCTCAGAGAAGAAGTTCGCCGTGGGCTCGGGCGCCCGCGTTATTGCGGTGTGCTACTTTGAAGAGGAGAATGACTGGTGGGTCTCGAAGCACCTGAAAAAGCCCATCCGGAGCACCATCACCACCGTGTCGTGGCACCCGAACAGCGTGCTGTTGGCGGCCGGGTCGACGGACAGCCACGCCAGGGTGTTTTCGGGTTTCATCAAGGGCATCGACGAACGTCCTGAGCCGAGCGTCTGGGGGGAGAGACTACCCTTCAACACAGTGTGTGGCGAGTACTTGAACGATGCGGCGGGGTGGGTTCATGCCGTGTCCTTCTCGCCGAGCGGGGATGCTTTGGCGTTCGCCGCCCACGACAGCAGCATTACCGTGGTGTACCCTAGCGGGCCGGATCAGCCGCCTAAAGCGATGCTGAGCATCTCGACGCAGACCCTTCCCTTCACGTCGCTGATTTGGAACGGCGAAGCCGAGATCCTCGCCGCGGGGTACGACTGCGAGTGCTTCCGCTTCCGGGGGACTGAGCAAGGGTGGGAGCTGGTGGGCAGCGTCGAGATGCAGAAGCGCCCGGGCATGGGTGGCGCCATGAGAGAGGAGTCCGCGCTGAACATGTTCCGGCAGATGGACCTCAAGGGCAAAGTCAAGGACGACACACAGCTGAGCACGACGCATCAGAACACGATCAACACGATCCGCGCGTTCCAGGGAGGTCCTGGCGGCGGCGTGACCAAGTTCAGCACGAGTGGCGTCGATGGACGGGTCGTCATTTGGACACTGTAGCGGGCACGCATGCCAATCAATCAATGGAGAACTAAGGGCAGGCTCGAAGTGTCAATTCTTGAGATGCCTTGTCTACTACGGAAAGAAAGTATCGGCTATGTTTCTAACTCGATACATCAGATGAGAAGAGACAACGTCAAAAAAGATAGAACCGGACAGGCGAAGACAACACCTTTGCGATAGCTAGCTCCCGTCCGTTCCTTGATCCACCTTTTACGTCCTGTCGTGCCCATCTCTTTGAGAAAATCCCTGGTGGTGCTGCTGGGCATGGAACCTACTATGCCTACTCCGACGGAGCGTCTTCGCCGTGGAAAGGGTCTTCTGGTTCAATTTCCTCCTCATCCTCCTCCTCGTCCGTCTCTTGTTCGTCTTCGTCTTCGTCCTCGTCTTTGTCTCCTTCCCCCCCGGACTCATCCCCATGCTCTGAAGCACCAGCCGCCGCTGCCACGTCCGCATCGATCGCGGCCATGCGCACGGTGAACTCCCACTGCAGCTTCTTCAGCCAACTCCGCAACGCCTCCGCACCACCACTGGCCGCGCCCCGGACGGCCGTCTCGCGGGCATGGCCCAGCTGCTCCTTGACGTTCAGGACCAGTTTCCTCTTCCGGGCCAGCGCCGTGGCCCGGGGGTCTCGCTTCCTCGCTTCACTCCGTTCGTGCAGAGCTTCCGAAACACTCGTGGCCATGTCGACCACATCGCCCGGCAGGCCGATCGCTCTGGCGAGGGCCAGCCCGTAGAACTTCTCTTGCTCGTACCCGTCGGCGATCTTGTACCGCATCGTCATCTTCGAGTAGTCCTCGCTGATGTCTGTGGACAGATGCAGGTTGGCGACGCCCGCGCGATCGGCCAGGATGCGTGGTAAGTCGCGAAAGTGTGTCACGAACCAGACGTACGCCTTGGACTCGATCAGCTGCTCGGCGATGGCGATGGCGATGGCCAACCCGTCTGTCGTGCTGGTGCCGCGGCCTAACTCGTCGATGAGGACCAGACTGTGCGGAGACAGGTTGCGCAAGATGAACGCCATTTCCCGCATCTCCGAGGCAAACGTGGAGACGTTGGCTTCGATGTTGTCGTCAGTTGAGATGCGAGCAAAGATTTCGTGCGAGAGGGGAAAGGAGGCGTACTCGGCGGGCACGAAGCAGCCGATCTGTGCCATCACAGCCATCAGCGCAACGGAGCGGATGTAGGTCGATTTCCCGCTCATGTTGCATCCGGTGATGATGTGGAAGCGATTTTGTGGCGTGGCGTACACGTCGTTGGGCACAAATCTGTCATCTTGATGTTGCAGCTTCTCGCGAATCGGGTGGCGGCCGGATTTGATCATGAACGAGTCCAAATGGAGCTCAGGCTGGACGTACTCGTTCATGGATGTCGTGACAAGTTGCGCGAACCCGGCGAGCATGTCGAGCATGGCGATGGACTCGCTGATCTTGAAGAGCGGGTGGATTGAGCTACGAACCTCGTCGATGAGCTCTTGCACGGTGGCGTCAGACAGGCAGATCACTTCGTTGTGGGCGTCCTTGATCTTCTGGTTCATCTTCATGAGATCCAGTGTCTGGCATTCAATGTATTTGTTCTTCTTGTAGGTGTTGATGAACGTTTCAGGCATGGACTTATCCATGATCTCGCTGGCGGGGAAGCGGAGGTAGTAGTGTCGGTCGGAATCGTATCTGAGTTCGAGAGAGATCTCGCTCTCTTCTACATAGAGCGAGTCATCAACTGTAATTTTCTCAGCCTGGACTGCTCCATACGCTTGAGGCGGTCAAACATGTCGTTGACATCTGCGTTCAGCTCCTTGTACGCCTGACGGGCCACGTCGAGGAAACTGTTGACTCCGGCCTGCACTGTATTAGTCTGACTAGCAATTCCTCCTTGCTTACCATACCTGAATGCCATAGACCCTCTGGTTTCGTAGATCAAGTGGTTTTGATGAATACCGTACATCGGCATTCAGACACCGTCCGAGCAGATTCTCCACTTGAGAGTAATTTCCTGCGTCGCAGAGCTTGTATAACAATTAGACGAAATAAATGTCCAGCGAGCGGATTCCAAGTCACCTGGCGTATCATCTGGAGCTCTTCGCTATTTGCGCCGGCAAGAGCCTGACAGACCGGTTTGATCCCATCCACCAGAGTCTTGAGCATGAGAACATTATTGATCGATTGCTCCATATAATGAAAATCCTGTCTTGTTGAAATGATGACGAGCTGTATCACTTAGCATGGGAAAGAATCGAACATTTCAACCACAAACCGCAGCAAGCACACGATCGGCATCAACGAAGGATTTCAGAGCTGTTCTTCCCCGTCAGCAAGTCCTTGTCACGAGACAGATCTAGTACCGGATCGAACTGCAAAGAACATGTCTTCCTTGGATGAGAGTTCGCTGAGAGCTTGCTGCCTCTTTCTGATCTTTTCCGCGTCCGTTGAGGGCTGCAGGACATTGCTTCGCAGGAACCGAGCGCCCATTGGTGTCAAAGTCTGATTCAACAATCCAAGGAGACAGTCTCGAGATTTGTCGTTCTGGAGGTTCTGGATCAACTCAAGCGAGGCCATTGTGGAGAGATCAATCATGGTCGAGCCTTCTGAGGGTTCGAACTTGATCCGAAGCGTTTGTGGAGCGAACGCCAATTCCATGGCCAGGTCGATGTACTTCAAGGCCTGTCTTTGTCAGGAAAACACAGGAGAAATAACGTCTACTTGCAACCTACTGCCGAAAAACAGCATGTTGCAAAGTAGTTTCCAGCGATAGACAGCTTCAATGATTCCAGGTCATCCGGAAACGCCAGTTGATCGACGTATTCATGGCCACTACTCTCAGACCAGTATTTACGCTCGATCCCAGTCATGACAATATCAAACTTTTCTACTTCAAGGTTCTCGGCAACAATCGAGATGAGGTTCGAATCTTCGGCAGTCTTCATGTAGATGATCTCCGAGGGAGCAAAGACTTTGATCTTGTGGCATGTGCGAGCGTAGGTTTGGGTGTCAGCGAACTGGCAAAGGACAGCTTCAGAAGTGGAAACATTGACAAAGGAGAGGCCAACGGTAGGAGATACGCCTCGCGACTCGCTGATGGCACAGATGATTTCATTGTCACTGTAGCTGGTGGAGGTCGCTGCAGTTCTGGGGCGGGACCTGCTCCCCGTCTGTGGCCCAGAAGTACTGGTTGTTAGTCTTGTTGTCCGAGAATTTCTGCTGCTGGCAGAGGTTGACTGTGGCCTGGACGCCATATTCATTCATTGCTTTGAAGCAAGGCATAAGATCTATGCACGGTTACAGGTGAGAATTGGAAGAAAGAAGGCAGAAGTTGGGATCGGAGCAGCGAACGAAAGAGGAAGGTTTGCCGCGGATATGTGTTCCCCTCACGAGGCTGAATCCCACGTCGCATCTACAACAATTTTTTGAGGAGCAGCAGCACGCAGAAGAAAGTCTTGAGCCAGTTCCCAGCACACCAGCCAGGATGGCCACCCTAGCGCCGCCTCCCAGTAAACGGCAAAAGATCGCTGCAGAGGAGAGGGCAGAGAGGGCACTTGAAGAATCAAAGATACCCGACAACTTGGGCAGTGTGAGAGTGCAATTTGTCGACCAGAGCACGGGAAAGTCAACGGGATCTGTGGTCGCTGTCCCTGTCAAAGATGCCACTGTCAAAAACCTCGAGACGCTGCTGAATACCATACAGGGCCATGTATGGAGATCCAACTGAAACCAGCGACGGGCCCCAGAATGCTGAAATTTTATTTTTTTTAGGATCCCGGCGAGCGACTGCCCTACCGCTTCTTCTTCCAGATCGATCGAATTCCGACTACCCATGAAGGTCCGAACGCCATTGTCGATGTACAAAATGACCTATACAACTCCATCCTCAAGCCGGGCTTGAAGACTACGGAAGACAATATCATCCTCCAGTTCACTCCTCAGGCTGTATTCCGCGTCCGGGCTGTTTCAAGATGTTCCGCGTCAATAGCAGGGCACGGTGAAGCCATCCTCGCGACTGCATTCTCGCCGGAGACATCTTCGAGGATGGCCACGGGGAGTGGGGACAACACTGCACGGATATGGGACTGCGATACCGGAACACCGTTACATACTCTGAAGGGACACACGAGTTGGGTGCTTGCGGTTTCATGGTCTCCAGATGGCAAAATCCTTGCGACTGGAAGCATGGACAACACCGTGCGGCTGTGGGACCCAAAAACAGGAGAGTCTCTCGGCGGGCCGTTGAAGGCGCACACCAAATGGATCACAAGCCTCTCATGGGAACCATATCACAACCAGGCGCCTGGGAAGCCCCGCCTGGCGTCAGCCTCAAAAGATGGCACAGTAAGGATCTGGGACATCCCGCTTCGGCGCATTGAGCAGACCCTTTCTGGCCATAAGGGGTCGGTGACTTGTGTGCGATGGGGCGGGCTTCATCGAGTATTCACCGCCTCCCAAGATAAAACGATCAAAATATGGAATTCGCGGACGTGGAATTGCTTACACACATTGTCCTCGCACACTCACTGGGTCAACCACCTCTCTCTCTCCACCGACTTTGCCATCCGGACGTCTTATCACGACCACACCGGTAAGTCTCCGTCGTCAACCGAAGAAAAAGTGGCCAAGGCGAAACAGCGGTTCGAAGAAGCGGCTCGGCAGGACGGAAAGCTGGTGGAGAGACTCATCTCTGCGTCGGATGACAACACCATCTTCCTGTGGGAACCGTCTTCTTTCGACCCGGACTCGAAGGCGACTCCCAAGCCTGTTGCGCGCTTGTTGGGCCACCAAAAGCAAGTCCTCCATGTGTCCTTTTCCCCGGACGGCCACTACATTGCGTCGGCAAGTTTCGACAACAGCGTCAAGCTGTGGAACAGTCGAGATGGCAAATTCATCTGCACCCTGCGAGGCCACGTGGGAGCTGTGTACATGTGCGCATGGTCCAGTGACAGTCGGCTGCTGGCCAGTTCGAGTAAAGACACCACCGTCAAGGTGTGGGATGTGAAGACAGGAAAGTTGAAGATGGATCTACCGGGACACAAGGATGAGGTGTTCGCTCTGGACTGGTCGGTTGATGGCACTTGTGTGGCCAGCGGTGGAAAGGATAAGCTTGTCAAGTTATGGAAGCATTGAGTCCGTCCCAAGATCGACGTGACCACCTTGGACACGACGATGGATTTGTTACGGGTATTTTAATGGCTAGGCGTATGGGGTACAGGACAGACGTGATGATGATGACTCTGGAGTGATACCCCACGATATAAAAAAAAGTGTCAAGGTAAAAGATTGGATTTTCAATGAAATATGTGCAGTTGTTTTTGGATTCTGTGAATTCTGTATGATTCTGGTTTGTTACAAGCAACCATCGCCTTGCCCACCCCATCCGCCGGTTGGTGGCCATCGACTTTTTCCCAGACGACAATAAACCGTTCCAACAACTTCTTCCGCCGTCCGTCTCTGATCTACCCCTCTTACATTCTAAACCCGGGTTTCTGTCCAGGAGGATTGTAGACAATCTTCCTCGTCTTGATGGGTGCCCACTTGTACCGCTTGATCCAACCACTCAGGGCTAACAGGGCAGTGCCGATGATCAGGACCTTGAAGCCCATCTTCTTGCGCTCGTCCATCTCCGGTTCCGCAGTCCAGTTCAGGAACTCAACCACGTCTTTGGCCATTTGCGAGCTGGTGGCGGGCGTGCCGTCTTCGTATTCAACCAATCCGTCGTAAAGAACACGAGCCATCGCTATGCCGGTACCGGGGAAATACGGGTTGAAGTTCAGGCCAGACTGGACACTCGCACCGGCGGGAGGTTCCTCCGGGTAGCCGGTCAGCAAGCTGAAGATATAGTTGCAGCCGCCGTGACGGGCCTTAACCATAAGAGATAGATCCGGAGGAAGGGCCCCATTGTTGGCGGCACGGGCGGCTTCGTCGTTCTTGTACGGAGACGGGATGTAGTCAGACAGCTTGCCGGGTCGCTTCTCAATCTCTCCCTCATCATTGGGCTCAGTGTCGTATTCGTTTTCTTCGGCCATAGCCTTGGCTTCGTCGACGGTCATTATCGTGCCGACCAGTGACCGGTATGGGATTCGCTTCAGAGAGTGACAGGCGGCGCAGACTTCACGGTAAACTTGGAACCCTCTTCGGAGACTGCCAAATGTCAACTCGAAATGCTCGACGCCATTGTTTTTGATAGCTCTTACGCGGCGTGGTCGAATGTTTTTGTCCATTTTACGTGCTCCCACGGGTACTGGGTCGGGTGTAACCTTGAGCCCTGCTGTCAGTCGACTGTAGCTCTCCATCACTGGTTTGGAGCTTACCCCTCTTCTGCGGGTGTCATGGCATAGACATCTTGACCGAACAGATGATAGTACCAGGCGATGGAGCCTGCTGTAGCTGCCGTCGCAGCAGAAGCGCCCAGTGTAAGGTAGAAGGGAGAGGAGGAGGCTTCGGAGGCGCTCGAAGATGCAGCACGCTAAAAATCGTCGTCAGTCATAGATCTAGTCGAAGCACACTCACGCGCTTCCATCAGATATGCAAAGAGTGGTGGACTGACAGTTGTGGTCTTTCGGACAATGGTTCGGGCAGCCACCCTCAATGGGGCACCGCGGACGGCCGACGTGGCCAACATCGTGTCCAGAAGCCTTATGCCCTCGACAGACGGTGGACTAGCCGTGCAAAGGCGCAGAGAGGAGGGTGAGTCGTGAAGGGTGGAAGGAGAAAAGAGTGACTTGGCACAGATCGTGGAGGAGGAGAGGATGTCGAGAGTCGAAGCTTGAAGCTACATTTTCCGGGGGCTCATTTACGCTCGCTGTGATTGGCTGATTCCTCGATCTTCAAATCCTGGCTGGAAGCGGCAGCAGCCGGGGATGACACGTGACCTGCCAGCGAGGTCACAGTCCGTCACTCTTTGATTTCTCGTCCACTGTCAACCGACGGCACTGGTTTCAACTCCAGACTGACAAGCTCTACCTCGTCCTTGCGGCACCGATTGCTGCAGGGTGTGATGTCGATGAGTGGAACCAAAAATCCCTCGTGGAATGACCAGTTCAAGAGCACCAACCAGCGCGACTTCAACACCCAAGTCATCATCTCGGTTGTCTTCGGACTGAGTGCATTCCTTTCCTTCTGTGTACGTCGTCCTTACTCCCACGTTGCTCTTTTCTGGTTATTGACGATCTACAGGTGCTTCGGCCCAAGTGGACGAGCCTCTACCATGCGCGCAAGAAACACTCCGGCGCAGCCTCGCGTTTACCCGACCTCCCCAAGTCGCTGTTCGGATGGATCCCGGTGCTGCTGAGGATCTCGGACGCAGAGGTTCTGGCCTCCGCCGGCCTTGATGCCTACGCCTTTCTGTCCTTCTTCCGATATGCCATCAAATTCCTCTCCATCACCTTGTTCTTCTCCCTCACCATCATCCTGCCCGTCAATTACCGGTACACTGGCGAACTGCCTTACCCGCCCATTAATGGCACGGTGCCATTCCTCGAGCCTGCGTTTGCATTTGCCGATGAGGAGAAGAGGCCCAAGAAGCCCAAGCTCGAGAAGGATGACAGCTATCTGTGGATGTATGTCGTGTTCGCCTACTTTTTCACTGGTGTGGCTATAGCCCTCTTGATTGTTGAGACCTCGACTATCATTCGGATCAGACAAGCCTATCTTGGGACTCAGTCCACCATTACCGATCGAACCCTGCGCTTGTCGGGCATCCCAAAGGATCTAAGGTCGGAGGAGGCAATCAAGAACTTCATTGAGGATCTGCAGATTGGGAAAGTGGATAGCGTCATGCTGTGTCGAGACTGGCGCAATTTGGATGAACTCATGTCGAGGCGCATGGCGTGCTTGCGCAAACTCGAACAATCATGGGCAGCATATCTGGGTCACAGCCATTCGCTGCGCCATTCTCGCCGAGTTCATCGGGAACGTGATCTTCTTGATGGCGATGAAGAGAGCGGAGCTCTGCTTTCGCGCTCGGAGATGGAACAGGTTCACGCGACGCCCGTGGGCAGGAAACGGCCAACGGTCACTCTTCGATATGGGCCACTCAAAATCTACAGCAAGAAGATCGACGCAATCAACTACTACGAGGAGAAGCTGCGAGTGATGGACGAGAAGGTTAACGCCCTGAGAAACTCTGAATTCAAACCGACACCGTTGGCCTTTGTCACCATGGAATCGACGGCTGCGTGCCAAATGGCCGTACAAGCGATTCTCGACCCAAAACCCGGACAGCTCCTTGCGAGCTTAGCGCCGCCACCGGCCGACGTGGTGTGGAAGAACACATACCTCTCCAGGAATCACCGCATGGTCCGGTCATGGACCATAATGGTCTTTATCGGCCTCCTGACTATCCTCTGGGCTGCCCTCGTTGCTCCTCTGGCAGGTCTTCTCAGTATCGAGGTCATTGACAAAGTGCTACCCGGCCTTGCAGCCGCCCTCGAAGATCATCCGATTATCCGCTCGCTGGTCCAGACAGGTCTGCCAACCTTGTTATTCTCCGTATTGGCATTGGCCGTGCCCTACCTATACGATTGGCTCGCCAATCAGCAAGGCATGACATCCCAGGGCGATGTCGAGATGTCAGTGATATCCAAAAACTTCTTCTTTATCTTTTTTAACCTCTTTATCGTCTTCACCATCTGGGGTTCTGCCACTACCTTCTACGACTTCTGGCAGGATCTACGAGACATCCTGCGAGACACTGCAGGAATTGCGTATGCGGTCGCCAAAGCTCTTGAGCAGCTTTCACCCTTTTATGTCAATCTGATTGTACTCCAAGGCCTGGGTCTCCTGCCTTTCCGGCTGCTCGAATTCGGCTCGGTCGCACTGTATCCATTCTACCTCATCAGCGCAAAGACACCCCGGGACTATGCAGAGTTGTCTCAGCCGCCGATCTTCAGTTATGGCTTCTACTTGCCGCAAACCATGCTCATATTCATCATTTGCATTGTGTACAGCGTCCTTCCTGCCTCGTGGATGATCACTTTGTTCGGCTTGGTGTACTTCCTCATTGGCGGCTTCATCTACAAATATCAGCTGCTCTACGCCATGGAACATCGCCAGCATTCCACCGGTCGAGCCTGGCCGATGATCTGCAACCGAGTCATTACCGGACTGGTTCTCTTCCAAGTTGCGATGACGGGTATTCTGGCGCTCCGGGGCGCTCTGACCGCCTCGTTATTTCTGGCCCCTTTGTTGGCCGGTACTATTTGGTTTACTATATATTTCCAACGGACATACGTGCCTCTGATGCGGTTCATCGCGCTTCGAAGCATCGATCGTCCAGGCACACCTCAACTACCCACGCCGCCAGAGTCATCGTGGGACAGAGATACCGAATATGGGCGAGCTGTCGATACAGACCCTGAATCTGGTCTCCGCTATATTAACCCGAATCTCGTCCAGCCTCTGGAGACCCTATGGATAAGGAAACCCGGACATGGACGCCCTCCGAACGAGTGAGAGATTGAGATTAGAGGAGTATTCGTTTCAACCTTTCCTTGGAGCATAGCAAGCGAAGTGATTGAATTTGTCGTCGTCTTCTTCAGAGATACCCATGTACACAGTTGTCACCCAGATCATCTTCATACCCCTGACTCTACGCAGTAATATATAATGTGTCAACCAGCTGGACAATCACACAGAACACTGGCCAGCTGAGCAGGTTCCCGAGACAGCTCGTTCCCGTCATGACATCCAGCTTGGAGGGTTGCTCTTTCTCCTTCATATTGTACAGGCGCAACTGACAGCCATTCCTACGGCCGCTCGAGTTCAGGCAAGTTCAATGCTCTCGTCTGGGTCACGTCATTCAATCATTCTGCAGTTGCAGCTCGATGGCTGCGCAAGTCGGTCCGTCAGCTCTGGTTTCTCTCGGCCCTCTACGGCCAGAACCTCTTGCTTCCTATTTCCACACCTATCTTTATCTCGACGCTCTCGTTTGTTCCATTTCTCCCGTTACATCCATTCTCTTTATCACTACTTGGATCCAATTTAGCTGCTGCCATCCTGGCTTTCGAGATCCTCGTGTCTCGAGGCTTTGCATCTGTGCACGACCGCGATCTCAGGATGCTCTACCCTGCCAGCCACCACTTCTGGCAGGAGGACCGACCCTCACCCTCTGCGGAAGACTTCATGCCCGGCTGTCGAGCAGAGACCACGAGTCGAAGCCAGGAAAGAGCACGTTCAGGGTTGATTCATCCTGCAGATTGTCCAATCCAGCGCTCAAGCCTTGACTTGCACGGCGCTGGTTTGCCCGGTATATCTCGCCCTGGCTCAAAACGTCCACGCGGTCCAGAAGATCATCGCCAGCCAAATGAACGCCAGGATCGAGAAAAAGTCGCCGTTGTTTCCAGTCAGGCCTGCGGCGTCATTGAAATTTCGCTCGATTGCCCCATTGTCTGTTGTGGACTTACAAAAGATCACGCAGATCCTATCCGAGACTCGCACCCAAAGCAGCTTTGCCCTTCAAAGTCACTTGCTGTTGCCCTCACCAAGCAGTCCTATGGCTTTCGTCCGCGTCCTTTAACAAACTCCGCCGCATCAAACCTCTTTGTCTTACAAGGCACGACAGCTTCAGTTGAGGAAGAGGGGTTCCCGGCTGGCCAGAGACCTGATCGAACTGGATTCGGTGTGATGAACACAATGGACGGCGCATGTGATGGCCCCGATGAACCTGCTTCCACCCCAATCGGTCGGACCTCCAGTGTCATCGATTTCAAGGAACAACCACCCCCGCCATCTGTAGTGCACTTCTTGTCTGACGACCATTTGAACTGGAGAGAAAGAGAACCCGCTACTTTTGTCAATCCGTTCACTCCCGAAGAATCCTCGTCCAGAAAGACCTCCACCTCTTCTGATGCCACAGCATACCTCCGCCCAAATGCTTTTGCCGGTCACCGAGACACGCTGGCAAGACTTCATTTCAACACCAGGTACAATGACGACGACGATTCTGCAGACAGTGACACCGACTCCTTCGCGACTGCTCTTACCCGTCAGCCGTCGGTGTCTAGGACATATAGAAAAGCCAGCCAAGCGGGGTCGAATCTGGACCTCTTTTATCCCCAGAGGGTTGTCGATACGGTGCTCCAGCATCTAACGTTTGACGAATACAAGACTATGCGACTAGTCTGCCGCCATTGGCATGCGCATCTTCCTCAACCCAAATTCCCCGGAGCGTATCTGCTTCCGCGAGAAATACTCAAGGAAGTCTTTTCCTACTTAGATCCCTCTAGCTTTGACGCAGCCCGCCATACGTGTAAAGCCTGGTTCTTAGTCAGCTTAGATCGCAAACTCCTGGAAGCTATGCTTAGGGCAAGCGGCTGTCGAGCTGCGTTGGCCACAGATCTCGAGCGAATGCGTGGGTCGATTGAGGGGAAGAGACGAAGCTGGGACAGTTGCCTTGGCCCAATGCAGACCGACGCCGAAGATATCATCGACAAAGAATGGCTATGTTCCAAAAGATTGGCCACCGAAAGTCGTCTCTCGCCTGACTGGCGAGGCTTTCTCCTGCCCAGTGATTCCTCCCCACAGTCTAGACTGTCAGTCATCGAGGAGGTCGACTTCTCCAGGATCCTCACCTCACACGCCCCACGGAAAACGCCCAGGTTCACGGTGTCAGCGTGTGGCAGTTTTGTCCTAGTGGTTTCGGGAGGCGACATATCCGTCTATAGCCTGTGTGATCCAGAGCAGCCGCTTGCCCCCGTGGTCAGGCTGGCCACCGGTATTGAAGTGTTGAAGGTCAGCATGGATACTACCTTCGGACGATACTCCATTGCTGCTCTTCTGTCAGGCCGCATCGGCATGCTGTGGGATCTACGTGGCAGCCATATCCTGACCAGATATCGGAATAGTTCCGGCGAGACAATGAGCTTGAGAGTGCAAAAGGATATTCACGGTCCAACCAACTTAAACCCGTCAACGCTGGCTAGTGTCAACTTGCCCTTCAATTCACATGAAACGCATGCTGTCGGTATGTCTCATTCCAGCCTTGCGCCATCGACGTCCACTTCTGGGACTCTGTCAAGTTCTCTATCCTTGTAGGACGAGGAGATGCGTCGCTCGGAGAGTCCAGAGGAGATGGAAGGGTTGTACGGAATGGATGACTCGGACCAAGTCCAAGATCTTTTGGGAATCCCGATCGAAACTCGGGCAACAGCCATTTACACTGACCTCGGAGGAACTAATGACCCACCGAAGAGCGTGGCGATTTGCCCCAATCGAAAGTGCGTTGCGTTTGGATGTCGAATGGGCATCGAACTTCACTGGGTCGACGCTGTTACGGGGGAGCATCTCAACCGTTGGTTTCCACTTGCAGCGCCGAGCAACTATCTCTATTTCCTTCCTCCACGACGTGGTGTGGACTCGAGAAAGAAGCTCAGATTGATATCAAGTGCCGCAGGACCTGTCATCACTCGGCTGCTAAGAAGTGACAGCACACCAGCCAAGTCGAAGCACTGGCCTACCCCTCCCAACCTTGGACGACGACAAAGCCTGACAAGATTGTTCTTTGGAAGCCTCCCATTTCCGAGGTCGGCCGGTGGCTCAGAGGACTTATCTGGTTCATCCACCCCGCAACGAGCGGATGAAGGCCGAGGGGTTTTGCGGACGGTGGATTGTGATCACTTTTATGCGATCCCCGTCAGCGACGGCCTCCACCTTCTTTTCACGGATCCGGATAGTGGCTTAGTCTGCTTGGGTAGCGACGCCCCTTTGGGAGGTCCAACGAAACTTGATCGGAAGATCATGTTCATTCCTCCCGGACAGCACGATCGAACGCCTGCCCCACGCTGCTATGCATTTGGCAAAGCCCTGGAGTGGGGTCTGAGGCTCGTCGTTGCCTACGACACCGATCAGGTCGTGCTCTACAATATTCCCTCTGACGTGTTTGAACGGCTGCAAGACCAGAGAAGCCCGACTGACGTCTGGGACGAGAATTCTGGTGTTGTTGGGCAAAGTGATCTGATCATGGACTCTTTGATGAATCGCGACGAGAGCCGGGATCGAGAAGCCCCAGAAGGCGACGACAGCCCTGCTCGCGAGCCAATGCGGCTTGATGGCTCTGTCATTGCTGATGTTGGTGACCAGGTTGTGGACGACATTGCGGTCCAAAGTGAAAACGGTGGCCTTTCTGTTTGGCTCTTCTACAGAGATGGATTGGCTGAACTCTATAGCATCTATGCGCCGCATCCCCGCCAAGTCCAAAGAAGGTTCGTGGGAGAGAATGGTTTGATCTGGAACTCTGACAACCAGATTCCTGTCGAGGTCAAGACCGATACCCTGGAGTCAAAGGGCAAAGAGAGAGCGAATCAGGAATCCAAGCACGTCAAATGGGCCGGCCAGGGAAATCAGTGACCAAGCTTTGAACGTGAGAGATTGTGATTTCGGATTGGCGGCGTCGTCTATGAATGTCTATTATGCTTCTACAGAAGCGGGATTGGTGGCTGTGGAGGAGAGTCGTGGATGGCGCAAGGAGATTGACGTCGTGCACCTACCCACCTTCACCTTCCAGAGGACGGGTTCCTCCAGAACGGAATTGTTAGAGCGAAGCTAGATTGGTACAAGACCCTCATATTAATATGCATTGAGCATTCCTTCTCGACACACGAACAGGTGAGTTTACTTCTTTTCACCCTCGCACCGTCCCTTTGCGCGACTCTCGGCAGTTTATACTCAGGGCCCCATATTCAGAGCCTTCAACAGCGTTCTTCCCAGTCGTTTAACTTGCTCCGCTGTCGTAGTCAAACTCGTCATGAAGTAAATCACATCCCCCAAGACCCGCGAATGGATCCCACAGCCGTCCTCGTCCAGCAACGTCAACAGGCGTGATTGTAGCTCCGCGGAGGCTGTCGAAGTGTAGCCTCCACTTGAACCTTGAGGGGCGGCCATTTTCAGGACGAGGACAGTGCCCAGGGCGAAACAGCCGGTCAAGCGGGGATGATGGGAGAGTTCCTGGAGGAGCGACGGAGGGAAGAAGGAGTAGATGTCGGGACGGTCCTCCGTCCCTGAGGATCTCGCTGATGGTTGTGTCTGCCCCGCCCAAGCTCGCTTGAAGCGGCTCCAACTGCCGTCCCGACTTGTGTCCATCCGTCTGTACTCGTCCAGGGCCTTGTTGGCGACCATGCAACCGATGGGGTGCGCGGTGTAGGAGTGGCCGTGCAAGAGGGCGTCGGTCTTGGAGTCGGAGAGGAACGTGTTGAAGATCGACTCGCTCGCGGTGGTGAGGGCCAGCGGCAGGAGGCCCGCGGTGAGGAGCTTGGCGTGCACGGAGATGTCGGGCGCGATGGAGGGGGGCAGCGCCGGCTGGGGAGATTCCGAGGGCGAAGGTGCAGGGCCGTCGAAGTCGGAGGAAGCACACAGGAACGACGACGAGCTGGCGCGGCCGAGGCGGTAGAGGCCCGTGAAGACTTCGTCCGCGATGATAGGGAGGCCGGACCACTCCATCACACCGCCACCACCGCTCTCTGCTGCGTAGTGCATTTGGCCCCCGGCTGCGATCAGCTGGGGATTGGCTCGGATCGTCTTGATGAGCGTCCGTTGGAACAGGGGGTCAACGAAGATCATGCCCCCGGCGCCCATGATGATGGGCTCGAGGATCAGGGCGCCAAAGCGCCGGCCTTGGTCGCGGACGAGCCGTTCGAGTGTCGCGGTGATGTGGGATTCGTACCGTTTCGCGTCTTCCGCCCGCGCATCGAAGTCGAAGAGGGAGCGGAGGGACTCGAAGCGCTGCGGCCCGGTCGCGGTGTGCATCTCGTCTGGCATCGTGAGTTCCCACACGCCGTTCCGCATCAGCACCGACGGCGGATCGAACCAGTGGCCCCACGGCTGGTGCCAGTCCACCTTCTCGTTGAAGACGCTGGGTTCGGAGCAGTTCATGACGCCGATGGTGTCGCCGTGGTAACTGCCCTTCAGGCCCAAGATGGCCACGGGGTTTTGGACACCACCGCCGTCGTCCTTGGTCCACCCGTATCGCTGGCTGGAGGCCCGGAGCGCCATCTTCACCGCGACCTCCATCCCTGTGCTGCCGTTGTCGGTGAAGAAGACCCGGCTCAGACGCGGATTCTGCAGCGTCGACAAGAGGTTGTAGGATATGTCGAGCGCGGGTTCGTGGACGGCGTGCGCGAACATGACGTGGCCGTAGCGACCGGCCGCGTGGGCTGCCGTGAGCGCGATGTTCGGATTGCCGTGCCCGAGACCCTGTGTCCACCATGATGCAGACGCATCGAAGAGGGGTGTGAGGAGCGATTTGGGGGTAGGTTGTGCCGCCAACGGAGTCAGTCCCGACATCGCACTGGTCTTGGGCTCCTGGAGTGCCGGGTCTGCTTCTTGGTTGTAGGTCTGGAAGTGGTCACTGTACGCCGAGTCGATGGCGATGATGTTGTGCGGGATTCCGTGCTGGCGGAAGGGGTGCCATATCACCGCCTCCGCCTGGGAGGGCATCGAGGTCAGCTTGGAGACGCGGGAGAAGTGCTTTTGGTTGAGCAAGTCGACCAAGTTTCGGGCGCCACCCGTCTTCGACCAACCGCCGTAGTAGCTCGAGAGGGCGCGCCTGTCTTCTTCGCCATCCTGATGCTTCGGCGGCGGTTTGGGCAGGGCAAACGTGGAGATGCCGTGGTGCCGGAAATACTGGTCGAGATAGTCAAAGTTGCCCCACTCCGGGTCGTCAAACAGCACGACCGAGTCGACGTCGAAGCCCCGAACATGCAAAGACTCAAAGGCCGAGATGGTGGTCGCGATCCCGCCGAGCTTGCTGTCTCCCACCAGGATCGTCGGGAGTCTCAGCGGTCGGTACAGATCGGCTTGGACGGTGCCGGAGGGGCCAGGGGACAGGACGCCCCCGGCAGTCTCGACGAAAGCATACCGGCCTCCGGCCTCGACATGCTTGCCCAGGATGGCCTTGACTTTGGACAGTATTGAGGCATCTGACCGCGGGATCTGGAACTCGTCAGTCGTTATGTGGACCCGGATACTCACGTGCCCAAGAACTCGCTCGTACCGATGGGTCTTTGTCCAATTGAGCCGCCAGATGGGGGCTCAATGGACGTGAGAACTGCGAGATGTTCTTCGACACCGTCCCGGGCACAAAGGTGTCGATGTGTCTGCCGAGCTGGTGTCAGCTTTCCCGGTACATGCCCTAAAATGGGGTGCGTGAAGCTGACCCTACATCTTCCTCGTCCCGGGGTCCAGTGGAGACAGGCTTCAAATACAGCACACGCTGGTCAGGAGTCTGGAGAGCTCGACACAGCAGCGTCGACACAATGGTCTTGCCGACGTTTGTATTGGCGCCATAGACCTGCCATGCCTTCAGGTCACGCCACAGCATCACGCTCAGCACCCGATGAAAAGGAAAAGAAAGCAAAAAAGATATAAAAAAGAGCGAACAAGGTCCGAGGACAGGACAGAGAATTGGGATGCTTCGAGCCGCTAAGATTTGTTCCTGCCAAGGGATGGTAAAAGTGCTCGCAGCTCACCCCGGATTAGGACGGAGGTGATGCCGCCCTGTACTCACCGCCGGCTCGTGGGGGCCAAGACGCCTAGCAATAGCATGTAGCGCTAACCCCTTACCAGAAGTTGTGGGCACCTGTTGCAGCTGTTCAAGGGTGACTGGGGTCAACATATGCTCTGCCACAATGCCCAGACGGGTGAGCCTGAAGATTGGGTGAAAGTCAACCCCCATTGCTGCCATCTGTGGTTGAGCGAGCATCGTCACCCGATACTGCATGTCCATGTCTTCTTTGCTCTTCCTGACCGTCTCAAGTCACGCCAGGTAGCACAGGAAAAGGTCATATCAACATCATTGATTGTCTCTCTTTGTATACGAAGCTAGACACTGTGATCGGAGAGGTGTTTTGGCGAACCTTCTCATAACCCCGGCCCCCTTTCCTAACATCAAAGCCGGTCTCAGATGAGGTCCAGCCCTGTACATAGGATATCTCTCTTCCCCGACCACTCAAGAATCACTCGCGTTGCAGTCATCATTGTTGCACCTGTCGTGAGTGCCAGGGCGACGGTATTGGTGGTAAAACCATCAGACCCTTGCAGCAGACCTCCAATGTTGGTGCACGTCTTTCCCGCAATCTTGATCCATTCCTCCACGGCCAAGTACACGCTGTATCCGGCGCTGGCTGCCCACGATTCGATGTGGAGAATGGCGAGCATGAGCATCTGTCCGATGTTGGAGAAGAGACCAAGTATGTATGATACCTTCTTACCCGCAAGGGCTCCAAACACGGGAATGGCCCCAATGACCCACATGACGAAGCGTTTGGCAAACCACGGATCTTCATCCCATATCTTCTTGAAGCTGAAGGTCCCATTCAGAATGTCCTCCTTCTTGATTTTGGCAATGGACGCGAACTGTCCGAGCCAAACAACCAACTTGAGTGCGGCGCTCACAAGACACTTTTTGAAGCTATAGGTCCCTTCGGAGACGAAGGTTTTGGGCCAGGACCAGAGACCGTAGAACAAGAAGCCGCCGATGGGAATCCCAAGCTTCAAAACGTTTGCACAGATGCTGCTGGAAGCTATGAACCGCTTCTGATTTGCTTCAATGGCTGTCCGTCTCTCACTGGACACCTTCGGACTAGGCGAGTTGGCCATAATTCTCTTACTCACAACATGTGTTGTTGTCGACTCTACCGTTCTCGGGCGGAATTGCGACTTGTCCTCGAATATCGCAGCATTCCCCTGCTGTCGAACACGGCCCATACGTTGATCGAGCTCTCCGCGATGTGCATCTCGCTGGGTCAGTGACCCTACACCTTCCATGTCTTTGGGCTTTTTGCCGGTCACAATCTTGAAGAGAATCGTAGCGGGTATCGCCAGCAGCAACGCAACAACGTCCAAAATTGTCATCTGGCTGCCGCGCGAGATCTTTTTGTACAGCGCCGACAGGATGGGGATCTGGATTGGTTGGTTGATACCATCTGTGAAGAGCAGCAATATTTCGCTGAATGCACCAAGGATTGCGGCTATGACAGCCTGGATTAGCCCGAGGAGGTCTTCGAGCAAATCAATGCCGAGTTTGGCGAAGATCTGGTCAAGACTCGGTGTACTAGTCTTGAATACATCCCCGAAATTCGATATCAGCCGGGTCATCAATTGTTCCATCTGATTCCCGAGATTCGAAACACGAGCGAGGATCCGATCAATGGGCGAATCGCCCTTCGAGGAATCTTGTGGGCCACCACTATGGGACAAATGGTAGCTCCCATAGCTGGCCTGTGGTGAATTAATGGCGTCGTCTTCTTTGGAGGTATCTTGCTCAGATTTTGCTTTCTGAAGAGCGTCTGGATTCTTACCGGCCCTCTGTCCTCCTATATCGGGGGGCAGCTTCTGACCTTTCAATGCTCGTACCTTTGTCTTGAGATCTTCGAAGAATTCATTGGTGTTTTCCTCGAGCAAAGCGACCGCATCAACGCCCCAAAGAAGCCCTTGGGTGGTAAGATTGACGATCATGTTTTTGACGTCCAAGATGTCGTCCCATTCGAAGAGAAACTTGATGAAGTCAAGAACCTTCTTGACACCGTCAACGATTGTCTCAAGCACCTTTTGCACCACAGCCACAACGTGCTGAACGGTTTCGACGACGAAATCCCATACTTTCCCAGCAATGCGAACCACGAACTTCCATGCTTCGCCGACTTTCTCGAAGGCCCATTTAGCGCCCTGTTTGATTTTTTCGCCAATCGTTTTGAGTCCACCCCAGACACGCCTCCCAACGTTACCGAAAAAGTCTCCAATATCGCCCAAGAAAGACCTTGCTGACATCATGTTTGATTGACCAGTAAAAGGTTTGGTTGTCTCAATAGGTTTGCCTGCAGCCAGAGATTTTCGAGCTTCCCCAAGACTCTTGAGAGCTCCATATGCTGATTCAAGATCGTCCTTGCTTGCGTCGGACTTGACCAGGAACGTGCCGTCTGGTAGTTTCAAGCTTTTCAAATCGTCGGAGTTTTTGACGTCCGCCAGCTTGTTGAAAAGCTTGTTGCTGGGGTCAATCTTATACGGGCCGTTGGTTATGCGTTTTGATTGTGAGTTCAGATCCTCAAGCGTCAAGATAGGTGCAGCAAGTGACTCGTCACTACGGAGAATGACTGTGATGGCTCCGGAAGCGTCTGTGCTGACCTCCACGCCCTCAGGGCTGCCCCGTTTTGATTTACCGTTGACGAGCATCTCCGCAGTGGTTGAGCATCTCAACTTGAAGGGACTATTCACCAAGTTATCGTCGGTTTTCGAATCTTGCACCAGGATCTTGATGGTGTAGGAATCGAATTCAGTCATCTCGTCAATTTCTGGGATGAGAACCTCGACCGGAGCATGCCACAACGCAGTCTGATTGTCCTGTTCTAACATGACCATACCTCCAGTCCGATTGATGACGAATAGCTTTTGGCCAAGCCGCAGACTTTGGACTGTGGCGAATCTATCGCTCGTAGAGTCCCCAAGCAAAAGCGGGATTGGCGGAGTCCTCGGCATGGGTTCAACAAAAGTCGTTCTTGCGTCGAATTCCTGGTACGAAAGTGTGGCTGATGCTGTCAAAGACCATACTGATAACCATTCTTTCGTTTGAGAGACATGGAGCTGTTTGACGTCGACGTAGGCATCCGACGTGTCCAGCGTGATTGGTTCTGTGTTTCCCTCAACGCAACCTTGAGCTCCTACCCAGGAGAGTTGTTTTCCTCCAATCAACAGATCTGTAAATCCGTTACCGTTATCAAACGATGCTATCTGATTTGCGTCGGCGGGGACGATCTGCTCAATGCTCTTGAGAACAGGTGTTGCTTCCTCTGGATCGAGTCCCACAAACCGCATGGATAACTTTGAGCTAATGTGTTTACTCTCCTTGTAAAGCACAAACATACCACGGTACATTGGGAGGTTGGCAATGCATTTGGAGACAATCTGACCGGCATTGACAGGCATCTCGAATTTGTGCGGGTTAGCCCAGGTCCGTGTACCAGAATTGACAATCAGAATCCATATGTCTTCTGTTACCAGAGTCCGCTGTTGATGGACTAGATGGATTTGTGGGTAGGATTTGGTTGGTCCAGATCCATCGTTGCTCGTTCCCTAAAGCCGAGTTAGTTTTGAACGCAACCTCTGGGTCATACACACAAGCAAGATTTCTTTGATAGTGATGTCCCATTGAGGACCCTTGTAGAAAGCGCTGGTACCTGATAATGCGATCCAATCCTCCCTTTTAGCCGACATTGGTTGAAGGACAAAAAGCTGGTCAGCTTTGCCGTCCTCTTGTATGGCAATAACCAGGTGAATAGTGCCATTGCCATTCTGTGAAACTGCAAAGGTTCGGACCAACTGTTGCTTGGAAAATCCCAATTTGTGAGAGAGATCTACCAACTCATTGTGGCCTTCGTTTCCTTTCAAGATCAGACATAACCGATCACGTTCATCTTTGGTGAAGATTAGGTGCTCTCCTTTGTCGTCGAGAGCCACGGCAAAACTGCCACGTGGTTTGACCTGACCAGCAGGGAAAGCATTGGTCATGTACTCGCACTGGGCTGATACTTTGGCCATGTTGAATACCAAGAACCAATACGTTACCAGATGCGACAGATAGTGCCTGGTTGCAGGAGCAATATCGCGCGGGATATATAGTTTGGCTCTTCGACATGTCAAACATCAAATTAATCCTTCAGGCCGCTTCACCGACATCGCTATTGTTGCCACGGTTCTGAATGCATCTCCCACTGCATGGCGCACCAGCTCTTCAGCTCGCCATGTCCGTACATCTGCATCTGGTGGGAGACAGCTGCATTTGGTGTGATAGAGCTGCATTAGTCTGGCGTACGTGGCAGTGAGGGAAGTGCCGGCGAGTCCCGCCCGGTCTAGGCTTTTGAGGACAGCGGCATGAAATGTTTCGACTGCTTTGCATACCAGACAGATTCTGGCCTCTGCATGTTCAGTCCCATCTTCAGCTCAAGTGGCGCATCGAGTCTGCAGTATCTTCATGGGAAAGTATCGACCACCACGGTTAGCATCATGAAGTGTGGGATCTGGATGAGTCTTTTATGCGCTATCCGTATTGCGTTAGTGTTTATATGTATATTGGCTCGCTTGAGATACAACGTGGGGATCTTGAGCATGTCTCGAATCAAATGCGGTTCTGCGAGAGTCGCCACAAGGCACCGAGACTCACCCTCAGCTGGTCATTTTGGACGCCTCAAAGACACCGAGACTTAACCTCAGCTGGATATTTCGACGCCTCAATAGGGATGCGGGTCTTGAAAGAAGAGGTTGGTACTCACGTGGCCACTATTGTAAGGCTCGAACGTTCCGAGAGAAGCACGTTGAGTGCCTAGTAGAGGCGAGATGCTTGCTAAGGTGCTTACCGACGGCCATTGCAGACAATTTCATCTCGGGGCAACATACTAACGACAGCCACATCAAAACCACGTAGTACACAACGCTTCAGCTACTCTGCAGCCGTTCTTCAGCTGCTCCTGCAGCTTGAAGGCCATGCATCAAATTCAGTGCGACATCGGAAAGATACTGTTTCGCTCCCACAAACTGGAGATTTGACACAATATAAGGATGTATCCTGCGACTACTCCTGGTCATCTCCGATCCTTTAACCTCTCGATTGAGATAGCAGAGAACAATGGCTGGCACCAAAGATGGGAAGTCCCGCATGGGAATCACTCTACAGGGCTACCATCAAGTCATTGCTTTGTCGCAGACGAACATCAATCAAGCACTGAAGTATCACTTCACGGTCAACAATCCAAAACTGTGCGACTTTCAAGCATCCCTGGGGCCAGAACATGACCCTGACAACACTCTCAAGGGCAAAATCCTGCCCCCAACCATTGAGCTCATTGATGCGGACAAAGCTGACCAAGCTCTCTACACCATAGAGTTTACGCCAGGTGCAAAGTACACGGGTCTGGTCCAAGATCCCAATGACAGGCGTCATTTGATGCCCAAGTCATTCTCAGCCGAGGGATGGAAGCTCGTGTTCTTTGTCAACTTTTCCATGCAGAAAGCAGCACAATTACCAGAGGATATCCAAAAAATCGTCATGAAGACAAACGCATATAGCGTGGACCAGCTTGTGGTGGTCTTCGGAACAGCAAATCTGTTGACTTTCAACTGGGACAAGTCCAAGTTCCCATCGCTGGCGTCCGATAAAGAGGCATTGCTTGATGCCAAAACCGTAATGTCACAATTTATTGAGAAGTGGCTATTGTCTCTAGCCAGTGCCGACCCCGGGCAATCGCACAATGTCCTCGGCTATACTCTCAAGGTCGATGTGCCTGGTGACGCCTCACGCGGTCAGTTGTTGGAAAAGATAGGTGATCCGAAGGTTCCGCCATCATTCACGCCTGCAGCTGTTCAGTTTCAGACGATCGCAAATAAGCCCGATGCAGCATCTCCTGGTGACCCTGCGGACCCATACAACGCTTTTCTCTTCACCGAAATGTGTTATACGGAGAGCCCAGAAGAAGTTGCGAGAGGGAAAATCGTGCCTCCAAGGTTCCCTTCCAACGACCTGGCTTGGAGCGGAAATTGGTTCTACGACAGTATTGGAGGTACGATGGCCATGTCGAGCGAAATATTCCAGAAAGAATTCATCGGCAAATTGGTAGAGCCACTCCATGTAGCAGCCACTCGCTTTGCGGAGCCTTTGGCCAGGCGGCAGACGTGGGACGCCGATGACCGGGTGGCACAAATGAAGCCCAAGAGGGATTTCTTGCCTGCGTGGACCACCCCAAAGGGCTGGGAAAAGACTGCTGAGAACCATTGGTTGTACAAATCTCTCCTGCAAGCCACCCACAGCAACGTGAGGTGGTTCGAAGGCGGCAAGGCGGATCTTTACAACGTCGCTATCAATGTCGACTCGGTCATGACAACGGTGATAGCAGCCATCCCGGCGACTGGAAAGTTTGAAATTCGACAAGTTATCCAGACGGTCACCAAGTGGACGCACGAAAGCTATGTCTTTGACGCGACCTCAACCTTTCATTGGAAATACATTGTGCAACTCGATGCTGTCAGCTCGAACGCAGAGCTGACCGCACATGTGGAGTATGAGAAAGGAGCACAGGACCTCACCTCAACAATAACGGACAAGGGCAAGGTGATTCACGGTGTGGGTAGTGACGAGCCGGACGACGAGAAAACCAAATGGGACAGATATCAGGACCTTCTCAAAAGCACCATCGTCAACAAGATGACAGACACCAGCTCTTTCACCAGCAAAATCCAAGATGGCTTGAATGGGCAAAAGCGATTCGTCTTCCCTGGCGGCGGGACCTTTGACATGAAGGACCCAATATTCACGAATGCTGGAGATCTCATGCTAGGACTGGTTTATCGTGAAAGGAAAGCGAAAAAGCCGGCAGCGTCGACGTGAGCCTCGATTCACGTCTTCTAGCAGAGAGACCTGGACAGTACAACACAGGCGATGATGCTCGTAGATAATTCCATGTAGAAGTTCCGACAGTGTTCGTACTTTCTTCAAGACATCAAAATTCTCATTGATTTGTTCTCTGTCAACCTGCTATAGTTCTTCTCTCGACCTGTTTACTTCCTCCATATGGACACACTGCCCGACTCACCCGTAGACGAACACGTTTCTCTCACCGTCACGCTCGAAGTTGTCCTCCTCATGGTCACGGTCTTCATTGGTGTGCTGAGACTGTTGTACCACGAGCTCCCTCAATGCGCGACCAAGCGCGTCGGGACCACTGGGGGAGAAGCGGTATGGCGCAGATCCAGCTCAATAACTTGATTACCATCCACAACGCACGCTCTCGTGAGGCCCCTATTCATACATCGGCTCGAGCTCAGTTGTGGCCTCGGGCGTATCAAAGTGAAGGTGACAAGTCTGCCGAGCGACGAGTATGATGCTGACCACAAATTAGGATATAGTGGAGGAAGGATCGACTTACTCGGTACACCCGCGGCGTTCGTCTGACCACGGAGGAACTTTGACATTGCGACAGCTACAACCTCGGCCGCCAAGCCACGGCCCGCTTTTGATTGTTCCGGGACATTCCGACTCTCCGATTGGATACCGAAAACTCCCTATCCCGCGCCACCTTCCCTTTTTCGGGGGATTTCGATTGAACGCCGGGGCGGGCTATCCATCGGCCTCAAACTTGTTGACCCAACATTATTATTTCATTTCTCCCTCCCTTAACTAACCCCCGGCTACAACCAGAGACGGGTTTACTGTGAAGAAATCAGGAGAGCCACCTGTCCCGTACAGTCAGTCTCCAGCCATGCCATCATCGTCCCCATTGGAAAAGCGCCTGTCTGCTCTCCTGGAGAAGCGTCGAGCTCAGTCAAAGCTCCGCATCCTCAAGTCGAGCCCTCCCGGCTCCGTCGACTTCTCCTCCAACGATTTCTTGTCGCTGTCGACCAACAAAGAGTTCCAGGATGATTACCTGGCGGGGCTGAATAGGAGCCATACGCCCATTGGATCAACGGGCTCCAGGCTGCTGGACGGCAACTCTGAATTGGCCGAGAGCCTCGAGCGGGACCTTGCTGCTTTTCATGGCGCCGAGGCTGGCCTCCTGACGAACTCGGGCTTTGATGCCAACGTCAGCATCTTCACGTTCCTTCCTCAGCCGGGGGATGTCATCATCTACGACGAACTCATCCACGCCAGTGTCCACGACGGCATGAGGCAATGCAGGGCAAAGCAACAAATCCCCTTCAAGCACAACGACGTGGAAGACCTGAGTCGGATCCTGCAGCGATTTTCCTCGTCGAGTCCGAGTCAGACCATTTTTGTCGCCGTGGAGACCGTCTACAGCATGGAAGGTGATCTCGCCCCTCTGACCGAGATTGTCGATTTGATCGAAGCCATGTTGCCTCGCAACAACGCCCATTTGGTGGTCGATGAGGCCCACGCGACTGGCGTCTATGGGCCCAACGGCTCCGGCAGAGTCTGTGAACTGGGCCTGGAAAAGCGTGTTTCCATCCGCCTCCATACCTTCGGGAAAGCGCTTGCCTGCAACGGCGGTGAGTAACCCGACAACCACTGCTAATGCATGCCTGTTTGGCTGACGAGATTGTAGCAATCGTCCTGTGCTCTCCTGTCATCCGTCTCTTTCTCATCAACTATGCACGACCACTGATATACACAACCTTCATGTCATACCCTTCCCTCCTCGCGATCCAGACGGCATACGATTGGCTCAAAATAGGTAAAGCGAATCTGGTATGAAGCGTCCGACTCTCTCTGTACCCTGCCTCAGCTAACATCTGCCAGCTTGCTGCAAACCTCTATCATCTGATCGATCACCTCTACACCCGGTTACAGAGCTTGGCACCTGTCGTCGCCGAAAGTGGGCCCGTGTCGAAGACTCTGGTGTCTCTGCCGACCACGTGTCCCGAGTCGCCCATTTTCGCCATCCTGAGCCCCAATCCTCGGTCATTGGCCTCGTACTGTCAGTCGGCCGGGTTCATCGTGCGCCCGGTCGTCGCGCCGACCGTTCCTGAAGGCACGGAGCGTGTGAGGGTCTGCCTCCATGCGGGGAACACCGTTGAGCAGATCGATCGGTTCGTCGAGTGTGTCAAGGAATGGATTGTCAATGAGGGCGCACGGAACGCCCATCCAGAGCAGCCGAGCACTCCGCAAACCCACGCGATCAGCCCGCGGGTGGGGCTGAAAATGGGTAATAGTGTTCTCGCAAAAATATAGTCAATTGATCCGTGTGCCGGTGTACCTCTGCAGCAGCCTGCAGTGGGGCAGCCTTTAGTGTCGGCGCATTTGATATTGATCCTTGTGCTTCCCAGTTCGAAGATGTTCACCGGGTATCTGTACCTGTGTGGGTTGGGTTGATCGATCCAGCCAACAGCTCGGCCATTGTAGTTGCACTAGTCGCGGACTGCCATGTCTCCGCTACCAGCTCACAGTTGACCCCCTTTGACACTGCACGCGCCCCAACCAACATTCGGCTGCTGGCTAACGAAGCCAAGCGAGAACCACTGTGTATATACCGTCAGATAAGCTCCAACAAGACCCAGCAAGCCTTACAGGGTCACGAATCGCTTCATGCTTGGCAAACACGGCTCGCTTGCAAAACGGGGGGCGAACCGACTCAACCATTGGCCCAACTCCAAAGTCTGAGGGAGCAGCTGTCCTTTTGACGTTTCCTGCATCAACCATGGCTGGCAAAGCCGATTCGGTAACGGCGAGCCTCACAAGTGTCGACCACCCTCGAGCTTCTCTGCCAAGAAGCGGTCTGGAGTGTGGCGCCGAGTGCGCCTTGCTTATCCGCGTCTTCCCATTGTTGTGAGAGTCTCGACGTTCACGAACACGAGGCAGCCGCTTCTCCTGGATTTCCTATGGCTCTTATGGCTCGGTCTAACAGCCTAGGTTTTCAGCCGCAGTTTCAAGACCGAAAATTGGCCCCATCACCGATGAATTCAAGAACGTTGAAAAGGAAAGCTCAATCCCTGCTGACTTCTCCTTCCTCAGCCGAATGCTTGAATTCAGGCATGCGAAGGATTTGAGAGGCTTTGAGAACCACGACATCAGCTTGGTGTCATGTCGGACAAGGCTGATGACACCATCGAAGTGATCGGGGTAAGCTTTCCCATCTTCGTCTTGCCGATGTAGCAGTTCTTGTTTCGCAACCTTGACCCTAACACGTGCAACCTCGGTCCTAGATCGGTCTTCCGCGAACAGGAACCTCCTCGCTGCAGGGGGCGCTCCAGATACTGGGATACAATCCATGTCATCACATGGTCAGCGACTGGCTGAGCGATGCAAACGGGCGTGGCCAAAGATGGATGGAGGCGTGGAATGAAACCAACAAGGCCAAAAAGCACGCCATGATCCGTGATCTCTTGAAAGGCTATAAAGCAGTCGTCGATTTTCCGGCAAGTATCATGGTAGAAGACTTTGTTGAGGCGTATCCCGACGCAAAGGTAAGCCCGTCGAGGAGTCAACTGGCCACGGATTGGGCTGGTCATCTTGTTCTCGTCTTGTCATTGCGAATCCCATCCTCACTATCCTCCCTCCCGTGCAGGTCATTCTGTCCACCCGCAACTCCGCACAGCAATGGCGGGAATCCTTCTCCAAAACGCTCGATCTCACCTACTCACCATTGTGGTACATTGCCACCTGGATGTTCCCCTCGACGCGTCTTCTGGTCCTTCAAATTGCACCGAAATGGGAAGAACAAAACCGCCAATTGTACAATGCGACCGTTTACCGCACGCCCAGCACGGACATCTACTACCGCCACAACGAGTATTGTCGCAGGGTTGTCCCCAAGGAAAGGCTATTGGAGTACCGCGCAGGAGAAGGGTGGGAGCGACTTTGCGAATTCCTCGGAAAAGAAGTGCCCTCGGGCCAAGAATATCCTAGGCTTTTTGCAAAGGAGGATCTGAGGAGGTGGTTTCTGGCAGGAGCTGCCATCGGCTGCGTGATGTGGGCTGCGGGAATTGCTGCTTGTGCGACGATCTGGTATTTCGGTGTGCCATTCCTGAGGAGCAGGTGGGGACCTGGGAGAGTCGAACTGTAAATTGTCTTCGATAGCTTATTAGCAAACGTCGTCTCAGGTGAACATGCCAGCCACAGGCGAAGAGACTTGCTACGCAAGCTTACGACAGGAAACTCCCTTCGCGGATACTGTTGTAACACTCGGACTGTCCTAAACACTCAAGCTCGAATCAGTCTCCTTTGGGATGGCAGAGTACATGAAGTCCGCGGAGGCCAAGACACAATCCCGTGGCTCTCCAGTTCAGGGACTCCACTCCAGGTCCGGTATAGCCAAGCCTGCGCAACATAGTTTGTCTGATCCATTCCCAGAATTGGTGTCAATGCTGAGTGGGAGGGGACAGTATGCTCAGACAGGGAGGGATGCAGACAAAAGTCTCTTTCTCCAACCAGAGCTGCACAGGCGGCCAGCTGGGACTAGAAGTCGTCGCCCACCGTGCTCGCCCAGGAATAATGTTAGAATAATAATAAGGCAAGTTAATCACCTCGCTGATGTCTTTCCCAGTCAATCCAACGTCTATCCATCGTCTGGCCACATGACAGGTAGCTGTGCTCACTTTGCCAGAACAATGATGTGGCTGCAAGCAAAGAGTTGAATTGGGGAAAAATACAGGAGCCAGCGGGTCTGAGCCAGCCAAGGGAAGAGGCAAGTGTGGCTTCTCAGGCGCTTCTCTGTGTGAGATGGGAAAAAGGAAAGCCCACGAGACTTTGAAGACCAGACTCTGTCGGCAGTGCGGCGTCGTGTCCTTGCTGCTTACCAGGCATGGCGTGTGAGTAGGAGGAACAGTCGCGGAGAGTGGTGTCATAGAAGCCGTGTCTATATGTGCGACGCAAAGAATCCTGGTCAAGGTGCACATTGAGGCTGACGGTGCAGACACAGATCCCAGGAAGGGAGTCCAAGTGAAGGGTGAGGCATGGGCTGTAATATGCAGTAATGGACAAAGGAGAAAACTTGATTTAGTTGATGACTAACACGTAAACGGTTAGTTCACTTTGACTAGTAGAGGGAAGATCCACTTTTGTGCCCCGCTAGCCCTTGCCTTAAGAAGATAAGCTTATCGCTATAGTTTAACCAATTAAACAAGATGAATATCCGAAGGCGCAATTACAACTTCCAGCAAACCCGTAACCGCTCGTCCAACATCCCCCTTTTTCCCTCCTGCGGATGCGACGAGATCGGCTAAAGGTAATGGCGACACCAGCGATCCCTTTCCACAGCCGTAGCCTCGAAACTGTCGAGATTCCTGCACACCGACCTCCACCATGAAGCTTGTTCTTCAGACGTCGGCGGCAAAGGAGCGAAGTAGCATCCCTGCTGTTCGTCCTGCATCCCTCGTGAAAACAGCAATCTATTACATAGGGATATATTGTTTTGGCTCAGTATACTACTTCTCACTTCCCTGTTTTCCCTCATACGTCTTCGTGTTCTCATGTTTGGTTGCCATCACGTCCAGTATCCCAGCTTCGTCCGAGTCCATTCATTCAACAACATTCCTAGGTCAGAGCATTACTCGTCCATGAAAATCTTTGGCCAGTTACTCAGGCTACCGCTGCGATTGCGACAAGGAATGTGCCATCTCGACCACGCGGGACCAGTGAAGGAAATAGTGTAAGCCACGGCTCAGCATCGGCATTGGGTTCAGGTCAAAAAGCCTGATACGAAAGAAATTTCCACAATGTTGAAGTCACTACGGCCCATTCTGTTCCGTATCAGTGACTCGGCCCCTGACAAATGGACGGTCTTGCTTCGAGTTCATCTCGTAGAGAATTTGAAACAGAATTTGTCTGTTAACTCGACAGCGCTCTCCTTGAAATATGGGTCGGCTGAAGGGATTTGAAAGCCTGGCTACAATGTTTTCCATCTCTTCTGGTGTCGGATTGTACTGCGCAATCATGTCTTTCGCCACCGAGCAAGAAATACTGTCGCCGTCATCTGCACAGAGAGGTCCGCTCGGCGGCACAAGAAACACGTGGCATAAAAATGAAGACTCGCTGGGTGGGTGTGGCCCTTGGCTTTGCGGCGGGAAGTTCCATCCGTAGGACGAGGTTGGAAGACCATTTGGCGGCCCTATCGTGGACATTGTGACCGTAGAAGCCGTCGACGCCGCCATGAGCTGATAATTGTACTGGGCGTCATAGGGTGGAAGGCTTCCAGAGGACACAGGATGTTGCGGTGCGCAGTAGGACGAGGGGGATGGTGTTGAACAGCATACACTACCGCCTGGTTTCTGGCTCACAGCGGGTGGAGGGTTCGTGACCTCGGGGACGAAAAGTTTGGGCTTCAGTTGTCGGAAAGAGGCTGCCGCAAGCCCACCAGGTCGTGGGAGCGTGGTTTCAACATTGTCAGGATTGATGCCAGCATTTTTCAGAACATCCCGCAAACGAGAATTCTCAGCTTGAAGCTCGGCAAAGGCGGCACGTTGCAGTTCGGCTTCACGACAGGTGATGCGGCATTGTTGCAACTGGCTCTCGAGCTCCGCAAGATACTCCCGACGACGAGCACGGCTCCGTCGTTGATTGTCGCGGACTCGCTGCTGCTTGGATATGACAGCATCGACGTTGGTGCTCCCTTCGCTGCCCTCCGAATCCATGGGTGACCAACGTCGAATTCACCATCCGCTAGCCAGTAGATATATAAGATGGTCCGCTTGGGTGGCACGAAGATCGAAATCGACGGCACGGTTGAAGAGCCGAGGACATGAAGGGACGTCACAAGTTACACCTGATTGGCAAGGTCTCAAGCCAAGAGCAATGGAACAATGTTCCCGAGTGGCTTCAACACCCCAGAACACCAACGCACGCCCAATGGAACAAAAGGCGACGCTTGCTTTAGAACCGGATGTCGCCAAAACCATCTAGAAGTCGCGTGGGTCACCGCCTCCTCCGGCCGAAACCATGAACCAGGGTCGGCTGGTAGAGCAGATGCAACCGGGGTAGTTGGGCTAGGGAAGGAAAGTTGCAGATGCCGACCCTTTCAGCTGAAGGACGTTTTCAATGAAAGGTGCGCCATGGCAGATTCGGGGAGGCGACATTCCCTGAAGATTCTATGACGAATGGGATGGGACGGGACCAGACAACCCAGCTGCAAGACGCAGAGTTGTGATGGCCAAGATACTCCATACCCTATCATAGAACCGCAACCGGTGGTGGTGCCTTGAGATGCCCCAGGCGCCTGGTGAGGTTGCCCGGTTAGCTGTGCAGGGTGGTTGCAAACATGGATGCTAGCGTATCATGGATAGGGAGGTCTGAAGCCAGCCAGGGAGGAAGCTGACCGCTTGCCGGGTACCGTTGGCGGCTCCCCTCCATTTCCACTCACTAGCCCTTGAATATCTGTTGGTAGCTGGGGCCCACGCCTGACTGAAAGGCCGTCTGCACATTTTCGATAAGGGCGGGACCTGCTGGTGCTTGCGCCTGTGCTTGCTTCTGTCGTATTCCTCAGCTGGTGGCATCCCGGCATTATGGCATCAGATGTGATCGGTATGTGGCCAACTATCCTGATGTGATCTCTGAGCTGTTTCGGCAATGTTGTGGCGATCGAAATCGAAGCCGTGGTGGAAACTTCAGCTGCAAGCAAGCTTTGAGTGACCGGATTCTTCGCTTCGCTCTTGGGATCTTACTCGCCACCAGCTTCAGCTTGTGGCGCCGCCCAGATAGAACTTCCGAGGCTCGTCACAAGGATTTGGGGCTAGCACCCCAGAATCCCTCCAGAAGCACGTGTATGTAATAATTAACCAGCACGTTTCGAAGTCGTCATTTCGAGCCAAGCTAGCCGTCACTGGAAGGTCATTGAATTTGACTGCTGTGAAGGAACGCAGATCTAGTCACCCCGATCCACTGTAATTAGTCTGTGGTAACTCAGCTGGCCCCTTTTTGCATCGATAGCCGCGTCGCTGACGGCAAATTCCACGCAAAGCCTCCGAGGTTGGTAGTTCGGCTCCACTTCATCGTGCTACGATTGTTTGATGCCGTGAATGCTCATGGCCTTCGAGATCAACCCTTGGGTGGTAGGCTGGAGGAGCTTAAGAGCCCGGCCTGTGTGGAGCAATCCGGAAATGGTCGCAAGTAGGATGCAACACTGGCGCAGTCGAGGAGGGTGGGAATGAGGAGAGGAGTCCGGAGAACATGGTATTGAAATCACTCTTTTGGCGTTCTGCAAGAGACATGATTGGTACCAAACAGGCGGGCCGTAGGAAAACATCGCCTTTTGTTTCCATGCCGCTTGGTGTCAGGGGGAGGATTTGCTAAAGTCGCCCCCGCCAGGAGGGAAGCGGTGCCTGGAATCTGCGACCCTCTCATCCACTTCCCGGCGATTCCAACGAGGATTTCGCACTGATGCCAACAAGGTAGCACAATATTGCCTCGTACTGACAATCAAGTTACCCCACAATGGGGCCATTTGGGACCTTCATGGAAGCATCCTAGTCCAGGTACGGAGAAGATCTCAGCAAGGACCAACTAGAGACTGCTCTCGCTATTGATAAAGCTTCTGCCAGAAGAAAAACCGATATTGACGTAAGGAATTTGCCGCTCGGTGTCGGGATTTGAACGGGTCGGGCTTTGATGATTTTACAATTTGGAGCTCTGACCTCAGCTGGGAACGATCGTTGTTTGCCCACAACTACGGGGGCCTCACTGACGCTGCCCAGAGACCGCGGCTGCGGGCCCGGCATAATTGCCCGCCATCACGACCACGAATGTAACATCTGGAAGACCTTGCACACAGCCACGCGGCCCAGACTTTGTTTCGAGGCGGAAGCGCCACAGATCAATTCCAACAGCGTGGTTGACACCTCAATGACACGAATCTCTGCATTGATCCCTTAGCGGTACCTTCCTCGGAAGAATACCACGCTGCCTCTGGTTGTTCAATCCAGAAGGACTGACTGATAGCTTCCGCGTCCGAAGCTGGGCAAGAGGGCTGCATGATAGACTCATGCATACTGGGTCTCGCAGCGGGACTTGTGAACAACTGCGGCAGGAAATTTGAAGATGGAGTGTCTTGAGACCGGGGTTGACACGGACAACCTCGAGTCGCGAATCGCTTGATGCTTGACAAACACGGCTCCGCCATGGCGACACAAGTTAACATTGAAATCGCCTTTGACGTAACGTTTCTGGGACTTTAGTCGACGAGATCAACGGGAGGGGAGTTGGGGAGTTGGCCAGCATGCTCAATTTCTGGTGGGTGTCTACCGACCTTGTACTCGTACATATAAGACAGGTTCTCCAGACACACTGGCTTCTTTCTTCAAACCAACAGGAGCAAACGCAACAACGCGAACGCGTTTCCCTGTAGCTTTGCATTACTGGTGGAAGCAACCATCATATACGTAGCTCAGCAATGCTGTCTTATTGATATCGCCCGCACGGGGGCCCTTTTCAAAAGAAAATGATATTCCTGTTGAGGCCGAGACACTACCGAGCCCCGTTGGGCCCACCTAGGAGGTGCCAATTTGCCGGCTCGGAACCGGAGAAAATACATCTGTATATTATTATAAATCACAGAATTCTGCCGTCCTTTATGGACATTGTGAGTCTCACCAAATCTTGTGGTTTTTGCACCTTTGCTAATACCTCCCAGTGGTCAATTTGAAACGATACAGAGAAGATTAGCATGGCCCCTGCACTAAGGATGACACGCTTCTCAAAGAGTGCTACAAGTTTTTTTTTTCCTGGTTTGCATAGTTCGAAACCCAGAGTTGGCACCCTTTTTTTTTTTTTGAAGTAGTGGCAAAGATTCCGGAGGTGTTGTAGTGGATCAGAAAAGAGATTCGTTCTTGCCATTTAAGTGTCATTGCCGCAGCTTCACGTTCTCTCTGGATTCTCCGAAACATCTTAATTCGTCTCCTCAGCGGTATCGCAAAACAATAAGAACGGTTCGAACCGAAGACTTTTCTTCTGTTGCTCACCAGCATTCGATGATTACAAGTCAGTAGAGATGCGAGAAACAAACACAAAGAGATTGACGGCGACACAAGCACGGCGCATCCTGATACATGTTCGCCAATTTGGAGCTCTTTCTCGACCCTTTCTGTCATCATCCACAACCCAACAAAGTCGATAAAGTGCTTTAGGAACAACTCCGAATGTGAATACCGATGTCTGCTTGTCACTGAAGTTTGCCAGGAGATCTCTACCATATCGTTATTAATATCCCTTTGCCGCCAGCTCAGACTCGGTCCACTCCCACAATTTCTTCGCCAGTTCTGTGTCCCGAGTCTGCTTGGACCCGCAGTTCTCCTTCCCGATGGGAGTGTAATACGCGCCGTTTTTGACCTCCTGCCTCTTCCAGGTGGCGGCCCAGAGCTGTGTCAACGTGCCTTGCTGTACGGTCATCGGACCCGCCAGGAAGTCAAAGAGTCTCATGAACCGGCTGTTGAAACTGTTCTGGTCGAGTACGACGTTGGCCAGATTCGTCTCGACGCGGCCGGGATGGACTGCCACTGAGAGGATCTCGGGGTACCGCCTCGCAAGCTCTCTCACGTGCAAGATATTGGCCAGCTTCGACTGCCCGTAGAGTCTTGTGGGGTGGTAAGATTCCGCGGTCGATTTCAGGTGATCGAAATAGATTCCCGCGCCCCACGCCATCGCGTGCCCACTGGACGAGAGATTGATGATGCGCACGTCCGATCCTGGCTTCGATGCCGTCCGTTGCATAAGCGGCAGGAGGAGACGGGTCAACAGAGCGTGGCCCATGTGGTTGGTGCCGAATTGGATCTCGTAGCCATCCTCCGTGAGGCCGTGTGGATGCGCCATGATGCCGGCGTTGTTGGCGAGGATGTCGAGCCTGTCGGATTCCGCGAGGACTTGGTCTGCGGCTCTCTTGACAGACGCCAATGAAGACAGGTCCAATTGCAGAAATGTGACAGTCGCGCTGGGTGCCGCCCTCGAGATATCCTTCATGGCCTCGTCATACTTGGCTTGCGATCGAGCAGCCAGGTATATCCGCTGCGGGAGATGCTTCGCCAGTTGCAGGACCATTTCCTTCCCACAGCCACTATTCCCCCCGGTCACGACGATCACCTTCCCTGCGAGATCTGGGATGTCTTTATCCGGCTCAAACTTGTAGACATTGTCGGCAGCATTGAGGAAGCCGAGTGGAGCCATGGCTGGGACAGAATCAATGCGTTTCGGGGCAGTTGTTATGAATCAGCTTCTTTGGTAGTAGTGGTCGAAGGGACGCAAGAAGGATGAAACTGCCATTGCTCCATGGACAGCGACTCATCTTATTGATCTGTCTCTGTCTCCGTCGTCTGAAGGTATAGATAGTCTATATAGTTCCACCGGTTTGGTGCGAGTCGGCCTGTGGTTTCCCCTAGCGTGGTATTTTCACCTCGCCAATCAACGGGCTGCCAATGTTGTTGCCTAGTCCAGGATCGTGCATAGGCCCATGGACCAGCTCGGACAAGAGTTGTATAGGCTGTGTTTGGCGTTGATGCAGGCAAGTCAACGACCACAAAAAGGGGCAAGAAGGTCCTGTCGACGCCTGCTTGATCCTGGGTGCTACACAGCTAGTTCACTTGCGCTGCGTTGGCACCCCTGCTCAACCACCGTCGCCGCATTCTCGGCGCCCGGCAATCACTTCGGAAGCCGTAGCAAGATGATTAGTCGGCGTAACACATCTCGTTATCGCATCGGTTACAGTATGGTTCTGAACGGTAAGTTATGCACAGGACGACCGGCTGCTCGATCCCTGAGACGAGCTCTCTGGATCAATCGGCCCCCCTGTATTAGAGCGGATCTGACATGTCTAGGCCCAGGACGTCGACGGCAAAAGCTCGCAGCACCATTCTGGCATTCCCTCCAGAGCCGCGGCACCAAGGGAGGCCGAAATATCGATACTTTATCAAACTGACAGCTTGGCCGGAAATCGTCTTCTTCTCATTCAATTTACTTGCCCAGACTAATGAGATACCGTCGTCGAACTGTAGAAGTCCACACAGAGACAGGCGGGTGAAGAAATCCGAACACCTTTCGATCTGACCATCCTGCCTTGACAGCAAATATAAATGAACTCCGCTTGCCTCGCTCCCTCTTGACTTTGTCGTCCTGGCTCCTCGTGCCCACATCGAAGCGAACTTTTCCGCGATGAAGATCAGATTGGACACGGTCGATGTGAACAAAATCTGGAAACTTGGGGCTGTACGCAGTTGAAACAGCAAAACCCGGCGTGGTGGGCTTGAGGTTGTTTGCTCTTCTCACAAGCTGACCGTCGTTTATGAAGAGCTCAATGCGGGACACACGCCTGGTGAGTGAGCCAAAGATGTCCGCCAGCAGCGATCTGACAACGACCAGGAATGGCCCAAGGTTGCGTAGCGAAATGCCGGGAGACACCGTCTACCTTACCTGCCACAAACCCTCTCTGAAGCTCCGATAACGAGTCGAAACATAGTCGAGAGCCCGACATTGTCGGCTCTCGCTCTCATTCTAGCATTTTTGCACGACCTACCTGCGCATGTCGTAGCAGGGCACGCATATCTCCCCATCCTCTCGACGACCACCGATATCATTGTGCCGCCATCGATGCCAGAATCTCGAGATCGAGGATGTGGAGACTCGTTGGGGGAAAAGAACGGGGCCGCCAACGCCTTTTTGCTGCTCTGCTGTCTAAAAGTCCCTCTTGAGCCCTGATTGAGCTTCATTCTGGAAGTCAAGATAAGAGAGGAAGTCCAAAAACAACAGACACCCAGACATTCTGACAAGAATCGTGAAACCGTCAGCAGACAGGCGAAAGCACTACACCCAGTGGCTGTGAGTTCAAGACCTGGGACACAGAAGCCATACAAGGAAGCAGGCAAGTAAAGAGTCCGACTTACTGAGGTGGCACGTTTACCACGAAAGCTTCGGTCGACAAAGGTGCAAGGGCTGGCAGTCTACAAATACCTACGTCTTCGGGTTTCCTTGCGAAAGCCACACCCCAACCTCGTTCGACAATAGAAGACGACTCATCTACTTCGTCTTTCTGTCGAGTTCGAACAGCAGAGTGCAGAATCGCCAACTGCGTGAAGGAGCCAGATGGGCACAGTTTTCCACACCGAGGATTCCCATCTGGAACGGCACTGGTTGTGTGTGCGAAGGGTCCCTTTGCCAGAGGCCATTACTCTGGAATATTCCTCTGGACCTCCTTCCCCTTTCGTCAGATTCGGGTTGTTCGTGAACTGCTTTGCTCTGCCGAATAGTGCCCGACGACGCATCTGCCGGCAGCAACACTCCGTGAGCCATCGTCACCTCGAGATGGCACCAGCCAGAAACAACAGCGCCACAGAGCTCCGGTGGCAAAACAATGCAGTGGTTTGGTACGGGAAGACCGTGGTCCGACCTCGTCAGCCACAATCCTCGAGGAACGAGCCAAAAGGGCAGCCGAGCAGAAAATACATAGGTAGGTATTTGGGCAGCAAGAGGGAAGTCGGAGTTCCAGACTCAAAGGCGGCACTGGAGTCGCGTCTGCACGAGTCCGGCAGTCGTATCCCAACACGTGACCAAAGGCCAAGGCCCGCACCACCGCGGCCAAAATCCGAAGCGAGCCGCCTCCGCAGCGACCAATGGGCGATGTCATTATGGACCCACAGCTGCGCGAATTGCCCATCCAACTTCTTCCTCTTTGTCACCAACACCGTCTTGCCTCTACCAGACTCGCGTGCATCGGGTGGGTAAGTACACACGGTAGGGCCACATCGACGGAAAACTTCACCGGGATCTCCCGCCATGACAAAAGGACGGCTCTGCGGAATACTGTCCACCCAACATACCCGGGGCAATGAAACGCAATTGGCGTCGTTACCCGACTGGTCCCAACAACGACAACAACAATGCCTTCTTTTTTTTTTCCACCGTTGTTGGCTGGCCGATCTCTCTTTTTCGACTTATAAACCAACCCCCCCCCCCCCCTTCCCGATGCGGGCGCCACAGTGAATTACCAATAAGTACATAGTGTGTTTCTTCCCGGCTCCTCCCCCCCGCCATTACAACAACGGACCGGGACAAGACGATCCAGACACATTTTCAGTCATACGATGGTGCAAAGAAAAAAGTACATACGCCTCGTAATAACGGGCTCCGAACCCCGCATACCGAGAGCAGACTTTTCCCACACATCTCCTCCGTTCGCTCCGAGGGACATGGCCCCGATGGAGTTAATGATCGAAGCATCACATTTTCCTTCCCATTCACTATCTCTGCGCATTTCTTTTCTGCCGAGGAAAAAGAAGTTGCTCGACACCTGAGATCTCCAGGTGTATGAGGACGCGTATGTACATATGTATTCGCAGGTATTCAACTAACAAGGGGTGATTAACAATGGCGTGGTTTAGAGTTCAAACCGGAGCTGAAGATTCTCCACACCCCTGGAAGTGTAATGTCCGCGAATCACATCGACTACGCAAGCACTGTTTTTGCTGAAAAGATGCCGGTAGAGGTGTCCCCGATGCCACCTCGCATTTGATAAAACACAATAACCGAATGCTGCCATTGACAAGTACATCACGGGAACGTGAAGAGAGTTATGGCGAAGTAGATGCATGTATAGACATCATCTGGTCGATGGTGGTATCATTAACAGCGTGCTTTCTGTATGTACATAGACAACTATGTGCATTTTCTAATAACGTCGCTCAAGTGTCCTTGAAGCTTCCGCAGCAAAGATTGCAGAAAATGGTTCTCAGCATCATCATCTGCAGACAACATGCACCTCAACTCCGCGCTTGTTGGTTATTGCCAAAGGGGGAATACATGCGCTCTGCGTCAAAGCCGATCAAACACTGCCTCAAATGGGGGATATCAAAGCCCAAAGTTCACGATCATTAGATCCTCCTCGACCATGACGTGCATCCAATCCACGTCGAGACTCTGTCCCGTATTCATAAATCGCTCATTTTGCTTTTCGTACACCGCCGCGAGGACTTTGCGTGTGGTCGTGGTATTGCGCCCAATGCTGCTTTTCTCCATCTCGCGAAGCAGGTCCACCGCGTGCATTCGATGTGCTCCATCCGTGGCGACGAACCCAGCCATGAACACGGGAAACACAAGATAACGACAGTACGACCGATCCTCCGCCAGAGCTTTGCTGGTCATCTGTAAGATCTGACTGGAAGCCACAGCGATTTCCGTGTCGTAGTCTGGAGACGTTTCGAGCCGCTGACCGGGCCATATGGACGTGTGTGAGTAGATGATACACGCCCGATACAAGGACGCGGCATGCTCGTACAACTGTTTCGGGCGGAGTGGGAGGTTATCGACCTCTTGGTTGATCATCATCACGGCCGGCGTCACCCACAACTGACGTAACGCCTCCTGCAGCTCGAAAATCCGGCTTTGGCGAATTCGCAGAGCTTGAGATCTCTGTAGAATGTCCACACCGTCGAACGTGATATCACTCCGAAATTCGCGTGCGAGGAGTGCCAGCCGAATGCCTAAGAGAGTTACCTCATAGTCGAGCTGTAGGATAATCGGGAGAACTTCCACCTCGTCGGCGTAAAGAACACTCGAGCCATCAAGGCCCAGAGGGTACAGGTGGAAGCTCGGGGGAGGGATGAGATCGTTGTTCAGCAAAGACTCGACGTATCCCCCATTGCCGGCACCGCTGAGAAGGGCGTCAAGGTCAATGTTACAGATCCACCAGACAACAAATGGGAATACTTCGCCACCCAACTCGTCGCGTCGTAATAGCGAAATTTGCAGCAGGGTCAGCAGATGCTGCGACCAAAGATTCGAGTGCTCGACGTCGGCGGCGGCGATCTGCGATTCGGTCAGCATGAGATGGCGCGGTCAGAAATGTCGACATACCTCGTAGACCAGCAAGAGGAAGTGAGTCAGAAAAGCGCCATCAGACGACAAGTCATTGGGGCCGCGAAGAGTGGACTGCAATGCAGGCAACGCTTGTTGGTAATATTGAAGAGCATCGAGCCACTCTTTCCCTTCTTGGATAGCCACACTCAGGGCGGCGACAGCCATCATTGCGTGGTGCAACTGTAATAAAGGGTCAGCAGGGCTCACAATCTTTCCGACGGGGTCACGCACAGGAGGAAAGCCGGCGGCAGCGTGCTCTAGAATGTGGACACTTGACCGTGCCATACCGTCTCTTTGGTCAGGCTCTGCTGGAACCAAATGCTTCCACACCACCTGCCGGAATTGTCGCAGGTATCGCGCTTCTTGGCCGACGGCGGGCAGCTCAGGTTCGGGCATGGAATCTGATTCTTCACTGAGCACAGCTTCCTCCGGATCCTCCACCTTGATAGTTGCTTCGTCCTTGACCATTGCATGTCCAAGTGTCGGAGATATAGGTGATCGAGCGCGATTGGAGCTGAAGGTGCTGCGTCGCTTCACGTCTTGAAATCGGGGCAGTACGACAATGTTGGGATCCCCCGAGACTGGGACGACTTCGGTGCCCGCGTCGCGACTGAAGCTACTCGCGAGTGAGGTGGCTAGGGAGCTTCGACGGGGCGGCGGCAACAATTCTTGTTTGATTTCGGGCTCGTCAGTGTATTCTGGGAGATTTCGGAAGCTTTCTTGGTTGACGACGACGTGGTAAGTTCCAGGGCTTGACCTTTCTGCCTTCTTCTCCCGTTCCTCATCTGTGGTTAGGCTGGCGAACGGCGGAAGATCGTCCACGTCGGCCGATCCAGGGCTGTTTTCGGTCAGCGCTGGAGAAGTTGCTGCTGCAGGACAAATATTAACGGCTGCTTCAGATCGTGCGGTCGATGGGAGGGAGGATACTCACGATCCCACACTGGACTTGCAGCGATGGTGACATCCTGCATGCGTCCCACGACTCGCGAGGTGTCATTTCGAAAAGAGATGCGAGGATTGAAGTCGCAGTTGAGGCTCAGGCGAGCACAGGGGCCGCAGACGGGTTTGGATTCATCGCATTTGACCTTGCGCGACCTTTTTGGCACGATTAACACCAGAAAATGGGACGAGCTGGGTGGACGACTCACCGACAAGTCCAGCAGCCACTTCTCGACCGTGGAGGCAGCCGGGAACGGGGAGGGACACTAGGGCCACTGCGGCTGGAACTAGCCGAGGAAGACTGGTCTTCTTTGGGGGCAATCACAGGCAAGCGCAGCGGCGGTCTTCTCAAGGCCTCCCCTCGCTTGTCGACTGGCATCACCAGTGTTGTGGTGGTGATCATGAAGGATGTTGCGCAAAATAATTCGAACGACCCAGTTGTGACGGCGCACAACTTGTTCAAGGGCAACGACGCATGTCAGGCCGCATGCATTAGTGCCTCAATCGCTCAGCTTCACACCGTCCGTGTGGCAACAAGGAGAGGACAAGGCTTGGACGCAGATTGGAGGACCGAGGAGAGGAGGATCGAGACGAGGTGACGCGCGGTGGAAGGAGATAAGGCAGACAAAGGCAGGCGTCGCAGCAAGAAAAAAAAACAGGTATTCAACACAGCAGCACCTTCACAGGCAAAAGAAGTTTCGAGGTGGTGAGTCCAGGCCGGTCGCTATACCATGTTCGAGGAGAATGGGAAGGCGGACGCACTTGAAAAGAATGTTCAAGGAGTGGAGGATGTTGAATTGAAGAACGAAACGATACATCCCTGGTCCCTTGAGAAGTCAATCAGGAATTGGTATGGTCGGGGTTCTTAGTTTGAGGCAATCACGATGTCATTGTGCGCAGTCCCGAGTGCCCTGGGTCACCAGGACTGGCTGGCGAGTCCACCATGGGACGCAGGAGGGCAGCTTCCGGCATCGAGGGATAGATCCATCCTGCAGCACTAAAAACAAGAGCGTCAAGCAGACCATGAAAGGAAGCATCGCAGTGACAAGCACGTAAGTAAAGTTCGACATGGGGCCAGGGTAAGAGGATCGGGTGTCGAGCCAAAGACGAGGGAATGCAATCGGGTGGAGAGGACGAAAGGTGAAAGGTGTGGGAAGGTGTTTCTCGTACCATGGGCATGCATGGGCCACGGCGGGTCCCACGGAAAAACTTCCTCGGAACGGAAAATCAGTATGACCGAGAGATCCGCCGGCCCTGCGCTGATTTTCCCTGATTGGTGGATGCATCGGCCGACTGCGGAGCCAGCCAACTGGGTGGGGATGGTGGAAAAGGTGGCTCTGGCCCCGCGTGTTTTTTCACTCTCTCTATCTCTTTCCATCACTTCTATCCAAGCACTTTTTTTGGTTTGGTTTACCTCACTGGTACATAGCACATCCCGTCCCTCCTTTTCCTCACCGCCAGATTTTTGACTCTCCCATCCTGATTGCGGTTGCGTAAATCTTCTCGAGAATGCCTGAAGCGGATTTTTATTCTTCCGACACCACACCTTCCTTAGTGCCATGAGCCTAGTGGTGGAGAGGCCCGGAGTCAGCCCCCGCCCTCATCGGAGTCCACGAACGTGTTCTCGAAATCTAAGCATTCCTTCCACCCTACCTCGTACTCCGTACTCACCCTCCGTATCATACGCCCCCAAGAAAAAGGGGATACCTGGTCAACCTGAAGCGCCACTGACTCCCCCTGAGACTTCTCGCTTACCTTTGTTTGGGCACCAACACACGGACGGCTGAGGCTAGAGATCCATTCTACTGAACCGAGCTGGAAAAAACCACGTGTCGCCGGATTCGAGATCTGATTTTTGTGGAGAAGGCCCCCAGGATACATGGCTTCAAAAGACAGGCAGAGCTTGACACACATGGACGCCACGGATGCAACAAAAACGTGGCAGAGGGGGCCCCAGCAGCGCAACGGCCAACCCACATCTTCTGCTCCAAACACAATACCGAGTAGTGTAAATGGGTAAACCCCAGTCCCTCGACGGCAATTGAAGAGGGTGGAGAGGAGACCGGGACTGGTGGTCCGTGCACCATGATCAGCCCTATGGTAGCATCAACGCCATCCCAACAGACTGGCACCCGAGCAGCACCAGCAGCAGCTTGGATCGCCGTGGGCCGGGGACGGAAATCACACCCGTGGTCCCAGGAAGGAAGGTCCCAACGCTGGTTATTGCTGCATGACACCAAAAATCCAAACAAGCAACCGGTCTCATTGGCAAGCCTGTCGAGCTCGTCCGATTTCTTCACGTAAAGGTCTCGACCGTTCTTCGACCAGCCAGGGATCGAGGATCGCCGCTAAGGCGGTCGAGTCATGCAGGCCGTGTTGAGTAACGGCCAGGGCTAGCTCCGCACGTGATTTTCGCGCACGTTCCGGTTCTCGCCAAGGCTCCGGCGGACAGGCGAGCACCGCCATGACCAGTGGCTGAAATGGCTCAGAAGCCCTTTGACCGTCCAACTCCGAACCCTCCCGCGCCCCCGACCGTGCTGCTGAGGCTGAGGTATTTTTCTCATCAAGGACTTCACCACCATCCACCACCCCCTTTGATTTGGGCCCCTCGACAACAAAAAATTTTGCAGCATCGTATAGTGCAATGTCGAGCGTGCTGGATCGAATGCCATGTGCTTTCTGAACGATCTTCGTCGCCGAGTCTAGACTCTCGGGGCGTGCATGAGTGGACAGGATCCTGAACATGCACGCAACAACCGCGCTGACTGTCGCTTCAATAACGGTCTGTGCGCTTTCTTTACTGTTAGTGGTAAGTCTATGCATGAGCGGGGCTGTCTCACCGATTCTTCAGGGGCTTCCCGTTAGCCTCGTCCACTTCCATGGCATCCTGGTCCGTGAGTTCGTCCATCAACTCCACCAAATAAGGTAGGACCTCGTGGCTTAGGTCTAGATCTTTTCGAGCAACCGCAAACTCTCCAAGAGCCTCAATGGCGTGAGGTCGGTAATCAACGTTGGTCCGCTTCGCTTCGCGGATTGCAATCTTCTTCATCTGCTGGCTGATCTGGCCACTCGTCCACAGTGACCGAGCTTCTCGCACGAACTTGGGATACACCTTGACAATCTCTTCCTTGCCGTCCCAGGTCTTGCCTTCCAGGGCTGCTTGCATCACTCCCCAAATGAGAGATGCCTCACTGTCAGAATATTTTCCTTGAACTTCTATCGACCCCACCAATTCGGCCACAGCCAAAGAGCAAGCTTGCTTGATCGGCCACATAGGCGACCCAATGTGTGCCGAGATGAGTCCCACAATTTCCGTCAGATAGAGATTGATGGACCGGGAGCCACCAATATTCTCCTTCCAGGGAGCGTCGAACCGCTCCCTGACCTCCTCGTCGGTGTCCCGTCTACCGATGAAAGCAAAGGGGAGAAAGGTTGGCGCAGAGTTCATGAAGACGTCATTCGCAGCCTTGGAAATTGCCTGTATGATTTCGCCAGCCACGGAACGATGGCTTAGTTCCTGCGACTCGAAATACAACTTTTGCGCGTACTTGCTTGTTGCCTGAATCTCCTTGTCCGAGGCCAGTCTGATCAAGTAGCCCAGCGAAGTGCTGAAGGCCACGCTGATGGTGGCGTTGCGGTCGAGGATATGTTTGCGCGTCAATTGTATGAACTTGTCGGCGTACGGTCGGAAAGCAGTGGGATGGCGAACAACTAGCGTCGTCATGACTCTGCTTAAGCCGACTTTGGAGGGCAGTCCGATAGCTGCTCGATAGGCATTGGCAAGCCGTTGCATTGCATCGTCCATCGCTGCTGGACGCCCTCCACTGTGAGTCTTGGACACGACGCCCTGCATGGCGTTGGGGTCGTCGCTCGACTCAACTGACATGGTAACGCTTTCCAAGCAGTCCTCGATTGCTTCCGTGACGGGCGACGCGTTGATACTCGAAACTCTCATTTTGTCCAGTTTCTCGGCGGTGAATCCATACTTGTCAGCATTCAAATGGAGGTAGTTGATGCTCTCATGCTCAAGAGAGCTCAGGGAGAGCACCAGCGTCTCCAAAACGGTTGGTGCAAAAGGACGCAGAGATTTTGGAGGACACTTCTTCACCACTTCGAGAAGCGTTACAATAGCATACTGTTGGACCTCCTTTGCCGCACCGCTCTCCATCTGTTGCAGCAGAAACGGCATGGCGTGGTCGAGCATGGTTGCAGAGCGCTTGGAGTTGCCCTCTCCAATCTCCAGGTTGCGTATCAGCATACTCGTGAGCGTTCTGCACAACTTTAAGGCCGCTAATCGAACTGTCTCTTTGACGTCGTCCAGGACTTTGAAAGCGACTGTCCAAATTTCGTCGAGGTACCTTTCAAACATGTCAACGTCTCGCCCCTGCACGAGATCAGAGATTGCCGCGCAGCTGGCCTCGCGGGCACGCCACTCTTTGCCCGACACAACGCTCTGCAGCAAATCCCCCATGATCAGGTCGAAATTCTCATTGATAACAGCATTCGGGTCTTTGACTAGCGCCCGCCAGATTTCGTTCATGGACCGCTGGACGTTGGGATTTGGATCGAATCGGTATCGGAAAAGCTTAGGATAAAACTTCTTGTTTTCCGTGAGGTACGTGGAGTCCGCCAGCACACGGCCGAGTCCAAATCTTCCAAACGCCGCTCGACTTGACCAGATGGCATTATTTGAGGCCAAGTTCATGAAACGATACACCAGGCTCGGGTCTCCCATTTCTGTGGCAAGGCGGACGATGTCTTTGTAAGTCGTAACGGACTGTCCGTTTTCGGTAGGCAGTGCACCGGGCTCGAACAGCTGCGTTTCTTCGTTTACAGTTCCGGACATTTTAGCATTGCTACCTGTGAAGCTTTGGACCAGGTCTTTGACCAGGTCGTCCCGAAGTTGCTTGTCGCCCCGTTCATAGACAAGGCTGAGACCCCGGGAGCCAGTCTCTTGGACGATTTCATCGCGGTCGTTCAGCAACCTAGCAAAAGCAGCTTGGCACTCTCGTAGTCGCGCCTTTACAGGGGGTAATTCACCACAGTATTGGATAATGCATAAAAGCCAGATTGCAGCGGCCTTCTTCAGGGTTGGCTTTGTCGTGTTGCAATTCTCGAGGACTTTGTTGAGGACTACAATCAGAAGCTGCTCGTTGACGTCCAGTCCCGAAACATCCACATCAACGTCGAGTTCTGTCAGCGTAGATAGCGATCTGAACCCAGCACAAGCAACAGCAAAGGATTCTCCTAGTGTGAAATGAAACTCAGCTCGTTTGACTTCGTGAAGTCCTAGCAAGCGATCCAGGAGCGATTCGAAGCCTGAAGGACTAGTACCGCGCGCATGCAAAATCCCTAGCACTGGCCCAGCGGCTGAGACTGCTGTTTCACTCTCTTTCTTGCTGTCTGCGATCAACTGATTCAGCATTTCTTCGTCGTTTGAACCTTCTTCTGTAGGGGTGCAAAGATACAGCTGACGGAGTGACCTGTATGCTGTGTCTTTGACAGACCTGTCTGAAGAGTTCTTGACAATCTCGACAACGATCTGCACTGCGTCGCGAATTGTGTCATCAGATGTCTGCCGTTTCACCCGCAGCGATCTTCTGGCGAGACAGAAACAGGCGCGGAGGAGATGGCTTTGAACCTTGACCAAGTCTTCGCCGATGGCTGTTTTCCAACGTTTGACCTCATTAATTTCAGCTTTTGCGAGATCTTCGGCGTCCTCGTCTAGAGAAGCGAGAATACCAAAGATTCGGGCGGCTCGAAGCTGCAAGCCTGAATTTCCTGCAACACGTACAGCTGCCTCTAGCCCTACATCCTTGAGATTGAGCAACAAGTCCGTCGGGGTAAGAGAAAGAAGCTCCAGGGATAGATCCAAGCATTCCCCATTCCCCTTGGATGCTCCATCCAATGCTGCTCGCAGCAACGGCAAGAGCACGTCACCACCCAGATTTTGGAGAAAAGACCGTATTCGGCGTCGAGCATCACGGTCATTACTGACTACGGCGTCGATAGTCTGCTTCCAATCCGCCGATTCTTCGGGAGCCAGGTCTGTTCCGCGGAGAGCTTCGCAATGGAGGACGTTCCGACAAAACATCACGGCAGCGGCCAGCACTGTTGGATTGTCGTAGTGTTTCGTCTGTGCCGTACTAGCTCCGAAGAACCTCTCCACCAAGGCATCGAGATTCGGCAGCTGCAGCTTTCGATTCTCAGAAGCAGTAGTGAGGCGCAGATTAGAAGCATGCCAGTACGGGTCTAAACCCCTGGCCCCTTCCTCGGCAATCTCTCTTCTGCCGCTTGCTGAGGTTAAGGCTAGCACATCGATAAAGCGAGCGTCCACGTCGTCAAACGGTAGGCATTTATTCGCAAACCGTACAGCTGGATAGGTGGTGCTGTTGACCGTGGGTAGGAAATAGATGGGGTCTTCCTGGCCCGGAGCTGCCAAGACATTCCACAGGAAGAGGTCTTTTAGGCGGTTTGCAGTTGAGGTGTTGCCAAGTGGAGGTAGAGCGTTCATGATGCGGCCGATAGACTCTTCGATGCTGCTTCTTATCTCGCGTGTCGTGTCACAGCGGAGGCTTGTGAAAAGCCAAGTAATCAGAACCACCATGCGATCGTTGTCCATGGATTCGGTTTTGAGGCCTGCCAATAGGCCGATACTTTCGTACGCTTTCGAGCGAAGCTCCACCTCTGATGCGGCTGAGGAGTGGTCACTGTTCATGGTCGGCCAGCCCTGCATCTCAATATATTCTTTCAACAGGTCTTGGATGCGGTGGCTGATTTCTCCGGCGAGATGTTGGCCGCCAACACGCACCGTCCAGGTGAGATAGGAAAACAGAGCTGCCCGGAGCTTTGCTGCCTCGAGGCCTGCGTTGGATGTCTGGGTGAGTTGTTTTTCCACAATATCCATGATCACCGTGGTGCGCTTAGTGGAGTTTTGGCTGCGAGATAAGAGGCTTAGGATTCGTGTTTGCAATTTGGGCTTGGACCGATTGAAGAGGCCGAAAAGCAGGTCAATAGTTGACTCAGACTCCAAGTCGAAATTGCACTGCTTAAACATAACGTCGCTCATATTTGCAGCTGAGGCGTTGGGGTCAACAGACATGATAGTGGCGGGAATGAGACGTTGCGAATCGGTGAAAATGGAGGAGAATAAAAATTTCGCAATTGGCAAGACAACTTCCGAGCGGCGTCTGAAGTTCTTCTCCATGACAGGCTGGAAATCTTCATCCTGGGTTTGAGCGGAGGAGTCCTTTGGATCGTAGAGCAAGAAATCGCACAAACGGCTGACAAGCATATCTGTCTGTGTCGGTGATAATGAGAACGTCTCTGAGAGAGCCAAATCTTCCTTGCTACCTCGCTCCGGGATCTTCCATTTCCTCAGTACTTCCAGGAGAAAGTCGAAGGCGATTGCCCACATTTTTCGGTCCGTAGCATCAAAGCCTTCAGTTTTCGGGATGGCAAACTGCAACACCCCGGGCAAGGACTCGATCCCCTGGTCCAGTTCCAGCCTCGGAAGGCCTTGCTCAATGAAGACCAGACAAAACCGCTTGACGAAAGCGTTGTCATTCTCGCGAAACGTCTTGACCAACGCTGCTACGGGGAGCTTGATGGACGACGTGATCTTCAGCCGCTGGTTGATATACTGACATATCTTGATCGTGAGGTTGCGGTTTTGAGGCGTTGGGGATGCCAGCTTGAGGATGAGAGCCGGAAGGAACTTTTGAAGAATCGACTCGAGTTTTTCGTCCGTTGAGGCGGAGGCAATCCGCATCTCGAGTTGAGAGATCAGCTTGTATTCCCGCTCCGCGTCAGGAGCGGGTTGTTGCGTTGCCATGACCGTAGTTTTTGGGAATCACGCTAGGAATGTCTCATATCATCTGACTAAATGCTGCAGTGAAATGGGGAGTTGCCAGGACCGTTCTCGGGTGGTTCTACTTGCGAAGGGGCAATGATTGAATTGATCGTGGATGAGAAGATGAGAGTGAGTTGATTGTACCTGTCACTCCCTGACTCAAGGCAAGGGCGACTGAAATCAAAACGATCTAAAGCCAACAGGGAGGCAACAGCCTGTTCGTCATCGAGGCTTCCCAGAGATGATGCTCTATGATTCTATCAGTGTCTGGGGTGTCGCCACGTCGCCAGGTGAAGCCTTGACCTTCTTACTAAGGCGGCGACGTTGCCAAGGCCGAACGTTGTGCACCAACCATGAGCCGCAATAGTGTCCCAAGGCTGAGTTGATGTCCTCATTAGGGGATGTAACGAATCACGAAGATGTCTGGGACGGCTACACCATGTGCTGCGGGGAAGGCTACGTTAGATTACAACGAGGTCACTAGACATTCCATAGGTGAAGTCGCGTGCTTTTTGACAGCATCGAAATTGAGGCCACCATTTGACCCTCAAGTGTGGCGACCGAGTTCACGCCTCATAAGGAGAACTTCAACAGGGGGCAACTCAGGAGGAACGGCCCACGATGACTTTGAAATGGTTCTTGATGACTTTTAACTCAGTGGTCCTGCCGAATGCTTTGCTGTTGAAGACCCTTCCGACCCGTACAACGCTCGACCGAGGGCCGTCGCTTTCCAGTGCCAATCATACTGAGACCAGCACTCCCCTCGAGTAGTGGCATCCCTCGAAACATCGCCGTTATTCCCACGCTCGTCAAATTTCTCAGGTTCATCTCCATAACCTCAAGTACCTCCTGACCCACGCCGCCGTAAGCCATTATCTCAATCTCCTTGCTTCTCTTTCGGACTCGAGCAGGCACAGAATATCGTCGACTTTCACTGTAGACCAAAAAGAAATCATCAGTTATTTTTGCCCACGAGTGTTTCTTGCGCATTCAAATATTCCCCTACTCAGAGACCTCACGTACCTGGTCCCTTGACGTTTCGGATGATGCTTCGGCTCGTGTCGTCCATGAATTCGACTCTCACTTGTGTGACACCACCTCGGGAACCTGGAACGCATGAAGGCGTAAGTAAAGACAACCAGCGACAGCCGCACATGAATATTTGGCATTCGTAAATTAACTTACCCGTTCGGCCGAGGACTCGGGTGACTTTGACGAGTTTGACGGGGACTTTGCCTGCCGCATCCATCTTGATGGTATTGACTGGGACGGGGAGTATGGGTTTCAAGTTGTAGATTCGCGGTGGCTCACAATTGTGTCCTGCTGGCTGGAAATTGAGCGCCGCGAAAAAGTATCGAACGCAGCTGGTGCAATGTGGGCGCAAACTCGCCAAGAGTTCCCTCGGCTAAATCCCGGCCTGAAATTTTTCCGATGAGACGGCTCGACTCAGATCGATTCTGCCAGCGCTGGAGATGAGAAATGTCAGAGGTAAGTCGGTGAGGTTTGACTCTTGAATGCACTCGGAGAGTTTTCTCACAGACGCTGCTGCACTGTGCTGTCACTCCTTCATCGTTGTCCTTCACATCAGGCCCGTCAGAGCTTGAAAATTTCGTTTGTCTCGCGGGCTAGAAGGGTTGAAGACTTCGCTCGAGCAGGATTTTGGACACCCGCCGCATAGGAAAGGGCGACAATCTAGTAGACGTCGATTACGCTGGCAATGGATCTCGTCAATCACCTCTCCGACCGGCTCCTCTTCGCCGTGCCCAAAAAAGGCCGCCTTCAAGCCGCGACTCTCGACCTCCTCTCAGGGTCCGACATTCAATTTCGGCGGGAAACCAGACTCGACATTGCTCTAGTGAAGAACCACCCGCTGGCACTTATCTTTTTGCCCGCGGCGGACATTCCCACGTTTGTGGGCGAAGGACGAGTCGACCTTGGGATTACGGGACGAGATCAAGTGGCTGAGCATGACGCCCATCTGGCTCTAGGTGAGGAATCAGGAGTGGAAGAAATCATGGACCTTGGATTTGGCAGGTGTAAACTGCAAGTTCAGGTCCCCGAGAAAGGCCCTATTCAAGATGTGAACGACCTGGTCGGCAAGAACATCGTGACGAGTTTTACCGGACTTGCTGAGGATTACTTTGCACGCTTAGAAGGCATGGGCGGGCGCAAGGAGAGCATAAATGGCACAGCCAGTCCGATTCCGAAGCTGAAGACGAAGATCAAATTTGTGGGCGGTAGCGTCGAAGCAGCTTGCGCTCTAGGTGTGGCAGACGGAATTGTCGACCTGGTCGAGTCCGGGGAGACGATGAGAGCAGCAGGGCTCAAGGCAATCGAAACAGTGGTCGAGAGCACAGCCGTCTTGATCAAGTCGAAATCGGTCTCGAATGAACAACTTGTCAACAAGATCGCCGCGCGGATACGCGGGGTCATTACTGCGCAGAAATATATCTTGTGCCAGTATAACGTCCCGCGAGCAAAATTGGCAGCTGCGACCAAGATCACTCCAGGCAAGAGGGCGCCCACGATAACAGCTTTGGAGGAACCGGACTGGGTGGCCGTGAGCTCGATGGTCGAAAAGCAGCACATTGCGACAGTCATGGATGAGTTGACAGGAGTAGGCGCGACAGATATCTTGGTCTTGGATATAGCGAATTCACGGACCGGTTGAGACAGTCGCTCCACGGGAACGTAAGCAAGGGCGAGTCAGTGGCGCAATGGACATAGAGGAATGCATCGAGACACTTCAATGTTGCGAGGGAGGCACCGGACAAAATTGCAAGGGGAAGACTACCTCAACGACGGCGCTCATGAAGCCCATCTTGACTGGCTAGAGAGCTGCCTGCTATCAGGAAATCACATTGAGATTGTAGACAAGAGACATTTTACCCAGACATCATCCTCGAGAAAAGCCGACTTTGGCGCTGCTGTGCAAGCAAGACACAAGTACCAGGCGTATTCTGACAGGCATCCACTGCATTTCTGCATACAATTCCTGTATCCTGGACGGAGGGATGGACACCAGAAGACCCTGTGACATAAAATACCCCTCTTTGTGTACAAATCATCGGGATGTTTGATGGAGAGGCCCAAGTAACGCAAACCAGGCTGACGTTCACTGGGATTGGTGGGAAGGGAGGGCAAACCCCAACGACCCCAAAGTTGAACATATTCTTCTAACTCCTCCTGGCTTGAACCAACCTCACTCATACGTTGCAACGCTCTGTATATTGTTCCTGTCTTGCTTGAGGCTATCTTGATCGTATTATCGATGCTTCCAGCGAACATGGTGGAGAGAAGCTACGAGGCAGGGTTGCGGACTTTTCCCTGGAAATTTTTTCTCAGGTCCTACAGTTAGCATTGCATCATCTCAACGGAAGAAAAGCGCGAGCCATGCAGTCTAGATGATATTATGCGAGGCTCAGATGACATGTTGGAATTGGCTGAGACTTCTCGGTAAACCATGCTTGATCCTTGAGACGTACCTTACTACGGCCAATGGACAGCGGAGAAACCGTCGATGAACTTCGAATTATCCACGTTTCAGGTACCAAGGGAAAGGGCAGCATATGTGCATTTACCTCCTCACTTCTGCTAGCTCACGGGCATTCGATGGTTATCCTGGAAACGTCGGGCTGTATACCTCACCACACATGCAGAACACCCGGGAAAGATTTCGAATCAATGGCGCACCAATTTCCAAAGAGCTTTTCGTACACCAGTTCTTCGAGGTCTGGAATCGGCTACCTAAGCAAGCGACACCCCCTGCTAGACATCCCTGGATATCTCCAGCTCTTGACCCTCCTCTCATACCATGTATTCATCACGGAGAAGGTGGATGTGGCGATCCACGAGACCCATCTCGGTGGAGAATTTGATGTTGTAACGACCCTCTGGAAAGATTTGGCCCAAGATGGGAGCAAGGAGTTCCGCAGGTATTCTCTTCCCAAGCTTAGTAGAATCGTCTGAGATTTTCCCTTGAATACCCAAATAGGGTAGAGATCATGTCCTTGATGCTTGGTTGCATAGTGGTTCTAGTTGCCAGATTACCTAAGGACCGGTATAGAAGCAGATGTAAGGATTCCGATTTCTGATGACAAATCTCAATTGCGACGAGGTCGAAGAAAATTGCATGTTCGGTGTCAAGGATGATGCATGGGAGCGCGCGCGCGCGCGAGAGAGAGAGACAGGCTGACGATGACTTTATTTACATTGCAAAAAAGGCGGAAAACATCAGCACCCCGATATCATCTATCCGTGCAAGCTGCACAGCACCTACATGCCGCTCACGAGGGCCATAGCCATCGGTTGTGTCACTGCTGAAGATTAAGTCGAGCTCGGACGCATTGCCCTTTTGTCGGGCAAGACTTTTTTGACTGCCTCTTGTCGACGGGCAGTATTCTGGCACCGGATAGATCCATGGTTTCTAGGTAAGAGTGGTAGGCACCTTACGCTCTGCATGCGGGTGTGCTGGCGCTTTGTAATCTGATCTCGCTGCCACAAGTAGAGCGCTCTGAGGCGACCGTCGAGATGTGATAATAACGACCGGTCGTTCGCAGCCGGCTACAGCCGAGCAGTCTCGCCGCATCAAGTGACATCACACAGCTGGAGTTACTAAGCGAGCCTCCAACCGGCACCCCACGCGACACACTTCTATCCCAGCATCCGCAGTTTCAGACCTGGGGGGAGTCGTCCATCCTCAAGCAAAACCCTATGTGAAATCCGCAGAGCAGCTGCCTCAGGGCTTCTATCACAAATCATTCACAGGCGTGGAATCCGACGGCACGAAAGTCTTCTGAGCATGTCGGCCAGGAAAAGTAGCCCACTGCACTCCGACGCACCACCTGTCCCCGAATCCCTCCTCAGCCGCGTGATTGTGGCACCGGTGCTGTTCATATCTTTTCTGATATCGCTATTCCTCATTGACCGCCAAACGTACGGCGGCATCTTCGCCCGATCCGGCAGTCAAGATGGTTACTATCATTCCCACCAACGCAAATTGGCCAAGCGAGAGATGGACGACGCTTTTCAGATGCGGAGCAAGGTCATCGCGGCGATGGTCTTGTTGAGCGCGATCTCCTTGGCTCTGCTTGCTTGGATCCTGGAATCGGCGTGGAAAGTGTGGAGATATAGGACGTGAAATATTGCGGCGCTGACGACGGTGCACTTCTAGTTCTCGGTAATATCTACCACGGAAAGTTGTTTTGGTCTAATTCGACAGGGAAAAATTGTTTGAAGGTTTCACTTCTCAGGGGCATCTGTCGGGCGTTTGGTTAGCGGTTCGACACAAAATTCACATTGTTGAGGTACCAAAACGCGAAGGGCTTTGGGAGTGCTCTTCTGGTTGAACTTACCTGGAAGTCTCTCAATGACATATTTTCCACGAGCCACGCTCATGATAGGTACTCCAGGCACCTTCCGAATCCTCCTCTTCAGGTCTCTGTCGTTGGTAGCCACAATGTAGATCTTGTGCCTCATGACTCTGTCGACGATGCAGTCATCGGCGTATGTGCCTTTGTGACCGCATTTGAGTCGCTCCCATCTTTCGTCCCTTGCGATTCGCAATGCAATCCTATATTTCTGTCCAAGCTTCTCCAGTTCCGCCATAACACAGTCTGTAATAATTGGTATGCACTTTGCATAGAGGCAATCCATCATTGTGGACAGCAGTTCAAGTTTCTTCTGGACGGTGTGGGAGAGGAAGTTCGTGTCGACGAGGACATTATAAGGTGGGACCAGGGCAGTATTGTACTGAAAGAATAGAGAAGAGGACACTTGAGGCCTACTTCTTTTAGCAGGGTCTTCGTTTGAACCAAATCGATGGGATCACTCACGCCTCTCGTATCACGTCGTCCTTTTTCTTAGGCTCCGCCGCCTTGCCGGTCTCTTGATTCTTTTTGAGACGAGCATCTCGCTGGCCGATGATTCTCTTCACTTGGAATTTGCGTGTCTTCTTATGCACGCCCATTTTGAGCGGGCGATGAATGCAGGAAAGCTGACCTTGAATTCCTACTGCGTTGTGCACAAAAATTGTCGACACGCCACGGGCATAACAATTAGCGAGAAAAGTTAAGGCCGGGACTAACCGAGTGCAGCCTGGACGGTAAAATCTCCCCGCCTCCCAGCCACAATCGCTCACGTTATACCTTCCGTGCACGCCTAACCCGGCAGCGTTCTAGCGCGTGCCAAAGCCCCAAAATAACCAAGCGAGGGCTTGAACCGGACTTCTTAGGGGCGCATGGGGGCGCGACTCCTCGAAAAGCCAGATCTGAAACCTCTCACACGTAGCGAAGCACACCAGTCGTCACCCTTGCACTCCTTCAAACCTGATCTCTGACCTGCATCCTCTCGTTACCATTCCCTGATACCAGTTCAACATCGTTCTACTATTCAGCATCCCTTCCAGCAAAAACAGAGTATAGACACATCCGTCGTATAACACAAAGATGGTCACAAACAGCGCGCTTCCCACCCTTCCTGGCGGGTTCAATTACCCCCCTCCTACCGTTCCTCCCAAGGCCGGCGCCCCTTACCTGGCCAGTTCCAAACTGCCTGAAAACTTTGTCTTTATCGTCGTCGGCGCGGCCCTGGGCTTTGTGGCCGTCCTCATCATCGGCTGGCGAATTCTTATGTCCTGGTCCATAAACCGCAGCTTTAGACGCGACGCCAGCAGCGGTGGTGCCAGCGGCGCCGCTTACACACCACTCGCAGACATTAAAAAGAACCCAGCAATACAATCCTCACATGATATGGCAGACCTGAGCAAACTGCCACGATCTTTCTCAAGTGTACCGTCGCTATTTTTCTCACCTACGGCCGAAGTAGCGAAGCAGAGCCAGCGACCTACCAGCAGCCAGCACACACACCTACCAGCTGGGCATTACCGCGATGCCTCTGATTCATATCGTCGTTGAATTTCCAACATAAAAAAACAATTTAAGCTGGATTGTCCCGGTTCTTTTGGTTCAAAACCAAGTCAGTGCTACAGCTGAGCCTTACAGCAAAGTGGTCAAAGGATTCCGCACGCCTTTCGAAGAGCAGGTGGACGATAGTTAATGGGCCAAAAGTCTATTCTGAGTCTCTGAAAAGCGTCCCAGAACACCGACAATCGTTCTTCGGAGTGAGGGAGATGCCCCAACGCCTCCTTCAGGCTTGAAATGCTCATGGCAAATGATTCACATGAGCTCACCTGACCCGACTGGATCTGAAAACCGAAAAATCAAGTCTCCCGGGGTTGTCCACAAAGCTGTGGTATCAAAATCTTCGTCGACAGTCGCCACTTGGGGAGAATACATCATGTTGCACGCGTTACCATAAACCAGGCCCAGCTGCACTGTATGGCCATAATACTTGGATTGGATTAATCGGGGAATTTGGGAATTGAGCGAGGCGTTCTTGGGAAAGAAGTGTCTTAACTAGAATCTTCATCAAGTCGGCTGTTTTGATATTGAAAGTCTATGGAAATACAGACGCCCATTGTCGCCACTGTCCTGTTCGATGTATTGTGACCCTCGTCAATCTGCATTGCCCAATATAATAGTCCCACCGCACTCACAGGAAATGTGCGCATCAAGCACCCAACACTCCGCCGTATGGAGAAATGCTCTAGATCAGCCAATCGGAGCTCTCCATCGCCTCCGTACCGATTGCACTTGGAGTAATTTAGTTATAGGGAGCTTCATGTTCTTCCATCTCTCTCTCCGTTCACTTTCTCTGCTTCTGATACTCCCCTTTCTTTTGTCCCATCCAGCCTGCGTCGCCGGCCTTTGCTCGGAAATCACCATGTCCTTCCCTCGAGACGTCGCCCTGCGGTCCATACGGACTCTCCCCGCCTGTCGCTCCCTCCTGCTCCGGACCCAACGCCGCTGGGCGCGTGTCCATGATGTCCGCTTCGTGACTACCCACAGAAATCAGGAGAAGATTTTAGACCGGTATAGACATAAGCTGGAGCAGAAAGCGAAGAAGTAAGTCTACACACACAGATGCGCCCTGATCATGCCGGGCAGCGTTTTGAAGATGCAGGGCGGAAAGGTGAACGCACGATCAATGAAGGAATTTTGAACAAGCTGGGTGTCGTTTTGTGTACATGAAGCTAACGACGGCTGTGTGCGCGTTCAGCGAAGGACATGATTCGATATCCTCCCTCACGGAAGCATATCAGGATAAAATCAAGGACTACAAACGTGCAGCCAATGCGGCATATCCGTCTACACCCAGCCCACGACCACAGCCATCCCCATTCCAACAGCCTTCACCTCCCCCGCCGACTCAGCAGCCAGTACCTCCAGCAAGCCAGTCACAAGGAAAGTCATCGGCTGCCCGCCAGGCTTCTGGTGCACCCGGAATAAAGCCTCTCTCCTCGTACCTGGATCTTGAAAAAGTGTCGTCCCTCCCAAACAAAGAGGTGGAATATGTCTGGCGACTTCGACACGCGAACGACCCATTATCGCTCTGTGCCGTTATACCATTGGAAACATACAATCGCATCTATCACACTGCAAGAAAACACCCACAATTTGTCCTTCCCTTACCTCGCCCGGTAGCCGAGGATGGCAGCGGCGACATGAAACAATCGTCCGACGGCTTCGGAGACGACGAACAACGGTCTGCCGCGGACATTCATTTTATGCAATGGGGGTTCCATCCTCCCGCGGGGGTTCCTCCAAGTCCGGACGTGAAGACGGCAAATACCCACACCAGTACTGTGCTCTTCACGCATTTGGCTGCCTTCAAGCTCCATGGAACCTATGCTCAGCCACATACGACAATCACCCATCACCTCGATCTGGCGGACTCGCATGGCTTGGTCTTGTTGAATGGCTCTGTTGTCAAAGGGCAGGGCGTGAGTGTGGAAGAAGGCCGCTGGCTTCTGATGTGCCTCCAGAAATTTTATGATTACGAAGGTCACGGTGGGGGCGTCGGACGTGAAAAGCGGCGAGGACTTTTGGAGAAATTCAGCAAAGGCGACCAGGAGTTCAACCTGACAGACCTTGTCGATGAAGCTGAAAGGATATCATGATGAGGCTGCCATGTTCATTCTCCGACAGGTTCGCTCCGTAACTGGTCACTGTCGACATCAACTTGGGCTCTCTTGTACTTCTCGCCCTGTGGACCTTGCAGCACGTCCCGGACCAGGAATCCCCAAATTGCCTCGAAGTACCCTGGCTCCGCCACGGTCGAATTGTGGTCGCCATTGGGGAACTCTTTCCAGACCTTGGCAGTGGGGCATTGATCGAAGAGGGCCTTCATCATGGATGGTGGTACTATTTCATCCCGCAGACCGGAAAGAAACAGAACGGGAATTTTTGCGTCTTCCACCTTGGCCAAGCTTTGTTCTGAGTCCCAGCGCTGGTGACAGAGGTACGAAAGGTATTTCGCTGCTGGCATGATCGACGGGATCAACTTGCGAATGGACAAGAAGGTATTCTCCAAGATGACTGCAGAAATGTCGCCGACTTGATAATTGGTCTGCAGCAACTTGATCGCAAGGGCACCACCCAAACTCTGACCGTATAGCACAATGTTGGTGTTCCTCAGCTCTTTATGATTGCGGACAAAGTCGAGGGCCGCTTGCCCATCGATCGAAAGTCCATCCTCGCTCGGCGACCCAGTCGACAATCCGTAGCCTCGATATTCCACCATGAAGACATGACAGCCCAAACTCTGGGAGAGGACCTTCCCAATGGGAAGGCGATGGCCGACATTGCCAGCATTGCCGTGAAAGGTCACTAGAGTAATATTCTTTTTCAACGAGGGATCGGAAGGACGTAGGAGGTAGGCGTGGAGGGTTTCGCCGTCCGGCGTGGGAAATCTGATGGACTCAGCGTCCTGAATACCATACTTTTCAGGAGGGTCCACCGTCGTCCTTGAACCGGCAGGTAGATTTGCGGGGTAGATAATGTCATTCTGTTTGAAATAGAGGAGGCTGCTTCCGAGTGCGGCGAGGCCTGATGTGGCAAAGACGGGTATGCGTAACCAGGAGAGGTAGGAAGAAGCCATGGCGCAAGTGGGAGTGATCCAAGCGCAGCTTTATCGAAGTGTGGTTTAACTGCGGAGTGGGAATATGGTCCTAGGACGGAGTACGGAGTTCATCCAGTATGGAGACTTCTAGGAGACTAAGAATGAGAAGTAAAGCTTCTTGAGAGAAAATGCGGCTCTATATGTACGAAGCGAGGGAGACGAGAGTAAATCGCTTCTGAGAGGGGGTTCGTGAATGGGAGAACACCTTGTGTGGAAGGTCGTTGCCTGGTGGCACGAGTCCCTGCTGCGTTGGCTACCTTGGAGAGGTAGTTTTGGCGAGCTTAGCCGCGCCTGGAACGCCAAGTGGCGTCTAATTAAGCCCCCTGTTTCCCCGTTTCCTTCAGGCTACTAGGCACTAGGGCATATGCTTGCCGCCCGCAGCTTCTGTCTCCAAGGTTAATTGAGTAGACGCGTTTGCTGGTTCTGCCTTCTCGTGCAGCGCAGCTTCACCCATATACTCGCCTCATATTCGTCCTCCCTCCACAACTCACACACCGCACTCCATTATCTACCGCAAACAAACCCAAAGAACACACAGTTCTTCTCTCTATCTTTGCAACCATGATTGGTCCAGGCACCGGCATGCTTGGAGAGGATGGAATCCATGTCGACATGAATCACCTCAAATCCGGGGAAGTCAACTTGGGTACATCAATCATGGCCATCAACTTCAAAGACGGGGTCATTCTGGGGGCAGATAGTCGGACAACCACAGGAGCATATATTGCCAACCGAGTGACGGACAAGCTCACCCAAGTCCATGACACCATCTGGTGCTGCCGGTCCGGGTCTGCAGCCGACACTCAGGCCGTTGCGGATATCGTCCAGTACCATCTTGGGATCTACGGGATCATGAACAACGAGTCTCCCACCACCCAGACTGCTGCTGCACTGTTTCAAGAACTGTGCTACGAAAACAAGGACCAACTGAGGTGAGATCCTTAACACATGTCTTGGAACCTTGACTGACTTGCACACAGCGCTGGCATCATTATCGCAGGCTACGACAAGCGGAACGGTGGACAAGTCTACTCGATACCTCTCGGCGGCTCATTACACAAAGGGCCGTATGCCATCGCAGGTTCAGGGTCAACGTACATCTATGGGTACTGTGATGCACACTGGAAAGAAGCCATGACAGAAGAAGAAGGAATACAGTTTGTCAAGGGAGCATTAAGAGAAGCCATCAAATGGGACGGCAGCTCGGGCGGTGTTATTCGAATGGTGGTGTTGACCGCGAAGGGTGCTCAGCGACATTTGTATCTTCCAGACCAAGACTATCGAGGACCAGGGAGAGACTGAGGAGAAATAAACAAAAAGGGTTTGGGGGACGGCGTCCAGGGATCCTTTTTGGAGGGTGCATATGCATCTCCTGAGCAATGGGATGGCTTAAGGGGATTCCTTGTCGGCACTGTTATTAGGATTCGAGCAGGAGCATGGCTGGAGAGTAAACCGTGAATCACCAACTGTTCAGGCGCCGCCCACCGCCTTTCATCAGTGTGTACGAGGTACTTACTGTACATATGCAGAATGATGCAAATGCATGCGTAGTACTACTGGTGGACGGCAGGGCGGCGATGGCAAAAGCTGTGCCAATGCTCCGCCCGCCTTTCGGGTCTTTGCGCTCTACGTGCTTTGACCAGCTCTATCCACTGGAAACTGCGCCTCGGGGGCTTCAACCCAACCAAACCTAAACCCAAACCACCCGATTCCCTCTCTATTACTACCACTCTTTCTTGTGGCACCCCGTTCTATCTTCATATCTTGCCACTTGTATCTATCGTGTTGGCCGTCGAAGTCTGGAGGGATAGACGCGCCTGTCTGCACTGACAGTTTTTACCTCCAGCAAGTGCCCTTCCCGCAATGTCTTTGGTAAGTCACCCTTATGTTTCTTTTTCCCCCACCCACCGCTCGCTCGCCGTGGGCTGTGAACCACGCTGCACATGCTAGCTCTTCGCCGACCGCCAACTCTGATCAAATGCGTGCCGAACGTCCACCATCACCACCACCACTACCACCGTAAAACCTGCTTCCAACCCCCCGTTTGGCGTCCTGGAAGACCGTATTACCTCTTGTCCAACCCCTCATACAAGCTGCTGGAAGCCTGCCGTCCACAATCACACTGTCGCGGAGCTGTGCATCCACAAGGAGACACGGGATAATCAGGCTGGACAGTGCTAGGCTGCGACAGTGCCTCTGCCATGGGACCTGGCTGGGTTGTTTATACCTAGAGATCGGCTAACAATCTCTATCGCAGACGTCCTACTACGCCAAAGGTTGAGATGGGCTCGCTGGTGATCAGCCAAGTGGCGCCGGGACTCGGTCAGCATCCCTATCACCACATGATGGTGGACACCGATCCTCCTCACGAAGACTCCTCCAGAGGATACAGCGCCTCCTCGGACCAGACGCCTGTCGTCCACGAGCCTTTCGAAGATTCGTCGACCCCAGGGTCCCAGCACGATGGCCATGAGTCAGGCAGCGCTCACTCTTCCTCCCCCCATCACCAACCCTCCTCTTACTACCCGCAAAATGTGAACCAACACGCGCGTGGATTTGATCAGTCCGGCTTCCCTCTGACCAGCGACCCGCGGGTCGTGGTCGCCCACTCTCCTCCCTCTCCGCGACTGCAACCCACATATCGCTCAACCCGGTCATTGGGTGCGTCAGAAGCCAGTTCTCCCAGTCGGATAAAAGTGAGAGACTTGTCACATATTCGCAGTCTGGCGAGTGAAGAATATTTAAACCGTCCGCGCTTGTCGGGACGCTCTTCCAGCTCCTATTCGGACACGGGCAGGCAATATGAAATCAGTGCCATGCCGGTCACAGACATCATCGAAATGGTCGCAGGCCTTCTTACCAAGATAACCACCACCAACGATCGTCAGCACGAGCATCATCGGCCGATGCCACTCACAGAGGAACAGAGTCATATGAACCCGCACGCCTCCTGTGTCCTGGCATTTCATGGGAAGAACGTCCCAGGAATAACGATCCTAAGTTATCTGAGTCGGATACATAAGTATTGTCCAACTACCTACGAAGTTTTCCTGAGTCTGCTGGTCTACTTTGATCGCATGACCGACATGGTCAATCGGGGGCTTTTGGGCAACGTCAATAGGCGACCCGATGATTCACCTGCGACGGCACCAGAGTCATCCACGCCCACTCCGCGCTCTCCGGCCCCCATGAATGTGGACAGCCCTCAAGAGCATCACGATATCGGCACGCCTCCTTCTCCGTCAGACTCACGCCAACAGTCCCAAGCCCCCCAGCATCTCTCCTCTCCTCAATCAGCCAGCATGCCGACCGATTTGTCGCAATTCTTCGTGGTTGATAGCTACAACATTCATCGCCTTGTAATCGCTGGTGTCACTTGCGCCAGTAAATTCTTCTCGGATGTCTTTTACACGAATTCTAGATACGCGAAGGTATGGTTCCCTCAAGCCGGGGAAGTTCTCGCCGTATCAGCCCTCCCTCTCCGCAGCTGTCCTTCTGAATCCGCTTGCTGACGTATGGTTTACCTGACAGGTGGGAGGCCTTCCTCTAGCTGAATTAAACAACCTTGAACTCCAATTCCTCCTCCTTAACGACTTCAGACTTTCTGTGCCGGTGGAGGAGCTGGAAGCCTACGGCACCATGCTGGTCGAGTTTTACGCTAGAGAGTTACTCGCCCAACAACAGCTCGCTCAGCAACAACAGCAGCCGCATCAAGGGGGCTCAGCAGGTCCGTCTCCTTCCGCCGGTGCGGGAGATGGGATTTACATGCGCTCTGCCGGAGCTGAAGCAGGATCATCGTCGACGCAGGAGTAGTCGGCAGCCACGTGAAGAAGACAATTTCCCCGAGGGTACGAGACAGCTTTGGTGATGAAACGAATACGGAAGATCTTTGCTGTCGACACCCGCCTTTGTTGACGTTTACGAGATTGCCGATTCATGAACCGATTCAATACCTATTAGACCAGATCTTTGTGAGAGTGTTTTAGTTATGTGTCTGTTGGGGGAGGAGGGGGGGGAATGTGAGCATCCTTGAGCTCAGGATCGAGCTGAGGGACACATGGCGTTGGCGAGTGGAGAGGCATTTTCTTTTCTTTTACCTGCTTTACATCGAAACGACCGAGACGAAATACTCCGGAATAGATCTTCGAATCGCTGTCGTAGAAACAATCGACATGATGAGACAGGCCTCCACGTTGAATGCTACTTTCCTTCTGCCCTGACTCTATCACCCCCTTCTTTCTCAAGTCTCTTATCGCTGTGATGTATTTATGCCCTCCCACTTTTACTTGACTTGCTGCAACACCCTGGAATTAGTGCTTTCTTTCTCGATTCAAGAATTAGTTTGGGGGGGGGTTTGAAAGGGGTAATTATGATCCGTCCCAATCCAGAGAGCCGCGAACACGCCGAGGTATGTACTGTAGATCAGGAAGAAGAGTCTCTCCAGAGCACATGAGACCGGGAAGAGAAGTCGACGCTTGTTCCGTTTCGAATTGCTAACTGTGCAGGTTGACGATCGCCGATGCCTCCGGAGTTCGTAAAACAAGACTTGAAAAGATGCGTACTAACAACTTTTGATTTCTACGACGACTATGTAGCCATGCTGGGAAGGAATAGCGCCGAGCCCATGGACGTCTGGCACCCTGTGGGCAAATCTGGCATAGAAAACAGTGCATACGAATTCCTAGCTCGAACTGTCCCGCCTGAGGGTATTGAAAGCTTGGTTGGTGGAAGCGCAAATGTCGAAGGTAAAGACGCCTAGTCGCCGGAGTGTGCGGCATAATGTCATGTCGTGTCGTATCGTGTCGTGTCGTGTCCGCCCTGATATCGCGCTCGCTGATTTGCTTCATACCTGATGTGCCTCGCCAGCGCCTTGACCCCGTCCCTACAACATCTCGCAGAGAGCTCGTACACAGCCATCAACACCTCGATCACTGACGTTGAATTCTGTCCATCAAGAACCACGGAACAAGAATTGCATATCCTCTGGCGTCAATTTGTCCAACGCGACCTGGTCATTATTGACCGTGCCATTGATCATGTTGGCCTTTTTCTCTTGGAGCAGCACCATCCTTGATTCGACCGAGTCTTCGATACACAACCGAGTAATGACGCAAGGGCGACGCTGACCGATCCGATGACAACGGTCCGCAGATTGCCATTCGGCGGCAGGGTTCCACCACCTGTGTGAAATTTCAGTCAGTAATGGTGGTGAAGAGGGAGAGAGAATCGTTGCAACTCACGGGTCCACGATGTATACTCTAGAGGCCTCAGTCAAGTTCAAAGCGACACCGCCAGCTTTGAGCGAGACGAGGAAGACCTCAACGTCGACGTTATTCATGAAGTGTTCAATCGTCTTTTGTCTCTGTGCAGGGGTCATACTTCCATCCAACAGCACCGTGCTGAACCCCGACTTCTGCAGTCTCCACTGGACGAGTTGCAACATGCTGGTGAACTGTGAGAACACGATGGATTTGTGCGTCTGTTTCTTGCTGCGCAGCTTGTACAGATCATACACGAGCATTTCAATTTTGGTGGAGCTGGTCCAGTCCTCCATCTTAATGCGGTTGATAATGGAGGACTTCTTGATGTTGTCTTCATCCTGCTCGATTTCAGGCTGGTCCCAATCTATCACCAGGGGAATGTGGCATCTGGGGCAATCTGCATCATCCTCAGAACCTCCGTAGGCACTACCCGCGAAGGACTGGACATATGACTTGGCGCACTGGCGGCAAAATTCATGGCGGCACCGTGAACGGATGGCATCTTCGGCTGGCTCGTCGCAGACACAGCAGATGAGAACATTCTGCCCGCCTTCTGCGTTTTTGCGTAGAATCAAGTCGGGATGATTGGCGACTTGTCTCATTTGCATGATGAGACCGAAGATATTGGCATAGTTGTTCAGCATCACACCTTGCGCAACATAGGTGTCGAATTTCCGAGTCGAGTTTGACATGATACTCTGAGAGAAGTCGCGTTCAATTTCTCCAAAGAATTCGTTGTGTATAACGATCTCTTTCGGTGGCAGCTCCATGGAAGACGTGTGATCGCGCTTCATGCGACGAAGCATGATGCGGTCGGTAATAAGACGCAGCTTGTCCAGGCCTTCTTTTCTGAGTTTTTCATTGCCGCCCTGGGTGATGGGGTTGAGGATCTCCTGGTTGAACACAGAGACGTGGTTAAAGCCGCTGTGCTGACATTTGACGCATCTTTTCGACTCATCCTGAGACCAGTGCAGTTCACGACAGTCGCATGTCTTGCAGAAATAGCATGCAAAGGGGTGGATCTCAAGGAAGCGTAAGAGGGAGAAGAACTCGCCGATGCGGTTCTGAACAGGGGTGCCAGACAAGCACCATTTGTAGGTGGCTTTCAAAGCGAAACAGGCCCTTGCTACACCAGTAGTGCGCTGTTTAATGCTGTGAGCCTCGTCGAGGATCAGTCGGTGATACTTGATCGAATGCAAAACACTGTCCTCCTTGACGATTCCATCGCCTCGAGTCCACCCCTTCTGCTCTTTTCGGAACATCGACTCTAGACCAGAATAAGACACCATGATGACATCGTACTTTTTCAAGTCCTTGACCGTGAGAAGCTTGCATTTTGGATTGGCAGAAGAGTGGTAAACCAGCACCTTCAGCTTTCCACTGGTATATTCTTTAATCTCCGACTGCCACTGCATGAGTGCCACTGGAGGGACAACCACTAGGCTGGGAGCTTTGGCAGGATAGTCAGACATAATAAGGCTGACAGCCTGAATGGTCTTTCCCATGCCCATCTCGTCACCGAGCAGGCCACCTTTCCACTGGGACTTCTCCTGTTTCACCATCCAGTCCAAACCCTCAAGCTGGAATGGTTTCAGCCTTCGACTGATGCCGGTTGGTTGCAGCGCTTGCACAGGCTTGATGACTGGGATCTTTGCGAGGTCCGTCCACATGGTCTTGATTTCTGGGTGAGATTTTTCCAAGCGTTTGCGTTCTCTCAATTGACGCCGCTTCGCAGGGTCTGCCCAGAACAGTATCTCTTCTTCACTTAGTTTTGTCCAGTCCATGGACTTACGACCCTTCCGAGTCCACGGCGGTTCGGTTGAATCATCGTCGTCGTCGTCGACCTCACTATAGTCTGCCGAGTTCATTGACAGAGTTGGTTCGGTGAAATCGGACAACTCTGTATCATCGTTCGGGTCCACTGAAGAGAGCCCTGAGCTGGAGAGTGAAGCCGCAGCACCAGCAGTGGAAGAGTCATGGTTGCGGAGGGGGAGCCCGTTTCGAGGCTGACGAACGTGAGAGATTTGCACGTCATCGTCGTCGTCGCCGTCATCGTCTATCATGTCAACAACGGAGGGTCGAGTGCGACGGCGCTTGCTCAAAGGCTCGTCGTCGCTGTCCTCCGAATCCACGACCATGTCGTACTCTTCTCTCTGGAGTTTTTCCGCAAGTTGCGCATCGGCATCTTCAAAATCTGAATCGGTGATTTCAGCGATGTTTCGTTTTCTCCAATTCCCACCCCAGCTGCGAAGAGAAAATTCCGAGGATTGCAGTTGCAAAGCCCTGGCTGTCGCTCCAACCCTCGCTTTCGATGTGCCTGGATCAGGTGTTGGGACAGTGCTAGTTCCTGGGGTTTCATAATCAGGTGAGTCCATTGAGTCGGCGATGGAAGACGGAGCCGTTGACTCGGACTGCCTGCCACGGCGCTTTGCAGGAGCCAAATCACGCTTAGGGATTACGACTGCTTTGAATGTCCGCTTTGAGGTGGAGGCAGAAATCTCATCATCGTCAGAGTCTGGGATCTCCGTGACTCCAGATGCAGGAGGTCGCACTTGACTCCGGTTGATGCTGCGCTTAGGGAGTGCTTCGAGAGCAGGGGCCGATTTCTCAGTGGCGACTCTGGATACTGTGGGCGTGGGTCAGTCAGGGGTCAGTGCAATATTGTTCAAGCATGGACTCACAAGAAGCCCTTGAAGAGGCTGTAGACCTCGAAGGACGATCTCGAGCCCCCATGATGGATTGTCACTGCCGAGGGTAATGGCTGAAGTTGGCGAAAAGGATGAGGCTCGAGTGATTGACTGCGGAAAGAAAGGTCAAGCCACAATCGATAAAGATCAAATTTTAGCGTGTTTTCTGCCTGGAATTCGGCGCGTGGGACGCGTTAAGTGGTTTTAGAGACAAAAGCGGCATCCCCTCAGAGCTCGCAGGCTCGGCTTTGTAAGGTAAAGCGGCGACAGGGGCTTTCGGGACCCAAATTCTATCTGCACTTCAGTAACGGCCTCGACGGTTAATCTGTGCTCCACAATCGAATGGTTTCGTCACCGATTCAGTTAGTGTCCAAGACGTGAAGAGCGTCTGCTTCTGAAACGTAGTTCGCTGGTAGCAATGAGGCTTCTGGTTGCCGCTCCACTCTGGCACTGGAAAACGTGCACGTGACCACGGATCGCGTCTTTCAATGGGACGCGCCACCGACCGCGCCAAGGGGGAATTGCCCCTCAGCGTCTTGACGAAGCCTCTGCCTTGTAACCTGGGCAGCAGTGAATATAGAAGTTTATCACTGACTCGAAGCCGACAAAAGGGTTCTGTTAACTCGACACAACCTGGCTCTTTGTTTCATTCTTGAACATTTCTTCCACATCGGTAGTTTGCTCCTTCCTGCAAGCTGCGGGAAACAAGACTCGCCACCAACAAAACCTTTCACAATGTGAGTTGATACCCCTGGTGCAGCAGCCTTGCCTGCGTTCACACTGGAAATAGGGCGACCCGGCGCGCTGCTGCGCTCAACCGCATCCGCGGCCCTCAGTCTGCCCTTACAGACTTCCTTGCGTCTCACAACATCTCGGCCCAACAGATCCACCAGGATTACCAGCAACGCCTCGCCGAAGCCGAGCGAGAGAGGAGGGAAAGTACCGATAATGCAGATCCGGGCGAAGAAGAAGCATCCGACGATGACGGCGAGGATCCTGTCGAGCGCAAGAAACGCAAGAGAAAGCAAGAAATGGCTTTGATGAAGATCAAACAGAGCAAAGAGTTTAAGAAACGCAAAATGGAGCGTGAACAGGAGGAAGGCAGCGACTTCGAAATGGACGACGACGAAATTGCCCGAGCCATGATGGCCAAAGCGAAGCCCCTGCCCGGCCAACTTGACAACTGTGAGCTATGTGAAAAGAGATTTACCGTGACGCCTTACAGCAGGACTGGGCCTGACGGTGGTCTCCTCTGCACAAAGTGCTCCAAGGAATTGAAGGAGGAAGAAAAGAAGGATGCCCAGGCAAAGAAGAAGACAGCGTCGGTTCCCAAAGGTCGGCGTCGTCAGACCGAAAGCGATCGCATGATGGGCGACGTCAAACCGGGCGCCAAAAGCCTGGTCGACATGTGCGTTCGTAAAGTGGCCGACGTCGTCAACGACATCGAGGAATTTGGTGACATGCCACAAAGCCTGCTCGATCGACTGAGCCAAATTTTCTCCAAGCGAAGAGTCCTCACTCCTCGAATCCTCGAACTCTTCCTCCGCCCCGACGTCGACCGTATCATCGTGTACGACTGCGGGAAGCTGGAGCAGGAAGATTTTCAGAAGATCTTTGCATTGATGCCTCAAGTCGAGATCGTCAACCTGCGCTTTGCGGGCCAGCTGAAAGACGGACCACTGCTGTATATGGCTGACAAGTGTCGGAAGATTCGTCACCTCCAGCTTGGGGCGACAAACCTAGTCTCGGACAGTGCTTGGATTGAGTTGTTCAACTCACTTGGTCCTCAACTAGAAAGTCTCAAGTTGTCGGAACTCAATGACTCGCTGAAGGATGAGACGGTCGCCATACTGGCGGACAAGTGCCAGAAACTCAAGAGACTCAAGCTGAGGTCTTGTACTCACATGAGTGAGGCTTCGCTTAACGCCCTCTGCTCCCTGCGCAATCTGGAACACCTCACCCTCGGCAGCATTGCACAGGAAACATCCCCGGAGACTCTGGTCAACCTCGTCTCCTCGGTCGGGCCAAAGCTTCGTACTCTTTGTCTAGAAGACTTCCATGAACTCAACGACGACGTCATCGAGGCCATCAAGACTCACTGCCCAAATCTCTACAAGCTGCGCATTCGGGGAAGCAGCATCTGCACAGACCGTGCCTTTGCCGATCTCTTTGGGAGTGACTGTCCCTTCCCCCCTCTGGTCTACGCCGACCTCTCCGACAACCGTGACATCGACAACGGAAACCCTGAGGGCCCGCAAGACGATCCCATTGGCTTCGGCTCGCAGGGATTCTCGGCGCTGATGGCACATTCTGGTTCTCGACTCGGGTCTCTCAATCTCAAGTCCTGTCGTCACATCTCGCATGCTGCGCTTATCGAAGTCTTCGATGGGGTCAAGCAGTATCCTTCTCTCAGGGATGTGGACTTGTCCTTTGTCACACAGGTGGACGATGTGGTCATGACCGGAATATTCAAAAGTTGCCCGTCGCTGGCAAAGTTGGCGGCATTTGCCTGTTTCAACGCCCGGTCGACGAACATTCCGGCTGGAATTGCAGTGATCGGTCTGCCGAACGCGAGTGCGAATATCGTACAAGGAGATCTCGTCGTGGGGGTATAATGTTGAAGAATGCATGCTCGAGAGGCCGGACGCCGTAGATGCTGACGGATGAGGCGAGTCTCGACGCTACGTGTTTACACGAGGTTATGATCAAAGGACGACACGGTGGACGAGTTGGCGCAGCTAAACCGGCCTCGAGTTTGCAGGCGGCAATGTGGACAGAAAAGCAGCTTGTCACTCTGTCAATGTGATCAGCTGGTGATGAGAATGTGCACAACATGTGGATTTGCTCAGACACGGATTGTACTGTACACACCGTGTTTGATGGCGGTGCTGTCACAGATAACTCAGTCCACCTTCTTCAGGCTTCCCTCTCATACATTGGCAGGTTCTAGTGGCTGTCATAGACACACGTTCTCTTTGCACTTGATGTATTCCATGTGTTTACACGTCTCCGTCAAACACCTCATCCTCATGCTCGTCCTTAAAGCATCTCTATGCCCTCCACCAACGCCTCCAGGCTCTCACCTCCCATTTCCTTCCGGCGCCCACTTCCGCTTGGTCCTTGCACCAGCGCCCTGGCAAGCCCGCCCAGCTGTCTTTGCTTTGTGGTCTCTTCCAACTCCCGACTTTTCCCCCTGGCGACTTCAATCACACCCTCGCCCAGATTTGCCAGCCTCGCCACGTTCAGGCCGTAGCTGCGATGCGCCACGCCTTCGCCCACTTCATAGAGAAACGTGATGTTCTCGTCGTTGGCCTCGGTGAAACGCATGTGGACGTTTTTGAGTTCTCCTTTCGGAAACCCGTCCGCCATCCGTGCCAGCATCTGATAATGAGTAATGAACAGCGTCAAGCACTTCCGCTCCCTCACGAGGTAGTCAAGCACGGAGGCAGCAATCGCGACACCGTCGTGCGTGCTCGTTCCTCGGCCCAATTCATCCAGCACGACCAGACTGCGGTCCGTGGCAAGTTTTAAAATGTCGCTCGTTTCGCTGAGTTCGACCATGAAGGTCGATTCGCCAGACATCATGTTGTCAAACGCACCCATGCGCGTGAAGACCGCGTCCAAAATGCCCAACGTTGCGGACGCCGCCGGTACGAAAGACCCGATTTGTGCCATGATGGTGATGAGGGCCACCGAACGAACATAGGAAGACTTCCCGCCCATATTCGGCCCCGTCACCAGCAGAGCCCGCGTCGAATCTTGGGAGATGGATATGTTATTGGGCACGTAAGAATCGATGAGGAGTTGCTCGACCATAGGGTGGCGAGCACCTTGCACCTCGATTCGAGTGCCGGACGTGAAGCTCGGACGCACGTAGCCTGGCTGAGACGCCACATTTGCCAATGACAGGAGACAGTCTAGGGTTGCGAGGCTCTGGATTGTGTCACGGAAAAGCTGGTACTTAGTACTGATGTCGGCTAGCAGGTCCCTGAAGGCTTCGTCACAAGCAGCCGCAAGAGACTCCTTATGCTGGTCCCTCTCTCGCAGAAGCTTCACTATTTCCGGAGGATGAAATCGGGACACCTTTTTGGTTCCTGAAATCTTTGCCCACGATGCCGGAACCTTCTTGATCGTGGCAGAGTTGTTCTCAACTTCGATCAGGTAGTCGATGCCAGCCACAGTCACGTAGTCAACAGGCTTCTTCTTGCCCAACTTCTCCGCGGCAGTCGATCGAAACTGATCTAAATCATGCTCAACGCCAGCGATACCGAATTTGTGCTCGGAAATGGCCTCTGTCTCTGCAGCATCCTGGAAGAACGCGTACTTGTCATCCGACTTGGCAGCTTGAAGATTGATCTTGTCCAAATATCCCACCACTTCTGTCAGTATCACAGGCAGCGAGACCATCGCAGAAGAGATCAAGTCCGAGGCGAAACCAGTAGATTCTGTATTTGTCGCATACGCGAATTCGGTCGCCAACATCTGTAGCGACTGGAGGACATTCAACAACTCTGGCCTCGTGCACTTCCCGTAGTAAATCCGAATGAGGCTTTTCTCTAGGTCGGTCCTTATTTTTGACAACACACGCCTCAGCTTCTCCGCCGGGACGGCTTTGTCGGGACTCAGAAGCTCTTCCACAGCATTGAGCCGGGTTTCGATGCTTTGGACATCCAATAGCGGCCGCCCAACCCATTTCCGCAGCAGTCTGCCTCCAAATTTGGTCTGCGTTCGATCCATCATCCAGTACAGACTACCTTTGGTGGAATGGTCCGTCTGGTTCAAGTAGATCTCGAGACTTGTCAATGTGTTTCCATTGAGGAGCATGTGGGATCTGGCAGAAAACGGCTGGAAATATTTGGTCAGTTGGAAGACATGCTCGAGCCCATATTCGGATAAGTGTTTGATCATTGCTGAGAGGCAGATGGATACGTTTTCTGGTAATCCCAAGATCTTATCAAAGATTTTCGCTGCCTTCCCTGAGTCTCGCTGCGCATCTTTCAGCCTCTGGGCATAAAAAGTTGATATGTCACTGTGTGCTTGAGCTGCCATGTTTTTTGGTTTCGCAACTCGCTCAACTCGAATCTTGTCGCCGAACACGTTCGTCTTGCTGCCGGATAGATGGACAACAAGCTTCTCGGTTGCCTTTGAGAGCTCGCCCACGATGAGGAACTCGCAGGGCGCAATGTGAAGCAATCTGGTCTCGATTTCGCTCCGCATGAAACCGTCCTCAAAATCATCGTACACTATATCGCCAGTGGCAGGCTGGACTGCCACCAAACCAACATGGACTTTCTCGTCGTTGCCAAATCCTTTGACATTGACCTCTGTCATGCAGAGGAGGAATCCGGTCGACGGCGATTGCGGGGCAGGGCTCCCTCGACTGTCCTCTTCGATGCCTTGAATGTCGTCGATATAAGTGCCCTTTGTGTACAAATTCGTGAGCTTTCTCACAAAAGGGGCATTTCTGTTGTCGCCAACAGCTTTCAACGCCGCCGTCTCCAGCTGTCGAACAACACCAACTTTGTGACCGGCGGCAACTAATCTCTTGACATGCACATGCAGTCGATGGACCGGAATGCTTGCAGACGCAAAACGGTCGAGGTGTGCCTCAGATGGATGCTCATCATATCGGAGTTTCCCAGGGATACAAACGATGCTGAGTTCTTTGGCCGCAATCCTGGCGTCTTCGCCAAAGAAACGAAACTTGTAACCCACTTCGACCACAAGCAAAGTGTCCATATGCGCTCTCTTGATTTCCAAGACTTGCTTTTCCATGGGTGTCAACTTATTGCCACCTTTCTTAGTCCGACTAGTTGATTTCGGTGCCTCGTCGACGGACTCCTCCTCGCCGTCTTCGTTGCCTTGCTCGGCAGCGTCATCTTCGAGCAGTCGATTTCGCCGCTTGATCTCAGCGATACTGTCAGGCTTTCCCAACTTCTTCACAAACTTCCGGTGTAGTTCGTCTCTCCGTCTCTTCTCCGTCCCGCTGATTTCCTCGACATCCTGGTTTTCCTGCTGAGGGGACGAAGAGTAGAAGTATTTTGCCGTCCTCGTGCCGGATGCTCCAGATTCAGTTGTTGCGAGCGTTTGTCCATTGGCAGCGACAGGTCTCAGTGGGATCACAGGTTCCTCAATTTCTTGCCCTTCTCCATGTTCAACCTCATCTGAATCTTGCTCGACAGGCGTGATGCGGCGTCTCTTTGGCGTGGGTAGTACCAACCCCTCATCGTCTTCGTCATCCTGTTCTTGCGTAGAGATCTGCGGAGGACGAGGTTTTGGAGTAGGAGTCGACGAGGGTCTCTTGAAGAAAGAGGATATCGTCTGCTGCTTCTTCTGCGCAGAGGACATGGTGGAAGGCCCACTGCTCGATCTGCGGCGAAGAAGAATATAAGGGTTGGTCGAGTCTCAGCGAGCGGGAGAACGCAGGCGTCATTCGAAGGAAGCCACAACTCCGCCAATGAAGTTGCACCCTGACACGCGCCACGCGACGCGTCTCAGGAGAAAACACTTTTAAAGTGCCGTCGGTCAATTGAACGTCACCTATCACATCCTGGGTGACATCCATCTTGGACCATTCTGTACAGAGTACCTCGTGCTTATGGCAGAGACTTTCCATATGGGAAGCAACCTTCTTACTCTTGGGAAATCTCACTTCTCTCTTCCTGCCATCTCGTGTTGCTGCCCTTGTGAGTGGTATAACTACCACTGAATACGTTCAATGCTTTCTCAGTCTTAGACGGGCGGGAAGTCAAGAAACGAACGTTCATGGTGTGAAACGGCAGGAGTCGATATTGTCACAGATGAACAGACATGAGGCTGATCCGCGGCCTCACCAGACTTGCTGGACGAAAGAGTCTCTGTGACAGGCCGGGCACCCAGGGACTGCCTTGGTTAGTCTAACGTCCAGCCATTTACCCCTGTTGCTTGCGCCACCCAGTCGTCGATGACTTTGTCAGTGTCCGGCGCATACAGCCACCGCATGTCGTCAAAGTTGTCAACATTGCTGGCATCTACGACTTTGCCGTCGCGGACAAGCCTCTCTCTGTCCGCCAGAGGCAAACGCTGGACGTTGGTCTTGTTCGTGGCCCAGTCGAAGACCGCATCCACACGTGCCTGTCGCAGGGATTGCCAGAACGACAACGCGTTCTTGAGCCCCAGGTTTGGCTGTGACTGAAGCAGGAGAAGCAGCCTAGTCAGAGCATACACATCCTCCAGGGCTTGGTTCACGCCCTGGCCGCTGCTCGGAGGCAATGCGTGGCTGGCGTCGCCCATGATGATGACTCTGCCCGCCTTCTTTGAAAACCACTTCTTCAGCGGTGCCATTCGCATAAAGGGCCACAAGAAGGTTGTGTCGACATGCTGACAGACGGCGTCGATGATCGCTCTTGCGGTTGGGCTCTCCCATTTGTCTCGGGTGTTTGCATAGAAATCACGCAAGTACTCCTTGTCCTGGGCCAGCGCTTCCCACTGCTCGCGACTGCGGTCTTCCATTCTAATCTGCAATGCCACCATGACTACGCTTCCCTCCCGATCTTCAGGCATTAGAACCAACGCTCCGGGCTTCCCCTGGATGGTGCATGCGCGCTCGTAGTGTTCGTACGGCCAGTCAACAGAGTTCCAGGGAATATGACTCAAGACACCTGCAATACCCGTGTACTCGGGCCCTGGGTCGTCTGGAGTGACATACCTCCTCACCGAAGAATGAATCCCATCGGCCCCGATCAGCATCCCAACCGACTCAACCCGCCCATCAACTCTGAACGTAACCCCGTCCTCCACCTCGTTCACAACGCCTTCAAACCTCGTCCCCCAACAAACCCTGACGCCTCGCTCCTTCACCATGCCCAGCATCGTCTCGACCAGGATCCGCCTCCACAACCGGTGATTCTTGTACCCGTAGAGGGCCTCGTTCGTGATCAGCGTTTTCCGGGTCGTCTCGTCACGCTCGTTCTTGTACGTGCGATACTCGGAGAGCCAGCAACGGGACGAGATCCGCGGCAGCACACCCAACGAGTCGAGCACGCGCAGACCGTTGGGTGTGAGGACCACGCCGGACGCATTGGCCGGGTCGGGAGTGTCGGGGTGGCGGAGGTCATAGATGGTGATGTTTGGGGGATCGTAGAGGTGGTGTTGTAGCAGGGACAAGGTGACTGAAAGACCTGTCAGTCCGGCGCCGATAACGGCTACTGGAGAGCGAGACGCCGCCTGGGATGATGAGATGTCCATGTTCCTTATTCGTGTCAACCCGTTCAGACAATCTGGATGAGATATCTGTCGCCGTCGCTGGTTAAGAAATGGGACGAAATGCGGGGATGAAGATTGACTTGGGTACACTTTCTACAATATGCACCTTTCAAACGGCATTTCTAAATGATGCATACTGCAAATGTGACCATGACTTCGCACGTTTCTCCCACCTCCCCAGCTGCAGGAAAGGCCACGATCCTTGTCCTTGGAGCCGGTTGGCTATGGCAATTTCTGGAGCCGGCTCTCAAAACAGCAGAGATCACATACGTCGCCACCACAACAAACGGGCGGGAGGGCACCATCCCTTTCAAGTTCGATCTGGAGTTGGATGGCCTGGAGGAGGCCTTCAAGACGCTTCCTTTGGCGGAATACGTGCTTGTCACCTTCCCCTTGAAGGGGAAAGGGCTCTCGAGGAAGTTGGTGCACATGTATGCAGAGACGCACCCACAAGACAACTCCACGAACTCCGACCGGGCTACTGCAGAGACGAAATTCATACAGCTCGGCAGCACTGGGATTTGGACGTCTCCCGACTTCGTTGACAGCCACTCGCCCATCGATCCGGGAAATGAGAGGGGAATTGCAGAAGAAGAGCTCATCTCTTTGGGTGGTTGTGTGCTGAATCTTGCGGGCCTGTATGGCGCACAGAGGCAGCCGGGCAACTGGATTGCGCGTGTGGCAAAGACGAAGGAACAGCTCGGTGAGAAAGGGGCGCTCCATTTAATCCATGGGATGGACGTTGCAGGAGCGGTAATCGGGGTCATCAAGACAGATAGTCAGGATGTTGATGATAGTGGGCAATTGTTTGGCAGAAGATGGATTGTCGCCGACTGTGTGAGCTACGATTGGTGGAGCATCGTGTGGGATTGCAATGGGGACTCCCGTGAAGAAGACTGTAGAGACCAAGAGGACGCATCACAACACACGAGACGGGAAGAAAGAAGCAAGTATCGACGATGGGTGATGGAATTGATGCAGGACAAGGGTGTCAAGGCGCTGCCCAGACCGCTCGAGGCACTGGGTAGGAGACTGGATGCCCGCGAGTTTTGGAATGCTGTTGGAATTCTACCAGAGAGGACGTTGAGGAGATGAGACGACTCTGGCAGAGAGAATTTGATATCCCCAGCACTTGGTCGAGGCTCGAAGAGGCAATAAAGATGGCGTGGACGATCAAGAAGGGCTAAGACGGGCAGGCACTTCTAATATGAAGCAATGAGAAAAGAGACAAGCACAGATACACCGAGAAGGAATGTTGCAGACCAACGAATTCTGGCCATTGCGCCCTAGGATATGGAAAAAGGCTTCATTCTGTCGGTACATGAATGCCAGCGGCAACTCATTTCCAGCTTCAAGCTTGCGTGCTGTCTTCCATGAAGCACTTTTCTCTCATGAAGCTCGACTGACGAGAGGACCTCTTGCTCATGCTGACACCCTTATGGAGCATCAACGTACCAACATTGTCATCAGCAACAGCTCAATTCCGCCCGACGTCGTACATCTATTCTTCGTATCAACGGCCCGAGGTGAGATCCTCGCTGTGGTTGATCAACGGTCGTATGCCACCCTGCCCAATCCACCCACGTGAGGAGTAGTAGTCTGGGAACAATCCTCCGGTTTGCATGCTGCAGGATAAAGAAGCGAATGTGCAGCTCCGGCAGTGTTGAAGCAATATGCTGCTACCCCCCAGCACATGAAGGCGCCTGATGGTCTTTTCGAAATCGTCGCTCACGGGCTATTTGTTTTGCATAGACTCCTCCTTTCTCTTTGTCAAGCTCTGTGGCATGCGGTACACCTCGATACTGTCCCCGGTTTGAAATCCATTCTCTTCCACTGTCCCCGTGACGCGGTCCGCCGAGAAAATGATAGACCTATCCGGTAGCCAATTTTCTGCTTTTCCAGTGACGGTACCAGAGCATCGGACGATCGCAAAACGAAGGTCCTCGAGTCTTGTGCAAATCTGTTTGGCGACATCCTCCAGCGATACCGTCAGTTTGTCATCCGACCAGACCCAGCTTGTAAGAACGTCCTGCCTGAACCGGTACGTGATGGAAATGCTGAGTCTGACACTCACAATGCAGTCACTCAGGATCTTCTGCTCAATAAGATTGGCGGTCTCGGAGACGCTCGTGCCACCAAATGAAAGCATGAAAGAGTTCATCGGAACCCCATATTGTGCATGAATCCTCTCTTGAAGCCGTCTTCCAGTATCAGTCCACTGTACTCTGATACTACCATACTTTGGCCATGGGAGCATGAATCGCTGAAGGGGCAGGCGGATGTGTACGTCGTACTTCAAGTGGATCGGTCGTGCTGAAAGGTGAAGTATCGGGCTGGTAGTCGGCAGTAGGGGCCGTTCAGGGTCGTAAAGTGGTCCGTTCAGTGGAATCTCAACACCGCCAGAGCAGTGGAGGATGTACAGGAAACTCTCCATGTCGTTGAAGCTGCCCCATTTGTAAGTTTTGAGGGCGGAAACCAAGTCGCCAACTTTCTTGCAATCTCTCAAGTCTGGGGCGAGAATCAAGGGTTTTGTCAGAGCGACGATGGTCTCCGTGTCGGCCCTGGTCGTCGCCATCGGAGGGAAGGGGGGAGGTCAGATGGCAGAGAGAAGGGATTTCGTGCGGCGAGTGGAAGACAAGGGCTTTTGAGAGAGTAGAGGTGAGTAGAGATGGACTCTGCAGCGAGCTTGTTGTAGTGAACTCCTTCATCAAGTGGCGTGTTTGTGATGATGAAACGTCGGACACAGATAGATGAGCTGCATGAGAGAGTTCTTTGTGGGCGACGATGAAGCATAATGGAACGTGAGTGTAGTGATTATTCCCTTAGTCCGCGACTTCCACCACGTCAATAGACAAACGTGCCAAGGGAACAGTAGAGTCGCTTCAGGACGTCTACTTGATTCGAAAGTTCCCGCGGCTGTCACTAGGTGGCTCCGAAGTCAAGCTTCTTGGCCACGCCCTTGAACTTGTTCTCGTCGACGACAAACCCAGGAGCCGCCACCTCTGCAGCAGCCATCTTCGAAGCACCGCCGCCTTGCTTCGGGAGGTTCTCCTTGCTGGTCGGTCTGGGATCGATCCTCCACCACTCATGCTCCAAGGCCCCTCTTGCCGTCACTCTCTTCCGGGGATCCAGTTTCAGCATGGCCATGAGCAGATCGACGCCAACCGACCCTGCTGTTGGGAACATCTGCATGTAGAACGGTTTCTCGCGGACGGGGATCTTCTTTTCCAGCTCGAAATAGTCCCTTAGCTTGGAGACTCCTGGCCAGTTTTCTTCGTTTGGCGTCCCGACAGCCTCGCAGATTTTGTCGAGTTGGGCGACCGTCCCTCCACCTGTTGCTAGCACTTCTTGATTTGCCACATCTGCTGCAGCGTACGGTCTTCGAATGAGAAGCTCGGCAAAGACCATTCCAATACTCCAGATGTCGACTGCACCACTGTATTGTCTTGCGCCAAAGAGCAATTCTGGAGGACGGTACCAAAGCGTGATTACCGCGGAAGTCATTTGATACCGTGGATCACCAAAGGACCGTGCCAGGCCAAAATCTGCCAGCTTCACTTCCCCATCTGCGGCGATCAAGAGGTTGTTTGGTTTGATATCTCGATGCAAAATGAAGTTGGAATGGCAGTAGTATATGGCGCGACACAGCATCCCCATCCATGCCTTGACATCGGCAGCGCCGTAGCTCACGGTCTTGTCACGGATGAGCTCTTCCAAATTGCCGTTGGGAAAATACTCAATGACCATGTTGATGTTTTGGTCTTTGGAAGAAAACACGTCCAACAGGGCAACGATGCTTGGGTGTGAGATCTCTTGGAGATATTTGATCTCGCGGATCGTGTCGACGTTGAGCCCTTCCCGCTGCTGCGAAGGATCCACTTTGAACTTTTTGATCGCAACAAGCGTACTCGGATCTGATCTTAAATGGCCTTTGTAAACAATGGCATACGTTCCTTCACCCAGCTTCTTCCCTAAGAGCTCGTCAGCACGCTGAGTATGGGGGGGTAAGAGGAATGCCGACCTTTAACATACTTGTTGCTGATATCCTCATTCATTTGCTCAGCCATATCGAAGTCCGCCGGCGGTCGGTGTGCAGGCGGGTTCGGTGCTGAAGATTGAGCTTTGGGTATTGATTTCCTCATTGCGAGCGACTTGGCTCTTGATGGTGACATATTTGCATTTATATTCGACGGCGACCGCGGCATCAAAGGCGACGGTGCGTTCGAGGAGGGCGCCATTTTGGGATTCTCGGACCGGCGCTGAGATGTGCTTCGTCAAGCCGGCCTCTTTTTATATATGGTCTATCTCAAAAGTTCCAGACAACGTGATACAACGACAGGGCCAAACGCATAACTGTCTAATCTATCCCGGTATCTGGCTTTGCTTACACCGAGTGTGAAGCAAGATGATCGTCCAAATTCAAGGTGAACGAGGCTCAAAGAGCTTGGCATATGAAGATCATCAGGGATCTCCCGCCGCTTTACGAGTCAAATGTCTACATGTATGCGAGAGCAATTGGATCATGATTCTCATGGGCAGACAGAGGATGATATCAGGGAAGGCCGGCACATCTGCCACATGATTGCACCGGCAGCAACAAATACGGACGTGCACTGGACGCTGAAGGCAGGCCCGTTCGCTTCAGAGTGGACGGAAAGGTACCAAGACTGTGCATGTGGGAACATGCAGTTCTCCTGTACACGTTGGGACACCCATGTTTGGTTACCTCAGCCAGCTTGGTGCAGGACAAAGATGCTGGGACAAAGAGTCCCTTGCACTGGAAAGACAGGTCCCGTACTCTCTGTCGCTATGAAACAAGCTCGATCCCTCGCATATCCCCTCAGGCCGTGCAAAACATAGCTCTCGTAGCGCCAAGCCCGTAATGACCACAGGGCGGCGGGATTGTTTCTCCCTGAAAAGGGCAAAGTCACCACCTAGCAACTTTTCCTCGTTGCTTGGCGTCGAACCCAATATGCGGACCGCAGCCCATCGCATCTCAATCCGCAAACTTCCCAAACAATAATCTTATCGTCGTCAAGTGCAGCCAACGGAGCTTTGCGAGCTCTTGACGACCATCTGAATTGTCATCCTACGTGCACAGTAACTCGCGGAAGAGTGAGTTGGTGCAATCCCCACTCCGACAATGATCACGCGACAGCCCCAAGCAGCAGCTTCCCTCCTTACTTCTCTGCTCCGACCATCGACTACCTCAGCGTCGAAATCAATAGCACCTCAATCCTATATCTGCACGCCATGTCGACGACAGCTACACCGCGGCCTGCCTGGCGGGGGCTACATTCCTGCTCCCACACCCTTCGTCCCCGACGTGTCCACCTTCCTCAAACTCATCGGGCGTGAGCTTTCCAAACACGCCAGCAAGATCGAGTCCTGGGAGGAACTCTTCACCTTGACATCCAACCAGATGAAAACGCGAGGCATCGACCCGCCGCGGACGCGGAGATATCTGCTGCGTTGGCGGGAGAAGTTCCGAAAAGGCGAGTTTGGGATCGGAGGTGACTTTCAACATGTCAAGGATGGTGTTGCAGAGCTACGAGTCGTTGAAGTGCCCAGTCTGAAAAAGGACCCCGTGACCGGAGACCCTGTATCGGGCCCGGTCACGATCGGGAGGAGTCCTGGGATGCAGAAGCTGATCGTCAATGTACCCAACGGCTCGACCACGTATCAGTTGCTTCCGGGGCAGACGACGGCAGACCTTAAAAAACCGAATGGGTTTACGTTGAAAAATGGATACATTATCAAGGGCAAGCAGGCTCATCCCATGGCAGGCACGCATGGGAGTGGTGTCACAGTCAAGGCAGTTGAAGGGCTGTGGGAGCATAAGCGAGGAAGGAAGGTCTATGGCGGTGAGAGGAGACGGGCGGAGACGTTGCATAAGATGAGAGTGGAGGAAAACAAGAAGAACGCGAGATAGACGAGCGAGATGTTGCGGGTCATGGTAAATATCCAAATGGAGTCTTCTCGACGTCTCCCACATGGATGCTGGATGTACGATAATCGTCGGTTGTATCATATGTTTCCGGTCTAGGTACACTTGGGAGACGACCTGGACTCGGCTTGATGGGCCGATCAAAGAAGAAGCTTGAGATCGTCACGCTGCATTTGAGGCTCTTCACCCAGTTTGACGTACAGGTTAGCAGTGCCATGTACCTAGTACTGCGTAAACCACTCGACGAGAACGTAGGAACACACCTGCTCTGCGATTTGAGCTGCAACAGCACACTCAAACAACAACTCTAAACATCACCCTGGGCTCTGGCAAAGCGGATACAGACGACACCTACGAGCACGATGCCATTCGTTCCCTTCCATTGCCTCCACCCGTGTGTACATAGGCGAGAACTTCCGCGGAGACATTCTCGAGAGCCATGCTCACAGGCTCAGCAGGCAGAGGGTCTCCATAAAGAGGAGGCTTTCAGAGGTTGCGGCTTTGTCTCAGTCGAGTCAGAGATTTTCGTATTCATGTGTTCCGAGGGCAGTGCCTGGTCAACCTACAATCCCCTGCCTTCGAATGATGCACCGTTCGGACGAGCACGGTGGCCATTGCGCTCGGATGGGCAGAATCTGGAGAGAGGGATTTCCGCCACGATTCCGCTAGTTGAATCCTAAGAGAGCAAAATCTCCGACGGCTTTCAACGCCCTAAACACGTTGACTTGTCTTGCAAAACGGTCAGTCATTCTCTTGGGTGCACCGGTCAGCTGTTGCCGTTGACAAGAATTAGGTGGAAAGTATTTAGAGCATAGGATCCGGTTTCACTCGTCCCATTTTTAAGGATAGGGTCAAGGCTAAGAAGAGATCAGCATGTTTGATACACAGCTAGAAAATCCGGTTCCAGTTCGGCGGGCTCATGAGACAGGATCAGGACGATCATCTCGCTGATCGTTGCCACATTCCTACTCCTCGTCAGTGGGCCTTCGGAAGGCCACCTCTAGAACCGGCATGTTGCCAGTTCACGCTGAGCTGATATGCAAACTTGAATAATTGCCATTTGCAGACTCCGGGTGTAGTTGGGCCGTCGACAGGAGTGGGTGGCTTGTGGGTTAGATGGCGGGAACGCAATTGTGGCTGCAATTGAAAGGACGTCCCTGGGCTATCTTTTCATTGCCTGGATTGTCAGGAGGTGAGGGTTTACTTGAAAGAGAAGGACGCCATTCTCCCAATCAAGCCTCTGGACAAAACGGGTTGGTTGCGCGTTGCAGAGGGATCGACTCACGCAAAGCTGTCTCAAGGACCGAGATGAGAACGCTCTCGCTTGACGGGGGTGCTCGAAAGACGACTCGACGACGATCAATTCCGTTGCTGAGCACGGCCAACATTGCCAAGCGAATTGATCCAGGGGTAAACGGCCGGGGAAGCATTTGCCAAAAGCCACTGTCGAGATTGGCGTCGACAAGGTGGGGTGGAGTTGTCTCTTAGTGCTGTGATGCTTTGTGCAAATTTCTCTGCTCCAGCCGTGCCTCGGGGGCACAGGGCATGTCATCATCACCCAACTCTTATCAGTTCGTGAGGTTTTTGACGTGGACTCGCAGAACTGCTTCTTAGCAAGTTTCAGAGTGAAGGGAAGCCGTCCCGTAGGCTGCGTGGCGGCCAGAACATAATTCGTGGAGCGAGAATCCTTTGTTTGCTTCCCTCCCCCTCCCAGGACGTGTTATGCGTGGCGTCTATTCGGCTAGCCTAGGGGAGGTTCAGGAGGGTAGCCGAGCCGGTGGGAGGGCGAGGAGAAACTCGAGCGCAGAGGCGCGCAGGGCGCTCTATTGGCGGGTGCGTCAGGTGTGGTGGTGGCAGGTGTTACAGAGCACAACTTTGACAGATGGAGCAGCAACTCTGTGCGAGCACAATAAGCTTGTGGTTTGAGAAATGCTTGTGATGGTCACAAATGGTGCAGATGAATTCAAGTGATAAAACAGTGCAGAGACCAATTGAATAGCGGAAGTCAGAATAATGCCCACCCTTGGAAGAAAGTGGTTGCAGAGTGCCAGCTCGAGCACTGTTCTCAGTGGATAGGAACGGAGGGCGAAGGGATGGCTCATAACTAACGGCCCAGGCCATTGGCCCAATGGAGCAGGCAGGGGAAGGTGTAATTTGACAGGCTGTTTGACTGGAGTGGGAGCCCCTCTTACCTTAGTCCCATGCCGGGTAAGTCCAAGAGAGCGTTGCCCCCCACCGGGAAGCCTTTCGCGGGTTTATTGGAGACGGCCATCCGATGTATGGGTCCTTTTTAGCTGCAGTTTAGCCTAGCAGGCGCAGTGTGCCCTGTACCTGTCTCTTAGCGGTGTCCTGCAGGCATCAATCAGCAGCTAGAACCTGCATCTCGCCAGCACGCTTGAACTTTTCCATGCTAGCTGGATCATCCCCCTTCCACTTCACCGACGAAGCCCTGAGCAGCTTTTTACCAGGGCGAAAACCTTAGCATCGAACGCCGGCACGGCCCTCGTTGAAAGGAAAACCCTCCCTGCTACTCTTAGTGGTTTGAAGGAGCAACCACACGCCCCCCCAGAGAACATCCCTCTTGCGCCTCGTCCCTCGTCGCCCGTCTTTTCTGTCAATTCGGTCAACATCACACACCTGTCGACCACCCTCTGCGGCCGCGTGTCCAATTGCGTCCTGAAGATCCTCCAAGACTTGCCGTGCCCATGCCACATGCACATCACTGAGGTTGCATGCCCGGGAGACCACAGTGATCGATCCTCCACCGTTGGATTGTCCCATGCGGACGGCTCTTCCTCCATCTTCCCTCGCTCAAAAGCTGCGACACCCTCCGTTTCACCGCCCTAGAACCCAGAGAACGGTGCAGTATACGGGCTCCTGTTTTCTTGGATATTCAGACAAACGCGCGAGATTGTGGGAATACCAGCATTGATTGAGTTCGTGCTCGACCCATTGAGGACAAGCACAATCACACCAAGTAACTGTCCATCAACCGTTTCAGTCGACTGCTCAGAAGAAACTCCCAGAAGATCAACAAACCCCGCATGAACTGGTTATAGCTGTCCTGAAATATACCAATCGTCCCACTTTGCTGTGCTGGTAGACATGTCTCTACCCGTGCTCTCACGGCCTCTAGCCGATCCGCCGACGGGTGCGCTACCTCCAATCCCAACAAGCAAACCTCCGAGAAAGAGTTTGCCCCAGACTCCGTCAAGACTGAAAGCTCCTTCAAGGCCTTCAGCGCTGCCAACGCCGCAGCCTGTTCAATCGGCTTCTGATCTGTCGCCAGAAAAACCCTCCGGTATACCTTCGAGCAAAGGTGTGCGAAAAACTGTCAGCATCGGCTCATTCCCGCAACCACCCAATGCCGGTTCGCGTCCGCCCACCTCAGCCTCAATGGCGTCCACCACGTCCACAAAAAAGAGGACCTCAGATGGAGGATACAGCTTACAAAACGCCTCCATCAGATCCAAGAAATCCCCAAGAACCAGCGTAGCCGCGAGTTTTCACTCATCTCAAACCCCCAGCCTCCTGAACTCTGCCGGTGACGGTATGGCCATTTCGGCCAAATTTGGAAAGAGAATATCGGACGCCCAATCCAGCGTCCATTCTCCTCCGCAAAGTCGGAGCTCTTCAGCCAACGGATCTTACTCGACCAGTGCGACCACGTTCGAAGAAGGCGAGGAGGACAATCGAGGTCGGACGAAGGAGTCGGATGAAGGCATGGCTGAATCAAAACGAAATTCCAAGGGCAAAGAAGTCAAAGGCAATGTCATTGTCAGTGTACGTGTCCGCCCCGACACTGGAGCTCAACACAATGCTCAAGCGGAAGGAGAATGGATGGTGGATGGCCGACGAGGACTGGTTGCATACCGTGGAAAAGAGGGCGGCGATTACCATCTCGACAATGTGTTCACCACCCACGACGACAACGCCAAAGTCTATGACGCTGCGGCCAAGCGGCTGGTACGTCGGGTCATGGAAGGCTACCACGGGACCGTGTTCGCCTACGGCATGACGGGCACCGGCAAGACTTTTTCGATGCAAGGCACCATGAGCAGCCCCGGTGTGATTCCGCTGGCAATCACCGATATCTTCTCCTACATCCGAGAAACCCCTCACCGCGAATTCCTCCTGCGAGTTAGCTACCTCGAGATCTACAATGAGAAAATTCATGACTTGTTAGCTGTGCCCGTCGGAGGCGGCGTCGGACAGCAACAAGAGGAAATCAAGCTGCGCGAGGACAGCAAACGGGGTGTATATGCCTCGCCTTTGAAGGAAGAGATTGTGCAGAGTCCAACCCAGCTGCTACGAGTGATCCACAGAGGAGACACTGCTCGTCGTACTGGGAGTACCCAGTTCAACGCACGAAGTTCGCGAAGTCACGCTGTGGTTCAAATTGTGGTCGAGAGCCGAGAGCGAATACCAGGGTCGGGTTCTCTGCAGGAAAATGGAAAGCGTGTGGCAATGCTACCCGGCGGCGTGCGAGTCTCGACGCTGAGCTTGATCGACCTCGCAGGATCGGAACGTGCGGCAGAAGATAAGGAACGCCGTGCTGAAGGTGCTCACATCAACAAGTCCCTGTTGACCTTGGGGACGGTCATCGCAAAGCTCTCGGGCAACCGTGATAAGAACGGCAACCCTACGGACAAGGACGGAAAACACCTGCCGTACCGAGACAGCAAGCTCACCCGGTTGCTCCAACCAGCACTCTCTGGAAACTCGTTGGTCTCGATCCTCTGTACCATTCAGATTGGAGCCGGCTTGACCACCGCGGGCAGCAATCACACGGGGGAAACTCTCAACACATTGAAATTTGCGGCCCGTGCGAAGAACAACATCGTGAGCCACGCCAAGCGAGCCACGGAGGAGTTGGGCAGCGTCAATACGGGTCTCCTGGAACGATATAGAGCTGAAATTGCAAACCTCCGATCCCAACTGGAGGGGCAACAGAAGTCTGCCGCCGAAAAGGAAGAGCGGCAACTGGAGAAAGAGGCAGAGCAACGCCACGAGGAGCAAATGCTGGAGATGCAGCTGGCCCGAACAGCGCTCAAGGAGCGGATCGAGCATCTCAACCGGCTGATCCTGTGTTCCAAGTCGACTGGCGTTAATAGCGGGACAGTGTCGGCCTTGGGCATGCACTCGCGACTCTCGGGAGGGACAGAGTTCGCGGGCTCACGGTCCGTGCGATCGTCAACCAGCCAGTCAACCCTGGGCGTAACTCCCAGTCTGGGGCGACATCCATCGGTCGCTTCCTTGGGAGGACTGGCCTCGGCTTCACATCTCTCATTTTCAGGAGTTCCAGACGAGGATGAGGAGGGTGGCACGGATTTTGGTGACGGGAGAGCGCCGTTGCAGGCCCAGGTCCGCGCGTTGCAGGCTGATTTGCAGGATAAGACACGGTACATCTCGACACTGGAGAAAAGGCTGCTACAAGCTCGGCGCTCCAGCCACTCTCGGGTGTCGATGGCCTTCAACAAACCGGCGGGTGACGACAGTGAAATGCAGAGACGATTGGAAGAGAAAGATGCGATGATTGCGGACCTGCAGAAGACCGTTGCTGCTCTTCGATCGGCGGTGCGCAAGCGCGAGATTGCGGAATTGACGCCCGAGACGTCGTCCTCGGAGTTCAAGCAGAACCGTGCACAAGCGGGACACCAGAGCAACGGTAGCAACAGCAGTTCCCAGCTCAGCGTTTCGACCCAGCCCGTGGTATCAGGTGGGCCGCGATCGCCGCTGACGACGAGTCCCATGGCGATTCTGTCTCCTCAAAAGGCGATGGACAAGAAGCGCAAGACGGTGGACGAGATGTCGAGGATGCTCGACGAAATGATCCAGGACAAGGTCGAGAGCGGACAGCTGAACCGACGGTCTTCATCAGTCCGGGTATCTTCACGAGGCTCGTCTTCTGCCCGTCGGCATTCTCGGCGGCTCTCGATGGCCGGCAGCCCCGGTGCTGGATTGCCGACCGGAACTGGTCTCGGAAGCATGGTTGCATCGCTGAGAGAGCGTGACTCGGTGTTGGAGGTGATGGAGGTGAAGGAGTCGAGCTGAAGCGAGATTCGTTTGTTTTTATTATCACGATTGATGACACGACAGTTGTTGTTTTCTTTTTGTTTTTCTCATTTTCTTTTGGCGGAATTCCTTTTGCAAGGACCATGGTGACAACCATGAAAAGGAGTTTTGAGACCGCCCAACAGGACGAGATCCACGGAGCATGATTTGATTCTAATACGGGCGACGCGGCTGTTTGACCACCGATTTTCTGGGCTTTTCTTTTATGTTTGAGCACGTTACATTTCTTGGAGCTTTGACAGCAATTCTGTTCCTCGAGCGGGACCATGTGGGATTTACTATGTTTAGCAGACAACGGAGGGGGACAGGAGACCCTCGACGGAAGCGATTCCAGGCCAAAAGATGCATATCCATGCGACAGAACAGACAGATACAGATACCCCGTTTTTCATAGAGGTGTTTATTATAGGTACAGATGCAGACTGGGAACGAGTCTGGCAAAGAGTGGCCTTCTCTCTCTCTGTCTCTCCCTTTGTGCCGGTTGTATGCAAGACCAATCAGCATATTTTTCCTTGTTATATTCGCTACCCGGAACTCGGAACTCTGGATACGGAGGAGACGAGACGATCTCTCGCTAAACGGAGGCTCAAGCTGGAGCCGTGTGACTGGCAGGGGCCGAAGAAACTGGCTCGCGTGTTTCAGGTTCTGCACCAGCATCCTGGGATCCTTGTACCGTTCGCTGTCCCTTTTTCTTCTGCTTCTCTTTCTCTTCTACCAAACATACTCGTAATCCCGCCGGGAGGGACTGCGGCTCGACGGCGACCAAGACAAGTACGAAATTCAATTCAATCGGCTGGATTTGGGGCCACACAACCTCTTCCATATCATTATTTATTATTATTGCTGGTGGTGGTATCGTCAATTTCATTCTTGCCTGGGGCCCTCTTTTTCTTCCTCTGCTGTGCATCTTGGAAGGGATCAGCGTTGTGTCGTGTTTCTTTATTCTTATTTTTATCTGTTTTTCTCTTGATCTTGCTCTTGTTTGTCTTTGTTAGCTGGCACACCTAAGCGTTGCATCCCTCATTTTGGTTGTTTCATGTCATTAGACGCATAGACTTGCATCAGCATAGCGTTGGAATTTGGCGTCATATGTCGTTGGAAAAAGAAACCACTCTTGTCTCTTTTCTCAGCGTCAATGCTTGAATGAGGACTCCTTCACCCAAACCACCGAGTCATGCCGAGCAGCAACGCAAGAAGAAGATGCTTCTGTCCAGCCGTGCCAGTCCCCCCAAACCACTGAGGGTGGGTGGCCCAGATCGATATCTCTCCATCCGACAGTTCCTCCCTTCCACTCCGATCCCTTCACCGTCTCTTCCGTCCATCCTGCCACGCCACGGCAAGAAACCGCCCAAGCTCAACTCACGGAAGATCGTCCGCAGCCTCTTCTGGCTGGCGGTCGTCATCGGGATCTACTATCTCGTCTCATTCGGACGGAGGCAATCCCACAAGCTTGCCCAGCTGACCTTTCTGACCTCGCTGGGCAAGACCTACGAAATCGTCGAAGCTTCAGAGCTGCCGGACTATCCAACCCCGCTGGCATTGACAGATGCCGAGGGGAAACATCACTGGACCATATCCATCCCTCAGAACCTCCCGTTCCCCCTGCCCTCCACGGACTACGCCGACATCTGCTCGCAAGTCGACGAGGTGGCCCGCCATGTCGCAGGCCCTCGCCAGAAACCCCAGCAAAGCGACTACTACCAGGAGGATCCCAATTTCATCGACGTCCGAGAGGCGCAATCTCAGCACTTTCTTCCCGCGGATAACCACCGGCCGCCTCAGGGGAGCGCGAACCATCTGCCCGTCTGCGAGAAATCCCTGACATACGTCCTCGACGCCACCGATGCAGGTCTTGGGTCCACCCTTTTGGGCATGTGGCTCTCCTACGGCCTGGCTCGCCGTGAAGATCGCGCCTTCTTCATCGACGACACCAATTTTCCCTACGGCAAATACAGCACGTTTTTCGGCTCAAGGCCCTCTCCATCTTGCCGCTTACCGAGCCCTTCGCATCGTGTCCCGTGCCCCCATCAGGCAAAACACCTCGTTGTGTCTGCTGCCACTACCAGTTGGATTTTCGGCGAGGCTTTCCACAGCCACTTCTCGCAGCGGGAAATATTTGATATGGCGAGGGAGGGCTACGAGACACTCTTCAAGCTGCGGGCTCAGGACGAGCAATACGTACTTAGCCGCGTGGAAAAACTCCGCGAGGACGTCGATCCGACCACCATCCCCAGCCCCGTCCCAGACGACGAACGCTTCGATGACGACGAGATGTACGACGCCCCGCCACAGAACGGTCTGGTGGGAATTCACATCCGCCGCGGCGACCGGCACCCTTTCAGCTTGACCTACTCGCAAAACTACCTTCCCCCCGAAATGTACATGGCCACGGCCTTGAAGCTGGTCGGCCAATCCTCGCAGTGGAAATTCCTCGTGGCCTCGGACGATGCCGACATGTACGACCACATCGATTTGCCCAACACGTTGCGGGCCCAAGAACGAATTTCCCTCGCGTCCAAGAAGAAGTTGGCTAGCATGGGCCAAGGAGGTGGATTGGGCTGGGAAGGCGGGTTCTTCAGGGACGTCTTCTGGGGGCTGGGTCTGCCGGAGGACGTGAAGGAACGGAAAAAATGGGGCAGCCCGATGCCCATGAAGGCCAAGCACCGATTTGGCGAGAAGGACGACGACGGCCGGGAGAAGCGAGTGCACCATCACGACGCCAAACATTCGAGCGGACCGCGCAAAGAGGGGGCGAACGATGATGTCGACGATGTGGCCCTTCTGGAGCGGGACTACCGGACACATCCAACCCCAGAGGCGCTTCAGCTGCGAGAACTCCTGGGTCGCGCGTACCTGTTGGACTTGGCCGTGTTGGCGCAGAGCGACAAAGTGGTGTGTGGTGTGTCGGCGAATGCATGTCGGATCCTGGCCGTGATGCTGGGGTGGGAGAGAAGTTTCGACAGGAAAGACTGGAACAATGTGGACGGAGGGTATCAGTGGAGGGTCCTGGACTACTGACGGATTGTGGTCAAGGGGAAACTCGTGTAATGGAATGGCGAGGACCAGGGTGATGAAGCCTTCGTAAAATACTCATCTGGATCATATCTACCAAAATCATGGCTTGCATTGCACCTCTGCCGGCTTTCTGATTCATGGCCTCCCATGTACACATGTGCCGTCATCAAATTCGGGGAAGTGACTTGGGTCTAACCACGGCATCCGGAGCCTCTCGTGCTGTCTAGTCCCGCAACATTCCCATGTCACACCTGCCTCGCACCTCGGTTTGCTGGGTCTACCAAGGACAGTGTGGATGATGCTGATGTAGACGGTGAGGCAAAAAGAAAGGACAGCAGTCGACGACGTAAACAGTAACTGACACCACCTGGCTGGACATGGGTTGAGTCGAGGTTCATGGTAAAGGACGAGAATGGATGCCGTGGGCCTGCAGTTGTATTATTGTGGTGTCGAGGAGAGAAGTCATGCACAACGCTTTCGTGAGGAGAGGCTGAGTGAGGCTGACGGGGAAACACGGTCAGCACCTGGAGCACGGCTTGATGACATGGGCGGTAGAAGAAGACGAACTCACCGACGTCCTGTCCTATCCTGTCTTGTCCTGTCGCAGTGCTGGAGCACACACAGAGTTTTTGGTCCGTCTCGGTGCAAAGAACAACAGCCAGATAATTAGAACTCATGCCAGCCCACGTCATTCACATCAGCCATGGCGTCCGTCATATGATCACAACAGCAACAGCGATAATGCAACCCCGTTCTAGTTCCAGGCGCTGGAGCTGGGGTGGCGGCGGACTCTGCTGGTCGAACACGTTCCGCATCGCCGGTCATCATACGTCGGTCCGACGCCCGGCGGCGAACGCACTTTCCAGTTGAAGTAGAGCAGGCAGGAGCCGTCGCGCTTGAAGCGTATGCAGCGGCGGGTCTGGACGATGCACTCGTGGTAGCAGGAGCAGCGGTCGCATCTCTGGTAGACGTACTGGTTGTAGCACATGATGATGATGATGATGATGGGAATGAATGCAGACAACGGGGTTGGACTTGGTTGAGGCTGAGGCTGAGGCTGGGGCTGGCTGCTCGAAAGGATTGATGGCTGTTGTTGGAGGGGTTTGAAGGTGGATGGTGGATGTTGGATGACTGACTGACTGACTGACTGACTGTATGTAACGGATGAGAAGCCTCCGGAGTCAAGGCAGCCAGCCACTTACCGTATCAACTAATTATTATGTACTATCACTCACTACCTCGTATTACTGTATCATATCATCACTGGCTCGCTTCCCATCTCTCTACCAAACTGCCTCGGTTCGTGTTGATGGTCTCGCAAGCCACATCATCCCAAATTACACCCAAATCCACACCAAGCTCCAAACTGCAGTCACGTCCGCCACCAGTTCTTGGAAAAGCTCCCCTACCGACTCGGTTCAAGTTGTGGTGCTCGCCTCTGGCCATACAAGATCCCCCATGGAGCAAAGCCCTTCTTGTCCCTCCCTCACTTGCCACATATTGACTTGATCTCTCCCGTCTGCTGTCTTGTCGGTGATGGCTCTTGCTGGTACGTGTGACCCCTCCATCGACCTCCCTGAGGGCCATTGAAATGCTGATCTTTCCCCCGTCCACTCTCGCAGTGCCATCCGCTACCGCAGCCCTCGCCGGGCTCGCCTACCTCAATGCCCGCTGGCGAGTCTCGGTCGACCTGGAGCTCATCCTCAGTCTCCTGGCGTCCCAAAGAGCTTTTGCAAAGAGAGAGGCTGCAGATCGGGCCAACTCCTTCTACCTCATTGAGGGCCATGCGCAGAACCCCAAGGTCGCAGACAAGATCTTCCTCATCTACCAGGGCAAGACATGGACGTTCAAACAGACATACGACATGGTGCTGCGTTATGCGGGATACCTGCACGCCACCCATGCCGTCCTGCCTGGCGAGATCGTCGCCATGGACTTTATGAATGGCCCTCCATTCCTCTTTCTGACCATGGCTTTGTGGTCCTTGGGTGCCCTGCCGGCCTTTATCAACTACAACCTGACCTCCACCTCCTTCGTCCACAGCGTGAAGACGTCCTCGGCGAGACTCTTGATTGTTGATCCTGAGATCGAGTCCAAGGTCCTGACCGACGAGACAAAGGCCATTTTCTCGGCGCCCAATTTCCGCAACAATGCCTTCCCTCTGGAGGTCGCAGTCTTGACTCCTGGCCTCCAGTCGTCTCTGGAATACTTTCCTCCCTATCGTGCCCCTGACTCTGCCCGATCCGGTGTGGTTGGTCGTTCTCCATGTGTCCTGATATCGACCTCGGGGACGACAGGCCTCCCGAAGGCTGCAATTGTGCCTTGGGACCGGACCGTGGTTGGCTCCGGTCTTATTGCACGCTGGATAAACCTGCATCCCGTCACGTCATCCAAACCAGACAGGTACTATACCGCCATGCCGCTGTATCACTCCTCTGCCTTTCAATTGGGCTTCCACTGCTGTCTGATCCGAGCGTGCACTTTGGTCCTGGGCCACAAATTCTCCGTCTCACACTTTTGGGACGAGGTCGCTGCGGCGGATGCCACGGCCATCCAGTATGTTGGCGAAACCCTGCGTTACCTCCTCGCCGTGCCACCTCAACCAAATGACCGCACCAAACACAAAGTGCGTCTCGCATTTGGTAACGGCCTCCGACCAGACGTTTGGGACAAATTCCGCGCCCGATTTGGTGTCGAGACGGTGGCCGAGTTCTACGGTGCCACCGAATCCGCCGGCGCGAGCTTCAACCTTTCCCGCAACACTTTCTCGTCAGGCGCCATAGGTCAAGCCGGTCTCTTGGGCAGCTTGTTCATGAGGTTGAGGCAGACCATCGTCAAAGTGGACTGGGACACAGAAGCGCCTTACCGAGACCCGAAAACAGGGTTTTGCATCCCCGTACCTCGCGGTGAACCCGGCGAACTACTTTACAGTGTCGACCCAGCCGACATTGGTGCCAAGTTCCAGGGGTATTTTGGCAACAAGGAGGCCACTAATTCGAAGATCTTGAGAGACGTGCTGAAGAAGGGCGACGCTTGGTTCCGTTCCGGAGACGTGATCAAACTCGACTCAGAGGGACGCACCTGGTTCATGGACCGCATAGGCGACACCTTCCGCTGGCGTAGCGAGAATGTGTCGACCGCCGAAGTCGCCCAGGCCCTGGGTCAACATCCAGCTGTGCTTGAAGCGAATGTCTACGGGGTGGCAATCCCACACCACGAAGGCCGCGCCGGGTGTGCTGCTGTCTTGCTCAAAGACATCAGCTCCCACACGACGCCTATTCCGGACACTCTACTCGAGAGTCTAGCCACTTACGCGAGAAATAGTCTGCCCAAATATGCGGTGCCCGTGTTTCTTCGAGTAATGACGCAAGTCATAGCGACGGGGAACAATAAACAGCAGAAGACTGTTCTCAGACAGGAAGGAGTAGATCCGGCCAAAGTCGCCGACGACCGGTTGTTCTTCCTCCGGCCCAACAGCCAGAGATACGAGCCTTTCGGGAAGGCTGAGTGGGAGATTGTGAAGAGTGGAAAGATGAAATTGTGAAGTCACAGGTGAGCAGGAGAATACCTGAATGGTGTTATCCCCGCAGATATGATGGATGGAGTACTGGGACTGGCCACGGCGAGCGATTTGCAGTGTCTTGACAGGGGGGAAAAACACACACTGAAGCCACATACCTGCGATATGATGATACCCTAGATCTGGGCGACTTGTATGGAGGAACAGAACGACGGCGTGATAGGTAATAGTAGATACGATCTGATGACTATTTTGGTGCACATATTGACATTGACATTGATGCAGCGTTAGCATAGCATAGCATAGCATAGCGGCATCAAAATAGATCATGACAAAAGACCAACAGAACGTGATGATGGTGCGTTGCGTTGCGTTGCGCAGCACTGTGCCACGCCCCGCGTTATACTGTCTGTATATCGATTCGGTCGTTATCCTGAAACAAACAAACATTGCGATCAATCAATCATCGTGCCCTCGGTCCCTTTCTTTTCGCTTTCCCACATAATAGCACGACGAAAAATAAGAAACACAAACACACACACATAAAAAAGGGTGCTCAAGCAAATCGTCCCTTCTCGCTTTCATGAGATCCGTCACACACACACAGATGTGCCAACATTTTTGGGCCTGTGTTGGTTGGCCTGGGTAACATTCTGGAACTCGCCATGCCTCGACGATTCTCTCCTATATATTCCCGCGTTGTATCAGCCTCCCTCGCTTCCTCCTCTTCCTTCCACAGAAAGATTCACAACTCCTCCGTGAATCGACTCCCCTCCCTCGCCTTCTCTTCGCTCTTCTTCCCACTCATCGGACCCGCCACGTCGACCAGTCTCGCCGCCCCGCTGTCGACCTTGGACGCACTCACGAGCCGGCCTTCGTCGAATGTGTCCCGGGCCTCCTCGAAATCCTCCTCGTCATCCCCATTGGTTTGTGCGTGCGTCAACGCAGGTGTCGTGGTTCCCGTGATGGTTGTGTTTCCCGTGGCTTCGGTGGATGTGGTTGACGGTTCCTGCACCTTTTCACGCAAGGGTTCCGTTTCCGAGAGGATGTGGTCGTCTGGATTGGTGTGAGCTTCGCCTGTTTCTGGCATCTCAGCAGATTCGGCGGGGGCCTGTGGTTGGGGTTCGGTGGTTGTGGTTGGAACTGGGGCTGAAGCTGACGGCGCCGCAGTCTCAGACGGCCCGGGCTTCTGCTTGTCCTTTTCCTTGTCCTTGTCCTTATCTCGTCCAGGGATGACCTTCTTCAGAAACCTCTCCCGGAAGCCTTTCCGGCCACGCGGTTCCTCGTCTTCGTCTGTCAGTGTCGCAAGTTGATCGAATCCTGAGTCTCGTTTCGACCCGGTGTGTTCAGTCGAGTATCTGGAGGAAGCTACGTCCGCGGCGATCACATATGGCTCTTCGCTGAGTGACGACGTGTCCGATGAAGGACTGACATCGCGCCCATATGCATCAACAGCAGCCACAGCTGGACCAGGCTCGGAGCTCTCGTTGTGAATGGGTGAAATTCTTCCATAGGGCTTGACGGATCCGCCGTACAGGTCGTCCGTCTCGTTGTCGCTTCGGCCTGCCAGTGCAACATCTCGGATCGAATCCGTGCCGACCTTATCTTCTTCCCGGATCGGCTCAGCTGTCTGCGCAAACGTGTCTAAGTGGTCATTGGGTTCTCCTTCTGCCCCCGTAGGCTGCTCAAGAAAGTCGTTCTCCGGTTTACTTCCCGGCCTGAATCGCCTGAACCAGGTCTTCACCCGCGAATCCCGCTTTGAAGGCGACGTCGGAGAGGTCGAGAATGTCGGTGACGTTGGGGATGTGGGCTCTTGCGGCGGAGTTGTCTTGGAATACGGAGTCGAACCGATGTCGTCTTTCGGCCCAATCTCTTCGTCTGCCAGCTGAGTAACTCTCGACTCTTCCACTGCGGGTTCAGTCTCTGCGTCTGCGGCAGCGACCGCATAAGCGGCTTCGTTGGGATCCAAGGTCACTTGGTCATGGACAGTTCCACCTGCGTGCTCGTCACCACCTTCGGCTGTCAGGGTTGCGGGGAGTGCGGTCGTTCCTGTGACGGCCTTGGCTCCTCCCCCGACAACGTCTGCGGCGCCCTCTACGCCCGCAGCTGTCGCCGCACCCGCCGCAGCTCCAGCTGCGACAGCGCCTCTTCCGAGGAAGCTTGGGAGGAATCGAGGTTTGCCAGGTTCAGTGTGTCTTTTCTCTCCCTTCTCTGTCCGCCGACGCTCTCTTTCCGCGGCATTTGCCTCGTCTCGGGCTTTCTTCTCGGTGGCCTTTTGTTCGGTGCGCGCACGTCTCTCTTCATGCTTCTGCTCTAGCTGAACTCGTCTCTCTTCGGCCTTCTGGGCCTTTTGTTCGGCTTTTTCACGATCTGAGAAGGATTAGTGAGTGATTGGCTTCAAAGTACGATTGCGAACTTACCGACGACAGCTTTTTGTTCTGCCTTGATTTCGGCCTGCCGTTTCTTCTCAGCTTCCTGTTCGGCCTTGATCCTCTCTTGTTCTAGTCTAAGCTCCTCATCCTTGGCCCTTTGTTGCTCGGCTTTCTCGGTGATCTCATCCAGGGTCGGTTGCAGTCGAGCCTTGGCGATTGCTTCGATCTCTGATTGCTCAAGGTACTTGCCACCTCCTATGTGAACCTTTCCCACATGAAGCAGCCTGTCGTCGCTTTCGCGTTGAGCCCTTTCCCGAGCCTGACGCTCCCACAGCTCGCGTTGTTGCGGACTGGTCTTGCCGGTTTCCGAAAACACCTTTTCATCAATGGCATTCATACGAGCCGTGACGTTCTTGTGTGCCACGGCAAGCAATGCATCTCGATCCGCTTGTCGCTTCTTGCTGTCGACCTCGGCGAGCTTGCCCTGAAACAGAGACATTTGTGCCCGGATTTTGCGTGACTCTTCCAAGTCAGAATCACTATCGTCTTCTCGAATGTTAGACGTCCGCCGTCCGCGCCGTAATGTGAGCCGTGACCTTGGTGGCGCAGTCTGTTGTCCATAGTACTGCCGATATTCAGCGTGTTCATCATGTAGCTTAGCGAGTCGCTCTTGAGCCAATCTTCGGGCAGCCTCTTCGAGGTTCTCATATCGTGGCAAGTTTTCAGTGGTTGCGGGCTGATTCGCGGCATCTGATTGTGCGCGTCGTCGGGCCGTGTATGCAGCGTAGTGACTTTGTGAACGGTGGATTCCCCTCGCCTCATCGATCTGAGCCTGTTGGATAGCGAACATTTTCCTCGCCATGGCAACCGCAGAGGCACGGAGCATTTCTTGCCTCCTCCGTTCTTCCACTTCTATGGCGACCGGCGGATTGGACGTGTACATCTGTCGAGAGACGTTGTTCCTGGCCATATTTTGGACTCTGGCGGCGTCCGCACCTGACAATTCGCTCGTTGACGGTGGAGTTGGTGACATGGGAGGTCTCATGTTCTGAGATGACGTCGCAGCTTTGATGGCCCAGGCAGAGTGAACCGGTGTTGCCGACGGGCGTATGGGTGCGGACTCTGCTCGCCGTCTGCCACCGGATATGGAAGCTGTTGCAGCCAAAAGTGCCTTTTGCCGCCCATCGCTAGACACATTTCTCTCGGTGATCGGTGGGGGAGATTTGGGATTCTGCAAGGCCGAGGATGCGGCAGAATGACCCTGCTCTGTTTCCGGAGCCCTCCAGATGTCTACCGGTGCAGCATCTCGGTGGGCAGCCAGTGCGGCCTGGGAACCCGCCCGGCTCAGCTCCGGCTTCCACATGGGCTCCATCTCATAGTCTTTTGCTCTGTACGCCGCCGTGTTCGCGTGGGGGATGGCGCCGGGTGTCCAAAGCTGGACGGGTTTCTTATTGGACTCAGCGAGACTTGCTGCGGCGCCGGCGGATGCGAGCTTGACGCCGCCAGTTGAAGGAAACGAAGGAAGATCTTCAGCTCGTGCGTACTTCAGAGAAAGCGCAGCACCTGTATTGCGGCAGTTAGTATAGTTGTGCGAAATGGATGCGAGGGGGGGTTTGTGGTTTGGAGATGGTGCATGGTGGATGGCGATCAAGGGCGGGGTTGACGCACTGGCAGCAGATAGCCGACCTTCGTGGTCGAGGACGGAAGAAGAGCTGTGCTTGGTGGTGGGAGTGTCTCGAGCGACAGACAATGCCGCAGAGGCAGCTACACTGGGCGTCAGCTTGCCATGAAGCTTCAAAACGGGCTTGACTGACCTTGGTCTTCAAGCTTGTCCGAGGGAGTGAAGCTGCTCTGATGGGGATGGGCACGAGCATGGGCAACGCTGGCCGACATGCTTGGCCCCCTGGTTGCTTCTCGGGTAATCGATAGGTGGTGGGAGCAGGCGGGCGGTTGCGCAAGCAACAACAACGCAGTTCAAGCATCTACCACGGCATGGAGACTGGAGGGTTCTCTCAACGTGAGGGAGAATACAGTAGAAGGAGCTCTGCTTGCATTTCAGATCAGCGGAAAGAGGAATAAAACCAAAAGAAGAGCTGCAGAAGACCAGTGGCGTGCCGCTCGCTCATCAAGGTCCCCAAGGTTGCTTGGGGGGGGGAGGTCCAGGGTTGCTGCGGGCTGCGGGCTGCCCATCCCATACGGCAGTGGACACCCGTCACCACCGCCATCGCCCACCATCGCCCACCAGCGTCATGACCAAGAGCTGCGCTTGTGTATGTCATCCCAGCACCAAGTGTCACCAGTGTCCCTATTACCACCTACGTCATGCCAATAGGAATCGAGGGAGAGTTGCTCCCGCTACAGAGATAGTCTAACTAGCCAAGGACCCTTATATTGGTGATCCCTACATACCTAGGTAGCGTTTTCAGTGGTGTGTCGATTGTCTTTTTTTGCTCACCATAGACGGTGCTCTTTGTTGCTGGTTGGGGAAACTGTCCACGGGAGGAGAGAAAATGGAGGGGTAGTCAATTGCACACGATGCCGATAGCCATGGCCCATGGCCGTACCCCGTTCTGGATCGGACCCTTCCCTCATGAAGAAGGAGGAGAGGAGAACGAGGAGAGCCCCCAGCACCTCCGGCCAGAAGCTGCCCAGCTGGAGCTCTTGTGGCGCCCATGTGGTACCTACCCAGCCAGCTAACAGCTAGTTAGACCAGGGGAGAGGGGAGAGACAGAGCCAGGGACCAAGGAAACTCACCGGCCTAACGCCCCACAATGACATGCAGTGGGCAGCAAGGGCAGCAAGGGCAGCTGTCAAACTTCAACACCAGCCACCACACCTTGTTTTTGCCAACCCGACAGAAGTACAGGTCTCCACTCCTCTGGGCACAGGAGAGAGCCGTGGGTGCCATCAGCATGGAATCTTCCACGGCACATCGGTTTGACAACCTGCTCAATTTTCGCGACGTGGGAGCTCACATCAACAACATTCTTGGTGTCTCAGCTCTCCGGCCAGGTCTCCTGTTCAGGAGTGCACGACCAGACGATGCCAGTGTGGCCGACCGCGATGCTCTGGTCAACAAGTACAAGATCAAGACAATCATCGACTTGCGCTCCAAAACAGAACACATCAATGCAGCGAAGAAGCGGTCTGCAGCTGCCGTGGCGGTACAGCCAGCGGTGATACCTTCGTCTGGCAACAGTGTCTCCAACCCAGTCCAAATACCAGGCATACGTTATGCGCTCATCAATCTCAACGGTAAAGGCTTCGAACGGCATCTCATCTGGCAGCTGAAGTACACCAGTCTCGCGAAATTGGTCTTCTTGATGGCTCTGGGCTACCGGACGGAAGGGATATCGGTGCTGGGAAAGGAGTTGATGCTACCACGGGGGCTTATCGGCCTCGGAATTGACACCCTTGATCACAGCCAGCCGGAGATCAAGCAAGTTTTCGACGTCCTCGCCGACGAGACGGCATGGCCTGTCATGGTCAATTGCACTCAAGGCAAAGACCGAACTGGGATGATAATACTGCTGGTCCTGCTGTTGTGCAGTGTTGATGTGGATGCCGTCAGCCAAGATTATGTCAAGTCTGAACCAGAACTCGAGCCAGAGAAAGAGGAGCGGATGAAAGAGATCGAAAGCATTGGTCTGAATGAGTCGTTTGCCAAATGTCCGCCAGATTTCTGTAGGAAGATTGTCCAGCACCTCGAAACCACCTACGGCGGGCTATCCCCCTACCTGGCCCGCGTCGGGGTTGACGCCGAACAATCCGAGCGTGTCCGATCCGTGCTCAAGGTCAGCTCGTAAAAGAGTACATTCAATTCCCTTCCACGAAGCCAAAAACACTCTTGGAGGTTACCTGCCCGGATTTTGTGATTACAAGCGGTTTGGTAGCAGCCTTGAGAATCCCTTCTTGAGAGGTACGACAAAGTACCGTGGCAGAGGTTGTATTAGGCGTCTGTCTCGATGCTGCCGGACAAATAGCAGAGCATTTTGAGCCAGAGCTCCCATCTTGCACGACCTCAGGGTGAGCGTCCCAGCAACCCAGCAACCCAGCAATCCAGCAATCCAGCAATTCAGCAACGATCCTTTGTCAGGTTTCTTGGGAACGGACCCCTTTTATCCTGGCTATCAACTTGTACCACGACTCCCAGCAAGCCCAGGGACTGTCTCGGATACACCCCAGACTCCGGACTTGCCCCATCCAGGATATGGGGCGCTCTGCATGATAAAGGCTTGGTCAGCACGGTATCGCCAGTCGAGATACGGTGCTGACACATTGTCCACATCTAGACGAAAACACGCGAGGGATTCTCTCCTCTGGAGGGAACGATGCTAGCAGCTGCACAGTCATTCGAGCTAGGGGAGTAGGAGCGGCACGCGCGGTCAATGAACGGGCACGGCTAGCTGATAGAGGTAGTCCTTCAAAGTTCTTCTACATCGCATTACTTATCAAGAACTAGAGAAAAAGCGAGGCATCACAGTGACCGCTGCTTTAGTAACACCACGGCCATTTCAGCCATAGCATGGTACGAGGTGTGTCGAGCCCAAGTGCGTCTTTTTGTGGTGGTGGAAACTCGGCAACGACAGACTCGTACTCGGTACCCAAGAACAGGGTTGATCAGGGGAAAAGTGAAAGATGCGAAGACGACGGGGGAATCGAGTCCGAGAGTTCACTATAATGTCGTCATAATTATGAGAGGCTCGGGAAGCCACGGAAGGTGCCAAGAGGGGGCTGTGATTGGACATCAGGCAGAATCTAGTTCCCCACTTTCCCGTAAATCTCTCGGAAACACCCTATGACGTCGTGCCCAACAAAAGTTGTCGCCCATGTTGGCTTTCACCTCTGAAGTTGAGCTTCTGGCTTCACTTTTTGTCAACATCCCTTGGTGCTCTCGCCGTTATATCCGACTATGTCCCTCTCCCGAAACCCGTTAGATGATTAACGAGGCATAGCACACGAGCCCTTTTCGGATCTCGCGTGTTGCTGGTAGGTCGATGGGGGATCCGCCTGGGCCAATGAGGGAACCCTCGGTCGGCGGCTCCTCTGGAAAATGCAACTGCAATATCGCCGTCATTGCCTCACGATTTCCCAGAATGATGTAGCATGGCCTGGTCGATCTCCGGTGACAACGTGTTACTTAATCACCAGCATTAGCTTTGGGCCCCCCTTACATCTTCCGCATTGACTGACTTCCGTAACATATCGTTTCCTTCATATTGACCTGATCTCTCGTCCTGTCATCAGGCGAAACTATTCTTCCATTCTTCTTCTCGCCACCCTGTGTTCCCGGCTACTACCTCCACATTCCACCTTTGTACCTCCCAACTCAGTCGATCTCCCATATCAGCGAACCTTCCTCTCAGTGACCAATATGTGGTGGCTCAGTGCTTGGTTGTTTCCCGTCGTCTCGGCGGGCATGTACGTTTGACGTCGCTCAATCTTACTGGAACACTGTCACTAACGGTTCTCTCACAGGTGGCTCGGTATGCTGCTGGCCATGTTCTGCTCCTGGGAAGCCAACGGACATCCTCACCTCGCGTCAATGAGTCCAAACCAGCGTATCGCCTATATATCCGACATTGGAGCTTTTGGCTTGAAACCGCTCTTCATCACTGGTGCCGTCATCACCACTGTGTTCCTCGACTTGGGCTTCATGTCAGAGCGATGGCTTCGACACTATGGTCGACTGGCACCCAACACCTCTCGCATTCAATCGGCGCTCTCGAGTTGTTCCATCTTCTTCGCCATCGCAGGCACATGCGGCCTGATCTTCCTGTCCATCTTCGACACCTACCACCATCACAAGGTCCATGACGGGTGTTTGCTCCTCTTCATCGGCGGATACATCATCTCGGCCATCTTCCTGTGCGCCGAATATCAACGCCTCGGTGTCCACTACCGTCAGCACCGCGTCTTACGCATGTCGTTCTGGGTCAAGCTCGCCTTTATCATTCTCGAGATCATTCTCGCCATCGTCTTTGCCTCTACCTCGTGGAACAACCATGAGAATGTGGCCGCTGTGTTTGAATGGATCGTCGCCCTCATATTCACCTTTTACATCCTCTCGTTCTTGCTCGACCTTTGGCCTTCGGTGCGGTCCAAGAACCATGTTCCTCAGGGATGGAGAGAAAGGGAAGCAGAAATCGAAAAGGCAGCCGGACAGAACGGAGGCGTGCCCCCTCTCGACCAAGGCCCGGCGCCGATCACCTCAGATCACAATGCAACCACATATCAAAACGATGATGCTTATTACAATCCTGACACCCAAAGCTATCGTGGGACCAACATGACCGGTGGTCAGGGCTCCCACATCCAGTCCGCTCTTGGGAAATACCCCGTGGAACACAATGATCTCGGTCGGCAGAAAAGATGGGGTATTGGGCGGTTCCGGTTTTGACCAAGCAGTCCTTCCTTGGTCGAGCGTTGTCAATTTAGATGGATCCAGGAGTTTGGAAACGAAACATGAAAGCCGGGAATAAATTAAAAGTGAGGGCTGGGTTTATATCACAGCTGACTGAGCATTGTTGGGCGTTGGTGGAGATTTTGTATATCAAGGCACAGGCGAGGCTGGTCGTCGCCCGCCGACGACGGTATTGAATATAACGGAGGTGGAAACAAGGTGCAGAAATGGAATTCTGCCAGCGCAGAAATTTAATATGTAATTACTATTACAACTGTACAACAACGATGTTGGATGATTTGATGACGAAAGGAATGGATCCAGACAAAAACCTTGCGAGAGTTCTGCACATATTCCTGCGAGAGTACTGCTTCTTTCTTGCTCGACACAAATTCAGAGGGACGTGCTTACCTCCAAGATACATTCTAGTCGTCGACGTGTAGAAGAAGGAGGTGCATCTCATTGGAGGGCTGGCACCACCCTTCCACCGCAGACTTGTTTAATCCTTTGCGTTTCTCTCGAGCACCTCGATACGCTGGCATCACGACAGTGGCACCGGGATTCAAGAGCGATGTTTCCTCCGACCCGCCAATGTGAGAACGCGTCTTCCTCTGTCTGTTGGCCAACAGGTGACGTGGGAAGCGCAACATCTCTCCAATCCCAACTCCTCGAAGGATGATGACCGTTACTGACCCCCCAGACAAGCTGCAGATCACCCTGCAACACCGGACACCGTGGATTGGGCCTCTATGGACTCGTGTGTTCTTCTATTTTCAAGCACCGTGCTCCTGCCCGGAGCAATTGTGCAGCGACCGATCCTCTTCCGTCCATTTCGGGCAATCCCCGCGGCCTTTCGTGTGTTATGCAGGCACGGATTTCAGAGCCAATCAGACACTGATTGTTGGGTTTTCTAAAGAAAGACACACTTGTGCATGGATACTGGCTCTGTCGATGGTGTATTTAAGAAGAACTCGTAATGTTGGGCTCGAGAGCGTCTGGTGGTTGCAAGCTGCCATCAGGTCACCGCGCTCGAAGATGCCTTTCCAGTACAAGATCGGGCCGTTCCGAGCCCCATTGCTCCCTGACGACGAGAGTATCAGCTCGACTGCTCCATCCAAACTGTCCGACAATTCCAATGCTCTGCCGGACAGGGCTCCTTTCCTACTTCGCACCGACAGTTTCGGCTCAACAATCACCTCGTCCAAGACTTCCTACCAACCCGAGCCACCGCCGGTCCGAGCCCCCTTCCACCTCCTGCGTACCAACAGCCAGCGTTCAGTGCCTCCAGAGAAGACATCCTACCACTCTCTCCATGCAGAGCTAGGTGACAAAGGGGATCAGGACTTCTGGCAGCACACACGGAAATCGTTCTTTCTCAAGATGGCAGCGGTCTTCGTCCTGTTGCAAGTGCTTTTCCTGGGAAACTTGTCGTACCTCTATGGGTCGTTATGGGGATCGAACAGCCGTGTCTCGTCATTGCACGTTTTGTGGCTGGACCTCGACGGTGGAGTGATTGGCGACTCGGTAAAGAGTGCTTATGAGAGCTTACAGGGCCCTGAGTTCCCTTCGCTCGAGAAGCCTTCCGTAAACGAACTGCATTCTGTCGCCGAGGCGCTGGACGCGGTCCGGTCTGGATCGTATTGGGCAGCCTTTGTCGTCAATCAAAATGCCTCGGCCAAGCTCGCTCGTGCCCTTCGCGGTGGCCAGGCGGCGCAGACGTACCAGGCTTCTGACGCTCTGACATACATCTGGAACGAGGTCAGATACCCTCCGTTCTCGGACGAGGCGTTGATGTCCAATTTCGAGCTGCTGGCGCAGGTTGCCGAACAGGAATACCACCACAGCCGAGGTCAAGCCGAGCTGCAGCGTCTGAACAGAAACAATACAGCCGCTGTGCAGGTGCTGTTCCATCCAATCGGCATCTCTGCTTTGAATATCATGGAAACCACAAATCCCACCAGGCTTCTGTACAACACGGCGACGATGGTGATGCCGGTGCTGGAACAGTTCTTTTTCGTGTTGATCCTGAACGGACTTTCCGATGAGCTTGGCATATACAAAAAGGTTCCCGCGATGACAACAGCCATCATCCGACTGGCATTTGCCTTTGCTTACCCCCTCTGCTCCGCACTCGGCATGACCGGGTACGTATGGGCGTTTCGCGAAACATGGTCAGTGGACGGGAAGCAGTTTGGTTTGACATGGATGACTTTCTGGTTGCTCCACACGGTGCACTTTGTTGTCGTCGACACGGCGGCCGCGTTTTGGCCTGTCCCCGTCATGCCGTTCTTCATTCTCACCTGGATCGTCCTCAACCTGTCGAGTTCCGTCAGCCCACTCGAGCTCAATGCAACCTTTTATCGCTGGGGCTATGCACTTCCGGATAACGAAGCGTATTCCCTTCTGACTGACATTTGGTCCCACGGCGCAGTGCCCGTGCTCCATCGCGCTCTTCCGATCCTGTTCGCCTGGCTCCTGGTTGGCTCGAGTGCAGCTACCTTTGGTCACTTTCGCCGCTGTCGACTGGCGCGTGATAAGTAATCGAGAGCCACGGGAAGGGTGTGATCAACGATATGGACCAGTCACGACAACGATGGTGACGATGAAACGAACTTAGGTTAGATTTCTTGATGGAGGAATAGGAACGGTCAAATCAATGTTGCCATAGTTCTGGACGTGGCCTGAACCTTGATATCAACCAATGCTTTTGAGCATCGGACCAGTCTTTAATGGCATCCAGCCTCGACTTAGAGACGGTGGTGGGGTCTGAAGCAGAATGGGCGCTCAGTGGTGTTCCAGGCCTCAGCTGCACCAAATACTGCCAAAGGAGCGGATGCCGTTATGTATCACCTTGCCTTGCCTGCTAGATCAGCTGCTACACGGTGGGGAATCGTCACTGAGAAAGGAGATTCTCATAGGAAGACCTTGACGAGACAGAAATAACTCAGTATCCATACTATCACAGAGATGACTAGATCAGTTGATGAAGCATGGGTAAGCCAGCTTCAGACTGTGCCGGGCGGTGGTCTAGATAGAGTGTATACCGTAGGGGGTGGAACGCACTTCGAGACTTCATCAGTTCTAGCTACTCAGCTATTAGCGCCTTGGCTACGCTGACTAGCGACTGTTAGAGGCAGGAAGTCTCCGCCCGCTTCAAGCCACTGTGGCTTCAGCCGCACAATGTCGACGTCATCGATCCAGTGGCTCGTCATCAGTCGCGATCAGGCGCAGGCAACTCTGTCACCCCTCGTTCGTTTGAACACTCAGCCTCATGCGCACCCTAATGTTATTCTTTGCTCGTCTTGTATTCTATTCCCCTTAAGATCTTTGATCTGTTGCGTCCCTACGACCAAGACCCCGCTCGCTGCCCAACCACTCCAATTACGGGTCCAACCAGAGCAACCAGAGCAACCTCAGCCCGGGACGACGAGGCTCGCGAGGCACCTCGACATGTCAGAGCTACCCGATTACTGTAAACACTACCCGCCCCAGGAAAAGAGAGGGATGCTGACTGGAAGAAGACGCTATACTCGAAGTCGCCCCTGACAGCGACCAGGAAGCGATTAAGAGGGCTTACAAGAAAGCCGCGCTGAAGTAAGTCTTTCTCCCTTGGAGTTTGGAACCTGGAATATGGAAAGACACTTGGACGACAACATTTGGCTGTCAATGCTAATCGAAATTGGTAGATGGCACCCCGATCGCGTCGCGGCCGACTCGGACGAGCGTCCAAAGCGTACGAAAATGTTCCAAAGGATCAATGATGCCTACTACACCCTGTCGGAGCCCACGAGGCGGCGAGAGTACGACGAAGCGAGGCGATTCCACGGCACTGCGAGCTTTGACGAGTCTGCCGACGAAGATATACCCAGGCCGCCTCCTCAGGCAGGAGGGCAGTCTTGGTTCAACATGTTCGGCTTCGGCCGACCCGCAGGAGACACGCAAGAAGACCAGTTTGCCAATGACCAGTTCAGGAACGCGTTCGAGGAGATGATGCAGGAGGACGACCTGGCGGATGACTCGCACACTCCCACCAAACGGTTCTGGACAATCGCTGGAGGTATTTCCGGCGGTGTGCTCGGTTTCATCGTGGGCAATTCGGTCGGGATGGTTACGGGCGCCGCGGCTGGCAGTAGGATGGGTGCCATACGGGACAAGCATCAGAAATCGGTCTATGAGGTGTTTCAGTCGCTCGAACAAGGCCAGAAGGCCCGCATCTTAAGCGAGCTTGCGGCGAAATTGTTCAGCGGGGCGATCAGTTAAGAAGTCTGAACGGAACGTCAGTCAATTGGGTTGCACATCAGATGGGTTCGGTTGGATTGGTACAACGCATGGTGTTCGTGGATTATCTTTCTCTGTCACAACGAAGTTTTCATTTTTATTCCCCCAAGCGACTTTGAAGCTACTACATTGTGTTTGACTACCAGATGTCACCGCGTGAAGGTCCGATGTCCACTGGCCATGATGATAAATTGCCAGTCCCCTGACCTACGGACACCAAACAGGACGGTCCAAACAGTAGGCTCGCAATACTGGGACATACACGTGCAATTTGTGTAGGCTCGGCCCGCTTTACACGGATCATGCATTCCTTGTCAGCTATATCCATATGGATGTTAGCCAGGGAAAACGGCACGGGTGACCAATCAGAAAAATAGGAAGGAAGCTCAAAGTATTGGGGGGAAACGGTGGGAGGAAGGGTCAAGCACTCCGTCCGGGAGCAGCACAGGCAGAAAATTCCAGTGTCTGTCTCTTCTTTGCTCGTCCGAGGCATTTTCTTGTTAGATAGGAGGAAACAACACCTCAGAGTACATACCAATATTAAATTCAGCGATGTCGGTTCTCGTAAGTCCCTCCGAAGCCCGTACGGTCGAGGACATCAACAACAAGGGTCATTGTATGGCTCGGCCAACACGTTGACGCTCTGCTGTCTGATTCGTGCGCTGCTCGGTACCCCTGCCAAGCCAGCCTTGTCGCGCGGGCAAGCTGCGGCATTGAAGCAATTAGTTGATCGGTGTGTAGCTGTGCGCAGAAGCGACTGTGGTGACAGCCCCATCATCCAGCAATAAGGATGCTTTGTGATGCTTTTGCGTGATGGGCATAAGATTCGGGCAAAAAGACGCCCGGCACAGAAACCTACAATGGGAGACAACACATACATGATTGCGCTCCTCCGTGCAGCTGTCCTCTCAACTCCCAGGCGCTCACGATCAGGGGCCCATATCTTCTGTCTCTCCCTTTTCTCTTCTTTCCGTTTCCCCTTTTGCCGTTTGGTTATATCGGGTCCCCGGGCAGCCTCGGTATCTTTGTCAGTGACCAGCCCATCACGCCCACACTGGTTCAGTCAATCGATCGACTGCTTGTCCACTTGCTTCCACCAGGGTAGCACGTGTTCTGACTCACGTCCATGGTCTCCAACGCGGACTCACTAACTTCCAAGGAACGACTCATAATGTCGCCTCATTCACCCTCGATCCACCACACAATCTCTTGACTTGGTTCTTCATCCCGAAGTCCAAGTAAGGCATTAGGCCATCTCACAGCAGCTGCTCGTTCACTCACTGATATCCCCACAGCCAAAATGGCGTCCGAGATGCTCGCTTCCATAGGCAATTCCTTTCATTCTTCCATGCAAAAGCAAACCGCCCCGAAGCCAGTTGTTCTGGTAGACACAGACCCTGATTATTGCTGTCGATACTGTACGCGTGCCAAATGAAGGCTAGCGCCCCGTGCACCCGCCCCCAGTGCCCCCCACCAGGCGCCCCCCGTAATAATTAATCCCAAGTTGCATCTCCAGCCACTCGAATTGTCCGCTGGGCGGTCTACTGTATGTACCTCGTACATACCAGACTACGCAGTCCAATCCTCCTCTTTACTCCTCGAGAGTCACCACCACCACAGCTGAAGTTTCCCCCCAAAGGAAAACAAATCCCCCTACCGATCTCACGCACCCCTCCATCGTTATCGTCACGATCCTCCCCGCTCTCAGCAAACCTCCACAGCAGCGAGAAAAGACAGATTTTGCAGCAGACGCCGCGACGACCCAGCTGAACCCACGATTCGAGAAATACCACATAGACCCATACGCTGAGATCTCCGGCGGGACAAACGAACTAACGAACGAACGAACGAACGACAACCAAGCCCACAACCTCACCCCCCCGCCTCATCGGCTCCCCTCGCATTGGCCTTTTGAAGATTACAGCCCTAACTCGCCCGCGCAGCTGAGGAGGAGATGGGGTTCTGGAACCAAGGAGTCCGGTCGCGCTCGCCCTCCCCGTCCCGGCGCTCATACTACGCGTCGCGGCCGTCGTACTCGCGCAGCGCGTCGTCGTTCTTCTCGGGCTTCGGCGGCGGCGGCGGCTCGTCGTCGCGGGGCCACTCGTCGCGCGCGCGCCCGCGGTCTGGCTTCGTCAACCGCATCCGCCGCTTCCTGCGCGAGATCTACCACTGGATGCGCCGCCACCCGGTCCGCACCTTCATGCTGGTCATCCTGCCGCTGATCACGGGCGGCGCGCTCGGCAAGCTGCTCGGCGCCGTGGGCATTCGGCTCCCCGCCGGCCTGCAGCGCATGGTGGGCGGCCGCGGGGGAGAGATGAGTCGCACGACCGAGAGATTCTATGCCCGCGGCGGCGCGAGGGACTTTGCCGGCGGCAGTGCCTTGCCCGGCATGGGCGGGGGGATTGGGTCCAGTATCGGTGCCTTGGCAGGTAAGACGCTTCGTCTTCTTCTTTGACCCAGCGAAGCAGAATGATACTCACCAGAGACCAGGAATAGCGAAGATGTTCATCTGATAGGCGCCACTCCCCTGGTCCCTTCGAGACTTTCCCTCTCCGTGTGATTTTGAGTGAGCGAGCAATGTTGCAACGTTAAATGGGCTGGCAGATCTTTCACGAGCGAGCCATCCGAAAGCACGTTAAATAAATGGTCTTGAATTAAAAATTGGATACGAAAAATGCACGGAAGGACAATGTATGACAGTCAATATCTTCATCATTAAAGGCACGAAGCCCATGACATGAACCTGAGACACCAATTCTTCCTTGTAACTGGGGTCATCCGGTAACAGCACCTGTGTGCTCGACGGTAGTAAAAACCTATTAACACATGCAAGCTCTGCAAACCCCGCGGTCTCCGATGCCTATGCCCGTGGTCCTATCTGCCCTTTTTACTTTTCCCAGCCATGTTTTTCCCATTACCCCGAACCCTTTGCGATGATGATGATGTTGTTGTTGTTGTCCCCACGACGGCACTTCGTGTCTGAATAGCATATTCACCACCCGGTCTTTCCTTGACGTCAACCACTTCCTCTTCAGGGGTGTAGTCGCTACCGTCGTCGTCGTCGTCGTCGACGTCGTGTTTGTCCGTGTCAGACGGGGCCAGGTAGTCGTAGACCTCCGGCCGCTCGTCGGGAAGAAACAGTTCGTCTTGTAGACGGCGATACTGCCCAGCTTGGTTGTGTGGCACACCGGGTGGGCCAGACACGACTCGACGCTGCGGTGAGGCAAAGCGTGGATCGGCAGGGTCAAACCGTGGCGCCCTCCCCACGCTCGTCTGGTAGGGCAGCTGATCCAGGGGAACGTTGACCAGACTGGAAGTTGAGCGAGCGCGGGGTTCCCAGTCGGGCTCGGACGGGTCAGGCCGTGCGGCGCGAGGAGAGTTGGAACCGTGCCTGTTGTAGAGAACGTCTGGATTGGATGAATAGCGATGTGAATAATAAGGGTGTTGCTGATAAGGAGGCACTGGCGGCACCGGCGGCATTTGTTGTTGTCGCAGAGACTGATTGGAGTTCGTGCGAGAACCTTGCCGCAGCAACTCGTGCTGACGGGGGCCCGTCACATAATATCCCTGCGGGTACGGCATCCTGCGGTCATAGTCCAGATCTGCCGGGGGTAGTGGATAGGTAGCCACGGCGGTGTCTGGATTCTCGCGTGGAGAGCTGTTGGACGCAGAGCTCCTCCCACGATTGCGGTTGTCTGCCGCCTTGCCTTTTGTGGGAGAGCCGCCGGACGACTTGCCGTTGGTCTTGCCCGACGCTTTGCGGACCTCGACCGGCTTGCGCTTGACCAGCGGGCCTTCCTTTTTGCTTTTGGGAGCGATCTGTTGTGGTGCTGCTGCAGGGGCCTGGGGAGGAGTCTGGCTCCGGTCGAGCTCTAAGCGTTTTAAAGCATCAATCTCAGCTCGACTCAACTTGACGTTGGGCTTACCCAGAGCCCGGGCGCGCGCGATCCTCTCCAGGGCCCTCTGCACGAGCATGTCTTCTTTCTCCCTGTAAGCCATCTGCATGTCTGATCTTCGAATGAGCCTCGATGAAGGATCATCCTCGTCCTCGTCATCGGATGGAGTCAAATCATTGCCGAATGAATCACCCGAACGCCGCCGGCGGACAACGCCCCCGCCTAAATCTATGCCAGTAAAGTGAAGCTCATCTGAACGAAATCTTGATCGACCATAACCCTGATCGGGCTCGACACCGTACGGCGAGTAATCGTCGTCGGTGTCAAGTTCCTCCACACGAACATCGTAGTTCCACGAGCGTTGTTGTTGCTGCTGAAATTCCCAGTATCTGTCGTTGTTCCGCCCCGCTCGTCCCCTTGGTGGTCTTCCCCCAGGGGGCATATCGTATGGAGTTCGCGGCCGACCACCTAGACCGCCTCCTCGGAAAAAGCATTCTCGATTGGTCTATCCATGAGTGAGGCGTGACCCAGGATGGTCACGCCGGTAGCTCCAATCAGCCATAAGAAAGTTGCAATAGGAGAAGAAATGAAGGCAACGGGGACCGCGATACACGCCAGGCCGGTGTAGAGCTGGGAGCTGGTCGCCTTGAAGGTGCCGAGCTCGAGATCAGCTCCGCCCAACTTGCCAATCGCCCACATGCCGCCGACGACCAGGATGATGTCAAACAGGAGCCACAGGTTGGTCAGCAGGCTGTAAATGCTGAGCATGACGAAGACCACGGCATAGTTGCTGGAGAAGTAGCTCAGGTTGTAGTTGACTCTGGCTTGCACCTCTCCAAAGTTGTTTGGTTTTGACAATCTCTTCAAGTCAAGAAACTCGGAAATGGGCCGGATGTTGGCAAAGCGCGACGCAATCGACTGGGACCGGACGCTATTAAAGCGATCGCTGAGGTTGAGGCGGGAAGTCAGGGCATCGATCGGGATGCTGATTCTGGCCATCTTGAGCTGCGAGAGTGGACGTGTCGTTGGAGAATAATAGAGAAGTGATTACCTGGCAGAAGGTGTCAGTAAGAGGCCATGAACCGCTGGTCACACAGCATCCAGCGATGCTGACGTCCGGCTGTTGTGGCACTTACAAGATTATCCGAAGTGTTGGTCTTTGGGACGTGTTTTGGGGTGGGTGAAATGCAAATGAGCGTGATGAAGGAGAGACGCGTGAAGGATAGCAGGGAGGAAGAAAGGGATACAGTGTCCAGGCACAGAGAGACTTTTTCTTTGTTGCCTGTGGCCCCTTTGCGGAGATTTGGGATGGAATACGACGGGTGGATGAGTGGTTGGCGCAGTTCGTAACTAGAGATTTTCGAGGGGGAAGGGCGGGGAGATGGGCAGGGGGAAGAGGGGGGGCAAAAAGGGCAAGCTGAAAGGGGAGGGGGGGAGAAGGGGGGGGTGTAGGCAGGCTCCCTAGGGGCGTAGTCAGCACCAACTCATCCCAAAGCCACACCCAATTTTGGTGACTTGACAGGGGCAACACCCAACACCAGGGCCTGCGTACCTAACAGAACCAACTCATCTGCTTCCACCCCCGCTGTCCTCCTCGTGCAAATCCTCGACCTGCCTCCTGCAGGCTCAAGGTCTCGTCGCTGCCATCGCAACTCACTCTGGCAGGCGAGGCGGTAAGGAGCGAGAAAAAGGAAAAGCAAGAAAAGAGGAGGCCACGTTCCGATATATACACTTTTGCAAACTCCAAGCTACTGCACGTTCGCTGCGGCATCCTCCTCGGAACCTGCGTCAATTGGGCCCACGTATTTGGGCACCATTTTCCCGTCACCATCGAAACTCCTTGCCTCACTTCCATCATCGGCTTATAAGATTCTCTCGGAGTGCGTGTGCCACCAGTGACTGTTGTCGTTCGTGGGGGGAAGTGTGGGTGAAGATGATGCGACGAATCTTTTTCCTCCTGTTCTTGGTTGCCTTGTGTGTCGCGTGGTCGGCGGAAGACTATGAGTTATTCAAGTTGCACGACGAGTTGGAAACGGCTGAAGGGCCTGGAGTCACCTTTTACGATGTCCTCGGTGTCTCACCTCATGCTACCGTCGACCAGATCAGCGCCGCCCTCAAGAAGAAATCCCGAACGCTCCATCCTGACAAAGTCAAGCATTCCTTTGTGGCCTCGCGGTCGACAGGGAGCCCGAAGAAGTCGGGCGGCAAGAAAAAGCCTGGTGTACACGTTTCGAAGGGACCATCCCAGCGGGAAATCTCTCGCGTCGTAAAAGATGCGCAGGAACGCTACAGCCGGCTCACCGTGATTGGAACCATTCTGAGAGGACCGTTGAGGGAGAGATATGATTTCTTCGAAGGGCACGGCTGGCCGTCCTGGCGTGGGACAGGGTACTACTATCAAAGATATCGCCCTGGGCTGGGAACCGTTCTACTGGGACTGTTTTTGATTGGTGGTGGAGCCGTCCACTACTTCGTCCTGACCATGAACTATCGTAGACACCGAGACTTTATGGAGAGGTACATCAGAGATGCAAAGAAACAGGCGTGGGGTGACGAGTCTGGCATCAGGGGCATTCCTGGGTTCAGTGATCCGGTGGACGTCGCTCCCACGATCGACGAACCTGACCCAATGTCCAATTTGAACCGACGGCAGCGACGAGAAATGGAGCGACAAAATAAAAAGGAAAAGACGACCAAACCTGCTCCTGCACCTGCCCCCAAGGTGGCACCTTCCTCAACGCCAGACCGCCGACGCGTCACCGCAGAAAATGGCAAGACCTTGGTGGTGGACTCGGAGGGCAACGTGTACTTGGAAGAGGATGACGAGGACGGAAACACTCAAGAATACCTTCTGGATCTGGATGAGATCATCAAGCCCACGGTGTGGGATACGGCTGTTCTGCGCCTCCCCCTCTGGCTCTGCCGCAAAGCTGTCAGTCCTTTTATGAAGAAGGCGCAGGCGATCCCCTCAGACGAGGGAACTGCGCCACAAAGCGAAGCACCATTCGAGCCGACAGAGAAAGCCATGGACGCCGAGAAGATCACGGTGAAGGATTTGAGCTCCAGCCAACTATCGGATTCTGGGTTTGAAATCGTCGAGACAACTGGTCTCGAGAATTCCAATGGGACCAATGTCAAAAAACGGGGCAAGAAGGGCAGGAAGTGACACGCTGTCTCTGAGGTGCACGCAGACATAAATAACGAGGCAGCAGATGTGTGCAGAGCTGTTCTAGATAGAAACGAAACGTGTCAACATGTCAATATGGGACATCATGTGCCGGAACCAGCTGCCGTTTGACGTTGTGTCCGACAATACCCTGGCTCCTCACGACATTAATAATTACAACTCGCATGTTTAACCATCGCAATCGACCACAGGAGAGGGAAAGCAGGTCTTCCCGTCCGTTCAGACGTACTTAAGCCCTCTGCCGGCCAACTAGTACCAACGTGGGGGACCAGTTGGGAATCCTGGCTGTTGATTGTATTTTTGCATTCTCCGGTTCCGTCGCTTTGCTGCTTCTACGGTTGCCTAGAGCCCGAATATTCTTCGTCTGCTTACGACAAGTTTGGTAAGCATTTGCGAATGGCCAGGGTTGGGATGACGCAAGGAAATTTCTGCGGTGCTACGGAGGCACGAGGGCACGCAGCCTTGTCTGCGACTTCGTATATCGATTAATGATTTTTTTTGTGGCTTGGCTGTCAGTCTCGCTTAGTCTCGGGGCCGTTGATGATAATGACCTCCACACACGACCTCGCTGGGATATAAACATGAGACAGTGAACCGCACGGATGAATATTTTATGGTCCCACGAAGGGAGGGGTTTTGAATCACTGAGATATAATGTGGTGCTCACACCAACATCCAAATCTGGTTTTCGCATTGGATTTTGCCGCCTGCCAGGGGGATGTGCTACCCGACGACAAGCGTTGTGGCTTTCGGCCGGTGGCGACTTTGACAAGTCCAACCCCACAAAAAGTCTCATTGGTTAGGATATTTGACTCGCGACAGGGCCGGCTCAGCTTTTACCAAGACGTCAGAGGATAGGTCGGAGGATGGCCAGACGGGCATTCCGCACCGATAACGGACGAGGACGCGGAATGGGAAATGTGCCTTAAGAAATTCATATCCGAACCTCGGTGTATGCCAATATCCGAGCTATCAGGAGACAGACAGCCACTCTTCGAGGACCGGGGAAGTTGCGTCCAGGGTCGAAGCACGATACGCTGCAACCTCGTGCTCTGTACTAAAACCCGACTCGTAGATCTTGAGGGAAAACCGCTCGAGGGCGGTTCAAATAAGGGTTCGTCGGAAGTCGGATCAACACACCAGGTGGCAAAAAGGACCCTTGGATGTACCTTTCGTGGCTTTGTACTTGCACGCGGTGAGACGAACAACCCAACCCCGGACCGGGCAGGTTTCCGGAGCGCCAAGGCCGCCGCTGCGCCCGGAAGCATTTGATACTTGGTTCCTTTCCAATCACCTTGACAAGGCTCGTCTCCTTGATATCAGCCACATTTAGTTGGCAAGTCCCACCCACCTTCGATATCACCATCGCCCTGTCCGCGTGATCCGGATCCGCCTGCCCTGGCTCTTCAAGTCATGCTTTTCCCTTTCGCCTCCCGAGTGGCCCGTGCTTCAGCGAGAGGTGGAGGTCGAGTGAGTGAGTGAGCTGATGGACGGCCGACGCCAGCACATAACTCGGTGGAGGTGCGACCGTTTATACTCGACCTTCTCATGTACTATTGTGTCGAATCATCTAGAGACTACATTCGGTGGATTTTTAGTTCTGTGATATGCAGACCGAAAAGGCAACCCAGTGATGAGGGAAGTAAGTTCTGGCCAACCTCACCCTGGGGCCCATCTATACCAAAGTTCTGGATCCCACACCCTCCCTCTGGATCCTTGCCGAATCATCTCGCAAATGATTAAATTAGCGTCAATGGGGCCTGGTGACTTTTTTTTCTCTCTTTCTTTCCTCGTTCCAGAGTCTTTATAATAATGGCAACGGGGAGAACACTTACAATCCGCGAGGCCCCCCTTCCTTCTTTTTCGATTTATCTTGAATTGTACACCGTTGCCCTTTCGCCTTTGCTGGAGCACCTACGGTATCTTCGCGCAACTTCACGTTCCTTACGAACGACAGACACCCGTTCAGAAAAATTTGGTAACTGGAGTCGTGAGATATCCTGTGACTGACCTAGACGTACCATCTACCCGTCCAAGTCTTGTTCCTAGCATTGCGAGGTAGGATATCATGACCCCATCACTGGCCATTCTTTTTCTTTTCTTCTTTTAAGTTGTTGTTCTTCTTTCTCCGACAAAACCATCTCTTTTCTGCTCTTTCTACTCTTTCCTACATGTCATCCAGTGGTGACCCTCCGCCGGAAGACCATTCTCGCGGCGGCGAGAGCAGAGAATCCAGCTCGCGCCGATCCTCCAATATCATCGAATTTGTCGATAGCCAGAATCCCAATGTCAGAAGTGCCATTCAGCGGCACACCGCATATCACTCTGCGGCACAGCGTCGAGAAGCGCGCTCGCGACTTCTCCGGCGATCCAGCCAGACTCGCTACTTTGAATGGACCAGACGTCCCAGAGGAGATGCAGACGTCGCAACCTCCTCAGCGAGCAGTGCCAGTTCGGTGTCAATTTCGCCGGCACCGTCAATTCCCGGAAGACCGGAACATCCCAGTCGGACCACCAGTGACGAACAAGAAACCGTGTCGTCGTCAGGTGGTGAAGCGGCCGCAGATTCCGCTCTCGAACCACTACCATCCACCTCTCAGATAGCCGTCTCTGCTGACGACGCTGTTTTGGAATTTTGTGAGTGCCCCCTGAAAATCTCTGAACATGCCCCAGTGCCAACAAGGCTGGGTAGGGCATGTGCGGCCTGTCTGACACTAACTTCTTGTCCCACAGTCAAAGCCACATTTTGCGATCATTATCAATCAACCGACGTGTTGGAAACAGCATTCGCGTTTATGCTTGAGAACGAAGCTTCTCGACACCTGCTCATCGGTTACGCATACGCCATGCGGAGGTCTCGTGCAATTGCCGAGGACGGTTCTCAAGACCAGTTGGAAGCGGAGAGAAATGTCGGTCGAGGTACTAACATTCTGTGGAACCGGCTGCAGATGCCATCCCACGCCAGTTCTGACGCCAATGTCCAGGCTGTCCTTCTGCTCGTGGCGTACACAGCCGACTTCGGGGACGCCAGCGAGGTCCGTCTCCATGCAGACGCATTGAGGACGATGATCGAGCAGCGTGGCGGTGTCGACGTCTTCACCCATAACCCTGCCTTGCAGCATCAGATATGGGCGATAGAAGTATCTCGACGGTTCCACTTGACCTTGGATTGCGAGTCGACCTGCCCGGACCCACTGCGGTTTGCGGACGGTCTTCGACTGCGATCAGGAAGGGAGGAAAGTTAAAGGGAATCTAGCATGGGATTGATTGTCAGTCAAACCTGGCCAAAAACAGGTATAGACGGGATGTGGAACCGGTTGTGTGGATCATCCCGGTGAAGTTTCCAAAGGTTTCCAGAAAAATCTTGTTCTCGAACGATACCCCAGTGCGACGACTCATGATTTTACGATGGACATATTGTATACTTGGTATCAGCTGTGAATACCATATTCGATTGAATTTTGTCCCTGCAGCACCCTGCTTGTCGCCGCTTCCAGATTCGACAATGGCCCCAATGGACAGGTCTAGAATCGGGTGGCATGCAGATGCGTATGGGGCCTACTTGCCACACCGTACTGCTGGGCCTGAAGTCTTAGATAAGACATGCCTCCAGTTTGGTAGTTGCACCTGATACAGATGACAAATGTAAGAGGGATTATCAGCTTGTGGCAACCAACAAAGAAATCGCACCACGCCTCTTGTTTCACTATTGTTTCCAGATGACTGCGGAGAGTGAGGTTGATGGGAGTATGTTCCCCTACGGTGGAGTCCAGGTGGCGGACGGTGCAGGACACTACGGCAGCGCAAGCGAACCCTTGCCCCCCATCCCAACCCGCAGCTGCCAACAACCTGCAAATTCGTGAATTTTGCGCCCTTCCCCACGACTGACTGATCTCATTGACCATTTCGCACTTGCGTCCTGTCACTGGTACCTATTCTGTCCACCACCCGACGGCCACCTCACTCCACCACCAGCAGCTCAACAAGGCCAGCTTGTCCTTTCAAATCGCACTGTCCACGCCCACGTAACTTTTCAACTGCGCTTGGTCTGCGCCCTGTTCTCGGCTTCTTCCCTGCCTTGCCTAATCCCCGCCCTGTTTAGCCCTGTCAAGCTCGACGTCGGCTCTCTGTGCGCACCTCCCAACGTCTGCTCTTACAGATCGTTTCGCTTGCGACAACAATCAGCTGGGCTGTTTTACCTGTCCAGAGCTATCTATCCTACTGCTACTGCTGTAGTCAAGATACCCACCCTTCCAAAATGTCGGGCGAGGCGTGGTTATACCTGCTCGCCGTCCTAATAAATGCCGTCAATCTCTTCCTGCAAGTTTTCTTCACGATCATGTACAGCGATCTCGAGTGGTAAGCCATGCTCCCTCACTTCCATGCTTGTCCATGACATGCCCCGCTGACCTTGCGGATTACTGCTCAGTGACTATATCAACCCGATTGACCTCTGCAACCGTCTCAACACCTACATTGTTCCCGAAGCCGCCGTTCATGCCTTCTTGACGTTCCTCTTCCTGATTAACGGATACTGGTTGGCGCTACTGTTGAATCTGCCGCTTCTGGCTTTCAATGCGAAAAAGTGGGTGTCCATGCCGACCCCTTCCGCATGCACCGTTCGCAGGGACTGATAAGATTGTGGTAGGATCATCGAGAACCAGCATCTGCTTGACGCCACCGAGATCTTCCGAAAATTGAACGTTCATAAAAAGGCAGGTCCAGGCTCCGAGTTGGATGAGACGTTCCATTACTAATGTCGAGTCCGTGACAATAGGAGTCATTTATCAAACTCGGCTTCCACTTGGTCATGTTTTTCTTTTACCTTTACAGCATGATTGTGGCTCTGATCAGAGACGAGTCCAACTGACTACGCGGCGAATGGTCACATGCGATGAAGCACGGCAGTTACTCCTGATGGCGATCGTCTGCTGCTATGCAATCGGATTGCAACAGCCACAATGGGTGCTTTGAGGTATGGGGAAGAGTAGGGTCAAGTGGAAAGTGGCAACGCTCGACAACGAGCCGAGGGTCAGTGGCAATGTCCGTCCCACCAAGCTCCTCCGTCTGGATGGTCGACACTCGCCACGGACGAAGTGATGGGCCCACCAGTGGTTCAGTTAGTGCGCAAGAGGCGGTGCAAGCAGCGACGGTAGTCAGGGGGCCAAAGATTCTCACATGGTCAAGATTTGGAAGGGTGGAATTTCCCCAAACTAGGTGTTGGGTTATCTGTCTGCTACTCGACTTGTACAGCCGAGACATGAGATATGACGAAGAAGAACAGTTCCGATATGTTTCAGCCGGTAGGGGGATTTGTGGTAGAGCTATTTTGCAATGGCGTTGCAAGCTGGGTGCGACAATACACCTCGTACACCCGTCTTATTTTGCAGAAATGAGAGAAAGCCACTGTCTTTTCTTTCGTCCGAATGCTGAAAATCCTAAACCCCATGTCTCGAGCTGCCAAAGGACCAAATAGTCCAGTTAAGACTTTCAAGAAGCATTCAATCTACCTATCTCAACTTTATCAGGCTGCTATTCCACCACACATGTTACTGTGATGCCCTCGTGGTTCCTGTAAAGGCAGGTGTCCCGAGACATGTGCGTCTTGGCCGACGCCATCTTCCTGGTGCCGAAGTTTTTCCCAGATCTGTCTGCATCCGACCTGACAACGACGCCGCCTTTGCTTCACTCTTGTTCTAGGCGTCGAACGGCCTTCAGTCAGGATGTCCGCCCTTCTCGGATCAGCTTATGACTCGAGTGACGATGAGAAAGATCCTGTGGCACGCCCTCCCTCTCAGAAACAGCCCGCCGTGGTGAACGCTGCGCCAGACGTATCAACAGAGGTTTGGTCTTCTTCTGTCGGACGACGTGGTAGTCGATCTAACGTAACGCAGGATGTGTCGCAAATGCAGCTCATGTTGGCGAACCCTTCCAGCAACGCACTCACCTATAATGTCACCTACGATAACCTTGCCCGTCCGACCCAGGGGCCGTCAAATCCCTTCAAGTCGACGGCCGGAAACGTCCTGAAGCGCAAGAACGTGCTCACCGGCAATGCAGAGGAGACGTCCATGTCGGAAGCTGCCTTCAAGACGCAGCACAGGACGTATCAGAGTCTCGGCTACACCAAGGATCCCTCGGTCAACGGGGCTTATGTGGGCAACCAATCCGCTGTCGCAAAGTATGGCGGCAAAGACATTGTCCAATTGCGCTACTCCAAGGAAGAAAGCGCCGCGATCCGCGCTAAGAGGCAGAAGAAGGGAGACAGCAGGGTCGTCGACGGTGAAGGCGCGTACCTTGGTCCCTGGGCCAAATATCAAAGCGACGACGTGTCGTATGAGCAGGCTGAAGCCGCGGTGGACCAAGAACTGGCCTCGGACGAGGAGTGGGTGGAGGAGGGTATCGTGCCCACGCCCCTGCCTGCGCCACCGAAGGAGGCCACTGCATATGCGGACGATCTGAATGGTGCAGAGACGACCGAGTTCCACGGGGCTTCAGAATTCGACTATCAAGGACGGACTTACATGCACGTCCCGCAGGATCTGGACATCGACCTGCACAAAGAACCGGGCTCGATACAGAATTACGTGCCCAAGAAACTTATTCACGTCTACAAGTACCACACCAAACCGATCACCTCACTGCGGTTCATCCCCAGATCATCGCACCTGCTCTTATCCGGCTCCGCCGATGCAAAACTCGCACTGTGGGATGCCCATCACGACCGGACACTCCTCCGCACATTTTCAGGCCACAACAAGGCCATTACAGACACCGATTTCCACCCCACAGGACGATCGTTCTTGTCAGCATCGTATGACCGTCAAATGAAACTCTGGGATACCGAGACCGGAAAATGTATATCGCGGTTTACGACAGGTAAAACGCCACATACCCTTCGTTTCCACCCGGATGGCAACGAATTCATCGCCGGTATGTCCGACAAAAAGATTGTCCAATTCGATGTCCGGTCCGGTGAACTGACGCAAGAATACGATCACCATCTCGGCCCCATCAACACGCTCACGTTCGTCGACGAGGGGCGGAGGTTCATCTCCACTTCCGACGACAAATCCCTCCGTGCCTGGGAATATGGCATTCCAGTACCCATCAAGTTCATTGCAGATCCCTCCATGTACGCCCTCGTACGCGCCGCACCGCACCCGTCTGGGAAATTCGTCGCGTTCCAATCTGCGGACAACCAGATCGTGGTGTATGCCGCGGGCGACAAGTTCCGACAGAACCGGAAGAAGGGGTTTCGAGGCATGAACACGAGCGGGTACGCGATTGACGTGGCCATATCTCCGGACGGCGGAATCATCTCCAGCGGCGATTCCGGGGGGTTTGTGTGCTTCTGGGACTGGAAGACGGGAAAGATGTGGCACAAGATTCAAGCTGGAGGGGAAGGAATGGGCGCCGTGACGTGCGTGGCCTGGCATCAGCAGGAGAGCAGCAAAGTCGCGACAGGCGGACTGGACGGGATGATCAGATACTGGGATTGAAGAATCATGAAAGGCCCGAGCGAGCCATTTCGCTGGCCCGCACATGCATACCTCACCGGGTCAATCGGGACTTGAACAAGGCACCGCACAACTCGAACTCCGCATCCTCCACGGTGCGTCAAAGCTATTCCTGCAGAGGTTCCGCATTGCCCATTTACGTCGTCAGGACAGTTGGATTGTTCCTCGAAATGCCACTTCTTGGTCCTTGGGGGGGAAGGGGCGCACATCGCTGAAAGCTATCCATGCTCAGGGGTCTCCTCTCGATCAATGCCTGCTGCGGCGCGTCCTCCAACCACTGCCGGCTTCCGGTGCGTCTGCTGAGGGCATTGGCATGGCTTCCTGCGGGCACTGGGAACCCAACGAATGCTGTACGACTCAATTGTCGGTACTCGCTACAGACTGTAGAGGAAGAGCTACATTGCCGAATGCCGAAATCCCAGGAAGGGAAGAACAGGTGGATGCCACAGATATAGTCGCACAAATGACTGATCTGATATACCGATGGGTCTTATAACGACCTCGTGTGTTTTTCACGCTCCGTATATTCATACAACCCAGGAATACACCGACCAATCCTCTACACTCTCATCTCCTCAAAGCATCTAGTACACTCGATCCTCCCGTGGTGGCATACGGCGATTTATTCCCACTCGACCAGTAGTCATTCCACTCTCCGCCCGTCTCGTACAGGGCGTGTTGACTCTCCACCTTTTGCCAATCAATGCGATCCCACCATGCTCCCAGGTACCATTTTTTCCCCAGGAGGCCGTAGTCCCTCAGCCATTGATGTTCCCACACGTTGACACACAAGATGGGTTGCATGTCCAATGCCCCGGAGTAGAGATTTGCACGGGACGAGCTGAAGTCGCCAAACGAGCCCGCCGTCGAGTTCCCGGTAGAAATGTTTCGCTCTTCCAGGCTCGGCAACCCCAAGCCGCCTCGGCCAGAGAGTTGGTCGGAGAGCGTGCGGCCGTCAAAGGTCGCCATATCCTTGTCGTCTCTTCTGGGTGCCGCGTCAGGGTACGGTGAGCCCGCATTGTACGTGGCCAGGATACGCATGTCGCCCACGTTCTTCCCCTTCATGAGCCACACGAACCCGTTGCCGAACATGGCGTCCGCGGTCTCGAGCATCTCTTCGCGGAGATTCGTCACGCTGCCGAAGCTGGCCTCAATGCTCCTCGTGGTGTTGAGCCCCGGTTTGTGGATCGCCGGATCTTCACTTTCCGTAAGGTATTCCCAAAAGAACCGCGTGAACTCGACCATGGCGGCGAGGTTGTAGAGGTGTGCCCGGTCCGAGCGATGGGCGCATTTGACGTGCAGGTCGTAGGTCGAGGAGGACTCTTCTGCCGTCCCCAACACGAGCTCGTTGAGGCGGTCGCAGAGGTGCTGGGTGTACTTCACGTAGGTTTCTTGGTAGGTTTCTGCGCTCAGGAAGCCGGGGACGCCGTGGCGGGAGAAGAAGTCCTGTTTACTCTGGTTGGCCCAGACGGGCAGGGTGTGTTTTCTTCGGACCTGTCGTTTGAGGAAGGACGACGGCTGCGACAAGAGGAAAAGGTTAGTCAACTTCGGAGGCTCATTGGTGTTTGCTTGCTTCATCACAATCGGTACATACTGCGGCATTTGCCTGCTTGACAAAGGCTCGCAGGAGGGACTGCGGCCTTGCTGGAGGTCTTGTGATCATGACTGGGAGAGGATGGAGCTGCCCAAGAAAATGGAAATGGATTGATTGACCAGCCGATGTTCTGAAATTCTGAAAGACGGACAGAGACGCAGTCGCCCAGAAGGGATTAGTGCCATCTCTCAGCCCTCAGCCAATCACAGAGCTCTATCCTGTTGCTGAGCCTCACGCCTGAAACTTCTCTGCCACCTCCATGCTTCCTACACACACACACTCCCTCCCCCCACCACCGTGTTTGAGCTTCTTCTCAGACCTCTATAGCCTATCGTTTCAGCTTCTGTGAGTCTTTCCACAAACTGTCGCGCCCTCCCTCGCAGAATAAGGTTGCGTGTCATTTGGCGGCGCGGCAAGCCACTGGCTGTCGGCGGAGCATTTCACCATCTCACCACAATCGACTCTGCATATTCATAGCTACACGGCACATCATGGCTATCCAAGGCACCACAGTGCACGTCTGTGTTCTGGCACGGACGTGCAGCAAGACACGCGACCAAGTCTCGGTCGTCGGGTTCACCTCTTTTGTTCTATAATGAGTGCTTTCCTTTGTCAGTCCCCTCAATGGTGAGTACGTCCTTCTCTCTTTGTCAAACGTTGATCGCCATCGGCTTTGAGAGCCCTTTATCTTCCTCTTCTTCGTTTGTACGACCTATTCTTGGAAACCAACAGAGTGCCATTACTGTCCTGGTGACCTTTTTGTCTTTATACCCTGTGATGCTGGCATCTATCTACCTACCTGCTGCTTAATTTGACCATTTCTGCGCGTGGACTGTATTACCCTGCACACCTCTTTCCAGCCATGAAATACCATACACGCGTTTGTACACTACGCACCCTCCTGGTGGCGTCGAACATCCTCTGCACTTCCTCTGCCTTCCAAATCGTGCCCCCTCCAACTCTTTTCCGGAGAGACGGTTCCTCATGCTCGGCGGTCGATCCCAAGCTACCCAACGACTTCTCGTGCGCCTTAGGGAACAACTGTATTTCTCTCGACAACTCGTCGTCGGCCCTCTGCTGCCCAGAGTCGAGTTCATGCGACAACATCCAGACAATATCCTGCGATGTATCCTCACAAAATGCGACTGCGAATCCAACGGCAGGAATATTCACAACGAAATTGGGGGACAAGTTGCCACAGTGCGGAGACAGCTGCTGTCCGTTCGGATACTCCTGCATCCAACAACCTTCGGGACCCTCGATTTGCAGCATCATCCTGAGCACGAGCATCGTGGGAAAGACGGACCCGTCTCCCGGCACGACGCCTAGGTCTTCGTTGGCAAGCCCGTCAGCCACCAATTCGGCGACTTCAACTGCCTCAACGACCAAGTCGACTTCTACTTCAAGCCCGAGTAGTGCTGGTGTGTCGGCAGCCCAGGTCGAACCCCAGTGCAACAAATTTCCCACTGGGGTTTTCCTTGCCGGGTTCTTTCCTGGCATGTTTGTGGGCGCCTTCTTGATGCTGGCCTGGGTCATCTGCAGCGGACGACACCGCAAACCCAATTCTCGAAACTCTTCTGGCTCGTCGATCTACAAACCGACCATCTCAGACCCCATCCCGTTAGATGCCTCTGGCGGCCTCAGGACGGACTTTCTCCGCAAAACCACCGGTCGAGCAAAGTCGATGTTTTCCACGAAGAGCAACCGGAACAGCCAACAATCCGCTCCCAGTCATTGGAAAATGCCCACACCACCAGTACCCAACAATATCCCGGTCGTCCCTGCAGGTTTACCTGTCACGCCAGAGCGGAGGCTTGCACATGAACCCAGCATGGAAAGCATCAAAGTCTACACGCCACCGACTGGCCCCGTCCCACACCCCAATCCCGCGGCGATTGCTCCATTGCGAGGCATGGCGGCGCAACGGTTCCCGCTGACCAACAAAAACAACATGGGCAGCCCGTTCCAATCCCCTCCCAACAACACCAGCAACGGCCTTAACACGCCAAATCGCATGAGCAGTACTCTCAGGGATGAGCGGGGTGTCAGCGTCTTCTCCGGCGAGTCTGAGCTCTCGGCCGAGCAGGATGGCCCAACCCTGACGCCGGCACGATACAATGGCGGCTTCAACTCCACACAACGCATGCGGTCGGAGAGTCGAGATGAAATCAGCCGTCCAAACACCACTTTTACCGAGATGTTGCATGAAGCTGGATTCCCTGATCCCATGCTACCACCAGACCAACATACGCCGGCCGTGCCGAAGATCCCAGAGGGTTACGGAGGGAGGAATTATCGGGTATAACAGTCATTTGACGAGTCTCATTCGTTTGATTTTGTCAAAAGTGCCTGGACACGAGAAATTGATGGAGCCCGCCGCAAGCGTTTGGATGATGATTCTTTTTTTCATTCTTCGCTACGAATGACTGACAGCTCATGGACTGTGAAGTGACCATAGTGTCCCATGTAGTACATGACTATCGCTACTCTGACTGAACGGGTCTGTGTCAGAGGTAATAATATGAATTCACTCGCAATACAACACTGTTTCGTAGTATGTACTAGCAATCCCCCTAAATCACCTCAGCCTGGTGACTTAATATCACTACACGCAATCCCCACCTGCCTTGAGTTACTCCGCACGCGACTTGGAAGACGGGCGAAATATTTCGAACCTGCGCAACCACCATCACCACCACCACAAACCTCCGTCTTCTTGGTGGTCTTAACAACCCCCAAGTATCTCTCGTATTCACCAAAGATGGCCGAACGCGCACCCTCCCCGACCCCCTCCGAACGAGCCCGCAAGGACGCCGAAGACCGCCAGCGCGAGCAAGAAGAACAGGCGAAACTGCCGTACAAATGGACCCAGACGCTCGAGGAGGCCGAAGTCAGTGTGCCCATCCCGGGAAACCTGAAGGCGCGGGACTTGGTCGTCGACCTGAAGAAGACGCACATCAAGGTCGCGGTCAAGGGCCAGGAGCCCATCATTGATGTACGTAGCCGCAGCTGCACTCTGTCTGCCCCGTTTCGCTCTCGTGAGAATGAATGAGCAGATGGATGGATGGATGGATGGGTGCGAACGGAACTACTAACTAACACCTCTTCCAACCTCACAGGGCGACTTCCCCCACCCCATCCAGACGGACGACTCGACGTGGGTGCTGTCGACCAAGCCGGACGGGAGCAAGGAGATCCTCATCACGCTCGCCAAAGCCCGCGGGTCCTTCTGGTGGGCGCACATCGTCACGTCGGCGCCTAAGATCGACACCACCAAGATCGTGCCGGAGAACTCGAAGCTGAGCGAACTCGACGGCGAGACGAGGGGCATGGTCGAAAAGTAAGGGTTCCCCACCAGCCACTGACTACTATTTCTCCATACGTACACCTTTCTGCTCTCTCTCATCCGTCCTGTCCCGTCCCGTCGAGAGGAGGAGAAGGCAAAAACAAAACAAAACAAAGGGAGGTGCAAATTGCTAACACAGCCGGGCGGAAATCATTAGGATGATGTACGACCAGAACCAGAAAGCCATGGGCAAACCCACCAGCGACGACCAGAAGAAGGAGGACATCCTGAAAAAGTTCATGAAGGAGCATCCCGAGATGGACTTTTCGAATGTCAAGACCAGCTGAGAGATATGTCGGAAGGGATGGGAAGGGAGTGGGAATGTTACGTTGACCGTCAGGACGGGCTGTCCCGAGATCCTGTGTTCCCCCCCCCCCCTGTGTCCCTGTGTACAAATGAATTGAGTAGAACGAACGATATCACTGTGGAAAAGGCATGAATTAATTTCACGATTCACGAGGCGAGAAAGAAAAGATCCGATAGCATCGGAGGAAGGGAAAAGCACAGCGGTAGCGGTAGCATCAAGAATTGATTGACCGGCGTTAGGTCGTCAATGGCGTTCGTAGAAGAATACCTCTGACCAAAGGACTTTCAATTAACCAAACATATTTACCGTCCGATCTAGTTAGTTACAACTCATCTCGCTTCTTGCTTGATCCGCCAGCCTGTCTCAACCGCCACATCTGGATCCCATGTCGAGGCACATCGGCCTGCAACGTGCCCCCTGCCTGGACCGTCCCGGCCGGCGTGCCAATCAACAGGGGATCACTCTGATTCAACCCCGTCGCCCAAGCCGTCTCGCTGGCATTGTAGTATCCCGTCGCATTTCCCACCGCAAGCGTACCGTTCAGTACCTGGGCGGCCACCTCGTTGCGCATGACCGTCTGATTGCCCCAGACGTCGAACAGATCCCAACTCTGCTGGGCGTTTGTGTTTGTGCGGAGACCGCCGAAGACGTCGACAAGGCTGTAGGACATGGTGCGGGAGTTGTTGCCCGCGTTGAGAAAGGCGACCACCTGATCGCCATTCGCCAGGCTTCCCTGCCACACTTGAATCTCTCCAAATCCCCATGCATCCGTGTCGTCGACCTGTTGCCGGACCGTCCTGGAAACGGCACTGACACCGGGGTCCTGCGAGATGGCCAGCACCGCCGGGTTGACGAGGATCGCATAGTCTTCTGGGGAAAGCTGGTCGAGCTTGTTGCCCATGATCAACGGAGACTTGATGGCGGCCCACATGCTAAAGTGGACTTTGTATTCGTCGTAGGACATGCCGCCGTTTCCCACCTCGAGCATGTCGAGGTCGTTGTAGTACCCCGCCTGGTTTTTGCTGCGAATGGCACTGGCCTTGCCGAGAATGTTCATGACCGAACAGCCATAACCAGGGAGTTGGCAGTAGTACTCGTCGGGCCCACAGGGGCACGATGTAGTGGGCATGGAGAAGCTGTCCTGGATATCGCCCGAGATACGGGCACTATTGGCTATGGTAGACGCCCACTCCCTGTCGCAAAGGAACGGTTCGTGGTCAGTCTGACATCCATTCGACGCATGGCGAAAGACCTACCAGGGTTTGTCGTCTCCCCAGTTACACAGCGAATATACCAAATCTCGGCCCGTACTGTTCAACGCGTTCGACATGGCAGCATATCGATCCTGGCTCAGCTTTGGCGTGCCCGAAAGACCTTCGTTGTAGCAATTGTCGTATTTCAGATAATCTGCACCCATGCTTGCCCACCATGCTGCATCTTGAGTCTCATACCCTAGGCTTCCAGGGTATCCTCCGCACGCTGTCCAGTTGAAGGGGAGTTTGGTTAGCCTCGGGATTTTCGTGATAAAGCGCGGGCGACGAACTGTATTTGCCTGCACTACTGTACACGCCAAAGTACAGGCCATAATCGTGGAGCTGATTTGCGATGCTTTGGAGGCCGGAGGGGAACTTGGCCGCGTTTGCGCTCAAGGTCCCATTGGCAGTGCGATTGAGCTCCGTCATGGCATCGTCGAAGATGACAACGCGGTAGCCGAGATCACGAAAACCGAGGGAGACCAGGCGCTCGGCGTTGGTGAGGATTGTAGACTCGTTGTATGCAAGGCCATAGGCATTGTATGTGTCCTGTCATGATCCAGTCACCTTGTGCGTTCGCTTTAGAACGGCGGGTGACCTGGGAATAGGATGGGATGGGATGGGACGGCAAGGCTGTGTTGTGTTGGGTGTTCAAAGGAGTCTTACCCAGCCCATTTGAGGCGTCTGAGCAAGGCCGTTGTAGCTGAGGCTGGAGGCGACGGCACTGACGGTGTCCAGCAGCAATGCAAGGCAAAGCCAGCCACCGATGGCGTTGCACGATCCGAAATTCGCAGCCATCTTAACTCCCAAGTGGTAGTAGGTCAAGGAAAGAGCGGAAACGATATGATGGAAGCAGTCGGGAGGAGGAAAGGCAGGACCACAACGTGTCCATATAACGATTCATAGTATTCTGCATGCACACCCATGGATATGTTACATTCTCGTCGGCTGTTGAACTCGTAGAGTTCCATTGCATGCTGGATCAACAGAGACTTTCCCCGCATTGTCTGTCGAGGGGACTGGTGGACAGGCTAAAAGGGACGATCTTCAGACTCATGACGCCACGGCGCATCTCTGGCTGTTCCTTGCATATCCATTTCCAGCAAATATACGGTGGTTTGCTCGCCCGCTCGCCCCGTCTTGGTACCGGCCGTGTTGTGGACTCGGGACAATATATGCCGGTCAAGAGCTGTCCACACCCCTATCTCTCAGTCGTCGTCAATGATCAGACAGCGTCCACGTTCCGGGTCTCATGTCGGTCTCTTAAACCCCATCATGGCCAAATTGATATCCGGTGGCGGCGGCCTTTGTCGAGGTTTTGACGGGTCCATCCCAAGAGTGTCACCGTCAGTTTCGAGGTCACCCTCCTCGTAGATACTGGCGGGTTCATCCGAGCTGAAGAAGCCGTCCCATAGTCCCTTTTTGCACACAAGAGCTCCCACCAACACAAGTGGAAGCTGCCAGACACTTGCCCAGAACAGTCCTCTGGCGCTTCCTCCAGCGCCCTGCTGTTTCCAGAAGCGGAATGCCTCTCGACTCATCCAGACGTTGCATGCTGTGCTTATCACAAGAAAGCCCTTGTCCACGTATCCCGTAAAGTAGAGAAGCCCGCAGATAGGAAACATGGCCAAAGAGTACCGCAGAGCGACGCGTCCATTTCGAGCAGGGTTCGTCCAGGCCAACATTTTGTGGCCCGCGTTTCGATAGTCTTCTCGAATAGTGTGCGACAATGACATGAAATGAGGAAACTGCCAGGCAAACAATAGGGCTGCCAATGCCCAGCCGCCAACCGAGTCCTCTGAAAAGAGCAGATCTTTCCAGGAGTGGTGCTCCGACGTGGCAGCCTCGCCTGCAGCAGCACACCAGCCCATCAAAGGGGGGATTCCACCCACAATTGCGCCAACCCACGTGTTTGCCGCGGAGATCCGCTTCATTGGCGTGTAGACACCGGCATAAAGGAAGATATTGAGAGCCGACAGTCCCGCCACCGTCGGGTTGGTCCCCAGCCCGAGGAGAAGCAAGCCAGACGCACCACAGACCAAGGCAAATACCGCGGCAGCTCGCGGAGAGACCAGCTTCCTGACGAGAGGCCGATTTCGAGTTCGGGACATGAGAGCGTCGTATTTTGGCTCAAACAGCATATTAAGGGTGTTGGCACAGGCGCACGACAAGAAGGTGCCAGAAGTGAGAAATAGTAGCGTCAATGTTGATGTGGAAAGGGATGAAGTCGCCGAGGAGGACGTGGAGGACAGAATTTCTGGAAGCGGATATAGACTGTACGCCGAAGTGGTCGTGAGCAATATCAGGAACGATAGTCGTGGTTTGGTCAGTGAAAGGAATGTGGCCAGCTTTCGTCGGAAGACGGCTGATTTTGGCAGCGCGGTCGCAGCAGTCGTCAACTGGGACGAAGCATCCAACGGTAGAGATTCATCTGACGTGTCCTGGCTGCTCTTTCGTCTCTTGCGCCTCCTGTGCGGTAACACCTCTGCCTCCGGTTCACCACTCTCCACAGCTTTGCTGGCTTCTGGAGCATTTTGAGGATTCGGATTCTCTTGACTTAGAGGCTCTTCCTTGAAAGACAAAGCCTTTTCCAGTTCTCCTTGTGCTCGCGTCCGTGTACCTTCGCCAGTCACATCATGTTCCCTTCGTCCTGCCGGTTCCGCAACTGTGCGGACCGCAGCCAGCATCCCGCTCTTGATCCATCCCCTCTCAATCGAGGTGTTGGCTGAGAAATAATCGTCCACGAAGCTCTGTGAATGAGGGACCGCGCTTTTCGAGGGTCTTTCAATTGGAATGATGCCACTGTGGAGCTTCCTGTTCGCTTGCAGGACAGATCTCAAAGTGCTGTGTGGCCGGGACGACTGGCGCAAACACCGTGTGATACAGGTCGAGCAAACACGATAGCCAGATCCGGACAATCGGCCTGCTGCCGGAGCAGCAGCCATGACGGCGGTGATCTAGAATGGCGGAAACCGTAGGGGGTGCATTGAATTTGCACGAGTGGTGTGAAGAGTGCAGAGTGAAGAGTGAAGACGGGCTGGTGGCTTGAAATTCGGAGGAGCTTGGATTGCAGTGATTGGAGTGCGGAGTTTGGGATGGAATCTGTCCCTCCTCCATCAACTGCAACTGGCCACTCGTGTCAACAACATTACTACTACTACTACGACGTCCACACTCGACACAATGGCTGAACTCACGACTGACCAGGTCAGATCTCTGGATCAAACACGTCAAAGACTTCTGGCTCTCCACAAGTCATTGGTTGCGTTGGGATCAGAGCTTGTGACTCAAAACCCTCTTCCTTCCTGGTAAGGGACGCTTCCTTAACACGACGCAACAGCATTATAGCTGACTTCGTCGAACAGGCCAGCCCTTCAACTACATGCAAACCTTGTCTCTAACAACCTGCAAACCATTGTCTCTCAGCTCGCTGAGCACCGGGACACGTATCAATCCACCGTTGCCTTTCCTACACCCAAATTTCCAGGCACCCAACGAGCCTTCATTCTCGAGACCCTGCTTCGAACAAAATTAGAACCCAACGTGGAGGACTGGGTCGAGGAAGGCGAGAACATCAGTGCACAAAAGCACAAGGCCACTTTTCGGGGGTTGTCGGACAATGACCGTCACGCTCTTTGGCAGTGGGCTCCGGGGGCAGCAAATGGTGCGGCTCGCAAGCAGAAATGGGGTGCAGACTTCACCCTCGAGGAGAAGCAGAAGGGCATAGAGAACGTGGCCACGGGGCTACGCAGGCAACTACAAGAACCTCCCGATGAAGAGGGCGAAGAAGGGCCTGAAGAGGAAGACGAGTATGACATCACCGACGAGGAGGATGAAGACGAGGATGCGGACAAAATGGACGTTGAGAAACAACCTCCAAAGACTGAGGCCAGTCCAGCTTCTGCAGACACACGAGCCGCTTTGCCAACCGCTGGCCAGATGAACCTAGCAACTCTCCACAAATTCATGAGCACCGGACGGTGACCGACTTTCAGAAATGATATGACCGTGTCCTGAGTACTCAGTACTCCAGAATGTTCTTCCACCCGGGATGTCCCTACCCTTGCGCAGTTATGGCCCAGTCTTGCAGCCATAGGAAGTCAACCCACTCATTGTCGTCTATTCCGAGAATCATCTCTCTGTGTATTCTCCAGTCCACCGTCACGTCGACACTCGACAATGACGATCTCAGCGTGTGCTCAAAGTGGTTTCTGTCGGTCGCAGTGACCTGCGTGGCAACAGAGACACTGAACTCGATGACAACGGTCAGTTTTCGAAGGGATTTGAGGAAAACCAGGCCCTCGGTGACCCATGTCGCTGCATACGCAAATGCTGTCGAAGGATGATCTTGAGAAAAAGGAGCCACTGTCAGAATGTGCAGCAACCCTACCGTCGAGTCCGCCTGCGCCAACAGCAGATCTCGTGTGGTGATATGGACTGTCAATTCCTTCAAGCTGCTGTCGCCCGTCGAGTTGTTTGAGTCTATGCTGGGGGTCTGGCCACCTTTTTCTTTCTCATCCCAGCCAACCTCTAGATCAGCGCGGCTACCACTCTTTCCCAAGCCGCGGTCACTTCGTGTGTCCGTGACGCCGGCTATTGACCTGAGAATCGACCTCAAGGACCATGCTTCCGTCACACTCGCAAGCAGGTGCACTTCCAGCTGTTGGATTGCTCGCCGCTGAAATGGCATCAGCGCATCCAAGAAGCGCTTTGTTGCCGAGGTATTGGATCCCATGGTTGCTGGACACTTGACGCGATTGACTTGGAGAGGCATCAAGCGTGTTTCCCGGTAGATTTGGCGGCAGAGAAGAAGAGGCTGCACAAGATTATTGTTCACGGCATTTTCGCGCGGCCCGAGACCAGAGATCTTGTATTGGCCTCCCACCATGCCGAGAAGCCTTGATGGAGAGCACGCTTGTTGGTGAGGGAAGAATTCCGACGACGAGTCTGTGAACACATACTGGAAGACCCTTTGCCTTAGCTCGTACGGGAGGCTGAGGAGCGGTGACAAGGACAACGCTCTAGCCGCCATCCTAGCTGTGTGGTCGTCCTTCATCTGACGTTGCTGCTCACGATCTGCTTGCTCTTCCTCTCTGGGGGCCGGCAGTTGGCTTTGAACATCCGCGAACATCGGCGCTCCGTTTGGACTCCGAAACATTTTGCTGAGCTGGAGGCTTTTGGTCAATACCAGCCTGTATTGCCCTTCAAGGTCTTTGCGTTTGTTGTGAGAGATGAGAAGACAATTCGGGCACGTGTTGCACAAGAAGTTGAACGGGACGACTATCAGGCACCCAAGACGAAGACCTGGCCATCAACTCGCGACATGTTACCACAGAAGAGTGAGTGAGAGTGGCAAACTCGACACATCGCGTCTTATTAATTTCCTAGAACGCCCGCACAATCCGATCCTGATTCCAGACATTGCATCGGCTCCAGTGTGTGGGTGGGCCGAAGCATCGAGAGACTCGTGCAACATGTTCCATCACTTCGGCTGCAAACTGTATGGGGCAGGTATTCAGTGCTGCATTATCCACGCTACCGGGAAGTGTATAGCAGAACAGCGGGAGCATGTGGCCATGGATGGACACATGAAAAAGCCTCGGCAGTCCACAACAGCGTGGCTGAACCTGACAAAGACGGCAAAAAGGGGGGTGGTGGATGTGTGTACACACATACATGTATAGCTAACTAAGCCTTCTTTTTACTGGGCACAGGTGGAGAGGAGCGTGAGATTTGAACTGGGGACGAGGCTCTGGAGATGAGAGGAAGCATTGGGGTATTACCGCCAACTATATTACATATTTAACTTTCACTGTTATGGTATATCATGTCTAATAAATATTAGCATTTTGAACATTACACTCTGTTGTAGGACCCATGACCCGATTCGCCCGTCGGTGCTCCGCGCCACCAGCGCCTCACATCAGCTTATGTATGAGATGTATTATGTATCTACTGCTCTGTTACGGTTAGAAAGAGAGAGTGAGAGAGAGTGTGTGTGTGAGAGAGGGAGAGAGAAAGAGAGAGGGTGGAGAGCTAGAGAATCAAGCGGGCCCCGTGTCCTCACTCTTTCTGTCTCGCAGCTTGGGGCCAAATTCGCGAGATTCCGTCCTATATACCTCATTTTTACTCAATGATTATGTATGTAGGCTGGATGGAGCATGCCAGAGCGCTTTCCGGGTCATGTTCGACGATATTTAGCGAAAAAGGCGGTCTGGGAAAATCAGAAAGGGAGAGGGAATGGAGCATAGCGAGAGACGATGCGATAGATTGGGCCTGATTGCATTGATCTCTCTCTCTCTGTCTTTTTGAATCTATTACAGACACTTTCCCGTGGCAGGAAAGGAAAGGATTCCGTGCCTCCACGCCCACCCAAACAACACCGTATATGTACTACAGCATCGCCTTAGGCATCTGCTTCATGGCCTGCCTCACGCCGAGATCGGCCAGGACCTCCTCGGCGCCGCCCAGGATGGCGTCGAACTTGTACGTGCGGTGGAACTGCTCGACGAAGCGGCCCATGCCCGTCTGCGTGATACCTCGCCCGCCAAAGATGTTGACGGCGTCGTCGGCGACGTCGTGCGCGCACCGGGTCGCGTACGACTTCAGCAACCCGATCGGCCCACCCAGCAGCTTCGACTGCTGCGCATAGTCCATCTGGTTCATCTGGTATGTGATGGTCTCGAGCCACGACTGGCACGCCTCGGTGAGCGAGATCATCTTGGCCAGTTTCTGTCGGATCACCGGCTGCGACACTAGCGGCTTCCCGAAGACGATCCGCTGGTTGGTCCACTTGAGACACTCCTCCGTGATGGTGCGCATCCAGCGGATCACCGAGCACGCCATGGCCCAGCGCTCGTGGTTGAAGTTGCTCATGATGACGATGAACCCGTTATCCTCTTTGCCCAGCAGGTGGTTCACCGGCACCTTGACGTTGTCGAATTGGATGAATGTGGTGGCGGCCGCCGTCGAGTATGATGTCTTGATGCGCTTGGTTTCCACGTTGTCGTCCCGCGGGATCAGGATGACACTGAATCCCTTCTCGGTTCTACATCCGGTAACGAAATAGTCTGCAAACATGCCGTTGGTGATCCATTTCTGCAATCACGTCAGTGGACTGGGCCTCATCTAGAGAGTGTTTCTGCAGGTGTTACCTTTGTCCCGTTGATTCTGGCACGGCGACGTCAGTATAGGTATTGCGTCACATGCACGAGCGGAACACTCACATGTAATATTTGCCGTCCTCGGTCTTCTTGGCAGTCGTTCTGATCCCGGCAACATCACTGCCCGCAAACGCCTCGGTGACGGCAAGACACATGAACTTCTTGCCGCTCAAGCACTCCTCGGTGACTTTTTCCTTCAACGCAGAATCATTGGCCCACTGCCTCACAGCGGTCAGTGAGATCATCATGCCCGCCATGTTTCCATCCTGGAAGCCTCTTGCCAGGCCGCGAGAGAGCTCCTGTGCGACGATCAAGTCGTGGAAATAGTCAAACTCCTCGCCCTTCACGTCACCGAGCAGTTTGCGGCCGTGCAGGTGCTTGCCAGGCCCGAGCCGCATAGCGAGGAGGCCGTTCGAGGCCATCTTGTCGACGAGCTCTTGAGAGATGTAGGTGCCGTCGAGTTCCTTTTCTTGGGCCTCGGGGTAGATGTCCCGGTCCACGAACTCTCGCAGGGCCTTTTGGAGGGCGCGATGAGAACTGTTGTAGTAGGGAGATTTGAATTGGGGGGTCAGCCACACCGGCTCCGCATAAGGCACTTTCGAGAGGTCGCCTGGCTTGGGATCTATCACTTCGGGTTTCTCGCCTTCCACCGTGCCGATGCAGAGATTGGTGTACTTCTGAAGCACTTCGTGACGGTGGAGGTTGTAGAAGGCACTTGTGGCGTCCTGACCAGCGATCTGTTGAAGAACGACATTGCCACCGGGATGAGCGTCTGTTGGACAGTGTTGTCAGCTCATTCATCCAAGGGAGAAGTTTGGGACAAGAGACAGTGCCCACCACGGGATGCGTCTTGGGAAGAGAGAGCAATAACCTACCGAGAAAGTCTGAGAGGTCGTAGACTTTGTGATCAATCTGAAGGGTTGTGATGTCAGCACTCGAGAAACGCTGTCGAGAAACATATGGAACTACAACAAGGCGACGATGCCTCTCACAACAGAAGGAGACTTACGATGCACCAGATGTCGTCCTCAGTGTTATGCTTTGCAACCTCTGCACGGGTGTGCACTTTGCTGGGTATTGTCTGAGATGTCTTCTGAGCCATGGCTGTAGATGGATCTGTCTATCGAAGGCACGACCAGAAATGTATCCTGTGTGTGGAAGAATGATCAAGTTGTCCTTCAATATATCACGACCAGGGTCTAGAACAGTTTGTCGTGGTTCGACATGCAGCCGAGGTTCGAATTGAGCTTGGAGCAGCCAATCGGAGATCGCATTGACTAACGAATTACCTGGCCGCCGATTGGTCCGTAGTACCCGGGCCGAACGAGGCTGAACAAGGCTGGCATTGAGCCTCGAAACGGACGCGGAAATCACTCGGCTCTTCTCATCAACTACTTGAGATTACTTTCATGTGGAACACCGGTTGCTCAAGCGACTTCGTGTTGACGACTAGTGTCACAACATCTTTTTGAGTATAGGCGACAAGGCGTCCCGCGGGGCGGACGTCGTGTGATTGTTGAACCTATCACGAAGCCCGGGACTCACCACTCTAGGTGCGTGTCTTGTTCAGTCTGGCATTGATCACGTCAACAAGCTCCACCGACGCCTGCATGTAGGGCGTGATAGTGTTTCTGACCAGAGTCCTTTGCTCAGATACATATGCCAACCCGATGAGCAATTCTTCACTGAAATGCGGCCCCATGAAACTGACCCCGAACGGGAAGTTTGGTGCAGTCTCGTTCAGGATTCCAAATCTGTTCAGAGTGACAGCTGTGTGAGGGGGGAAGCTCCGAGGGGCACTGCTACGACTGGCGATCCAATCAGAGCAGGAAAGTTGGGCGAACACTCGGTCGGCAATATCAGAGCATTCAAGAAGCAGTAGGCAAGCGCACCAGTAATCTCAAATGGACCCGCCAAGTAGGTATCCATCGTATAGTTCGACCAAAATCTGGGGTAATATGGTTGAAGCCAAGCTTCAAGGCGCCATCCCAGACCAGCGTGTCGTGCTCGGGTTAGTCTTCCAGAAGGAATGAATGGGTAAAGTTGCGAACATCTGCCACAGAATAGACATGGCTGGGATTGTACGAGAGCTCCGAGAGGTACTTTGCCAGATCGCTTATGGAATCCGCTTCAAGGACGATGTTGGAGTAGTTTCCTTTATCGAGAGCATCGTAGCCGGTGAAGTTGGGGTTGTCAATGATAGTCGCTCCTGCTGCGCGAAGCACCTCCAGAGCGGCCTTAAAGACGGGCACGATCGGCGCAGCTGTAGCGTCACTACAAATGGTAATTAGCCTTGCTTTGCAGAAATAGATGACGCAGCTTCGACCTGGTCACTTCGGGAAGATTCTGGATACTCACAAGGAGAGATCGATCAGATTTCGTGGAAAGCCAATCCTCTTTCCCTGCAAAGCCGAAAAGTCACATGCCGCTACGTAGTGTCTCGAGGAACCTTGGCGCCGGCGAGCGCATAAGAGCCAGCTGTGTTGTCGATGGCATCAGCAGTGGCAATATTGTTTTTGATCAGAATCGGAATGCCGTGAAGCGTCCTGTGGACAATGCCTCGCGCTCGTTGTGAGTCTATTTTCGCTGCGATGGAAAGAGCACCGGGGTTGAGCTGGGTTACCATATGCAAAGTTGCGCTGACTTCCAAGATGCGCTCTATGTACGCCGTGACAAGGTCAACACTGGCGAACAACGCCGATTCCCAGCCCTCGGATGAGGTCTTCTACGGTAGCTTCAATCAACGGCGGGAAAGCAGTGCCATTCATTGCCGTCCTTTGGTTCAAAGGACTGAGCAGCAGCCAAGAAAGGCACGGACTGCAAAAGAAGCAACACGCTCAGAAGTCGGCGGACTGATCCAAACGCCATGTTGTGACAAATGCGAATTGCAGACAGTGCACCGGCCGGGGGTCGACGTGATGTTCTTTGGCTTCATTTAAAGCAGAGGCGACTTACAGCGCCGGATGCTGGACAGTCGCCACACGTACAAGATAGCCTGATAGAAGAGCATCTTGCACATACGCATCGATTGGCGTCCGTTTTGTCGATAAGCCAGGGCCGTTGCAAAATAGTCCGCTCTGTAATTGGTGGGTACCCTTTGCTTGACATGTATAGATACAGTCGGGCTAGTGTCACCCCACAAATATGAAGACGACCAACTTATGGAGTTGCCCAATCATGCAGCTCAATAGTCGCTGCGTATTCAACGTTCGAACTGAAATGCACTAAGCCAAACAGGAAGGCCTTCATGATTCGGAATTAAACTCTGTGACCCTGGTGGAGGCCGGCCACGGATCTCTTTTGGCTCTGGTTGGTTTGACACAGCTTCGGCATCGTAGAGAGGGCAAATCTTTTCGTCTTTTGAACTGCGCCTACACTTTTGTTGCTCGCCGCCTGGAGAGGAATTGTTTAGCTTCCCTCAAGAGGCCAACAATCAGCGGAACTCCGACCGGGCCCAAAAGTGGAAGGAGCACGGCGATTTTGTGCTCGTCAGGAAAATAGACCTGGCCAACCATGGATTTGTCAAAAAAAGCCTTTTCACTGTCCTTGAAAGCCGTTTTGGCATGATCCAGGGTCAGATCAAATCTGCCTTCCTGCGAAAATTGGCAACACGCTTTGAGGTTGGCTATTGAGTCGTCGACTAACTGTGCGACGTGTCTTGGGATCGGAATATTGCTGAGTCGTTGAGCCAGTCGAGCCAGCGATCCCAGACTGGACGCAGCATGGAGATACAGAGTCAGAGCTGACAGACGTTTGTAGGCATCGAGTCGCAGCTGGAGTGGTCGGGACTGAACGGAGTCCCCCGGATGCAAAACACCCAGTAGCGATAGCAATTGCGAAGCAAACGTCTCGAACGGTAAACGCAATTGCTCTCGATGGAGATGAGTAGGAAGCATGTATCCGTGGACGGGATGCAGGTCCAGAGGTGGATTGAGAATTTGTATGCCGCCCCATTGGGGGATCAGCCATGAATTTTCGGTGACTCCCTCGATAGTCAGAGGTATCTGATCCTTGGCTGGAATATAGAGGATGAAATGGAGCGTAGGTCCATCTCCGATGGACGGTGCCAGAGGCCACTCTGCGGAATTCACAAAGGCCGTCAGATCGTTCTGCTGGAGAAAAGAGCCGTTGTGGCCTTCTCGATGAACGGGTTGTATCGTGGGAGGTAGGGTGGAATAAAGTTGCACCTGGGTGGTGATCTCAAAATCAGCGACGGATGAGAGCGCTTGCACAAGAGGCTCGATGTGATCTCGGAGAGCTTCGTTGATCTCCCAATTTGCAGGAGCACCACTGGCTGTGAGGAGAGAGAAGGTGAGATGGAATTCTGGAGACGGTTTGTATGCCCGACTGATTTGCTTCTCGACTTTGGTGACGACATCGTAAGGTTGAGATCTCAGAAATGCCTGTGCGTTGTGACTGTGACTGGTGAGAGAGACGGTTTGAAGCGCCACAGCAATTTGTTCTTCTCGGAATAGTGCATGGAGCCTTTCCGCCAGAGTTTTGGCAACATTCACTCCAGCCCCCGGAGGTATACTGGCACGGGCAGTCGCTGTGACGGGATCCAGGGTGAACATGAAGCCGTCCTGCGTAGGTTCAAGAAATACCTGCAACGCGGGAGCTCCGTGTTTTAGGGACGCAGGATCCTCGCCGCAGCTTGTTCCTTTTGTTCCTTTTTTCTCCCCAGCTCCTGGCCCGGCGGAGCCCGAGGTAACCAGGTGAAGTCGTTGGTGTAGGGTTGGGTACTCGTTCAGGTCGTCCAAGGCTTGTTGGATATCTTGCACCAGTTGTTGAGCGTCTGGGCACGGTAGGTTCCGGGCAGAGAGCCAAAGATGCAATGGAATGGCTGTGGGTGTATTCTGAAGACTGCTATCAGCATTGAGACGTCGGCAACATAGGTGCATGGCTGGCTCACAAGTCCCTCCGCCCAGTCAAGCATGTCCTGCAATGGCAAGCTGGCACGGTAGATAGAGGTGGTCTGCCACCATACTGGAAGTCCCAGCAGCACAATCACAGCCCAGAAGGACAGCACAATCTTCGTCCGCAGGCTCACGGCTTCGGGCTTTTCGGGCGGAGGCTGTTTTGACGAAGGCACGGCGTCGGTAGGTGCGGTGGAAGCTTGGTCCATGGTGGCAGATCCAGGTGCTAGAGGTGCGAACTGACTATTGAATTATGTTGGAATTTCCTGGCGACACGTCCATCACGACGGCAGAACGTATGCTGAGTTGGGGATATGCATGGCTGTTGGGAGTGTTGCCAGGTACATACTAAAGGGCAATTGAAATCGCTTATGCAACGTGTTTGTATGATTCAGACGCTAGCCTAGCGACAATCCACCTGACTCGGGGATATGAAGGAAGATCCGTCCATGAACACAATATTTTGTTTTTGTGTCAGTCATTCACTCACTTCAGGGTCAGCACTCATTTAGACAGGATGCATTCATTATAACACAGAATCTAGTCTCTTCATTATTTCCGTTGGAGAGGACTTGGGCTGAAATGGCCACTCACCGCACGGCTTCTGTTCTGCTCAATAACTCTCGAGCTCGGTTGAGCTCGACGGCTCGAATATCATTACATGTACAATCAATACAACAGACAAGAACACTCTTCGACTCCCTTCTCTCTTCAACATTTGGGAACTGTGCGCTGCGTTCTATGAGCCACACCAAAGTTTTGCCGTACTCGGCCGCTACAGTCTTCAAAGCCGTCTCTGACGTGGCGGGCTACCCGACATTTTTACCCTTCACCATTTCCTCCCATGTCACATCAAGGGATGCTGCGGGTTATCCGACCCGAGCCAGCTTGAAAGTCGGGTACGCGACACTCGGCATCGAGGAAGACTGGGAGAGCATCGTGCGGTGCGATCCAGTCCGAGGAATCATCGAGGCGAAGAGCAGCGAGGAGCACAGCAACGGCCTTTTCGAGACCTTGAGTACGAAGTGGCTCATCGCGCCTTCGAAGACGACCAACGACAGTACCGCCGTCAAGCTGAACGTCGACGTCAAGTTTCGCAATCCGCTCTACGATCAAATGTTTGCCCAGGTGGAAAGCAAAGTTGCAAGTACCATGGTATCTGCGTTTGAAAAAAGGGTGGAGGAGCTCCATCGGAAGCAGCAAATGCAGCCGCGGTGAGTGGCAGGCGGCAGCGACGAGCACAGAGATCACTTGCAACGGACGTGCATTCGAGACCACAAATCCCTCAGAAGACAAAGCAATCACTCCCGGTGTGATAATTTGCCAATCCATGGATTCAGGAGAGTTCGCCCTGGGATTGTCTAGGCCAAGACACGACTGAGCATGCATCAGACTGGTCCATGCAGTGTCAAAATGCTTTAGACTTGCTAGGCTGTGACTTCCCAGTTGACCAGAAACACCGGCGATGTGACGACACACATGGAGCAACGCAGATCGTTTGGAAGAGTACGATGGGTCAATCCTTTTTCACATTGACTCATCTCCGCTGCGACATATACACCGTGCATTACGCGCGGGCAAGGCAAGGCTTTTGGGCAGCCTTGTAAGGGGAAGAGGGTAGATACATCTCCTCCGGTGGTGAGCAACTTTCCCTGCTTGAAACTATTGTAGATAGTGCTGGCGGCTGGCTGGCTGCATGTGTTATTGAAATGCATTTTCTCCTCAAACTGCGGAGTTAGTAGTGGGCCAGTATCCATCACAGGGATCGTCACAGAGTCCAGTGTCTATAACGCACACAACCGAGGGGACGAATATTGGCGGGCGGCTCGAGGAAGACATGGAAGGGGCCGTGGCATTGACCGACCGGGTGCAGATTAACTAAGGTAATAAACTAGCATGCGGCATATGTACCGAGTACTGTACGTAGCTCGCTCGCAGGACCAGGAAAAAGCCCAAACGCGGGACTCAGGAGTAGCGAGCTTGCTGCACGATGTTAAAACTACCTAGTCGGCATTCTTTGTTCAGGAAGTTGTTAGTCGGTATTATTACGCGGAGGTGATCGGGAATGATAAAATGCTACAGGGAGCACGAGGAGAATATCACTCGGTACTGTACCGAGTACCTCTATATGTGATACATGACGACAAGTCAACAGCCCAACCCAAAGCTGGACGGCGAGAGGCTCACTAGGCTGGACTAGAGATGTGACGACTGTACGAGGTCAGGGCATTCCTCCCCCCGGCACCCCCCAAGCCCGTGCTTCCGGGGGTGGGTTAGCCCCCGTGAGCCCTGAGTGGCTGTGTGTGTGCCTTAGTTCTCACTAGGCCACAATATCTCTCACCACTCACACGCGGCCATCGCAGCTCGTCACATCCCACCCATCCCAAGCTGCCATGCTGACTGGAAGATGCAGCTTTCTTTAACCGCCGAGGGTTATGCAACCCACCGCAAGCATTGGAAACATCCAACCATCCCTGGCTGGCCGGCTGGCTGGCAGCGCTGCTGCCGCTGCCGCTGTTGCTACTGCTGATGCTGTTACTATCACGAAAACTCACCAACGACACACGCTCTCACTCACTCACTCACTCTTTCGCACACATACACCAAGAGAGGCAAAAGGGACGCCTCTTCTTCCTCCACCGCCTCCACCCCCCCTCCCTTTCCAGCTTTCCTTCTCTCCTTCTCCCTGCCTGGCGGCAGGCCTTAAATTTGGGATAACATAGAAGCGCAGCGCAATCTCTGGGTTGCTGCAGTCAAATCCAAACAACAGACCTTCGTCCGTCTGTCTGTCGGTCGGTCGGTCGGTCGATTGCGCGCTGGGTCACCACTCTTGTTTCATATGTCGCTGCGCTCCCCGTCAGCGTCATGGCCTACTGGCATGACCGCCTTGCGACCGGCGCGCCTCCCTCCATGTTGGCCATAGTCGGCCTGCTGCTGGCTGTCCTCCTCCGCCTTACCTCTGCCCTCCAGTCGGTCGCCGGGTCGCCGTGCCAATCTGTCTGCGCCAATGCCGGCTCCCTCGAACAAGACGTCCTCTGCCTCGATGCCGATTACCAGGCCCTGCCCTCGGGGCGGGCTTTCCAGACTTGCGTGGCATGCCAGTTGAACAGCACGGCGGTGGACACGGCGAACAATGAGACGGACGTTGCATGGGCATTGTGTATGACAAACCACTTCTTTTCCCTGGTCATAAAGGTGTGAGAAAAAGTGCTGAGACGCGGTGTTTGCGATATCTCCCAGTGGCCCTCCGTTACACACTTGCGGGGTGCATGTTTGCCATCCCCGAAGACCACATCTCCATCAGCAGTCCATGTCAAGTCAGCTGCGCGTCGCTGAACGCCTCGATCGGATACCGCATTACGAACGACAGCTCGACGGTTCAGCCGGGCAACGCATTCTGTACCGCCGACCCTTTCGATGACTACACGATCAACAAATGTGCTACATGTTATAGCTTTATCCCGCAGCAGTTGTACCAGGCAAACTGTAAGGCCCCCGTGCTCCTCTTCATTCTTCTGTCCAGACGATGGCTCACTTTGCTTTCACCCACAAAACAGTTCTCCAAGCCCTACACATCGCCTGTCGCCAGCCGCCAGAACCAGGCAAACCGTTCTTTCCGGACGCCCAGGCCATCTTCAACGAGACGCTAATTGCCGGGCCGCCGCCGCCGTCGAGCAACACAGGCGGCCACGGTGGGCTTCATGGGTGGAAACTGGCGCTGGCCATCGTGCTGCCGGTCGTCGGTGGCATCATCCTCATCTCGGGAATGTGCTGGGGGTGTTTCATGTTTACACGCAAACGTCGCCAGCGGATGGCCCAGACGGGCCGCATGAGTCGCGTGCACGACGCCAACGCCGACAGTATGTACTCACCCATGTCCGCCAAAGCCGAAGCCTGGAAAGCTGAGGACCTTCCTTGGGGCGTGGTTGAGCCGCCGCGAGAAATGCATGCCATCAGCCCGACGCTGCTGCACGCAAAGCACCCGAGCCCCGGCGTCGCACAGGGCCGGTGGAGTCATCAGACTGGTGGAACCGGAGGCTCGGAGCAGAACACGCCCCTAAGAAGCAGTTTTCAGCGCGACACTGTCGGGCCCGGTCCGGAGCAGGTTCGAGACCCCAATCTCCATGATCAGTACTTTGGCGTTGGCGATGAGGTGGACGACTTGCCCGGACCTAGTGGTGGACACGAGTATTACCCTGAGCATCATCAGCAGCATGGCCTCGGACAGCTCCGCATGCCTGACGATGAGCGGGGCAATTTTATCTGATGGCAATGCAAGACTAAAATGCATCATGCCTCTAACCCACAAAAAACAGGGGAAGGGAGATGGGAAATCCACGATGACACGACCCCGAATGTGACAGCCCCAGTTGTTGAATGAAAACCGTCCAAAGACCGCGGTCGGACAAATATTAGAATTATTGAAGAAGACTGTCACGGACACTTTTTTTTCCCGTTTGATGTTGGGAATTTCTGCAAGTTTCTTGCAGTTGGACATCATCGTTCAGCAGTCAGTGGAGGAGGTCTCCGTGACTGACTGCAGTGGAATGTATCATATATATATCTCTATAATCCCTGAACACCGGTCGCCCACGGTCATTTCGCTAATTCATCCTGGCCGCTTTGCTCTCCCACTAACGACTATTTATTCGAATCGCTCCCTCGTCCGCTCCCTTCTCTCTTCCTCTCTTTCGCGCTCCCCTTCTACTTACTCCGTTCTGCTCCCTCACGGCTCTGTCCCGCTCCTATCTTACTCCCTCACGTAATTACCGGTAAGGCTCTCGTTCGGGGTCCCGTCTCACAGACGCCACCGTTGTCTAAATCCAGCCTTATCCGCCTCGAGGCCATAGTGGACTCCCACGCCTCTAAAGGGGAGCAACCTAGCTTGTAGAAGTACGCGAGCGGATCGGCCCATGTTACGATGATGCAGACGCCATCGACTACGGCAAGTCATGCTGGCCGGCCGGCCGGAGTCATGGTCTCGCAGGTTAGGACTCGACGTTTGCCTCGCCGATCTTATGTGCGAGGGAAGGGTTCCTTTGAAGCGTAGGGTGGAGGTATTACGCGCGGACTAGAACAACTTCAAAGCTCGGGACCATGTAGCTTGCTCCCGGCTTCTCCTGATGACGAGCGAAGAGCCAACAATGCTCGCGTGTGACTGACTTTCAATCATCACAGCCATGCCATCGTCGAGAGTATCTTGCATAAAGTGTGTGCACGCATCCAGGCTGAAGAAGCTCTTTTTCGCCGACCACTGATACCCACCACGATTCCGGTCCCCTACCTCCATAGGGAATCCGGTAGGTAGTGTTGACGTATGAACAGCGATACGAGACCGCTGAGGAGCCATCATAGCGTCCCTCAGCAGTACGATCGTGACCTTAACGAATGGGCAGAGGCAGAAGCTGAGGCTGAGGCTGCCGCTGAACTTGAAGCTGGATGTAGACGGACCAAGGCTTTGGGGCGGTGGAGACATCATGATGTCACGAATGTGCCTTTGCGCAAGGACGAAATTGCTCTTCATATTTTAGAGTCACGGAAATTTGTTCAAGTTCCAACAGGTCGCTTAGCTCAGGTGAGTACTCACAGCTCAAGGAGTCCCGTATACAATCACTAATCATGAAACAGTTGGTTAGAGCGTGGTGCTAATAGCAATACAATTGCAAACTGTTAACGCCAAGGTCGCGAGTTCGACCCTCGTAGTGACCATTCAACTTTTTTTGTGCTTTTTTTTTTTTTTTTTTTTGTTTCCTGTCACCGTGCAGAGCACCATCGTAGGGAGTAGATGGGTAAATTGCCCTTTTTGTGGATTGGATTAAAGTCTGCCGACACTTTCACGCGCCGCGTGATTAGAAGACGACGGATGGTAGTTGTCTACATAATTTCGGCGGTAGGATGGCTCACCGGTGTCGTGTCTGCCTGTTCCTTTCACGACAAGAAGATTCATTGGGCCCTGTACGCTTTCCTGAGCATGACGAAGGAATCTTCATGATAAGGATGTTTCGACAATATTGAACTCGAACCATCGATTCAATCAAAACGAGACCTTCTGTAACCTATTATTCCCATTGTTGCTCTTGCACCTGCAAAGGTAACTTTGCATCCTCCATCGAGCTCTAATAATTGGTATTCTGAGATGGAGTGCCATATCATAATACACGCCACGGATCTCTGCTATCTGGCTGAACCGATTGGGACCCTGAGAATAGGCATCAGGCAGCGCTCCCCCGTACTCTGCCGGGGCGGCTCCGTGCTCGGCCGGGCCTCCCCGATATTCCGTTACGTGCCCGATTAAAGCGGCTCGCTCCCTTTCCTGAACGAAAAAGGGAGGGATCAAGCATAGTTCGGGGCATATATAATAGCTATATATATATCCTTTACGAGACCTGGGAGCAACTTGTACGGAGTAAGCTGACCCTGTCCGCCGATTACCTGGGGGAATAATGAAAACAGTGACTCCGCTTTTTGTGACACGACTCTTTACACGGGTCCATGGGCTTTCCCGCCGGATCGACATTTTGCACAACCTCGTGGCTGGTGCGCATTCCCTGGCCGAGACCGTCAAGGAGGCGGCGTTCTTTACTCTTCCATCCCAGACTGCGATTTTGCTGCGGCCTGATCTCTTGTTTTCTATCTGCTCCCGCCTAGAACTCCAGATTTTGCTTACCTTAGATACCTCGTCTGCCCGCATTGACATTCGAAGTCCTCGTACTTGGTTCGAGGGGTAATCCGATGTCAACCCACAGGTACTTCTTAACCCCCTTTTTGCCTGCAGCCTTGTCTTGTGTGGCTTGTCAGCCTTACCGACTCTTGGATTTTCCTTCCTGGCAGAGTGCTTCCAGGTGCTCCTGGTGTGTTGGTCAGAGCTCGTTGGGTCATGTTTTGCTGTTCGAACTGCGCATCGGCATTAGCTTTGCGGGCTGGAGCAGGCCGAACTCGGACATTCTGTATGCTGCCAAAGCTCTGTTGTTATATGTACCACAGATCAATTCGTACTCTTCGGCCTCGCTTTTTCTGTTCTAAGACCGTTTGCAGCAAAAAGAATGCTTTTAAAATTGATCTCTGTAACTCGATTACCTTTCCAGCGACATGTGTGGCGACGGAGTTCAGGTCTCGTCTGTCTCACGATTGTGAGAAAGAGCTCAAGGATCGAGAGAAATAGGATTGCAGCGCGTGCTGTCTAGCGAAGGAAAAATCATATGCAAGTAATCCTAGAAAAGGTTAGCTTTGTCATTGACGGAGGATTTCATGACTTCTGCACATCAGAATAGTTCGTTGAGGAAAATGATCTCGGCCGCAGATGGAGTGATGGGCTGGGTGTAGTAACAGTTTTCTCGACAGAGAAACTCAACACGAAAGACTGGCGTTGGGACAAGGTGATTTCTTTTGAGATTTTGATGGAGGAGAGAATGTCGAGCAATCTTTCAATAGATGAGGGTGGATGTCTTTTTTCCAAGCAGGGTGCTATAGAGGGTTTCCTTAAGTGTTCCTGTTTGGCAGATTGTGGAATTGGGCCACCACTGCGCGACGCTATGAAGAATGAGGTCTTTTGGCATCGTCAGACAGGTGTGGTATTTGTCTAGCTCTTGGATTGCTTAGATGGGGGCGGTGACCGGTTTTGCCAGTCTCGCAAAAAGCTGGGAAGGGCTGTTCCACCCGAGCCACCAGCACCGTGGCTTGTGCAGGAAGCGTTGCCAATCGACAAATCGGCATGCGGCTCAAGGCATCGACAAGGCAGCCGTGCCGTGGAAATTGTGCGGCTTCGTCTGGTCCTGGGCGTCCTCTGAGGAGATTGCTCAAAGGGCCGAAGGAGCCGTGATCTGTGTTCTGGGTGTACATCCTCCTTTTTTTGCGTATTGTGACGGCTCCGTAGCCGACGGGTGCTTTCACAACGACTGAGGCAACCCCCTCCACAGCAGGCAAAAAAGAGGTAGTCCACAAAGTGTCAGGACTAGGCACGCAAGACGGCGTACCAACAACCACGGAAGACCGGTTGGGGATCGACAGTGTTCTTAGACAAGGTTTCAGATCATCGTCGCCGCCACGGTAGACGCCTGGAGAGTAACGCTCAGAGAAATCCTCAGTCCGTGACGAAGAGAAGGGTATGTCCAAGCGATCTGTGGGGTCAGGACGCCAAAAGAATCAGTTCGAGGAGGGAGCCGTCCTCGACGATTTTCAGTCCCAAGGCGCCACGAAGCGAATGGCGTGCCTCATCTCGCCTCACTTTTTCCGGATCACAAATGTGACAGACATGCCTTGGGTACGTGGGCAGCGCAATTTGGCGTCAAGCGTCTGGGAAGCAGCCACAGGAGATGACACTGAAATGGCACAGAAGAAGCAGTCAACATCAACCTGAGAGCCGCGCAATTTTCATGGCCAGTTTAGAGAATTCGGGCCTCTGCGAAAACCGGCCACTGTGGGTTAGGCACGTTTACTGCTTGACTCACCTGATACTTTGCCAATGGCGGGTCAATGACCGTGGTAAACTTCCAGGCAGCTGCACCAATACAAAGTCTTTGTTTGCCAGATCCCACATAATGTCATGTCGCAATCCTACCCTGGCAGATCCGTTCTTGAGGCATGTCGAGGCCTAGTATGCAACGCGTCTGAAGCTGAGGGCCAGTATTGCAGACACAGGGTCATTCCAGGTTTCACCTTGGAGCCTATGCTTGTCTTGGGAGGACTACCACACCGAATTGGTCGGTTCGCCATGTCGCTTCGGCGGGGACGCCCAAACGTACAAGCCACTGACGGTGCCATCGGCGAGTCGTCGTCGGAAAAGGGGTCCCGTGGTGGGTGAACTCTATCTGAGCAGTGCTGAAGGCCACGTATGAGACGCTCTGCTAACACATTTCCAAGAGATTCAGGACGATGGGCCTGGTGATAGACAGCAAAGGCGCTCACCGAAGTGATCTACACTTGAGGCAAATGTGCAGAACGTCCTCTGCATCACGCCTCAACCCAAAGGTACTCGCTTCTTGTCGTCCCCCACAAAGATCGTCCTGTTGCTGCCCAAAAGCGATGTCTCGCAGGCAATTTCCCCGTCCCTCAAGTCATAGATGGAAAGTACATGCTTGGCGGCGACGTCCATGTCGATGCCCAACGTGTTCGGGATGTACCTAGGCATTTACGAAAGAGCTGCCCAGGGGGGCTGAAACGGTCAATAACCCGTGTTCACAAGCCACAGCACTGCAAGGCAGAAATGAGTTGAAAGTCCTCGAGTCGAAGACGAGTACAGATCTAGGGAGACGACGGAGCTTGAGGAGTCTGTTTTTGCCTGAAGCTGCCCCGGGATGGAAGCTTATAGAGACCTGCAAGCGTCAAGGAGCATTGACTTCCGTAGGCAACCAATTACTTTGAGCATGCATACCCGGGCGCTCTGTCCGTACTTGTCACATCCCTCGACGCATTCTTCTCCCTTACCACCCAGCAGGACCCGAAGAAACTGGAACAACCCGCATGCTCAGCTGGTCATCGGCCCCCCGTTCAAGCCAGGTGCAGAAAACAACGCAGCTGTGGCTAATAGGCAAGCATTTCCGGGCTGGTCCTGTCGACGGGACGCGGCTGGAACCGAATCTCCTTCGCAGCATCGGTTCTCGCATGATCATTTGCCTGCGCTCTGGACGGCGGTCACGCTGTGTTGCATTGCTCTGGGCCCTTCCCGTGCCCAACGTTAGGTACCTTCTGGGCCGTGACTCATTCCTCGCTGGGAAGGCGCTTGAGTCGCAGGAGAGATCATGCAGCTCCCATGGCAGCCAGCAAATGACTGGCGTCGGTGGCTGCCTTTTCAAGCCGTAGAATCCTTGAGAAGAGCTCTGGTAATCCAACTCTTTGGAGGCGTCTGCAAATGAAGGGTACATGTCTGGTCTCTGCCTCCTCTTCCGTTTGGCAATCCACAGTTCCTCTACAGCGCATGACCCGGTGCCAGCAAATCATCTTCACCCCACGTACGGTCCGTTCTCGTCGACCCCTTTCAAGCTCAAGACCACAAGAGGGCGCAAAGAACACGACTGTTCCGACCTAATGATCCATTTGGTTGACGCATCAACTCCTGTGCTATGGTCACACAACGTCATGAGAGGGATGCCATTCTCCACTTCTCGTGCAGCCTTTTCCTGCATCCGATCCACACACCGGGATCCAGTCGGCGCCTAAAGGATCACTGGGGTATCTGCTCCTCCAGGCTCGACTGCGAGGGTCGGAATACTCCCGAGCGAAGAGGAGTGGCTCGGTGTATCGTGGAGAAAGCGTGTGCCATTTGCGCGCACTGCAATGAGCCGGTGGTCAGCAAATAGTTCCTTCAAGATGGCTCAAAGCCGAGAGTCTGACATAGCCGGGAAAGACCCCGAGAATCCTTCATTTCGCCCCATCCCGGGTACAATTTGGATCGGGGGCCTGGCCACAACTCACGATTGTGTTGTTCTTGGCTGGAACTTTTGTACATTCCGATCCGCGGCGCATCTAAGCCGCAGGCAATGGGGAAACCCGTCCTGGCTCGTCCCGGCCGAGAATCGCGGCAGAGAGAACAGGCTGTGGTGAATGACAGGGCATATTCGAGCACTGGTAGCTTGTGCCCGTCAGAGAATCGACTTGGGGGTAAATGTTATAATGAAAGCTGCGTTTTCGTCTCGGCAGGTGCGACATACAATTGGTCTTAGCTATGGCCTCCAAGCTCCCCTTCCCATTACTGGACTGGATGCCACTCATGACATGGTGAGGAAAAGGTCGACAATACAAAGTCGATCATGAACCTGCACGATCTCGCTGATACTGAACATGGGTATTTGTGGGCGGAGCAAATTCAATGGCCTCCGAGTGGAATAAATATTCTGGCATGTGCATCATTGAAGGAGGATAGAGGCCGCCTTCTTCGCAAAACTGGGACAGAACAAAGCAAACATGGCTGTGGGGGACTCTTCACTGAAATCCCAATTCTCGGAGTCTGGCTCTTCTTTCGAGGATTACGCTCTCGGTTTGCCTATACAGAGCATCGAGCTGTTCCATAGACAATGAATCCATCAGGATCTTCGCGACCTGCGTGGCTGCGCTGACTAGTTGCAGCATGTACCGGTCGTCTTTGGGCGTTCTGGGCTGCTGGTCTCTGTTGTTTTGCTTGACGGCGATCGAGTTTTCTAAGGTCGTGACGAACTGTTTGATTTGGTTGTCGTAGAGCACACGGGCTGGGATCCTTCGCTTGGTGGCCAGTCTCTTCAACAAATATGCCCACTCGGTCCACTCGCGGTCCCCTGGCGTGCGGACCCTGGGTTTGTCCCTTTCCAGCGGGATGGGAAACTGATATTTGGCCACAAAGTGAAAGGCACATCGGGACAAGATGTCGTTCACCCGGGATGTGATTTTGTCCTGCTCTTCGACGTCGAGGTGGACCGGCAGTGTGGGCAGTGCTTGCGACCGTGCGTGCTCTTGTTGTGGCACCGGTAACGGAAGCAGTTGAGAAGGACCGTCGAACTCGTCCTGGTTAAATGGTCGTCTCCGCGTGTGATAGCGGGTTGCGGTCCTGCCCATCTCCGAAGTCCGTCGGTTCTGCGTCTCCAAGTCGTATTCTACATAGCCTTGACTCGTGGGAGACCCTGTCTGAAGGATAAAACTGTCCTGGCTTTGTCTTCGCAGCGCGATGTTCTGGTCGTCGGGATTTGACCTTGGCGGCAGGCCGTGCGGCGGATACGAGCCGGCATCCGTGGCGAACGTGGATGACTGTGATACAAATGAGAGCGGTCGGAATGGATCACCGACAGCGGTCGCCGCAGGCATACGGGTTGGGCCATGTATCTCTGGGGGAAGCCTCTGCCGCAACCTCTCCGATCGCTCTGGAGATATACGACCACCAACCTCCCCTGCAAAGGGATCGTAGGTGGACGGTGGCCACTGTGCGAATCTACCGGAGGTTCGCGTGTCAACAGAAGGAAAATGAAAGTGTCAGGAGTGGTACCAACCTCGGAAAGGCAAACGGAGCAGAGGGGTCAGCCAGCGATCTCGAGATAGCGGTATCTTGCTGCTGCCTGGAAAGCAAAAAATCCTCCTTCTCCGACATGGCCGCGGTGTTGTCGGTCAAATCAAGAGCAAACTGAATTCCCGGGGCGACTCCGGACGAGTAAGTAGACTGTAGATTGCTGATCGGAGGCGTCAGGGCCAACATGATCAGAGCGGCCAGCGTAGTGTGCAGGCGGGAAGGAAGCAAGAGAACAAATAAAGTCCGGAAAGAAGTCAGTGTGTCGTGCCTCCCACTACGATAGGAGGGGTGTCGAATGATCTATGGCCAGGGGGCTTCGTATAGGGCAGCTCTCGCTCAGGTTTTGGAGCATAATTTGGTGAAGCCGACCTGGGGTCGCGAAAAGGAACAACGAAGCGGAAACCCAACGATGAGGATATTGAACTTCGTCAATGACGGCACGTGGAGAGAGAGAGAGAGTGAGGGCCCAAGGCAAATCAGTCTTGGGCCCATTGAACTATGCTTGAAGTCCACTGATTCCCGCGACCCCCGGGTGCCTTTACTGTCTTACGAAAAAGGCCCACATGAACAGGGGCTGAAACAAAAGTGCCCTGACCCTGATACGGCGGGTGGTGGCCGACAGCCATGGACGAGGCGTTGAGGCGCTCTCGTCCATTGCACACCAGTCTAGTAAATTAGCAAGGTCTGCCTTAGCAGTTCGATGGTGAGGGCCACTGATTCGTGCTCGCCGTCAGAAAAAAAGTTGGATCCCGCGTAATTGAAGGTTGGGGCCCTGGGGTGTTCTGGAAGCCCATTAATCTCTTCTTAGGAACAACGGCGCGACCGGCCAGGATTCCCATCCCTAGCTTCTTTTGGCGGTGCACGAGCATAGAGTTTTTGATGCCCGAGACGCCTTCAGTGGACAGTTTGTGCCTCCCGAGTCCTGGGGAGGTGCATCACTTGCCAGTCACCTGGATTCATGATCGACAACACGGTGAGTACATAGACGCTGGACGGGTGTCGTGCAGGTAGTCCACCGTACTAAGTTCGTGTGCAGGGAACGATGAATTGTCGAGTTTCGCACAGCCCTAACATGGAGAATAAGGGTTTGGCAAGGACGCCTCGAGTCGCCGTTTCGAGTATAAGGGGTGGATCGTCCCCTAGGATCCGGCTGGGTGGAGCAGGACGGGTGATGAGCGCGAGGCGTTGGACTAGCGAGGCGCATGGGTAGCCAACGGCACCAAGTTCTTTTCAGAAGGTATCCGGAGATCAGTGTGTCGCAAGATCTTGTAAACCAGTTCTTTGCTTTCGTGGAGTCCATGCCCATCAGAGCACAGCCGTATAGAGTGGTTGGAGGAGAAATGGCACACCAGCAAACCGGGAACAGGGGAGAGTGTGTAACAAGCAAGAAAAGGGTTAGCCCATTACAACATATGTGCCTTAGGGTCATGTACGAAGCAAGTGCGAGGGTCTCGCTGATCGTACGCGTAGGCGAACGGTGCAAGACAGCACTGGAGATAACCCATTACATTATTGCTGCCCGAGCTCAATAGCTTGCCCTGGCGCCGATCACGGAGATGATCTGCACTGGCCTCGGTGAGGCGGCAGAATTTTCTCGAAGCAGGGCTGCGAAATTCTATTGTGAGAGAGACGACCCCTGCTGGGAAAAAAGGCTGCCCTTGTCCCGGACCAGGGGGGAAACTTGGCCCTTACAGGGACGGAGGAACAGATCAGGTCATTGAGGTGAGCACGCTACCCCGTGGGACCGGGACCGACTCAGCAATAGTCGACGAGACGATGAGAAGGTCAGAATGACCGGTAGTTGGGGTGCTCACCTATTTCGGTGATCATAGCAGGAGACCCGACCGTCAGAATTCCAGTTTCCCGAGGCTCCTACGGCGGAAGGGGGATCCAGCTCTCGGAGCAGCGTCAGAGTTGAGACCGAATAACGAAGTTCGGCGCCACAGGCATGGTGGACCAAACAACAAGTCCAGGATCATGGGTTCCGTGGAAGCGGGAAGGTGGTGGAGGTAGCGGGACGAACTGACCTAGGGAACATGGTACGTACTGGGCGAGCCAACGTTGAAATGGAGTTGGAGTAATTGGAGAGATGGCACCCAGATGGCATCCAGATGGGGTCAAGAAGACTTGATTAGGCGATCAAGACGATGAGGGAGCCAGCGGAAAGTGGATAGAATGGAATAGTTAGAAAGGGGGAAGCTTGAGCTTGAGGTTCCGGCGGGGGGGGGTGTTGTATGAGGAGGAGGAGGAGGAGGAGAAGGAGGAAGGGACTGAGGAAGACGGTAGAAGGGATGGAGCCTCGCTATACCTGCATGGCGCCTTCCCGTCATGGACTACCCCCTGTCAGCAAACGTCATTGGCTGCTGGGCCTGCCAAGCCCATGGCGACGTCACTGTCTCCAAATGCCGACAAACATGAGACGACGAACTTACAAGGCTACCCTAATAGCACCACCATGGCACCACCAGCTCATTTCCTTCTTCTGTCTAACCACCCTGCCATCAGCCACAGGCCTACCGAGGACGGAGAACCACAGCACTGGAAATCTCCAGCACACAAGTAAGTTCCAGCTTCAACTGCAATCTCAATGCCCATTGCCCAGCTGATGGCATCCCGTGCTCGATCCCTCCTTGTCATGATGGGGAAACCTACTACCTTCCCTAGCCTGCGGCACCATCGTGGCTCCGGCTCGTGCATGTGTGTTCAACGGCCAGGTACCCGATAGCACCCCCCCCCTCTGTGCATCATTTTGGCCCCCTCACTAATGCTTGCACCTGCTGCATTATTTCCAGGATCCCCAAGCAGGTACCCGGCAGCTTTCCAGGTCTAGATCCCAACTCGGGTCAGCACTGCTGGGCAAAGAACGAACCTCAAAGAACCCTTCTCCCTTCTGCCGATACACTACGACCACGCTATGGCGAACTCTGCCCAACGCCATCAAAAATCGCGCACCCTCCAAGCACCGATCCCCGATTACATAGTGCTGATTTAATCTTCTCATATGGCAAAGCCTTTGTCTACGAGTATTGCAAGACCAGGCCCGGGCACTTTTGGCAGAGTAGCATCAACCGAAGCATTCCACATTGACCCATGCAGTGGGTTCCTCGTACGTACTGCGTATCATCATTTAGCACAGAAGGGGAGCATCGTCTCATTCATTGGCGTCCTCTCGTCAGTCGTTTAGCATAGTGCTGATCCGCAATTGACATCAGTTAGTACCGGCCCAAAAGCCATCTACCGAATTTGCAACCCGCAGCCACAACAAGGGAGGAAGCCGCAGCACTCACCTCACAGCTTGTCCTAATTCCCGCCTCAAGACCTACTCGAGGCTGATAGCCGAGGATCCTCCTGGCCTTATCACCGCTGGCATATCGCATGGCGCAGGCGTCCATTACGCTTCCACGCGAGAGGGTCGTTGGAGTGCCCGAGACTCGCGTAAAGACTTCCGCGATCAATCCTAGGACCCATCCCAGTCCTTCTGGAATGTGAATTTCCCAGGCTGGGGGGTAATGCCCAAACTCTTTCCAAACAGCAAGGCTGAAGTCACGGAAAGAGATTGGTTCGTTGTTTTGTATGAAGAACGTCTCGCCAGCAGCGCTTTCCGCTTTGGTTCGGCCGTTACGACCACGCATTGGTTCCGCTGATTGGAAATCCAAAAGGTTTTCGACCGCGAGAACGTGCGCATCAGCCACATTGCCAACGTAAGTCGTGTCCCAAAGGTTCTTGCCACTCCCAATTACCCAGCGCGTTTCTCCCTTTGCGATGCAGGCGTGGATAGGGGGTATCAGCTGGTTATCTCCTTCACCAAAGAGCACCGATGGTCTCAGTACGCATGTGGACATTGACTGGTCGTTTGCTGCAATCACAACCTGCTCGGCTTCGGCTTTACTCTCACCGTAGATCGACGACTTGGGCGAGATCGGCCATCTTTCGTCAATGTTGGCATAGGACTGGCTCATGTCGTCTATCACGACGCAGCAACTACTCGTGTACACAAATGCTTTGCATTGGGTTTTTCTGGCCGCTTCGACCATGTGCCGTGTCCCTTGCACGTTGACAGCTTTGACATAGCCTTCTAGGCGTCGCGCATACCTGCCAGAGCAAATTGAATGAGCCACTGTGCATCATTACAAAGCGAGAATGTATCGAGGCTGATGGAGGTACGATGCGCGCACGCACACACACGCAAACCCCCCTCGGGATGAGGAAACGAGACTCGGCGCCTGCAGCGAGACGGACCTACCTCTCGCTCAACGATGGCACGATACCTGCTGTGTGGATGACGGCATCGGCATCGATCATAGTAAGTGCATCCATGACACTGGTCTGATCTGTGATGTCGGCCTGGACATAGTCATATTTGCATCCCCTGAGTAAGTCCAGCTCATCATCTTGCGTGTGATGGTTTGTTTGCCGTGGATTTTCAGCCCTGTCGAGAATCCAGACGTGCCATTCTGGGTGGAATTCTTGCAAGGATCGGACAATGGCAGAACCCACAAATCCAAGACCACCTGTCACGATGATCTGGATGGGGTGGGAGGATCGTGGTGGTGTCTTCTGGACGGAGCCAATGGATCCTGAATCCCCTTCCGCAAGCTTCGCCATTTCGCTCAATTAGCTCTCCAAGCAAATTCGAAGAATCTCGAACGTAGGAAAATCAGGGGTTCAGCTGTTCAACAACACTGTCAAGCTTCGGTCCCGAAACGACTCTCATGGCAGCAAACTCCCGGCTGTCGAGCAATACCGAGTACATACATTAATCATCACCCCCATTGGAGAAGGGCCGCAAAGCGAATGAGAGCAATCACACCACACGGGAGCTCCTTTGTCTTGCTCCGCACCGTCTTGCCTTTGGTCTGACTTCCGCCTCATCCGCCCGGAAGCACCAAGCAAGAGCCCGTCTGACAACAGCAATTTCCGGGTCGACCCCCACAATATGGCTGTGTTCATCAACCCCTGGGAACTCCACCAACGGAACACGGACGTATTTCCCCATCGGTGCTCATGCATGAAGCACGGAGTCTATCGAAAATGGGCTATTTCGCTTACGACCTTCCAATGCTTCTGAAAAGCTTCCATGTCTACGCCACGGCCGCCAGACACGCCATCGAACCGGGATCATGATCGCCCATGCGTTCAGGGACACAATGTTGATGACAGGGATCCAAATGGATTGCACTACTGCCAACTTTCCAAGAGGCGCAAGTGGGGACAGAAGCCATCAACCCGTTTATTAATGCAAGGACGACGCGAGGCGAAGCGAAGCGACAACGTCCCAACGGCGCGGAACCCTTGCAACACCATCACCATCACTATTTATATCTTAGTCTACCAGTGAACCTCAATCAAAATCCCAGTGTGATGTGTCTGCAAAACGGGCCAAGCGCCGGACGAACAGCATGCGCGTCAACCGCACACGGCACCGCCTACTTTCGTTACCTTGCTTGACTGGTTACCTTTGATCTCGCCTCGCCTCGCCTCGCCTCGCCTCTACCCATTCTGTTCCCCCGGCCGATGATGGGTTAGGTACGTATCTTCTCGTATCTATGTAACTTGTATCATGGACTTGATTTCCAAACGACCAAGATCAACATGGTATATCAAGACCAGCCCTTGGGATATCTGCAACCCTGCAACTTCGCTTCCGAAGCGATGCGAAATGTACAGTAATGAAAATGTTGGTGGCGGTTCGACCACTCTCGCGAACGGAGTCATGCTGGGCAAAATCCAAGGTAATCAAGAACATCATTTCTTCCCGTGCAATTCGGAGGGGACAGCTATCCACCATCCCTTGAGCAACGTCGAAAACTGACAGGGCTTCCCGTAGCGGAGGGAGAAAATGGACACGGAAACACAAGGAGAGAAAAGCTGTATCGAAGTTTCCTCTGTCTTTTTTTGAGGCCCTCTTCACTTGAATTCCTAGAGAGAGAGAGAGAGAGAGAGAGAGAGACAGAGCCCCAAGTCATAGTAAGATTCCTACCACTTTTTCGCCCTGTTTTTTTGCCAAAATCGTTCCCAGGTTTTTATTCCACGCAAGCAGTCAGTCAGCCGGCTACCTATGGCCCCTGGAACACATAATAATAATAATAATAGAGCAGACCGTAAAGTAAAAGCAAGGCAAGGACACCAGCGCGCAGCAAAATGTGTCGAGGTACGTAGGTATTCGTACAAAAAGTCTCCCAAGCTGCTCTGCACTTGTCCCCCATTTCACGACCAGTCCAGTCCAGTCCGGTCGCGACGGCACACCGGTACACCAGCACACCGACTTCGCAAAATAGAAATCCATCACTCCTCGTCGTCCTCGTCATCCACGTATCTGGGACCCCCCGCTGCCGGCGTCGGCGCATCGAACGCGCCACTGGCGTACGGGGTCGGGGCACTCGCGGCGGGAGTCGGGGCGTCAAAACCGGCGAAGCGATTATTCTTCAACGGCTCGCGATTCGCGCTCTTCGCGAAACTCGGCGGTGCTGGAGTCGGGGCGTCCTGCACGCCGGTCGAGGCGCCCGGCGTCGGGGCACTGAGGTACGGGGTGTATGCTTCGTCGTCGTAGCGGCCAGGTCCAGAGGCGGACGGCGTGGGTGCGGACATGCCAGGTGTAGGTGCATCGTAGGGACGCGACGCGCCGGGCGTGGGAGCCGACGCGGCGACATTGCCAGGCCCGCCCCAGGCCGGAGTCCGTGAGGAGGCCGAGTTGTATGCCGGAGTGCGGGAGCCGGCGGCAAAGGCGTCAAAGCCCGAGTTGCCCGAGGAGCTGAACCCGTGGTCGCCACCATAGGGGGTCTTCGCGCTGGAGCTCCACGCCGGCGTGCGAGAACCGGTGTTGGTGGAATAATTGCCTGCACCGCCGTACGAAGTCATGCCACCGCCGCCGTAAGACGTCTGCGAGCCCGAAGGTCCTTTCCACGACGGGGTGCGGCCGGAATCGAGACCAGCGGACCCAGGACCATTCCAGGCAGGAGTCCTTGATGAGGTGCCCCATGCTGGAGTTCGGCTACCGTCCATGACGCCCATGGGAGTTCTCCCTCCGAAGCCCGCATCGGGAACTCGGGAGCCAGGTACGCCGGGTCCTGCTCTCATTGACGATGGGCCGCCGCGCTGTCTGATCCAGTCTTCATATCTTGTCCGGTTCTGCGTGTTGGTGCTGTGAACTGTTAGCATAGCTGCAATGGAACAGGGAAGTCAGTTGAACTTACTCAATGATCGACAAGTCGAACTTGCTGACGTTGATGACCTTGTTCTTCGTCTGAAGTTCTAGTCTTGCTTCGCCAGCGGTAGTGTCTTTGACAAGAGCACGGTGACCTTTGTACGTCCCCTTGTTGATATGCACGAGTTTCCCTTGCAGAGGATCTCGTCCAGGTCGCTGTGGAGGAGGCATAGACATGTCGGGTCGCTTCATCTGAAGGGCAGGATTCATCTTGGTCAAATCCGTAGTTGGAGCCGTGATCCGGCCACCCTTTGCGGCCGTGGTAATAACATTGGTACAGCGGTTGACCCAGATGCCCGAATTCTCGATACCGAGCTTGTTGTGGCAGAAAACATATCCCCTATGGATGTGCAGAATCGTCCCTGATTTCCCTTCTCCACCAGACTCGCGCACCACGTCGCCAACGCGGATCTCTGAACCATTCTTGTCCGTGGCAACAGCACCCTTCCGCCCTTCGATCTTCTGGATCTGAGAAGGTACCTTGGTCATTACCGAGCCATGTTGATCGAGGATCCGAACCGAATCTCGATCAGCTCTGATCACGCACCCGACTGAGGTAGGATCAATCTGAACCAATTCTTGCACATCGAATTTGCTGCTTCCTGCGCCGCCGCTGCCCGAGTCGGCGGCTTCTCGAAGATCCTTGCTGAAGACGGTGATTTCCTCGTTGCTGTTGTTGGTGAGGACTGTGACCTTGTCATCCTTGATCCGTAAGACCATTCCCACTTCGTCGCGATATTTGCTGCCGCCAATGATCTTGACGTTGTCGCCCTCCTTGAAGCGCTTTCGCAAACCCTTGACGGGTACCTCGACAAGTTGGCCGGTGAGTTCGCCCTCAGACACCATGATGGAGACGATGTTGCCATGGACGGCTTCCGTCTTGCCGACGATACCTCTCTGTTCGCCCTCATACACCTCGACCTCATCGCCAGGCATGTAGTTGCCTTCGGCAGTGGTGTTCCGCAGGCTGTGGGCCAGAGTTTCGAGATCGAGCAATTCGGAGCCGTCGGCGGCGGTCTTGGTGAGCTTCGTAATCTCCTCCAACTTGGGGTTCACATTTTCGGTGATTAAGTGCTGCAACTTGAAATCCTTGACCAAAAACCCATTGTCGTAGGTGTCGCCCTTGTAGGTGAAGCTCTTCCCCGTCAGCCCTCTGTTCTGAGATACAAATCGTTCATGTCTCTTCTTCGCTTCGAGCTCGTTGAATAGTCTCTGTGGAGGTCGATTCTGGAAAGTGTTGATCGGTCCGAATGCATTCGGCCGTTTGCGCTTTGCGTCTGCGGGAGCTGGTCGACCTTGATCCTCGTCCAAGCCGTAGGAAAGCCTAGGTACCAGTCGGAGTGTGACTTCAAGACCATTGGTTTCGACGTCTTCGATCATGGCCAAGTCACCCATGTAGAGTCCTCGCTTGATGCGCACGTAACCTCCGACTTCAAGCTCCTTGTCCTTTCTGGTTCTCAACAAGTCAGGCATTTCTTTGACCGGGACGAGATTCATCTTCGACCGCGGATAGACGTCGGGGACATTTGTCAGGGCATCTTCCACGTCGCTCTTCTTAAGGGCTTCGACAAAGATATACCCAGCCATGGGCCCATCGCCTCGTTCAAAAACCGAGCAGATCTTCAATTGGTTCCGGCCTTTGCTCTCGAACCATTTCTTCATAATCCGGCTGACAATTTCTCTTTCCTTTCCCGCTTTACATCGGACGCCCCAGATACTCGGGTCGTTGACGTCGGGCATGAGCAGGTTCTGCGGCACGAAAGAGCCCTGGCTCAAGGCCGTGGTTGTTCTCCGCCCGTACCGCTCTTTGTAAGCTGCTGCCTGCTTCTCGAGATCCATCGACGCCTCGATCTGTCGTTGGCGATCGAGTTCTCTGTGCCTCGCATCGTCTTGGTCTGCTTCGGGGGGGAGGTCGTCGTCGGGGTGGTTCTGTTCGATGAAGTCGGGCCCAAGATCGTCTTCCTCGGCTTCGAGTTCATCGTCATCCTCGTCGACTTCAGCTTCTTCCTCGAAGAACTGATTCAGGCCTCGCCTCCGGCGCTTTCGCGGTCGACTGGCTACGGCATCTTCATCGTCTTCGTCCTCTTCTTCATCTTCGTCGTCGTCGTCGTCTTCTCCGTTCAGGTCTTCTCCCTCGCCTTCATCATTTTCACCATTGTCCGCCTGTTCATTTTGTTCTTCGTCTTCATCATCCTCATTGGCCGGCGGTCGTCTGTCTTTTCGCACCGGGGAGGACGACTTGTTTCCGTTGGTGGCAGGTGCAGGGCGGTCATCGTCCTCGTCTTCGTCGTCGTTGCTGGGTCTTTTCGTGGGGTTCTCAGACTTGATCTCTGGATTGCCTTCATCCTCCTCATCTGAACCTGCCTCGAATCCAGGGTTGAAGTCATTGTCCGATTCTTCCTCGTCTCCACCGAAATCTTGGTTCAGCCACGATTGTCCAGAAGCCATGTTGGCCGGTAGCTTTCAGGGACAATGGTCCAGCGGAGACCGATCTCGGGGATACAAAGGATTAGACAGCTGTCGGCGACAGCGATCTTTGAGAAGAGGATGAGGGAGTTTTGGAGTTGCGAATGAGGCGAAGGGATGGGTGATAATGAGCCCAAAAGAATCCCTCGTCAACAGCGCAGGCGGCTTGATGCTTGGCGGTAATTTGATATCACGTGACCCCGTTCCTCCTGTCACTTTGGGACGCGAGAGACTTCTCGTCAATACCTAGCTGAATGATGAGGATATGGCTGTCTATCGAGCAGAATTCATTCAAGGGGTCCACACTCGAATACCGATCAAGCAAAGAAAGGGGGCATGACGAGATTGTAGTGAATCAATGTGCATTCAACAACTTCGTCAACTTCTCTCTTTGTATGTCTGCCCACGACCCTGCAGAATCAGACTTCAACTTATGCAATCTCGATCTCGTGTCCTTGGACTTAGAGATACTATGCCAGTGCACCTCCACAAACTTTTCAAAGATATTCTTGCTTCATATGGCAAGCTCCCACTTCATTGTGGTCAAATCCCAATACCACCTCTTTCCTCTCTATCCTCTTATAACTTCAGCCCCAGGTTGACATGTACCGCCTTCGTTTGGCTATATGCCGCCAATCCAGCCTCGCCCAGCTCTCGCCCGATGCCGCTCTGCTTGACGCCGCCAAATGGCACTCTGAAGTCCGAATCGTTGGACGAGTTAATCCAGACCATGCCAGCCTCGATCCTGGCGGCCACACGGTGTGCGCGCTCGATATTGCTCGTGAACAATGCACTGCCCAGACCGTAGGTTGTATCGTTGGCCATGCGGACCGCGTCTTCCTCCGTCTTGAACGATGCAATCACCACGAAGGGGCCGAAGATCTCTTCACGGTAGATTTTCATGTCGTCCTTGACGCCTGTGAAGATGGTGGGTTCAATGAAGAAGCCCTTTCCGCCACCGACATTTTTGTGCGGTACACCGCCAGATGCCAGGGTCGCACCCTCCGACTTGCCACTCTCGATGTAACTCAGGACTTTCTCGTATTGAGCCTTGGTGACTTGAGGACCTTGGAATGTATCGTCGGCGAATGGATCGCCGACCTTCGACGTGGTCTTCACCACCTCCTTGAATTGCTCCACGAATTTGTCGTAGATGCCTTCCTGGACCAGCACGCGCGAGGTGGCAGTACAGATCTGACCCATGTTGGACATGATTCCAATGTGGGCCCATTTGGCAGCTTGCTCAAGGTCGGCGTCGTCGAAGACAAGAAGGGGTGACTTGCCGCCGGTTTCCAAGGTAATGTTCTTCATGTTGACGCTGGCGGTCTTCATGATTTGTTTACCCGTGACTGTGCTGCCAGTGAAGGCAATCTTGTCCACGTCCAGGTGGGAGGCGAGGGCGTGGCCGGCTTCTCTGCCGAAGCCATTCACGATGTTGATAACACCGGGAGGGAAGATGCCCGGGATGAGACTTGCCAGGTATAGGATGGAAAGAGGAGTCTGTTCTGCAGGCTTGAGAACAATGGTGTTGCCGCATGCGAGAGCGGGACCCAGTTTCCATGCCGCCATGGCTAGGGGGTAGTTCCAAGGGATAATCTGGCCGCAAACGCCAATGGGCTGCTTGAGGGTGTAGGCAAACTTTTGAGGGTTGGTGGGGATTGTCTCGCCATGAATCTTGTCTGCCCACCCAGCGTAGTATCGAATGGTGCCTACGACCTCGCCCAAGTCCTCATTCAACGCCACGCTGTATGGCTTTCCGTTGTCCCATGTCTCGAGCGTGGCAAGTGTCTCCTTGTGTTCTTCGAGGACGTCTGCAAACTTGTACATCAGGGCACCGCGGTCGGTAGCGGGGAGATCGCGCCACGAAGGGTCATTGAAGGCGGCTCGAGCGGCTTTGACGGCCTTGTCGATGTCATCCGCAGACGCTGCCTCGACGGAGCAGATCTCCTTCTCATCCCTAAACAAGTAGAACAGTCAGCTCGAATGCCCATCCAGATAGATCCGCAGAGTCTACTCACGAAGGGTTGATGCTAGTGATCTTCTCGCCGGAACTCGACTTGACGAATTCGTTGTTGATGAAGAGACCCGTGGGCAGGGTGATTTTGCGCCCATTGGGAGCTGTCAGCTCGACCTTCAGATCTGCCATCTTGGACAATGTCAGGCGGCTCGTGGTAAACAGTCGCAAATCAAGATGCCCGTTCCGAGGAGAACAGTTCCGGGACAGAGAGCGAAGAAAAAAGCAAGACCTCGAAGTCAGAAGCAGGAATGCCAACGAAGATTTGTTGTACATGTAAAAAGGGCAGGTCCCGGGAGAAGAAAAGAGAACCAGAGATTTCGTTATATCTACTCAAACAAGACAGACACGGACCCGCGTCGAAAGCAGGTTCACCAGATAGACAGACCAATCCAAACACCCACTCAGCGAAAGCTCTGAGAACCCAGGGAGCCCGGGTTTTTTCTCGGGACTTGATTGCCTGTTTGGAGCTGTCTAACCCCACGGCGATCAGCGTGTGGTATTGTTGTAGTAACGGGAAAACAGCCAGCAAGTCGCTGAGCTCCGATAAGGACCAACAAAAAGAGGGGAAGGTAGCCCAGAGCCTACCAACTGAGGGGCAGCTGTCGATAAGGGCTTCTCCGGCTATGCCTACCCTTCTAGGGGTGCTTGCATCTAGGCATTTAGGCATCTGGGCCTCTGGGCATCTGCCACACCTTACCTGTGCCACTTTTCTGTTCCCCCGTTACGCCTGTGCCCTGCACATGCATGCGTGCCCCCCCTCTTGATCAGGAACTTCAGCCTCGTCCACCCACCGATCCTTTTACCGAGGTCCCCTCGCCACTGTCCAGGATCAAGGGCCGAGAGACTGTGGAGGAAGCTTGGTGGCTTGCTAGGGTTCATGCAAGCTGCAAGAGCGGAAGGGAACCAGAGCGTTGGTTCTTAGCATGCAAATCAAAACCCACGTGGACGGCTGGGCCCGAGACAAGGACAGAGAAGAGCGACACTTGTGCTCATCCTTGCCCCCTGCGACAACTCACCTTCTCATGCCGGGAGGAGATCTGTCAAAGCTGGCAAGAACAGAAAACACGAGTGGGAAGAAATCCAACGAGATCGGGTCAAAGGCCTGCAGGAACCTCTCGAGCCGCATAGGACTTCAAGCTTGGCCGATTTATTCCCAGCAGCCTGACGCCTCCACAAGCGCCCGAAAGGGGACGGCAGCGAATGCAGCTTGCTCGTTTCGGAAATCGATGCAAGACACGCGGAGTCGATACGAGCTCCCACACACGGCACGGTGTCGAGGTTTGAGAACTTTCCACATCTCAGCCCTACCACTCTTGGTGGTCTCATCTTTTGCATCACCCCCTACATCATTGTGCAAAGGCTGTCACCGCCCAGAAACCCACAACCAGCTTCCATCTGCTCTGCTCACAAATGCCGGACCGTGGGCGCCTCTGGTCAACCTTGCCCTATTTCACCAATCTGTGCACTCTTTTTATTGCCATCCTCGGGACCGTCATGACACGTCGCCGTCGAGGACCGTACGTCCGTCAGGTCTTGCCTTCATTCCTCTCCAGCACTGCTGACCATGTCCGAGTCACTTTTGCTCAGGGCCTCCTGCTTCACTGACACCTCCTCTTTGATAGCGCCTGAAGCTCCTTTAGACATTCCACTAGGCGCGTCTCCGTTGCCGGTAGCTGCAGTCTCTTCGCCTTCGCCGTCAACTTCCGATTCGGAGCCGCCCATAGTATCTCCATGTCCCAAGGAAATAGACTCTCCAGCCAGATCCAGGATGAATCTCCACTCCTGCGGTGTGACGGCCGAGACGCTGAGACGACTCTGCTTGAGCGTTTGCATGTTCTCCAAAGCCCCACCAGATTTTGCAAAAGACTTCAGCTCCTTGAGTGTGATGAGGTTCTCAAACTTCTTGACGAATTCAACATGGACCAGTTCCCACTTGGGCTTTGCGCGGTCGGACTTGGGATCAAAGTAGGGATGGGCTGGGTCAAACGCCGACTCGTCAACGCTATGTTCGCCGACGACACGCATGACACCCGCAATGCCAGGGATGGCGCAGTTAGAATGGTAGAAGAATGCCAGGTCGCCCTTGCGCATCGCTCGCATGTTGTTGCGGGCCACTGGGTTGCGGACACCTGTGCATTTGTTAGAGAGATTTTCGTGCCACCACAATAGACATCGACACTCACCATCCCACCCCTCAGGTTCCGCCTTTGCAGCCAGATCGTCGATGGAAAATTTGACGTCGCGGCCCTTGTGGATGCGAGACTCTGGTTCAGCTTTCATCAGCCAGTATTGTATGTCATGGTCAAGACCAGCCATCTCTGCAGATTTGTTTGCATTTCCGTTGGTCGCGGCAGCGGCGTGTCCGTCTGGCAGCAGAGCATCTCCAGACTCGGATGCCGATGAGACACCCTTGGTCTTGAGTGGGACTTTTGGCTTCCTGCCGCGCTTTGCAGGCGCTTCCGCGGAGGGTTTGGGCGGAATTATGGCTGTCAATCAGGTCAATACGGCCCATTTGGGGATGAAAGCTTCGACTCACATGCATAGTTCTTCCCAATCTTCACCACCGGCTTGGGGGCAGCCGCAGCCTTGGGGGGTCTTCCACGCTTCTTCTTCGGTGGCTCGGCCTCACTTTCTGCGTCATTGGCCGAGACCGCATTCTGCACCGCGCCACCGCCCGATGATCTGGGTCGGGTGAGTTTGTATTGGGGTTCGCCGACGGTGGTCCTCTTGGGCCGGCCAGCGGGCTGGTCAACGATGTCAGAGGTGCCGCCGATGCGGACTTTCTTGGCCGGCGCGGCGATGGCGGAATTGGTTGAAGCTTTGCGCTTTCGGGGTGGCATGATGTCAGATTTTTCTCACTAAAATGGAATGTCTGGAAAGAGAGGGGGGAGAGAGAGAAAAAAAAAATGGACCCCGTGTGTGTGAGTGACACAGAACTGAAAAAGTATTTAAGCCGAGGTCACAAAGATGCCCACAGACAAAAAGGGAAGAAGGAGATTAATTGGGTAGGTCCGCTTTTACAAGAAAACAAGAGAGACTGTTTTCTCAGAACAGATTGGGGAAGATCGAGCCCAACGAGATCGATTGATTTACTGATCGATCGAATGAAATTGACTGAGTGAGTGGGTGAGTGAGTGAGTGAGTTTGGTGGGTAAAACGCGTCGAGGGCGCGTCAATGAACGGGAAGATCGCGCCAAGGACCCGCCCGCGTCACTTGCCTGACTAGTTTAATGGTCAAGTTAGTATTAAGTGAGGGGGAAGTGAACTCAGGCCATATTACTGTATGTACTGAGAGAACTTCCTATGTCCACACGCAGCCGGCATGGGGCATTCGAACTAAAACTCAAACCTCACCAAGGGCAAGTCAAGGTAGATAGATGGATGGATAGAATGATAGATGGCTGGCTGGACTACACAGTCTCACTGAGTGTATGTAACTGTTCACCGTCTCTACTACATACATACATACATACATGCATACATACATACATGCATACATACATATACATATGTGCCCTATCCCTTTCAAAATCGAGTACCAACCTATCAATAACAACAACAACAACAAAAACTTGACTTATGTCAAAAGTCCCTATTATTATCTATCCATATGTTGGTCAGCCAGGAAGGGCTCACCAGGCTCAGCTCTTCCCACCAACACATGTGCCCGCTCTGACATCATCATCCGGCAGCAGTAGCCGTGGTGGCAGTAGTAGCTGCTGTGACAGGTGTGACCGGTATTCTTAGGAACACTCATTCTGTAGGTAATTAATGGTGCACCGACACACACACACGCAACGGACATCCAAAAGTCCCCCTCCAGCGGACTCCCCGGGGGGGTACGTTTCGACTCTACACTCATTACGAACTACACGAATACCTACCTACTTACCTACCTCGTACCGCATACGGACAGAGTACTTGCATGCATCCCTTGTTCATACAGTAGTCTAGGTAGTCCAGTCTGAGAAAGCAATGACGCCCCTTGTGTCTGTCTGTCTGTCCATCTGGTCTGGTCTGGGTCACGGTCAGGCAGGACTCGGTCGGACATTTAGTTGGCACCCAATCAAACCCGCAGTACACGGAGCGGATGGCGTGCGCGCATTTCCGCCTCACAACATGCCAATGAGAGCAGCAGCAACTACAGCGACCGGTTCTGTCGTTTCTTGTTTGTCACCTGTCCCTTGATATTTGTGGGATCCCTCCAGACGAGGTCCATATTATAGTATTTGGGAGGTTGGGGGAACGTCCGCCCGCCCGCCCGGTTAGCGTTGTCTTGCAAGTTCGATCGAGCGTGCTGCAGGGAAGAGAGGTAGGTACATACATACCTAGGTAGGTGGTTGCTGGGTTTGTGCTTGCTTGCTTGCTTGCTAGATGGACGGATGAATGAACGATGAAGGGGAGCCCGTGGCTGCCCTAATGCACGGTGAGTGTGAAGATGTCACCCCAGCCTAAAAGGAATGGTTCCCGGAGGGAATGGGACGGCTTAAACCGCTTTTGCGCACCCAGTCCGCTCTCCTGCACGCCACGTGTTGATGCGGGAATCGAGGAACCTGCCCTTGCAGGTGATCTGTGTCGTAGCCCTGGGGAGGGGAGGGGGGAGTACTCCGTACATACAGTAGGTTCACACCAACGGCTGACAGGTGACGTTGGGTATCACTTACTTGCCCAGTTGAGGAAACCCGTTGTTAGGTCGAAGCGAGGTGAGACCGCGTTTCAGAAGCACGCAATCGGCAACTAACAGCGGCGCTATTCCCTGGGTTAGACCTGCAGGCAACGAACGGCCCAACATTGTCGAGAGGGAGGAAAGGGAGGAGGAGGAGGTGTTTGGAGAAAAGCTCCGGAAGTCAGTCAGTCGCCGGCATCACGCGCATCACGATCTCCTCCTTCCTGATGGTCTCTCTCCCCTGAGGAAGGAAGGACTTGCAAACCGTTGACAGTCGAACGGGTCATGTCCTCGGCGATGATCATCATTCATGATTTGTGGGGGACCAGCAGTACCATGCCATGGCGTTCTCTCCGCTCTCAAAACGTCCAAGGGCCAATGCCTCCCTCCCTCTCTGTCTTCTCCTGGGCCCAAGTGACATCAACACAGGTTAGTTAGCCCCAGAGCCAGCTTTGCAGCAAAAGGTCGGTTACAGGCTCTGTTGGTGGGAAGGGATGGGATGGGAACCTTTGTGGTGGAGAAGTTCCTATCCCACGTGTGAGCAACTACTCGGGGAACGCCCCCTCAACCCCTGATCCCTGCTGGCGCCAACACAATGCAGGGTGCGGGATGCAATGCACTCGACCTGCAATGCACGCTCTAAAAGTAGCGTCCCTTATGTGCATCGTTTGGGCCGCTGTGCAGCCCGACAAGGACGGTTGGCGTGGATCTGTCGGGCTTATCTGCTTGTACCTCCTACAGTACGAGGTCCTGAGGACATGCTCCGCTATTCTCCTCTTCCAGGTTTCTTCTGGGTATTGTCCCTGTGCCATTTGTCGCCGGGGCATCTTCTCTAGTCACCTTCTACTTACATATATCCTTGACATCCCGTTTGACCAACTCCGCCAGCCTGCCCGCCAGCCAGCCAGCCAGTCGACGCTTCCTGTGCCCTTTTGACTCCAAATCGAGAGACAGAAAGAGGGGAACGGCCTTGTCGCCCAACTTGTGAAGCAGCCAATGACGCCCGAAGCTTGACTCGTAGCCGAATGGCTCTCGCGCGCCAACTTGGGGACGTTCCTGGCGGTGTTGCCAACGTGGCCTGGGTAATTTGCTCTTGAATTCATTGTCGACCGATTCGTAATTTCTCCGTCCAGACATGATTAATTCCTAAGAAGAAAAAATTACGTCTTGTGACGAGGGCAAATTTCGGCGCGATGCAAGACTATTTGCTCGGGTATCCCGATCTTTCGTGCATTGATCTCCGAGCGACGAGCTAGCCTCGTGGTCGTGGGGACTCAGCGCTCCAGCCAGCCATCGCTAGAAACGGTCGAAACTCCCCGGAAGGTGTGGATAGGAAGAGACGGCGGCTAATACTCTGGGACGTGCTTTGCTTCCCTCTCTCTTCTTACGTATACATACAGTATCACGAGAACAGCCTCGGCTCAGAGCTCATCAACTTCGCCTGATGAGAAGGAGGAGGGGGGACAATGATGATGGTGATGATGATGATGATGATGGCGGCTGTTGTGCTGGTGGAGGAATGGCCATGTACGAGGTCCTCGCAAAGGGATCGGCTGCTCTAGCCACGCTGGGGTGGGAGGTGAGGCGGTGGGCGTCACGGAAACCTGGCGAGTCGACTGGTCAGCCTGCAGTCGTGGGTTAGATCTAATCCCCCGTCAGCAAGACACTCGATGGATCTTCCCACTGACCCAGAGCTTGAGCTACAGGTGGATGTTTCGCAGGCCACGCTAGAGCAGGTGAGCTTTCGCAAGAATCGTCAACGTCCTGACCAATTGCCTTGCTCGGGACAGGTGTTTTACCGTTGTTGTCCAATGCTGCATCAGAATCGTCCATCAAGTGTCGCGATTGGCCACGAAAGCTCCTTCACATTGCAACTTCGCCCTTGGAATCCATATCTAGTCTGCTGTTTAGCGTCAGCCATCGACTTGCCAGGCAGCGAACTGCACTCTTCACGTCAGTCGACGACCATTCATAACCGTGTCATGCCGTCAATCTGTAACTCGGGTCCTGGCTAGGGCCCAAAGTGGTGGCTGCACCTTGACTTGGGACGGTGGCTGGTCAGCATTTATGGAGTACTTTGGCATCAGTCCATGTTGACGTTCTTTCTTGAGCCCGATGCTGTGAAAGATTGAGAGTCTGCCACGGTCAAACTGGACCACGAGCTGTCAAATGCCGTCATGGCTCTGTGAATACAATATCTAATAATGTTGTGTGAAGCGTGGGGGGGTCGTCTCTCGTGGATACATATACAAAAAGTACAGTCACCAGCGATATATGGTGGTTCGAGTCTGCCCGAATAGAGCCCTTCTCTTCCCGTCTCTTCCGGTGATTTCTGGTTTCCCTCTCTCTGCAGTGTCTGGGACTGCTAGTCTGCCTCGCCTCTCGGTCCAATTGCCCCCAACGCCACAGAGAAGTATTAATGCGACAAAAAGGATGTATGCGTGGGGGTATCTCGCAGGGTGCAACACCACGCCCAAGAAGGAAAGGATAAAGCAAATTAGTCAAGGAAACAATGTCAAGAGTTGTTGTTGTTGTTGTTGTTGTTTTGTTGTTGCTGTTGTGGTCTTCCAATTTGTGCAATAAGAAAACGGGCAAGCCAATGAAGCCCTTGTGACGGCAAGCGCGCAAGTCCCATTCTGATCTCGGTCATTCGTAATCATGTCCCACCACACGGCGGTGAAGGGATTGTCGCATCTGAGGTCGCCCTCATTGTCGTCTCTCTAGGAATAGTCATTTCGAAGGGAAATAAAGCAGGTGTCCGGGCCTCGAGGCACTCTGGTCTATCACCGGCCAGAATTCCAGCCCCGGTCAAACAGATCTCGGCGAAAAGGGTCGTGAGACTGGGATCTGGTGACGGGAGGAGGCGGCGGAGGGCCCGGGGGAAACGTTCGGGATGTGGCGAACATGCTCGGTATAGGAGGGGGAGGGAGCGGTGGAGGAGGCTGTAAGGATAGTCCTGTGCCGTAGCCCAGGGGAGGTGGTGAGTGTGTCTGTCGTCCGGTAAAGCTCGGCTGGTAGTCACCGGTTCGACGACGTTGCGTCGATGGGCCAGGGTCGGTGCGTTCACGCGAGGAGTCGTCGGACACGGTGGGAGTTTCCAACAGGCCACTGGGTGCGTGTGGACCTCCTGCGCTCGCCGCTGCCATCCTCCGCTGTTGAGGAGATTCCGGTCGTGGTAACAGCTGTGCCCCCGAAACGTACCTCAGGGCCAAATCACGAAAATAGTTCCTCTCCGACAAATAGTGGTCCCGTTCTTCGATGAGATCCCTCAGCTCCTGCTGGAGTCCTGCGATCGTCTGCGAGGCTTCCTTCTCCTTCTCCTTCCTGCGTGCACGGAAGCGTGCTGATGCCCCGGCATTGCGCTTCCTCTTCTCGTCCGCCACCTTTGATGCCTGTTGCAGGTCCAATTCCACGGGGATGTTCAGCGGGCCCTGATCAGTGTCAAGAGTCATCTGATACGAAGCAGGACCTTGCTGGTAGCCCTCGTGCGGCCCGTGATGTCCCGGAGTCTCATGAATGTACAAACCTCCACCCCCAGCGGAGATCGCCCTGAATGGAGCGGGTGGCTGAGCAGGCGGCGGTTTGGGGATTCCATATCGAAAGCGCGGCGACGGATAGTCGATTTTGCTATATGGAGGCTGTCCTGTCGAAGACCGCTCGGCTTGGGAAGTTATAGCGGGCTCAACTCCCCGGGGGACCGGGCTTTCCTGGACGTGCGCCGAGCGAGGTTGTCCTGGTTCGGGTGGGATCATGCCACCCAGATGTGCACCGGTCGCAAGCGCCAGAGGAGGGAGAGGCGGAATCTCAGCTGTCTGATAATGACCCGGCTCGGCGGTATAAAGGCGGCTGCCGGTGCCTGGTGGGGGTTGTAGTGGCCGGATCGTAGATTGAAAGGCGGGATTCCTTCTCGCTCCCAAACTTGCTGCCCTCAATCCCGGCGACTTCGGGGTGAGGACACGCCTGCCCAGGCGTCCGGAGCCCTGCTCGAACTCCCGAGGGGGAGACCTGGGTTCGGTACGCTTTCGACTGCGCGGAGACTCGGCCGGCGCCGGGATCAGGCTATGGCTGAGGTCCATGGCGGGATGGGCGGCCCGGGGTCTGACATCTGGAGAGGTGGTGTCTTCGGGCTCGAATGGAGGGTTCAGAATGCTGTGCACACCAAATGCTCGGGAGGGGGTCTGGACACTGGACTCGGCCGAATGTCGACGAGAAGATATTCCCAAACCCACTTCCGTCACAATCCGCCCTGGCGCGATGCCCCCGTAGCCGCCATACGGCTCTATTCGAACAACGCTCGCCGTGCTTGGTCTCGAGGATTCTGCGCTGCCACCGGACGGGTGAGATTGCGGGATGCGTCCTCCAACGGTGGTGGGAGTGGTGATAGACGGATGTTCTGTCGGAGGGGGGGATGGTGACATGTACTTGTTATGAGCCTCCTCGTGCGGCTGGTCCCCTTGTCGCGACCATGGATGTCCCTCCTGCGGCTCTCCTCCGCCTTCCCTCCTCCACCGATCCTGAGGTCCTGGGGTCGAGGTCGGACTCGTCGGGCGAGACTGATAGCTCCACGAGTGCTGAAAGTATCCAGAGTTGGGAGGGGACCTGGGATATTGCTGGAAAGGGGAGATGGTGACGCCGAGAGTCGCCAGGTTGAAAGCCTTGTCGTTGACTTGGGCACTGGGCAAAAGTCAGGTCAGAGGAAGTGACTAGCTGGTAAGCTCGCGCGAGCCCCGACTTACAAGAGTACTTCTAGAAAAGTCACGGCACTCCGGGGGGAGGGTCAGAGCAAGGTTACAATACCCGCGAAGGCCAGCAAGCCGGACAGCAGATTGCGCCTCCCAAGATCACAAGCATTTGCGCAGCCCACTCCCCGTAGGACTCGCGAGGATCGTCTGATAATTCGGTCCCTTGGTTCAATAGAGGCGGGCAAATGAGAGTCATCAATCTGCAACCCTGGCTCTGAGAGGTCCGTTCGCAAAAAGAGAGAACCGGCACAAATTGAAGCCAGGCAGCCCCCAGAAGCATTAGATGGGTAAAGGGCAAGGGAGAACAAATAGTCTTGACAGGCTAGCCTGAGGTCAGCTCGTAATATTTCATCGCCGGAGTGGGCAGAGTAAGCAGAGGCACTTGGGAGGAGGTGGCCCGCCGCAATTCCTGGGACGGGGAAGCGGGAAGCATTATTTGTTGGTGTTGGAAAAGCGAGATGCTTCCAGGCTTTCTAGCGTTGAAGCCCGCCTGCCTCGTCACGATCTGAGCGTCGCCCTCCCTCCTCTCTCGAAGCCAGGGACGTTTGGGCCCAACGTCGACGAGGGTCTTGGGGCTCCATCGGAGGGCAGGGAGGAGGGAATTAGTGGGTCGCGCCGTCCAGCGGGTTTCGACCATGCGAGGACCCGATGGGATGGAGGGTGATTGAGGATTTCAGAATTCAGATTCGCCCGTGCCTAGGAAGGCCGGGATGTAAGGGCACTAGCTCGTCGTTCTGAGCATGCCCTTGTCAAGCGCGTGATGGCCCCAGCAGGCGGGATGATGGCATCGCTGGGAAGTCAGTTGGTGATAGCGTCCTTGTAGGTGGGCCACGCTTGTGCTGTGGCGCTGCGGAACGTCTGGGGCTTAATGTCATGTCGAAACTGTCAACCCAGCGTGGGGCAGGCTGATTAGACTTCTGGAGGCTGTTGTCTGGTCAAGAACTAATTAATGTCTCCTAGTAACCCCTGTCGAAGAAAAAAGGTGCAAGGGGCAGAATCGGGGATCCACAAAACTCACAGCGAATCCTGCGGCGACCATCTCTGAGATAAATCCCCATGACTTGGAAAGGGTGGGCGCCCTCGCATCCGGACTGGTCCCATGGCTGACCCAGCTCTCTTACCTTTTTCCCCTTCGTTCGTTGGAATCAAGCGGGCAGTGGGTGGGTAGACGTTATTGACAACGCGACCAGGGGTTGATCAGCAATAAAAGACTCTCTCTCATGCAGCCATGTCAGGCATTGTGAGAGCCACCAGCGAGGCGCATTAGCCACTTCTCCTAGCTTGCCTCATTCGGCTTGTCCGCGACGTCGGCTTGCATCCCCCGTTGCAGCTTGGCTTCCAGTGGCCTCGATGAGAGAGTTCGTAGCGTCAAACCCAGAAACTCGCAGCCAGAGAGGAGAGAGGGGGACACGGCTAGGGCAAGGCGATTAGGGCCCTCTGCCGTCAATGGCTGCAATTGGGTCGCGGCTCTTCTGCCACTTCGCCTGGGATCAGGCCTCAAGAGCTGTATCCTTGCCCAATGCGAACGATCCCTCTGCTTTGGGGTCCTGAAACCCCCAGGCTGTCGGTCGCTTTGGGTCAATTGAAACAAGGCCGGCCACACCAGGGGGGTGATGTGAATGCCAAAAAGACGCAAAGTCCGCACAATTCCACTTTAATTCCAGAATGTCACGGGGACGAGAACAGCCTCGAGAAAGTGAAGCCTCCCACTGGCCCGGGAGGCTTGCGATCCGGACTTGCTTGCGGTCTGTACGGGGGCCAAGCGGCGGTTTCCACGAAGCTCGTCAAAAGGAAATCAAAACAACAAAGGCCGTCATCTCAATGGTGGTCAGTGCCCGGAGCTTCCAGATAGTAGTCCGTCTTTTATTGGGCTCACCAGCAGAAGAAGAATGGTGACGTTACCGGCGAGGGTTAGCTTTCTCGAAAGCCCAGGGAAGACTTCCTCGTCAGTGGCGGAAGGCCATGAATAACTCGTACTTGTACTCGGTAGGTGGTCGTAATTCCACTACGGAGTCCTGGTTCCCAAATACCTCCAGTTAGCCTGTCCCGGTGAATGGGCCGCTTAGGACGATCACGTCGATCACAGCTTACCAGGGTTGGGGACGACAGTGCCAGGGCCCTTTGGCCCCTTGATCTCGCTCGCATATCAACGTAGCTACTTTCAGGCGAAAAATGTTCACAGGCTGGACCGTCCAAACGAAATCGTTCACCGCTCCAGGATTTCAATTTGCCCACCGGCATGGTCCTTTTGTGGATCGTCTACCCACGGAGGGGGTCCCTTGCTATCCCCTGCGAGGCGTATTCGCTAGATTACCGAAATAGAGGGCAGGAAGTTCTGGTACGCTCGGCCATCCTTTGAGCAATATCGTCTGTCTCCAAGGACGGTCACGAACAGCCTCGAGTGGTTAACCGGACACAAATTATCACACCTCTGGTGCTGGTGATATCTGCACAGTGGCTATTCACTGTAGGTCAACGGACGAAGCACTCAGCCGTGAAACGTTCCGAATGGTGGCATAGTCCTTGGATTCTGTGCGTCGACAGACACTATGTCATTGTGTCCGTTTTGGGACACGTACATAACGCAGTCGGATCCAACGGCCACCTTGTACTCTTAAAGTTTGACCGGCTGCTCGAGGAAGACGAGCTATATCAGAGTTCGGAGGCCTTCCGTATTATTTGGAGAGATCGTTGGATTGGATCACGACGCGTGCTCCACAGGCAACTCAGGACAACTCGCCGATCGTGTCCAGAAATGTTCAGCTGGACGCCAGATTGCTGGCCCTGTCGCTTTATGAGCGAATCTATTGACGTTAGCCTTGACCACTAGCCGTCTTCCGCACTAGCCGTCGTCGTCGACGCTGCGAGAATGATGTGTCAATGCCGTGACAAACGCCTCCCGCATTCTGCAAGTAGCCCCCCAGGCTTACACTCACCAGGTGGACACCAAAAGTTCCGTATGGGTGTGCTGGAAGTTAAGAGGTTGCAGCTGCTGTGGTCGCTAATGCCTCTACGGCAAGGTCGCAGTCCTTTGTCTCCGCCCGAGTGTGCAGCTGCAGGTATATCTCAACTTGGTGTTCTGCAGGTAAAAGGCAAAATCTCGAGTTGGAGCAAAGAGGCGAGAAACTGGTTGGTGCCATGCCCTTGGGACAGGACAGGACTTTTGCTAGCGGTCTAGGAGACCACATGATTGTGGCTGATCTTTCCTAGCCTTGTGGCCTCCCACCCCTTTTGCTCCTGCATGCCTCTCGTTTCTGCTGTGAGTTGGTGACGCTGATTTACATGGAGCTGCTCAGTCACCTTGTCTATGTACAAGATGGAGGTGTTCTTGAGCGGTCAGTCGCGGGTCCTCGCTCGCTAACCCCGTACATTACGACTGATTGCTGCAACGAATCTGGGGAGTAGTCCTCCCAGAAACGGTTGCGCCTCGGGTGACGCACCAGTGGAATATTGATCAAAACCTAAGACAGGTGATGAACTCTCGAAAGCCGCGCTCATCGGCTAAGCACAGAGGCTGCAGCTGTGACTAGGACTAAACATCCGGCACCGCCATGTATGCAGGAGAGTGTGGGAAGCACCCACCTTCTTCGTAACTACTGGGTGGACGTATCAGATCCAAGACGTCCCAGTTGACAGGAATGAACTTGCTCCCCCGTGGGCTTTCCTTATCAGGCTGTGTCGGGCGCAGAATCAGGCACGTTTTGGGAAGGGGGGTCGTTATGCCTTCCTCAAGACCGGAAAACCAAATACGATGAGGCAGTGTCGATCATGCAGGCATGCAGCAACGTTGGGTTTTGGTGATTCGCCATGTGAACAGAGCACGTCTTTTCGATCGGGGACGTCGCTCTCGATCAGCAATGTTACTTCCAAAGGCGGTATTTGCTTCTCGCAGAACCTTTCTTTCTCGTCACCTTTTGTGGGTGGTATTCCCCGATCTCAAACACGCCGACAAATCTCGTGCTTCCGGCGCGGCCAAAGGAGAGCTGGCGCTGGGGATACCATTTCCCCCACAGGAAGTCAAAGGTCCACAGAAGAGCTTGTTCTTGTTGTTTCTTGTCCATTGGGACCACCAGAAGGCGGTCACTTGATACGACACAAAAACCCGCAGTATAGACAACGGTCTGAACTTGACCGCCTCTGCAGGCCAAGTGTTTCTTTTGGGAGAGGGAGGAGGGGTGGTCGGTTGAGTCGGACAAGTCTGCAAGTTTGGTAAGTGTCCAGAGAGGGTCGACCACGCCCATGGGCCACGTGGGAAAAGTCATCCCACGCGCCCGTCAGGCTAACAAGGAGCCACAATGCCAACCATTTCCTTCTCTGGTGTTGCGGCTAGTGAGGCGTCAAACCCCCTGCAGGCGCTCCCTCGGCCCCCTGTAGCTTCTAGCTGGTCGTATTCGTGATGACGCCCGCCGAGCAGAGCCACCGGTACCGCTTCGGACTCCTGGAGCTCTGCTTTGGGAGTGTGACCGCCCCCCTGAGATATTTCATTCAGTTGGAAGCGAGGTGAGCCCCCTCTTTCAACTTCCCCAGACCAGCACTGGCAATAACTTCTCTTTCTGCCAAACCTGCAAATTGGAGGGTCTGTGACGCAGGGTCCGAGCTCGAAGTCACGAAGTCGAGTCGTCACCCGTCACGTCGGTCGGCCGGGGAATAAGCGAGAGGGTAAGACAGTCACTGGAGACGTGATGGAACTAATTTCTCCTGAGTCGAAGTGTCAATACTGTAATAATGACAAGGCCAGGAAACGCACCTCTATTGAGGAAAACGCAGGTTTCGAACTGCCTGCCCGCCAAGGGCTATCGTTGCTTCGAGATTAGACTCCATCAGTCTTCCCCGAACACCGTTTGTGGCGTATGACGAACGAGGTTGACTTTAAACCTCTTTGACCGTTAAAGTTGCAGGCTAATCACGTCAATCCACGGCAGCGGTGGGAAGGGTTGGTGGTGGACGCAATTTGCGCAAGAGCTTTGGGGCAAAAAGCCCAAGCTTGCGTGACTGCTGCTGGGGGATTCCTCACAGAGAGTGCTACCAGCGGTCCAGCACAGGTGTCGCCGTCTCAGTCAGATTGGAACAATCAAACTTTGATTGTAGGCAGGGTCTGACGCATGCTGAGAAACACACTTTGTGTGGCATCAACCACCCGGTCAAGGAGTTACGTACAGGTGCTACGTAGCCCCGTCACTTCGGCTGCCATCCTCGTCTATGTTATCAGGCGAAGCTATTTATCATCAGCGACCAGGCAGCCTTGTCGCCGGCCCTATCAGCCCTGTGACCTAATAAACCCTGGCCGGAATTTGGTGAAGGATAGGCAGAAAAGGGAGATCCGGGTGATTGACATCGCTTACAGCCCTGTCTCTGATCACTGCCTCACTCAACAGGGCAACTCTTCCCTTGCTGGCGGAGGACATCCGACGTCCGACGTCCAATTTCGCACCCTATCCAAGTAAGTCAACTCATTGTTTCTAGAAGGACCACAAGGCCAGGGCGACTCCCCCTGGGAGCCCTGGGACGGCGGTGCTAGTCCAAGCGAGCTCTGTACTTGGGCATGCCCTCGATGCCGACGTCAATCCTGAACAAATTTCCAGCAAATTTGGCCGAATCAGGGTATTTGTCAGGTTGGTCCTCGGCTGCACTAGTAATGAACAATTCGGTGCCCGCAAAGGTCGGGCAGGTGATGTTGCGTGTCGGGAGATGGATGACTCCCGTGACGGCACCTTGGGGCGATATGCGGATGACCTTGGAACCCCCGTAGCAGGCGTGCCAGATGTTCCCCTCGACATCCATGGCATGGCCGTCCGGGTGGACGCCCTCCTCTTCCAGGTGAAAGAAGACCCTCTTGTTGGAAATGTCCCCCGTCTGGGGATCGTAGTCAAAGGCGTACACGTTCTGAGGCGGCGAGTCAGTGAGGAACATGGTGTTGTCGTTCGCATTCCAGGTGATGCCGTTGGGGATGGTCATCTTGTCGTGCATCGTGTGCAGCGTTCCGTCGTGGTCGAGGCGAAACAAGCAGCCTTCTTCGGTCAGTTTGGCTATCGTGGGATCAACGAATGCCTCGACCCAGAATCGTCCTTGCGTGTCGACCGCGCCGTCATTCGAGCGCATCCTGAGCGCTGGTGTGAGTTGACATACCCTCTCCAATCGTGTTGCTTGGGAGGTACTCGTCTTACCTTCTCGTCTTGTCCTCAGCATCCGGTCCCCTCCAGTACTTGGCGACATATTCATGCTCTCCGGTTTGGAGGTGGAACTTGGTCACGCCGTCCTTTGCGCCAGCCAAGATGACTTTTGAGGGGTCGACGCCCTCAATGTTTGCCGTGACACCAATGGGCTGTTTGGTATCGATGATTTGGACCGAATCGGGTCCCTTGGCCAGATCGATGATGAAAAGCTTTTTATTGTTGATGTCCTGGTGTTGTCGTGGTCAGATAGGCAAGACAACGGGGGAAACGGGGATGGTCCTTGCTCACGAACCATGTACCGAAGTTCATGTCGTTCTTTGGTATAATAGGGTCCTTCACCCAGGCTGCATTTCGAGGGATAATATGCCTACGAGGTAAAGCTCAGTCAAGTTCCTCGAGGAGCGAGTGGGGGTCAGCCAAACCTCCTTGACGGTCCACTCTTGTATACCCATTGTGTTTTCAATGTTGGATCTTTCTTCGTCCCAATAGTATTCACCAACCCAATGGTCTGCTTGCAAATGGTGCTTACCGACGAGAGAGTGAGTGTTCTTCTGATTCTTGATAAGACGGGAACGTGTGACAACTTTTACATCATCATGATATGGTGGAAATGGAACTGAGCGTCTTTTCTTTTTGCCAAGACCTGCAGCTCAACGGCCCGTTCAAGTCGATGGATTCCACAGCATGCACGGTCTAAGCTATGTTACATGGCCATTATTGGTGGTCTCAACAACGGGAGAACTGGAGCATTTGCCATCGACCGCCATCTATCTCATCATCCTGCTGGGCCATGCCGAAGATGACCCGGATCTCTGCCGGAGTTCCTCGTATATAGCCTGTTTGGCAGGACGCCGCTTGACCCACGGCTCGGGAATCTGCATCCTCAACTATCTGTTGGCATGCATCTTCATAGGCTGCCCCTCATCATGGTCCAAGCCTGGCTGGCCCCTTCGGGCTAACCGATCTATCTCGATTTTCACAATGCTGCCACGCAAAACTTTTGACCACTTGGTCTGCCCTATAGAGCCCTCTCTGTCCTTGATCCCCTATTTCTGTACGATGTGACAGGTTCAGAGCACAGCTTAACTATCCTGTGCAGTTCACTGACCATGAAGGGGGTTCAGCCAGCTTCGACAGCACAGACTGAACAGGCCCACGCGGACTCCGAGTCAGGATGCGCTTGTGGTGTCGCTGGGCCGGAGGATTTGGAGTAAACCAGTGCTTCGAGTGCAGGAATTCGTACCACCCTACAGCGAGCTTCCCAAAGGACGCTCATGTTCTCGCTGCCGGAATGATAAAGGCCTTGAGTGCCAACGTAGCATTCCCGTCGTGTGATCGTAATAGCTCCGTGGCCTTGGTCTTTGATAGATCCAGCTCTTCGACCTGTCCCATAACATTAGCAACTCGTGCACAGTCCCAAAGAGACCACCCAGAACGATACACACCAGAAGATTCACGTCCTCGGCAGCGATTTTGACTTTCTTTTTCACCTCCACCTCCTTCTTCGCCTGGGTCTTGGTGGTGTCTTCCTTCTTCTTGCCCACGCCGCTGGCGATCTCCAGTCTCGACATGGCTTTCCCCAGCGCTTCTTGGTCAGCCGCAGAGGGCTGCCTCGTGCCGCCCTCTCCATTTTCGGTCGACATCTCGTTCGCATTCAGAGAATTGAGCGCCGCCGCGGCCTTGCGGTCCTCGGCATTGTTGGGGAGGTTCTGGGACGTTTCGTCGTCTGCGGCATCCACAGCCGCAGTTGAGGCCGAGGGGATTGGTTCCGCCATCTTGTTCCAGGATGTTCAATCGTTGAGGGAGGGGAAGTACAGAGAAAATGCTGTCGTGCGTTGCAATGTGCAGTGGGCGGAATCTCAATTGTCGCACTTGGCCGGCGAATAATCCACCGTTGTTGGCCGCTAGCTGTAAATGGAATAGCGCTATATCAGGCCATTCGAGTTCTTGACTTCAACTTCCGACATCTTTTTTTTCACCGACATATGGTGAAAGTAGAAGGGCTCAATATTTGATCCTGAACAAGGATATTCTTTAGGTTGTACTGCTGAGCGTCTAAGGAGTCTTGATGTCTCTCGGCTTACAACTACATTGCCCCATTTTCTTCTGGCAGTGACTCATCCCTTGTATTATACCTCTTGCATTCTGATTTTGGAAAGCCATCTTCTGAACGTGCTTGCGGGTCTCAGCGATTGTCCTCGACAGCATAGCTTGCTTTGGGACCTTCAAATCGTGTAGAGGAACGTTCGTCCATTCCGGGGAGTCGGCCCAAAGACATCGAGGAAGAAACTGCACGAAACGCCAACCACTATACCATGGCGACAAACGGCACTTCCAAACACGCCGTAACCGGGCCCTGGACGCCCTCTAGCTGGAAGACCAAGCCCATCGTCCAGTCCGTCCAGTACAGCGACGCCAAGGCCTTCGACGCCTCCGTCCAGAAACTGAACACGCTGCCGCCGCTGGTCACGCCGCAGGAAATTGTGAAGTTGAAGAACGAACTCCGCGAGGTCGCCCGGGGCAATGCCTTCCTCCTCCAGGGCGGCGACTGCGCTGAGCTGTTCGACTACTGCACGCAAGAGATGATCGAAGCCAAAGTCAAGCTCCTCCTCCAGATGTCGCTGGTCCTGATCTACGGCGCTAAGAAGAAGGTCGTCCGCGTCGCCCGCATGGCCGGCCAGTACGCGAAGCCGCGCTCGTCCCCGACCGAGGTCGTCGACGGCGTCTCCATGCCCAGCTTCCGCGGTGACATCCTGAACAGCTACGAGGCCGACCCGGCGTTGCGGGAGCCGGACCCCAAGAGGCTGGTGGATGCGTACTTCCACTCGGCCGCCACACAGAATTACCTGCGCGCCGCCCTGGCCAGCGGCCTCGCCGACCTCCATGCGCCCCTCGACTGGAGTCTGGGTCACGTCCGGGACCCCACCGTGCGGGACAAATACCAGGTCATCGTGGAGCGGATCACCGACACGCTGGACATGATGCGCACCATCGGACTGGACACGGGCGGCGGGCTGGAGACGGTTGACCTGTTCACCTCGCACGAGGGACTGCTGCTGGAATACGAGCAATCCCTGACCCGAAAGTTCAAACACCCGGCAAACCACCAACACCATCAACCAACCGCCTCCCTTCGCCCTTCCTCGCCCATCAGTAGTCACCACCAAACCCCGTCCAAGACCCGCAAGACGTCCCTGCCGACACAGCTCCCGCCCCCTTTGCCCCCGACCAAAGGCTACTACGACACCTCGGCACACATGCTCTGGATCGGCGACCGCACGCGCCAGCTGACACACTCGCACGTCGAGTTCTTCCGGGGCATCGCGAACCCCATCGGCGTCAAGGTCGGCCCGAGCATGCCCGCGGCGGACCTGGTCCCGCTGCTCGACATCCTCAACCCGGACCACGAAGTCGGCAAGATCGTCCTGATCACCCGCTACGGCTGCGACAAGATCGCCGCCCACCTGCCGGGTCACATCCGCGCGGTGCAGCAGTCGCGACACCAGGGCACCGTGGTGTGGCAGTGCGACCCCATGCACGGCAACGGCCGCAACGCCACTGTCGCCGTTCCTGCGCCGGTCGAACCAGCAGCCGTCGGACCATCGTCTTCCACAACCTCCTCCGCAGGGCAACCTCCTTCAACCACGACGACTACGACGACGATCAAGACCCGCCGCTTCTCTGACATCCTCAGCGAACTGCACCAGGCCCTGCAGATCCACCGCGCGCACGCGTCGTACCTGGGTGGCGTGCACCTGGAGCTGACGGGCGAGGCCGTGACTGAGTGCATCGGCGGCGCCGAGGGCCTGACCGAGGCCCACCTCAGCCTCAACTACGCCACCTTCTGCGACCCGCGGCTCAACGAGAAGCAGGCCCTCGAGCTGGCCTTTCTCGTCGCCGGGTTTTATCGGGATGATGCCGCCGCCGCCGCCACGGCGGCGTGACTGAGTGAGTGAGTCTCAGGATGGAGAGAGGAAAGAGGGGGAGGAAGAAGAGGAAAAGGAGGAGCAGGAGGAAGGGAAAAAGACGGGATATGTATGCCATAGTTCAGTGGTTCATGACAGACAGGGATGTCGGACGGCAGACGACAGACGACAGCACGGTGTATGTATGGTGGCATGTACCTACGGTTCATGATATCCGCATGGCCATATGGATCGATCATCCGATAATAACCCGGTTCAGAAAAACTGGGCGCAGGGTAGGGATGAATGGTGGAAGGACAGAACGACGTCCACGAATTGAATCAACTCGAATCAGATCAGATCAAAACTGCTGTGGTTCTTCCTTCTTCATATGCATTGTTCATGTTTTCATTCTCAAACCCAGTCTCAACCAAGAATCCAGTCCAGTCCAACCGTAACGCCAAACTCGCAGGATTTCCATCCAAATGTCTCGAGATACCCGCATTTCCAAGGCTAGAGTCGCTCTGCTCGGTCTATATACTTCCGAAACGTGCTTCCCGCCCAAGAACTAACCACGTGAAACTTCCTCTCGCCGGCCAAGATCGCATCACTCCTTTCTCAGTGGACTCCCGAAACGAGGTTGAAATCCCACTCCAGCAACACCCACACCCAGAGTCTTCCTCCTGGCATCTAGCACACCTTTGCCCGATTTGCCCTTCATTTTGACGTGGAACTTCTGCCCGCCAGTTGCTGTTCCCCCAGCAGCGCCGGCATCATCGTCATCACGATCGAAGATGCTCTTGTTGATCTGCTTCGGCGGAGCGCTCATCTGCACCAGCTCCCGTCCCTTTGCAACGAGATAAGGAGTCAACGGCGTAGCTGCCGTGCGAGGATCGTAGTCCACATCCAAGGAAACAGACTTTGGCGTCGATATGGCTGCGGTATTCGTTTTGCGCTCGACTGAAGCAGGCGTCTCACAGTCCTGCTGAGCCATCAGAACACCCACGTTGGCAGTGTCACCACCTCCCCAGACGGTCGCGGCGGTTGGTGAGTTGTACGTCGAACTAATCTCCGATTCGTCTTCGACCCCGATGCAGCTTCGGGGATGCTCAACATGTCCAAATACCTCGTTTCCCCTAACCGGCGTGTTGATCAACTCCTGCTTCATCCTCCCAGTCAATCCCGCGTACTCCGCAGAGAGGCTTCGCCGTTGCTCCCTGCTTGCAGAAAGTAGACCATTTTCGTTGACGAGCATTCTGGGCTCCATGGATTTGCGTCTCCTAGATCCGCCGCGAGGCATGATACTTGCATCGACGGCGTAAGCAGACTCATCTAGCCACTTGATTTCACGCATGCAGTCTAGGACCCAGCCAACCCCAACACAAAGAACTTGGCCCTTGGCCGCGCGAACCTTTTCCAATGTGCGTTTTCCACCATCCTTGTAGACGACATGTGTAATCCCGACGTTCGCAATTGGTGCCTCCGAGTCAGTAGAGTCTTGGTTAATGCTGGCTCTCGGATTCCACCTCCACTCTCTGACCACTCGCGCTCCCATAGATGTGAGCATGTCGATGTAGAAGGCAGAAGCATCCATCCCTTCGCTGGTGTGGATATCGGTATGGACAACTGCTCCATGGAGAACCCCATTTCCGACCTGCTTTAAGGGATTCCGGCCTGTTTGTGGAGTCTTGGTCGCAGATTTCGGCTTCTGTTGAGTGCTGGGAGCTTTGGCTCTGGCGTTAGTAGCAGGTGTCTTGGACGCGGAGGCAGCTCCTTTCGAGGGCGTGAATTTTGGAGTGGCTGTGACCCGGCTAGTGCTTGACTTTGTGCTCATGGCGTAGCGAGGTGTGTTGGCCGTGTTTGATTGCGCGGTAGAAGAGACAATGCTGCTTCTCTTCGATGTGGCCGCTGGCGTTCTGAACAAGGCAGAGCCAACAGTCAAAAAACTCTCATCCTGATAAGCATCTTCGGTCTCGACATCATCAGACGTCAGCTCTTCCTCCGGTAGCTCGATCCCATCAAGTGTGCTATCACCAAAGTCTTCGATGCAAAAGCTCATCTGACCAGGAGTTGACAACCCTGTGGCGAGTGAATTTGCTGGACTTGGTGCCGCACTGCGAATGCGCCGCTGAGGCGACACGACCGACGCGACGTTCGCCTTCGGGGTTGCAAGAGGGTTCATTTCAAAAGAGGGGGCTTCCAAGCTGGGACCTAAGCTACGTCTCTTGACGGCTTGGACGTGCGAAGAAGACAGCGACCTCGGCCTTTTTCTCTGCACTTTGAGCGGCGACGAAGCAGGAGCCACTGCTCCTTCAGGCCGAAGAGGGACCTTGGACACCACGGTATGAACGACTCTTGGGAGACTGGGGTCTGGTCGTACTGGAGTCACGCTGAAATCCATTTCCTGCATGGCAGAGTCGACCTTCGCAGGAGTGCAGTCGTTCCTAGACGGCGAGGTCTCTATGCTCATTGCGGTGACTTCAAACAACTGGTCCTCTGTGTTTGATGGTGCGTTCATGGCATCCTCTTGTTCCTCTGCATACTCAGAAACGCCGTGACCATCCTCGTCATGACATTCTTCTGGTTCGACGATCACTTTGGCGTGGCATTCGGCGCTCTCCTCGGTGGGCAATTCTTCCGTTTCGTCGGTGTCAGACTCCTCTGTCGCAGATTGCTCGACGGGAGCTGTGTTTTCATCACCATATGAGCCAGAAGAAGTTGAGACCGATAGCATAGATTGCTCCTCGTTAACCGTTTCGAGCATCACAGTGGGGACGGTCGCGTTGGCCTCCTGCTCGTCAGCAGTAGCTTCCTCGTCATGTTCTTCCTGAGCTGCGAGATCTTCGGCTTCGTGTGCCAGGGCCTTGAAATCGACCATGGCGGTATCGGATGCGTTGATATAGTTGACCAGGTCGGTCGTCAACTCTTCGCTTGATTTTGCCATATCTTCTCCGGAAGTAGCCTCAGCTTCACTGTCCACCTCATCATTCACTTGGTCAGAAGTATCACGCTCCGAGGTGTCTTGCGGGATCAAGTTGTGAAGATCCTCATCATCTGCCGCAGCAGCATCAGCTCCTACCTGAACCTCAAAGTCGAGCGCAGCCATCCCTTCGGCGAAAAAGTCCGGTCTCGAAGGGCTCTCGGTCAGTGAAGGAGCCAGAGAATGCCGGCTGGCCGTTGACTTTCGTTTGGAAGCTTCGCGACCTGGAGTATCTGGCCTGCTCAACTCGACTGAGCCGGCGATGTGCATCTGAGCAACAGGCGAAAACAGCCCCCGGGACTTTGCAGTGACAGCAGTTTTCTTCTCAGGACTAGCAGCACGCCAACCTTGGACTTGCGCCGCCAGAGGAGTGAAGCCCAGGTTCTTGGATGCGCTCTGCGGCACGACTCCAGTCGAGATACGAGACCGAATTCCGGCACTGGTCATGCTTGGTCCGAAAGTGGGCTTGAAAACTCGGTTGGCTGGGGTCTGATCTCCAGCGAGCTCATCGTCAGAATCGTCGTCGACCTCCCGAACGCGGTTGAAGAGAGCGTCTGACATTCTTGGCTTCTTGACCGAAGTCCCGACAGTTTGTTGGAAATCTTCAGCAGTGTGAGCCTGATTTTCTCGGGGATCAATAATGCCCGATCCCTCCTCTTCGTCAGAAGCCTCACTCTGTTCAAGTTTGGGATCCGCAATGGTCTCGTCCGCCTCAACGGGAACTGCAGCTGTGTTGTCAATGGCATGGACCTCCATGCATTCTCCATAGCCGTCTCCCTCCACAGGTGAATGTACATCGTCCTCAACCGGGGGATCATCCACGACCATTTCCTCGGCCAGGGTCTCGGAAACTGGCTTGACCTTGTCCACCTTGAGAGGGCTTCTGATATTTAGAACGGACTGGTCAAAGTCCATCTCCACGTTGCGTTCTTCGGCCAACTCATCTTCACTCAGTCTATACAACTTGGCAGACCGCTGCGGTGACATGGAAGATCTGAAATGCGAAGACACTGCAATTTCTTCGCTTTCTTCATGTGGCGGCCCTGCCTCGTCGTGATTTGGCGATTCGGGCGACTCTTGCTCGGGAATTCTCCTGAATGAGGGTGTCATCTGAGCAGGCGTCCTCTGCTTCGAAGGCGAGAAGAGCCGTCGGGCAGGTGAAGACAACAAAGACGTCTTAAGCGGAGTGGTTCGCGACTTTACGGCCGACGGGGGAAAGACCATTTTATCAGACAAACCTCGCTTTGGGGATTGATGAAGAATGGATTGGGTATAGGAAGGGTCCAGAACCAAAGAGCCGCCGATATGAGCGTCCGGCACACTGGCTCGGAAGACTGTGACGCCTTCAGGCGCTCGTCGAGGGGACTCCTTCAACGAGTCCTTGGCTGGGGAAGCCGGTCGTCGCGGCGGACTCAGCATGCCCATAATCGCTGATGCATCGCTTTTCTGAGGCGATGCCAAGTGGAGGCCGGGCGAGAAGTCGAGTCTCTTGACAGGCGACAACGGTCGTGTCGCTGCGGCGGCAAGTCCACGCTTGGGCGAGAGGCTGAGATCGCGGACTGGAGTCTTCGCTCCCGCCAGTTCATCTTCCTCATCATCGTCAGTGTCTGCGGGCATTGCCTTGGCGACTTGTGTAATCTTCTTGGGGGTCAACGCTCGATCCTGGATCTTGCTGGTGGTCTCGCCTGCTGTTTGAGGTCTGGATTTTACTGGTTTGGCTGCACCTGTTGCTCGGGTGGTTTTCGTTACTCTAGTAGTAGCAGGCTTCCGGATCGGTTTAGCACGCATGCCGGTGGCCGCCGTCTCAGCCTTGTTAAGGGCAGCCGATTTTGTGCTCTTGGTCTTGGTCATGTTCCTGGGACGTTTGTTCTCTTTCTCATCGTCATCCTCGGGGAGCGCCTCGAAAGTAACCTTCTTCTTCGTAGGGATCATAACACTAATTGTAGGCTCTGCGACGACAGAGGAATTCGTCGAGCCGGCCCTCGCTCGAGTCTGTCTAGTAGTGGTAGGCGCAGATTTGGTATCTTCGACTGGTGGTGCAAGGACCTTCTCCTTCCTCGACCTTCCACGCGACTTGGCTGCCGTAGACGTGGACTCCTGCGGCGGCTCTTCCTCTGGCTCCATTTCAGACTGGGCAGTCCGACCTCGTCCACGCTTCTTGGGCTCTGGATTCGCATTCTCCGCGTTGGCACCCTTGCTCTGTTTACTGGTGACAGTCTCTTTCTTAGTTCGTGAAGTAGCTGGCCTTGTTTCTTCTTGCGTGGCCTTTTCCTTCTTCGCCCTTGCGGATGGCTTCTTTTCCGGCTTGACTTCTTCCGCAGGCGGCGGAGCGGCAGGCTCAGGGTGAGTCTCATTCGGAATCAATGGCGTGACCTTGACTCGTCGTCTCGGTGCTGCCGCGAGACCAGCAGTCGCGGCGGGAGCTGAGGTGTTTGCGGTGGTCCTCGTGGATGTCCTCGACGGCTTGACTGGTGGCTTTGTAACTGCGACCTCCACCGCAACTTCTTCGTCGTCGTCGTCGTCGTCGTCATGTTCACTGTCGTCTTCTTTCTCTACGGGTGCCGGCTTGGCAGACCTCGTGCTTACTCGTCCGCCCTTTGTCGTCTTACTCGCAGTTGTAGATGCGGACTTCTTGGTCACCCGCGATTTGGCCTCCAGGGCCTGTGCCCGACTGGTGGTAGGGACGGCAGAGGCTTTGGTGGTTCGGCGCTTGGGTGCTTCTGCAGTTGTTGTCGAAGCAGCAGCATCGGCGCCGGCTGCTCGGGCGCGGGTGACACGTCGAGGTTTTGCTGGGCTCACAGCTTTCCTCGGCGCCATGGTCACGGTTCCAGCGTTACAACACCGGAAATCACGGCTTGGAAGGAGAGGGATTGTGGTGCTGAGTGCTCTGCGAAAGCACGAGCCACGCAGAAGAGCTGTTGTTAGTAGTACTGAGTAGCAGATGGGCGAATGCGGGGGAGACGAGAGATTTGAGACTCAATGCACAAGCGATTGTTTACATTCGAGATGTTGATGTGGCCGAATCTGGCTTAGTGCCGACACTCCCCAAAATATGCGCTTTGATTGGCTGGCACGGTCGGCACGAGGCTGATCTGAAAATCTCAATCATCTCGTCACGATCAAGAGCTTTTGAGCCATGTTTTTTCCGTGGATTGATATGTGATATATATTTTCATTAATGGTCGTTTCTATGATTGTTGATACCCAGTCACCCCAGCTTTTATCCCAATCCAATGCACACCAATTTTATGTATACTAGTATGGACATGTCAGATTACTTATTATTACCCCAAACGCTGCGCTTAGCAGGTCAACGAGTACAGCGGCGTGGTTGGAGGAGGTGAACCAGCACCCACGACACCAAAACTTGGGCTGGCTCCACTGTCCTGGAGGGTGTACCACCAAGTGTTGATGCCTTCGCCGAAGGCGGTGCATCCGACAGCATCATAGTAAGTCTGCGCATTCTCGACCGAGGCAACAGCTTCTCCGCTGTTCGCACCTGACACGGGCCAGCCGGTCTCGGTAATCCAGACAGGCTTACCCTGGGAGGCAGCAGTGGTATCGTCATAGTCACCCCAGAAGGTCGCGTTGGCATTCTGGATGCTGTTTGCTTTGGTGGTTTCGTACCACGGATAGGCGTCGACACCGAGGAAGTCGCAGGCTCCAATAAGATCGTTCTGGCTGGAGTTGGTCCAGACATTATAGGTGTCGACATGGCCGACAGGCTTGCCTGCCGCCGAGGTGCCGGCGATGGCGGATCGAACTTGATTGATATAGTTGATAATCGTAGCGGGGCCCACTCCAGCGCCAGAGTTATTCTCGACGCCGATAGGGGTGATGCGATAGATATCTTCGCTGCCCACACTGATGCCGGCAATCAAATCGGTAAAGGCGGTGCCATACTGGGTAATGGCGGCTTTGAGCGCGGCGAGCTCATTGGCGAAATCCGCATCGCCAGCCGACGCCCACAAGCCCAGCAGGAGTGTCGTGCCGGTGTCGATGGCGGCAGGGATGGCCGAGATGGGCGTGTTGGTGGTACCGTCTTGGATCATGGTGTACAAGCGAGCAGACGTAAAGCCCAAGGCCTTGGCCGAATTGAACTGGCCCTCAAAGGCGGACTGGTCGTTGCCAGAAGAACCATAATTGAAACCCTTGTAGGCAGCCAGGGTGGAAGGAAGGGCAGCCAGGAGGGCGAGGATCTGCGAGGGACGCATGTTTGTGTAAATATGTGATGTGTTTTATAATGCTGTAACGAGCGTGACGAGTCGATAGATCAAGGGAAATGAAGATGTTATATAGTTACAGAAAAATTTGGACGGGACGAGCAATGAGCTGCAGACAGGGCTGGAGCACGGGGCAGGCCACGAATATGTAAGATGCAAGATGGTTGGGGCAAAGGGCAAAGCTTGAACAGCAGGGGAATGTTCTACCACATCCTGACTTCAAGTGGCGGCGAGATCGAGGCGCAGGGCAAGCAGCTGATGGTGGGTGGTGGAGGGGGAGTGAGCGAAAAAGCAGCCGTTCAATAATGGGGCTCGATCATCGAAGCCTGTTCCTCGCTTGCGGGTGAAGCCATGTCTAGGTAGGGAAAAAATTCTGATGGGATTGGTGACGTAGACGAGGAGGAGAGACAAACTCCCAGTATAGCTGCACCGAGTACCTATTACTTACTGTACCTGCATCATACGAGCGAAGCGACGAGTGAAAACCTTGAAATGCGGGCAAAAAGTTGCTCGGTGGAGTCACGTTGAGTCGCATTGACTTGTCCGCCTGAAACTCGTCCATTCACAGTCTTTGCTTTGCGGGGCCACGGACTTCCACAGCCTACCGAGTACAGTAGGTACATACAGTATGGACGAGGGACAGTAGGTACAGTATGGACGAGGGACAGTAGGTACAGTATGAGAAGAAGAGGAAGGACGACTCTACCTGCAGTACCAACGTGCAAGATATGATGGTGGGATTCTACATACGCCATACAAGTACATACATGACTCATAGCTTCATGCCCAGTGCCTTGTGCACCTTCAAGCTCTGTCGCATACTCAGATCCAGCATGATTTCCTCGCTGCCTCCCGGGATCTTGTACGCCAGCGTGTCACGGTACAGTCGCTCAATCTTCCCTCCTTGTCCGCCACGTGAATAGGCCAGACCGCCAAACACCTGGGCCGCCTCCTTGGTGCAGAACTCGAATGTCGTGGTCGCTTGAGCCTTGAGCCCCGCGATGGCACCTCCCAACCGGAGCATGGCCTCCGTCTCACCCATCCGCTGGCATTGGTATACCAGATTCTCCAGCCAGTTGTAGCTGGCCTCGATTTGGCGCGCCATGTGAGCCAGCTTCATGCGGATGACCGGGTGGTTGATGAGTTTCTGTCCAAACGTCTTCCTCTTGGACGCATACTTGACACACTCTTCGAAACACACGCGGGAGAAACGCAGGCACTGGATGATGATGCCGATTCTTTCGTGGTTGAAGTTGGTCATGATCACTGTTGTGGGCTTGAATCAGCGGCTGATATCCTCGACAGTGGCCAGTCCTTTTTCTTACCTTGGAAACCTTTGTTGACCTTGCCTAGGACATTCTCCACAGGCACCTTGACGTCTTCAAATGTCACGTAGGTGGTTCCGCTGCTCCAAACACCTTGACAGTCCATGCGTCGGGTGCTCACTCCCTCAGTGCGCTCGATCAACAAGAGACTGATGCCGCCCATTCCCGGACCACCAGTCCTCACCGCGGTCGTGAAGTAGTCGCACCAGATGCCGTTGGTAATCCACTTCTTCTCGCCGTTGACAATGAAATGCTTGCCATCTTCGGATAGCTTGGCTTCGCACGTGAGATTGGCAACGTCGGAACCGGCGTCGGGCTCGGTGATAGCCAGGCATATTCTCTTGTCCCCAGCCAGGATACCCGGGAGAATGCGATTGACGAGCTCCTTCTTACCGTACTTGATCAACGGAGGACACCCAATCCCGAAGCCTCCAATCAGGTTCCACACCAACCCACCGGAACCGGTTCGCGACAGCTCGTCCGTTAGGAGCATTTCGTGGAACAGGTCCCACTTCTCGGGGGGGACACTCTTGACGGGGTTCTTGACCAGGTGCGTCGGGTACTTGACTCCCAAAAGACCGGCCAGATAGCCTCGTTCTCCCATCTTTTTGTAGATCTCGTCGGGCACTTTCTTACCCTCATCCCACTCCGTCACGTAGGGCTCGATCTCGTTCTCGACCCATTCCCGCACTTCGGCACGGAGGGCCGCGTGAGTCTCGTTGTAGTAGGGAGAATGGTACTGTTGCCCGTTTAGTCGACGCCACCCGGTGATTGGGGAAGCCTTCCACGTACACCTTGATACCAGCTGGGGTCGCCAAAGGGAATCAGAGACCCAAAGGGATCCAACGCCTCCGCTTCCTCTGCAGCCGCCGGGCCCGGTGACGGAGCGACGGTACCAGGTTCTGCCTGCGGCTGGACCTTTTCCGCGGGAGGGGTCGCGGGCGGCGTGGGCGGTGCCTCAACCTTCTTGGTGTCTAACGAGCCGACCTGCAACCTGGCCTTGTATTTCTTGAGGATCCCCTCATTGTGGTATTTCCAGAACTGCTTCGAGGCGTCTTTTCCAGCCACGCGCTGCAGGACTGTCCCAGCGCGTGATTAGTCGACGTGCAACCAGAGGTCAAGGTCGGTCGGATACTCACTCTTCTTCCCACCTGTTCAGCCCGGGGGTCAGTATGTATGGCTTTTCCAACGGCGGGAAGGCACGGGGATGGGGCATTCATCGACTGACCGGGATGCTCGTCTTGGAATTTGGTCAGGTCGTAGACATCCTCGTCGACGATGATGTAGAGGTTGTCGGCCTTGTTGTGCGAGGCAACATCCGCAGTCGAGAATCGTTTGGACATGGTGGCCCTGCTTCTGGACCTAGATCAGAATGGAAGATGAAATGCGAAGCACACCAAGTAGGTAGGAACAGGCACAACAAGGACTTTTGGGTGAAACGGAGAATGGATCAAGGAAAAGGGAATAATAATCAGGGAGAAGAATGCAGTCAGGTTGTAAAGGGAGGGAGGGAGTGAGCGACGTCAGGTTGATCATTGTTTTCACATGCCCCCGGCAGTCTTAGACCAGGAACCCACACGCCGGCGCCCGCATAACATCATGGCCGAGTTACTACTGTCAAGCAGCGTAGGTCACGCTCCTCCACAGAAAAAGGAATCAAGTTACTGTAACCCGGGGACTCCGATGATTGTTTGGGTCCATTTACCCGTCGCTTGATTCGTTGTTTGGTCGTGTCAGATGATGTTCCTGGCGGATCGATGACAATCTCACAGGTGCCGAGGCATTCCGTTGTCTGTACATCATAAAGCCATCACATGCCAGCCACTATTATTGAAGACAATTTGCAATGTGCATCAGCACGTGCTCAGCTCTCGCCGTCATGTTCATCTAAATACTCGGGACTAGGAATTTGTACGAGGCAATACAACTGTAACACAGCCTATTCACCGCCCGTGCCTCCAGTATTTGCCCGTTCTCTCAGCCGCCGTCCTTCCATCAATCCTCGTAATCCCCGTTTCTGAAGCCCAATCACTGAGCTGAGATCGCCGGTCCATATTTCTTGAGACTCCTTATCTCCATGTCCATTGTGCTCGGCGTTGTCGTCCTGTCCCGAAGTCTCGGTGTCCGTCCGGGACATATCAGTCGACGTCGACGCCGAAGTCGCTGTCGATGCGGAATCCATCGAGCTCGACTTCCCGTGTCCTCTCTTCTTACTAGGCTCCTCATAGTTTGTCGCCAGTTTGAGCCCAGCAGCCTTGCTTGCGAGACCCGAGGTCGACTCTGCAATGGTGGTGGCTTCGCTCTCGCGTCGACCCATGTGAACCAGGTTGCCGCCGGCAGCACCCCGGAGGCCTCGACCACCTCCTGCAGCCATAGCAGCCGCGTTGAAGACTGCCGCCGAGTTTCGCCCTTCCAATACCTCATGCAACCGTTCGACGGTCGCTTCAAGCAGTCCGTCGACCTGGTAAGGTCTGGCCATCTGTAACAGAGAGCAGAGCGTTTGTGGTGTGCACAACGGTGACCCGACCGGCGGCAGCGAAGACGTGTAGAGAAAGTGCAGCAACAGGTGAATCGTGGGAGCCATGTGAGGCAGATACAAGGATCTCGGGCGACTCGACGGGGGAATGTTCATGGTGTTGGGCAACTCGACCAGTGTTCTGGTCGTCGACCGACTCAGTGATCTTTGCGGATCCAAGATCCCGTCACTCCCTGCTCCAGACACCGCCAGGCCGTTCGCCACAGCCGGGGTGATGGTCAGCGAAGAGTTGCGGCTGGCCTGTGACCGCATGCTTGGCCTCAGCGTGGCGCCGTCCGAAAGACTGACGTTCTCGTGAGTAGAAACAGACTCGGCCAGCAGCCGATTGAAGAAAGGACCCCAGCGTCGGGACAGAATGTACGAGTTGCACGGAATCTTTTCGCCGCCCAATGCCACAATCTCCATGTCGGACAGCTCGGCCAGACTCAAAGCTGCTTGGCCGAGTTGTTCGGCGGTGCTGTTGAACGGTCTTCCGCCGGCTGCTTGTCCTAGAAGACTCGATTGCATCGACGGGGGAATGTTCGGAGCAGATACCGACACATAACCCGAGGTCGGGGCCATTCTTCGGGGGTTGTCATAAAGGCCAAACGCCTCCAGCTCAACCATGCAAACGTGACTGAAATTGATCCGGCGATGGTTGTAGTCGTCCACCAGGCTCCGCTTCCGGTTCCCCAGAATGACAAAGGTATTCCTCCGGTTCCACAACACCCCTCGGTTCCAGCTCCCTTGCGAAAAAATCGACCCGTTCGTGTCAATCCGCACCCAGGTAAGAGTCTTGAGATTAAGCGCCCAGAGCGCATACTCGTGTTTGGACGAAGTCAAGTATGTCCCGCTGACCACGAACTGGCTGTCGATGACGCCGCCGTTGGGAAAGCGCAGCCCAGGCGGAGACACGGATCCGGTCACGGTCTTGTCCTCTATGGTCCCGTCGGGTAACCGGACTTGCAGCTCAAGCTTGACATCCAGAAAATTGTAGTTGGAGTATATCAGCATCGACGTCCCGGGATGCGAACTTGCGCTCTGGACCTGGGGATCGTCCAGCGGAACCCCTTGGCCGATGAGCTCCGCCGACAATCCTGTCAAGGGCGCGACCATGCTCTTATATGCTCCACATTTGCGGTCCCAATCTGTCGTGCCTGTCCACTTTAGACTGCGCAGGTTGAAAACGCTGAATTGCTCGATATAACTATTGGTGCTGTCTTGCCCACCGGCGACGATCATTTCTGCGCCTCCTGTTCCGTCCAATTGGACTCCCAACGTGCCCGAGTGAGGATCGGACGAGGGTGGATTGTGCTGGATGGCGGAGAGTGGAGCGTTGGCAGACGTAAAAACGGCGCAGGATGGCAGGATGGTCGCACAGTGAGCGTACCGCCCTTGGGGATGTTCCGGGGTCGATATCAGGGTCCATGTCCGTGTTGGCACATCGAAGATATGGATATCGGACATGACCACGACCTCGGGTTGGCCTTCTGGCTTGCCCTGTTGAGCCGGGGGCGCAGGGGTCCTGTGTGGTGCGGGTGACATGCCACCATAGCAAACCAGCTTCGAGTCCCCGAGGGCGCAGACGCTGTGAAAGTATCGGGGAGGCGGAACATCCCCTAGTGCATCGACCTTGGTCCAATGTCGGCGGATGAGATCAAGCTCGTAGAGGTCCGAAGATAACTGTGGTTTCGTTCGAGAATGTACTCTCCCCCCGAAAACATACAATTTGTCCCCTAGTATTGTTGTCGTTGCCCCAACCAGGCCCGGGGGCTCGTCTCCTGTCGTCCGGTGCACATTGCAAACTAGGCCCGACAAGTTCGTCGGAGCAGAGGTATGCTGAGAGGCGGAAGAAAATATGCCGATATTTCCACCGGCTTGGTCCATTGGTTTGTTCACACCATTTGTGCCGTCGTTGCTCGCCTCCGAAGAAACAAGGCTTACTTGGCTGTTGTTCATTTCCACCCGTTTGATCGTGGACACTGGGTCCCTTTCCTCCTCGCAGTCTCGTAGTCCTGCCGCGGAACACGGGCCAGCCTCATCCGAATGTCTCGAGTCCGGAGGACGGCTGTTCAGTGTCGGAGTCGTTGGTGATGAATTAGTGGTCTGTAGTGTCCGGGTATCGGATTGTGACGTAGCGGAGTACAGTTCTCTAGTAAACGACGGTTGTGCAAACTCGGGAATTATTATGGGTACATATCGTGGCAATCGTGTGGTACTGGAAGACTTCGTAGCCGGGTCTGGCACATAATCATGGACTGGTAACTTCGTTAATCGATACCTAGAAACCTCGCTTGGTGTCTGTCGCGAGGGTACCGAGAGAGCAGAGCTTTCTGTTGTCACCGACGGCAAGGACGGAGTCTGCCAGAGAGTGAAAACGCTGGAAACCACGCCTTTGGGGCGGCTGTCTGTGGCTACCTGCGATATGGGCGGCCAGTGGTGTTCCTCAGGTGATGGTGGGTCAAGATGTGAAGTGAGGAACCGCGACTCCCTTAGCTGAGGAATAGAATCCTGCTTCCCAGCACTCTTTCGTCGAAACCTAGTCATGACTGTCAGCTCCAGTTCTAAGAGGGCAATTTGCAAGGACCACAGCAATATGACAAATGAGCAGACAACATGAACAGAGTGGGAAAGAGCATTATCGATCATAGAGCATGACGGGGAAGTTCCCCTTTTTCGATCTTGTAGGCCATCGCGAGCAAGGGTACAGGCACACGCGTTCGTTTGTCCCAGCCGGCCATATTGAGGGCGAGGCAGGCGGGATCGAAATTGGGCAGCAAAGGTGGCGCAAAGATCTCATGAACGCAGAGGGAGAAAAGATAGACCACTGACCGAGAGGACAAAGAACCTGTCTCGGGATGTCGCTTTTTTCGTGAAGGGTCGTTTTCTCTCCCGTGTCACTCGGGCAGGTGTCAGCGAAAAGGGGCGGGGAGATGGAAATCTATCGACGAAAACCCGACCGCGATCAATTGAAGAGAGAGAAGGCTTACAAACGTCATGCGAGGTTGGATCTGAAGAAGAAGAAAATGTCCAGATCTGTACAACTGGGTCTCGGTGGAGGACTGTAGGAGAATTATGAGGACATTGGGGGGAATTTTGTGTAGCGGAAGAGGAGTTTGTTCCATGTCAGGTCTAGATGGGATTTTTTTCCCTGCGCAGAAGTCAGAGCTACGGCTGGCACTGGCACTCACCCAGGCACTGTTACTGGCGCAGTCCCTGACACGGGTGGGCACTGGGGGGGCAAAGAAGCGATGTTAAAGGGAGCTGCCGCCCCGCCAAGCCGGCTACTAGCAGCCTTAAAGGGCTTGTGGCAGCCAATTGTCCTGCTCCGGGTCCTCTCCAGGTTCCGGACAGGTCCAGGTACTTACCCATGACCAGGTTCAGGGGCTGAAGGGGCGAGAGGAGCACGAGCAAGTATGGGGTACTTCGTCCTGCTCTGTCATTGCTTGACCTGAAATCAGTGGTACGTCGATAAGACCAACAGACACGACCCGCCTGGAAACAATCTCAAATCAGATGTCTGCAATCTGTTCGCGCTGACACATGTCGTAGAACGAGCTTTCATTTGTATACGGAGTCGAATCCCGTGGTTGTTTCTTCACAGGCGCTTTTCAACGCCACTACCTATTTAGTGGTATCAAATTTATGTCCCGTCATCTTCTTTCCACCCCCCTAAGCAGCGCTGGTCTTCTCCTTGGGCAGTGGTGTGGTTCGAAGGTATGGCTTGATAATTTTCATCTCGGGGAAGATGTCCTTCGCCTGCTCGGTCTTGACGCTGGGGTGAACAATCACATCGTCACCGGGCACCCAGTTGATCGGGGTGGTGACCTTGTGCTTGTCGCCAGTCTGCAGCGAGTCGACGATTCGGAGCACTTCGGCCGTGTTGCGACCGGTCGACGCAGGGTAGGACAGGATGGTGCGGATGACCTTCTTCGGGTCAATAACGAAGACGGATCGGATGGTGAAGGCAATGCCCTTTTCATCCACGTTGGTCGCATCCTGGTGGTCAATCATGTCGTAGAGGAGCGCAATTTGTCTGTTCTTGTCACCGATAATGGGGAATTCCAGATTGCTGCCGCTGATCTCGTTGATGTCCTTGATCCACTCTCCGTGACTGTCAATGGTGTTGGCCGAAAGCCCAATCAACTTGACGCCTCTTCTTGTGAATTCTGGCTCTAATTTTGCGAAGGCGCCCAACTCGGTCGTGCAGACCGGGGTGAAGTCTTCCGGGTGCGAGAAGAGAACGACCCAGTTGTTGCCGATGAACTCGTGGAAATCGATGGGGCCTTTGGTGGTCTGGGCTTGGAAGTTGGGGGCAATTGAGCCCAGACGAAGGCTAGAGGATCGTTAGTAATGCTCTTTCTGGAGTTCAGACAGGTTTGATAGAGAGAGAGAGGCCACGTACGGTTCGGGGCGGTCGGTAGATCCCATTTTCTCTGAGGGTGTCTGTGTGTAGTGTTGCAAATTGGTTCAAGCGGCAGAAGGCAAGCGTGAGGACAAGACTGCGATGGCGCAAGAATGCGATGGAGGGGTAAGGCGAGGAGTTATATACTAGTCAAATAGAAGGACTCAGGCGGCGACAAATCTTTTTTTCCCTGCCTTTCTCGAACAAGCCTGTGGTCAACTCGTGGGACAAAATCCTTGCTCCCAGCTAGTGGCATGATTGCTTGCCCCTCGTGCTCCATGATGCGGGTGGGATCCATAATGGCATCAGCACTTAGGAGCAAGGAAAGCACGCAGCTTTAACGAAGGACGGGAGCATTGTCAGCGGTAGAGAAATGGTGTCCACCCGTCCACTCGGGGTATCGATTTGCGTTGAAGCCAGACAATCAGCAAGAGACTTGAGCACGCAATCGACAGTACGCTTATCCTCTTTAACACTCCAGTGTCTCGGCATCTTCAGCCTTGTACATGCCCCTCCTTTCACGTGCGAGGCTGTCATTTGGTGCCCCCTTATTGGGTTCCTGGCGTGGATTGCTTCTGGGATGAAAAGACAAGCTGGTCCTCAGGGTCTATAGCTGGTCTGACCATGTAGCACACCCCTTGCTAAAATGTTGTCAGCACTCTCTTCAGTTTTCGGTAGCAGTGCGATTGGTCGACGTCATTCCGACAAATTGCCGAGTTTCGTCTCAGAATATGTACACAATATCAAAAGTCCCAAAGCACGACCGAGGGTCAGTCACCATCCTGTTCTGCTGTCAGCAATATACAAACACCCCAAGACACGATGGAACCCGCATCGATACCCGCCCCGACTGCCGATTCACAGTCAGGCGAGCTTCCGCCAGAAGCCGTTGCTCTGGCAGGAAGGTTCTTTGACGCCGCCCGGTCGGGTCAGATGGATATATTCGAGCAAGCCTTGCCTCGGGGTTTACCTGCGAATCTGACCAACGACAAGGGGGACACATTGGTACGTGCTAAGACGGGGTAATGGGAACACCATTGGAAACTTTGCGATTACCACCTTTCCCCAGACCACGGGGGTCTTTCTCTGCCAAACGACTAACCCACTCAGCTGATGCTCGCCTCTTATCACGGCCACGCCCCCTTGGCCTCACTGCTGGTACAGCACGGTGCAGATCCTAACCGCATCAATGATCGAGGGCAATCCATCTTGGCAGGAGCGGTTTTCAAGAACGAAGCTGAAGTGGTCGACATCCTCCTGGAAGCCGGGGCCGATCCCGAGATTGGACAGCCAAGCGCTCTAGAGGCGACAAGAGTATGGATGATGAGGTCTTGTCATAACTGACGAGTTCTACGCTAATGATGAAAAGGTCTTCAGACAAGAAGCATATGAACAAAAGTTCAAAGAGCAGGTTGAGAAACTAAAAGCCGCCCGAGCCAGGGCAATGGACGGTAGTGCGTGATATGTATTCACCCGTGGTTTTCCTCTCCATCTATTTAACAGTCAGATTAAAACCTATGCTTTTACATTCCAGAAAGACTTTCGTCTGTCCCAAGATACCCCCAACACCATGCTAAGTTTCGGACAATGATATTCGTTCCGGGTGATGGTCTATTGGTATGCGTGACCAGGTTCGTTGCTCCTTCTTGATTGTTGCAGCACCTTCTGGGGGGGGATTCGGACGGAGCTTGATGCAGGCGGAGGTGCAGCCCTCGGATAGCAGCCGTTACACCAGTCGTATTTCCGCCTCTGGATCAAGTGCATCTGATGGCACCACTCGGCTACTTGTGCCGCAGGCTGCAAGGAGGTAGACGAGGAGGTTCGAGATGAAGGAGTAGATGGAGGCGGGGATGTTTTGGGCCGTTCAGCAGCTTTCTCGAGAGCCCGTTCATAGTCGGAGTAGTATCGGCTGGATGATTTGGTATGAGACATGGCGGACTGAAGGAAGGCTGGGTTAACGGGAGTTGAATGGGGGGCACTCGGTTGGCAGTCCTCGAAGACGCGGTTGAATCCAAATATGTTTGCAAGAAGGATGTGAGGCCAGTATTGGTGGAACAGATGACGTGTGGTCTGAGGTGGGATGTGCTGAATAAGTGCACTTTGGGGGAGAGTGCATAAAGTCGGAGTGCCGATAAACAACAAAACGAGCTTGTGCAAGGTCCTGACAGAGTATCAAAGTGGAATGCTTGCCGAGGGTCAAGATAGGACGCGGAAAGACGAGTGGATAAGACGAAGACCACAAGCAGTGACCACACAAATCAGACAGAATGTAGAAGGAAGATCAGCAACTGAGGGAGACGGATGGACAGATCTGAGATATACTGTACGCAGAACGTGGGACGTGGGACAGGGTGTCACATAGCGTAGATTCTGCCATCATCTTCTCGTCTGTGGATGACAATGTGTCCTTGGTCACGTAGGGTGCAACGAATAAGCCCCAAAGAAAGACTGTCCACAGACGATGGAACCCAACACTTTGAGCACATGTACTGTTTGAGGACGAGATAAGCGAGAGGAGGGAGCCGTCCAGTGGCTGTCATTGATGGTTCTCAGCTCAGAAAAGAGACGCTTTCTACCCACAACGAAAGGGTACCGAAAGAACCAACAACGGGTTGGGGGCTTCCAAAAAAGTAAAACATCAAAAGGGGAAAAGGGGGCAAGTTGTTGGTGTTGTCTGGATGGAGAGAGAAGAAAAGGCGAAGAAAAATTTGTTGTGTTTGGCATGTGAGACTGAGACAGAGACAGAGCCACAAGCGCCGATGTCACGTTCCCGATTCCGGCCTTTTGACTGCGACTGCGGCTGCAACTTTCGCTTTCAGACACTGCCTTCTGCTCGCTCCCGCTGGTGACGCCTCTCACTATTTTTGGCCAGTCTTTTATCACACCTTGAATCACCCGCCATTAGCCCCTTCTAGGCTCAGTGTCGGTGGTCCGGCGCCATTGTGTACGACCAACTGCCGTGTCGGTTGTTGTGTCCAACCATGTTCCACTGCGTACCTACTCGTACAGGCTCTCGCTGAATGATGTGCCATCCATGATTCCGAGATGATCATCCCGGACACAGATCTCGAATCTGATGCCTTCTCCTCTTTTCCTCGTCACCCTCACACCATCAAGGCCTCTGCGGAATCTCAGCGATTGGCTGCACCCCGCAAAACATGTTCCTCGGGCTGCTCAGGTCCGCATGCGGGGGAAGCAGAAGGACGTGGTCCTGATTGACAAGATGGACTGGTCGACAGGTAGGCTTGTGAGGTGTCTTGAGAGAAATCAGTGCTTTGCTGTTCTGTCAGTTGTAGTTCCAACGTCTCCGTCTCTTCGCCTGCTGAAATTGCTGTGCACGAATCTCTTCTTGAGTTGCGATGTCTGTCACAAACGGTGTCAACGGCCATATGAATGGCTCTTCGAATGCCCTCTGCTCTGTCGATGAGTTGGTGTCTCGCAAATATGACTTTGTCGTGGTTGGAGGAGGCACCGCTGGTCTGGCGGTCGCGGCTCGATTGACCGAAGACCCCAATATCTCGGTGGCGGTCCTGGAAGCCGGGGAGAATCGAATGGATGACAAGAGCGTGTCAACTCCTTCGCTCTATCCCACCATGGTGAGTAGAATGACGCTCGATCCCACTCGAGGTTCCTGACGCTCTTTGCAGATCGGCAGGAAAGAGTACGACTGGTGCATGACCAGCACACCACAACCCAATGCAGGCAACAAGATCTACTCGATGCCTCGCGGAAAAGTGCTTGGCGGCAGCTCTGCGATCAATTATCTCATGTACGTCAGGGGGTCAAGGAAGGATTACGACGGATGGGAATCAATGGGCAACCCTGGTTGGGGCTGGGAGGATATGCTTCCTTACTTCAAGAAGCACCAAGCGTTGGACAACACGCCAAGGCACAGTGATCCACAATTCATGCCTATTGCAGGGGGAGACAAGTACCATGGATCCAATGGGCCCATACATACGAGTTTCAACAACTGGTATATGCCCTTGGAGGTGGAATTCGCCGAAGCCGCATATGAAGTCACGGGGACTAAGAAGACGATTCATGACGGCTGGAGCGGCGACCATCTGGGTTTTTATTCGAGTCTGGGAGCCGTGAACAGGACTGACGATCCCGGCAAGCGATCCTACGCCGCAACCGGATACCTTCGCCCCAATCTAGGACGACCTAACCTCAAAGTCTTGACTGAAGCACAGGCCACCAAGATCATCCTGGATGGAAATACCGCCAAGGGCGTCGAATTCGTGCACAAGGGCCAGAAATACAGCGTCGACGCGACGCGCGAAGTCATTCTGTCCGCCGGCGTGATCCAAAGCCCTCAATTGCTTGAGCTCTCCGGAATTGGCGACCCTGAGGTTCTTAGGGCTGCTGGTGTCGAGTGCGTCGTTGAGAATAAGGGAGTGGGCGCTAATTTCCAGGATCATGTCCTCGGTGGAATCCTGTATGACCTAAAACCCGGCATTGATTCTATGGACGCATTACACGGGGAAGAGTTCAACAAGGTGCAGCAAGACCTCTACCAGACCAGCCAGAAAGGGCTCTATGCCAATCCGGGCATGATGATGGGGTTTGTATCATACGCGTCCCTGGTAACTCCCGACGAGCTCGAGGCAACCATCAAGGAAATCAAGCAGAAGTCGCTTGCAAAGACGGACTTTGAAAAGGCTCAAGAGAAGGTAATTAGTTCCCCTTTATGCAAAACCAGAAAAAGTGCCTGCAATACCTCTTGTGATGGTGCTGAACTGACGCACCTTTTTCTTGTGCTCTAGGTGATCGTCGATCAGCTCCGTGACCCAACCTTTGCCAATCTCCAAACCTTTTGTATTCCTTGCCGGCTTGACGTGGCCAAGGGCTCAGATCAGACCTTGTTCTTCGGCAAACCACCCAGTGGAAAACAACAGCTGTCCTTGCTGATGTGCCTCGAGCACCCTCTATCACGGGGAACGGTCCACATCAAATCCTCAGACCCTCTGGCACCCCCGGAGATTGACCCTGGATACTTCCGGAACGAGGTCGACGCCAAGATCCTCGCGGCGGGCATGAAATGGATGGATCAGGTCGCCAAACATCCCTTGCTGGCGAAATCACTGGCCGAGCGAGAACTGCCGCCCGAGAACGAGAATCTGGACAGCGAGGAGAAGAGGATCGAGTACGTCAAGAACCACATCAGCACACAGTATCATTTGATCGGGACCTGTGCACTGGGCGAGGTGGTGGACACAGACTTGAAGGTGAAGGGGGTCAAGAACCTGAGGGTGGTAGATGCCTCGATCTTCCCCGGCCATGTGTCTGGGTAAGTCTCAGCTCTCTCTCACTTCTTTTTCCTCTGCCGGCATGTTATGCTAATCTCCCGTATCACAGGAACATTATGGCGACTACTTATGCGGTCGCTGAAAAAGGCGCAGATCTGATTAAGAAAGATATCGTCTATTAGGCGGCGCATTTATGTGTCCTTGGCCAAGAAATGGAAGCACCCCCCATCAAGAAGGAGAGCAAGGAGATCAATCATCTGCGTGTCTTGACTTGACGAAATTTGTTCCATGTCTTCTTCTTCTTCTTCTTCTTCTTCTTTCCTTGCCGAACCTTGAAAATGCCTCCGTTGCATGATCAACAAGACTCGTTTCTTGTGCACTGCCTCTTTGTCTGTCACCCAACTAGTCCGAACACCATGTATTGACCGGCCATCCTGGGGATTGTGAGAGCAGAAAAAGCGCAGGGGAGGGAGTCCTCCCCTGATCACACTAGGATCGAGTAAATTATATATAATATAAGTTGACTAACTAACCTGTGAATGAACACTAGGGGCGTCCGTGCAAGATCCATTTAGGCAAGAGACAGAGGTGTTGTATATGGATGTGGCGGTCTCGTCCACAACGAATCATCAAGATCGTTGTCAGTCAAGGCTTTTTGATCCTACTATATATGTATGTACTCAGCCCGGGGATGATCTGCAACGTCCCCAACTAACTCATTCTGTCTGCACCTTCTTTCTTACGTCCCTCTCCCCCAACCCATGCGATTGACTGACTGACTAGTAATGTGGATGTCTGTCTAGATGTACATGTCCAAGCAAATGTGTGTCTAAACGGCGAATGGTGAACGCTCAAGAGTAGAGTTAGAGTGGTAGTAGTAACACAATGTCCCGGGAAAGAAACGCGGCGCACCCCCAATTTTGGGCAATACCCACCCTGTCGTTGCGAACACCAAGAAGAACAGAAAATCATACTTCAATCGTCCACAACATTCATGCCCAAGTAATGGGGATCGGCATATGACTCCTGCACAACCGGAGGTCGACACGACCACACATCAACTGCAATGCGTAAAGGTCGAACGCGCGTCAGCTGTTGGTCATAGATGGCAGGATGCTCTGCGCCTGACTGACCCATCTCGAATCTCCACCGCCTTGCGTTGCTCACTGCGAAGTGGTGGTGCTTCTCTGACCCAGTGTCTGTCTTCGTTGGAAGAATGAGCCAGAAAAACCTCGACTCGGGATAATTCCACATGATCCACACGGGCAGGGCCGAATGTCCTGCGAACATGACTTGGATAAGTCGATGCTGACTTCCCTTCTTCCATGTCCGTATCCACCTCATGCGGTGGTGGAATCCTTTCATTTTTTATTTCTCTCAGCCTGGGCCTTCAAGAACTCGGACTGGAGCTCCTTCTGCAGCTGCATCGGTGCTCGCTCGTAGTGGCTGAATTCCATACTGAACTCGCCCTTGCCCTGTGTCGCGGCCCGGAGGTTGCCGCTGAATCCAAACATGCCGTTGAGACTGGTGTCAGCCCAGACGGTGAATTCGTCCACGCCGACTTCCGTGTCATTGATCACCGCATTGCGCTTTTGCAACAGTCCGACCACGTTGCCTTGAAACTCGGTGGGGGCCGTCACGACCGTCTTCATCAACGGCTCCAGCACCACAGGGTCGGCGTCCATGAACGCCTTTCGGAAGGCCTGCTGCGTCGCGTTTTTGAATGCCATTTCGCTCGAATCAGTCATGTGTGTTGCACCATCATTGATGACCATGGTTGCGCCGAGAACTTTGTGCCCGACCAAGGGGCCCTTTTCGCAGGACAAATGAAAGCCCTTTTCACAAGCAAACAAGAATTTCTCGGAAATGGCACCACCAATGATGTGTTCTTCAAAGTGATTGCCCTCAAGATTACCCTTGGGCTCCATATAACCCGCAACACGCGCGTAATCACCTGCACCACCGGTCTGTTTCTTCAGGAGGTGGTTGAATTCGACACGCTTGGTGATCGTTTCCCGGTAAGCAACGCGGGGTGGGCCTGTTTCGCAGTCGACCTTGTACTCTCGACGCATACGCTCGACGTAGACCTCGAGATGAAGCTCACCCATGCCCGAGATGATCGTCTGCTCGCTTTCGGTGTCGAAATGGACCCTGAAAGTGGGATCCTCGCGCTGAAACCGCGCAATGGCTTTGGAGAAGTTGGGCAAGTCTTTGTTGTTCTTCGGCTTGATGCTGAGCGAGATGACCGGTTCGGGCACGAACATGCTGGTCATAGTGTAACCCAACTGGCCGTCGGTAAAGGTGTCTCCGGACGCACAATCGATGCCAAACACCGCGCAGATCTCTCCGGCACCCACTTCGTTCACTTCTTCCATCTCATTGGAGTGCATGCGAACAATACGGGGGATCTTGACTCTCTTGTCGGTCCGGGCATTGAACACGTTGAGGCCTTTTCGCAGTTTGCCTTGATACACGCGGATATAGGTGAGCTGCCCAAAGTTTGATTCTTCCAGCTTGAATGCCAGCCCAACAAAGGGCAGCGAGTTGTAAGGAACAAGCTTGACCGGAGCCTCCTTCTGTCTTCGATCCAACGCGGTGTTGGAAACTTCGGATGGGTTGGGGAGATAGTCGCAGACACCGTCGAGCATCGGTTGGATGAATTTGTCGGCGAGAGCAGACCCCATAAAGACTGGCGTGAACTTGAGCGAGATGGTAGCCCTCCGGATGGCGGCCTTCAGCTGCTCAATCGTGGGCTCCTGTTCGTCCAAGAACAAGTTGGCAATCTCGTCATCAACATCGGCAAGTGTTTCGATCAGCTTTGCTCTTTTCTCTTTGGCAAGCTGTTGAACTTCGGCCGGAATTTCATCCTTGATGACAATGATCTCGCCACGTTCACCCTCAGCATAGCACGTCTTCATTGTGATGAGGTCGACCACGCCGCGGAACTCATCTTCGGCGCCGACGGGAACCTGAACAGCTGCAGCGGCAATCTTGAGCTTCTTGTTGATCTGGTCGACGGCCTTCCATGGATTTGCGCCCATTCGGTCCATTTTGTTGACGAAGCTGATTCTGGGGACATTGTATCTCCGCATCTGTCGGTCGACTGTGATGGTCTGGCTTTGGACACCGGAAACGGCACATAAGATCATGACAGCGCCATCAAGCACCCGCAATGCTCGCTCCACCTCAATGGTGAAGTCAATGTGTCCGGGCGTGTCAATCAAGTTGATATGATATTTTTCTTCTTTGCCATCTTCCTTTTTGACCCAGTCGCAGAAAGTAGCTGCAGACTGGATAGTGATGCCCTTTTCTCTCTCAAGTTCCATCGAGTCCATTTTCGCACCGACCGCATCCTTACCACGGACTTCGTGGATAGACTTAATCCGGCCCGTGTAGAAGAGGACTCGTTCTGTCGCCGTCGTTTTGCCGGAATCAATGTGCGCCTGTCGACATCAACTGACTGACCTGCAGGGAATTGAGTGTGTGACTGACCGCAATACCAATGTTTCGTACTCTTGACAGCCGGTGCGCCTCCTCGGGCGACAAGTTGTCAATGATGGTTTCTTGAGAGAGTGACTCGGGGTCATCCTGGGCTTCCTCGAGCCTGTCACGTATTAGACGAAGGCCATTGAAAGGCTATGGGCAGTGCTTACATTGCAGCGGCGGCCCCAGCAGCACCTCTTCGTTGCTGCCACCGTCGATCCAACGGCCATTGTTTCGACGGCGCCCTCAAGCCTGCGGACAAGGCCGGGACGATTGCAGTAGAAGCGCAGCGTCGGCAGATCCATTGTCGGGCGAGAGTCGAGTTGTGCGAGCGTGCCAAGTTGGCGAGAAGCCTCGAAGAGCCTCCGATAGCTCGGGAGGCACTCATCTTGACAGAAGGAACGCAGATCCTCGAAACTGCAACGGATGCTCGATCGTTTGGCGATTGACGGGGAACTTTTTTCTCGAGCTCAATCAACCCTGCGTCGCCAAGACGGACCCCGGACGCTGCTTAGCTAACCAATCACATGACAGTTGAGTCCGACTAACTTAGTTAGGCCTGTGCAGGTCTTTTGATCCCTCTTCTTATGAGGCTATTGCTGCTTATGACTTGGTGACCTCAGTACTTCTTCTTTGCTACAGTAGACCTCCAGCTCCCTCAACGGAAGAAGAGGCCTCTAGTGGGTCTTGTGGCAAGCAAGACATGACAGAAATCCGCTTCATGGACGGGGCACCCGTCGATGGGACGGTGCGTATATTAACGCCGCCATAGTCCATGTTTTGCAACATGGCCAAAGCACTTGTCGAAGGACCTGAAGATTATGGAAACATATTCCGCCGTGTGCAGCTGACATCGCCCTTCTTCTTCCACCATATGAAGATGATGTTTCGTCCTTTTCCTCCATCCTCCATCGGCGATCAATCCACTAACATACGCAGGACGTTGCTTCATTGGCTCATTCCGGTGGCAGCCTGATGCCTCGATATGGCCGACTCCTCGGCGAGCTCGGTTGTATCGCTGATCGTCAAGGTTGTGTCCGACCGTTGCCAATGTCTATATAAAACCCGGTGACTGTTGTCTTGGAGCAGAGAGAAACCGTAAGTTTAACGAACCTGATTGGAACTCAAACCACCACAGTTGGTCACTTTTCATCATGTCTTCATCCACCACCCTCTATCAACGCGCCCAGAAGATCGACTCGGTCGCAACATCCTCCCTCCTCCCAACCAGCACCAGTCTCTTCCAGGCTCTTTCCTATGCTCTTGAGAACTCCGATGCCAACAATATCCCACCCATCACCATCTCGCCATTGCAAGGCCAATACCTGGCGATCCAAGCACAGTTGATCAACGCAAAGAACATCCTCGAAGTCGGCACTTTGGGAGGCTACTCAACACTGTGGTTCTTGAGTGCCGGTGCCCACGTCACCTCCCTCGAAATTAACCCTCATCACCGGGACGTGGCGCTGCAGAATCTCAAGCACGCAGGCTACGTGGAGGGCAAGGACTTTGAAATCATCCTCGCACCTGCCTTGGACACCCTCCCGCGTCTTCTCACAGACCAACAGGACGGCAAAAGAGGCAAATTCGACTTGGTCTTCATCGACGCGGACTGGTCCGAGCAATACGAGTATTTCCAACACGCCGTGCAACTCGCGCGGCCGAATGGGTGCATTTACGTCGACAATGTTGTCCGTGAAATTCTCGAGGGATCCAATAGCGAAGAGTTCGAGGCCGGGCGGAAGGAGAGCTTGCCCGTCAAGGTGGGCAAGGACGAGAGAGTAAAGGCCACGCTAGTGAGTGTGGTCAGCAGCCACAAGGGACATGAAGGCGAGGCGTTTGATGGGTTTCTCTTGGCCGTCGTCAAGGGGTAGGAAATCAGTCTTTTCACGAACATGAGGAATGGCAGATGGAGCACAACGGGTTCAACTTGTCCTTTCGGAGGCGGCACTCCTGACGCGTCTCTCTCTGAGAACCTGTTCGGATTGTCACCGCCCATAGTAATTCTGTCCCAAGCCTGGACTCGGATGGTGTTGTAAATTGAAATACATGGCAATTCGAGCCAGGTCTCTCCGCTCGCCCACCGCAAACACCCGAGGCTACCAACAGGGCGAACAGATAGTCTCTCCGACAAATAGCCACGCTTTGAATTCCCAGTCATTATTCTATCCTCTTCTTGCCCTCTTCCATAAATCCCATGTTCGCCGTGCTAATATTCCTCAGTCTTCTGTCCTTGCCGCTCGCGGCTGCGATGATCGGCCCGACGATTTTGTCCTTGTGAGCTCGCGATAACGCCTCCGAATACCCTTCACTCGCGAATGATGGAGTGTTGAGTTTCGGCCAATTGACGTACAACAGTCCGTGGGCGTAGATGAATTGGAACGCCCACCCTGCCACAACCAAACAGAGAACAACAAAAATACGCAGAGGCCAGACTGCTGCGTCCGGCGGTCGCCGAGTAACCAGCGACACGAACACAATAAACAACGAGGCGGCTAACATATATGGCACAGCTTGAATGATGAGCGGTCTCCGGTCTGCAAACATCAGAGAAGAACCAACACCAAACGTGGACGGCAGATAGGCTCCCAAGAAGAGGTCGAAGCCGTCCTGTCGCGGTCCATCCAGGAAGTTGTTGCGGATATAACGTGTGGCCGAGTTGTTGAAATCCTGTACCGCCCCAGCCCTGGTGCGCTTTCCCGTGCGCGTGAAGTCCGTCTTCAAGGCGCCAGTTCCCGAGTACGAGTTGGAGACCACATCTGCGTTATCGGCCCATACGTTGCGGAACAGGAACTCGAACGCTCTGTCGTCTTGTGCCCGTTCACCGGGTTGCAGGATGCCGACATCTTGGAACTGCTGGGTCAAGGCCCATCGGCCCAACATGCTCTGGACCACGTTGGTCCGATCCAGGCAGTCCATGCAATTGGTACGCACCACTGCAGTCTGCCGACATCGAACCTCTAGAGCTCCAGACGGGTCACCGGGCATTTCAACCCCCCGGAAATACTGCCCTTTCCTCAACCCATCGAGCAACTCATCCAGTAAGAGTTCGGCACGGTGCCATTTGTATCCTTTGGTCTCACTGTGGAAATCAAAGTAAATATAGTGCAGTTTGTCCATCCGCTGTCGTGTGCTCGAGGGTTCAATGTCTCGGAACTTTTCATCCGTGCGTGGATCGGCTTCGATGGCCTCTTCTGGCGAGCTGACGAGGATTCGGACCATGTGTTCATAAGCCTTCTTAACGCGTTCCTCCCTCCCGCGCTGGTTGACCAGGTTGACCAGGTAATTCTCGCCGTAAATTCTGATCTGCTCGTCAAAATGTTTCCGTGCGGCGTCCACAGCAGACTCCACACCCCGGATCTGCAGCTTGGGTGTGTAGTGAAGATCATTGATCTCGGCCCAGAAGACAGGGACGCTACCTGGTGGCCATGTTAGTACCGCTGTCGGTTCGATGGCACATGGTATGCTTACCCCGTGTCTGAACGTATGACAGGACTTGAGTCTCTATAGCCTGGCTTCCAGCGTTTCCGTTCGGTATCCCTTGCCCGCCAGCATAGCCCGTCGGACCCGAGGCGTCGTTGAGCAAAGCGATTTGCTCGGTCTCATTAAAGTTCGCCACGTGGCCTTCATCATCGATGCCTCGAGAGAAGTATCTTGTCCCACCACGAAATCGAGACCTCCTGGTGATCAGGGCAAACGTGAACGCAGTGTTCTTGATCTTGGCCGGCGTGATGCGCAACATGCCATGCATGACTGGGAGAATATAAGGATCCGCGCCAGGTTGTTGTTGTCCGCGCAGTCCTCCGAGCCTGAAGTCAATCAGATCTGTCTGGACGAACCTGTTCCAAAAGAAGCGATCGTCCGCTCTCTTCCACATTGGCTGCGACAGATCCGACTCGGTCTGGCGCTGGAAATTGGAGGTGATGTCAATCGAGTAGGAGAAATACATGGGACTCGCGGCAAGCAATGTCTTGAGGTAGGAGAGGTAGGTATCTTCGTCGGGGTCGCGGACGGCGCGCTCTCGCAAGGGGAGGAACTCTGTAGCGACGATTTTGTAGATCATGTGGCCACGCAGTCTGCCCATGGGCTGTGCCTTGGTGATGACAATGATATACTTGTCCAGCTTCAATTTAATGATGCCCAAGATGCCAGCGATGCTCGACACTCGTTTTGCTCCCAGGAGAGATCCATCGTTCAGTCGGATATCGCCCGACGGTCTCTCCACCACCAGCGTCGGTGCAGACGAGTTGGAGGGCGAGGTGAAAGCGTAGTGGCTGGTGGAGGCGTGGACGTTGATGTCCCGAAAAGGCAGCAAGTTGGCCATGGCGAAAGAGCGGAGAGGCCTTTGTTGAAAGTCTTTACTACCGTATCATGGTGTATGGTATAGGATAAGGATTGGAAGATAAAGAAACCGTTGAAAGAGGGAGGGAGGGTGGGAGAGAGACAGGCGCTGCGTAACTGCTGCCCGTTGTTTGTGGCGGTGATTATCTGGCTGGCCTCCGTCATCTTCTTGGCCAAGACTGCAGCCGGTGGTGAGTACATGCACTGCAGGGCAGCATCACCCACGTAATAACACCACCCCGGCCAGACAATCATCAACCGTACCAAATCCTTCTTGAATCGTTACTCTGACTCTGAGGCCGATATCCAGAGGCTTGTCCAACCCTCGACACGGTAGTCAAATATCAGTCGCAGCCCGATCAGTTATGGCCGCTCGAGCTCCCGCAGGCCGCCCAGGCGCAGGCGGCAGGTTCGCCCAATTCAAGCTCGTCCTTCTCGGTATGTTGAGGACAACCCTCTGTTCGTCAGCCCCTAATTAATGGCGTCTAGGTGAATCAGCAGTAGGAAAGGTATTGTGCCAGCCACCTCCGGGCCCTCCTTCGCGAAGCATTGCAAGCTGACAGGTCTTCGTTTGCCCAGAGCTCGTTAGTCCTCCGTTTTGTCAAAGATCAATTCGACGACTACCGCGAATCCACCATCGGCGCCGCATTCCTCACTCAGACGATATCATTAGACGAGAACACGACGGTCAAATTCGAGATATGGGATACCGCCGGTCAAGAGCGATACAAATCCCTCGCCCCGATGTACTACAGGAATGCAAACTGCGCCGTGGTTGTTTACGATATCACCCAGGCTGTACAGACCCCCTACTGTCCTGAAAATGATTGAACACCATCTAACCGTTACTTGCCAGTCATCCCTAGATAAGGCTAAGTCATGGGTCAAGGAACTCCAGAGACAGGCCAACGAGAACATCATCATTGCCCTCGCCGGAAACAAACTCGACGTCGTGGACGAGTATCCCGACAAGCGGGCCATTCAGACGGCCGACGCCGAAGCATACGCCAAAGAGGCCGGCCTGCTGTTTTTTGAAACGTCGGCAAAGACGTCGACGAACGTCAAGGAGTTATTCACCGCCATCGCGAAGAAACTGCCCCTGGATCAGGCGGGACCCAGAAATTTGCGGGCGACCCCGAGACCGGGTGTGGATTTGAGGCCGGAATCGACTGGGACGCAGGGTGCAGGGAATTGCCAGTGTTGATTTCCGACGCAACCACCATGTAGTAGTCGTCCTCTCAGATTGTTTGTGTCGTCTTTTCCACGGGTTTGATCTAGCAGGCGCACGACGGCAAAGGTATTTGTGTGGGGGGGAGCTCGGGCGCGGATGCTGGATAGGGTATCTGGATTTCGCGAATGCTAGCCTTGTCGATGTCGACCCATCTACAGTAACAGCACACTCCGCACCGGGGACCTTTTCGATGGCAGAATTTGAGCAGGACAAAAAGCAGTGGGGGACGTCGACGAAGGCGTCCCCTGCGCACTGCTCCCTCAATCGAAGACCATCACCCATCGACATCCTTCATTGTGATATACTTTTGCCAGGCAGTGCTACGGGCGTTTCTGAGAACAGTTATCGGTGTCCCAAGGGGTTGTGTGGTGTTTGTTGTATCAACCACAATCCTCTAATGCCTAGAGATACAGTTGTTTCGAGATTCCTTGATCCATCACTTTGCATGCCCCCTCTCGTGTGCCGTCGAAGGCCTTCTCGTCCACTACACAGATCCGCCGCTCCGATTCCCGGCCTTGTCCCCAACCAAGCCCGCCATCTCCAACAGTGCCCTTGCCCCGTCTTTGTCCCCTCCAAAGTTGACCCCCCTGCGTCGTGCGGCTTCGGCCTCCTCCCACGCGAGGCGCTTTTTCTGTTTTGCCACCTCGTCCTCTTCCCCTGCGTTGTCGGAGAGCGAGCCGGCGCGGGCGAGGGGGAAGGAGATGCCCCAGACCTCGAGCGTGTCGAGGTCGAATTCCACCCTTTTGGGTTGCGCGGTGTCCCGTTGATGTTTCTGCGCCGTCTCCAGACCCGGGTCCGTCATGAACGCGCCGGTCCCGCCGGCCCCGTCGTGCTGGAACGTGCACGTCGACATGTCGCTGTCGATCAGCACGCTCACCGGGCCCAAGATCGGCGGCTGCGGCGGACCCGTCCGAGATTGCTGCGGGGGGACCACGCAGCCGAGTGCGATGCCTGTTTTCGAGTTGAAATACGAGAAGGGGATCGTGCGGTTGTACTGATTCGCGAGGAACACGCAGTGGCGCGGGAGGAGCTGGAAGAGGCAGGCTGCCTTCGACGGTCCGTCGCTGCCCGAAGATGGCGGCGTCGGCTTTTCTCGCCACGGTTCGGGGAGGTAAGCGCCGATGATCATGGGGTGGTTGGTGTCAGGAAGCGTGCCGGAGATGAGGACCAATGTCGACGATTGCCACGAGTGAACTTGGCGGGAGAAGGATGACAGGGAGGTGCCGTGGGACGCGGTCGAGTAGAGTTGGTTGAAGCGGGCATTGGAGGCAAAGATGTTCTTGAGGGAAGAGCTTGACGACACAGACGTGGAAATCTGCAGGGACATGGACATTTGAGCGAGGAGAGTGTCGGTGAAGATGGTGCTGAAGGTAGTGTCCTCGGGTGATTTATAGATGGGTGATGGTATGGCCTCGACTACTTCAACGGCTGGGAGGGGGCCACGATGTTTGCCGAGATTGAAGTTCTTGCTGAAGAGGAAGTGCTCGAATAGGGCATTCAGAGGCTCAAAGAGATCGGGCAAGGTCGTGGTGACGGTCTTGACGAAGTTAGAATACCTAATTCCCCTGCTGTGAGGTTCCGGGTCGAAGGCTGCCACGATGGCGTCCGCCGAGGTGTTCAGAGCCTGAAGACGTTCTCCATCCAGGCGTTCTCCATAGCTAGCCAGCGTGGTCAGGGGTGTGACACCCGCGACGAGCAGCAGGAGGGAAATGAGCCTCTTAAGATTCTCCACTGGGATCAGGGCATGGTTGATCTTGCGGTTCGTCTTCTGGTCGTGCTTGAAGACTTCAATGGCGTCGAGCGAGTCAAGTGCGGCAAGGGCAAGGTCGTCGTCGTCTTCGTCCTCGTCATCGTTCACCGGCTCGTCAATGGCGAACCCGGCGACATGAGAACTTACACCCTGCTCGACTTCGCGCTCCTTCAACATGTCGTCTGGGAGTTGCTGCTTGACGATATCCTCCATATTCGGCGCCTCCTTCGGCGAGGGTACACTGTGGCGCCGGTCGAAGACCGCCAGACTCCGGAACAGCAGCTTGATCTTGTCCTGGTCGCCCCGCTTCAACACCTTCTTGTACCTACCCGTCATGATGGTGATGACCTTCAACATGGCCTCTCTGGTTAAAATACACGGCGCTAGACTGGGAAACGGAAACGCCCCCAGATAAGTACACATGTGATACAGAACAGGTCCGGCCTTGAGTGGCTCGGGGAGGGCGAGGAAGCCGCACAATGTGTCTTCCTTCCAGTACTCGACATCTTCCTGGTGATCTGCCAAGGTCTTAAAGTTGTCCTTGTAGTGTGCTATCTCCAGATGCGAGTAGCATTTAGAGGCAAAGCGAAGGGCCAGCTCATGGCTCAGTTGCTCTGATTGAGTGAGTTGACTAGATCTGACAGACCCAAGAGACAGGCTGCCGTGGGTCACTGATTGACATGGTCACTCACCGACTGGGACCTCTCTCGGCGGCTGTGAGGATTGGGATTGACCCATTGTGGCGTCCTAGAGTCTTGATCTATATCATCATTGGCGGAAGCGATATAGGGACTTGATAGAGAGAGTCATTAGTGGATCACGACGATATGTACGGAGGACGAGGCATGGTGGTCAGACCACGCCGAGAGAATACAACGTTCTCGAGATAGCTTCTTCATCAGGCAGCCACAACGATCCACCGTACCCGATGCTACGGCGCGTCAAGACTGACTTCACCGTAAATGCTTGTTCCGGCTTCGCAGCGTTAAAGAGTCTTTTTGGGCTCCTGCGCAGAAAACTGTGGGCGCTCATCACGTCTGCTCTATAATGAGGAGATGGATCCTCACATGTTCTACTCATCTTCGATTCACAGCTCGCAGCTTTGCGACGACGTCTACCGCCATGGCACGGACATACGCTGTAAGTTATTTGTGAGTAGCTCGAACTTGAGGGCACCAACTGACCATTCTGTAGGATGCCGTGACGTCGCTGAACACTCTTCAGTCCAATTTTGCAATTGTCGATGCAGTCCGCAAGTCTGGAGGCAGGTTGAATGAGTTGTCCATTCCTGAGATGGTCGAGTGGTGCCGCAAGATTGGATACGAAGTATGCGACAACCAAATCCGCCAGAAACAGTCACGCTCCCTTCTCAACTAACCCTCGCCTGCCTAGCCGTCGGAGTTCAATGCGTTGAAGGTTATACACATAGCCGGAACGAAGGGCAAAGGGTCGACTGCGGCCTTCACTTCATCCATCCTCACTCAATTCGTTGGGGGGAAGGGAGCGAAGTCGTTGTCAAAAGTTGGCTTATACACATCTCCACATCTTCGATTTGTTCGGGAGCGCATCCAGATCAATGGAGAGCCTCTGTCGGAGGCGCAATTCGCCCAGTATTTCTTCGAGGTCTGGGACAGGCTGGAGGATGTCGCGAAGGAAGCAGGACATGACCCCCAGTCCCCCGGGTCGAAACCCGTCTATTTCAGATTCCTCACCCTGATGGCCTTCCACGCCTATATGAGGGAGAAGGTCGATGTTGCGGTGATTGAGTGTGGCATCGGTGGTGCTTACGACAGTACAAACGTCTTCGAAGCTCCAGCCGTCACTGGCATCACAAGCCTCGGAATAGACCATGTCGGCATGCTGGGGTCTACAATCGGCGAGATCGCCTGGCACAAAGCTGGAATCATGAAGAGCGGTGTCAAGTGTTTCACTCCGAGCTCTCAGCCTGCGGAGGCGAAAGCAGTGATGGAGCGAGTTGCAAACGAGAAAGGGAGTGTGCTTCAGTATGTGGACATCGATCCAGCCATTGCCAGTGGCGACTTGAAGCTCGGACTCCAAGCAGACTTCCAGAAGATGAATGCTAGCCTTGCCGTTGCTTTAGCCAAAACGTGGCTGGAGCAGCAAGGCTGTGCAGACGACCTTGAATACAGGTCAAAGTTTGCCCGCGGGTTGCAAAGTGTTCGGTGGCCAGGCAGGTGTGAGACACGCTTCGAGCCCGGAATCAAATGGTGCATTGACGGTGGCCACACCCTCGAAAGCATTGAGCTGGCGGGAAAGTGGTTCGCTTCCCAACTCATGACCAACAAGGACTCCCCGGAACCCCTTCACCCCCAGCCTCGTTTCTTGATCTTCAACCAACAGACACGGGACGCCGCTTCGCTTGCGACGGCACTCTTCAACACATTGTCGACAGCGCTCAATGAAACCCATCCGTTTACCCATGCTATTTTCTGTACTAACACGACATTCCAAGACACAGGCTTCAAGCCCGATCTCATTTCGGTAAATATCAATGCATCAGACGTGGACTCAATGAAAGTCCAGAACAATCTCGCCGAGACGTGGAGAGGCATTGATTCCTTGGCTCGGGTCGAAGTTGTGAGAACGATCGAAGAGGCAGTCAGCATCGTCCGCAACTTCGCAAATGTTCACCGCCAGAATGCATCCGCAGCAGAAGAGAAAGAAGTGGCGGCATTGGTGACGGGCAGCCTGCACCTCGTCGGAGGATTCTTGGAGGTTTTGGAAAGCACGACGACCCCCAAGTGAAAGAGATAGATGAAGGCTCATCAACTGATCCGATTGCGATGCTCTAACGACTTCAATAGACAAAAGGTGCAAGGACGGCGTCATGGCCAGCAAAACTTGCGAAAATAGAAATGATACCCATGTGTGCTTATAGATATATATATATATATGTTCTCACAATCATGAAGCTGGAAACAAAAGTCGCTCTTCGCTCGTCGAACGCCCAATATCAAGGAGAAGCCACAGTGGCTACTTTCTGTACATTGTGCATACAGTAGATATATGTGCGGTACTTTCCAAGGTCGTCGTCAAAACTCATCCCTCTTGTTGTTTGCTTGCTTGCTCAAACAGCCCATGCAATCAATGCCTCCAATTCCTCCCCACGGTCGGACTCACCGGACTGATCGTGTCGAATAGACTTCGCCTCCCGTGCTCCTCATCCGGGGCTTCGCCGCCGCCTGCCCGCGTGGGACTCGGCAGCGTGCCGATGCCGCTGCTCGCGCTCTCGTTGCCGTGCTGGTACTGGGGCCATCGCGCGTCCTTGTCGTTGTCGGCCGGCAGCTCGTGGGCGACGCTCTGCCGCCGCGACCCGGGCTCCGGCTCCTGCTCCTCGATGATCGGCTGCACGGAACTGGTCTCGCTGCTGCGGTCGCGGTCGAACGGGAAGCGCATCGCGTTGGTGTTGCGCGCCCGGCTGCTGCTGCTGCTGCTGTTGTTGTTGTTGTTGCCGTTCCGCCAGTTGTTCTGGGTGGCTGGGAATGGCCACGCGAGTGTCTCGTTGGTGCCCGTCGACGAGTAGTTCGACGAGCTCGAGTTCTCCTGGCTGGGGCTGGAGATGTCGGGCGTGGTGCCCGGCGGCGGGAAGCGAACACTCCGCAAAGGTGAGGTGGCACCGGCGGCGCCGGTGCCGGCGTTGCCGTTCGTGGGAGCTGTGCCGTTGAAACTGTTGCTCAATGGAGACGGACGGTACACATCCTCGGAAGACGTCGACTGTGAATGTGTGTGTCCGAAATTGGCATTATATGCGTAGTCGACGATCCCGGAGTGACGCGGGTGGCCGAGATTGTTGTACGGCGTGGCCAGTTCGTAAGGCGGCTTGGGACGTTCTGTGTTGTTGGCCATCTCATGACGCTCGGGTTGCTGTGGAGGAGTCGCTTCTTCCGACAGCGAGGTATATCCAACTTGCTGCACCTCTGGAGGCGTCCCTTGAGAGGAATGGCGCATCTGATGTGGTGGGCGCTTTGGACTCACGGCGGCGCATGAAGCCCCATTCAGCCAGCGCGTGATTCGGCTGTTGCTTGAGTGCGACGATTTCTCTGAAGAGCCGCTGTTGATGATGCGCCGGCGCCGGACGAGGAGGAATATGAGGATGAGGAGAAGGATGAGCATCACGGCGGCGGCAACACCGATGCCGATGATGGCGCCTTTGCTGACTCCCGAGTGTCCATCCCCCGACGAGCCCACTGCGGAGCCATTGACCGGGTATGGGTAGTAGTTCGTGATCTGTCTCGAGTACGACTTCGCAAAGATACCAGCCAGCGCACCATCGGACCAGGCTGCGGTTTTGGTCGAGCCGCCTTGGGCATTACCCCCGATAACCTTCGTGACGGCGGCGGGTACCTGATAGTCCGACCAGGTCGAGGGGTCGTAGGTGTTCTGGAACTCGAGATTGTTGAGGTTGAAAATCTGGATGATGCCTCCTTCAACACACTCAGCCTGATTCTGGTGGATTCCGCCGACGACAAACATTTGGTCAGGGTATGGGGTGACACATCGATGGCCCGAGCGGCCGTGAGACGTGTTCCCGCTGTACGCCTTGACCCATTGGAACGACGGAATTGACAGGATCCAGACGTCGTCCGACGGTTCATCGGCCGCGTTCAGTCCGTCGTAGCCACCGTAGATGTAGACATTGAAGGACGAGGAGTCTTTGGCTGTTGCGACCACCGAACAGAACTCGGTGAGCTGGCCCGGAGCTTGGCCACTGGTCTTCTGGAGATGCCAAGTGCTGGAGGCGATGTCATAGACCGGCAGGGTCGTCATGAACCCAGGGCTCTGCGCCTCACTTTGAGAAGTCTGCGAGTTGTTCAATCCCGACGCCCAGATCTCCTCGGGCGCCGAGACGCCGCCAATCGCGACCAGCACGCCTTTCTCAGACACGGGGATCCAGACCAACTCGGCGTTGGCGCGCGGTGGGATGTTATCCGGGAGCGTCGTGTTTGTCCACTTCTCGCTCCTCATGACCGACATGTCCACTTCGATGAGCGTATTGGCCGTCACATTGGCGGATGAGTCCTCGTAGTATATCGGGCCCCATGTCGGCGACCGCATGCCGCTGAAGTAGAACCCCAGGTTTTCGCTGGGCGCCGACACCCCCGCGCCGTTGGTGATGTATCTCGTGACGCCGTCCGGCAGATTGCCCTGGTAGAAGCCGGGACTCCAGCTGGCTCTGTCGGGGCCGTACTGGTACGCTTCATATCCCAGGACGGTTTCGGCGCTTTGCGGGGAGGCGGAATCGGTGAGACGGGGGAGACCACTGTCCGTCGATGCAATTAGCGATCTCGAACACAGGAACCGAGATGTCAAGAAAGGACCTACCCATAGAGGTACAGCTCCCCGTCATTGGTGAACATAGTGCCATCGACATAGTTCGGCGCAATGTTGTTTCCTGCGCCACCCGCCTTCGGCATCCGATGAAACAGGCCCGACACGTTAGTTCTGGTGGTGTCGAACGGCGTCGAGAAGTTCAGAACGAACATATCCCCCTCGACGTTGCCATCACTGCTCACGACGGGGGTCGTTCCATCTGCAAAGGCCGTTTGCCACCACAGCAGACCACCGTCGAGGTAGAGGGCGTCACGGATGACTCCCGCTCGTAATCGAGCCCAGTTGCATATCGTATAGTTCTCCTGGACCGATATGCCATGCGCAACACCCAGCAGCAACCCCCCCAGCACGGTGATGGGATTGGGAAAGAATTTCATAGCGAGTTATATTGCAGGATTCCGGATGTCATCTCTGTTCATCAGATCACTGAAACTGACCTCGAAACACACCCCAACAAAGCATTGAACAATTTACCTTTCGTGTGAAAATCCCACAGCGTTGATTTTCGCTGGAGGGAAAAATAATTGTGTACTCTGAGACATGCTTCGTATTGATACTTACTGATCATCATCAGGAGCAAAATTTGCCACCGGAAGGACTATCACTACATCAGTCGTTGAAGCAGCGTTTTTTTGACCCTGGGCAATGAGTGTTCGCCCACGATGGGCTCGATCCCTCACAGCTTTTCAGGGTCTTTATCGCCATCATTGACTGACTCTGGAGTTGGTGCTTTTGACCAGGGTCTATGCGTCATAGGAACGCCGACGGCGCTGTTCCTCGACATCAATCGAGGTCTCGGCGGAACTGCGCCTCTGATATCAGAACGAATGGAGAAGGAGATGCAGAGACCCCTGGCACGGAACCAGAATCAGGGACAATCGTACCTGGAACCGGGTATTCGTGCCGTTGGGGTTTCCTGGCTGAAAGGTACAAAATCCTGTCATGATAGACACCCAGGCGACGATAGCACGAGCTGTGAGTCGTCAATGACACCTTGGGCAGAGACAACGGGTCGAGGCTAGATCAACCCGTGCCGTGCGCTTATGCTTCTCACCAAACCGCAAACCGGTTTTGAAGACACGTCAATCCCCAAAAGGAATAGCGGGACCGGGGCGGGGTCAGCGGGATCCTTGGCAAGAGCTTGGTTGGACAAGGACTGGATAAGGTTGGCACAAGGATCCACCCGCCGCCGGCGGAAACTTTCTCCAGCTTTCAACGTCTTCTTCTGCCATTCTCCATGATCGCCCATCCCACTTTCTCGACCCTAGACAGCATAGGGCAAAGTCTCCGAACGCCAGCTGCCTTCGAAAACGGCTGATTCGACCATTGATTGGCATGTCACTGTCTGCATCTGGCAAGGCAATGCGCCCTGTAAAGCCAGGAACGTCACCGACCTGCATTGCCCGGACCATATGTCTGGAAAAGCCCGATGCCATGTGGCGTGGCTGGTCGAACGATGCTGGCCAGGGCATTACTATCAAGGAACCCCCAAGAGCTCGCTTTTCCATTGATGACGGCAAGTCTTTTTCCTCGAAGCGATTGATTTGCATTTTTCCCGCGCCGAGTCGTGCAGCTCTCGTAGCTCTTGAAGCTTTCATTATCCCCAAACCCCTACCTTTCGTTCGCTTTCAGCCTACCCGTCCTTTCGTTCCAAAAATCATTCGCTTTTTGCAGCTCCGCGCTCTGGTTGGCCGCGTCATGAGTGCCCTGTAAGGAGGAGGAAGTAGTCGTCGTTGTTTGTCGTCGAGGCTTTGAGAAGAAACACCGTCAAAGATGCATCTTTCGCTCGGCCGTCTGGCCAGTCTATCTTTCGCCATCTGTGCTGCTTTTGCTCAGTCAACGAGCGTCACCACCGAGACGCTGCCGGCTCCTCCACCGCCAGTTCTACCGGTGGGAAACATCACGACCACCACGACGTTGGAGGAGACCTTGCTATATACATGTCCGCCGCCACCGACGGTTTTCATTAATGTGACCGAAACCGAATATGTGCCGCTCCCTACCACTAGCACCGCTTCTTACACCGACACAACCACTCTGCCCATCACCATATTCCAGACCATCATCTCAACCACCATCGTGACTACGGTTGGTACTCTTTCTTCTCGGAGGTTGGCTGGGAGACGCTGACGTTGGCAGACCGAGATCGTGACAGAGACATCCACGACCGTCTCGATTACCCCGACCACGGCGACATTGATCGAGACATCGACCACGCTCTCGATCAGCCCTACCACTGAAATTGATACGCTAACGGAGACTTCCATCACCGTCTCGATCAGCCCAACCACGGCGACATTGATCGAGACATCCACCACACTCTCGATCAGCCTTACCACTGACACTGACACGCTAACGGAGACCTCCATCACCGTCTCGGTCAGTCCAACCACGGCCACTGACACACTGACGGAGACGTCCACCACTGTCTCCATCTCCATCAGCCCTACCACGGCCACTGACACGTTGACGCAAACGTCCACCACTGTCACCACGACTCCAACCACAACCACAGACACCGCAACCGAAATCATCTCGGTGTATGAGGTAACTTCTCAGGCGACGAGCATCACACTATGTCCGACCCGCGTCGTCAACCCCACGTTCACCGCGATCGGACCGTACCCCACCGACTGGACGTAAGTAGCCTTTGCACTTCAGTTCTCTAGCAGCCTTGTTTCTCATCGTCACATTGAGCTTCATCCTATGATGGGTCTCCTTTCCTGGTTCAGCCTTGCTAACGGTACCTAATGCAGATGGGGATGTCCTCCCGGCTGGCTCTGCAAACCTCTCCAGCAAAACTGTAATTTCGAGGCTGGAATTCCCGACCGAAACTTCTACTGTAGCCCGAACGAATGCATCCCTGCCAACGCACTGCCGTCACCACTGCCGACGTGGGACCAGGACATCTACGGCAATGTCACCCCTGCCACAGATCCCTCCCTCCACATCAACGCCATCCAGGACTACTTCTATATGGACCCGACCGAATTCGGGCTGACGTACGAGATCTTCGTCGTGAACGAGGTCTTCACCCTCACCACGACCATCTTCGAGCCCCCGAGTCCCACCGTCGCGGCGAGGCAAGCACAGACCAGCATTCCAGGGGCCTGTTATCCATGGTGCAACAACTGTTTGCTGGAAGCTCAGGCCAACGGCAAGACGTCGGCGCTTTGTGTCCCGGGCTCGGCGTTTGACGTGTCCCTGGTGCAGTGCGAACAGTGCATTGACGTCCACAAGTCCGACGATAGCGGCAGCTTCGTGGAGATTGCGCCACAGTTCCAGCAATTCCTCGACTACTGCAACCAGTTCTCGACCGTGATCGTCACCACCTCTGTCGTCGCGACCACGACCAATGGGGCCGGGTCAACCTACAGTACTGTGACTGGAACGCTGTCGACGACCGTGATCCCCACGAGTTCACCGCCGCCGCCGCCGTCATCGCCCGTCACCCAACCGACGTCGGTGGTGACGGTTGTTGCCTCAACGTCGACCTTGACACCGCCGACCACCTCCACCTCGTCTCCTCCTCCTCCTGCTCCTCCTGCAACGTCGTCATCTCAGCCGTACACCACGACAGAAACGGTCGTGACCACCTCCTATTCACACGTCACAGTCTCCGGACCGGCGTGGTCGCAAGTCACCATCATCTTACCCGTGAGCGACAACAGCAGCACCACCCTGTACGGGACCGACCTGACGAGCGGTGGTGCCACCCTCGTACTGCCCACCTCGCCGACGACAACCAGTTATACCACGACGATGACGGTGACGCCCGGCAAGCAGACCTCGAGTGCTGGGACGGTTGCCGGGGCGAGCACTTCGGTGGGGACGGCGAGTGCATCACCGTCGACATTCACCGGCGCGGCAGCCGTAGTCAGGGTTCCCTCGATAGACATTCAGCCGCGGTCGACGGCGCTCGGGCTCGTGATTTGCCTGGCATTCATGCTCGTGCTGCTGTAGAGTGAGCGGGGGCCCGCAACTTTTTCTCTTTGGTTCATTTTACGTTTCTAATGCCGAGAAAATGAAATTTTATGGACACGTACACGAACCCCTTATAGAAGTCCCTCCTGCACCTCCTCCCACCCCGGAAAAAGAGTGAGGGGGGCAAGGAAGTCTTGTAATCAGTCGGCCGGCCGGCCCCATACGGCATGCCCACTATGGGCGGTGATGGTACATGGGCTTGCTCCTGCAGCACCCACAGGAGGGAGGAAATTGTATATGAAAGTTTACGAATGTGCTTAATGATGAGGGCAACGAGGATGGAGGGAGGGTGTAACGAGGTATTATGTGTTTGGTAGCTATGTAGCTAGATAGGCTTCAAATCCAGAACGGAACCAACACCCTTGTGTTTCCAGATTGAAAGGAACTCATCAGGTCGACGTGCACCTCTCTCTCTCTCCACGCACAAGGCTGAAGTCGGCCAAAGGAAGTATCCAAAGCCACTGTTCACGACAGAGGGCGACGTTGAATCAAGGAACTCACAAAGCCTGTGAGCGGACGAGAGAGAATAGAATAGCTATATCACTAGGATTTTATTCACAATCAGAGGAGGAGAAACGAAAAGACACAAAAGGCTACATGTTTTAACATTAAATACACACACTACGCAACGCAACACAATTCAGTCCCACGGTCAAACCGCCTGCGGCTCAGCCCCAATGCCGTGCTGCTGCGCGTCGGCTTGCATCTTCCGCTGCTCCTTCTCCGGCACGAGCGGCAGGTTGGTGTAGATGGTGCGCTTGTTGTTCAGGCCGTCGGCGGTGATGCTCTGGCCGTCCGCCCCGGCCACGGCGACGTTCTTGTGCACGTGGCCGTTGATGACGATGGCGTGCAGCTTCGAGGTGTCCTGCAAGACCTCGATGTCGTCGAGCGGGTTCCCGTCCACCAGGATCACGTCCGCATAGTAGCCCGGCGCCACCTTCCCCAGCTCCTCCGGGTGGCCCATGATCTCGCCGCCCAGCGCCGTCGCCGCCAGCAGGCTCTCCTTGGGCGTGTACCCGAACAGGTTGACGAAGTGCGCCAGGTCGCGTGCGTACGTGCCGTGCGGCGCCCACGCGAACCCGTAGTCGCCTCCGGGCAGTACGCGCACGCCTCGTCGGTGCAGCTCACGCATCGCCTTGCAGGCCAGGTCGACCTCTTCCACCAGCCCCTTCTTCTTGGCCATCTCCGGCGTCATCCCGTACGGCACGGCGTCCCCCGAGCACGTGTTGTACGGGAAGTTGATGGCCGGAGCCACGAAGACGCGGTCTTTGAGGGCTTCGAGCATGTTCAGCCCTTCTTCATCTGCAAATGAGGCATGGTACACCACGTCCACCCCCGTCTGACAGCAGAGCTTCACCGAGGCCGCCGACCGTGCGTGGGCACAGACTCTCTTCCCCCGGTTGTGGGCTTCCTCCACGGCGGCTCTCGTCTCCTTCAGGGTGAAGTAGGTCTCGGTGGCGCCCATGGTCGGATGTACATAGTCGCCGGTCATGCTCAGTTTGATGTTATCAGCGCCGAGCTCGACGAAATGTCGCACGGTCTTTCGCATCGCATCCTCCCCATCGGCGTGGTGACTTATGCTCGGGATGATTGCTCCGCCGGTGGTCGTGATTTCCTGGCAGTTGGCCAGCGTTCGAGGCCCGGGGATCATACCGGACTTGATGGCCTGCTTGATGACGATATCTAGGCGTTCTTGTGCCGAAGCCGCTCCGAAGCACATGGTGTAGCCACAGTCGATGTACGTCTTTGCGGACTGAGCTGTGTGGAGGACGTGCTCTTCTAGCCCGAGACTGGTCAGGCCGTCCAGTGTCGGCGAGTTGTTCCAGCTCAGATGTGTGTGCGAGTCGCACAGACCTGACATGAGCGTCTTGGTGCCCTTGCCGTCGATGACGAGCGTGTCGTCGTCAGGGGTAAAATTGACCTTGCCGACCTCTTTGATCCGTTCACCCTCGATCAGCACGTCCCCCGGATACATGTCTGAGCCCGTGGAGTCGAAGATGTTGACATTCTTGAACAGGATCTTGCCCTTATCCCCGTCTTTGTGGTTGTCGATGGCGATGTCTGCTGGAGTGGGCGTGTACGGGGGCAAATCTGCGAGCAGATCGCGGACGCCGTTTGCTTGTGTATTACCGATTGAGCCCATCTTGAAGACAAATTGGGTGCTGTGCGTGATTGAAAGTAGTATAGACACGATACAGGAGCATTCAATAGTGACAGCCTCCCGTGTTTGTACAGTCCAGTCAGTGAAAGGGTTGTTGGTCTCCAGCAATATACACCTCGGAGTGAGGGATCTGCCAGCGATTTGTATAGCATGAGGAAAAGCTTCTTCCAGACTGCCATACCTCAAGTAATCGACATGCGGAGACCCCGCTCGAATCGACCACACTCCATGGCGGGAGGATGCCGCCGACAAAGAATGAGTGTTTTGTGTCCTGGGTTCGTGGCGATCATTCGGAGATGTCGCAACGGTGGGATGCCGGCACCATGACGGATGGACGTGCACACTGGGTCGAGCTCGAGAAAGATATCAATGTCAAACCCTTGGCGACAAGGCTCTTTTATATGCCTTTCGAGAGTGGAAACTACATTGTCTCTTGTAGAACAAACCGACGCTGGTGACACCGATACGACACGGACCTTTCCATCAGAGACCCATCAGGCCGACTTGAACACCACCCATACTATACTTCGCCATGACGCAAAACACCATGTCGTTCGGGTTCATTGGACTCGGCAATATGGGCTCCATGATGAGCCACAACCTGGCATCGTACGCCCAGTCCCAAGGTCTCCCGAAAGTGCAGATATGGAACCGGACACGCAGCAAGAGCGAGACATTGGCGGCGAACAGCTACTGCGAGGCCGTCGATTCCATATCCGACGTGGTTCAGAAATGTAACATTATCCACACCTGCCTGGCCAACGATGAAGTGGCCCTGTCAGTGTACCGCGAGCTTCTTCAGGCACGCAAACACGGATTGATCCTGGTCGACCATTCAACTCTGTTCCCCACCACCTCGACGGCTCTGGAGAAAGAAGCCCGGGACGCCGGCGCATCATTCATGTCTTGCCCGGTCTTTGGACCGCCTGCTGCCGCGAAGAGCGCCGGGCTGTTGATTGTCCTTTCCGGCACGGAAGAAGCGAGGCAGACGGTGAAGTCGTACATTGTCCCGACCCTCGGCAAGGGCGTGATAGATTGCGGCGAAGACACCTCCAAGGGTGCCCTCCTGAAGATCCTGGGAAATAATTGTATCCTGGGCACGATTGAGCTCCTGTCCGAGAGCTTTACCTTGGCTGAGAAGACCGGCTTCGACACTGACATCTTTTACGAGTTTATCCGTAAGTGACCAGGTCTCCTGTTCGGAATTCAGGTGAGGGGAACAAGACGCTGACCTGTCGATCCAGAACAATGGTTCCCTGCTGCAGCCTGGGTCAACTATGGCAAGAAGATCCGCGATGGCGCGTTCAGCGGCAAAACAGGCTTTACCTTGCCCGGAGGAATGAAGGATGCTGCCTACATCCGTCGTCTTGGGGCCGAGACATCCACACCGACACCCATCATTGACCAAGCCTGGAATCACTTGACCACGGCAAAAGCCATCGGGGGAGAATCACTGGACTGGAGTGCCTGTGCCGCTGGGATGAGGGTCACTGCTGGGTTAAAGCCATTCAAGGGCGAGGATTTCTCGTTGCAAGGAGGCCACGTCAATGGAATTAATGGGAAATAAGACGAAGCGTCGACTGTGTGTCTCATAGAAAGATTCTATATTCGCAATAAGGACCGTATCCCTAGCTCTATGAGAAGGTGCTCTTGATGATCTCAACCGACTTCTCAGTTGCCTCGAGCATATGCCAGTGTCCTACACTTTCGAGGACCGTCTGCTTCGCATTCGATCCCAGATTCTTGGTCGCCGTCTCACCAGCTGCCACGGTGGAGACTTTGTCTTCCTTGCCTGATACGACAGCAACTGGCACCTTGATGCGGTCGAAAGGAGCAGCCTGGCCCTTGGCCAACGCCTCACAGGCCAGAGCGTAACCTTCAGGGTCTTGTCGCGTCAACATTTCGCGGGCTAGCGCCACTTCGCCTCTCTTTGACTTGTACGACTCCGGAGCGAAAGCGTTCCCAACCACGGTGTCGGCGACTCCCACTATGCCATTCTCCCGGACAGCTTTGGCACGGCCTTTTAGTGCTTGTTGGCCAGCCTCTGGCGGGGGACTGACGGGACCAAACAAGACGAGGCTTTTGATCCGATCAGCGGCCTTGGCTGCCAGGTGTAAAGCAATCAAGCCACCTAATGAATGTCCAACGACGTTGACGTCCTTCAACTTCAACTCGTCCATCACAGCTGCGAAAGATAGGTTGGTTAGTCACAATGGCTTTTTGACACTAGCTTTTGCACGTACCAAGACAATCTCCGACATAAGAGTCGATGCTAGTGGTCGCCGGCGTAGTACTTCGGCCATGACCAGACCAATCAAAGCGCACAATGTTGAAGTCTTGGAGGTCGGGGATAAAAGGCTGAAAAGCGTTCGTCGTGCCGCCTAGGCCATGAATGAACAAGATCGTGGGCCCATTCGAGTTTCCCTCCGTCTCATAGAACAACTTGCTGTCGTTCGAGGAGATGTAGCCGTGGGAAGACAGTTTGGATGCCATTTTGTTGATAGTCCCTTGTTCGATGAGAGCAAAGCAAGGAGATTGTATGACGGTATATACCCTCTGCCTTTATGGACTGTACGGTTTTTGTATGCTTGGATGAGCGCATAGATGGATAGTTCTTGAGGGCGGATAGATGCCGCGCTTGGCCGCATTAAATCATACTCGCTGGCTCCACCGCGTAGATCCCACTCTTCTCCGCGATTCTCCGCCGAACTGGTTCTAATATTCATCGAAGTAAACGGACATCAGAGCACCTCGTGCTCCCCGCTGCGTCAATATGACGGTGGCTCCAACGCCTTATTTTGACATGTACTCCCTCCTGGGCTAGTCGAAGTTGTCAAATAAGGCACCAACATATGCGCTGTAAGTCTTGATCGCTTCAAAGCCTGTCGTTTCAGCGTTTTGGCCCTTGAGGCGTATCTCTGGTGCTCGGATCGCTTTCCGAATTGCTGTCCTGCTTGCTACCGCTGAGGAAGCTATTTTCTTGACGTGTTCGATCAGGACAGGTGCTCCTTCAACCTCCAACGGCGTATCTGGTGTCTCAGCCACTTCAAAGACCGCCGACAACTGAAACTTCGACACATCTTCAAACGCCGAAAACTGTTCCAGTTCGGGCTGCACCGGCTGTTTTCTCGGCATGAAACCACCTGCTTCCCACAGTTCGCGCCCGAGGTAATCATCTCCCACAGAAGTCCAGCCTAGCAGAGTAACACCGCAGAGTAGATTTTCTCTCTGCAGTTGGTGGAAGAGGCGAAATGCACTTTCACAAGAAGCCCACGAACGGCCTTCGTCCAATTGAAAGGCTATGGCGATGTTTGCAAGGTCGGGGTCCCGGCCATGCCTCCAGATGTGTATGTTTCCCGCATTGTCTTGCTGGTATACGTTGTTAGCATGGTGTAAGGGCCACAGTCCCTCTCGCAACTGACCACAAAGTCCAATCTGGCTGCCGCAGCATATAGTCTCAGTGCCTTCCTCAGTGCCGTATTCAGACCCTTTGCGTATTCAGGATTGTCGTACGCGTTACGCAGTCTTTCTAGTGTTGATTCTAAGTCTGACATCTTGTATAGAGGTTCTCGTGCTCCATCTGGATAGAAGGCTCAACGAGGACTGGCAGAGACTGGCCATATTTAGCTGTAGCTCGAACATATTGACGCTGGGCAGTGAGAACAGGCGGCAAACGTGTGACACGCTCTCTTGCTCTGCTTCACACCATCCACGATTCGGAGAGATGCCGGACTTGATCGACTATGATGACCCCCGTATAGACGGCAACAACCCCGCATTTCCCCGCCTGCTGACGACACGCGACGTCACGAGGCTGAAGCCCCTAATCTCCACCGAGGTTCGAATAGACCAGCTGGAGCCCGATCTGCAACCCTGATCCGGCGCGGGTCGGTGTTATTTGACTCGGTGACAGGCACCGGAGAGAGGGCCGTGTGTAGCCCATGTCTCCGCAATACTCAGTCGTCTTGATAAGCCAGCACCACCACAGACCTACCTGTGTCGCAATGATTCCGGTACCATCGCTGTGAGTATGGTGGAGCCCAAGTCGGACACGGCAAGTTTGCGATCCAAGAAGAAGCAGCGAGCCCAACAGGCACGTAGATACGGGTTCGCTTGCTCCAACTGCAGAAGAAAGAAGGCACGATGTAATGGAGCCACGCCGGCATGCGACAAGTGCGTCGCATCTCGCGAGACGTGCGATTATGACCGGTGAGTCCTGCACTGCACGGTAGAGCGATCATTACTGACTTGACTCTCTCAATAAGAGGACCTTCGGTAGCATATGCGGCCACCCTCGAGAAAAGACTCAAAGCATTCGAGGAACGATTCGAAAGGCTCCGTCAAAGTAGCAATGTTGACGAACGGGATGCTCTGATCCACGAGCCGTTTGAGGATGTCAGACCAGAGAGGGCGCGAGCCCCCTCAGCACCTATGGCAGGGCTTGAAAAGCAACAAAATGAGGCCCAGGAGCCCGAAACCCAGTCGTCTCCGTCTCCTGCGGCTCAGAATGAGCCGCCTGACGAGACCTCGATAGGCGTAGACGGCCGCATTTGCTTTTATGGCAAGACCAGTCATTACCATGTCGATCCGCAGGATGACGGAACAGGGGAAGACCTGTTACCAGAAGGTGACGAGCAGCAGGTGCTGAACCTGGGTGTGTCGACAGCTTCAACCGTCTATACCACGCCCGAACTCAATCTCTTTGTCGATGCCCCTGCATTACCGCAACTGCTGTCTGAGATATCTAATGAATTGCTGGATCATTTCCTGGATGCGTACTGGTGTTGGTCACATCACCTACATCTGGTGCTGAACAAACGGCTGTTTCTGCGTGCGTAGCAAGTCTGTCCACGTCGGCGAGGAGCTATAACTAACGAGGCGCAGGCGATTTATACACTTCCGGACCTTCAGTAACTCCTTTCTTGGTGAGCGCCGTTCTCGCGCAGGCAGCCCGATATTCCACCAGACCCGAGGTAGCTCATATAGGGGATCATTTTGCCGCTCGAGCTTTGCACTTACTTCCAAGCGATATCGACAGAGGTAGTTCGATTCCCACTATCCAAGGCTTGCTCATACTTTCAGCCCGAGAATGTGCCTGTGGAAGAATCTCCCAAGGTTGGCTCTACTCCGGTATGGCGTTCCGGATGATGCGTGATCTCGGCATCCACATTGAACCCAGGAAGATGGGATATCTCTCGCGCCAATTTTCTGAGGAAGATCTCGCTCTTCGACAACAAGTGTTCTGGAGCTGTTTCACATGGGACAAAACCATGAGTCTTTGTCTGGGCAGAGCGCCTATCGTCCATGACACGATCGATGTCCCGTCCAGAGAAAGCTTGCTGGACGGTACTGAGACGGACGAAGAGCAATGGGTTCCGGTCCTCGGCAAAGAGACAGAATCGACGGCGGGCCTCCTCAAGCAGAAGTCTCTTGGGAGCGCTCGCTTTGCTGCATATTGCAGGTTGTGCACAATCATCGATGGTGTGCTGGATGGTCTTTACTGCCGGCCGCACCAGTCCAAACAGGACCATCTCCTTGCGTTTCTCGATACCACTATCGAGAGACTCGAACAGTGGTCGACCAGTCTTCCCGCTGGCCTCTTCATTGCCCCGGATAGCAGAGTCTTTCTCTGCCCACCGATCCACATTTTACTCCTCAACCTGACATACCATGCCACAATGATCCTCTTGTGTCGGCCGTACCGGAACATCTCCCTCCAAGCGCAAGAGCTGTGCACCAAAGCAGCACAAATGATCGACACGCTCTTCACACTGCATGTTCGGCGATTTGGATTCCGGTTCATCACATATCTTCAAACATATACCATGTTTGTGGCATGCACAATAAATGTCTTGGATCTGAAGGAAAATGAGTCAAATAGTCGAGGCGCAGTGAACGGGACAACCATTCGAGAGGAATGTTTGGCTCTGGCACAGGAAGCAAGTGTCAGATTGAACTTCGGTTTAGAGGTCTTGCGCCAGGCAGGCGCCACACCCTCAGCCGCAAGGTGTGCGGCCGTCATTGTTCAGCTGCTCCGACAGTGGTCAAATAGGCAGGTGAACTCGGAGGTGAGCAATCAGCAACGACGCCAGCATTCTGAACATATCTCCTCGCCAAATCTGAGGCACCAATCGAGCATAGCCCAAGCAGAGGCAGGGAATAGTTCACTCGGAGATGTGACTGGGGCAGGACATTCCAGCCAGGGCTTTCAGCAGAATGCACAGTTTCCAACGGACCTGCTGTCCATACCGGCTTCAAGAAATGCCAATGAGAAGATGTTATTTCCTGCAGCAAGGTCGACTCTTTCATATTCTCAGGCGCCTGAGCAGCCGGTCGATACACAGACCTCCCCGGCAATTTCCAGCACGATGAATCTTGGGTTCGGCGGCAGTGGTGGTCTCCAATTACTTCAGCCAGACAGCAGCCCCTACACCAACGCCCATATGCCCAATTTTGTGAACCCGGGCATCGAGACCCCGATGCGTTGGTTGCCGGACAATATCCATGACGACGGCAGCTGGATGTTGATGATGGATTTTGGGGACAACATCGGTTTGTAAGCTGATGGGAACCTGTGGCTGCAGCCTGGCATGAGAGACTGGGTTCTTACGCCGTGGAAGTTCAGGTACCAGAGATAGAACGAGTCTGGAGCTCGAAGTCCTTCCAAAAGCCAATCGATTCTTCTGTTCAACAGCAATTGCTGTGTGCATATGCATTTCCCGTCGTGCAAAGAGGCAAACGATCCCACCACATGGGAGCTAAAAGCCCATTGTCAAGCTCACATGGCCGGCATACAGTGAGTCAACGTACTTGTTAGTTTCTTGCCGCCGAGACTCGAATTCCATAGTCGGTCGAAGCGTATAGATTATTCAACAGTTGTAAATGTGCAAAGAGCCATGGCGGAGAGACTTCCAAAGAGGGCTAGCGCGGAACGTGACAGCTACGGCAGATCAAATGAACCCAAGAGTAGTTCTTGTTACTGCTTGTGCAACTTCATGAATCCTTCAATTGTCCTTGATCAAGACCCAAGCTCAAGCTCAAGCTCGTCGCCCTGTTCAAACACACCTCCCGTACAGCTCATTCCGTCAAGATGCTCGCTCACCTCTCTGCACGCCTGCACCTCTTTCGGCCTTTTCTCTCTGGTCCACAATTTCTCAGGCCATCCGCACTCAATGCCGCATCGAGAGCATATTTCACCTGCCTCTCTCGAAGCTCGGTATCCCCTCTGCGCGCGTCACAGATCCAGCCAGCTCCGGGTGCACAAATTCAGACTCGAGGGATGAAGACTCGCTCGTCGGTGAAGAGGTTATGTGATGGCTGCAAGGTACACAAAATCCCCGTTCAAACACTTGACTGGACTCGTTATGCACATTCTCGAGGGCCAGATCTAGACCCATCCCCCCAATCTGTCCCGCATACGCGAGGGCTTTGTTCAATGCGAGTTATGCTAACATCTTGCACTCTCTCCTCGACAGGCTGTCCGCCGCAAGAACCGCGTCTTCATCATCTGCGATAAGAATCCCAAGCACAAGCAACGGCAGGGCAAATGAGTATTGCCCAGATATGCATACAATTCAATCGCCGAATGTCTCACGCGGCCATCCCGGATATGAGTAACTTCGGACGCTCGAGCCATCTGTATTCTCCCCGAGGTCGAACGGACAGAACCGGTCCACTCCGCGCAGAATCTGTGGCTGCCGCGGCGGGAAACAACGAGGAGACGTGGTCCCGCAGACGTTAAGACAATACTGCACCCCCCCTCAAACCTGGGCTATGTCCCCAATCATACTTCAAGAACCCGCCAAGAGGAATTTCTACTCAGGCCACTGAATTGCACGAACGGGAAACGGCTCGTCGTCGTGCGCCGGCAAGGCGCCATCACTTGCACAATAAAAACCCAATTCGCATAAGGGAACGACGCTGAAGAGAAGCCAACCGATTGCGCTACAAGACTATATATTTTGGGAACTTAACGACCTCTCTATGGTACCACTGGAACAGGCAGAACTCGACTCATCTTGACGGGGAAAGGGGAGAAACGGAGATGGGTGCCTGTTGTATATGCAGTATAGCTGAACAGTTTCCCAGTTTGTCAGGACCAAGTGTTCCATTTGTCCAGGGAGCGGACGAAGCAAGTATACTAGCCTTTTCTCGCTTCCAGATTATGGCCACCCTTCGTGTCGATCGTGTCCGTCAACCCACTGGTCGCGAATAGAAGAATACACCATTTCATCATGCATTAACGGTGGCACGCTGTAGGGAAACATTGATGGACGCTTGTGGTAATACCAGTCTTCTCTAAGCATTGCTGCGTTCTGCCTCCGGAGCAGAGTCCCATACATTGCCCCCTGTCTGTGTCCTCGTGTCGCGCATCCGTCACAAGAGCACAATGCCGATCCCGCCGCGTTTGCTCTCATCGGGCATGTTCTTGGCGTTGATGCCGCCGTTGATCGGCTTGGTGCGCCAGTTGTACAGGTAGTGATGCAGCTGGCCGTCGCCGGCGCCAAACTTCAACTGTTCCAGGAACATGGGGTTGTCGTGGAGGGTGAGGGCGTTGAAGACGTCGAATTTGGCCTGTGTCACGATACGGCATCAGTATTCTGAAGTGCTAGGGGTTGTCTGTCAAACAGCAGTGACGGAAACACGCACCTTCTTGGCCTCAATCAATAGGTCCTGGCCCAGTTGCAGCAGTCTCTCCTTCAACCCTTTCTCCTTGGGATTGAACGCCTGCTCGGTCGCGTAGTAGTAAAGATATGCGGCTCGAATTTTGTCATGCTTCTTGCTCATTTCGCCAATAACGCTGCTTTCCAAGCAGTAGAAGCTCCCGAAATCCGTGACCTTGCCATCCTTGTCCTCGACCACGAACGACCACACCACCTGATTTTCTGGCTTCTCTCGGTTGAGGAACCAGTGTACAATCTCGGCTCTCGAGAATACTTGGGCGAGGTCGAATCGTTCAAGGTACCGCGTCAGCAAGTCATGGACTGCATCCACGTCCTTCTCCTCCATTTTCCGCCACCCTGGCGTGCTGGTGTTGGGAGGTAATTGGTTGCGAGCAATCATCTTGGCTTGGGTCATATTAGGAGGCAGAGGAGAGAAGCCGACTTCGTAGAGCTTCAACCAGTCCAGACTTCTGTGGAAGTACCGACAGCTGCCGACTGGGGTCGGTAAGACAACGCCGCCAGTGTAGATCGCCTGGTAAATGCCCTCCAGGTAACAGCGTCGCGTGACCTCCTTGATGAGCACCGGTGCAAGTCTTCGCGACCTCAGCTTCTTGTGGACGCACATGAAGTTGATCTCCACCACGTCGAGGACATGCTGCCGTATTCTCAACTTGATGGGGATCCCAAAGATGGTCGCGACGAGAAGTCGGCTGGGACCCTTGGCCCTGACGCCAACGTGCCAACTCTTCTTCCAGTCGGGCGACTTCAGGGCCCAATCCAGAAAGACAGCGGAATAGTTGAAGCGAAACATGGCATGGTCGTCCTCGACGTAGTGTAACGAGAGAAGCTTGTAGACCTCTTTGATCTCCTCATCGTTGGTCAGGTCGAGTTCCACCCACTCATACCCTTCAGGCAGAGGTGCGGCCGTCTTGGGCACCAGTTCCGGAATCACCTCCTTGATCGGTCCATCTGGCTTGTCCTCCGCTGGCTTCTCATCAAAACGCGGCACCGGCTGAGTCGCCCAGAATTTGTAGGACGCCATGTCCTTTTGGTTTTTCCCCGTCAACGAAAGCCCACTCAGCAGCTGTGACACGTCCATCTTCTTGAGTAACTCGTTTGCTTTCTCGGGAGAGAGGCCCGCCAGCTCGCCTTTGAGGGCGGGATTCATGTCCAGGAGCGTCTTCAATGACTCGCCTGACAAATTGCCAGCCGGTTGGGAGGGGTCTGTAGGTTCTTCAGGAGACTTTTTGCCCGTGATGGCAGAGACGAGTTTGGATTTCTTGGACTTCTTCTTTTTCTTCTTCGCCTTCCCAGCAGCTGAGCCTGATGCATCCTGAGTGCCTTCGGTGCCTTCGTCCTGGTGTTGTTCTTCACCGTCGGATTCTGACTCCAGTTGCTCTTCAAGCGGAGCGCCCACCGGGTGAGATTCGGCCATCGCAGCGGTGGTTGGGGGAGAGCGTGGATGGCAGACTGGATCGGGTGCAGCAACTGTATAGCAAGAGCGGTGGACAGTCTATAATGGTCTGCTTTGGAATATTTACCACAAACACTAAAACTGCAGGACTGCAAGCAAGGCACACACCAACATAGCCAACTCCGCAGTCACCAACTTTGGAGATGCCCGATGCAGCTTGGCGCTTGGTGGGGAACTCGTTTCACGCTCGTTCGTTCTCAGGCACTACCAGCCTTGCGTTGCGGCGGCCCAAGCTTACCAGATATCGGCGCCAACTAGGGCAGGGAGGAACTCGAGGATGGAACAGCCTACCGTCCATTACAAACAGCGTTGCTCGCAAGACTCATTGCATCTCGTTAATAGATGTGCATGGGGGCACAGTTGGGTAGGTACTTGTATGGGCCTTGAGCAGTGAGAAGTGCCCTTACTGCACGAGTATCTAGATAATAATACCTGAGAGGTCCTTGAATTAGACACGGCAGCCCGGGCGCCCAGGCACTGATGTCCACCCACCAGCCCCGGCTTGCCCTCGAACTCGGCAAATATCGCACCGCCTGGTGGGCTCTCCGGCTGCCAGACCCCTCCCCAAATCAAATCGCTTAGTTTCCCCCCAATGTCCCTTTCCCCAGATTCTCGACCCTTTCACAGACCTCGGACCTCCCACCAACTCAACTCTCCTCCAATTTATTTTTGAGTTTGCAATAAACACCAAGGCTGAACCTCATTGCAGCGTCCCGTTGTTGACGACGACGAGGGATACTCATCTCGTCCCGGTCGTCACCATGGCGCCTGTTCTGCCAAACGGTGAGCCTCAAATCTGGCTTACCCCGCCTCCATTTACCCCAGCGCTCTGCCATTCCGCAGCGGAACACCCACGGTCGGCCTTTCCCTCGAGACTCAATGCCAACGACCTCCCGCTCTGGAAGCGCGAAGAGGTTGCGAGGGGAGCTGACCCATCCCGGCAGAAACAATTCACCATCACCTTCCAGCCATCTCGACCCGACCCTTACGACCCCTTCATCATCCCCGACTCCATCCTCCTGCACAGTCCCGTGTCCCCACAAACCCAGAGCAAACTCCTCCAGCTCCCGCCCGAGCTCCTCACGGATATCTTCCGCAAAGTCAACATCCCGTACTTCCAGATCTGCCTCGCGTTGACCTGCAAGACAATGGCACGCGTCGCCGCGCAGAAGAACGCCCTCTCGCCCTGGCGCGGCTACCGCGACAAGGACGGCCTCTTCCGCCTCCTCGAGCGCAAGAACAATTTCATTCCTCCACACTTGAAGCTGTGCCGTGCGTGCTTCCGGTTCATGCCTACGACCAGAGGTAACTATTGGGAGCAGCAAATGTCGGCCCTGATCTTTGATGGATTGTCCATGAATTGGTACGACCTCTTGGAATGGTTCAACGGACACAACCGCTTCGGCACTCGCTGCCCGTGGTGTGTTGCTTATGGTTATTCGAGTCACTCGAGTGAGGGGAAATACAATCACCAGAGGGCGGAAGAGGTGCTTTCTGTCGGTGAACGCATGCATCCGGAGTTGAATAGGAGGATGGACAAACCTTGAGTTCGGGTGTGCATGGTGATGGCACCGTTTGCCGTCTGCGAAACCACTCAGATAGCGCCAAACAAAGCGCCAAAGCCACAAACATCCACTTCATCTCTGTCAGAAAAGCCTTGTTTGTTGGAACGGCCTGAGCTTGGATCCTGGCCAAAAGAAGACCTGAAAGAAAAAGTGCTAACACAACCAAACGGTATGCACCAAAACACTCTTCACCACCTCTCTCTTCTGACGCTTTTATAGCTTGTTCACATCCTACGCGGGCTACGTAACCTTCCAATCTCTCGTGAGGGAGAACCGCCACGGGAAACCTTTCTGCGTGAAGTACATGGAAAGAAACAGCGAATAGTCAAACGAGGCAAAGCCATTCGAGCTATCTTCAGAAGCAGTGACAACACGGGACCACCCTCCCTGGTCGAAGTCAAAGTCGGACGCGTAGTAGAGGGCTAGATTCAATGAGAATTGAGCAGCAGCAATCTTGGGGGAAAGCAAGAGAGAGACATGAGAGGGAAACCTGAAACTGTCGGGCAGGGGAACATTCGAGGATAGATGTGTACGCGACAGTGCACTGATATTGGACACCAGGCAAACGTGTCCTCATTTTAGCGACATTCTCAAAGTTCTGCTGTTGATTTGATATGCTCATTGGATCATGGGTATCGTGACGCATAATGCCCCAAGGGTTTCGTCTTCAATGTCATGACAAGCAACCTGTATGTTCTGAGCTCGAACGAGAAGATATACACAGGTCCAAAAACTACTTCTCAGTCTTCATCTTGGACTGTCCTCTTCCTGGACCGTTTCTTGGTCGACTTTGATCGCGCTTTCGTTGTGGAATCCTGCAAATTCGCCTTGGTCTTCGCCTTGGATCTCGACTTCGCGTTCGCAGAGCGCTTGGGTGCGGCTTCGTCGCCGGCTAAATCTCCCTCGTCATCGTTGTCGTCGTCGGCGCTTCCGGCTGCAGACAGATTGGGGATAGAAATTGGATTGTTGGTCGTGCCGGGCGGACCTTCACCGTCCTCAATGCCTTGGATCTCACCGAGGCCCTGAAGGACCTCGACCGCATCCTCATTTCCCATCTGATCGTCATCCTCATCCGCCTCGTCCTCTTGTCGTTTCCTCCGTTTCTCCGCCTCCCCTCTGAGCCTTTTATATGCGTTCCTCATCCGTCCGGACTCCTTGCCTGTACGATTCCTCGGCGCCATCGCCTCCGCTTGGGCTTGCGCCGGCCCTATACCCTCGCCGCCGACAGCAAGGGCATTGCCGCGGGTTCCTGGGTTGCCGTTGATGCCCCTGCCGCCCACACCGACCGCGCCGGAGAAAAATCGCGTGATGTTGCTCTGCGTGCCCTCCACCTCCCGCCGGTTCATGTCTCGAATCACCGGAACCAGAACCTCGTCGGTCCTCTCCTGCGTCCACCCGATCGTCGCCATCAAGAAGCCACGGAGTTTGTCCAAATCCGGGACACCCCATTGGAACGGCTCGGGATTTGAATCGACTTCCGGGTTCAGGTATGCTTCGTCAACCCTCGAGTCGGGAAATCCTGTGGGCAAGAACAGGCGTTTCTGTACTGTCTTTCGGAATTTCCTTCGGAAAGGGGTGGTCAGTTGATTCTCCAAATCCTGTGGCCTGCCGAGTTGGACTCTCTCGCACCAGGCCCTCAACTCCTCCAGGTCTCCAAAATCGGTCAAAATCTCGAGCGCAGTGACGGGACCCACCCCAGGAATTCCCTCGGTGTAGTCGCTACCCAACAAGTGGGCGAATCTTATCAATCTCCTCCTGTTCAGCAAGAATTCCTTTTCCAGGTCCGAGGAGAGATAGCACTCGACGTATTTGGCGGCGTTGAACATGTTCTTGTAGATTCTGGTCCCTCCAAAGAGGAAGATATCCGAATCGTCTGTGACGATCCCGTCTACGAGCCCAAGGCGGACGAGTTCGGCACACTGCGCTTCGGCTTCCATGGGCGCGGTAATGTACGGTAGGCCGAACAACCTCAATAGGGCTTGACATTCTTGGATCATCGTCTGCGTGACTTCGTCGGCGTCACGGCGGTCGCGTTTTTGTTGGGACCGCAAGGCTTTGAGTTCGGCATCGAAGTCTCGCATGGCTTGCTCAGTCGAGGGGCCCCTGGCGTTGTTGAGGGCAGACGTGAAACGAGTGTGCTCTTCGGCCTCTTCGGCCAGTTGTCGCATCAGTTCCTCTTCTGAGGCAGAGAGGTAATCAAATTCTTCCTCTTCAACCGGCACCGCATCTGGAATTGCCGTAATGCTGGAGTCTGTAACGGGTTGTTCGCTCACTTGTGGAGGTCGCCCTGTGGCAGGATGACTGGGAAGGGTATCGGTCAATTGTTGCCCTTGGTTTGGAGCGACAGCGGGCTCCATTTCTACATCTTCAAATTCTTCACCTTCGTCTTCGTCTTGCGCCGCAGTCCCTGTTCCGCGCCGAGGTCGCGGAGACTCTGCTTCGACTGTACCTAGCGATCCCGGACTTGCTGGCTGTACAGGTTCCTCGTTCTCCGACTCACTCCATTCTACTTCCTCAAAATCGCTTTTTTCGGCAGCGACATTTTCAGGAGCAGCGGGTTCTGGTTGAAACTGAGGGACAGCGGACGGTTGAGGCGGTTGAGCTTGTATTTCGTCGGCAACTTCGCCCATCGTCGGTGGTTCGTCCTCGGCTTGGTTCTCAGCTGCGATTTGCCGTGCAATCTCGTAACGCTTCTCGCGCTCTTCATCTCTTTTTTGTTTTTCTGGGTTTTCAATTTCTTGAACCTCGGGAAGTTCAGACTGGCTAGGAGGGACAAACTCGTCGACAGCTTCTTGAGATGGTTGAGTTAATAATTGCACTTCCTCCTCAACGTTTTCCTCTTCAAGATCAACTGGACGTTGGCTTCTGTCTTTGTCGTCTTCGGCCTCGAGGTCAATCACCTGCTTGGTATTATGGCGCTGAATGGTTTCCCATCGATCTTCTCCTCCGTGCACATCGTGTGAATCATCGCCACCTGCAGTCCGCAATCTCATGTCCTTCATGTTCGGAGTGGCATTAAACCATTCCGGCAATGGTTGGGGGGGCCTCTCCTTGCGGAAAGCATCCTCTCCAAGATCCCGATCGAATCCACCCGCTAGATCTTCTTCAATCTTCTTGGATTTCTTCTTTCCCAACAATGATTGTCCAAGGTTGAGGGACTCGAAGGGCAACGGACCATCAAATTTCGGCAGGGCAGTGGCTGCCTCTTTTGACAATTGTGGCTTGGGGTTGTTTCGCCTGGACTCTGCGAGGGCTTCTTGCAGGTCGAAGGTATCTTCTTCCGAAGACTCTTGCCCGGTTATGTCTGGAGCTGCTTCCGACACCCATCCACCGCCCCTTTGGTTATCATCGGTCGGCTGCTCCAGAGACATTGCCAAAGCACGTTGAAGGTCTTCGTCGCTCTCTTCTGGTTCGGGGTACAGTGGTAGAACATCCTCAAACAAATCGTCCTCGTCCTCGTCCTCAGCCCTCTTTTTGTCCTCCGGAACAAACAGCGTCTCCTCGGTAGCAGCCATGTTGGTGTCCTGGATTGCAGGAGAGACAGGCCGTGCAGGTTTCGGAGCAGGAGCTGTAGCGTTTGAGGCAGCCTTCCTTGCTTCATATACCGCTTTCCTCTTTCTCGCAATCTCCTCGGCCACTTCTTCATATGACATGTCATAATCCACACCAGCCTTCCTCTTCCGCGCCCAGGTTTTCGGCAGTCGATTCAAGCCTTCGATGGCGACATCTTCAAACTCCTCCTGGTCTGACTCCGCACTGAATTCCACTTCAGACTTTCCCTCATCTTCCAGATCGATGGCATTTTCCTTCTCGGCACCTTTTCTGTTCGACACCACTCCCAAAGCCCATCCTCCTTCTACCCCTTCATTCTTGACCAAGATATACTCCTTGCCCTTCTCACCGGCAATCCTGCCACCGCCTTCCCTCAAAAAGTCCCCTTCCACCATCCCATTCAAGTGCATGAGTCGCTGTGTCAACTCGTTCCGCTCCTTGACCCTCTCAATTTGGAATTTGGAGAATGCCATGCGATCGGGAAACATCCCATCGAGCTGTTCCTTCGAGTAGCCCATCCTCAACCTCGACCTCAGCCGGGCGGCGTTTAGAATGTTATACCTATCCCCCGCCGGCAGCGACAGAAAGAAGGGACTTTCAAAGTCGATCTTGCTGAAATCGTAGAGATTGATGTCTTCACCGGAATGGAACTGCCGCGCATACTCTTCCAGCTCGGTTTGAGACATGATCCTCGGGTCGTGGGGCGCACCCATTGCCTCAATGCTCACGTCCAGGTCCGGCAAATGATACTGGTCTTTCTTCCTGAACTTTTCGCCTCGGCCAGCCGTACGTTCTTGCTTTGACATGCCTAGCTCTTCAACGTACACCAGCTCTTGGTCCGGGGGTAAATCCTCTTCGGGTGTCCTCTCTCGTTCCGCTCTTCGTCTCTTTCCTTCTTCCTCGGCGGCCCTCGCCACCTGCACCGCGAGCAACTTCCCCGCCGTCCTCGCCGCATCCTCTCGTCTCCCTTCACGTCTTCCCTTCCTCTTCCGAATCGTCTCTCGCTTGAGAACCGGCGCCCCGCCATCGAACACAAAGACGGGCTTGATCCCAAAGTAGAGCAGTTTACATATGCGCCGGAAGAAGCCGACGACGTGGCTGTTGCGCAGAGCATTGCCTTCTTTGTCTCGCACTGCTTTGAGAAACTGGTAAATCCAGATGGAGGCGTCGACAGCAAGGCGTTTGCGGTTGAGAGAGGCGAGTTGGGTTGGGCGGGCGGCGGGGGCAACTACAGTCCATAGTCCGGTGACACCCATGATAAATCGCTGGGATCAAGAAGAAGAGGTCGGTGGAACTGAGCGTTTGCGACTCCGCTCCTGACGCTCAGCCGTTTGGACGAATCTGACGGGGGGGTCTATTTGCGGACATTGCTGCGATGTAGCGGCAGCGGATGCGATGCAAAATCGCATATGGCGTCGAAAAATGACGACGTTTTAATCACCATCCGCTGCGGTGCCTCAGTCACGCGACAATGACGCGAACTCACATGCCTAGCCCCTCACCAATGGTATAAATCTAGGGCAAAACGCAGGGGCCTGGAACATATGTACTCGGTACAACGCTCCTGATAACCAGAGCTGCTAATTCTTACACGCGATCGTATTTGCGACATTCAGCCGCCCATCAAGGTCCATTCTACCAAAATCCCACCGTTGGCGGCGAAGAAGCCGCTTCCCAGCGACACATGCTTGACGCCGTGCCAGACCCATAAGGGGCTGATTTCAGTGCCCCTGGGACAAGGGTCGATAAAGCCCCGTCACAAAAGAAATACAAACAATCGAAAATCATGTAACAATTTAGTTGCCTTCCTCCTTAGCACTCTCGGTCGAGCCGGAAGGTCCAACAAGTGTGGGAGCAATCCTCCGTCTCTTCGACTTGCTTTCCTCCTTTTCGCTCTCGCTTGTTGCCCCGTCCCTCTTACCCAAGACAGAACCACTAATCGAGCTTGTTGCAGAATGTTGGCCACCGTGAAAACTTGCAGGAGTCTGGGGCGGCGTTGTCATGGGTGGAATAGCCACCGGAGGCCCGGAATTGGAGGCGGTTACCAGGGGTACATGCCCCAAGGTAGGAGTAGCATTATTTGGAAGACCTGAAGTCTGAATCGATGTCATCGTCGCTATCGACGACTGTGAATTGGATCTTGTTGGACTCCCAGGACGAAGAATAAATGGTGCTGGTGAAGCATGCGATGGTGGTACAGGAACAGGAGATGCTTTTGTCAGCGAAGGAGAAGCTGTAGCGGTAGGTGTCGGAACAGGTGTTGAATTTGCAGAGGAAGTAGGTAGTGGTATCGAGGTTGTCACAACCGGATGACTGTATGTTGGATGGGGTCCTGTGTATACCTGCCCCAATTCACCCGGTGCGAACGCCAAAGTGGAGCAAAAACCGTCCGTAGAGGACATCAGTAGTGTAAGACCGTCGTTTGACCTGTGTCAACTTGTCAGCAGCATCCTTGGGACGACAGGGTTTCGAATCTTACCAGGTTAAGTCTGAAAAGGTGGCGTAGTGCAGGTTGCTCACAACGCAAATAGGTGTGGTCTGCTGGGTGTCGTAGACAAAGACTGCGTCTTGCGTGGCTACAGCGTAGATCATTCGGTAGGGCAGGGAGAACGCTGGAGTCGGTGCCGGGCTGGCAGGTTCCCCGTCGATAGACGGTTTCGGTGAAGGCGCGGACATTGAATCAGGCCCGGGAGTTGTGGCCGACAAAGGTGGAGGCTCCATTACCGTTGAGGTATTCGGTGGGACGATGGGATCGGGCAGAAGCGGTATCTCCTCGCTCCCCGATGAGGTGTCGATAGTGATGTGGTTGGTCGGTTTCGTGGTGGACCGCAAGGTATAGAGAATAGGAGAGCATTTGACCGCCACGGATGGCTTCTTGTGCCCTGGAAGATGCGCCACTGGCGGCTTGTTGAAGCCAGCTCTGGTGTAGATATAGACCGTGTTTGTCACGTCGTCCGTGGTCTTCATGGGATCAGACGCCAGTGGAAAACTGGTCTTGTAGTGTCCGGCCGGTGTAAACAACAAGCTACCGTCCGGTGAGAACGTAAGACGACGGAAGAAAGAGGTCATGGTTTCGTTGTGATAGAGATTGGTATTCTTAACGGCGAGACCCATGGCCGCATTGAGACTTGGAGACGAAATCTCTGGTCTGACAGCTGGGAGCGGTAAGGAAGGTGCCGGTGAGGCGGATCGTCGGAATGAAGGTGATGAGCCAAAAGACGACCGTCGGCTTGAGGTCAGAAGGGGAGGATCCATTGGCAGAGGTGTGGTCAAGGGGGTTCCGGGATTTGAGGGCGCAGGGGAGGCAATGGCAAGGTTGTTGGCACTAGAGTTCGAGGCACGGTGCGGCAACTCTGCTGGTGCTGGGCTATTGGACGATATTCGTCGACCTGGAAGGTCCATCTTGTTGAATTTCCCATGAGTGGAAAGTGTGGGCGTTCCATCTTTGAGCTTGAGAGCATAGATGTGGACCGACCGGTCCGATGACTGAGTTGCAACGAACTCATTGAGAGGATCCCAAGCCACACCTTGCACGAAATGGCTGTGTTCTGCTATCTGGCGGATCATAGTCCCTAGGGCAGAGTTAGCCATGCCATGTCCCAGAGGCAGCTATCTCAACATACCGGTATGTGCATTAAAGATCCTAGCCGTGTTATCAACTCCACCGGTGATGAAATATTGACCGTCTGGAGACCAGGCCAGATCATAGATTTCTGCTCCGGTGGATGTCCGGCACATGTGTTTGATCCTCCACGTTTCTTTATCATCGGCATGTTCATCGGTCAAGGTGGCCATGGAAGATTCGGAGGGTACCCAGAGAAGGACGTTGCCATCATCACCGGCTGAAGCCAGCATTTCGCCTGCCCTCCATCAGCAAACAGTCTCTAACCCGGCATTGAAGGACAAACCTTTGGGGCAGAATCGGACGACATTGACGGGTTGAGTGTGTCTGGTGAGGGTTGATAGGTATGTGACTTTTCTCTCCTCGCCTTGAGCTTCAATGCTCCATAACTATTCCTCCCACATCAGCAAAGTGAACCGCAGAAACGTGCGAAGAGGCAGGATCTTGTACCCGGACATTGTTATCACTGTTGTCATTAGCAAAAATTCAGAACACTCCTGCACCGAGAGTCACTCACTTTCCAGCCGTAGCTAACCTGCCTTTACCATGAGGATCGAAATGAACCGAATAGATGGGCTGGCTCTCATGGTGCCATTGAATGAGAAGCGGTCCGGCTTTCATGACGGCATTGAGGAGTGGCCTCAAAGGCCGCTTTATAGACGATCAAAATGGCAGATTGAAGTCGTGGAAGTCTCGGTCGTAAAAGATGCACTGGGTTCCCGTTGCCGCTGCTGTAGAAGTAAGATGCGGTGGGTGGGCGGCAGGCGGCAGAGGAGCTTTCGTTTGCTTTCTCTCAGGCGGAGATCGACAACGGGCGCACGGTAGAGGGAGGCTGCTGAGTCAAGGCATGCACTGAAACGGCAGAGAGACCTCTTCTACCATTCCTGAGTATCGGGACAAGAGGACGAAACAAGGGCTATTGATAGTCTGAGCAGCAACGGCGCAGTTCAACTACTAGTAGTAGTACAGCCAGAGACGGGGCAGCATGCCTCGTCGTGGAGGGTTGCCAATGTGCTCCGCAGCCAGATTGGAATTGGGCGGCGTCGAAGGTGGAGAAAAGGACGAGCCCTGTTCTGCTAACGCTACTGGTACTTCACAGCTGCTGATGGCTTGCTGCTTGCTGCCACTTGCTGCTGCTCCTCCTGGTGCTGCCTCCCACACAAAACCTGGCCCTGGAAAGTTTGACGCGCTCGTGCTTCTATCAACCACGTCTTGGGTCCTGGCGCGTCTGACCACCTCAACCCGGCCATGCGACCTTGGGGCCAATCCTCAAGTGACGGCCATCCTTTTCAATATGAAACAATTCAATTCCGGTGGGATTGGTGAAATTCTATTGTGTCCCCCCCGCCATTGCATTAGGTCATCACTTGACATAGACGTGTTGCTCCTAGAGCTCCAAATACCAGCTGCTTGTCTGTCCCCGGGTCCATGCCCTCCAGTGAATCCGGCCTTTCAGGCCGCAAAAGTACATTCATTCCCAGCGAGACTGCAAAATCTCTGTTCCTTTACTTCGACTCGACTGGTGTCGATCGAAATCCAAATTGCGGTGCGAAAACCGATTCGCTTTTCCGAAGACGTAGCTTCCCAGAGCTGCCTGTGTCTCTGTGTGCGTTGGAATAACCGGTTGCGCCACCCGACGCCTATTGAACTAGAAAGCAATCGAAATAACACGAGGCCACGACGGCAAGACCGGGGGAGATCTTGAATCCCACCACGCTTCGGTCACACACTCGGTCCATGACCCATTGTCTGTGCAGAAACGAACGGCATGACTGACGTTGCCAGAAATATAGGTCATAACAAACGCAAGAATGGCTGAAGTGGTTTGTTTCTTTCGGCTTCGTGGTCTCCTAAAAGCTCTGGGCGGATACTTGTGCTGGCTGTGGGATTGATTAGCGTTGTTGTAGCAGATGAACAAAACTGGGAACACATACCGGACTGTTGAGCATATTCTGGCGAGCGTTTCTGCCCTTTTTGATATGACTCTTCAGAGCACTTGAATCCAACGGCTTCAGCAGCTCAAAGCTGCACAGTAAATTGCTGGACACCGACATCACAGCCCCCCAGTTGTCGAACTCTCCGCAGTACTGTGGAAAAGGGGTTAGCGATGGCTTCTCCATAGGGTCGATACACTTACGTTGGGCGCAGAGAAGACTGTGACAAGCAAGCGGTCGTTGAAGAATTCATATCCATCTTCGACAACCATATGGGCTCGGCAGACCAGATCGAAATCGTGGCGCGCCAGGAAGTCGACAATCACCTTTTTACCAAAGCAATAACTAACCCCTCGTTCGTTTGACTCCCAATCTTGATCCATATCTGCTGGATCACTCCACAACAGATCATTCAGCAGCCCATAATCAGGAACGTCTGTGGGTCGCGCAATCTGTCGGATGTCGTCCATATGAGACAGAGATGGGGACAAGCCGCCATGGACACAGAAGATCTTATCTGCCACAATCGCGGCAATGGGCAGGCAATTAAATGTATCAATGAATGTTTTCCAGATCTTGATGTTGCACCTCCGCTTGCATTCGTCGTAGAACCCATAAACGCGAGTGACGTTAGCACACTCGTGATTGCCGCGAAGAATGAAAAAGTTTTCTGGATATTTCAACTTGTAGCAAAACAAGAGGAGAATTGTCTCCAGAGACTGTTTTCCCCGATCGACATAGTCGCCCAGGAAAAGGTAGTTCGCATTGGGGGGAAACCCGCACATTTCGAAAAGTCGGATCAAGTCGTTGTACTGGCCGTGAATGTCCCCCACAATTTTGACCGGTGCTGTGAGCTCCAGCAGGGCCGGTTGAGATAGGAGCACTTCTCGTACAGCGGTGCAAATTGCCGTTATTTCGGCGTTCTTAAGGCACACAGCCTTCGTCACCTTGGTAGTGTACCCGGCGTCCAGAAGACGAGAGATCATGTCGTCCAAATCCATGTCATTCACATCACTCATGCCGATACCACCTCCTGGAGAAGCACCTGGCAACTCTGCCAGCTTGGCCCGCAATGAGGCCTTGGTCTCCGGAGCTCGCGGGTTGATCTGGTTCTCCCGCTTGACCAAGATGGAATCACCCGCCTTTTGTGTAGATGAGTGGACGTGAGCCTGATGAGGAGCTTCCTCAGACACCGCGCCTACCTCTCCGGTCCTCTGAGCACGATCCACCGATTTGTGACCTTTACCCACGGACTTGGACTGAGTTGGTGACGGCGGTCTTGCAGGTGTGCCGGCACCTGGCGAGGGAGCTTCATCGTCGTCGTTGGGTGATATGGGAGACTCTACCAAAGAGTTGTTTGTTATCTTCTCTCTGGGCGCTCGAGAAGAGCCCGAGCGGCCACTGGCAATCGAACTGGCATCAGCCTTGTCGACATTAGGGCCTTCTGACCCCGCCAGGGTTGAGCCTGAAGCCCGAGGGCTGTCGTTTGCCTTGTCATCTCCCGAGCTCTTTATTTTGCTCCGAATGGACGACCTAATGGACCTAGAGGAACTCTCCCTAGTGTCGGATTTGGATATGGAAGGATACTGCTGTAGAGTGTCCGGAAGATTCGAGGAGGAGCCGCTCTTTAGTGGGGTTCTGGTTCCATCGCTGCTCTTTGACTGTTGTTGGCCCATTGAGTTCTCGGCCTAGCAAAGGTATGGCAGTTCACAGAAAAGAGGTCGGGGAGGGAAACGAGCGGGTCAAGGAGGTTTGAGGAGTGAGATAAGCAGCCGCTTTGAGGAATGCGTTTTGGCGACTTTACTTAAGGGCAGTCTGGAAGGAGCACACGGGAAGTATGCTCAGATACAATCCACCTTCAGATATTGGGGCGCGGTGTCGCTGGGTCGGCCAGCTGCGTGCGATGGAATTGGAGGATTAAGTGACAAGCAGTGACTGCGCATGGAGGTGTGGTGGGTGGGATGGGCTTCCTTCGTCTCGCCTACAGCAGCGAGAGGATCAGATGTCAGTAAAATGGCCCAGCAGCAGGTTAGTGCTCAAGCAAGCTAAACCAGAGTGTTTCTTTATGAGTATGGAAATGTCGCATGGGGTATGGATGGTGAAACACGTTGCGTCACCGTGCGGAAGGACTGGATAGGTACTGACCTGCTGGAAAGGCGGCGGTTATGGACGGACTCAGACGACGGAATCAAGACCAGTAGCACATAGATTGTAAAATCTAAGAGATGGTGGAGGTGGGAAGGTGAGGACAGCAATCTATGGTTGATAAATAAAATGGGTGTTAGAATTCGTGGAGGGAGCAACATGAAGGCCCGAAAGTGCAGGCAGGGCACCGCAGGGTTTCGTAGACGGTCTAGTTTCGCGGCGCCAGGCGGCTGTCTCCTCTGGTTGGCCACCTGTTCGGCCATATCGGCTGCGTGGCCCAGAACATTCGAACTCTTAAGCCTACCAGCCTTAGTGATCACTGCCTAAACCCCTAACTCCTGGTCACTACGGCCAAGTTGGGTGGCAGGGGAGCTAGATGAGGTCACTCTCTGTAGCACCTATTTACGGGGTTATTCAATTATTTGGAGGTGCTACAAATCACTGCAATGGGTTCGGGGCCGAGTGCTCGGAAGTACGAGGTACACGTACTGTACATACTGTAGGTAGGTAATAATAATAGTCAGCCACCAGAAATCCAACCCGGAGAGCATCTTGGCGCAGATCAACACTACATAGACTCTAGAGTTTGGATCTCATTGTCCATAACTGACGCTGTTCCTCGAGCTGATTCGCCCTGATCGCGACATCCTTTGTGCTGAGTTCTCCCTCCCCGCCTGCTGAAGCACCGCGTGAACCATCAGCCCTGGGGTCAGTGGCAGGAGGGCAAAAAGCGCAGCGAGCTTCCTCACGCGCCTCCACCATATTTGCATGAGGAGTGCCAGGAAGGCCGCCCAAAGGCTGCTTTGCCAGTTGATGAGACACTGTAAGGCGTTTTCAATGGCTTGACTCAGAAATACTGCCAGCAGGTAGCCCAGCATATTTCAGAGGGGTCCCATCCTGTCTGTCTCCAACTCGAGGGTAGTTTGCTCGAAGCTTTTGCATAGTTCGAGTGAAAACCTCGAAGTTCCCACCTCTTCATGTTCGCGTCCGAATCGATAAGGACTGACTGCTGGGCCATTCCCTCTTCTCCTCGACTTCCATCTTCGCAATCTGCTTGCCTGGGATGACGATCAGGCCCACGAATCGCGACGTCATGTCCACTCTCGTGGCCTGTCCCGTAGCCTTCAGTTTCTCGACCGCGACTATTTCAGCCGCCATAGATGGCATTCTGTACTCAAATGAGTTTGAAAGGATGATATTGCTGTCGTTGTCGGTACACCGAAATATTCCCGAGAATAGTCGGCCATCCAGAACAGTAACATTGAAGGTCTTTCCGAGCAAGGATTCGAGGAACTGTGTAGCCTCCGCCTCTTCCATTTTGAAAACAAACAGACGTGGATGATGAAGAATTCACGGTCTTCGTGGCTGAACTGGGCCGAGTGATAAACAGTGAGAAGATGATGCTGATTCATCTCCGTAGGAAAGAATATGGAAGCGGCTCAGCCTTGCAACTAGGCTTGGCGACGAGGCGCAACTGCCAAGAAACATTTCTCTCGACTGACTGTACCAGAATAAACACCATTGACGGGCTCATATTATGGTGACCATCAGTTCTCAATCAGTATGAGTTCTGCTCTGGTTCTAAGGTGAGTGATGAAACGACCATGTCTTGACCACTTTATGCCTTTAGAATGGCGACGTAGAGCTCGCTATCCTGTTCGGTTTGCTTCACTTCTTCCACTCTCTGCAGTGCGCGCTTCTCAGCACCCCTTGATCTCTCAGACTTTTCTGCGGCGTCCCGTATTCCTCGAACCTCTCTTGTTTCCCTCGTACCCTTCTATCATCCTCGAAGCTCTCAGATATCTGTTCGCGAATTCGTCACAGATTGGGTCTTCACCGTCGTGAGCATGACGAAACGAACTAAAGGTGTACCGTTGAGGCGCCCCCTCAATACGAAATCTCGAGATCAAGGGTCTCACGGCAGTTCCTCCACAGTTGTCAAAATAAGGCAGACCCTACATCATCCATTACCCAGCTTGAATACAAGATCGAAGGCTAGATCGGACAGCACCTTAACCTCGTCCACCAACGATCATGCCACTGTGACGACGACAGAGTCGTCTACAGAGTCGTCGTTTTACGATTCTTGCACAACCGCAGGGTGGGACACAGATCTCAACTCCGACGAAGGAGATGATGATCGACGGGTTGACGATAACGATTTTCCTGAAACAGCACGGAGACTTAGCTCCCTTTTGACGCTGACATTCAACAACCGGGGAAAGGAGGCACAGCAAAGACCCAGACTTCTATTTCGGGCCTTTGATCCTGAACACGGACTGCGTGCTCGCTGCTTCCAAGGCTGCCCCCATTCAACACCTCCACCGCCGCCCACCTACGGTGGCGACGATTTCGGAAACATGGCTTACCGACATCTTATCCAGGATAGAACGTTTTCGTCCCCCTTTCTCTCTTTTACACGAAGTTCCAAAAGGGCAATGAGAGCACACCTGGCACAAAACTCAGAACGCCGCTCGTTGGCCATTGTCGACTACAATGTACTCGAAGAGGAGTTTAGAAAAGTGTACGGCATAGGTCCTAGGATTTGGCTTGTACCTGATATTGTTGAAAAATATCAGTTCATGGACTTGGAGAAGGTTGACCAGGATCGTCCCCCTGGTGTCAGAAGCGGGAGACCATACACAGGCATCAACGAGGTATATATTCTGGCGCCGTAGCGCCCTAACCGAAGTTCAAGTACTAACGTGGCACAGTTCCTTATCTGGGGCTCTGTGCTCTGTGATCCCATCGCTGTACTGAGTTATGAGGATGCCCTTCAGCTGTGTGAAGTCCTCAACAAACTGAAAGAATCTGAAGCAGTTGTTGATTATTCGACTGGTACCGTTGTCGGTCAAGTATGAATAACCAATTTGATCCTAACCTCGAGTTCTCTGACCGCTTTAGTGTCTAAGGAGTATCCCTTATATGTACAAAGCGGTCGTGTCATATCAATTGATTCGTGCCTTCGAGATTAATGGATACAGAAAAGCTCGCGACAGTATATATCTTGAAAGATTCTGGGAAGGAGTGGAGGCCAGCTCACCAGATCCCAGCGATTCCACTTCGCCTCCCGAGGACTTTGACGTTCAACCGAATCGGGAAACAAAGAGGGTACCCACAACGATTGAGGCACCACCAAAGGCGCCTTGGTTCGCAGATACGCCGTCGAGTTCATCTTTAGCAGATGAAGATAGTCAGTCTCAAGAACAAATCGCAGAAGTGCCTCGCCCCAAGTTTGACATCTTCATTGAAGAGTTATCAATGTACGCGGCAATGCCGACACCAACTCCACCCCCTGATCCTACGAAGGAAGTGCATAACCATCCGATTCTGAGACAGAATGAGAGCGCACACCCTACGAAAGGGGAAACGGAGGCAATCACTGCGGTCAACTCGACAACGCATCAAACAGAGAAAAGAGACAGAACCCCGCCCGAGAAGGGGCAAGCGCCTAAGCCTCGACGGAATCCAACAGGGTGTCAGCCAGAGAACGCTGCAATTTCATCAAATGTGATCGATTTGACGTTGGAGGACATCCAAGAAAATCACACGTCGGAGAAGGTCGTAAGGGTCAAAGATATCAAGAGACTTAATGCAAACAGAATTCAGCGGAGACACGCAGTCGCGGAAACGAAAAGAACGACCTCGAACTCGTCTATCAAAAAGGTCGACAAACAACAAGGCAGCTCTCACCGGATTGATTTCTGTCTCAAAACCCCGCAAGTCAATCCTCCCAAAGGCTACGATCAAACCAAGGACGATGAGATTCAAATCATTGCAGAAAGGAAATGCCATGTCCGACACCAGCATATCCGCAGAACGGCGAGAACTGAGACGAAGACAGTCACCACGATCCGCAGCCGGAGTGTGAGTAAAGGCATCATCCTCAATCAGCGAGGATAAGAGTAATCTCAGTTCTCCAGAATCGATCATCTCTTGCGAACCACGACTCTTCCTCTGAATGCTGAGCCCTGCGGAGGCCAACACGAGAACAGCGTCAGTCTGAAGTAGCTGCTTCTTCTTTCTCAATCCGCATGGACAGGTCCTAGTGCACGGTTTTTACTTTATGACAGGCCTAGAGTTGCGGCTGTGAGCTATGCCGTGCTGGGTGAGAATGTTCATGTCCCTGTAATCTATGTGTTGTCGTGACGGCAGGAGGGACTTCAGTGCATTGTGCCAACTCGTCGGGTCACCGCGCTCTCAGCGGCAGATGCTTGGCCAATCTCTCGATGGCGCTATGAGCCAGGGGAGAGCAATCAACGTAACCCTGCCACAACAATTGCCACATCTTACCAGTCTGCCAAAGTGTGCTCGATCGACCATCTCTCCTCCAGCAGGTAACAAAGGGGAAACTCCCTCGACTCGGCGACTGGGGCTGGCTGAAAACATCCGGCATAAGAGGGCTGGTGTGGGAGGAAAGGGAGGATAGACATCTTGGGTCAAGAATTTTGCTGTTGTGTCATGCCTGTGAAAGAGTGAGTGGAAGTCTAGCTAGAGAAAACAAACTCCTTGCACAGCCTGTTCAGGCGGACGATCGAAGACCTGTTTAGGCGAGCCTTGTGTTTAGCCGACGCGTAAGCCACTGTCAATGAGCCATTGTTGTTTTAAGTCGAATGAATTGCAGAGTAGAGTTGGAATGTTTGCTCAGTGAGAATGCTCAGCTTTTGCCCGCGTCTGCGCCCTGACGGTTCAGATGTTCGCTTGGGCGCGGTCGATCGCATGCCCAGCCCTGAAGCTGCTAACCCATCTCGGCTTGGCTCCTTTGGCAACAGGAACTTAGCAAAGACGATGCTTTGAGGTTGAAAGTGCAGGCACTGCAGTCGACCAAGTCAACCTCAAATCTCCCCATCCGCGGCCTTTTTAATCCCATCCTGCTCGTCTCAAAGCAGGTATCGACCTCAAATCGCCGTTTACCAAGGGTTTGCAGGCCCTCTACCGTCCTCAAACGCCCAAATCCCAAACTGCGCCCTCTGGGAAACCGGCCCCCTTCCGACCGCTTGCCCACTGACGCGTAGAAAACTCGCAATCCACATCACGGCCGATATTTCCCTGCGCTTCATGGTTCACATACTCTCATAATCCACATCATCAACCGAGGAGGGCAGATGCGAAGATGAGTGCGCGGTTGGCGTTTTAATCAAGGAGATGTCGCGCCCACAGGGCTCTCACTCTCACTCCAAGTTCGCCGATTTCTTCCCAACCGCACCCAGCGTCCAGCAACGGAAATCTTCCAAGTTGCTGGATCTCGACCGATCCCGGCTGCGCCGTCCTGACGATCGCGCAGAAGATGCCAACGCGAAAGAGAATTCTGCTCAACTCTTTCTAACCTCACCTGCTCCCACGTACCGCCCACAAATACCCGCCAAACAGGACAACTTGGCAAAGACTGCTGCCGTCGTTGTGGTTCCGGAGGACAGTGACCAGTACGCAGGCGACCTTCTCAATGGTGTCGGCTCAGCAAGTTCGTCTTCTACCGCTTCATCGGTCTTTAGTGCTCCCGTCGCAAGCGCCGTCATGCCTGGCGCAACTCATGTCAATTTCCACTCTTACCCCTCTCACGAACTCCGACTCTCCTCCAAATGGTAAACTCATGAGCCCGACCGCTGATTCCGGCTCTCTGCCTATGATAGGTAGCATCAATAATGCGTCCACGCTCCATCAAGGTTCGATGACGCCGCTTCACACGCCGCCGACCCATCGAAGATCCGCACGCGATGCTAACGCCGAAGTCAAAGGAACCAAGTGCATTTATGATCCGGAACTTGACAAGAATCTGAACCCCAAAGACAAACGCAAGTTAAAAGCGCAGTTTGAGGATTTTGGAGCAAAGCCCCATGATAACTTCCTCCCCCCCGATCCGCGATTGGCAATCCCCCACTACACAAAGGGCGTCGTAGGGAAAGGAAAAGCAAAATTTCGCCCTGCACCTTACAATCTCAAGCCGTGGGTGCCTGATGCTGCAACCGCGATTGCGCCGCCGCCGCCGACCACCGTGGTCGTGACCGGCTTCGACCCCATGACGCCGTTGTCCCAGATCAGCGCATTGTTTTCCAGCTTTGGCGAGATTGAGGACTTGGACAACAAGACTGATCCCGTCACTGGGCGGTTTCTCGGCATCTGCAGCATCGCCTACCAAGACTGCGCCTCCTTTCAGGGCGGGGGACCGATCTCCGCAGTCCTCGCGGCCAAAACAGCATATCTTGAAGGCAAACGTGGACAAAGGATCGGCTTGAAGACGGTGCAGGTGGCCATTGACCGAGATGGATCGGTCACGGAGAAGTTGGTAGAAAAGGCAATTGCGCTGCATCGGAAAGAGAGTGGGTTCACAAACCAGTCACGCATACAACCATCTCCCTCTCCCTCGACACCCACCGCAGTCCAGTCGCCTGGATTTGCAAAGTCGACGGGCCCACCACCAACAGCTCCAAAGGGACCGTCAGGCAAGCCGCCTTCACGGCCGCAGTCTACATTCCCGGCTCCATTTGGACTCCCTGTGAAGCCGGAGAGACCAAGCAAGCCCGTGGCCGCAGCCGCGTCGCTTGTCGAGACAACGCCCATCGCTGAAACGTTGAAGATACCTTATATCTTCATTGCGCATTGTTACGTACCAGTTATGAGCACTACGATCCCGCATTTGAAGAAGAGGTTAAGAATGTACGATTGGCGGGAAGTTCGCTGCGACGAGACGGGATACTTTATCACATTTGAACAGTCGCGGACCGGACAGATGGAGGCTAAGAAGGTGTTTCACGGCTGTCACATGCAGCCGTTGTTTACGTACGTGATGAATTTGGAATTACACCTCAACGGGAACCACAAGGCCATCAGTACGGCAGACACTATACCTACATCGACGGGGCCCGTCGATTTCGTTTATTCGAAGCAGGCTTATAGGCTCAGGAAGGAGCACGATCTTGACCTCGAGGAAGAAAAGCGACAGCGTGCGAAGGACCTAGATCCTTCGAGGGCTGTTGTGCAGCTTGTCATACAGGAGCTTCGGGATAAGCTGCTGGAAGATGTCAAGTCTCGTGTTGCTGCTCCCGTCCTCTACGACTATCTCGATCCGAACAGACATGCAGAAAGGCGAAGGATTCTCGGTGTGAGTGACCCCGACGGAGTACGGAGACATGGGCATGCCGATGAAGGCTCTCAGACACCAGACTCGCGTTTCGGTACTGGGCGACGCCCGCTTGGGAACAAAAACCTCAATATTTTATCACTACCGAAAATCGGCAAGAGGCCTGGCACAGACAGAGGCATGGTTGGCTTCCGTGATGAGAGGAGAAAGGCTCCAACAACGAGACATAATGTTAGGCCACTGTTCCACCAATTGGCCCAGTTTCACGCCGACGACGATTCCGACGATGAACAACGAACATCAGTCACTCGTGACACTGAAGATCCGGAGAGTCGCCCACCCAGCCGGATGAGTATGACCTCCATGTCCGATGATGACGACGAACTGCTGCGCAAGGTCACGAAACGGCGCCTTCATGCTCGGGAGGAATCCGAGATGGGGGACAGCGTGGCCAAAGATGAATTCGATATGAGCAAGCAAACTGCGGAAGATCTCATCATTGCCAAGCTTGAAAGAAACATTTACGAGATGTCCCCGTCATCTCGGAAGCGCAAGAGGCTGGTAAAGGAGCTGGAGGCTCGTAAACGTCAAAAGGCAGATGACGAGCTGTTTGGCATCGGCCAACATGACTTGGACCGCGAAGGGTCGGAGGATATCAAAGTCGAAACTCCCATTGAAGCGACTCCCGATGTTGACTCGGACGCCGCCAAGGTCAAGAAGGCCAAGCCGAAGAAGAAAACCAAGAAACAGATCCTGGAGGAGCAAGAAGCATTCCGACGGGCGCAAGCAGAGGCCGAAGCGGCCGAAGTGGTTGATAATGTTCTGGAATACGCAGAGGAGGAAGAGGCTCTCGCTGAGGCGGCCGAATGGAGGCCCGAAGTGGAATGGGGCGTCTCGGCCGAGGAGCCTTTGCCTACCGTTGATGACGACGACGATATCATTCCCGATCTTCGAGGATGGCAAGCAAGTTTGTTTGACGAAGAGGATCTCGAATACCTGTCATCTGCAATGAAGTTGAAAAACGCCATGGACATTGGCGATCCGATGGCATGGGCATGGAAACAAGAGCGTATTCGAAATCTCAAACCTGGAACTCAACCGGGTGCCCTTAGGACGGAGCCACCCATCGATGGTTACTATGTGCCCAACGCCTCGGGCTCTGCAAGGACAGAACCTGTGCGAAGAATCCTCGAGTCCGAGAAGTCTAAATATCTGCCACATCGCATCAAGGTGCAGAAGGCGAGGGAGAAGAGAGAAGCCGAAGCTAAGAAGGATCCGGGCAAGCAGGTCGTGGAACTGCCCAAAGCTTCATCCCGTGGTAAGCGTGCAGACGACCGACGGACTGTCAAAGACCTGGACAGACAGCGGGAGATGTTACAGGGTATGGGTGAAGACGCCGACGTTCTGCGGTTCAATCAACTTCAGAAACGCAAGAAACCTGTCAAATTCGCCAGATCTGCCATCCACAACTGGGGCTTGTATTCGCTGGAACGGATTCAAGCGAGCGAGATGATTATCGAGTATGTGGGAGAGAAGATCCGGCAGGAAATCGCCGATTTGAGAGAGATTAAGTACACAGAGAGTGGCATTGGCAGCAGCTACCTCTTCCGGATCGACGAAGGGACTGTCGTGGATGCGACCAAGAAGGGTGGAATCGCACGATTTATCAACCACAGCTGCTCGCCCAATTGTACTGCCAAGATCATCAGGGTGGGCGGCACGAAACGGATCGTCATCTATGCTCTCAGAGATATTGAAAAAGGTAAAGACTGTTTCTTCTTTCCTGGATGACTGCAAGCTGACATTTTGTCCTCAGATGAAGAATTGACGTACGACTATAAATTCGAGCGTGAGCTCGGCAGCGACGACCGCATCCCGTGTCTCTGTGGCTCGGCGGTCTGCAAAGGTTTCCTTAACTAATACTCCAGCATCTCCACTGGCAGACGGGTCTTCAAATGCGTGGCGGAATCTGGCGGGCAGATCCTTCTTTCGATGTTATACGTGCGTTTGAAAATATGGAAGAGCATTTGGGTCCGGCGTTCTCTTCCATGCGGCATGATGAAGGGACGGAGATCTGACAAAAGTCACGGTACAGCATGGGTCCATGGAAAGGCGAGGCCGCGTTTCCATCTTTGCATTGAGAGAATCGGCACGAGGCGGTGCGATGTCGTGGGCAGGGGAGTGGCTGTGAGGAGTTCACCAGGATCATCGTAATCCTATTTCAACAAGGCAGGAAATGATGAGTTCGCAGGAGAGTGGCGGCCGACCATGAATGAACTCCGTTGGACTCGACTCCAGTCCTGGTACAATACGGAAGGGTCGACGCTGTAAATGAATGGAGCTGAGAGGGTGCTCTCTCCCTCTTTTTGTGTATTTGTATCATCTCAAAATCCTGCTCGACAAGCGCAGCAACCGAATACTGCGCCCAGCGCGAAGCCCTGGTCACCCTGGTACGCGTTGCAGAACGTCTGAGTATTCCACACATAGAGTAGTTGCCAAAGTGCTTTGCCTTCATGGGCGGCGTTTCCACAGATTTGACGGCTCCGTTTTCCCTTGAACAGCTTCTTCTTCCCTTGCACACAGAGAAGTAGGTGCCTCTGGGCGTTCACTCCTCCTTGAACTGCGATAGAGCCTACATTCAGCGGTGATTTCCCTCTTACAGGGCTTCCAAGCCTTCCAGGCCTGTTGGTGATGAGCAGTTGCTCCCGCATGATTTCACATGTCGACTTCGACTGTTGCCCACGACGTAGACGGCGCGGTCTGGGGATTCCCTGTCAGTGGATGACTGTTTTCCAGCTTTGTGCAAACCCGAATGGTTCCAGGCTCTTCTTGTCTCGGCGTTTCATTGTAAGCGAGCCTGCAGAGGTTGGTTCAGCGCAAACTCACGTTCCTGTCGCTCCGCTGATCGACCCTATGTATCCCGGTAATTGGGAGTGGACATTTTGCGGAGTGAGATACGATCAATGCGGAGGTTTCTCTCTTGACGCAGAGCAGAGGCAATCCGTCTCTTGTGCCTCGTCACACTAAATGCGCGGGCAGTAGGAAATTTCCCACCCCGTCCTTGATGGGATATTCAAACCCGCAGTTTCCACAGACGAGTTTTCCCTCCGACACGCCGGTCTCGAGGAGGAGGGTGTGTAGTTTCTTCAGGACGTCCTCGTCGATCCCGGCCTCCTTTTGAGCATCTCCTTGTTCCTTGTCGGGCTGGTGGTCACCTTCAACGTCCATCGCGTGGTCATCCCCCTCCCGCTCGAGATTTATGTCGTCAAGGTCGGCAGGGTTCTTCTCGGGCACCATCGCCTGCAGTCCCAACTCGGTCGCCGTGACGGTCAACGCCTCCCAGTTCACGCGCGGCAGGATGTTCTTCACGAACAACGGGTTGAACTCGATCTCTGTGCGTTCCAGCACGGCGTCCTTGAAATGCAGGGGGAACGAGGCCGAGGAGGACTTGCAGGCCTTGACGGCGCAGGTCAGGAAGTTGGTGGTGAGGAGTTTCATTTTGCCGGCTCGAGGAATTGGAGCGGAGAGGATGAGATTTGAAAAATCAAAAAAATCAAATCGGAGGACTCGGTGTTGGTAGGAAAAAGGTCTCCCTTGCGCCAAGCCAAAAGGCTCGTTGGTACAGAGATCTCAGAGGTTGTTGGCAACAAGGTATCGTGCAAAGTAGAGAATTTCGAAGAACGACCTTCCAGCCTCTTGGTACAACTTAAAGCGGTGTCGTTGTCTCTACATGTGGATTGATCTAATTCTACTAACTGCACTGGTTTTTTCACCTTTAAAAATTGTCTAGATATTTACATGTGTCTGAACGATGTCTCCATTCGGTTGGATCAAGCATAATTCATTCCTCAGCCGTGAAGGATCTATCCGATCCATAGGAAGAGCAAAAAAAAAGATGTTCGGCACGCAGGTGACTTCACATCCACCACGGGAGTTCGAAAACTCCCATCTCGAACGAAAAGCCTTATAAGTGCCTCTATAGATAATTCGGTCTAGTACGCCAATATGACCTACCACTCCATGGATGGATGAAGGAATTGGCGGTTGATTATGCGTTCAATTCATATTTCATGAAGTGTGAAGAGAGAAAAGAAAGAAAGAGAGAAGCGCGAGCAGTTTGCTAGTTTTTGATATCTGGGCCCCGGAGCCGGAGAATCTCTCTCTGGCCGGACCGGGGCTTGTCCTCTTTGAGCCTGGCGCAATATCTCAATCTTGGCATCGACACGGTCTCGAGTTTTTTTCGTCTTTTCTTTCGACCTGTTTCCTCTTCCAAAGGAATGCTGTTGTTGCCGCGTGGAAGCAGCTCATGGAACCATGTCTGCACATTGGCGCCTCACGCCCTCTCATACTACGCAGAGAGGATTCTGCCCTAGTCTCAAATGCGAATTCCCCCAATCCCCTTTCCTCTACAAACAGCACTTAACTTACAGCTTTGGCCCCATTTGGCTGGCAAGCAACCACACTCGGAAGCATCTTGACCTCTTCTCTCCCATGATCAAGACGTGGATCCAGGGGACACTCCAAACTCCCCAACTATCGCAAGTGGCAGACCAAAATCTGGGCTTTTAGCAGGGCCCTGTCTACTCCACCCTGCTTCCTCTGGTCCTGGTGAGGAAGCAGGACTATATTCATGACAGACAAGCATGTCGCACGTCGTGTGTGTTGTATGACTGATGCCATACGTCCATTGATGGCATTCCTGAAAGCGGAGGTTTTTGTCTGGACGTGATACAACAGTCAAGCCCTTTAAACGTTCTTACCGCTCAATCAGGCGATGTAAGGATAGTAAGGACGCTCGATGTTGTGTCAGTCGCGAGCACTTCTTCAAGACCTTGATAAGAGCTCGTGGGAATGATGGCTCTCATATGCTAACGGCTATTCAATAAGAGACACGCACATGCCGCAATTCTCGATGGCTTCCTGCTTGAAGATATCTCCATTTTCAACAGCACTCACTCCTCAACACCACATGTCAATCCGTTCAAGCCATTTTAACTCACCTCACTTCTTTCTCTCATATGTCTGTCTGTTCTTCTTGCCTTCCTCCACTCTGTTCTATACTCGTCTTATAGGCTACTCACTTTGCTCTGACCTTTTCTTCTACCGAGTCTCACATCCCATTTACATCCTGCGTTCTTCCCAGCTCCATCCATACCAATTCTAACTGCCATCCTCTTTTCCTTGACAATTCTCTCATCCCAGCTGACTCTCAAGCAACAGTGGCGGCAGGCTTGACTTCTGCTCATATCTGCACGCTGCTTATCCATTTCTCTAAGCTTGGACACATGTACCCTATCAACTTCTTGGTCACACTCTGGCTTTGGCCATATCTCATTCCTATCTTTTCGTTCTTTTGCTTCTTCACGTTATCGTTGGAACGGGCTTTCCTGCCTGGACGTACATTTGTTTTTGATCAGCTTCAGACCTATACACTGACCCACCGTCTCCGGTGTCATGCCTCTCTGTTCAATCGACCAATATTTTGATCATGTCGAGGCTGCAAAATTGGCCAAGGTATAATCAGTACCTCAAAGAGCCCTACGTCTGCTCGGACGAGGGTGGCTCTGACTGGGGCATTTGCACTAATGAGCGTCTCACTCATATCCATCTTGGCCAAGGAGAATCAGGGACGCCATTGGAGACCTGTGCGGAACTTAGGTCGAAGGAAGAACAGAGGCATCCCTTCAGAATGGTGATCTATAAGAGAGTCTCGGTTGAGGGCCTGTGGAAGTGGAAGCTCTGCCAGCACCGTGTAAATCTGGGAGCTGTGTCAGCTTGCACCCAAGGTATTCCGAGATACCTCTTCCGATTTTGGCACGATGACAGTGCCGGTGAAAATGGTGATGGACTCTTCAAGAGTGAACGTCAAAAACAAGACATGTGCGCTGACCTAGAGCTCATGACAGAAAGAGACATTCAGGAAAGTCTCCTCAAGCATATGCACAGGGCAAAAGGCGCCTTTCAAAGCCCCTGGATCTCACTCGCGACTTCCCCACTTTGGGTCTTTTCGGAAGCGCTGGCAGCTAAGCAGCGTGGATGTCAAAATATCAGACTTGCCATCATCGACACATGGAGGATCGGCCCGGGCGCTTATATCTTCCAAGCCGAGGCGTTGCTCAGGGCCTACAATGTCGCCCAAAGCCTACCTTTCTTCAATATGGGTGAGCCGATGGTGTTGGTATGGAAGGAAATTCGGGCCCCAATGACAGTGGTGCGCCTGGAAGGATTTTTGCCGAGTGTTTTAGAGAACGGGCATCGCAAACCCGGATATTTAAAATTACAACCATTCCATCATCAGCCGTTGGATTCTGAATTTTCCAAAACTCACAGCACCAAGAGGAAGAGAAGAGAAGATGAGAGCGACAACAAGAGATACGGCAGACGACGAAAACCACGCGAGATTAGGGAGAAATTACGTTTAACCAAGTCTACTTGTGAGGCTTTCCAGGAGGTAGCTCTGGAGCAAAAGGCTCCATGGAGATTCCAGTGGAGACATCTTGCTGGCAGAATGACCCAAGGGGAGCAGCGTGGCCGGAAGATGGAAAATCGTCGTGTCTCAATCGCGGCGTACCAGCTGAACGAATACGTTGAATTTCTGAAGAGAGAAGTCCCCGCAGTCGAATTTCAATTCCCGTTGTTGATTGCAATGCTCTCGACTCGCACGAGAGAGCTGGAATACGACTCTATTGTCGACGCAATCCATGAATGGGGCAGTAAGTGGACATGATTGTCAAGTCCGTATGTCCGTCCCACTAACGACAATCAGGCGAAGATCCAATGGTTCGGGCTCACAAACGGTGCATCGTTCGGGACAGGCCTTCGCCAGACCTCCCAGAGTTGACCGCCTTCGACAAACTGTTCAGAGACGTCAGTAAGAGACTCGGGATTCCGGTCGACACGAACCCAGGCGTACGTAAGTTCTGGGTCCTGCAATCTCCGCACACCAAGATTCCCGAACCCCGAAAGGACAGTGAGAGAATATTGCACATCGTCCAAGGTCATGAGGCGCGGCACATGAGACTCAAAGAGGAAGAGGAAGCACGGCGAAGAGAAGCCGAAAAGGCCAATGCCAGACTGTGCAAGAGGCTGGAGGCAAAAGAAAGACGCGAGTTCCAAGTGTCTGAGTGCCTGCTGGCGCGAGTACTGAAGGAGCTAGACGACAGGCCCCGTGACATCGGTTCCGCTCACAGTTCTGCCAGCCACGGCGACATTCGACAATGAAATGCTGACGAAGAAGTGGTGTGTCCTTTGATGGAAAGTCATGGAGACGGAGGAAGATACACATCAGGCATGACCTCGGGGGTGGAAGCAGAAACACGCACAGACAACCTCCTGTGCTGACTGAGTCGGGTTGGGGAAGGAAAACCTGTTCTAAATCTTGACTGGTGCGGCGGTATTATCAGGGGGCTAGTTGGTTGATTGATTGATTGCTCGTGACACAACACATGTGCTGGACTCTTTTGAGAAGGTACTTGCGTACTCTGACACCATTATGGGATTACGACAAGGTACGGTGCTGGTGCTGTTGAAAATTTATCAGGGAGCTGCTCGGTCGAGAGAGATGACTGTTTCTGTATCTTTGGAGAGGAGGACCCTTTTGCTTTTTCGGAGATTTGAGAAGAAAGATTCACCATGACAACGACGACCATGACGTTGAGAGAGAGATGGATAGGGATTTTGATGCAACATCGGTTACTTGCTGTTGTTCAGTTGCTGCTGCTGCTACAGAAGAATCAATGAATTTTCTCTGGCTCGTACACATTGCACACATCTCACATCTCACATACCATTTGTTGCGTGTTCATCTCTTGTGCTTTAGTATAATGATGCTCGTTTCCTCCCTACCGTCCTTCCTGTCTTTCCTCTCTGGTCCCCTTTCCCCCCCAAAATAACCACGCGGATCCGGTGCCCCCCGAACCTAAAGTTCACGGCAGCTGATTCCCATCCACTTCCCCCTCCGGCCCCCCTCTAACCCTACTCGACTCTACTCTGCTCTGCTCTACTCTGACTCTCTCCGCTGAAAGCACCACACGGTAAATGCCCGTTTCTCCCTCATGCGACGGGGCAGGCGGGTGGGGGAGATGGATACAAACTTACATACCTACCAAGTACGGAGTACACACACTACAAAGAAAACTTAGTCAAAACATGATGCACGCGCAGTCGCTAACTGACGAACTGCCCAATTAACTATCTAACTGAACCGCCTGCCCCATTTGTTCATTCGTGGATACCCAAAAACCAGCGGGACCGAAAAACAACAACAACAAAAAAAAAGGAGCCGGCCTGTTGCTGGGCGGGATAGTTTGGTAGGTAGCGAGGTAGGTCGGTAGGTAATATGCAGTAGTTTCGAGTCCCACGTATGTGCGACGAGGTACCACCCGCACTAATATGTTTTACGTCAATCAACACGCAGGGATCCGAGCGGTTCCTGTCCGTGCCTGTCTGAGCCAAAGGGCCGAACTCGAGAGATAGAGGAGAAGAAAAAGAGATGAGTATCGAGTATTGTCGGTAGCTAATCATCACCACCACCCCGGCCCTGGTCCGGATGATATGTCAGGTAGCTCTGTCTGTGTCTCTGATTCGACCAACGTGCGCTAGTCAAGGGGATGTGCTGGCCGCCTTGACCGACTTTCAAGTTCCCCCCCTTTTCGCTTCTCGCGCCCGGGTGATGTGCCATGTTCATCACCCCCTGCGTCGGTAGCACATGTTCCTTCCCGTGCCTCCGGCCGCGTGTGAGGCAGTGGCTCGGGGCAAAACAGTCTATTCTCCCTAGGGTGGGTGCCATCTTATCTTCATCCTCGTTGCTGGATACTTTTAGGGCCTCAAAGTCGAACGCACTGGGCGGTCACATCCGGTACAAACCCTGCTCGCGGGCATGTATTCGACTTGGGAAAGAAGTCCAGGTCAATTTGCTCAAACCTTCATCGTCATGCAGCTGACACTGTCGATAGCCCGGTTTCGTTGGAAAGAAAAAAGCAAGTTAAAGTTTTGAACAACACACCCGGGGTTACGGGCTCCCGATCCCTCATGCAACTTGCCCAAAAAGCTGGGGGATGAAGAGACCCAGAGACTTGGAAGCGAATGACAATCCCCGTCCCCGTGTGCAGAAGCGATCATCCCCGGCCACCCCCAGTACTGCATAGAGTTTGGTAGGATTCTGCACGTTGCGAGATGGGGACAATTACCCTCTTGGCCCTCTGCACACGACTCAACAAGGCCCTGGCCGATTCCATGGCAATTTTGGTGCAGCATCCTATCCGATCTTTGCGCATGCCAGCTGCAATGCTCTGCTGATCCGAATTAGATCGGACAGGAACCGACACTGTGTAAGTGCGTCCCAGGTCACCGGCTCGAAGGGCACCCCAGGCAGAGCATTTCGTATCGTATCATCAACCCCCCAGGCCTGGGTCTGTTCATTCGCCCTCTGTCGATCATCGGTACTGCACTTGACGCCTGACACGGGTGACCGGTTCCCTGGCGCACTCGCTGAGTCGACTCGCATACTTCTACGTCGTCATGCGTGCGTCTCCTCTCACGGTGCTAGGGTTGAGAAGAAAAGCGAGTAACCAAACATCTTTCGGATCAAGGCAGCCCGAATCTGTCTCCTTCCAGAACGAGGCAAGCTCTTGTCGCGACCCATGCTGGTACACTGACGTCCGCTGCATCTGCGTCCCACTGAGTATCCCGTCTTCAGGCTGAAATTCGGAGCCAAAGTGCGAACTGCGTCCGTGGGAGGGGTCAAACTCATGTACCTCTTTGTCGTCGTCTTCGATTGTATCAGGGATTTGAAGGGGCAGACTGCTAGCCGGGCTCGAAAGTTGACTTAGCCACCCTTTCCCATGCGTTCGCTGCTTCAACTTGCGTGCCGTCAAAGTCCCATTGAGCCAGTGTCCTGGAAATCTCAATCTCCGGAAATCTAGTCAACCACTTCTGTCCGTCAACACAAAGTATAAAGAATCTTCTTCCAGCATAGCTTGGGCGTGTTTTCTTTTCAACCTCCAACTTGCTTAACTCGGCTTCCCGGGCTTCTTGGCCATTCGCAGCACTTGATAGCATTGCCGCATTCAGCAACGGATAGTCTTTGTCATGTCACCAAATTCTGGACCTCGAAACAGTTAGTTGCCTCGTCAACTCTGATGGTCGTCAATACCTGCTTCATCTTCTGGTATTTTTGATCTTATATTGATGCTGCTGCTGATATACCCCGGCTCCAACAGACAGGTTAGCTGGTCCCAAATATGCATTGGAGCAATACGTCGCCACGCCGTGTCGTGACGAGCCATACAGGCCCGGGGCAGGAGCTCGCCATAGATTGAGGAATCTCATCAACACTCTCGACAGACACCTTGCCCTGATTGCCGACGGTCCCTCTCCCATCGAGACGGTTGGGGAAGGTGATGAGGAATTGCGCGCCAACTCTCCGGGGTAAGCCTAGCCCACTGTCGTGAATTTCCTCACACACACATCCACACAGGCAGAATGTTGACGAGGAAAACCTGTTCTTGCAGCCATGACTGGCTCCCGGAGATGCGAGGGAGTGTTCGGGTAGACCATTCCAACCATGTCAACACAACTATCCGGGAGGGGAGACCTGGGGAAGGGTAAATATGGTCATCCGTGAGGAGATGTCGAATATTTGTATTGCGATCTTGGCGTCGTACTCGCTTTTGTGCCAAAGATCCGCTGGTCGAGGCACTGTTGCAAATGTCCTGGCAGGCGTTGGGCTGCTGTAGCGCATGTGCCAGATACGATATGCCAATGGTCTCCCTCCGCGTGTGGCCAGTGGTGGATTGTTATACCATCGTCTGATTAGTCGTTGGTAGCGTTCGGAGTCACGATTGGCTGGCTAGCAATATCTCACATAGCAGCCTTTTGAAGCAGCATATGGCTACCCCGGTTCTTCGAGATAGATGTCCTCTCTCGGCTCTTCCGCAGATCCATGGCATTCGATTTTTGTGTGGTAATGGAATCACCAGAGAGATCAGCAATAGGCCAATCTTGGCTGTACTATCCCCGTCGTTACTGGCTCAACTCCCCCAGCATTGTTTGCTGACAATCCTTGACACACCAGAATTCCCAAACCCTCCTTGCCCGCACGACAGTCACATGGCGTTTGCAGAAGTCGATCAAGAATGTTGGACAGACAAGAAATGCCTACCTATACACATCGCAGGAGGGCTGCAGAGAAGAGCAAACGGTCTTTTTCGCACTAGAGACTCTAAACTCTTCCTCAAGGCCACGATTTGGCTGTCAGAGGGCTCTTGGTCATGAGCCCTCCCTAGATTTCGGGTCGACAGAAGCCCAAAACACGGTGAAAGAACTAAGAATTCTCACGAAAGTAGTACTGCTGCGGAACGGGCCAAGGGGGTCGAGGACAGGACAAGGTGAGCCTCTTAATTCGTAGCGAGTCAGCGCTGGATACACGGACTTGTCATCAGGCGCAGGAAACGGTCTCGGCAATCTTTCTCCGGAACATGGCCTTTCCATCTGACCTGGATGCGAAAAATCCAGGTACCCGAACAGCAAACCTCAAAAAAATACGCAGGGGTCTTTGCAATTGCTGAGATCAAGGGGGTGGTTGACCGTCCAGCCGCAAGCGATGTTGGGCACGCTTGCCAAAAGGGAAGAGATGGTGGCAAGGATGATAACCGCGATCGATTGAGATCTAGGCGAGAAAGTGGTGTGATTTATTAGCGATGTCGGGAACTCAAGCGGCTTGTCAGAGAAGAACACACGGGCCTCTCCATGTCAACACGAACAACCCCGTGAAGCAGAAACCCGGGGCAATGGAAGTGGCAAATCGTGGTGAAAGAAGGAGACGGTATCGATATGGAGGCGTTAGTGCAATCGCACAATCCCGAGGAGTCAGCCTGGTGGTCGAATATAGATTGGGTGGGTTGAGAGAAGGTTTTGACAGCAGACACGGAGGTCGGGCCCTCGAAGGCTTCTAGAACACCGGCGGCAGGTGTTAGGAAAGGGATTCCGCGTGGGTTCGTCTGAAGAACAGCACCGATGCCGACGAGGTAGGCGGAAGTGGGCGGAAGGCAAAGGATGGCGCTCGACGGATGCAGTGGGAAGTGGGCAGAGGCAGATGTCTCGTGATTCGTGAGAGACCTGGTGTGACAGGCAGGAATACGGTTTTGCGGGAGGTTAGGTTGGGATGGGCGATGGGACGACGAATCGAGATCTGGAGAGACTGCGGTGTGGCTTGTCAGTTG